ATATCTAAGTTTTAGTAGTTATTAGCAGATCTAATAAATATTGATTATAGATAGGCTGACCATTGGGATGGGATGGGACGGGAATAGGAATTTCCCATCCCATCCCATCCCATTCTTGGCATCCCATTTCCCATCCCATTTTCCCTCTTGGCATCCCGTTTCCTATCCCATTCCAAATATAGGGCTAAAACAGGAATCCCATCCTGTTTAACTGCACAAAACAGGATTCCCAATCCTAATTTTAAAATAGAATAAGATTCCTATCTAGATTAACTATAAAAACAGGATTCCTATCCTTGTCTTGGTATTATTTTAGGATTTTGGAATAGAATAGAATTCCTGTTTTCTATTCTAAAATCCTAAAATAAAATACAAAACGCCTTTAATATATAGAATATAATAATTAAAAGTAATAACTAAAGTTAAGTTTATTAAAATCTTAGAACTGCTAATATAATTAAATAAAAGACTTATTACTAGCTTTATTTTATTAAATATATTTTTATTAAATATATTTTTATTTTAATCTTTATTCTTTTTTATCTTTAATTATAGTATCTTTTTATAGCTGAACAGTAGTATTACTTGCAGTCTAATATAAGCTAAAACTATATAGTCTATAATAATCTTTTATAATAGTATATATAGTATTTTATTATAGGAATTTCCTATTTTATTCTATTCTATCCTAGTTTTTCTCTTGGCATCCCGTTTTCTATCTCATCCTAAATATAGGGCTAAAACGGGAATCCTATCCTGTTTAACTGTATAAAACAGGATTCCTAATCCTAATTTTAAAATAGGATAGGATTCCTATCTAGATTAACTATAAAAACGGGATTCCCATTCTTGTCTTGGCATTATTTTGGGATTTTGGGATGGGACAGGATTCCTATTTCCCATCCCAAAATCCCAAAATCCCATCCCATCCCGAAATCCCTGGGATTATCCCGTCCCAACGGTCAGCCTAATTATAGACTTATCACAGTCTACCACCCTTAAGGAAATAGATAAATAGAAAGAATAAATCAGACAGTTAAATAGTATCTTTAATACTATATTAACTATTAATAGAATAATTAGGCAAATCTGTTATCTATAGTATAATTTATATATAATAATACAGTATATTCAATGACAGGAGTGATACTATTCTATATAAATTATAGATACTATTCTATCATAATTAGAGAATCCAGAGAAAAGAAACCTATTGTAGAAGAAGTAGCCAGCTTAGTAAAGTTAATCAAAACACTTTATAAATAAATGACTAAAGATATTAACTTCAGAAATTAACAAGCAGCAGCTTATTATAATAAGTATTATAAAGAAGAATCTATCTTTAAAAGAGAGAAAAAAGTATTTCTACTCTATAGAAATATAAAGACAAAATAACCAAGTTTAAAACTTAACTATTAAAAAATCAGACTATTTATTATTAAAGAAAAAATCAGCAACATTAATTATTGACTAAGACTACTGGAATCTATATTATATATATATCCAATATTTCATATCTTATTATTAGAACCCGCACCACCAAACACTAAACCTACTGAAAATATAGAAATTAAAGATAATACTCAGGAATATAAAGTTAAAAAAATCCTGAATTATAGAAAAGTTAGTAGACAAACACAGTATCTGGTGAAATAAAAGAAATATAATATCTCAGAAAATATTTAGAAGTCTACTAAAAATTTGACAGGCTGCTACCAGCTAGTTTAACAGTACTACTAATAGATTAGTTAAATATTATCTAGAATAAGAAATTATTTATTATCTGAGTTAGACTAGAGTTAATCTCAGATATAGTGGTTAGTTAAGTACTATTATTTATAGCAGCACTAGTCTCAGTATTGGATATTATAGTCTTTTAGTTATATAATTTCTTTTATACTTTATATTTTTTTTATTCTTGTTTCTTAAGCTCTTCCAGCTCTTTAATCTCTTTTATATTATAAGTAATAAAATTATTAACTTGTTTCTATAATAATTATTTTTATTTCTATAAGTAAAGTAATTTTACTAAGATAACTTCTTCTTCTTTCTTAATAGAATTTTAAGCCTTGACCAAACATTTCTACTCAGTGTTAGAAAATAAAGAATCAGGCATTTTATAATAAATACTATTTGTCTTGATATACTTGCTATAATAATTAGAACTTTTAGATTTAATATATACTTTATATAAACAGATATAGTACTTATAAGGAAAAACTGTAAGAAAATCTTTATCCTTAATATACTGACAGAGATTCTTCTTATAAACAGAAGAGTTAGATAATATAATTAATTATAGATGAGAGAAAAAGAAAATATCACTAAATAACTTACCTTAGAAAGGAAGTCTATAGCTTATATACTTTCAAGAACAAAAGCTTAGAAGAGGAGAAGTGATATTACAGATCCTTATCTAGTGCCTTTATCAGACGCGGAATCAGGCGGCAGAACCAGTGACATAACAAGACACTAGCATCAAGAAACAACCAATTAGGCTGACCGTTGGGACGGGATAATCCCAGGGATTTCGGGATGGGATGGGATTTTGGGATTTTGGGATGGGAAATGGGAATCCCGTCCCATCCCAAAATCCCAAAATAATGCCAAGACAAGGATGGGAATCCTGTTTTTATGGTTAATCTGGATGGGAATCCCATCCTGTTTTAAAATTGGGATTGGGAATCCTGTTTTGTGCGGTTAAACGGGATGGGATTCCTGTTCTAGCCCTATGTTTGGGATGGGATGGGAAACGGGATGCCAAGAGAGAAAATGGGATGGGATAGAATAGAATAGGAAATTCCCATAATAAAATACCATATATACTGTTATAAAAGATTATTACAGACTATATAGATTTAGCTTATAATTATTATATTTAGCTTATAATTGTTATATTACATGTATTAAAGTGTTTTGTATTTTATTTCAGGATTTTAGGCTAGAAAACGGGAATCCCATTCCATCCCAAAATCCCAAAATAATGCCAAGACCAATATGGGAATCCTGTTTTTATGGTTAATCCGGATGGGAATCCCATCCTATTTTAAAATTGGGATTGGGAATCCTGTTTTGTGCGGTTAAACGGGATGGGATTCCCGTTCTAGCCCTATGTTTGGGATGGGATGGGAAACGGGATGCCAAGAGGGAAAACGGGATGGGAAATGGGATGCCAAGGATGGGATGGGATGGGATGGGAAATTCCCATTCCCATCCCGTCCCATCCCAACGGTCAGCCTACAACCAATTATATAAGTAACTATCATAAACACATAATTAGCGGGTCACATAACCAGAATATATCACTGACAAGCTATATCATGGCAGCGCTATAACCAGAACATGTTAGCAACATAATATGATATACTGGCAATATAATATATCATGGCAGCAACATAAGAAATAGAAATATATAAGAATACTTATTCATATACTTAGAATAGTTCTTTATAATTAATCTTATAAGTTACTTAGAATATATCTTTAATATTAAGTTAGTAATTGACTTATTTACACTTCCTTAACTATTAAGTATACATACTTAATAGGCCTGGCCTTTTGGACTTGAGCTACACACGGAATCTTGTTGCACCTTTGGACCTTAGATTAGGTTACTTATTGAGGATCCGGGATAGGATCATATTCGGAACCACTGTTGTTCACATTGCAGAGACGCATAGGTCTCATTGTTAGGTTAAGTTATCACTCAACGCAAGGCAGCTAACACTTAGGAGCTCTTGACCGAATACCCGGGCGTAACAATTATATTATATTACTGATATGTTCTGGTTATAGTGCTGCCATGATATAGCTTATTAATAACATATTTATGGTTATATGATCCATTAATTATATATACACAGTAGTTGCTCACATAAGTGGGTGTCCCTTGGTGCTTTCCCTTTCCTGGCGCTAGTGCCTAGTTCCTTGACTGTCATGTCACTGGTTCTGCCGCCTGATTCCGCGTCCGATAAGTGCACTAGACAAGGGTCTGTAACACAGTAATAGATTAAAGAGATAAAATATAATATAGTATTAGAATATTTTATATAGGATATTGCTATTTAATGTTTATACAAGCTATGTGACAGTAACAGGTGTAAATAACAGTATTTATTTATATAAATCAGTAAGTTATGTCTTACAGTTATGTATAGATAGGCCCTTGACGGGCTGAGAATGGGCTGCAGGGTCAGCCTGTGGGCCGGGCCCGGGCTTTAGGTGTCAGCCCGCGGGCTCTAGTTAGACGGGCCCTGGGCCTTTGAGAGGGCCCGTGGGCTGGGTTTGCAGAGGTCTAGTCCAGTCCCGCGTCTGATAAGTGCACTAGACAAGGGTCTGTAACAGCTATTTAAAGATAAGAGAACCTAAAGAAGTAATCAAAATTATTAAGAACAGCTTAGAGAGCTGCAGGTAGTAGAGAAATAGCATGCTATAGTACTGCAGGTAGCAGGAGCAGAGAACTGGTTTCCTATTAAACAATCTACTACCATATACAGAGGTTGATCACTGATTTCTGAAGCTGTTGAGGTGCGGTAAGGATTTTACCGCAGCGGGTAGCATGTGACCCGCACGTGCTACTATATATCACCCACAGGCGCTATGAGGTGTGCCTAACATTATTTATAAATTAATTGTCATACTATTATTTAAATCATACTAAGTTATCTTACAGTACTCTAGTACTTAAATACTAGTAAATTCTACTATTCAGAAATTACCTTCTTGCTACGCGAGGTACATAGCTTGTCACAGAGCTCTTGGACGAAGCTCTGGCGTAACACTTACCTTCATAAAATTAAGTATCCTTAATTTCATTATCACGCTCAGAGATACCTTATATATAGACCACAGCCTGGTAAGTTTAGGATGCCAACGCCACCTATGGTTACCCTATTGTTCGTTATAGTCTTTTTTTTTTTTTTTTTTTAGATATTATACACCCTGCCACTTATTATATAGCATTACACAGCGACTGTTATTAAGCAATAATCAGCGCTATTCTTATATTGCACGTGGAGTCCTACCAGTAACCCTACACCCGACAGTAATAATCATTTATGTATAACAACTACACAGGGCTCATTCCCAGAAATGTGGTCACTAATAGATGCCCTAGCGCTAGGCCATATCGCTATGGACATAGCTTCCAGCTGGTAAGCGCTGGACAATGTCCTACTAATTGCAGCTACCCGCTCAGCCTGTGAGCGATTGCCGCACTCAAGAACCACGAGCCTTGCATGTATCTTGAATGACAATAGAACGATATGATAATAGAAGTGATCTTCCTCGTTCTGAACCCCGGGTGGTAAATCAGAAGCGTCGACCATAGGGACTAATGCAAGTCTGGGTTCAAAAACTCGGACACTACGAGAGGTAGTACCGTCTCGAAATGACTCGGGAGATATATATGGCGGGTTCGAGATGAGCACGTCACAATATGGCTCCGCATTGGAAGGAGTCCCTTGGACACTACGCAGCACCTCTTCTGCCGCGAGAACGTTGCCTTGTCGAAAAGAGACATCAGCTGCGGCACGATTCGAAAGCAGACCCAGCTGAACATTGTGTGCAAGGTTCCTATTAGCAAGTCCAATGGCTACAGGGCTAATATCAATCCCAAGGATTGAAAGTTGATGAATATGAGGAGCAAGTAGCGCATGCAGGAGTAGCGCTATGCAGCCACTACCTGTACAGAGATCTGCTATGCGCAGGCAGCGTTCCTGTTGTTCGCCCCCACGGCGCTCATGTTTTCGAATATCGTCCAGTATCAGTCTGGCAGCATGTATGGTGAAACTCTCTGTTTCTGTTCTGTTTTGCATATGTAGAGTGTTAGATATCTTGAAGTTCTGACAGAAAAGGTTGGATGGCCTTGAGACGAAAGCAGGCAAGGCGAATGTACCTTGGAATTAACACACCCTTTTTACATAGAATCTCAAGGTCACCGAAAGGTTGATCACCAAGGATATATTGTAGGGGCTTCCCTTTCGACCGAGCATGGCACTTCAATCTAAGTAACCTCCTCCACCCAAGGGGGGTATGTGCCGACCGCGCCAACCTTTTGGACGAAACTAGGCGGCTAGCACTCTCATGTAGCCAGCGAAGTTCGCTTTTTGCAGATTCAAGAGAGCGACATTCTCGGAGCAGTAGCGGAAGAAGCGGATGCTGCTGATGCGCCCTTAGGATGGTTGGATTAGGAATACGTGGCATTGGCACAGTATCCGTTAATGAAGTGCGTACATGCCAGAATTTTTAAGTTTGTCTTTTATGGGTGAGAGAGACGACGTTGAGCCAGGGAACGGGAATAGCTGGGGGAAGTGGGGAATGCACAGCCTGTTAAAAGGACCCCATTCGCCATGCAGGGCCATATACAAAAATAATAGCCAGCCAGGTGAGTTGCATTTCGGGAGGGAGAAAAATAGTATAAAGTATAAACAGGCTTGCTTCTATGTATACCTCGTAAAAGAGAAGCACACAAACTAACGCCTCTGTTGGGAAACCCCGTGACTTCGGATATGATGATAGCTAGATGCAGAAGCGAGGAGAGCGGCTGGAGGTTTCTTTCTTGTTTTAGAGTTTGGAAAAGACAAAAGGAGCAAGACAAGCAAAGGAAGGAATGGCTATCTAGGGTATCGGCAAGTAGCATATGGCTAGCGGACTAAACAAGTATAGAACAAGGCAAGATGGTGAGTCGATTGCTAGGTGCAGGTCCAATATCAATCATAAAGCTAACACATATCCAATTGCTGCAGCACCGAAGGCCAAGTGGCTTGGAAACTCCGTCGGCCGTACAGGAATCGCAGCGCCGCCAGTGCTTGTCGCCGATGGCAAATCAGTAAAGATCCCACCCGTTGGGCCCCCAATCCTGGCCCCTGACCCACCAGCCACAACAGATGTGACTGGGTTAGAAACCTGGGTAGCCCCAGGAACGGAATCATCGCCTGTTCCAATTTCCAGTATATCATCTTCAGTAGAGTTGAAATTGGTATTGGCAAGAGAAATTTCATTGTTGGATAGATCATAAACAACATATGCACTGCGTAGGAATGTGTCCCCTAAAACAGCAGCGCCATCTCCGGCGGGAACAATCCCGAAAATGCATGCGCGTGCGCCATTTCGGAACCGGAGATCGCCTGCACTTAGAACGAGTTCATCAATCCCAACCGTGATAGCAGGTGATGAGAAAGTGTAGGTCACGTTAATATTCTGCTGTGCCAAGCTGCATGGTACATAGCCAACACCACTGGATGGTTCATAGGTGACACCAAGATCATTATAAATACTTTGCACGATAGAGTTGGGAAGATAAGTTAGAGAACTTCCCGAGTCAAGTAGGACCGCGGCTGGGAGTGCATCGGAAGATGAATAGGTATGATGGTTTGAGGGTGAGCTCAGTGAAATACCCGTAAGCGCGATTATGAACTCTGAGTAGACCCCATTGATTGTCTGAATGGGCAAAGTTTGCAGCTCACCACGGTACTTTCCCTTATTCACGCCCCCGAATAAGATTGAGCCCGTATCTGCTCCCAAATCATTGAGCCAAAGACTATAAGCGTTCGATCTGATCAGACCATTCTTGACCATGGCCTGAGGGAGGTTTGCGTAAGCACTTTTGCCGAGCCGGCCAACCTGGACTTCGTTCGTGGCATATCCTATCCCCAAAACACCCTCTGGAAGTCAGGGAAAGTGTCAGTCGATAGCACACATCTAGAGTTAGAGTACAGGAAAGTACGCTATCAACCTACCGGCAGAGCTAGATGAATAACCCACCCCAAACTGGAGGTTCTTGATAGCCGCGCCTCCAATGTGAATGGTGTCGGTTACATAGTCACCGGCGGCCCCGGACCCGTCGGCATACGAGATGTTGAAGTCAGAAGACACATACGCATATGATGAAGACGATCTTGGGTCGTAAGACCCTGAGGCATCGCAAGGATTATCGCTAGATGAGCAGAGAGTCGAATTCAGGGCATTACACCAAAGGTCGCTGCTCCCTGTATCAAGAACCAATCGTAGGCTTTGCTCTGGGGTTCCCAATGTGATGTTGCAGAAATATAATGTTTGCTATGTCACAGATTAGCAGCCATGCGTCATATCAGAGGGTTGGCAAAACAGGGTAGTATACCTCGTTGTCAAGACTTTGGCTGACAGTTTTGTCTCGTTTTCGTCTCATCCGATCTCTAAGCACAGGGTCGATAACATCATTGCGTTTGATACCCAGCGACACAACAGCAGGCAGGTCCCTTTGGTGGAGTGTCAGCGCTGCTGTCCCTTCACAGCCAAAAGAAGCGGCAAGCAGAGCAAGCCAAGATTTTCGCATCGTGCGTTTTCTATTTTCCACCCAGCTCTTGTGAATGAAATCGGCGTTCACTTCTTATCGCGTGCACTAGGTATCTAAGCCACCTAACTTAAGGCTGATTTATGGCAAATGTGCACCAAGCTCCTTGAGCCCAGTAGGGTACCTTGAACGAAGATGGCCAATCTCACGTTGGAGCGAGGGAGGAGGTGATATCCAAAGGACTGCGGGAGGCGAGCGGAAGGTATCGGTAGCCCGAAGGGAAGCGCTTGTATACAATCATTGATGGGGGCATGGCTTTCTTCTTGTATGATAGTAAGGTGTGCTGATCGACAGGTGTCGTACGCTGGCTGCATCCGGACCGCTACATGCACAGTACAAGATCTCGGAAGACTCCACTTGGAGTGGGGCACGCGATCGTCATCCTATCGGGCCATGTAAGGAGTCGTCATCGTCATCAATCTACATCTAATTAGTACCGGTACAAGTAGAGAATTTCTGTCCCCTATCGGTACCTAAAGTCGACCGGGGTGATCCGTAAGTTAGTTCTGCCTTATTATATTATTTCGTCGTATTATTGTATGTATAACTTCCTCAAGGCACCTTCGGGTCAGGATACAGAGTGAAAGAAAGAAATCTACCGATGTGGCGGTGCAATTTAGTTCCTCCGGAACGTCAGTCAATTCACCTTCACATCGGATGTCTCGGGACCTTCTGTAGAGAAACGGTACTCGGTATAATCACCCACTGCACCGCAAATGATATTGGCTGCCAAGCATTTCTCCCCACGGAAACTCCGGTATTTTATAAATATATGTCGTCATGCTAGATATATTATCATGCTGCCTAAAATAGGCAATAGGAAATCAAGGACATTGAAATAATGTGACATATCTGATTAGCAATACATTATAATGTAGCCAGGGAATCTTTAATTCAAGCACACCAGATAGTCACAATGTGAAGGGTATAGAGAAAGTAAACCCTCTCTAGGGAAAAAGATTCTGTATCTGCCCTGGACGTAGTGATTACAACAACTTGAAACCCTGGTGTTCCCCTCCGAGAGTATTATATAGGAGTGTATGAGAGGCTATATCTAGCAAGAATATCATGTAAGGTTGGAGAAAGTCTGGTTAGAAAGTACGGTACAGTATTATACATATACAATATACACAAAGGGGAATCCGCAACGCTGGTTCTATGGCCTCAATCCAACCAAAACACCACCCATTAAGGATAACTGGAGGCTATGAACAGCTATGAATGCCTTGAAAGGATAAACGAATAGCCTCACAGCCCCATGGCTGTTCTTATTTGCTTCATAGTCACATCGGCATTGGCACGCGCAGCCTGAGCACCTCGCGCTGCGACAGCATCTAGATAGCCGGACCTGTCTTCCATGAATGAACAGTACTGTTCTCGTATACCCTGGAGGTGACCTGAGATTTGGTCTGCTAGGTCTTCCTTTAGAGCTCGAAGGCTTGCTGACTTGTATCCTATGACTATCTCGTTGCAAGACCTTCCATCAAAGTGGCTTAAAATTTCTATGAGATTTGACACGCCTGGCCGGAGGAGAGGATCGTAGGTTATATTTGTATCTGAGTCAGTTAGGGCAGCCTTGACCTTTTTATGAATATCCTCAGGCGTGTCATTGAGGAGGATCCTCGATCGGTTGTCGGAATGTGACTTGGACATTTTTAAAGTAGGCTCTTTGAGAGACATAACTCGTCTCGCAGGTGCTGTATCAGTTAGCGCACTTCTTGGACCCGCGCTTGGCTGGGGAATGGACGCTTACAGATAAGTGCCTCTGGAGATGGAAAAATCGGGCCGTAGAGATGATTGAAACTATTAGCAGTATACCTAGAAAACTCTAGATGCTGTCTTTGGTCTTCCCCAACAGGGACATGAGTAGCCCTTACTTGTGTCAGTACAGAGTCCCTCATTGTAGTTGGTAATCGAACCTGTGCACTAGGATATCCGCCGCCTGCAACACAGGATAAGAGAATAAGCCAAGCCGTAATTTAGATCTCGCAGCCGAGTGCTCCAAGCTTATGTCTTCCGGCAGCTGCAACTTGCTCTATATGGTGTCAGCTTCAAGGCCCGTGCCCTATATTTACCTGTCTGTCTCCCAACATGTAATGCATCTCAACTGATAATTCCCACTGTTGCTCACCTTCCATTGAGTCATCCGTGACAAGTATCCCATAGAAGCTACCGTACTCAGGATCCAATATAATTCAGTATGCGCAGGAACCTGGCCATAGTCGGTGCATTAGCTTGAATGAAGACGTAGAGCATTGGGTTGCAATAAAACATCACGCACAGCTGACTGATAGAAAATGGTTGAACGATCTGGATTCAAGCCTACAGCGAGCAGAGTCGCGAATGCCTCTCTCCGCCACTTCTTCAATTGGCAGCTATTTTGTGGCACAGTTAAGGCATGGAGGTCGACGATGGAGTAGAATAATTTCGTCCCCTCGACAGCAGTGTCCTGTAGTCTGACCCATTCACGCAGAGCACCCAGATAATTCCCTAAATGCGGCACACCTGTTGGCTGAATTCCAGAAAATATGGTCTGACGTGATATTGACGAGGGTTGTCCCGTGGTTGAGCTACTCCATCTCCGGAGATGGAATTTTATATGGACTTTAATAACTCTTGACGATACCAGGGGATTTGTCGCTTTGTAAATTCTTGGAGTGTATGGTGCATAGTGACTGACACGCATGTCTAGCGACAACCCTGAGGAGAAGAGAAAGGCGTGGATTTAGTGCCTTGGTAATGAGTCGTGCCACCCTGAAGACAGCCATTCAAAGACAGACACGTGACTAGCTGTTTTTCACTACCCTAAGTTTCCATTATCGATTACTGCATTATACACCGAATTCGTGTACGAAACAGTATGTAGGCAAGCATTTGCAACAACCAGGATCTAAGGGTTCTAAATGATCCAATTGAATAACCCGTAGAATGGTGTTACTTAAATTGAGAAGAGTTATCCCGCTATTCTCGTTTGACAATATTTATTCATAATGGCAAAAATAGAAATACAGAGGTGAGTATGAGAAACAATAATGAAAGATTATATAGCGGACTAGTGCGTTAGCATTCAGCCTTTGCGGACGTCACTTAACGGACTCCTATTCTTGATGAGTCGTATGTCACCCAAAATATCAGACGTTGAACCTTGCGCTCCGCCGCTCTGCCGCTGACCAAATTGCGATAAGTAGGGCTCGAGGGACCTTTCAACATCAGGAAGTGTGTCATCCATGTTTTTGATAATATCTGTAAACATCAATTAGTTACTCATCCTCAGCATCAAAGCATCAAAGTAAATGCAAGGGCGCTTCTTTACCAAGGCTCTCGTGTTCCCAAATGTTAGCCTTCATGCCGACACCATAGAAAGCATGCTTTCGTAAAAATGCTAGCCACGCCTGGACCGCTTGAGGGCTGCCATCCTTGATCTGAATCAGTCGACGAAGAGTAATCCGCTCAAAGTTCTCTTGGCTTTTCTTGTGCACGAAATTACTTCGAGGGAATGTCCAACGTTCGACGATGCGTGGCAGAGGTACAGGCCCGGAAACTGGAAGCTTCAAGTAATAAGCGGCACGCACGGAAAAATCAGCGAAAAACTCCAAGTTTCGAACGCTATATGACCTTAGTTGAAGATCGCAAACTGGCAGCCCATACTCGGCTTTCCTCCGAAGCGGCCGCAAGTATACCGCTTGCACGCTTCGAGGCAATCGGGCTTTATGGTTAATACTGCCTAGGCGCTCAGCCCTATCACAGGAGTAAGCTCGCTTCTCTACAAATAAATATTTTAAAGCAAGGCCTGCAATGGCTCACCAGTTTTTTGCACACGATTCAGGCTGTTCTGTTGGGCTAAGGGTACCCAGAAGTCAGCCTGGGCTTGCGTGAAATTAATCATGCAGAAGTCACATACACCGATGGTCTCTCATCCATGCTTCGAGACACATTGGAGCTTGGTTCAGAGGTAATATCAGAGTTACTCTTTGAAGAAATGCTGCGAGCGGGCACTGGAATCTAATCGAACGGTTAACATTAGTAGACTTTCGGATGGTGATAGATGTTAGCAATACCAGTGATTGCTTGCCAAATCTGGCCAGCAGACGAGGTCTGAAGAGCAGCGACATATTCAATGCATTGAGCAAGAAGTACTGCCTGGAAAGATGCCGTTTTTGGGTCGCCCTGGTAAATTTTTTGGGAGAGCAGGCTTCAATCGTAATTGGTGTTTCTGCTCACCGCCCTACTTAGACACGATTTCCTGGAAGAAGATGCCTCAGGCCAGATTTAAATAATTGAAGGGGTTGGGACAGAACAAGCGAAAGAGTGTAGGGATTTTAAAAGAGATAGATATAGAAGGCGAGGCATCGATAAAAGATATCTATTTGAATGACAGTAGCAAGTGTTACCAGATCAGCGTATGTGGATACATGTATACGTACATACGTACGCATCAGTGATAGTAGTTACCAATTTACCGCTTACCTACTTGGCACCAATCTGCCTTCTTGCCAACCACTGTTTACTCAATTCTGTACCTAGCTCAAGAATAAACCCCAAAGGGTGCAGCACTCGGACTCCCATTGACCGAAAATGGCCGATTTACGGGAAGACCCGTCCTCAGCTGAACGAGTTAGCGAGGCGTTTTCGTTCCTGAGGGAACATTTGCCAACCCCGCTGCAAAAGCCTCATATTGCAATTGTGTGTGGCTCTGGTCTTGGAGGGCTAGCAAATACCATCTGTGATAAGCCACGAGCTGAGTTTGACTACTCTTCTATACCGCATTTCCCGCATCTCACAGGTAAGTCAAGAGCATATATGCCCCTGTTGAGTCCTAAAACAAGGCCTTCTCTGACTCATCAAGTCCCTGGGCATGCGGGAAAGCTTGTCTTTGGGCTCCTAGATGAACATGTACCGGTTGTTCTGATGGTCGGACGTGCCCAGTGAGTTTTCTGGATGAGTGCACGAGACACTTTAAACTCATAAATGCTATTTAAAGTTACTACGAAGGTCATTCAATCAATCAAGTGACATTCCCTATTCGAGTTTTCAAACTTTTGGGAGTTGATACTTTAGTGTGTAAGTATTACTTCTTCATTCAATATACGCAACTTAATTAACCGTATCTATCAGTGACTAATGCCGCTGGGGGTTTGAATTCAGAGTACGCGGTGGGCGACATTGTACTATTGAATGACGTGAGTTGGTTGTTCCCTTCGCCGCCAAGTTTCCCGTTCATATCATCCTTTTCTAACTTGATTTAGCATATATTCCTGGCAGGTCTAGCAGGAATTCATCCGCTACGGGGACCAAACGTCGAAGACTTCGGTCCACGTTTCCCTCCTCTATCCGACGCTTACGATCTCGAACTCCGTCGTCATGTGCATAAGGCCTGGGGAGAGGTGATGCACGCCGAAAGACAAAGGAGACTGCATGAGGGTGTGTATGCGTTCGTAGGAGGGCCCAGGTGAGTAGTCCGAGTAGTATTGTTGCGGATTATCAAGTGCTAAACCAGGCCAGTTACGAAACCAGAGCCGAGTGTCGCATGCTTCACCAACTGGGAGCAGACGTAGTTGGCATGTCAACTGTACCGGAGATCGTTATCGCCAGACACTGCGGCATTAGAGTCTTGGCACTCAGTTTAGTAACAAACAATGCTGTCCTCACTCCGGTTCCTCGTGGAGATGACCGTCTTTTACAGGAAAAGGGGGTTAAAGAGCTAGATGCCATCTTGCAGGAGGGCAAGGCAAACCACGAGGAAGTCCTTGAGGCCGGCCGCTCAGCAGCCACTGATATGCAGGTTTGCGTCCCATGGGTACCCTGTTTATCAGGCTTGAAACTAACGTCAAACGCAGAGGCTTGTTGTACAAGCAGTATTGAACGCTTCCAAACACGATTAGTATGTGCGGGTCGCACGGTAGGTAGCAAAAGAGCTTAGCTGAGGAAACGGGTATTGCCAAGCTTGTGCCGATTTCACCGGAAAATCTCCCACTTAGCCATGAATAAAAGCATGCCAATGATGATGTCGAATACAACCGTCCCTTTTGCAGTACTACGGCTTCCAAAACCATCCATGCAGGAGTGGCATTAGCTTCTTCACTTGCCTTTGGCTCTTCACTTGCCTTTGGCTCTTCTCTTGGCCTGCAGATTTTTGTAAAAGGACTTTTTGCCACTTTGCTTGCTGGTTTGAATGTCTCTGTACTTAGACTCAAAACGCCTTGTTTGCCGTTCTTGAGCGAGTACTTCTTCAACGAAGGTTTTCTTGCGATCTTTTTTGGTGATACGACCGCTGAAAAACTCGGTGGGGCCTTCAATGATAGTCCCTATTTGAGAATACTTAGGTGGCTGAGCCTTGGCGTTTTCTTTCTTGTAGTGTCTCTTGGGGTCTAATACAGAACGCATTCTGAGAAGCTGTAGATCCCTTTTGAGCTCTGGAGTCAATTCGGTCTTGGGAAGGTCGAACCAATCGCTACCCGCTGTGGGCTTTTCCTACATAGATATGCCATTAGTTCCCGGTCCAGCTTAAGAAAATCAAAGCGGTAGGAGTTTGACGAAGATGCTCAGAGTAACTATGAAAAAGTTTGCTCTCATTGGCACAGCGCAGTCCAGTACGGACTGTGGAAGCTGCATCAAGCGCTCACGCGATGGGATAATTTTCCTCATGGCAATAAAGATAAGGCCTTCGTAGAAATTGCTCAAAGGATCTCTTACCTTCTTGGATTTCGTATCTTTTGTTCCTTTGGATAGTTGGGGAACAAGACCCTTAGATGTATCCTGGAGGTTGTTCATGACGCGTGTAGTATTGACAGTCGCAAGATCATCTTTCTGAACGAGGTACGGTTGCAGAGAATGGTCAGAGGATAATCTAGGAATGCTGTTTTGAGGTTTTAGCACTAGTGGCAAGACTACGTCGTCACAAGGATCTCATCGACGACAAGGGTGGAACTTTACATACCCTGATAGAGTATGTTGGGGCTGATCACTAGATACCTCTATTGTATCGAGTTTGTCAGTGGTGATCACACTGTGAGCTCGTAGTCGCCCCTCTGCCTCCAGAAGGAGCTGCTCAATATCATAGTCTGTGTGTTTAATTTCATCATGCCTATTAACAAGTCCGACTTCACCACATATTGATCGAGTCATATCCTAGCAGTCCAGAAGTTGAAAAGAAGCAGAAAATCCGAAATGTACTAGGTAAATACTTTTGGGAGAGACAAAGGGTAGGTAGTAGCACAAAGAAAATAAAAGAAGTCGGAGTTTTCAAAGGGTATTTATAAGGGCGGTAGTAAGCCGGCTAAGTCTTCTTACTCTGCAAATTTTCTTCTGTGGGGCCCTCTGTACTAGCACTAACTAGGTAAATTAAAATTCCCCTTGCTAAGTGTATCGGTATATACTCCATATGTACCTCCTATTATGTACTAGTATCTACCTAACATGCGTTTTCCTAATAGCGGATACTAGAACAAGTATTTATCGGGTGAAAAAAATAGAAATCAGCTAGAAATGATATGATTCGCTATGATAAATGAACCTTTGAAGGACGATATCTGCTTATAATAACCCACTATAGCAAATAGGTAGCATTTAGACATGGCAGTCTAAGCGATATCAGATTGTGAACTCTTAAAAGGTTTAAAATGGTTGGGACTTAGCAATCCAGGGTTGCTTGTTGTCTGTTCAATGATATATCATTTGGTTTTGTATATAACCGGTTGAGTGCTTCCAACAATTGAGGCAAACCTAGTTTAGACAGGAGCTATAAGAAATAATACTAATAATAATAATAATTAATTCTACTCCGTACGCCCTCGTCTTCTATCTCTTCCTGCCAATATACTCCGTGAGAAGAGTTTCGGTCTTTGTTAATCTTCATACTGGCCTTTTCCTCTTTCCAGGAAGAGAGCCAATATCTACGTATGAGATATACCCATGGGTAGCGAGACGTGGTGTATTACAAAGATATGTTGCGAGACTAGGCCATAAAAACCCCCATAGTTAAGAGAGATGACTTTACGTCCTTCAGTATTGGAGAGAGAAGCCTTGGAGAATCATTTATCCAATTTGTCTGTTATCTGTTGTTGGCGGGTGGTGGCTTCCCCGCGTTGGGAACCTCGTAAACGTCACGCTTGGCGGGCGCTTGACTGCGCGCTACTGCAGCGACTCGTTGGACATTACCGCGTAACACCATCTCGTGCTTAGCAACAGGACTTTACTGCCTGATAGCCGACTTCTACCATTTTGCTACCCCCATATCTATAACCCTTCTTTGAATTACGGATTAACATCCTCGGTAACCTGACACCTGCAGCTGATCCCAGGATCCCCATCTGTTATTTCGCAAGTCTCACGACAACAGACTCCTTACCATACCTAGCATCACCCTCATCCAGATAAAATCATCTGTACACTTTCGTAGGTGATCAAAGTGCTACAAATTATTCTATTGCAATGGAACAAACCACCCAAGGCGCTGGCCAGCAGCAGAGCAGACAGCAACCCGTTTATGATACTAGAAACGGTGGACACTATGGTATTTTTCCCTTAAGCAGGTGGACTTTTTTGCTCCTAGCATTACCTTCGCTTTTATCTATACGCGCCTCAGGAAGCATAGGCTAACATGGACATTCAGGTGCCAGCGCAGCGGTATGTTCTGCCAATGAGGATGCAGATACACTCATCAAGTCTGTGGTTACCTGACTCGTCATGTATTAGCTTTCTGCGCAGGGATATGCTCCCGTAGCCGAGCTCTATACGGGCACTTGGGCAAATGTCGGTACCCATCCATAGCGGGAGATGACTCCGAGAGAGAGAGAGAGAGTGTATACACTGACATGGTCCAGGTCAACCAAGGCTTACAAGGGACTGCCCGTGATATCCTGACGACATACTGGCAACACATCATCAATCACCTCGAATCTGATAATCATGACTACAAAATCCATCAATTGCCGCTAGCGCGTATCAAGAAAGTCATGAAAGCTGATCCCGAGGTGAAAATGATTTCAGCCGAGGCACCAATCCTCTTTGCTAAAGGTTGCGATATTTTCATTACCGAGCTGACTATGCGAGCGTGGATTCATGCAGAAGACAACAAGCGGCGTACATTGCAGCGATCGGATATTGCTGCGGCCCTCTCAAAATCTGACATGTTCGATTTCCTCATAGACATAGTACCTCGTGAAGAGGCTACGTCGCATGCGAAGCGGTCTAGTCAAACAGCTGGTGCGCCGCCGGGCGCGTCTGGGCCGGCAGGTACTGCAGGGCAACTCCCACCTCAACACGGAGTGCAGCATCCCTCACATCATATGGCACCGCCGGACTACAGTTTGGGTCAGCATAGTCTTCAAGACCAAGAATATCGCCAGCCAGCTATGTACGCGGGACCTGTGCAATCAGATCCGACTGCAGCATATGGCCAGCCCCAATCTCAAATGTTTGAAGGAATGTATGCTGCTTATCCGCACTTGCCACCACAGCAGGTATGTGCCAAATAATCTCCTTACAAAATTTTGGACAGTTCACTGCAAAACTATCTTTTTTCGTTGAACCTTTTCGGGCTAATCATAACCTTTTTTCCCCATTTAAGTGAACGATGCGCCCACCTTTCAGCGCACTTTACCAAATCGGCTTCTGTAGTTGCCTTCTTTCCACCCTTCCCCTTGCAAGAAAGGGGTTTTAACGTTCATAATGGAGTTCTACATTTTCCTCTTTCAGTGATGGGCTGGTGGATCTATCAGTCTTTCTGCTGGAAATCTGTGGTTTGACCATTCGGTGTAGTTACACTCAAAACGTACTATAAAAAATGTCGTATTACGGATACAAGTTACATGTACTCCTGTCTTGTCCAGCTTCAAAAACAACGCTTGCTCTCAATAGGGAGCCGTCTATCTAGTCACTCATGTGGCTATTTAGGATTTCTTTCCGAATCTCGAAGAAAGCGTTGCGAATTTGTCAACCTTCACGGGACTTTGAATAGTGCGAATAACCCTTATAATGGGTTAGTGTATGTCTGACAATCGTGGCCACTGTGATCACATACTTTTCTAATAGGACCGGGCCATTAATAGCGTCTACGCGTCCGTATTTCTTGTTTCGTGTAGAGATATCATAGAACTCATCAGTGTTGTCTGCTTGCATCAACTGCACAGTTTGCTGGAGTTCATCAAGGTTTTCCCGAAGGATGGGTACCCCAAGGCTGTCCACAAAGTGATAGATATACTCAACGTCCTTTGCAAGAGCCATAACACCATTAGGATTGATCGTCTTTACTTCCGTGGCAAGGGGAAGTGCCTGTAAAGAAAGGTTAGCAGAGCCTGAGGTTGCAATATTATCCGAGGTTCGTACAAGAATCATGTTAGCCGCATGGCTCAGAGCATCGAAGTAAATAAGCTCTTTGATTTCGGTGGGGAGCCCGAGCAATGTCGAATTCATTATATTGGATAAGAAACGGGTCAGCGTCTGCATGTAGTTGCTCGGTTCTGTAGGTGGCACGGGAGCCATCCAGTCATATTCTGCGGTTTCGATGAGGTCGTCAATTTTGGAGTTGACTACCTCAAATATCCGCTTCTCTGCTGCCTTCTTGTTACTCCTGAACTTCTCGGTCGCTTTCAGCGTGATAGGACCGCCCGTGGAGTTTTGTGCCCTCGCTGCTGCAAGGAGGTTTTCGAGTTCATGACATGCGAGTTCAAAATGCTCGAGATTAATGAGTATCTGGACGATCTGGCCCAAGTACTGAGAAGCAAGACGCTCAACTAACGTGTCACAAACTTTGTTTGAAAGAAGCTCATCAAGCGCCTAATCAAGTTAGTGACCACTTTTGCTTTGTTTGCCATGTGAAACGTACATCCTTTAAAGTCTCGTCGATGACATTTGGGTGAGAAAAATCATCATTGGCAAAGAAGTAAAACTGGTTCAAGAAATTGCGAATGTCGATGCAACACAGGGGATACATTTGAGAAAATGGCAAGACACATGGAAAACTAGATGTAAGAGTTAGTGCTGATAAACGAGACTAAGCAAAGACTACGCGTATCCATATACATTTGCTCTCCCCGTGGCTTCTCAGGGGTGTACCAGCTCACGTTGAGCACTTTGTCAAACTCTTCCGGCGTCTGTATGGGCATAGGCATATAATCATCTGTAGACACGATCTTCGAGATGTTCAGCACAGCGACAATTAGAGTCATGCTGGTATAACATACCTCCTGAAAGTCATCGCTGAATCTCTTTTTGAGCAGTTCGGCGTATCTCTTGAAGAGTGTGAGCAAGAAGTTGTCAAAGACACCTACGGGAAAGCCCCAACTCTAGATAAATCAAAGTTAGTATCCTCAAGAATCTAAGTCGAAGGAGCAACGGACATTCATCGTTTGCATGAATAAAGCAATGAGATTTTTGATTTTCAACAAGCTCTCGGCATTATCAACTTCGGGAAGAGCCTTCAGGATTAAGTTTACAGCAGTTTGGCACATGGAATCCCAGAGTTCGTCGACCTATTCAAGTCTTTAGGTTCTTAGTAAAACTCATCAGGGGATAGAGCTTACATCAACCGGCGATCGCAAGTCCGGTACCCTCTTCATTGTAGATCGCTCGACAATCGCAAATCCCGCCATCTCTTCGAGGAGATTATGTAGACTTGCACCATCCTCATCAACAAGTGTTATGGACGATGGTAGCAGCAGCTCTTTTTGCCGGCGACGGGTATTGGCATACTCAATCCTGAATTTGTCCATATGCCCAAGAGACTGGTGAATATGCAAGCATTCAAAGAGCGGTGTGAAGTCGACTTGTAACTCCTCGTTGTGCAAGAGGTCATATTCCTCATGCTCATCGGAAACGAGCTCGATGGCGGAATTTAATTTGAAATGGCCAAGATATGGTGTTCTCTCGGCCCTCTCCTTCTGCCTGGTCTTACGGAGATCCGTATGGTACAGGGCTATTTCCCCCAGATACTGCGACATCTCACGGATTCTATACAACCAAGTGTTTAGATCAGACATCACAGCCTCAGCTATGGCCCTTTGAGTTGCTGGTACTGATCGCTGGATCAAGTCCGCGATTTTATATTGGGTTACCCCTTTAAGGTGAACATTCTGGAGTTCTTCAAGAGCTCGAAGGGCTGCATAATGGTTCTTTTTCGCTAACAGATCATGAACTTGGTTCGCGAGACGAAGAACTTCCAGGCAATCCTGGATAGCACGGAAGGTTTCATCGATATTCTGACGGTGGCTCCGGGACTCAACCAGAGCCTTCTTCTGTTCAGCCAGCTTTTCGGTACTAGCCTGAATGGATTGGTTTAGATCCAGGATTTCGGCCGTTAAGCTCACAGTACCTTCCCTGATACGGAGCAGCTGATTGATCGATGTAACAAATTCTTGGTGATTGGTATTGCAAATGGTTTCTATCTCAGCTTCCTTATCGCTAGCAAACCTAGATAAGGACTGCAATAATTGTGAAGTCCGATTGCCTACGCTGTATTCCCTTATCGAAGGAATCAACTGGTCGAGATAATCCGTGTCGGACGGCGATATGATGATCTATTGAACCCAGGTGAGTTAGAAGGGGTCGCCAGGTTTCTCTTTCTGATTCTAACCTGGTTCAAGATATATGTAGATTCATTGCGAGAAGAAATCATGGAAGGCATTGTTGGTCACCTATCTAGTCGTCAAGAGTGACATGCATTAGAAAAACGCGATATGCAGGTGAAGGAAAGGTGGTAGGATGAACAGCAAAGTATCAAGATCCAGCACTAATGATTGGACGATAGGCAGATTACACTATTAAGCATAGTACCTAAGGTACTTCCAAATACCCGCTCCGGACTCGGAGTGCGATAGGTGATTATCTTAGCGCTTTATTCTTTCCTAATTTATTGGTTGAGAACCAGTACCGCCTTGGGATTCTGCCAGAGCACCGCTGCGGCCCATGTTGTAAGTGGATGTACCTCTAGCTACCTGAACTTTGAAGATTATGTAGGTTACTGTATGTGGTTATGCCACATGTACGACTATACTACAGGGGTACAAGTTATACATACTATCCAAGTATGCATAAGATATTTTATGTGTATCTATTATCATGATATGAGTGTTTATTTCTTACTCAAAGATAATAATAAGATTCAGATATACTAAAATACAACTTACATTTAGTTAATAGCTATTTAGGCGATTACAGCCTATCCTTCGTATCTAAAACTTAGAATTGGTACTACTACTAGTAATGGATGTCTGGGTGGTGGCGGAACCCGAGTTGCGCTAAGATAAATGGTAATCACCTCTCTTGCCAAAACCTCGTAGGAGTCTAGGACCGCTAGGTAGTTGAGCATACAAAGTAGATAATAGCAGGTAGTAAGTAGCAAGATACCCTGCAAGGAATATTTCGTTCGAGGATTAAATTGAGCAAGGTTAGAAAGTAGGCTATCTGGTATTTAATAGTGCTTATCTATAATACGATATTAGTATTAAACTTATCAAAATCGTAATTCTTGTTTATATGACAGTCTCTGTTGTCAGCCTGCCTCTAGATGCCCTACCTAATATATTTATATTTTATATATATATATACACCCTCTACACAACTAGAAAGTCTTCTTAACAATATTACTATAACACCCCGTTTCCCTACCTGCCAAACAGTTATTACCTAGCCATGCCGCATTGTCGCCCTTCCTACATTGGTTTACTATTTGCATGTCTATATACGCTACCTTGATCAACTAACCTTGCTTACAAAAGGAAACAAAAGGAAAGGAGGAGTAGGTACAACTATCAGGCTTATAAAACTTGACATGTTTGAATATTTTTTCTTTCTCATATACTTGGTTGCTGGGATTTGAGGGTTAGATCTATGATTTCAGATAGGGAATTAGTCGTGGAGTAAACAACGTTTTCATTATCATACAGTGGGACCATGGCCAATAGATATAGTTGCTCTTGAATCTTGTCTGGTCTCGCCTACTCTCACCCTTTCTAAGAGCAGCGGCATAGTACTTTGGATACCGAACCTACACCAGACTAAAACGTCAATCACCATAGTGAATTACTCACCTATTGTGGCTAGCCCTCACCAGCATCTTCCTTTTCCTTACCTTAAAATTCCATAAACCTTAACGCATGATATCGTTTAGTATGTTATGGTGATCTATGCCCCATTAGATCCTATGTGTGGTGTGTTTTGCAAGTCTACTTAGGTAGGCAGTCTAGTCAACTGTAGCTTGGCAATCCCATTCCTGGTTTTCATTCAAATGATTTTGCATTTGCTCGATTCCCTAACACTTTTTAGCTGTTTCTCCTGGAGAAAGTGTGCAATCTTGTGTTCTCCTGGCTGCCACCTCTGTCTAAGTATTTTTCATTGACGTCTTGCACATCCCATCGTTCGTCACAACATTCGAAAGTCCCTTTAGTGTGCCCAGTTATTATCTGTTTATTGTATCACGTATTGTGTTGAGACCAAGCGTGTCTCTGGAGAAAACGAAAAGAAAGGAAAAGCTATTGCGGCAGAAGGTGCCTATAACCGCATCAGATGAAGACAAACGAGTCCTCTCGAGGGCTGAGTAGCCCTTGCTCTACAAACGGAATAGCCTCTCCAAACGAGTCTCCAGATACCAAACTCACGGCTTTCTCACCGGAGGATGTTCGCTCCAAAGGCCGTCCTGGACCCAGTGTCAATGGTCCAGTAAATGACGCAGGGTTTCAAAAGCTCTACTCAATGTGAGCGAAGGCTATTCATAACCTATGACCTATAGCTACTAATCTCTCCAGGGCTGTATCTGATCCATTCATGATACCAACAACTACATCCGGTCGAGTACAGCTTTCTCCAACTGCAGCAACATTTACGCCGGTTGGGATAATAGATTCCGTGGCCAATGGTAGCATGACGCAGCCTACGACTCGTTGCCTCCCAGGTGCCGACTACTTGGCTATCAACTCCATAGCTGAATTGAATGGGAAAAGCTGCGGGCTTGGAAATCCGTTTATCCAGAGTTCACCGAGCTACGGGACTATTGGAAGTACTCAAGCGCTTAGAGCCATCTTCCCACCCAGTACAGTACTCGAGAAATTTGATTCTGAGCGGCGCGGTCGTGCTTTTGTTATCGAGAATGTTCCAACAAACCTTACTTATATGGCGCTAGCTGGGTTTTTTAACGTAAGGAGTCTGAAATGGCCCAGCACCAGACCTATTCTTGCTAACCTGGAGAAGCGACGTGAATTTGGTACCCTCAAGGGTCCTGTACTTACGGAACTTAGCTCCATGGGGAAGGTATACGTTTCGTTCACTGACAGTCGCGAAGCAAAGAAGGCGATTGAAAAGGTTCAGCTTCTTCGACCTGAATGGCGTGTTTTCCCTCTTACAGTCAAGGAATATGTGCAGCACACGGAGCCGTCTCTCTTGTCCCATGTTTCTGATTACGAAGGCCAATTGCTTGTGACGGTCTATTATGATTCTCGAAATCCAACCTTAAATCAGCACACGGTTGCCCGCTCGCTCGAGGCCCTCGTCACAACATTTGGTGACATGAAGGCATTCACTCCCTTACCTACCGGACAAGAGAATATTAGCGAGTTTCACCTTGAGTTCTTCAATACTCAGGATGCAGAAAATGTCATGTCTACCCTCAATGGAAGTTCGATCGAAGTAAGCTAACACATTCCCTGGTGTGTATCAAGGGGAACTAACGATATGCCAAAAGGAGTGCATTCTTGAGTTTTCATATTTCAAGCCGGATGTAGAAGATAAAACACGCCCCCCTCTTCCTAGCCCGTCCCCTACAAGGGAACGGTCACTTCGATATGAAACACCGTGTCTCATGAATGCCTCCTGGACATCAAGCCGTCCCAACCGCACCCCATTCATGGAGCTTAGCCCTACCGGTCGCTCTACAGTACCTCCTGGTGAGCATGCTGGCCTTATGGATTGGATGTCTAGGGCAGGTGAAAGAGTCTTGCCTTCTCCGCGTCGTGACATCAGCCGCTTTTCTGAGCTGCGTGTAAACAACCAGAATGCGGTAGACATCGAGCGGATTCGTCTTGGTCTAGATGTTCGAACTACGGTATGTACTAACCATGTAAGATATTGATGTTAAGCGTATAATCATAATGTCGTGGGTAGATTATGCTTCGCAATATTCCGAACAAGATCGATCAGGTAAGCTCAAAGCTCAAAAAGGCATTGCAATAGAGGCAATTCCGCAGACTTTAATATGGTCAGACTATGCTCAAGGCTATTGTCGATGAAACGAGTCATGGAAAATATGACTTTATGTACTTGCGTATAGGTAAGAGATCCTGGCTTGCTCAAGGTTTTATAGCAAAAGTTAACTCCATATTGAAGATTTTGCAAACAACTGCAAGTATGTCAGCACTCTAACTAAAACTAAACTATACTTTATGGCTTGTTATGCTTACAAAGGCCGCCCGCTATAGCGTCGGGTACGCCTTCATAAATTTTGAGGACGTAAGCTATCTGTGGTACTCCCCATGTATTCTCTACCATCCCTGACATTATGCTAGCCGATTGACATTATCGATGTCAGTAACAGGACATGCGAAGTTTCCAGTACCTTGTACATTTTACTAACTGTTTTGTAGTTCGTAAACGTGCGAGCTGGCCGTACCTGGCATGAACCTACTGTATCTAGTAGGATGATTGTGATTCTAATAAGTCTATAGGAATTGCTTCAACAGCGACAAAGTTGCTGAAGTGTCATATGCCAGTGAGTCATGCATTACCCACGGGTAGTAGGTCGTGGTCTGAGCTTTGAGCAGCAATCCAAGGCAAAGATTGTCTAGTGCAAAAATTTCGGAACAGCTCTGTCATGCTCGAACATCCGTCTTTTCGCCCAAAGGTTTGTGGAAGATTTTTTGGGGACATGCAAAGCAAAACTAATACTTGAGATCCAGATCTTCCATACTGGCTCTGGTCCTCTTGCTGGCACTGAGGATCGCTTTCCTGGCCCAGATAATCCATCGAAAATGCGCCGGAGTATTGAAAATGCCGAGCATGTCGGTCAGTAGGATGCATGAGGGTATCATGGATGCCATTAACCAGATGTTATGTTCTATAGGGCTGTTTGCTCCACGAGTCGGTCAGCAATATCGAGATGAGCAGCGTCGCCGTCGTTCACAATTCGATCGCGGAACGACTGCTGCAGAAAGAGAAATTGTATATGTCCGGACGCTCACCCCAAAACAGCCTTCTGCTATTGGCAGCGGTCTAAGAAGTGCCCCTTGTACTTACCCTGCCATGAAAATGTGGTATGATCCGACTATCGAGCGTGGTCCTAGGACTTCTTGACTTGATATACCCCGAAGAGGCCATCGGAAGTGTACATCGTAGTTTAATGGAGTAAAGAAGAAGAAACAAAACAAAAGAAAAGAAAACAGAGAAAAGAAAAGAAGAAAAGGAAAGAAGAAAAGGAAAGGAATAAAAAAGGATAGGAGAGGGTAGAACGAAAATAGGGAAAAAAGAAAAAAAAAAAAAGAAAAAGAAAAAGGGAAAAAGAAGCGGTTAAAAAGAAGAGAAAACAAGAAACAAGAAAGAAAGAGAAAAGAAGAGAGTATGTGTATGGAGAATCTGTTCGCATATGTCTGATTTGCGACCTGTTGCACACAAAAATGGGGTTGCTTTATTTGCTCTATTTCATTTTTTTTTCCTTGTCCGTCCTTGCACAATTACAATGTTCTGCTCTAAATGCAACATTTATCTGGAGAAACAACCGACATTTTTGACCCACAGGAGAAGACCATTCGATGCCCTGGCCGGCTTGGGTGGAGTGTCTCGGCTTGAGTCTGAATGTTGGTTTTATCTCCCTTTGGAAGACCTTCTCTGTGAGATTTAGGTGTCCTTCCTATGCTCCTAAATGTTACGTTTCCCGTTATATGCACCAAAGGAAATAATTAAACAGTGACCCTAAGATGGTGTGATCTGAGGCTAAATTAATATTTCATTGAGGTCTGCGCATCGGCTGTATGTATAATGTAGATCTGGGGTTGTGTAGGTTGTGTAGTAGTGGAAACCAAACCCTACTGGCTAGAGTTTAGCTTTGCCCCACAAACAATTTAACTTGGTTGAGGCTTAAAATTAATACGCGCAGGCTATAAAAAACTTTTTGTCTTCAACAACACACTGTTAGGTAGCTAGCTTATCTACGTATCTAAAGGAGGGCGCAAAAAGAAAAGAAAAGACAAAAAAAAAACAAGAGAGAGGGAGAGAGAAAGCCTATAACCCAAAGAACTATATATGTGCTTCAAAACTGAACACCTACCCATTTCTCGAAAAATCACACCCATCCACAAAGAACAAAGATCCCAAGAAAGGGTTACCCTGGCCGCTCCGCTCGGGTACGGAGCTACCTGCTGTCATCACAAGCAGCACAATTGAAATGGACACGGAGAAGATCTATGCTGTGCATTCTATGCTTCTATTAGTCTACCATCGCAATAAGAACCAACATGGGAAAACAAAGTGGTGGAGGTGGTTGTCAATATTGAAGCGTATAACTTGGAATCTCGCACTGTCTCTCGATCACAAACAACTGCATAGTGGAGCTGAGAATTCCCCTGATTTGTACAGGCGGTACCTGGCGACCCACGTTGTTCCAAGATGTTACCTGTAAGTTTAGAGAATGGACGTGTCAAACAAATATATGCAGCGATTGATGACAATTAGGGTTTTCTCGACAGTTGTGGCCGATGGGCAGTTTTCTACCCTTGGAACAGTGCTGTTAGGCACATTGGCTCGTCTTACAAATGCTATAGGTCTTGATAAAGAATTGAAATCTCCAGCTCAGACAGTAACCTTTAAAGCCACGCCTTCACACCCTACGATCGAGGGGTCCGAAGATTTTGGGGAGGTTCTGTCGCGAAATAAGAATCTGTCATGTCCCGATGAGATTTTGGAGGAAGCAAGTTCCAAGGCAGAAGAGAACTTCAAATCCGCTTCAACAAGGCCAGAGAGCAAGATAGATGAGGCCGTCACAACGCATAATAAAAAGAAGAAGAAGAAGAAGAAAGACGCCATTGATAGTCTTTTCGATGGTCTCTTGTAGTTTCTTACTCACTCTCGTCTCGTTTACCTAAGTGTTCATGTCATGTCTCCTATTCGTGGAAGCATTGTGTGGATATGGAAGTGTCAGGTATTCATCATTCCCTAGTAATCATAACGGAGAGCTTATCTTCCTTCAAGAAAGCGCTAACCGATCTCCCCTAGTATATTCACTACAAGGTGATTGATCATTGCCCATGCCATAATGTAAAGGTACTTAGGAGAAAAAACTGTCCAGATGAAAAGGTGTGTCCTTAACACTGTACACGCCGCCATGACGGACATTAACATGCTCGCCACATAAAAAGTCAAAATGGCTAGGTGAGCCTGTTTTTCTTTCCAATTCTGTGGGGAACGAAGTAGCCTACTAGCTGAGACCCACCATATCGGGGCAGCCCAGTTGCTGATGAACGTCAAGACACCAACAATCATAACACTGTAGGTGCCAATACCGTTGTATGCGTTCGAAAGGTCAACCGACGAGATGGCGTTTGAACCCCCGAATGCGTAAAACGTCATATATTGCATGAGCAGGGAGTTTATGCTTTGTTCCACGACTGATAAATGCATTGATGCAAGAAGGCTGACTTGTACTCTGAAGACTAAAAAAGCCGGTATATTCGTTACTCTCGATTGTGTCAGTAGAAAAAGAGTGAGGGTTTCGTGGAAGACACTGCTCGGTAAACCTTTTCTCTGTCAGAATTCGTTCAGGGGTTCGCGGATCCATACTTGCCTCTGTCCTTGTTAGTCGGTTTCCAATTCTTCCTGTAATAGATAGAAAAGATCATGAGGAGAGATATCCCACATAGGACTACCCTTGCGTGATAAACTAGGTATTTGGCATCAGCCACCGTAGATACGGGCCACAAGAAGGAGCCACCGAGAATTTCAGGTGAGTCAGATGCCACCAGTAAAAGCTTGAAGAAGAAAGCTGCTAGTGCCACAGCACAACCTGCAAGTTGCCACGGCACCGATGCCGGAAGGCCGGAGAGAATGTGTAAACACGTATCAGCATATGTCAAAATTACCAAGGTCCACAAAGCATGCTGGTGAGAAGAAAAGAAGGACCGGGCTATGTCCGGTTCAGCAGCGAATTTCTGACCTGTCTGATTCCATCGCCGCAGGACTCTATAAGATACAGCCAACACAGGTGCGCCAAACCTTGAAAACAAGGATACCAATAGCCAGTGGCCACCTACTGGGTTGGCTCCCTGGATTGGATTGCCATGAGAGTGGGTGGGATATCTGACATGCAGATAGAACACCCATCCCACCAATATCCAGTACCAAAACTGCTGCTCTTCTTCCACGTAGCTACTGGCGAACATCATGCCGCTATAACTTAGAATACTAAATACCAAGAAAACCCCAGCCAGCTTGCAATTCAATAGCAATCGTTTGACCGGCAATAGCGCAAGCAAAACGGCAAAACAGGCGATTGACAGCCCAATCCAGAGGTGTATAAGGCTATAGTTACTTGCAGCACTGCTCATTAGCCTCTGGGCTCTTCTCAAAAAGAGCTGAAGAGCAGACTCGATCTCCGGATAGGAGCCGTTGTCGTAATTAGCACCAGATCCACGGAGTAACTTTAGCACTTGGAACCAGGCGCACTGAACTTCCTCAATATCGGTCAATGATTTTGAGCTGCACAAGGTAGGAAACAAGCTGAATTCGAAGCTGGAGCTGGGAAACGATTCTTTAACCGTATTTAACAACTGCTTGGCATTTTCGAGTAGCATATGTATCCTGTGAGGTCCTGATGTCGAATTCAAAGCGAGATCTCAGTTTCGGACTTGCTTGCTCAGAATGGAAAAGATCCTTACCGTAATTCCACATTACAAGGAGCTCCGGAATAAAGACACCCAGGCTATTTAAGGGAATCGGTAAACCTAGGAGACCCGCTAAAGTGGGTGTGATATCTGTCTGTTCAACAGTACGGTAATATTGTAGGTCGCTAAATGCTTCCGCAGGACTATCATTTTGGAGTTCGCCTAGCTGGAACTTTGGTGATATAAAAAGCAGGGCTGGCGAGGTTTCGCCCACGGATGATCCGCCATGGTTTCCAGCATCGTTCATCCCATGATCACCACATAAAACAAAGAGGGTGGTTTCGAGATGTTTTTCTTGCTCCAGAGCTTGGTATACCTGGCTAACAACAGAGTCCATCTCGTGTTGCTTTGTTATCATATATGGGCTATATCCGTGTTAAGAGACCATTACAAATTTCCAGTAGTGGTTACAGAACCTTACCTCTTGGGACCAGCTTTGTGTCCTATATGGTCAAGTCCAAGAAAATGCATTATGAATGCTGACCAATCGTCCTGCAAGAGCTCGCTGGAAATGTGACGAGTCACATTATTGTCTACTTCTGTGAAATCCTGTATGACTCTGCTTAGTTCAGTCCATGACTATTTGCGTGATAGCGCCACTGAGAGTGCTACTAACCGACACAAAGAAACTCGTGGTTCCATCAGCCCTACCAAACATCCCGGGGAACAGCTTCAGCCAAGTGTCATCTCCATACATGACCAATTTGCCACCTTTTGCTTTCAATTGTGCCAACCAGGTATCTTGGTACATAAGAGTTGATGAAGTGTCGGACTCTGCAATATTTAGTATCACATCTAAAAATGACGGAACGGTCCCTGTTGTCATAGCTTTGAGTCGGGGCATTGTGACAGTCGGAGAACTAGCATAAGCAGTAAACGGAAGGGCGGCGCCTGTTCGAATCAAGCTATGAATTTCTTTTTAGTATAGTGAACCAAACGACGATCCTCTGCCTAACCTTTGGGTGAATAAAAACCCGGAGCTATTTGAATAGACAAAGTCACTAGCATGGGAGTCAGCCTGAAGTATCAGAACGCTCGTGAAGTCCAAACAATCGTACCTCCGCAGGGCATCAATGACCATGAAAATAACCCTGTCGAATATTTTTGGGGGTATATGACTGTTATTCGCATTTTTGTAATTCGCGAGCCCTGGGATCAAAGGCTTATAAGGAAAAAACCCGGATGAAAAGACGAGGATCGATAGGGGTATGAGGACATTAGCGAGTATCGTCCACATTGAGGTAACAGCCATCGTGGCTATTTCCCGGTGGAAAAGCGCCACAAGCTGTAGCAAATTCAGATAGAATATATAGGCCTATACCGTCCTCGAATTTGCATGACTGGATTTGCTACACTCTTCATGAAGTAGCATTGAGTAGATGGTAAAGGGGTATAGATCGGGAGCTATTGTATACAAACCAGGTACTAGAGATCACACATCTCACCGCCTTCTGTTTGGAGTTTTGAAGAAAGGTGTATCTATGTGCACGGGTACTGTATTCGTTGCATTAGAGGCCCAGCAAACGAATGCTATGAACCAAGGGTGGCATTTACCCTACACTACCCCTCTTGACTAGATACGAAACAATTGAAGCTATGTACAGAATCATAGCCAGAACGACTTAAACCTCGCCTGTCATCTTGTTCGTTAATAAGATGTTTCATCAGCCGGTTCTTTCGCTGCTTTTGGTATCATAAGATTTTTAAAAGGGGGTTTTGTTAACAGAAACAAATGAGAGGATGTCGTAGATGAACCCCAAACGCCATTCTACCCAAGTGTCCAAAGCATTTCATAAAGCAAATGATAAGTAACACAACACCTTCACCTCTTCTTTGAACCTTTCTTGTTTTTAGACTGCTGTGGACGAAACACGATGGACGAGCGGTTCTTTCTGTTGCTATGGCGTTTATGGATACGTCCTGCTTTATGAGACCGGCTCTGGGTAGATTTCATGGAACCATTATCGATCTCCATATCTAGAGATGGTGAGCAACAAGTTAAAAAAGTGTCGGCGAGAAAGACCTATACGCGACTGACCTTCACTTGCTTGTGATATCTTGGTCTCTGCGTTTTCTTCTGGGTTCTCTATATGTTGCAAATTTTGTGTAAGTTCCTCTGAACTAAAAGAGTTCTTTTTTCTTTCTTTTTTTCAATAAGATGTAAGATAGGACGACGTACCTTGAGTGTCCAGTGCCATATCAGATTTTCCCTGGTCCTCCGGTTTTGGCTGAGAGGCAAGCTCCTGCAGCTTCGCAGAGAGCCTTTCGGTTCGTGCGTCAACAACGGGCCCAAAGACTGTGGCTCGAAGTTTCGCTTTGTTGCGCTTTTGGACACTCGCGCGAACACTTTTTGCCATCTTGACAACAATAGGGAGGAAGGGAATGAAAAGAAAGTATAAGAAAAGAGAGGGAGTGCCAGATCAAGAAAATGAAACTGGTAAAATTGATCACGGGAAATAAAAATGGGTTGGTGTTATGTGCGTGCTTTAATCTGAACCTCACTCTGCTTTACTTTTTTTTTCTCCTCTTGCCGCCCTAAATCTTACATACTCAGTATTTTGTATGTAATTTACTAGACGGATAAATATCTTATGTCATCATTATATCGGAGGCTGTTTTCTCACCTCCGCAATCATCGGCCAGTCGCAAAGCAATCCCGACCGGAATGTGTACCAACACCCTAAGCTCTATCTAGACTTTTCACCAAAGCAACTCTCCTAGTAGTATTCTCAAAGAGAGACCGACTCTTGGAGTCCTGCCATTTCTTGTCTCTCTTTTTTTTTTTTTTTTTCGCTTTTTCCACATCAAGGAAAGAGAAGGATTGAGATGTCTTTTACCAGAGACGCCAGACATTGCGCGCCTGTTTTGAAATACGCCTCTTGAAATTCTACTTCTCTTTTGAATGCTAAAAACCGCCGATCCGCTCTCACTCTGTTTACAACTATGGCCTCTGTTGGTCAATCGTCGGAGCTTCAAAGCGTAATTGCTTTGGTAAAAACAATGACAAATGCGCAACTCAAGGATATCCTGAGAAGTGAGGGGCTTGCTGTCTCTGGAGTGAAAGCTTCACTCCAGATTCGAATCATTAACTGTCGGTGACCTGGCCTAATTGTTCTGTGTTGTCACCCAGCTCCTCTCGCTTCAATTCATACTCAGTCAGAGTTCACACAGGGTTGACCAGAGAGACAGAAGGCTAACGTTTTCTTGGATATGTTAGTCATTGAAAGACTCAACCAAGGAGGAGATCTTGAACGTTACGATCATCTTAGGAGAGTCGTGTATGCCACAGCGCATCGATCAATCCCGCAGTCATTATCAAGTCACCAGTATCGGTCTCCTTCAGCTAATCACTCTATGCCGACACAACACCAACCAATGCCATTGAGTGCGCCGATGACGTCGCATGGACTCACTTCTGGTATCCTCCCGATGCCAATTTCCATGCCTTTTAATTCTGGGTCCAATTCTCATTTGTTTCTAGGCCGGTTAATTTTCAAAGAGAGTCCTTTCTATACTGTTCTCCAGCAGCTTACTTCTACTGTGGAATGCAAAGGTGAGTTTCTTTTTTTTTGCTTCTTCTTCATCTTTTTTCTTTTTCTCTTGGAATTTTACTGCTTGATTTGCCATGTCCTTCCCCATCTAATATGGCGAAGTACGCGAACAGACTAGAGACAGTGTTGAGCTTAGAGTGGTCCTCAACCAAGACGTGACTTCTAGGTTACAGGCTGATCCGAACCTTCGGGTGATGGTATACTGTGCTGCAGATACTGGACTCAACCAGTATACAAAATCGGATATTGCTTTCCCTCATCAGGTTGAGCTGAAAGCAAACCTTGATGAGGTGAAGGCCAATTTGCGAGGACTCAAAAACAAGCCAGGTACAACGAGACCAGCTGACGTCACGGAGTATATTCGCAAAAAGCCTGGCTATCCAAACCATATTGTGATGACATATGCTTTGACAACAAAGGCAAGCACTGAGCCCTGCTTGACTTATCTGTCCTGTGTTCTTTTGCCTTTCTAACTTACCTTTCGATTGAACTCTCATACATCTATCGCTGACTTGCAACTAGAAATTCCTTGTTCTTGTTAATCTCGTTCAACGGCATCCGGTTGAGGAGCTTGTAGCTGAGCTGAAACTGAGGAAGATAATCTCGAAGGAACAAGTTCTTCGGGAGAGTATGTTTATTCCCTCACAAGCTTGTCATAAGATTGCAACTAAATGTCAACAGTGAAAAGCAGAGCAGACGACACTGACATCGTTGCGACATCTAGCGTCATGTCATTGAAGTGTCCCTTGTCCACGCTTCGAATCACGGTCCCCTGCCGTTCCTTATTATGCACGCATAATCAATGCTTTGATGCATATTCTTTCTTACAATTACAAGAACAGGCGCCGACGTGGTCGTGCCCCGTTTGTTCTAAAGCGACCAGCTTTGAATCATTGCAAATCGATCAGTAAGTTAAACGTCTTGTCATTAGTGGTGGTTCTTTTACTGATAATGCAGGTACGTCGACGATATACTTCACTCAACATCTCCAGATATTGAACAGGTTGTTGTGGAGCCTGATGGTAGATGGTCAAATCCAAAGGCCGACAGTACCTCCGAAGCTGGCGGCGTTACCCCCGAGTCAGACGATGACGATCTGATAGAGATCAAAGAACTTGGAAACACACCCATTAAACAGGAGTCCCTTCCAGCCACAAGTTTGTCACTACAACGGACCCCGATTCAATCGCGTGAGCCTTCATCGACGTCATCTGCAGCTCGTTTGTCAACAAATAAACGCCCTGCGTCCCAGGTGATTGACCTTACAGGAAGTGATGACGATAATGATGATGATTCCCCTGTGCGACCACCAAAGCGGCCAGCCTTGAACTTATTAAATCGGTCCATATCTCGACAAGGATTTCACAACTCGTATAACAATCATCTGGTAAATGGGAGGACTGCTCCCCTTGTGAGTCAGACTAGCTCCGAGTCTCCAAGTCAATCCGGCGGCTATGGTGCATAGATTTATTTTATTTGTTAATTCAAGCATATAATGGTGTCGTGGCGCATTCGGTTTATGGTGTTTCATAACATTGTATGCGTCCATTGGGTTTCGTGGGACTCGGGGGCCGCAAAACCTATTTCGAATATGGCATATATTGTATTGCCATTCTTATCATCTGCTCCCCTTAACCATCTTATAGCAAAGCCTCGTGTAAGGTCCTTTCTGGAAAGCACAGGTTCTAAAGAGTAGCAAAACAAAGCAAGAGACAAATTTAATATATTTAATTATGCGTAGCCCTATACACGTATGTATGTACCTTTCAGTTTCTGAAAGCTTAGTGGTACTGCTTGAGATGGGTGGACAAAAAGAGGGCATCGAATGAATATTCTCAGTGAATTACATTGTTTATGACATTACGATTGAGGCTAAAGCGGAGAACGGAGATCAGTCGCGGCCACGGCCAACTGTAAACCTTTCCAACACCCGTTTACTCTCAAACATTGGCCGATTCAAAACGACAAATTTCCAGCGGTTTTTTCTTCTTCCTTTGTCCTCGAAAGAAAGAAAAGAGATATGGGACACGTTTTCTGATCACCAAAGATATTCGTCGTTACTGCACAGATACAGGCCTATCTCAAACAGGCCATCTTTGCCTTGATAAGGACCAACAACAAAACGAGATTAGATCGTGATGTCAATCGAGGCACCAGTTTCAGTTTCCGGTGTTTCCGAATCACAAGGACGGGTTCTAAGCGCCTCGTGTCTTGATTTTCTCCTAGTAGAGCTGGTACCCATGGCAGAACGTCTAGCGAAGGAACTTTCGACCGAGGACACAAACCCCGATGATGAAGAGGTTAGAGAAGCGACGTTTTTCCGCCTCGAATCCCTTGGTTATCGGGTTGGGCAAGGCCTTGCAGAGCGGTAAGTTGCGGCGCTAGATCGCAACGATGGTGTTCGGTTCAATTTCGTCTTAAGTCTTAAGCTAACTCAAAGCCATTTAATTATGTGTTACACGCAGATTCTCTCGGGACCGCCCTAGATTCACGGATAACCTTGATGTTATTAAGTTCCTATGCAAAGATCTATGGACCATACTTTTTAAGAAGCAGGTCGATAACCTAAAGACCAATCATCGGGTATGCACAGCCGAGCGACCATTCAAACATGTTTTTGCAGCACATAAACCCCTTCTTGGAGAGATGACGTGGTCGATTGACAATTTTCTATAGGGCGTATATGTTCTGACCGATAATTCTTTTCGACCATTTGCAAGGATGAGCATGTCTGTGAGAAGCGAGGCTGTGTCTATGGCTCAAGCGGTATGGGACTGCCAATCCACCTGACCGCTTATTCTACCAGTACTTGTCGATGTCTAATTAAGCTCCAGTACCTATGGTTTCCGTGTGGTGTCATTCGCGGCGCTCTATCAAACCTGGGGATTAATACTACTGTTCAGGCGGAGACGGGTGAGCTTCCGGGGGCAACATTTCAGATCAAGACAGTTCAACCCAAATCATAAGTTGAATGTGAACGGTTGACCTGTATGTATCCGAAATGCCTGTCTATATGGGTAGGGCAGACAACCCTACAGCCATGCTGCAGAATTGTAAGGAAGCTCTAGTCCAGCACGAGTTGAACTAGGCAACAGCGTCAACTCATGCTCTAAAATGCGGTCACAGCTCTTTCTTCCCGCGCCTACGGTGCACAGAGACGAACGTCTGCAGATACGAGGATAACAATCTATTTCTTCAAGTCCGTACTATCTTCTCCCACAATCCTACACGGCATGACACGACGCCACGCTCATCCATTCGTCTTCATAATCGTCTCATGCTTCAAAGCCTATCTTTCCCGGATCTCAACGATTAGCGGGTTTCTTCATATTCGTGGGTGCAGACTGAGTCACTGAAAGAAACTCTTTCAGTGGAGGTAATAATGCGACATAGAAGGCAAATCACCGACTGGTGGATGGGGTCCTGTGATTGATTGACGGGGGCGGGCGCGTTTACTTTGGTGGTGGGTTCTTGGCGAAGTCGATGCCCTTCTCGATATTACCCTTGAGGCCCTTTGTGCATGCATCGAGAAGCTTCTTCTCTTTTTCGGTCACACCCTTGAGGACGTTGCTAGCCTTCTCTGCGCCGTTGGTCTGATTGGTAATGTTAGCGTACCGTGATATGAAATAACCTGTGAGGAAATATATCTTACCCCAAGGGTTACAAGAGTAGAAAAGAAGTCTACGCCAGTTGCCTCGGCGATTTCATCACCGCCAGGGATTCCGGGAAGGTAGACGAAGGTAGGTTCAACAATACCCGTCTGGCCCTTCGAGGCCTTGATGACGCTCTCGGCAAACCTGAGGCATGTTAGCTGCGGGTATTCTCGTGTGAGGCTAATACACCTACCTGTAGCCAGCATAGGCCATAGATAAGGTGGCGGAACCAGCGCCATCCTTAGCCTGAACCACCTCATCTCCACCAAATTGGACGCCTGGGTTATGTTAGCGGCGACTACCGGGTACTCGCTCAATTTGGAATTTTTGAGGGGCCACCCACGATGGACTAATGCGTCATACTTGTCTCCAGGGATGTGGATTGCGGGGGTAGCTTTGCTGAAAAGGGGGACGATGGTCTCGCCAGAGTGGCCGCCCACAACCGGAATCTGGACAGCGGAAGGATCCTTCTGGCCCGAAAACTCCTGTGTGAAGGTCTCTGCACGGACGACATCCAGAGTGGTGACACCAAAGAGGCGCTTGGGGTCAAAGACGCCAGCAGCTTTGAGCACCTCTGCGGCGATGGGTACAGTGGAATTAACAGGGTTTGAGATGATCAGAACAAAGGCCTTGGGGCAGAACTCGGCAATACCCTTGGCCAGGTCTCGCACGATACCAGCGTTGATCTTGAAGAGGTCGTCACGAGTCATACCAGGCTTACCTATTGGCTATAAGATGATCCAGCCCACAGCGGGCATGTGTTAGGGGGAGGATAGACTTACGGGGAATACCGGCCGGAATGACGACGATGTTAGCACCGGTAAGAGCCTGCTTCAACCCATCATCCTTGGGCAGAAAGCCGGAGATTTTCTAATCGCCGGGTAAGTAAGAGGCCACATCCAGCCGCTTTCATAGGGCATTTCGGATCATAACATACAGCGACAGAAGAGATGTGGGACAAATCAGCGGCAACACCAGGGGTGTTGACAACATCGTACAGAGCAAGCTCTTCAATCAGGGGGCAAGTCTTCAACAGAAGAGACAGTGGCTTGAAGTTGATAAGGGCGGATAGTCAGTATCAAACAGGGACACGTTGAGGGCAGGGGCGATACCTGGCCAATGCCACCAGAAGCTCCAAGCACCGCTAGCACTTCTGGTCAGTATACTTGAAATAACAGTTGCCGCTGCCGAGGTCTCGCATGCTCACCAGCTTTGACCATGATGAGATGATGTTTCAATCAAACAATTGAGCTTCTGTTATGAGTGGAGATAGATAGTTGTTGGTTGGTATAGCAAGTGACGGAGGGAAGGAAGAAGACAGAAATGTGGGGAGGGAGGGGTGAAGAAGACAGGAGAGGGAAGGAGGGGTAAATAAATAAGTAATTGCGGGAACTAACAGAAAAGGAGAGGGGTACGGAAGGCAGTCAGACTACTACGCCCGTCCAAAAAAAAAAAAAAAAAAAAAAAAAAAAACCCTTACTTTTAATACAGAAACAATACTTGATCAGTGTTTGTTTGAGGGGGGAGAGGTAGATAAAGGGCAGAGAGAGAGAGAGAGAGAGAGAGTGTGTGTGTGTGTGTGTGTGTGAGTGTGAGTGAGTGAGGTGTCTGTAGATACATGTATAATGTCATATTCATATGTATATAGTATAATTCATATGTAGATAATATATTCCATATGTAATGTATGTCACAAACCCGGGGGAGAGGATCAATCACATGTGGAGTTCCGCTCCTCCCCAAAGGTCAAAAGCCGATGAGTGAGGGAGTATAACGAATAGTACTAATAATACTATTAATACCTGCAATACCAATAATGTATAATCACTTACCTAATGCCATTTCTACACCATGTTCCGAATTTCCTATCTATATACATATATTTTCCTCTAGCATATACTGTCATATTTCCAAGGTACCCCAAAGGGTACATACATACTTACATCCAATACAACACTGGCATGTCCAGTAAGATAAACTCCAGATGTTAAGGGATAAATCAATTAGGTTCGGGGGCACTTGGAAGTTAGGACTTGTTCCACGGTTCTTCTTCCAAGTGATCCGGATTCCGGGAATGCCCCTCTATCCCTACAATACTAAAACGGCTCATGGACTGTTGTGATTTCGGAAAAAGGCGGGTGGTCTGGTTTTATCTACGGTTATAGTATAATAGCCTCGTGCGTATCTTCCCAACTTTACGTTCCCTGTCGGCCCGAGCGGCTTTCAAGCACGTGCTAAGCCTTGTGTATTACCGACATGGGGGAAAATTACTGAATGCTTACAATCTAGAGGCTGATAGGTTCAACAGACGCCTCGGAGGTATTCATATCTTATGATTCCTCTTTCAATCTTTCTCTTTCTTTCTTTCTTTTTTTTTTGGGTTTTTCTTCTTGAATTTCTTTTGTTTGAATAGCCTGATGGACATTGCCCCGGTAGCAGTATGGCTAAATTACATGGACGCTTCCGCCCTTGACCAGCATGGCGCCATTATGCTTGATGCGCCCAGCCCTTGCGATCTCCCGTCTCTGAGTCCTGTCCCTTATGCCGACTCCTGCTCAGCAGCCTTCCGGGCCTGAGCACCTCTAAGCTTCTGGGGAGGAGTATCCTTCTTGGGCTTCTGCGAACGGCGGATGGCGCTCACACGGGCAACAGCGTCCTCGCGAAGATCAGCACGGTAGCCATTCTTCGCGGTTTTGTCTGCAACACCCTTGTAGATCCTAGCCAAAATAGTAACCATCCAGTCAGCAAAGCACAACGTGGGGTAGGGACGTATATTCCATTGAAAGGGAGGTGGTTGTTTTCGGCTTACTTGCGAGTGGAGGCCTTAGGGCCAAAGCTCACGCGAACGATGTTCTTTGTGGGCTGCTGGACATTGCCAGTCTTCTTGGTAATGACAGTAACGCCACCGTTCTCGGTGGGCTGCACACCAATAGCCTGTTATCGTGAGTTAAAAAGAGATCCGAGTCTACAGTCAAGTCATCGGTGGACATGGAACGGAAATACCTTGGTGTTGGCGTAACCAGCGTACTAGATTCAGGCAGAATTAATCGTTAGCTGCTAGAGCAAAGGAAATATGAAAAAAAATAAAAATAAAAAAATAAAAAATATATATGGTGACCGTAGAGCTTTAGGGACTCTCGTACCTTGAAAGAGTGCTTATTCTGCAAGTTCAAAGGATCACGGGAGAACTGGGAACCACCACCGCTATTACGCTTGACCAGAAAAGCATTCTGGTTGCCTGTTCAAGATACTTAGGATTAGCCGGACTTCCAGGGGTATCAAATTGCTTGAATCGGTGGGATTAATTGAAATTGGGAGTAGGAATGAGTGTGACGTGGAAGAGTTAAACGTACGGGTGAGTTGCCAGACGAGGTCGCTGGATACGTTCTGTCTTTCGGCGGCCATTGTGAATAAAGCTCAAGCTGGTGGATTGAGGACAGAACGAAATCAATCGTCGCAAAGGCTGGTATACTGAACGATGGATTGTGTGTGCCAGCGCCAAGAATGGAAGTCCGCCGCCTCGCTAAGCGGGCCGCTTTAGGAATAGCGTGGCGGAGGAGGGTTGCTGCCTCAGATCAAAGGCAGCAGGGGGTTGTATTCAGCCACGGAACGCACGGGCCCATTTGCCTCTTCCGCGGCTTTCCCAGTCTCCTACTACTTAGGCAAGGCTACATCACGGTAATGAACCTCATCTATCTAGATGCATCATATACTGCTGACTGTGGCAGCCTCCTGCCGGTTACGAATCTCTCGCTTTTAAATCTCACCCTTGACCACTAGAACTTCTTAACCATCCCGCCATCGATATCCGATTTTGGGGGATCGATCTCAAACCATTGCCCATCGCTTGAACGGCCGTGATCACCATGGCATACTATCTTATATATTTCCTCACAATCACAGTTGTGGTCTGTGGCACAGGCATGTTACATCCAGGAGAATCCAAAAAAAAAGAAGAAAAAGAAAGAGAAAAAAGAAATGAAAAAAATACTCGCAACCTTGGTATCATGCTGACGACTTCACAGTGCTCTATCTTACCCGAGCCCGATGGTTACATCTAATCCCAGTTCCCGATTACATTTATGATCGCCTACCTTCCAGCTTCGCCGAGGACATAGAAGCGGGGCTGACATCAACGCAGTTTGATCTTTCTGCAAACATCGCAGATGGCGACGCTAGGGCAGGGCTGGATAACCAAGCCAAACGACAAGTGAGGAACATTATGAGACGCGAAAGGGTAGACTTTGATGAGGCCCGTCGGATTTATACTGAGCAGCGCTTTGCTAAGAACAACATTGGTCCCGATGGCCGGCCCAGGGACCCGAAATTTGTTTCATTTTCATGAACACCGTTTGCTACTGCGCGGCGCCTCTATTGCTTTCACACACTCATTATACAGTACTACTTTCTTTCATCTAATCCCCCTCTCCAATTCTCTCTCTCTCTTATTTTTATTTTTATTTTTACTTGGAATAAGGGCCTTTCTTATGTAGCTTTGTGATATGGGACGAACTCTCTTTTGCTTTCCTCTCCACTCTTCACCCAGCCCTCAATGTCAGCGATGCTGGACTTAAATATTTGCTATAGATTCAAGAAATTGATCCCCGTAATTGTATATTTGTTTTTCTCGCTTGAAATTTAGCTTAGAATATTCTTGTCTTAAATTCATAATGGCTTCAGAATCTGAGCTTCAATCGGTCTGCTCAAAAGTAATACGCTAACCAGGTATTCCATGCAATGTCTGCACCTTATCATAGGAAAATCATGAACACGAGAAGTAAAGGTAAAAGCCATGGGTCCAATTATACATAAGTTGTCGAGTCTAGCAACGAGATCGGGACTGTCGAGGGGCCGGTATGTCTTCAAGTGGTCAATATGTTTTGCCGACTCTCCAAGGGTAATCGTAACATTAAGGGCCTATTCTTTGGGGGGAATCATCACATTATATCCAGGCAGCCCTTCTGAAAATTCAGTCCTGCTTGGGTGGGGATTTTGTCCTTCGAAGTAATGTATTCGGGCCGGATGCTCAGCGCCCCCGGCCATAACCTGGCTGCTGAAACCCTGGGGGCAATGGGGGCGGAGGGCCAGCATTTCCAGTGGGAGGGCCAAACCCGGGGGAAGCGAAGCCTGGCGGCGGCGCTGCTTGTGGAGGAAAAGATGGTTGTTGAGTGGTATTGTTGAAGCCTGGAGGTAAGAAAGCCTGCGGTGGGCCTCCATAACCGGCCTGCGAAGGAGGAGGCCGTGCTGGTAGGCCTGCAGGAGGATTTGCTAAAGGTGTCGGAGGGGGAACAGATCTGTGTTGCTGCGGGGGGGGCACGTTTGGAAAGCCAATATTCGGAGGCACAACGCCTCTACCCATTCCCAGATCTGGCGGACCAGTACTGATCGGCCTGGAACTGTCACCGTTGGCCATAGCCGGAGGCACCATAGGGGTTCCAGGACCTGAAAACGGTGATGGTAGCGGCTGAGTCGGCGGGCGTACGTTATGCTTGCGGGCTTGCGCAGCTAGCATACGTTCAGCTTGATCGCCATGACGTTCACCCTTGCCATCTTTTTTATAGGCGTATTGTACCGAGACTTGTTTATTCATGAGGTACTGGCCATTCATGTTCGCTATGGCCGCATCTGAAGACTCAAAATCACCAAAAGACACAAATCCATAGCCCTTGGATAGATTATTGTCATCTCTTGCAATCTGCGACAGGTTAGCCTATATCTCAAAGAAAGGGATATGGTCGGTGTCACCTTCGGTAGGTTAACCAAGTTTCCAAACCGGCTAAATGTATCATAGAGAACCTGCTCCGTGACCATGGGGTCAAGGTTCCCCACAAAGAGTTCTGCGCCAATTTCCACTGACTTCTGCTTGTCAGCAGACGCTTTGTTCACGCGTATTGGCTTTCCGTATAAGCGAATGCCGTTCATTATTCGCGACGCATATTCCGCGTCCTCCTCACTAATAAACTCTACGAACCCATAGCCTTGATGGGACTGCGTGACTCGATCTTTCGGCAGATGAACGTTGACGATGCGGCCTGCCTGCAGCATCAGCTCCCATACCAGGCTATCCGTGACGCGTTCATCGAGATTGCCAATGTAGACAGTGGCCTCTTTATCCTGCTCCCTATAGTAATTATTAACATTACTAGAGACCTGCGACCCGACTCCTAGGTTAGGAAAAGTAGCCACTCACCAATGCCTTGCGCCGGACATAGCGGCGCCGACTTACGTCGTAGCGGTGATCGATTAATACACGACTGTCTGAGCAGCAACTGCAACCCCAAGCAAAACGCAAGACTGGAGATAGAATGTAGGTATGCAGATGATCGAATTTCGATTGTGGTAGGTTAAAATGCGCCGAAATTGAAGATTGGCTAAGGCGAGTGTAGGGTGAACCCAATGCTACTGGAAGTTGTTGCGTTTATTTAATCGGCGGCAGCTTTTTTTTAGCCGGAAACTTTGAGCTTTGCGGCGCGTTCTTTCCTCTCCGCCTTTACGTCTGTCTACCTGGACAACCAACCGTCTGGTCCTGATTTTCTTGAACACCTCACCCCAACCTTCGTTTTGAGTACACTGCATACGGCACCCCCTTTTTCCCTTTTAGTGAAGTCCTTTGTTATTATCAAGATGGTTCAATTTTCAGAAGAGACTAAGGTTAGACATGACCTGATATCAACACGGCTCACCGCAGAGATCACTAACCGTTCTCTAGGAGCGCATCTCCAAGGTTATCGATATCTCAAGGGTCGCCATTCATTAGTGAGTTTTTCACCATACTGTAAAACTCGGGCGATAAACTGACCGATCGTGTGCAGCGGGTATTTGCCCTTGATTGTTTATCTCGGTATGGGGACCTGAACTATCCTTCCGTGGATTATTCTGAGCACAATACGTACTAACAGAACGGATAGGCTACACCTATAGCGAACCAAAACCATCTTTATTCAAGTATTTTCAATTACTTTCTACGTTGAAAACCAGAGCTGATGTCATGGATAGGTTATTCTCGCCGCTCGCATAAAGTGAAAGAAATCTAAGGGTTTGCCGATGATAAATACTAGTCTCTGGGCTAGGAGGTACCTTTCCCTCCTTTCATACTATGGTGATTTTAGTTGATGTATGAATGGTGGCTGTGTCACGTTCGTCGATGGTTGGGAGATTAACACCTGTGTATTTTTAAGCAATTTCTTTGTTTCTATCAATTTATCCCCCGGATGATGAAATTGTACGCGCGCAATTTGCGGGTTCCTTATAAGTTAGTTGAATAAGCAAGAACGGGATCTAAAATGAAAAAGAAAATAAAAGAAAAAATTAAAAAGCCTAACATTTGAATAGACGGTAGAAATCACGCTCTAACGGTTTTCCATATCCCGAGTAATTCGCAGCCAATTCCACCTTTGCCATCTAAACACTATTATCTGTAAGTCGACTACTTTTTATGAGAGCTTCCACCGCCAACCGAAAATCGCACGAAAAAAGTCGATGACGGAACCAACGTTCCGTCACTCTACACAGTCCCCCTTTCCTAAACAATACGACCACAGCCCAGAGGGAAGTCATAAAGGGTTCATGACCGATAAGGATGGCTTTTCGTCATCCTTTATGGAGACCGTAGCAGGATTCACGGCAGGGATTGTTTCTACACTATGTCTGCATCCCTTAGATTTGATCAAAACCCGATTACAAGGTAAGTCAGTCTTTGTGGTGGTATACGCTTATGATCCTCTGGTAGTTTGCTCTCGATTCAATTACTCCTCCGGACGAATAATTCTGTGCGACAGCGGCTAACTTTTTCCTGTCACTCAATGATCTCCAGTTGACCGATCCTCATCCTCTCGAGTGGGTGGTTCGCTTCGTGTCGTCCGCAGCATATTTCAGGATGAAGGCGGCATCACGGCATTCTACCGGGGTCTGACGCCCAATATCATTGGCAACTCCACCAGCTGGGCGCTTTATTTCCTGTGTTACGGTAATATCAAGACTGCGATGCGGACTTGGCGCAGCTCTCGGGAGGGAGAGCTCGCATCCTCCGATTATTTTCTTGCCTCAGGGGCCGCAGGTATTGTTCTGACCAATTGTTTTGCTTCGCAGCTCTGGATATAGCGGTGACTAACTTGGATTGATTCTTCGTATCAGGTATGCTGACGTCTATATTGACAAACCCTATCTGGGTCATTAAGACACGGATGTTATCAACTAGCTCTAGTACACCTGGAGCGTATGCGTCATTCACTACTGGTGCATCGCAAATATATCACTCAGAGGGTATTTCAGGTTTCTATCGAGGTCTTCTTCCAGCTCTTTTTGGGGTTAGCCACGGTGCGCTTCAGTTCATGGCTTACGAAAATTTGAAATTGCATCGGATCAAGATGACCTCCGCATTGGCTTCTGAAGATGGTCAAGTGGGATCAGGGCAGGTGCGGCGACGAGGACTCGGCAACCTGGATTTCTTTATCATCTCTAGTCTCTCGAAGATATTCGCCGGGTGTGTCACATATCCATACCAAGTATTGCGGTCCCGATTGCAAACTTATGATGCTCATCTTATGTATCGGGGTATTCAAGATGCGATTGTGCAGATCTGGGTCAAGGAGGGCGTGGCCGGTTTCTACAAGGGTCTGGGGCCAAATATATTGCGTGTGTTGCCAAGTACATGGGTCACCTTTTTGGTGTATGAGAATACTCGAGCATATTTACCCGATCTGATTTCACGCGCCTAGAGCGCTTTTTGTCTTCACAAAATAATTTAACCTGTATTCATGAGACTCGGCCCTATAAAAGATCCTAGATCTGTCCGCTCGTTTCAAGCCAATGCATGTAGTGTCAACTATACTGTTGGCCTGCACTTTCAGGTCGATACATGCCAAGTGCTCGTGCATATGCTACTCCTCCTTATCGTGACACATGTGATACTTCTCACTTGCCAAGGGTGTGTATGGAGTATACAACGAGAAATGCCCACAAAACGTGCTTTCCTATACCAAAAATCATATAACAAAGTAGGGGTCCTCAAAATGCTTTCTGCGTAGACACAGCAGCCCTTTCCCGCCGCAGAGTTTTGATAGAGATTCAACATGAACAAACCTGGTATCGTAGAACATTAAAGTACATTGCAACACACGCAAGTAGGGAAAAACAAGCGAGAAACTTAGTCTGTCGAGGTAGAGAAGAGGAGAGTCCAGTTCGGCTCAATGATTTTGTCTATCAATATAGTAGGCATCCGTGTCCTCCTCGTCACTACTTGAACCTCCGGTGTAGGCCGATGATTCCTCGTAACTAGACCGTCGCATCTTGTCTTCGTTGTTGGCTAGGGCTTGGTGTCGTCTCCCGGGACCTGACTTGGATGTAGGCGAGATTCTACGATCCTTTCCACGGCCCTTGATGCCTTTGTTACTGTTCTTGTAAAGGGTAGCGAAATACTCCCACAGCTTTCGATCTTGAGGATTCATGGGTTCCCCTATGGCGCCTTGGGAGAACTTCAAGGTCAAATCCCGTAACGTCGTTGCGTGGAATTTATTCTGGTGAGACTGCTCAACCCGTTAGAGACAAGGCTGCTGATATGTGTGAGTGCTAGACTTCATGGATACTGTACCTTGAGGTTACCTAGTTGAGTAAATTGCTTTCCACAGTCGTCTAGGAGGCAGGTAAATGGCTTGGCATGTTGGTGTGTGATTTTATGAGCACGGACATTGCCCCGTTGGGCAAACCTCTTCTGACATATATCGCAAGAGAAAGGTTTCTCGCCAGTATGACGTCGCTGATGGGTCTATTCGTGAAAAGTATTGTCAGTATGGTAATTCCCTCTGATATAGTCAGACAGATATGTTACTCATAGGAGCTCACCTTCAGGTTACCTAGCTGAGAGAAGCGTTGTCCGCATGAAGGTTCTTTACAAATCTATCATGGAATGGGGTCAGTCATTAGCTCTGCTATATCCCTCGGTGGGCTTCATCTTCATTCTCCTCCCCTTACTTACAAAAGGCTTATCTCCGGTGTGGGCCCTCGTATGGATATCCAGATGAGTCTTCTGAGCAAAGCTCTTTCCACAGTGTGGAAGAGTACAGACATATTTGCGCTTCTTCCCTGATCGAGATTGCGGTTCTTCAACCAACACAGTGCATCGATTATTGCTAGATGTGTGAATGGCATAGGTTTGGGGGTATCCATGGTTTCCCCCGTGAGTTAATTGCTGCAGAGGCGGCAATGACTGTAGATTCGATGGCTGAGCAGTAACTCTAGACTGAATTGCTTTCATCAGAATATCAACCTCTGTTGTGAACTCGACCTCGTTGACGCAAGGGCTCTTGCTCTGGGTAGCTGCTCCGTGGGTCGAAGTCTGTGATATGGAAATCGGCAGCGTATTCGAGCTGGGGTCTGTTTTGATCAATGGATCTCTAGAAACACGATTGACCGCATTTTTGGCAGGACGGATATCGGGGATTGACTGTATAGGTGGAGGCTCTGATGATAGACGCATCGGTTGGGAGCTGAGCGGTTGATGACTGGCCACGAAGAACTGTGGATAACTGGGTTGATGGTGGTTATGATGGTTATTATGGTGGTGGTTGAGAGCATGGCCATAACCATAAGCAGTAGAGGGAGACTGGTGATAAGGCAGTGAGAATGAAGCTGCTGTGTTTGCGTAGAAGGGAAAATTATGGCCAAGACTAGAGGCCATCATTCGACGCGGCGCAACAGCACTGACTGTATGACCGGAGAATTCATAAGAAACCGGCTCGGCAGTTTCCATTTTGTAAGATGAGGGGAAAGAAGAATATACCCCAGTAGCTCTGGCCTGGGATTGCTTCTCTCTTGTTGCCAGCCTATTCCACGCTCTGTCACTATGGTTCTCACTTCACAGAAGATAACAAAATGGGAAGCCTTAGTGATGAACTTGCTCCTCTCAAAACTAGGGAGGTTAAGAATGAAACAAAATAAAGAAGAACAGAAAAAAAGAAAAAGAGCTTAGTAGTGAACAGTGATCAAAGGCTGACAATGGCTTCAGCATCAAGATCTGCGAATGCTAGGAGAAATAAGCAAAAAAAAAACTGGGAACAAGTAAAAAAAGTATAAAGTATGAAGGTAATCAATCTCCAGATATTAAAAAGCAAATATCGAAGGGTTGATCAGATATCGAACCTCAAAATTCTCCGCAGCTCAGAGTAGAGGCACAGCAATTTGTATATAAGATGATATGCAGGGGCCAAGTCAAAGAAAGACAGAGAAAGAAGAAAAAGAGTATGAGGGTAAGAGGTTATCAATGTAAAGAATAATATTAACTGAATATTGATTGCAATAGTAAAGAATAAATAAGGATATGACCCTGTTTCTTTTTTCTTGCTCTTGTTTTGTCTGTCTTTTTCTGTGTCCCTTTTTCTTTTCTCTGCTTGTTTTCTTCGTCGGTTTTTGTATAATATACTCACCTACCCCTTAGGTCTTCTGCACTCACATATACAGATACGCACGCGACTCTCTGGCTGATGGTGGTGATCTAGAACTAGATATACATTGACTTTTGTTATTTTGCTTTGTTTAGTGGTATATTTATATTTTCGTTTTCATTACTACTACTACTATTACTACTAGTATTAGTATTGGTATTATTATTACTATTATTCTCTCTTCTTTTTTTGTCTTCCCGCCCACCTTCTCCTTCCCGGAGGTCCCAAAACAGTGGAAGCAGCGGGGGTGGACAGCGACAGGGATCTGGCCTGTTAGCTAGTAAATTAGTTAGCTGAAGGCTTCATCTAGATCACACTTAGACTAAACCAAGAAGGGATGAGTCCAACTCAGCTCAGCTGTACTGTACCTAGGTATGTATATACATACATACATACGGAGTACAGTACTGATGACTATCAGTCCATACGGTAAAGTACAAGAACAAGAACAAGGCAACTTAAGGCTGAAAGAGGGAGTGCGTATCCTGGTTTGTATAAGTAGATAGAAAAGATATAGAATCATCAATATGGAAACACACTCGGAGCTCAAAAAAAAAAAAAAAATCAGAAGGCTTTACTCTTTTATCAAAACTCTCGCCTATTCCCTCTCAACCGCCGTGAGATATGACGTTGCCCCTCCATCAACACCTACGTGGAAGACATTGGAAGGACTGGATTTCCCAGTAGATAGACCATACCATACTATATGCATAATGCCTAGTAATAGTCAGATCCACCGTCTCCATCCAACTAGTTCCACGGTCTAGTCCTATCAACCTTGGGCAACAAGTGATCTCTGTCCCCCCTGATCATCGTTTCGTTTTCCTTTTCCGCCTAATTCGGCGGGGCGATGGATGGGGACGAATTGTTGACTGCAGGGAAGGGAGAGAAGGTTAGGTGGGAGACAGTGGATAAGTCGTGATGGGGCGGACAATCGTGGAGAACTGATGCTTTTGGTCCAATCGCGGGATGTGTGTGACGGTCCGATCAGGCTGACAGGTGTAGTATGTAAATTTTGGATACACACGTATGTACATTCATACATATGTACTCCGTACATACGTGTATACACACACGCATTAGGCATTCATCACCTATGCTTTGTACCTACTTAATCTAGATTAATAGCTTTACCGATGGAATAGATATGTAGGTGTTTATTTTAAAAAAGTTCAATCAGTCCCTGATTCAGTCAATACTTGTTTTAAGGTTTAAGGTTTATCGTTTATATATACAATTACAAGAAAATATAGATCTATATACTCATCCTTCCCTTGACTATTACTACTACTATTATTATTATTACTAGCTAACTTCATCTCAGCACGAGGCTGATGCAGAGCCCTGAGAAAGAAAACAAAGACTTTTTACTCTATTGGTAGATACAATAACTTTACTGTCATTTTATCTATAGTTTCTCGAAGAAATTCCCGATCCTATTCGGGGTAATTACAAAACGACTATGGAAGTTCTTACTGAAATATAGTATAGTGTGCTCCGTAGATAGATGGCAATTTCTAGGGTATCCTTGTAGTTAAATACCTTTTTTTATTTTTTTTATCCCTACTTCCAAAATCCCCCCTTGCCTTTCTCTGGTCTTCTCCCAATTGCTATTTGAGAGGTGAAAAAGTGATAAATAAAACAGCCGTGTAATACTCCATCGTCCGCTAGAATTGTATCATCTGACCCAACAGTCCTGGAGGGTGGGCTGGAGCATTAACTAGCCAGACAAATCAAACCAAGACAAGAAAGGGCTTCAGCCTGATGATTGAACAACCCAGTCACTACAGAGTAAGTGGCCGCTTGGCTGCGTACATTAGTAAGGAGTAGTACCTGACTAAATGTACTAACCTAATGTAACTATTGGTATTCCACTCTATGGTAATCCCAGGGGGCTCAGCTCTCTTAGGTCTTATCCTTTCCCAAAAAAACCAGCGAATGAACATCGATGTCTTTACGAACTGTAGGCAATGCCCGCTTACTGCAGTGTGCTCGGAATCAAGTACAACTCGTATTATACAACGCGCGAAAAAAAAAAGAAAAGGAAAAGGATAAAAGACGGCGAGGATACCCTCGTCATTCATGCAGGCACCTGGCTGTTGGGACTCATTCAGCCACTAAAGAGGGCACTATCAAGAGTGACGGTCAACCTTTGCCTCACTGGTGATCAGCAACCATGACCCGGATGGATGCAGATCTGAGACTGACATCTCGTTTGTCCGCGGGGGTCCAAAACCTGACTAGGGTGGTAACGAAAGACGAAGAAGGCTGGCGACTTTCCCAACAAACTAGTAGATTCATTATTCATTATCCGTTGTTTTAGTCGGGGCTCAGTATTGGTTCAACTATTATTTGCATGGCCAATCCGGCCAGCATCTTGCACCTAAGTAAGCAGAAGATAAGCCACATGCAGCTTCGGAGAGGATGGGAATTTTCGGACTGGCTGCAGATATACTGCATGGTGCCCTAAAGCCCCGGCAGAGTGCTCTTAAACTGGTGGAGCCGAACGACGCTCACTTGTGTCTTAGTATTCCCTACTCACGTAAACCACAGTGATACATACTTATACAACTATGGATTGCAGCCCATGTACTCTGGTGTATAGCATACGTAGATACGAGACGAGGTAGGCACAATAGTTTTACAACCTCCAACGGGAGGGTTTCCTGCGTATAGCAGGGCTTGCTCTTGACAGAAGTACGGCAAAGTGGTGACAAGGGTTCGCCGGCAGAGCTACAGAACGGACCGTCAATAGTGTGGAAATTGGCCTCATGTCATTTGCTGAAAGGCCCCACCATGGGTGCTTGGCGTCTGTGCCTCACTCTTTGCAACAGCCGCGACTGGCGACAAATTCCAAGTCAACAATACCTACCGTAATACAGACGGGCTAGTAAGCTCTTGCCTTGTCGAGCAAGAATAAACGAGTAGATTATATGTTGTCTAGCCCCAGTTGATTTGGCCAAAGTGGAGGGGGGGGGCCGGGTTTGTTGAGATAAATGATACGGAGATGACAAAAATAAATCCGATCGTTTCCTGAGTCATATATCACATACATTCTACTGGGTTTCTGTCTCCAGTTCTATACAACAAACGATTCACTACTCTGTACCCCTGGTCAAGCTTCATGGATGTATGTATTCCAGAGTCCGATCATCTATCACGTTTCACCAGTGAGGAATCGTTAGAGATAAAATTAACAAATTTGGATCTATACGAGTATTATAGTTGGCACCTATCCCGTTGCTTTCTTATTTAGTGGGTTTTATATCTATACGGGAGATCTCCGCTGCGCCAGTAGATTGGGGCTGGGCTCTCTATGGTACTCTTCATAGATACATTGATCTTCAATACTTATAGCCTTAAGGTGTGATAGGAAACACGATGGAATTGTTTCATGACCGCAAAAAGGGAATACTATGTCCGCTCATTTCAGCCACTCTCCCGTACAACATGTGGAGGACGAATCAGAAAGAGTATCTCCGCAGCCAGTCGTGGACGGCCATAGAACAAGATGATACCATCCTAGGTTGACACTCATCTGGAAGTACGGAGCGAGAAGAAAGAGTAGGAAAATCGCGTGAAGGAGTAAAGTCTTCTAAGTAAGGGAGAGGTTGGGGATCATTTCCCCGTTGCTGTAACGGGCCGGGCCTTCACCTCGGGGCACCATGCTCATGGGATCGATCTGTCAGCCTGAACAGCCCCAGAAGTGAGAATTCCAATATTACAAGAAGTGATCTAATAGTAAGACAATCTTATGAAATTTTGTGAGCATGACGGATCAAATGATGGTGCGCCCGGCTCCCACCCCCGATCGCTACATCGATCTGGAGCTATTTCTAATGCTAACCTGAAACAACACGAGACACTAACAGCTGAGGATCCTCTATTCTCTCCCCACAGAGCAAGGGAAAAGAAATTGCATGAGTACGTACGTTCATACCATTCTTCCACTCCGGATGTATCTATACATCTATTCTATAGTAAACGCACTATTTGGTTTTAGATTTTCTGTTTCTCTATAACTAGATATACCTATATAGACCTAAGAAGACATAGGTATATATAATATTTACATACATACATACCTACAGATACATACAGTACATAATATACAGTTTAATATATACAACAACACTTAAGCCGAAATCTGGCTGAATCCAATAAGGGTGGGGGACCATCTAATACAGTACCTGATCAGCAACAATTCACCAGGGGCGGGGCTGAAAATGAGATACATCACGCGCATTGGTTTATATGGGTGAGGGTATTAATTTACATTGCCACATACCAGTCGATTATGGGGTTGAAGGCTCTTCTCCTTTTTAGATTCGGTTCTTAGTAGCTAGAGTAGAATGGATCACACATCTGAATTGAACTATAATAAAAAAAATTACCAAGTGTATCTTGAGCTTTTAATATATACAAACACAGCCTATGGCTGTTTGAGGGGTTTCTTTAAGGACAGACTCACTTGTAGATCTTCCATCTACTCTGGGCAGGGAACACATTTGCTCACAATTTCGGAGGATATTGTGACTACAATACGGAGTTACGTATTCCTCAACCCCTGCGGTGGACTCGGAAGGCCAGATGTAGTTAGTAGCGTCATAGCTTTCAAATAGATCCATCCAGGTTCGTTACTTACCCCTTCTAGTCTTTGTTGCTTGCACACTAGACGCAGAAGACAATCTCATTATTTCGTAAGTGTTTTGGAAAAGAAACGGTAGCTTTCCATAGCCAAGGTAAAACTCGCCGATCATTATTGTAACAAGTAAAGGACCAAGCTTTTGTCCTTTTGAATTTTCAGGATCAGCACGGCATTCAGCCTGTAAGAAAATTAATTTGCAATAGCCGCCCATAGCTTCGGAAATTCCACTTGCACCAAAACTGACTGGTGCATGCATGTATATCAGCTTTTCCTTCTATAAATAATTATATATAATGTTGTGGATATGCGTGTGTGTGCATTCTGTATATTTGTTTGTTTTCTAAACTAATATTCTACTTGAACTAGAATGATAGATCCCTCGTGGTTATCAGTCATCAGTGCCAATGCTTGTCAATTATGCAGGAAGATTCATTAGGTAAGATTCCAGCTTCCCATTTTTATAGTAGCACTACAGTACTCATGAAATCAGAACCAAAATAAAAAATACAATTGAATAGTTGCGTTAATCCTAGGTGAACAATGCAATTGGCCCTGTTCTATCACACCGAGTCGCATCGCCCTACATGTTGTAACAGATGATACAAGGCGTTCTGGGCTACCTAAGGTAATAATAAATGATCGACAGCTGTAGAGTGCTGAGATATGTATATAGCAAGGGCACTAGATGCAAGAGACAGCTCTGTACTAAGAAAGTAATGCAGGCCAGACCTCTAAATCTGTTCTTGGTATGTATTGCCATAAAATACTGAGAGTAGTATCCCGTATCCACCCCCCTTTTTTTGGCCTCCGTAGTTGATTCATCTTGAGTTTATAAGCAAAGATAAAGATTGGGGATAGTTCTTCCTCTTATGGTACTAAGTTAACTATCCTAACCATCCGCATTAGAGGTATTGCTGACCATCAATATTGCCGTCAATTTTTAGTAATCCGTTCAGAAAGAAGAGGGCTAGACTAGGTGAGATGTTCCGCGAGAGCGATTTCGACTTCAATTCTATCACGCTCAGGTTAAATAGTGGTTCGGTCGCTGTGTAAGCGACGCGACTTCAAGTGAACATTATTTAATTTAGGGCACTTAACTTACAAACTACTATATACTCCTGTGATTTTCCGACCACAACAACGCCTTCTACAGCACCTTACAAGCATCGGCGATGCGCTTCCGAGACAATCGCATCCAGCTTCTTTAAATTCACTACCGGACTAGTCCATGGCAAGTAAAGCCCCAAAAGCACGCGAAATAATCGACAACCAGCCAAATTACTATCCATAGTCCATGCACACAGTCCTTTTTTGTCGTTTTTCTTCTTTTCCCCTTTTTTGTTTCTGACTTGACACCCACCCATAGGTCACTATGATGCGATTATGAGAGCTGCAACTGAAGAACGATTGTCTTTGGCAGCGTAGCACCCAAGTGAAAACCAAACTGGCTACAATAGATGAAACACAAATGATACGGAGCCATACGTGCGCCGAACCCTCTCAAACCCTATCCAATTATCGCCCAGTGTATGCAGAGTATCTAGTAAAGAAAAGAGACAAGTCAGAAACATCTAGTCACAACAGGGGGCATCATGGAACTCTTCAAATATGGCAACGAGATCAATGGAAGTACATACCTCCAAATTCTTGCGCGCATATCACCACTCCCGGTGGCGAACAAGTTGTTTGTAGGGCTGGGTGCGACCGAAATAACTACCATCAAGTTAGACATAGACATCTTCACCATAAAAACAATTGCGATACTAACCGGAATTTTTGTGGCCTTGTAGCATCATCTGTGCATTGCCCGTGATCGGGTCCCAGAACTGGACACCCCGATCCTTGGAACCACTCATGACCCAATGTCCGTCAGGAGTCAGACAGACGCTGAGCACAAAATCCTAATCCAAGGGTGCGATTAGCATATACATAGCTCGATTAAAGATAAACAGCAAGACGTGACTGCAATCCCGGGTAGTGACAAACCTTGTGGCCCTCAAAAGTCCGAATACATTTACCACCCTTGACCCCAGTCCCGGGGAATGCACCACGGGGAACATTAAGCTCCCAGAGCTTGATGGTCTTATCGAGACTACCACTGACTAGATCACGGCCGTTGGGTGCGAAAGCGACTGAGTAAACGCTGTCTTTATGGCCATCAGGGCTCTCCAGGCGTTCCACCAGATAGCCAGTGGTAGTGTCCCAGACGCGAACGCTCTTGTCCAAGGAACCAGCTGCAACGTAATGACCATCAGGAGACATGGCAACAGTAGTCACACCATCTTCAATACTGAGAGTGTAGACAAGCTTGCCATCCAAGATATCCCATAGGCGTACGGTCTTATCTCCACTTCCGGAAGCAATATAGCGGCCATTGCCAGCAAAGTCAAGAGAGTAAATGTCCTGTTCGTGGCCGGTGAAGATATGCTTGATAGTCCGAGCAGCGATGTCCCAAACCTAAGAGCACACCATTAGCCCTTTCCTTTTCATTTCCCCCACCCCTTTTCCTTTCGTTTCTTTTATCCTCCCCCCCCCCCTTTTTTTTTTGCCAAACAAGTAGGTAATATGATACGACGCGGTGGAGGATAGGGAGTGTAAATGATCCAAAGAATACGTGATAGCAAACCGCTGTTGCTATTACTCGTGCGAGTCGAAGAGGTGTATATTGCGAGTATGGACAATTAGAAAAGAATTATATTTGAACTTACCCGAATTTGCTTATCCTCAGCGCCGGTTGCGAGGAATTTGCCGTCAGGGCTAAAGCAGACACTGCGGATATAAAGATCGCCATTCTTGTCCACATTCTCATCCTGAAGGGTGGCCACGTTCTGTCCGGTGGTTACATCAAAAATTTGAGCGGAACGGTTGCAGCCAGTTGCGAGATATTTGCCATCCCGGCTGAAACGTACACAGCAAACGACGCTATCATGGACTAGGTGATGTACCAGCTCAACATCCAGCACACGCTGCACCTCTGGGTTGAACACAGCGTACCAATCTGCACCCTCTCGCTTCTGCGAGGCGGGCAGGTCATCAGGATTCCAGTTGGCCAACATGTTTCCCGGGCGGTCACGGACCAGGGCTTGACTGGGGGGGGTAGGCCGGGCCAACTGAGGCGATACACGAGGATCCGGATAGGCCAGTTGGTGGGTCTGCTGGGGAGTAGCGGGACCAGGGGGAGCACGAGGTCTTTTACCGGGCCCGGGAGAGGCGGTGGGTGGAGGCGGAGGTGCGTAGCCTGTATGAAAAATCCACGAGTACGGTCAGAGATCAAAGAACCCATTAGAAATACAGTAACAACATACCGTTCACAGCAGCACCAGGCTGATATCCCCCAAAAGAGCTCTGCGGTGGTTGCGGCGCTCCTTGCTGAGCCGCGGGAGCAGGCTGTTGAAGGGTATGCTGGGGAGGCTGCTGATCCTGGGGAGGGGGAGGGGCAAGACCGGGACCACTACCTCCTTGGTTGGCCATGATCCCACCAAATAGATTGCTTGGGCCATGACCCAGCGCGGGTGGGGGAGCCTGGGAAGGGCCAGCGTGCTGCGCGGGGCCAGCAATGTGAGACGAAACAGGTTGAACACCACGCGACTCCAGCTCGTGTCGCAAAACTCGGATCTCCGCTTCGTAGCTGCTATATGGTTAGCTTCCAAGCAGATTATCGGCTCTAGTGATCATTGCTTAAACGTACTCCTGTTTCATTTTGATTTGTGCTTGCTCCAACTGGTAGACCTTCTGCCGGATCATTTCCATTTCTTGAAGCTGTCCGGTTACTAAATGATATTTGTCAGTGATATTTCATACGAATAGCTTGCTTTTTTCAACAGAAAAGAAAAAATAAAGGAAGGAATAAAAAGAAACCCAAAAAAAAATATAATAGAAGGGGAAAGAGGCTCCAAAAATGCTCAGCGAACTGTCCCGATCCATGCGACAGACATATCGGCAGAGGAAGAGACCATGAAGAAACTGTAGGGACATCTAGTAAGGTGGCTATGGGTCTTGATAATGTGTGGATTGAGAGGATCAAGTGAGATACGCGCATACATTGATGTTCGAACTCGCCAGTACTTCTTGACTGATTCTCAAATTCCTGGCGCAGCTGATCGAGCAACTCCGTCAGACGGGAGTTAGGAGCGGGAACCATCCCACGATGTGTGTTATACATTGCGCGTAATTCTTGGTTTGTACGTTCAATAGATATTGATAGGTATCGAAGGTATATTTGATTATAATTGGTGGCGATCAGGTATTGTTTGCGTGAGATGATGAACGAACGATGAGTTTCGATATGGCAAACGGGTTGACCAGAGACGACAGAGGCTGCTGGCAAAAAGTCAAAGCAGCCGCATCACAGCGCGCCCCCGGAAACCAAATGCTGTGACAATATCAGATTGATGGGAGTGGGTGTGGTGCGTGATGGGGAGATAGAAGGGGCTATTAGGGGAGGAGATGCAGTGGAGGTTTGGAGATGACAGTTCAAGTACGAAGATCGGGACTAGAAATGGATGGGGGCAGAAAGCGCGGCTGAAGGTTTGGCGCGAGAAGCGAGGCGATAGACGAGGAAATGACGGGATTGGCCCCTTTCTAGTCTGGCGGGGCTTCCCGAGGGGCCGTTTGCAGAGAGGGAATGTTACCTAGTATTGTATATACGGAGTAGCAGTATCATATATTTAGTATTCACACCTAATTTCTCCATGTACATATGTAATATGTAACGTAGTCTAATACATTATCTTCAAGATTTGATTCATTTTTATTTGTATCATTTGATTATTAGGCTCCCAGTAGTCACGACTCGGGATTAGATCCTTTGCCAATGTTAACAGAAATGTGAGAGGGAGGCTGTATATATAAATAGATAGATAGATAGCAGATTTACTCCGTATCTGTATGTGTATATATATTTATTGAACATGCTGTACTCCAGGCAGTATATGAACATGTACCAGGAAAACCTCCCATAGATTGAAGAATTTAACTATAATAGACATCTTTCACTAAAATCGTATTGATACTCCATTGAAGGGGCTTATACACCCACCAATGCATTCGCTGGTAGATATTAAGCCGGGAAAGGGTTGGTAAATGCAGGTGATGGCTGCAAGGTACCGTACGATATACTTACTAGCAGTATCTACTGTACTGTATGTACTAATGGCTTGGTGGGATCTGTTTACTCTAGATTTATTCCTTATTTTTTTTTTACTTTCTATTCTATGGTCGCTAGACGGTCATGTTTTCCTCTTTTCGTCAATTCATTCCATAACTATTTCCGAATCGCGAAAGAATCAATGGGGAACGGCTGTGGTTCTTCCGCCGGGTGTGATACCGCGCTCGGTCCTCATAGGTTGTTTTTCCTTTTCCCATACTTCACATCAATTCGGTTCTCTCCACTCTACTTAATTTATCTATCCTCACCTTCATCCCGTCCAATCCTTTTCCTCGCCCCAGCTTCGCTCTCCTCTCCTCCGCCTTTTCTCTTTTATCTCTCTTCTTCCAATTCCTAATTGCCCACATCAGTTGGGACCAATTTTGACTCAAAAAGTCTGAAATTACTATATACATACAGCCACACCTCTCATACCACCCCTTCTTGGATTGGTCTACAAGGGATCATGGATATCGCGCTCGAAGTCTGGGACACCTTCATCGGTGACCGTTTATACGCGGCTCTCCTCCCCGTCTCCCTTTCGTCCGCGGCCTCTCTCTCGGATCTTCATCATATGTCAAATAGCACTCTGTCCTTCTTCGGCGCATCCCAACCGTTCATCTATGAGCCAGCCACACGCCTGATCTACCTAGAGCCCTCGAAGTATGCGTATATGAGCGCTTGGCCTAGAAATAATATTTACCGTCAATTCCTGAGCTTCTTTCTAATTATTTGGTATGCAAGAACACCCTCCGCCATGGTAGATTCGTGTCTAACGGTCCCTCCCTCTTTTTTTTTTTTTTTTTTTTGGAAAAGGATATTCGGCCTTATCACCTATTTCATATCCGCAACCTTGTCCTATATCTTTATCTGGGATAAAACTACCGTCAGACATCCCAAGTTTCTCAAAAACCAGATCCCCATGGAGATTGCACAGACTATGAGATCTATGCCGATTATGTCTCTTTTGACCGCTCCATTCTTAGTCGCCGAGGTCCGAGGTTACGCGAAGTTGTATGATGGCTTCTCCGATGAGCCTTTCCAATATTATAGCATCATTCAATTTCCATTGTTCATTGTATTCACCGATTTCTGCATTTATTGGATTCACCGCGGTCTACACCATCCATTGATCTACAAGTCCCTACACAAACCGCATCACAAATGGATCATGCCTAGCCCTTTCGCGTCGCATGCCTTCCATCCAGTAGATGGATGGTCTCAGAGTGTCCCGTATCATGTGTTTCCGTTCCTCTTTCCACTTCAGAAGCTCGCCTACGTTTTCCTCTTCGGTTTCATCAACCTCTGGACTGTGTTGATTCATGACGGTGAATACGTTGCGAATAGCCCGGTCATCAACGGAGCTGCCTGTCACACGATGCACCATCTTTACTTCAACTATAATTATGGACAGTTTACCACGCTGTGGGATCGGATGGGAGGGAGTTACCGGAAGCCAAATGAGGAACTTTTCCGCCGCGAGACCAAGATGGACAAGGAGGAGTGGAAGAAGCAAACCAAAGAGATGGAATCTATTCTCAAGGACGTTGAGGGAGATGACGATCGTCAATATCTCATCGAAGATGAATTGAAGAAGAACTTATGATTAATACGCCAGAGGACGTTCTCAGCTTGGTCTACGTATTACGCCGCTTCCTCCTTTCCTCTCTTTATTCCTCCAAACTACCTTGGTGTCCTCGAGGACTGGTTGAAATACCCTTGAAAATAGCAAAGCTTATCAAAATCTTGCTGTAGCGCGTTGAATGATTCGAAATTCTCTGCAATGGGGTAAACAGAAAGGGCGAAAAGATATCCCAGAGAAAATCTATAGCCGTCTCTTGAACGGCTCTAAAATATAGCCTCAGCTAGTCCCTTTACTTCTAAAAGTGAGTGAGTTACGATTTTAATGTTCCCTACTTCGTCTCGTGCGCGTGTTCTTGCCCTCCCTTTTTTCTTTTGCCACGCCTTGTATAATACTGATCATAGATCTTAATTACTGTATTCCTGATTCCGTCTGTATTCACAATCAGTCACTGATTTGTCTTCATATTAATACTCGCGAGTGGTCAGAATCACTACAATCTCAACCAGCTCTGATGATTCAGTTGTACATACATATTCCTGTGGTTGAAAGTAGGTACAAAATTATCACGGAGCAGTTTTGCTCATTTCTACTTGTTACGATTAGAGGTTCTACCCGTATTTCACCTTACGTGTTGGGAGCTAGAACATTCACTTAGCCTAAAGCTTGCCCTGGTAACTGCTAAAGTACTGATATCAGATACGGTCAGACGCAAAGCATACTACATACAATAATAAATAGCTAGATTCATAGTTTTGCAATATATTACTCTATATGGCGTGCCGTGGTCAATCAAAACTATGAGTGGGCTGATGGATGTATGGGATAAACCCTGACATGACACTAGGTGAGTTGATTAGACTAGTCCAAAAGTGTGGCTGAAACACGATTTTCTTGATCCTGGAAAGCACATGAATACAGGAATACAGTTATTCTCCATTAAGTACAACATCCAAGCGATGGACGAATACAGTCGGGAGAGAGGCCCAGATGCAAAAGCTTGCATCTCATCCATAAGAGTGTCTCATGAGACATCTACAGCTCCATCTCCATCCGCGACATCTAGGTCTCCATCCGCCGAGGCATCCACAGCCATGTCTCCCTGGGGGGGAGGCGCCGTTGTTCCAACAGGAGTTGCAGTGGCCATGACTTCAGCAATGAATGAATCCTCAACGCCTGCTTTTCGCCTGAACACCCTTAGCCACCGATAGCCCCATTGTCGGATGATTTCATCCTCTGACAAAGCGCCACTCCCATCACCCCTTTCCATGAACTCGCCGTTATTACCTCTTGCCACTGGAACGATTGAATCCTCAATCACCTTGAAGAGCGCTTGCATGTCCGCCTTTTCGCGGTTCAAGGTTTCATCTAGCACACTTAACTGCGGTTCATACAGGCCCGGCTGAGTTCGTGCAGCAACAATCTGTCGTAGACGGTTGGTTACCTTTCCGACAGTGGCTGATATCATCTCGAAGATGTGTGTTCTTGCCAAGATCGTTCCTGTCTCCAGCTTGTCTACCAATGCCCATTCGATGACAGACAACGGCGTCAGAATGGTGTAATTCAAAAGCTTGTCGATGATATTAATGCCGATTCCTGGCTGATCGACCCAATATTCCATAACAGAGGTTATAATCTGACGACGTGCACGAGGGGATTTGGGACCGATGGCCAAGAGTCGTTCTTTGTTCCGCTCAATGCAAGAAAGGACGTGAGAAAGTGATTTCGAGCCAACAAAGCAAATCGCAGTGACAATGGCATCCGTTGAAGGTAGCATAGGGTCATCGACTCCCATCGACTTAGCCTGCTCTTCAATAACATTGATTATTGGCTGGATCTCATCGTCGGTGGCTTTCTTGCGAATGAGTTGCATGATTTCTGTGCCTTCGTTGGCATAAGGGATGGCTGTAGAGGACAAGGATCAGCATTTATCAACAAGCACAATGAATCCGAAGAGCTCCAAGGCATAATTAGAGCGTATAGACTTACTATCGAGTGAGTATTTGAAGTCGGGAGTATCCTTTTCCTTCCCTTCCGTAATCAAATCTTGATAGGGGTCTGGAAGTGTTCCCCTGATGCGCTGAGCAAAGCTTAACCTGATCTCTTTATCGAGCGCGCCAGTAATAAAGGCCATTCTTGGGTGAACCGATGAAAGTTCAAGGTCGTCGATCCTTTGCCAACAGTCAGCTCTTCTGTTCTTTTCAAAGCAGATACCAATCTTGCTACGATGGGGACTTACCATTCACTCCATTTCCATGTGAACCCGAAATTGCTCAAATGGTGCGCGAACCAATCCAAGAATCGATGGCTGAGATCTAAATCAATCGTTTCCAAACTGCGATAGAGAAAACGAATTGCGCGCCCCAAGCTTGGGGCGATGGCAGCCGGCGCAATCTTGCAGCACTCTGTGAGAACCGAGTGATAGTACACGAGTTTGTGTTCCGGAGAAGGAAGCTGGAACAACTGAGAGAATACTGCATCCACAGCCACATCTTCCGGCTTCCAGGTTGGGCGATCTGCAGGGACGTCGCGTAATCTGTCAAAGGGTGTTGCACGCTTCACGAAAGTATGTGGTGTAAAATAACAGTCAATGTCGATGAGATATTTAGCCGTAGCAATGCGATTAAAATCAAGGATATTGATAGTGTCAACGAGGGCGTCTCGTAGCAAGGATGATGCAATATTAGACATTGGAGGGACAGTCTCGAACTCCTGGTTGGCGTAGACGGAAATGTAAACTTCTGGAAAAAGCGCTCTGGATCCGTTTCGTACAGGGTCGGGAACCGTTATTTGAGGAAATGGATGCTTTGCACCGGATTCCAAGGGTTTCTGCTCTTCTTCACTGTCTCGTCCACCCTTCCACGGCCGGGGAAGACATGCGAGTTCCCAATCTCGGTTGGCCTCCTGTTGAAGCTGACCTTGAAGCAGGCTGATTACACTCTGTGCCACGAATGGGGTGCCATATTCCGAGCTAAATGGATTCACCAAATCCACCAACGCATGGGGTGTGGATGCAATGATGTCTGTCTTCTCAAGAAGAGCGGTTGCTTGTGCTTCGAAACCTGTTATCGGGGAGGCCATTATGTACGGTATAGTGAAGAGGATTATTTTCACAAGTTCAAGCCCAAGCAACTATACATGGCCCAGTCAGTGGATTTACAGAATAGACGGCAGCTTGACCAACTTACATCTTCAGAAGAGGCTGTCTGAAGAACAACTGCACGCGCAAACAGTTCTTCTAGTATTGGGAAGATGCCATCCCCTTCAAAGAGAAGCTGCAGACATCCCAAAAACCGGAGAAGAAGCTTAACTTCACGCCACGCCCCGGTGTTGATGTAGTGCTGCAAGTATTCACTCGCTTTCTCGAGGACATCTGACACAAGTTCCGTTTTGTAGGCATTAGCAGCCAAGACCGTAGCTGCGATAAAGGGAATTTTTAGCGGCTGCTCCAGGATGCTATCACGGATCACATTGTGTTAGCGTTTAGGCAATGAAGTAAATTTAGCCTAGCCTAAGCTTACAGATCGACGGAAATATCAATGAAAGTCTGTTTCAGCTCCTCATCTTCGTAATTCTCTGCCACGCTCTTTGCAATATTGACAACATCGTCTTCGGCTCTTCTGGCAGCCTAATGCGAAAGCGTAAGTTACTAGCTGAATAAAACTTTGACCGAAGCAGAGTGATCGTACAGATTCAGCAATGGTCAATAGCTGCCTTCGAACCTTCACAACCAAAGGTTCTTCGTATCTGCGCCTCTGGCGACGGTCATAGTCATCTTCTTCTGTGAATTACCCAACAAAATGTTAGTCAACGGAGAAACAACGATGGTCAGTTTTTTCACAATAGGTAATTGAAAGAAGCCATGAAATGAGACATGAGATGAAAGGCGCTAGTATAGATACCATAGCATAGAAAGATAGCACTGACCTCTGTAGCGCCTTTTGCGTCCACCCCTGGGCCCGTGGTGACGGCGTTCGTAGTCAACCATAATTACCTGTAGGTGCTTATGCCTACACAAGTTGAGTCGAGTTAGGATCTTGGTCGGGAAAATATCAGAATCGTCTGCAGCTGCTGCGACACATAAGAGTGCAGCACGGGCACTTTTATTACCAGTATAATATATCAGAGAAACGACCGCGCGCGCGCATAAATGCTAGATGCAAAACATCGGCGTCACCAAGGGTCGGGATAAGGGATCCTCCGTTCCCGCTGATTATATAACACGCGGCTTCGTAAACATCAAAAAGTCATACATACATACAGATACAGACATAACATACATAAATAGCTACTACATACACAGATGTACTCAATATATACATCGTAATGATCTACTAGGAATCGATAAAAAAAGAAAAAGAAAGAAAAAGAGAGAGCCGGAGCTGCTTATTTGTACAATACCTGTAATAGGATGCCATATTGGTCCATTCCAAGATTTCAAAGGATAGGTCTAATTCAAGACCTCATCTCTGAGCCGGCTGGAACAGCTGTGATATTTATCGCAGAACGTGGAGCATTGCCGTCTTTAGGCAACTGCCTACCAGACCCAGTCTGCGCTAATCCCCCATAGAACAGCTCCGGTGGCGATCTTGAGCCCATTGACACTTTGTATCCTCGTTGATGGACATGACAAAGAACAAAATCCTTACATCTGTAGAGTATCACGACTATCATGAGGAATAAAGACCAGAAACCTCGGGGACGAGTTTGCGATTACATCGTGAAGTAGTGAATGACGAGAATGAGAAGGGGACAAACCATGCAATTACAAGACCGTGTTTATACACACTAACGAATGTCATGTTCCAGGCGTATCTTGGGGGGTCTCTAAGTGGAGGTAAAGGCAAAAGAGAGCAAGAGCAAAAGGAGACAATAGGAAACGGAATGAAAACAAGAGTAACTGAGTCGTCTGCTTTCGGAATTAACTATGCAGCTTCGTCGGTCAAAGTCAAAGAACAGTACCATTCGACCCAAACGAATGGAATGAGATGTGTGAACAATGAGTATTGAAAGAAGAAGAGGAAGAAGAAGAAGCAAACGGGACACACAGAGAGCAAGAGACAATCAGTAAAGAGTATTTCAAGAGAGAGAGGAGCGAAGACACAAAAATGAGGGGGTTTCTAACGCTGCAAGTCAAGGGAATTAAACCTCCAATACCTATATTCAAAGCATGCTCACCAGCACATGATTATGTGCATCCAAGCATAAGAGATCCTCGATATCTGACGTATTTGTAGGATATCTGTCTCTCCGCCCTTCTCCATAGGACTTTGCGAAGTTTCATGATCCCTTAAATCGAGATATGAAGCTATGCAGACTTGAATCCCGGAAAGCAGACTCACACGGTAAGGGTATCACTTCCCCCCTCCCAAGAGCTGTCTCAGACACCTCCATGACTCCAGGCTATGATATTCCATCACCCTCTTCGCATGAACCTGTCATGCCCCACTACCCTTTTTTTAAGAGGGAAAAAAAGAAAAAAAAAACTTTTCCAGCCGTGACAGAAGGTAGTACTCGCTATCCTCCGACCTTAGCCCTTTATCTCTTTCCGCACCTTTTTTTTCTTTCTTCCCCCCCTTCCTCCCCGTTTCCTTTTTTTCTTCGCCCCCTGCGTTCTTCCTTGAATTGTTCGCAAATCAACTCCCCCACGAGAAACCAGCTCCCAGATGTCTCGCCAATGGAATAGGGTCTACAACTGAAATAACATCTCCCAGTTTAAAACCGCCCGGTGCATCAAAGTGAACTCGTACGGCATAGCATCCGATTCTCGCGCACATGCGCATATGACTGCACTATGAACATCCGTGTACTTCGTAAACATCGCACACCTTGACTCAATCAAGACGCGCCATCATTTCATCTTTCGTAAGGGGTATGAAGTTATCAATATCTAACCCGCGGGCTTCGAGCGCAGGGCGCGCATGAGGTGGAATAAGCCGGCTGTTCATTGCCGGAGCAATAGAAAGTTCTGTTAATCCGTTAGCCGCAAACAGTTGGTTAGCAAGGGAAAGCAAGAACAGACCATGTCGAGAGAAATCAAAAAGGCTAGGGAGCTCTCGTGACGGCCCATTTTGGTGCCGAGAATCAGGCAGTCGAGTGTTGGGATCCCGGAGTTCGTCAAAAAATGGGTGGACCATCGCTTCGATGGCTGACAACCGTTGCGTTGGTGTGTACTCCAGCAGAGCGGAGATTAAATCAATCGCCTCATGAGGTGCTCTTCGGAAAACCTGCAGAATTGTATTAGATTTTCCTTGTGGTGTGCAAGACGGAAATTGGTATACCTTATTAAAAGGGTGCGGCTTGATCTGCGGAAATTTGTGCTCCATGTAGTTGGGATTCATAGTGCGGATCTGCTCCCGAGTGGGTGTACCGAGGACTTTGATAATCTCTACTAGTTGATCTATCCCTGATTCACCCGGAAAAAGTGGTTGTCCCAGCATCAACTCAGCCATTACACATCCAGTAGACCACACATCTGATACTGTTAGTATCTTAACAAATGTCGCACGACGCACACGGGGCATTTACCAATTTTTGTAGTGTAATTCGTCGCACCAAAAATTAATTCGGGTGCACGATAGTAGCGCGAGCAGATGTATGAAACGTTGGGCTCATTCTCAACTAGAATCTTGGCGGAGCCAAAATCGCAGAGCTTTAGGATACCTGTGCTTGGGTCAAGCAGGAGGTTTTGAGGCTTGATATCACGATGGCAAATGCCCTGTGAATGAATGTATGCCAGAGAACGGAATAGTTGATATATGTAAAGCTTGACCTCCAACATGGGCATCGTAGTCTTCAACTTGTTGAAATACCGAGATGCTCGGTAAACTGTTTCTGGTACGTATTCAAGAACGAGATTCAAATATACTTCGTCCTTCTGTAGAGAGGTGGTGAGGTGGTCAGTAAACAAGCAGGTCATTCCGCGTACAGAGCGGGGAACACATACCCTCTCACCATTGGAGTAATAGAAGGCCTTCAACTCTACAATGTTGGGATGGCGGACAATCCGCATTATTTGTAACTCACGGTTCTGGGTGAGTCCAGGTCAGCGATGTCCACACTGGCGACAGGGTCGACGTTCGGCCAGTGACCATTTACCTTGAAACGTTTGTCTTGGAGGACACGTTTGATAGCAGCGTCCTCGCCGCTGGGCATCATCTTTGTCTGAAAGACCACCCCAAACGACCCATTGCCGACAATTTTACATTGCGAGTACGAGATCTCTTTGGTCTCACCTGTCAGTCCATCCTGGACCTTCTCGCGGACGACTTCTGCAAGGCGAGATAAAGGTATAACGTCAGTAGATGATCTTCATATTAACGTACAGGCAATTGAGAAGGTAATAAGCACTTACCACCCATGCGCAAATTCGAAAATACCCCAGGCCGGTTCTGTGACATCACGGACGTTTCGTGGGGTTGGTACCAGGCGGTAAGTTGGGCAGCGCTATCAAGGATATGGAGGACTGCGGTTCAACAGCGGATGGCGGTAAAGGAAGCAAAGTGAAATGTGTGATCGGTCTTGAGCAGATTGTATTCGGTGGAGCACTAGTTAGGAGGGGTGCTTTGGATGGGCGGAATATCCGAACGATGGATGTTGAGTGGAGGTGCGCGTGAGATGGAAGGTTGAGGAGCGGATGGGCGAATAGCAAGAGGGAAGGCTCAGGCCAATAGCCGGATCAAGTGCCAAGAGTGCGCACCAGAGCAGGAAAGCCCCCCAGGTGTTTGCAAAGGATCGAAAATATTAAACCTCTATTAAACCTCGTGGCAGGCACTCAAGAGAGGAAAAAAGGGGATGGGGAGAATATGAAGACAATGCAAGAGTTGTTTTTTACTTTTTTTTTTTTTTTTTAAAAAAAAGGCAAACTTGGAAAGGGAAAGAGAAATTTTGTCGAAGTGATTTACGGCTCACCACTGTGGCAGGCGGATGGTAGTCGTAGTAGTGTAGAAAAGAGGATAAGAGCAGCAGGCAGAGGGGATGGTCGGAGGAGAGGGAAGAGAGGAGGGCGAGCAGGTGACGTTGATGGAGCGACAAAGCCCGAACACGCGAGGGCTGCAGGAACGCGGGAATAAAGCACCGGAGAGGAGAGGAAGAAGGTAAGGAACTTACGAACCAACTCACGATCGATCAAATAAGAGCAACCAAATCTGGGGGAAGTTCCAAGAAGACTAAACAATTGAGACAAAAAGAGAGGGGTGGGGGAATAATAATAATAAGAATAATAACCTCCCCGATAAATACAAATTAGATAGGACTGCAAATCCAAAGAACTAAGACGAAACAATTAACTTCGAGAGGTACAGGAGGTAATGAGTGATCAAGACCACACAGTAAAGTTGAGAAAGAATCGTAAATTTAGGGTGCGTGCCTGTCTCAATATCTAGCTGTACTATTTCCGTACGTATTGTACGGGGATAGATGGTAAAAGCGCAGAACGGTTTGCTTTCCTTAGGGGTCATAGTTTAAGGGACAAGACCTAGGGCTGTGGCAGTGTGTGGAGAGGCAAGAAGGTTATGCTGGGATTATTGGTACAGTCCGTTCAAAGGATTTCTGTTTATGGCTTTCGGCATAAGAAGAACAGTTTTTTCACAGTAGTGTTGGCTCTTGGGATAATGATAAAACCTACAGATTACCTAGTGCACCAATTGCCTATCACTTGAGAGGGAAATGCCCCAGTACACCTGTAGTCCTTTTTACTGCATATTTATTGCAGAGGGGGATGACCCCAAACCAAAAATAAAGGAGGGGTCCATAAGTGTATCACTTCTGTATTATAAATTACATACAATACTTGTGTGACAGGTACATACATACATACAGAAATTGACGCCACTGGTACATACAGTACATACTACTAGTCTTGTACCTCTTCCATACTACTGTACCTACAAGAGTACTACTATACAGATAGTATTAGAGATGTATGTATGTAAGTATGTGCAATATGTACATTACATACTTGCGCCATACATCCATCGTACACACTACATTACTCCCTTACTGGAAGCAAGGTACATACGTACATTCACGGCCATTGCGGTCTGTACTGGTTCATAGGTGGTTCATATGTGCTCATGAATATATTGAGAGATGAGGCTGACGTAGTAGGAAAAGAATTTGGTTAATTTAAAACCCGCTCTTTCGTAATTGAAAGAATGTTGGGAGGTAAATTTCATTGAAGGGTTTGCACCGATGTGGAGCCATTGGAAATTGGGCGCAAGTAATGGGCTAAAAACGGGGAGAATGCTTTGGCCAGATGACCAACTGAGGTTCCGGTTGGAACTGGTCTATTACAGACAGTATGTTTTTCTTTTGGCAGTTGAGCTTTGTCCAACTAGTGTTGCTATTTCTTTTCAATCCTCATCAAAGTACTAACTTAGTGCTAATTCGGTCATAGATTGATTGAGCATTCTTTAACATACATACTCCTACATAGACTTTGATAGCTCTTTTAGCTCCTACAGCCAGTGTGAATCCTTTCTTTTTCTCTACAGGAGGAAGGAAGGTAAAAAGGCAGACACCTCTTAAATGCGTTTAAAAACATTGCAGGCTTAATGTACAGGGCTCTGGTACTTTATCCCAGACCACTAGTGTGTGTGAATTACCGATCTCCCCAATCCTAAATATATAGAATTCCAGACTGCGTTGAACAGCTTTTGGTGACAGGTAAACAGCGGTGCCATGTGTTTGGTCCGCAGCTGTCAAGTGACCAGCCGTGATTTTCACTGGAACCACTCTCATTGGCTGTCCTCAGTGCCTCCTACGTATCTATTATCTATTAGAGAGTGCCTTCAATGTATGTATGTATGTACGTACCAGTTTACCTAGGTATTAATTACAAGATCCTTATGATGCCATACCGAACCGCCGCATATCTGACCAGGGATCTAGATCTCGGAATACGGGTACCTTTAGGTGGTTACTTTCTTTTCCACCGTTTCCTTTCCCCACCCCTCTCCTCCCTTTCTATTCGTGGAGGTCATGGGAAGGGGGAAGATAGCTGTCAGAGGAGCTTGTCGAGGAATGTAATAATCCACTAAACGCAGTTGTATTACTGGGTAGCAAGCGTTGAGGAAGCTCGATGGATGGTTGCGCCACTCTGTAGTATAAGGCAGGGGAGAAAGAGAATTTATGTCAATCGGATCAGAGTTGTTCGGGAGCTTTGGCTAAGCTTGGTGTAGGACTAGGACAATATAGCCGGCCAACCGACGAGTCAATAACATCCATCGAAGCATTATGGTCGGCCGGGTGCCGGCATTTGTGGCTAAGAGGTACTAAGTAGTAGGTAGGATGTCTATTAGTCCTTCGGCTAATCAACCTTGTTGCTTTGCTTCTACCATTGTTCGCGATTATCGGAGACCTCCTTCTTGCCGCACCGAGCTTGGTTGGATGGTTGTTCGTCGTACAATGCTTGGCTTCAAGTCCCAGTATGCAACGATGGAACCGGCAGAGCACACTTGAAGTTACTAAGCACATCATTCATGGGTATTCGATCTAATACATCAATGTAGAAGCATATCTTGAGTTAGATAGAGATACTTGTTTGAAATAACGTTGTGTAATACATCTACCCTGTTGAGAGGGACGCCTCACGAGTGCTACATCAAAGGCTATGATTGACTGTATGTATGTACCCTTTACTAGGAACTGACCCCACAGAAACATGGGTGGTCTTCAAGGTTCAGGAGTCTGGACAAGATTTTCTTAAATTAGCATCCAGACTAAACCCCGGATGATCATCGAAAGCACAGGCACCTGACTTTCCTAAACGCATCATAAATCGAACTTTTATTCTTCTAATGGTAGAATCAAAGCATCGGAGCCTGAGATATAAGAGACCATGGGTCTCCTTCCCGCGCCACTAAGCCTAATGAACACTAGTTTGCTCTTTTTAACCCCTTGCCTACAGAAGAGATTACAACAGAGCAAATCTGTCTGTTTCTATCTAAGTGCAATCAACGGTTTCCTTGCAAGTTGGTTGCTTGATATTGGCCTTTCCGATGCTAAGTCGGAAAAGAACTTGCATTCGGGCGATGTTTCGGTCTCATTGCTGAACTCGGCACAGCAGGAACGGCTCCCTGGGTTTCTTGCCATTGTCATGCCTCACTCGGTTAAAAATGACAAGCGACTACTACTTGATGCTCTAATTCTGTATTTCAATGTCGTATTACATCGAAATCATGAGTTCTGCGGTCTCTCCCTACCGTTTCCGAATAAAGCGACGCGGGTTCTAGTCATATGCCATAAAGATGTACAGAGCATGTAGATATAGTGTACTTAATGGATAAACACTCCATACACTAACTAGGATATAAACATTACTTTGAAATTTCGCCGAAACCTTTACACAATGAATTGATGATGAGGACGCTGTTCCAAGCGAGGAAGCAAAATTCTAGACCCCGAGTAAGATACGGAGCGGGGTCAGAACTCTTGAGAAGGGATGCACGATTCATTCACCAAATGACGTCCATATAATTCAGGAGAGCAGTGTTGACCATCAAACAGCACCACGGTATGTATGGATATACATACGTATGTACTGGTAGTATGTATTAAAGCAGCATGAACAAGAATTACAAATACATTACCCCAATAATCTTTGTAACACGGGTTGCTTGCCATTGCCCCACTTTTGTGGCTAGGGGAAGTCTTAAATGATACTGGTCCACCTTACTCCAAAGAGATGGATTCATTCTTCTTGTGGCATGTGAGCACGGTAGACCAACTAAAGATAATAGCAATAGCAATGACGACTCCGTACATTACCTTCTTTTTCCAAGTCCTGTTATCGTAGAACCATCAAAATTTTCGAGGGTTTTGAATGGAGTGGTCGCACCCATGCTATATGTATGATCTTGCGTTTTAATGTAGATTCATTTAAATCTGACCGAACAATCGCCACCCGTTTAGGACTCATGTACTACTTACTGTGTTGGTCCTTTTTAGGATGCAACAACCAGTAAGTATTCTCAGTTTTGATCATCTGTAGTTGTCTGAGATCTGCTTTGTTAGCAATTACTCTCACACAATCAATTTACTGTTCGCCTTCAGTCCTTCAGATTTACACCTGATTGGTATGTTCATCGCTTTGGAGGTCCCACACCTACCGTATCGCTGGAGCTACTAAAAAGAGTCAGCTGGTCAGTGGACCATGGTCAGCAACCAACAACTCAGGTGACTAGTAGGTACTCATTAGTAGTAGCCTAAGAGTTGCCATCCTGTGGGAGGATACAGTGCAGTCTTCTCCTGTACAGTCTTTTCGTCGAAATTCAGAAGGAAAATTTTTTTTTCCAGTTTTGCTGCCTTCTTTTCAATCACCGCAAACCCCGGGCTTCTGGCTGGAAACTTTTTTTTCCTCTTCTTTCTTCTTTCCTTAATGTTAAGAAGAGTTTCCTTGTACTAGTCCAGACAGCTAACTTACATGTTGAGTTTATCAGTAGTTGTAATTGATGGCAGTAAGGTTAATAGAAGGGCTTAAAATTAGACGATGCAGGTCCATGTACTACTCAGTAGGTAGAATGCATAGATTCTACTATCATTCTATCTCACTGTTGATGGTGACAAAGGGTTGACTTAGAACTAAGAGGTTGTTGCTCATAGATTATTGACTGTAAGTCATGGGAAAATCCCCTATCTTCGCACTGAGGAGGGCATTGGTGGAATAATTCAAAAGAACGCAGGAAGAAAGGTACATGGTTGGTACTAGGTGTAGTAGGAGTCCATACTACACATGCAATCTTCATTTGAAAAGATACTACTGTACCTTTCTAGAGAATAAACATCGCATAAACTGGAACCAGTAGGTGCATAGGTACACTAGTACCTTCAGGCTATAGCTATATACTCCCATGCATCCATTAGCCTCAATTAGTAATCGGCTAAAGGTTCTCATTGAACAGAAAGATCTGTTTAAAAAAGGACTTACACACACACGGCTTGTCATCTCGCAGCGATAACTATTCTTTTGAATGGTCCGTTGGTTTCGCCAAGCAAAAACTCTAGTTTAAGAAAAAGGAGAGGAAAGAAAGAACCAAAAGAAAAAGGGTGGAGTGGACAGTGGATACGATACACACACGCCCTCCCATCCATATCTAGGTTCAACAGCATATGATGTCATAGTGGACTACATACTCCCGCCCCGAAGGTTGCCACTAACTGAAGTTTCTAACAGAAGTCCAGCAATGAACCCACGAATGATGGAATGACTTTGAATTGAAACGGAAAAGTGAGTCACAGGCAACTGATCTTACGAAAATCGCTGGCAAAATTATATCTACTGTTTTTATGCAATATTTACCTATGTAATTTACCCTTGACAGAGAATACATAGTACTAGTACTAACTAGCTCCAATGGCCACTGTTGGGTTAAGTAAGCAATATCAGCCATTCGTACAAATGGTTAGTGGGCCGAAAGCACAAACATAATGGTTCTTCAATAGAAGTTAGTAGGTATCCATTAGGTTATGGGGCTATAGTATCTACGGAGTATCTCATTTTGGAGCTAAGTGTAAGCGACTTATTCGAAGTAGAGTATTAGCCCTGCGGGATACGAACCCGCACCTAGTACCACTGTACCCATGGACTACATACAGTATGGGGTACATTCAATACACACCAAGAACATATATAATTATACGTACATATAGCCTATGGGAGAAGCCTGGGTCCAGGATCGCTTTACTCTGCACTGCCTGTATATTAAACCCATGAGACACCAGACACCCGAAGGCAAAATTAGTATCAGGATGCGCTGTCAACTCAGGTATAACATACGATGCTGTGCTTACGGACTGTGCTGTTGAACCCTACAAGGTCTCTGGATAGTGAAAGCACGCGAAGCTGGGGAGTAGGTAGTAGTAGTGGTCATCATCTATACTTCTTTAGACGTTAACTGGTTTCTTCCTGAAAACCGCGGGCTTCTGAAAGAATAGCCCAGAATATACCAGATGGCTTGTCCTGATCACTTAATGAAAGAACACATCATCATTGCACTAGTTTTTCTGAGCCAAAACCTGTTTTACATTGCCCATCTATTATGTATAAATAAACAACAACATCCCACAAGTGCTTTCATGCATGCTTCGCAGTCCCAGTGATCAGTCAGAGAAAAAGATGGGTTGACAGTCATAGATGGATCCATAAGTGAAACGTACAATAAAAGTGAGACAAAAAAGGGGGGCTGTCGGATAAATCAAAGGTGATTCTATACAAAATGTGGTTCCTTGGCGCCAAACGACTGCCTCCCGGAATAACCAACCGTATCCGAGGGATAAACTCCTTATGGGGTGACATACCATCCTCCGAACAATACACAGGGGGAGTGAAGAGCTACTAAAACAAATGAAGAAAAAGGTTATCAGCTGGAAGGCGGACACGGAGCGATAGCTCAAGGTCCCCACTGTCAGTGAGCCGTATTAGTCCCAGCTTCGCGTCGAAGGCACCTAGAAAGGTGGAGGAACCATGCCCTGGGCCTCAATCTTCTCTTGTTGTTCCATCAACTCCTCGCCAGCGATCTCAAGGGACACAGCAAGACCGAGCTTAGCCGATTGCTAAGAATACAAAATGTTAGTCATTCAACTCAACAGGCAGCAAAACAGTAAGAATGCAACTCACCTTGGCCTGATCAATCTCGCCAGCGAATGTAAGAGAGATGGGCATCGCTATCCGCTTCTCGAGAAGACAGCTTACCTTTCCGGCGCTGTCGACCTGAGCCCGGAAGGTGGATGCCCGGAAGTCGTATTTGGCACCGATAGCAGTAGTGCCATCTCTGCTAGGACCACCCATAAGAGCTGCAGCCGCATTGGGTGCAAACTGGAGGTTCATATCAACACCCGCCTCAACGCGCTCGGAGAGTTTCTTCCAGTAAGATGCTGTGAAAACACCCTGAGCCTGGAGCTGAGCACTGGCGATCCAGTCACTGGTCTTGTACCGGGCGCTGTAGGAAATCGCAGTTTCTGGGCGAGTGTTCATGCCCTGGCGCTGCCAGATAGCCTCGAATCCAAGAGCTAGACTGGGGGTAACGGATTGGAGGTAGCTCCCGACGAAGATGCCAGTAAGACCCCCATCCAGGAAGGATGGATTGAAGGCTTTGATGGAGGCCGAAAAGTCATCGCCGGTGTAGTCGTTATCGATCTGCATAAGACCCTGGCTAGCGCCGGCCATGATCTGAGTGTTGGTCTTGGTGACAAGTTTCGGGCTCCAACGATAGTTGCTGACGGCGGCGAGTGCGCCATCGCTTCCAAAGTTGCCTTGCATGAATACCTTTCCCCCAAATCATACACTTAGCATCTGGTGTGAAGAATAGAGCCACAGCCAAGGGGTATGCAGAATGAAAGTATTGCCTACCTTTGGACTTCCATACATGGCCGAGAAGGCATAGGGAGGCAGGTTCCCTGACGAGCCCATGGAGAATGCATGCGACACACGGAACAGAGGAGACATGCCAAAGACCTTCGTTAGGTCCGCCCGAAGACCAGAGAACATGAAATTGGACAGCAGGACCTCCTTCTGCACCTCTCTGGCGATGTTATCCACGGTTCCGGGATTGGGCAGGCCAAGGGCCGCCCTTCGCTCTGAGAAAGAGATGTATGCATCCTTGATGACTGCAGCGACGGAATTGTCCGTGAGGAATGAGGGAGGGGTTAGGTATTCGGCCATTGTGACTATTTGGAGATGATTAAAGGCCGTTAAGGGAGGGAAAGGATGAAGGACACGAATGGTCGTGACGCGGGTTTAAGAGGAAGACGGTCTTCGATGAAAAACAAGAAAGAATTTGTGACCAGCCCTGGAGTTGAACTTCAGAGATACAAGAGCAACCGTAAGAGTTGCAAAGTGACCTCTATAAGGCGGGCTGTGTTCGGCCTGCTCTGGTCGAATAAAAGTGTCGAGGGAAAGAGACGCAGGGTAGATTGATTAGGTATTGAGTATTCCTTTGCTCTGGAATTGAAAAATGTCACTTTTGGTTTTCCGCCTGGTTGCATCTTTGGCCTCTCTAGACAGCTGAAGCACACTAGCCGCTTTGGGCCTTCTCGGGATTGGATGGAACGGGCGGAGCAGCAGTTTATCTCCAAGCAGAGCTCTAGATCTGGAAATATTCTAGGGTCGATAATAACGTGTATAATGTGAAGAGATCAAGAAACATATGGAGAAGCTCTGACCACATCTGGAGTGGTGTTTTATCACTCAGTCGTGGACTTATGATTTCGGGTACTGTTGCTGTACACCTCCGCCGTCGCCGAATCACCAGGTTACTTTGTCGCCTACTTGGACCAAGGTCCTCTTATTCTCTCGCTCACAGCACCATAGGTTTAGCTGCCTAGATATATATCTTTGATTTTATCTCCTCTTTTTCCTATACTCCCGACCATCTATTCTGAACCAACGCTTCCTGTTACTATCGTCTATCACACTACCTTACGTGGGGCAACCACCACCTTTTTGACACTTTGCTACTATGGATACCCTATTGTAAGCTGCCCTCAAAGCCCCTCCAACTACTGACCCCTTCTATGCCCCCGTTAGAAACATTAGTGAAGTGTCAAGAGACGGCGAAACGAGGACTTATTTTAAACACCATCAAATAATGTATTGTATTCATTCAGCACTGACATTAGGCTAGAACGGCAGACATTGTCGCCAACTCCCCGCGGTTCCGGCGAAAGTCATCAACATTCGTCGATGCAATCCATGACTTACCTGAAAAGGCTGACTTAGCACCGGCGCAGCTGTATAGTACAGAGTCCGGCCGACTTTTCCACTCGGGCCGGATTGTCATTATCACTGTAGGCTTACCAGCGAGAGGCAAGACGTTCGTTTACCAAATCGACTGTGCTTCAATCAGGACTATCACTGACGTATCTCTTTATTCTAGGCATATATCCGTTGCCCTAGCGCGCTATCTTCGGTGGTGCGTTGAGACATCCTCTCCGACTTCAGATCTCTTTGGGTCGTCTGGACTGATTCCTTCGCAGGTTGGGTGTCAAGACTAGGATCTTCCATCTTGGGGATTACAGACGTGCTACCATCCCAGTTGGTCAGGACATCCCTGATGATTACTTCTTTGTTAATGGTTAGTAAACTACCCTCCGAGGCGTTTCTACTCCTCGCTAGCCGGATTACTCGCGTTGATTTATGTCATTGCTCATTTCGCTGAATGAGCGTAGCATCTGCTTCCTCGGTGCTTCTGAGACAGAAGATTGTAAAACGGTGCCGGGAAGACATTTATCAATTTCTGAATGATGAAAATGGACAGATAGCAATATACGACGCTGTCAATCCTTTGGCTTCAGGACGACGATCGCTTGCAAAGGAGTTCGCTAAACATGACATTGAGGTATGCCAAAGCCCATCACATGTCACCGTGGATGAACTGTGCGTACACTAATTCTCGGACAAGACTCTTTTTATCGAGTCGTGGTGCGATGATGAGCGTATTATCGAGGAGAATGTCCGCCGAGTAAAAATATCTTCACCTGATGTGAGTGCATTCCCGTGAGATTCCAGTAGCCATTGTCTTAGAATCGACGACTAATAGTCATTAGTATGTAGCCTGGACATCAGAGGATGCAGTGAGACATTACTTGACCCGTATAAACGCTCGAATCCCTCAATTTCAGACGATGGAGGAGAAAGACCTGAACTATATCAAAGTGATAACACCTCATCTTGAACCCTAGGAATTACACTGATCTGAAGTAGATGATAAACGCTGGAGAAAGACTAATCGTTAACAACCGAAGCTTTGGGTATCTTTCCCATCGGATCGTTTTCTATCTTCTCAACCTCCACATCAAATCTAGGCACACATATTTTGCTCGGGTGGGTGGACAGCTGCGGACTCACGCATTAATGTCTTGTTCTATGTCTGACAAATTAACTTTCAGGCTGGCGTTTCCCTGGAAGCGGACTCTTACAAAGCAGATGCTTCTTTGTCAGAACAGGGGGAGGATTACGCCAAGAAAATGACAGAGTGTCTCTTAAGACACAGAGAGTCCGAGAAACAAGCGACGATCGACCAAGGGGAGACAAACTACGAGTTGAAACCATTGACGGTTTGGACTTCCACAAGACGCAGGACAATCGAGACTGCCAAGTATCTGCATGAGACTGGGTACAAGGTCCGACAAAGATCACAACTAAGCCAGTTGAACCCTGGTGTTTGCGAGAAGATGTCAGAGAAAAAGATCCGCGAGGAGTATCCAGACGAGGTAGCGAAGCATGAATTGGATCCTTACCATCATAGGTACCCTCGGGCAGAGGTAAGTTCTCTTGTCCTTGCAAATACGATATTTATTGATAGAGTTACGTTATGATAGTCATACCATGACTTAGCTGTGCGCCTCGAACCCATTATCTTGGAACTTGAGCGTGAGCAGAACGATCTTCTCATTATCGCGCACGAAAGCGTACTGCGGGTTCTATATGGCTATCTTATGGCATGTAATGCGGCAGATATTCCATTCCTAGAATTCCCTCGAGACGAGATAATTGAGGTACGATAGTGGTGAACCAAACAAACAAACACATTAATAACTGCTTTCTCCAGATAATTCCCGAGAGTTACCAAAACGAGGCTCGCAGGGTCCATATTCCTGGCCTGCCCAAGGAGATCATTCCTGGCTCACCTCAAGACATCAAAATACCCGTACCCCCTAGTGGAGTAACCACTCCTTTAGTTGGAGGGTTGAGTAGTCCGCAGGAGGGGTTTTCAACTCCACAAAGTGGACTCCGAACCCCTCGTGAACCCGAAAGAATTTCGCAACAGCATGTGGAAGATGTCGTTTAGCTTCGTGCTCTATTGGATCGTGTTGTGTTTGAAGAGTATAGAATTTAGCCACCGTCCTGATCCTGCCACAATCATGAAATTAATGGCGGGATCGTGAACATAAAGTTAAAGTAACCCTATCCTCCATGCAGTGTAGAAACGAACACAATATTATCGTTAGGTTGGAGCTCATAGTTTTCTTCACCCTCAAGTTCCCAGTCGGCATCGTTGATGAGGACAAGAATACCAGGCCGCCTATCATATATACCATCAGTCACGCTGCCTATCGTTGCCCTAGAGGAACATACACATTATCCTCTAAGATGAAAAGTTCCTTTCTCTCATCCTTCATCACATTGTCAGCCAGGTGCTTGAGGAGGAAACTGATATTCGGCCGGCCTCCGTCACTCAATTTAGCAGGTATTATGAAATTATGTTTGCGCTCGTTGGAAAATAACATCTCAAGACCACCACTGTAATCTCATTAACAAACCAAGGCTATGGTAGGTACTGGAGGGGGGAGCGAACGTGAATTCAACGGTGATAGAGAAGGGGCAAGGTGGCTCCGTCCTCTCAGCGTGGGGACTAGCCTCTGTGCCGGTGGTCATATTTAACTTATACACTGGTAGGATTTGAATCGAGGCCTTCTGTGAGTATTGTACTGTTTATGAAGGCTGTGGTGAAAGAGCGGGAAGAGGGGTTTTTCCAGCACCTTTATCGATAAGAGTCTGGAGCTCGCGGCACAAAAAAGTCATTTGTTCTTGCCTTTGCGATTCTTAATCCCCCTACTTCTTCACACGACGAAAGACTTTCGCAGAAAAGTCCAAAATAAAATTAAGGACCAACAAACCCCACATTTTTGTCCCCGAAGGTAGTACCTCGAAAATTCAAGCTCATGGTATCCGTCGCAAGCGATTATATCTGTGTGGGCGGAAATAGGCATCCCGCCGCCGCTGACTGGGACGTCCAGTCCGGGGTGCTTGCCTTTGGTGCTGACAATAATGTGGCTTTGTGGGACCCTAAGGTATGGTTTCTCCTGTTCACATATTTGGTTTCCGCCACCTTTTGTGCCAGTGGCTGATTTTGCGCGCAGGACACGTTTCAGCGTGGAGTCTACTCTCTTCTCGTCGGCCATACCGATAAAGTTAATGCCGTCAGGTTCTACACATGTCCCATTACGGACACAAAATTCCTTGTTACTGCTTCCGCCGATCGTACGGTCCGGATATGGAGAGCTGTCACAGGCAATAATAGCCACTTCACACTCGCGCAGACTCTAGAAGGCCATACAGGCTCGGTTAATATACTTGCGGTTAGTGATGGTGCGGATATCATTGTATCTGGAGCAGCGGATGGAAGTGTCAAAGTCTGGAGGATAAGGGCTCAAGGGGAAGTAGCTAAGGGCGAGCTACTAAAAACCATAACTATGACACCGCGACTTTTCCCATTGGCATTAGCACTGAAGCCGCTTCAGACAGACGGGCCCATGGTATTGGCGGTTGCAGGCACTGCCAACATCGTACAAATCTATGTTACCGAAAACGCACGCGGGAATCTTGATTTCAAGATCGCTGCTGTGCTATCTGGTCATGAGGCTTGGGTGCGCTCTCTGTCCTTTACATGGGATAAACAAAGTCAAACGGGGGATCTTTTACTTGCGTCTGCGAGTCAGGATAAATACATCCGTCTCTGGCGACTCCAGCGGGGCGAGGTTACTCTTGCACCACCGGAAGGGGATAAGGATCCTGTGCTAGGTGGACTCGAACCGACGTTATCAAATAAAGCCCATCAGTTCCATGCGGCGGGATTGAAGTATTCTGTCACGTTTGAAGCCCTTCTGTTCGGAAACGAAGATTGGATATACACTGCTGCATGGAACCCCAGCCCTGAGCGCCAACAACTTCTCTCGGCTTCTGCAGATAATACGTTGACTATCTGGGAACAGGATGCCGTGTCTGGAGTTTGGGTTTCAGCTGAAAGGATGGGGGAAATCAGTGTCCAAAAGGGTTCTACTACAGCTACTGGCAGCACTGGTGGCTTCTGGATTGGTCTCTGGTCACCTGACGGCAAACAAGTAGTAAGTCTAGGGCGTACAGGTAGTTGGAGGGCATGGTCCTACGATGCAAATGTGGATGTCTGGGTACAGACCCTGGGCATATCGGGTCATGTCCGATCGGTTAACGGTGTGCGATGGGAACCTACCGGGGGCTATCTTCTATCTACCAGCGCTGACCAGACAACTCGACTTCATGCACAGTGGCTACGAGGTGAAAAACAGTCGTGGCATGAATTCTCAAGGCCGCAAATCCACGGATATGATCTAAACTGTGTCGATACATTGGGGCCTGCGCGTTTCGTTTCTGGTGCAGACGAGAAACTTTTGCGAGTGTTCAGCGAGCCCAAGCCAATTGCTAAGTTACTAGAGAATCTTTCTGCCTTCAAGCAGTCTACAGAGACAGAACTGCCGGATACTGCTCAGATCCCCGTTTTGGGTCTATCAAACCAGTCAATGGGGGAAGAAGCTCCACTAGGTGAGGAGGCGAAGGCGGCTGATGTTAGACAATCCCAGGCGAATCAAGCAATACTGTCAGGTTCGGAACGGCCGCCATTAGAAGACCAGCTAGCGCGATACACATTATGGCCCGAGCACGAAAAACTCTATGGCCACGGTTATGAAATATCGGCTGTGGCTGTTAGTCATGACCGCACAGTCATAGCTACCGCCTGTAAGGCGAGCTCAATAGACCATGCAGTAGTCCGTCTCTATGACACGTCGGATTGGCATGAAATCCGACCTTCCCTTGCAGCACATTCTTTGACTATCACAAGCCTCTCGTTTTCTAGAGATGACCTTTACCTCCTGAGTGTTGGCCGAGATCGGCAATGGGCAGTTTTCCGCCGCAGCGAACAAAACACTTCTACGTTCTCGCTTATGGCATCTCATCCGAAGGGTCATTCAAGGATGATATTGGATGCAGCTTGGGCCCCTGTGCAGGAGACTCACACTTTCGCCACAGCTGGTCGGGATAAGTTAGTAAAATTATGGCAAATGGCTGAAGGATCGTTTGTATGCAAGGCGACAATTAATCTGAAGAGCTCTGTCACCGCAATATCATTCCTCCCACAAGTGCGGATGGGTTCACTCTTCCTCGCGACGGGGGAGGATAGCGGCGAAATTTCACTCTATAAACTTGCGGCTGACAGTCTAGAGGCCACTCATCTGGGCAATATTGATAAGCTCTCATCACCCTCTAAGTCGATTACACAGCTCGCATGGCGACCTACTGAGAAAGACGAAATAAACCAAGACGAATATAGTCTTAAGCTTGCTGTCGCTAGTGAAGATACCTCGACGCGTATATATGCTGTTTCTAATATGGTCTCGTGAGATGAAGCATGACTTGAATATGCAAATTAAAAGCAAAGATCATTGGTCAGGTCTATGAATATCGAACTCCTGGAATGTTGAATATATCCGCCGCGTTTGGCTTCACGTTCCTCCTTACATGCATCCCATGGCATCGTCTAAGTTTTGTTGAATAAGCTGCAAAGAAAGAAAGATGAAAAGACAAGATTGAAACGAGGAAGAGTCCGATAAAGACAAAGGAACGGATTAATCACGTTTTTCGAGCCCATATCCTCCCATTCCATCAAACGACTCGTAGGTCTTAGCTTGGCCGTGTCGTCCGTTTCTAGGACCTCTAGCTTTTAGATCTTCCTTGAGCCATTTTAGAACGAGTTCTCCAAGTTGACTATTCTCGGACGTTGCGGGTACTTCTTCCTGGAATTTTTCAATTGGACCCCATTGCTTGACATTTCCAAGGTTCATGTGTACCAAATTTGTCGGCCATTGCGATAAATTGTCCAAAATATGCGTAGCGTACACTATGGTACAGGGTCTAGTTTCGGTTTCGCGCTTGAGGAAAGAGAGGAAATTATGCCGGGATAGCAGATCCAGGTCAACGGTGATTTCATCGAGAAGTAGGACTTGCCAGGGTCGGAGCAAACCCATGGCCAACTGGACACGGCGGCGCTCTCCATCGGAGACAGCATGCATGCGCCAACGCAAGTCAATATCGAGAATATCCACAAGCTCGTCACGTCGCTCAGGGTAGGCGTCCCCGCCCACGGAAGCCAGCAATGTAGGGACATCCATGTCCGTCCGAACAATGTTGTTAAGAACCCACTCCACGCCTAGATACGTTACCCCTTCCAGGCCCTCTTTGAAGGGATCCTTGCCCCCCACGGTGATCGTGCCATCCGGCGCGAGGCGTTTACCCGCTAGCAAGCGTAGAAGGGTGGTTTTGCCTGCTCCATTGGCTACCATTGGAGTCAGATATCCAAAACCATAGGATGGCTAGGGTAATCAAAGGTACTTACCCCCGATGAGTAACGTTCGACTCCCGGCAGGTAAATCGAGGTTTACATCTTCCAGGCCGGACGAACCATCCTGGAATCGATAAGACAAATTCTTTACCTGGATTGACGGTGCATTGGCCATGATAAAGGGAGGGGTAGGGGGGGAGAAAGGATGCCAAGTAGAGGGCATTCATACATGGATGGGGATGATGAGATCAGATAAGCTGCTCCGCTTTGCCCGATAAGGTTAATGCCCCTTCAATCCTTTTTCTGTTTCACCTCCACCACCCCTCTTTCGGTCCTTAGTTAGCGTCGTCGCGATTCTCTCGGGCAAAGGGATTGCCGGAGACGGAAAATGCTAAGTGCTGCTTCTCATATTCTCTCATGCGCATTTTTCTTCGGTATCCTTTCTTTTCCAGACGCCCGTTCAGCATGCAGCCCCTCATAGCCATCGTCGGTGCCACGGGCACTGGCAAGTCAAAGGTGGGTTATCGCATGAAACAGACCTACTCTGATAATTACATTGGGATATAATCGCTGATGGCTGCAGATAGCTTGCAGTGGACCTGGCCTCTCGTTTCAACGGTGAAATCATCAATGGAGATGCGATGCAAATGTACCGCGGTCTCCCCATCATCACGAATCAAATTCCAATGGACGAACGGAACGGTATACGGCACCACCTAATCAGCTGTATTGAGCTGGGGGAGGAACCATGGCGTGTGGGGTTGTTCAAAAGCGAATGTCTTCGAATTATCAAGGGGATTCATTCCAGACGAAGGCTCCCGATTCTTGTGGGTGGCACACATTACTACACGCAAGCCGTATTGTTTAAAGACCAGTTAGTGGGAGAGGGGTCGGACGAATTCCAGGGCGCAGGTGCACGTTCCGATGGAGAATCAGAGGACTCGTCTACGAAGTGGCCCATCCTCGATGCGCCGACAGATGTGGTGTTGCAGAAATTGAGAGAGGTCGATCCAGCCATGGCTGATCGATGGCATCCAAACGAAACGCGCAAAATTCGTCGCTCCTTAGAAATCTACTTTCAAACGGGGCGTCCTGCATCGGAAGTGTACGCTGAACAAAAACGCTCGAAGCAGGCAGCCATGACCAATGGTGACCCTACCGCAAACGAGGGACAGCTACGGTTCCCAACCATGGTTTTTTGGGTTCATTCGGAGAAGGAAACTCTGATCTCCAGACTTGAAAAACGAGTGGATGTGATGATTGAACAAGGCCTGATGGCTGAAGCACAGATAATGTCAGATTATATCCGAGGACAAAAGACTCAGGGCGCTAGCATCGATCTGACACGGGGTGTTTGGGTTGCCATTGGATTTAAAGAACTAGCGCCCTATTTTGAAGCGCTACATAATAGTTCTTTAAGCGTTCAAGAACTAGAGGCCCTCAAGAAATCATGTATTGAGTCTATCAAGATTGCTACCCGTCAGTACTCGGTCTCGCAGGTCAAATGGATTCGAAACAAGTTATGGAGAACCCTTGCAGAGGCCGGTATGACACATATCCTTTACCTTCTAGATAGCACGAACGTTGAAGAGTGGAGGGAATGCATCACTGAGCCGTCAGAGCTCCTTACTCAGGCCTTACTTAAAGGCGAATCTGCTCCGGACCCGAAGTCCCTCTCAAAGCTCGCAAGTACTATTCTGGGTGCGAAAGAAGCCCAGTCGCAAAAGGATGCAGGCTCCTCGGCGAAATGTTTCACTTGCGGAATTTGCCGCAAAACGATGGTAAACGAAGAGCAGTGGCACATTCATCTCAACGGCCATAGTCATAAAAGGGTCCTCAAAGCCATAGCTAAGAGAGCGGAGCGTGAAGAATTTCTACAAGAACGAAGAGAGAGTACACGAAGCATTTCTCGTGACAAAGGTAGTGAATCATCAGACGAACAAAACTCCCTCTCAGACCTATTTCAATAAATACCACCCATGGTGTATAACATTTACCCAAGCGAAATCATCGAGGTTTTAGCTCGGTTGATTGTCGGCAATGATAACGTCTTATATTCCTTGAACAAAATATAAATAGTAGGAGCGACAGAATATATAGGTCACCCAAGGCTCCTCTGGACCCGAGCGTAGCTTGAGCTCATATCTATTAGACTACCGCACTATCTGCTTTTTTTAATGTCAAAGTGCTTCCTTGGCTAGCTCTCTAACCATAGCAACCGAAGGATGGAGTCATACCTTGCGAAAAGAATATATCTATGATTGTGTGTTTGTCCGGCATCATGAAGTGTGTGCACAGTTCTCAGAGCTAGGCGGTCGGTTGTGGCATCCCAGCTTCACAATTAGGTTCTATTTAGAACTGGTTGATACTCTGGTGTATCGGGAAAATGTGCATGTGATCGACCAGGTTCCTGGAATACAAAGGAGCCAAAAATCATAACATAATGCTAGCGAACCTCATGTTGCTGATCGCCAGGCTGAGAATGACGGTGAAATTATATCGCCTGTCCCACTCTCTTCAATCCTGAAAACTTCGATGACGGATGATTTCTCAAGTTTTCGGATTCTCCACGTCCCTTCTCCGTTGATAGTAGATTTTAACCCTAAAGCTGATCAGCCTGAGTTCAAGGATACCAAAAGCTCGGGGAACTTATACACTCGAGGAATGCGCCGGTGAAATTGATGCAGATGTTTCCGTCCCAGGTGCCCCTACCAGTTCTTTTGACTTTGTTTGGTATGCTGGCAGTTTCAAGTTCCTCTAAACGACGGACGATACCATACTGATCGCGGAAACCTACAATGATCTTAGGAACACCAAGCAAAAATGATTGCGCCCAGAATTTCAGCAGTTTCCGCTCATATTTCACCATGTCCCGGTCATTTTGAATTTCGGCAGATGTTTTGAGTTCCACCCAGTGAATAGGGTCTTCTTTTCGGTCAGGTTTGCAGTCCCAGACTGTCGAGTAATTAGCATGCGCGTTTAGACAACTTCCGGTCTTTCTCATACTAGCGTCAACCTCCCCAGCAATTAATAGTCGCGTCTGACCTATTCCAGTGCGTACAATAGAGCAGTATTGGGTATTGTTGTTTACAACCAGCTCATCCCGGGATTCGATCTCTTCACGTGTTGCTGGGTCCCATGGCTTGTCAAGAAGAGATAATGTTTCGAACTTGTATCCTGATTCGGTCAACTATCAGCTTCATAGTGACGGAAATACTTATATCGTACCCCAATATGCCATTAGGGCCTGAGAAGGCCGCCCTGGGGGCATTATTTGATTCTTCTGTAGCTGCTTTTGCTGGTTCTTGTAGAGGTTGTTTTCCTCAATAAAGCTAGGTACCGTTTAGAAGATGCGCAGCTGGCTTAGCTATACAAACAACAATAAAATAGAAAAAAAACACTTACATTGTGCCCTGCAGAACGGTTAGCTTTGAATTCCTAAAGAAGGAGTAGATACGCCCTAGACAGGGGAAAGAAAAATTGACTCACCTGAAATCTTGTTGCGTTCATCTCGAATCTAGACATGATTGAGTGGGGAGCAATATCGCGGCAGTCAGTACCTATACATACCCGTTCAAATTATCAAATGGAGCAGTCAGGATCTGGATAGATGTCAGCGTTAGTTAGCTTCGGGGGCCTAAAAGTGGAACTTTAACGCCGGATAAGTAGCGAAGCATACATACTTTGGTCATCATTCCTCTCCAGGTGACGATGTCGGCCTCGCATTTCTTCCCCGTATCCTTTTCTAGAGCCAACATGGATTCTAGCAGAGCATCTAGATGCTCATCTGCTGAATCGTCCAGCTTCTGAAAGGTATCGAAACCATGGTTCAAGTCTGCAGGAAGACTTGGTGGATAGTAGTATCGTAGGGATGAGTCTCCCAGATGAAAAGTGTGCTGGTCATCATATGAAAAACAAGTAATCTCCTGCACAATGTTTATACAACCGAATGGGAAAACCATGCAGAAAGGTTCATCAGACCTACCCTTGGACGTCGGATAGCGGTGTTGGAGCCATAGAAGCGACCAATAGGCTGTATATCAAACATGCTCCGATACATAACTCCTTATGATATTTTCTAAATATCTTAATCTGACGTGATTGAATTGGCAAGGAACAATAAATCGCACAAGAATGAGGAAGTAGAGGAAAGGACATAGGCGGCGCAAACAATTGGCAATGCTTGCAATCAAGGTTGAAAGTTTCAGAGGTAGTATATGCCAAGAGGAGCAGCTGTGTTTTCTTTGTACAGTTGAGGCGGAGTGTGATGATAATATACGGTAGCAGTTAGAATAACAGTATCCACGGAGTGCTAACCTCAGGCATTGAGGGCCGCCCCAAAACGGGATTAGCGCCCTATAAATTGTCAATTTAATGTGAAGCAACTTTTGCCTCGGAATTTCGTTCTTTCTAAGGGCTCAAATATGACATCGTGATATTTTACTAGACAGCAGACCTGCTTATATGAAAATGTACGGTGTACTGGTATTTGTTCTCTAGGCGTACCGGTACATACTTAGTCACTACCTAGCAATCGATTTGAATACTTATCACGAGCTTTTAAACTGGATATATGATACCTACCACTGCTTCATGACACAAAAGACCATAGCACCATAGGTATCTAAATTTCTTTTAAGGCATTGTATTCAACAGCTAATTATAATGGTTATTATGGAGAGCAGTAAGTTGTCGTAGTACCCGAAAAGACGTGTTTAGTCCCTAAGCCGTAATAATACATCCAATGTGTCCCACCAAATGTCTCCAAACTCTCAGTAGTGGTATCATTTCATCAATACCAAAACCCCTCGTTTCTTTTCTTCCTCTCCCACTCGCCGAGTACTCTTCCGACCATCTTCTTATATTAAGTCCGACTCGTCTTTTCGCCCCCACCCCCTTATTTCCTGTTCTTATCACCTAACTTTGAAGGGTTTCCTGCATTGAACACGAAGCAGGATGACCTCACGTATCGACAAGACCATTGCCCGACAACAAGAAAAGTAGGAACATCATGAAGCCCGCGCGTTTGCTTTTTATGCCAATCCCTTGTCGGCGTTAAAGTCTTACATAGAAAAGAGCTAATTATTTTGGCGGCTACAGGATAGCCTCTGGTGCTTATTACGAAGCTCATCAGCAATTGAGGGTCATCGCTGCGCGGTATATCAAGCAAGCAAATTACGATGCTGCGGCGGAGCTGTTGGCCGGGGGTGCGACTGCGCTTTTAAGAGCTGGATCCCAGCAAGGTGCTTCTGCCAGCGGAGGGGATTTGGCCATTATGCTCGTCGTTGAGGTGTACACGAAGGCGGGGTGGGTGATTACTGGAGGTGACGATGATACTGAAGGCCGCGCTCGAAAGAGTAAGTCTCGAAAAGCAGCCCTCTTCGTACAAGATTTATGGTAAGATTTGGTTGAGGATTGGCTAAGTTGATAACCTTGCCTAAATGCAGAGCGTCTTATCGAGCTACTACATGAATTCCCAACCGATGAGCCAACGCGCAAAAGGTTCATACAGGAGATGATTGGCTGGAGTGGACGGTTTGGACCTCTGGAGAGAGGCGATCCTGAGTTGCATCACGCAGCGGGATCGGTGTATGCTGAAGGTTTGTTCCTTAATACGGATGAGATAGACAGCATTGCTTTTCTTAACCAATCACTCTAGACCATGAACCCTATGACGCCGAAAAGCATTTAGTTGTCGGAACGTCAGAATCAGCCGAGACTTTGGCAAAGCTCGAGTACGAGTGGTATGAAAATGATGAACCACACACGGCAGCGATCTATGCATCACGCGCAGTCTTTCCATACCTCCTGACCGGAAATTTACGCAGTGCTAATAAGGCGTTCCTTATCTTCACATCGAAGCTTTCGTCATCCAATCCTTCGCTCCCGTCCCAGGATGTCAGCAGCGCTAGCACCGACGTGCGAGTCTTTCCCGCACTGCCTTTATTGAATTTTATCAGCATGCTTCTCCTTACGATCCAACGTGGCAGTGCGGACCTTTTTAAGGAGCTGACCTCGCACTATGCATCGCAAATTCAAGAGGTCGGTATCTGGGATGATTTCTTGGCTCAGATTGGTGAGCAGTACTTTAGTATTAAGATCCCAAGGCAGGGCAACCCTTTGCTGGATATGATGGGAAGTATGTTGTTCGGAGGTGGCCAGAGTGCAGGTGAGAGGATGCCGCATGGCAGAGGACAGTCCAGGGAAGTCGAAGCGCCACCAGCGAATCCCGACCTCGACTAGTTAAACTGAAGGCAGGATCCATGATATAGACGGGCCAGAAACAGTATGCACAACTTGACATGAAGATACAAATGCAGCGAAGTGGATGGGGGCATTAACTAGAACCGCGAATCAGGTTCTGACTCGTATATCCAATTGTCTTCATCTAAAGAGGCCACTTTGTGGCGAAGGCTTTGATGGATAAGATTTAGGATTTCTAACGAAACCAACCAACAATGGTCATTTAGAATTTGATCAAATATGCCACATGGAGAGTAAGAGTAAGACTCACCAGCTGGTTCGCTGCTCATTTGTCTGTTTCGGTTCCGGTACATCAACTCTACCAGACTTGCCTCAATCTCTAGACTCATTGCGATCAGTATGTAATCAGCCGCAAATAGTCGGATTGACACGTAAACATACTCTCCTTTTCACGTCCGCTGATTTCCGTCTGCGCTGTGGTATCTGCGCCTGTAGCCCCGGATCCTCTAGCAGCTCCGTCTTCTTTTATGCCCTCCATCTCATCCTCGTCCTCCCCAACGACGGGCGGAAGGATGGGAATGTCGAGTTTATAAGTACCATTGTTGTCCTTCACCACGATCTCCCCAGCATCAACCATGCCGGAACTCGACGACTGGCTCGGTTCAGACGGCGCAGATGACATATTATGAGAGGAGAGGCCGGGCAATCCGCCGTTTGTACCACCTTGCGCAGAGGCATTGGAGGGAGCGACTGACACGGAGCGTTTGCTGAGGTGGTGGTGGTGGAAGAGATTGCGGCGGACAGTCGTTCCCATTGTAGCACCAATGTTCAGCGCTGTATACCGGGGAAGTATGAGAAATGCAGTGAGCCCAGTATCCTCTGTTGGAAAAAGAAACGGAGCTCGGGTGTAGCTTATTGTCAAGAAGTTCAGGCAGGCTCTGCTAGGGGTGTTGTGGGTAGATAATAATGGACTCTTTCTGAGGATGGACAAAAGCTATCGGAATAATTTTTTGGAATGGGTGTAAGAATAGAATATATATATATAAAGAAGGGTGTCATGAGTTGAGCCCGAAGTAGCAATGAACAGTGGAAACAAGAATGTCGAAGCGGAGTTGTTACATATATACCTAGATAGGCTAAATGCGCACTTGGCAACTGGCCAGATTTGTTGCGCGATCCAAGCCCCACGGCCATTCGCTGTCCTTCGAGTCTTTTTTTTGCTTTTTCTACCTTACCAATAGTTTGTGTCTAGAAATTATATTGGTCACGCTAGAGCCGTAAGTAAACTGTAACTAGAACTACTTGGTGAGACAGAGAGAGCACGGGATTTGATTAATCCCAAATCGGTCAAATTTCCCCCGACGCGTCTCTTGCCGACTTTCGCGTCTTCCCGAGCGACCTTTCTCCTGCCGACGACTTACTAGGGATAGCAAAACGACTGCACAATGGTTCAAGCCGAATCTTCCGCAAGTGCTTCTCGTAATGGTCTTAAGCCTGTCACAGCGGGGGCTGCTCCAGATTATGAGCTGCCATGGTACATGAACGCAATCATTGTTACTTTACTCTATTAGAGAACGAAGTCTGACAAACAATTACCCATAGGGTTGAAAAGTACCGCCCGGTCTTCCTCGATGATGTTGTTGGCAACACCGAAACCATTGAGCGACTAAAGATTATCGCCAAAGATGGCAATATGCCGCATGTCATCATTTCAGGCATGCCCGGTATCGGAAAAACCACTTCTATCCTATGTTTGGCGAGACAGTTATTGGGTAATGCGTATAAGGAGGCCGTCTTGGAATTGAACGCTAGTGATGAGAGAGGTATGCAGTTTCTTGTTAACGAAGAAGCAGGTAAGTGCTGACAATATCCTAGGTATTGATGTTGTTCGGAACCGAATCAAGGGATTCGCCCAAAAGAAAGTCACACTACCATCAGGACGTCACAAAATCATTATCCTTGATGAAGCAGACAGGTATACACCAACGAAAAACTCTCTCCTATATACCTAACTTATCACTTATCGATCTTTAGTATGACGCCAGGTGCTCAACAGGCGTTGCGACGCACGATGGAGATTTACTCTTCTACTACGCGATTTGCATTTGCCTGTAACCAGTCGAATAAAATCATAGAGCCTATCCAGTCTCGATGTGCTATCCTCCGTTATGCTCGGTTGACCGATGGACAGGTTGTCAAACGGTTGAAGCAGGTCTGCGACGCCGAAAAAGTGGAACATGCAGAAGACGGAATTGCGGCCCTAGTGTTTAGTGCAGAAGGAGACATGCGTCAGGCCATTAACAATTTGCAGAGTACGTGGTCAGGATTTGGCTTTGTTAGCGGCGACAACGTCTTCCGAGTTGTCGACAGTCCTCATCCGATCAAAGTCCAGGCAATGATTAAGGCTTGCTGGGAAGGGAAAGTGGATGCAGCATTAGAGACTTTAAACGAGCTATGGTATGTTACGTGATGGGCGATGTTACCATTTCTATATCTGGACTAACCGCCCGATAGGGGATTGGGTTACTCTTCCCATGATATTATTAGCACAATGTTCCGAGTCACAAAGACGATCCAGACATTATCGGAGCACTCCAAACTCGAGTTCATCCGGGAGATAGGCTTTACACACATGCGCATTCTAGATGGTGTACAATCACTACTCCAATTGAGCGGGTGTATTGCGAAGCTTTGCAAGATCAACATGAAACCCCAGCTGTTTGAGACCCCCAAGGTGTGATCAAATGGAGGGAAAGGAACTTGTCATGTTATGGTGTTTAGAGGCGTTGAGAAAAGGGGTTATACCCCCAAATGTGTTCAACAATTGGTTCTTCATTGCATAGAAATTGATAATCAACTTAGCTGTTGAGTATAGCTTAAAACTAGGCCCGTAATTGGACAAGGACCACTTGGGAATCTTCTTGAATGTGTCGAGTGATGAAGGGCTTGGAATGGTTTAGTAATATTCCTATCTAGAAGACCTAAAGAAAGACAGGATGGTCCACAGATTATCTAGCAGCTAAGCAAAGACCTTGAAGTTGCAGGAAGCTGGGTAGCTGCCCGGTCAGTCAGCCCAACTTTGCCTGACAAAAGATCTTGAGGCATCTATCGTTTGGCAAACAATACCAACCAGTCGTTGGCCTAGCTTTGTGCTAGAGAGGCATAGGCGTTTAGAATTTTGTTTGAGGAGTTGCTGGCATCTTTGCACCCTCTGGAGCCTTACTCTTTCTTGCTCTTAAATTCATTACATATTTGTTCCATGGTCACCCATTCCACATCCTTGTGCTTATTAATGTGCTCAATGATCCTGTTCTGACTTAAGCGTCTGAGCTGTATATAGCAGAATACAGGCTCGGATAACTTACCTTTCATGCATGAGAAGAACATGAGGACGTCCTGAGACATCAGGATGGATGGTCATAGGGAAAACAAACTCATCATTTTCACGATAGAAATAGTCAAAGTGATCCTAGTCCGGACACATGAATCAGCGGGTTGGGCTTGGTTATGAATGGCTGGGGGACTACCTCGCCTTCCAAATATCCTCAATGTCCCTCGAATTGACCCATCCGAGACTATTAGGCTCCTTTTTGATAAACATCATAGGAGGAAGACCATCAATGTACCAGTTACCGGGTATCTCGACCTATAAGTGGAAAGACTTTATAAAAACAAGGCCAAAGTACAGGAGAAACGAAGGGGAAAGCCCACCAGACCTGTCTCCTGACCACGCTCTTCGGTGTGGAATTGCTGAATGGGATGTAGTCGGGGCTAGGAGAATATCGACTGGTTGCCCCGATGGAGACAGGGTCGCATTCCACTTATCAAGATATTTCTTTTGAAGTATAACCTTCCGCTTGTTGAGCTGCCAGTATTCATACACAGAGATAGCCTTGCTTCGGCTGACTAGCGCCTCAACATGTGGAATCAATGGTTCTCCCGAGACAGCCACATCGCGACAGATATCTTCACAACCGTTGACGGTATAATACCGGTCCATGAGTTGGATATATTCAGAATGATCTGACGTATCCCACATGACAACTTTGTGGCCCTTTGCCTGTAGTTTCTTTGACAACTCGCGGAGAACTCTTTCGATAGGGGGGTGGACTCTTACTACTCCATCATCTAGAATCAACCCGACGACCATGGGCCGATGTTGTATCTCCTCAAAATTATTCTCACTCCACGGAAGAGGGGGGGCATTTCGGGTCCAACTCCCACGGTTTAGCATTGGCAACTAACCGACTCACATGGATGATAGATGCTAAATTGCGAGTCATCGGTTCGATAGAGGAAGGGACATATTCTTGTCCTTCGGTAGAAACAGGAACTCCTAGGTAAGGTAATCGGCTGCTCTGTTGACTATTAATACTGTGCTTTCCACCTAGAACAGTCGGTCCTAGGCTGAAACGTACGGTGGGTTTAAACCCGTATAAACCCATGATGCTTTGTGGGATTCGGGTACTTCCGCCGATATCTGTCCCAAATCCCAGGAGGGAGCCATGCAATGCTAACAAGGCCGCTTCACCCCCGGTAGAGCCTCCCGGCGTCAATTGAGGTTACGCGGGTTAACCGTCAGGCCCCAGAGAGGATTTTCGGTTTCAGCCCACTTTCACCAAGGTCAGCTCATGGAAAGCTCCAGCCAAATTCATTTGAATAGACAGACCATGATACTCTGGGGCAAGTTCGTCTTTGCCAATATGATAGCTCCCATATCCCTCAGCATCTGTACTAGAACTGCATCCTCTGTAGCGGGAGCAGACGAACGCCCTACATATCCCAAGGTGGTATCTACACCTCTAATGTTGAATTGATCTTTCAACGTGACTGGAACACCGTGAAGTGGACCTTTGAGATGACCAGTTTCTTGGAATATATTATCCAGTGCTCGAGCCTGGGCCAAAGCATCTTCAAAAACCACTTCTGTAATGCAATTTGTCTAGCAGCCCCGACCACTGTTAGCAGATGCACATAACATCTTATGTTTTGATAGGTGTACCCCACTAGTTGGTGTGCTATTACGGCCCTGCAAAGGTGAGATTAATCCATTTTATCCGTGTAATTGGAAATAAATAGATAAGTCAAAGGGACCCAGCAATCACCTTCCGATATAAGCGAGAACCACATTTTCGGCAGTGAATCTCCCTTTCCTCAACTGTTCGACTAAAGTAGAAACATTGTTGATATCCGCGATTTCTTGGGCTTCCGGGTTGCTATGGATACGCGAACATTCCTGGAAGCCGCTGATCCACATCAGAGACCATATATGGTTTTAGGGTTTCGTTCCGCATGGATTTTTTTCGGAAAGCAGTTTGCTCCCATGATGGAGGGATATTCATTATGCACAGGAGTGGTGTATTAGACTATGGAGATGGATGCACTGGAGATCTGTATCGCTAAATAACCGCCGAAACAAGTGCACAGACCATAAGCCTAGAGCAGACGGCCTCCCCTGGGCATTCAATATTTATCGTACTCATTATCAAGATTATTGGGGTCAACTCTGATAAGCCCGGAACGGGGTTGCAACCTTTCGGCGGTGGAGACGACCGGGGAACGGCATGACTACTAAGCACCTAAGAGAAAAACCAATTGATATTGTTGGTAGACAAACTCTTGGTTGAAGATGTCACCAAATATATACATATATATACACACGGAATATAATACTGGTATCAATGTAGGTATCAAAAACTAGTCAGGCATATCTATTCACTCATGAATTATTAGGTAGCTAGTATCAGATAATAGTATATCCACAGGGTCTGATTCGCAGCCACACAGCGGGATCGTACGTTTCAGCGGAACGTTAGTTGGTGGAGCTAATGAATAGTCGGAAAGCAATATACCAGAATCATAATGTTACTGATTTCTTTCTTCTTCCTTTCTTTTTTAATTTTCAGATTTAGTTCCATCGCTAATGTTGCTGTTTATGCATTTAATAGTCTTTTTCTAGAAAAAAAAGAAAGGAAAAGGAAAAGGAAAAGAGGGGGCAAAATAAATGGTTGAACAGAAACAGAACAAGAATAAATGGACCAAATCCAATAAATATGTATTTAAATCCTTGCAAAGTAACCTTTCTATACTGAGCATGAGTACAAGCAATTGACCAACGTCGATAAATGGTAACCTTAAAACCCCGGATTTCGCAAGGACTATCATAAGAAAGTTGAACGGAGAGAGGGGATGAATAAAAATGAATTTAATATTAAAATCAAAACAAAAACTACAAAAGAGACATTAAAGGTACCTTAAGTGTTTTCTTTTTCTTTTATTTTTTCCCACTCTCACTTTTTTATTTTTTCTCTCTCTCCATTTAATATCTCAGGAGAAAGTCACGGTACTAAGGTTGAGACAAATACGCTACAGTGGGTTCATCACGCGGGGCCTCCACGACGGGGGAACTTTTCCTCATTTTCTCTCTCCATGTCTATCGCTCTCTTTAAATAACAAGCTGACTGATGGCCGGGGAAGGTAACTATGAGGCATTGAGATGTTCCATTCTGGTATATTGTTGTAATTGTTCTTCTCTCTCGCATACTACCTATTCTCCTGCCATCTTATCGCCCCTTTTGTTCCCGAGAACATGCCATCATGAATCCGACTTCGGATGCCACCACGACCACCCCGATGACCGGTGCCATCCGGACTGAATCCCGAAGGAAGACATCGGGGGCTATCGCAAAAAGGGCCTGCGACCAGTGCAAGTTCCGAAAGATCAAGGTAATATTTATTTCCCTTTCTCGTTCATGTTATTAATTTTACTTTGCATCCCCCACCTTCAGTGATTTTCTTCTGACGGTTGAGCGGTCGGTCATGGCATGGCCCGTGGATGTGCCGGCTTTTCTAATACCATACAGTGCAGTCTATCGCAACCATGTAAAGCATGTGTGTCCATGGGCTTTGAATGTACCTTCTTTCAGCCCCAGAAAAAGCGGGGTCCGACAGGACAGTAAGTTGATGGGAATTAAGCCGCGCTGCTTACTCCTTTTGTTGCTACATGGCCTGACCACTTCATTAGTCGTGTATCGCAAATCCGGCAGCAACAGACCCACGTGTTAAGCAAAACCCCTCAGACGCCGCAAGACCAAGTCAATTCCAGTGCCTTTTCCAATACTTTTACATATCAAACAGAACCTCCTCCATGCGAGGAAAGTCGGCATGATGCGACTCCATGGCCTATCCATGGCAGCGAAGTTTCAGTGCCCGTTGATATTGCGCAATCTCATGCGACAGCGGCGGTTGCTCCTGGATGGGGCGTAGATGCTTCGTCTATGACATCTCATAGTAACAGTGCGATCAGCTGGAACGAGAGAAGCGATGTGGAGTATTGGCTGCCGGATAACCTAGATGCTCAGATGCCCATCTTCGATTTCCCGGGCACGAATATTTACCTAAGAACATCTTTACCCTCTATCATCCAAAACGATGCGGACTCTTCGGGTCTGCAAGCACAGAATCTAGAGTCACATAATATCCCGGCCCCTATACCGGATGTGGATGTTATAAAACAAGAGCCAAATAATATGAGAGCGTTATGGCCCTCGTCGATTGTGGAAGCAAACATGATTCCGTGGATTGACGTTTATTTCGATCGCCTGCATCCAACGTTACCCGTGCTGAATCGGTCTTCCTTGTTCATCCGAATGCTATCCCAAGAACATCGTAGAAACCCTCAGTTTGGCTCGATGTTACTGTCTCTGTGCGCTTTCTCGCTCACTCAACCCATCGAGATAGATGAACGACCCACCTCTCAATCCCGAGCTGGCCAGGCCAGACTGATGATGACAGAAGCTACGAGGATGAGAAGTTGTTCTGATTTCGGCGAAAATCCGACAATCGAGGCCGTCCTTACAAGTTTCTTTCTCTTTGGATGCCTTTTTGGTAGTAACCAGCACAATGCCGCGTGGCTTCGTCTAAGGGAGGCTTTAGATCTTGCCGCGACATTGGGGCTGAATGATCCAAATTCCTATCGAGATTTACCTAGCGATGAAAAGGGCCAACGCTTGCGGACCTATTTGGTCTTGTCCATTACAGAGAGGTATGGCTTTACGGCAACACCACAGTGCTTAACCCCCACCAATCCTTTATCTAGCTGACATCAAACAAAGAGCATACGCATTACAGCGTAGACATCCGATTACCTTTTGGGGAAAGCCTGGTTTCAGCATGTGCTCTGTGCATGATTTTATTCATAATGCCACGCATAGTCTTGTTTCTGGGATTATAGTTCACAATGAGAAAGATGCCGAAGGAATGATGGGTCTGGCCCGCTTGATGGAGTTATTCGATGCCGTCAATGAGGATGTCGTCGATTGCTGGAACCGGCGGTGCAGCATCGACTCTGGCTATTGTGAAAGGCTCACGGAAGCGAAAGCTTTAGCTATTCATCAGAACCTTAGTCGAGTTAGTGAGTCCGAACGATATAAAGGATATGACTGGTTCGAACGCACAAAATCAGCTTCTGGAGAAACTCGCAACACCCAGCCGGCAATGGGATTGAGAGAAACACAGTGTGCAGATGTTTTTATCACTAAGAAGTGGCTTCAGAATCGTGTATGGGTTCTATGCTCTACTCATGGTCTACTGAAACCTTCGTCCGACCATCATGAACTTTGTTTCGACTACTGTATTTCTGTTGCAAAGGACACTCTTAAAATTTGTCAGTCATTGCGACTCAGCTCCATGGAAGCACATGGGATAGGTCTTGTAAGTCTGACATTCATTGTGAAACCCGTTCGTTTCCATGACTTATATAATCAGGTTGAGAAGCTGTACGACATCGCTGTCAGTGCAATCAGTGTTTCATCTAACGTTCAGCTGTCTCTTGGGAATGGTTTTCCTCTGGCACCACCCCCAACCCAAACGGTTCCAAAGTCAGGAGTCTCGACACCAAGCTTCTCAGGGCCCATTCACCCAGGTGCCGCTGCTACGCTACCCCAGTCCCTCGCCGAGGACTTTTTACTCCTTTTAAATAGCCTCCGTGGTGGAAATCACCCCTATCTGGAAAGATACAAAGCCTTTTTGAACGCCTCGAACATCAGGTGCAATAGTTATAGCAACTGGTCTCCACAAGTCCAAGCAACGCATACCACCAGCGGTACTTGACAACTCTTCCATTTATTGTCTTTGATTTGGTTTCTTGCCTTTCCAAGGCTTGGCGTACCGGTGGTGTGCCGTTTTAAAGGCATGTTAAGGGTTCTCTCGGGCTTCACGGAAGAAACATCATGAGTCGGTCTTTCCGCCGACCACTGAAACAGGAACCAACAATTCAGGTTGGATGTAGATTATATAGTATTTTTAGACCAAGTGTACCAATGTATACCCAACTTATGAGCGGACGGGGGTTCCGGCCTGGAAATAGAGGACATATCGAACTACATTTGAATAAAGACAATCGCTCAAAGGCCTCTGCTAACGTTTCATAGTGCTATTTAACGTTGCTTTCACATCTTGTGTATCTATTCTACGGACTAGATGTACACTAAATCCTTATATTAATAGCACAGCACATCCCAACATCGTACATTTCATCGATCTCTGCAAAGTTGTGGCCCTTCGTCTCAGGCAGGAAGAAGAATGTGAAGATTACGATACAGCATATACAGCCAGCGAATATGAGATAGGTCTTTGCGCCCAAGTTAGCTGCATCTGGTGCTGTCAGCCGAGGCACAACCAGTGTAGTTATTACCGCGGTGGTCTGAATAGAGACAATGGTATAGACTATGGTGTGATGACGGAGTTTGGGTGTGGCCATCTCTGAAGATGTCAGAATCGACAACGAGGATAAAGACGATGCCCAGACATAATTAAAAGATAAGGATAATCCAACAATCGCTATACTGGAACGTTTGTCTTGCCTGAATGCTAGACTCCGGCCAGAGCGTCAAGGACAATCAAAGCACTCATCCCGACTAAGGCGGTAGGACGACGGCCGGCTCGATCGATCACGAAAGGGACAGCTATTGCGCCAGCAAGGGTGCAGTATGACGCAATCATCGTCAAGGAGAAGGCAACTAAAACGAAGGCACCTAAGATGAAGAAATCCTCCATACCAATCTCGGCTTAAGGAAAACAGTAACATACGTGGTCGAGAGTATCACTCCGGAGACCTGGTTCAAAGAGAACGAGCCTCTGTCAGCGTCCGCTGAAGGTTTTTCCTTGAGAATATCTCCCAACTCTTCACATTAGCCTTCAATTTATGCTCCTTTTGTTCACAGAGCTCCATTATTTGAAGTTTATTGTTGACCTGCTCTTGACCTGCTCTTCGTTGAAGCCACGTAACCCGCAGATTAGTACGAGCCTGCATCAATCAGCCTTTGATGACCAGCCACTGTGGGCTTTCAGGAAGTGGTAGCGTGCAAATGAAGTAACGCAGGGATGGCACACTGCACGGCCAAAGGAATCATGTATGACACTCTACCTCCTCGTTTTTTAGTTGTAGCCATCACAACTTTTCCGATCACTCCCCCCGTCAGGTTCAAAATGTCGATTGATGTCACACTTATACCTCTCATGGAGGCAGGAACCACCTGGTAAGGCATTAATTGAACTATCTGTCCCATACATTGAAGTATGATCCAACTGCATACCTCTGAAAGATATAGGGGAGCGGTGCCATTGGCGGATGACCCTGGCAATGCTATTTATGAACCGTCCAGCCATGAACGCCGCCAGGCTAGTAGCGAAGACTTGAAGCAAATCACCACAGATAGAAATGGCATGCGCCATCAGCACGGGCCATTTTCGGTCAAGGCGGAAATTCAGGGGTGATGCTGCGAGACCTCCCAGAACCGAACCGACCAAGGGGACAGAGAATACAATGTCCTGGTTGTGGGCGGATAAAGTGTATCTACCGGTCCTTGGATTGGGTCCATGATACCTTCGACCTGTTACAGTGGATTCCATGGTTAGATGGATGGGCTTCTTTCTCCAAGGGACGATACAGCTCATAAAAGGATGCAGTGCTACCACGGATGAAATGATCTTATCGTCAAAGCCAAACAGGAACGGGGCGGCCCCCAAAGACCGTACAGACGATTATTAAGTGAACATTAACGGTCCTCTCTTTCGTTGATTGATGGGATTTGGTGGTCATCAGGTCCAAACATTGGACATCACTATCAATGGTGGGCTCCCCTGACTTTGAAATTGACACAGGCTGGGAGGAGTAAGAAGACTACTCTCACTATTATCACCAGGGTGAGCCAAATGATTAAGTTATTGATCTAAACGCCAGCCATTCCCCTTTGAGAAATTGAATATATATAAAGGAGGGAGTACATAGATGAGTAAATGACAGAATTAAATCAAACAGCCAAGTGCCGATGATCGTCTCAAAAGATTCCGCCGATCAGGAGAGAATCCCTCAGGGAGGGGTTGAGTAATAGTGCGTAGTCTATATATATATACATACAAAGTATATGTAGATCTATAATACGAATATACTATAAGTACAGAGTAAATATACCGTGACCCTGGATCTTACATATCGTACAGTATTTAACTGATTCAAGATGTCATTTCTCACTCGACAGATTTTCTTTATTTGCTTTTCTTTTCCTCGAAAACTAATAAATAAATATCATCTGTGAAGAGAAATGGTCTTCTCTTGATAATCATACTTTGAACCTAGTACTCTGTACACGAGATTCATATTAGATCTTCAAATGTCTCAGCATCGCCACTGTCCAGACAGAATCCTCAATGATTGTGAAACGGCCAGGATGGATCAATGGGCTAGCCGATCATTTACTTATCTTATTACCCCGAGGTTCCCTCGCGTGCTTCTCTCAATTGAACCAGAACCAGGTCATGATAATTCTCTTTTGAAATGAATGACAATTGCCAGCCGAGACAATGCCGCGAAGACAGGCCAATGCATCCTATGGAATATTTCATATGGCCGTGACTTTACCGCAGTTCACAGATACTCCCGACGGTTGATATCCATAACTTTCGGCTGAGCAAGGACAAGTCTCACGAATCAATCGATCGCCGTTTTCTACAATTGGTTTCACAGGAAGGAAAGGAAGAAAAAAAGACTCTTGTCCTAGCCTCGCGGTTGGCTAAATTCCCTATCTATACTACTAGCCACCTACGTACTACTAGTAGTAGTTACCTAATAAACTAGCCGACCTAAAATTCCTACACCGGTACCAGACATGCGAAGACGCGGATATCCCTGCCAAATCAGTGATATAGAATTCTCTATCGCATGCCCACTTTGTTCGTCACTCGCGCCATTGTTTCACCGAACCTTTCCCCATGGTTAATTGAATTAATTGAACGATCCTTGCGGCCTTGGGTATGACCCTAAAACTGGACTTTACCATCTTTCCTTCCAGTGAAACCCCGGAGGAAACGATTGGGGAAACATCTCTTGGGACCATTCAGAATTCCATGACCTGATATCTTGGAAGAAGACATCCCCGGAACCATGCCTAACTCCTTCAGCCGAGTACGATAGTTGCGGCATATTCACAAGGTGCTTTCAACCTTCCAATATCAATGTGGCTACCGGGGCTCTCACGTATATACTTATACACTTTGGTGAGGCATCTGCCTTTACATTAACCCTTGCCCTATGTGGTCGGAAGCGAGTCCCTTAGTATGGCCGCCTCGCTTGATAAAAGTGTAACTTGCCAGCGTTTAGGCTCCAACCCAACTCTACTAGCATCTTCTTTAAATGTCAACATAACTGCTTGGAGAGACCCCTACCTTAGCAGGGCGGATAGCGAAGCAGGGTGGGCATGATAAATTGCCACCTTCCAGCCTCTGTGGGTGTCTCCGGGGGCATTGTTGGACAAATACCGACAGTGTTCGTTTACTCTGTCAACCCGAGTGATCTCCGTGCATGGAAATATCTAAATATGTGGAACCATTGGTTAACATCAGACTGAACATCCTGGTGGTTCGGCGACCTTGGGATAAAACCGGGAAACTGCAAACTGGCTTGTACTAACCGATCTTGAAGAGGCCGCGAGAAATTTATTATCATGGGCGTAGAAGGATGCTTGGCATCAGGAAGCGAGCAAAAAGAGGATCTCTCAATCACAGCTATGGACGGCCGCGGATCCTCGTCCTAGATAGCCAAGATGCCTGGCGGACTATGCATTTTCAGGGTTTTTGATCACGGATACGCCTACGCAGCCAATACTTTCTGGGACACGGGTACGTTGCAATATGTCAGTTATTGCTGGATCACAGAGGAGTATTAGAGACTGAAGAAACTTCACAAGCATGTCCAAACGATCGCAAACGTCACTTTAGTGAGCCCAGAACGCTGTGTGGGATGGATTGGAAGTAGCATAATCTACATCACTAGGACATGCATAATGCATTGATGGCTTTTTGTGATATTACCTACCCTGCAGAGATGCAGCAGCAGCGCCTGATCTATGTCGTAGTATTGCCTTGCCGGCTTGGTTTGCTCACCGACCCGGCCTGAGATATAGACAGCTTACGGGTCAGAATTGATGTGCGATACCATGCTCCAGACACACTAAATACTGTATGTATATAGTATAGCATGTCAAATATTTTGCTACCCCTGATAGTATTTTCTGATTAACTATATAGCAATTGTTTATTATCTTAAATGTACGAAACATCTAAATGCGTACAAGTAAAACATACATATGTACATAGGATATACATGCAGATAGGTACCGGTGAATGTAGCTGGACTCTGTAGAGCCTAAGAAGTATCAAATACCTGAGCCGAATAGACCAGCATAAGCAATTGACCAGCTACTACATCCTAGTCAACCATGTAAACAAGGTCAACGAACAGCGCCTACAGGACCAAGAACATATGTAGCAATTAGCGTAACCGTGGGAGGTGATATAAAAGCATATGATTCCAAGTCCAATGCGCACAGTCTCGGTAAATGGAGGGCTAAAGCTAAGAGCTGAAGTGGGACGAAAAAGGGAAACTTCCTGAAATTCTTATTAGATAGTATTAATAAAACCTCCGTCTGCATGATAGGATAGAGTAAGGAGACAAATACTGTAGGCAAGGATCTACGGTTGTTTGCACGGATCATTGTGCTTGACATATGCGTATTATACATGCATATATTTAGGAGAATGCCCTGGACAACGTATGATGTAAACGGTATGCTATATGTAGATATCATGAGGTATTCATATGTCCATTCACCCGGTCCTCCATTACGGAGCATTTTCTTATCTAGCGAAAACATAGATTTCAGAGGCAGGTCTCGTATACCTACTATGATAACTGTCTTCTGATAATCATGGGGTGTTGCTAACAATTGCCATGGGGCTTTCGAGGTCCATCCACACATCCCACAATGCATACATATGGGTATCATTGGTAATTATAGCAGACTTTAAATATGACCCGGAAGTCGGGCGATTCGAGGAGAAGGCGATGAGCATAGGGTATAGAAAAGAAGACATGAGATATTAAAGTGTATAATGTATAAGAATGCGCATACGGGTGTAATCACCTTGATTGCCAGAATTTCCATCCTGGCATTGTAATTTGACCATCTCGCTGATAAATTCGCCAATAGTAAACAGGAATGCCGGCAACGATGAAGGCCACAACTGTCAAGGTTTGCAAGGGCTCGGCAATGACCGCTCGACTGAGAAGAAAAATGCTCACGCAGCAAAATATGATAGGAGTTGAGATCAAGGTTTTGTATGGTCGCTCCAAGTACGGTTCCCGGATTCTCAGAACAATCAGGCCAAGAACTGTGAGGAAATAAAACGTATAGCCTGCGACGCCATAGAAGGTGACCAATGTTTTGAATTCACCGACAATGACATACGCCAAAGTGAGCGCGCTGTTCAGGGCCATGGCGTTGATGGGTGTGTATCCGATTCGAGCGTGCTCCCCGAAGAGGCGAGAAATAGATTTGCGGGCCCATGATCGGCGCTGTAGTCGATTGCTTGTCGTAGATCCTTGGGTCCAGAGGTTACCGAATATTGAGGGCAGGTAGCCTTCCTTACCAGCTGCATAGACCAATCGCCCGCTGGTAAATATCGTCGCATTAAGCGCCCCGAAACAGCTCCCAGAAACGATGAGGGCGAACACAAGGGCTCCAACTTTGCCAAACACCTTGTCTCCGAATTGGACAGCGATGGTGTTGCTGGCCTCAATCGTTGAATGCGGCAAGACTAAAAAGTAGGAGATATTTGCAAGTAGATAGCAGAGGATAACCAGTGGCATAGCAGTATGAAGTACGCGCGGAAGGTCACGATTGGGATTTTTGAACTCGCCTGTTACGTAGTTTGTCTGCATCCTATGAGTAACGTCCCAATGATAAAGAATAGGTTATAGAAAGGAAATAGCACATACGTTGTCCCAACCATCAAATGCCCAAAGACCGGCATACAAAGCAACTGCCCAGGCTGATATGTCAACGTTGGTATCCTCGAACCAACCTGACTTCCATTCTTCATTTGCACTCCCATTCGACGAAAGACCTGTGATCGCCACAACCACACCAATGATTGTGACTCCAAGCAACGCAATGAACTTGAAGAACATGAATATGTCACCGATGCGTGCGGCAAGTCTCGTGGAAATACAATTCAACAGGGTCACCATGAAGACTCCCGAAAGTGCGACAGCTTTGCTAATCCATGGATTGACCTGATCGGCATCAGCACCAATCCCGGCCCGAACAACGTATTCTCCGAATATGATCGCAATGATGGCGGCGCTGCCTGGCTTCAGCACAAGAACAGCACACCAGGTGAAGAGAAAGCCCGCTAGCTCTCCGAAAATTTTCGCTAGGTATATCTGAGAGCCACCGTTTAGGGGAATGGCTCCTCCTAGTTCCGCATAGCTGGCCGCTCCCGTCCATGCTAGTAAACCTGCAATAACCCACGCAATGAGGGAGGCGCCAGGTGACCCCGCGTTGGCATTGACCTGACTTGGTGATGAAAAGATACCCGAGCCAATAATTAATCCAACCACAAGGGATAGACCATTCAAGTACGTTAATGTCTTGTTCCTTTCTAATGAACCGTCGACAACTCCGCTTTCACGATCGAGCGCAGAAGGTGCACCCAAGGGAGCATACCCTCCAGCCGTCTGCGACAAAGGGAAAAGGGTCCTCCCGAAATCAAAAGCAGAAGATACAGAGTATGAACGGGCCGATCTGGGCCTGCCAGAGTCAAAGTTGGAGTATGCATTGGAACTCGAGAGGGGATCCTCATCCTCGAGGGAGAGCTTTCGGGAGGACGAGAGACCGGAAGGGGAGGAGCTGGAGGACCTTGCATCCGATTCGGGGGAGGAGGAGGCGAGGGAGGCGAGTTCTAGAGAATCCCGAGGAGCATGGCTATTGGCCGATCTGCTTTCGGAGTTCACAAACACCATTGTGGGTTTCAAGGATTCCGAGTGATAAGATCGCAAGTTCGATGCAAACAATCCATGCCAGATAATCAGCAACAGTTTAGGGGGAAACAGACGAGCCTTCCCTGCCTGCATATAGCCCTCTTGTTTTAAATCGAGAGCAACCGCAAGGAATCCTCGTCTTTGGGGTGAGAGAAACAGGGAGGAAGAAGAGTTCTGTAGAAGAGTACTTACTGAGCTGAGCGATCGTCGTCCTGCCAAATCAGGACTAGCGTCCTGCCCCCATCTCTCTCGCTTTTCCGCAAGACCGGTGGGGATTTAACATGTTTGATTCTCTCTCTTTCCAACGATCCCATGAAGCTCAGAACGTCTGCTCCGGGTTTACCTCTATTAAATTCACCGTTTCCATTGTGTAGGTCGGTTATTCGGGGACGGAGACACTATGTATTCTCCGCGTCTTCGGCATCATCATTGCCGCCAAAACCACGCTATTGGCTTCGAGTCGCGGTCGTGACCACTGCAGCAGCTGGCGTTGGTGCTTTTATCAGATCACAGCAAGATACGAAATCGACGACGCTAAATCCCGTCACATTCACTCCATACTATCTAGTTTCAAAGGAGCTGGTATCGCCTTCCGGCAGCATTTTTACTCTCAAAGCGCCCAAACCAGTTGGTGATAATTGCCAGGTCTATGAGGAAGCATGGAAGACCGGAATCTGGAGCGTGATGTTTAAGCAGCCACAGCTTCAGATCGGAAGGGACTATACCCCTCTTCCTCCTACGTTGGGTGAAGGACGGGAGGAGTCGCTGCGGTTCTTCATCCGTCAGGACCCCCACGGTGAAATGTCCCGGTATTTGCATGGTCTGGATATGGGAACTTCTATAGAGATGCGCGGGCCACAGATTGAATGTGAGATCCCACTAGATACTCAGCAGATTCTCTTTATTGCTGGGGGAACCGGTATCGCTCCTGCCTTACAGGCAGGCCATACCCTTCTTAGCCGCACGAACGATACATATAAACCCGAGATACACATCCTTTGGGCGAATAGAAGACGAGATGATTGTGCTGGTGGTACGAATGACAGTGCCGCCACGACATCAAGATCGCAAGTGTCTTGGTTTTCCGGTCTGTTAAAGACGTCAATAGCCGGCCGCACTCCGGCTGAACCCATGAAGAGCGCCACTACTTTTTCATCTCTTATTGTGAAAGAGCTTGAGGCTCTCAAGTCTAAGTATCCTGGACAGGTCACTGTGGATTATTTTGTTGACGAGGAAAACACGTTCATCGGGAAAAAGGCTATACTAGACCTAGCGGACTCTGCTCCTCCTGATAAGGGGTCCCACAAACGCAAGATGATCTTCGTGTCAGGTCCAGAAGGCTTCATTAGCTACATGGCTGGACCGAAGCTTTGGGCACAGGGTATGGAGCTCCAGGGACCGCTCCAGGGTATCATCAAAGAGCTTGACCTGAAGGATTGGACTGTGTGGAAGCTTTGACAACCTCCCGGATGGCCAAATAAGTAAAATGGTTCCTTCCTGGTAGTATATATATATATATATATATATATATATCTGTATTTTGTATAATATGAATCAGTTTCTGTTTGCTCTGGCTCGTATCTGCCGGCAGACTTCCGATAGCGGAGAGTCTTGGCGCGCTAGCCGCTTTTACCGGCCTTTCCCGGAGACACAAATAATGCGCTTCTTCTCATTCGCCAGCCTTTCGCTCGCAATTCTTGAATATCTCTTGGTAAGAATGGCTGTAGGTCAAGTTCTTTCTACTTACTACTTTGCCTTGATTGTCGTACTGACCTCATGCAGTCTCGATTGATGTCCTGTGGCCCTGGCAGGCGCTGGGCGTCCCTGCGCGTGCCGACCACTCCTCAACGACGTGCGTTCGCCTCCACCAGGTTCTACTTCCAAGATGTGTTCCAATCGCAGTTAGATGATCCCTCCTCAGCTGCGATCTATTCCTCCATTCAGACGTCTAGAGCTGTTCCGCAGACACTCACAGAGAAGATCGTTCAACAATACTCTGTTGGTTTGGCCCCGGATAAGTTTGTCCGATCTGGTGACTATGTCACGATCTCGCCTCACCGGTGTATGACTCACGACAACTCGTGGCCCGTTGCTCTGAAGTTCATGTCTATAGGCGCAACAAAGCTGCATGACCCGAAGCAGATTGTAATGACGCTTGACCACGATGTACAGAACAAGTCGGAGAAGAACCTACAAAAGTACCGTCAGATTGAAGACTTCGCCAAACACCAGGGGGTTGAGTTCTATCCCGCTGGAAGAGGCATCGGTCATCAAGTCATGGTGGAAGAAGGCTATGCCTGGCCCGGCACTCTTGTGGTCGCCTCTGATAGCCACAGTAATATGTACGGTGGCGTCGGCTGCTTGGGTACCCCCATTGTGAGAACGGATGGTGCTAGCATCTGGGCCACTGGGAAAACGTGGTGGCAGATTCCGCCGGTTGCGAAGGTCACTTTGACTGGTGTATTGCCACCGGGCGTGACCGGCAAGGACGTGATCGTCGCTCTTTGTGGATTGTTCGATAAAGACGATGTCTTGAACCATGCAATTGAATTTACAGGCTCAGAGGAGACTATGCGCAGTCTATCTGTGGATAACCGGCTGACTATTGCCAACATGACGACAGAGTGGGGTGCCTTGTCTGGTCTGTTCCCGATTGACGGTGTCTTGAAGGGATGGTTGAGGGGCAAGGCTACAACGGCAGCTATGGGCCTCGCGGAGGGTCCATTCAAGTCCCTAGCCCCTCGGCATTTTACACACCCGCTTCTCGAGCAACTGTTTGACAACCCCCTGGTTGCTGATAAGGGCGCCAAATATGCCAAGGAACTTTTCCTAGATCTCTCTACACTTTCACCTTATGTTTCTGGACCGAACTCTGTCAAGGTAGCCACACCTCTGAAGGATTTAGAGGCTCAGAATATTAAAGTGAACAAGGCATACCTTGTTTCGTGTACCAACTCAAGAGCTTCGGATATTGCCGCCGCTGCTAGAGTTTTCAAGGAAGCCGCAGAGAAGAATGGGGGCAAGGTTCCCAAGATCGCCGATGGTGTTGAATTCTATGTTGCAGCTGCATCTATTCCCGAGCAGCTGGCCGCTGAAGAAGCTGGTGATTGGCAGGCCTTACTTGACGCTGGAGCTACACCACTGCTACCAGGGTGTGCGCAATGTATTGGGCTAGGGACTGGCCTCTTGGAGCCTGGAGAAGTAGGAATCAGTGCCTCGAATCGTAATTTCAAGGGTCGCATGGGTAGCACCGATGCTAAAGCATACCTCGGTAGCCCTGAAGTTGTTGCCGCTAGCGCTTTGAGTGGAAAGCTCAGCGGCCCCGGCTGGTACCTGGCTCCTGAAGGTTGGACTGAAGTTGTGCGGGGCGAAGGAGACGGAATTCGGGAGGAGGATCGTATGCTTACCGCTGAAGAAGCCTTGGAGAAGATAATTGGTCAGATCGATAACCTGGTTGCTGACGGTGAGAAACAATTCAATCCTGAAGAAAGCGAGGAATCATCGGATGACTCCCTTACGGAGGTGTACCCCGGGTTCCCTGAGCGTGTTTCTGGTGAAATTGTTTTCTGTGATGCGGACAACATTAACACCGATGGTATTTATCCTGGCAAGTACACCTACCAGGACGATGTTTCCCAAGAGACAATGGCTCAAGTGTGCATGTCCAACTACGATACTCAGTTCTCGTCCATCGCAAAAGAAGGTGACATTCTGGTCACGGGCTTCAACTTTGGCTGTGGAAGCTCCAGGGAGCAGGCAGCAACTGCCATTTTGGCAAAGAAGATTCCTTTGGTTGTGTCTGGAAGCTTTGGCAATATTTTTTCCCGCAATAGTATTAACAACGCTCTGATGGGCCTGGAGGTTCCTCGTCTCATTAGCCGTCTCCGAGAGAGCTTTTCTGGAGACTCCCTTACCCGCCGCACTGGCTGGACCCTAACCTGGGACGTCCGAAGGAGCCGCATCGAGGTCCAAGAGGGAGAGAATGGTCCCAAGTGGACACAAAAGGTTGGAGAGCTCCCTCCCAACGTACAAGAGATTATCGCCAAGGGAGGTTTGGAGCAATGGGTCAAAAACGAAATCGGTGCTTAAATCAAACCACTTACTATCGAAGTCACCGTACACTTTCCAACCTTTGAATGATGTTATACCCCCCACTCTTTATGTGTGGATAAATTTCCTCTTTTATGTTCCCTGTCTCCCTGATCGTATTTTAGTTGCCAGGCATGATAGACGGTTTGTGATGGTTATTTATGTATGTACAAAAGAGCGGTTTTGTTTAGCAGCTAGATTCATGTTTCTATATTATCCAGACAAAATGGGACGTAGCTATCATTATTTCTATTGGCTCTCGAAGCATTGGGGAGATGCACAGCCATGTCGAGTTCTCGTCCCGTAAGGTCTCTTCTCACACAGACGTAACTTGGTGGGTATGCTAATGATAATGATTAATTAGAAAACAACCTAGAGAATCCCGCTTCCATGCTCTCTTTTACTCATATACCTTCCAAAGATGATTCTCCCGCAATGGCTTGCTTTCCTGGGGTACTTACTACCACACTTGTAAGTTTAGCCACGCAGGTCTCATACCACTTGGTTTTCCTTCGGAAGGTAGCATTTAGGCGCCATGCAAGAATCGTGAAAATCCGCAGAGCTAGTAACCGGTCATAAATCTCGAGGCATTGTTTAAATTTATGACTCTTCGACCTGAAGCACTTGACCTGAAAAATCCGTTTATTGTGTACATGACCCATGGCAGTCAGTAACTGCCATTTTGTGTAGGCATGAAATCCAAACAATTCGACATTGAACGTACAGTGGAAATCAGTTCATTAAATCTAGTTCAACAGCATTTATACACGGAATCACAAAGAGGTCATGTGGAAACCCTTAACAATCAGGAATCAACCGGAAGAAAATAAACAGGCAGCATGAATGTTTGTTGTGGATGCCTTGAGGCAGACATATGATCAGACACGTATTTAGATAGTATGAAAGAAAGACATCGCAGAAGCCTACGTTGTATCCCTTCCTTACAATAAATCCCCCCGTTCTTCTTCCCGTCCGCCTCTATGATTCTAGTCTTTCCATTGGTTTTTTCCTATTGCTACCCAACGCCTTTCATACCTCCCTCCTTGCCTAGACGTCAACATATATGGTCCTACGGAATTCTGGAATAGTGAAAATCCTGGGACATGGAGCCATCAGGATACCGGTTCAACTCTCCCTCAATTTCCACAAAGCAGTCAATGGGACGAGGCGGTTATAACGCTCCCTCAGTCTTCCAGACCGTCCCTCCCAGCATTAACCGTCCGTTCGACTTCTCATCGATGCAAGGTCGCGGCGGTTATAATGACCTGCATGACCATGGGAAGCAGAGATGTGTTGCCTAAACTGCCAACGGCTTCTTCTGCACCCATCATAGATGGCCGTTAACAAGCCCTAGGGCCTTTGGGGCGGGTGTCAACTAGGGGTAGCAAGTGGCATCCTGAAAACAGCCCCAACAGTTCACTTCCCCACGCAAAACCTAGGACATTGGTTAGTAAGGAACCAACATCATCCCGGATGACCGGCGAGACATACTTCTCAAATATCACCCCCAAAACGTCCTCCACATCGCCACTCTCACCTTTGCCGGTGATATTTGCCAGTGCATCAGCCGCAAAGCGCAGGTGCTCTGCGGCTGTCACGATGTCGATTTCCATTTCTCCAGACTGCTGGTCCCCTTCTTGACCTGGTACCGGCGGCATACTGGTTCTGGAAGTTTGAGTCACGAAATCATTCAAATGTTGGAGGCATCTTTGTAGGTTAGAGCTTTGTCGATGTGTTACTCCTAGAGAATCTTCCCAATACGACACATCATATTCTCCATTCGCATCACCTTCAATCCCCAATGGAGATGCAACTTCTTCGAAGGTAGAGATAAGCCCGCGGAGGAACGCTTGCAAATGGCCCGGATCTTCCCGCTCTAACGCGGAATCTAATTGCGCCTCACGGCAAGAGAGGCCGAAGATGCGCTTTCGCGGCACAGTAGGAAATAATTCACGAACTCTAGCGACCAACGGTTGTGGCAAGAGCTGACCACTCTGGTCATCCAGAGGCAACCGGTCGCACTTGTTGACTGCAATGATGATGCACTTACCAGATACGACACAGTCGTTGACTGCATCCACCACTTCTTGCTCGACCTGTAGCTTATAAGGTACGCCACTAGAGGCACCTTTCTCCAAAGACAAGACCACAATAACAACGTCGGACTCTAGAGCGCGAGCTTTGGCGCGCCGAATACCTTCTTGTTCAACAGCCCCGATCACAACAGGCTCTTTCCCCTTGGCAGGCACGGAGCGGATTCCGGCCATATCGCCAAGCTTACAGTACCACCCACCCAGGTCAACCCCAACATCCACGATATCGCGAGTGGTTCCTTCTTCATTGCTAACAATGGCAGCCTCCTTGCCAACAACCTGGTTTAACAGAGAACTTTTACCGGCATTGGGCGCCCCGAGCAGGGCAATTTTGATCCCACGGCGAAGCAGTTCCCCTTTGGAGGCGTTCTGGATATGAAACCCGACTTGGATTCGCAGCGTCTGCACCTGAGACACAACCGAGAGTACCAGCTCATCGGAAGACTCATCAAAATGCTGATCCTCGGCAAAATCGATCAGTGCCTCTAGTTCTCCGCGTGCGTACAGTAGTTGCTGCCGCCACTGTTCATAGCGCCTGGACAAAGCGTCACTAGCACCCCGGACAGCCAGACGACGCTGCTGTTCGGTGTCCGCAGATAATGTATCGCCAAGTGCTTCAATCTGTGGCAGTTCCAGCCGGTTGTTCATAAAGGCGCGACGGGTGAATTCGCCAGGTTCGGCGTAACGGACGGGCAGGTCTGATCGAGTCGTACGGGAGATGGCTGCAAGTACAGATTTAACGGTCGCCGGCCCACCATGAAGATGCAGTTCAAGGACATCCTCCCCCGTAACCGTCTTTGGGGCAGGGAAATACAAAACTAGAGCTCCTGCGTCAAGGACACTACTACTCGAGGATTCACGCGTGGGATCGAACAGAGTCCTCACAGCTGCAACACGTGGTCGCGGAAGCAGCGCTTTTGGACATAGCGCTTGATATATCTAGTGGTCAAACCACCTGGGAATCAGCCACCACTAGCAGAACAGGTTTTTCAATAAGTCTGGCTTACCTGCACACATGCTGGACCAGATACTCGCACAACTGCAATGGCAGCACGACCGGACGCAGTTGAAAGGGCGTAAATAGTGGAATCTGAATCTAGAAGTGAACGTGTTGGCCTTGAGGCGGAAAACATTCGGCTCTGAGGTACCGCGGGAGCTGAGGAAAAGACATGGCGCCAGGGGTGGAGATTGCCCATAGGAAGAGCGCAGCTATGTCTGCTCCATGACGGGCAGAAGGGGATGGCCCGAAACAGATTTCGAAGATAAAGTGCTCGCATGCGCAGAAAGGTACTTGCGGCGAAGCAAATCAACCAGGAGAATTGTAGTAGGAAAGAAAGGTGTGAGAGAAGAAGCTTGGAGCCGGTCACGTGGGGGCGTACAGATCTGCGCACTCTGAATCCTTTTACTACTTACTACTTACTTCCCTTACATCCTGCATTTTCAAAAACTTCAGTCTAGTGGACGACAGCGATTACGTACATATGTTAAGTCCCTACGGGCCTTGAAGCGAATTACCATCCCGTCACCTTCAGATCGTAGGTAAGATACTGTACATTGCAACCAATCCTATGCGCGTCTTAACGCATGAAACCACCGACTCCATGAGATGTATGTATGAAGGTATATCAATGACAGCTGCGTCACCTCGTCACACCTGCGCGTCAAAAGATGCGGCCATACGCCATGAAAAAGCCGCTCAATTACCCACCGCAACCGACATGCAACAAACAATTGCTAACCATGCACATCAAACGAGATATCACACATGTAAGCCAATAAAAGGAAATACGGGATTATGTACAAGAAGGGGATCGAGACCTAAGCTGAGAACACTCTCGATGGGAAGTGAAAACAAATGAGCTGCTGTAGAAGCAAGTAGGTCAATAGAACAATGTACACTTGGAGTGGATGTTCAAGTGACAAGAAAAGAAAGGGGGTAGAAGAGGAAAGTGAAAGGATGGCCGTGATATCAAAGACAGACTCATCACGCTGGCTAAGTATCTGGAAAGCAGACAGCACAGATGCAAGTCAAAAGTGATTGGTATAAACAAAAAAAGAAAAAGGGAAAAAAAAGAGAGAGAGAGAGAGAGAGAAAAGAAGCAGAAGAGAAGATATTATAACCTTAACACGACAAAAATGTTCCGAGGAGTCATCACTTTGTCTACCAAGTATTGAATTAGAGGGAAATCAGACAGGTCGTATTAGGTAGGGCATCAATCCGACGGTTCAGAGGAACTGCCAGGAGACCCGGCGTGTGGTTCACCAGCGCCCGGAGAACGAGGGTGTTCTATTGTTGGGGACACAACAATGACGGGAGTAACCGGTCGTTGTGAAGCGGCATCCTCTTCGGTTGGAGAGCTGGTACTAGCAGGTTCTTCTAATCCTCGCAAGTCAGTCCTTGAGGGTGTCGTTGGCTCTGGTGCGGGTGACAGAGCAGAGCCGTCGGCGCTATCTTTGCTCCCGCCCATCGGCCCATTCCGTCTCCGTAATCTGCGTTTTCGGCGTTCTTCTTCCGCGCTTTCCCTTCTCCTTCTGGACCGCTCCCCATCAGCATTGTCTCTAAGGCCTTGCAACATGCTTGCAGCACGATCTGCAACATCTTCACTCTCTAAGATCTGAGTGGAGTCTTTGCTTAGGGTACCAGAGTCCGACCCCAGAATGGGCGGACTCAAAAGCCCAGTCTCTGTGGGTTTTGTGTCATCATTACTGGTGACATTATTGCAGGCATCATTTTCATCATTGGAGGTACCTTCCGTGCCTTCAGCTCCAGGTAGGTCTGGCATCCTTTGGCCAGAAGCAACGCGAATCTGATGTCGCTCCCTTAATCTAGCTCTACGCCGACGGTCACGCTGATCCCTGGCCTGAGGAGCAGCAGCCCGTAATTTCTCCAAAAGGGAATCCATGGCTCCGCTTGTGGCAGGTAACTGCGACGTTTCTCCACCTGAGCCAGCACCATTTGCAAGAGCAGCATTGTTACGTTTGCGAGCCAACGATGCTTCGGTACGCTTCCTAGCCTCTTCCAACGAGATGTTCTTTTCCTTCGATTTCTATATATCGCAACACGATTAGCTAAAGTCTGAAGCGGGTCCAGAGTTCTGTGTTTATTTTTAGGTCTTACTTACCTTCCATTCAAGTAAGAAGGCAGCTAGCTTGGCAAAGAAGTCTCGTCGAGCGCCTTCGTCTGTGTTGTCCTCACCGTAGAAGACCATAATGTCGTCATACGACTTGACCATTTCTTCTAGGTAGAGCTGCATTTGCTCCGCCTTGCGTCTAGCGTCTTTCATACTTCGTTGAACAACTTGGCTGACGCGGTCTTGCGGATGAAATTTCTTAGGGTCACTTAGATTACCAGCGTCTAGGCTGGCCTGTACATTCTTAATATTGTCGATGTACTTCTTAGCGTCTGTCCTTAATTGATCAACATTAAGTTTCTGAAGGGCGACGACACCACTGATGTCATCAACGAACCCTTCCCATTCCGAATATTGATTGCGGACAATACGCTCGACGAGATCTGCGAAGGTCGTTTCATTTTTGTCGTCCTTTACCATACCAAGCCGAGCAAGAGAGCTTAGCTTGAATCCTTGGGCTTGCTTATTGGCGTCGTTCATGAAGTTTCCGATGTCTAAGATCAGGCCAAGGACATTCATCAGAGCTACGGAATCCCTCAATGATTCGCTAACTTTCGCAACTTGCTGGAGTTTAGCTGATATATGCTCGTAGTCTGGCTCGTAAGAGCGGGTTAATGCCAGAGCACGCATTCTTGCCTTCCAATAATGGTTGAGCTCGAAAGCAGTGTAGAGGTAAATTTGATCTTCACGCGTTATCTCAGCTGGGTCTTGTTCCCGCTCAGAGCTGGCAGCATTGGGGCCTGTCCAATCTCTACTGTAAGGCGCCATTTGTTTGGATATATTCTCGGGAATCGTGCACAATTCATCCCGCTGAAGGAAGTCCATGACAACCTGATTATCAAGGATATCCGCGTCACAGTGAATGATCATCCGCACAACGTCATCTGCAGGGTACTGCGAGAACTTTGCCATAGCAATCTGCAAATTTTTGGACAGCTCGTTGGAGATAATCTGTTTCTTGTCTTTGCGCTGCTTTGCCGCCACACTGCCACCAAATATCTTGGTCTCCTTTGCCATAAATAATCGCTCAACTTCATCCAACACACCCTTTTTGGCCAGTTCAGTATATTTCTCCTCCTTCGCCTGAGGGGTCAGAGCATGAGATGCCCATACAGTCACCTGAGGAGTATCAACCTTGTCCCAATGAAGTGCTTTGAGCTTCTTCTTAGGTCTGATCGATGGCATAAATGCTGTTGGTTTGGAGGGAATGGCCTGAGAAGCCATGTAGTTTGCTCTCCACCCTCCAAAGGAAGCACCAGGCGGGGGTGGGGGAGGAGGGACACCAAACGAAGCGCCAGGAGGGGGAGGAGGGGGAGGAGCACCAAACGAAGCTCCAGGAGGGGGAGGGGGAGGGGGAGGCATTTTGCCAGCAGCACCAGGAGGGGGAGGTGGCGGTGGGGGAGGGGGAACGCCTGCGCCCATCCCTGGGGGTGGAGGCGGAGGCGGCGGAGGAGGCACACCTGTTGCGGAGCCTGGTGGAGGCGGCGGCGGTGGAGGAGGGGTGCCCGCTCCCATCCCTGGGGGAGGCGGGGGAGGTGGTGGTGGGAGAGGGGGAGCAACAGTAACCGAATCGACCTTTCCATCCTTACTCTCAATTTTAGCCTCGTCCACTTTAATGGCCGGAGTCTCCGATTCAGTGAGAGGAAGTTGGTCAACAGCAGCACTCGGCTCGCCCTCCTCGGCGTCAATTTTGGGAACTTTCGCCGTAATCTCACCGAGGAGGCCAGTGGCTTGAGCAGGGTTCATTCGAGGTCTCTGGATGTCCACAAGGCGTGCCTTCTCGTACACTATTTCACCATCTTCATTTTGGGTGTGTCCCAAGCCCTCACCTAGGGTATCATCTGCTCCCGGAGCAAGGCTTCTCTTCCGGTATACGGTTCCTAGGGCGTTACTATCCAATTCTCGACGCGCATGTTCGTGGAAGTCGTCGCTAGGCTCAGGCTCACCATCCATTTGCTCCCGTAACTCTCGTAACCGGTCCGAGGGACCGTGTTGACCCCATACCTTACCCTCCAACTTAAATTGTGTCTTTGTTCTCTCGAGTTGCATTTCCAACCTCTCCAAAAGTTTCTCACGATCTAAAATCCCTCTCATGTGCGAAGGATCTGTCTCCGCTATGTTGTTCTTTTTAGCATTCGATGCGGCTATGTCCTGGGCATCTCGAAGCATTAAATAAAGCTCGCGGGTCTCCAACTCATTGCGCTGGAGCTCTTGAGCCCGAAGTCTTTGTAGATCGGCGATCTCAGCTTTGATCATTTCGTTTTGCCTTGATTGAAGCTCTATGATGCCTGTTTGCTCTTCAATCTGTTTCTGTAGTTTCTTTACTAAGCCATCCGCGCCTAGTTCAACCTGCGCCCTCATCTCATCACGTTCAGCAATTGCGGCCTCCGCAATTTGACGGGCTTCAAGAGATTCATCATATACCCGCCTCGCTTCTGCATCTGTATGAAGTCTGTCCAGAAGACTTTGTACGGTAAAAGTCAATCCTTGGCGGAGATCGAGATCGGGGAGTCTCCGGTCCATGGCAACGTAACTGAGCATCGCATCTACAAGCTGATACATCCGTAGACCATCTTCACCAGAGTTCTCGCGAATCAGAAGTAAATGTTGCATAGCCGAGAGGAAATAATCATGAGCCCGGGTCCCCTGGATTTTAGTTGCAATAGCGTCGGTTATTTGCAGCGGGTCACTCATATCCTTCACATCGCCCTCGATGCTATCTTTCATACTGCTGCTCTCCCGCTGCAAAAGGTCTTCGTAATCAATAGCCTCGTTCTCTCGAAAACGTTCAATCTGTTTGTCGATGACCTCATACTGGAAACCTTCCATCTTTGTCAGGAGGCGTTTGATTCCACAGGAGATGAATTGTGCTCGGATGTGGCATCGTAATTGCAAGTCATTTTCCGCCGCATCCACCAACATGTTGATGAGGAGCATAGTCGAAACCGCATATTCCATGAGAAGGTTCTCCATTCCGATCCCACCACTGCGGTACTCTTCGCTCGCACCTACTAGACTACCCATCTTCCCACGGCCGTCGATTGTTACTTCGACTATTCGCATCCATGCATCAAAACGTCCTGTTTCACCCTGGTGATTTTTGACATGGTCCATGGCTTGAAGGACCTTCTGGTGGCCATGTCCTTCGGCCCAGTGACAAAGGAAAGTCAGAACCTCGCTAGCTAGCTTCCTCGTGTTGAGCCGAGGAGACAGCAGCGAGCTCACAAGAGCTATAATAACCTGTTGGTGAGCTAGGGCATCGTCTGCACCATATTTGTTGTTCATTAAGGCTTTTAAACACTTGACAATGTCATATTCACGATCCAAATCTTTGTCACCGGTTGGAGGGGCAGGGACAGGGCCTGAAGCTTTGCGGCGGTTGATTTTAGAGAGAACGTTCGTAAGAGCTATTTGGCCCTGTGCCTCGACAAAAGCTTTCACCCAGCTAATTGGTTGTGTCCTCAGACTGACACTCAAGCTAGCCAACTGCTTCGAGGTGATGGAGTCATCCATGACTTTCTTGACATACCACTCTGGGCTACCCTCCTCATCCGCTCGTTCGAGTATACCAGTCGGGCCATCGTGACCATGTGTTTGCCGTGCATTTTGCCTGCGTTTTTGTTCACCTTGCAGCTCCGTCAGCCTATCTTGATGAACAAGTGTCCATTTCTTAGAAGCCGGATATGCAAGCATCTGTCTTTTTGCCTGCTCCGGGAGGTTCTGCCAGCCACGCTTCTGCATCAATTCCAAGAATAGCTGGTCGACAACGCGGTCATCCTTCGGCCGAGTGAGATACTGTTCTGGATTTATTGGAGGAGGCCTCGGTTGGGCAACCGGTGGTGGCTGCCAATTTGACTGAGTCGAAAGTCGATTTGGGTTCCCACTTGGAAAATAAGTACTTCGATCAGCCGAGTGGGCTGTTAGCGTACGTGACGAGCTATCGGACGAGAGATAACTTGAACTGCGGGTATTTGAAGAAAGCGAGGAATGGAGGCTAGCCTGATCGAAAGATATACGTGAATTGGACGAAGAGTCGGCCGTCGAAAACGAGTTAGAACTTAACCCGGTATTGGCAGCTGAGCTCCCTGGTCTCCCCCACTGTTGGTACCGAGCACCTTTATCCCCCGTGGTACTCCCAGTCATTGTCAAATTAGAGGCATGCGGAGGTGGACGAGGGCCGGTAGGATGTGAGTATGTATTGTTATCTCGAGCAGAAGTAGGATTCCACGCAGGGTACTGATGGAAGTCACTGGCCCCTTTGGCCAGGTGATTAGGCGACGGATGATTAGATGGTTGCTCTTTCCGCGACGTATCGGCCTTGGAGAGGTAATCGATTGGGATAGGTGTCTTGGTATCGGCGGGTAGGCTTTCGAACGGTATAGATGTGATAACACCTGCGGTCATTGATAGCCCAGAGGGGTCAATGTCATGAGTGTAATCTACAGATTGGACGGACGACCGTTTCGAATGTCGGGACGAACGAGAGCCAGCTGAGCTCCCGGGAGGCGCCAGGTTCTCAAACGATCCACTCCCGTCATATCGATCCTCTATCGGCCTTTCCTTGTGTAGTTTCCTCCCAAAAAATGATTTTCCAGCCGAGGTTTGTCTTGATTTATCAGGTGAGGACGTGATGGTTGGCATTTTGATGGATATCGCTTGGAAAATGCAGGCCGCAGCATGAGCGTCGTCCACAACACAAAGACATCCGCTGGGGCGCTAGAAAGATCCTTGCGGGAGAACGAATGTGCCTGCCACTCTCAGACTATAAGATTGCAGGGGTAGGGTCCAGCTTGAAGCAATATGCGATTCTTCGCACTTCTGACAGACACTAATTAATACCCGCTGCGGAGCAGCGATAGAAAAGAGAGGGGCCAAATACACAAATTCCCGCTCTTTGAAACTCACAACAACTGTGATAGACCGCAGCAAAGGTGGCGATCATATAAACTCCGGCAAGTCTAGCCTTCTAAGGGAGTTTTCACGTCCAGACCCAATTGCTGGTGTCTCTTCGTATGTCAGGGCTGAAGCACGGGCATTAGGGGAGGCGGGCTCTAGAACGCGATAGGGGCCGCCTGTGCACGTGATTTACCGCAGCCTAGGCTAGTGTCACGTGAGTGTTGGTCGGGGAAAGAGGTGGCCTGGAAGTAGGCGGTTGTTCTGTCCGGATCCTTATCGCCAGAGGCTCCTCAAAGGCCTCGACCGGAAGTCTATTTGCGATATAATTGGCCATCTAGCTCATAGGCAGGCATCGATTATGAAGTTATCATATCAATCGGAACCGCAACCTGTCATTACAACTCCGCTTTAACCTCCATACCGTCGTCACAACTTCCACCCCAGTCAAAATGGGCACAGCGTCTAGCTTCGCCAAGGTATGCTCTCTACCCATCAGTTTGTGACAGACCTATGCATCTGAACCTCTACTATTGACTAGACCATCATCATCCCAGCGGCGATTTCCCTAGCATTCTATGTTCTCTTGTCTTTTTTGATAATCCCCTTTTTCCGTCGCTATCACCAACGCTACTCGCAATACCTTCCCTTACATACCATCTCCGCACATACCTCTACCCTCCGGGACCGCATAGCGGATGCCATGATGCGTCTATTCCTACCGTCAGCATGGCGACAACAAGCACGGTTTGATGAACAGCACGATAACATTAGTATCTTTGACGAGGAAGGAGAGATCATGGTTGGGATGGATGTGGATCCTGCGCGAAGGGAGGCTTTGGAACGACGACGCAGTACTGTCGCAGAAGCGGAAAGTCGACTAAGTCGAGAATTGGAGGAAGGGTTTATGGACGACAGTGATGAAGAGGTAGATAGCCGACGGGGTTCGAGAGCACGCTGAATTATTTCGTAGATAATTGTGGGTTCGTATGGCGTTTAGGAAGGTTGATGAAAGAGTGACCATGTCCGTTGCATCAACTATCATCTCCCCAGCGGTGGCAATTGATTTCATACCAAAAGCTAGCCTTGTAAGAAGCGGTGCCCGTACCTGCCAGAAACAACTTAAGTTAGGTCTTATCGGAGCTGCAGTTTCTTTCCAATGACGCCACAGCATACCATTCAGGTTATTGCTACTAAAAATTGACTGACAAGGAATAGAATAAAGCTAGAGAATATTTCCGAAACTATTATTATATTTATCCCTGCTAAAGTCCATTCTTACCTGTACAGACCTGTAGTATGTATATACCCAAGATACTCGTCTTTGAACAATTGTGAGCAAAACAATTCTAAGCTGGAATTTAGACCCATTGGTTGTTTTGCCAATGACCATGGGTTGTTGGGATGTTCAAATTCTAAAGCGGCGGCGGTTACCGATCTTCTCAACCCCTGGTTGATCAAATCAAGCTTCTAATGATCTACAGTGGAGCCCACAAGGACCCAAAAAGAAAAAAGGAAAGAAAACCAAGGTATGAATAACAAGATACGATTTACATAGAAAGGTAGGCTAGTCAGGATTACGCCAGTAATTATGCCATTCTATGGTTTAGATTCTTTAATAAATCTACAAAGACCAACTTACTCCATACCAATATTATGTGAGAATAAAACCATCTGAATTTCAGGTATCATAAGTAAAAATTGCCGAGGACTCTTCAAACCAGAAGCGTGCGCCAAGAAAGCATTTTAATAAAGTCACTCCCAAGTGATTCTAGAGGCCTAGGCCTTGTTTCTCTGACCATAGGCCCTGGTGACGTAATCACCGCCGTGAACGATGAGATCCTCATTCTTATAGTCATGGCGACCAGAGAAGTAGCTGTCGAGGATAGCCTTGGTGCCTTGAGCGTAACGGATCTGGGCGTCGATTGAGGTACCAGACATGTGAGGAACCATAGCATTGCCACCACCCCATGGGTGCTGGGCGTAGCGGAGTGGGTGGTCCTTCGGGGCGGGCTGAGGGTACCAGACATCACCACCATAGCCTCTCAGGTGGCCGGACTTAAGGGCTTCGGCAACATCCTCCTTCACAACAATGGCGCCACGGGCAGTGTTAACGAGCCACGAGCCTAGATAAGAAGTGAGCCAATATTCATGTAGCCTAAGCTGCGTGTGCGGGTGGCAGTACTACTTACCCTTCTTCATCTTGGAAATGAGGTCCTTGTTGAACAAACCACGGGTCTTCTCGTGGAGGGGGCAGTTGATCGTAACAACATCACACTGAGCAAGCATCTCTTCGAGGGTGTCAACGCGGCGGCAGCCAATTTCCTTCTCTGCCTCGGGGCTAAGGGGCTGGTAGTCATAGTACAGAAGCTCCTTGCAGTCAAAGGGCTTGAGGCGGCGGAGGACACGCTCGCCAATGCGGCCAACAGCGACAGTTCCGACGACCTTGCCCTCCAAATCAAACTCGTTCTTAGCAACAGCGGCAACGTCCCACTCACCACGGGCGATCTGCTCGTGGGCGGGGACAAAGTTGCGGACCAAGGTAAGAATAGTCATAACGACATGCTCAGCAACGGAGGTGACATTGCAGCCAGTCACCTCAGCGACAGTGATACCGCCATTGGTCTTGTTAGCAGCGTTCAGATCGACGTGGTCCGATCCAACACCAGCAGTTACTGCGATTTTGAGGTTCTTGGCCTTGGCCAGGCGCTCCGCGTTGAGATAGCCGGGGTGGAAGCTATCAGCAACAGTTTAGCTGACAAGTATGGGCACAAAAAGACGAATGGGGTTCACGAACGGTGTGGTAATGATGACCTCAGCATCAACGAGTTCCTTGTCGAAGGTAGAGTTCTCGCCCTCCTTGTCGGAGGTGGTGACCAGAGTGTGGCCCTGCTCCTCAATCCACTTCCTTAATCCGAGTTCGTTCTCGGTGGTACCCAAGAGACCAGGTTGTTGCTTGGCGTGCTCTCCGCCCTAGACACATGGTTCGATCAGTTCTCGGTGTCACGGCTTTTCCAACGGAATATTTTTTTTTATCTTCTTTTCCTTTTTTTTTTGATTGGAGGGGGGACTTACGTCATAGAGGACCATAAGAACTTTACCCTGTAAGCTCGCAGAGGCGGTCAGCGTACGCGCACCAGCAATGGAATTGGCCAGAGAAGCCCTGAAGGGACTGCTAGAAGTAAGAGATCCTTTAGAAGAAAGGAGAGAGGTGGCAGGCCGCCGAAGCTGGCGGGAGAAAGAACGGAGAAATACCATTATGAAGTAGATTCAATTAATTAAACCACGGCAATAGTGATGGTTTTGAAATGATTTCTAAAACCAGAGGATCAGTCAACTATTTAATCAATCCGGGATATCATGTCGTCAATGACTTGATTTGGAGAAGAGGAATCAAATCAGGTGAAAGAGTTGTGACGCGGGGATGGGAAGGACGAGTGGGGAACAGTTGCAGGAGGACGGGTTGAGATGGAGGGGCTTACCAAATCTAGATCGATTGACCGATTCTCTGTCTCTGTGTGTGTAAATTGCTGTTGATGAGAGGGATATGACGGGGAATGTAACTCCAATATATAGTAAATAATTGGGCACCAGTAGACCGTTTCTTACTCAAAAAGAATTCATCTAGGACCCCTCCTTTTTTCTCCTCTTTTTGCTTTCACGTTGTCCACCTATTCTTGGATGTGAGAATCTACGACCCCACCGCTAGTAGATCTTATTAGACGCCACTGTACCTCGTATAATTCTTAGGGGAGGGTGTAGAAAAGGACAAGTGGAACAAGCTGCGTCTTCTCCGCACGCGGGACTCGCAGTCGTCTTGTGAACGGATATGAAATGGACTGAACTACCATTAGTTGAAGTTTGTTAATCCACTCACAACCTTGATGGTTTGACAAGGGTCAACAATGGAAACAATGCCCATTGGAACAACAAAATCATCGTAGGTAAGAGTAGTATGTACATACAGTATCACGTAAGTGGGGATGATATGCGGGGTGTACAGTAGAGTATGCCCAGTAAATTACACATATATATTGGTATGTACAGTACATCGAGGAATTAGGGGTGTACGACAGTACGCCCATACATGCTGCATATTTAGGCTACAGGAGGATACTTCACGTGTGTAACATATCGAAGGATCTTTTAGCTCATTGTGGTAAATTGCTACGCTAGGCTACTCCCCAATTCCGGAATCGATACACAGAGCCTGGAGGCGTAAGTAGGTAGTACCCCTCATGAGGGGTTTGCACTCCCTATTGGTCAGGTAAGCACTCCCGTGCAATTGAACCATCTTCGATACCTCAATGAGGGGCAATTGTTTCAAGGTTCCCCTCATGAAATGATGATCGATTAAACTGTTTCAATTTACCTAAAATGGTCCTGTATGCCGCGTCACTTGAATCCGATCGGATCAAATTGCCGCTGGTGGTGTCATTCATCCATACTCATCGTTGTGATCCACAATACTTATGTAAATGCCCAAGGCCCATCTCAAACTAGAGTGACTAGAGAACTTTGCTATTAAGTTAGGAAAGAATCGCGTGCTCCGCATCTACCACGCCCGGTAACTGCAACTAAAACATCCCAGGCCCTGCGAGATCCAAACCCGAGGATCGACCGTGCTTCCATGGAGTCTTTGTTCTCAATCCCACTCGTTGGGAGGCATCGGTGATGGGACCCCCCAGTCCGAGATGTCAACTTCATAACCATCATCCGTAATGAGGGGAAGACTTATTCGAGTCTCCACTGTCCCCAATGCACTCGCCACATTCCTGCCATATCATGCAACCAATGTACCGAAGAGTGCTGCTATTGACCCTAGATTTTCGATGAGCGAGGAAGGCCAGTTGGGGTCTAGGATCAATCAAGAAACCAGTCATGGCGATAAATCAGCATGGGACCGCAAGGCCGCAATACCCCTTCGCTTCTCCGGATGCTTGATGCCTTTCCGTTTGAATGCGACCGTGGTTCCTTAAGGTGGAAGAACGTGGGTGGGGATGGGATTTAATGTACAATTTTCTATAACTAGACGGTTATGTCTATTGCAACCCACAGCAGCATGACGGGCATAACTCCAGATTAAAATACAACATTGACTAATTTACCTCCCTTGACGACAATTACGCGTCTCCGTTTCTCCCAATCATTCTTCTCACGCAGCCAAGTGCGTCCTTCCTCGGTGTCTAGAATGCGATTGATTATAAAATCCTGTTCGTCCAAAGTGACCCCAGACTTCTCGCTTGTTTCAGCCGTCGTGGTGGACATCTGTCGTGGAATTGTGACAGTGAAACGCAACTTTCCGTTAATCTGTACAGCCACGGTTTGACCACTTCGTGCAGACAGAACATCGACTTGCTCTGAGGTCAGAAGAGGTGTCGGCCAGGGGCAATTGAAAATCGCCGGCACATCAGTTGCAATAGCCACGGTATTTTTCGTCGGGTTACAGCTGATTATCGGTTTGTTGAGGGTTTCCCAACTCTCAGAAGCCAGTGCTGGGGCAATAGGTGCCAGTAGACGGAGGAGAGTGGAGACACACAGGTAAAGAACCTGTGATGACGTAGGGGTGGACGAGCACAGCGTATTGGTCAACTTGGTCAGGTCAGAGATGACAGTATTCAGTCCGTAAGGATTGTTTTCTATACAACTAGTGATAGACATAATGGTTCTATGAGTGAAGAGAACAGCATCTGCGTCACTGTCACTGAGGCTCTGCAGATGGTCAGGGAGGGCTGTGACGTGGGTGGACTGCGCCAAATCATCTGGGTTTAAAGTATATGACGATGAAACTAGCGTCTGTTGCGCATCCAGGACAAGCTTCCAAAGTCGGCCAAACCAGCGCTCGATTCCCACTATTTTTGTTTCATCCCATTCAAGAACTTCGCTGACGGGTGCGGAGAAGAGCACATGCGCGCGAGTAGCATCGGCGCCATACTTCTGGGCGCAAGCCGTGGGATCCACGCCGTTGTGCTTGCTCTTTGACATCTTTTCAAACGACACGTTCGGCATAACCTGAGTACCCTTGATCATCGGTCTATCCGGGCTAGAAAGATCCACTTCAGATGGATGGAGGAATCTCCCAGTAGAAGGCTCCGAGTACGTCTTTCCGTGGACCATGCCCTGAGAAAGAAGTGTCTTGAATGGCTCCAACGGCCCGGCAACGTCACATACCCGAGAGAGTTCTGGAAACAAGTCGGACTTGGAAAGGAATTTGTAGATGAACCGGGCGTAGAGTAGGTGTAGGATAGCATGCTCGACACCACCAATGTAAACATCGACTGGTCGCGCAGATGAAGGTGAAAACGGTTGTTGTTTGTTGGTACTATCTAAAAATCTGAGGAAATACCAAGATGAATCGACAAATGTGTCCATAGTATCTGTATCCCTTTTGGCTGGACCTCCACAACTTGGACATTTAGTATGTACCCAATCATCAGATGACTCGAGAGGATTTCCTCTTTTACCCTTTAACCAGTCCCCTTTTATCTTGGGCAATTTGACTGGGAGCTGATCGTCTGGCACGGGCACAGGGCCACAACCTGCGCAGTGGATGATCGGGATTGGAGCGCCCCAATAGCGCTGCCTGCTGATCAACCAGTCTCTCAATCTCCACTGTTCTACAGCACTACCATGACCAACGGCTTTGAGGTCATCGACTATTTTTTGACCGGCCTCGTGGGAATGAAGGCCCTGGTATTTCCAGCATCTCGAGTTAAGAAAACCTTCTTGAGTAAAAGCTTTCACGTCACCAGCAGGAAGTTCACCGGTACTAACTCCAAGGTCGGCTTCGGGTGTACGCTTGGGCTCAATCACAATAGTTATGAACTCAGGTTGAGCATTCTCTTTGAAAAATGCCAGGTCCCTAGAATCGTGACCTGGAACCCCCATCACTGCTCCCTCTCCGTAGTCGCTAAGAACATAGGGAGCCGCGAATATGGGGAGTTGACGAGCGACATGAGGGCTCTCCTTGTCGATGATGTGCAATGGGTGAGAGGCGATCGCGGTTGACAATTGATATCCGGCCTTGGAGTCAGCAGGAAGGGAAGCCGCCTCATCCAAAAACTTGCGAAGCTCAGAATCTTTCTCCGCAGCCGATAGAACGATGGGGTGGTTCAAGGATAGAGCAAGATATTCTACCCCGTAAAGTGTATCTGGCCGCGTGGTGAACACGTCGACTTTCGTATTGCTGATTCCATTTCCCTCTACTGAAACAGGAAACTTGATTTTAGCACCATACGACTTTCCCAGCCAGTTTCGCTGCATAGACAGCACCCGCTCAGGCCAGCCGCCTGCTAGAGAGTCCAGGTCATTCAAAAGAGCTTCCTTGAAGTCTGTTATGCGGAAGAACCACTGTCTCAGGTTCAACTTCTCGACCTTTGCCCCGGACCGCCATGAGAAGCCATTTGCATCAACCTAGCAATACAGTCAATGTCAGTGTGTAGGCGCACAACGCCAGTCACAGCATTTACCTGCTCATTTGCCAGGACCGTTTTATCCACGGGATCATAATTTACCAACGCTTCAGCTTGATATGCCAATCCTTTCTTGTAGAGCATCAAAAATATCCGTTGCGTATGTTCGTAGAATTCAGGTGAGCACGTTGCAAGCTCCTAGTACATTGCAACAGCAACCAGTTAGCATATGATCTCAGGCAAGGAACTTCACAAATTTTTGGCTCACTCGGTCCCAATCGAAGGAAGTAGATATACTTCGCAGCTGTTCCTTCATCCTAGCGATATTATCCTTCGTCCATTCTGCCGGGTCAACTCCCCGCTCTATCGCCGCATTTTCCGCTGGTAACCCAAAAGCATCCCACCCCATTGGGTGCAGAACCTCATGACCACGCATGCGATAAAACCGTGCAAGCACATCAGATATCGTATATACACGCAAGTGACCCATATGTAGCGTACCTGAGGGATAAGGAAACATGGATAGTATATAAGACTTGGGCTTCTCTGACTTATCCTTCGTCTCGGTGGCGACGGATGATAGTTCCGTCTTCTGGGAATACCATTTTTCTTGCCATTTCCTGTCAATCGCCAGTAGATCGAGTCTTCTGGTGTCGATATTCGGCGGTGCGGTTGTTGCGAAACGAGTTAAGGCAGGAATTGGAGATAACCAACACCCGCGCTTCCATCGTCCTTGCACTAAGACGGTCCGAGTCGGACTCATTCGTAAACGGGATAGGGACGGCATAATAACTACCTAGTCATTGTGCCATATGCAGGGTATTCGAATTGACGCAATTAAGCCACTGGAATATAGACAAGGGTCTTGTCAAGCAAAAAGGGTCCTTCCATCGAACAAATCTATCTATGTTGAAGTCATAAGGTTTCTCGGGATAGCCTAAACCTAATGCGGGTTAGTGTATTTTCTTGGTTGGTTGGCTCTAGTGTTTCTGCAATGCTATGTACCTACGACGACGACGAAGACGTAATGATACTTTAATCCGAAGTTTAATAAAAAGGATATTTCTCGCTAGGTGGCCATGCTAAAACAGCAGTAAGCTCTTCTGCAACATCTACACAGGTGAATAGATATTTCGTGAGTATAGAAATATATCCTAGATACTATGTACTACGTTTACGAGCCTTTCCTACTAGATTACAACCTAGGCGGTGTAAGTTATCAGTATGAGAGTAATCATCAAAGGCTACAAGAATATCATATACTTGATTTGGTTGTACAAGCAGAGAAGTTCAAATCAAACGATCAAATCTCGTGCAAGGAGTCATTGTTGTGAGCTGTAAGCTTTGTTTTGTCGGTGGCTAGGGAGACATGTTTCCGAATAGGAGAATAACCGAGTAGAAACAAAGGGCTGCGGTGAGATCAGACAAACCGATACTCTGCAGCTCAGAAGACCAGACATGGTATATATATTTCAAGCAAATATACTGGCCCTGGGTATAGTCTAAAGCTCTATCTAACCTAAAAGCCCAGGCAGCACACAGCTGTGCGTATAGTAAAATGTCACGGTAAGAACCAGTCACGAGGAGGAGGAATCATAATCGCAGAATATCTCCATTTCGATCAATACCACCCCGGAAATGATCAGCCACCACGTTCCCGCCTAGGATCGTCTCCTCCACGACCCACTGCACATGCTTAGGTTCTATGCGGCCATACCAGATTCCCTTGCCTGCAAGTGGGTGCGGAAGTGAGGAAGCCTTCATCGTCATACCCGGAGGCATATACACTATCACATTACCTGCATACTTGTGGCCGCCTATATGGCTGATCAAGCCCACGTGAGCATGTCCGGAACTATCAAATGGTTGACTGTCACTTCCTGCCGGCCCAAAGCCTTTAGCACGGAGTACTCTCCGGAATTCGTTCTCTAGTACTGGTGCCATTACGCCACATCGCATGTCGCGCCCACCGTGGCCGCAAATAAGGATAACAGGGGAATGATATATATTCAGGGCATCCGTGAATCTGGATGCCAGTTCCGGCTTCCGAGTTAATTCAGCCTTCCTAGCTTCAGGGAGGGACTCTGACATAGCACTAAGCTTCTTGGGGAGAAGAAAGGCTCGTACAAAGGTAGATAGGTCGGCCCCCGAGCCTGTGGATTCTTGAATCTCAATTGGAATGCTGGGGAAATATTTAAAGCTGGGGAAGAGGAAGGCAGATGCGGTGGATTGGGTGCCGGTATATGAAGAGGCCGGAAGGAAGGAAGAATTGCTAACAAGAATGTTGTTAAAAGGCTTCATCCGTCAGCAGTGTGTCCATCATAAGAGTAACCGAACCCAGAGCGCTGCCTACATTAGCATAGCGTCCTCCACGGCCCAAAAGGCTCTTCAATCCCCTTGCCAGATGCCCCCATGTATGGTGTTTCCCGTCGTCTTCAATACGGCTTGTCCAATCTCTTTGTCCGGTACAGATAAGGACTTGCTGCGCGTAGGCTGCCATCGTCCCATTCAGAGGTTGATCATAATCTATGGGAAGCCGATCAGGCATTGATGGTGTAGGAGGGCATGGGCAACTGGGTTCTGGGCAGGATTTGGCCACAGGAAACGGTGGAGGGATATTGAGAGGAACCCGCGGAGGATTTGGGCGGCATGCAGTAATAGAAAGAGAGCGGGCTGTTGATATTCTGTTGGGTGTCCAGCAGAGCACGGGTCGCAGCCTCATGATTGACAGAATCTGTTTAGGTCTATCCTGACCTGGTAATGAAGTGAGGAGTTTTGGAAACATGCACACTGACTCTACATGGAACTTTGTACATAGCCAGGCAAAAGCGGTCGCTGCTGGTGAACTCGTACCGAGAAGGGTAAAATGCCCGAGGCCGATGCGGAGATAAACGGGAATCCAATGGTATTATCAATCATCCATGATCCGTGGTCTAGAATCCTACTAATGGATGGAACGGTAGTTGATTGACTCCTATCCAGTTAGAACGGCCAATTATGTGCTCGGTACACAATACATCTATATATACGTATATATATATATATTCATTAATTCCTTTCGAAGTTATTGAAAGAAACAAAAGTGAAAAAGAAAAAGGCGTCATTTCAAGAGGGGCATCACAGTGATGCATTGCAAAACGCACACCTGGGTAGTTCACGAGCGACTCAATAAAATAATTACATGAACAGCTTGACACATTTACGTCGCATAAGCGTATATAATACTCGGCTATGCTCCCCTATCTTTCACTTCTCAGTGATTTGTGAATGCAATCAAAGCGTTAGAAGAACCCGTTAGAGGCCAGAGCGCATAATAGAAACCAATGGCGCCTCCAACAAGAATCGTATAGTACGCGATGGTCCAGCCAATGCTGAGTTGATTATACGCGTAAACCACCGCCCGATTTGGATCATCTTTACCTTTAGCTAAAGTAGATCCCAGGGGAACGCCAGCTTCAACTCTTCCCCAAAGCCGGGGAAGTCCGCACCAATTGCAAAATGCGTGAGCAAGGATGACGGCCAGTAGAGATCCTGTACGCAGATAGATGAAGGTTACATACCATCCGAAGATGGTAGTATAGCCGAATTGGAAAATCGACCTGAGCAACGCCGCTAGAACCGAGGTGTCCGGGTGAGTTAGACGAAATTCGTAAAAATGATGTACATGGGCGATTCCAAAATAAAGAGGTGCTGCGAACACGATGCGACTCGGAGGTACCTTGGAGAGTATATGGAGAGGTACGATGACAGAACGGAACATGATCTCTTCAGTGACGGGACCCTATATATATGTACATGTAGAATGTGAGTGGGAGGAGGATAGCTAATTAATGCTATTGATTTCAACTCACAGCGACGTAGTTTCTCCATCCGATCCACCCCCGAAGTGTTTCGGAAATCCTACTTCCTTTGATCCAGTCTCTCCACTCGCCTTCGGCGATCCCTCGTTCGAAGAGGGGCCCAGCGAACAAAATGGATGTTAGCAACAAGCTTCGAAAAGCCTCAGCGAATCCCATGGGCCACCACCCGAGAAGTTTGAGTGCCTCAAATAAAGAGACATCGCCCTTGGCGGTTATCAACCATGCAACAGCCAAAGTGCTGCCGATGCAAGACCAAGTCACAACCTTAATTCTAGCCCGGATCACCGATGGAGCATCTCGGCTGAGGGTGGGAGATGGTCGGGTAGTGGAAGACACATAAAAAGGGACCACGTAGAATAATGTTAGACAGATCTGTAAGGCATTCGTAAGTTAATTCTGAAACGAACTATGCTATCATCTATAAAATGAGAAAGGTTAAATTCTCCCACCCTTCCTTTTGGTGGGAGTTACCCCTTTTCCAGGTTACAATGATGCTATTTTTATAGATATTTGTCGGAGAAACGCTAAGACGGGAGAGTAGATTTGCCTACCGAGAAGAAAGCTGCCGTCTGGGCCGAAATGACCGGTTCATCTGAAGACGAACGATTAGAGATAGACGAGGCCATGTCTGATTGCCGGGCGTACCGTAGGCTTTTGCATAGAGGGTCTTAAGGCGCGCCAGAATATTGATAGGGGCCATATCTACCTGAGTCTAATGGCAGCTTGGTAGAACTACCGAGGGTACAGGTCGGAGAGATAGTATATAGAACTAAAAATACAGAATTTGAGCCAGGTAATGTCGCAAAGTGCATCAGGGGAGTTAAAATGATGATCCTTCTGGAGGCCGTCGACGATGCGGGGACAATTGCTAGCAGACTGGGAAAAGAAAAAAAAATCAGAAAAGGAAAGACAAAGAAAAGCGAAATTTGTCACTTTCCTGCCTGATTCTGAAGGCAGAAGGCCGCCTACCCGCAGGTGAACCGTAGGATCGTCTCTTATCATGTGCCATGGTTACCGACCTTAACTTGAGTTCTATTCCAACGTATATCTTCCTTCATACAATGACGTACTCGCTGCTGAGTACTTCAGAGTATGTATGTATGTATATATGTACATTGATGACCCTATCCCACATGTCTAGACGCACCATTCAATCTCACAATCCATCTGTCAATCTTTAAGAAACAATGGTAACTTATTCTCACTAACGCAGGCTGACCGACTCCACATCTGCTGAGTTGGCAGCTATGGGATGATCCTTCGCTTTGTCTCGTGAACCTCGTCCTCTTATTGGGCTGCATGAATTGCGAAAAGGCCAATTTCCTCCTTTCTACTACGAATGAGACATTCTGGAAGCCTCGGCCAACGCTGGCTCGCTCAGCCACATTCGCCCTAGTGGGATCGATCTCCAGTTCATTTCGCTGCTCCAGCCTCCCCGAGAGCTGGAACTCCACCGTTTGGATTGGTCACACTCGGGACGATCGTCCTCGTGGAGTTTGACCTTTGGCTCAGAGATAATGTGATGAGACCCTATAGCATACAGATGGATAGGGACACACTGCTGCGTGCGGATGCAACACTCTATGCACCCTAGAGGGGCCTTGCGTACCGCTACGCCAGCCAATCTGATCTCGTTGCTTACTCCGAATTTTGACCCCCAACAATCGGCCGAACCCCTCCCTCCACTCTTAGTTTCAGCCGGATCAACTACAAGCGAAATGACCAATTCCGCTCATAATATCCGAAGCTCCCGTTCGTGTTCAATTATGAATATGCTTATTATTAGATATTGATGATCGCCACATGTTTGGGGCACTTAATGACGAAGGACCTCAGATGCAAAACAAATGATCCAGACCTCCCTCGACCCAATTTACTTCCTCCTTATTCGATCGACAGGGCAATTCGATTTACCTAAGCCGCGAACTGCAGGTCAATTCCTGCCTTGGCCTACTCTTTTCTTTTTCTTTTTTCCTTCCCCCACTAATTGAGGTGTTTCAGATATTGCTCTAGAGCGTGCAGCTTGCATGCCCCTGGACGGATCCATTTCCTGTTCCAGACCTTATGCTAACATCGTTCACCGCCGCTAGACAACAGGATTCCGGGGCCTCTTAAATATTACCACCAGCGCCTGCTTGCATAACTACCTCGTTTCAGATTTCGGTTTTTTCTCTTCCAGTCGTTGTGGTCTTTTGTCGCTCTTTGGAAACATTTTTCTGGCCTCGGTTCGACGCTCTCTTCTCGATTGCCGGTAGATATGACTCAGCTTATCTAACTTTTGACGATTTCTTCAACTGCCGGATCCACGCTCCTTTTAATGTTACGTCCCGTTGGACGCACCTGCCGCTCATTTGATGTCGTTTGTGTCGAGACATTCTTTATTGCATCACAAAAAATTATTGACCAAAACAACAAAACAATAACAACAACGCCAGCAGCCGTCGATCGCTTGCTTCATAGACTAAACTCGCCAACGCTCCTTTCAGGTTCTTGGACGAGCAGCCATTGATTATAATTATTATTATTATCATTCTCATTCATTATTGATTGATTTTTTTTCGTCCTTTTATCTTTTCTCGATTTTAAGCCTGCAACTTCGGATCTACTTTTAGAACCCTCTTCTTTCATATTATTCTATACACTTTTGCAACTGGTATCCCCTGATAATGAACTAATCATCGCTCAACAACATGCGCCCAACTGGATCTTCGACTACGTCGTCTCCCGGACGGAGAGCTCTGCATGAGCGCAGTTCTTCTCAAACGAACGAGGCTTCACCACCACAATCCCTACGAGTTGTTAGTGATAAGCACAATGACCAGGGGGATAAATCTGATGTTTACATGGCGACTCCGTATCCGACCAAACCGGAACATATCCTCTTGCCACGGCCCGGGAAAGGTCAAGAATTCATCCCGGATTCTAAGTTCCATGTTGATGAGACACCCAATGAATCTAGTGCCACACTGTCAACGGAACTTAGTCAGATTTTGGATAGCAGCTTGATTGAGCAGTCTACTGGCGATCCGTGGGACTTGTCTTCAACCTTCGATGCTGCAAATTCCCCGCCTCAGGTGTGGGAGGATGGTCCTGCCTCCAGCAAGTCCTCTTTTCCAGATCCTGGTCCTGCACAGCACAAAGCAATTGACCTTCGGTCTGACGAAATTTCTTTTTCGGATGAGGAGCCGAATACGCTGCCTGCGGCTGCTCCAACAATCAAGACTGTAGTTTCCGACACGTCATCCGGTCAACCATCTCGCCCTGCAAATGCTGCATCAAGCAATTCTAGTCCCAATGTAGTACCTATTGGGCCATCCTCTAGTCCGAATTTCGTTGCTCTTGACAGCTCAAGTCTGAATTTTGTCCCGCTTGGCGCTTCGTCCAACCCAGAGAGCGGCTCGCGCTCAAACTCGCTCTCTTCCTTGAACTCCCTAGGAACCGTGATCAGGTATATAGGAGCTGCTCCCTGGACGCATGGCTCATCTTCCGAACAGTCGAGTTCACACTCTTACTCTTTTCGTTCCAATCCCCCGTATCCCGGGCCGTCTGTGCGCTCGAATTCAAATCGCGTGCGTGAACGGAGTCACTCTCGGTCTGTTACCTCATCCTCTCGCAGCGATCCATCCTCAGATATTCAAGCGATTGTGGATAGCGGTGTGTTTCTCCAATATCCGACTATCCGTGCCCCATCCTCAAGCTCACGGGTAGATGTCTCGCACTCTGCAGACTCCTTGGAACACACCGGCCACGAGACCGCAGCGGATGGTGTCTCGGAACACTTCAAATCGCACTTATCCACAGTTACGTCTCGATGGTCCGCTGAGTACGATTCTAGGTCAGCTTCTCCGGCCGACCGTACCAATACGCCCGAGCCGTCTAGGCCTGTTGCAGCGCTTGCCCGTCAGAGACCGACATCGTCTTCGGTGTGGTTAATAAACAGCGCGGACGGAGATGAATACTTGGATGATGTTTCTAATCTTCCAGCCCGTCCTTCAAACCCGGCGGTACCGAGTAGCCACTCCTCCGGATCGAGACAAAGCAGCGTTCGCAGTACAAAGCGGCCGGGCACTAGCTCTAGTATGGCCTTTAATGTACTGCCTACCTGGGCCAAAATGTACTATGGGCAACCTGTGAGTTCTGCACTATCCTTGGTGGAAGGTAGTCGTCCATCCTCATCGCGTCCTGCAACGCCCAACCTCAACCCCCTCCATCGTATATCCACCGCCGTTACACGCCCGAGGACTCGCACAAATGAAACCGGACAAAGCATACGTTGGATGAGCAGAACTGATCCACGCGACCCTCGGACTCACTGGGTGAAAGGCTCAGAGGCTGCGGCGAGACCCGGATATTCGCGTCATCAATTGCGACACAGCTGGTCCCCGCATTTGTACCCTGACAGGCGCAATGTTCAACAGAGGGGGAGTGCTTGGAGAGCCCCGTCCATGGATTCACGAACAGAGCCTTTCCTTGGGCGGAGGAATATTCAAGTATGGTCGTTTTGCCTGGGATTTGTATGCCCATTTGGTAAGTGACAATTTATACTTAAACATGATCAACTCAGACCTAGTGCTTACTTTTTTACAGCATGGCTCATCGCGGCATTCCTTCCCTTGCCCCCTAAACCAGATATGATGCTGGATGAAGACAGTGAGCCCGGACGTGAAAAGACACTCCAAATGCGAGTACTTGACCTTGAACGGAAGCGGTACGAAAATGCTAGGTGGTGGAGGAACCTTAATCGATGGATGAACCCTCTGGGACTGTTGATCATTACTATCATTGTGGGTGGTCTTTTTACTAGTACTAAATACTTTATGCTAAGTTTCCTTGCAGGTCACCCTGGCTGTCGTGGGAACCAAGGTGGGCTTCTAACGCACATCAACGCTCTTGACGACCCTTCTTCTGGCGTTATATGGAGGCCATACTGGTTGCTCTTTTTCTCTCTCTTCCTTTTCGCTTCTTCGACCGGATCGGACTTCGACGATCTTCGTTATTACTTCCTGGGAGTCGGTTTCTTCAAGGCTGCCGTACCTATCGGTAACATCAGTCCCGCGTTTTGATACCCTCACCGCTTCCTTACCTTTCTATATCGATTTGGCTGTTTGCATCAACCCGATTATACTACTCGACACGACTGCACGACGTGATGCGCATTATGCTTTGTTTATTCTTACCCTTCATTTACAACCTTAATCTATTAGGTGTTTGGGCTCTCTTTCGTACGATTTCTAAAATACCAATGATATTGGTGAAGTCTTATGATTGGAGCATGCGGCGCTGGATTAATTGGGGTTGGTTCCACGACGGATTATGGATATATGTCCTGTTCTTCATATAAACTTCTGTATATTCTCTTCTTCTTTCCTGTATTTATGTATACATGCCTTTATTATGAATCTGAGACTAGAAACTTACTTTTATATTCTTTATACGCGTTCTTAAATCCATGGTGACTGCTATTCATGTATGGAATTTTTGCAATCTCAACATTAACAGTCATTTATAGATGGAATACGTTTTCTATATGAGATTATGCAACATTGAGACTTCACAACATAACTTCTACGGTGCAAATCTAGAATCTTCAGTAGCGGTCGGATAATGCAAGGATAGGTACTATATATTAAAAACCATCGAGCGATGCTAGAGTGGCCCCGGGAAGTGTCCACAAGACAACCACTCAATACAAGTGAATAGTGCGTGCATAGCCAAGTTTTGGACGAACAATGACAATTTCAAGCCCATATCAATCCAGCCGACAACGATCGGATTGGGTCTGCTTGCTCGCGCCACTACTAGGACTCCCTGAAGACTTCAACTAGCTGATTTCTTGAATTTATCAAGAGAGTGTGTTGCTATTGCTTCCGGCCAATTTTGTCTTCTACGGCAGCCCTCAGCTCATTGCCTGTAGGCATGTTGACTAAGCTGCCTCGTCTCTGTCTGGATTCAATTTCAGTCCTGATCTCCTGGACTGCATCATCGAATTCTTGGATTGCATCATTCGGTAAACCCAGAGTTGGTTGTCGCATATTTTCTGAGCTGACTGTTCGAGGGACGTGGGGTCTATTGCGCCCTCTCAGCTTCTTCAGAAGTAACCCTTTGGCGGGACTAGCAAATAATGCAAGAGATACAATATTGCCAACGATGCCATAGAAGTAAACACTGCGCCAGACTCTGATGGAGTCACTAAAAGATAAGAAGATGAAAGGCATGACAGCAAATGACAAGGTGAGCTGAGTCACAACATAGCTGGCAATATCATAATATTTCTTGTAGGGAGTAGGCTGATTGCCGTCAGGGGTCAGGAAAAACGGACGAACATAGCGACGAAAATCTATTGCAGTTGATCAGCAAGAGGGGATGGCGGGAAGGATTGAGGTAATGAGGTACGTGATACATACTCTTAGCTACAGTTTGGACAAATGATCCCAAAACAAAGGTCAGATAATACCCCGGATAGAACCCGTGCCAGAATGCGCTGGTGGCAAAGGTAGCGAGACTGGCGCGGAAGCCAGGTTTCCTACCCTTAGGAGTGACACGAAGGTAGACATAGTTTCGCAGCCAATGATTTGTATTCTTGTTCCAACTTCCCAAATAGCCGTGGGAGTTTTGAGCAGTTTCGAGACTCCATGGGTCGACATTTTCCAACCGGTTCCAAAACACTTTCCCCGACTTAGGATCGAAGCCGTTGTATCCCATGCCGGACAAGACACAAGCACCTTCCGTGAGATACCACACTCCATAATATTTTAGCCGGGCTGTAAAGCCAAGCATGTGTAAGATCCACACCCGTCGAAGGAAGGAATACTGCATGAATGTCTCACTGAGGACCAGTTCTTGGCTGTAGAGCGACCCAAGCTGCAAGAATGCAAATATCCACCCTAGCCCAGCTAAAGCCTTTTTCGTGGCGGGCGTTCCACTTCGGGGGATCTTGCGCTTCTTTCGAGTCGGAGGAACCTTGGAAGGGTCCGTTCCTGGAGGCACGTCAAAGAGTGTGGTGTCGATCCACCGACGATAATCGACATATTCGAAAGACGGACCCGCGAAGAGTGAGGGGAAGAAAAGTATATATCCGATATAGTCTAGGATGCTCGGAAAGTCCCTAATTGCGGCATACTTTTGAGGATCTGAAAGGTGGTCCTGGGGCAAACGGCCGTCATGCACATTCCAGCAGAATGACGAGAGTTTCATGACGAGCACCATCTGGGCTCCAGTGATATCCGTTGCGTGTGCATCGTCGACCAGTTGCCGGTAAATGTGGCTAATGGACATGTGGCCCATTAGAAAAATGAATCCGATCCATGGCATCAACGACCCATCAATATAGTAGGCAATGGCGTAAATACCGGCGGCACTGTAGCCCAGCGTCCGGAGGCCATCCCAGAGGTCAAACAAGCCCACCAGATAGAACAACGATACAGCAATGATAAATGCATTCTTTTTCCAGGGCTGAGCGTCAGGGATTCTTTTCAAGAGGGCGGCCAGAGGGTAGGAGAGTATGAATGATGCAATGAGCTTCACTGATCCGATAAAAGGTAACCGTTTAGCGATTTGAGCGAGGCGCGGAGCCATTGGGAGATCTTACGTTCATCAACGGAAGCCCCCGTGAGTCTGGCAGGGTACTCGAAAACTGAGGAAAGTAAGGAAGCAAGTCAGTCATGTCCAATTTATCACCTCGGAAAACAGAGCTTCAAGACTCACTGAGATCTACGTATGGCAGCATGGCGGAACATGAAGAAGAAAATAAAGGAATAGGAAGCTGCAATTGATGGCTGCTTAGACAAGTATATAAGACATCGAAAAGGATTGGGGTGGTTGAACGTTGTTGCGGAATTTGAAAAGGTTGGAATTATTGAACAGCAAAAGATCATACATATAAGTATGGATGGAAGGGAAGATTAAATCACATGCCATCATTTATTAATTTAATTAAATTGAAAGGCGGAGAGCGACCTTCCTTTTCTTACAAGTAATTGGCCGCTCCTCCCCAAACAACAACAACAACAACAACAATTTCTACTACTGCTGACTTTCTTCCAAACTGACCTTATGTTATCTGAGATAGGTACCTAGTGATTTGTCCGTGACCCTATTCAACTTACCACACGGCTGTTTACCGTAAGCTCAACATGGACGTTGTCGCGGCAGTTTCGGGGTATATCTCCAGGATGATCACGGCGGGGGACCCGTCGACCCCAAGTTCCTCCACGTCGGCCAAGATGAAGATCTTGCTTTTAGATAGTGAGACGGTGGAGTCTCCCAGCTGTGCTGTTTTGATTACGATGAAGTTGTGGTCTAATTTGCCATGGATAGGTCACTATTGTGTCGACGGCTATCACTCAATCCGCCCTGCTGAACCACGAAGTATACCTGATCGATCGGCTCGATAATGCGGCTCGAGAGAAAATGCGACATTTGCGCTGCCTCTGTTTTGTGCGTCCGTCACCCAGTTCGATTCAATTTTTGATTGATGAACTCCGCGATCCTAAGTACGGGGAGTATTACATCTACCTCAGCAATATCATTCGCAAGTCTTCGCTCGAACGTCTCGCCGAAGCGGATAGCCATGAAGTGGTGCGTGCGGTGCAGGAACACTTTGCGGATTTCATAGTGATCAATCCGGATCTTTGTTCTTTAAATCTCGGCTTCCCTCAACAGCGATTGTGGAGTCATTCGCCAGACCTGTGGGGTACAGACGCCCTACAGAGGGCTACGGAGGGCGTAATCTCTATCCTGCTAGCTTTGAAAAAGCACCCCTTAATACGCTACGAGAAAAATAGTTTGCTGGCCAAGAAGCTGGCAACCGAGGTTCGTTACCAGTTGACTCAGGAAGAGCAGTTGTTCAACTTTCGCAAGACCGATACACAGCCAATTCTCCTAGTTCTAGACCGGCGCGATGATCCTATTACACCGTTACTGACCCAATGGACGTATCAGGCGATGGTTCATGAATTGATGGGCATTCACAATGGAAGAGTAAACCTCCGAGACGTCCCAGAAATTCGACCAGAGCTCCGAGAAATCGTCCTCTCGCAGGATCAAGATCCGTTCTTTAAGAAGAACATGTATCAAAATTTTGGCGATCTGGGTCAGAATATCAAAGAATATGTCGAGCAGTACCAGGTAAAAACCAAGAACACCATGAACATCGAGTCGATTGCAGATATGAAGCGATTTGTGGAAGATTATCCTGAGTTTCGTAAGCTTTCGGGAAATGTTAGCAAGCACGTTACTCTGGTCGGGGAACTCAGCCGGCGGGTTGGCGAGCATGATCTCCTTGATGTGAGTGAATTGGAACAGAGTCTAGCTTGCAACGAGAACCATGCGAGTGACCTCAAGGTATGTTGGCACCAGACAAGCTGGGGGTGACTGATGCTGACTGATAACATAGAATCTACAAAGATTAATACAGCTGCCATCTGTGCCGGCGGAGAATAAGATACGCTTAGTGGCACTGTATGCTATTCGATACGAAAAACAACCAAATAATGCTCTTCCGATTCTGCTTGATTTGCTGGTCACCGCAGGCGATGTGCCTTCGTATAAAGTTAATATCATTCCAAAACTACTTGCCTACCACCATTCCCTTCAAGCTCCCCCAGTCGCCGGAGGCTTCTCTGACCTATTCGAATCGACTTCCTTCTTCTCTGGTGCTAGGGACCGTTTCAAAGGGCTGAAGGGTGTTGAGAATGTTTACACTCAACACTCACCGCGGTTGGAGGCGACTCTCCAGAATCTAATCAGGGGCCGGTTAAAGGAACTACAGTATCCTTTTCTCGAGGGTGGAGGTCATATCCGAGATAAACCCCAGGATATAATCATCTTTATGGTGGGCGGTGCAACCTACGAAGAAGCTAAGATGGTGGCTCAAGTCAATGCCAGTTCACCTGGAGTACGTGTGGTTCTTGCTGGCACAAGCATACACAACAGCACGAGCTTCCTGGAGGAGGTCGATGATGCTGTGAGCGGCTGGCCAGAGCCTGCCTCCTCCAATGCCGCTGGACGGCTACGGAGGGAAATCTCGCGTTAAGATACTATATATATATTATACATCCTCTGGTATTGGCGTTTACCCAGGGCATTGTAATTCTGTAGCATTTGCATACCTGGATGATAGGCAAGAATTTCCATTGTTCTTCTAGTTTAACGATAATCAACAATGATACATGATTACCTTTCCTAGACGAAGTATCTCCTTATATATATAGAGTGTAGAGTAGTAGAAGACTTTTTGAGTGATTTAAAATGATTTTGACCACTATCAGTGTTCGTATGTCGGCACCCTAGATTTTACCCAATGCGGAGAAAGGGGAGATTTATTGCTTCACTTCCCACCCTCTCACTCTCTCATTCTTAGTCCCTTGTCTTAATTTCTCCCTATGGAGCTGAACAATTCCTCTCCGAATCCCTTAAATGCATCGTCGCCATCTGCAACTGGCGCACGAGAGCCCAAGCTCCATCTCCCCACAACAACTGATCCTCCGGGACCGCAGAATCCGCCGAAGCCGCTCGTATGGCTGGTAGGACCCACGAGATTTGCTGCTTAGTTGTAACCACTGTCGATGACCCTGGAAGCTAATGTACTGGGCTTGCCTTTTTTAGATATTCGGTGCGACAGGCCATATGGGCCGCTCCCTTGTCAAGACTGCATTGTCCCGCGGTGACCGGGTCGCAGCTGTTGGGCGTACCTTCGAGAACAGTCCGGAATGTATGAAGAAACTAGAAGAAGAACACGAAAACTGCTTTGGGCTTCTCTGCGATGTTCGTGCCAGGGAGACTGTCAAACGAGCTATTGATCGCACAATCGAACGCTTTAGTCGCATTGACATCATCGCCAACTGCGCCGGGTACGGCGTGATCGGAGCTTGCGAGGATCAAGACGAATATGATATCCGCGACCAGTTCGAGACAAATTTTATGGGGACGCTAAATATGATTCAGCTATCGCTGCCGCACTTCCGAGAGAGGAGATCCGGTCGCTACTTGATCTTCAGCTCCACATCAGGCGCCTTGGGCGTTCCCGGATTAGGGCCGTATTGCGCATCAAAATATGCCGTCGAAGGGTTGATGGAGAGCATGCTGTATGAAGTGGACAGTTTTAACATCAAGACCACGCTCGTGGAGCCTGGGCACATGCGTCGCGATGACACCGGTGATCTCGTGCCCGATACAGCGGTTCTGGCTAGTCAGAATGACAACGATCTGGCTTCGCCGCTTCCGCTCTATGGTCATTTTTTTGTTAAGCCTCCGAGCGAGCCATACAACACGCCTACTGCGCCGGCGGCGCATGCAAAGCGCATGCTAATGTGGCTAGGCGACAAGCAACCTGCCAGCGCTGTGAAAGCAGCCTGTCTAGTCTGGGAGTTGGGCCATTGCTCCTATCCACCACTCCGACTTATCTTGGGTACCTACGCGGTTGAGAGTATTAGGGACAGACTGAAGTGTATCATCGAAGAAATTGAGGATTGGAAATACCTCAGTTTTCCCCGTGGCGATCAACAAGGCCCTCCCCCTTCCAAGGACAAAGTTCCTACGAATGCACGAGAAACGGAAAGGGGAGAGATGGTGACGTGATGAGAGATGGGTTCAGCGAAGTATCTAAATGTGTGCTGCTTGACAATGCAAGAGCCCCATGCCCTTGTAAGCTATAGTGCTCGTCATAGTAGCCACCATCGCAGTCGTTGCGATGCACGCTATATTAGCGTCATAAAGGTGGCCATCACAATCGAGCCCATTCTATAAACTCCCTGTTACGATACCCTTCCATCACACGGCGGTCTTTCTCTCTGCGGCCAAAGCTGACTCGTTGTGACATCGCAGAATTATTGGGTTTGTAGAGTTGCAAGCGCTCGACCAAGGAATCTAGAGTATATTATTATATTTGACCTACTGTCTGATATGTACTGTACAAACAGTGTCCAGCAATGTAGCCTATCTATATAGGGGTTCACGAAAGAAATAACCATATACACAATTCCAGGGACTAGACCGCAACCCGGTCGTCATCGTCGTTGTCGTCGTCAAAAACAACTGGGAAGCTATGTAGTTTCATGCCTGTTCAGAACATCTAACCAAATCATCCATCGCTCAAGAATCTAATTCTAAACACCAATCAAGGCAGAAAACCGCTAAGCGATCCATCTCGTCTCGCTAATTAAGCATGGGCATTCATAACACAGGTTTCTTTGGCATGCCATATATGTCTCTTTTTGGCCACGTCTATACCAAATGTGTCCTTGATAGGCCCCTCGTCATCGTGAAATGACGCATGAACTAGATGATGAGCATCTCCATCTGTCTCAGGCGAAAGTCTCATGAGGCGCAACTCCTCCACAGACGCGCCAAACTCGTAATCTCCCCGACAGAGGATAGTCACCCCGACGGTAGCAGTTGTACTCTCCTCACTATGTATTACAGGTAATACTTGCTGTAGCATGCCGGTCCATGCGAGACGCTTCGACAAATCAAGGGCAATGTTGTTGGGTTGGTGACGAAGGCTTGGTTGGAGTCGAAGCAGAGGATGTATAGGCCTGGAGGATCGATTACGGATAGTGACGCGGAGGTTTAGCATCTCGTCGGTCTGAACTTTGTACTTTGACCGTCCGATCTGTATAACGCTATTGCCGTTGGAGCTGGCTATCTCACAAGATGACGGAGTCAAGGCGAATGTTATGTCAATGTCCTCGAGCCGGAACGCATCCACCATCCGCGAACTGAAGCGTAGATTTCTCAGGTCGATCGTCCCTTCACGGCCAGCAGGACTTTCTTTCCAGAACCCGGATACTCTTTTAAGGAGCTCTTCCCGGTACCAGAATGCCTCACGCGATGCAGCCTCAGCGTCGAATGAAAGTTTATGAGCGCTTACAACAAATTGTCTCTTGACTCCGGTATTTAAGACTGGGATCGAAGCATGGGGGTTATCCAGATAGACGCGGGGAAGAATGAGGACAAAGCGTGATGTTTGTCCTGGTTGAAGTTCTCCGGAAACGGTGTACCGGCTATCTTTCGACCCGGCGTCCTCTGTCGATAGTTCTGAGGGGTCGACAGGCTGTCCGCTAGCTTGCAATGACACTGTTAACGGGCTCGGCCAAGCGTTGCGAAGATCAAGTAGTAAAAGACAGTGATCAGAGCCATATGTGCCTCGCCCAAGGTGAGAGAGTACAGGGGAAAATATATCGCTATTGAGGGAGAGCGGTGGAGCTGTATTTATTGCCAAAGCAGACTCACCCCCGGAATCAATGTCTTGACAGTTCCACCAGGCGAAGTCATCACTAAATGGCAGTATGTCACAACGAGCAATTTCTATGCTAGCATTGACTGTAACGGTGAGCGGGATAAATAATTGCCGGGTATAGAACACATCAGGCAGTTCGCCACGAGTCTGCCCAACACAGGAGTAATCGATCTGCACCGTCGTATCTTGCAAGCCGGGCTTTCCAATAATATCCACAGTAAATGTAGCACATTGACCGGGGGATATTGAATGATCACCCGGGATTTTGCCTTCGCGCCGCCACCGCAAAGCGGGCCTTGACAGCTTTAGCTCAAGCTCATACACCTCCACCGGTAGCAGATCCCTGTTGCTCAGAGCATTCTGGATTTGTCTCGTAGTAGAGTCCTGAAAAGTAAATAGTATGAAATCAAGCGGGCATGGTGACGTATTTCGTAGAGTGATCTCGAAAGATCCTATTTCACCTTCCAAGACCATAAATGCGGACTGTAGTAGGGAGAGAGACTCGATAACAAGGGACGGCTGTCGACCGATGACCTTAATCTCGCAGGATGCTGTATCTGGACCCTTCTTTGCCAGTGGCTTGCCGTCCCTCGAAGTGGTTGAGCTCCAGGAAAGAGGTCGCTCCGTCATAGGCTGTTTAGCTGCCAAACCAGTGCGCTTGAATTTCATTTCGGGGTCAGGCCGCCACAGACCATTGAAGATGGGAAACCGTCGTTCCCTGCAGTGTCGGACTTTAACGAAACAGCCTGTAATGTTCACCACTCCTTCTTCGTGTGCTAATCCGAAAATCGTGAAGTCTTGCAAACTTAATGGGCGAAGCACGATACATTCTACAACGGCATCAAGAGGTATACCCTCGCCGTCAAGACGGAGCTTTTCAATCTCTATTTCAAATTCGTAAGGATTTTGAAGAGTAAGTTGAAAGGGGGCGTGTTCGCCAGCCACCATGAGTAATTCTGTCGTCTTGTTACTTGCTTTCTGGAAAGGATTGTACAGAAATGGGTCTTTGGTTGATTTTTCTCGATCTGCTGTAACAGCATCAAGCTCTGATCTAGACCGACGGACCGGGCTTCTGGAATCCGGGAGGGTGATGAGCTGAATACCTCGGACTAAGAAATCATCCCAGTACTCCGCTTCCAACCCGGATGCGCCTAGCTTATTCGCAGCGCCTACTGTTCGCTTGATGTTGTTTAACAAGCGGATCTGTTCTTCTTGTGGTAGATAAGGAGGTGTGTAAAAGGTCTCAGAAAGCATAAGGCTACCCCTGATGGTCTGAAGCAGCTCGACTGTGAAGCGAAGAACGCCACCGAAATCAGGGAGAGCTTCGCAAGCATTGATACATGCCTTAAGGACATCAATCTTGAGGTTCAAGTCACCGTATCCATCTAAAGCGGCATGATGAAACGATCGTTCAACAATAGCAGCAACTGAATCATATTCAGGGAAAGACTCTGTTCCGTTAGCAGATACGGACCGCCTCTTCTCCCATTGGTGGAAGGACGAAGTCTGGACGCCGTATGTCTCCCCGACCGTAGCAAGAAGGGAGCGCATGCTATCTTCCATGTTCCCAGGGCCAATGTCCAGAGCATTGATATCAAAAGCCGTGTCGCTGAGAGACGCTAAACCAGCAGCAGGATGTATTCCTACCTCTGCTGCACCGATTTTACGTGCTTGAACAAGTGTTGGAACAAGCATGGACAGGAGTTCTCTCAAGATGAAAGCCTTTTTCCTAGGTAGGCCAAGAGTGTCAAGAACAGAGACGACACCAATCATAATAGGAATCGCGTCCGTTGCAGGAAGATCCGACCCAGGTGACAATGGCATTGCACGAAACAGAAAGTCAGCAATGTCAGACTTGCGAAGGATGACTAAGCCACGAGGACGCTCTGGTCGGTGAAGAGGCTGGAGAGGTTCGCCCATAACGATGTGTTTCAAGGCTACATCATCCAGTGCACCATCACGGATGCGTGCAGCCACCAATAACCTTCCAAGGCGGATCACCGTTTCTGAGAAGATGAGCTGAGGCAAGGGTGCATTGGCTATGTTAGCGGCCCGATTGTAGAGATTCAGTATATTGTTCAAGAGGTCAGGCAAGAGGTTCGACAAATTCTGAAGCGAGATAACCCGATTTCCAGGAGTGGACGGTCCCGAAGCGATGTCGAGGTTAAATGAAGATTTTAAGGACTTGTCGGCAACAGGATAACAAATGGGAGGAATCTACAATGCGTTAACCTAGTCAGAAATACAAGAATTTGAACGCGAAAAAGGAGAGAACACACCTGAAAATCCATCCCTGCCCACGCAAACATCAACAGGCAGAGAAGGATCGATTCAAGTGCTTTAGCATGCCAAACATAATCACTACATGCTCTAGCGTTGGACGCAGCTTCAACCAGTTCTTTCAAGGCATCCGGCCACCTTCCGGCCTGGAGAAAAAGCGTTCCAATGACAACACCCGCACGGCCCTTGATCCGATTCTTAGTACGATCAGTGGCACTCATACTACTTACGGACATCCGGTCACGGCTATGTTCTTTTGAACCCGGCAAGGAGTTGGGTTTTCCAGCCGAGTTAGAGCGGTTAGACAGTTGGATAGACCGGGTTATCTCATCGAAAGTTGTTGGTGTCTCATGTTCGCTGGGGACGGGCGAGCATTGGCTGGAACTGAGAGAAGTTTCAGGTGTACCATTCGGATTAGATGGCAGCTGCGCAGGCATAGTCATCCGATGAAACAATCTGTCGGTGGGACGGGGGCGTATATCTGGGCCCCGATGCGGACCCCAAGATGACGCCCGAGGGGACTCGAGGGATGGTATACTCTGCATGGTCCTCGCAAACCCGTCTAGCTCGGAAAGAAGTAGAGAGGTAATATCGCATAATACAGTCTTTATCGTAGTAGCCTTGGAGGCCTCAGGCCGCGGAATCCATAAGATATCATCTGGGCCGGTCGAAAGCTTGTCTATCCCCTTATAATCGAAGATTAGGAGCTGATGCACCAAGGCTCTTGGGTTCCTCTCTTTGACTAATTCTACTTCCTGTCGAAGTTGATCCAGTCCAGCCGGAGTGGGAGATGCTTCATTTTTGGCTTCCACAGTTTGATCTTCTTCATTCTGCACAGCACCTCCATTTAGTTCAGCTCCATCGGCTATAGTAATAATGACCATGGGTTCTCGATAAATTTCAAACGGGAACGACTCTAGATGCGATGTGGGAGGCACTGAGAAAGTGAGGTCGTAGAGAATCATCCCTGTGGGAAATGCTAACGGCGAGAACATATCTATGGAGTAGATTAGTCAACTACTGCAATTTTTCTAGTGTGCGTAGAAACAACAGCTACTTCAAGGAATAAAGTGGGCGGTGCCTACTTCGATTGGGCCGTCCATCAGGGCTAATGTCCCCCAGGCGAACAACATTTTCAGCCTGTAGTCTTGTAGCAAAGCCCAAGAACCTTGACCGTTTGATCTTTCCAACGGGGAGAAGCAGCGCCCTAAGGCGCGCGGGCGCAATGGGAGACAGAGGGTCAACGCCCATAATGTCATCTGAAAGGATGCGGAGCGGAGGCAGTCGGCGGGATGCTCTGGACTGCTTCCAAAAAGGGGGTTAAACTTTTGGAAGTCATACGAAAATAAACAATTAATGCTAGTATTGGTATGATTAATAGACGGGGGCCAGAGAATAGGAATATATACCATCGAACAATTCAAAAGTGACCCTTGGCCACACTTGACCGAGAGTACGATCGCCGGACTGCAAATTGAATTAAACAACAATAGTGGAGTTGATAAAAGCGTCTTAGGTATTTCTCACCAACCGTAACCCGTTCCTGTCAGGGGAGGCGGTAACTAACTATGGTTTGTATGCTTATGCTTATGTAATCAGGCAACTTTCTGATAAGACCGATAACTTTGGCTATCGTGACAGCTCCATGAACCATTTATCACCTATTCGTTCATCACTATTCTCTATTAACTGGAGTGTACGGCTGTCCCTTCTCCCCATCTCTGTGAACTCTGTGTGATTAACTTCATAGAGACGTGTTTTTGTTGTTCAGGTTACAGCGTTGTCACCATACCCTATACTAGTTCTGGTTATTTCTTTGTCGAGTGACCTGTCCCTTAAACCATATGCAGTGGTGCCCCTGAAAGGCTTCGGGCATAGTACAGCCTTGTGGATATCATGGCGAACAATATAGATTTCAACGCTCTAAAAGCGCGTACAATGGGATCGGGTAATGACGAGGAAGCTGTAACAGTTGATACACGGGGTCTGATCTCGAAAGTGCTTGCGCGTTACTCAGGGAAGTGGTACGTGTTGCTTTTACTGTTTAGTAGGTGTATAGGGTAGCTGTTAATTTATGAACAGGACAGTCTTGCGAGAGATGATCCAAAATGCAGCTGATGCCAATGCGACAAAAGTGACTATCAAGTTCGAGACCTTACCATCTACAATCGTTCCTTTACCTTCCCATGCCGACAACACTACATTAATCAAGCATACAATCTCTCATCATACTCTAAGGCGCCTTTTGATATCAAACAACGGTTCGCCCTTCAGCGAAAAGGATTGGGCAAGATTAAAACGCATCGCGGATGGCAATCCCGATGAAACAAAAATTGGAGCTTTCGGGGTCGGTTTTTACAGTGTTTTTGATGATTGTGAAGAGCCATTTGTGTCTTCTGGCAAAGATGCTATGGCCTTTTATTGGAAAGGGAATGCTCTCTATACTCGTCGATTGCAACTAAACGACGCCCCAAATCTTGAGACAACATTTGTTCTAGATTACCGCAATGATACATCTCCAGTCCCGTCTTTAATGGAGTTATGTCAATTCCTGTCTAGCAGCCTTACCTTCGTTAGCCTCGAGAACATAGAGTTATGGCTCGACGACTGGAACTTACTGCGACTGACGAAAAAATCCGCCCCGAGTGTCGATCTTGCCATCCCCAGAGACATCGAAACGAAGACACCTCAAGGCTTGATGAAAATACTCAATGTGACCCGTGAGGTTGCTCAGGTTGACGCTACTTGGATGCGAGTTGTTGAATGGAACCCACACGCGAATCTATTTCGTGAGGGACTCAGAGACACAGCAGGCTCTCTACGCACCTTTTTCTCGAAACTCACTGGGCAGAGTAGGTCAGAAAAATCATTGGTAGAGAAAAGCAACAATATTAGCGATTTGGAAGACATAACTAGGTCCTTAACGGCGTCGGTTTTCCTGCATATCAACACTGCGAGCATTCAGTGTTCTATTAGTCAATCCCTCAGCAGTGAACTTGAACGCGCCACGCGCAAGCCCCCGCCGAAGAAGTCTGTAATAGCTGTATTGACTCCTTCATATGACACTACCTTGGCGTCTGGGGCGTCTGGAATGCAGTCAGAGATTCTTTCATCGGTTCTACCATCTAATGCCGGAAGGGTTTTCATAGGCTTTCCCACTCATCAAACAACGGGTCTCAACGCTCACATATCTGCGCCTTCCGTTATTCCGACAGTGGAGCGGGAGAGCATTGATCTCAACACACGATATATCAGCAAATGGAACTTTGAAATGTTAAGAACTGCGGGTATCGTATGTCGAGTGGCCTGGTCTGCAGAAATGGCCTCTATCAGGTCTAAGATACAACCAACGAAATCATCAAAGGTTCGAAAGAATGATGTAGTTGACGTACTGCCGGAAGCCATTCATACAGCGAATCAATTCGTCTTCCGTGAATCAACTCCCTCGTCGGTCCTTGGCCAGATCATTGAGGATTCGTTCTGGACATGTAATAAGAATGCTTCTATCGAGGTTTTATCAACATGCGGAATCATCCAGAGTCATCAGGCACGTATTGCTCCAAAAGACCTCAGCTTTATGGATACTATTCCGGTTCTGCCCGATGATTTTGTGTCAAATGCGAAGGATTTTGTTAACAAACTGACAAATTTTGGGCTTGTCACTGATATCACAGTATCCGACATCAAGCGTGAATTAGAAGGCAGTACGCTACAGTCAAGTCAGGTAGTTGAGTTTCTCTCTTGGTTAGGCCGAAGGTCTGCCTCAGGACAACTTGACTCTCTTTCTGTGCAGAGCCTTTTAAACGTTGCGGTGGCGAATAGTGAAGATTGCAACGGTACTATAGCCAGATTACTTCTCTTCGCGGACATAAGCAACTATGTCAATCCTCAAAGGATACCAGTTGATATGCCTTTTCCGTTATCCGTGATGCCTTTCAGATTCACCAAGTCTCTAAACAAACAAGAACTTGAATCGTTCGGCTGGACAGAACTGCAGATAGTCCCCTGGATTCACTGGCTTCTTAACAATGCCGGGAATCGGAATGTTCTCCCAATCGAGCAAGACATTACACAGACTTCGTCTTTCTCTGCTCAGGTTTTGCCCGTACTTTCGAAGCAATGGGACGTCCTAAGCCAGCCGTCGAAACAGAGCGTGATCAATCTGTTACAGGCACATACGGTTATCCCAACAAAGGTTGGCATGAAACGGCCTGTAGAAACATATTTTTCCTCGGTCCGCCTGTTTGATGACCTTCCTGTTATTAGAGGTCTAAACAGCGTCAAGGAAAAGTTTTTGGCTGCTCTTGGCGTCCGTAAGACCGTTGAACTCGGAGTCATATTTGAGCGGCTATTAAACATAGCAGAATCCTCAAATGGGAGAAATACTAGCCAGAGAAAGTGGAGTCATGTCGATTTGATACGCTATCTCGCCTCTGTTCGCGAAGACATACCCGGTGGTGATATCAAGAGGCTGAAGGAGACCAGTATATGCACTTCAGAGGCGAACGAAACCTCTGATGATCCTGAAATAGAACGCCGCAGGCTCTATAAGATATATGAGCTTTTTGAGCCGCAAGACTCTCTCAGGGCCCTTAAACTTCCTGTGATTGAGTGGCCTGGCAAGTATCAGTCTAGCAGCAACGAGGGTAAATTTCTTTCCATGCTAGGGTTGAGGAGTTTTCCATCTCCTTTCGAACTGATACAACTCATGGCAAATGCGGCGGCAGCAAATGACTGGGCACTCCACAGCAAGGCTATGTCTTACTATGTTGCCGAATATCATAACAACGGTTATGCTGCATTCAATTGTGATGAAGTTACTATTCCTTTCCTTCCCACCGAAGGATCTGATGGTCTTAGTATCCCAAGTCAGTGCTTCACTGACGGAGCTGCTACCTTATTTGACTTTAAGATCTTACGACATGCTCTTCATCCCCATGCTTCTAAATTAGGAGTCAAGCAGCATCCAGCTCTCACGGATTGCCTAAATTGTCTGCTTCGGCAACCACCCTCTACTAAGCGGGATGCACGGGTGGCTTTCAAATATTTGGCTGGGAGAGTATCAGAGCTCAAACCCCGAGATATTGACCGAGTTAGCAGTGCACAAATAGTGCCCGTCTCCGTGAATGATACGCCCGACCAAGGATCAAAAACACGCTATGTGGCACCAAAGCTGTGCTATCTCGGCGAGGGTGAAGATTACAGAGATATCTTTGACTTTGTTGACTTTGGACAAGAGGCGAACTTCTTCCTCATGGCTGTCGGTTCTAAGCGAGAGCCGACCAAAATAGAACTTGCGTACATGTTAGTGAGAGAGCCGGCTAGGATATCCTCCACGTTTCAAAGCGCGGACAAGTATCTCAAGATACTGAGGACGCTCGCTGAGAATATCAATGTGCTCAAGAAGGACCGGGAACTCATTAGTGAAATGAAACGGTCTGCATTTCTTCTAGCGAGTAGAGACATTTCATCATTAGCCCAAGGAAAATCTGGAAAAGACAGCCTTGATTCTGACGAGGAAGATGACGAACAGAGCATCAAAGAGTGGACTTTAAGTGCAGCAAGGGGCACGGTGGTCGTCGATGATTTTCAGAGTTTCAACCTTTTCAAGGAGCATATTCTAGCTGCACCTCAGGAAGAAACACTAGAGAATTTTTATCTTGTTCTAGGGGCTCTGCCGTTGAGTACTCTTGTCGAAGAGCGCGCTCATTGGGGGACGGTAGCCTCGGATCAGCGACCAGCAGCGAAATTGCAGAAATTAATCCATGAACGCTCAAGACTCTTTCTTCATGATCAGCTCGCCGAAACCATCAGGCATGATGTCAGGTGGCTAGAGAAAAATCTCCGCGTCCAAGTGGTCCATTCTATACATCTCACCCGCTCCCTTAAAGGCCGTAGTGTTTCGCATACTCAGAAGCGAAGTGCCATCATCACCCGCCAGCCGACGTCTTGGGTCTTGTGGACTTCCCCAGGAAATTATGATCTCTATGAGATAAGTCAAGCTTTGGTGCATCTAATCCTTGTCCGTCCGAAGCTTCATTCGACTCTCACGCTAGAGATGCTTTTGAAGACTGACCTGTTGGAGCTTAAGGCGCGCGGCTACAACGTCGAGCGCATTCTAAAGCAGAAGGCTCAGGAGGCAAGGATAGCAGAGGATAGACGTCAGAAACAGTTGGAGGAGGAGCGACAACAGCTCCAAGAGAGGGAAGCAGCATGGGCGCAGGAACGGGCTCAAATCCAGGTGCAGACACAAGCACAACAAGCAGACGGGGGAGGGAAGCCTCCAATGCCTGGGGATTTTCCAGGCTCACCATCACCCTCCAGCAAAGATATTGCTCCCGGTTCGCAAGGGGAACCGCTAGAACAGAGCCAGTACCGACGCCCACGGGGGCTATTTGCCAACTTAACCAAACACTTTGGGCTGGATAATAGCCGATCAACATGGAACCCCCTTGGTGGAGATTCATCTCAACCGTCCGCGGAGTCTTCAAACAATACCACTCCTCCTCCTCCTCCTCCTCCCCCATATTCAGCAGAAGATCCACAGAAGTCCGGCTCAGAACAGCCTGTGAATGTCAGTCCACCACATAGATTTGAATCAGAGCTACTTTCTGCTATCCAAGCCTGTAGGCCTCATGGGTCATCAGACGTATATAGCCGGCCAGAAACAAACCAAGTCACTGAATCGAAATCCTATTGTGACGAGAGGCCTAGCCACGATCTGGAATTTGTGGCAACTCTTCCTTGCGGTATTCATGTACTCTTCGTAAAGACGCTTTCAGATCGGACCACCTTCCTGGCCAAGAACAGCGCCGGAATTAACTTCTTTGCTTCGATGCTGATTGAATGCGCCAGTGTCTTCTCCCTTCGTGCAGATACTCTTAGTGTCTTCTATGACCCAGGTGGGAAGACTATAGCCTTCAACCGGGCTGGCAGCATCTTTTGTAATTACTTCTACTTCCAGCAATTACATGAGAAGGAGCTACTCCAAAGCCCGGCTGCCGACAGCACTGAAGCACTTGTATATTGGTGGGTGATACTGTGTCATGAGCTGGCACATAATCTGGTGGGAGATCATAGCTCGGCTCATAGCTACTACAGGTACGGAAACACTATATATAAGGTGATGGAGTCACCCATTTACTGATACCCTCTCTAGTGAAGGCTTTGTGGCCCAGTACTTCCCCAGAGTTGTGGCCAAGCTTGCCACGGCCAATAAGCAAGCCCCGACACCGAATTCGTAGCTTGTACTGCTGGTATAAGCAACCGGCTGGAATGATTGACGGCTTACGATCATACATATATGTTTAGACACTGTTTGGTCTACGGCAGCATGTTTTGGCTTTGGTTCTTGCGACTAGGCTTGCTAGACAAACTCCAGCATCTGTCAAAAGTGTATATAGGTGAACAGCTTGAGCAACAGCGATATAATAAATTTCATGGGAAATCCTTTCTGAACTCTGCCATTTTTTTTGACGCAAATGTATAGATAGAAGAGGCTGGTTCTTTTGATTATTGGGAGGCCAATAATTACGGCTTGCCAGAGCAGGAGGAGTAGGAGAAAAGAGGAGGACCTTCGACTCAATAAATTAAGTTACTTAAATTTAGGGTTTCCGGTGATTGCCGCTCCGTCCCTGAATTTTAGTTTATTTCTTCTTTTCTTTTTCTCTTCTTACTTGGTTCCTTGGGTCTAACATTTCCGTGACTCAACGCCATCCATACCAACCTTTTTTCTTTTTATCTTTTTCCAAAAAGGAGAAAATTCTTGTTAGATAAATTTGTTTATTGTCCTCATATTCATTTCAAAAAAAAAAAAAAAGAAAGGATTTTTTTTCTTTCTTCCCTTCTCTTTCTGTTCCCCTGTTGATAATATACAGCTTTTTTAAGGTTGTTTGTGGGGAGAGAATTAAGTAGATTTAACTGGGTGGCCTCCACATTATTTATCGCCACTTCTGGGGAGACTTTTATGGGTTCTTATATACACGCTATGAACTGACATTGATTGACCCTAGTACTTGGAATTACTTCTTTTCATCGTGTTTGTTGTCACCTCCCTCCTCTTTCTTTTGTTTTCACATATTTTGCATTTATCACTGCCCTTCGTGGGTACATCTACAGCATGGCACCATTATTAGGTGCTCCTGTCGAGGGGTCCTCTAAATCGCATTCTGATACATCTCCTCGGAAGAACATTCTCTATGTCGATGCATACGACTCCTTTTCTTACAATGTGGTTGCTATGCTTGAAGAGGTCCTAGGCGCCAAGGTTACCGTGATGATGATTGATTCGGAGTGGCCAGAAGGCAACATAACCGAGTTTTTGCAATATTTCGAAGCCGTCGTCCTTGGACCCGGACCCGGGAATCCTAATGTTCCCCAAGATATCGGGATCATGAAGGATATCTGGGATCTGAGTGAGGCTGATTTGCTGCCCGTTTTGGGTATATGCCTGGGGTTTCAAAGTTTGTGTCTTCGCCACGGCATTTCTATAGGGCGGTTACCATATCCTCTTCACGGCCGGGTGTACCGTATCTCAACGGCGAACAAGGACATCTTCGAGAATGTACAAGAGGTGGAGGTTACTCTCTATCACTCTTTATATGCCAACTTGGGCAATTCACTTGAGGCAGCCTTGGTCGATTGCAGTAATGAGAAGATCAAGATCAACCAGGACTTGGATCTTCTGGCTTGGCTGCCCATCGAACGAGGCCCCCCCTCAGAAAAGGCCCTTCTTCCTATGGCGGTGCGACACAATGAAAAGCCTTTCTGGGGTGTTCAGTTTCATCCAGAATCATGCAAATCGGACCGTGCAGCGTGCAGTGAACTACTAAAGAAATGGTGGGAGGCGTCCCTAGACTACAACAAAAAGCACAGGTGCGGTTACGGTAACCTGCCGAGGGACGTGATTAGATACTCGAGCGATGTGACCTCTCTTTCGGAGATAGCATTCACCATGTTAAATTGGTGCGCCGCAACCTCGCCAAAGTCAGCTTTTCGCTCACTTACTGCCAGAGAACTAGAAGCTGAGTTACTATGCGAAAAACTAAATGCTCCAGGATCATCAACTGTTTTATTTCAGTCGAATGGCAGACACAGTATCATATCAGTGCCGAGCCCTACGAGCTGGAGATTAGAATATTATGCTCAGTCCGAGAGACTCCTGGTGGAAAAGTTGCAGGGGCAGTGCAGCGGACATCTGGGCAGCAGTATTGAGGAATCTTTGTCAGTAGCTGACTTCTGGGACACGCTCAGATATCTCATGGACATGAAAAAGGTCGAGTCTGGGGATAGTGCTATACCGTTCTGGGGAGGATTTTTGGGCTATTTTTCGTATGAGATGGGACTTGCCTGTATTGCTCGGCCGAAAACTCACAGTGATGGGTGCTGCCCTACCCAAAATAGTACCACAGGTGCTGATCCACCAGATGTGAGTTTGTTGTGGACTGAGAGAAGTATCATCCTCGACAATGAAACAGGACGTATCACAATACAGTCAACGCGAAATGCCGATGATATACCGACCGGATGGCTTGATGAAACGCTGCAACTTTTGACTGAGCTTGCTCATGTGGACACGGCTGAAATTGAGAATGTCAACTCTGATACTGATTTTTTGGATTCCATATTAAGGCAATGCGTGATACGGTTCCCGAACGAGCAAACATACAAAAAACAGTTCGATGCTTGTCAAGCCGAGCTTGAAGTTGGCGAATCGTATGAGTTGTGCCTTACTTGCGAGACGACAATTACTTTGCCGTCACCTATCAATGACCGTGAACGTGTTGCTCTCCCTTGGAAGCTATATAAACGTCTTCGGGAGTACAATCCTGCGGCTTTCAGCGCATATGCAAGATTGGGTACTGTCAAGATTGCCAGTAGCAGTCCTGAATGCTTCCTCAATTGGGACCGCTCTTCTACATTAGAAATGAAGCCAATGAAGGGCACCGTCCGGAAATCAGTCAGCATGACCGTGAAGAAGGCCAAGGAGATACTGGGTTCAACAAAGGAAATGGCGGAGAACTTGATGATCGCAGATTTGATTCGCCATGACCTCTACGGCATCTGCGGCTCTGGAGGTGTCCATGTTGAGAAGCTTCTTGAGGTAGAGGATCACGGGCGGGTCTATCAGATGATCACGCATGTGAAAGGAAACGTCGATCCAGACCGTCCTGGCTTCGCCGTGCGGGACTTGCCACATCTACATTCATCAAACATGTCTTCGTACGGACTCACTGCCCTACAGAGGTGTCTTCCCCCGGGCTCGATGACTGGTGCGCCTAAGGAGCGTTCATGCATGCACCTTTCTTCAATAGAATCCCGGAAACGTGGGATCTATTCAGGTGTCATGGGCTTCCTCGACCTCGGAGGTGGGGGTAGTTTCTCAGTCCTTATCCGCACTGCGTTCACTTGCTCGGATGACAAGGACAATGAGCAGTTATGGCGCATTGGGGCTGGTGGGGCTGTGACTATTCTGAGCACCGCTGACGGTGAATGGAACGAGATGTTGACTAAGCTTACCACTGTTTGTGGTGTCTTTGCGCCGTCGGACTTAAAAGGTTCATGTCTCTGACTCGTCTCTTTCACTCTTATAGTTTCCTTGTATTTCACTTCTCGTTTGTTTCTTTCTGCTTTCCCTCGTGAAGTCTACATCATTTTATGTAAAGCAACGATATTCAACAGTTGCGGGTTTAGACGATACAGTATTGGATTCAACATTGAGCGTCGGGGTTAGAGGCGTTTGGAAGTTCATGATATATTTACTATATACATCTTTGATAAAATGCGTTAGGATAAATTTTCCCTCATTTTTACTTGCATAATTTGTATAAGTGAAGCTTATCAATCTAGATGGAGTGCAAACAAGTCAAACATGACTGTTAATCTCCGCGGAGACCAGTAAATACATCATCATCCTCGACGTGCACGTGCAATTTCCACTTCTGGTTGCTATTCTGCGAATTTTTCCTTTACTTATAGACAGTTTACTGGAGCGATTCCATCACATGGCGAACATCCAAGATGGCTCAATGGAGGAGATCCTGTGGCGGTCGCCAGCGCACGTTCAGATGATGGGAGGCTTTCTCCATTCCAACAATAGTGAGGAGTTCTTCTCTCTTTTTCCGATTCTCTCTCCGTTTTAGTTTTTCTTTCTTTTCCTCTAAGTCGCTTGATTTAATAACCAATATATATATATATAGTTTTGTTCTACTTCGCCGAATCTCCGTTCTTCGACGCTACTTCTAACAATGCCTCTCTTGCCATTCAAGCCAACTACAACGAAACACTTCGCCACTTTGTGGAGACTCGTGAGGCGTTCGAGGGCCGTTTGAGGACCATGCAAGGGTTAGAATTTGTGGTTGCTTATGACCCGTTGCAGGCTGCGGCACAAACAGAGACCAGTTTTGCGCATGAACCATCTAATATCTGGGTGATCCGGAAACAGACGAGACGGAAACGAGCCGGGATAGATGATGAGGTGGTAGTTTTATCCACTTACTTCGTTGTGGGAGATTGCATCTATATGGCCCCGTCAGTTGCGAACGTTGTGGGAAACAGAATAGTACGTAAAGTGAGATTCTGTAGATATGACCCAGTGGCTAACATCTATCCAAAAAAATAAAAGCTTTCTGCTGTTTCATCACTCACGAGCCTTCTGAAGACCGCATCGTCACTGCCTAGTTTTACTCCGTCACATGGGCACACGTACATGCCGCCCGCACCCAAACCGACGGACACCAGTCAGCCAGGAGCTCAATCTCAGCAAAGCAAGGAGAACACTCCGATGCCCGGCACCGACTCCACAAAAACTCCGTTAGTCGGTCTCCAAATGACCAGCGTGGGGACAGTTTTTCAGGACACGAAGTCTTTCGCCGAATCATTCGGTCTCCTTGCAAGATATGGAGAGGAATTCATGGATGAGAACCCACTAGTCGGAGAGCCGGGGTCATTCATCCTGTCCAAATCCGGGGATGCGGATCGAGCTGCTGCTGCCAAACAACCACCGAATATCAGCCGACCTGGGAGTGTCCTGGGCAGAGTTGGAACGCCTCAAGACAAGGTTGACACGCCTGGTAAAACAGCAGAGAAAGGGGCCACTCCGTCGGCCTCCGATGAGAATAAAGCACGAAAGAAGAAGGCCAAAATTGGGAGTTAGAAAAAGGAAAAGAAAGGGGAAAGAAAGAATAAGAATAAGAATAAAGCCAAAATTTTGTGATACCCTTTTATTAACAACCTGAAGATCATGGTAAATGTACATTCCATGAATACGTCCACAGCAAATGACCGATGTAAGGACTAGAATCAGATAATTCACTTGTTGTATACTGAGGCAACTAACTACAGCAATAATTACAATGTAGAAAATGCCAGGAGGTATGCTAGTACCAGTTGATGAGATTAAACTGCTTAACCACATGTGGAGAAAAGGAAAGACTTACAAGTTGTTCCGTTCTAGAAAGAATCCACTAGTGACTCATTCAAAGAAGATCCATGGATAGTTACGAGTAATAATATAGTAATTATTCTTCTGTCTTGCCTCTCCTACCAAGTCCCTTACCTACCGTCCGAGCCTCGTATATATTTGCATATATACGTATATATATTCACTACTCATTGCGGAACTTTTCACTCTGCTAAAGAAAAAAAAGGAAAAAACCAAAATCTTTGCTTACTTGGTCCTAACTCATTAACCTCCCCCTTCCCCCCTCCTCTTTTCCCTACTAAAACACCAATATTCATCACTCGTATACGGCTTATACTCCTTATTAATCTATACAAGACCAACAATAACAGCAAACATGGCGAGCACCAAGCAAGCTGTCGTCTGTGTATTGTGAGTTGAATCAATCAAAACCTCTCCCCCCACGTCCCCCCACCATAATGAGATATCGCAACAACCAACAACAGACCACACTCCCAAGAACAAAACAAAACGTACAATCAAAATGAACAAGGACGTGCTAATTACCAACGGAATAAATGTAGCTGCGGTTCGGTCTCCGGTAAAAGCCCTATTCACTTGGAAACAGCCCGGGCCCTTGCACACGAGTTTCACAAGAACAACATCCAGCTCGTCTACGGCGGTGGCACAGCAGGCCTAATGGGCGAATTAGCCCGGACTCTAGTTTCCCTTTCCGGACCCCAAGCAGTACACGGTATCATCCCTCGTGCCCTAGTCAAAGTCGAGCCCGGCTATGACAAAGCGACGGAGGAGAAGAACCCCTCCGCGGCCGTAGGCGGGAAAGAAGCCGAGCGAGTCGTCAAGGAGCCCATGGGAAATATCGGGACGCTGAAGGAGTCAGAATACGGGACTACCACTATCGTCCCGGATATGCACACGCGCAAGCGCATGATGGCTGAGAAGGTCCGTGAAGGTGGCCCCGGGTCGGGCTTTGTTGCGCTGGCGGGCGGATTCGGAACTATCGAGGAGGTTATGGAAATGACTACTTGGAATCAGTTAGGTATCCATAAGCTTGGCATGGTGTTGCTCAACGCCAATGGGTATTGGGATGGGGTGCTAGCATGGGTGAAGAAGTCAGTCCAGGAAGGTTTCATTAGTCCCGAGAACGGCGAAATCCTGGTGGAGGCCAAGCATGTCACCGAGGTTTGGCCTAAGCTGGTTAGTTACAAAATCAGCAATGGGAGGATGCAGCTGAATTGGGGTGAGGAGTAAGTTGGTCGTCTACGCACGCATTCATATTGCACTACTGGCGCATGGCGTGGCGTTACACCCGGCACGAGACGCTGTCGGCGTTGATTGTATGCTAGAGGTTTAGAGCTAGCTGATAGAAGGAACACCACATGTAAAAAGTAGAGCGCCAATTACACGTTTATGGCATTAAATACACCGCGCTTAGAGAGTCAATATCGTATTATCCTGAGTTCGTACTAATGTCTGCGTATAACAAATCGAGAAAGAGGGGAAAGTGCTGCTAATCTCCAGCGTCACAATAATCAGGAATTTATATCTATAGGTTTGACCTCAAAAACCTACGAATCAACCTCCATCACCTCCTCTTCTTTCGTTTCTCCCGACTCCACAGCCTCTAGCAGCGGGACGAGTTGTTGACCTTCGTAATGCTTGAAGCTCTCAATCTTTCCCTTTCCTTCCTCTGCAAGGCCGACCACACCCACAGAGGTATTATCAACAGTCAGCTCTTTATCCTGAGACAGTGTCTCCTTGAGTGCCCGCAGGCCATGGGTGATAAGCTCATCACTGGTACTGTTCGTAATCTTCTCTAAGTTCCGCTCCAGGTAGGTTCGGGCCATCTGCGAACGAGCACCGATAGCGCAAGCCAGCATTTCATGTATCATGCCCGACGGCTGAAATTCAAATAGATGGGGACCAGCTTCGTCGACACCGGCAACCAGCAGGCCGACACCATACGGCCGTTTACCGTAATGCTGGGTGTTCGTTTGGGCGCGGTCAGCGATCTGATTAACGATGCGGTCCACGGGGATAGGACGACCGTAAGTCATTCTGGAGCTGAGAGACTGCTGCTTCATGTAGTTAGAGAGCACACGAGCGTCCGATGCTAGACCGGCGATAGCAATGCCCATGTGGGAGTCGATTTCGATAATCTTCTTTTGGTACGAGGAGAGCTCTTCGGCATTTCGCTACAATCATCCAGATAAAATCCGTCGTGTTAGCAACATATCCATGCATTGCTCCCTGTCAATCCAGAGAATGAATGTACATGGTAATTCGAACCTTTAAGCCGACAAGGACTGCATGTGTCTTGTTAACCAGCCCCACCACGACAGATCCCTGCTTGACTGCTTCTTGCGCATATTCTACTTGGAAAATCCGACCCTGCGGGGAGCTGTTCAAAGAAAAGAGATTAATGATGGAGCTTCTCTAGCTGGAACGGGGGAGCTAGGTGGAACATCATACAAGGTGACCGCATCGTTATCATAGTTGTTCCGGAACATGGTAGAAGTTTGGATGACAAAGATTTATCGGGAATGAGAGAAAATTGTGCTGTGCAAATACTGGTAGCAGTATTAGTCGTGGAAGAGAAGGGGGGAGTGTATAGATGAGGCAAGAGCTGGGAAGATGATGCCGCCGTAGTAGGCAGTCAGACTGACGCGGTGACCAACGCAATTACCAAAGCTTCCGCTTGCTTGGAGGGCTGCAGTGCCTTGATGCCTGAGGCACTGTGGACGATGTTGCTGCCGCCTGGGGTTTGTTCAACGTCACCTAAGCGACTACATCGGGATCGGCCATTCCAACGACCTCTTGACCAACGTCTCCATGCTGAAGGAACGTTGCCTTTAAATTTTTCTTTCTTGGAGTCATTCTGCTTGAGATCACTTTGCGCCGCTGAACCCTGATCATCTTTGCTTTTAGTGCCTGGACCTAGACGGTCCTATATCTCGGCATCATGACGGCGGGACTCAAGACAATTATCGCACTCTCATTCGTATGTGATCGATCAGAATGGCTGTACGCGGTCTGTTAGAGAAGAATGATGTCTCTGATATGTTGTTTCCTTTGTTCCCCAGATACTCGCCATTGGCTTTCTCCTCGTCATCCTCAGCTCGGCCCTTTGGCACAACTTCTTACCCTTGATTGTCGTTGCGACTTACATTATCGCCCCTTTACCCAACTGGGTCTGCTCGCGATGTGCGAATCCGGATGATTTTATGGACAGCTCAGGAAACGCTGCAGCTGATTTTGGTCGTTTCTTGACGGGTTTCCTGGTACTGATGGGCATTGGTAGGTCGTTCTGAGTTTCATTTTGAACATTGACCTGCGAGCATGGCGAAAACCCGGCCAATGTATCTCTAGAATTTGTGAAAGTTGGGGGGACGTGTTTTCTTTCATACCCCTTCTAAGCTAATTCGGATGCTCTCCAGCGCTCCCAGCTGTGCTTGCGCATAGCGGCGCAATTCAGGTCCCGGCAATGATCATGTCAATCCTCGGCGGCCTCTTGATTTACGGAACAATTATCAGCTTCTCAATGTTCTTCAAGGAACAGGAGGAGTTTTGAGTCGCCATGGGTATCAGTTAGTAAGGCAGAGATTACATCGGTGCGCTTAATCGCAAGCTGATTTACCCAGGATTTCGAAGGCTTCCTTATTGGATGGAGAGCCATGGATTCCATTATGAAATACCTGTTTGCTTACACATATGCTGCGAGTCCTTATGTGAGATTTCCCGCAAATTCCAGCCTTTGGTTTTATTTTTATTTTGTGCGATGATACGATTGATGTATTATAGCCGTTGTAAGGTTATATAGAGGATTTTAGGAGATCTTCGCACCTCACGGAGGACATACCACGGGGGTCGTAAGCTATATATCCATCCATTCATGGATGTACGTGGATGTATGTAAATGCCAATAATACATTACATACCTAGCGCCCAGCAAGTGATATGTCACGTGATACAATGCCGCCTTTTCCAAACGCGTCAGTCAATTTAATGGTCCAGGAAACGCTTGTTGCTTGTGTTGACCAAATTGTTTGGCCATTAAGTATAGTTATAAGATGTGAAACTTCGAGTTACAGGAGTATATCCAAAATGAACGTCTGGTCTGGGGCCATCGTACTGGATGGACAATCCCAACTCCAAGGTGAGCCACGGAAGATCAATCTTAGTCTACACTGTTCTAAGAGAATCCATATAGGCCTACAACTAATTGATAGATCCTCTACTTGGTCTTCGGATATACAAAAGGACTCGACGCTAAATCTTCGTTGCTTTGTGAACCCAGCCTTGATACCATTATATGCACGCGTTGGCCCAAACCTCGAACTGCATACAACCGACACGCAAACATCGCAATGGCTAAAAAGCAGGCTACTGAGGGGTTTGTGGCTCGAAGAGGAGGACCCGGATAAGTTTCAGACTTTGCAATGCCCTGTCGGTCTCCTTGTAAGTATCGATAGTATGGCACGGACAAAACCAGGGTCAACCACGACGGATATACTGGTGTACGGCGTCTTGTCAAGCACAACGTCTTTTGACTGTCCTCCCACCCCTCCAGTGTCATCTTCAGCTAGCTCTGATGAACCTGCCTCACGAACTATCAGACAAAGCCTGAAAATATATGCTACACCCATTTCGTCATCCCTCATCAGCAGAATGCAAGCGCTTCCATCCCCACAAAATGCAAGTGGAGTTGTTAGAAATGGGGGTCTTGCGGAATTTCTCCCAGGCATCCGTTCTCCGAGCCCCAAGCGTAAGCGGGTAGCAACACTGTTTGAATCAGTTGCACGACATCATAAGAGGGTGAGGCAGAAAGGAGGGGAGGGGGTATCTCAGTTGATGGCGCACTCGCACTCTCAGTCATCACAACAGTTACATACTCTTCAGATCAAACGAGAATCAGAAGAACCTAATCCTCCTATAGTAGACCGAATTGCATTACAAAGTTCACGGTCTCTCTCATCTGGGACAAACCTGCACCACGGCAAACCTTCAGAGCTTCGCACAGAGAACTCTAGGCCCAGCAGCAACCGGGGGCATCCACGTGAATTCATCAAGAGGAATACGCCAAACCCATTCATAGAACCTTCTCTGCGAAAGGAGAGGGAGGCCTCACCGACGTTGCCGCCGTCTGATGGAAAGTTAGAGTCCTCAAATGCGCTCAAGGATACTGAAGATATCATTATTGAAAATAAGAACACTATTTCTCGTACGATATTAACTTGCATGCGGCTGTATGGATTCAACCGTCCGACCACACGATCTGGATCTTCGAGCAAGAATCCAGTTAATCACGACGTGGTTCCTTCTCACGCTGAAGAGAAAGATCCTCGCATAGCAGCTGCTGCAGCACCTCTGGCCACCTCGACCTCCAATGCCGATGAGGATGAGTTCAAAGCGATGTACCATGCGACATATCGCGCGTCTAGCTTCGCCCTACGCAAGTATCTAAAAGAGGCGCCTATGAGCGAAGGCAGCTTGAAGTCTTTACCGCCTTTGCTAGACAAAGCAAGGGCGATGACTTATATTGATGAGTTTTTAAGGCTATTCTGTGAGGAAAACTAAAGCTGTCTGGTACGGCTAAATGAGATATGAAATTATGAAGTATATAGATAGACGTATTCTCCTAAGCAATTAAAATACCTCGCAATCAAATCATGGATAAAGATCATTGAGTAGCCTGATCGCCGTTGAGGACTAGACCTGTTTCATCATTCAAGCTGTAAAGCAAATTAACCATAATATGTGCGCGGATTCCATGAGTTACCTGTATACATGAGAATTTGAGACCTAGCAGGTATCACAAGCCTACAGAGTGCTCCAGATGGTGTCGGCATTGCGATTTTCCGGATCCCGAAATGCATCATCGTCAACCTCTTGAGAGTTATGGGGTATCCAAACCCCATCCGCAAATCAAACCCACCTATATTGGGATACAAGTTAATGTTCCCCCGGATGCACCTTCATAAAAGTACACAATGGATGTATCAAGTAACAGTCTCTTCCGGTTCTCCAAACCGGAATGGCTGAATAACAATACCGTCCGCAACGCAGGCGTCTACACATCAGGAGCACTAGTGAGCTTATCTGCTATCCTTCATTAAGAGACGATCACACTGACAAAGTCTGCCCTAGTTTTCCCTCGGGTTTTTTTTCTTAGTCGATGCAGCTTCATTCTCACACAGTTCACGAAATGGATCCAACGTGCATGTCAAATTTGTTGACTGGATCCCCGGCATTTGCTCCGCGCTCGGAATGCTTGTTATCAACTCAATCGAAAAGTCCCGGCTGCACGCCGATAGCTGGAGCTACAGTGGAAACGGCGTCGCCTGGAAAGCGCGATTCGTACTTTTCCTCGGGTTTGCACTATTGGCTGGGGGGTTAGCAGGCAGCGTGGTTAGTATCCCTTCTCTGATATTTTCTGGAATGACGTGTTACAGATACGCGGGTTCGTTATGGTCTCTACCATAACAGCCCAGCGATAACTAACATATTCTCCAGACAGTAATGGTCCTTAAATACCTTATCAAACAATACCCACTCCAAACACTCTACTTTGGAATCGCCAATATTATTGCGAACGGGCTCGTCATGCTGAGGTATGCACTTGGTTCTTTACCAGGAATTGGACGGATTACTGATTGCTTTCTTGAACAGCACGATTGTTCTCTGGATCTCGCAGAACATAGAAGATGATTACACCTACAACCTTGCCTTGTAATCACTGATAGGGTGTGATCATACTCCTGAGATTCTATCATGATTATCTGTTTCTAGCCTTCTCATTTTTATTTTGTATTTCTTTTTTGCTTCCAATGGTTGGCGCAGTCGCAATTTATATGTCTACTAGCCTTATGCTACGATTATGTTTGTGGGATGCTTATACAATCAATTATACAATTTCTGGTGTCTCTGGCCCAAACGGACCTAATAAACACAGGTGGTTGGGCAGAACACTGGGGCAAAACGAATATCGTGCTTCATTCAGGCTGCAACATACCTCCGTGCCTTTATAGACGCATGGTCCCGTGGCTAGTAGCTTACATATGACAATTTAGGCATAGCGGTCTCATTAACTTCGATTAGCCATAGATTGTCTCATCAATTGTATATCCTTTGTCTATCGTTTTTATAACCAGGCGGCTCCATTAAAGCACATCTTTCTGCGTTCATACGTAACCAGGCTTCGCCAAGCCTGGTTACGAATACATGAAACATGATCCGGATCCGTATGTACTCACGTAGCCTAAAGGCGAAGAGGCGGGATAATATTCCCAGAGACAGATCGACAGGAGCCTATTATGGTACACCCACCAGTCGTCAATGGTATTCCAGATCTGAATTCTAAACAGGAAGTCACCAAACCATGGTGACAACGGTTGTTGAAGGCAAAACGTTTATCTGTCTTCGAGGGGAACCCTTACAACCGCGCGTGCGAGCAACTATTGAAACGTGCCATATCAAGGCGTCGAAAACTCAAACAACCCTAAGCACGACCAAGTCCTAAGCAGACGAAGGGACAGTATGGGCCCTCAGTTTATCCATAATAGCATCAACAGCTTCCATATCGCCAGCATCGACCTTCTCTCCCTGGATGTAACCCTCGGGTAAATGCTTTACCAACTCATCCATGGCAGGCTGGTAGTTGCGGACGGCCGAGGAAAGAGCGTAGACAGCCTTCTTCCGCGCAGCCGGGTTCGGCTCTGTGGTCGACAGGTCGACAAGCGTAGGGACAGCGTTAAAGACGATGAGCTTGTCCTGAGCCTTTTCATTATTCTGCACGGCGGTTCCGATACACCACGCAGCCATGCGTCGCATCTCTGCTTCTTCGTGCTTGAGGAGTCCGACCAGCGGTGTCCACAAGCCGAGGGGCTCTAGATTGTTTGCGTTATCGATAGACTCGATGAGCTGTTCAAAGTTGTCGAATGCGATCAGTTTGTTCTCAAGGTCAACTTCATCGGAGTGCAGTGCTTCCATGGCGGCTTTCATTAGGTCGGCGTCGGAGGGACCGCCGAAAAGAGCCGAGAGCATTTCTGGGGTGAGGCCGCGGGCAGTAGCATTGGGGGTGTTATTTGAGGCATTGGGGTTGTCTGATTGTTGAGAGGTGGAGTTTGTGATACTCCATTTGAGGAGGTTGTTCATGTTTGCGTCCATGGTGGGAGGGCTTGTTGTTGTTGTTCTTTAATTTGATTTCAAGGTTTCTGCTGAGTATGAGTTGAGGAACAGGGCATTAAAGATAATTCAAATAAGCCGCAATGAAGGTGATTAATTGATGTGTTCGGTTCTTTGTTCTAGGAGCAATAGGAAAAAATGGTGGAAAGTGATTTATGTTTCGGAAGGGCAATAATTTGGAAATTCTACGTCCAGAGGGTTCAAGAATATTCCCCGCCACTGCCCAATACCGAACCAAAAATACATTGAATGCATAGTACTCAAGTTGTCAAAACCAATGTATATATATATACATAGTAGTAATAATTAACCTTCATCAAAGTCTCCTATGCAGGTTATTCTGTAATCCTATGGCGATTCTACCTGTCCTCAGAATAATAATAAGGAGGGGCAGATCCGATAAATCTCCTACACAAAAGATAAGACAGACTCGCGCAGACCCGCTCATTTGCTATGAATACGGAGGCAAATGTCTGGATCCAACATCCCCTTGCATGATATTTGTCTACTGCGCTTATGAGCCAAAATAAATAAAAATTAAAAAATTAGCAATAAAGAAGAAGACGACTATATCTGCTGTAGTCCGAGGGGAATTTCCACAGCTTTATATATATATATGTATATCAAATTTATCTATCTTGTCAGCTAGAACTTGAAGGGTGCTCACATAGTGGTTTGTCTATGCAGTAAAAGCGTTAGCAAAGAGATAAGCCACCCACCTACTCTGTATCTTTTAAACAGTACGGAGTAAACCCGTCCTTTACTAGTAGAAGCGCCCAAGTGTCGTGAAAGTAGCCCATGGCAATCTGAAGTCAACAATGCCACCATAAGCGCGAAAAAAAATCCTAGTCTTTCAGCATGTCAACACTGTGTATAGCTTTGTCCTCGAGACGGATGGGTTCTAAAGCTAGCTCAGCCAGGTAATATGTACAAAAGTGTGAAGATACAACGTACATACACAAAAGCATACCCGTCTGCTGAAAAGTTCCTTACTCAGTTATAGATTGAGTATATAAATCCTGAATCGAATTTAATATCAATCTTGGTAAATAGAAGGGGAGATTTTCATAAATTCTACCATAGAACAGAAATGGAATCTACCCAACCATAGCAAGTGCACTAGCAAAATAAACTACTACTAAAAAACAGCGAGGCTAAGGAAGAGCGAGGGAACGATCACCGGATTACATAATAATAATACAATGTTCGTTGCACAAATACCCCGCCATGGGATGCCGTCAACCCCGCGGACATTTCCAGCATCGGTTCCTTAGGTACAAGAATTGATGACGACTGTAATTACAGAAGGTCAGATCATGAACTGAAAGATCTACAAGCTTCTTCCGGGAATTGGGCACTGGTACCAGTGCTGAGGATAGTACTAGGTACAGTAGTACAGTATAGTGAAGAGAGCGGTAAGGCAGAAAAAGAGTGTCGGTATACTACACCTACACAAGGTTATCTGAAATTAATGTATGGACATGACCGTAAGTGCTATCCAAAAGGGATAGGAAGCGATAACTTCAAGAATTGGACTATTTCCTTTTGGAGATTTTATGAAGATCAGCGACAAGTCAAACATCCTGAAAAGCCACCTCAACAATCTTCTAGACCCTAAAATAAAGATAAATTAGCGAAGAAGAGAAAAAACAGGAGAGATTGTGTGTTTGTTTGCTTTTCTTAAGAGAATCTGGAAGTCTGAGATTCAGTCCTCACCATCATATCCTATATCTACGGGAGAATGGCCGACCCTGATTAGGTACTCCTGGGACCCTGTTATCCGGGACGCTATGGGTTGAACCATTCGTAGAGAGCCATAGGTTCTGCCCCACGAGGGATGCGCAAGTGGTTTTGCCATCCATACGATCGTGAAGGGGAAAAAGGACACCTCAGCTTATATTGCTTCTTGCAAAAGAAATGAATAGATTTGAAAAGCATGTACTGTATTTTAAGAAACTATAAATATAATAAGATGATTCTCTATTCAATTCAGAATTGTTCGTATCGGAATATATTACACATAGATACAGTGTGGCGGTGACAGCCATCGGGCCCAACGGCAAGAGGAAAAACCCCCTATTGCCGCCTAATCATAGAACAGCAAAGTCCAATTAGCCTTACCCACTTACGCTCACTTGGCCAGTTCCCTAAGGCCACTCACCCCCTAATACCGAATTTCCCTCCTTTTCCCCCTCCCTTTTTCTGGTGACGACCTGGCTTTTCTTACTAAATACGCTCGACCAGTAATCCTGCTCCGTCTCTCCTCCTCCACCCACACCTCAACCAACTTACTTCCACACTTGCTCTCTCCCTCTCACTCTCTTGAACTCCGTCACTCAACTCGATCAACCTTACCTTATTCTCCTCCCTTGATCTTCCCATCTTTTTCTTAATAACTCTTGTCTTCATCATTTCTTTCTTTTTCTTTCCCCTTGTAGTTCGCTTCGTAATCCTATTCAGCCACCATGGAAGGTAAGGTTTCTGCCACCTCAGCGCCTTGCGTCTAGCTCGCTTGCTGCTGTCTCTCCCCCTCCCCCTTCCAACGCTTTTGTCAGACCATCACTAATATCATCCTGTCTGATTCGTATAGAGGAAGTTGCTGCTCTCGTCATTGACAATGGGTATGTTAATATGGGTTTTGATGGCTTTGTTGATGGGTTTACCCTGTATTTTCCCATCTCATCCGAGCAGGGGGTGGAAAACAGAGGCTGCCAGCACCGGTCGCAACGATCGAAGACATTCGTTCTTGCTCCACCTCAGGCTTTTGTGCTCCCCAAAATCGCAACGATGTGATGGATTTGTTTTGATTCTTGACCTGTACTTCTGATCTGGTCCCTCTACTGACGAAATTGCCCTTAGTTCGGGTATGTGCAAGGCCGGTTTCGCCGGTGACGATGCCCCCCGTGCTGTCTTCCGTAAGTCAAAACCCCCTCCGCATTGTCCTGATGTTTGCCCCTCCCGCAACCGTCATTCCTCTCAAAGTCACAGCGGATGGCTACATCTGAATTGATGAGCCGTGAAGCTATATTTTTATCATCTCAAGATACTAACAGGAAGACTAGCCTCCATTGTCGGTCGTCCCCGTCATCATGGGTAATTATTCTCTAGCCCTCCTAGGTAGCTAGTCGAGAGCTATAGTCACTGACGATATATCAGTATCATGATCGGTATGGGCCAGAAGGACTCTTACGTCGGTGATGAGGCACAGTCCAAGCGTGGTATTCTCACCCTTAGATATCCCATCGAGCACGGTGTCGTCACAAACTGGGATGACATGGAGAAGATTTGGCACCACACATTCTACAACGAGCTCCGTGTTGCTCCTGAGGAGCACCCGGTTCTCTTGACCGAGGCCCCTATCAACCCCAAGTCCAACCGTGAGAAGATGACCCAGATCGTCTTCGAGACCTTCAACGCCCCCGCCTTCTACGTCTCTATCCAGGCCGTCCTGTCCCTGTACGCTTCCGGTCGTACCACCGGTATCGTACTGGACTCTGGTGACGGTGTCACCCACGTTGTTCCCATCTACGAGGGTTTCGCCCTCCCTCACGCCATCTCCCGTGTTGACATGGCTGGTCGTGACTTGACCGACTACCTCATGAAGATCCTAGCTGAGCGAGGTTACACTTTCTCCACCACTGCCGAGCGTGAAATTGTCCGTGACATTAAGGAGAAGCTTTGTTACGTCGCCCTCGATTTTGAGCAGGAGATCCAGACCGCCTCTCAGAGCTCCAGCCTCGAGAAGTCTTACGAGCTTCCTGACGGTCAGGTCATCACCATTGGTAACGAGCGTTTCCGTGCTCCTGAGGCTCTCTTCCAGCCTAGCGTTCTGGGTCTGGAAAGTGGTGGTATCCATGTTACCACTTTCAATTCCATCATGAAGTGTGATGTCGATGTCCGTAAGGATCTCTACGGTAACATCGTCATGGTACGTTTCCCCGGGTTCCGTACTCATTGCATGGGGTAGCATATCACTAACAATCATTTAGTCTGGTGGTACCACCATGTACCCCGGTATCTCCGACCGTATGCAGAAGGAAATCACTGCCCTGGCCCCCTCGTCTATGAAGGTCAAGATCATTGCTCCCCCTGAGCGTAAATACTCCGTCTGGATCGGTGGTTCCATCTTGGCTTCTCTGTCCACCTTCCAGCAGATGTGGATCTCCAAGCAGGAGTACGACGAGAGCGGTCCTTCGATCGTTCACCGCAAGTGCTTCTAAGGTATGATTAGTCCGCATGGCTCTGACCTGTATACGAAGCTGGCTGATTCGCTTGCCGTAGCTCTTGCGTATGGATTATTTGTTTCGTCGTATTTTCCTGTATTAAAATATCAAACGGAGACTGGTGACACGCGGGCCTCTCTGCCTCGCACTAGGAGGAAGATCGCCTGAAAAAGGAACTTTGTTTTAGCTGTGGAATAGAGATGGTTTATTTAAGACACTCATCCCTCGACGTGGGCGCTTTTGCCGGCAGCAAGTTGTATCGGAAGGCACGAGGGGTAAGGAGAAGGACGTTTTAGTAGGTGAAGGATGTACATGGGTCATGTGGACGGTGGGGTGAAAGCTCTATTTCATATAGTTCTACACTCATGTTTGAATCCTTATTTCCATGTTGGACCTTCCCCTTTCCACATTCTCGCCTTCGGGCTGGTTATGGATCTTAAAACGCTGTGCACCATTGATATTCTGGGACCTAACCCTCGGGTCTCGACCATTTTCTTAAAAAAAAATTTGACTATCTTTTTCACGACCGTCCAGATTTTCTTCCTGAGGCCTACACGTATAGGACTCATGGTTTGAGGCTCAAAGTGGTACAGGCCATGATGTCATTCGCCGTCCACAGACCAGTCTAGCCCATTAGTAAAACGTAGGTGCTGAGTTCCTTGCATATATATATATATATATATAGGTATAGTGTAGTATTCATGATAGGGTTACGTACATACCTCATGCAAATCTGTTATTCTAACATCTATATAGTACTAGAGTATCAATGATTTGCTCACTTTTTCATTCTCGGCTGCTTCGGTTTTGGTCATCCATCGTCGCACATATTGCAGTAACTTAGAAGATAAAATGTCAAAAAAAAAAAGTAAGAAAAAGGGTAAACAATCGCGTGTCATCGAATGAAGACACAAAGGTATCTAAGCATCCCATGTCTCCAACCCCTGGAGGATACATCCCTCCTCGCCCTCGTTCCTAGTCTTCAGCTCACCAATCTCGTAGACGGTTTCTCCCTCCTTTTGCAGAAGATCCTTCACAGTGGCCGCAGCCTCTTTCTCAACGGCAATGACCATACCCACGCCGCAGTTGAAGGCCCGCGCCATCTCGGTGGCTGTGACGTTGCCGTTTTTCTTGAGCCAGGTGAAGACCGGCGGAAGTTGCCAGGAGGAGGCGTTGATGTGCGCGGCCAGCATTGGAGGCAGCATACGGGGCACATTCTCAACCAGACCACCACCAGTGATGTGGGCGAGACCCTTAATGGCCGACGAGAAGTGATCGGTTGTCTTTTTGTTGGAAGGAATAGAGAGCGCTTTGAGGAGGGGTTTCACGTAGATGCGGGTTGGGGTAAGGAGGGCACGGCCAAGAGAGAGGGGTTCGTTGGAGAAAGGCATCAAGAAAGGAGCCGGGTCAGTATAGCTCAATCCAGAACGTTCGACGATCTTCCGGACGAGAGAGTACCCGTTTGAGTGAGGACCGGAGGAAGCCAGTGCAAGGAGAACATCCCCATCTTGCATGGCAGAGGTCTTGGGAAGGATAGCACGGGCGTTGCCGCCGGTGGTGTTGATGGCACCCACCGCAGCACCCACAGCATCATAGGTGTCGTCAATGAAGAGGCCGGGCATTTCGGCAGTTTCACCGCCGATGAGAGCACATCCTGCCTGCACGCAACCGTTGGCAACACCAGTGACAAAGGCGGACGCCGTTTTGACATCCAATTTACCACAAGAATAGCAGTCAAGGAAGAAGAGGGGCTCTGCGCCCTGGACAACCAGATCATTGACGTTCATGGCTACAAGGTCAATGCCTACGGTGTCATGAATGCCCACGGAGTGTGCGATCTTGAGCTTGGTTCCAACACCGTCGATGGCTCCAATCAAAGTGGGGGAGTGGGGGTGATAAGCAGAGTTGGCAGCAGCAAGAGAAAAGAGGCCTCCGAAGCCACCAATCACTGCATCTGTACCAGGACGCTTGGTCTGAGCGACGGAGCTTTTAATTTGGTTGACGAGATCATTGCCCGCGTCGATGGAAACACCGGCAGAGGCATAGGTGAGAGACTCCTTCTGGGACGCAATGGCATCTCTTTGCCTGAAGGCACGGTGCGCAATGTCCTTACGGTAGAACATATCATCAAAGTGAATGGTGGAGATACCAGCATAGCTCTTGCGGACAGCCTCCTCAAGACTTGATGCGGTAGCGGTGGAGGCAATGACTCGGCCGCCAGAAGTCTGGAGCTCGTTACCAACGAGTGTGGTTCCGGCATGGAAGATCAAGGTATCATCTGGAACTGGATCAAGAGTGATGACTTTGCCCTTGGCATACGATCCAGGATATCCTCCTGCCACGGCGATAACGGTAGTGGAGAAGTCGGGCTTGACATTAATCGAGACACCGTCAAGCCAGTGTTCGGTACAAGCAAGCATGATTTCCGCCAGATCAGTGTCGTCACTAAGCAGAGGTAGGAGGGTCTGAGTCTCTGGGTCTCCGCCTCTCACGTTGTATTCAAGAACCTTAGGGCCATTCTTCGTCATCATCAGTCCAGTGAAGAGGATACCAACGAAAGGAAAGCCTTGGAGCGGTTAGCGCTTTGTAATTATATTTTAGGGGTTAACGTGTAAGAACAAACCATCTCTCCTCATGCCATCGATTGAAGGCTGCACAATGGTGCGGTCGATCTCTTCAAGGACTTCCTTGGAAGAGATCGGGGTGGGAGCGTAGCAGCCCATGCCGCCAGTGTTGGGACCCTGGTCGCCGTCGTAGATACGCTTGTGATCCTGTGCAGGAGGAAGAGACCTGATAGTGTAGCCATCACTGAAGGAAAGAACACTGAGCTCGTCACCCTCGAGGTACTCTTCGATTACAACCTCGTTGCCTGCATCACCGAACTGACGATCCAGCATCATTTCGCGGAGCGCCTGATGGGCTTCCTCCTTTGTTTGGGGAATGATCACCCCCTTGCCGCCGGCCAGACCATCTGCCTTGATGACAACATTATGGGAAATGGAGTCAATGTATTGACGAGCAGGTTCATATTCGTTGAAATTCTCGTACGCAGCGGTGGGGATATCATGGCGCTTCATGAAGTCCTTAGAGAAGGTCTTGGAGCCCTCCATGCGCGCAGCAGCCTTGGATGGGCCAAAGCACCTAATACCAACTTTGTCAAACTGTTAACATCTTTATTCGTTCGTTTAACAGTTGGACTTCATCCCACCTGCTTGGAAATATCCTTGGATGCCATCCACAAGTGGGGCCTCCGGTCCCGGAACCACCAAATTGACTCCATTCTTCTGAGCAAAAGCCACCAGACCGGGATAATCATCGCCCTTAATGTTGGCATTTGTAATTTTTCTAGAAGCTCCCAATCCAGTCCCACCATTGCCGGGGGCAACATAGACGATTTCGACCCGAGAGGATTGACTCAGCTTCCATGCTAGGGCATGTTCGCGGCCGCCGTTGCCTACGATGAGGACGCGCAACTGTTCTTGGGACATATTGTCTGCAGTGTTCTCGAGTAAACCTAGCGGGAAAGAACTGTTAGAAATTGATAATCTTATTTATGGAAGAATACCATTGCAAAGGGGTGTTGTATCTCTAGGATTGGATTTCTGGGAGGGGAGATTGAGGAAAGAGGGGCAAGGCATATATAATATAGTATAGCAGGTGGTGGTGCCCCTCTCTTTCCTCTCCGACATCCAAAATATCTCGATAAATACCCAATTGCAACAAGACAATTTACTTACCTCACTGGAGAGTCAACTTGAGAGCAAACTGCATGTATAGCGCGTGAATTTCTTGGAGAAGAACCAAATGTAGAGTTCTCGGAGGTTCTCGAGTCTCAGCAATTTTTTTTTTTTTTTTTCCCCTCTGGCCGGACGGCGGGGCGTCTTTTTCTCCGACCCCGGATTTGGATTTTCCAATGGATAAGAAATGAATCAGTCGTATGTATCATACATTCCTTCAGTTATTATACATATGTATATGTATATTTCCTCCCAGCACGATGAGGGTATATATGGATATACATGTTGGTTGACTTATTACCCTGTTAGGTTGAGTTTGCGGAGCGATATCGATAAGATGCATCTACATACTACATACTGTGTACAGTACAATAACTATCACTATAGCCCTGTATTCAAATATTCACTTACAGAAGAGAGAGGAAGAGAGGTTTAAAGCGAAAGTAGAAAACTCGAGGGAGAAAAACATAAAATGGAAAACACCGTCTTCCTTTCCCATCCCCCACGTGATGTGTTGCATACATCGTATATTACTTACTCCATAGAATTTTAAATGTCTATGTACTACACATCGTGAATAAATATATCATCTATACTGCATTTACAATGTTTCACCCTATTTGTACTGTACTCCGTACATCCAATACAATCCGATACAAAACATGCCAAGAGCGGTGAGAGATGCACGGCAGAAAAATAAAAAAAGAGAACTAGGTGTGATGAAGCTGTTCATGCTTTTCAACTTTCATGCATCTACACTTACCACCAGCGTTTATCAATTGACAGAGGTCCAACATATATTGCTCTGGAGATTGTCTTGATACTCTCGGCCTGAATGTTACGGGCCTCCCTGCGGTCTGTTTCAGACCCTCTCCGCGAACATGTTTGTATCTCCTGTTTAGGCCAGAGGCTCGGAGGCGGCGCTAGGCTCCGACTGTACTCTTTCACTCCATATCGTGCCAACTCAAGCACGGAAGACGCCTCTCCTCGGATCGTCGCAGAGGGCATTTCGCCTCCAAGAGAGGTATGGCACTGTTTTGATCCCACAAGTAGCAATTCGGCTCTTTGTGCCATCCTCCGCGCAATGGCTCTTCGCGATTCCCTCAACTTATGCGCCCGCAGAGACTGACTTTACTTTGCTGAACAGAGCCCGCCGCAGGATGAAGAAAAGAACCAACCTCCGGGCCATGATCCGAAGCAGCGTAGCAAGACGTTTAAAGCTCACCAGTCAGCATCTTATGCTCCCGCTCATGATGGCACCATCCAAAGAAGCGAAGACACTACATCCCCAGCTGAAGATAGTAAACCTTCTAAGAATCAGTCGAGGCATACTGCTCGTAAGGGATACAGCAAAACCACTGGAAAGGCCCGAAAAAGACCTGCACCAAAGATTCGGAAAGTTCCGTCCACCGTTAAACCAAAGACGTCGAACAGTCGCCCAAAGTCAAAAGAGAAGCGCGCTGCGGCGAAAGGACAAGGAGATTCGGTGGGTTTTATTTTCTTTTCTTTTTTGCTTAGCTCTTGCGATGAAATTGTGCTAAATGGCCTCCCGTATGAAGCTGCCACTTCCATCGATTGTATCTCAGCTAGAATCAACGAAGACCACAAGTTCGGCCGACCAAGAGAGTCCCAATAATTTGTCACATATTCTGAACTCTCTATTCGCAAGAGAGTTCGGCAAGATCGAGTCTAATGTCCTGCGATTAAAGCGTACGTATCCCTATCAAATACCTTCATTAGAAAGCACTCTAATTGCTATAAGCCCTGGACGTCGAAACAGCTCCTGTTCCTCGACTTTCATTTGGCCTCGAAAGGGTCCTATTTAAGTGAGTTGCCCGATGTTTTTTTGAAGTGGGTGCAAAGCTCACCATTATGTACCAGTCCGGGCGTTTACCATCTTCGGGACCCCCGGTCTCGCGTCTACAACTTTGACCCCTACTTAGGCCAGATTATGCCTGTCACCGAATTCGATTTTGACGCTTTGAAGGACTACATCACCTCTTCTAAGGATCACACACTCCGAAATATAGCGATGAAGGAAGGAAAAAAGTACATAGGCTCCTCCTCAAGCATGACCTCGGTGCTGTCACATTTTCATTACCTTCTTTCGGCATGGAGAGGGATCGATATCCGGACACTGTCTCAGGGGTTTCCAGACAAATTACGATCCTTTACACGACTGCTGCGATCTCCTTCTGCCATGTTTCTCCGATATCAGGACGGGGTCTACGCCATAGATGCTGACAAAGAGTTCGACTCTGCCAATATCTTAATGAACCTGGGAAAGTCCATGGAGAAACTCCTCACTCTGCCGAAGGATGACTTTGAGCGCTACAGGCGGTCGAGTGAGAACAAGATATCCGCAGAGGAAGAACAGGCTATCCCCGAATCCTATCACTATTCTACGCTTGGTGACTTCCTCATGAGATCACAATTGGATGCGTACGACCCAAGGCTTCCAGGAACTGGAATGTTTGATCTTAAGACAAGGGCTGTAGTTTCCATTCGAATGGATGCCCGTAACTTCGAAAACGGCCTTGGTTATGAGATTAAAAACCGCTACGGCGCGTTTGAGTCTTACGAACGCGAATTCTATGACATGATTCGAGCCGCTTTCCTTAAATACTCTCTTCAGGTGCGGGTTGGCCGCATGGATGGTATCTTCGTCGCCTTTCACAACATTGAGCGGATCTTCGGGTTCCAGTATGTCAGCTTACCGGAAATGGACCAGACACTGCATGGCCAGAATGATACAACATTAGGCGATGCAGAGTTTCGTCTGAGTCTTGGGCTATGGAACAAAGTTCTAGACAAAATTACGGCAAAGTACCCGGAGAAGTCCATCCGTATCCACTTTGAAACCCGGGACGCCCAAACTCCGTTTATGTACATCTTCGCCGAACCTGTCACTGACGATGAGATTCACGCTATCCAAACCAAGAATCAGGCTGAAATCGATGCATATCAGCGGCGGATCCTAAACCTAGCTCCTAAGAGGAAGGACACTTCATCTACAAATGTTATGGAAGCCCCGCCGTCAAGCAGTTCCGACAAACAAGAAGAGCCGGTCAATGAAGAAACTAAACTTTCCAAAGCCAGCTACAATGACACCGAAGCGGTATACGATTCGTCCGCGCCTCCTGATGAGACTTTCCTTTCTGAACTTGAAAATGAAGACGCAGACAATGGCCGCGAGCTACTTGCAATGACTCTTGTGGTTAAGAATCTTGTTAACGGTAAACTCGTTGAACGACCCAACGACCTCAAGCCATCCGATAAATGGGACATCGAGTATGAACTGAGTGAATTACAAGGACCACAAGCACACGCCTTGTATGCAGCATGTCGAAAACGACGGCAGAAGGCTCTCTCGGGCCGAGGAGAGGATGAGACCGACGTTGCAAACAACGTATACATCCGGCGACTACGGGAATTCAGCGAAAAGGGACGCGAGTTCCGCAAGCAAGAAAACAACCTTGACAAACAAAAGGGCATAGTTGTTCTGGCTGACTCGGCCTAGTTCAATTGAACCGGCGAGTCTGGACAGCACGACAGTCATGCGTCCCAGTCATTCACCACCCAATCACAATTATTCTTCTCCATTCTACAGATACCTCAAGATTTTATGTATAATATCCAATTGTCATGCTTTCTGGAATTGGAGTGTTTGCATTAGGGCGTTAGACCTGTATCATTCCAATGTGGCGTTTATTTGACTACCAATCCAAGTTATTGATTGATATGCCTGGCCATAGATGGCATTGCGTACGCGATGAGCTACCTTCCTAGTCGTTATATATAGTGACTCATTCCAAAGTTTTTCCAATGTCCGATCGATGCGCACAGTGATGTTGATAAAGGAGCAACTGAGTATCCAATATAAAACATGGATGGATATATTCGCTAGTCTTGTCAATACAGTATATGTGGAGCTCAGAACATCAACGAGCATTGGACATATGGTTAGTAGCCACAATGTAGGTAACGGAGATTGTAGTTATGGTACTCTCTCTCCGTACGTGTGTGTGTGTATATTGTGCTTATTACCTATACTGTACAGGGTGAACATCTACTGGATGACACTCAAAGATAGATGAATAACTATTTAAAAAATATTAGTTACAACATGCATAAACAGAAACATTATGTCGATCGACTCAGTCTATATTCACAAAATATATACATATATACATACGTAGTATCGCTATATATTCACTCCTAACACCACGCACTACAAACGTCCCAAAATGATTGCCCAAGTCAATCCTGTGTTTCTTCAAAACCAATGATGATAGGTTCTATGACATTAACAATTAGGGCATCAAGAGAACACAAAGCAAAAGGACTTCCCGACAAACTTTACAAAACACTTCTAGAGGACTTAGTCCTCGAATAAGATCGCAAAGGACGAACGCCGTCAGACCGATACGCCAAACTCACAAATGTCAATCCAAGTATGTTCCCTTGGTTGTTGGATGATTGCCTTTCCGGAGGCAGAAGGGATGTAATGAAGCAAGCAAGACGGGAACAAGGGAAAGAAAAGAAAAAGGTGTTTGACACAGACCAGAAATGCAACGCCAGCTGGCCGAGTTAAAAAGAACATTGATGACCGGAGAGGAGAAAATAAACAGAAGTTGTACACTTATGATGAATAGCAGCAGCTTCCATTTCCTCATGGGGTGAGATTGAGATGAGTATCAATGAAGTCAGAGGACGGCTCGGAGCGAGAAAAATATCGAGGGACCTCAGAGGGATAGTTTGAGTAGATTGTCTTTCGACTAGCGAAAACGATTTTCGATGGTTCTCGTGACTCGGATTTCGTGATTCATTTTAAAAGCGAAGGACAAGAGTCCGCATTCTGACTGTGTATGGATGTTGTTGTTGGTGAAACGAGTGGTAGGACTACCGGAAGTCCCCAAGGTCAAGTTTGGGTGGCGACCATTGCAGTGTCGGCGGCCGGTCACGCGAGACGCAAACTGCTGCGGGCTTCATTTTCTCTGCCCGTCTACGCTCTTTTGATGCGCCTCCCGTAAGAAAACCCCTCAACGTGGACGAAGCTGCACCATATGAACTGCGCGCACTCGCAGCAGTACCCGCACTGGTGGAAACGGTGCTGGAGCTGCGGGCACTGCGAACACTGCTGGACTTGTTGACAACGGGTGGTATAGAAGGGACCGGTACTGCTAGCCGTGACGATGGCCCGCTAGAATTTGCGTAATCAGATGATATAATTTGAGGGGCATACTCGAAAGAGAAGGGAGCAGTCTGTGGCCGCATCCTGGGCTCAATCAATATGCTGGTTTCCGTGTCAAGACCTCGAAAAATGTCTAGATGACTGTTTTCATTGGCTTCGCTTGTCTTGGGTGATGGCTGTGTATTGGCCTGCAGTCTCGTCGGGACCTCGCTTTCAGACACCGTTACGTCAAGCTTGAGGTTGTCCAACATCGTTGCAAGGCTCGCTGCCGTGTTGGGACGCCCGTCACTGGCAGCGTCGTCACCATCAAGCGCAGAAATTTCAGCCTCAACCCCATTGGCCACATTGAAATTTCGGAACAGATAACGGCGTAAGCGGGAAACTTCTGCATCCCATTTTTGACTCAAGGATTGCAAGATGACCTCAATGTCGTGGTATAGGAAAGGTGAGGTTTCGGCAGCTGTAAGGTTGTTGGGTATGGAGGCGCCAGAACGGAGATGGCCAGGCGCTTGCGAGTATTTACTTGATTTATGTCCCACCGTCGCATGTTTTGCAGCGTTTAAGGATCGTCGGATTGTGCTCGTCGTAGAACCCTGTGCAAGGCTCATATCCCGTTTCACGCTTTCGATCTCTCGGCGCACCTTGTCCAGTGACTGGATTCTATCTCTGTCCATGTAGGAAAGACTCAACAGAGACTTATTCCGCTGCAGACCGTTAACTAAAACGGTGAATGACTGTAAGTTGATATCGTTGTTTTCACAGTAGACCTCGCGAAGACAGCCATTCTCCTCCAGAACCGACGCCAGTGTACTTGCACCTTGTAGCCCCAGTTTTTGATGTTCGATTCTCAGCACTTTCAAGGATTTGTTTTTTTTTAGACCAGTCAGTGCTAGATTGAGACCAATTCCAAATCTGGCCACATCCAGGTGGGCACTCTCTCCGCTGATATCCAGGTCTTCTAGCGTCTCATTCTCTTCGAACATTAACTGCAGTGCTTTGCACGTCTCTGGTCCTGCGTCGTATGGAAGGGACGCCTTCGAGATATCAAGATATTTCAGGGACCGGTTTCTGCGCAGAGCCTCGACTAGGTCGCGAAACTGCTCCTCCTTTTTGAAATCGATCATCCGCATCGAGAGGTGGGACGGTGACTTGCTCTTCGCAAGCGCATCAAAGAGAAACGAGCATCCCAAGTCTAGTCTGTTTTCATTGACGTGTAAATGCAGGTTGCGGGAACTCTCTGGGACCGCCGATGAATGCAAGAGTATGGCCACATCCTGACCTGTCAGCCCACACTGGTCGAGCCGTAGCACACGCAACGCTCGGGATTTATCACTGGCTAGATAGGTAGCGATTGCATCGACTGTCTCCCGATTGACTTTGGTCCGACTTAATGAAAGCTCCTCAAGCTGCCAATTAACTAAAGTCTCTGCGGTGATCAATGGATCAGGCCCTGACGTTCTAGAAATGCGTGATAAGTCTAGTTTCTTGACCTGACTGAAGTACCCAAGATACTGTTGAAGGATATCAGGACTCAGCCGGCCCTGCACACCCGAAATATTAATTGCTTCCAGCGTCTGGGACTGAGCAACAGTAGTTGAAAGTAACAGATCGAGGTCGTGAACCGATAACCCGCAATTGCCTACCTCTAACGCTCGCAGATTACTTGCTCTCTGAGAGGCTGCATCGACGAGATAGTCGAGGTCCGAGTCCCCTAATTTGATCCCGTTCAACACAACCCAGTCGACGCTCGTCAGTTCTCGACGACAGATCGGGAAAATCGCCTCGGGGATCCCGCAACCCGGATCATGGCTTTCGTTGTCAGATTGGGGGGTTCGGCTCAGAGTGTAGGAGAAGTCCAAGCGCCTGAGCCAGTTGCTCTTCAGCGTTAAGGCACGAATCTCCTGGGACAAAACCGACAGACTCTCTTGCCCGGTAATGTGCACGGGAGAGCCCGCACGGCTGAGTAGCATGTCTTTGTCTAACCCATGATAGTCACGGAGGCCTTGGAGCGCATCCAAGTTGACACCACTGAAAGAAATGGACCGGAAAGATTCATTATATCGCAACGCTCGCAATACGGCAATCAACTCCAAGGCTGTATACTTGCGACGAGAAGGCGAGGCGGGAGGTAGAAGCTTGAAACATGGGGCGTCATCACATTGCACATCAATCGTATATCGAATATTGGAGGTATCAATGTCAAAGCTTGCCGAATAGGCGACCAATGTTCGGTCAAAGCAACCATAGTCCTCATTCAGATCCACTGGAGGAAAATTCGACTCGTTGCTCAGATCGCGAGGCACGATGAAATCATAGGGTTGGCGAACCCAGAGGGGTCGCAAGAATTCTGTCTGTTGCCTGATCCAGAAGGCGATCTCCAGCGAATGGACAGATGCCAAGAAGACTGAGAATGGCTTGCACAAGGGGACTCGAAACGTGAGATGTAGACTGTCATCGCCCCATTCCATAGACAAACAGGTCAGGTTCATTAGGCCGAACGTCGTGGCGTTGTCCAAGTCGCTCAAGGATACGGCTGAGCCCCGGTTGAAGACTTTGTGCAGGGGGATCAGATGGAGCTTATGCGATCCGAGGGCGAGATAACATCCGGTGGGGGATAGCTTGGTGAGATCCTCTGACGACGTCCGGGTCGGAGACTTGCTAGAAGCCATCTGAATAACGCGAAATATGCGGAAAGTCTCTGGGTCATAGTCTCTCTCGTATTCGAGCATGCGTATAACATACTCCATCGACCTCTGGTCAAACGGTAGAGGGGTGCCCTGCCGGACCAATTCGGCTGCAGAACGAATTCCAACCATCCACAGGTTCAATTCCTGTAAATCAGGCGTCTGCATTTGGATAAAGGCTGCCTTGTGTGCCCGCTCATCCAAATAGGCCACCTCCACTGTTGAGGAGGGTTTCCCATCGTCCAACATGTACACGGCCACAATGCTATTCAGTGGAATCCCTGCAGCCGAATCACTTGTAGCGGAGAGCTGCGGGTCCCCTAACGAGCTGATTGAGGTGATGGACTGGCGATTCCCGGGACCAGACCGGGCGAAAGAGGGTGGGATCGAAGGGAACATGTCCGCAGCCTTGGTTTGGTTTTTGAACCGAACGAGATGAGTGTCAGTGAGGACCAGAAACTGGCTCTTTTTCCTCCACATGCCTCCGGTGGTTTGAATCTCCCCATGATGTAAGATCACGGACCCAATGCCTTGTCGAGAGTCGGAAGCGTCATCGTCCTCCATGGACGGCGATCCTTTCGAACGGCCAAGCGACCGGTCATCGTCTTCAAACGAGTGAAAGGATCGGAGAGACCCGAAGACGGAGGCCCGTTTCTTTTGTATTGACTTCCGCCGAGGGCGAGACGCCTCGAGGGTCACGGTGGGTATGGCGGCGGTTGTGTCGGCGGTTGTGTCGGCGGTTCTAGGGCGCCAAAGACCATGGCTCGGTCCGGGCGGGCTAGGATTGCGACCACCAAAGAAGCCCGAATTGCGCCGTTTCTTCTTCACCACATGAGCATCATCGGACGGAGATCGATCATGGGCGGCGAGGCCTGATAAGGACGAGGTCGTCGACGGGCTGAACACACTGAGGCTTTTTCTCCGCTCTTTCTTCCCCAGACTGCTGTCAGCCATGACGGGGAGAGAGGGGGAAGAAAAACTACAGGGGTTTAAAAGGAGGAGACACGGAATTGGAAGCTAGTGCTGAGAAGGAGGATTGATCACATCGACGACCTCAGTGCCGTTTCTGACTAAATTGCAGGAAACAGAGAAAAAAGCAGGGAAACCGTTAGTTATCATGCGACGATAAGAGCAGAATGAGCCAAGGAGATCGAAACCAGGATTCAGCTAGTGGGAAGTAAAAGGGTGGAGCAGACAGCAGGAAAACAAATAAGGGAGGGCGCTAAAGAGACGAGGGGAGATGGAACATACAGCAGACCGTCAAGGTGCCATGAGAAGCGACTGATTCAGCTGGCAGAGGGGAGGAGAGAAAGAGGGGGGTGAAGAAGGAGGAAGAGGCGCGAAGGCAACGATCGGTTATAATAATAAAGAATTTGCGAGACACCTCCGACCAAAACGGCAAGAGACACAAAAAGAAAGATAGCTTTAGACGATTGTTCAGGTTTGGGAACCCACCGCCGGTAGTGGTACAGGGGGCAAGAGGAGGAGAGGGGATCCAATGTCAATCTAGACAGTTAATGGAAAAAGAAGCCAAAAAAAAAAAGAATGTGACAGAGGATGTGGAAGGTTACAATGACGCCAGGAACTGTCACGAAAGACACATCAACCGTGCGATGAGGGATGGGGACAAAAGACCGGAAGAGGAAATATTGAGGCTGAATGCAGAGTCGGGAAGCACAAAATAACAAGAAAAAAAAAGTCAAAAAACGAGCGACAGGCGGGAAACCAAAGCGGAAGGCCCGCAACAAGATGGATAGAAAGCGATTGTTGGAAGAGAGAGAGAGAATCCGGAGAAAATAAGATCAGAAATGCAGATCGGAGGGAATTGATTGGATTGGATTGGATTGGAACTCGACGGGTCCGCAGTGATGTCACGCTGCTCTTTTGGTTGCAAACGTTTTGGTACCTTTTTTTTTATATAAATATTTATTTACTTCATGGGAAAAGGTGGCGAATAACAAGGTAGTAGTAGTGGTGGTAGTATGAGAGAGAACAGAGGGGACGGGAACAGAGCGCAAAGGGTGAAATTAAGGTCAAATTGATTGATTAATTGATTAATTGTTTTGACTATTATCCCACTCCAGAACAAAAAGATGAATAGTCAGGGGAAGAAGTAAAAAACTTAAATATAAAAAAAAAACAAAAAGGGGGATTAGAGCTATAAAAATACCATTCGAAAAGCCTAAAATACAAAAATACACCAAACAAAGCAAGCTGTAGGTGGAAATGTGAGGGACAAGAGTGGAAACACCAATCAACATAATCAATATCCTCATCTCTCTTTGTGTGTGTACTGTATTGCTGAGACAAGATGGACAGAGGAACATCATTCTGGTAGTATTATTATTATTATTATATGAGAATCGGGAGAGAATATCATGTTATGACGATGCATCTGCGTCAATCTATTAATCAATCACAATCTAAGTCAATTCAATTCAATTGAATCAAATCAAAAGAGTCACTAGTATTATTCCCAATGTAGAAAGGAAAAAGTATGGGAAGTCAACCACTTCCAGTATACAGTGTAGAGTAGGTCACCTTGACATTTGTTTCCTCTACCTCTCAAAAGTCCCCTTCCCACATTCTCAGTCTACCTCAACTCACCCTTCCTGTCTATTTTTGTTTCCAATAGTTAGATAATTTCAATTCTGGACCTTTCTCCTGTTTCACCGCGCCCCAGATATGGAGCTCTCCAGACGATCCTCCTCCGCCTGAGACGCCTTCGAGAAGCCGATCCCCAGCGCGTCATGACGAACGCTCCACTCGCCCCAGTAGCCTGCATCGGCCAAGCGAGGCTACCCTCTAGATAGACAGAGTAATATTACTACCACAGTCGTTGAAATCTCGGCTCGACTACACAACTTGACACCTCTTTTTTGGCTTCTGGATTTCCCTTGCACCCCCCCCCCACTTTAATATTCTTCGATTGAGGGCTCATAGTGGGTACTACAAGCCAACCCTACATCTTCCGCCCAATAACTCATACCACTCATTACATAGGTACTCTCTCTTGGCAATCTGGATGCATGCTCAACAAACTCTCAACTAGTAGCAGAGTTAGATTCAGCAGTTTACAGTTCGGAAGGTCCTCTTGCTGTCCTGGCCCCGCCTCAGCTTCTCAGAGAACTTGTCGCCCACGCAACTAAACTGACTGTGTCACCAATTCTGCTTCAAGCAAATAGTGCCGCTAGGTAGGAATCACTAAACCCACCCGGGTTGCAAAAAAGTGTCCAGAGCTTTCTGGCAGGATCTTTGTGGACAACGGAGCAAGACTGACTCCATACAATACTGGCCAGACTCTAGGAGACCTCCGTACAAGATTAACAAAGATGCTGACTTTCAAATCGGCCTGAATTCGTGAAATGGACCCGGTTCTTGTTGATTCTCGCGTCTGCCAGAAGGAAGCGCACCATCACTATTCCGCATATCTTGAAGCTCTCTGTGCCTCCAATCGCTCTGCCCGTTTGGTCTTTCGGATGATGTCGATGTAATCATTCACTCTCCTCTCGGCCCAAATGCAGCCGCCCAGCGTCATAGCCGCAATCTGGAGGAAAACCTTGTACTGCGGAGTCAACCCGCGATAGATCCGGGAAGCCGGGGATAGCCATTCCGAGAAACCCTCAAGAGGGCGGTAGAAGAACTGAGATCGGAGGTAGTCTCTTAAGAAAGGAGGTGATTTTGGTCGGGGGGAAGACTGCGTCTGAGCTTGTGATGGCACGGGTGGCGTTGCAGAGGGAGAGAACTTGAAAGGATGGGGAAGGATCATAATCATATGCGCTACAATAGAGACGGAGCCAAACTGACGACGATAGTCCCGTCAGCGATTTGTAACTAATTCAAATATTCTGTTAGAAAGGAACCAAGATGTGATAGCACGCACACGAAACGCTCCTGTCAGAAATCCTCGAACCGCCTCCGAAGTGATTTCCTCAGGTGGTTCAACATCTTTTCTATGAGACGACGGTGGAGGCATGTTATAGGCACCAATATGACTGAGAAGTTCTTCTCGAAAGGAGGGGCTTAAAAAAAAATTGAAGGGCTTGAGTTGTGGTCAGACGATATCGGATGATGGAAGAGCAGATGGGCTCCGCGGGATGACGCAGGGACCCACCCGGATCAAGTGTTCTTCCCGTCCAGTCCATATACGGATCCTCAAAGTATTGTATCCTCGGACTTATTCCGTCCTCCAACCCCCAAAATTACCTGAAAGGAAAACGAATTACAGACTCATCATTACTCATTGTTCTAGACCCTAGATCAGAAAAACAAAGAGAAGTAAAGAAAAGAGTCTCAAGACAACCTAATATTTGCAGTTAGCTACCGATTCCATACTTCGACCACCTGCCTTCACGATGCCCCTCCCTCAGCGTACAGTGTCTCTCACCAGAATCACCAACGAGACTAAGATTCAGATCTCACTCTCCTTGGATGGTGGTGCGCTCCCTCCCTACGAACCAACTGAACATTTTCCCGCTCCAGAAGATCCCAAGGAGGCAGAAGCCGCGAAGCACGGCATTGTCCCTCCCACAGATGCCCACCATGCGACGCAGTTCACCGCAACACAGCAGATCACCGTGAGTACAGGGATTGGCTTCCTAGACCATATGCTGCATGCTCTTGCGAAGCACTCGGGAATGAGTTTGGCCATCAGAGCCAAGGGAGATCTATACAGTACGTATAGATAATTATCAGATAGATATGATAGTCTGGTTACTAATAAGCCATAGTTGATGACCACCATACCACCGAAGATACATTCCTTGCCCTTGGAGCGGCTTTCACCAAGGCCCTAGGTGCTCGTCAATCGATCGCCCGCTTCGGTCGCGGTGACGCACCTCTCGATGAGGCTCTCTCATGGGCTGTTATTGATATCTCCAGCCGTCCCTGGGCCGTGATCAATCTTGGTTTCCGCCGCGAAAAGATCGGCGACCTTAGCACGGAGATGATTACCCACGGGCTGCAGAGCTTTGCTCAAGAAGCTGGTGTGACACTTCATGTGTGCTGCACCTACGGTGACAATGACCATCATCGCGCGGAGAGTGCGTTTAAGGCGTTGGCTGTGGCTATACGCACGGCTTGCACCCGGAGGGTGGCTGGCGAAGTCGGCGCAGGAGACGTGGTCAGCACCAAGGGTGTGCTGTGAAATATTCTCGGAAGTTTGGAGTCCCCGTGACCGGGCTTATGGTTTAAATGTCTATTCTGTCACAAGATTCTACTTTCTACTGCCAATATGCAAGAGACGAAGTTACGAAGGCGCGGGTTTTCCTTTTTTTTTTTTTTTTTTTTTTTTTAATTAATGATCGTGGAATAATGGTATCTTGTCAGTAACAGCTAAGGACAAGGGGAAAGTATCGAGAAACGAAGTGTGACATGGCTATGGATACGGCGGTGTCTAGACCCACTGTCTTACGCAGTATATTGAACACATCGACAGGGCTCAAGAACTCTGGACGCCCAACGCGTTCCTTGCACTCTGCCAATAAACTTCCCGAGCGTCGTTGGCCTCGGTCCCCACACATGTGGTGATATAGCGCTGCCATCCCACCTTTGAACCATTTTGCAGCTCTTGCCGCACAGTACTGGAACATACATTGGCCAGAAACCAGGCTCCAGAACCAAAATCATACTCGTCATTCGAAATCAGAAGTTCGAGAATCTTTCCCACGTTTTTGGAGATGACTTCGGGCTTAACTTTGAGGTCATCGAGCGACTTTGCATATTGAGTATTGTAATCGGCGGACTGCATGTTGCGCGCTAGACGTTCATTCCATGTCAGTTACATCTCCGTGGCTGGACAGGGTTGTTTGAGAAAAACTTACTGCCTTTTCCCTCCGCAACATCCCCAAAATGGCCCTTGTTATACTTGAATTCACCACTCTCAAAAGCCACCAACCCGATGATTGCCGCCTGTTCAGCAGGCGATGTGATCTTATAAGTCTCAAAGGACTTGGCTAGATGCTTGGCTGCCTTTTGAGAGTCGGCACACTCCGTAGCGTACTGCCCGCTACTGTCACAAGTTTTCGACTTCGGCGCGACAGCTTCGATCATTGCGGGCGTGATGGCAACATCTCGTCCCGTAATCGGGGCTGGTACTGCGCTGGCTAGCATTGGCAAGAGAAAATACAGTGGGTTGGCGAAATAACTTGGCTTCATGATGACTGAAGGTGGTGCTGTGTGTAGTATGTATGTGGCTAAAGAAGGACAAGGTGGAAGGTCTATTGAGGATAGTGTAGACTTCAAGTATCGTGAGCCAGCACGGGTACCACAAGACGCTATGAAAATCTAGGGTAGAAACTACTGGGGTATCAGGCGAGGTGGGTCGCAAAGATGCTGGAGAAAATCGATTCAGGGAACTCATGGGCTCTTTTATACGTCCACATACTTGATGGTGGAGGGACATGCCACGGGATTAGCGCAATGAATGTCAGGTGTTGCCCTTGTTGCCCTCTTCCCGGGGTGAGAATCGCATTTTGAAAGGGCATTTAAAGTAGAATGCCTGACCAAAGTGGCCAATAAGGTCCTTGTATCGGAATTTTGCCGCCGCGATGAGCAGAAGAGAGTTCAAAGCTGAAACCGATGTCTTAAAGCTTCTTTGTCTTAATGGCGTTTCGACAATTTATGGACCAAACAGAGCGCAACCTTCCACTCCTACTAACTCCGTACTAAGATCTACCTCCTAGTACTCCTGCAAAGTCTGCACAGCAATGAATCATTTCTTTAAAAGTTCTTTGGCGCACACCCCAATTATTATTTTAATCTCAGCAAATCCAGCAGGCTCTAGGCATCAAGAACTGGACGGCTGGTGAGCATCTGTCTACCTAAAGTAGAAGTTGAAAAAAGAAGAAAAAGAAGTCTATGTGTAAAGAAAAGGGCAGAGGGCAGTGAAAAGCCGGGGTAAATGTGGTAAACAGACATGGTCGAAAGAGAAGGGGGGTAAAGGTTAAAAGGTAGTAAGATCGAAACATCACCAAAGATGAATAAGTCGCAATGCAACTCTTACTCATCTGGCCAAAATATGTACAAAAAGAGATAGAGCGCCCTAGCTGCTTCAGAAAAGCACTCCACTCGAAACCCGTCCCAAAGATAACTCCATACATGCACTCCGTGTAAATCGCGCAAAAGGAAAAGAAAAGAACAAAAGAAGGAAATACATAAATAAAGAAGGTAAGGAAAATAGTCTGAATGGTAACGCTCGACAGGCAAAGAGCTAACCGGACTTTGAGTGTATAGTATAAGTCGTTTCAAAGTGTATCGATGTGGACAACACGTGCATAAAAAGAAAATGTAAAATGTGAACACGCTCAATCAATCACGACGGCTGTAGAGTTCATATGAAGTCTCAGTGATGGGACCGGTCTCCTCGTCCTCTTTGATAGAGATACGATGTAATAGTGTAGGCGTTGGGCGCCGAGGCCTGCGGGTAGGGGACAGGCCGGAAACTGAGATGAAGCCTGGGACCTTAGTGTATCGGTAACGGTATTTCGACCCCAACAGCATCAGTCGACCATAAATCCACCAGAGGCAGAATCCAACTGCTCCTGCAAGGATGAAGCCGCAAAGCGTAAGGAACATCCAATGTTGTCCCATCCAGAAGATCAACCGGGCGTCTTTACCATGCCAGCTATTCCCAACGTGGTGAGTAAAAAAGCTCCACGAGTACTTGTTATATTCGTCCTGCATGAGAATCCGAACACGCGCCGATTCACCCATGGCTTCTTGCATGTATTCCTTCCAGATTACTGAGAGGAACAGAGGTCCAGTTGAGTACATCACAGTAATGTATGGAAGCAACCAGCTGCGGTCGTAAGACTGTAATAGTTCGATCACTCGAAGGAAGAACGGGTGCTGTGGAACCGATCCCATGGCATCATTAGAGATACCTGTTGGAACGGTACGACGTACCCAAGCGGGGTAGGAGAGGAGGGGGTCTAAGCGACGGTTGCAACCCTAATACAGCTCAATTAGTAAAACCGCCTCCTTTGTTTCCTCAAGGGAACATCATGATAGAACATACGTCATCAAGGTCGATGTATGTGCCGCCATAGTGGGCTAAGACAAAGTATCGAATCGAGTCTGCGCGCTGGATGGGATACTTGTAGCCATCAAAGGTGGCAAGGAACCACGGATATTCATGCGCGATAAACTCGCGCGCCTTCTCGTTCGTCCAAAGCTAAAGAGGAGTGTATTAATGTCCGCCGCCTTTGTGCGCTCAATAGAGAAAGAGAGATTGCACGTACAATATACTCATAGTCAGGATGCAAGTCAATGCAACTTTGTTGCGCCTCTCTCCAGACTTCAGGGATGGTCTCGTTCTTGTAGGTCTGGTGAATGATCTTGGGAATAATCTGCGGCCGTTGCTCGATCAGGCTAGAATTTGGCGAGGGGAGCTCCGCGCGATGAATTGCATCAGCGGAAGCATCTTCCACCAACAAGGCCAGAAGCGTGAAGACGCTGCGAACAAGGAAGGATAATATTATAAGATTGACAACGAGGAAGATTAAGACGCCTCTCCGCATGGTGAAAAAGGGAGTCGTTCGAAATCAGAGCTTGTATAAACAGACAATATGGCCAGATTATTCAAGGTTTTCCCGGTGATAAGTAACCAATTGATGCGATCCACTATCGTAACTTCGTGTCGAACAGCTAGAAAGGAGGCAAAAAGGTCGTAAAGGAATCAAGACAACGTTCAAGCCTGCTCTTGACCGAACCCGACAACCAGGTTGGGACAACGCGCGGAAAAGACAACCCTAACTAATAGCGGCTATCTCGCAACCATGAGTCTTCCACGGGCAAGATGATTATGCTCTTGGGCGACAATGACACTCCTATCACGGCCGTTAGGATTGAAAAAGCGCAATAGAGAGCTGATGAGGACCCCTTGCCCTTTTTCTTTCTCTCAGTTCCGTTAGTCGGGTTCCTCGACTCAATCAAAAAGAAGGTGCGTGATAGAGAAGGTTCCGCCCACGAGCCACTAAGTAAATGAGCAATGATAATTTAAGGAACGAACAAAGCCTTCAACTTAAAAGTAGAAAGGGGAGGCCGGAGGAGGGGGGGGGGGGGGTTGTTATAGGTATTGGGAGGCGGGCGATGCAAAGGAGGCGAATAGTAATTAAAAGCGATGGATTGCTTAAAAAAAAATTTCGGGGAAAAAATATAGAATAAATAAAAGGAATGAAGAGGGTTAGTCTTTTTTCTGATTGAAGCAAAGAAAAAAGGACAGGCAGACGAGAGAAGGAACGAACGACGCCTAGCAACGAAGCAGAAGCATCAACTAATAATGAGCGGCAGCAACAGGTGATAGACTGTTTAGTTGGTTTGGGGTGTGAAAGTGTGCAGTAAAGTTTGGAGCAGGAGACACGGAGAAAGTGTAGAAGGCGGCGAAGCGTGAACAACGGCCCATGGTTACTGGGCTTGGGGGCAACACCATAGGCCAGGAGACAGTTCAGGATAAGGGGCTTTGAAGAGTGGGGAGGGGGAAAAGGACAAGTGGAGTCTCAAACCACGACTTGTTTGGGGAAGGTTTAGGTTGGAGCCAAGGCTAAGCCTCCGCCACTTTAAGAGTCGGCCTCAGGCCCCGTCCCAAGTCTAAAATCTACTAATCAGTCTGTCCTACCTTAGTACATACCTGTAATAATATCTACCTAGCCGAGTTTTTTCTTTTTTTCCTTTTTTCGTTTCTTTTCTTTTTTAAATATTTTAATTTTGCATCTTCGAGTTCAATAACCCTTTCCAGACACGAGCAATATTCTTTTTTTCCCTATCTTTTTCGTCTCTTCCAGATCCATCACAATTTTAATCTTTACACATAGATGGATATCAATTACTAATTGTGTTTCGGTCTCCTTGCTGCCCTTGGCAGGAATACTACTACTATCTTGACAATAGGCTGAGCCACACATCCCAGTTCAACAAGCAGCGCTCTTAAGTTGGTATGTAGTACGTAGTATCTCGTACCTGTCCCAGTTGGAGCCACCCAGACGTAGTTAATTAACCTTTTAGGTGCTTGCATTCTGAAGGAAAGCGCCAATCATTTGCAGCTCCTGAGAACCAGTTGTGGCAGTTCCTCTTAGTCCAGGAAAGGACAAGCGGTGGGGCCCCAAGTGGGACTAGAGACAAATCAATTTTAAAGGCCTCGGAAAGAAAGACCATCTAACCGAAAATGGCTACGGTCTGATTTAGTCGCGTCCAGTCGTTCTCTATACCATAAAGGGAAGCTTACGCAGTGGCCTGGCACCTCCTCATTTGCCCCAAAATTCTACTCTTATGGTCGATTACGAATTTTTGGGACATGGAAGAAGAGATCCAAGGAATGGATATAGGCGCATAATAATGAAGTAGGGATGTATTCTATGTTGTTGCCTGCTTTTCTCGATCCAAGAAGAAAACCCCAAAACTAGCTCAAAAAGCAATTGTAGTTTCGAAAAAGACTTAAATTTCCCGTGCCACGTTGATCAGTCTTTCCTTAATATGACCCGTTGAGAAATAGTTTACCTTTCGAGTTCCTCTTGGCCGATGTAAAATGAAAATAGTGCTGGGGTGGGAAAATAATAGTAATGGTAATAGTAATGGTAATAATAAGAAACTTAAATTAATAAAATAAGGCTGATGATCTCAGTTAGTCTAGTGTACTAAGTAGTACTAAGTAGTAGTTCCTATGTACAAGGTCAGTCTGTAATGTAATGAGCGGAACGGTCGTCTACACCCGTTTTGGTAGCTACTGCGAGGTGACTTTTAAGGTACAGAGTACAACTAGGCAGGGAACCCTCGTAATCGTATTTAGTCAACGGTTCCATATATGAGTATTTTTCTTTTTCAACAGACGGTGAGACCCTTCTCAACACATTTGAACTTTTTCAACGCAATATAATCCCTACTGAGTACTCCTAACCATATCCCATTGTCGTGCATGGTCCTTATAATGATAATGACACTGCATCTGCAACTATGATTCTGCAACCATGATAGGATACTAAAATTAGGAAGGGTAAAAAAAATAATACGCGCAGTCAGCCATGTTTGGAAATAACCTTATTGGATATCTATCAAAAGAAAAGTCCACATCCGTTCGTCTACACTGGTCCACTTAATCTTTTCACCTCTTTCTGAATTATCTGTGGCTTATCAACTTGAACCAGGGTGTGGAGAGAAAAAGAATGCTGTGGTTGGAGAGTGTCCCTTAAGCGCGCCGTCAAGCTGTGTTTGTGTGTAGGGTAAAGCTTCTCGGCGAATCGGCTGCAGAAGAAATGTAGATCTATTGCTGTGCATTGTTGTTGGAAGAACCATGGATAACTGGTACGAGTATGAAATCTTTGTTCTCAAACCGGGTCTCTGGTCTTGTCTGGAATGGTTCCCAACAGAAAGATATCAGATTGATCGGTGGAAGTGAACGCCGATACCGATTGATCCACAGTTCCACTAGTAGGTAGTATGTACTTCCACTACACTTACATTCTTCCTACTTCCGGAAGAGGATGATGCGTCGGTTGACTGATAATTGATCGTGTCTCTTATGCAATCTGTCAGTTTGATACATACTTGAGACAAATAGTACCAATTGATTACTGTACAGGCTTCTGTACGGAGTATATCTGTAATAGGCTGGTGTTTCTTCAATCAATACTTAGGGCTAATAATGCTCTTTACTCTGCCCAATCATTCACACACAACCTATATAATGTAGTATCTTTCTCTCCCTTTTTTTTCTTTCTCTTTTAAGGAAAAAGGAAAGGACAAAATAAAATAAAATAAAAGTAGAAACAAAATCAGTAATCAACAAAATAATAATATTTTTCATTTATTTTTTTAAAGTACGGAGGAAACGGAGCGCCTTTTCTTCCTTTCCTTCCCACATCTTCATTCTCTCACCCTTTCCAGTTTTCCACCTCATTTGCAGACAAAAACCTTCCATATAGTTATCCAACGTTCAGCCAACCATTGGTCATAATTAGTCGCCTAAGACAATCAACGGCGGATTCCTTTGGGGCTTGTGTCGACCCACTCTATTAATTGCGCATGCAGGAGGCGGTAATTAGTATTGCCCCCCGCGGTCTTCAAATCAGACCGACTTCTGGTTGGTCAGTGGACTGTCAGACGCGTGGACAAAGAAGCATTTCAGTCAATCGCCATGAGTCTTTTTTTAATCTTCTAGCATGTTTCAATCTCTCCCCAAGGTTCAAGGGTCGAGGTCGATTATCAACCTCGACATCATGCACCTTATTTTCAACTGACCGTCTTAGCACGTGTATCCGCGATTGAATAACGCCAAGTTGAGAGAAAATCGTGGCACTTTTACCTCAAGAATTTCTCTTGCCCAATTTATCCGTCATCTGTCAAAAAAATCAATAAACTAACTAAATTCCATGAAGATCTCCGTCTTCACACCATCATCTCAACTCTGGGAAGAGGGAAACAAAAAGACGCGATGTATTCCCATAAAGTAAAAGGCAGTACTATGTCCAACCAGTAACAACAGAGTGGCCACGCTCATCAATATTTCCTGTACATCAGCCAAGGAAAGCCACCTGGAAGCGAAACCGCGGGGTTGGGCGGATATTTCGCCTATCAATGAATATTTGACGAGGGAAGCAAGCAGGCATTGACGTCACTTGGAGACGACTCCCCTAGGGATTGGGTCAATGCGGGGATACTATCCTATTCTATCCAGTATCTCTATGGAGACGACCTTAAGACACGTATCGCGGTACTTTTCTTCCATGGCAACCGCAACGATCAGGCTGCCGTCCTAAGTAATCGATAGGAGCTGCCTTCTCGATACTTATTATGTGGCATTCAAAATGCTCTCTGCTTAACCCGACATTAAGGTCCGCTCTACTCCATGAGCTGCAAACTACATGCGAATCAAGAGACATAATCCCCAAAGTATCTATCCCCTACTATTTCTAACGCCTCCCCACAAGCAACTTCAACGTCCTAAATGGTTGGTGAAATGATCCGATGTAGGCCCCATCCCATGTCCCGCCACTGAGAGACTGACCAACTACACTGGCATTCCATAAGCATCGCAATGGATGAAAAGAAGGGATAGGAAATAAAGTCGGCTTTAAGCAGAGCGGAAATATAAGCCTGCCGCTTATGACAAATCTCCCCAATTGAAGAGCCCCGCATGGTCATAGTTCCCAGTTCAATCAAATCGACGTTGAGTACCACTCTGCACACGGCGGGATTGCAAATGATACCGGACAGGGGGAATAATTCAAAAGAGTTCCAAAAATGATTGCTACACCCCGACCATGGCTGGATATTATGTATAAAATATGATAATCTAAGAATCCGTCCGCCAGTGCTTTTCGTCTCATCGGACTTCAGGTGCCGCGGCGGCGGCGAAATCCCGGGTCAAGTTCGCTGTGCCGGTTCCTGCTCCAGCCCGGGACTCGAATAACTGTACCCACCAACCCGGGGGGTCCAGGGGGCGGTGGCCGCCATGTAGAGACGGATAGACATCATTGAAGAAGTACCAGATATGACCGACGACCACTCCGCAAATCTCGTCTTTAGGCACGATACCGTGGACAACTAGGCTGAATGCCATCAACACCCAAGGCAGATACGGGGCCGTGAAGACCAAAATGCCGAGGAAGCTGAGGCGGGTTTCGGGATTGCGCCGACTCCAGATATACACCAGACTGGACGACAGAGCTGTACCCAGGAACGGAAGCGAAAGGAACGGGGAAATGAGGAGAAGGGAGGCCATGGCGTAGAAGAGTAACCAAGAGAAACGGGCTGGAGATCGACCGGATGATTCTTCGAGAAGGCGCGAGTACCGCTGGAGAAAGAAGACATGGAAGAGTAAGTCTAGACTAAGTGGTCCGAAATAGAGAAACGTTGTAAGAAGTCGCCAATACTGCGATGTCGTTAGTTTCATGTGGTCAGGTTTGATTCCGGCCCTGCCAAGCTTGGAAGCGATATACATACTTGGGACTTTACATAGACCGCGCGGAAGCTGTAGAACAGCTGGAAGGGAGTCAAGATATGACACTGAACTAGGACGGACGTAGCCACAGTAGCTACTGTCCACCATCGCGTGACCGGGGGCATTTCATAGAACCACTGTTCAAGGGGAAACTGCCCTGCTTGCCCCCCATTACCCCAGATGGCGGCCATCACGCCGGAAGTTATTTGTTAGTCGCGGGCCGCCGGACTATTGCAGGATGATCGCTGAAGTGCAATTGAGAGTATTTTTGGACAGTACAAAGATTGAGGAGCAGAATCGGGGAGACGAGGGAGGAGGCAAAGGCAGAACGGGGTTGAATGATGATAACTACCAATATGATAGACAAGAACCAGGCCAGGCACCATATATTCCAGCATTATGAAAGGCGGAGACCAAGAGCTCCAGGTGGCCTTTTCCGCTTTGAGGGCAGTGGCATCTGTCACTATCATCACGTGCGCATGTGTATCTGCCGCGCGCTTCAGTGGGGCAAAGCGACACGCTACGCGTTAATCAGAAAGGCTGGGAGAAATCGGCGCATCTATCAATTGATTGATCCCAACCACCCAATTTCCTTCTTATGGTTCTCTTGTGAGAAGTGAACCCCTCCGAGCAAGACCAGGCCGTTTCCACGGGTGTCCTCCGCTGAAATTGGCTGATCAGAGAGGGGTTGCGACTTAACCCAAAAGAAACAAAAGTCCTTGACCCAAGTTCTTTGCATACGTCGGCGCAAAAAAACAAATATCCTGAAAGGGCGAGCACCTCCAACGACGTTGTCGCATGGAAAAAAGCACCTGTACAATTACCCCTCACTTCCCAACTGACTCGCTTCTACATCTATAATACAATCCATACTTGGTCGTGCAAGACATCATCATGCCACCGAAGACAGGGCAAGGTCGCAAAATAGTCGCCGCACCTCGGGCAAAGGCGGACCGTACTGGAAAAGAGAATGAAGCTGCAAGCCCATCTAGTGCAGCTGGAAAAGCGTCGCCGTCGACTCGAGGGCGCAAGTCCATTGGAGGCAAGAGGGGGGGTAAGCGACCAGCTGGTGCATCAAGGCAATCAGATGTCCAACGTATGTGTATTTATTTATTCACTTTTTAGATCTAGTTGCCCTCGTGTCTAAATACTCGGGCCAATTATATACTAACTTAACCTCAGCTGGAGATCCCACCCCTAAAGGCCGTCATCGCCGCTACAAACCGGGTACCGTTGCCTTGAAGGAAATCCGCAAATACCAGCGCTCTTACGACCTCCTCATAAGGAAACTCCCGTTCGCAAGACTTGTGCGCGAAGTCGCATTGGAGCTACTTCCTGCAGATGTTGGTGCTGAATTGCGCTGGCAGTCGCAAGCCATCATGGCGCTACAAGAAGCCGCGGAGGCTTTCCTTGTTCATCTATTTGAGGACACCAATCTATGTGCTATACACGCGAAGCGAGTGACGATTATGCAAAAAGATATCCAGCTTGCTAGGAGAATCCGTGGCGCTTGGGGTGGTCTAGGCTAAACGCACTCGTCCCAGGAAAGAAGGGAACGAAATAATAATTTGGTGGAAAGCACCTAGGTGTGGGATTACCGAAGAGTCTGAATCTCAATTGCTATAATTCCGTTGTTGTCTGGCTTTTTTTTCTCTTTCTCTTTACAATCTTGGCATCCTCGATTATATCTGCCTGCAATTCCCTTCCCCCTGAACATTGCTGGTTGGTGTATAGGTTGCAGGCGTATGGTCGGTTATGGAGTTACGACCAGAACAGGTCTTCTGTTTTGATTTATGTTGGTACTGCAGTTGTGCTATGTTGTTAGTGTTGGGACCACAAGGTCTATCAGTGTGATGGTTCGTGTATATTAGACTATGGGTGTCTACTGAAAGGGATACTTCTCAGTATGGCGAGAACTAGGTTGACGGATATAAGACGTATACTTCCTAGTAATTCTTCATCACATACCTAGACAAAGGAATATTAATCTATCTATCTATCTATTTATATTTATATACCCACCTTGGCAGAATCTCCGCGTAGTACACTTAACATATGGTTGTTGAAACTGTGTTGATTTAAGAGCACACAGGAAAAGAAGACAAACAAACGGTGCGTAATTAAAAACAAGTCTTAATTCACAAACTATGGACTTCATTGGTATGAAACATGAATGTGTTATGTTATACGCATCCATAGTTACTTTTCAATTTCGCTCTGCGAACTCGGCTGAAGCCACCGTCAGATATCGATGATCGAAAGCCTGATAACTAGGTACAACTTCCTTTGCCTACCACTATTTCCCTTCCTTTCTCGATGCATCAAATGGATGCATGAATGGGGACAGTGAGAACCGGGAGGTACTATAGAACGATCAGGAGATAGCGTTAACATCATCAGGAGTAGTCGACCTTCACACTTCCATGATTTTGGCCCTTATACCAAAGGGCATATTCACAGTGAGTGGAAAAGTAAGTCGCACGTATCTCAAAATTGACCTCATAATACCCTTTGTTATCGTGACCAACGCGGATTGGCAGCGTGCCTTCTCAATAGTGTTGAGATTTGGATTCAGAAATGCATGGTTTTTGATATCTAACAGTCAGTAAATAAGTGCAGGCTATAGGGACTTGGAGCAGGATGTTATATTCTCAACTCACGGCGTTTGAAGTACAACGGTGGTGCCTCTCCAGCAGGAGTATCCAGCTGATAGAGAGTAACACGTATTGAATCAAAGTTTCTCTCGCTGACCAGTTGCTGTTGACATCAGAAGGTTTGGATAGACTCCGCTTCTTTGATATCGTTTCCCTGGAAACTATTAGTTGTTGCTGTACCGATATCTTGAGTATCTAGTACCTTCTGGATAAACCATTCCTTACCTTGAATACGATAATGCCCATGGAAATAACTCTAGTATCTGCCACCGTTAATTTCGAGAGTAGAGCAGCGGAAGCCGTAATGCTTTCTGCCCACTCGCGGCTCAACTGGTGATTTTTAAACCAAAGGAGACAATTCCCCGAGAGTCTTCGTTAAAGCACCCTTAACCGCTGCGGTCCATCCATCGGGGGAAACCCCGTACTTCGATGTCTTGAGGGAGACTATCACGGAGATATTCACGAGGGTACGGGCTTTGTCCAAATCCCCCGACTAAGAAAAGCGCCTTCACTTTTTTCTTTGAAGTCTTCATCTGGTTGCTCACAAGATTATGTACCTCTTCAAGATTAGGCCGGAACAATTCAATCATCTCCTGTCCAGTTACCCTAAGTCGACCTCGATGGACATTGAGATGCCGTCATCCGCTATTCTAGGGATAGGAAACAGAGATTCTTGCTTCACCTCTCCATGGAATGTCCTCTTTATAACCATCTCGAAGCGGTGCATTGCTTTTTCCACTGTATCGCGATCCCATCCCGAGATAGAGCACATTGGCTTTCTACGAATTCTTCAAATCGCCTATTCAATAACATGCTTCCACAGAGTGATCCACGTCCAGGTATATCTTCTTTGAGGCGGAAATTAAGCTCCAGCTCAACAATCGAAAATGTTATGAGATCAACGTTGCCACCGCCTGCATCTCACAAAACGATAGTATCGCCAACAGACAGATAATGAGGACTAGAGGCATGCAGTGCATGTATTGCGGCCGCTTCGGGCTCAGAGATAAGACGTATCGATCCCGTGTTGCCATATCCTGCGCTCTCGGCGCAGCGAAGAGTATTCATCTTAGCTTTGTCTGGCCACATTGCAGGAACGGTAAGGACAAAATCCAGGCTCACACTGTCGACAGCAAATTTAAGCTTGATCCATTGGACACGCGGCATGCCATCGTAGATCTGAAATTCCCTTAAACAAGTTGACCCCAACTCTCGGTACTCATATGCGACCTCAGTCGGCACTTTTTCACTTGTCATGCACCGAGGGAAGTAGAAGGACTCTGTGGCCACTGGTTGATAATGTGATGCTTCTTAGGCTAGGAAGGGCGGATGTCAGCACGAGGTCAATGTGTAGAGACAGAAGTAACTTAGATCGCTCGTTGAAGCCCAGGCAACACCTGAAAAGGTGGCTGCAAAATCCACGGCCACAACAATTCTGTTCCCAGCAGAAAAGTCCCCCATATTGCATGTGATATAGTACTGGGCCCTTGAGATTGTACGTAGAAGTATGCGGACGTGCAGTGGATTGTCTTCACTATCAGTAGTAAGTGTAATTGGTTGATGAGATCAAAGTTATATTGCAACCACTTTGAATATGAATCAGAATGAGTAGAAATGTAAGTGAAGCAGAAGTGAATGAGAAGGAACTCGTGATTTTCAAGTCAAACACCAGATCAGAGTGAAAAAAAAAAAAAAAAACCACAACACTTACTGTCACCTTACGAAACAAGAGTCATTACTCTACACACTGCAGTGCTTCAAATTAGCAAAGCTCAATTACAACTTAGAGCCTGTCGTCAGGAAAGCATGAGAGATCCATCTTGGTAGACACTTCCTTTCCCAGTCCCAAGGCTACCTTTCATTGCAACAGAGAGAAGATGGATGCAGAGAGAGAGCCTCACGACTGCAGATGTATGTATACCCTCTTTTCATAATGCCGTTACTGAACTAACAGGCCGTCCTGTTAGAGTCATAGTGATTCTCTAGCTAGTGATGAACCAATGGCCACATTTTCAAGGAACTCGAGCAGGGGCAAGCGCTCAGCAAGAAATATGTGGATGAAATTAGAACGAAACGCAACCGCCTTCCAGGAAGATATGGGTCCTCCTGGCTTTTATATCTCTCAGCAAGATTCCAAGTTTAAGTGGATGTAGCAGGAACTGGAGAATGCACGGCAACGTATCCAGACGTTGGAAGCTGAGCTTCAGATCCGGGTGTTTAGGTTCATGCCTGATTATCAATTCAGTGATACGACCGTCTTCCAGAGTTACCTGCTAATCCGCGATAGTCTCTCCGGTTGGGTTAAAGAATTTCCCAATATCGGTTCCTTTACGGAAGCTGTTCGTCATGCTGTCCATCACCGGGGCATCGGAGTCGACATACATGCCGTACAGGGTAAATTCACGTTGGGAACTCGAGCATGCACAACCGGAAATCTTACTATGGATCTGCTTCCTTAGTATTTGGAAACAACTATTCCTGCCTATTGTGTTTGGCGCACCAGCAGCAGAACAAACATTATTGGTAAATCTTCATCTGTCGATGTCAAAGCTAGAGCCCCGAAAAGGTTGGAATGTCTTCAACAGCAGAAACTTGACCATGACTTACCTTTATAGACATGGAAATGGTTCAGCTCTGGTGGTCAGATACACTTAGAGCTTACACTAGACGTCGAACCTACAAAGAGAAATTGACCCAGCATTATCCTGCAATAGCAGACTATCTGAGAGGGATTTTGATTGCTTTAGGTTTGAGAAGGAATTTAGCTAGAGCCAAAAATTTAGAAGATTCCAACAACAAACTTTGTCTCAGGTTGCGGACCTCGCGAAGAAAATGAGCTGTTCGCCGGTGGAATTCCGGTGGGAATGGCACCCATATAACCTGGTTGGAATTATCCGCAAGCGCTATCTGAGCTCGTTCACCATTATGGATGCACAAACCCACCAGAAAATGTATCCTCGGGCTACGAAGTTCATGAACATGCACGAATAGGCGCATATTGGCGTGTTTCTACTGGTATTATACCCAGCCTTGTTCCGCTTGAACCCTGGAACACGAGACGGTATCCTGATCCACAAGGCAACTTAGTTATTGTCATCCAGGGCCATGAAAGTTTGCCTCCAGTGGTAAAGGCTGGGGTTAAATAATCTGGGGAAGGATAATGCTGGCAGCTCCTGCACTTGATTATGGTCTTGTCCGATCAGTGCCCTGGCGGACACGGCGGACACCACTAGGTTTTCAAACGCCGTGACATAGTTGCATAAGTAGAGCTAAGTTAGTTCAGGTGGCCAAAGTGGGCGGGGATATAGTTCATACGAGCCTGTTTTGTATGGCTTCCCCTTATCGATCTTGCCCTTTACTACTTGGATACCACATCTACGACATCAAGGATGGAGCCATGAAAAACAATGCCTAGTATTTCTCTATTGCGCCATTGACCCTATATACCTCAAACCCTAGATGGTATCATGTACTAGACCCCAGGAAGTTACACCAGCAGAACAAGTAAACAAGCAAGAGGGAATAACAAAAGTAAGGAAGAAGCTAGATAGGCCTTTTCAATGCTGATGGCAACCCCATCATTACCCGATGACCCTCCTCGCGGACGCCCTTGGCCTCATCGTTCTTTCCCTGTCTCTCCAGGGTCTCCGCGAGCATCTCATCGGTGACACTGACCCAGAGTCGATCATTGGCCTTCTTTGCCATTGCGCGTCCTGCTCGCGCGCTCTTCTCAGCCTGTTCACCAACAACCCCGCGGAAATATTTCCAACTCATGAATGTTAATGTCATGCAGGTGATCTGACTATTGCTGATTGCCGTGGCGGACTGGAGCGCCTGCTGAAGAAATTGCTTGGTTTGGATGGTTGACTCAGTCTGAACGGTCGCGCATACAAGGTAGTAGGCTGCCTGGATATACCTGTTAGGGCTACCCTTACAGAATGATTCAATAGTTGCCAAGATGTTGGGGAGCTGGAAGTGCGACGCATGAGTTGGGTCACGAAGTATGAGAACGGTATTGAGGGCTGCAAGAAGTGCAATATCACGACGGGGGTCATTGCGGGCTGTTTTACTCGTCGATGGGAATAACGAAAGAAGGGGCGACTGGAAAGAGTCAAGAGCAGCTTTCAGATCACCAGTTGCTTGTGCAATGGCACCCGCGGTATATTCCAATAGACATTGGACCGTATCGGGTAGGTGGTCGCCAAGCTCTTGGGCTACTTGTCGGAGGTCTTTCAGTGTTTTATTGGCAAGGTCCCAGTCCGTGCGGCCACAGGCGAGAAATACTTGTTGAACAAGGAGGTTGCAGTACAGCGTCCTGCGCCATTCTACACGTCTATTCGCATTGACCATGGATTCAGTGATGTCCTGAGGCGCTTTGAAACTACCTAGGTGGCGCGGTTAGCTTTGTCAAACATACATTGACATGCCACTTACCTTGCACCATGCGTATACCTTCCTGGAGAAATTTCTCGGCTTTGCGACCATCATAAGAGTTCTTGCAGCTGAGTGTGATAGAACTAAGGAAATAACAAAGCGCGTAGAGGTCGTGCTGGGGTAGCCAGTTAAAGCTTAAGAACAACGTGCCATTTTGGACCTGAAGAATGTCGCCCGTGTCTATTGATGAAGGCCCAGCCGACTTGCCGCTTAAAGGAATGGAAAATGACCCATCGGCGCGCCAGTTAAGGTCGTTCAACCGCTCGTCCATCAGATCTTGTAGATTTTTCAACTTCTGGGATGACTGATTGATGTCAAATTCAAGAAGGCTGCAACAGATATCGACCATTTGCACCAAAGTTGTCAGTTGTGGTATATGGCGAAGCTCATCATTAAGCTGGTGGCTCCGAGCTACTGCCAGGGCGCGCTGGGCCTGCTCAATCGAGTCAAAGCTGGATCCCTGCTGCAGATGCGCAAGAGCCTCGATGACGGCCGACATGGCCGAAACAGCCTTATCGCCATTGCGGTTGGCCATATTAGCAATTTTGTGAAGGTTTTGCAGGGCTGCCACAGAATCTTGATGGGCAGAAGACGATAGTGAGAGAGATACCCGAAGGAAGCGAAATGCATACTCCCATGCAGAGTGACGATATCTATGTTAGTGAGCATGCAAACTTCAGTATCATAAACCTAGGCATTACTCACGCTTCTACATCCTGTATCATCCCGTCCACGGCTTTCATTGAGGCCCTAGGATTTGTCTTGTGTAGCATTCGCGCGAAAAGGTGTTGCATACTGTATTTTAAGTCTAGCATGCGGTTCTAAGATATTGTCAGCATCCTAGCAAGCAGCAGCAACATAGAAAGCTTAGAAAGAAGCGACTTACCCGCTCGCACAAGTCAATCTAATAGGGGAATGTTAGTACCGTGGTATGATAGTGAGTCCATAGGTAGTGAACATACGCCTTTACTCAGTGCAGTCTCCGCCTCGAGATCATTGTCTGTCTCCTCGAACAAAATGCGCGCATATCTTAGTCGTACAAGGGCTTCAACTCGGGGTTGTAATCTCCAATTCTAACCGGATTGAGTCATTAGTATGAAGTAGGTAAAATCGGAGTTCACAACCAACCTTCAACACCGCTTCCAAGCAACCAAGACCCGTTGCAACCAACCTATAGTATTCCTCCATTTCCATCTCCTGCCTAAGCAAAGCTACCATGGTTCCGTTACTGTGGGCCGCATTAAGATACTCATCTGCCATCGCCAGGAGTAGCACCTGATAGTCGATAGTAGGCTTTGGTGTTTTTTGTGAGGCCATTTGGCTTGTCTGTCGCTGCGTTTGTTTCTTGGACGGCAGTCGCTGTAGTTTCTGCTGTACTTCTGGGGATGGGTTTGGGATCAACACTTGGGGAACAGGTCTCGGTGACAGTGCTGGGGGAGTTGCGGTAACGGGTGGGGGTCGAACAGTTGGAGGGTTCAGTGCAGTTGTGGTCTTGGGCATTGGTTTTGGTGTAACCTTTGGTGTGAGCTTCGGCGTAGGATTTGGTGTTGCGCTCGGTGTCGCACTCTGTGTGGCCTGGGGATACTTGCCATACACCTGGTTCCCTTGATTTGGGCTGGCCGTGGCGTAGTGCGTTGGTTGTGTTGCGGCGGGGGTGGTGAGCGCAGGGGAGCGGTTGGTGTTTGCGGTTGAGACTGCAGTTTGTCCACCATACTGAGATGACGCTTGGGCAAATTGAGAGGGGGGGATAGAAGGGAGGGGCGGTGTATTGAACAAGTCGGATGGATTTACATATTGCGGTTGCGGTTGCGGTTGCGGTTGCGGCTGCTGTGGTTGAGGTTGAGGTTGCGGCGGCGGCGGTTGTGATTGTGGTTGCGGTTGTTGATCATACGCGTGTGTGTAGGCAGGATACGCCGGGATCATAACCTGAGGATAAACGACCGGCTTGCCATATTGGTATGGCGAAGCGTTCGGGTGGGCATTATTGTACAGTAGCTGCTGCGGCTGGATGGTCTGCTGGCGTTGAAGAGGAGGCTGCTGCAGATACTGCGAAGGATATTGGCCGTTAAGGGATGGTGGTGGTGGATAGCTCATCGCCCCAGGACGCAGATAATGCTTCGTGGTGATCGCTGCACTCTGCTTCTCCTAGAGTCTATACTATACTGCAAATCATTCGGGGAGATGAAGTAATACTCTTTTTGGTTTCCTTTTTCAGTTCGGCTTCGGAGAAACCCCCTCTCAAGGCGGTCGGGGTATTGACACCCGACTTTTAAGGTATGTAGAGTATAGTATGTACACACCTAAAAATACATATTACGGAGATCGTCGACCGCTTGCGTCTCCAGGACCAAGACCCATGAACAGCACATCACATTTAATTTTTATTCAAATCTCCTGCCAAGCAAAGACTTATTTAAACAACCCTTTCTTTCTACGTGCCCTCATTGGTTGGTTCTAGAGTTGAATACCAACCTCCTCTCTGCTATTTCTCAGGAAACAGGATTAAATTTCTTTTTAATATCAAGTGATTCCAACTATTGGCTGTCCTATCTTCTATATGCTAGAGGATCGTGTAAAGAAGTACACGCTATACCCGACTTAGCTTTGGTGGGTTCCGGTTTGTTATATATTTTGACAACAGGGACGAGACATATGCTCATAGTATAATGCACAGAGAGTTACGGCAAAATAAAGATGTAATTTCGCCGGTAAGACAAAACCAAAGTTGAAAAGTAAAATTGAAATATATTGAAGGGAACAGAGTTGAAAAGAAAGAAATACAATGAAAAAACACAGATTCTCAAAACAGTACCTATATACCATACTCCATGCCAGTCTTCTCATAGCTTTGTGTCCAAACCATTCAAATCATGTTGATTGACGCGTATAACTGATTAATCGACTGATTCTGCATCCCAGGGTCTAGGATGTTCATCTCAAGAGCCGGGGGATCATTAAGAGCCGGATGTTCGCGGATGGTCCAGGGGCATAGTTCACTGCAGTTGTCTACATCAATCGTATTTTCTGCTGGATGAATCCTCTGAGCGGCCCAGGTCTGATCTGGAATGGGAGATGTTCCCCCGAGGCATCTCTCCGTCCAAAAGAAATATGTGGCTCTTCCGGTGTTTTCGTCAACATGGCAGGGCTGTTTGCGAGGGCATTTCAACGAAGCATTACAGGTGTTGCAGATAGATATTCGCTTACAGCTGTCGCAGAAATTGTCGTACAGTCGGCAGATGGTGGTTTGACAGACGCTTGACAACCAAAGATCGATCGATCGGTGTGCGCATCCAAAGCGAGGTGTGATGGACTCTTCCTTTCCAAGCTGCCCTGATCTTGTTGATAGCTGGTATTCCGTTTTGATTTTCAACTGGCCGTTTTCGTCTAGCTCTGGGAACAACTCGACCTTTATCTGCGTAGAACCGTAGTCTTCTGTGCACGTATGCCAGCAAAACCGTTCCTGAACGCCAGTTCCAAATTGCGCCGCCAAGGCTATTACAGACTTCTGTCTCATCAACAAGAGTTCAACAAGATCCATCTTGTCTCGAAATGTTAGCTTTTTGCATGGACACAAGTCAACTATGCCTGCCGAATTTCCTAGGCTACAAGACCGTTCTTCCGCTTTTCGTTTCAGCTCCCGTGCAGGGAACAAGCCTCGTGGATGTAGCTTCAAACATTTCGAGCAAGCTCGCCACGTGCCGTTTTCCAGCATTTTGATAAACTGCCACCGAGTAGTAACGAAGCTGTGTCCATTTCGATAATGATGAAAAAGTGGTGCAAAGTCTCGACTAAAGTGCAGGGATTTTGAATCTAGGATCGCGCTGGATACGGCGAACAGTCGCTTACTCGTCAATGCCAGACAAGCCTCTGATAGCACAGGTAGATGAGAAATGATCTCTAGCAGTAACTCAGTGGGCAATTCGAGGAGGTAGCATCGCTTAGTGGAGTCAACTTCGGCACTCTTCCCGCTTCGTAACCAGAGATTCATTTTCGTAATGGTTTTAATTCTTTTTCCAGCCCGATGAAGACCATATGCCATATCGATGGAAAGTCGTGAATTTTCACCATAAGTGGAACCGAGAACTAGGGCCTTCCTGAGTGTTTCTCGGGCTTTTGAATCTATTGTCTGAGGGGGTATATCTGGGGACTGACAGAGACTCATAGGTGAAATGGTAGCCAGCTTGTCTCCTGCTGTTCCTGGAATCTCATGGTGTATAGAAATAGGCCAGGGGGGGTGCCGCGTGACGGAAAAGGCGTCTCATAAGTGTAGAGCAGGAGGGAGGGCCTTGACCTTGAAGTAGTTCACACGAACGCCCATGGCTTCGCACGCAAACGGCACGAGGCAGGGTCACAATATTATGAGAATTACATACAGATTCGGTATTGTGTTGTCTAGTTCCAGTATAGTAGTAGACTCAACAGAATAGCCTGCTTTACTGGTACTGTATCAGGATTTCCCATCGCACAAGATTCTTTGAAAGTGGAGGCTAAGGTTAGGAAAAGGTCTATGATGCTATGTTCCATTCAATCTATAGTAGTTTCCGCATCCGGCATCTCCCTGATACCGCAATAAGAATTGCAACACAAAAACGACTCCCATATTCAACCCTGATTCCAGACAGGGTGTTTGAATTCGGCCAGCTAGCCTGACGATGAAAAGAGATAAAACGAAAAAGGACCAAAGCCACCATGATTTCTTGTCAACTGACTGGCACCTCGTGATATCCAGCCATGACGTAGAGTTGGGGAGAGCAGATGAGTCATCAGAGGCTGACTGATCAGCGATACATTAACTTATACCGAATCGGGACTGTTGCAAAGATAAGGTGCTTATGTCAGCACTTCCCCTATCGGGCAATGATGCCGAGGCACTTGAAAATCAACTTCTGGGAGATTCATAATTGAACGAATTAAGACTCCGAGGATTGGTTCGGCGTTACTGATATTTTCTGTTTATCTCTGCCGGGGGAAGTCCCTTTCCCCGTCTTTTGCCTCCCCCTTCCTTCTCCACCTTGTTGAGAAGAGTGGTCAATTGTGGTAGATTAGTACTACGGAGGTTTTGCTAACTCGCAGCCCTGATGGCTTCTGCTGATACTCCGGCTACTCTCTTGACCTCTTTTCCAGTGCCACTGTTACTCTCGGGCTTACTCGTAATGGGCATACTATCATGGCTACGTCCAAACGGTCGTGTTTCGTTCTTTCACTCGAAAGACAACAACTTATTCTTGAGAAAAGCTGGAAAAGGAACTAAAGAACAAATTACCCTGACGGATCTCTGCCGGACTGCCACACCCAAGACATGCTCGCTGAACCCGTTTTTATTCAATGGCCATTTGCAGACGGCCTGGACTACGGTGAAATTTGATGGCGTTCCCGTATACTATAAACGTTGGATGTTCGAAGCCGAGAATCCGATGTTTAGCGGACATTTCGCGATTGATTTCGTCGTGGATCCATTCGAAGCTCCCAAAGATGGCCAACTTGCCGATCAGGAGAGAAAATATACACAGCCATCAGGATTACCGGAAAGAACTGCGTTCTTCTCGGTCAGTGAGTTCGCAGCTCTGCCCTCGGATGATACGAAACCTATGCTCGTTGTTCTCCACGGTCTGAGTGGCGGCTCACACGAGGTCTATCTACGCCATGTCGTTGCCCCTCTCATTGCGGATGGGAAATGGGAAGCATGTGTTATCAATTCCAGAGGCTGTGCTCAAACCAAGATTACCAGTGGGGTTCTATATAATGCCCGTGCCACGTGGGACGTCCGTCAGGCCGTCAAGTGGCTTCGGAAGACGTTCCCGAACCGGCCATTGTTTGGTATCGGCTTCTCCCTCGGCGCGAATATCCTTACCAACGTAGGTCATCTCTAGCGTAGCCTGCTGGCTGTACTCTGACAGACTGGATTTGCATAGTACTTGGGTGAAGAAGGTGATGCCTGCCAGTTGAAAGCAGCAGTGCTTTGCGCAAGCCCATGGAATCTAGAAGTAAGCTCTGTGAGCTTGCAGAGCAGCTGGATCGGCCTTCAGGTCTACAGTAAGGTGATGGGATCAAGCATGAGGCGACTGTTTGAAAAGTAGGGGACCCACTACTTACTATTGCGTTCAACTACTAACGGTTCATTAGTCATGTCGAGGAGGTCAGCAAGAACCCTCGAATTGACGTTGCAGCAGTTCGGGGCGCTAAATACTTGCATGAGTTGGACCGGTGAGCGACTATATCTTAGTAAATATTATTGGAAGCAGTGTCTGACCTGTCGACTTGTATTAGGGCATTACAATGCGCTTCCTGGGGTTACCCTACAGAGGGTGCATACTATCGCGATGCTTCGTCCGTTGACTCGCTACTTGCTATTAAGATCCCATTCTTTGCCGTGCAAGCTGAAGATGATCCGGTGAGTCCGAAATGCCGAGCATGACTCCTATTACAATGCACTGACTTGCAATAGGTTGCGAGCGTCAAAGCACTTCCTTTCCAAGAAATTGGGCAAACCCCTTACGGTGTCATGATGACCACGTCCTGGGGTGGTCATCTTGGCTGGTTTGAGCTTGGAGGCGGCAGGTGGTTTGTGAAGCCAGTAAGTTATTCTTGGCCTTGTCTATTAATACCACGACACTTGCTTAACGCATTGAGCAGGTGACCAACTTCTTAAACCTCATGGCCAAGGAAGTCGATCTTGACACTCCTTTCGTAGTCGAGAATCCCGACAAGGTTCCTGGAAACGTCGCGAGCCATACCTCAGTATTAAAGCCAGATTTTAGTCCCATGCGTCGCAAACTGGATTTGCAGCCTGCACCCCTAAACTAGGCTTACTTAGCAATCGTTCAATTGCCACTTGAGGCCATTGCTTAGTGGTGCAAATTATGATGATGCATGAATGATTGTCATGAGTTGCCATTCATGTCAAAGCATAGACCGGTGGAAACGCCAAACCCCATCTAGATACATAGACTTGGTATAGACAGAAATACTTTTGTACAAACATCTCAAGCAAATGAAACACTTTTCCTCTTCCCTTTAGACTTCGAAGACGATCCGTTAGTTTGAGTAGCAGCAGTGCCGGCTTTCACGTCTTCATTGCCATCGCCCCTGCGCTTCCGTTTTTGACGGATCGCTGCCTTGGTCTCTTCCTGTTCACCGGTTCTCGTTAGTGATTCATGGTTGCATACAATGTTTTTTCTTTTTCTTAAGATAAGACACAATTCGGAGTGATATATCGCGACGCACCAGTTTATTTTTCTTTTGAGCCTGTCGAGCTTCGGCTTCCTTTCGCTTCGCTTCTCGGATCTCCTCTAACTGGCGGGCCTTCTGCATCTTGGACTCAATCTGCCCTTCTTTCTCGGCATTTACCATTGCAAGGATCGTAGCCATTCCCTCCTGAGAGAGCACATTAGCAACACGATAAAACATACGAGCAGCCATTCCACCCGTGAACATACCTCATCGTCAACAAAAACCTTTCCCTTCTTCTTCCCTTTGGGCTTCACCACCCCAACAGGTGTGATTGTGTTCAACTTCGGCAAGTCCAATTCTGCCTCTGTATATTCTCTCTTCTTCGTCTTCTTCAGCTGGCTCGCTTCGGTGCGCGCCTTTGACTTAACTTCCTGTGGCGGCGGACGCTTGCCGGCTTTCTTGCTCACTTTCGATGCGGAGGAGAGTGGCTTGCCCTTCTTCGAGTCTTTGCCTGAAAAGGCCTTTGGCTTGGCCGAACCCGGTTTTGGTGCCATGTCTTCCCGTCTCTTTATTATTTCGGTGGTATCTATAGGATTATCGCATGCACGTGGAGATTCAAAGAGGAGAGACTCGGCGGCGATGGAAGGATGCTAGGAAGAATGTTGACCAAGTCCGCCACTGGCCAAGCGAAGTATGATAACGTGACAAACAATAACGGCAAAAATCCTATCCCACGAGCAGCACAAGAATTTCAACAGTTCAACTGGGGGGTCAAGAAAATCAAAAAGAAGAAATGAACGAGGAAATCAAGAGAAGAAATTTTTTGAAACAGGCAGGCGGTAAAGGTGTCCCGCCGAGACCAATTGATCCGACCACCACCATCTCATCTCATCGTCACGCTAATCCAAGCCCCAAAGGAACGTCGACCCTCTTTTCAGTGACCGTCCCCTCTCTCCCAGTGAGCCATTGTCGAGTACCCGGCTTGGGGTTGCAGTCTCTTATCACTCCAAAATGACTATCAATCCCACTTACCTCGCGCAGCGCACGCGCTCCTGTATGTCCACCTTATTCTCACGCAGACCGAGCCGCTCCGGCCTTTAGAAATTGCTGCGATGTCAATGGACGAAATGCAAAGCTAACCGCCTCACCTACAACAGCTGTCAACTGGACAGATGCCAGAACTCGTGTCCTTAAGTCGTACAGAGAATGGCTTAGAGCGGTCAGTGATCCCTATTCTTTGAAACTACTGGGGTGTTTTCGAGTGTGGTCGTGGGGAGGGTCCCTACATTCGACATCACAGATCGACCTCGTCGCTCAGCCTAGAATCGCACCGAATCATCATTTTGAAGGTCAGGCAAACTGACATGGAACCCATTGAACCGAACAGTCCCCCGAGATCCAGACCATGTACTCACTGAACATGCCCGTATCCGTCATCCGCACCAAGGTTCGCCAGGAGTTCGAGAAGCACCGCTACGTGAAGCAGCTCAGCGCCGTCGATGTCCTGCTGTTCCAAAGCCACGCCGAGTTCCAGGTTAGTTTTTGTCCGGTCTTATCTTTCCCAAGCTACCATGGCGCCGAGTGCAAGATTGCGCATGGCCCATTTGACAATCGTCACCATTATTATCACTAGAGGAACCCCAAGTGTACTGACCGTCTTCTTACTCTCTAGGAAACCCTCAACTACTGGAAGCAGCTGTCTCATGTGATGAAGTACTTCCGTCCAGAGGAAGACCCCGGTGCTCGGTTACCTCCTAACTTCATCTCGGGCTTCTTGGAAGGCCGCAATTGAATTGAATTGTTCTTGAGTACCTTTGCATTGAAATTTCTACCTTGGTTCGGGGGTTGCGCCAATAGAGTGTGTTATGTAAATATTGTCTGAGTAGCTAACGTCGGATCCTTCAAGATTAGTATAGTTTTGAGACACGTAGTGCAATAGAATTCGATGCGAGATCGTAAGCAGAGGTGCTTGTGAGCTCCAACTCCTAGTAGTATCTAAAAAACTGTAGGAGTTAAATTCCGTTACGTCGATAGGCCTAGCTTGTTTATCTAAGCCAAAGCTCGTAAAGACCACGAAGCCCTGCGCAGTTAATGACAAGAATGCCTCACAATCTAATGATACATAAGACATGATATCAACAGTCTATCAAAACAAGTGCTGAGTTGCTGCATGGGCATGAATGATGCTAAACCCAACAGCAAAAACTTTTTATATAACTGTACAACAACGCTATACAAACACCCAGACCAAGGAATCATAGAAAGAAAAATGCAAATGGACGATATCTAAATTAAGCTTTCATTTTATCAGCCTCGGAGGCATTAAAAGCATCACGGGAAGCGGTAAATTTGTCCGTAACAACGTCACACAAATCCATCACGGTATTCAAGCCCTTCTCCAGCGCTTCCACCGCGTTTGTTGTGTCTGGGTTTCCAGTATTAGCCCCAATGCGAGAGACAGAGGAAAGGCCCCAAAATCTGCAAAAAGGAAACAAGGCCAAACATACCATAAGTCTGAATCCGCAGATTCATCTTCGTCTCAGAAGGATGGGGAATGGTGTATCCGCAGAATTCAACCTGGGGGCTATTTTCCAAGCTGTCAGCACTCTGATACAAAAAAAGGAACCAAGTCAATAACCAAAAGCGGTAACACCAACTTCTTCATAATGGCGTATCGCAGCGCATTGCCCAACGTATGACCCTCGCCTTCGAACTGGAATGACGCTGCTGTCTCGGTAGCGCCGGGAAGCTGTCATTTCACGAATTAGCAACATCGCTCTCTCTCTTTTTTCTTCTTTTTTAAACACGAATCCCAGGTGAGAGACGAACGACAAGGATGCGCTTTTCCTCCATCTCCGGTGCGTCTTGCTCGAACTGCTGTTGTTCTTGGTGCGCCGCGGCGGTGGCGTCCAACATGGACTGGTCCTGGTCTTGGGAGTGCACAGAGGCGGGCATAGTGTATGTGGTACAAGGGTTGCACAGGTGGAGGGATAGAAAAGTCACGCTTCAGGAGTTTTCAAATCGACTTCGGATATGCTGGCGACAGCTCTAGATATTTGGACTTTCCTGGAACAGAATGCTCAAGTGATTGCTGTGGACAAGGTACCGAGTTTGGTGATGCGCGCTCTCGGAAAGTAGCAGGAACCTGACCAGGACTTCTCTCCGTGGAAGAGGCCTTGTTTGATTTATTGTTCGGCGCAGGCGGTCAATTGTGAAATTCACGTAGCTATCCAGATTTGAATCCGAGTCCGTCGCAAACCAAGAAAAAAAGCGAAAAACGGTTATCGATAGAGGACCTGACCGCCTTCGGGATCGGAGGTTTTTATCTTGGCAAAATCACCTACGGAGTATATAAAACACAACACTTGACAATTATCCTCTGCCGTGGAATGTTAAGAAAAGCAGTAGTCAGACTGTGTCTCACTTTTAGGTTCTAAACACTATTGGGAATCGACCTGTATGGACATGACGGCTCCTTACTGCCATGGTTTGCTGTGAGATTGTTTGTCTCACGCATACAGACCGGGTGGTTACTCAGAAAAGAGTGCATTGGTTGAATTTCCCAGACAAGACGCGGATTTAAAACGGAACGATGGCTGTGGCATCTTACTTGAAGCTATAGCGGCTCTATGATTTTAAGGGTTCACTCACTTGACAGCTTATTATAACGGCATGACTAAGCTGAACTCAAATGACCCTGAAAGAGTTGCCCATGGTCGAGGTAGTATGTACTGCTTTTACGCCAAAAATAACTTGACTGATCAATAAACACGACGTCAATTTTCACAGGTCTAGAAGAATATCCGAAGTGTTAATCTCAGGTTAGGTATAGCTACAGGGCATAAGAGATGTATATTATACATCCACGCAACATTAACGAGAAAAAATTAAGGTCATAGGAGTATCTACTATCTAGTGGATATCTAGGCAACTCCAACGAACCTGGTGTTAATTGCGATCGACCAAGGGCCATCTCGCTTGACGCAAAGACCACCTCCAAGTCCACATGGGAGATAATATTAACAACCGATGAACAGTCCGTGCAGAAACCAGATTGCCGTTATATCTATTGAACGTCAAACCGACTGCGTAATAGTCTACGTAGGACGGATGGACTATCATCCGTATCTGATGACGGAAGAAAATAAACTCAACTCCTCTTGAGGGAATCCATCTTCTCCCCTGAACTTAGCCTAGTAATAATAGAGCAAGGCCAGTAGTAATGTAATGTTGCTTGAGTGTGTTCCTGTAACAGAATTCTCCACGTCACGGGAAGGAAAAAGTTCAGTTTCAAGGGCTCCAATCTTCACATGAAGAATATCCCCATCAAACCAAGGATTTTTGCATCGGGTCAACGTGTTCCTGTCATGAACTTGGAACCATAGCCAGATGGCCAAGTCAGAGAAAGAGGAGTTGATCTGGACCGACAGGTCAAACCAACTCCGGAGTAAAACCAATAATTTCTGGAGACTTCGGAAGGAAGAAAATTGGAAGACCCATAAACTAGTGGTTCGAAGTGGCTGGCAGCTCGTTCCTTAAATCTAATTTGCAAGGAAGACACGTGGGTCCGCCGGGGCGACTTCAATTATTCTTTTTCCCTTTACTACTTGAACCAACGAACTAGTTTCATGACCGGTAATATTTGATTTGCACCATCAAAAATTTACGATGTAGTATTTCTATCTTTGTTTCCGTCATTACTATTGCTATTATTGCTATTATTGCTATTATTGCTATTATTGCTATTATTGCTATTATTGTTATTATCATTATCATTACTATCCTTCTTCTTATTCCTTAGTATTATCACTCAAATAAGTAGTAGTATACGGGAGGAGTATGATAAGTTCGAAGGGAACCGACTCAAAACAGACTAGGAAAAATCCCCAGCATCCAGCAGATATTATACGGGAGGGGAGGTAAAATACTAAGACAGGCGATCTGATATTCATTTTGAGAATTACATTGCCACTTCGAGACACAGGGTCCATATCTCCTACTAGCAGTATCTAATATCGATGTACATTCATAGTTCGATATATGTACAGGAAAGGGTATAATAGTAAACAAAACAATGCATTGTATTCCGTGCAGCTCCCACTGTCCCTGTGAGCGTATCTGTACATACATGCTCCTTATGAACTCCTCTTGTGGCCCCTACTGCCACTGCAAACTAACTTCGAATCTACACTCTTCCTGACAGGGTTTGATCCACGAGCCAGCAATTGGTGCTGCAACCAAAGCAGGGGTCGATACGACTTGGGCTCTCTTAGTCGAAGCGGTCTGTACAGTGTACGTAGTATGAGCTATTGTAAAGGAACCACTCGGTAATTATCTACCCAACTATCTTCTAGACCCTCGAAGTGAGTCATCTGTTTCTTGGCTTAGTTATTAGTTATTAGGCTCAGTATCGTACCTCGTGACCTGGGGTAGCAAAGAGATAAAAATGTGTTAAGAGATATATTTGCCACCACTTTCGGCTCTAGAGCTGGTGCCGATAAGATAGTTTCATACTAGAATAGTTACATAGCTTACTGGAGTCAAAACCAAAAAAATTGATAATGATGATAACGATGACGTAGATGGTAAATTATCTCATACTATGCGTATGGACAAAGGTCCTGGAATCTCGTATAAAGGTATTATGATCTTAATCAAGCCCTTCTGGCTGTACAATGAGAGCTAATTTCAAACAAGGCCTAGAGTTAATGAGCGTTACCATGGGACAATGCTGAATGGAAACAGTGGGATAAGAAAAAGGAAAAAAAATCGATTTAATAATGACAGCCCTGAACGTCTAATCTAGGTACTTTGTAGCCGCTCAGGCCCTTAACTTGTTCTTCTAGTCTTCCTGTCAACCCGATGATAGGCAAGCCGATCCCATCTCAATCTTTGGGTATGGGGATAAATACGGAGTGATCGGAGTTTGATCCAGAAGAGTAATTTGTTGAGGATTGGGAGAGCTATGTAAATGATGACGAGGCGAGGCAAGGCAAGGTTATTGATGGGGAAGGAAGACGGAAAAATTCAAAAATTTTCTCTCTATCTTGTCTCTTCGCCTAGATAAGTGCTAAGACATTACGATATTTGATGCTACATCATGGATTGACCGACAAGTCTGGCGGAATGGAGCTATATTCCTATATTATCAAAATCAAAATGTTGGCCGGTCTGGGCATGTCACAATGTGACGCCCGCAAGCCATGACGATCCACTTACCGCGTGATAATCGGGAGACAAAGCAGATCGTGGGAACTGTAATGTTATTATTATGCCCAGGATTTATTTATTTGGTTGTACTCCGTCCTGCGGTACTTTGTAACTCCAGACTGCCGGAATATGTGCCGCCTTGTTTTAGGTTGTTGTCAGTTAGCTGTTCGGAGATAGTAGTATGATACAAAGGAGACTTTTTTTTTTAGTTTTTTTCTCTATGACATTGAATTTGGTAGGTTATATTTTTAAGGTAGAGATAAAACCAGACAAGATTAAGAGCTCTCATGAACTAACTAGGAAAACAAAGGGTGAAAGAAAAGGGAAAAGAACGTGTCAAGAATTATGATGCATCACATCTGTATGAAATAATAGTACAGAATAATTAAACCAAAGAATGAATGTATTATACTACCTATTTACTGCTTAGTAGTAACTCCAGGATCGACAATCAAAAAAGAAAATTGCAAATCAATCAGCCCTCGTACTGAGGAGGGGGGAACATACGGAGATAAGTTACAAAGCTTTCATGGAACAGGAAGGGACTATTGTTTCTTCCAGTTTGGCGCCGGTGGATAATTGGATTGGTGAGGGACGCTTGTGTCGCAGATTCTTTTGCCAATAGTTTAGAAGGGGGTGTTTGCTTGGTTTGGTCTTGAGCTTTTGGTTTCATTTTGTTTTGGTATTTTTAATTTTCTTGAACCTTTTTTTTTGGCTACTATTTATTCTTAGCTGACACAGAGGTCTTAAATTAATGACTAGAGTTAGGTAACGGATTTCTCTCCCTATCTCCCTCTCTTGCAAATTCACAATCTCTGTTACATCAGTGAATATCTATCAGCTTGACTCATCTGGATTTCTATACTCCAGGGTAGGAAAGGATACAAAATGATACGCGGTACATCGATATGGAGAACATCCAACTCATCTCAAATTTAAGCGCCAGCGGTCCTGAATCACCACGGGATGGGTCGCAAAGGAAACTGAGGGTGAGAGCCCCTACTTTAGCTGAAAGTGGCTTAGTGGGGGGAATATTGTCAGCTGGTTGATTGTAAAGTATATTGGATGGTTATTTTATCTTTCTGTTATTTTTCCCTTTTTCCCTTATTCCTTTTTCTTTCCTTTTTTTGGGATTTCATTTACATATATGTATATATACGTATATCTCTAATAATATTTCTAATTTAAAAATTGTTGATTGGGAATATTGAATGCCTCAATAAGGAAGAATCTTTGTTAGGTACTTACAATCTTCCTTGTTGCTTTTACCAATAGTACCATCAGCTTGTAGTACAAAATCCCGGTGGGTTCAGCAATCAGCACTAAAATTGTCACAGAAGTGTCAGATCATCGCCCTCAACAGAACAGAAACAAACCATGTCTCAGCCCTGACCAATGAGAGGGGCTACTAGAGGGTTCAGGAGTTTGATGATTATTACACCCTATCACTCTGGAATAAATCTCGTTTATTATAAGATAAATTGAGAAGAAAAAATTTTTTATTTTAATTTTAATTATTTTCAATTTACTGATTATTTCGTTAATTTTTCTTTCCCAATTTCAGTTTAAAAATTTTCATACTTTCTCTGCCCAGCACATGTTACAAGAGTTGTAGGAGGAGGAGGTTCAAGACTGACAACTACTTCGATACACCTTGGAGCACTCAATTTCCCCCACATCCGAGCTCCATACATGACTTGTCTTAACTTGCTCCGGTTTCGACCCAATCAATACCATACATACAACTCTCTCTCTACTTTGGTCTCATTTGGGTGGATTTTTTGCTTTTTTTACTTTTAGGAACACCTGCTTCAGATCCTCTTGTTGCTTTTCTACTTTCTTCTTTTTTTTGCCATTAAGATTATATTTGCCCCTCCAATGTTGTACCGCCTGGAATTACCCAGTTCTTTGTCCCACTGTGCTTTTCTTTCTACGCTTTGCCATACAGTCTAGAAATCCTCCTGAATAATCTTCATCATATCCGCTCTTCCGCTGGTTCACCCCTCTTCCTCTCTTCTTTTTTTTTTCTTTCTCTTTTCCTTTTCCCCTTCTCGCCTCCTTCCCCTCCCTTCTCCCCCTTCTTTCTTTCTCTTCTTCCTCGAGAAGGTGGAAATACCCTCTAGTCCTCCCTTTTAGGACACTTGCGTTTCGCTGGGCCAGGCTTGTCGACATCCCGGTCCATACCCTTCGCTTGCTTGCTCTGGATCGTTCTCCCGTTCCAGCCGACCTCTCAGAGTTGCCGCACTGCCGCCGAGCTACCTTTAGTTAACCGCTGTTCCAGCATCCGGCCACACCTCGTCACAGTTCCCATTCCCCGAACTGTGTTTGACCAACTGCTGAGGTGCCACACTTCCGTTGGCCCTCTTCCCTTCTCTCCACATTCGCCATCCCTCTGTCGCTGCGGTGGTTCATTATCGTCTTTGTCTTAGTTTCGGGTTGGTTTCCAAAGCTTTCGACCGCCCCCCTTCGTTTCCAAAGCTCCAGCGCTCTCAGAAATATAGCCGCCTGCATTGCCGGCCCTGGACATTTGCGCGCTATTTGATTCGACGTCACCCTACCATACCAACTGTCGAGCGCCTGGCAGAACAAAGCTAGATACGTTGCCCGCTACACTTCGCTTGTCGTTCTAGAGCGTCGAAGAGACTTGGGGTGTGGCACTGACGTCCCAGCTATAAGAGAGTACGTGGTTTATGTACGGCACAAGTTGCGACTTGGATGCTGTGTTAGAAGTGGAGAGTCGTCGGTTCTCAACATCGATCGGATACTCATTTTTCTTTTGTTTCCGGTATATACCTTCGCATCCCTCTTGCGATCATGTCTACTGCAGTCGCGCCTGCCACAGCTGCTCCATTAGTATCTTCGCACATGAATCGCGATCCGAGCCCCAAAAATTGCCCAACTTTGGCACCCACACCTGGTAGCCAGGCTACTTCCACGCCGCCTCGGCCTTTGGGGCCATCTCGGGATGAGTCGTCCTCAAAGAGTTCGCCTTCAGGAAGAAAACACACTTCGCCTTCGTAAGTACTTTGTGAGGGCCTGGGAGACTAAAAGACTAATATTCTACCAGGTCGCAGAACGGAAGTAATGCCCCAAAGGTTATCGTCAAGAAAGAGCCCCCATCCTCGCCTGCAATGCAGAGTCACTCTCGGCCTCGACCTCGGAGATTAGACTTGTCAACGAGTCTTCCAACTTCCGGGGGCCTATCAGCTCGCGCTCCCGGTGGTCCTATGACGGCCCGGGAGGGTGTCAATATGCAGGAGGTCGGAATCGCTTGCCTGTCGCCGGGTTTTCAGACACATGATCCAATTATGAGAGAGCAGTTGCAAAGAAGTCTGTCGGTGAGAGACCAACAGAGGTCAATAATTGAATCACGATTGCAAAGGTCAGCCAAGGACGATGGTCCAGAGGGGATCAGACCATCGGAATCCTCCTTCGGTCTCCCCAAGATTACTTCTTCGAAACGGAGACCTCCAGGCCTGTCGATCGTCCCACCGTCTGCAGCGCAATTTGCCAACGAGCGTGTTATTCAATCCGCACCCTTGCACCAGACCTTTACTGGCAGACACCAACCCCAGCCATTGACGCGCCATGTTGCCAATCAAAGCCCTACACTAGCCTCAACTTCCCATGTTCATCATGTCCCTGCTACCCAAACGAACAATCGACTTCCTCCCATTTCCGATGTGTTCGGCTCGGATGCTTTGGGCTCCCGGGAAAGGGATGCGACCCGCGCGCCATTCTACCAGAATACATCCAACTCTAGTTCTTCTCAGTCAAACAACTTGCCGCCGTTACCGTCTCCTAGGATCCAGGGAACCGCGGCGCAAGCTCCTAAGCGGCCCCGAGAATACCGTTCGGCAGAGGAAGCTGTTCAAGAACTGTCGGGTGGGCGGGAAGACCTGTTACCACGTATTGTGCACTATGGAGGTCACCAGCCTCCAACTCCGCCATCGCCACGTGTCGTCAATGGTCAGCCCAAGTCTGCTGCAATCCATTCGGAAGCGGCACCAATGGCCAGTACACAGGCTCCCCCCTCCCAACCCATGTATCCATCCGAGAGAACCGCTCGTCGGCGCACTAGGAGTGAGTACGAGCAAGATAACGGAAGCCCCCCCTTAGGCCACGGTCCCGAAACATACTACCGGCCAAATCCAGCGTTGGCACCTGGGGCTGGCACCGGTTATGGCCCATTCGGGGCCGGACGAGATTCCCCGGAGACCCAACGGAGAAAGAAAGAGGAATTTTTAGGCCTATGTGCTAGAGCATGGGATCTGTTCCACTCTTAATTATTCGGTTTATCACAGCTAGCTTCCGTACTCTATGACCTCGTCCAATTATAATCCACGCCTAGCGGGCTTGAACTGGAAACCCTTTTCTCTTAACTTTACTCTGTGTCCGAAAGCGACGTGACACTATGGTTTTGTGACTGGCCACTCGCGATATGTTGCCAGATAACAGCTCCGATATGTCTTTCTATTGCCCAGTGTCAGCCATCTGGACATGATGAATATGCATGACTATCTATACGAACAGCATGAACAGGATGCCCTCCTAATCGGTGGGAGGGTTAGGTTCTTTTTCGATGTTACTCTTTTCATTTTATTATTTATCTCTTCCTTCATTCTTCTTCCTCTTTTGTTTTACGTTTATACCATCCAGTGTCTGCTTTGAAGGGTGCTTCTACTGTACCGTCCAGTGGATTGCGAGGCGTTTTCCTTGTGATTATTAGGGTTTCCTTTATTTTGCCAAGACCACGTGAGATTTATGTCTGTGCCTACTTTTCCAGGCTTCTCTCTCCCCTGTACTTGCACTCTTTACATTGCTTTTTCCTTATATTTTGTTGGGATACCATTGATGGATTGTTTTTAACTATTCTGACCTTCCATCCCCTTCGGATGATTTATGCTTTTGCATTCTTTATGATCTCCATTCTTCATTTGGATATCTTGAATTTACGACTAGGGCATCTCTCGTTGGAGTGAGGTCGTGCAAACTTCAGGAGAGGGCATAGGCCCTTCCACTTAATGATAAATAATACCGCAGTGTTTGTCCAAACGGGGAATTGCAATTACACTTGCTACTCTTAAGCCATGTACAAGGCCAGTTGGCCTGTAGCCATCTATCTATCTATATCTATATACCAGAAAACAGCGCAGCTGCTTAAGAATGACAGACAGGGTTATGTCTCTGCAAAGAGTCCATTTGATACGCGTTAGTATATAAACATACAGAGTTGCAATCACGCCATTCGGCGTCGTTTCCTGCCGCCATCATCATCGTTGTGATCAATCCCCATTCGGCGTTCCATGGGCATCTCTTTCCTTTCCTTGGAGGCGATCTTTTTCCGTCTCCTTTCTAGGGCCTTCGCCCGGTCCTTCGAGCTCATATTATCGTATTTCTTGAGCAATACTTGCTTCTTGAGATCTGACTTCTTCATATAATACGGGTTGCTCTTCTTTCCTTCGCGGATGAGCTGCTTCTCCCGTTTCTTATGCTCCGCCAATACCTCTTCTTCTCGCCTTCTATTCTCAATGGCACGTAACCGGTCCGATGTAGACCGAATTTCACGCTTCAAGGCCTCCTTCTCATCAGCATTCTTCGTTTTGGCAAACCTCGTTTTCAACTCTTTAAGCTCTGAAGAACGGTAGTCGTCCAGGAACGAGTACGCCTTCCTGGCTGCTTCAGCGTCATGGCGACTGTTTTGACCGAGAACTGTCGGATCAAATCGTGGGTCTCGCGATTTAGGCATCGATGGAGGTTCGATAACGGTGCGCTTGCGAGAAACGGCATGTTTGGATGACTGAACCATGGGGGCGTGTTTCGAAGACCGTGTGGGTTTCCCCGAGTCCTTGGATTTCCCGGACTCTTGACGCTTCTGCTCCCGTGTCTCGCGGATTCGCGCTCTGATATCGTCTAATGGCGATGGAGTCGATGGGGATTCTTCCCTCGTCTTGACAATTTTTGCGTTGCGCTTACTTTTCGGCCCGAGGGATGCTTGCGCTTTGGCGAGGGCTCCAAATGATATGCTACTGAGGGACGCTTGCACATCGTCTTCACTTCCACTGTCGTAATTTTCGCTATCCTCCTTGTCTTCTTCCTCCATGTCACTGGGCTCGTCATCTCCAGACTATGGCAAAGGTCAGCTTTGTTGTTGGGAGCATAAGTGACTAGAAGGCATTAAGACGAACATTGTCATCAGTCTCCACCAATGCTTCATGGTCAGAATCGGATTCATTTGAACACTCATCATCGCTCTTTCCTTCAGATGCTGATCCTTCTGAATAGACTTCTTCGTCTTCATCCGGCAAAGCTCGCACGCGGCGATTGAGAAGATCAGAGATTGCCATGGCCTCAGATAGGCTATGCGACGATAACTGACACGAATCGGTGGGACAAGGATGGCAAGATAAGCAGAACAAAGCAGATGTCGCAAAGAAGAGATGGCAGGCGGCGGTGAACTCGGAGCAAAAAAAACGAAGCGATACTGCCGCACGAAAGGGCGGTGAGACGGACGGCTTCACTTTCGTTGGTGGATCTGGACCGTTTTTGTCGCGATTTTATATTTCGCTGTCAATCTCGTCAACATTTCTCACTTACTACTACCACCCCTTTGGTATTCACTATATTACCTTGCTGTGTACCCATGGGATGCCGCACATATACGGCTATCTCTTCTTCTTTTTCAACGTCAGCTCTATCGCCATCGATCACCATATCGCATGATCGCATGTTTCGGAGTGGGGCTTCCTACAAGGTGCATCATCAAGCGTACTTCTTACTCTGAAATAATTCACTAACCTGTATAGCTTGTTGCTAAGTCAGCTACGGCAACCCTTTATACATCAGCATTGCGCTCGTGCTTCTGCCCCCAGAAGCAACAATTACCGGTCTTCGCCCGCAGCAAAAGATTTCCTGACCTTCGAATGGAGCATCAGAGAGCTGGAGACCATTGGTCTCTCGCTGCAGAGGACGGATCAGGGCATAGCGAAACCCACGGAGGCGCAAACAACAATCCTAGAGCATCATGGAGACCCTATCGAGGCCGTTGGAATGCGAAGGCGATGTCACGCAATGACCCCGGAAGACATACCTCACATGCCCCTGAAAAGTTTACACCTAGCAATCCGCGGAGGAGCCGTAGGCTACGCAATCAGGTAGCGACAGACAAAAATATAACCTCAGATGCACAGTTGCATCATTCTCGACCGGAAGGGCCTTTCCCCGTTCTCTCAGCGCCATCATCGTCTCAATCGTGTTCTTCGCAGAGCAACATGCACATGGGAGCGAGTCACGACGGTCCAAGCAATTTTCCAAACTTCAACATGCCCATATACTCTGGGGTTTCGGGTGGAGTGGCTGCGTACAATCAGAAAGTACTTCAATTTCCATTCTTTTCTCCGAACATTCCGAGTCAGCAGTCGCAACCCCACCCCTCTGATCAGCCTGCATTGGAACCTTTCACCACTCCTTTGCCAAGTGACATGAGTAACCCTCTGAATTTCTTCTCGCTCATGCCTCCTTCGCCTTTCATGATGAACTTTGGTTTACAAAACCCGGCGATTGCAGGGCCTCTCCTAAGTAGCTTTCCACCCTTTCCCTTTGACTCCATAACTTTTGCAGCAGCCGGTTCTGCTGATGGGAGGAACAACCTAAACATGCCCGAGCATGTAGCTACCGAAACACCAGCAACGAAGATTGAATGTTCGCCGCCCCCTAAACCTCCCTCTCCTGTCAAAACATACCTTGAGCGGTCGTCCCTACCGCCAAAAGTGGCCGCTTCTCCACAGCCACTGCTCGTTATCTTGGACCTGAACGGCACGCTGATCCACCGCAAGCATCGGCGGTTCCCCCCTGTGTTTGCCAGGAGGGTAGGACTGGACAATTTTCTGGAGAGCTTGGTGGCAAAGCACAAGGTTATGATCTGGTCTAGCTCCCAGCCGAACACGGTGAAAGCGGTTTGCGACAAGCTCTTCCCAGGGAGGAAAAGGAAGGCTCTTGTTGCAGAATGGGGCCGCGATAAGTTTGGTCTTTCGTCCTCCCAATACCGGGCCAAAATACAGGTCTACAAAACACTAGAGACGGTATGGAATAATAAAGAGATCCAAGCCTCATATCCATCGCCGCCCCAGCAAAAACGCCGCAAAGCCGCGCAGACGGGCGCGCAGATGAAAACCCGTTGGGACCAGTCTAACACCATCTTGATCGATGACAGTAAACTTAAGGCTCTGAGTGAACCATACAACATCCTCGAGATCCCGGAGTTTATCAATCAGCCCGGTATCGATGAGTCAAAAATATTTCCAAAGGTTATGCAGCTCCTCGAGGAACTAGCAAAACATGACGATGTCAGCAAAGTTCTCCACTACTGGAACTCAGAGTTACCCGAAAACAAAGGCATTCTTGAGCTTGACCTCGGCCTCAGCCCCAATGACAACGACCAGAATACTAGCAATACTGCCACCAATGATGACCATCCATTCCCGAACTCTTCAGCTTCCACACCTCACCAACTCGATATCCCAACCGAGCCCTCAGCCATCACGCAAGCCCGTAAAGAACGACGCAAAAAACGCAAGGAGCAGCGCAAGGCCCGCAAACAGGAACAAAGTTTACAGATAACAAAGGAAACGAAAGCCCACAACCAAAGACCAAATGCCGCGCGCCAAGCAGACAAAGCTGCAACTGCAACAAACACTGCTTCCACCACGACGGCAACGACCCCCGGTATCTCTCCCGCTGAATCTGCAAATGTCGTCGGACAACCTCCAATGGAACGGTCACCATCACCCGCAACTTCGTTGTCATCGGATCCGTCCGAGAATTTTCTCCTGGATCGGTTAGAGGAGTCTTTGAATGTTAGAATTGATTGAGTTCCAAGTCCATAGACGGACAGTGTTTCACATGATTTCGCCCAAGACATGCATCGTATCGGCTATAACAGTTTCAAAAGGCATATCTAAGACTGATACTTGTTTGGCACATATATAGATAGACAGGATGCCCTTGCTTTCACAATTTGATACCCACGAATTACGTCATTTCTGATTTGCTCATATGATCATAGCAATGCCGAGACTACATGGGACATAAAGACTTACGATACTACTGAAACGTCCGGGCAGACAGCATCGAGAAGTCTACAGGGTAAAAAGGTTACTGAAGAGCTATAGCTTACTTAAAGTGTTACTTGGGCATGACTGGAGGCGTTAAGCACAAAGTGCTATTCAGCGCTAGACTAGGTAGCTACTGCATCATCCAACATCTCAATTCGTAAGCGTGACATGATCAAAAAGGAGTTTTGAAAACAATAAACCGTCGCGGACAGCATGGACATTAGACGGGATTTGGATCGGGCAGAGAGTTGAACGGACGGCACGATGCAGAAAACCTGAACCACATGGCGTGCTGAAGCGTCATACTCTCCCACCCTAGGGTATAAAGTGAGGTAGAATTTTTTAAGGCCAAAGGTAGAAAAGGGCCACCCGACAATAAGAAATTAGCACGTAACATCATAAATCTGCCACGGGACCTAATGCACTAATTTATTTGAAGACGTGGCCATCAACCCAAGGGTACTCCTTGCCGTCGACGACGACGGGGGCATCCCAAGCCCACAAGTCATCAACGAGTTTGCGGTCCTCCTCCTTGGTGTGGTCGAGCTTCTCGAAGCTGTAGCTCTCCCAGTCGGGGGCGACATCGAAGGCGGGTTTGAAGTCCTGGCCACGGACCAGGAAGACACCGCGGATAACGCAGTTGTAGTTGGTACCGTAGACGGACTGAGCGCCGAACAGGTACTTGCGGGAAGCCTCAAGACGAGCATGGAAACCACCGATCAGGTTGTTGGCCATGAAGGTAAGCTTGAGCTCGTTGTCATACTTGTAGTCAACCTTCCACAAAGAGTACTCCTCGGCGTTGAAGTTCTGCCAGAACCAAGGGAGAGCAACGGGGCGGGTATCCTCGTTGGAATAAGTACGTTTAAGGTCGTCAAGGATGAAAGTGGGCTTTCCCAGGGCCTCGAGAGGGTGCTTGGCCTTCTTGGGCTCAGCCTCTGGCTTCTCCTCGGTAGCGGGGGCGGCAGCGGGGGCAGCCTCCTTCTTGGGCTTCTCCTCCTTCTTGGGAGGGGTGTACTTGATGGCTTCGTCAACGAGGACGGGGTTCTCAACAATAGCCTTGAAGTAGGGCTGGTTAATGATGGTCTGGTACCAACGGGTGACAGCAGGGTTCTCGGAACGGAACTTCTTGTCCAAGACGGTGGCAAAGGCACGGGTGAGGAGACCGGCAGCGAAGATGTCAGCCAGAGTGATACGCTCGCCAACGAGGAATGTGTTGGCAGTGAGGTGCTTCTCAAGAACGGCGATGTTCTTCAGGGCAGCCTTGGAGGCATCCTCGACATTCTTCTTGTTGTACGCGTCGATGCCCAAAAGAGGGCGGTACCAAGCACCGAAGCGGGGGAGAACCTCCGAGTTGGCAAAGGACAACCAACGGAGGATGGAAGCATAGTCCTGCTTGGTCTTACCCAACAGGGTAGTCTTCTCGTTCTGGGAGGTCACTGATTCACTATTAGTGATGTCCAAACCAAGTACAAAGACTCCGAATGCGTCATAATCTCGAAAAAGGATGCCATAACAAAATTTGCCCAACAAAAGTGGGGTAAATCAAGAGAATTTTCAGAGACAAGTTCATCAACACTGTGGTTCTGCCAGGGATAACTAGAATTTATAATAAATTTGCTCATCATATGAAGGCGAGGCTGATAGTCATAATAAGAAACCAACGAGATTTCTCTCGCAATTCTTAGGTACGTACCGTAGACAGCAATGGCAATGGCCTCAGAGAGAGCGTAACCATTGGCACCCTCGAAAGCAGGGACCTTGCCGAGGGGGCTGAGCTTGGTGTACTCAGCAGACTGGTTGAACTCAGCAGTCGAGTCAGGCTTAGTCTGGACCAGCTCCAACTCAACGTCGTTGGCCTTAGCCGCGACGAGGATGGCGATGGTGCGACCGTTGTCCTGTGGAAGGGAAAACCTATTAGCGAAGGCTAAGAGACTGGAAAGGAATCACATACGGCAGAACCGTAGAGCTTTCCGAAGGCCATTGTGAAAAGCGTTTGTCTTTTTGGGGAGGAAGGACTGGGAAAGAGTAAGAAGAAAGAAGGGAAGAAAAAGGAGGGGAGCTCGAGGGGGTATAAGAACGAAATTTTGTGCGAATCAAGACGGAGCGTCGGCACCGGATGAACATTTGCTCGTCCACGTGATGCGTCGCACCCGTCGAAAAACCTCAGGATGGCCGGAGACGGCAAAACGCTTCTGACCGGTGGAACGGAATCCTTCCTTTGGCTCTGTCATTTTACTCTTTAATCTGTCAACCAAGGCCTCCCGCGACGCTGGAATTGTACCACCATGGCCTGGCAGAGTCCCAATTGCATCGTGCGTACAATGCAGTCCGTCCGTCGCACCGTTCAATTACGGTCTTTCCTTCATACTTCCCCCATATCCACATCACCTCTTCCGACGCTTACTACCCCGATTCTCTTACAACAACCAAGAAGTGCTCGTGGCTATGCGACGGAGGTTCAAGCGGCGCCAGAGATTAACTTCGAGAAGTTCTATGCCCAACCCGCTCGCATTATTCCTGCGTCACCCGCCTATTTCTCCGGCAGCCCCAAGTTCATCGATCACCTCTTGAACCTGGAGACTGTCCTGGCCAAATGGGCTTCATTACCAACCCTCGCTCCGAGCGAGGCTCCCCGTATGGCGTGGTTCAAATTGACACAATTCCGCGACTTCGTCGGCGAGCCTGTGCCGACGAAGAAATACAAAAACCTTATCAAAATTTTACAACGACTTAATAGAATCGACCCGAAGATCATGCCAATTGAAGTGCGCGATACCCTAAAAACCTTCCTTCGTCCAGGAAATCCTTATGCGAATAAGCCAGTGCCAGCAACAGTGGACGAGATGGGTCGTGCTCGTGGTAAAGGGAAGCGGAAGACGTCCTCGGCCGTGGTCCATTTGGTCGAAGGAGAGGGAGAAGTGATGGTCAATGGAAAGACCCTAGTAGAGGCATTTCCTCGTCTACATGATCGAGAGAGTGCGACATGGCCCTTGAGATGTACGTCGAGGTTGGATAAGTACAACGTGTGGGCTACTGTCCGAGGAGGAGGAGTTACTGGGCAAGCCGAGGCTATTACATTGGCCGTGGCACGGGCATTGCTCGTCCATGAGCCTGGACTAAAGCCCGTTTTGCGTAAAGGTGCGTATCCCATGTGTACCAGTGGCCGTGGTTTATTGTATACGTCGCTGACTATCGTCTTACAGCCGGTGTTATCACGGTCGATGCGCGTCGTGTTGAGAGGAAGAAACCTGGTCATGTCAAGGCCCGCAAGATGCCCACCTGGGTCAAGAGATAAAGCAGGCCCATCCCTGTTGTCCGGGGAGCTTCTTTCTTTCTCACCCTTCTCACTGCTGTATTATTCCAATTTCCCCTGTGGTCCTCGACGATGTATATTTTGTATTGCACGCATCCTTTCAGATGTCACGGCGGTCGTTTCAAAATACGACACTGCATGGTCTCGGCGACAAGCATGTACCTTAGCTATTGGCGTTAATCCATCTGGTTCAATCGAATTATTGGACAAGCGATACTGTAGCACAGAGCCTTCGCTCAGGTATTGGACAATCAATGCAATGCGCTACTGAATCAGCGTGTTTCAGATTATAGTCTGCTCAGCAAGTCGAATACGGCCACCATGTTCTGCAGCACAGTGGCCGAGCTCTCTTCTGTCATACAGGGAATTCTCCAGAACATAGAGCGCAAGCCCGAAGGATCATGGAAGACGGAAGCTGCATGAACCATTCCAAGGCAGCCAGTTTTGTTGCACACCCATTGTTCTCGTCGGCAAGATATGGCCCGTTGGGCATTGACGGAGGGTTGTTACACAATTGAACCCGAATTCGGTAGTTTCAGCACACTATCATGTGGCGCCAAATCCGGCCAGTTGGCATCTAGCTCTAAAAGGTGTTCGTCTGATGATGTTGGACGAATACGGCACCGGGCGTAGGCGCACATTGCAGATATAGGGGTATGCCGGCATTTATCGAATCGGACTAGTGTAGTTACACAGATCCTGCGCCAACTTGGGTAAAAGAAGCATCCTGATCTAGAGCCAGTTGTTGCGTATGCGTTCCATTCGTTACGAATAAGTAAAGCATCTCGGCTGCAGGGTTGGACTTTTGATCTGCTGTGACTCTCTTGGAGAGTAGGTCTACCAGCATAGGGTGCGACCGAAAAATTCCCTACTGCGCATGCACGGAGCACAGACGGTACATTGTAGCCAAGCATGAAAGCTGACATGCATGTTACTCAGACGACTCAGCCATCACTCGGCCACGCTGCGGAAGCGGGAAGGTCAGATGTTGTGCAGCTAGCCCACATACAAAGCCTCTAGTTGCTATGAGTGCAATACAGGGATTGAATATACGTTACCTACAAATCACCATGTCAAGTCGGGGTGATGTACTGGACCGGACATTTCTATTCGGATATGGTCCGATTGAGTAAATTCTAGTAAGTGTCAGAACAGCTTTCCTTTTGCCCGATGCTGGGATGCGGTAGAGTGAGATACAGATAGTCCTTAAAGTTGATGATCCATCAATTGTGAGAGAGAGTATAAGGATAAGGGCCCTGTATCACTCACAGCAGTAAGGTTGGTGGAGCAAAGGGAATAAATGTGAAGACTGGGTGGAAAGCATCCGAAGAATAGGAGGACAGTTCTAGCTTGAGCACAATTCAGAACAGACGTTGGTCAAGTCTGGGGGCAATGAACTGAATTTCTAATTGTACCTGGTCACCATGAACGGCGTTTGACGAGCAACGATAGGCACATTTTCGAAACAATGATACTGGGATATTCTCTGGAGTTCACCCGACATGAGTTGGTGGCAGGAATATGCAAGTAGTATGTAGGCATATGGATGTGTTTGTATATACTGTATAGTACGGAGGGTAATCATGTTTCCAGTGACCGTCGAATTGGAAGGAGCCGCTGAGTTTCAAGGTTACGTGCAGTAGTACCTCTAGATATTTGGTATTCTATGTACCCTATTTGATACCATTTATATGCACCTACACATGGGGAGAGACGGTGGAGTTTCACTATTGTCCAGGTCGATTGACAATCCCCTCTCATCTCTTGTCCATTCTTTCTCGCTTACAGGACGCAACGGGGTCATGGGATCCCAGCTATGAAATACTTGCGCGATAACCGCATTGTAAGCGAGGGGTTCCCTTTTCTATTCTTTTTTTTTTCGGCCACGAGGACCAACCCTGACCAATTATCGTATTAAACACTACAAAGAGAAACAAGGTCAAGTGCTTTTTTCTTTGCCTAATTTGGAAAGATCAAAATGACTTCCGAGACGGATGTGCGCCGGCATCTATCTAGTGCCGAGTGTGGACAGAGTACCTCTAGTAGACTATAGGTATGTACGAAGCGCGTATTGCGTGGAGAATGGGTGAAAAAAATAAGAGGATTAACCGCAGACTACTTACCTAGTACTTACCCATTAATCGGGACTAAATATCCTATCTAAATTTATCTATCCATTCTCAATCCCCGGCCAATCCCGAGAATCAAAACCCAATCCACAGGAAAATCTTCCGTACGGATCCATTGGTGCATTGAACATGACGGACATACTACTTACTATGCATGGGCACGAGCTGGATGGAGCCAAATCAGCGGGAAGGATTCAAGCCAATTGGCACCTAATAGATATGATTATTTGATTTATACAAGGCATCCATTATGGACTAATTTAGTGCGAGTCTGGGACCGCCTCATTATTATCTTTTCTTGGTTTTCTTTTTGAAACCATCCAAGGCTGACGAGGGACAGTAAGTAATATCTCAAATAGATTAATTACTACCTCTAATACGAACTAGTCGAGGTGCTGGTCTCGGAACGGATTGGATACCTCCCAAAGGTCGGGTGTTTAAGGCATGGTACCCATTGACGTCCATTTTGTCCACCATTATAGTAATACGTATATAGTATGTCTGTTGTATATACTTGCATAGAACAATTATGAAATAAAGCATTTCTCAATAACAAAGAAAGAGAATTGGAAAAAAAATAGAACAGAATAAAATGGAAGAGGTTAAGAGAGAGAAAGTGGTGTGTCTCAAGTGGATACCATAGGGTAAGAAAAGGCTAAGATACGAAGCAAAAAGTGCCTAGGTATTGTATTGTATTTTGCAGATCGCGCCCCCTGGTCCATCCGTTCCGGTCCATTGGTCCACCCTATTGCGCACGACCTTTCCCAGCAGTGCGGAAGGTGTGAGACTATAGGTTTTAGTCAGGGACTATGAGCAAGAGTGTATGTAAGTGTCTGAATTGGGATGGAGATCAATATCTACATCAACTTCTAGTATATGTATGGATATACATACATATATGCACGATACGATCTGGAAACTGCAGGCGCACCCTTCTCGATTATATCACAGAATATTATGGTTGATGTTGGATTTCTATATTCTCAATCCCCCATAACCGTCCTCTTCTGTACAGTTTAGTAAAAAGCAACATACATACACTCAATAATACTAGTGGGGTTGCATCCATGGGTCCTTCTCCTGTCAATCTTTTAGCCCTCCCGAGTCAGCGGTTCTTCCCGCAATCCAAAAACGAAAAGAAAAATTAATTTAAACGCAAGTGTGCTTTTCCCGATTACCAATGAAGTAATGAATGCCATCTCGAACTGCCTACCGATCCTTTCGCCTCACTTCGAATAGATCTTTTCTTCACATCCTTTCCTTTTTGATTTTTATTAAATTTTACTTTTTACTTTTAGTATTATTATTATTATTATTAATTTATTTTGTAGCTGTCAATTTCTTTTCTTCGCACATCACACTAACTTGTTCCGAGAGTATGGTTCGTCAATTTCGCTCATGATCATCCTCCACTATCATCATACTGCCCTTCGGAACACCCATGAATTTGGAATGATTGATGGGCATTGGGTTAGCTTGAATGGGGCTAATTCGGTCCCATGGAACTGGTCACCAACCTTATCGGACCCAAGACGCAAGACACTAAAGCAAAAGTCATTGAGACTCCTTCCTGCTGGATCTGCTTTTCCTCACACGGAGCCAAGGATCCCCGATTAGCTCCGCCTTCCTGCCCATATGGAGAGAGACATGGTAGGTTTTATTCTTTTTCCTTCTCTTTACTTTTGTGGGTCCGGGCTGTACATCGTACACTTTCGTAATGATGATGATGCTGGCGAGAGACATAGTGGATGCACCGGGGGGATGTGCTGTATCCACCAGTTTCCAGCTGAATGGCCCCGCCAAAAGAAATGAACGATCAGAGGAAAGAGATACAGACGCCCCAGTCAGAAAGAGGTGGCATTCGATGCGATCAGAAAGATCTTAGATATTCCATACAGTCAGAGAGGGGCTAAAACTGAAGCTCGTTCTTACCTTGAGAGTCCCATGAAGTCCCATGATGACGCTTTGGAGGCTAAAGAAGAAAAAGGAATTACCAGTCAGTCATTCGCATTTGGAGTCCATTTCAGGCTTCTTTTCTTTTTCCTCCTGCACACACGATCTCACTTGGATTTTTTCCCGCTCTTCCCTGTTTTTTTTTCTAGTTGATTTTTTTAACCCAAGGTTATTTCTTTTGTTTCCTCTTAAGGAGATTTTTTTTATTCCAATTTCTTTTTGCAGACTTCCCCGCGAGAATCCACATCGCGCAAAAAGAGTCGGACGAGAAGATGATACTTGCGCGTGCCATTGTCTACTTGCCCTCAATCCCGGCGACTTGATCGTCTAGCCCCAGTGTCTCTAGATAATTTCCCTGAGGATCAACCGGTTTCCCTCAGCGGTCAAGTTGGTGGCCGTATAAGTAATCGGGAGACTCCCATCCATGCCCTTCTGGTTCCCCCACTCTCCCCTCTTCCTCGCCGGTGATGATTGTTTCCCAATAGAAATTTGGGCTGCAATTCGGAGCATAAGTTATTGGATCTTACGGCTTTGCTGGAAGAAACCCCGAGCAAATAAACCCAAGCTATTTTCTTCTTCTGGTTTTTTTTCCTTTTGTCAGAACCATTAATTCCCTTTCTTTCTTTCTTTCTTTTTTTTTTTATTTTATTTTTAATTTCTCTTTTCGAATCTAGTTACCCTTACCCCTTTTTGTTCACACGGTTTCTACCCATTATTTCCCTCTTTTATCTCCATAGATTTCCTCCCCAAGTGTGTTGTGCGCCCCGAGTTTATTTGCCTGCGCATTTGCCGTTGGCGCTCGTTTGAGTTTGATACCCTGCAAGGTGCGCAAGTAGTTTAAATGTTTCCCTTGTTCCCCTGCGCAAGTTTATTTTTCATTTGTCTCCCTCTCAGAAGTCCGTTGATGGCTGATTTTCCCCCTTGTGACCGTGTCTAGACTGTGTGCGCTGGTAGTAGCCGAGTTCTTGTACAAAGTGAGACCGTGAGACCTTTGCGCGCTTAGCTTGCGAGGTTGGTTGGCTTAGATCTCAATTCCTGCTGGGTTCAGAATCTGAGGGAAGGAGAAGAAGAAAAACAATAATAAAAAAAAATCCTCCAACAACAGACACAGAGTTATACAATTCAAGCAAACGCGGATTCGTTCCTATACTTCCGCCAAACTGGCATCCTACGCGAGCCCTCCTCTTTCCCCTCCGGTGCATTGGTCCCTTGACGTCGATCCGCAGTGCAGGGACTCTTTGTGGGACCGGTTGGGTGGTATGGATGGTGATACCCGGCGCATGAAGCAGTATGATCAGCCTCGCTTTGCGACAAGACCGGGAATGTCCCGTCGCGCAGTTGCAGGGGCGGACCGATACAGACAGTCCGGTTTACAGCCAGCACGTGGAGATGCACTGTCACAAGCAGCGGGACGGCAGAGAATACCGACCTACCTGGATTATGGATACACAGACCCATCTTTTCAGGGCGCTTCGTTGCAGGGGGACGAATTGCAATCGTACCCTTCGTTGCGCGACCAACAGCGCCAACCGCAACCACAGCCGCAGCAGCACCAGCAACTACAACAGCCCTTCGCTCCCTATGAGCCCGAGTTGGTCTACAACATCAGCCCGCAAGGTCCAGCGCAAGCCCCTTACGAGGTCGTCACACCATACTCAGCCCGGCCGTCTGCAGCCATCGACGACCTGTCCGGTCAATTTCCCGTTCCACAGTATTTTCCTCCAACCGAACCGACTGGGGCCGGCGTTCCAGCTGTAGGTGTGCCTTACCTAACCTCTCTTCCTACTTATAACCAGCCGGGTCCCATTGGACGCACGACCGGCACGCAACCCTTTCCCACAACCATGGCAGACATGCCTCCTGGGGGCACAGCCGGACGTTTCGACTCGTCATCGTCACAGCAGCAACCGCAGCAAGTACCGTCTCAGACAGTACCTGAACCAACGACGTTGACCGATGCATATGGCCAGTTCCAACGAGCGCTGCGAAGTACCTTGGATCATGCGCGCGCTGGCCGATTGGTGGAAGCGAGTCGACCCCTTTTGGAGATCTCCGAGTGGCTTGTGACCAATGCTCGAGAACTCGGTATGTAACTACACCTTTCCCATCTATCCCACTCTCAACCTGTTCTTCCTTCCTGCCTTCCCCCATCTTCCTCCCCATGAATCTGAGATTTGTCCCGTTATACTTTATTCCACTCATCCAGACTGTCGTTTGTATATGTGCGAAGGCTAACCCTGAGCTACCTGGGCGGATTGGATAAGTAGGGATTCTCCGCGACGATCAAGTAGTCTATGCCGACCGACTGCAACTCTGGAATGATTTCAATCTCTGCTGGCTGGCTGTGTGCCAGAAGCAGAAGGACCTGCTGCAAGATGTGTTGCGAACCGGTCGCCAACCGCCCCATACCAGTCTCTTGAGTGGGGATGTGATGGATAATTTAGCCAGGGAACTAATCCAGCTGTGCGACCGCGTGGAACAGTATGGCTTAGTGGATTACCAAATGGGGATCTGGGAAGAGGAGATCCTTGGTGGTAAGAAACTTGCCTCAACCGGTCGCTTGTGTTTAGGGGACGTCCAGGGTCGCTAATTTTCAACCCAGTCTTGAGCCAGTGTCTTGATCTTTTTGAAAGCCGACCAGAGCTACTTCGCACCCACATGAGCATTGCTCCCACTGCTGCTGGATCTCGATCGTGAGAACTCTGCCCGCCGCGCTATATGGAGCCTGTCAATGACGCGCCGCGCCTAGTGCAATCTAACGGAGGGCCTAAATTAGGCCCTGAAAAGTTGGCGAACTATCGACTGCTAGATTGGCTTTGGGCGCCGGCCCTTCTGTCACCCTCTTCCGAAATAATTCTCTTTTATCTCTTTCCTTCATTTATTGGCGGAAGCCGACCTAGTCAGAACTCAGCGATCATGGATGCGATTCATGATGTTTACGCCACTATTTCCTTTTGGGCTATTTGATCGCTATACCCCACTTTTGTTTTCCTTTCCCTTTTCCCTGTTCTCGAGGATGTATCCATCCCCTCGGGTTCTTGTATTGTGAGTGTGTGAGTGTGAGAGGATAGTGAAGGGTACAAAAGAAGAAAAATATTATAGGACGGGAAACCCCTCTTGAAATGTTTGATTTGTATGTACATATACACCACGGTATTGCATTATGATTGGTATAATGAGGTTCGGCATTGGAGTCATGGTTTCAATACGGTGATATAGAACGGATCCCTCTTATCCACGCTGGAAACAAGGTGGACGGTGGCTCTCAATGAGTCCTCAATACTCGAAGACAAAGAAAGCCATTTACTTGAAATACCAGGAACTTGAAGAAACTACTATTTTCTAGTCATGAATCTTTTCCTCCGTAACTTTACTACTAAAGTCTTAGCTTGGTAGGTAACATTGGATCTTAACCCTAAGTTAGAGGACCAAGGAATTCTTCTATAGAGAGTAGTTACTTAGTACTCCTAACTAAGGCACCTAAGGCCTCCATATCCAACTAGTAGTAGTTCGATTTGGCTAACTAGCTGGATTCGGTAACCTAATGTATCCGAGAAGAGGTGTTCGTACCGAGGCGGTACCTACTGAACTCTGATCCACGAACTATTGAAGGAAGGATGCCGCGATCTTCATCTCATTCCCGAATAACCCTGGACAATCATCGCCATGTGGTATGCTTGTGCTATTTTATATAAATATAAAATTGCCATTCGGATTACCATACTTTTGGGGGGCGGTCGATTGCCGGCTTTTCATAGTCCGTCCTAGTATATGTAAGCAACTAACTCTTGGTAGATTTATCCGAGTTAGGCAGCAATCAGTAGGGCCATCTAGGGACGCCTCTCTTGATAAGATGTAGATCTCTCCAGCATATTGAATCCAGAATAGTAACGCTATCGAACACAACTTACCGTACCGGTACATATGTACATGTCCATACCTCTACGCCCCTTCTTCAATTGTCCTCCCAATTAAGGCTATCTGCATGGTTTGACCCCTCTTCGGGCGGAATATCAATACTAAATTCAATCGGACAACCAACCTCTCACACCCTCTAAAGGCAAATAAATACCCACACATAGTAACACGTTCAGACACAATTTCATTCGCAATAACAAATTCAACATTGGAAAGACTAGAGCAAACAGCCTTATGCAAAATATGTACATCTAATGTAGATAAGAGAGAAAACATACGGATCGAATCACAGATAGTGCCGCGTGACTGCCTTTTCCCCAGCAACCTCTTGAGTTACCCTCTAAATTCACTAGTATCTAGATAGGTGGAATTTTCTTTTCTCTTTTTCTCTTTTTCTCTTTTTTGTGTCTTTTTTGTGTCTTTTTCGAGGATGCTTGGTGGGAGTGGGGTTGTTTGCTATGCTGACTCTTACGGCGACATAGGGTTCTAAGAACGTGTTTTAGCAAGCCAGACTAAATGAATAGAATCCCTCTTCCAAAACCTCCTATCGGTGATGCATGTGTCCCCGATAAGTATCCGGGTCTATACTTTTTGAGGAATTCTTAGTGTAGTTGTATTCAATGGGTCAAACAAATCCTTGAAAGATTGCTGAAGAGGTGGAGTTTAGTTGTGTGAACTTCCAGGGGATAGTGGAGGTGACTATTGTGATGGTAAGTATACAGTATCATAACAAACAATGGCAGGTATAGATGTTTAGTTCAAAAAATAAGGCCAGCATAATCCGAGATTGGTTTGTCGTGTTTATTTGCTCATTGTTGAAGCAAACAGACCGCAAATATCCCATTGTTATCTCTCTATCGCTCTCTTTTAGTCTGTCCTTTTTTTTTCTTTGTGGGTCAAAAAAAGTACCATCATTTATCTGATCTCCAATCTAATTTACTTTATTTTAACCTTTGAAAGTCTGGAGTACAGTGGATCAATTGTTGGATATGATTGGTCTGCCGCAAACTGTGTACACATGGGGATACTCCACTATTTACTTGCCTGCGGCGAATAACCGGTGATCATATGCTGAGATTAATTTGTCCAATATCAAGATCGAATATTGTGTCCCAATATGATCTGTCCTTATGTCCTCCTCATTACTGCCTCATTCTGGAGAAAAACGAGAAAAATCAATCTATTGAGATTCTTGATCCTGGACTATATCCATCATTGTCTGTACGACGCACGTAGACACACCTGCTATGTCCACTTAAAACTACAAAGTTGTCATCGCTATCATTATCATATCATTTCGACGAGATGCAACCGACCAACGCAGGTCAGTGAGGTTGATAACAAAGAACAAAAAAAAAAAAAAAAACAAACAAAGCGAAAACAACCCCCATCGCTCAAGGCTTAAATCTGGTCTATGAGGTTGTCAGTATCCAAAGAAACACATTATCAACGAGGAGAAAAGAGAGGGGGGGGGGGGCGGGGGGAAACATACTCAATGTCATACTCAAACTGACATCCGTATTCTCCACCATATCCGTGAATTCCTCGAAGCTGATCTTTCCATCCTGATCCTTATCCGCCTCCATGATAGTCTTATCGACGATTTGCTGCAACTGGACGTCCTTCAGGTTATTCCCGACCATCATCTTCAACACGATGAACAGTTCGCCATTGGAAATGTACCCGTCGCGATCGATATCGTAGACCTTGAAAGCGAAGCGGAGCTTTTCCTCCTTGTTTCCCTTGGATGAGAAGGCTGAGAGACCCGAGACGAATTCTTGGAAGTCGACGTCGCCACCTCCGTCTTCATCGAAGATTGCGATCATTCTGAAGATATTCAAGAGATAATAAGTAATTTGCGCTTGGGCTGTCTCGGATGCGAGCGTACCTCGTTGCCAGCGGGTTGGATGAAACTTGGGGAAGAGACAGAAATTCATCGCGATCAATTGTTCCCGAGCTGTCCTGTAACTCAATGAGTATGGGCAAGCTCTTTGCGGCTCATATAAACGGGTTCGAACCTTGTCCAGTTTCATGAATCGCTTTCGGAGTCTATCGACCTCATCTCTGTCGACTGATTGGAAGATTGACTCGTCAGTGACGTGGCGAAAGGACGGTACCAGATGATTATGGACTCACAGTTGGAGGCGGAGACAATGTTCTCGAATAGTTGCGACGTTCCGACTGAGCCTCTTCGTCGGCGCGCATCGTACAGCGCGGCATTGTTCGGTGCGGAGGAATGTTCCATGGTGATAGTCGGGTGGTGGGGAGACGTGATGTTTGGTAAGCGGTCGGGTGATGGAAGAGGAAGTGAAAAGGGATGATCAGAAAGTTTCTTTTTCTTTTTCTTCCTTTGATAAAATAAAACAGGTAAATAATTAAAATCGGGAAAAATGGGTGTGTAAGAGATAAGGGGTCTCAACTGCAACGCGGTGATCAATGATGCATGCCAACGAGCACCCGTTCAGACATTTTGATATCGGCCAGCCCCGCACTAACCGGAAGCGGACAGGCAAGCGAACCCCTGAGGCCGTGCGCGCTCCAAAACAGGCCACCGGCGGGTGACATTACAACGTCAACTCATCTGCCAGCGCGCTTACTACGAGATTTCAGTCGTCAATATCTTCCCACACCCATCCAATATCATCACGAAATTACGACTACGCGATCTCGCATGACCAGACCTATCGAACAATACTAATTTCATCCCCCTTGGCCCATGGTCCTTGCCCTTTTCGTGCCCCCGAAGTTCGCATGACTAGGTACGGGGGAATGGGGAGGACGCGCCCTAAAAAGCTCACCTCCAAAGCCTCTATCCCCATCGTCAAGGAACAGGAGATCGACCTCATCGAAGATGAAGTCCAGAATGCCCTACAGCAGATTGAAACCGGTGTTGAGAAGGCCGAGGAGTCTGTGAGTTATTCCCCCCTTCTAATTTTAGCCCATCCCTGTATATGTCACGTGATATCATCCCGACGTCTCCCCGTCGTGAAAATTTCGAATCGCAGTCAAACAACCACAGAACAGGTCTGCTAACGCGGTTTCTTACAGGAATTCCATCTTCAAGCTGCCATAAATGCCAGTGCTCAAGGAAAAGTAAATGAGGCCCATATTCCGACCCCAGAGACCGTTCTCAGTAATCTTCGATATGATGAACTCTACCCCCCTCTCTTCTCGCAACCCGCGACGTACATTCGTTTCTCCTCGACGGTGGAGGACTGTTGCGGATGCCCGTATAACATGACTGAAGAGGATGATGTATTCCTAAAGATTATGAACGAAAAGCGGGACGCCGCCGACCGCTGCACTGAGGACCAGTTCGAAGAAGTCATGCACTTCTTTGAAGAGACGGCGCAAGCGAAGCAGCCGTTTGCAGCTGTAGATAATCCGCCTGTCCTGAGTTTTGCCGAAATTCAGGATGCGATGGATGCAGCCGTAGACGACAGTATAAAGCGCTTCGCCAAGGACATATATGAGCACTGGAAGTCAACGAGGACTAGCACCGGAAACCGGTCACTCGTGCCAAGCCTTAAGGTAAACATCCTTCCCTGTGGTTCATATGAACAACGGGTAGAGACAGTCCCGCTGACCATCTCATACAGTTTGAAACTGGACAAGAAACCGATGATACAGACCCCTATGTCTGTTTCCGTAGGCGTGAAGTCCGTCAGATTAGGAAGACTCGAGGCCGAGATGCTCAGAGTGCCGATAAACTGAGACGACTGAGGAAAGAGTTGGAAGATGCGCGACAGTTAGTCGCTCTGGTGCGGCAGCGCGAGTTGGCGAGGAAGGAAATGCTCGCCATTGAACGGCAAGTATTCTTGCAACGATCCGAAGTTAAGGAGATGAAGAGGAAACTCAATCTCAAAGATGACGATGAGGATCTTATCAACCAGAAGGTAAGCAACATGCATGGTCGTTTTCGCATCAACTGGATACTGATTTATTATAGCCCAAGAAGAAGCCGACGGAAGCGCCGGCTGTGCACCGACCGGCTGTTCCTCAGCTCCGAATGCCACCCAAGGCTGGAACTCAGGCTGCAGAGGACTTGCAGCTGCTGGAGGATGTCCAGGCAGAGAAGGAGAACGAAATTTTGCGCGATATTAATCAAAATATCGCCAAGCACATCAAATGGAACGAGGGCTATGTAGACTTCACGAGGGCGCCTCTTTCGCCGTCCCCTGAGAGAACCTTCCAGGCTGCATTCCGTCCGGCAATCACTGCCCAGTTACCGACACCCCCATCCTCAGACTCGTCCGAAAACATGATGGATACGTCCTTAGATAACGCGGGTTCCCTTTCTTTCCGAGATAAGCTAGCATCTCAAACCATGGTGATGAGCGACGCTACCAGCAGAATGCCATCGTTTAGGCGACGTATCGGCCGTGGTGGTCGTTTATTCATCGATCGTCGAAACCTGGTTTCACGTTGTAAAGCGGAGATGGATCCGTGGAAAGTCGATCGCTTCAAGTATGACCAGGAAGATTCAGACGAAGATCTTGACTTTGAACGAGACCAGTTTGACACCCAAATCATGCAACACCGAGCCATCATGATGGCGAAGGCCAGAGATCAAGCTGCAGCTGCAGCTCAGGCGCATGCGCAGGCGCAGACGGCGCAGGCCCAGGCCCAGGCCCAAGCACAGCGACGATTGCAAGCTGATCAAACGGCGAACAATTCGGGGCAAACAATGGGATCCAACCCAGGGCCTGGTGCCGCTGCCCCCATACCTGAGACCTGAGCTGGACTCTGTTCTTATCACCCCCTTCACTCACATCTTTATTTCCCACACCCATATGTTGCATTTGGCAGGCGTTGTTTTTCTTGTCTCTTCACCTTAACCCCACTGTAGTTTTACTCCCCCGACACCCCGAGCTGTCTTTTCAACACACCTTAACACCTGCTGCTTGAACGCCGCGATGCCTTCAAAAAAATTTCAGGATAATGTCGCAGATGGATGCTTTTTTCATGACCTGGCCCTGGGATTATGCCTTGTTAGTGTACATAGTGTTTCTTTCTTTCCCTCCCAGATGATCAGTCGATAGAGATTTGTACGGATAGCGAAGCTATGAGGTCAGCCACGGAAAAAATAACAATTAATATCACTTGTAACAAAAGAAAACTTTTCTTATTGATGCAAAAAAGACAACGCCTTGGAAATCGGTGATCACGTCTTTTTGGCCTTTGTCCTCCTCGACGAGTCACTGTCGCCATCAGCAGTTCGCTTCGACGCTGCACTCCCCTCTGAGTAAGCGACGAGAATGCCAGATAAGGTTTGCAAGATCTCCTTTTCGCCGATCCGAACCTGGATCGCCATCTTTCGCCGCCGTGCAATGTCGTCCAAGGGAGCGGAAGCCTCCATCTGGCTGAGTTGTGCCAGAAGTTCTTTGTCCTGTGAGAGCGTCGTTGCATACTGGGTTTGCTTTAGTTGAATGATCTTTGATAGTAACATTGCTTCCGTGTGATCAAAGGAGAGCTTTGGGGGTTTGTTCTTTGACATCTGAAGCTTTAGCTGGTCTGACGACATGGATAAGGTTTTGATTAACAAGACGAGTTCGTCTGAAAGAGCACTTGTTAATTCGTTATCCAACGGTCTCGGAATGTCGTATCCGTCATCCAAGAGTTCTAAGTCCTCAAGAAATCGAAGCTAGAATCGATCATTAGCATCATATCGAATAGACTAATCGGCAATGGTGAGATTAAGTACCGCAGGTTGGTTCTCAATATCGGCATCTCGGAGGCCTGCCGCCTGGCAAATAAGCTCGAGTGGTAGTTCAACTACATCGAAAGGAGCATAGTTGTCCGTCACGTAACCGTACCGCCTTAAGAGGTCTGCACGGGGAATCTCTCCGTAGTCATTGAAAATCTCATCCCCTGCGCTAATGGGTTTGATAGACTTCATTACCAGGCCATTATCTTCCTGGAAAAGGCGAGCCTTTACATCATTTAGTCCGCGGCTGGCCCGGCGCACCTAACGTTAAAGAAGAAGAGCACCCACGTTATTCCGATCTCCATCGGCGTTCAACAAATCTGCCAGGGGAACCATGCCCTTCGATAATTGTTCCTCAACATCGGTCATGTAACCGCTTTCATCATCCCCTTCGTTATCCTCGTCTTCCGGTTTCTCGATATCGAACGCATATGCCATAATAAGGGACCCCATTGTATGAGCGAGGTTCAGGAGGGTCTGGGTGCCAGCCTCGCCATCATACGAGGCGAGACCATCCACCGGTGGGAAGAGAGATGGGTTTTCTCTCATGATGGGAGCGATCATGTCAAGAATGGATTCTTCTGCGCCTTGCCTTCCAATCTTATCGACAATTGCGCTGCCCTGAAGCTCTTGAAGTTCCGAGGCTGACCAGAACATTAGGGTATCGAATTTTCGGGGAAGGACTTTGAAGTACGGTGCCCAAGCTGACTGATTTCCGAGAAGATACTCGTAGATCATCACAAGCATAAGTGACAGCCATGGTCCAAGCTCTTCCAGATCCTGGGAAAGCAGATCCTTCAATTTGGAGCTCTGAGTCGAGAGGACGTGTTCGCGGGGGATAGTAAAGAGTTCTTCACCTTCTGCAATATCGAATTGGGCCACTGGTAGAACAATGGGGGGTCTATCAGAGACGGTATCCTACCAAAGATGATTCTGGGTGCAGCGAAAAACTGACGAGCGCGGAATTCTTCCTGTTGGGAGGATCACGTACCGACGCCTCTGCCCGCTGCTCTGGTTCTCAAATCAGCGAGACGGATTTTAGGGTTAATCTTTACCCCAGGCTTACTAGACAGCCAGGAGATAAACTCATCCGACTGAGACTGGAAATTTGCCGGATCGAGGAAATGTATTGTGGAAGACATGGCGGTCTTTTGTCGAGAAAGAGTGGAGTAGAAGAAGCACACCAAAGAAAAACGGGAATATAAGAAGACCCCACTCTTTCTCCCACACACAAAGAAAGTCTCAGGGGGGAGAAAAGCGTGATGGATTTGAGAGATCCCCAAACAGCGTTGAATGGCCGACAAATTAAATCGGCAGTCGCTGCTTGTGAGTGTGAGTGTGTATGTGTGTGTGTGTGAAGGGAAAGTCACCAAAATGGGTTTAGTTTGGGGGGAATGAGATGTTAGTATTAGTAGTTCTAGTCTCCGTACGCCGTACCACGGGATGTATCTTACCTTCCTTACCTACTGTCGGATAAACGCTGTTGCCGCGCACCAATCGATAACGCTGCTGATAAAACGGATTTTGCCCCTCTACCAGTGGTTCATATCAAAAAGAATTTCGAGAATAAAAAACATCCCGTTTCTATTGAATGGTCTCGTCATTCAGGAACTTATACTAAAATCACTGACCTTTCATTTTCCTTCCCAACCATGATTGCTATCGGCCTGGAAGGTTCCGCCAACAAGCTTGGCGTGGGCATCATGTTGCATCCTGATAATGGCACCCCCCAGGTCCTCGCAAATATCCGTCACACTTATGTCTCTCCTCCTGGCGAGGGGTTTCTCCCCAAAGACACCGCTAGACACCATCGTTCATGGGTCGTAAAACTGGTGAAAAAGGCGCTCAAAGAAGCTCATGTGTCAGTGCAAGATGTGGACTGTATCTGTTTCACTAAGGGTCCTGGTATGGGTGCCCCCCTCCAAAGTGTCGCGGTTGCTGCTCGCATGTTGAGCCTGCTATGGGGAAAGGAATTAGTGGGTGTGAATCATTGTGTCGGACGTATGTATAATCCCAATGTTCGCTTTTAGTAGTTCCCGCTTAAACTAGTTATATACTTCCTCTTCCTTTAACTTTTGATACCATTGGCGCTAACGGTACTTAGACATTGAAATGGGTAGACTCATTACAGGCTCTACCAACCCCGTTGTTCTTTATGTCTCCGGTGGAAATACACAAGTAATTGCATATAGTTCGCAAAGGTACCGGATCTTCGGCGAGACCCTTGATATCGCGGTGGGGAACTGCTTGGACCGGTTCGCACGAACACTTCACATCTCTAATGATCCAGCCCCAGGATACAATATTGAGCAATTGGCCAAAAAGGGCAAGCAATTAGTTGATCTACCATACACCGTGAAGGGAATGGATTGCTCTTTCTCGGGGATATTGGCTGCGATAGATGGGTTGGCCGTGGCATATGAGTTAGGTGGTGAAGGGAAGGATGATGAGACCGATCCCCCTGTGTCTGATGCCGACAGAAATGGAAAACCAACCCGCGCGGACTTGTGTTTCTCACTTCAGGAGACTATCTTCTCCATGCTGGTGGAAATCACAGAGCGCGCAATGGCGCACGTCGGCTCCAGAGAAGTTCTGATCGTTGGGGGTGTTGGCTGCAATGAGCGGCTACAGGAGATGATGGGGATTATGGCGCATGACCGCGGAGGCAGCGTGCATGCCACGGATGAGAGATTCTGTATTGACAATGGAATCATGATTGCGCAGGCTGGTTTGCTTGCGTACAAAACCGGGTTCCGAACACCATTGAAGGACTCCACATGTACGCAGCGGTTCCGAACGGATGATGTGTTTGTAAAATGGAGGGATTGATATGCTGATCTATGTGTTCGGTTCGGACTTACCACATAAAATAGACGTACGAATTTCCATGAAGACTCTGATGTCCATGTGATTTACCGTTACATTTCTGCAATGTATCTTTTGAGATTCATATTCTAGATGAACAGGGAATCATACAGATTTCCTTGGGCACGATCCGGGAAGGAGTAGTGGTATATGATTCATTCGTCGATGACCCAACATCACCCCAGATGGTATTGGATTCGCTCTATGCTAGCACACATTATGCATTTGAAGCGTGGCCAAGAAGCACTGCTGCATATGCGACTGCGTCGCATGGGTAGCTGAAGGGGAAAAGAACAAGACATGTTGTCACGTAGTTCTTATCGCTAATTATGCATCCCCAGAAACTCCAAAAGTAATAGTAATCAAAGCGCCGTAAATGAGATGGAAAGTCGAACAACTGCGGCCAGATGCTCAATCCGTTACCAAGTGCCTAAAAGGCTATATGCTTGGCATTCCGATGTATGTGCGTTTATCGTCGATAATAAAATAATAATAGTAATAAAAATGAAAGAGGATACCTCAAGTCATGGACAGTTCCAGGTCCAAAGTAATTTTTGGATTTGCTAGAAGACATTGTCTCGGGGATTTCAGAGACGGGCTGGGGTCGCGATGCATTTGGCGATGAACGTTCAGTAGGGTCTTGTCGTAGGGAGTCAAGTACCGGTCCTGGACGAACAGAGGAGGCGCAATGGCCCCTCAAGGGATCACCTTTATCCTGTGATGTCCCCCGTTGGCTTATACAAGATAGTTGTTACGTACTGCATTTGCACGAGTTAGGAACAAATTCACCAGGAAGGAATTTTGGATAGCCGTGACTTACCTTCCGTTTATACCTTGTCGTTACACTGGTAGCAAGGACGCCATTCTTTATGCTGCTCGTAGCTAGATGGTTTAGAACAGTGTGGTTGGGGTAGTTGAGCACGCTGCTATCGTCCTTCATCGGTGTAGTACCGTTTAATATCGACTTTCCCAAGAAAAGGGGGAGACTTGGAGGCGTAGGTGCATCGCCAATGATATTAACAGCTTGTTGATAAGCGGGACTCTCCTGAGTTTCATCTTCTCTGTCTAAGTCGACAAGGAATTGCGGTACTATGCCCCGGAAATCCCCGAGAGGAATCTCTTCCGGCTCATCCGGCTTGTCTTCCACAGCTGATTCGGATCCGACCTGCTCTGACTTTACTCGGGTGGGCAAAACATGCGGAGGATGGACACCGGGAGGAACGTTGTTTTGAGATGTTTTGTCACTTCCACTTCGGGATCGATTCGTATCATCGGCGCTTATTTCGATGTAATTAACGAGGTGGTTGGTGAAGTCTACTGCAGTAGGAAGACTGTCTGATGCACGCATCTCACCGTCCACTATAAATTTTAGATGGTGGGTTCCAGGGCGGAGATTCAATTTGGTCGACATAACACCGGGGTTACTTTCACTGTAACAGAGGCGTTGTGTTAGCAACAAGGTCTGTGGAGGGTAGGTGGTCTCGTAGGTCCAACAACAAGCAATAGAAACGGATTTTATCAAGAACAATGCATACCTTCTGTGTAAACGGAACTTTTTCTCCCAGTTGACAAATGTTCCAGTAACATATACCTTGTCTCCAGGCGCTGTCCATTCTATGGTTATCGGGACAGGCCTGCCTACACCACTGCTAGTATACGGCTCAAGCTCATCCACAACTTCATCATCTTCGATGGTGGTATCGCGCAGGTTGGGATCTCCTCGACCTGCATGGTCATCTAACAGTCGATCCGAAGGAGGCGAGCTCAGATAGGGCGAACCTGGCGTCGCTGTGGCATCACCAATCGGGAGAGGCATGCGAGGTGGCCGCTGGAGATGGGCGGATGCGCTGTAATAGGCATTGAGGGGAGGAGCAGAAGGCGCTACAGATGGATAGTGATCAGTTCTGGCGCTAGCTCGTGAGGCTGGTACCTGGACAGGGTTTGACGGGTCGGGAGAGTGTATGTCTTTGTGACGGGACTCTGTTATCTTGGGATCGGATACATTTCGTGTCGCGGAATCTGTAGCGTTGCGCGATTGAAGACGCTGTTGAACTGATGCCTGATTTTGCGAAGTCGAATGGACAGTTGCAGTCTCCTTCGAGGCGGACGGGTCCGCTGCGGTAGCTTTTGGTGTTCCCGAGGGAGCATTGAGCGATGGGCGGCGAGTCACTTTCTTATCACCCGTAGAACCCACATGGGTAGAGTGGCCCGAAGTCAACGGGCTATCCCCAGCGGGGCCCTTGGAAGGATTGTTACCCATTAGAGGCGTGGAGGAATGAGGATATGGGGGACAGTTACAAATGAAGGAGGGGGAGGAGGGGAAGGAAGTAGAGACGAGATTGACGTGATATCAGTAGATGATCAGGTCGCCAGCATCAGAGCGCCACCCTCGATCGGCAATGGGCGATACACAAATGGAAGAGGTGTAGTGGAAAGTTTCCCAAAAATGTCAAGCGTGAACCCAAACCGAAGGGGTACTGGTAATGTAAACACAAGCCCAAGTAAAAGTAGAGCTGAATGTCAAGTAGCGATGATGTCGATGTCGGAGTCTGGGCCAGCTTATCCAACTAGGGCTTAGGGCTCCCCCCGGATAGTCGGCAGTGATCTCCGATCACTGGACGTCGTTCCCTGATGGTAATTGATTCTATGTAGAGTAGTAGTCCGGGGAGTATTCCTCCTATCCCAGAGCCCTACAACTCAATAATAGTATGGAGGTTGAATGTGTCAACGTTCAATTGACAGGTTCATGTTCGAATAAAAGTTGGGAAAGGTGAATTAGCCATTCACACGAAAGGTTGTATCTAAACATTTCTGCTGGACAATACCGCCTAGGCGTACCTTCTCCTGTATACCTCTGGGCATTCGTCCTTCTCTTTCCCTATAATTTGTCACATAAGGGACTTTCCCATGCGATGAAGTGCGATATTTAAGTCAAAGACAACATTCCGAAGTGCATCAATGTCTTGGGTTTCCGCGATCACGGCAGCCTTGCAATGGATACTTCTCTATCCTATCACCAATCTTTTATACTATGGATATGGATTACTACAACTCTTGGCAACGCCATTGGTGAAATTGGGACAGTTCGCTCTTCGTGGTGCCCTTCTACCCTTCAATATATTATTGAAATTTGAGGTATGAAAGGGATTGACTTATTCCCTTCCTCAAAGAACGATTTATTTGCGGTAGCTCAACAAGGGGATCGTCACTAATTTATCCAACAGGCTTTCCTCACCTTTGTCTCAGCAGCCGTTCTTACAGGCATAATACTGGGATTGTCACTGTACTATACGACTTCCTTAACTGTGGAAGTTTTGAATCAATCTCTGAGCATCTTACGTCGCCAACCTCAAGACCATCGGGTTCACAGTATCAAGGGGCCTAAGACAAAAGCTCTGAAGAGAAGATATAGCTTGCCCAACGACTATTTGACCGGTAGCAGTAGTAGACCAATCCATAAGGGGGGGCTTTTATCATCCACAATTTTGGAGGAAGAAGAATCCAACCCGGATTCTAATGGGGATCTCTACGGTTGATGATGACGGGGCAAGAGACTCTATGTTGTACATGTTGTACAGAATTATAGTATTATATTGCCTATCGATGACTAGGATTGAATTCTGGTGTCCTTAATAAACCATTTTATTATTATGTGGAGTACTTATCAAAATAAATAAACTGGAGTAAATTACACATGCAGTAGGGTGTATTCATAATACCGGGAATCACGAGATGGACCCTTTTTCTTAAACCCTACGGAGAAGAGCCCCGTATCGTCAGTACATGAATCAATACTTAATTAAGACATACAGTACCACATGGTGGGTCTATCACGCATGGATCATTAATTAAACCCTGACACTCTAGTTGGCTTTAAAATCATTACATTTTTGCCTTATCACCTTTATATTCCCCGTTCGAACTTTTGTCTCCTCAGATTCTTCTTCCCAGGTTTTCCCTCCTTTTGTGATCCCTTCGTCCCAGTCTCGGTGAATCAATTATATCATCATTATTACATACACACCGACGAGCTTATCTCCGATGCGCTGAAGTCCGTCTCACTCCAAAATAGAACAACCATCGCGAAATCGGCCCCGGTAGCTGCTTTGGACTCAAGACGAAAGATTTTGCATCGCAAAAAAAAGAGAGAGGTGGAAAAAAAAAGACACGCGAAGGGAATTGAGAAAGAAGATTCAGGAAGCGACGAGGAGAGGGAAAGGTGAAATGTCTTTGCCTCGGCCCTTTTCGCGGGTGCGAACATTACTGCTGGCAGCGACCCTCGCAACCTTTCTTACCTATTCTTTCTTGCATTGGCAGCGCCTCGCATATGCGGAACAAGTGCAATCGGCAACTAAACAGGGAGCATCATCAATCAATCGACCGGGCGGAGTATTAACTCAGCCGGAAGGTCATATCAACTTCTGGCGAAAATTCCAGCCTATTTTAGCCGCATATCAGCCAAAATGCGAGGCACCATTGCGACTAGACATGGCGCCGTCTATCAGATTCGAGCAAGCAAGCCCAGACTTCCGGCCTGAGGTATTGGACATGCTACAGGATGACGTTGATACCATGAAGGAAGCGCATACTGGATTTGTCAACGAGATCAAGGCTAAGCCACCCAAATTACATTATGTTCCTAATACAAGAGGGCTTGTCTCGACCGCTGGCGGCGAGTACTTACCTGTGTTGGTCATCTCGCTCCGAATGCTCCGGAGGACTGGCTCAGAACTACCGGTCGAGGCCTTCCTTGCCAATGATGATGAGTATGAGAACTACATATGTGATGTAGTTCTTCCATCTCTGAATGCACGATGTGTTGTTCTCTCCCATATCTTGGATGCCGTTCCGAAAATCATGGACATCCAGAAATACCAATTCAAACTGTTCGCCATGATGTTCTCTTCATTCGAAGAAATCCTGTTCTTAGATGCTGACGCTTTCCCGTTACATCAGCCAGAAATACTATTCATGAACGAGCCTTTCAAGTCCAAAAAGATGGTTACGTGGCCAGACTTTTGGGCGACTACCGTTTCATCATATTATTACGAGATTGCATCGCAGCCTATGCCTTCGAACACCATTCGACAATCCAGCGAATCTGGCGAGGTTCTCCTTTCTAAAAAGACACATGCGGAGACTCTCCTTCTTAGTGTTTATTATAATTTCTGGGGCCCTAATTATTATTATCCATTACTATCGCAAGGCGCAGCTGGCGAGGGCGACAAGGAAACCTTTGTTTCGGCTGCCCTGAATCTTGGGGAATCATACTATCAAGTTTCTGAACCCATTTGTGCCATTGGCCACGGTACCGAGGGCGGGTTGGCTGGGTCTGCAATGGTTCAGTTTGACCCGATCGAGGATTACGCATTGACACAAAAGGGGCAATGGCGCGTCCATGGATCAGATGCCCCTGCTCCTCGTGCTTTCTTCATCCATGCTAATTTCCCCAAATTCAACCCAGCCACTGTGTTTGATAAGCAAACCGTCAATCCGGCTTTCGCGGATGACGGTAGCTACACCCGCGCATGGACTATCCCTGACGAGGTGATTGGGAAATTTAGTACAGATGTCGAGAAACACTTCTGGAAAGAAATTCTCTGGACGGGTTGTGAACTTGAGAACAAGTTTAGCTCCTGGAAGGATCGCAAGGGCATTTGCGAGGGAGTGAAAAAATACTGGAATGCAGTATACGTGGACAAGACGTCTCCAATGACATAGGCAGTCTGGAGTGTCTTGGCTTAAGAGACTTTGCATCAATTCCTTCATCATCTCGCTGCTGTAGACCTCTTCAGTGTGAGTGGTCCTATCACAATATGCATCCCAGGCATGTTAGCGTTCACAACAGCTATGTTCATGTTGCATCCGCCCTAGACCGCATCAAGTCCTATAAAGATTTCATACCCGTCGATTTTCGATTATCATTGGACAGGTGAAAACAAGGATGCTCCCCACGAACCTAGTCGGTATATACGGTACAGGTTCGGAATGAGCCTCTCACTTCGAATGCAACTGGTCTCATATCTAGTGTGATAGTACTTCTAGCATATTCCGTGATCTTCCTGACAGCTGCCAGTACCGCCAAGTCAGCACACTTGTATCATTCTTATGTGGTATGCACAACATGCTGGCTGGCAATCAGCCAACCAGATCATCTGTTGAGAAGCAGTGGAGATTTTTTATATTGCCTGGGCTAGTCAGGCATATATGAGTATGGCTTTTCTTTCAGTTTCGAATGTATATATTGACGTACAATCCTTCAGGTTAGTGGTATGTATACTTTACTTCAACCACGCAAGATCTGTCCAATCATGCGACGATAGTTACAATGAACAATACGAAATCTTGCCATGTCTCATGAAGTCTTGAAAACCTGTATTCTGCTTTTCAGCCGAGCAAGGTCTTTTCAAATCATCTCCTTGTCTGTTTGAACCTATTACTCTGGACTAGTCATTGCGCCGCAGCAATATAAGCATCCTATCCTAGACAAAACCTTGCCCCCCGCCCATAGCCAAAAGTGAGTTCTATATCACTCGCAGGGTTGTAAGAAAAAAGGTCGAGGGCCATCATTCGTTTTGTCGACATTGTATCATATTATCCAACCGTACATCATCTATGTAATTTACAGAAGTTGATTTTTGCACTATTATACACAGAACCTAGGGGGCAATCCCCACTTCTAAGGTTTCACCTCGATTCCTAACCTACCAGCCTTCTCGACTGCATCCGTGAACAATTCCTTACACCGCACTCGGCTCCCCAGCTTGGCGCAGAGTAAGAAGGCACCACTGAGCTTCCGGTGAAGACTATATGTCTCCTCTGGCGGAGGCGACAGGCGTTCACGGATCATAATTGGGATCAGAGCACGGACCCTGTCGGTGATAGTTTGATTGCTGAAATCATAGACATCCGGGGAAGAACCCATGAACGGCTCAGCGATAGTGGTAATTGATGTGACATGTGCATCCACCATAGCTGACGACTCGTGACCTGTTAGATAGCCTAGGTCGATGGAGAGACGGTGACAGGTCTCGCGATCGTTCCGGGAGGCAGCCACGAGTGTGCGAATGTATTTCGTGATGAAGTCGATGGGGTACTCGCGCGTCGCACCAAAGTCGAGTAGTTCTAGACGGTTAGTCTCCGCATTGTAGAGGAAGTTAGTCCAGTTCGGGTCCGTCTGCATATATTTGAATTCAATGATTTCTCGCAGGCATAGACGCATGATCTGTGTGCCGATCCAGTCACGCTGTCCTTGGCTGAAATTTTGGATCTTGGTAACAGCAACTCCATTTAAGCGTTCCATGGTCAAAACCTGTTTACCCGAGGCTTCGGGTATGATCTCCGGTACTAAAAAGACCGGGTCATCCTTAAGGAGTTCCCTGAAGCGGTTACTACACTCGGCTTCTCGGTTGTAGTCGCATTCCCAGGCAAGCTCTGTTCGGGCATTTGCGATAGTTTTGTCCAGATATAGACCTCTTGGGAGAAGACGGGATGCTGTAAGTAGAATCGACAAGTTATTCAGGTCTGAGTCGATCGAATCTGCCACGCCTGGATATTGTACTTTGACGGCAACGGCTTGACCTGTTTTCTTCAGCACTGCTCCGTGCACTTGACCTATAGAAGCTGCAGCCATGGGCACTTCGTCGAAGGAGGTGAATAGATCACGCCAGTTAGGGCCCAGATTATCAGCTAGGACTTTGTTACGCTGAGAGGCCGGCATGTAGTCAGCTTTATCTTGTACTCTTTGTAGAACAATACCGATCGACTCTGGGAGCAATTTGGAATCTAGAACAGTTAGATCTTCTCAAGGCAAACAGAGACAAGGCTCCATACGAACCTTGGAAGCTCAGCAGCTGGCCTAGTTTGAGAGCAGCTCCACGCATTTTCGAAAGCTTGGCGACAAGGCGTTCCATGTTCCCGGGACTGAACACGAGAGATCCAGCGTCCGCATCATTACTGCCAGTTATCCTTCGTAGACCCTCACCGACAGCTCCAAAAGCCATCGACGTTGCCAGCCCACCGTATTGCCATAGTCGCCCTAGCCGTGACGACGGGACGCGCGATTCCAACATCTTATAAGTGTTAGCCTGGTTTGGATCCGCCGTTACCACCGGATCTGCCTGCTTGAGGATGTTAGCATACACATCTTCCCTTGCAGGATGATGACACTACGGACCGCAGGGTTGGTTGAAACGATATCATCCGCAGTGCTATTTCCTAGATTCTCGATCTCATCCTTCTCAGTCTGTTCAGCACGAGAGATAGAAGATGCATCCTGGCCAACGGAGAGTGTTGAGGATCCGGCAGTCCTTATTTCACCTTCCTTCAGGCCCACATCCACTTTCCGAGAGATCGATTTGGCAACTTTAGGGCTGCGAAAGAGTTGGCTCATGACTTTATCTGGAACATCTTCTTCTTGCACAGGCGATGAAGCGTTCTCAACATCCACCGAAGAGTGATATACATCCGCGTTGATATCGTTGTTCAAGCCACTTTGAGTATCACTTAAGGTCTTGGGAAGTTTCATCCTAGGAAGTCCAGATAACCCGGGTCCTGCCTTCTGCGACGGCTCGTAGAACACATCCTGCTGCTGACTTACGTTTAAGGTGCTCGACCCTTCATCTCCGCTATGTTCCGCAGTCGTCGACGGGATCTGGAATTCTGCCTGCCGCTGTAATTTCCTTGCCTCATCTGCAGAGAGATTCGCCTCACGTAGAGACTCGGTCGAGCTTTGGGCTTGAGTCGTAGGAGCCGATTCGGAAGGATGGAGTTCGTTGAATCGCTTTGCCAACGCAGCGGCGGCTTGCGCGGTAAGTACCAGGCCATCCGCCTGCTCTTTGATGCCCTTAGTGAGAAAAGAGGTCCTCGTAAACAAATCTAGCTGACGCTGTCGCACCGCCAGATGCTTCATCGCAACGGTCTTGGCGACATTGAGAACTTGAATAGCGTCCAGTAGACGCTTGCCTGACATAGTACAAAAGCTAGATAATCTATAGTCTAACGAGCTCGCATGATGAAAGGACAATTTGTCAAAGATTAAGCTTGAATCGAGACACGACGAGGCCGGTTGCCGAGACTCGATTTTCTGCCACTGGATACCGCCCAGTCGGGCGACTCTGACCCTTATCGGCCAACAGTAAAAAAGTATAGATAAGGGGAGTGGCGCATCCATTGATAAGTTCATTTCACTCCACGACTCATTCTCTTCCATTGTCATGTTGTCCCACAAAAGAATGCCTCAATGATCATTAAATCGAGTGTTCAGGATCTAGAGAAAGAGATTTCAGATCTCGAGTATCTACTACGGAATGCCAAAGCCCGCCTAGCGTTGGTTTCCGGCCAGGAAGCTAGCAGAGATTCACACTTACCTCTCCCCCAGGGTATGTGAATACGAATTGTGGACCATTCTGGGGGTCAATGCTGACATCTCCTTTCCAAGATGCTATACCAATAGTCTCCAGTCATGCGCTGTTTTTATTATCGGACTCTGCCCTTCCGCTGGGCTCATTTGCCTACTCTAGCGGCCTCGAGTCTTATCTAGCGCATAACAAGCCCCTTCCTCCACGGGTCACACCCGTCGCCTCCTTCCATCACTTCTTGAAATTGTCGATCACGTCAATGGCAAGTACGTCTATACCATATGTCCTCGCTGGATACCGACAGCCAGGCAATCTAGAAACCTTAGATAACGATATTGATGCATCCACCCCCTGCGTGGTGGCGCAGCGAGCGAGCATTGCCCAAGGGAGAGCTTTGATAGGTGTCTGGGAACGAGCGTTCCGCGGAACGTATGCTTCGGGCCCCTTTTTAGCAGGAGTTGCTGCTGCAGAGGCGGTAAAGGCTATAGAAGCCTTTTCAGATGCCCTCAAGTCATGTGTCGTTGATACGCCGGATGCCTTGGGTCCCAAGGGCCACTTTGCGCCTTTATGGGGTACCATTTGTCTGGCTATGGGAATGGATGCCCACCAGACTGCGTACGTGTTCATGTTGAATCATGCTAAGGCTGTCCTGAGTGCTGCGGTGCGGGCCTCCGTGATGGGCCCTTATCAAGCCCAGGCGGTTCTGGCTAGCAAAGGCTTGCAAGATATGATCACAAAACGGATAGACCGAGAGTGGGATACGCCTGTAGAAGAGGCAGGTCAAGTTGTACCTCCGTTAGATCTCTGGGTGGGACGGCATGAACTCTTATACAGCAGAATATTCAATTCATAATGGATACAATTCTATACCAGTGTGCTGATCGTCTTAGAAATGTCATTATTGACATGACTCCGTTCCGCTGCCTTCTTCATCGCATTTGCTCATCCATGACTTCCAAACTAATCCTACATCGCATGTCTGCTATCCCACCCAGATGCCGCTTGGAACACTGAAGTGGGTATCCAAAAGAAGCCTCTTGCCGGAAGGGATCCAGGAAAAAGAAAATGAGAAACGAAATGAACAAAAAAACCCCGAAGACCAGAGATCCGCCATGGACTGGCCAATATGCAAAGAGAAAAGCACAAGTTGAACGCCGGCCCCTCTTTGAAACCTATCCTGCTAAACCGCAGAGCAAAACACCGCACCGTAACCTTTTCCATGATTCGGGGGGAGCAATAATGGATTTGAGAAAGGGAGGACGGAAAGGGGAGGAAAACAAGAAATGAAAAAACAGAAAATAAAAAAAATGAAATAATAAAAGAAATAACTGGAAAGGGGGAATTGAGAGAATAGAAAGGGCGAAAGAAACTATGGTACAGGAGAATTTGCGAGATTAGGCCAAGAATAAAGATCCTAAAGGGTAATGTGCATATAATCATTATTTCCGAACGATCGGTTGCAATTCGGGCATTTTCGAGAACGAGAAGTGAGACGTTCCTCGACGCAGTCCTTGCAAAAAACATGGCCGCAGGTTTTGATTGCGGTATTCTTGAAGTTCCTGCGACAAACGGTACAGAGTGCCAGTGTCTATGTTCAAGTCAGCCGCGATATCCTGTCGACAAGGGGGGAGGGGGAGGGAATTTACCCTCAACATCTCGTATTCGGATGAAGAACTTCCTAGGCTCTTGTTCTTCCAATTATCCAGGCTCTTCTTAGTATCCGCAAGTGTTGCCTTTAGCCCTTCGATCTCGGTCTCTGCTTGCCGACAAGCACTGGAGGTGCTTGCCAGCGTTGCATCCTTGGACGTTGATAATGTCTTCAGCTCATTGATCTGTCCCTTTAAACCTTCTATGACAATACCATTCTCTGTCAATTGTTGTTGTGCAGCATGGTGCTTACTCATCATAGAGTTCAAGGCTTCCTTGGTCTCGCTGACTTGTTTCTCCATGTTCGCCAACAACGAACGCGTAGCAGCTTCGGATTCCTTCAACTGCGAAACGATATCTGAGCTCTTTGAGTTCTGCACCCTCAGTGTTCGCACTTCCAGATCACGCGCCTCCTTGCTCTTCATTGCGGCGAAGTATTTCTGGTCGGCTTTCGACTTCTCGGCAGTCAAACGTGCCACCTTTTCTTCTAAGACACTAAAGTCTGTCACTTTTTGCGAAGCCAGCGCAGAGTATTTCTTGCAGGCTGTTTGCATAGAGGATAATTCAGTGTTTAGCATTGCATATTGACGTTCAAGTACCTGATACTTGGCACGCAACTCCTCGACTGGAAGGTCGCCGGAGCCTGGTTGTGTGGCTTTCGCATTTTCCACTTGTAGACGTAGACGTTCCACCTCCGACTCTAAGGAAGCAATTCGAGCATCGCCAGCACTTGTGAGCTCCTGAACCTTGAGAGTAGCGATCTTCTCCTGTTCTTGCGCGGCCTTGCGCATCTGCTGGTCGGCCAACAGCTCGTCACGTGCGTTCCGTATCCGCGCCAGATCCGTTTCGGCCCGCATCAACTGCGCTTCCTTCTCAGCAAGAACATTTTGCGTCTCTTCGTCAACCTGGTTGCGATATGCTGTCCGTTCCGATCGTAGCTTCACGGCTTCCTCGCGTAGTTGGACATTAGTTGCCTCCAAGTGATTGATCCTTTTCACCACGTCGTCATACTGTGATCGCATTTGTTTGAACAAGTCCGTATGCGCATAATCATCGTCGGTAAGTTTCGAACGCTTTTGCGACATGTTAGATTCACGCGGCTTTCAACCAGTTGCAAAGCAAAAGAAAAAGAAAAGAAAAATATGACGCACCTTTATATTTAGATCAGTGATCTGACTTAGTAGATTGGCATTTTCGGCCTCCAACTTCTGTAACTGCTCTTTTTGCTTTTCTGATATGGCCACTAGCTTATTGTGTGCTTCGTCAGATTCAGGGCCACGTTCGGCACTAGGTGTCACACCGTTTGAAGCCGATTGCTCCTCTCGTTGTCCAGATGCACCGTCACCTCCAGGCCGTTGGGGGCCTAAGATATATTGTTTCTCAAGTTTGGCGACCGTTAAGCTCCGTGCACGATCCAGTTTCTTCTCGGCTACCATGTACCGTAGTGAGGCTTCTTCTAAACTCTCTTCTAATTGCTGCTTTTCGGATAAAGCCTTCTCAAGTTCAGCGATAGTGGCCTTTTCTTCCGCCAGTTTCTTAGCGAGTTGACTCTGTAACTCTGATACTTCAAGCGTAGCTTTTGGCGTATTGGTAATAAGGCGAGAGATAATGTCACGTATATCATTTGACCGTGATTTGAGATGTTCCTCAAAATTGGCAACGTCATCGAATAATAAAGAACTTTGAAATGAGGGCCGATCGCCCTTCATATCCTCCGCAGCGCCCAGTAGTAGTTTGACCTCGTCGATCAACTTGAGGTATTGTTAGACTGCGACACCACTAGATTAAGATTGTTGATCTACAAACCTGGTTATACCAAGTGTCAATGACACGCAGGTGCTCATTATGGCGAGCGGTGGCTTTTAACATGTCCTTCACTTTGGCCTCCAGAGAGACCTTCTCACGTTTATATTCCTGCATTTGGCGCCATATCGCATCCTTCTGGAATCGCTAATATAAGAATGAAGTATTAGTACGGGATCTATCTTGTCGCCAACGATACGGTGGGTTCCGCGCTCGAGGACCAGCCGAGACCCCCTGGAATGATATGGGACTACGCCGGTGGACCCTGAACTCACCTCCAAGTCATCTTTCCATGGCATATCAGCATCTGGGTGGGGCTTACTACCCCCATTGACAGAAGTTGCTTGCTTCTTCAATGGTGGTGCCGAATCATTGTGGTCAGACGTGGCAGCTCTCTTCCGGTCTTCCATCTTGACAAAACCGGACTCGGAGGATGCGACGGGGGATGCTTCGGCGGCCGGCATCAGTGGCTAAAAAGGCATAAGGAGAGTAAAGCCGTCACCACTGAGCAGTAACGAACTGGGAGGGGAAGCCGCAACAGTATCCGACCGAGGGGGAAAGGGTGATGCTGGTAAGGATGGAGGGATGAAAGCAGTCGAGATAAGCAAGATTGGTTGAATCCAGGAGGATTTTCGGCCTGGGACTTAGCGCGCCTCCCACGTGACTGCGCCCACTTTCCCCAGGAGTTCAAGGCACCGCACCGCAGCATCTAGACTTTTGCTGCCATTTTAAACGACTTCAATTGTTCTCCCCCACACCCCCCAACCGAGTCCTTGGATATCATACTGCGATCCGTTCCTTCTCTCGCATCTCACAGCTATGACCGACATCCGTGACAATGAAGTCCTTCTCGAGTTCTGTAATTAGTACGTGAAATTTTTACTATTGCACCTTGTGTCAGCATCTCCCGTTCTTTTGCGCTCATGACTTTCAATGACAGATAAGTCGGGTAAGAAGTTCGCTCCCAAGGCGCCCACTCGACGCACCGCTCCAGCTTCGGCTGCCCCCCCCAGAAAGCCCAGTGTCGCTTCGCAGATATCGGCTTCTCAAACTCCCCAGCCACCAACGCAGACTGCAACCCCGGAACCTGCCCCTCCTGCTTCAACCGCCGAGCCTTCGCGATCTGTTGAAACAACAGCCCCAGAGTCATCAGCTCCCCAAGAAAAGGATGTGGCGCCAACACCGCCAGCAACTGCAACCGCCACGCCCACAGCGATTCCAATTCCTCGTCCTAAGCGGAAGCCTTCTTTTTCTGCATTTACCCTCTCACAGCGACCTGCCGCAACCCCCTCTGAACCCACGCCACTTCCCTCAATCGAGGTAGCGCCTGATGAACAACGGGAAGATCGAATCTCTGTGGAAGAAGGGAGAGTTTCCGAGAGTCGAGTGAACAAGGAGCCATCTTCGGTCGCTGAAGTTCCAGCCGAAGTTCGCCCTGCCAAGCGCCAAAAGGTCACTGTTGAGCCCGCAACCCCGGCTCCGGAATCCCAGCGGCCTGCAGAAATTCCTCAATTAGCGACTCCCCCGGCTACGCAGACTTCGACCAATGAGGAAACTACGGAAGGTCAGGATAGCACCGAGTCGCAGCCTCCCACCGATTCAAATCTAAAGGTGGTAAAGTCGAAAAGACGGAAACCGTCTAAAGATGTCAGTGGTGGAAACGCCATAACCAAAACGAGAGAGAGGAAGCCACGAGCTCCTCGTAAGAAGCGCGAACCGACGCCTGAGGGCTCCGAGCTTGTGCAGATTGCTCCTGGTATTGTCAAGATGTCGGAGCTGTGCAAGGATCTACGGACAGGAAAGATTTCCAAGCGAGAAACCGAACTGCGCCAAATGGAGTTGGCCGAGCTGGAACGCAAGCAGAAAGCACAACAGGACGAAGAGAACTCTGAGCAGACGCCTATCAAGGAGAATGAAAATGCAGACTCCCCAGTGCTGGAGACGGGGGATCCGAAGCCGCAGAATGGACCAGTCATGAGGATTGTGAACGGAGAAATTGTCATCGATGCGGCATCGCTGGAAGTCGACCGTCATGCGGATGCGGCAAGGAACGCCGGAGAATTGGAAGATGTTGTAGAAAACTCCCTTACTCGGAAAGTCAACCAGGCATCATTTGGAAAGCGTTCCAAAACCGAATCATGGGACGAAGAAATGACGGAACTATTTTACCGAGGTTTGCGCATGTTCGGTACTGATTTTATGATGATCAGTAAACTTTTCCCGGGGAGGTCCCGGCGCCAGATCAAGTTGAAGTTCAACAACGAAGAGCGCCGTGACCCGGGACGGATCAAGGACACCTTGCTAGGACCACGCGAAGCGGTCGACATTAAAGCTTACTCGGAGATGACCAACACCATCTATGACGATCCAAGAGTGATCCAGCAAGAGCTAGATGAAGAGAAGAAACGCATTGAGGATCAGCATGCTAAGGAAAAGCAGGCCCAGGAGGATCTTCTTAAGAATCCTGATGGGGCTGCCGAAGCTAACCAAGCTTCAGAGCATGACCAAGGCAATACCGCACCCGTTAAGGGCAAGCGCAACAGCAGAAAGCAAGCCGCTAAGAATATTGGTGGTGGAAACGAAGAAATTCTGGGCTCTATTGATGACTTTCCTTGAAACATAATGTTTCTTTCTATCGATTTGGTTTAGTCTGTGGATCTCTAATGTGACAGTGATGATAGGCGTTTGCGGTGTTTCCGGTATCCTAATTTGGTGGTTGACCAGGAGTTCAGTCTTATTACTGCCTGATCTGTCTTGATGTCCTTGCGCTTCTCTTTACTGTTTACCTGTACCCTAGTTGCAGTATTCTCCGTTCTCTCGCGGGTCTTAACGTTTAGTATCATGGCTCATGAGCTGGATTCCTTTTTGTCTAGCATGGTTTCCGGCAAATCGCTGGAGTATATAGCTTATTTGCCGAGATAGTTAAATTCTTCTGACTGATATCCTGACGTATCACCGACGTCTTGTTGAACCAAACCCTGTGCTTGTAGTCAGAGCAGAGAACTGAGGGGACCGAGACCGCGAGCTGCCTTCTCCAAGGTCATCATATGCATCATTCCATCTATTATAGGAAGCCGTTCGTAGGCCAGCAAAAGGAGATTCGCGACGACTGCTTCTCCGGCCATACTCATAACCAGCCGCAGCGCCGCCCAGTGCACCCGTCCAGAAGCCCGGCCTCCAACCCTGCCCGGTGGGCGCCGAGGCAAAAGAACTACTACCTGGACAGCTGCTATATGGGGGAGGAGGCCCAGGATAAGGACCTCCTCCACCATTATCACCACCTCCTCCACCACCTCCCCAGCCAAATCTACGACCAGCAGTACGGCCTCCTCTGTTGCCCCCTAAACTAAAACATTGTCGAAACATGGCTCCCAGCATCACCACCAAGACCACAATCATGAGAACAAAGAAGAGGATATCTCCTATGAACGTAAAGCTGTCACGTTGTTTACTACCGTTCGTTCTGGACCAGGGTTCTTCGCGCACACGGCCAAATTTCCGTTCTCCAAGCTCTGTCAGCAGAAGTCGGTATTCTACACCACAGCTGCCTTTAAGTATCCACCTATCATCCGCATTTCGGTATCCCTCACAGACCACGTCTGTGGAGCCAAGCTTAAACTCTTGGGGTAGCGATGCGGTACAGGTCCACTGGACGTCTTCTTCGTCATAGTCGTAGCCTGCGTTAGTGCATCGTATCGTATCGATGGGGTACATGTCGCATATTCTTTTTGAAGGGCCAGTGCATTTTAGCTGAGGTATGGGGTCAACGCGGCGAGCAGTTGTGAAGCGATTCGCGCGCAGAGTCAACGTTTGAACTTTAGAGAGAAGGATGGCTTTACTGCCTGGGGGGTTCTCTGAGTTTCTGCCATATGAAAGGACAGAAAGGGGAAGGAGGAAAGACAGAAGAGTCCGCCAAATTATTGGGTACATGGTTTCAAAAAAAAATCAACCAAGTTGATATGATATGACAACTGCAGAAAAAGATTGACGAGAAGTGGAGCTTTTATATACGTGGTGGTGTTTAATTTCTTGACAAGTGTCATCATCCACCAGGTACCAAAGTGACGCGTCTTGGATTTCGAAATTTACCGGATGAAAGGAGACTAAACTTTCTCCAGTTGAGTAAATTTTTTCTAAAGCGGATAGATGGCTCTTTGTTCCTTTTTGTTTTCATTACTTTTGGAAGAGAGAAAAAAAACTGATAAATTGAAGTCGCAAAACGATCAGCGATAAGGATAGGACGCTAATCCCGACTAGTCTATAGTCTACAAATTAATTCGCTGCGGAAGTTCAAAAGTCCAAGTCAAACCCTCCGGAGAGAATCATTTTTCCCCCAACCTCGCTTATCCGCACGGCGATGGGTCGTTGAGGTCTACAGTGGCTGAAAATGGCATTTCAGCAAAGTGCGCTCTTGTCCAAATTCGCAGTTGAATCTCTTGACTAACCAACGACGCATTAGATGAACCCTCGCCCGTTTCGGCTCAGTCCTCGTACGTCATTAGCATTGCTTGCATATGTCCATACATATATAATTAACAATGGAGCCGATTTAGGTTGTCCTTTACCCAGGGATTTCTTCTAGGACAACTCTCCGTTGTACTGTTGATCGGCGCCTTCATCAAATTCTTCATTTTTGGCGAAGCTCCTCCACCGCCATCCCGCGGACTTTCTCACCGCGCTTCAACACACCGACGCTCCAATTCCATCTACACCATAAATCCCAGTGAGGGAAATCCTAGGTCGCTCAGAGAGAAACCGTCCAACTCTAACGTCCTTCGTCCCGTGCCGTCGTCCTCCACGAATACTCGGTCCATTCTTCGGAAAACCTACTACAGCGCGATACCTACAAACCCCTCAGGGAAGCATGGCCGTCATAGGATCCATCATTCTTCTCATCAGCCAGAATCGTTGGATTGGTTCAATGTACTGATCGCGCAAACCATTGCGCAGTACAGGCAAACAGCGTACCTACTAAAGGATGATCCGACATCCTCGATACTCAGCTCGCTGACTGCGGCATTGAACAACCCAGAAAAGAAGCCTTCCTTCATAGATAAAATTGCAGTGACGGATATATCCCTAGGAGAAGAATTTCCAATATTCAGTAATTGTCGCATTATCGCTGTGGACGATCCCAATTCTGACGGCGGAAGGCTTCAGGCATTACTGGACGTCGACTTGAGTGACGACAACCTCTCTATTGCTGTAGAGACTTCACTGTTACTGAATTACCCCAAACCATGTTCTGCTATCCTTCCAGTGGCCCTCTCCATCTCAGTGGTGCGGTTTTCAGGGACATTATGCATATCTCTCGTTCCAGCATCCACCCCCCCCCTTCACACGCCGTCGCCCTCACCTTCACCACCAACCGCAGATGGGGCTGCGAATGCACGGACACAACCTACAAATGGGCCAAGAGGCCCCGCCCAAGAATCTACTGACGCCCAAGAAGAGTCTCCACCGAAAACTAGCCCGAAAAGCAACGTCGCGTTCTCTTTCCTTCCAGACTATCGATTGGATCTGTCAGTACGATCATTGATTGGCTCCCGTAGCAGGTTGCAAGATGTACCGAAGGTTGCTCAATTGGTAGAAGCCCGTGTCCATTCATGGTTCGAGGAACGAGTAGTGGAGCCCCGAGTACAAGTGGTAGGCTTGCCGGACCTGTGGCCTCGCATGGGCCGGACAGGTGTACGGACGGGAGAGGATTCTGAAACCGGCTCCAACGCAGCTTCCCGGTCCGCCATGTCTGCTGATATGGGCAATTCACTTCGAGCCGATGATATAGGCAGGGACCCTGAGGGGTTAAGGTTCCGAGGGCTGGGAACACGGCCACCGTTCGATAGTGTCTCGCGAACGAGTAGTTTCAATGTCGAAACAGGTGGCTTTCGCAGTCACAGCATGACCCGAGAAGGCAGCGGTGGTGGCATGAGTGATGAATTTCAAATGCCCGGCACTTTACCTGGAGGTGCGGCCGCCAACTAATGGCTTTATTTTGCTAATGTATACTAACCTATGTTTTCATAAAGAGGATCTTTTTGCGTAATGTGCGCTTTACACGTGCATAGCGAAACCAAATATTTGTCATGGATCTCATTGCTTTGGTATATACACATCTAATCGTTCAATGTAGTCATGCCTGTCACCCGGAAAGATGTAGATCACCAGGCCGATTGAACCTCCCTAAGGTTTGTCCCTGCTTAATCCTAAACCTAGTATGGCACCGGTTTAGTTAGCAGTCACAGCAGCGCTAGAGAGAGTACCAAGGTATGTCTTCCGGTGCGGGTTAGTATCCACCTCTTTGCTACGGTTCAAAGGCGTCCACTTGGGCTCTTCCTGGAAAAGGCGCATAGCCTTGACATACTGCAAGTACACGGTCAGCGGGGCTGGGACAACACAGAAAAGCTAGCATAAGACTCACGTTCTTCTCATCGGTCGTGAATCGATGGTAAATCCCGGCGGGAAGGATGATGAGGTCATCCTTGCTAAGCTGAATCCGGACCCATTCGTCCTCCTGGCCACGCACGTCGAAGTAGCCCTCGCCGTCGCGGATGTACCGAATTTCCTCATCCTCGTGAAGATGCTCAGCAAAAAACATCTTCACCTTCGACTCGTAGAGATCACCCATGGTCTGGGGAGAGACGCAAACCTCATCGCGGTTCTTGTATCCGCGCTCCTCGGCCAAAGTATTAACAGTCTCGATATCAGGGCAGTAGCGGTAAAAGACACCGATAGAGGCGAGATAGTCTTCGGAGACAGGGCGACCGGAGTCGTGGGGCTCGCGCTGGTCACCCTGTTGCAAAGTTAGCTACTATTCTTCTGTTGCGAGAATGACGGCAGTGCGGTGCCGGAGCCATTGAACTTACCGGCTTGTTGTCGTACCAGTATGCCTTCATTGTGGACTGCGGTTCTTAATCTTCGTTTTTGAGAGATAGAATCAAGTGAAACTCCAGTTTCCTGTGGGGAAGATTACTTCAGGCACAGAGATGAAGAATGGGAAAAAACCGACTGTAAGCCAATGGTCTGCGGGGTTGAGAAAATCGAGCCCCACAATTGGCCAGCGATTGCGCAACGATCGAGATCTCCGGCCTCACCGCCCTCGGACTTAACGGCCATAGCAAATATGCACGTGATGCTTACTAACCACATTTTTGTTTCTTGTTTCTTGTTCCGTATTAGAATTCTTTCAGCCATCGGACTCTCCTCCATATATACCCCATTATCATGGCTTTTCGGGCACGGTCTTTGGCTCTTGTTCGATGGGGTCACAGCTCTCGCTCCCGGTTGATTGGTCCAATTCGTGACCTGGCCACCGTTTCTAATGGCTCACGGTATGTCTTTGCATCCTTTCTTTTACTCATGACACTAATATCATTGATATAGACCATACGATGTGGTTGTTATCGGAGGTGGACATGCTGGCTCAGAAGCCTGCGCTGCGGCAGCCCGATCGGGTGCTCGCACTGCTTTGATCACACCTTCGCTCTCAAACATCGGCGTATGTTCGTGCAATCCAAGCTTTGGAGGAATCGGAAAGGGTACAATGATCCGGGAGGTCGATGCCATGGATGGCGTCACGGGACGCATAATCGACAAAGCCGGTATCATGTTTCGCATACTCAACAAATCAAAAGGACCTGCAGTTTGGGGCCCTCGCGCGCAAATCGATCGTGACCTGTACAAAAAATACATGCGAGAAGAGCTCCTTGGAACCGAAGGATTAAGTGTTTTGGAGGGCAAAGTAGCGGATATTGTGGTGTCCAAGGAGGGCGTGGAGAATGTGCCAGGTGCTCAGGGTAAAATTGTCGGAGTAAAGCTGGAGTCCGGTGAGGTTATCCCTACTAACCGAGTGGTCATCACAACCGGTACCTTTTTGGGCGGAGAAATCCATATCGGAATGACTGTATACCCATCGGGCCGTATGGGTGAGGCTGCTACTTTTGGGCTGAGCAAGTCCCTCCGTGAAGCTGGGTTTCAACTTGGCCGTCTGAAGACTGGGACTCCTCCTCGACTAGATGCAAAAACCATTGATTTCAAAGCCCTTGAAATCCAAAAAGGCGATTCACCCCCGCAGCCTTTCTCCTACCTCAACAATACGGTTGACGTTGGTGACGAAGGCCAGCTCAACTGCTGGATGACCCATACCAACGAGGCCTCTCACGACATTATCCGTGCCAATCTGGACAAGTCCATCCACATTCGCGAGACAGTAAGAGGACCGAGATACTGTCCGTCTCTTGAGTCGAAAATCATTCGCTTCCAGGACAAACAGCGACATCTCATTTGGCTGGAGCCAGAGGGATTTGCACCTAATGACGTTATCTATCCTAATGGAATCTCTATGACTGTTCCGGAAGACGCTCAGTTCGCTATGTTGCGGACGGTTCGTGGGTTAGAGAACGTACGCATGCTTCAACCCGGCTATGGAGTGGAATACGACTATATCGATCCTCGCAACCTTCGGCCTACCCTAGAAACGAAATTGATTAGCGGACTTTACCTCGCTGGTCAGATCAACGGAACAACCGGGTATGAAGAAGCCGCCGGGCAGGGAATCATCGCTGGTACCAACGCTGGTCTTTCTGCAAAAGGTCGGTCGCCACTCACGCTTACGCGGTCAGACGGATTCATCGGAATCATGATCGACGACCTCATCACAAAGGGTGTATCTGAACCCTACCGTATGTTCACAACGCGGAGTGAATACCGCATCTCCACCAGATCGGACAATGCGGATCTACGTCTAACACGAATGGCCCGCGATGTGGGTGTCGTCTCGGACAAACGCTGGCGTCAATTCACCGACACCGAGGCGCAACTCAAAGAGCTCCAGACTCTACTCGCTAACACAAAAATGTCCTCGAATGCATGGACCCGCAGAGGCTTCAAGGCCCGAGTCGACACCTCTATCCGTTCTGCCCTGGACCTTCTCTGCCTTGACGAAGTCGATGTAGACGCTTTGATCCCGCACATCGAATCCCCATCCGGAAAGGTCTACACGCCCTCATCCTTTGCCCCTGAAATCCGAACCCGCGTCGCCATCGAACGCCGCTACGCTCCATACGTCGCACGGCAAGAGACAGCCGTCCGCAAGTTCCTGCAGGATGAAAGCCTTTTCCTCCCCCCTGACCTAGATTACTCCAAAGTCCAAGGCATAAGCACGGAGGAGAAACAGGCCCTCGAACGCGTCCGCCCTGTCAGTGTGGGCATGGCCAGACGAATCGAAGGTGTCACTCCCGCGGGTGCTCTGCGGTTACTCGCACACGCTCGGAGAACTGGCACAGCACCAGCAAGTGACAATCTAGAAGAAACGCCAGACGATATCCTACAACAAGCTCCTTGAATCGAAATTTGAATCTAGTACATACATCACTTACGAACATGCACATTTTGCATTCTTATATTCTGAAAATTCAGCGGCAAACACACCAGGCGTAATGGACAGGTTTAGGGAAAGAAAGGTGCCTGATATGGAAGGGCTTGCATCCTCCTTATGAGGCAAAATAATCCGGGAAAGGATAAATATGTATATTATCTGATGCATTTTTTGGGATTGTATCCTTGATTTATTCTGACGGGTCATGGACATGTATGTATACTATTGGAATCTCCTCATCTCACCATGTACATTATTAACACTATAGATAAAGCATTGAAGATGCCTGTCGCATCATTTCAGAGTTACTCCCTCAAATGTATAGAACAATTAATCCAAACAATAACTTGTACTCTCGCGCTGACCGTAGGGCTAGAGGGTAATAGCTACTCCCCAGCTAGAATACACACATGTAGCCCGCTTCCCTCCATTCTATATGTAAAGATAAATGCTTGGGTAATATACATACAAGATATACTAATGCAATATGTTCAATCAGACATTCTTCTTTGCAACGTTAGAACTGGCCCGTGCAATACGCTTTTGGACTTCTTCCTTGCTTAGGATCTTTACGGCGTCTCTGGAGAAGATGTAGCTCATTCCGGACCAGATGGTGGTGGCTGCGACGAGATATCTATATGCTTCTATTAGGTTTTGTACACAACAAAAAGGAACTTATAAAGAATTTGAAGGAAGACCAGAGCAAAGCTTGTAATGAGAAGAGAATTAAAAAAAGATAAAACGTACAACAGCCGGGATTCGCTGGTGGTCACCCACCCAACTACTAACCGGCCGGCGTGTGGCTTAAGTACGGCTGAGCGGACGGGAAGCCCTGTTCTCCACACCCTATGGTCGTACGTGCTGGGAGTGTCTCCGAAAAGGCTTATATTGCCCACTCCGACCATTTTTCTTTTCGCAGAAACAAAAGGGAAGGACAAGAGGGTGGGGAATAAGGACAAATTTCACTTACTGAAATCCAGTCATTGCTTCTTTGAGATTCCATGCGTCTACAATTACCTCGGGAACAACGGGCAATGCGATGGCGCTACCCACGAGTAGCAGTTGCAGGGCGGTGTTGACCTTGGAGATGGTCGTTGGTTTTACTTCCGCAGAAGGCAGGGAGAAGTCCCAATACCGGGCCATGGTTTTGGGTGGTGGAAGAGAAATCCAGCGATAGTAAATCGCAGATATCGCGAGGCCAACATCACGACCGAGGATAATGACGGCGAGCCACACTGTTTTGGGGGGTTGAATTAATATTACTACTTCATAGGGGTAGCAGATGACATACCTGGGATGGACCCATTAACTGCTAGACAAGCAACTCCGATGGTCATCAGAAGCTTATCAGCCATGGGATCGATGATCGTCCCAACGACTGTCTGGAGATTATATCGTCGCGCGATATAACCATCGACGAGGTCGGTAATTCCAGCATAAGCAAACAGGGCTAATGCGGCCTGATGATAGTCATGCACAAGGAAATACCCCACTAGAGGGGCGGCTGCCAGGCGCGTGAAGGTCAAAATATTGGGGACCGTGTAGATATTCTCATGAGTTGAAGGTAGGGGAATGCGAGAGAGAATTGGGGACTTTTTCAAGCCAGTTTGAGATCTAATACCACTTAGTCCTCCTGGAGGAATAGAACAAGTCTTCGAAGAAGTTGCAGTGTAGGAAGAGCACGGGGTAGTACTAGAGCACCTACCTATGAGCATCGGTCTCATTAGAGGACTTTTTCGTGGCAAGCCATCTTCTTTGGAGGGCAGAACTTTGGCTCCATCGTGATTCCACCCCCAAAGCCACATAATTGTTAATGCTTAGCCATCTACTATTCTGTCAGACAAGTGTTATTATCAAAACTCGGTTTGCAAGTAAATCATACTTGTTTCGTAATGAGTTTGATGTGCCAGCCAATGTGAAGAACGAAGAGCTGCGAAGCTCCATTCGAAGGCCTGACCATCTTTCCCGCGCGACAGAACTATGTCCGTGGAATGAGAATAGCGCAGTTCCAGAGAACAGAGGAGAACATCGGTGAGATGCGCGAAATGGCGCCAATGTTAAAGGCCTTGCTGCCATAATGAAAGCTAGATAGTCGCAGAAAATGAGACAAGAGACCCAGGGGGGTTAATGGATGGACTACAACGGGATGTGGAAGACTCAGGAGACAGTTTCCAACAGAAAGGAATGTTCAGGGTAGAAAGGGCGTTCCACCTCAAACATAACCAGCAGTATACAACTCCGATGTATTACCAGTAGATCTAAGCCGTTTGCCCATAGAGTAGCGTCCAAGCTCACAGTGGGTCAGTTCTTAGTGATTGGGGGAAAAAAGGGAGAGTACCGAGACTAGGGCAAGGTTCCTTTTTCGATGGCAAATGAGGATGCAAGAAATGAAGGATGCTGAAGAGACCTTGGCGATCGACAACAGTCCCAGCTATCCGAACGGGTGATCTAGAGGTGGCAGCTCGACGACCGACTTCCGCAACTCCTAACCGAGGGAGATCTCCAGGTCAGCAGGAGCGTGAATAATGAATAGACCAGGCAATTGCCACTCAAAGTTGACTCGAGGGCAATTGACTGGGGAGCTGCCACCGAAAGATGTGGAGTGAAAAGGATTGGAGCTATACAAATCGAGGCTCATGATTTGAGGAAAACGTCTGTGGAACAATAGTTGATCCGGTAAGCGTCATGTGACGGGGGGATCATACTGAAACTGACGGAGATCAATGATAATGAAGGATAATGACCGAATTGTGAGGCTGACAGGTCAGACACATCCCAAAATGATGTAGTTTCAGTATTTTCAGCTCACCTGAGGCCACCGATCAGGTTCATCTGCTCCGATGCAGCAGATCGATCTGTTCTTGGCGTGCTACTATATAAATCCGCACAGGTCTCATCTGACTTCTTTCACTTCTCACCTGATAGGAAGAAGAGCAGCTGTCCACACAACTTTCGTCATACAAAATGACTCCACAAATGGAGGCGACATGTAAAGAATGCCTCTACCCCGGATTTATCAAGCTATCGTATCTCTCCGAGGTGCTACAACCGTTTACCATAGTGCGTTACCTTATGGATAATTCTAGGACTTCATCATTTCATCATGGGGCTATGGGATGATGAGGAGGACTCGAATTCATTTCAAATGAGGAATCAGAATATGGCCACGGTCACTATTGAACGTCCGTCAGCTCCACCACCGCCAGGCTCTGAATTACCTCCAGCGTCAAGACAGCCAAGTGTACCGGATATCCCATCGGCGGAAACGTCTATAGATCCTAATCTGGCCAATCCCCGTCTGATGGTTAACAGAGCATGTATCTACGAACGCCAATTACCCGGAGACGCCTATATCACGGCCCATGTACAGCGCCTGCAACATGGGTTCTACTCGAGCGCGGCCGTCTCAGATCAAGACCTCGACCATGTTGATTTCCTGGGTATCAACTTCGTCTTCCACTCTCCCAACACCCTGACGCATCGGTTCAAGGCAGCTACCATTCGTGTCTCGGTTCACAGCATGCGGAACAACTCCAGCACCTCTACAGCATCACAAAATCTGCACACCTACAGGTCCAAAAACCCACGGTTTCTCATGCATGCACCGCATCTTCTGTACGGAGCTGTCTCGCCCGAAACCCTCCAATGGAACTACAGTCTCTCTGGATCGCTCGGCGTAGCTGAACTTCCCCTGATGGCCAGTATCTCGCCCTCCACCGGCATGAACGGACGGTACCGACGGTATGAGATGATGAGGATCCAGGGGTCGGTCCGGTCATTGAAGAGCCCACGCGGACGTAAGTTCGACGTCGAGGCAGGGGAGGCCGTATGGTCGCTGGAAGAAAACAGTCTGCAACGATCTGGCCTGCCGCGGGAGTTTACCTTCGCCATGTTGATTCAGAAACCGCGCGCCGACAGCCGAATCCATCTCGCTCTCGATATCGATCCAGTTCTTCAATTCGGTTACTTCACCTACCCGACATGGTGGCTGGATCTTCCGAGTTATAGGCCGGTGCCTCGACGGCCAGTGGACTTTCGAGCTGAAGTCGGGCAGCGCTTCGAGCCGATCACGCCGAATAGGGGGTTCAACTTCGCTGCTCTAGAGAGCTCGTTTGATGACTACGTACAAATGCCAGGGAGAAAGTTCACCACGGGAGTAAGTCTAGCCAGCTTCAGATCGAAAGAGGTCGATCGCAATGCCTTCAAAAGCTCACATCAAACTACAGATGTCGTTAGAAGGCGGATGCACCCAAGACGACAACGAAATCCGTCGCGACGTAACACGAGATCTCGCCATGGTTGAACCAGTCCGGGGTATACCCCGGGCGCCCTACTCAGGACCAACACCCAGTGACACTACAGGGAAAGCCCCTGGAAACCGGAACGGAGTCAGCAACATAATACCCATCTTCGACCCGACGTCTCTCTCCGTGAGAATTTTCCTGAACAACGGCCATGGCCATAGCAGCCAGCTCGCCTCGCATATCTCCGCACTGCGCTCGAGCGGCAATATCGCTATAGAACGAGATAACCCCCGGACCCCGACCCCTGCCTCATCTACAGCCACTATCCAGGATAGACAACCATCATCACAACCCAGGAGAGCACGGATGAAGCAGATCGCACCGGGGGCATCAAACAAGCCGAGGGCCAGTACCTAGGTAGGCAGACCTCTCTCCAGGTAAGGATACCCATCATATCTACGCCCCCCAAAACCAACATCTACATGTACAATAGACAGGCCGGATGGAAACCAGATGGTGAAAACCCAAACCCAAGCCGCAGACGCTCCAACCAAGATAAACTACCCCCACCTTAATCTTAATGACAACAAGAAAAAAGTCTGTAATTTTTTTTTTTTTAAAAAAAAAAAAAACCCAAAATAACCTCACTATAGTACACCCCACATAATCCATGAAAATCAATCACAGGGTAAAAAAAGGAAATTCAAATACACCTGAAACATGACCCTGGGTGACTAATCCACCCGCGATGACGGCCCAAAAGAAAAGAAAAAGTAAAAAGAACCCACCGTAACCCGTGATCGTACCCCAGAAACGGTACTTAATTGCCATGCGACGCACGTCATTGGACAGGACCCGCTCGGGATAAATCGCCAGGACCCACATCCGGACATGATCTGCACTCCCATGTCATTAAAGGCAATATTAAGAGTTATATTAACTTAAAACTTAAAATGAGGCATGGGGATTGGGTTACCTAATGGGTCAATCTTCAATTTCAACGGTTAACCCGGGGAAGTTCTTGGAGCGTCCGTGGATAGGAGATAGGGGATAGTGTCATGTTTATGATTTTTGCGGCTCTCTTGGATCCTTGGGTTGGGAGGGTGGTTTTTTCCCTCTTTTTTTGGGGGGATTTGTTACGGTGGTATGGAGTAGTAGTGCTGGTCCTTTCTCTCAGCTATTCTCCTCTCTTTCTTGATTCTTCTGCTTCTATTCTGCTGGCGTTTATGATTATAGATTATAGCGATTGGGAAGAATTTTAATGGTTATGAGCTCCATAAGAATGACCCCTAGTCAAAACAAAAAGAGAGATGGTATCAAGATATGGAGAGAAATGAAAAAAGGAACATGAATACAACGTAATTATACTGGAATTGACCCTACTTTTCCCGAAGATCGATCAAGTCGAATAGAGAGAGAACCACCCACATGTGCATGTCGTGAATTGAATTGCAGAAGAAAAAAGCGTAGAACGTCAAACCGAGTCGTCCCGCCGTCAGAAGATACCCGCCAAACGTACAAGAGAAGTAAACGTTTCTCATATACATCTCCTGCATGATGCTGCTTTAGTACCCGAAACCATCTTTGTAGTTGGCGTGATTGCAGAAAGGGGAGCTCGAGAAAAAGACATAGGGTAGATAATGATATCACCAGCTCCTTGCTGAAAAATCGCATGAAACACTAGCACAAAGAAATAGCAATGTGGATCTGCAAGCAGCGTTGCATCGGACCGACCGGTGGATCTGCTTTCATATACACCAGAATCCACGCCTCCTCCCATGGAACCCGCGAGGATAAGATCGTAACAAGTCAAGGGAAAAAAAATCAAATAGGAATACCACCAGATAACCGCCCCAAACCGTGCCACCCAAACCGACCCATTGATCATAATCACATTAGAGCGACACGCAGAGAATATTGCTTTCAGCGGGGATTGAAAAGAAAAGTAAAACAAAACGAAAACAGCCGGCCCTCATGGCGGAGAAATACGAAAGAAGGCTAGAACTAAGAGAGGGAATTTGCAGTGCATCACATCATCGTAGCTGGGGAATAAAGGACATATAACATGCAAAGAAAGAAAGAAACGGAAAAACCAGCCACCAGTATCTCCTCTAAGAGCAGTAATCATCCGGGTAATCATCCGTAGCGTATATGCAGAGTCTATTCCCAAATTGCCGCCCTTCTGCTGGAGAGTGAAAACGTATACCATGCGAGGAATTAGGGGGGAAAAGAAGGTAGGGAAAAGACAAAGAAAGGCACCAAACAAAAATAGAATAAAAACCAGCCGAAAGTTTCCCAGATGATGGTTATACTTGCGGTTGCGCTGGAGCGGCCGTGGTCCATGTAGAAACAGGGTAGTTGGCATGGGCAGCTGGAGCGGTGGCACCCACATAATACGGATGCCGGTCACCTGCAGCGTAATAGGGAGTAGGAATTGAATTTGACTCCCGACGGGGGATACTAGGGTCAAAAGCCGCCATGCCGCGCTGTTCCAGAGACTGATGCGACGCACCATCTAATTGCCCCGCTAGGCTGAAACTGTTCCCCCGTGAATATGTAGCCGGCGTGGCAGGGTCCATCGGTGAGGTTGCATCCGTTGCAACGCTCCGGGAGGAAATTGAAGAGTTCCGATAAGCCGAGGGACTGTGATCTGAGTGGGATCGATTACGGTCGCTCAGGGAGCTCGGCATGGCCGCGCCCATTGCGGAAGGAATAGACGACGAAAGAGGGTTGTGGTTGAGCGTATCGAAGCTCGTCCCATACTGCGCTGGTGCGCGAAACTGTGGATAGTCGTCCGGTTTCTGTGGAATCTGAGTCGGAGCAGAAGGAGCAGGGAGATAGGGATTTGGAGCCGGCTGGGCAGGGATCGATCCAGCCATCGAGTAGGCGGTCATCGGGGCCGACTGTGGCGGATGCGTTGCCGCGTAAGGGTTCGCGTGCATGTAGAAATCTGGATGAGGATTTGGCATTCCATACCCTGGAGGGGCTACGAGCTGCGGACGGTATCCGTATAACGCATGAGACGGGTCATTTGGATTCTCCATGCCGCCGGTCTCCAGATCATCAATGGGAGCCCGGAAGCTTTGCTTCTGGGTCAATTCTGCCCGAGGCCGGATAAAGCGCAGTGAATCCACCATCGACGGCGGGTTCAAAACACCCCTCATCACATCTTCCACGCTATAATATGACACTAGATGGTGCGTCACGCCGGACACGGTCACGCTCATCGTCTTCTTGACCAACCCCGAATCCTTGAAGCCGTATGAATCCACCAAGGATCCGACCAGCGCTCTTTCCACATCCGACTGGTGCGACCTCTCTCCGAACGTGCCAGTGGACGAGGGAGAGTAGCTCTGACTACCGTTACTCTCATGTCGTGGATAGGGCTCCCCGGGTCTCGTCGGAGGGACCGGCCGTCGGTTCGCCTTTTTCATCGCGCGTTTTTTCTCGCCCGGCGGGAATGGCTTTTCGAGCTCCCGGTAGACTAAGAAGTTGCCCAGAATGCGACTCGGGCTCCAAGTGACGCCGTCGGTCCATCGCTTGATGCCGGACGAATTTTCCTCGTAAATAAACACGCTGCCGCTCCGGACCAAGTGGCCGCGTTCCCGATCATGAGGTCGGCGGGGCACATGATGCAGGACCCCGGTCAAACATGCCTCAAATAAAATTAATGCATCCTGTGTCGTCGCGACATATCCCGTGAAGGTAGGCTCCAACACCGTGGTGGTGCCGTTGACCATTGTTTATGGTGATTGTAGGTTCGAACCTAGTTCAAAAGGGGGCCAAAGAGGTAAAATCGATCAGAGTTAAGGCCACCGCTGATCAAGGTTTCGCGGTTGTTATTAAACAGAGTAGTGGCTCCCAACCCGCAGAAAGGAAGGATGGCATACACGAAACCCGCGATTTCTTCGAATCGCGACTGATAGTAAGAAGACACTGTGCTAAATAGAATCAGGCGCCCTCTCGCAATGGGGAAGGATATCTCGAGATGGGACTGGTGGTAGTAAATGGGAAAATTCGGGAGGGGGAGGCAAAATGTCCTCTCAGCCCGGGGCGAAGTAAAATGAGGGAATGACAGGTTGATGGGGAGTCAAAAGCGAATGGTGAACCGTAGACCAGGGACGATGGCGCAAGTTAAATTCCCCCTCCTCTTGGACGAGTTGCAGGATCACCCAGACGTGGGCGACCCGGATCGACAAGCAAGCACGGGCCCGGCCTTTTTTCCCAAGGCTTTTTTTGGGCGAGAGCGAAGGTTGGATCTGGAGAGGGATCACTGATCAATCAAAATCACCCCCAAGATAATACTTGAGATAATACTTGGGTCGACTGGAGCTCTGGGTTCCACGGATAGGGATCGGGATCGTATAGTGTTGACTTATGACTAGACTCGCCCCGAACCAGAGAAATGGCTGCGGTAATTCCAGAGTTGGGACCTGCACGATGGGGGGTCAGATGAAACCCGTTTTTTTCGTTGACGCGACAGGAATCCAAGTTAAGTTAAATAACCAGATCCGACGAGGGAAGAAAAGGAGTAATTCGCAGCTTACAGTTCCGTTGAGGCAAAAGTTGAATGAGAGAGCTGTCTTGGGGGAAGAGAGAGCCTGGTTTTCCGGAGGAGGGAATGTAAGCCGATTTTATCCACTTTTTCAGGTTCAGAACAGCCACCAGTACGCCATACGAAATGGAGAACAGAAAAACGAAAAATGAAAAACGAAACAACAACCAGAATCGAATGTTGGAAATGTCAGAGAACAACTTGAAACATCATGGAAATAATCCAGAGATAAAAAAAAAGGGTTGTAATAAGAATAATACTGATAAAACGAAGTAAGAGATAGTGAGCAAAATGGGGTAAAAGGTTTAAAACAAAATCAAGATTAAAGTAGAAAAGGAAAAGGAATCAAATCAGAGAAATTTAAAAGATCAAGATTGACTGAACAGGGTTGTTCAAGGGTAAGTAAGGTATTGTAAGCCTCTCTGTCTTTTTCTCTTCTTTGGATGATATTCTTTTTTTTTTGGAAACCAAATCCCAAAAAATAAATTATTAAAAAGACCGAAAAAAGAAGGAAAAGAAAGTAAAAAGAGAGAGATCATTAAAAAGAATAGTTCCCTACCCCCTTCCTGATGATGATGACGATGATGATCGAAGAGCAGGATAGTCCAAAAAATAAAATAATTTAGAAGAAAAATAATAATAAAAATAAAAAATAAGAAGGGAAAATAATAAGCAGAGAGATAATAAAAATAACGATAAAAAAAAAGAAAAAAGAAAAAGAAAAAGAAAAAAGTAGTGCATTGGATGCCGATGAATGGGCGGAAAGCAAGTCAAACTAGACCAGAGCCGGGCATAGTGTGGATTTACAGGGAGGAGCGAGACACAGACTCACTGACAAGACAACCCAGACCGTGAAGAGTGACCGGCGTTGAGCGGGCGGGGCGACCCAAAAATCGTAGGCCCGAGCAGGAGGCAGAAAATGAGAATGGGTGGGGTGGGGGTGCAACTAGCGATCCCAAGGAGCAGGCAAATCCGCAACACAACAGGTGGATCTTCCTCCATGAGGCCATCGCGGATCCATCACTCCCAAGGGAAAGCTCCAAAGTTTGGAGGCAACTTTCGGATGGTTTTTCTTCTTTTTTCTTTTTTTAAGGAAAAGTAAAAAAAAAAAAAGAAAAAAGAGAGAGAAAGAAAGGAAGGAAACTGGGGCACGTCACAACTTTCATAACTGACTGACATAAAACAAACCAAAATAAATCGTAGCATCATCATCGCATGGAGAATAATCTCATCGGAGAGAATTAAAATAAAAAAGAAATGGTGCACGAATGGTGACATCTTACCAGTTTCATCGCGCGTTGGAAATAATCAGGTTTAAAAAAAAAAAAAAAAAAAAAAAAAAAAAAAAAAAAAAAAAAAAAAACAAAAAGGTACAAAAAAAAAAAAAAAAAAAAAAAAAAAAAAAAAAAGAAAAAGAAAAGGCATCAACAACCTCCATACTTCAAATGATCGAATAAGAAATAATAACCAGTATAATAATAAATTAAATGGAAACCAACAGGGGAGAGAAAGATAAACTTGACTTACTCTGAAGAATCCAAAATCCGCGGGGATGGCAGAAGCAGGTACCCCGTTTCACTGCTGGTTTGCTGGTAACCTTAGTTTGGGGAAGGTTAGTAGTCAGGTAATGACGTCCACTATTACTTCTTGATGCCGTTCTTTCTGTCTGTTCCTTTTCTTTTCTCTTCTTTTTTTTTTATTCTTTCCCTTTCTTCTTGTTGGAAGAGAGGTTCACGAGACAGAAATGTATGACTCAATTAGTAACCACTCTCCAAGTCCTTGACTGTATCTGGAGGAAAAAAGGAGGGGAAACCGCAAAAAGAGGGGGTGCCAGTGGAAATTGACCGGAGCTCAACTTGCTGTTAGACTGCGTCCGGGCACAAGTCAGATAAAGAAAAGGGGAAAGCTGAATTTTTTTCTTCTCTTCCTTTGAATTGTTATTTCTTTAAAAAAAAAATATAAAAGAAAAGAAGGGATAAAATATACAAATAAGATATTTTAGTTTACCGAAACGAGGAGGGATGTAAATGTAATAATAGAAAGGAGATTAAATTGACCGCAGGAGAGACGGTCGTTTTTTTCGCGTTTAGTAGTTCTAAGTTGGGAATAAACTCATGAATGGGAGAAAGAGTGGGAGGTATGTGCGAGAGTTGCCGGAAGAAGGGGGGGAACATTGGGCTAAAATAATGGTCGATGAAGATTGTGACCCTAACAGATTACGGGGATAGCGTTAAAGCAGGTAGATGCATACAGTAAGTCAGTGAAATGTGTTCTCGGAGAGAATCCTGTCGGGATGTCTGTCTAGTATGTATAGTCGACTAGACAGACCAGACAAGATAGAAGTAAGTATATACGTTTGTAAAGTATGTACTTCTCTTGAACAGTTGATCCTCACTAAACTCGAACTAAACAAATTAGGGTAACCAGTCACAGTAAGGAACTAATTCAATCTAGTCAGGTAATAGTAGCGGGCAACTATCTTAGTAGTACCGGAGAAGGTCAAGCAGTAGACTAGACGAGGTTGTGGTTCGAGGTTGTGGTACATAGCAATAGCTAGTCTGGTAATAGTCAGACTCCAGTGCCATGGATGCCCAGGGGTACAAAATGGGGTGGAGCTGGACGGTTAAGCCCTTGGGATTGGGGGGAGGGATTTCGGTTGGGGAAAAGTTGCGAAGGAGGGGGCTGTGTGTATGTGTGTATACGTGTGTTGAACTACGAAACAGAGAGGACTTCTCGTGGGGAAAATAAAACAAAACAACAACAACAATAATAATAAATAAATAAATAAAAAATTTTAAAATAACAACAGTGAATGAATTATATTATGAATTCCTTTTTTGGATTTTGCTTTCATATGGTTCTACTTAGGTGATATCATTCAAGATTTGTATCTTTCCCTAGAATTGATTGAATTATTCACTATAGAACCATTTATCTATTTAACCTTTACGCACCTTACAGATAGTAAAAAATAAATGAAGAGTAGATCGAACTATACAGGACCTATCTGGATTCTTAATCTTATTATTATTATGGTTAATCTGTATAGACTTCTTCTGGTCCCTCTTTTACTTTCACTTTTTAATTTTATGATTTATTTTTCTCGACTCTGCGCAGGAGTCTGACCGTATATCAGAAGGTATTTATGGCTATGTACATACATACACACATACAATACATTCAACCCAATCCACTCTCACGATCCCTCTGTCTACTAGATATTCCCCTCTTTTCTCCAGACAGCGCGAGGGAATTAGAAAGAAACAAAAAGACAAAAAAAAGAAGAAAAAGAGACAGCGCCTGGCCCGTGAACATTGAGGGGGGTTGGCTGCAGGTGGATCCCCAGCCGTCCAACCACGGCTCCGCCCCTGACGAGAAGTTGAGGACAAGATGATGTGCACTGGTCATCGCTCGTCGGGCAGGCCTTGGCTACTACAATGTTAACTAATAAGTAATTATGGGGTGCATCTTGACTGGATAACGGATTCCACGCCATGCCTCTATTGCCTCACACTAGAGTGGTTGACCCATTCTCATCGTGGGGACTGATCAACCGTCGTCATATCTCTAACATGTGTATTGAATGAAACGTCAACGCTCACTCCATGTTTCAGCAGCGTAACGAGTTCACGTGAATTGGGCCTCTACTGATTTGGTTCCACAAAAAAAAACCTTATATAAGACTAGAAAAGAGAAGAGAAAAGAGAAAGAATGAAGGGGATCCGAAACTTCAAGGTTCGCAACGGGAGGAAGAGAGGACCAAAAGGGGAGGGGGCAGGGGAATCAATCTCATGTATCGGAAGTCGTTTACTAACGGTCATTCATTCTCAAGGGCTCAGATCTCTGGAGGAATACGTACGAATGAGTATTATTGCATAGTGCAATACGGCCAATGGGCAACGGAAGGGAGGAGAAAAAAAAGAGGGTCTGGAGGAAACTAGACTCCATCCTGTCAGCTGGAACTGGTCACTGCACACTGACTAAGGAACTAGTACCTCCTCCCGAGGTAGCTGGCTGGATGTTGAATGACGCCGCCCTACTTCGGGTAGAATCCAATTCCCATCGTCGGGAGATTTTGGAAAAGATGGCGATAGGAAGGGGGTTGGGGAGCAATTCGTGGCTGTCCCAAACGGGCAAATACGGTCCGAGGTCTGGCGGCGAATAAAAGTGATGGTGGGCGTAGGAGTTCAGAGCTACATGGTCGTTCGGAACGCCTTGGGAGGCCATCATCCGCATCTATCCTAGTGTTGTGGACATACTAGTCAAAGACATACATACTGCCCATACCGGATCAACACTCAGACAATTCCTTTGGGCGACTTCCGCGTCCACAGAGGATTGGCCTCGTCAGCCTCCAAAGGACCGGCGGCGGGATGACACCGCTAATGAGCGTCTGTGACGAGTAGACGGGAAGTCATTACGACCATATTGCCCGGCACAGCGGAGACAAGTCTGGAAGAAAGGGGGACTGTGCGCAAGATCCAACCCTACCCTGCATTTCTCTGATTTGGGGTACAGAGTAGATCAGCGCATTTCGTTCGTAGAAAAATAAAATGTTGAGACGGTGTCTTCCTGAAAAGATCCCTTCCATTCCTTCCGAGAAACTGGAAAACGAAGATATCCTATTCTAAATGTGCTATGACAATCACTTACAAATCAGTGATAATAATATCGACGTAATCTCTTTCTATCTTCTCGACGAATATGCTTTTTGTTTTCCTTCTTTGAAAAGAAAATTGTTTAAATTTCTTTATATAGAGTCGAGTTCTAGATCCCAGCATTACCGAAAGGATCCATGCAAAGTGCATTTTCCCGAGGGCAACGGAAATAAAGGAAAAGAAAGGGAGACGTTTAAGAAAGATATAAGCGCCTAAAAGGAGCAAACAAGACGGGCTATATACCTAGGTCCATGTGTTACTGTACAGCTTATGCCACTCAATCGATATCTACATTTTACGCTAGGATTCCTCGGAAGAGAAGAGAGAGAGAGAAAAGAAATAAAAGGAACCTTTCTCCCTTTATTCATATATTGAATTAAGGAATAATAAAAAATAATAATGCCTTGTTCAATCCAGAGTTTACTGAGAGGAAGTTCATCCCTAAATGGGGACATGGGGTTCATATTAAAAAAACTTCGCGGGAGATCCTCAGTCGATCGAAAACATTGAATGAAACCCATGGAAGAGGCTCCGGGTATATAATTAAAAGGTTTCATTGCCGTTCAGGACGGCAACGGGGCATTCTTAGTAGTAAGATTATGGAGTCAATAAGGTTCTTTCAGCTCGGCTTGCCCACCGAAAATCTAAAAAGTAAAATCAGGCCCTTTGAGAGGCTCGGGACTGGTAGGTAGGTCCCGACAAAGTGGGCGAACAGCAGACGATCCCAGTTGGCGCGTGCTTGTCAAAACTTAATTCAGTCTTTGAAAAAAAAAGAAAAAAAAAGAAAAAAGAGGTTCCTGTTTCAAGAAAAGGTAAAGAAATATTGAAAGAGAGGGGGAAAGATAGGTCAAGAGAAGAGATACTAAATAGTGTAGACGCAGGATGAAGTACATACTTAGATCGTGTTGCGATTCTTTTGGTCAGAAAGATCTGCATCTGAGATCTAAGCAAATCTGTTTGGCCTAGGAATGTGGGTCAATCACGATGAAAGGAGAGACTCTCTCATCCTGGTCACATTGATGATTCCGAAACAGGATCCATCGCGCAACGAGTACATATCAAGCGAGCACATTCTGGGTCTCGGAGAATTCTCCGTCGTGTCTCCAGGCGTGGTCCTTCGTATTGGGGGCGTCGTACGGATCAGTCAGGCCGACCGATTGCCTAATTAGGAGTTGATTGTCAACCCAACGGAAGAGGCGAGGCGTAAGGCGCTGTCTTGATATATTGCATGCAGCTGCAAAATCCAGGGGGAAGGAACACCTCGTTTATTGGCATAGACTTGTGGTCAAGTGAGAACGGCATATGCAAGATTTGCAGTATTCAGCAGGGATTGTGAGGCCTTGGACAGGGTTGGCTTAACGAGGAACAAAGGATCTACAAGCTACTAAGGAGATAGTATTCCTTATTGACAGAGGAATTGAGATTGTCCTATCCGTCATTAGAGGGGTTACCTCTCTTTCAAGAGTCAATGCCAGCGCCTCCAGGTGGACTCCGCCACAATCGAAACCCAATTGATAGGGATGCATACAAAGGTGCTTTCACTTCTATCCCGCGGGGAAACGCAAGGTTCTAGCTGTGGCGTACTCTGTACCAAGAATCTGCTTTCAAAGCAAAGAGGGAGGATTTTGCCAGCATTGGTTTTTGTTCAGTTCTTTTCTATCCTTCGTGTTCAAAGGAAGAACAAAATGTCATCCACGCCCTCCTCGTATCCTCGGACCACCATTTCTTTCACGGGGTTTTCACATCTTGCATCTTGTCCCCCACATTATTCTACCAAATTTCCCCCTCCCCTTTCTCTCTTTCAACTTAAGATCTTGGAAAGTCTCTCGATTACACATCTAGACCCGACCATCCTAGCCGCCTACGACCCGAAGATTCGGGTCAGGAGTGAGAGGACGACTAGCGAGACGGTCTCTCTAATTCACAGATATGAATAATAGATTGTTTTTAAATACCTTTTGGCTCCATAGATGACGCTGGCAGGTGCCGAGTAGCTTTATGATTGGATGACGACTCGGGACGGGAATTGTCAGAGAGAGTCTGGGGGTCAATGTCCCTTGGGAGGGGCAGGGCTAGGCAGCTCAGAAATGGAAAAATATATAAATAATCAATAATAATGATAATAATAATTATAATAAAATAGACTAAGGAAAAAATACCTTGTGGCTATGTCCTGACATCTCCAACAGAAATGCCGCATTGGTCGACAGGGTCACCCTGAACTAAAGAGGCGATCATCGCGTCCCAAAGAATGTCGAACCAAAGTGGCCAGAATGGGGGCGGCGTCAGGACACGAGTGCTTTGCACCGACACTAGTATCAACTAGTACTAGACAGAGTAGATCATGGTAATTTTCAGTTTTTAAAGCTCCCTCAGAGAATGAATGATTCGAAAGAATATTTAGATAACATGCATTCAACTTGGAGGGGGGGGGGGGGGCGCAGAGAGAGATCTTCCCAGTGCATGAGGGTTATAGCATGGATGTTGGTGTTTAGGGAATCAAAACCCTTCCTTCCCTCCTCAAAAAGGAAACAAGAACAAGCCAAAGAGAAACGGAGTCGCTATGGATCACATTGTAGGAATAAGGATGCAGGAAACCAAAGCATACAGGTCTTGTGCATCTCCCAACGCAGGCCGCTCGTTATAGTAAACGCCCTAAGAAGCCAAGATGGATGTGCGAGTGTTTGGAGTCCTATCAGAACACTGTGTGCTGGTCATAGCAACCAGACAGGCACCTCATCAGGTACCTTCTTAGGCGTCATAAATGCCTGTAGACTTGCCTCTTATTATTGGTTGAAATGACCACCAATCCCACGTTGAATTCTATTCTATTATCTGCAACTGGTTGTTCCATTATTATTTTATTTTTATTTGATTCGACTTTTTTTTCTCTCTCTGCTCTCCACTTTAAGACTAGGTCTGGCACCTCCCTTTGCTTTTGTTGCTATTTCCAGGATAGAAGCAGTTCGGAGGATAGAAACATTGGTCGACCTTTTTTCCCCTTCAAGGGGGCCACAGGCACTAAGGGACCCGACATCCGGAGTAGTCCATCCACACTGCTCCGGTCGCCGTGCAGTTGGTAGTGGATAAGCCATCCCGCCAGCGTTGATAGGTTCCAAGTTTTGCTAGCATGCATGTACTAGCTATGTCCATCCGCGCCACAGGCTCGTGTAGTGATATGATTCGGTTATGGTGGGAACTCAAAAAAAGGGCAGAAAATATAAAATAGATAAAAAAGATAAAAAAGAAGAAAAATAAAAAATAAAACGAACATGGGGAAAATAATAAATAAGAATATCTCGAAATAAATAGATTAATAACAGCTAGGAGAAATAATTAAGATATCGATAATAATAATAGAAAAAGGACTACCAATGCCATGGCGTCAGATCGATGATCGGTGCGACCGGTTTCATCATCATTCTTACTCCCTTAGGGTATAGATAGAACTCGCTTCGGGCACAGAGCCCTTTCTCTCTTTCCCTCATATCCACTCGGAAGGCCCATTTCCCTTAACTACTCATTTGGTAATTATATCAACCATAATAAAACAATGATAGGAGGAGTAACCACGGCTTGGCACAGACCCGGCCGAAAATCGGGAATGGGGGTTTCATGGCTCTGGAGATTACAGATGAAAAAAAATTGTAAACACAAAAGAGAAATAGGGATCCAAAGGAAAGATACTACTCAAGTTGTCCCTGTGGGTTGCGGGAAATCAAATCCATAAGGCACCGGCGAATGAGGAGAGGAATCATGCTAATCTTCCCCCTTCTTTTCGTGTCCGTGACTCCAATAGCAGCGATCGGTCGGACGCTCCCATGTTATGGACCCAAATCCGACGAGGGCTCCACCGATGGCAATAGTTCCAGATAGCGTTTGTCTGGTTAAGCATCAATGCGGAGGGGGAAAAAAGAAAAGAAGAGAAGAGAAAACAACTTGGGGACTCTCATATCTTTCTGTAGCTTCCACCTCAGGTTAGTCGGAGGACCCAATGGCTCTACAGTAACCTACTGTTGGTGTTTTGTCTTGGATAGATATCTCCATCGTTAGTGTCGAACATATACTGACTCCTGATAGTCTATCTCCGACAGTTATATAATATGTACGAGCTTTCTGATGGAGTCATCACATCCAGATAACTAGATCGGTAGAGAAGAGGGACAAAAGCTACCTCGGAGGACATAAGGAAGAACTTTCCATCAATGAGATGGAAGAAAGCAGACTCAATGGACGCAAGGTAAATCGTGAACTATTACAGTCAATCCCCACGCATCGAAGATATGAAAGTGTTTAGTTGCATGCTGTCAGTTCAGTAGATTCTGAACCCGTCATCAGGAGGATTGAAGTCTCTGACCTGTCTAATTTCCTTCCTGCCTTTTTTCTTTCGGTTGCTATGCCTTGGTTTCGGCCCTGCAGATGGAACTCGCACTAACTGTACATACATACATGTAACATGGCTATCTCTCTTAGAGGTTTCACAGCGTCTCCCGATTTACAAGGGGCCACAAAAATTCATCAGGATGGTCTGTCCTACGGCCTCATGTATCATGTGTTGTTTTGTGTGACATTTCTAAGCCAATGTCGAGGTCAAGAAGTCTTGTCATATGTTATAAACAGTCATGCAAGGTGATCCTTCTGGTCACTGTTGATCATCAACAATGGCCTTTTCTAGGCTCCTTTTTTCTTTCCTTTTTTGTTTGTTGTAAGTTCCCTCCGAGATCTTGCGAGATTCGGGGGAATTCTACAGACTATGATACTGAACGGTATTGCATATCAATCAATAAATCATGATTTCTTTGTTGAGTTGGGGTTTGGGCGGGCGCTTTTTCGTTTACGCTAATTGGATAACCAACTAGATATATCATCCTTCGCGATAGCCATGTGGCTCGCCACGATTTAATTATTGACCGCTAAGCTGCTCAGATGCTTGGCTTTTCCTTGGAGGTTGTCCATGCACAAGGACCAATTCAGACACATAGTGGATTCCAGGTCACGACGCGCGGTTGATCCTGATCGTCATTATATTCTCAACCGCGATTCTATCACCATCCATACTTTTGTAATCCTTCAATTCGAATTATTTGTCCCCCCTTGGTAGATTTGCAATTGGTTCCGCCATCTTATTTGTAAGCAAAATCCATGTCCTTCACGGATTCCATCGGTGACACTAAACGCGTGGTAGGAACTGGCTTCTAGATCTTTCTTTAGGATCGTCTAGACTAGGCACTCAAACCAACCCCCCCTTGCTTGTCGCCTAGTAGATAGTTAGTTAGCTTCAGATATTTTTTCTTTTTCTTATGGTATTTTTTCTTTTTTTCTTATACCAGGTACAGTACCTTAGCTTGCTTGTTGACAGCCCCCCTTTTTTTCCTTTTTTCCCTCCCCTGCTCTCCCTTCACTCCACAGAACCATAAGATATCACTTCCCCCTTAATAATAGAATTTCTCAACGCCTTGTCAAACTCTATCTCAGCAACCGTCGCAATCGATGTCATAAAATTGCGTAGAGAATGATTCATCCCCCCACATCTTGCCAGAGATCAGTTTCAGATTATCACAAAAACGTGGCTCTGGCATCTGCGCGTATGAATAAATTAGTATTACTTTTTCGGAAATTTCTTCGAATCAACGACTGTTGTTCATATCTAACTTCCTTGTTTATCTTATCCACCAGCCTCATTGCAATGGCTGGGTTTGAGCCATGTCGGAAACAGGAAGGAATCAAGACCTAAAACCACTAGCTTTGTCCTACTCCGTACTACTAGTAGTATGAGGACTCTTCCTTCGATCCTAGTGTCTTGCCCTAATAGGTAGGAGAAGAGGTACTCCGAATGGGGAAGAACCACACTTCATATGATGATGGGGGCGTGGAAGAACCAAAAAAGAGAAAAAAGGGTAAAGAGGTGCGAAGCTATCCAGAGCATAGCATAGTCATAGTGTTCACACTCCTGAATACCTAGGTAGCAACATTTGGTTTATGACAGGGACAGATACTCCGTCGAATACTACACTATAAAACTTACTAGTTCATCTACTAGTCTAGTAAGTATGATCTCCTCTGGGTTTAATTGTGGTCCCGGACACAACGGATGTCTTCGGCTGGCGCTTACCTTGCCACTAAAATCAGACGCGGGTCTGCATAGCTGTTGAGTTACAATGGAAATGTAACGCGGCTAAGTGGGCCATTGACTATGAGCTCGCCGCTTGATAGTTAGTTCGTTTGTTTTAACCCCTGGCTTCATCCAACACGATCTATTTAGCATGTCAAGGCAGGCGCAGCAATGGAGGGAAAATTCCAACTTAAATTACTGGGGACATAACAACCTTGGCGGCGGGGAGGTAGGGAATTTTTCAGACAAGCTACAGTACTTGGCGAGAATCTTACCGAGCTATATACATATTCAATCTATCTACAATTCGCTAAAGTTGTCTAACTCGATGGGGTATATGGAGGTTTTGGGACCTCAGAGACCTTGCGATGTGGGACTTCCAGAAAATAAAATAAAATAAAATAAAAATAAAAATAAAATAAAATAAAACAAACCAAATCAAGAAAAAGAAGAAGAAAACATTTAGAGTAAAAAAAATTTCTCAAGAATGCAAGGGGGTATAAAAGGGAAAATTAAAAAAAGTAGACCGCTTGAAACGATAAGTCTATCGGGTTCGGACCCAAACAGCATTCTTCAGATTTGGATCGTCGTGTCATAGACCATGTATTTAAATTGATACCTGAGTCGATGATATCACCTTCGGTATCCCTTCCTCTCGACCACAACCGTACCCTTCTGTGTGTATACCCAACAATCGTCACGCGCCGGTAATACCGACCAATATCTCTCTCTCCCCCTGTGTGCGACACAATCGGACTCTTGTGGTGGCGTTTTCGGCCTTTGCCCACATGCCGGGGATTACGTTGATGTTACATTCCTGAGTATGCCCGATTGCCATGTCACTCACATGGCAACGGCTCGTGAAATGTGATCATCGTCGACGTGTCCTCGCAGGAGGAGGTAATGCCGAGACGAAGGAGCTGCCCTCTCACCTTACATCGAGAAGACGTTTGTCTCTTCCTGCGTTCTTGAGATAACCAAGTCAGGTGGACTCCCGTGTTATAGCGCTTCAAAGATATGTCCAACAAGTACAGGAGAGATGCCGAGCAAGTCCACGCCACTGCATGCCCTTCGACAGGGATATAGAAAGGTATAACCCCACAAGTTCCACAATAGAACCGGTTTGGTGCCCCTTGTCCGACGCGATATCTTGCAAACTGGTTCTTTCTCCTACGACAGTTTCGGGACCAGTAAAATCAAACGATATTCAACATATACATCCATTGGCCTTTTATCCTCTCAATATAAGTGCCCCTGCCATTCCTCTTGTATATATGAAGAGTTACATTCATCTACTGCTTTTGAGACAGCTTGCCAGGTTAGATCTTATACATACTACCAAGACGAACGTTTTATCATCGTATATACAACAATCCATGAAGCTTCTTCGGTTTGGCTCATCCGCGTACCGTCTAAATATTTCTAGATCCGTAGTCTCCTTTCCCTCCCTATTGATCATATCTCAATGTTTCCACACATAATTTACGTACTCGGCTAGACAAGCAACATACTTGTCAGTCTACGTTCAGGTCTACCGCCCAATAATGGATAACAATGTTAACATCAAACAAGCCCACTGAAGCTTCCCCAAAGGCGATATGACTGCCAGGACTTAGGGGCCGACCTAGTAGCAATGTTTCAATGTCTTCGGATATATTTTTGAGGGATTCTTTGATGTTCATTATGACGGCCAACTTATAGACATGACAATGGAACCATATGCACTTACTACTATATATAATTTGAGTCACGTCGAAAATACAATTCATAGATCGGAGAGCTATCTCTCCAAAGATGCCATTCAGAATAATACATTTATTTCATTTATGGAGTCAGGAAAAACAATTCATTTCTTCTCATCAAACTAGCAACCATATCGTGGTGTCTATAGTAAAGTATATAGTAGTCTCTCAGATGTGTTTCCTGTGGTTAGAAAATATACACCAAGTCTGGAACGGCCGTATTACTATGGATTAGGACATATTCTCACAACCTAATCGAAGTTATCCCTTAAGAAAAGTATACACATATTGTGAATACTCTTGATTTGACCAAGATATTTTTTAAATATAGATTGTCAGAAAAAGTGAATCTGAGATCCTCATATTTGTTAATAATGCCTCTCGAAGTGAATACCATCAGGAATTGCAATCATTTTAAATGCATATCAAGTGGCCCTTGACTTGTATTCTCTTCTACAAGTGGGATCTTTGCATTAGTGTCTCTTTTAATTGCTCTAAATTTATTAAAAGCCAATGTACATACCCTCAATTCGCCCAAATTCGCACAGGAAAAGACTTTTAGAGGATCTAAATTCTAAATATATTCAGTTTTAACTAGATAACTTGTAGTTCTCCCTCCTCCTTTCCTAAGCATGAAAACACCCCAGCCAAATATCCAGTATAGCTTACAACAGAAAGTGAGATATGCAGCATACAAGAGGGTGATCAATCGACAAAACAAACAAACCCACTGATCACTGACCTTTCTCTAATATCTTCGCAGCCATCTTCCGAAGATCAACCTTTCGTATCTTACCAAGTGACAGGAATCTCCCGGTTTACTCCCCCTTTACCAAACTCAAAGACATACTGTGGTGCCTTGTATCGCCCGAGAGCCTCGTGTGTCCAATCTCGGAGTTCCTCACTAGATGGCTTTTTGCCCCTGACAGAGCTGATACTCGGCCACGCAAAGTTCCCCGGACGACTAATAGGGACGATGTTGTCATCAGCGCCTACAGTTCTGGCGTGCACATGAGGCATCACTATACCCACCGTTGTTAGGCGGGCTTCGATAGAGTCTGTCGTGGTTGAAGCAGGTAGGGGAGGCTTCCGTGAGACCTTGTAAAATTAGTCCCAACCCTGGATACGCTGACGAGAATATCTTACTATAGCTGCTTGTGTACTGCGTCATGTCCAGCTCATTCAAGAGGCGATGCATAAGAGGACGAGGAACAGGTGACGCACCAATGGTTCCCGTCCGGAGATTAGAACAATCAAAACCGTCAGGCTTCGGTAGATTCATGATATGACGACACTTCCATACTTACCATCGCAGCAACCTAGTCAAACAACCTAGTTAACCACTCCCGATTCATTGGTGACCGCATGCAGCCCACATCTTTTGATGTCTTATGTTGCTCTCCCCCCATCTTCCAATTGCTTCGGCCTTGTATTGGGGATGTTAGCTGCCCAGCCTACTGCTGAATGACCCGGCAATTGAGACGGCTTTGGTGGGAGCAGGGAACCTGCGTCAGAGTAGTTGTATTCACTACGACTAGGCTCAATTCCCTGAATCTCAATGCATCCAGGTGTTCCTCTAAGTGCTTCGCGCATCCTCGCATCAATGCATTGCCTGGCATACATAAGATTTCAGGGGCCCGCATTTGCTTCGCAAGCATGTCCAAATTTACGGTGTTAATTATTATCAAGTACCTGGTCAAGGGCATGCATGGGAAGCAAAAGTATCGTGGCGGAGTGGGTTGATGTACTGCGAAAATATAGTCGAAGGTATAACCGAAAGAACCTTGGGCTCCAGCGAACGGCATGACTGCGAAAGTTGACTCGGATGTGGAGCTGGGCAGAGGAGAACCTGAACCGGGAGAGGAGGGAATCCATAAAGAGGGAAAGAAAAAGAAGAAATGGAAAGGGAAGAAACAAAATTCACGTAGACGTAACTAATATAATATCCAGGAGGAAATTCGTTTCATCGGCCGAACCCCTCACACGCTTATCGCCCGACGGCCATCTTTTTATCTCCATCTTTAGCCGCTGTTGATTACATTCACCCCAACACACAGTGGTGCACCTTGTGAGATCTTTTTCTCAAAACACACCCTACTGTATAACTCAGAATGTCGCTACTTGAAACTAAATTCGATTGCGTGGTGCTGAATGGCACCGTGGTGACGGCTGCCGACACCGGCCGCTACGATATTGGAATAAAAGATGGGAAAGTCAACCTACTAGCACCAGCCTTCGCTTTAGCAGAATCGCTTACTTCCCGATTGATTGATGCTGAGGGAGCTTATGTTATGGTATGATGCCCTGTGGGTCTTCCAAAATGGAGACCTGACTGTTGAACTATAGCCGGGGGGTATAGATGCCCATGTCCACCTGGCGGAACCAGAGCTGTTTGGCAAAGGGAGGAGTGTTGATGATTATACGACAGGTAAGCCCTTCTAACCATGCAATGCTCGTGATGGTCTTATTGTTGAAGCCGACTCCCTTGCAGGAACTCGGTCTGCGATAGCCGGTGGTACAACTACTATCATCGCATTTGCCCCGCAGGAGAAGAAGGACCCGTCACTCCTAGGGGCACTAGATGAGGCCCACGATAAGGCTGCCGACAACGCGTACTGCGACTATTCTTTCCATATGATCATCTCTAACCCAACTCACCAAGCGCTCAATGAATTTCCCGTGTTGCGTGAACGGGGCGTTTCATCTGTGAAGATTTACATGACCTATGAATCGCTAAAATTACGGGACAGGGAGATATTAGATGTCCTTCTGCAAGCACGGACTCACGGAGTCACTACCATGATTCATGCCGAAAATGGAGACATGCTGTCGTGGATGACTGAGAAACTCGAGAGCCGTATGTTGCTCGCGCCGAAATACCATGCCACGTCTCGTCCACCGATATTAGAGGGCGAGGCCACTAATAGAGCCATTGCCTTGGGACAATTGATTGGGGCACCGATCTTGATTGTCCATGTTTCGACACGGCAGGCAGCCGCTGTCATTCGAGAGGCGCAGACGCACGGTCTCCCAGTCTTCGGGGAGACCTGCCCCCAATACCTATTTCTGACCCGAAAGGACCTTGATCAACCGGGGTTTGAAGGTGCAAAATGTGTCTGCTCACCCCCTCTCCGAGAGGGTCCTGAGGACCCCGATGCCATGTGGCAGGGAATGAAAAATGGGACGTTTACAATCCTCTCTTCCGACCATTGCCCCTTCCTGTATGATAATGCAGTCCACGGCAAAAAATCTGCGATCAGTGCGGATGCGCCGCTTGGACGATTCCGACTCATACCTAACGGATGTCCCGGCGTCGAGACTCGGCTACCCTTGGTGCTGAGCGCAGCCCGCCTTCGTCCGGAGCGGTTCGTGGAGCTGACAAGCACAAATCCTGCTAAGCTCTATGGGCTGTATCCTCAGAAGGGGGCCCTGATCCCGGGTATCTCCGATGCGGATTTAGTTATATGGTACCCCAACTTGGAGCCGTTCCAGATCACAAACTCTGCGTTGCATCATGCTGCCGATTACACCCCTTTCGAGGGTCACTCCGTATCTCAATGGCCTCGGTACACATTGATCCGTGGGGAAGTGGTGTGGGACCGCGATAATGGAGGCATTGTTGGCAACAAGGGCTTCGGTCAGTTTGTGCACCGCACGCGCAGTACCTTCTGTGAGGATCAACCTCCTTGGGATGTGGAGCAGTTTTAGAACGATTGATATTTGAGAATACATGCATGAACGTGCATGAATACATATTATAGTATTATTCCAATCGTTTCTGAATACGCTCATATTCCTAGAAAACTTCTCCGAGATATTGAACGGCGTCCTGAAAAGCATCAAGACGTGATGAAAAAGATGTGTGATCTTTTATATATGCCAGGGAATCTATAGCTGAAAGTTGTAAAACGATACCGCGGCACTCTATCAGCACTCGCTTTTCAAGCCATGGCAGTGAAATTGTTTTATGGGGTGCTCTCAATCCAACCTTACTTGTAATGTATACAGGGCCAATTTTGCTCACTCAATAGACTTTGTCTCGTCTCGTTTGCATAGCTTTGCATCATATAGCAAGACAGCCTGCGGGAGAGCTTCCACACGGCGATCACTAACGTACAAGGGTGATTCCTTTCAGGGGCTACATTACACGCACCAATCCTCCTCCGAGGTAAATCCAGCCAAATTTCCGCTGATGACATCTTGGAATGAAGCAAACATTATAGTCCTGGTTGTCATTTGTGCCATCTCTGCGCTGTCGTGAGCAGCACAACTTTCAGGCTCGTCCAACAGCGATCCACCAACAACGCTACCAACAACGCTACTAACAACCTTCTGGGCACGCTCTAAAGCGACGAGATCAAACTTCACAGAGGAATTTTCCCAGGTTGGCACCATTTGAATGCGGATTCTAGCTCGGTCACCCTGGACCTGATCCATGTAGGTGTATTGGGTCTACTGTAGGTCTATATTCTTTACCACATGTCTCTTCAAATTTGGAAGCAAAAATCTCTCCGTAATAATGTTTTAGTTTCGTCAATATTGGTTTTCACACGAAGGATGATAACTCGGGTTAGGCAGGCAGTGCTTTGCTTTTTTCTTACTACTATGCCTATTGAAGCTGACACTATTTTATCGCTCCTTTCATTTCCTAACATGGGGAGGGATCTTAGGGCTAGCGACCCACTAGATGGAAGTGGAATGTATAGATCGGTATATTCTGCAGGAATACCAATTCTAGACTACACTTACTGTATTACCTCCTTGCATAAATAGCGATACTACTTTTTATTCATAGAGGTTAATAGATTGATAGATTTGTCATGGGAGCTGGCTCCCGTCTTGGCGTTACTAGGTATTTTAATCTAATCTTAACTTCCCGTCTTATCTGATTTTTTTCATCTTTTTCTCATTCGCCTTATCTGATCCTGCTATCACATACGAAGTACTTAGTATTTATTGATCATGCAGTTAAAGTTACCCAATCCAATGGCCAAGGGCCAGCCGGGGATCTTACACCAATATGTATGTCTAGTTGATGGGATTATCCGTGGCTGGTGGGGGTCCTATCATTAAACTAATGATATTATTATCCTTAGGCTGAGAGACTAGTGACCTTCGAATTTACAAGGGGAAATCAGAGAAAGCCTCACAGTCTTATCTTTATCGGGGGATTATCAGATGGACTATGGACTGTTGATTACATGACCGACTTAGTCACAGCGCTGCAGAACAGCGCATGGTCCGTTTTCTCCCTAGTCCTGTCCTCTTCGTACAATGGATGGGGCGTAGGTCGTCTGGGGCAAGATATCGACGAGATTGCACAATGCGTCCAGTATGCGCGGGATTATAAGAAACAACTCTTTGGACCCGGGAAGGTAGTCATTATGGGCCATTCGACTGGTAGTCAAGACGTGATGCATTATCTAAGCTGTCCGAACCCGAGGCCCAGACATCCAGTTCTGGATAAGGACGTTGAACCCATGGTGAGGCCTCCAGTTGATGGTGCAATCATGCAGGCGCCTGTCTCAGACAGGGAAAGTATTCTCTACGTTCTAAATTCCGGCACGGAAAGAGACAGCCCGGAAAATATGCAAGAGCTTTACCGTCAAGCCGTCACAGATGCAAAGAAGAACACTTACGAGGATGGCAATAGTGTTGAAACGATCGTTCCACTTTCAGTGACTGCCAGGATCGGATACTCGTCATCTACGGCTGTCAGTAGTCGCCGGTTTCTGAGTTTGGCTAGCCCCGATAGTCCTCAAAAGCCGGATGAGGATGATCTGTTCAGCTCGGACCTCAGTGACGCACAACTTCAAAAGACATTTGGTGTTATTGGGTCTCGTGGGCTTCTGAGGTCGAGATTGATGGTGCTGTACTCAGGAAGAGACCAATCTGTACCGTCGTGGGTGGACAAGGGGGTTTTAGTAAAACGCTGGTCTACCGTGGCGGGCGAGTTTTGGCACCCGAAGAGTATGATTATCCCCGGTGCTTCACATGCTCTGAGCGATGATGATCAGGCGGAGCCAAGGCGTATTTTGGTTGAAAGGGTCACCGAGTATCTTGATGAGGTGGCAAAATGTACTTGAATCTGTTCTGGGCCTGGAAGTATACCTAAATAGCCCAAAGGATTGTATGACCTCCAGGGTACTATATTTACCCCCCTTACATAATTCACCTAATAGATTGCCATACTACGCCTCATAGAAAAGCGTATAGTAGCTAGCAATTAAACCCGTTAGTTGACGTCTTGACTGTTCAGATGACCTTACAAAGCTCTTGTCAACAGCATGTTTAGGTCCAAAGCCTTCTCCTGTTTGAGTAGAATCAGAATCCAAGTCTAACTCCTACAGGTATTCCGTGGGAAAGGATCTATTAGTGGCGGACCTGACCACCCACCGCCTTCGCCGGATGGGTGGTCGGCGGCGTAGAGGCATTTTCACCGTAGAGGCAGATTTTGAAATTCCTATATTTTTGAATCCATACAAACCACCTAATATGTCTAAATTATCTGAAATTCATGATGGACGCATTGATAAGGCCGTTGAAGCTATACAGCAAATGAAAAATCCTAATATTGCAAAATTTACGCGGGAATTCAGGGTCCCCTACTGTATACTCTATGGCCGTGTACATTATCAAAAAAGTCTTATTTGACTCGCATGCCTGTTAATAAAGCGCTAAATCAGTATCAAGAGACTGCCCTAGTTTAGTGGATTAACAAAATACATGATCTTTATCTACCTATCACTATTCAACTTCTTCTTGACTGGGCAAATCAAACTGTGCAGTGTACTAACCCTGAAAAATATACTGATCAATTGTAGATATATCGCTTTGTCAAAAGACTTTCTCCTTATCTAAAAATTAGCCCGGAGATTCAGAAAACAAAAAAAAGAAGTATATAGAAGTTGAGAATATTGGATAGCTTCAATTCTAATATAATTAATTTATAAACTTGCTTAAAGGGATCCCCGCTTGCCTTGTATATAACTTTAATAAAATACAGGTTTTAACCAGGCAAAGGAAAGTGCCAAAGCATGCTTAATATAAAGGGAAGAAAGATCTTGGATCTTTCTAAAGCAGAGTATTCAGATAATATAACTGTGATTCCATTAGCCAGCCACCTAACCACTAGGCTAAAAGCTCAGCAATTGACTACTTTTCAAGTAGTCAACCTGTTAGGTGGTATATATATAAGGTGGTCCTATCTCATACTAGGAACCATATAACTATACCTAAGTATATTACTACAGATAATTAGATTATAACACCGCTTTTTATCTTGTTAGACAAGAAATTTAGGGAGGCCTGGTATAATAAAGAACTACCTGATTTCTATACTGCAGTCTCTGAAAAGAGCTATATAAATGATAAAGTATTGATTGACTGGCTTTATAAATTTTATGAAGAGACCAAGAATTGTATAAGAAGAGAAGAAAAATGTGTGCTTATCTTTAACAGCTATACTACTTATAAAATACTTAAATTTCTATAACTCTGTGAGATTTATGAGATTCTTCTCTTTTGTTCTAGACTTATATAACTTACCTCTGCCAATCACTTGATAGGAAGCTCTTTCTTGTATATAAAATGCACTTTTGCAGTGCGAATAATCTTATCGCGCAGTGGTATGGTATCCCAGGAGATAAAAGGCACTTTTTAAGTGATATCATGACTGTACAAGATAAGATCTTTTAACTTATAAATTATATATAACTTCTTTAAAGAACACAGTATCTTTTCACCAGATGGATTATCTATAATTAAAGCTATTCAGAATAGTCTATCTCTAGTGCTAGAAATCTCCGCGCCTGATCTATATATATAGAGAGAGACTACACCTTCTCTGAATTCTCTTTCTTTAAGTATTGAAAACACGCCTCTAAAGACCTCTCTACAGATTTAAAAGAATTAGAAAAAGTTATTCTATCTACTAGATTTTATAGAGATCTTTCTATGAGTTAAGTACTGCTTAGAATATTTTATTTAATTAGGAGAAACTTTAATCTGTAACATGCAGTCATGAACTCTACTTTAGAGTGAATTAAATCAGTCCAGGCAATACAATGCCGTAGATCTACTAAGTAGAGATTCAGCGTCTTGGGAATAGTGGTATACTAACTATATGGGATATAAATCAATCTATTATAGATAGAAAAGTTAAAGAGGAGTTAAATAAGAAGGCAGATAAGGTATATAAAGAAGTGTATAGTCATCTCCCACCTGCGTCTCCTGCAGAAGATCAAAAACCTGCTTCATATAGTGAAAAGGCAGGTGAATCGGGTAATCAGTTTTATTTTATAGACTCTATAGGATCTAGGCATTGAAATGCGAATTACTTCAAAATCTGCCTCTACGGTGAAAATGCCTCTACGCCGCCGACCACCCATCCGGCGAAGGCGGTGGGTGGTCAGGTCCGCCACTAATATATGTATTGATCGTAAATTTATTTCAATACGAAGACCTGGTAAAGTATTCGTATGATACGATATCATAAACGATCAGATTTGTGATCTTATCGAATTATCAAGAAGGCCTATCTAGGTGGGAATCATGAGAACTTTTATATGTGGCCTGATTACCATAGTATTCGACAATCTACACAATCTCGCAGGCAGCCTATTACCAAGCATACGCCAGGCGCCTGCGACACTGGGTAATTTCATGGATGTATTCAATCAATATACGTATACAGCCTAGTATACCAGGGTTTGATTTGAATATAAAAAGATTATGCTTTCTTGTACAGATTAAAAATTAGTCTTTGAGGAGCTATGTTCGACAGATTTAGACTATTAAGGGGCTTAAAAGTAAAGGAACCCAGTCAAAGACCGTATATTCAGCTGTAATAGGACTACAACACTGACAAGCCAAAAACGTCTAGATCGCACCAGGTATGCCCCTCTCGAGGCACAATGACTCCCCTCAACGGCGAATATATCATGGATGTCTCATTATACGACATAATTGCGTTAAAAATAAGCAAATCAAGGATTTTGGGTGTAACCAAAAAAGCCCGCTTGGCCCACTGGATGCCGAGGGCATTCATCGAGGACGCACCCAAGAACAGAAACCAACCGCATAACATAGTCCCCTCAAAGTAGCCCCCGAAGGACCTCATATGTGCTAAAAGTGACTGCCTGACCAATACCCACCTGCAAAACCCGCGGCAGGGTACCTCTATACAGCGCCGCGAATCCCTCCTGCTCCACAATCAGGCGGACTGTCGGGATGAGACGTGCGGAGCCAGCCTCGCTTCCCCGCGATGGTTCTTTTTGAATACGAGTTTCTGAAACATCAGCAACTAGAAAATCAGCTAGACGCATTTTAGCTGGACTTACTGAGGGTATCAAGGGGTGCATTCGCAAGAGGCCCAAGAGAGCCAGCCACAAAGCCAAGTCAGTCCGGTCTGCCAGGAGGGCAAGCCGGTAGATTTGTGCTCCGGCTGGAGATCTAATAGCCGCTGTCGAATTCGAGTATAGGCAAACAGATTGACTGATCACAGACGGTGTTAGCGCAAGGATCCAATAATAAGTTGCTCGTAATCGTCAGCGCACCGGCTTGGTTGGTTCTCTGCTGCGCTGCAGTCAGTCTGACTCCGCACCAAAGAGCTTGAACACCCTCCGTCCGGATGATCGCCATCATGGCCTCTGGAGCACTTCGATAGCCAAACCTTGAGGAGGATAAACCTTGGGCATGCGTTCCAGCGGTCTGGAGGCGGATCTTAACGACCTCGGTGGGCGTCACGACCAGCATTGCCTCCGTCACTGCAGCCGCCAATCCCGCTAGAGACAACCTGATAAGCTTCCTTCATCCAGGCTGATGAGTAGTCGTACCAGCAAACAGTTTCTGCGACGGAAGGCTCTTCTCGTCCAACCCAGTCAAGGCAGACTTGTACTCTCAAAACTCGTGAATCGGACTGCCATCTTTGGCATGATGCCAAATAGGACCGCACCGAGACCACGATAAAATGTTAAAGGGGATTGATAATAGATTGATTGGATGGAGGATCGCAAGCTTCCATCTAGACGACAACGTGAGTGAGGGATTGTTTCACCGCGGGGGTGAAGCTACCTGTGAGAGTCGCATCAAGGACATGGGCGCCCCCGCTGTGGAGGGACCGTTTGGTTTGTATCGCAACTTTTATTGTACCTGGCATTCGACAGTAAGCCCTCCGTTTCGGGCTGGGCTTCTGAACCTACCCAGCGGATGGCAGATCAAGGCTTCCATCATTCCAGCGCCGGCTCCTGTTCGAGGCCATTGTTAGCTCCGAGAATATTAACACCAGGGAGACTAGAATAGTACCATGAAGGGCGGTTATGGTCGACCGAACGGCGGCTGTTCGGTCCGAGGCAGACTGAATGGTGGTAGCCATTGTGTCATGGAATAGTATAAGAAACGTACACTCGGAGTGACAGACAATATTGGCGACGGTATATCAAAGGCCATGCTCGCTCTTTTTCAAGTAATCTAACATTTACCCATGTCATCTTTCTGGTACCTCCGGTGGGAATCAACCCCTATCTGCGACAAAGTTCGATATTCGGAGCCAAGGAGCCGGGCCTTCGCGTTGAAGGAAGAGGCGATGGATGCCCAGAGTCTTTTGGAAAACATGAGATAGAATAGACGGAGAACGGTCAACTAAGCAAAACCGGGCCCGGGTTCGGGATCAGCACGATCGACGCAGCCAGGACCTGAGGATGGGCCTACAAAAAGGATCAAGACGAGTAGCGCTGATGCTGGATCCTCAATTCAATCTCCTGCCCATCATCTCATCTATCGTTCATCTACTCATTTCTCTGACACAATGGCATCCTTCTTGTAAGCACCCTTATCCCCACGCACTAAAAATAGCTGACCACATCCCCCTCCAGAAGCAAATCATTCGCGCACAAAGGCTACGCCGCATTTCGACCAACCTACGCCGCCGAGCTCTATCGCACGGTGCTAGCTTATCACGAAGGCTTCTCTGACTCTCGCCGCAGTCTCTCTGTTGACTTGGGGACAGGCCATGGTCTCGTTACGCGGGAACTCTCGCCACACTTCCACCGGGTCATAGGGACTGATCCATCCGCGGACATGGTTTCTCAAGCCCGAGAACTGTCCCCCGTGACGTCGTACCCCAACGTGGAATTTCACCAATCCGCTGCCGAGTCGCTGCCCTTCCTCAAAGGGCCACAGTCGACCTAGTAACTACTGCCCAGGCCGCGCACTGACTCAACTACGCCCGGCTTTGGCCGGAGCTAGCCCGGATTGTGCGTCCGAGGGGCACGCTGGCCTTGGGGATATAAGGATCATGCCCTAGTCTCTCATCCTCACACCAGCGCCATCATATAGCATTTGGCTTATACGCAGGACCCTGATTTGCTTGGCTCATATTGGCAGCAGCCCGGGCGGGGGATCGTCCAGGACAAACTGCGCGCCGTCGAGCCGCCGCTCACCGAGTGGGCGGAGACCCAGCGGGTCGAGTACGAGCCGGCCACGGCCGGTGTCAAGCGGGGGCAGGGCGAAGATGACACTCGGAGCGATGGAGTACACCCGTACCTGGAGCTCGTTCCACTAGTGGCAGCAGCGGTTCCCCAGTGCGCATCGACGGGGACCTTATGGGGACGGGGAGGGTGATGTGATTGATCGGATGATGGATGCTATTCGTGAGGCAGAACCAGCATTTCAAGTGAGCGAGTGGAAGGAGAAGGAGGTTGATGTTGAGTGGGGGAGCGCACTGATATTGGCGAGAAGACGTGAGGAATGATGGGTCGGTAGTAGAAATCAAGCTAACTGCCTTATTGCGATGGATTCTGTTAGAACGCTAGGTACAGTATAATTGATTAGGATATCTATCTACCTACTACTATATATATCACTTTGATAGGGCCATTATCCATGTTTCCTTAATTAGGAAATACTTAAGACGTTTAATTTTGGGTATAATTCTATGGTCTACTACAGCTTGTACGCGAATGATCAGCCCTATCATCGGCTCTGAAAAAATCTGTTCAATCTGAAACTACCAAAGCCCGTAATTATAGTTTCCACTTAGTGTAGATGATCGTCAAGTTCGTCGGTCACCGAACGGTGATGTACAAGCGCAGGATTCAGGGCAGGAAGGGGCCATGTGATCAATCACGTGAGATTCATTTCTTTGACTTCACATTGTTGTAAAACCACTGTTATATTGAGATCCACCATTCTTATCAATCCATGCACTCTAAGAGACTGGGAACTACTACCATTTATGTACATAGCTCCGACCAAGCCTTATTTCAATCTTTTAGGGATGCCAAGCCCACATCCTTGTCTTAAACCTTCCACCTGAAATCCTTCGTTCGCTGACAAATGCTCTGTCTTTAAACCTTCTTGGGTTCCTCGCTCCCCTGGCTCGACTGCGAGTTATCATCACTGGCCGGCCTTGGCGCCGTTGCAGTCGCCATCGCTGTCTCCTCTTTTCTCATCAGCCCGCGGTCTCGGGTGAAGACGCAGAGGACTAGGCAGACGCCCATAAAGGGTACCATGGAGATAAACACCGTCTGGCTGGCATCCACGTACGCTGATTGGATCTGATGCCTCTCGGTCGCTGCGAAATGATCGAGCGAGGGCACCGCGTAGCTGTTATTAGCGATTTCGCGCAAGGTGGACGGGAGCGCACGTTGCAACGCCGTCTGCTGGATTACGCTGCAACATGCCAGGCCCACCGCGCCCCCCAGTGCCCGGAAGAAGTTGCGGTTTGAAATCACCACCGCGCGGAGATCGCTTGGCGAATGTGCTTGGATGGCCACCAAACAGGGCTGGAACACGTTGCCCACACCGGAGCCGAGAATGATAAGGGAGATGACGATCACAGCCAGGGAAGTGCCCTGGTCGAACAGACAGAGAAGGCCCGCTCCGCTACTGGCCCGGAGGTTAGCGGCAGGATCATTGGGTGACAGGGTAAGAAGGGGATTTTGTGAATCATACAGACTCCAGCAGAAGAATCCAGCCCAGATCACTTCGCCGTATCGAGAAAATCGGGTGATGTACAAACCTGAGCCGACGAAAAAGATCATCTGGGCCACCACCATCGGAGTGAGCAGGGCGGCAGCCCCGAGCGGGGTCATTCCGCGCACATTCTCGAAGTGAATGGGTAGGAAGTACAGCTCGGCGTAATAGCAATATCTAAAGAAGAAATTCTGCAGCAGGATGACCACGACCGCCGGGGTTCGGAACATGGAGACTGTATCCTTCGTTAGTTTGAGTTTCAGTAATTTGCTATGCGCGCTACCTACAGGGGACCATGGGAAGCCGCGCCACTTTGGCTTCAACGAAGAGGAAGGCAAGCGTGCAGGCCCCGCCCACGGATAGCATAGCAATCAGTAGAGCTGAGCCCCATGCGAAGTAGGAACCACCCCCCGATAAAGGAATCAGAACACAGATCAGACCTGCGGAGCCGGTCAACAAGCCCCAGCCGTCGATGAGTTTGATCCGCTCGAGGCCCTTGCCCTTGGACATAGTTGAGGGAAGCAGGAAGAAGGACAGGGCACAGCTGACCACCATCAACGGGCTGATTAGATAGAAAAAGCCGCGCCAAGTGGCTCGCTGCGTGAATGCTGCGGAAACGAAGGGCCCAACGGTGTTTCCAAGATCAATGCAACTTCCCAGAATGCCCTGGTACCGTCCGCGCTCCTGTAGAGTGACAATATCAGAAACAATCATCATGGTCAGCGAATTGATTCCGCCAGTGGCGATACCGGCCAGGCCCAGGAGGTCTGAGCCGTGGTACAGAATGCCAGCTCCAGCTAGGAGTAAGACAGCGGAGAGGGTAGACCCTCCGTCGGCCGAAGATGGTCTGACAGCCGGCCGTACAGTACTTGGAAGATGGTATTTACAATCATTGACGAGGTCCCCGCCCAGCTGATGGTATTCTGAGCATTCAGGTCTCGGGCGATGTTTGGCAGGGCCACCGCGATCCCATTCTGGTCGGCGTAGGCAAAGAGAAAGGCTGAGGCCAAGGTGGAAAAGACGATCAGTAACTGCGTACGTGGAAGCAGGTTCGTCTGGCCATGGATAGTGACATTGGGGCTTGTCATGATGGACAGTGGCAGTTAGGTGTGAATACCCAGGCGGGGTAGCTTGATTGTTCCAGGCCAGCTAGTGCAGAGTCTTCATAGCCTATTATGTTGTGCAATGTCTAGCAGAGATCGGCAATTTTTGCGCATAGTCCAGGATGTTAGGCCTACATCGAACGTACTATCGGGGAACCCTCGATTCCTGGAGGATGTACGTACTGCAAGATCTGGTGCCCTAAGATCACCCTCAGGCTAACCGCGTGACCCATTCTTGGCGCAGGTGGAAGGACAGGGCCTCAGCACTATCTCCAGAAGAAAACGCCGTATCGTGCATTTCATTTCTTCAAAGGCTAATGGCGTGATAGGCGCACGACCCTAGACGCATCTGGCCCGCCTTGGCTTACCGGAAAATGCGAATAAAGTAATGTATAAACGCCTTGGATGTAACATTCCCCAGAAGGATGAGTGCAGGCACAATTACATCGAGCGCCCGATCGACAGTCTAGGTAATTGCTCAGGATAGTCTTCATCACCAACAATACGGAAGATGCTACCGACATCGGCCTATCGGGATGTGGCAGTGATGGTCCTGGGAATTGGGAAGGATTAAGGCAAGAGTATCTGTGTGTGTGTGTGTGTGTGTGTGTGTGTGTGTGTGTTTAAGGAACCGAACCAGTTTGATAAACCGAATACATGGTATGCATGGTTAGAAGAAGATAGGGCTGTAGCAGCTTGACGGTATATAAAGGGTCAAGAGTCCGTCTTCCCCTCTACCTTCTTCCCCATCACTTCTCAACCAGACCTCTCTCTCGTGATAATCAAGCATTTTTACATCACAAACACTCTCTACCTTCTCAAAACGGCTCCTATCGCACTTGCTGAGACTGCCCAGCCCTCTGTCGGCCTGAAGAAACGGATGGAACTGAGCCCTGGGGCCCCATCCTTCAAAATCTTCTAGTGCCCGTCATACAGCAGGCCCTTCAGCCAGCTATACAAGCAGCTGTGTTTGAAGGCCTATCCGTGGGCAGCAACCGCTTGTCCAGCCTAGCCTCTGAAGCAGAAGAGCCTGACAATGCCATGCGGCCGTTCCTTACCTCTTTCCCCGAACCTTTAGAATCGGGCAATGCCATTGACCATTGAAAGTTCCGGGACATCACCCGAGTGCTGGGCAGGGAATACTTTGATATCGATCTAACCCAGGTTCTAGAAGCGCCAAATGCAGATGATCTGCTACTCGATTTGGCAATCACCAGTGCGTGGAGCTCCTTACATATAGTGGTTATCCAATGCTGACCCTCCTGAACAGTTTCTCGCCGCGGGTTGGTCGTTTTCCGAAATCAGAAGAACTTAACTCCTGCCCAGCAAAAGTACTTTACCAACCATCTCGGTCAACTCACTGGCAATCCCGACACCTCGGGCGTGCATGTCCACCCAATGTAAATAATTTCCGCAAGCTTACATGTAGAAGAGCGTGGACTGACACTTATCAGAAACCACACCGTGCATAAGGCGGGCGAAAAGCCCGACCTAGAAATGTCCACGATTGCGCGAAACCCCAACCATATGCTCTCGAAACAGACGGGTGTAACGGGCGGAAAGAAGCAACTGAAGAAGCAGAGCGTGGCGGGCGGCTGGCATTCAGACATTGCCTTTGAGCGTGTCACTTCGGACTACACCACCCTTATCAACAGAGTCCAACCATCCACCGACGGTGACACTATCTTTGCGAGCGCGTACGAGGTCTACGACCGCATCGGCCTGTCCATGCGCGCCTTTCTCGAAACCCTAACCGGCACATTCTCGCCCGTGGGATGCAATCCTAACCCGGAGCACACGCACCTACACCAGGTAGCACGTGGATACCCACTGAACGTAGATCAGAGTTCGGTGCTTTGCAATTTATATAAAACATTTATAAAGTGTCTGCTATGGGCAATGCAGGGCTTAATCTGTGAAGAAGCAACTCCAAACCAAGCTGTTGGTTCAACTCGTGTACTTGTGGTTTATGATTCGTGTATGCATCTTGTCTCTCGCGGTCGAGGCTGAGGATATTAGTCACTAAGAACCTTCCATCTATTGCCTGTAATGCTTGGATTGATTGGAATTACAGCATGATAGAAGCAAATGCAAGAAATAAAAATGATCTTGCCCATGTGTCCAAATTACAAAGTTCATTGAATTCAAGTAGTGTTAAGATTTTCCCATCACCAAGCAAATAGAAGTTGGTCATCATCAGCAAAGATATAGTACTAAGGTGTGCTGACTTGAGAAACGGTACAATATTCAGTATTCTAGAAAGATGCTGTGCTATATTGTTAGTTTGTTTTGAATGCTTACTCGATCATGATTTAGGGCTTTCAGCATGTACGGATAGTGTAGAGAACTAGGGGTATGGTCGGCAACAGAACAAGAATATCATGATGGGTCGGAAGAAAACAAGATTCCAATTTCACATTCGGTGAGCCGGAGTTTCGTTGCTAAGTTTTAGGATGCACAGATGGCTAATCGAGTTATCAGGTCTGACCTGCAGATCTGCGCTGTCACATCGCTTGATGTACAGTATGCATATCTAGAACGCTCCAGACCCGCTGAGTTGTGCATGAGAGCGTTCCTTGCGAGCTTTCATTGGGCATCAATGCCGATACCTACCTAGATAGTAGTGATTTATGCATGTATCATGCTGGTGTGCAGCAACACACTTTGCATTTGGTCTGCTTGTACAGCATTCATCTTCATCAAGCTGGATAGGAAGGAGAACAAGTCATGTATGCTAGGGGATTTTGCTGTTGTCATAATAATATTTGTATAATGGTATCTACGTGTTCCACAAGATACATGCGGAACAACTCGACAATCTTGAGAATATAGCGCCAATTTCTTATTTGTTAGATATGGGCACTATAGGACTTCGATATCCATTAATGTACAGATTGTGATGGCTAATTATCAACAGCCAAATAGTATATATGAGTGAACCAAGAAACCGGTCTTGTCGTAAATCTATGGCTTTTAATGTGAAATGATAGGGTTGCATTAGTCCCATAGTCGGCGCCATTTCTTAGCCGGAGATCTCCCATGAATCGATAAATTAACACACAAAACACCATGTATACACCGTCGGATATCCGTATACATTGACCTATGAGATCCGTGGTGTGAACGATCTCTTACAAACATGCGGTGTGATACTTGAAGGGGTACGTGTGTGGCATAGATGCAGATTGCCGGGAACGGCTGTACCATGAAGGACGACGTGGTAGGCTTGAAGCTGCCGATCTTCTACCAGGGATTCGTATTGACATACACACACACACACACACACACACACACATATATATATATATATATATATATATATATATATATATATGAAGGTCATGCCCTGCCTGATGAGGAACAGGTTCCCGGCCTGCATTCACTGCGCCACGTTAGAACACCGCGTCTATTGGAGAGCTAACGTAAGCAGTTATTAGTACATCCATCCCATTATATAACTCATCCTTGATAGCTTTTTACCACGTTGCATTGCAGTTCAAGCGGAGGGGAATTTACTTTATACTAGGTATACATGTTTACTGAAGTGGTTCTCTGGGGGTTGAAACATGTGATCTCTCAGTCAACGTGATGTATGCCCTAATCACGGTAAAGTACTACTGGTAGTACTACTATATCCGTAACAACAATTACATTTCTAATACACCTCCCATTACGTCGAAGGTTCCGGTAGTATTTCGATACTGTAGAATACAACCAGACCTTAAAGATAAGATGTCATTGCTGAGAAATCAAAATAGACTTGAGGGGCCGTGGAACTCTGGCCCACAAGCTATTGGACGCCATGATCCGCTATGGGGAACACGCCAAGATACAATAAGCAAGCGGACGATGATCTATCATATTGGTGGCTTGAGGCTGAGGTTTGAAGACGGATCGGAGAATGAGATAACAAACTTAATAGGTACAATGTCTAAGCGGTCTACTCAGTTGATTTGGACTGATAGAAAACCGGCTAGGATCCGAGACGCACAACTACCGAACGGTTGACTCATGGGAGGGTCGGCAAACGTCCGTGCGTTGCAGCCGACTGATTCATCGGTGGAGACTTTTAAGTCGAGACCTAAGTCAAGAACGAATTTATCTTTTGCCTTTTTTTGAGTGATCAGTGGGAGATACAGAGTACTTGATTATATTATATTCATCCAAATAACATCCATGTATACCCCCGGTGCGGTCTGCTCCCCTTCAGAAATTAGGAAGATATAGGATAATAGTTATAGTTATGATTCAGATTATGCGTATCATTAAGGTTCCTAGTTCAAGTGAAAGTCAGAGACCCTAATACTAATAATCGTTGTCCTAATAGCATAAACTAAACCTGTGGAGGCATTCGAAATTAGATACATAGTGGTTATACGCCATAGAAACCGAAAGAATCGGGCTGTGGCTCCTTCGTTAATTGAGGGGGTTATAGTCATCATTGATCCATTATATGGGGATGAGGTTAAATGATCTCTTTCCGTGAAATCCCTGATGCTATTTTTTACACGGAGTTATTGTTTAAACCCACAACGGATATACGAATATATATCCTCCGTATATATACTTTGATTTCTGGACCTGACTGTTCAGGCTATCTATCTCTTGCACTAAACTCGGTTGGTTTGCCCGCCTTCCATGATAGGCTGCTGTTTATTCCGAACCCGCCAATCACCCGCACGAGGTTCAATCCTGTCAGCGATTTCTAAACGCCGGGCCCCTTATCTCCGCCAGAGCTAACTGCATCGGGTGATCACGACGCCGTTCTTTTGGCTTTTCCTCCTCTGTTCTCTTCTTTTCTCACACTCACACACATACGTACTCTCCCTATCTTGCCAAGTCAATCCTTCTGGATTGGCCCTCCAAATGTCTATCATTGACAGACAGCCCTCGTGCTGGCAAGCGGATCACCATCGCACTTAAGAATCGGATCTAAGCGACTCTAGAATAATGGAATACGGTTTCCGCTTGACTCAAGTTGACTCAAACACCCACTCAGTTCCACTCCGGGGCCCACCTGAGCTCACTTCAGGCGCAAGCTCTCCTTAATGCCCATTTTCTTTTCGCCATTTTTTCCCCTACTTGCCTTTTTTAGTGGCGCTCCACCGTTCGGCATTCGTTAACGGATATCGCTACTCTCGTTCTGCCATCTGATTGACCGGTTTAATCCGTCTAATCCGTTCCAGAGATTGGACCCTAGATGAGGATCCACTGGGCCTATTATTCACTGTGCCAGATCTGACAAATCCAAAGAATTTCCCATTGTTTGGCTCTCGGAGTTAGTAATGCACTTAGCCGTCTATATAACTCATGATGCAATGACATCGCCCGTTCAACTTTCCGTCAGCGACTTTTTTTTTCTGTTGCGTTTCGGTGCTCATTGTTGGTACATCGCTTTTAGGACCATATCCCCTCTCCAAAAGCGTGTACAGAAGGAGTCCATTTTTTTCCCTTTCTATTCTATCCTATTCTCCAATTGTGGATTTAATTTGACTTTCTTCCCATTTTCCCTGTATATATTCGCATATACATATCTATACCTACTCAGCTACATCGGCTGCAGATACCCGTTTTTTGGAATCATTGAGCATCATCTGACAACTTTCAACTATTTTTATAATTGACCGGAAAAGTCACCAGATACAGATTCTGCCGCTTCTCTACTCCTAATCTTACATTTAATACCCAACCGTGCATTTATTTCTCTGATTTTCGACTCTACGACACATACGGAAGAACTCACGAGGCCGATTCCAAGATGGCCGACGAACATCGTCAGCTTGAGGCACAGTCCAATGCCGCAGCGAATCCGTATAATCACGCCGTGGCTTCGGAACATACGCTACATTCTTTGGACTCGACCTCGACAAGTGATACGGATGTGTCAAGATGGGGCGAACGTCACGAAGGAGAGGCGGTTTCCCGTCGGGGTGCGATGGAGGACTTCGAAGAGATGAGAAGAGAAGTGACCAAGCTCAGTCTACACCGAACCCGTTCAGCCAAAGAGACTCCTCGATTGCGCTCACGGGCCTCGGCCCGGGACGAAGAGAAGGCCATTGAGGATGAACAGGCTTCGTCTGCGAGTGATTATCAAGGTGGGTTCGACCTGAGCGAGTTTCTGATGGGCGGCCACCTCGAGCGGCGAACAACGGCAGGAGAACCGGCAAAGAAGGTGGGTGTAGCCTTCAAGAATGTCACGGTGAAAGGTGTCGAGACGGGTGCCTCCTTCGTCCGGACTCTTCCTGATGCAGTTGTGGGAACTTTTGGTCCCGACTTGTACAAGATCATGTGCCGGTTCGTACCAGCTCTCCATATTGGGAAGCGTCCTCCCGTCAGGAACTTGCTCCATGACTTCAGTGGAGCCATTAGGGAAGGCGAGATGATGCTCGTACTTGGTAGGCCCGGGGCGGGCTGTTCTACCTTTCTAAAAGCGCTTGCCAATGACCGGGGTGCTTTTGCAGCTGTGGAGGGCGAGGTCAGCTACGGTGGCCTCTCAGCCGAAGAGCAACATAAGCATTTCCGCGGCGAAGTGAACTACAACCAGGAAGATGATCAGCATTTCCCGAACCTCACTGTCTGGCAAACGCTGAAGTTTTCCTTGATCAATAAAACAAAGAAACACGATAAGGACAGTATCCCCGTCATCATCGACGCACTGTTAAAGATGTTCGGCATCACCCACACGAGGAACACGCTCGTGGGTAATGAGTATGTCCGTGGTGTGTCTGGCGGAGAGAGAAAGCGCGTCAGTATCGCGGAAACGCTTGCGACCAAGTCTTCTGTTGTCTGCTGGGATAATTCCACTAGGGGATTGGATGCTAGCACGGCTCTTGATTATGCTAAGTCGCTCCGCATTATGACAGACGTCAGTAAGCGGACGACCTTGGTCACTCTGTACCAAGCTGGTGAGAGTATCTATGAACTAATGGACAAGGTCCTCGTGATCGATGAGGGTCGTATGCTTTACCAAGGCCCTGCCGACAAAGCAAAACAGTACTTTGTAGATCTCGGGTTCTATTGCCCAGAGCAATCTACAACTGCTGATTTCCTCACTTCACTTTGTGACCCGAATGCTCGCCAGTTCCAGCCGGGACGTGAAGCGTCAACACCAAAGACCGCTGAAGAACTTGAGGCTATCTTCAAACAAAGTGACGCTTATAAGCAGATATGGACCGAAGTATGCGATTACGAGAAGTTGCTTCAGGACACCAACCAGGAAGATACCCGCCGCTTCCAGAAAACAGTGGCCCAGTCAAAGAGTAAAACAGTTTCGAAAAAGTCTCCTTACACGGTCTCCATTGTAAGGCAAGTTGCAGCTTGTGTGCAGCGAGAGTTTTGGCTCCTGTGGGGAGACAAGACCTCTCTTTACACCAAGTACTTCATTATTGTCTCTAACGGTCTCATTGTCTCTTCCTTATTCTATGGCGAATCATTAGACACTAGTGGAGCTTTCTCGCGTGGTGGTGCCCTGTTCTTTTCGATTTTATTCCTTGGTTGGCTGCAGCTAACAGAACTGATGCCTGCGGTTTCTGGGCGTGGTATCGTCGCGCGTCATAAGGATTATGCCTTCTACCGTCCATCTGCTGTGTCAATCGCTCGAGTTGTGGTGGATTTCCCGGCCATCTTCTGCATGGTCGTACCGTTCACTATCATTGTCTATTTCATGACGGGACTCGATGTGGACGCCTCCAAGTTCTTCATTTACTTCTTGTTTGTGTATACGACTACGTTCTGCATCACGTCCCTGTACCGCATGTTCGCAGCACTATCTCCGACCATCGATGATGCTGTTCGGTTCGCGGGTATTGCTCTGAACGTGTTGATTCTGTTCGTCGGCTATGTTATTCCCAAGCAAGGGCTCATTGATGGCTCGATTTGGTTCGGTTGGCTATTCTACGTGAACCCTCTTTCTTACAGTTACGAGGCAGTCCTTACCAACGAATTCTCTAACCGAGTTATGACATGTGCTCCTTCGCAACTGGTGCCTCAGGGTCCAGGTGTGGATCCAAGATACCAAGGTTGTGCTCTCACGGGGTCCCAGCTTGGCCAGGCAGAAGTCGCAGGCAGCCGGTATCTTGAAGAAAGTTTCCAGTTGTAGGTATCCCCTAATGAACATTATCTCGCGACCATCATGCTAAAAAACTATAGTACCCGGCACCATTTATGGCGCAACTTTGGCGTCGTCATCGCTTTTACGGTTCTGTATCTCTTGGTCACTGTCATCGCTGCTGAAGTCCTCTCGTTTGTTGGGGGCGGGGGAGGCGCGTTGGTCTTCAAGAAGTCCAGCCGTTCCAAGAAGCTCAAAGCGCAGAATGGCAAAGGAAATGATGAGGAGCAGGTACAAAATACCGATAATAATGCAGCATTGTCACGCGGAGCAGCGAAATCATCTAGCAACGCCGAATCTCTCAACCGTCTTTCGGCTAGCGATCGGATTTTCACCTGGTCGGATGTGGAATATACGGTGCCATATGGAAATGGAACCAGGAAACTTCTTAATGGTGTCAACGGTTACGCAAAGCCAGGTCTTATGATTGCTTTGATGGGTGCTTCCGGAGCAGGCAAGACAACCCTCCTCAACACCTTAGCTCAGCGTCAGAAGATGGGTGTGGTCACCGGCGATATGCTCGTTGACGGCCATCCCCTCAGCACTGATTTCCAAAGAGGTACTGGTTTCTGCGAACAGATGGATCTTCATGACAATACCGCGACCATTCGGGAGGCCCTTGAGTTCTCGGCACTTCTTCGTCAGGATAGGAATACTCCTCGTCAAGAAAAGCTAGACTATGTCGATCAGATTATCGATCTTTTGGAGTTGGAGGATATTCAGGATGCTATCATTGGCTCTCTCAATGTCGAGCAGAAGAAGAGAGTTACTATCGGTGTCGAGTTAGCTGCAAAACCGAGCCTTCTTTTGTTCCTGGATGAACCCACCAGCGGTCTCGACAGTCAAGCGGCATTTTCGATCGTCAGATTCTTGAAGAAGCTGTCCCGGGCGGGACAGGCCATCGTGTGTACAATCCACCAGCCGTCGTCCATGCTGATTCAGCAGTTTGACATGGTTTTGGCTCTTAACCCTGGTGGAAATACGTTTTATTTCGGATCCATTGGTCCTGAAGGCCGCGACGTGATCAAGTACTTTGCTGACCGCGGCGTTGTTTGTCCACCATCGAAGAATGTTGCAGAATTTGTCCTTGAAACTGCAGCGAAGGCGACTAAGAAAGATGGCAGATTTATAGATTGGAATGCAGAGTGGCGCAATTCTGAAGAGAATCGCCGCCTTCTGGATGAAATCCAGAAGATCAAGGACGAACGCAGCAAGATTCCAGTTGCTGAGAAGGGCGTTGGATACGAATTTGCTGCTCCTACATGGACGCAGACCGTGCTACTCACTGAGCGGCTGTTCAGACAGTACTGGAGAGATCCGTCGTACTATTATGGAAAGCTGTTCGTCAGTGTTATCATTGGTATCTTCAACGGATTCGTAAGTAACTCCTGGTCATTCCGGGCTTGTGCATTACTAATTACTGACCATCACAGACCTTCTGGATGCTCGATAATTCTATTAGTAGCATGCAAAACCGCATGTTCTCCATCTTCTTGATTATTCTTATCCCACCTATCGTTTTGAACAGTGTGGTTCCCAAGTTCTACATCAATCGTGCCCTTTGGGAAGCCCGTGAATATCCCAGCCGTATCTATGGATGGTTTGCATTCTGCACCGCAAACGTCGTTTGCGAAATTCCAATGGCAATCGTTTCCGCCCTTATCTATTGGCTCCTGTGGTACTACCCAGTTGGATTCCCCACGGACTCGAGCAGTGCTGGATATGTCTTCCTCATGTCGATGCTCTTCTTCCTATTCCAGGCCAGTTGGGGTCAGTGGATTTGCGCCTTCGCCCCGTCATTCACTGTCATCTCCAACGTAAGATCTCATCCCCCATAACCAATGCTATCCACCATATTAACACTACCCCCAGGTCCTCCCCTTTTTCTTCGTTATGGTCAACCTGTTCAACGGTATCGTCCGCCCGTACAGGGATTACCCAGTCTTCTGGAAATACTGGATGTACTATGTGAACCCAGTGACCTGGTGGCTCCGAGGCGTGATCTCAAGCATCTTCCCCTCTGTCACCATCGAGTGTGCGTCGAAGGAGGCCACTCACTTTAACCCTCCCCCAGGTTCCACCTGCCAACAATATGCGGGTAATTTCGTCTCCAATATCGCCGGTGTGGGATACCTGGTTAACCCGGACGCCACGCAAGACTGCCAATACTGTCCCTTTGCCAGTGGTACGGAATACATGCACACGCTTAACGTTAACGACGGTGATAAGTGGCGGTGCTTTGGTATTTTCCTAGCCTTTGTCATTATCAACTGGGCTCTGGTCTATTTCTTCATATACACTGTCCGTGTGAGGGGCTGGTCCTTTGGAGTGGGATATCTTTTCGGCGCACTCGGTATGACCATTGATTGTGTGAAGAAGGTCTTCTCCAGGAAGACTGAAAAGGCACAGATCTAGTTGGTATTTGCTATCCTATTTCTGATATCTCAAGGTAGAGGGAACCCAGAAACAAACACACCAACGAAAAAGAGAAAAAGAGAAAAAAAGAAAAAAGAAAAGGAAAAAGATACAGTGTGGCCGCGAGTGATAAAACCGAAAGTGAAATAATGAACGATATCAAGAAGAGAGACCTTGACGCAAAAGCATCTTGTTAATAAAAATAAATTAATTTTGTTTAGAAGAAAAAAAAATCAGTTCAATAATCAACATTCCTGGTCGATTGGTTAAATGCGGATGTAAGGTCATCTCACGCCATTTTCAGTAAAGAACCAAGGCTTGCGGTTCGGTCCGTACTGCGGTGCTGGGAGACGCATCGGCACGGGAACGGTACCTTTGAAAACATCCAGCATAGCCTCAGACTCATTGGCTGGGGATTCGCTCTGTTCCCACGGGAAGTCCTCGCTGATGACAGGCATGAGCACACCACACTCCCAATTTCGACAGTTGAGCTTCGGTTCCTTCGTTTTCCGGTCTTGAACGAGACGACCCCTAGTTATTATCAGTATACCAAATCGCAAAGCACAATGAGAGGGAGAGCATACCAAGCACTTTCTGAAAGATTTGCACTTCCTACATACGCCCAGGCTTGGCAATGAGAATCATCAGGCAGCGTTACCGGCTTGTCGAGTCTTACATAGAATATCTAGAGTATGTTAGTATAAGCTTGGTGTCTTCTCTCGCCTTCATAAAGATACAGCAACTCACTTTGTTGTGCATGAGTAGTCCTGGCCTCTGACTTATACAGTCACGCAATACCTGACGGGGGAATTTCGGACCCGTATACCACTTTGACTGGAAGCAAATGGTGCCTGCACTTTGTGGGCCACCCTTTGTGTTATTGACTGTAGTCTCTGAGGGGAAGTAGACTCTAAATCTTTCTCTCCACTCTTCGGCCATGGTTTTATCAATGAGTTGTGTAGGGTTGTTCCGACTCTGGGCAGGGAAGGATTTCGCAGTTCGCAAGATATATTCTGTCGACCCATCATCGCCTGACATAAAGTTATTTTGTGATCTGATGTTGCGATGCTAGGTATGACGCCCGGTAGCTACTTACCCTGACATGCAAGATACATAGACCGTAGAAACTCGTCGGTCAACATGCCAACGGATGATGTCTATAGCATATTAGCAAGTGCTTCAGTTATCGGATGGGGTCGTAGACTTACTACGAAGTCGATGTTGAGAGAACTAGATATTCGCAAACCAAGAGAGTGTACTGAACGACCTAAACCGCAGTACCCTGTTCGCCGCCATGTGTCTCCTACATGCGAACCACCACTAGACGAAGTTAATGTCCGGGGCTTCGTATCATTGTGAGGAAACATACATAGTGTGAACGAAGGCGATGTGCGCGGTTTTACTGAAGTCGTATTCATTCAGCTTAGCGATGACATTTTCGTGTAAAGTGCTAGCTTTCAAAAAGTAAGCCAGATCGTCGTAGAAAGCTGTGCTCGAAAACCTCGGGGTTTCATCAGTTCTCTTAGGAAGGTCAATGATAAATACACTCTAGATTAAACGTTAGCTAATCCCAGGTTATGAAGATCGGATCACAGTACGTTTTCCATCACACCACCTATTTCACCCCAGTCATATGAAGTCAAGTTAGCGGTGGGTATCGCGATCCGGACATATCCAGAGTGAAAGAGTAACATTAGCTTTGAGTGCATGCAATTCACTTGACCATCCATGGGCGGAAAACATAGCCTAAGGTTACGTATAGACGCTGTCTCGGACTGGTACTGGAGTTTCTAACACCGCGAATGTAGTTAGCATCACACTTGGATAATATGAGTGACAAGGTGGGCAAAAGTAAGGATAGAGATGTGCTGCATGTAACAAACTTACTGTAGATTCATCCTTGGCTTGCATCACCAAATAGAACCTTGTTTTCGCGATATCCAGCTTCGAAAACACCCATTCCATCTCCCACAGAAACGAACTGAGAACAGCAAGTTGCAAATCTGATTTTTGAAGAACCTCTTCAATCTTGATATCGTCACCCCGCCGGCGGCAACCAAAGGCCCATGTTTTCTTGACGGTCCCATTAGGAAACTGAACCGACGGGATTGGGGAGGGGTTTTGTGTTTGGTGTACGTTCGCTGCTTGCATTGCAAGCGAGGAATTTGATTCGGAATATGTGTCAACTAATTGGCCGGATATATTGGACTCTTGTTTCACGCGAGATTCTGGAGACGTTCCGATTCTAGGGTGTTTTGCGTCTCGGTTATCATCCAGTACGAATTCTTCGGCTTTTCTCTTCTGAAATCGCGCGAGGCGCTCTTTCTCCATCTGCTTTCGATTCAAGCCTAGTATGCCAGTCGTTGCTAGCGGCTTTGGTATGCCTGTTGACGTTGGGGCATTGTTGTTGGAGGAAAGAATGCCGCCCTCATTCTTTGCCTCAGTAGAAGGCAAGTAATGCCCCGAAGAGTCGCTTTCATCTTGTACGGCGCTTTGCATAGACATTTGAATCGCCTTCTTCAGGGCTTCATCTTCATCGTCATATTCATCACTAGAGTCGGCTTCATCTCCGTCCGTCTCGGAACCAATGACCGAGTTTGATTTGGGATATATGGGCACCACATCATCATCATCATCATCAGAGTCGGCAGTCAAGTCAACAACATCATATTGACGACCATTAGGAGTACTTTCATCATCGTTGCTAAGATCCCTTAAAGAAGCCGCAATTGCTGCTCTCAGTGCTGGATCATTCATATCGTCGGAATCCATGCCAAGTTCCAGTGAGGCTTCAAATAAAGAAGGTAAGGTTAGTTCTGAAAGAAAATGAGAAGGGCAACACCGTTTGACATATGATGCGGCTAGTAGTAGGGACTCATTGGGGTGGAGGTTAAGTGGTGCTAGTATAAATGGAACAACAAGAGAGTGTTAGTATTTATGGTTCGTCGTCACATGGGAGGGTTGGTCCTCCAAAAGGTAGAATGTCCAACAAGAGGTGAATCAAGAGAACTAGAGTACCAGGAGATAAAATGGTAAGCAGAGAAGGCGTCGTATGGAAGAAGTGCCGATGATGAACGTTGCAAGTGAAAGGAAAGTAAAAGCAGGAGGCACGAAGGACCAATGAAATGAGGACTCCGGGGGCGACACGTGACTGTCAGGATATTCAGATCACTTGATATTGTGATATAGAAGTTCTTCGTGTATACATTTATCTATCTATAGAGAAAAGATAGACAACGATCGGTAACAGGATAATCCACAGCCCTCAAATCTGACAATGGAGAAACTGCATAGGACCTCTTTTTTAGTTTGATCTCTACCACAGTCAATGTATATACTACTATACTATAACATAGCCTAGATACACCGAGGCTTCACCCAGTGATCAAAAGAGGGAATCGCCGTGGGCTTTAATGGATAATTCCTTTGATCACATAGACTATGTTGAGATACAAGGGATGGAAATTGCCTCCGTCGTATCGCCACGCAATTGCCGTGGAAGTGGTGGGAACTCCCTTTCCCCTATTTCGTGCAACGAGCTTTCTTTGGAGGGGAAATGTTGGAGAACAGTTTCAATTCTCGACGCAGGCGGGCCACCTTCTATGATCTGATTAAGTTTATTTGTACGAAGCACAATATATGCCTCTGGTGGCTTTCTAGACTGACTGCAGTTTGGATTTATTTCCACAGCTCCGTCCCCATGGCCGTTGAATTCATGGATCCCAACCCTCTGGAAACAGGAACTTCGGTCTATCGGCAACCTGTCAGCGTGCAGGTCCAGAGCACACTAATATCCAGACGACTGAACCCAAGTGTCCCACGGTAGGCTTTCACCTACGCGGCTCAGGGGAGCTTATCGCTAACAATAGCATAACACGCAAAGTCACCATTCGCTTCTATGAAAGACTTGACGAAGCGGGTATCCCTCGACTCGTACCGTTTGGTGCACTGCCACGCTACCAAGACATGATTTACCCGGAGGCGTGTAAGATGCTCAGAAAACCCATGGTTATCGGCCGCCCCTACGATACCTGTTATCTTCATTGTCTGCCAATCCAGGTAAGCCGCCTGATCTATGGTCTTATTTGCACATGACGATCTGCACTCGAGATCGGGAGGCTAGAGCGCACAGAAATCGGTAATCTAGCAATCCTCAGAACATCACACCCTCATCTACCATGAAGCTTCGATTGCTATGTACCATTCGCTTGGCTATCGCAGTTACTTCCTTGGAGAGTTCGGCCCTTTCTCCGTAGACATTCTCAGACGTCATCCGCAGGAATTGTTGTGCTGCTACTCTAAGCCATACGATGTCAACCTTGAATACCCCTGCCATATCAAGCGGGTTAACTGGCACAGGCCACCAGCATCCGTTGTGTTCTTGACAGGATCCGAGAAACCCACGATGGCTTTGCATCGCCGCCGCGCGTTTTTGGAGTTCATTGAAATTTTGGGAACAAGTGAGCAAGTGCAGATCTTTTCTCTGTCCGTTGTCGTGACGGATCACTGGAATATGCACGGTTGGAAAGAGAGGCTTGGTCAACGCCCTTTTTAGCAGCGCGTTCAAATTTACCGGAAGGCTAAGCTTTTGCGCTTTATTCAGAAGGAAAGAAGTCGCTTGCGTGAGCTTGGCCACTCTCTAAGGAGCCTACCTCTTAAAGATTGAGCGGAATAAAAAGAAGATACAGGGGCCAGGCTTCTCGATCTGTGTTTGTAGGTCTTTCTCCTTCCTTTTCCAATCGCTAAATGCATTGAAGCACAAGATCTATTATTGAGAAGAAGATATCCCGGTGAGCATCAGCGGTCTCAAGCCCAAGTCCAACGACCAGAAGACGCTTTTCATTCGGCGTCTTCGTCACAATGGCACTGGCTATCTGGCGAGCGTAGAGTTGACCCACTGTGTCATGTCCAGGAACATGACCCCCAAGCAACGAGGTTGCGGTAAGGCTGCTAATGGGAAGAAGACTATCATCAGAATCTGGGAGGGTATGAGCGCCATCAGTTCCAGGATTTCTGTTTTCCAACGGTACATGTAGCTGCGATCCGTTAGTTGATTATGTAAGATGAGAATCCATTTGTGATACAGACCCAATGGCCAAGTCGGCCCTTCTGCGAGATAGTGATCAAAATTCTGTCGTTGAAACTAATGCACATCACATCGGTCTGGGTACCATTGACCAGTCCAGCAACTTGTTTTGTCGCGGCAGGAAAGGGAAGGTTTAACGGCTCCTGGAGATCACTGAGATTGAGAGGTTCCGCCATGATAGAGGACTAGTGTTGTTCGAAAATAATGACTACTCAGAATGCAGTTGAGGAAGAGAATACTGTACACAGGGAAGATGTAGTCACAAATAGTAGTCGATACGCGGGCGGTGAATGACCTCTCCCACCGCTTTATGGCAGAATCACTCCGTCGCCTAATTTTTTTCTTTTCCTTTTTCATCGACGAAGCTCGTCAGTCTACATTATTCTCTCTAATTATCTTCTTTTGTCGGCCAGTGTAGGAAAAGGTATTTCTGCCCCTACATCATGCCTAGATTTGTTCCTCGCCAGAGGAAGCAAAAGCACAAGCAGAAGGAAGCGGCAAATACTGGAGTTGACAGTAATGCGGCCGAGATTTTGCCTATTTCCAAAGAACAGAAGGAAGCCAAAAGACAAAAGCTCAGAGAGGAACTGAGAGCGCAGCACACAAAAATCTCTGCGAAGAAACAAAAGCGCTTAGATAAATATATTGTATGTAGACCCTATACAAGCAATAAATTGTGCAGTATATCGTCGTCCATTCTAACCATCTCTGCAGGAAAATAAACTCAAGAAAGAAGAGAATGTTGAACTACTCAAGAAGCTTGAGAAATCAACGGTGGACACCTCCAATTTTGAGAGTTCCAGGGAAATAGGGAAGCGGAAAAGGCTCCTTGAAGATGGTACACTCGAATCACCTACGTATACACCTGACCGGGCTGCCGATGCCGAGTTATCCGGCGATGAAACAGATGATTCACTCCCCCCGTTAGGAAAGATCTCTACTATTCCTAAATCAGAAAGCTCTACAGAGAAACCGGAGGCGAACATCACGGTCGGTAGCGGGTTAAAGCGCCCTCTCGAACTCGGAGCAGATGGATTTCCGGTCCTCAAAAAACGCAAGCGAGCGCCGAAATTAAAGTCCAACGCTATCAACATACAAGAAATAACATGGGAGGGTTTTGGCTCGGATGAAGACGAGGATAAAAATGAGGGTGGTAGCTCTCCCGATACGCGGGCTCGTGAAGAGGAAACACGGAATGAAGGTGACCAAGATGAAGACAATGAGTCTTCAGAGGACGCTTCTGAAAATGATGAAAGCGAGGATGAAGATGAAGACGAGGACGAGGGCGAAGATGAAGACGAGGAGGACGATACTAGCAACCAGCCTCGCCAGTCTGCGTTCAAAGCCTGGGCCAGACAACAAATCAACGAGACTGTGGGTTTCAACCCTACCACTGGCCCAATCGTGTCTGAAGAGCAGCCTTTCGGCTCTAAACGCAAAGAGAAGCCCGTGCAAAATACTGTCTATGAAGAAGAACCGCTACCCGCAGAACTTCAAATTACCACGGGAAACCCTTACAGAAAAGCGTTTCATGTCCAGGTTGACCGCTCGGAAGATATCCAGAATACACGGTTGGGGTTGCCAGTGGTTGGAGAAGAACAGAAAATTATGGAAGCAGTTTACAACAATTCTTCAGTCGTCATATGGGGAGCTACTGGTAGCGGAAAAACTACCCAATTACCACAATTCTTGTTTGAAGCTGGTTTTGGTAACCCTGGTAGTCCTAACCCAGGCATGATAGCAGTAACTCAACCTCGCCGAGTTGCTGCTGTCAGTATGGCGAAACGTGTAGGTGACGAGTTGGGACAATTTTCCGACCAGGTTTCGTATCAGATTCGGTTCGAGAGCACTGTTTCTAAAAAGACCGCAATCAAGTTCATGACTGATGGTATCCTGATCCGAGAAATCGCAGAAGACTTCTCGCTGAGCAAGTATTCCATCATCGTGATTGATGAAGCTCATGAGCGGAGTGTTAACACAGATATCCTCATCGGGATGGTGAGCCGTATTGTCGACTTGAGGAAAGCTATGAGCGAGGAAGATCCATCGGTGAAACCGCTCAAACTCGTGGTTATGTCTGCTACTCTGCGTATCTCCGACTTTACCCAGAATCCCAACCTCTTCCGTCAGGGACCACCCCCTTTAGTTCAAGCAGAAGGCCGGCAGTATCCTGTCACAGTGCACTTTTCTAGGCGGACACGCCGCGATTTTGTTGAGGAGGCATTTCGCAAAGTCTCGAGGGGCCACCGTAAGCTGCCCCCAGGAGGCATGCTTGTCTTTCTGACAGGGCAGAACGAAATTCGACAACTCTCCAAGCGCTTAAAGCAGGCCTTTAGACCTACGCAGCGGGGTGGAGAAACCATGGCTAAAGTACAGATCTCTGCGAACGATGCGCCACTGGAAGCGGAAGATTTAGACATAGGGGACGCCGATCTATCCAATGTTGGCAACGAAGACGAAGACGATAGTGATCTCGAGATTACCGGTTTAGATAACGATGACGACTACGACGACGATGGCTTTAACCTAGGCGAAGGCGAAGAAGCAATGGGCTCATCTACTCGGGTGCATGTTTTACCGTTGTATTCCCAGCTTCCCACAAAGGAACAGCTGAGAGTATTCGAACCGCCACCAGAAGGCTCACGGCTCATCATTCTAGCGACTAATGTGGCCGAGACTAGTTTAACAATTCCAGGTATCCGATATGTGTTTGATTGTGGGCGGGCCAAGGAGAAGCAGTACGATTTAGATACAGGAGTTCAAAAGTTTCAGGTCAACTGGATCAGTAAGGCCAGTGCCAACCAAAGAGCAGGACGAGCTGGTAGAACTGGACCCGGCCACTGTTATCGGCTCTATTCATCTGCAGTTTTTGAGAATGAGTTTGCTCAGTACACAGAGCCAGAGATTTTACGAACTCCAATTGAAGGTGTCGTGCTCCAGATGAAGAGCATGGGCCTTCATAATGTTATCAATTTCCCATTCCCAACGCCTCCTAGTCGTCAGGGCCTAGTGAAAGCCGAGAAGCTGCTCAAAAATCTCGGTGCTCTCTCGTCTGACGGCAAAGTTACACAAATTGGCCATCGTTTGTCTACATACCCGCTATCCCCTAGGTTCGGTAAGATGTTGTATATCGGGCATCAACACGGCTGCATGCCTTACGTTATTGCGCTGGTTGCAGCTTTAGCAGTCGGGGATCTCTTCGTTCCGCAGAACCAGATTGATCCGACGCCTAAGGGTGATGGCAAAGGAAATAACGAGGTGTATACGAATTCGGATCGCTTGGAAGACACGGCTCGAGAGCAACGCCTTAAGGACTACTCGAGAGCTCATCGACTTTGGAGTAAGCACGATGATACTTCTGATGCGTTGAAATATTTGTCGGCGATTTGCGCTTATGGATATGCTTCCGATGGGGAGTCGTTTTGCGAGAAGATGTTCCTACGAGGCAAAGGATTCAAAGAGGCTACACTACTACGAAGTCAATTGACAGACATAGTGCGGGCCAACAACCCTGGGGTTATCGGAGCGTATCAATCACGCTTATCGGAGCCGTCAGAGAAGCAAATAAAGGCTCTGAAACAGATAGTCACGGCTGGATTCATTGACAATGTCGCCATCCGGGCTGACTTATCTCCGGTACCGCCTGAAATGCATCGTACACCGAAAAGAGCGATTGATGTTCCATATTTGACCCTTTTCAAATCTCGAGAGGGACTCGCCACAGAACTTGATGAGATGGCTGTTTATGTGCACCCCTCTTCTATTCTTGCCAGTCTCTCACCCAAGGAAATGCCGCAATACATCATATATTCCCACCTTCAGCAAGCATCCCCATCACTCGTGTCTACCGATACACCCAAAGTCAGAATGTTCCCACTTGTCTGCCCGAGCGGATTACAGCTCTCTGCCATTGCACACGGCACACCATTAATAGAATATGGTAAGCCTATTGGCAAAACAGAGTTGGTTGACGGAATCCCGCCGCGCAGGGCGTGTTGGGTAGTCCCGTCACTGATAAGTGAGGCTGGACGTGGAGGGTGGCCTTTGCCAGCCAAGAAGGTGATACAGAAGAAAGACCCTAAGGAGGGCTGGATAATTGAAAAGTTTGCCGCTTAAATGTATATAATATTGGGAAAGGTTACTGCAACGACTTATACATTGTTACGAATGTCAATGCCATGGTCATCACGAGCTATGCTCTTCTGTACTTCATTTCATGCGAACCAAATCTCACTCTGCCATATACAAGAATCAAATGTAGCAACTCCCAACGCCAAGGGCCAAACTCAACCTTATCATGAATTGGTCAAAAAAAAAAAAAAAAAAAAAAAAAAAAAAGGGAAGTATGACTCCCAAGAGTCCTAAATTTAGGAACGCCCACGTTCCCTCTCCCGCTTCTTCTCCTCCCAATCCCGACGCCCACTAGAAATCTCACCAGTTTCCCGATCCTCCTTGATCCCCAACGCCTTCCGTAACCGCTCACTCTCCTCAATCTTTGCCTCGGCAAGTTCATGAACCTGATACGACTTAAACTGCCTCCGATCCCTAGGCTGCAAGTCCCTCGCGGCGCATCCACCCCTCCTCCGTCCCTCCTCCCCCTCCTTACTCCTCTTCTCATCGTCCTCCTCCATCTCCTTCACCAACCGCGCCCTCAACGCCTCACACCGTTCCTCAATCTCCTCATCCGACAAAACCTTCCCCTCCCCCCCCTCTCCTTCTTCCTTAACCCCCGACCTCTTCGCCGCCGCATTCTCCTCTTCAATCCGCTCATTCTCCTCCTCCAACCGCTCTCTCTCCTCCATAACCTTCACCTCGATCGCCCGCCGCCGATCATGCTCGAGAATCTGTTTATCGGGCTGCCGCTGCTTGAATGGTCGGCCTGCATCGCCGTTCGCCCCGACAGGTGGGTATGGCGCCCCGTAGCCTGCGTTGCGCGGTTTCATGAAGGCCCAGTTCTTCTGGACGTAGCCTGATGTACCGCTTCCGCGCGGGGTGGTGAGACCGACGTTAGAGGACATTTATTCGGTTGTTCCTTTTTAGTTTGGAGGTGATGTCTTTTTGTTTGGTAGGTGGAGGAGTGAGGGGCGGAGATCGTCGGAAAGTAGATATATCACGGAGGTGGTTGCTTGGTTCGTGTGTTGATCGCGGGGTTGGTAGAGGTTTTCTGGGATTGGTTGGTACGCGTCAATGTGGGGGGCAGTAGGTTAGTAAAGTATTCTTTGAATTGGGATGCGAGACTGAATGATGGTGGCGAGACGAGAAAAGGACTAATCGAATCCTTTTACGGAAAGCTGCGATTATATCACGTGATGATTCGGCGATAAGGATGGATTTAAGTCATGTCATCAGATTCGACATATATTGATTGCTCTTCTCTACATTCTACGTCTACCGTGCAAAGACAAATTCATCAACACATTTTCATTGGACCGACTGTATACCGACATGATTGCCTCTACACGCTCATGCTCCAGGCATTTCCTTTGATACTCCCTATTTTCAGAGTGTCCCATATGTCCAAAGGTCCCATTTGTTGCGCAACCGTCAAGGTCAATCGAGCGTGGATATCCCAGTGTCCCCTTGTTCCCCAATTAAGACGCCGACGCCTCGTACCCCGGACAAAGAGAAAGAATACAGCCATCGACAACTATCAAGACGTGTCTTCATTTTCATCACATCAAACCTGTCACAGAACAACCAGAGAAAGCCATGCACAAATTAAAGGTTTAAAGAAGAATTCAAGAAGTATATCGGGTAGGGGAGCGTAAGAAATGAAGAAACAAGAAGAATAGCAAAGCAAGCTCCCGCCATAACCCTTATTTTTTACGCCGTTATGCCATGAATCGGGACAGCAAAGCAGCGAAGTGATAGCTCATGTACCCCTCAGAAAGCCTGTATGTATACGCCCGGATTAAGAATAATTTTGTGTCTCAACACAATTGTGTGCGGATCGTGAAAAAGGTAAAAATATGTCAAGAGAAGCAAAACGTTATAGCAATCTAGTTGGCGCCGGTTACTTCCACAGAAGTATTTGGGGTGCTACAAGCCGACTCAGACGCCGCCAGGGGTGTGCTCTTGGTCACGTTCTTCGATTCGCTAGAAGCGTCAGCATTACCCTGAGTGTCTATGGGAGGCGGCGTCGGGGGTGCCCCGCCAACGACTGGTACTCGGCAGCTTTCAAGACCGTTCACAGCCCGCTTGGATGGCTGCGGGGAGGATTTGTGCGAGTTTGGCGGCGTGGTAGAGGTGGTATGAGGGAGAGGGCCGCTGGACGGCGAATTCGACTCGGCAACTATCTTCTCGATAGCTGCAATTTGTTTGCCATAGCTATACTTCTTCAGCTGACTGAGAAGAGGTTTGATCTCCTCGACAAGAGTTTCTCTTTCGGCCCCTTGCAGCTGACCCAGGACCTTCTCTATAGCACAGTTAGCCTCAGTAATGAATGAGCTTGCGGGTAATGACAACGTACGTATAACATAATTACCAAATTGGTCACGAATCAGACCGAGTAAAGGGTTCTCCCCGGTCTCGTCAGGGGACGTCAGCATGCTGATAATCTGGCGACGCTGAGCCTCTTGACCAAACTCGATACTCTTTTCGACCACGTTGCTAGCAAACTTATGCTTTGAGTAGAGCAGCAAGTTGGATACGACAATGGTAACCATACGAGACCGATCCTTATCCTCGCCGTTCTCAATTACATGTTGAATCACGTAGTTACCGAACTGATCGGGTATAAGCTTCCCGGTACAGAGATGTAGCTCCCCCAAGATGGCCTCCCGGTCCTCTTCCTTGCAGTGCTCAAGCATGCGCTGGATAACACGGCAGCCATACGGATGAGTGGCCAGTTTTTCCACCTGTCCGATAAATGCATTGATGATGAATTGCACATGCTCAGACGGCACTCTTTCAATGGCTTTCTGGATAACGTGGTTCCCGTTCTGATCACGGACACATCGGAGAACGTGATGTTCAAGCTCCTTTACCATAGAGGCTTGCTGGTCGGTGAGGATATGCTCCAGGGCCTGCCATGGATCAGCCACTGCTTTAGAAGAAAGTGAAATAATCGGAAAGATGTTCTTACCTTCTGGACTACTCGACACCCATACATCTGGGTGGATAAGGTTAGTATGTGTCCCTTCATTTGGTTCGCCAAAATCTTCTTCTGCGTCTGATTGCCATGCTCGAAAAGTTTCTGAACAACGTAATTTCCGAAAACGTCGGTCATCAATTGCAGACTATCGCCCTGGATCTCTCGGAAAACCTGCTCTTTTTCGTCACTATTGGCCGTCTCCAACTTCTGCTGGATGAAACGCGATCCATGTTGATCACCGCTAAATTCGACAACGTGATTGTAGATGTCCTATCCTTGTCAGCCTTGGTGTCATGCGAAAGACGTGGGTCTAGTTAGTACCTTGAGCTCATAACGTTTATTTCCCTTACTATTGGCCCTGAACTCCTCCAGAACAGGGCTGCGCACGGTCTGGGATGGATCGTGGTCACGATGGCCCCTAGCTGCGATAGCTGCTGCGCCGAGCTGGGCTGTCCCCGGATAATATCCCGCCAGAGCATTGAGCCCCGTGGCTGGGTATCGGGCAAGGTCATAAGTGGTAAAAGACAACCTTTGCAGTGGGTTCATCGCTTGTTGAGCTAGCTCCTGTTCGCGCACTCGTCGCTCCAAAGCAGCGTGCGGATCCGATATACGGTTGCGATATGGCGCCGGCACTGACCCAGTATCGAGGGCAGCATACAGTGGGCTGTCTACACGGGCATACTCCGCTGGCGAAATTGGGTTATCCCCGATCCGGTTTCTGGCAGGCTGATATCCGAGTTGTACATCCGACGCGTTCTCGCCTGCGTAACCAGCTCCTTGGTAGCCGACGTCTTCACCAGAATTCTGATATTTCAAGCGCTGCAAAGAGCCATCAAAGGATGAATGTGACAAATAGCCCGGTCGAGTAGTCGACGGGTGTGCGGGATACGCAGCCTCGTTCAGGTGTAGCTTGCTAAAACCAGAATTGATATCAGCGACACCAGTATATCGGCCCTCAAATCCCTGGGTCTCGGAGTGAAACGACGGGTATGAAGAGTGCACCGGCCTCTGCGGCGCAAAAGACGCCGAGTTATGCGAGGCATGCGTGTAGGAGTTGCGACCCAGCGCCGGCGCCACGGTCTCGGGCAAGCCCTGAGGCAATGCCGACATAGACGACATCTCCTCTGATCTATTGCTCTCAAGGGGGCTAGAGAATCCGGACTTTATCTGGAACCCAGACCCGACAGGACTACCTCCAAAAGCAGAGGCATTGACGTGTCGTCGGTTGTCTGTGTTTCTGAAATTACCCAAGCTAGAGAAGGACATACCCTCCCCAGAAGGCGACATGCTATCCGATCCCGTGTTAAGATACGCCTTATGACTTGTAGGACCCGTAGTGCCGCCCATCGCGGATGACCGTTGTAGTGCGAAGTACGAGGGATCACCAGCTTCCGTGAGGCTACCAGTTCCTCGCTCATTCGCCCGTGTCTGGATGGGCGACGTCGACATATTGCCATTGGTCGCTCTAGATGAAACAGCCAAAGACGAACTCATAGCACTCCAAGGGATGCGACCACCACTCCACTCATCGGACTCCGATGATGACAATAGAGAACTGGAGCCGGCTTTCCCTTCAAACGCCTTTTCTCCAGCATGCTGGTCTGTCCGCCATTAGTTCATATTCTCCAATGTCATTGGGCGCAACCAGTGTCTCACCTCCTAGATTGTCCCTCCAGATGTTGCTATCCCAGCTTGGTTTGGCACCGCCAAAGGCCTGACCCATATTCACATGGGTTCCTCGTGTTCGTTCACCGCTCATGTTTGATGAACCTATGTTTGAACCCCGGCTCGAACGTACCTAAACCACCGCTGTTAGCAGCGTGATCATGTTCTCCCAGCGCCCTGCCACTCACATTATGTGCCGCGCTCGAGTTTGTTGCCATCGCGGCCATTCCACCATATATCTGACAAAGCTAAAGACAGGTGGAAAGAAAATTATGTATATGAAGAGCAAAAAAAAGAAGTATTTTCAGACCGTCTCCAACGAGCTTCTTTCAAATGTCCCACTTCTATTCTTCTGGGTCAGCCGTTTAACTGCGTATCCCGAAACACGAGTTCGTGAGGCCGAACCGGTCAGGATTACAGCGTAGCGGATAAGCACGAGCACCCCGTTGGGATATCGGGTGAATTCCGTGAGCTGCACGAGGTCCAACCATAAGGTTAGCAAACTGTTGTATTGCCAGGCAGCGATGGTCTTAGAGAAAAACACTTACCCAAAGAAGCGACACGGAATCGAAGGAGGAAAAGAAGGAAAGGGATGAAGAAGAGGAGTCCGAAACAAGGTGAGGACAAAGGATGAAAAAGAAGAATAGGGTTTATGTTTTTGTGCAAAGAAGTAACGCGGTCAGGCAATGTACAGATTATACAAGGGATCGCAGGGGTACGAAAGGGAGGTGAAGTGGCAGGCGGGCCAGCGAAAAATGCTTAAGAGCAAAAGTAACGTAGATGCAAGGCGACAAGAATTGGATAATCTCCCTGTCGTTACAAATGTAATACTCCGCAAGTATCTGTAGATCGAAAGTGCCAGTGCGTATCGCGACGTTGCTACGCTTCGTGCATGCTCCAGGAAGCTCGAATATCGCAGATCACCCTCATGTGCCTTGTGGAGAGGGAACGGGACGAGGAACGTTGCCGACACGGGCTTGTTTCAATCCGACAGGCGTTTGGGAGGGTTGATGGTTTGCAGCGGCAAGGGGGAGGGGAGTGATTCAGAAAAATTGCAGCTGGTATGGAGAGGAATGTGTTTTCGTGGCGCAAATGAAGGCGATCAGGCGTGATTGGTGGATCAGCGATAAATGGGAATGCGAGCGAGAGAGACAAAGCACGGCATTAATGTAATTCAGTTGTGACACCGGCGAAAGCAAGCATGACACCCAAAAGTGGTTCTGGGGGCCGATCAATCTCGATCGTAAATCCTCTTCGACCTCCACACCAGTGGGGAGACGAGAGAAGAGAAGCGGTGGGGGGGAGGAAGGAGGAAAAGGATGATGATAAGTATCCTTTTGGAGGCTGAGAACGAAAGAGAGGAAGCGCAGCGAGAAAAAAAATTTCCTAAACGAAGTGAAAGAAAACTGGTAGCACAGAACAGAAGCACTAATAAGATTCAGGATACAGTAGGAACAAAAAAATGGAGTAGTTAAGTTGTCAGAAAAAAAGATGAAAAAAAGAAAAAAAAAAGTGAAAAAAAGGAAGGGGGATGGGAGTGGTCGGGAATAAAAAAAAAGGTGACAATATATAATAAAAAAAAGGGAACTGGAAATTAAAAGCAAAAAAGAAAAATATGAAGTCTTTTTTGCAAGTGACAAGAGAGTCAAGATGATAGATAAGCTGGTTCACTTGAAAGGTCGAGCTGGAAAAAAGATGCTGCGTGTCTTGGAAAGAAAGACCCTCCCAATCCATAGGAATGGTATTATTGGATTTACATTGGTACCACTGGTGACAATACACTAGGCGATCTTGTCGATCTGGTCAGGTACTTCATCGCAGTATGTTTCCTACACCTACACAGCAAGTATCTACCGCCCAGCCTTTTAAGGAAAAACCAAGGCTTTATGATGATCGCCTTGTCCGCTCGTCCCATACCGTTCCAAAACCACCCTTGAAGATTTCTGGGGCCGCCGAAATCCATTCCCGTCATTCTTTAGCCTTCAACTGAACTTACCGTCCTTTTCTCTTTTCTTTTAATTTTTTTCTTTTTTTGACCCCTCTCTTATTGTCATAAATTAGTCCTTAACTTTATCTTTATCTACTGACCTTGTAATCCGATATGTATGACGCATACTGGGCTTTTTAAGAAGGAATAAAAAAAAAATCTACAATATGCCTAACAATGGATGACTACATTTTGTGACAGTACAATTCCTCATATTACCTTCGATCCAAGGCTGGAGAGTCTGGTGAGATATCAGAGATAATAAATAACCCATAGTCTGTTCTGGTCATCATGACACATTGTAATCCTGTACACTTTGCGTAATCTATCTAGTACTTTATTATATCCACGTACCACGTTGATTACTTAGATCGGGGAGAGACAGCAATATAAATAATATTCAGACCATTGTGGAGACCATTTAAGTGTCCTTGGTACGGCCGAACAGACGATGTTGGTTGCCGTCCTTTCGGACATGACTTCCTAGCCAGCGATTACTTGTTTGGACATGTTGCGAGGCTAGCAAAGTAGACCAGATCGGAATAGAGTAGTAGACTAGACTAGGAGATGTTGTTGTTGACTTCCGCATTCCTTGACTGGCTTCAAGTCCTAAAATAAGACTTACAGCGAAAGTTAACTTGTGCTCCAGCCCGACCGATCGGATCCACTAAACTAGCTTGATTTTCCTCATAACAATTAAAAACAAATACTTTATCGGGCATAGGCAAAGGAACACACCGGCGGATATTAATTAGCTTATTCAATCCCTGCTTTACGTAGGGTTGAGTTGGCCTGTTTCCATAGCACCTTCGAAACCTTCCGTTATGAGAAACAAGTAGCCTATATAATAGAAAAACAAAAATATATATTATTATGTTATTATATTATAAGAATTGGAAAAGGAAAAAGGAAGTGAGAAAGTGAGAGAGAGAGAGAAATATAAAAAATGACCCCCTCATTTTTGTTGTTGGTCAAGGCCTCGTGCAACTGGCTGTTTGGTTATTACTGCCAATACTACCTACCCTAATAGCCTCATAGGTGGGGATAAGGTCTTGTGACGGCATGACAATACCAACTGACAAAAGATACGCATAGTAGTATGTAATATAATATGTACTGTAATATACACCTATACTACTAGGTACTCTACCCTAAGTATTCAAGCCATAGCTACATAATCCTATTTGACATGCCATCATCTTTACTAACGCACTGCTCCATTCCTGCCGTAAGGGTACTAGTATCATGTATAGATACATGGACCAATACATACTGTACCTAGTATGTACATCACCCCAAGCGGCTACGCGCCCATCCACGGAATCTTTCGTGGTTTCTGACCTCAGCACTCCTGACAAGGCGCAGGATACCTGGAGAATACCATAGTGGTAGGGATGATTCACGCAATTATTAACCGGTAGCAAGCATTGGCAGATTCCCATTCATCCAAACAGCCCCCTTGCTTCCTACCAGTGTACCCCTCAGTTGGGTTTCATCTGCGCTCTCCTTCTGGCGGACCACGTACCAACTTTTGAGGAGATCTCCCGCCACAGTCATTGTCTTGCCAGAGTGACCACCCGGATCAATGGGATGTACGTAGTTCAGGATTGGAACTTCCAGACTACAGTCTGGTGGACCCGGTTCAGTCCTCTCGTCTTGAACGCTGTTGGCCTATATGATCTGCAGAAGTGTGTGCATACATCACCAGTTGATCTTCGTACTTGGGAGACATTTTACTTTCTCGGTAAGAGCCTCGAAACTCGCTAATGATTATTAATTAATAATATTATTGATCCCTTCCAATAAGAACGGTGGAGTAACAACCTTACATACCACGATATTCAGAGCCCTTCCTCGGGCTTCTTCTAGGACAAATTGTTCTCCAACGGTCTATGTCTGATAATCTGCGGATAATATTTCCATCCATACCTTGGTCCCTTGTACCACATCCGAGTGTAGATCCATGCTGTGAGAAAAATAGCCGGGCCAGAGAGGCTTGTAGCCATAACACACGTCTGTACCATAGTGATACTACCAACGTATTGATGTTGCACCGCATAACCTTGGTTCCTTCCCATCTGACCTTTCTTCTGTCATTCCTTACCCCCTCCCCTTATCAAAGCAATTTATATAGATCAGGCACCTGAACCTGGCAAAAGCGAAACTGAAGAGCTAGTGGCGACGATTGTAATATCATGATGAACTCACCAAGTGAGCCCGATTTTATAATCATGGGATCGTGCAGGTTAAGGGTCTTTCCGCAAATAGATTCTCGCCACACACACTCTCTCTCTCGCGCCATATCAGCATATTATATGTCTGCGCTAAACATAGGAAACACGGCGCTATAAGGCATATACAACTTTAGAGAAGGCGGTGTAGCAAATATATATTTTGTGTGTCTTCTGTATTAACGAGCTATACAGGTATGTACTTCCTAGAGTGTCTAGAGGGTCATTTGATGGAGACTACCACACATTTTGTTGTACAGTACTACCTATGGATTCTAGGTGAAGTAATTTCACGCTACTCGCAGGAGGATACCATGCATAGCGAATGTATGAGAGGTATACAACTAGCATACAGGAAACATGATATTTTCTCTTGATGGCAATATGCACCCCTCACGTTCGAGAACTTGAGGAGGCCTTTGTCCATGGGCCGTGATTCCTATCGGTACATGTTGCTAGCCTTGTATTCTGTATGCCGGCGATTGCGGGATTCATCGGTGATTTCCCTTTGATTCCCGGTACCACAACCGTGTGGAGTCAATGAGTATGGCTTGCGTCCATCGTAGACGCCGATTATTTAAACTCACTCCAGAGACTGATCACCCACTTGACTGGGAAAAGGCAAGCTGTAAAACCATATCCGCGTATCCCTGCTCGACGGCGTTCGGTCGAGGCTAATACTCTTCGACACTCCAACAAACCACAGCACCAAGCCATCCATGGAATAAAAATGGGGTAAGGCGGAACGATTATCGAAGCCAGAACCGTTATAACTTCTTTCCCGTAGATCTGGAGCGGTGAGTCATATCGCAGCAGTTCATGTCGGTTCGTGCTGGTTTGAAGTAAGGACCTCATCATATGAGCATATCTATCTCCCGACGGGTCTAGGGCCGACGTGACTCTTCCCAGCGCGCGGGGAATTTGGGTTGGTATGATAGGAATACCGGGAGTTGGTCACTATGATGATCGGATGAGCAGTGGGACCAAAAAGCTGCCAATCAGGGCTGACTTCCCTTAGGATATTCCTCGGTTTGGCGAAATAATTTAGGCTCACTCTTTTCCGAGTAAACTAATAAAAAGGTATAATACTTGGTAGAGATTGTCTGTCTAAATACGTGGTTTGTAAGCGGTGGTTGGTGCATGTGGTAATGACCATGTTTTGTTTGTATATATCCGCCATCGCAGAGTCATTCGATCATCGCTCGGTCATTGAGGCATTACTTTTAGCGGAGATATATTCTTGGAAATTTCGTAATAATTTGGAAAAGCCTTTTGAGGTAGGATACATCAATATATCGAGCTCCAAGGCATACGGACGACGACGACCACAAATAAACTGCAGCAATATCCTCAGGGCACAGTTACAGGCTTAGATAAAGCCCAATTGCTAACGGCCAAGTGGTGAGATAGATACAAACCATTGGCACCGATCACCCAGACGATATCTAACCAATCTGGAGTACTTCCGAAGGCTTAGCGTTAAATAGGTTCATCACAAAATTTGGTTTGCATCTCCTAGGTATTTCTCACGTAAATATGCAAGCAGTACAACCTGGCTTTCGCCTCGGACACAGAGAGATATGAGTATATATTAGATTTAATGTATGTATACATGCCTTTCTACCGAGAATTCCAAGCAAGTGATGTCTTTTAGTTAAGCATCAAAGTACGCTGTCCAGTGTGGGCATGTCATCCTCGGGCAGAGAAGACGTACATAACCATATATATAGACAATGATTGTCAAGAATGTCCTACAAAGTTCGTTGGAGTACAAAGGGATATGTATAACGATCTATTTATATGTCTATGTGATTCAGAAGCCCAGTGTGGTCCCTCCGAAGTGTTAAATAGGAAGAAGCAGTTTTGTTGATATCATTCATTTCTCGAGTTCACTATGGTTGAGATTTTCAACCCGCCTTGGTTTCCGGTACCCCGCCATGAGATCATATAAAAATTCGAGGCCACTCTGGTTGCCACATAGCATAGAGAGACAAGAGGGTGATTTCATGGTGCGGTCTGTCGCATGCCTTCTTGCTGTGTGGAGTACATACATTGGAAACAGCGATCGTTCAAGGTGGATCAAGGCCTGTAACATGAGATTTTAAGTGCTTAAATATCTACCGATGTAAAATTTCCCGATGGGACGCATATGTCAAGAGGGACAGCAATATCGACGACTGGCCTTATATTTATTTATGGAATCGGACAGGAAATCATCGTGCTATTCAGGGGTAAAAGAAAAGAGCCAAAAAAAGAAGACGTCGAGTGAGTGGAGCCTTGAAAAGATGGACAAAATTTAGCATCAATCAACAGGGGAACGGACGAATAGGCTTGGGGGAAGGTCTTAGTCCAGGGACCTCCGCCTTCCGATAGGCTCCAAGGCATGGGGAATGGAAATTACAACTTCCTTTAGCGCCCACGCCAGCGAACTGCCAAGTGACACCATAGAGGAAATGGACAAACAAACAACGCTAGAGTGGATCCTTGTGGCATTTAGTCTAAGACTAGTCTTGAGTGTCGTTGGCTAGCGACCAACTCACCCTTGCTGGGTGTTCGCTGGACGGTCTGGCCCTGTGGGCAAGCCCTTGCGCCTCGTTCCTGTCGTACCGGCTGGTTGACCGTGCGTTAGGCTCTCTCTCTCTCTCTCTCTCTCTCCTCTTCTCGTCTGACCCTTCCCTTTCTTTTTTCTTTTCGTTTTTGTTTTTCTCTCTTCCCTTGGCTATCATTCCACTCTCATACCAGCCCTCATTCATTCCTCCTCCTTCCTTCCCCGTCACGTTCATTTTATCCTAAAGCAGGTGTCGCTTCACTCTTTCAGCTGTTCACCTTGCTGTCCGTTCGTTCTCCTTACCAGCCCGGCCCATTTCGTTGTGCTACAAACACCTCAAGTCTTTTCAGACCGCCCGACCCGACCGGACGACCAACCTGATACATTCCCTCTTTTGTTCTAGACAGCGATTATCTCACGATAATCACTCCGGTTTTTGTTGCATTTTCTTTCCAGTGAAGACAATTTACTGGGACGTTGAGTAAGTGTCATTTGTCTTGCAGGTAACCCAGTCCAGTGCTGATCATGGTGCCATGTAGGACGACTTTGATTCTTCTAACCGAAACACATTTCCACACGCGTTGTGTCCATACATATATCGTTACAGTATATACCATAAGAGCCGACCATTAAAAAATGACGCGCCTGTTCAAGAGACTCGCTGCCCGCGACGATGGGAAAAGCGGCGATGATAGCCTGACTCCGGCCATGGTCGATCTTCTGATCGCGCTCTTGGTTCTTGTTCTAGTCGGCATCACATTGGTTGGTGCCCTTCTTGTCTTGCGCCGCAAGCGCCAAAATCGGAAACAATCCGAACTACCGATCCATAACGGTCAGTGCACGACCCATCACCGCAGCCTTACGATCTCTGCGCCACCATATTCAAAGACCGATTCTGTCCTCGTCTACGATGAGAAGAGGAGTCTAATGGAGAACTCGTCGAGCCCTCCCCCCAGCCCTGTCCCGGAGATCCGCATCACGTTCCCTGAGGAGGAGGATGAATCTGGAAAGCGCAAATCTGGACGCATGGTGGTTGTGAGAATTACCGATGCTGGCGGGGTTGGATTGGAGCCATGCCATGATGAGCTTCCACCATATCAATCCAGTGATGCGGAACGTTTCCAATCCTTGGACATTGAGCGTATGGGTGGACTCAAGGAGAAGGAGGATATCAAAAGATGGTCTTAAACATACCGCGTTGGTAACCAGATACCAGCGGCTGTCTATTCTATCCGTGATACCCCATTAAACCTCTTCTTACCCTTCGACGATTTCAAAAGGCATGACGATATCCCGGCGAAGATCTCCTGTTTCCAAATTTTATATCCCGGCACTTCCGTTTCGTTTTACCCTTCGCGACTTGCACATACGCGGACTAATCTATCCTGTCTGCCCACCGCGCTACTGATCTTCAGCAGCTTGGGGACACTCCTGTCTTTATTGACATTACTTATCTGACCGACCCACCCGAAGATAAAACTAAAGGCATACCTCGGCTGAATTGTGTATAGCAAAGGGCTGCTGGTTCATTTCCCCCAGATTTATTTTACCTTTTCATTGCCTTTCTTTTTCTGGGCGTTCATTTCTCGTGCTCGGTCACTTAGACACTTTCACCCTGCCACGTCACTAGGGTTGGAAAGACATTACGCACCTGTTTGTTGGATTCTTTTCATTCGTCTTGTTTTACCTTCTTCTTTTCCTTCTTCCACTTCTCTTTTGGTTTACCATTTCTACCTTCTATTCTATTATCTATTATCACCATCCCTACAATTCTCGGGTTGCCTTTAGGGTGTCTTACAGCTGGATAATGTGTGTAACTAGTCTGACCCTGCATTGAACGGTCACTTTATTTGAGTCTCAACGGATGTGTTCAATCATCTCCGATGTTCTCGTACTCTTTTCTTCCAATGGCGTGTGACCATGTGGTCCCGAGCCATACTAAGGATGCACAACATGTAACTATAATATTGCCGCAACCAGTAAACAGTTGTCCAGATTCGGAGGGGCTCCACTGTTGCAGGGTTCTGGATGTTCCGAGCCGTGCCGGCCAATGATAGCGAAAGGTTTCCCAAGTTGGCGTTGCCGAAAGCGCCGATTGCCCGACGTCACGGCGGGAAGATTTGGGATGTGCGAAATGCATCGTGCTCTTCTCGGTTCCCTCCCATCCCAGTCTCTCTCTCACTTGCATGAAGAAGAGATAGCCTATAATTCTTTAGTTTAATGTTTCTATATATATCCCTGTCTGCGACTGAATCCTTGCGGTTACCATGCCGGCACAGTGATCCAATTTACTTGGAGGCCGTCCGACAGCTTTAAAAATTTCGGACGCGAAAGAAAGACGACTAAGGGATAGCCACTCCTTCCCCACTCCCTTCTCAAATTCAATGTGTCGTCCATTTCTAATTCCTAAATTTTTTTGACACCCCTATTCTTGTACCAGCTCCCCCCGACTTGTTCACCCGCAGCGAGTGGTTGCGCTGCCGTGAAAGGCAAATTTACTCCTTGATCGCTTTAGATGAATAGGACCTTGACAAATTCGGGAACTTCTTGCCTGTGATGGTATCCGGATCAAGTCAGGGGTCGGGGTCTGATAGGCCTGACCTCAATGGCTTGCAAACGACCGCCTCGCCCCTACGGCCCTCGGAACGCAACGATCCTCGAAAAACCCCGGTACCAAAGGCATTGGTAGGAAATCCTTCTCGACCAGGAAAAGGAGGAAATGGGCAAGAAAGTGTCGATGATGACTTGGAACGGGATTTCAAACTCAAGCATCTGGGTTCACTGGGCGTGCTTGGCTGGATACTGTGAGCTTACACCCCCAGCGTTGCAAGCATGCTTTCGTCCTGGGGTTGGAAATTTCAATACTGAATAATGAAATATAGGTTTGTCCATGTTGTCGGAATATTCTTTTTCACCAAAGGGTTTCTCCTGACTCGAATGGTCTTGGAGAATAAGTCGTCTTGTGAAGTTCTTCCCTTCAGAGATACATCGTCGCATTCGGCGGTCGGCAAGAGAAACGAAGGGTGTTGGCACGAGAAGTCATTCGAGAAGGCTATTGTAATCATCGTAGATGCCCTGCGGTACGATTTCACGGTCCCATTCGCGCCAACAACCCAGGGTGAAACTGCCCAGTTGTTCCATGATAATATTCCCATTCTGTATGACACCGCAGTGAACACCCCAGAGAACGCTTTCTTGCTGCCGTTCATTGCGGATCCACCTACCACAACGCTGCAGCGTCTCAAAGGATTGACGACTGGAACCCTGCCAACTTTCGTGGACGCTGGCTCTAATTTCGCTGGAACGGCAATTGATGAGGACAACCTAGTCGCTCAGCTACGTTCTGCAGGGAAGAATCTGGTGCACCTCGGCGACGACACTTGGCACAGTCTCTTCCCTAATTACTTTGATCCCGAACTGACGCGGCCCTTTGACTCTCTTAATGTATGGGACTTACACACCGTTGACAATGGCGTCAATGATCATTTGTTTCCCCTCCTACATTCGGAGAACGTCACAAAATGGGATGTTATATTTAGCCATTACCTTGGTGTGGATCACGCTGGCCACCGTTATGGTCCCAACCACCCAGCCATGGGAGCAAAATTAAGGCAAATGGACCAGGTCATTCGAGATATCATCGCTAAGATTGACGATCGCACTTTGTTAGTTGTAATGGGCGATCATGGCATGGACTCAAAAGGCGATCATGGAGGCGAATCGAATGACGAAGTAGATGCTGCTCTATGGATGTATTCAAAGAAAAAGTTCTTTGGTCGCACCAGTCCAGAGTCTGCCATACCACCGAAGTCGGCGCGAGAACGATCTGTTCCTCAGATAGACCTCGTACCAACGCTGTCATTACTTCTTGGCTTGCCGATCCCCTTCAACAACCTTGGATCGCCGATCGAGGAGGCTTTCTCAGGACCTAGCGGAAAAGACTGGAAAAATCTGGTCGCCGTCAATCGGCTGGTGTCCGCTCAAATCGAGAGGTATCAGCACGAGTATGCAATCACGCGGGCTGCCGATGATGGCCAAGAATCTCAGTCGCTTGACTTGTGGGAGACAGCGGAGAATGCCTGGCAGAAGTCCAGCAAGTCGAACAAAGCGGCAATGCGTTCTGTGTACCAGTCGCATCGGGAGTACCAGCGGCACACCCTCAATATATGCCGGGCATTGTGGGCTAAATTCGATCTCCCGAGTATGGTACAGGGTGTTGGTATACTCTTTGCAGGGCTTTTATTGCTGGTGTTTTATGCCCGAGGTATCAGATCAGACCACACAGAGCTCACAACGCCGCTCCTTTCTGCGGTTGGAGTAGGTTTGGGCATGGGTGCTGTGGTCGGCGGTTCTTTGGCCTTCAGTGGCGTGGTGGATGTGCCAACAACAGAATCATCGGCTTTGTGGGCTGCCGTCGGAAGTATACTTGGCGCTTCGTGGGTCATCTTTGTGAAGGCTGGTCGCTTGGTGTTGCCTGTACCCAACTCATTGTGGGGTTTGCTCGCTCTGCTGTTCACTGTGACTCAGTCGCTGGGATTTGCTTCTAACTCGTACACCATCTGGGAGGATGAAATTCTATTATTCTTCCTTTCCACCTTTGGTGTCGTTGCGGGCGTATCTTCAATGCGCCAAAGGTCAACAGCCGACAGGGTCTTGGGAGTCTACCACTCGGTCCTCTTTGTGGCCCTGGGAAGAATCGCTTCGTTCTCCCGCCTTTGCCGTGAGGAGCAGATGCCATTTTGTCGCTCCACCTACTATGCATCCACAACATCATCTACCTCTGCCCCATGGCAGCTCGCCATTCCTTTCCTCGTGACGCTCATTTTACCAGCGGTTGTTAAATCTTTCTACGCCGGCTCGAAGTCATACGAAGGGGCTGCTACCTTGTGGGTTGGATACGGTTTTCGACTAGGATTGCTTTTGACCTCTATTTTCTGGATGCTTGAAGGCGCGGATGATGGGGAATGGTTCACCTTAAGCAAAGAGACCTTGAAGTCCGTTCGAGTATTTCTCGCTCAGCTTGTTCTTGGTCTCGCTTTTGCTGCTGGCACAACAGCGTACATATATTCGAAGCCATGTGTTAGCATTAGTGTCACACAAGGTAGTGCCAACTCCGACAGTAACACCAAGTCGCCTTCCTCCCCAGCGCAACCGGGAAGGACAACCGTCACTATCCTGGGTTTCGGGAACATCTACGGGACTAGGTTCTTCCTTCTTGTTGTCAATTTTTGCTTGGCTATTGTTCTAATGCAAAAGCCTATGGGCCAGGGTGCCGTGGGTTTGTTACTCTGGCAGATCTTATCTTTGCTTGAAATCCTTGACACAAATGCGTTGGTCTTGGGTAATTCGGCTATCGGTCCGGTTGTTCTGGCGCTTCTCGGTTCCTTTTATTATTTCAAGACAGGCCACCAGGCAGCTTTGAGCACTATACAATGGGAGGCCGCCTTTGTACCCTTATCCTCCGTTAAATACCCCTGGTCTCCGATACTAGTGATTCTTAACACTTTCGGTCCGCAAATTCTCGCCGCCGTTGCTGTTCCTCTAACCGTTCTCTGGAAGCGGCCTTTACAACTTCATGACCCATCAAAGCCTGCGTCACAGCCCAAGAATCCTGCCACTAAAATTCTTTCGGACGTTGTACAGGCGGCATGTACTTATATCCTCTACTTCGCCACCATCAACCTCGCAACTACGATGTGGGCTGGCCATCTTCGCCGTCATCTCATGCTCTATCGCATCTTCTGTCCTCGCTTTATGATGGGTGCTGTCGCTCTCGGAGTTGTGGACATTGTCCTCATCTTGTTCTCTGTGGCCGGCGTACGCTGGAGCATGCTGAGTGTTGGTGAAATCTTTGGGTGGTAGACTGTGAGAGAACTCGATCTTCAGTCCTACATTGAGGCACGGTGCCCAGGGGAAGGGGTAATAATAATCAGAAATTCCCAGCCGCAAGCCTTTTGCAATAGAGTCGCTTTGTCTGAATCACCCACTACATCATGCCTTTCTCGCCACTTTGAATGACCTCTGCGAAAACGTTGTTCCTTGTATTTATTAATCTTTAGTTATGTATATTCTTCTGACAAAGTTTGGAGACGGTAAATGGAGACTGGGAAGGGGGCAAAGAATCATAGCTGTTCTAATTCTTGGTTTCTGATTCTTTAATATATGACGATATATTATTGATATATCGACCGAAACAAAAAACTAATAAAACTAAGTTGAAATAATACCATCCTATTCATTTGACAGACGTCAACTAAAAACCAGAGTTTCATTGTGGACGTATATAAACCACTTAATTGATTCCAAATTGTATGCAGCAAGTCATACGTAGCAGAAATCAAGAATATTCGAGAAAATGATAGCTAAGAGGGTAAGACGAAACGTGGACTTGGACTATATATACCTCCTGATATCGTTCCCTGAATATCCTTTATCCATAGTATGTGCCTTCCTTGTACGATCCTTATAGTAATCGAATAATAGATGGCGGTACATTTTACCTTCTACTACTTCTACCAGCCCTGAAGACCGAGTGTATCACCTCTTTTTTTGCCATTCCCAAATATTTGTTACAATACATGCCAGAAAGGGGGTGATGAACAAGCAAAATCCGAGTGCCAACAATCGAAACTCTATCAAAACTTTTGTTTGAGTGCTGCCGGCAGCTGCCAGTGCTTGCTTTCCCTACGTCCATCTATAGCAAGGTAAGTTCTCAAAGGCCAGTACCAGCCATCACCGTACATGTTCTTAAAAGTGCAATAGATTCATACAGTATCCAAGACAGTAACACCGGCAGATGAGTGAGACTTAAATCGAGAGAGTGGGGAAGATAACAAGACAAGATAACTTTTGAGCACAGAAAAGCAGAAGGGGTATTGACACAGGCTGAATAACTGGAGATGTACATTAATCCATCGTGGTAAAGAAGTCATAAATGTTAGATGTAGGCGAGGTTAGGGCAAAATATTTGCCCTTTTACCCCATCGATCCCACGCGTGAGGTAGGCCAGATCAAAAGCTTTAAGCAGTACTTCAACCTCAACATAGAAAACGAGGATCCTTTCAACGGCCCCACCGGGAGAAATCCAGGTTCTGAAGGATATTTGCATCTGCAGACGCATTCCAGTCAGTAGCAAAGTCTGACCGGGTAGGAGTACTGCGTGATGGCAGTTCCTCGGAAAATATGTTAGCCTTCGTATTGCGGCGTTGGCCAGGATAAGCACCCTCTGTGGCTTCGGGGCTCTGAGTCTGGGAACCCAATGCTCGCTCACGAAGTCTTTTGATCTCCCGCAACCTGTTGCGCCAGGAGGAAATATGCTCGCCTCCTTGACTGTTCCAAACGAGAGAAAATACTGACGCGTTTAGGGCAAGGAAACGCACGAATGCAGCTAGATTTTTCCCGGAAATAATCTTGGGCGTGGCGGCAGGCGAAATTTCTGGGAAGCCGGGCTTGCTCATCACCTGGACGTGGTAATAGAAGTTCTCAAAACCAGCTGTGTCCATATTTGCAGACTCAAACCCATCGGCGATGCGACACACGGGGCTAATAACGATGTTCACGAAATTGAACTGTGACGGTATTGTATCAAAGTTGAATGGGATGTTTGAGCGATTGAAGATGATGTTGACAAAGTCATTTCCTATGTGGCGTTTTTTGTTGACGCAGGAAGGGTCGTTGTCGAAATTGGTAGGCATCATTGTTACTACGTGGTACACGATTTCTGTGACCCGGTCACGCCATGCGTAGGTAGATTCCCCGTCTATATCAGGGTGCAATCCCTGAGTATTGAATTGAGCACTTCTAAGAGGAACCTTGGTGCCAAGTCTCGACAAGAAGTACTCATAGTCGGGGCTACCACTCGTATTGGAAAGAATATCTGCCTCGGCCGTCTGCCCTTTGTCTATGAAAATGACACCAATCTTGTGTCCGTCCACAATATCATTTCGGTCGAAAGTGTTCAGTGCTCGACGGGTAATGTCATCCTCGGGAAGTGGAATTGGCTGCATTGCGGTAGGTGTCGGGAAAGCCGTAGTTGTTAGCTGGAGCATGACGTGACTTGGAAGAACAGCAGTGCGCATGCCGTCACCATGCAGGTGAGCATCCGGGGTTGGAGGAACCTGATGCGGAAGGACAGGAGCGGTCCGTTGCTGGTACATAGCGTACGTGGTTCCTGATGCCTGTCTCTTTGTGATTTGAGTTAAGCCAGATACTCCGGCTATCTCCACAGTGACTATGCTCATGCCCACCACCCATGACTTCTTCGAAACAGGTCCGTCCGCTGGGGTTGGAGGGAATGTCACATACGGAATGGTTTCGCCCAAGTCGGTAAAGGCAACCCTCTGCATTAGGTCGAGGAAAACTTGACTCTGTTCTTCGACCATTTCTTTCCCGTGTTCATCCTTGAATATAAGTCTGCTAGTGATCCAGTTGACATGCTTCGCTCGGTCTTGTAACTTCAACGACAAGAACCAAAACACCATGACATGATGTGTTAGAGTATAGATATATCTCGACATCCCATCCTGAAGGGATGGGTCAGACATTTCAGCAGGAAGAGCAGCAGTCTCTCGCACACCGCTTCCGAGCTTCGCAGATACCTGAGGGTTCCGATTAGTTGACTCGGAAGCTTTAAAGCGCTGTTCTCTAGAAGTCTGCAGAAAGCGAATGCAGATGCCGAAGACAGTACGAATCTCCTCTTCTCGCAGGTTCACATAAACATCAGGTAACCGTGCGAGTAACGCTAGAAATTCTAGAATATGTACGGCAAGGTTGGCAAGAGTGATCACTTTCGACATCTTGTCAAGAATTCCATTCAATGATTTCGTCACAGAGAGCGGGATTTCGTGGCAGCAGACAGAAAGGGCGTGAATGCATCCGCGAGAAGTACCTCCCCAAGATCCAATGATACCCATCATGAACGAACGAACGAGTTCGTCTTCTTCACTTTTAGCGAAGAACTCATGATAGCCAATCAGTACGCACAATGTATCGAATATATAACCCGCTACATCAGTTTTCTTGACCCCGGTGGATGCTGGGGGCTCACGGAAGGAATCGTTCTTAACCTGATCACACAGGATACTGCGCAATAGCTTGATCTGAGGAACTGCATTGCTAAAAAAATCTTTGTTGCGAAGTTGTGACACGAGATGAGTGAGAACGTAGCTGTAAATCTCCCAGTTGGTATCTCGATGTAGTAGTGAGATAACGGTCTCTAGCCACATGTTTGCTTTCAATGCAACCTTCTGCGCTGGGTCCGATTCTGAATTAGGCGACACGTCGGATGTTGCATAAGCATACACGAATGGACTCGACTCATCTGGTGGCTGCTCAGGAAGTACCTGGGAGGAGGCAAGTGTCCATACCGGCGGTGTCAACTTCGACGCACGTAAAGGGATACCTGTATTCCGCCCAGAAGACTTCGAAGAAGTACTAGCAGTGTCTTTTGTTGACAATTTAGCAGATGCTGATATGCGTGGGCTATCGTTATCTGCGCTGTAATCTCCGGTATGCTCTTCCATAGCAGTGTGTGGCTTGGGGCCCGCATCGGCATTTCGAGCAGGGATGTTCATCAAAAAGTCATTTTCAGAGACAGATAAGACTGCAATGGAGCCTGAAGAGTCGCATCGGAGCCTAAACAACACCTTGAGCACGGTTAGGCGAGAGTCCACCGGTCTCTCCGAGCCATAAGCAATCTTCAAAAGCGATTCAAAGACTAAAACAGCTTTACTCGCAGACAAGTTCAACGAACGGAGAAACACTTTAACTAAGCCTATGGAGCAAACATTGGCTAGAGATGACTCTAACATACTGCCAGTTGATGGGGAATGTGGAGAGGTCAGTGTCGGCGACTCTGCACCATGTGGCCCATCTTTGCTCAAATCTTTGTTCATCGGCGAGCTCAGGGCGTCCACTAAAAAGCCGAAGGTAGCCTCATCGCTGATAAGGATAGCAGTATCGACAACAAAGGAGACGAGTGATTCGAGGAACAAGATATCATCCTCATCAGAGAAGTTCTCTAGCGTTGAATTAAGAAGCCCATGTGACTGAAACTGAGCTAGACTCTCATAATTTGTGAAAGCCTCTTTTACTGTGTCCAGGGCCAGGATACGAATCTCTGATGGTTTGGCGCGAGATCGAACGAAACAGCGGATCAATTTCTGACAATGCTGTACCCAGTTAGGGCTCTCGGGGAAGCAAAGCTTCTCGGTTCTCATTGTATTAAGAATAAGCTCAGCCTGAGGGGGTTCTACATGTTGACAGACATTCATCAGGAAACGCGTGGCGTCCAACTTTTGCTGCCGATTCATGCGCTCCCAAAGAGCCTCTAGAGCGGAGGCGATCTGAATGATGTTGGCTAAAATGTTGGACCTCGCTTCGTCTAACATATTGGCTCTCGGATGAGCCAGATGTGAGCTGGAGCTTGACGTTGAGCACTCTCCCGGTTCGTCGATAGCTCTAAGCGAACAAGAGACGATAATGTTGATGAAGCCCGACCAGTCTCTCTCTAGAGCCACGCGATAAAAGTCGCCCTCCAGAATATTCAGGCACAAATCCAGAATGTCTGCTTCTAGCCTGCCGTCATCCTTCTGTAGAACGATTTGGAGAGAGTCCATCAGCTGCTCGAACTGAAGCTGAGGTATTCCATCTTGACCGTGTGCGCGGATAAGATCTGTGAACACATGTACCGTCCCACGCAAAATGTTGAGATTCCGCCCATGCTCTTCCGAAGATTCAAACAAGAACGAATAGAGAGTATTGACCATCTCGTCCTGTCTCCTTGATTTTGCAAGATTGCGCACAGTCCGTGATGTGGGGCCAGACAACGACTTGACCGAGGCATAGATATTGCATAGAACCTCTAGCATGGGAACAAAGCTTTCGTCCGGAATATCTCCATAGAGAATTATAGCTTCAAATACAGCCAAAGAGTTTTTGATGTCAGCAGCAACACTTGTTTTCTTGCAGACGATGAAGATCTGATGGAGTAGCGACTGGACCTCTTCGCTACTAGGAGATTTCCTTTGTAACGTGATTAAGTCAACAGCAAACTGTAGCAAGTCATCCAGGACTGCATCGTCGTAACCAAGCCCATTAGCCTTAGCAACTTTAGCTTTTCTCGCTTTTAGTCGAGCGGACGAGATCAGCTCATATAGTGGGACTATAAACGACGAGATGATCGGGACTATGGACGAAGAGGCGAACTCCAACTTCCTACCATGATCAGAGAGAGAGATTAAAGAAATCACACGTGCGGGCACCACGTCGGACTCCGATGGACGAGATATCGACTCAAAGATAGATCTCCTTGCTGTTGGTGACAGGTCTTGGCGCGCTGCAATGGCTTCCATTAATAGAGAGCCGCTTCTCCGGGCTTCTGGAGAGGTCGCATGATGGATAAGATAAGAGCCAGCCTCCCACAGCGCCAATGATTGCTCAGAGGGAAACCACTGAAGTGACTTTGAAACTTGCTCTGCCTCGTCGATAGCAAGAGCAAGGTTCTGTTTCTGTGCCAAGTTCCTGATTGACGTCTCGAAATCTGGCGCACCAGAAGCGTCCGAAGAACTGGAAACAACACTACCGCGATGCATTGATTCAAGTCCAAAAGCAACCCAGCTGTTTCTATGTCCATCCGACGTCTGCGACAATGAATCACTGTTCTCTCGCACCGAGATTGGTGAAAGCGATTTGGAACGGGCAACGCCTAAAGATCTGAAAACGTCTGCGAAACTAGATGTTGGGTGTTTGTAACTGGAGGATGATGAAGCATCGTCAGAAGACATGCGTCCTAGCGGACGAGTATATGGATATGGTTTAAGTCAACCAGTTTTATACCTGGATAATCATGGATCAGTAAGAACCTGACCGTAGCTCATGCTTTATAATATCCAGCTGATCAATCCCGGCCGTGACATCGCTCGAGGATAGACATAAGGTGGAAGTTGACGAACCATTGACAGATCACATGAAGGTGTTCACAGCATCAGGAGACCTGAAAGGAACATTGAAGCTTGATCCAGATAAGCTGGGTAGCAGGAGATTGAAACCGCTGCTGTCTAAATTGAACAAGCACAATTCTAAGCCAAGCCGGACAGGTCCAAGTGAGGAAAACAAGCACAACTTTGAGGACCAAGTCAGAAAAAAAAATATATCCCTAAAAAGAAGTGGAAGCGAACAGAATTAGCGACACTTAGACGGTCATCGCCAGAACGAAAGTGTGCCAAGACACCTTTCCCCTCCAAGCATCCATGATGATGATCTGGCGGAGTTTCGGATTCCGTTAATCCGCCGAATCACCTGATGGGCAGAATCACCCCGCGGACAGGTTGCTCACCGCCTGGAAACTGCAAAGCAACCCGCCAAACAAACTGCCCGTCCTGGAATCAAGCTCGCGGCTTTTTTCCCTAAAGTATTCACGGAAAGGTGGTGTCTGAGGATTCTGCCCACATCGGCATATATTCCTCGCTTCCACGATATAAGATATTCCCTTCTGTCATTCTAGGGCCCCACTGGCTACATCTACGCTGCTACACATATATCTCCGCTCCAATATGGCCGACAACCTTGGAGCTGTTGCGCAGCTCTTAGAAGCAAGCTTGGACCCGAGACAAAATAAACAAGGTAAGCCTAGAATAAAATTCATATTACTAAATTAATGAACAGTCAATGGCTAATATACATTAGCCGAACTTGCTCTGCGTCAAGAAGAACAAAAGCCGGGCTATTCCTTGCAGCTGCTCCAAATCACGGCGTCTGCTTCCTATCCCTACAATACCCGCCTCGCTAGTGCACTATGCTTCAAGAACTTTATCAAACGAAACTACACAGACGAGGATGGAAACTATAAGCTCCCCATTGACGAAGTGACGACCATAAAGCAGGAGCTGATCAGCCTGATGATTTCGGTCCCTCCGGGCATACAGACCCAGTTGGGAGAAGCTGTCAGTGTGATCGCCGATAGTGATTTCTGGGAAAGATGGGATACTCTAGTGGATGTAAGTTTTGCCTGCATGTATGAGAGGCTATTTGTCCCCATCTATTGACACTTGTAGGATCTTGTTTCAAGACTCCAACCGAAAAACCCTGCAGTCAACAACGGCGTCCTACAAGTTGCCCATTCTATCTTCAAGCGGTGGCGCCCCTTGTTCCGGTCTGATGACCTTTATAGAGAAATCAACCATGTCCTGGATAAATTTGGAAACCCCTTCTTGGCTCTTTTCGAGGTGAGGCTCCACTAAAATTCTAACCCTGCTCGTTTGAGCCGTGCTCTGCTCGTATACGGAATATAGGCCGCGATATACTGATTCTCATCCAGGGTCTAGACTCATATCTTGACGAGAACAACGCCAATAAGGACAACCTCGCCCAGGGCTTCACACAGTTCAACTTAATGATCAAACTTTTGTATGATCTTTCTTGCCACGACCTTCCTCCGATGTTCGAAGAACAAATTTCAGGGATAGCTACTCTTTTGCTCAAGTACCTCACGTACGACAACCAATTACTTCATACCGATGATGATACCGAGGCTGGTCAATTAGAATTCGCGCGGGCTGGAATCTTCGAAGTCCTCACACTCTGGGTACAAAAGTATATGGATGAGTTCAAGCCTCACATCGAACAATTCGTGGGTAGCTCTTGGAGCTTCTTGGCTACAATCGGCCAAGAAACCAAGTACGACATCTTGGTCAGCAGAGCACTACAGTTCCTGACCTCAATTGCGGGCATGCCTGAACAGGCAGCTTTCTTCCAAGACGAGGCTACCCTAAGCCAGGTTATCGAAAAGGTCATCTTGCCCAACGTGAGTTTGCGTGAGTCTGATGAGGAACTTTTCGAGGATGAACCCATTGAGTTTATCCGACGAGACCTTGAAGGATCAGACAGCGAGACGAGACGACGTGCGGCCACCGATTTTCTGAGGAAACTGGCCGAGAAATTTGAAGGCTCCGTTACCAAGGTTGTCCTGCGCTACACTGAAGGCTACCTTGCTCAGTACACTAGCGACCCGGCTTCCAACTGGAAGGCTAAGGATACTGCGACTTACCTCTTCTCAGCAATTGCGGCGAAGGGCGTTGCTACTGCTAGCCACGGAGTGACTGCCACTAACTCACTAGTCAGCATCACCGATTACCTTCAGAAACATCTTGCTGCGGATCTGGTCGCTCAGGATGGTGTAAATCCCATCCTCAAAGTTGACGCTATCAAATATCTGTATACTTTCAGAAGCATCATCACCAGAGAGCAATGGCAAGAAGTGCTTCCCTTAGTTGTGAACCACCTGGGTTCTGCGGACTATGTTGTCTACAGTTACGCAGCAATTGCTGTTGAAAGAGCACTTTATCTCACAGACAACCAGGGCCAGCCAATAATTGCACCTGACACAATCACACCTTTGGCCAAGGAATTGTTATCCCATATCTTTACATTGATTCAGAAGGATCCAGCTCCCGAGAAAGTACAAGAGAACGAGTTCCTGATGAGATGTGCTATGAGGGTGCTGATCGTCGTCAAGGAGGGCGTTGTTCCCTTCACAGACATCGTTCTTCAGAATTTGATCAGCATTACTGAAGTCATCAGCAGAAACCCGAGTAACCCTAGATTTTACTACTTCCACTTCGAAGCTCTGGGTGCTTTCATCCGGTACGTCGTTCTCCCTGATAGCGCAAGACGTCTTCTGACAGGCATAGTTTTGCTGCACCGGCAAATCCTGATAAACTTGAGCAAGCTCTGTATCCTCCTTTTGCAGGAGTACTCCAAGGGGATGTGCAAGGTATTACATGACTAGAACCTGGTTACAGCTTTTTTTAGTTGTACTGATATATTTTTTAGAATTTATGCCCTACATATTCCAACTCTTCGCGGCATTACTCGAAGCCAATCCTTCGGGTTCATTGCCAAATTACTATCAGAGTCTGGTTGCTCCTATCCTCATGCCTGTCATGTGGGAATCCAAAGGCAATATTCCTGCGCTCGTGCGACTCCTTTCGTCCGTAATTGCCCGCGGTTCCCAGTATATCCTGGAGAACCAGCAGCTTTCGAATGTCTTGGGTATCTTCCAAAAATTACTTTCGACTAAAGCGAATGAAAGCTATGGCTTTGACCTGTTGGAATCTGTTGTCGCAAATTTTCCTCCGTGAGTGCACCACCATAAAGGATCAAGATTTCCGGGTCAACTAACCCTCGCACAGAAACGCGCTGGAGCAGTACTTTATCTCAATCATGCAGGTCATTCTCACGCGACTCCAGAATTCCAAGACCGAAAATCTCTCCTTGAGATTTGTCCGATTCTACCACTTCATTTCTGCCCATGATGAGAAGGGATATAGCGCCGACTTCTTCATTCAAGTCACAGACAAAGTGCAAGAAGGGTATGTAAGCCCAAAACTTGTAGTTCCATGTTTCAGTTATGCTAACTTAACAAAGCCTCTTCACGCCACTCTATCTGAACATAATCCTCCCTGATACGCAGAAGCTTGCTCGTCCGTTGGATCGCAAGACTGCAGTGTTGTCCTTCACCAAGACGCTTGCTAACTCTGAGGCCTTCGCAACCCGATACAAGAAAGGATGGGCCTTTACGTGTGAGGCCTTGCTTAAGCTTCTTGAACTTCCTCCACTTCCAGCGAGCAAGGACGACATCATCACTGAACATGACGTCGAAGATATGGCGTTCGGGGTAGGATTCACAGCCCTAAACACTATACGGCCACAGACGAGGGACCCATGGCCGGAGACGGGGGCCGACCTCAAGGCTTGGGTTGGCCAATACCTGAAGGAAGCCGACAAGTCTAACGGACGGGTCTCTCAGTTTGCGCAGGAACGTCTAAGCAATGAGGCCAAGACGGTCCTCGGTAGCTACATGGCATGAGCCTAAACAGAAGGTTTCAAGCAGTCTCTCTAGCATGATAGTTATTTCTGCCTCGGGGTCGGTGATTCCGGCCCACATACTCCCGGTTAACATGGGTAGCCTAGCCCTGATATCCGAAAAGCAAGAGCCAGGAGTAAGAAGAGAAGGGGAAAAAAGAGAAATATAAAGACGAAACATGTCCTTACGAAAGATTTTTAGATAATACAAAAGTGTTCCTCACCTTTCTTATTGTATGGTTATCATTTTTACAATACCACCCTATGGACAGGACGGGAGTTCCCCAACGGCGAATAGAGGTATCCGACACATGGAGACCCATCAGTCAGTAAGTCGTGCCGTCATGACGGTGGAAACATATCAACATATAGATTATTTCTCCTGCTTCTGGTCCGCTAGACCTTTGGCGACTGTGTTCGGTGACTGATCTCCGGCTAGATCCTCCGGATGGCCGTCTTCACCATCATACTCCTCCTGCTCTTGTAGTTCCTCCTGACCCTTTTCCAACTCCCGATATTTTCTGCGGGTCTTCTTCATCTTGCTAGCCTTCTTCTTGCGAGCACGATCAACCTTAATCGCAGCACGGCTCTGGTCTCCTTTTTCAAGCTGTTCAACTTTATCGGCGAGAAGCTGCCGTGCGATCTTCTCATTCTGGGATCGGGAACGAGTCGCCTGTGATTTCACCACGACACCGGTAGGTTTGTGGATGAGCTGTACGGCAGAGTTGGTTTTATTCTAGGAATTGGAATTAGCTTTTGCCGACTCCCGTTGGGGCGAAGTCCCACTAAGCTGTTGGGTTAATTCGTACAATTTTCTGACCTCCAGGGCCAGTGCCCTTCAGGTATGACACGATCAGATCGGCATCGTTGATCTTTAACCGAGGGGGTAGCGGCTTATCGGGGAGATAGGAAGTGACGGTGAAGCATCGAAGCGGGGCGATTGACTTGGGGAGATTGCGCGGTATGAGGGATCTTAGTAGCATGGTTCATGATGGGGATAATACATGTTACAGTACATACAGCTTGCGGCGTTGGGAGGGCTTGGGTGCGCGGATGATACTAGTCCTATTACAGGATAGCGGAATATGCATATACTGACTAGTTTAAAAGTTTACATTGTTTGAAGCGTGACTTACGAGTACGAGTACGAATAGGTTTCTAATAGTTACTGTACAAGACATCCCTGACATCTTAGGCGGCCGGCAAGACACCGAAGCGGGTTATTGTTGGGTCGGATTCCGGAACGGCGATAGAAATAAGTTGGGAATCGTCATCGCTGATGAACTCTGTTGAATGACATGCAGGATCATCCGACTGGGACCCTCAACCATTGCTTGGGAAATATGCCAAGCATAGGGTGACGTACGCTCCGAGTGGGTTTTGAATCGGACAACTACAGGCAAAATAAAGAAAGGTTAGACAGAATTGGTCAGTGTACAACTCAGTTCAATGAGGTCTGGAACAAAGAGTGAGAGGGGGGAAACAAACAAACAAATAAATTTTTTTGGCATAGAGCGGAATAGTAGTTAGTTTATACTGGATGAACTCCCTCTCAAGACTTTTTCTTTCCTTCTGGTGAAGACCTTCGACTAGTGAAGACGGGGGCGAGTCTAGACAGATATACTTAGTATCAGAAAATGGATGCTCTGGACCCTGAAGTGGACCTCACCTTCCAGATCCCACCAATGCATTTCCACCCCAATGTGAAACACACTTCGGAATCGAGAAACTAAACTGAGAAACTCTGTTGCTCAAGCCTCTTCTATTCTATTCTTACATGTAACTTCACAGTTCAGCAATATCCAAAGCTGAACAAGCAAATTAAACATCCTTGTCTTCCTCCCCGCATTGATATCTTCGTTACGTATCCGCCAATCCATTTCTTTCTTATTTCTTGACTACTTCGACCGGGAAACTTCGCCAATCAAAACCACACCCTGTCTGTTATTTTTTCCCCTTTCTTCTTCATTGCTTATTTTCCCGTCCTCTCCTGGAAAAAGTGCCTCAACTGTATATTTCCAGTCATGGATGCCTAGAATATCAGGACAACTACATTGTACCAGAAAAACCACGTGGTGACTTTTTTTATTCAAACCTGGACACTTCCCGCCCCCGGATCTTATTTTATTTTATTTTTTTTTTGTTATTGGAAAAAAAAATTAAACCAATTGAAAAGGAGTGTGTCCCGTTCATTCAGGGGCAAATTTTGGACCAGAAGCGCAGCCGTAACCAGTACACCTTTTCTTACCAGCGGTTATTCTTTTTATCCTTTCATCTTCTCTTTTTCCCCCCCTCCGGCTCAATCCTTCCAAGGTGCACTCCCCCAGACAACGAGTCCATTGCGATCATGACCTTTCTTCTCTGGATTCCCGCCTCCTTTGCCCGTTGGATTCGCTTGAAAATATACCAATATGAGGTGACTTTTGCTGTATATATGCTCACGCCCACCGAAAAATTTATTTTCAGTATGTTTTGTCCGAAGACAGTGCCTATTGGACAAGAATGGAGTCGCGTTAACATACTCAAACAGATTCTCTCCTTCTGACCCTGATCTCAATGATTATCACCGCGATTTACGTCTACCTCCCCGACCACCTTAGATCCGTCTATAGTCACCTCTATTATTATTGGGCCGGCGAACGTCCCTTCATATCCTCCGCTTTACCATCAATCAGTTCGGTATTTCGAGAAACCGGGACCCAGCCTCTGGAGGTTATGTACGAGACTGCCAAAAATACTGCCGCTGCTGCCACGGACACAATTCGCGAGTTATAATAGTAGTAGTCGTGTTCACTGGCGATAGTGGGCGACCTTTTCCTTTTCCCTAGCTCGGACTGTCTGGCGTATTTGGGCTATTCGACTTCTGTTACTCAAGCATGATACTACCGAAACCCGTTTCGTGTGATATCATTATCAGCATTGCCACTACATACTTTCTACTTTTCACCCCTTGATCCTTGGACATGCGTCGAAGTCTCGGCCTAGCAGCACTGCCTGAGACGCAGTTATTCGATGTTGGCGTTGTGAAGTTGGTCATTCGGAGTTTGAGCGATATGTTCCTGAGCAGGCCGGCGCATCCTAGGAGTTCTTGGCTTCATCCTTCGCTCTTTTTGTTGTATGACCTTAAAACGGTTCTGATCATTCATAATAGCGAAGCTTTGATGATTACTATGACGATGAAATACCCTTGACAGCGAAGTCAGCTTTTCTCTCAAGATGCCATCGCTGTAGAATTGATAACTGTATGCTTCATTTTTGTGTCACTCATATCACGATAGCATTGCAAGCGTCCTGAACTTTGGTATTATGTGACACCAGCGCTGTTATCAATTCCGTTAATCATTGAAAAGACAGTAGAACGAAGTCCTGTGGAGTGGAGATCTGGATATCGATAGAAGAATGTATAGATCGATAAAATTCAGAACAATGAATGGAGACAGTATGAAAAAAAAACTATACCCATTTTAAAATCCGGAGACATCTCCCAAATGTATCCAGAGAAGAGTGTTATACAGAAATAACCAATGAAAGTAGTACATGTGCATCCGCCACATGATGACTCTGCCGACCCTTCAGCAAATTGTCATGCCCTTCTAGACCCCGCAAAAGACCAGCGCTTCTTTTTGTATCGAGCTCAGCCTAAATTTGGCCTCGACCGAGCCAGTCCCGGAAGAATGTCGGAAACTTATATCGATTTAACCCAAAACTTCATTCCGCGTTCTGCGCTTGACTCTGAGCCTGCAGTTGGGCTTCGGCCTGGGCCTGAGCCTCGGCCTCTCGTTGGCGCCTCTCCCGTCTAGCGACATCCACCATGCGCATTCGCGTCAGCTCCTTGTCAATCTCATCTTTCTCCAGCGGGATCTTATGCGATTGTTCAGTGGTAGGCCAGAAGCCCGGGACCTTGAAGCGCTCGTCGAGGTTTGTTCCGAAATAATACATCCATCCAATTGGGAAGAGGATGTACATGCCGAACTGTAATTGTTAGGCTCGAGATCCGCAGGCGACACAGTATTGCGTTGGTTGAGAACATACTTTGAAAACCTCGAGGTTCCCACCTCGTAATCTTTGAAGGATGGTCGACATTGTGAGGCGCAAGAGAGTGGGAGGCTAGGACGTGCTAAGCGGGAGCTGAAGTGATCCCTAATTCTCTGTTGCTTTATTCTTTCCCCTTCTGTTAATCAGATGTTGATTATTTAACAATACCAGGGAAATCGAACGACGGATGGGCCAGCAAATGATCGAACATACGATATGCATTACAGAGCCTCCAGCTTGCCGATGATCATAAATGCAAACGGGGCAAACACCCTATATGCCGCTCACCTGACCGTGGTCACCTGACGAGGCGATAAGCCTCGGCTGCTCTATTCTCGGCCCGTCGGCCTCCCCGCAAAATGAGCGGAAGTATAGCCGTTTGATTAGCATATCTGGGGACGGGGATTGCTGGTCAATTCCTTCTTTGTCTAGTCAATATCCCCTCTTATCTTCCTGCTTTCCTAGTCTACGTTACAGATAAAGTTAATTAGTAGCTGATAAAAGCGGCCATTTCCTCGCGACTGCGAGCTCTTTAATCAATCATCCTCTTGACGCAAACTACTAAATTTAGTACCATTAATCATACAACCCGTTCGGTCGTGCTAACACACAATGGCAAACGAAGACCTAATTAAGCTTACATATCAAGACCGGATTGCAATTATCACTCTCAGCAGACCGGAGAAGCTCAATGCTCTTAACCAAGACCTCTATTACCTTCTCGGGGAACGCCTCCGGGAAGTCGACAAACAGGATGACATCTTCATCACCATCCTAACCGGCAAAGGACGATTCTTTTCGGCGTAAGCTCCCCAGGACTGCCTCCCAGAAAGCAAACCCGGCACCTTAATGATCTAATACCATCCAGCGGAGCAGACGTCACCATAACCCGTCCAACCGGTGACCTGAATACCAACGCCCGCCGTGAGCTCACCCGTTCCTTCGTCGTCAACAATCTCGACATCACCAATACCTTTGCGCACCATTCCAAAATCCTAGTAGCCGCCCTCAATGGCCCGGCAGTCGGTCTCTCCGCTGCACTCATCGCCATGGCTGACTTCATCTACGCCGCTCCTCACACCTTCCTTCTCACTCCATTCTCCTCCCTCGGTCTCGTCGCCGAAGGCGGCTCCTCGCGCGCTCTTGTCGAGCGTCTCGGCATCGCCAAGGCCAACGAGGCACTCATCATGAGCAAGAGGATTAATTGCGATGAGCTTGTAGCGACTGGGTTCGTGAACAAGGTTATCACCGCGCCGTCGGGAAGAGCAGAAGACTCGGACGGCTTCTTCGCGAAAGTTCTCGAGGAAGTTGAGGATCGTCTAGGTACTCACTTGAATCAGTCTAGTTTACTGAAGATCAAGGAGTTGATTCGCAGACCGGAGCGAGAGACACTGGATCGGCAGAATTATCAGGAGGTGTTTGGGGGACTGCAGAGGTTTATGAGCGGCGTGCCTCAGGAGGAGTTTAGACGGTTGGCTTCTGGAGAGAAGAAGCATAAGTTGTAGTGGAGTTAGTATCAGTGCTTTACATGAGATGATCGTCGCATATTGTAAGTTTACTCAGGTGCATGCCGTATACAATTGCCTTCAAAACTTACGATTTGACCAATGGACATGACTATATCTTGGGCCGTTTCAAGAATGATCGTTTTCAACGAAAATTATTCTCTATTGTCTATGTGTGAAATACTCCAAATAGTTCTCTTGCTTTCCCTCTGTCCGAGCGTCGAATATAGTGCGCAACGGCACTCTATTGGAGATTTGGGCGCACCTCTGCCATTGCTGAAGAGTGATCATTCTGCCTCTAAATCTTTGGCTTTGAACGTGTATGTACCCGTAGCTTCCGCACATATTGAATGAATAGTATGTTTGACAACGGTGGAAGTATCTCTATTCAGCAATCAATGGGCGAAACCTAGCCATTCCGCATTGTCTGAATCTCATTAAAATATATCCCCAACCTTCATTCCTTTTCTTTTCTTTAACCGTAAACTCTTAAACGCCGTCTATTTCCCAGGTGAATTTGCTCCAACTAAACAAGGACGCGCCTCATTGCTCTCCGTCACTATCTGTATCCGACTCTTGGGCTTGTTTGGCTAGGATATCCTGCCATTTGCCTAAGAATTCACTCATGCCACCCGGTCCTGAGATCGAGGCATCAACTACTTCCTTAGGCAATTTGTGTGCCGAGTATTGTGGAGTTGAAAATGCATATGCTTCTGGATCATCACGCTTTACGAGGCGGAATTCAGGGAAGAACGGTGCTTCCTCATCATGATCATCGGCGGCCTCGCCTTCCGTATCAGTCGATTCAGAGCCATCAGCGGCTTCCGTCTGTACACCAGTGATCCGGTTTCCGTCGAGAGTTAATCGGACAAACTGCTCTTCTGCGCCATCCTCCTCTTCCTGGATTCCGATTGGGTCCTTCATATTCAAAATCTCAAGCCAGCTGTATAGCAATGGATCCGTCCTCACAGCCCATGGATTGATATCAATGAGCCAAACACGTTGGTGCGGAGAAGGGATGTACACATCAAAGACAAAGCTGGGATCAGGAAAAGTATCCTTGAGTTTCTCGTCGAAAAATGCCTGAATCCGGGACCTGAGGGCATCGCGTAAAGAGAAGAGGAAGTCAAAATGGTTCAGATCCCGCTGACAAATACAGAGAAGCACACGATTGCGCACAAAGCAGCGGAACTCGAGCGAAGGATTGAAGTTGACGTATTTGCGAAGGATGAGGTGGTAAGGAACGTCGGGGGTGGTCGTAGAATCCGATGTATCCGGGACACAATCATCGAAGGGAAGCTCCAAATCATGGCTGACAAAGTCACTGCTCTTCAGAAGCAGGTAGATATCATTTGGCGTACGGCATTGAAGGTCGTTTGTCGCGGCAATCCAGGTTGCATCTTTGGGCGCGCTCCAATTCAACTTCGGGGTTACGATGCCTCCGAGGTCATCAATTGTTTTCTTGATCTGAGTGTGGATTTCCCCCCACTCGATCGATGGATCGGGCTCTTCTTCGGTCTCATCATCGGAAAAGGAGTTTAAATTGTCGTCATCGGTAGATTTGACATTTTCTGGCGGCAAAACGATACCATCAGCGCGGAGGTAGGCGGTGAATGGTGCAGTCAGAGAAATCGAACGCGATTTCGGTGTGAGGGTACGGTAGCTGCGAATAGATTATGAGTACAGTGGATGGCAAATGAAATGAGAAGTTAGTGAGGCATACCGAGGTTGCCAGTCATGGTAAGAACAGTGTAAGATGTGAGAGTAAGTGACTGGAGGAAAGGGAAGACTCTGCGGTTGATCCGTTGAGGACTCCGCCAAAGGTGGCACCTCAGTTTCAGAGTGAGGCATGATTTCTGTTGCTGCGGGAGCTTGAATATGAGTCTGAAAGGTGAGGGGCAGAAAAATGATAATGAACTGATTTCGCGGGGGCTTTGATTTCTAAGGTTGAGTCAAGTTTACCGCCTTCTGTCGGAGAATCTAGAATATTACTACTTTCGGTAGGCGGTCTACGCTGCAGGCGCTAAGCCTAGCAGTGTACTGTCCTCCTGCCACGTGCTGCCTCAGGCACATAGGGATAAGCGTCATTGCAGACTGCATAGCAAGTCGAAGCTACAGCACCATTCCTCTCTATTGGCCACTCCTGGCCCCGGCCTTTCTCCTGCTTCATCATGGCATCAGATGGTCCAGATCCCCAAAGTTTGAAGTCATGGCAGGATGCCTTCCAGTATCCAATTCCAACCGTGCGCCGTGTGGAACAGGAGCTCCGCCGGGACATCGCGAGCAATAAGGAGAGACTTCGAGCACTCGTTGGGTATGGCCGCAAATAACAAATAAGTTCCTTTCAAGAGGCTAACTCTTAGCGCGCATACAGTGCGAGATATCGGGAGCTTGTCGGAACTGCTGAAACCATCGTATCGATGAATCGCGAAATGCAGGAAGTGGATGCAACTCTTGCTGATATCGGACGACGATGCAACCCACGATTGATGGAAAAGAAATACACACATTTCAACCAGATTAAGGGAGATGTCCACGACAAAGGTATTACTTGCGTTTACTGAGAACCATCGAATTGTTCAGGAGCTGATCAGGGTCTAGACGCCGCCAAGCGAGCAATTGGTGCCCAGCTTGCTCTACTCCATCGCTGTGAGACGGCTATATCCCGACTTTTAAGGAGACGTGGCTCTCTTCTTCTAGGCGCTAAACTTGTCGTTATTTCTCGACTTCTGCATAAGGCTCTGTCTCAGCAAAAGACGGTGCCGCCTTTTCTTGAAAGCTTACGGAATCAAATAGCTTCACTGAGGCAAACCCTTTTGAGAAGGATCAATAAGTGCTTAGCGTCATCCTCGTCAACGGCAGAGGATATTATCGAGGTGCTTTCCTCTTACTGTCTAGCTACGAGCTCTTCCTCAGAAGACGCTATCGGCCACTTTCACAGGGTACGAGAGGAGGTCATTGAAAGCCAACTAGGGCTGGACGACCCATCGGGCGAGAACATTCTGAAAGCTTTGGGTATATACGCCAGTACCCTCCAGATAACTAAGATCTTGCTTTCACGCCGTCTATCAGATGTTCTGGGGAAATTGAAGGCGCGCCCTATCTTGACCGATCCGGAAATTCGCAACCTTGATGACCTTGGCCTCGATGTTTTAGGGCGCTGGGTACCACCAGACGTGAACAACTTTACACCTTGGATCAAGTTGAGCGACCAGTCTAAGCATGAAATCGAGAAAACAATGAAGAGATGGTCGAAGCAAGCCTTCGAGAAGTTTATCCAGGGGTGTCAGAAGAGCTTGCTGAGCTGGCTGGACTTCACAAAGCTGCTCTCTCTTCGTGAAAAGGCCTTAGAGTTTTGGCTTCGCTCCTGGGCCTCAACGATTACACACTCATCTCTTGAAGTATTAGAAGGTATTAGAGGAGTTTTCAATGGTCGCCTTACGAGCCTCTTATCTGATCAAGCTAAATCGTTGGTGAACTTTGGCCAAGATGTTGCCATTAAAGTATCTACTTGGGACAATGCAGATCACGTAACAGCTCAGTCACTTTGGGATCCTGAACTGATGGTCTCCGATTACTCCAATGGTGCTGACGCTTTCAAAACAGCGATTGCTGATAGGTTGCTTGGCCGTGATGAAGAGGTTTCTAATACGTTAAAGAAATACCGAACTTGGCTCACATCCATTGAAAAGTCCAATGAGTCCATTGATGAATTAAGACGACTCCGATGGAATGACATCATTGAAGAGGGTGAGAGTGATGACCTTGACATAGATATCACAGCGAAATTAAATGAAGGCGACCCTCAACTGTTACAGGAAGCGCTTCAGTTAGCTGTCAGGGAAGCTTTTGGCTCTCTTCAATCTTCATTTGGTGATATTTTTAAAGCCTTTGGAGACTCCCATGTAAGCGGAAAGGCTGCATTTATTCTTAGGATCATTAGGCTCGTTCGGCGAGACCTGCCTGTCCGACTTATCACCAACAATTTTGCATTCTCCAGGGATATTGTCCCCCAGTTGCAGGAAATGCTTGCTATTGAGGCGGTTAAGGAGACATCCACGTTGAATCTGTCAGTCAAATTGGGCACTCGGGTCCCAGGCCGAAGTCTTTGGGAAGGTGATCCTGAACTCCCCATCCAGCCATCTCCATCTACTTTCAAATTTCTGCATCGACTTGTAGCATCCATGGAGCGTTGTGGCCCGGGACTTTGGGATGTATCTACTGTTCAGGTCCTCAAGCGAACCTTGCAAAACGAGATGTCAAACATTGTCACCTCCAGGATTGAAACTCTGAGTTCTTGTGATACCGACAAAGGCAAAGGAGATCCCGAGTCCAATGGGAACGAAGCCACAAATGAACCAGAGGGTCAAAACGGGGATGGCGACCCATGGTCAGAGAACGCATATGCGACTAAGTCACGAAATGCCCATGATCTAAAACTTCAGTTCTATTTTGATATTGCCTATTTGAAGAATGCGTTGGCGGTCCAGGGTTCTGAACAGGATCGACTAAGCGATGCTCTTGAAAAGCTTCAGAACGATCTTGGATCCGTCGGTGAAGCTATCAGAACCATGGAACATAGTGCTGCTGAGTATTGGAAACGTACTCAGCTATTGTTTGGGCTTTTGGCAGTTGGTTGAAAGCAATAAGCTGTCTTGAAAATTTTATTTATATAGTAAATAGTAAACAATGTTCCTTCCAGGCTGATGCAGTAAGCTGCATGAAATCATACCTTAATGGGGATAAGAATCCACTAGTCCTGAAATAGGTCTAAGTGGGTTCGGCGGGGGACTCTCACCGCCCACGTCACGTTTCCGGGCCGCAACAAAGTTGGCCGCGGAAAAGGGAACTACTCAGTCCTCCCCCATTCCATGTTTCCTACTCTCTGATTAGACTCCTATACCCCGTGCCCTTCGCCATGGCTACACCAAGGCTTCCGTTCCTCTATCCGAACATAATGCGTGCCGTGCGGTCATGCGAACCCGCTAGCCACTGCACCGCACGGATCCCGCCGAAGAACGGCTACGCTCCTTTCCACACGACTCGACGACGAGCACAAGAAACATACCATCGAAGATACGGACCTGCTGCGGAGGCGAACCTGCCACCCCCATCGCGGCCTAAGGATGAATTGGTTCATTCACAAGTACCACAGTCAGCGCCGAAAGACACCAACACTCCGCCGAACACCGCCCCTCCCGAAAAGCTCCCCCCCCAGAATACTAAAACTAGCGTTCCGGAAGTGTCTTCGCAAGCGAGGGACGAAGTGGCATCTGAGACTAGTGATAATAAATCATCGGATAAACCTACTCCGCATGAGGGACCTTCAGACGAAAGTGACGACATCGAGCAGTTTTCCGTGTCTCCCACAGAGAACACCAGTGAAGACCGACGTGAAGAACGACATGAACACCCTAATAGATCAGACCCTCTCGAGGGTGTTCTCCACATGCCTTCTCCTTCCTATCTAACTCCCTCCGGTGGACCCGCTTCTGATGGTAAACCACATCTGACGCCGCCTCCCTACATTCATCATTTCGATAGCTATTCCCTAGTTCGTAACCTCTCAACAGGCGGTTTCACCGAAGACCAGTCCGTCACAATCATGAAAGCGGTTCGGAATATACTGCATAACAACCTCGATCTGGCGAGGCAGAACTTGACTTCAAAATCCGACGTTGAGAATGAATCCTATCTGTTCAAAGCCGCTTGCTCGGAGCTCCAGTCATCCTTGCAAACAGCTCGGAACTCCGAAATGCAGCGACAGCGCGCTTCACGGGCACAGCTACAACACGAAGCTGACATTCTTTCCCAGCGAACGAACCAAGAGCTTGCCGGGTTGAAAGATGATATCAAGGCGATGTTCAACGATCATAAGATTACCACACGAGAGCAACAGCGGAGTATAGATACATCCGTCCAGGAGCTCAATTATAAGATCACGGTTTCGCTTAACAGCGACGGTAAAAGTGAGATCGAAGGTCTGAGGTGGATCCTGACGAGAAGAGCCGCTTTAGCTATTGCTACAAGTGCTTGTATGTCCCTTCATTTTGTCGCTAAGGATTCAGAACACTAACTGGAGACAGTCATGATCATCTCTTTCCTCAAATTTTATTCATCTCGCAAAGCAAAGGATGTACCTGAAAACAAGAAAAAGAAGGCTTCGACCGAAAAAATCAAAGAGAAACAGCCAAAGGACCCCGTCATTGCGTCTGCAGCGCCAGTTCCTGAGGTCCACCTTACCGAATCTCTAGGCTGAGGACATCGTACCATAAGCACATTAATACCGTCTCTTTCACTCTCGCTCCGTTTGCAATTACACATAAATTGTACTGCCGCCTTTCCCTATTCATTCCCTGGTTTTCCAAATGTCCAGGTTGGACCTTCACTGCTTCACAACACTGGATTTCTCCCTTTTCTATGTGTCACTTCGATACCCCAGAAATACACTTCCAGATTCAATATAGATATATAGACCTTTCGAACTACATTCTCCCACTATCGCAAATCATCTGCCCATTCTAAATGTATATATATATATATACATATATATATATATATATATGCAAGACCTGTCCAACGTAATAGTCACAAACATCTTATATTAGTGCCTCCAAAACGTAGATTTGTAATATACGAATCTTGCAAGTCTATTTTATGCGTTATGATTTTCGGTTTGGCCTTCCATCTACAACTATAACACTCTGTGCTGGTGCAAATGTCTCCAGGACCTTTAACAAAGGTCTTTTTACTGTTATAGGTTTTGTAACCTATTTATACATGCATTAAAATAACAATTCGTTAAGAGTCAACATATCAAGGACATGAATAGAAAATGAAAGAAAGATGATTTAAAATAGAAAGGTGGGGTGGGGAAGGAGAATATATATAGAAAAAAGTAGAGGGGAAAGAACAACAAGAGAGTTGATTCTAGAGCTCTAGAAATCAAATCTCAATGCAATACTCGGCATGCTTTGTTCAGCCTGCACACTATCCCTGGTATTCTTATTGGCGCCGGAGTCAACATTGACACTGCGAAGAATGTTCTCGAGGAGAGCCTTCTGTTCCGGGTTCATCGTGGCCACAAGAACCCGGAATGCAGTTTGATTTGTCTTAGCGAGTTCCAAGAAGTGGATGGCTGTTTCTTTGTACACGGCTTCCCCTTCTCTCTTGCCGCGTGTGAGGAGAGTCGACATGACGATGGCAAGGGCCGTGGTTATATCGCGGGCGTTGCAAACGTAAGAAACTAAAGTGCGTGCAACGACAGTCCTTGAGTTCTCCGGGTCATTAGGTATGTCGCCATTTTCCATGGGGCAGCCCACCAGGAAGCTGATTAGGCGGGGAAGTAAGTATCTAGCGATTACTTCGTCCGTGGGCGAGCTCGACGAGGTGAGGAGGATTGAGCGGAGACAGCCTGCAGCAACATTGGCGAGGCCAACATCCTGGAGGCAGTCCAAAAACTCATTGAGGACACGGATGATGGTGGGGTCATGAGGGGGGAGGACGTGGCCTCCTGTAGTTAAAAGGATGGTAATTGCCAAAAGGGTGTTCTTAGCGCAAGGCAAGGAAGACTCAGATTCCCGACGCTGAGCAATTGTTAGCGTGGTGAGGAAGCGCGTGAGGCAGCCGCGCATTTGGCGCGACACCACATGAAGATTGTGCGTCTGTTCTGGGCCAACATCGCCAGGATGGCTTATACTTTGAACAAAGTGTTTGAAGATCGGAAGCGCTTGCGGCACGACTTCCGACTGGCATAAACCGGTGGCTAGGATAGTGGTAAATATGTGCAGGATGCATGCATTAAGATCATGGCGAATAATAGACGGGAAAATGGATGCAACTTTCACCAGAGAGGATAATGCGAGGCGGATGAGCGACAGAGCATCATCCGATCCCACGTTGAACCGCGCGATGGGCACGGATTCACGAAGGTTCGGTAGCAGCCCCGCAAGAACAAGGATGATACTTCTGGTCAGCTCGAAGAGCTGCTCAATATCATCGGACAGATGGTCACCTCGTCCCTCAGTACCCTTCGCGGAGGGGTGGTCCAGGGAGAGGTTTCGCGCTATTTCAACAATAACATTTTGGATGGGTGTTCCCTCGGTCAACGCGAGACGGTCAAGGGAATCCATTGTCTCGGAGAATATAGCATCTTGATAAATGGCGTTCCCGGATATTACTGGCCTAAGGATACGCTTGAGAGCCAGAAGAATATCTAGTCTCTGGGATGGTGTAGTAGTAGATTGGTCAACAAGGGCTTCGAAGGCTAAACCGAATAGAACGAAGAAAAATGCAACAGGTTCGTCGCGATAATTGATATCATGTCCTTTTTCCTTGGATTCTTCATTAGGCGGGTTCTCGTCGTTCTGCGATTTCTCCACGGGTTGCTCTTCCTCTTTTGGCTTCGACTTTCCGTCCAACGCGTCAAACACAAAGTCGATGTCTTTTTCTACTAAGCCAGCGATGGCGTCAACTAGGCTCAGCCAGGTGTCTTGATAGAACTGTAGGTGATGTCAGTTTATGTACACTCATACAAACTTATTAGGCATGAGATGCTCACCTTGAGAAGAGTCTCCCGGTTCAATGCAGCATACACTTCGTCCAAATCGCTGCTTAGTGGACCTGTTCCTAAGCTACCAGAAATGTCTGGTTCGAACCGTAGGCGAGCATATTCCTGAAGGGAAGAGAGCCACAGCGGCGTGAGCTTGGTGAGATGAGGCTGGACTACCTCATTCAAATAATCTTGCTCGATACTTGCTATTTGGAGCCGAGCCCAAGCAGAGTACAGAGCCATTTTCACCATAACCCTCGCATTTGAATTGAGTCCCTTCAAGTCTCCAATCTCAGTAGTGTCTGGATTTTCTTTAAGATATTAGTACATATATTGAGCTTTGTTAGCCTCACCACTTACTGGAGAAGTTCTCAAGGCCTAACACTAATAACTTTAATATCCTGCCCATCCGGTCTACATTTGTTACGATTCCTGTTGCGATGAAGGTGGCCGAGACATTGATAGCTCCCGATGCTAACTCCGGAGAAGAATCTGCTGCAAATGCTGGCGTAAGCGCGGAGCCAATCTGCGCCTGATATTGCTCCAGAAGGGATGCTTCTGCAAAGTCGGGATCTGGGGTCTTGCCAAACATCTAAAAAGGGTGTTAGGTAGAGGATAAATGTCAAAGGAAACACTACTTACCCTGAGAACTTGATCGAGGATCTTAAGACCCCAAACTCGCAGTTCTATCACGTTTGCAGTAGACGCTGAGAACGCCATCCTCACAATATCTCCCACTCTCTGCTGCAGGGCCAACTCAGCAGGAATTGTCTGATCAGGTAAAATTTCTTGCTCTACCGTTGCCAACAACTCGCTTAAGCAGCCGAGGACAAAGTTGCGGGTTTGCCACTTTAGCAGTTCTTGCCCAGGGACAGCCTCGTTTACGTTGCCCGACTGCCCAGCTCCGGCAATGGCGGAGGCAAAGCCAGCTACCTCATCGTCGGGTATGTCATTGACAGCGGATTTAACAGCAGGCGTAGTAGGAGGTGGCTCTTCCACCTTGCCACGGGTCTTTGACAATGTGTTGTGGAAGCGCTGTACCCACAGGTCAGTCTCTTCGAGAGCAGTCTGCTGCAACCAATCTTGAATCAAGCTTTTTAGGATCGAATTGTCTGGCATATCGTCGAATGCAAGCCAGATCTCCTCTTCAAGTGCTGGTGCAGCTTTAAGAACCGACGCAGAGTCCCGCTTCATAAGGTTACTCAATCCCCGAATCGCCACGTCCCTCATCAATGGGGTATCAGCAGAAAGTTCAGTTTGTAGACGTTTCACGTATCCCGAGTAATCCACGTATCCGGGTGCGTAAAGTGATAAATGATCCAGGCATTTGGAGCTCTCAGTCACTAGAGCAGGATTATCCTCCAGCTGGAACTGTCGGAGAAGAGTGAGTATAAGATTGCGTGTTTTGGCAATGTCCTGGAGATCTGGGCCTAGAACGTTGATCAAGGAATCCACGCAGCGACTTATGACTACCGGGGTAAGATACGACAATTCGATGTTAGAGGTTGCAAGGGTGGCGGACTCTTCGTTGTGGGTATCCGCGTAATAGACTTGAGCAAGCATACCCAGTGAACTTGATACAAATGGTGAAAATGTCAAGCCCGCAGAGTTAGCCACTCTTTCCAACCCCCCAAGTGCCCAGAAATGAACCACGGGGTGGGGGTCGTTGCACAACGACATGAGGACACCTACAATAGTCTTGAGGTGCAATCCAGCTGCCATTCCGCCTACCTGAGAATGAATGCAACCTAAAGCAGCAGCACAGCCAGCACGAGTGTTGGGCTCCCTGTTGTCTACTATGGTGTCGACAAGCCAATTGATCTGCGAAGTAGTGAAAGTGTTCCCAGAACTCTCACATAGCCTTCCGAGAGCTTCCACACCAATTGTTCGAACAACCGGATCGGCATCGGTTACAAATTTCTAAATAGTTAGCTGAGTGAATTGGCGCTGACGGTCCAGAGCACCTCACCTGCAACAGCTCCTGCAATATCTTGTCGGTTGTGGGGTTAAGCTTTCCGGTTGTAGGAGTAGAATCTTTAAGCGTTACTTTCAAGGCTTCGAGCAGCGCCACGGCAATGTTAACAACCATGGCAGCTTTGCGTCCGGGATTGCGTTGGAGGCCCGAAGAAGAAAGAAAGGTTGCAATCTGCTCTACGCTACTCTCTTGGACTTTGGGTGCATGCAACGGTACAGCAACAGAGAAAAGTTCAATTGCAGCGTTGACAACGCCAGTAGAATGCGGATCAGCTAGTAGACAGCCGCCGTTTCTTGACGCGTATAGAAGGACAGAGTCATGCTCACTCGCTTGGCAGATCGGAAAAGTTAACTGAATAGGTCAGTTCTACCCGAACTAGCTCTAGAGAAAATTGGCATACTTACAGCATCGTCAATAGCCTGATCTGCTGAATCCACTGCGGACCAAGCAGGTCCATTATCATTCTCTTGCTTTCCGGAGAGCGTCACACGAACATATTCCCTCGCCAGCCCCGTTAACCCAAACGCAAAATTGTCACATAAATCCCACAAGTTCTCAAACTGTGCCGTTGTTCCAGCAATTGAGCTTTCGAGAGGACCGAACTGGGTGGACTCTGGTTCTGCAAAAGACGAAATCGCCAAACTCAACAGACTGGTCTGGGAGATAACATCTCCATGACTGAGAGGATGCACATGAATTAGTTTGGAGAAGCACTGCAACACACGCCGCTGGACCATGGTAGCAATGTCATGCAGTTGCAACGAAGGATGAAGACGCTGCGAAATATCCATCATAGACTTCTGCCGGGGCAAGTCATCAAGAAAGCCAACAGTATTCTGTAACATAGTGGCTATTCTTCTCGCACCGTCTGCTGTGATCAGCTTGTTGTTGAATTCTAAAAACACTAACAACGACCCTAATGCAGATTCTCTAACATGGGCAAGGAAGCTCATTTCTAAGTTTCCACGCTGGGCGAAGTTCTCTTTGCCTAGATGCTTGGGAAGCGCATTTTTCCACAGTAACATTAACTGTGACAGGTGTATTTTCACGAAACTAGGCCCAAGAGGCATTAATCCTCCAATCAAAATCCAAGCAACCTGGATTTGTGTACTCGCGGCACGTAGTTCAGAGTTGCTGCTCGTCTTCAGGAGATCTGTTGCTTGAGCAAATACTCGAGAGTACACTTCAACGGAGCCGTAGAGCGGCTGCAGTCTAGAGGTGCTCAGCATAGCTGATAATCCATTTGCATAACCGACACAACGTCGCGGCGCTTGGCGGGGTGTAGAGAGTTGTCCGACCTCTCTATTCAGGCTATTCAGACATATTGTAACGCATGACAGTAATTGATGAGGGCAAGCAAGCACAAAGCTGCGCAGACAGTGTGCAGCATGTATCTGCACAGTATAACTGGGGTGAGGGAGTACTTGGAGCAGGGCATCACGACAAGGTTCAGCTAGATCCACGAAAGCGGAGCCAAGTGACGAAATTAGTGAAGATAATGCACTAAGTGCACTAGTCAATGAGTACTTGCTAGGCTCACGACGCTCTTGGATAACTTGAGGGTAATCCTTGACGACTTCATTGATCAACCATCTTGCAGCATTGAGCTGGCTGGTTTCACGGAGCGATTCCCGGCCAACTGTGTCCTCTAAGATACTCCTGATAAATTTCCTCGTCATAAGAAGTCGAAATCGGTTGTAGGTAACAGTTGGGTGGTTGAGAAGGTCAAAAAGAAGGTGGTTTGCGATCTCGCCATAGCGCTCTTCGACAAGTTTGTCGCCCAATATGCGTATAACATGTTTATAACAGACTGCGATACCTGCGCGTGCACGATTAGACGTTGTGCTCCGCAAATATTGAGTGGATAGTTGGCGAAGGAGATCTGGCAGAAGGAAGAACAGGCGCGACTCGGGCTTCTTGGTAGTCGATGACTCCGAAACCTCCGCCTCTTCTTCATCCTCTCCAGGTCGGGGTGCTGGTTTTTTCGATTGTCTCTTTGCTTTCTTAGACTTTGGCATTGGGGCAACCTTGGAATCTGCAGCATGTAGTTTTGCTAGTGCTCGAGCCAGGCAAGCCGCAGCAGCATGTCTGACAGGAGCAGCTGGACTGTCAATGACCTTCCAAGTGACTGTCTTGATATGATCAAAATCATTTGTATTATCGAAGAATGGCGTTGTGTTCACTAATTGTTCGAGGCATCGACAAGCATGTACCTGGACGAATGCCGATTTGTCTCCAGCAGCTGCATTGCGAGCTTGCTTCCAAATATCACGCGCCGCCGCTTCATCCACAGGAATCCCCACACCTACAACTACCTTTCGTAGTACAGCGAAAATCGATCCACGAAGACCAGTGTAGTTGCTGGAGCTCTTGAGGAGTTTGAGCAAGCTGGAGATGACAATGCCCGCTTGAGCAAAGACACTTTCACCGGCAACAGCGAATACCTCACCCAAACTGTGGGCCGCAGCAAACTTAGTCTTGAGCTCTTCATGCTTGCCTGCATTCAATAGCCCAAGTAGCTCGGTCACAGTTTCGAAAAGTATCCCGCGATCGCCTTTGCCGAATATAGCTCCGAAACATCGTCCCAGGTTGTTGCGCACAACTCGCGTGATCGTCGGTGAGGAGAGGGTGAGGATTTTGAACAACTCCTTTTTCAAAAATTTCTGCTGTGCAGAAACTTGTGGTTTTTCTAGTCCCGAAATATACTGTACTAGGTCCGACGTGAATGTGAGAAGGTAAAGGTCCTGCTGTTCGGAGGGGAGAGCATGGAGCTTAGTGATATCCAACTCCGCACGGGGGGCCGCATTTTCGGAGGAAGTACGAGCAGCAGTATCAGATGAAGACATTGAAATTCGAAAGTTCCGATCAGGGTGTTCGCTCATAAGGTGACCCTGAGAGGGAAGAGAAAGTATAGTGGGTGATATCTGCGGCGGAACTCAACAATCGTCTTTTGTTTTAAAACACGGGATACTTAGTATATCGGAGACGGGCCCCCTTCAATGGGGCATTTGGCCGCTCCGTCCGGGGGCATGGTGGGCGCGCCGGAGAAATCCTCGGGCCGGTTGTTCCATGATCATTCAACATTGACCATGTATGTATATCGTACTAGTATTATATACACCTTAGTCCTTGACTATGACCACAATTGTGAACAAAAGCTTGCTCCGACAATGTGCGCGCACCCAGCCGGTCTGCCATTTCTGTCGGGGCTTTTCCAGCAGTTCTCCCTGGTTCGCAGGACATAATCGATGGTCTTCGATCAGGCATGACAAGGCAAAGAATGACAAGGCGAAAAGTAAGGAGCGTCAGATCATCGGCAAAGAAATTAGTAGTGCTACGCAGAGTATGCTTTTAATTGGACCTCGCCTCTATGATATATACAAGCTAACGGCTATAATTAGTGTGGGGACCGGATCCGAAATTCAATCCGCGCCTGACTCTCGCCCTCTCGAACGCGAAACGAGCCGGAATCCCAAAAACCGTGATCGAAGCCGCAGTCGCAAGAGGTCAGGGTATAAGCGTAACTGGTGAGGCTCTCGAGCAAGTCACTATTGAGGCTATTTTGCCCCATTCCGTTGCGGCGGTTATCGAATGCCAGACCGACCAGAAGGCCCGCATCTTGCAAGATCTCCGCTATGCTATCAAGGATGCTGGTGGGACTGTTACCCCGACTACGTATCTCTTTGAAAAGAAAGGGAGGATAACATTCGAAAAGAAAGACGGCCTGAACCCGGATGACTACCTAGATCAGGCTATTGAAGCTGGTGCTATGGACATCACTGCAGATGAAGAAGGCCGTCTCATCGTGTTCGCTGAGCCCGCAGAAACAAAGAGTGTGGGCGAAGCTCTGTCAAAGATGTCTCAGCTTACAATTGAAGAACTAGAAATCATTTGGGATCCGAACCAAGATACCTTGGTGGAGCTAACGGAGGACGAGCACGTCAAGGAGATAGAAGACATACTTAGTATCCTTCGCGAAGAGTCGAGTGTCCGTGATATCTATCTGAACACTACACAACAGTACTGATGGTAGATTACTCTACCCAATTAATGCCGCCTTTAGGCGCCTGTATAGTATATAACATGGATTATAGATTGCATAGTAGATGTACAGTAACAATAGAACGCTTACTAGAGACGTTTCTTTAATAAATTGTACTAGTTGGAAGTGGTAAATGTCATTTCAGATTATGGTCGTCCTATCACTCCTTCCGTAAAGCCTTCATTGTACTCCGCATTAAGCTGCCAATGCCAGTACTTCCTGTCGAATCCAACCAGTCAAGCATTCTCACTCTGTATTCCTGCCAGGTAACCTTGATACCACCTTCCTTCTCCAAGGCACTAAGTGCTTTTTGGGTTACCGGTCTCCTCAGCTTTGGCTGGTCCTCGCTGAGATTGTTTTCTTCTTCGATATCTGCAAAACAAGCAGCTGACATATTGCATAGTGCAACATTGTGGCTAAGTGAGAATATCGAAGATACATTATAAGCATACGTTGCCTCTCGCTTCCTTTCTCGAGAGCTGTCGGTTGTATCCCGGACATATTGGGTGAGAGCAGCGATGGTAGGAGGTGGTACCAGACAGCCCAGTGCGTTTGGGTCCTCTCCGTTAAGGCCTCGATTTCGCCACAGGAGGTTGCATATATCCATGATATAGCCATTGAATTGACCAACTAACTGTGTTGGATAGAGAGACTCGGAGGATCCCGGGGCTTGGAGCACCTGAGAAGTCAGGGATGCTTCGAAGGACGATTTATAGCTAGCAAGCACGGAGCTCATTATCGAGATGATAGAATTGATCGGAGTGAAGACGAGGATATACACGGTGGGAGCCATTGGAATTGTGATGCGGATATTTCCGTTCAGGTACGAATGGGAGAATAATTCGGCCAAAACACAATAGAATTCAATAATAGATAAGGTGGCCGGTCTTGAGCTCTCAGTATTCCCAGCAGGAGTCTGCGGAGCTGCCGCAGGGGATTCAAGGATTGACAATGCCAATAGCTCCGCGTGCGAGATAAGACGGCCTAATGGTTTTGATTCTTCCAACGTAAATGGCAGGGTCCTTAATTTGACCCCCCATTGGCGAATTAACGAAGAATAGAAATCTAAAAGATTAGACTTGCGAAAGTGCCTATCCATAAGTACTGCAGATTCCAATGGCATCAAAAAGTTGTTCTGTATGGAGTCGTAATTCTCGATATCAAGGTATTCAAGAAGATAGAATATCTGCTCTCTCAAGTCTCTACCGTTCCATGACAGAAGGTACGACTGCAGGAAAGTGGCAATTGCCGGAGGAATCTCCTATCAAATTCTTTAGTGTCCAAGAGGCTAATATTCGGCCAAAATAGCATACCTTCGTGTACTGTACGTAACCTACAGCAAGGGTCAGTATATAACTCAGAGACTCGAGTCTCTCGTCGTTATCTTCGGCATACTCCAAGTTGTCGTTAAAGAAACTCCCGCACCAATCATCTAAACGGCGACTTGCAGACTCAGATTGAACAAGGAATAAATACTTCTGGGCAATGGCATCTCCAAACATAGATATAATCTGATTTGGTAGCTCGATTTTGTCAAGCTTGTCAATGAAGTGGTCTACGCCACGTAGTTCTTCCAATGATGTGTGGTTATAGGAGACGCGTGAAGTCTGAACATCTGGTACAAGAACCTCCATTTTGCTCCTCTTCGAAATTCCGCGGCGAACCACTTGGAAGTTCGCGGGCTGAGTAGCTTGTAGCCTTTCCATGTTTGTGTCTTGGAGAAATCTCACATGGCTAGACCATTCAGGATCAGGATGCTTGAAGAAGAGTCCCTTCCTTCCTGCCACACCTAAGTCCCCGATAATGACATCCGGACAGTAGTTCTTGAAGACTTTGAGTAATGTAATAAGTTCTCGCTCATCGCCACATGCAGTAACAACCAATTCCATAAGGGCTTGTATCCTAAATGGCTTGACATGTTTGCGCCTGGTGATCAAAGAAAGAAGATGGCATAGGGGTTTGCGTAGACTCATCATGTCAAGGTGATTGAAAAGCACGGCGTAGAGCTTTGATAAGTGGGACCTGTCGGCGAGGAATTCATGTACCATGAGCAGCCATCGCAAGAGTAAAGACTGGGTTGCGGGTGACGGTTTGTTCTTGTTGGGACCAAGGCAGCACACGATCTGCGTGACGAGTTTGGATGGCACACTTTCCACAGGATATAGATTCTTGATTAAAGTGGTAATTGTACCTTGGTCAAGTTGACTGCGCGCCGTGAGAATATTAACCAGACGCTCAAGCGTGGCCTGGGAGATCCCGCTCTCATACGCGTGCGTAGCAATTGTTTTGGCCAGTTGACCGGCATCTGTATATCGTTGCTTCGAAGGTACAAAGGCAACTGCAAATGGTAATTAGGCCGCGAGGACTCGTGCTTCGTACGTGACAATGAAGCCTTGATCTTACCTGCTTCCAGGTGCTCGATAGCATCTAGCAGGCCAGTAGGCCTAGACTCTGCATCTAGCCTTCCGTCAGCAAAACTGTTGTTGATTAGGACCTGGAAGCCAACAAACCTCTATCTGTATCGGACGACATAATACGAGAACTAGTAATTGTAATTATGGCAATTGATTCTCATGCTCGCACCTTTCGCTCCTACAAATTGCGTCGATTCGAGATAACATCGGCTATTTTGCGTGCCGCCCAGAACTGTCGCGTCGCTCCAGTAAAGAGAGAATTGAACAAACTATTCAATTATCTCTTCCGTGGGCAACACCCGACATCTAACATTGATTAATAGCTATTATCCTATTGGATTAGTAGTGGGCTGTACTCCAGTCTCGCTGTTGGATAGCGATTAGTAGTGCTCTGGTTAGTTTCAATGGTATTTAATGATAGAGAAAACTCCATGAATTGATGGTCGCGAAAATACTAATAAATTACAGACTTTACCAAATCCAGTCACCACCTCACTTTTAGGCTTCAATAATTTCTACACAATATTAATGACATACTAGTAAGTACTGAAAGAGTATGAAATCTTTAAAGAAAATAGGACAGGATATACACTTGACAGCACTTATATTGGATTGGTGAAGTAGACGGATACTTAAATGTTGTATATTTAATGAGACGCCGGTCTTGATATGCCTCGAGAACAAACCGTCAAATGATCATTCTGCTTCTCACCAAACATCTCCGACGGAGCAACTACTAGTAAATAGGAATACCTCCACGAACACGTCCTCAAAACCAAAGTATATGCGGATCCGAAACCAAGGTTTAGCTTACTTCCTCTTTCGAGTAGACGATTTGGAGGTTTCTTTTCCAGATGCTTGGGACGATGCCGCTGGTTCGACCTTCTCTTTGGCTTCCTTAGCCTCGACAGCTGTAGACTCACCCTCATTATCACTATCGCCTCCCTGACCAAATTCGTTGACACGTGTGTAGTCAACCCGGTACTTCCAGCTCTGGTAAAGCCAAACGAAGAAAATAACATCATCACGCAGAGTCGCAAGCCTGTGAAGCCATGGCATCTTGACCGTGAACGCGAAAAGATCATCAATAAAGGTGTTCAGGAACTTGTACATCAGCGCCTTGCCGGGCATATGCGCAACGGACTGAGTAGTAATGAGGTTAGCGAAGTCATATAGTGGAGCCATAAGACACTAACCTTCAAGCGGTAGTTGATATATAAACTTGGAACCATCATGAGGAAACCGTAGGCGTAAACACTACCGACAAGTGTCTCAATGATGTAGGAGTACCATGACTTGTGAGTGTTATAGACCAAGCTGTACGCTGCGTATGCAGCTAGCAGAGGCACTGCGACGATATAGAGATAGCGGAATGCAATCTCGTCGTATTCCTTGGTCTTTTGCTCGGTCTCGGTGAGCTTGTGTTTGTCTTCAAACACTACCACGTAAGGCAGGAAGGAGAAGAAAGAGTTTGGTGCTGGTTGGCGCAGACGGACATCAACAGTCTTCGTGATTTTCCAGGCTTCCAGAAGAATCCCAAAGCCCTGGCTGGCAAGAATCATCCAGGAAGTGTTATCACTGTTATCCATAAGGTAAAGGAAAACAACTGTCTGCATGAAGACGTTGGCCAAGATGGTACGAACTGACGTGCCAACGACGTCTTTCTTCTTGCGCCAGTGAGACTTAGAAGGGATTAGGTCAGCCACTTGCCTTTAAGACGTGGATGGGGCTACAAACTTACAATGTCGTTCTTGAAGGCCAGAGTTTCGAAGACCATGTGAAGAATAGTCACAACGCCAGTCGTGCCCAGTAGCCAGATGTTCGTATCCAAGAGGATCCCTTTCACCATCTCAAACTCAGTACCGTCACCACCACCCGGCGTCGAAGCTCCAAAGGCAGCCTGTCGAGCCGTTTGTTTTGCGCTCTCATCAACACTCGTCATCATGCTGAACTTCCAATTCTGCAAGTTGTTCAGAGTAATTCGAAGGGGCACGGTCTCTACGGTAGAATTAAGTTCCATCATATGGCTCTTAAGTTGCCAGAAAGTATTCAGGTAAACAATGGGATAGTACCATCCATTCTGTCCAGAGAGGTCTCTTGCGCCGGTTGTCTCCAGCTGCACATGCTGCCGGACAGCCGGGTGGATCTGGCGGAATTTCTGAGTGCCTGAATCAGGAATCAATGATACCGTGAAGTTCGGGTGATAATAGGACGTGACAGACACATCCGGCGTGTTGTCTTCCTCCTCCTCTCCAGATTCCTCTGAGCCAGCAAGGAGATTCTTGAGCTTTTTGGTCTTCTTCTTCGGAAGATACTGGTTAAGCGGGCGGAAGAAATAGACCGCGGTGTCTGAGCTGTAATCTTTGGCCGAGGGGTCGAGTTGGTGTCCAGACAGTCCGAGCATAAAATGCGCGAAAAGTGTGCCGTTCTGTTGTACCTCCTTAGGGACCTTGATGGTTGTGTCTGTTTCCCTGGTATCGCTATAGTTCCCAAGAGTAAAGTTCTTTTCATTTAGGACAAGTTGGCTTGCCGGGGCAGACTTGGAAGTAGGAAGTACGGCTGAGGGTGAAACGTAGATATTCAGGTCTAAGGCGCTGTCGGACGGCCATATCGGACTAATACCATCGGGGATAGCGCTGTACTCTGCGATCTCGCTACGAGCTGGACGATCTGCGAAAGTAGGTATTCCACCAGGCTGCACGCTGGAACCAGCGTTTTGCTGACGTCCGCCGAAGAATTGACTGAAAATAAACTGCGTTAACAAGAAGAAGCCTAGACCCTGGAGAGCGCCCTTGAAGCCAGACTAAAATCACAAAACGTTAGCCCGATGTACTTGATGAATGACTTGATACAATGCATACGCACGCTGGACTCCGGCTCATCCCTGCGCTGTCTTTGTTCAGGCATTTCGAAGTTCCCTAGATATAAGAGAGAAGGTTAGCAACGAAGGAAAGGGAGGGAAAGCGAAAGAAAAGGGAAAGGCCACGGACGACGGACTGTTGAACTACGCCGCTTTGGGTCCAGAACCTGTCGGGTCGTTTATCTTGGCGGGTCGATTAAATCAATTAAATCAATTAATTAGACTAAAATGTCTTTATCAGCGGATGACATAACTTTCCCTTCTCTTGATCTCCACACTTTCTAAACCCGCGACTGTTCGGTAACGCGACTCCGTGACAACTTGTCGAGATCTCGAGGTTTACATTACGGATTATTGGCGCGCGATCGCCATGTGTGGCGTGTGAAAAAATATCTTTGATCTAATGTCGGACTACCCTCCCGTCCCCGAATTTCCACGCCCTCAGTTTCCCACTCATAATGAACCACGAGTATGGGTGATCACAGCTGGGGATTCGCCTGTTGGGATCTCAGTTACACGCCAAATCCTTTCACATGGAGATTATGTATTGGCTGGATTGGCTCACTCAAGATTAGAACGGGATGAATGCCGTCAAGATGAATTCGAGACCTTCTTGACCGAGATTGACAGCCAGGAGGGATGGCGACAGCGATTCAAATCTGCCCCTTTCGATATAAGGTGGGAACCCTGGATACACTTGCGAGATAGCCTTGTTAAGGAGCATTGGATATAGAGGAGAGCGGCATGAGCTTACATTCATCATGTAGGATGATAGGAGAAGGTCAAGCCCTCGTTGCAGACGCTGTTGCAACTTTCGGCAAGGTAGACATTCTTCTTTGTTGCACAAGTCAAAGTATGGATGATGAAGCATGCGTATGTTGATATCGGTCCTTTAGCTAACTGCCTACGCAGCCCTTGTAGGGGCTGTAGAAGAGTTCGGGGCTTCTCAGCAAACCCTGAATTTGGTTCGGGACCAGTTCGAGATCAATTATTTTGGGCCCCTTAGTATTATAAAAGCAGCACTTCCTCATATGAGGAAGCAAAAGACTGGACATATTATGATTCTCTCCGGAATTAGTAAGTCTTAAGAAATTGCTCTACCGGAAGCAGACGGTGGCTAATCGAAGGCAGCCGCCCATATCGGCACGCCAGGACTCGGAATGTATTGCGCAGCTGGTTGGGCCCTGGAAGGGTTTTGCGACGTGAGTGTAATCTATTCTGGCGACCTCATTTATATTTGCTAAATGTCACACTATAGAGTCTTGCATATGAGATAGCTCCATTCAACATCAGACTCACGATCTTCCAATGCAGCATAGAAATTGGCATTCTCACGAATTTGGTGACTAGCGTACCTCCTATTGTTCCCGCATATTCTCCTACTACTAACCAAGCACCTCTTTTCCGCGGAATATTAAACCGGCTTGTGCCTCGTCTATCCAACACGAACCCTGAGGCTAATGGCGCCCAAGGAACTGGGCAAGTTGGTTCCGTGGAGAATGGGCCATTCTCACGTCCTGAAGTCACTTCGATGTATCCTCCACTCAGTTCTGCACATATGGAGATTTTAGTGTCAGAAACGGTCTATGCTATCACCGCAATAGGTGGTCATGAAAATCCACCATCACGTCATATAGTAGGACAAGAGGGTGTTGCGAGCGTAAAGGAGAAGCTAAAAACTGTTAGCGAGGAGCTGGAGGACTTTATCCAGTCTAGCTACGCTGTTGATTACGCTGCTGGCGGCGATCAGAGCAAGGATGAAAGCGTATCAGGTATGTGAACAGGTAATGGCGGCGTCTAAAGCGAGATATTTAGTCTTAATGAAGTAAAAATCTGCCTTTGGCGGTAATACATTGGAGGTATCCCATTGAATGTATGCTCGTTATAGCAGTCAGCTATCGCAAGAAAAGATATCTGAGCCAGCATAAGAATCATTCATACGACGGCTGGGATATAGACATTGCCTGCCCATTAGATGCCTTCGTAGTGAGATCAAGATTCCGCCTTCGGACGTCAATTAACCATTATTTATTCCTCAGAAACCAAGCCTGTCTGACCTCCCATAAACTACCCATATCCTGATTATTCCTGTAAGCACGAAAGTCCTTCCAAGCATTACCATGTGGGGGTTTTTCGGTACGGCCATCGGCTTCGAGGATCTTCTTTGCAAGTGCACCGGGACCCGTGATATTAGGGACTATAATCAATCCAGGTTCTTCCGATGTACCTTCAACGGTTGAAGGCTGTGAGAATACATCCTCAGCTGTCTCAGGGGGCTGCGCAGAACTGCTTGCCAAACTTTGGCCGTGATTCTCTGTCGTAATTATCTGAACCATGACAGAAGGCGTACTCTCTTCTTCTGCTAAATGTGCATTATAGACTTCTACTGCCAATTTGGTAGATCTTGTAAAACCGGTGGAAGAATTCACCTGATCATCTTGCTCAATATCCTCCACTGTATGTACCTTGCGCGCTTTCCCGTATTCCTTCGTGTGAGGTTCCATCTCTATTTCTGATTTACGCCTGGTAGATGATCCAGCCTCTACCGTTGCGTTAGTATCCAGGGCTGTTGTGTCAACATTGGTCTCGGCAGCCCCATTTAGATCTGTTCCAGTAGTAGTCACTATGTCGATCTGTGGTATGCCGGCCTCTCCTTTGTCGAGCACTGAGTCTTTCGTGACTGAGTTCTGGGCAGCAGGAAGAAACACTCGTTGACCAGGGGGAAATTCAAATGTTAACTGGCCATTCTGGATACCCACTATCTGTGCAAGCGTCAGGCGGGGGATCTGAATGAAGTTCGTGGATATAAACCTACCCTGGCTTCTTTCTCCACGAGGAGTTTGGCTTTACCTTTGGCGAAAGCTCGAGAATATTTCCAAACATCTCCCGTAAGAATTGCCCCATGTTCAAGTAAGGTGCTCAGTTTCACCTGACTACTCTGACCTGCGACCAGCGTCTTGTCCATCTTCTGTTTCTGCCCCCAGAACTGCTCGAACTCTTCCTCTTTGAACTTATCAAATTTTCCATCAGCCCGCTGTTGCATGGCCTCGTCTGCCTGCCGCAGCCAAACCGGGTCGTAGCGCCCATTTTGGAGATCTAGCTGGAAGTGACGAATGCCGTCTCGCCAATTATTCGAGTATCGCAGAAACGATTCCGGTAAAGGGGGTATCTTTGCATTAGGGTCGTCCGGTGTAGGGTCGGGATTCGGATGCAGATCTTCAGGAAGTAAATCGAGCACTTCTTTTTTCTCCGACTCGTCCAGACAATTCCAGGCCTCAGGCTGCGCGAGAAGTTTCTTGAATTGTCCCATTAGTTCTCAAACTGTGCTATCATGCAGTTGCGTAACATACCACCAGGTCCAAATTTATGAGCTGGGAAGAGGTGCTCGTCATTAACTTGTCCTCCGCCCATGGATCCTTTGCCGCTCTCTTCGGATTCCTTTTCGGCTGTGTAGTACTTGTGGAGGACATTGCGACTCGAGGCTTTTCCACATCACCCTTAGCAGTGGGCCTGGTGTAGAAACATCGTTAACTGTGCCCCTATAATGGCGTACCTAAACATTGGAATTCCAGGGGCCCATAGAATAGCTCTCACAATGTTCCAACTCAAGCAAGCATTCTCATCGCATGAATGATATACTTACCTCGCTGGCTGCTCCCTGGTTTTGCCATCGTCGACCGCCTTGCGCTTGCGGGTCATTGCTTTCGGACAACAAACGGAAGACTATATGCGCCCCGGCAACTGAACGGCAGCCTGAGTGTTATTTAACGAGGTAAAAGCCTGATAGGCAAAGACAGGTTTGTTTCAAAATGGTTAAGTCAACCCAAATAGCCAGGCTTGATGGTAAGACGAAATGTGGAGAGATTAGTTGTAAAATGCGGTTGCTGATGTTTGTCAAGGCCTCATGATGGCTGCGTCGGTGGATGATGAACAGGTCAGTTTACAGCTCATTCACAGTGAGACAGTGACATGCGAGTAACTCTATTACTCTCATTTAGGCAGAAGTGGAGCTCTCAGAGATCAAAACACAAGCCAAAATGATATTCCGCCGGTTGAGTCGCAATTCGGCACCACAAGCTAGTATTGAGTCTGGCCAATACAATCTACAGTGAGTTGGGCATATGGGATGCAAGAAAGCAAGTGCAGGTTCTAACTTGAGTTTTCTAAAAATAGCTATCTTATCCAAGACGATATCTGCTTCCTCTGTATATGCGACCGCTCCTACCCACGCAAACTTGCTTTCACCTATCTCGCCGATCTCGCCACCGAGTTTACTACCACATACTCCTCTGCGCAGTACCAGTCCCCCACCCTTCGGCCGTATGCCTTCGTAGAATTCGATACATTCATCCAACGCACCAAGAAGCTATACCAGGATAGCCGGGCGTCGCAAAACCTTGACAAATTGAACGATGAGCTGCGGGACGTGACGAAAGTGATGACAAAGAACATCGAGGACCTTCTATACCGAGGTGATAGCTTAGAGCGAATGGGCGAGTTGTCGGGGCGTCTGCGAGAGGATAGTAAGAAATACAGACGAGCCGCAGTGCGCATCAATTGGGAGTTGGTGATTAAACAGGTAATTCCCCGTGACTTCTGACTTCATCCATATGTTTTGACTAGGCCAGCAAACTGACATATTGCACAGTATGGCCCAATTGCTGGTGTCGGCTTCCTCTTTCTTTTCCTTATATGGTTGCGCTTCTTCTAATTCCTTCCCTAAGCGGCTGCTTACGGACACCCGCTTAAATGAATGTATGCATAGTTAATCTTGTTGATGGTTGCCGGACTCCATCCACCCCGAAACCCTCAAAATTTCCAACATCTGATGACGGACGAGCTTGATTGCAAAGTTTACACCTTTAATTCCAGGGAGCCTGGCATAGCATGTCCATTCATGCGTCTCATAGATCATAGTCCATATCCCCTTCAATCAGGATGGGTAAACAATTCAACACGTAGGTAATGTCTTTTTTTTCCTTTTCGACAAATTTCGATTTGGAACGCGTACAAACAAGGAGCGTTATGAAGTAGTAAAAGTGTAGTAGAAACTGTTGTACCAGTTTACTGGGAAGATTTGTCAACGGCCACCCTATACGTGCAAGCCTATATTTCATCTTCCTCCTCGTCGAAATCGTCTTCTTCTCCCATGTCGTACAAGATACGTCCGCCTTCTCCTGGGCCGTTACCTTGTTGTGCATCAAAGTATGGCAGCACTACCCCTTCTCTTTCTCTCCTCTGTCTATCAGTGAGCCGTAATTCAAAAGTAGATTTAGGCTCTTCTTCGCCCGCACCAGTTTCTGGCTCCTCAGGTGGACGATACAAGGGATGGTCGTCGAGTAACGTTACAACCTCCTTCACATGTTGAGGCGAGTATCGTGATGCAGGAGGTAGGACATACCACTCCAAGACACCACGACCACTTTTGCGCCTATGTTCCATCTCCAGAACGAGACCTTCGGCTGACTCCTTACCGACTGGTTTGTCCAATCTGCCGAGAAGTACGCCGTCCTGTTCCTCTTCAAGGCCGAAAACAGGTGCCGCTAGACTGCGATCTCTAGCTGCCTTCTGAGTTAATATATGGGAGAATGAATGAAGCCGTATGATTGTTGTTGCAAGGTAGGACAACATGGAATGAGGCGATGGTGAATAAGGAGACTGAGCTGGGGGGCTTGGAACATCTTGGTGGAAAGTCACCACGAGCGAAACTTCGAGTTTAGATGCCGAAGGATTCGAGGGTATGAGAAACGAGCTTAGAAATGTCGAGAGTTGAGAGTGCGCATCGTTTACTTTGGAGCGCAGAAGTGGGTTAATGGAATCTATCAGGATAAGACGCCCTACTAATTGTTAGTCATGGTCACGGATGACTTGGTGCACAGATTAGCCTGTGCTATACGTACGGGGAGAAGGGTTGTTGGTCGAAGTAGCCTGATAAGCTACGCCAACTTCCTTAACTATCTGTGAAGGGGTTTTCCTCCGGGCAGAAATAAATGCATCAATGCCGTGTAATGGTCTTAGTGTCTCAAAGGCAATAAGTGTGACATGAACCTTGGAGATCTATTTATTTTCTTAGCTTTATTGGGCCTGCGGATAGTGTAAAGTGTGCATATCGACCATTTAAAATTATCAATGACGTACCACTCTTGAGTCTGCCTTGGAGCCGATACGAACAGAAGTCCATATCCAAAACCAGGATACATCAAGGGTGGGAGTTGGAGTATGACAAGTGGAATAAAGCAGAACGCACCTTTGCACGGCGGATATATTCTTTAATCAATGGAGTAGCGGGTTGTTCTAGGGAATCCAAGAGCAGGGTAAGCGGTGATGCAGTATCTCTGAGACTGAGAAGCTTTGAGATTAGAAGTAAATTATGTGTTTGCCTATGGGAGACGTTTGCAGGCGCCATTGCTTTTAACAGATGTAGTAGCAACTCTACCTATGTAGGGCAGTAGTTGCGCTGATGTATATCGAGAAATGCTGGTAGCGGGGTTCTTCCGTGGGTATGAGGGGTTGGAGACATTGAGCATAAAAGATTTCCACGGAATGGCTGATCTTTGCCATTGACGTAGCTAGTCTGCGGCTCAGCGGGACGGGCCGTTGGAATTGCCAGCCTGCAATTGCAGGCTTGTGTCAGGCATTTTTTTTTTGCATGAATACGCTTCGCAGTCTATTGTAAGTATTGTAAGCTTTCAATCAAAGTTGGATTCTATAGATAGGGCTAAGTAGCTATATTTTTCAATCCTAAATAGCCGGTGAAGAAGAAGATTTGTAACATGGCAATCTGAGAATAATAATTTGGTTGTGAAGATTTAGAACTTTCTCTTTGCATACCAGACAGAAACGTGGAAAGTCATGGAACATAGGTCAAAAATAAAATATAGCAGCTATTGGGTTACTTAAGACGCAGAAAACACCAATCTGTCCTTCCGTGACCAACCTTTTTTCTTTCTCCCTAATCTGTTTTTGTTATTTATTTATTCAAAGTTGTTGTCGTTGTTTTCGTCATCCATTCTGTAAGGACTAAATCCCCTCGCAACTTCTACGTGGAAGCTAAATATGCATCAAAGGTGTGTCCTTAGTGCTGCAACTCATAACCTACACAGGAATGGGTAAAGAATATGGACATAGTATGGCTGTATCATCTACATTAGTAAAAATATGGGGTTTGCATACTAGCCCACAACACTATACTGCTCCTTGGTGGATTATGATGTATACACAGATCCTGGGAACACCCGCACGAGCATCTGGCATTCTTCAACGATCAAGACAATCGCAGAGTCGAAGTACTTAGTAAGGATATTCGAAAAAATTACAATCATAATGTCAAAAAGCAGTGATAGATATCCATGAGAAATATATGACAGTGCAGATTAGTTAAATGAGTGCTGAGCGAATATCAAACATATGGAACCTTTGTTTCTCATTCTTAGATACTGGTTGTTGTTGTTGGATGCTGTGCAGTTGTTCAATGAATGATGAGGCCAAGCTTTACTTCATTAGCGCCGGCTGCATAACTGGTATATCTAGACAACCGTAATATCTTAACGGCCTCAATTTCCATTCCGCTGGAGCACCAGAATTCAACACTATTGTCTTCTAGACATTTGATACCCATTTTAAACAAATAATGATGAAATAAATAAAATATCCCTACAGACTGTCAAGTTTTATTTCGATTTTGCACCATCAACATCTCGACTACACCTTTCCAGACACGGCAACTTTATCATTTTAACATATTCTCACTCCGTCGCATCTGCAGACCCCCAACTAGATAACACCTTGTTCACCGCATCTAAGGATGGCCGAGCCTCCCGCAAAACGAGCCCGACGTGCTGATAGCTCGGCAATGTGGGATATGGATGACCGGCGGACGCGTTCGCCTGAACAAGACTCGGAGTATAATAGGAGCCCTAGACGTGAAGCACACCTAAAGGATGATGGACGACGAGATGGTCCCCGCGACGACCGAAGATACCGTTCTCGCTCAAGGGACCGGAGGGACAGACGACGAGATAGGAGTAGATCCAGGGATCGTCGTGACCGCGATCGCGGCCACAATAGGAGAGATCTGGAGAGAAGCTCTAGTCGCGACAAATATTACGATAAGCGAGGTATGTTATATGATGTGATAACTTGCCTAGGTTGAGTACTGATATCGGATTGTTGAAGGGTACCCTTCGAAAGGGGAAAGAAACCGTGACCGTTCTCGCTCCCCACTTCGAAACGGAAATAGGGATAGGTCCAGAACACCACCTCTTCGCGGACCTAGAGGAGATCGTAGGAATGATCGCAAAGACCCCCGAATACAGGCGAATGGCGCAACTGAGCCAAGGACATCAAATCGGTCTAAAGACGAGATGGACATGGATATCGATGCCGGGGAAGATGATATTGACGAAATGATACGCCGCAGCATGGGGTTTTCTCGGTTCAGAAGCACAAAGAATACCAAGGTACCTGGAAACGACATCTATGGAGTGCGTAAGGAGAAGAAGACAGAATACAGACAGTATATGAATCGCCAGGGAGGATTCAATCGGCCACTGAGTCCTTCAAGGTGATGGTTCACAGTTACTCTCCCTATTTATTTCTGTCATTGCCTTTTTCTTTCCCCCTCTTTTCTACTTTCTTTTCCTCCCTTCCTCCCTTCTTCTCTTTCCACTTCGTATCTGTTAGGGCGGGACCGATTTTTGCTGGGCTTTCGATTAAAGTTACTGTATGCATGGCCGGAGTATAATCTACTTTCTCTTGCACTTTACACGCGCACAAGGTCTTTGGTGAGTTTTAGATATTGATCTTTGTCCTTGCACAGACCGAAAGAAACAAAAGTGCGAACGAGATGCCACAAAATTATTAGCATGCGGCATGAGTGTGGGCACATGACCTGTAGTGACGTATGTACCTGTATAAAGAGTATTTGATATTCATCCCACTTCAACTCTTCCTCGTTAAGATTTCCTTCCATCCAGCCACCCTCAATAACGTGGCTTCTTTAAGAACCTTAAGATCTAGAATCGCGCCGTACTGCAAAATGACAGCCCCAAACGAACGCCGTGATATTGTTATCGTTGGTATGACATCTTCGACTTTCTTGACTTACCCCGCACGACCATTCCACACGAGAAACTAACAGCCTCGTCCAAGGTGGTGGTATCATCGGATGTTGTTCAGCGTACTATTTGACGAGACACCCGTCTTTTGATCCCTCGCGGCACTCAGTGACCCTCATCGAGGCCACAGAAATTGCAGGAGGAGCGTCAGGCAAGGCAGGCGGTCTATTAGCCTTATGGGCATACCCAAGCAACATTGTACCATTGAGCTACAAATTACATGCAGATCTTGCTAAGGAGCACGGTGGAAAGGATCGATGGGGTTATCGAGCGGTGAACTGCGGCCAACTTATCGCAAGAGGCCGCCCACTCAGCAAGACGACAGGCGAAGAGAGTGGTAGCTCGATATCCCTACAAAAACGCAGTGCAACTGCGCTGGGTAAACTAAAGACTGCTAAAGTACCTAGTGATCTTGACTGGCTTGAGCTAGAGGGAGTTAGAGGCTATGAAAGCATGAGCGATCCGGGTGAAACTGCCCAGGTCCATCCTTATCTCTTTACCACGTCTATCGCAAAGCTCGCCGAGGAGAAAGGCGCAAAGATTATGCTGGGGTCAGTCACAAGTATTGATTACTCTGGAGATGCCGTTCAGTCGGTTACATACATTGGCAAGGAAACTGGCGAAACACACACTATTCCTGCAACCGATGTTGTTATTGCTGCCGGGCCGTGGACAAGATCGGTTCTGCCGGAAGCTCCCATCTCGGCGACGCGTGCTCATAGTGTTGTTATCCGGCCTACAAGGCCAGTCAGCGGATACACCCTTTTCACGAATATCGAGATACCAGCCAATTTCGATCCCTTGAAGTCATCGCGTCCAACGGTCGCGACACCAGAGATCTATGCTCGCCCTGACAACACGGTCTATTGCTGTGGAGAGGGCGATCAGACTGTTCCCCTTCCGAAGACAAGTGCAGAAGTTGAGGTGGACCAAGAGCGATGTCAGGATATTATTAACCAGGTGGGCAGCGTCTCTGATGAGCTACGTGATGGGCAAGTTTGCGCCCGTCAAGCCTGCTACTTACCGAATGTGGCTGACGCACGCGGTGGTCCATTGGTGGGCCATGTTGGCACTCAGGGGCTATACCTTGCAGCTGGCCACACCTGCTGGGGTATACAGAATGCGCCTGGCACTGGAAAGCTTATTAGCGAATGTATATTCGATGGCAATGCTAAGAGCGCGAAGATTGGGTCGCTTGATCCAAGGAACTATCTTTAATTTAGATGAGATGATTTATATAGAATGATTAAATAAATAGGGGATATCCCCTTCAGAGCGGACTCTATTGGTTTATTTTTTATTTTTATTATTTTTCGTGGCTTCTTCAAAAGGGACGGAGAGCCTAGAGCCTAGAAAGGTCTTTGTTGGGCCGCATAAAGTGCGGAGCGGAGCTAATGCCGGCGGATAAATAAAGGGACAAGCTCTAATGGCCAGATAATAGAAACATCAACCTCCGACTTGCCATAGCACATTGTCTCTATGCGCAGGCCTCTTATTGCGAGGGCTTCCCCATTTTGTTCTTAATGCTTTTCATCTAGACAATGCATTACTTCAATTTACTTACTCTTTCGTCAACGGTATTCTATGTGGTTGCGGTTTTCGCGAGTGACGCATCCATAATTAATGACGTATCGGTTCTAGCTAAGGAGGCCGCGCGAGCTAACAATCAGTCGCTATTATGGGGTCCTTACAAGCCTAACCTCTATTTTGGGGTTCGACCTCGAATTCCGAACAGTCTGTTCGCGGGACTGATGTGGGCGAAGGTGGATGATTTCTCTACAGCTCAGTCAAGTATGTGGCCCAATCCGTTGTCCTTCGTTTTGGCCATTGGGAGTCTGTTTGAAGTTTGTTAATGGTTTCACTAATTCTGACTCTCCTGAAGACTTCAGGCACACCTGCGAACAGAATGAAGGGATGGCTGGTTATGGATGGGACGAGTACGATATACGGAAGGGCGGGCGCCAAACAATTCACGATGCTGGAAACTCATTGGATCTGACAATTGATTTTATCAAGGTCCCTGGTGGACAGCATGGAGGCAGCTGGGCTGTCCGAGTGAAGGGTGTCCCTCGGGATGATGGTTCCCCAGATCAGCCTACAACGGTCGTTTTTTACAGTGCTCTGGAGGGGCTTGGTAACTTGGGAGTTGAGACCAAGTCTGACGACTCGCGTGGGTTTGAGGGCGACGTGAAGCTGGCTGGTTATACCTCTGATCTCGGTGAATTTACAATTGATGTAACTAAGGGCCCTAAAACCAACGAGCACCCGGAACATGACCATCCAAGTCATGAGGACAAGCCATTGGACCGCACCTTAGTGTCGAGTTTGACCGTACCCCCGGAGCACACCTGGCAGACGAAGTGTATGCTTTCTCAATGTTCTTCAGACATCTTTCAAGTTCGACTTAGGGCTAATTATCCCGTGTAGTGATCCTGTTCTCGCAAATGAAGGAGGGGGTAAGCGAAACCATTGCGAAGTATGGAGCGGAAAACCCTCCGCCCCCATCGCAGGTCTTTACAATCAAAAACATGCCAGGTGATGGTAATATCCATCTTGTTCAGAAAATCTTCAGGGGTGCCTTTGAGGTAAGGCGAGAGACCATTAAGAGTGCAAATAAGCTGCTTACAAGTACAGTTCGATATCTTATTCTCATCTGGTTCTTCGCCACAGCCTCTGACATGTACGGTGTCCTTCTTATTCAGCTACCGGTTTTGGAAGTCAATGCTGACTATATACATTACAGCTGAGCTTCTTGCTCAAGAAATTGCAAGTGCTTCGGTAGCTTTCGCTGAACGCTTCGGCAAGATACTGCCTCCGCAGCCTCCATTTGATTCCGACGAGTACATTGAATTCTCCAAGTCCATGCTCTCTAACCTTGTCGGTGGCATAGGCTACTTCCACGGTACAGATATTGTTGACCGCTCCGCAGCACCGGAGTATGATGAGGAGAACGAAGGCTTCTGGGAGGAAACAGCGGAGGCAAGAGCTCGGGCAGAACCTGTACTTGAAGGTCCTAAAGATCTTTTTACCAGTGTGCCCTCTCGGCCGTTCTTCCCTAGAGGATTCCTCTGGGATGAGGGCTTCCACTTAATCCCTGTTGTTGAATGGGATACGGATCTTGCGTGCGTTGGCCTATACTACTATCGTCTTCGAATACTGACATCTTCCAGGCTCGATATTTTAAAAAGTTGGCTAAGCCTAATGGACGAGGATGGGTGGATTGCTCGAGAGCAAATCTTGGGCGCTGAGGCACGCAGTAAAGTTCCACCCGAGTTTACTGTCCAGTATCCTCACTACGCCAATCCCCCAACCCTTTTCATTGTTTTGGAGGCGTTTCTCGATAAATTAGATACCAACAGGAACGTCTCAGTCCAGAGACCTGCTGAGGATATTACAGAGGGTGTCCGTTCAGTCTATGTGCAACAGCCGGAGTTGGGCGAAGCTTATATTCGTTCAATCTACCCATTACTGAAGAAGCATTATTTCTGGTATAGAAACACTCAGCGAGGTGACATTAAGTCCTACGACCGAGAAGCGTTTTCCACCAGGGAGGGATACCGCTGGCGCGGTCGGTCTGTCCACCACATCCTAACATCTGGATTGGACGATTATCCTCGAGCACAACCCCCGCACCCCGGTGAGCTACACGTGGACTTAATCAGTTGGATGGGAATGATGACTCGCTCTCTTCGACGAATTGCCGAGCGGCTGGGAGAGGCTGAAGATGCCGAGGAGCTCAAGTACTATGAAACCGCAATTGAACGGAATATCGACGACCTCCATTGGGACGAACAGGCGCAAACTTACTGTGATGCGACCATTGACGAGTACGAGGAAAGCATCTCTGTCTGCCATAAGGGATACATCTCCATCTTCCCCTTTCTCACTGGCATGATCGGCCCCGATAGCCCGCGGCTAAAGGCCATCATGGATTTGATCAACGACCCAGAAGAGCTCTGGAGTGATTTTGGTATTCGTAGTCTGAGCAAGAAAGACGAGTTTTACGGGACTGCCGAGAATTATTGGAGAAGCCCCGTATGGATCAACATCAACTACCTGGTGTTCAAGAACCTCTATGTGAGTAACGTACCTATCTAATGACATACAAACCAAACCACGGACTGAACCTGACGGTTTCACTCTAGGATATCGCGACCACTTCTGGTCCACACCAGGAACAGGCCCGTGAAATGTATTCCAAGTTGCGGAAGAACATAGTCGAAAATGTGTTCAGAGAATGGAAGGAAACCGGGTTTGCCTGGGAACAGTATAACCCTGAGACGGGCAAGGGACAGCGGACGCAACATTTCACTGGATGGACTAGTATGGTGGTGAAGATGATGTCGATGCCTGATCTTCCAGTAGGCGAGAGTAAGGGACATGACGAGTTATAGAGAACAGCAGTGACTGTTGTATAGAGAATGGTCCAAACTAGGGAATAGCTCTTATACACTAGAGTCTCTGGACAAACGCCCCAACTCCGTTTGTAGACAAGACGAACATCTGAAAAAATAACATCAACGCCGACGATGGTAGTCTGAGTCTCTATCCCTTGGGCGGGTAGTATGGTGCCGGTCGTCTCGGCGTCTCCTGCCTTCGTCGTTGACTCTTCTGTCCCTGCTTCTTGACCGTGAGCGTGAGTACCTTCTCCGGTGGTCTCGCGACCGGGACCGAGACCTGTGCCGATGGCTCCTGTGCCGATGCTCGTGCTCGTCGCGATGCTTACGGTATCTGTGATCTCGATCCCTGTCTTTGTTTCTATCACCCAGATGATCTCGCCTCCTATCTCTCCATGGACTCCTGCTACGCTCACTTCGCCGTCTCCGCTTGTCTGCTGAGCTAGTACCCAAACCGACAGGCTCAAGTTTATCGCCATTGCCCGTGCGAGACATAGTGGCTGATTTCCCCCCAAACGAAACGTAGCCAATTCCCTTGCCCGCTTCGTCTATCGCTAGCTCCTGTCCCTCGGCTGTATCTCGGATTGCGTTTTGGACGTCTTTCTCACCCAGCGGCGTAAGATTGGCGTTGGAGCTGGCGCGCTTCTCTGGAACTGGCAGGCCCAAAGCCCGGGCCATGGCTTCTTCCTCGGCTTCCTTGACAAGTTGTTTCTCTTCGCGTTCTTTCCTAATTCTTTCCTCTTCGCCCTCATCGGTCTTTGTGTACCACTGCAAGTCACGGCCCTGTTGCCAGCGGCCAACAGGGGCCATTAACGAATGGCCAAGATAGTTCTCACGGTGCGAAGATTCCTTGACATCGGACCATTTGAAGTCGCCGCGGCCACCACTGTAGGAATAGTAAAGTTAGCGGGTATGAATATGGATCATGGAGGAGCGTGGAGCTTACCGGCTGCCTTCTTTGCGGATGCTTGCGACCAGATCCATTGCTTAAATCTTTGTGAGGAGTAATCGCTCTTCACATAAATCCAGAAAGTGTGTTGCGATCGACTGTTTCCAAGACGTGATAAGAGAGTTTGGTTCCGTCAGGATGGCACGTGCATACTACGGCCTGAGGCCGCCGCCCGGGGTTGGCTGACTTCATCAAACCACAGTCCTCGCAGAGAACGCAAGAGTTGAGTTCAGAGAGATCAATCTCACCTCATATCTCTTTAACTCTATGGGGGTTTCAGTGTAATCATGCAAAGGGGTCTGCGAAGCGGTAGACCTCAAGCTCCATGTGATGTCACACTCGAATCTGATACATACACCCCTCGTGTTTTTCGATTCTTCCCGCCTTCACCACCCTCACTTGATGCATTGCGCTAAGAATTATAATCTATTAGAGTACTAAGTGTTTATTTGGACTGCCCTCTTTCGTGCCACCTTTACAGGTGGACACGATAGTAGCCATGGAGTTTAACGTGGAAGCCGAGAGGCAGCCCTCAAGCCGTAAAACTCGAACTAGAGAAGGCCTTCATCTAAGGGCTTTGAGTGTCGAGAAAGGGACACAAAGAGTACGTTGGCTCCCAATGTTCTTTGTTGATGCGCTGAGCTAACAATTTCGATTAGTACTCTTCGTATGTATTTGATTGTTATCTCTACAGTCATTGGATTGCACTGACGTAGGTGTTGGGATGCGCAGCATAGCAGAAGACTCGCCTCCTCCGCAAGCTGCAACATGGCGAAGTAATCTGGTAAATCGCAGCTATACTTCTGTATGACCACTTTTACTGATATGCCTGAAGACTGCTCTCTCCCAACGTCGTAATCTCCTATTTGTGGCTTATCGCCATCAAATTTATGTCTGGGAGCCGGCTGGGTCATTTCAGACCCTGGGACCTAACCCTGAAATTATTATTACTCCTGTTATGAAAGATCCCCATAGCAGTGGTTACATATCACCGTTTATGCCTCATGCCATTAACAATATCCTCGTGGACGATTTGGGCCGCGATGAAGTCCTTCTGTTGGTTACTGACTCAGGCAATGTCTGTGGCTATCGTGTTGAGGCTATCTTCTCGGCTTTGAAGCGGGCTGCAGAGCGCAAGGAGCCGCGGCCTTTTGATGACTCCCAGGTGGAACCTTTCTTCGTTGAATACGTTCATGCCAGTGCCTGGGGACTGGCCATTCACAAGTTCTCCCGCTTGATTGCAGTGACCGCGAACACAGGCCTTGTTACTGTTTTTGCATTTGCACTGGTGAATACTGCTTCTGGAAAAGGCAGTGACACAGGTCAGAGACTGGAAGAAGAGGATGATCTGACTGACTATGGCCAGACTTGGCTGGAAATCAAAAGCGAAGAGCAGTTCAAACAGCTACGGCAACTGATGCCCGCAAAGCACCGAAAAAGGAACATACGCTTAACCTACACTGGACACTTTACCAACATTCCGTCTGTTTCCTTTCTGAATTGTGACCTTGACCCGAACGGAACATGGATGGTCAGTACAGATATTGAAAATAAAGTTTTTGTCTGGAAGACCTGGGAGGGCCCTGGCCCCTTCAACGTGTACCACTTCAAAAACGACATTTCCTTCAGATACTTCTCAGAAGCACACGAGTAAGACCAACCTTAATTCTTCGTCTTCGATGCTTTGATACTGACGGACGACGTAGTGAAGAGCGTGGTTGGTCTGTCATTGCGCTCGATCCACGTACTTTTCATCTACTCAAATCGACAGAGGACGCGTGCGGTGGTCATCCTCAACGTCGTGCAGAGGATGGTCAGTCGATTCTTGACCTGACAAAGTTGAGCAACCGAATACCCAACGCATCTCAGCTCTATAGTTATTTCCCTCCCGCGGTCAAGGCTGAGCCAGAACAGCCGATCTTACCTGACATATTTGGGGCTGATTGCTGTATTGGCAAGGGAAGGGGTGGTCGTCAGAGCACCAGTAGTGGGGCACATAATGGCTCATCTGTGAATTCTCATCGTGCAGGGGAAGTGGAAGTTCCAGAACTTAGCGACTCTCAAGGCGTCAGAGATCTCCGGCCTCCAGATTCCGCCGATACATTGAGCCATGCTGCCGTTGAAAGCTCTTTGCATGGAGATAATATGAGCTCTACTACAAGTCCCGACGAAGAGATATATACGGGGCACCAACAAAGTTCTAACCAAGAGGGCGAAGTCCGGGGTGACCATGGGGCCTCCCGTCAATCGGATGATACAGAACAGCAGATCAATAATACTCAAAATCTTCCTACACGTATCCCCTTGACAACACCCGAATTTCTTCAAGTAGCACTTCTTGAGGCTCTCGGCGGCGATATCCCTGGAGCCGAGGAATACTTTGACGACTTCTCAATAGAAGAGGTCAGCCCTTTTGAGGACCTGGAGATGGATGGTGCAGACGATATCTCCGAAGGTAGTGATGCATCTATTTCAGGGTCAGCTACTTACGAAGTCTTCAACCGTATGTCACGTCATGCTTTCCCAAATGATCTCGATATCCATGGCCAGAGGGAGTCGCTAATAGATTTCCTATCGACGTCAGCTCCACCAAATGCGAACTTTCCGATTCTTCACTTCTCCCAAACAGATATCCGCCTCATTGCTCATCCGCTTGCTCCTTGTGCAAGTGTTGTCTGTGGTGCACCTCTTCGGCAAAAGTTTACTCACATTGTGGGTTCGCTCCGACCAGCCTGTGATCGATTCAACATGGTCAAATATATCCCTGAACACGGAATCGTAGTAGCAGCCTCTCAAAAGGGCCGCACAGCAGTGATCACTCTGACTGAGTCGGAAACCGCGGGTCTATCATTCCGAGTCGATTGGATTGTCCCCTTCGAGAGCCAGGAAAAGTATGGCGACAGACCTCTAATACCTCTCCTAGGCATGAGCGTCGGTCCTATGCAAGGGTTTGAAATGCCTCCTGATGTCCCTTATATCCCACACGATGTTAGCGAGGATGACCTGAAGTTTTATTATAAACATATCACCGACGGCGAAGCCGACACACACTTACAAACAAGCTCTAAGTCATCCGATATCCCAAGTGATATACATCTTTCTGAACTGTCGGGCACTGGTGATTCCAGAGAATCTACCCCCACGTTCAACCCTAAGGTTGACCCTATCAGAGAACAAAAGCGGGACACTCTGTTCACTCTACCAGAGTGCCATGCTATGGCTACCCGTGCCTACCAGCCAGAAGAAAGCTGGCGTGGCTGGAACCCATCCCGACGTTATCGCCTGTTACTCCTCTATGCAGACCATACCGTTATGAGTTACGAATTCTGGTACAACTGGAGCCCGACACGCACAGATAGTGATGAGAGTGACGAAGATGGATACCTTGTTGTATGATCACAGTCGCCATGATGGATAGGAAGCTGTTTGACTACGTCGGTATAAAAAATTTTAAGTAGGAAAAGTCTTGTGAGGATATGCGTTGGTAGCTATACTTTTGTAGCAAGACATTTTCGGTGTTACACTGTCGGCAATGGATGGAAGATGGACTTGCAAGTCCATTATGTATCCGATAGGGATGGTTAACTAAAATTCGAGGTTGTAAGTATTGGTAGGTTGAGAACAGCACAATGATTGTTGTAAATCAATATAAAATTCAGGTTTTTGTCGCATATATATAGTTTTGACATGTATAAAACAATGCCGCTTCGAAGAAAATGAACCAATGCGCTGATATAAATGCAAAATCCTCATGATCATGATACATAATTTGGGCGTTGACACATAATTAAGATACCCCGAGGGTGAGCCTCCTTTTCAAGAAAGGTAGGGTGTGCGTCAAAAATTATCATCTAGTTCGTCACTATCCCATTCATCTTCTCTATCATTTTGGACCAATTCCAAAAATCTCTGAAGGCCTTGTCGTCTGAATACTCCTTCAGCATTTGGCCGGCCTCGTACTTCTGCCATTGCCCGTGCCTGTGCTTGCCTCTCGGCCGCTGCAGCCCTACCTGCCGCATCTAAGCCATTTAAATTGCGCCCATCTTCGAGATGCCCAGGGCCACCGGCTCTCTGGTTGACACGCGGTGGTGCTGGGGCAGGAGGCGGAGGGTGGCCTTGCTGTCTGAAGTTGTTATCGCCATCGTCAAAATCCCATGCGGGCTGGTCATCATCATCGCTGCTGTCGTCGAGTTGGAGCAATTCGTTTGGAATCTGATGAAGAGCTTCAGGTCCATCTGGATTGAGACCATCACCTCCCTCTAAATCCCAAAGTCGGTTGTAGCACGAACTGTTACCATCATTGAAATGACGGTAAGGGTTATCTTCCGAAAGCCAGCTGGAACAAAGGTAGCAGAAGTGCGTGTCGCATTTAAAGCATATCATATGGTTGCAGCCCATACGTTTCTGACAAGGGGCATCGCAGGTTGGGCAAGCTGATGTGTATAGCCTTAGATACTCTTCCGTCGCCTTTTCTTCAACCGAGAGTTCTGCTTCCCGGCGGGGGAAGCACCGCACAAGCTCACCATGCCACCCTTTCTTACAGACGCAGCAGAATGCATAGTTGCAGTCTTCACAGACAGCCACTCGATCCGCCATAGGAGGTAGCTGAGCTTCTTCCCCAAGCGGGTCGAATACAAACCCTATATCCTCATCATCGGAGGGATCCAGGTCATCGGACATAGGGTCAATAGGCTTAGGATGCCTCTTCGAGCGAGCTGCACCTTGGCACCACTGTCGAGGACAGTACACAGTAGACTTGTCGGCCTCAAGTTTCTTTTTTCGTTTCAAAAAGACATAACGCTGCACGGTTTCCTGCTCTAGGGGAATCTGCAGTAGTTCGCTAGGGCTCAATGTTCGGTCATTTTTCTTGCGTCTTTTTGTTTGCCCTTCCTGGCTTCGTATGGGCTTTTCTTTTTTGCCACAATCCGGTGCCAGACATTTGACGCTATCCACATCGCCTTCTGTAATACATGTGTTGTAAAAGTCTTGGAGACAAGACACACAGAAAACATGGGAACAAAGCAAGAGCCGATGACAAATCACCCCTTTCTTCGGCTCGAGACATACTCCACACTCAAAAGTCTCCTGTTCAAATGCTCTTCTCTCAGCCTTGTTGTTGAAATCTAGGAGTGCGATTTTTAGCTCTCGAGGGAGCCTCACTTCACCGTCAGGTATGTCATCGATACCAAAGCCAGTTTCGGCTAATTGCTGAAGATGATCGATATATGTGTACACAACGAGATCCCTCCCGCATTCTTCCCACAGGCGTTTCCCATCATCTACCAGTCTTGAGATAATCGAGGAGGGTAGCCACCCAGGATCCGTGCTAAGCTCGACGACAGGAGATTGCTCCGACGGGTAACCTTCAGGCAGTTCAATCTCTAGACAGAGAGGAGGTAGGTACGATAGGACATGTATGTCTTCATTGGGGTCCGCCTTCGTGCCTCCGTCAACGTCCTCAGATGCAAAGCCTAAACCAACTTCACTGGCGTCAAGAGATGTGGGTGGAGTCAGAACTGTTGGAAGCTCGGTCTCTGGATGTTGCTGAAAACAAACTCGTAAAGGTGGTGAAGGATGGACGGGTAAATCTAAAGATGCCTTAAAAGGGGACGAAGGGTCGATCTTGATTTCTGGATAGATTGCCGCGATGGACGACAGCTCGACCGAGCGTTCATCGTCAAGCAACCCGGTATCCGTCATATTAGGGTAAGGCCGTCACAATGATAGAAGAGATATAGAGAGAGAGAGAGAGAGAGAGAGAGAGAAGGAGCGGATGTAGGGGCGCTGGTTGATAAAGGTGGCGAAGCAGGCTCTTTAATAGAATATTCCTGACACAACCATGGTATATGGACCGTTTAAAAAATTCATACCTTCGAGAATTTTCGGGTGAGAGCAAATTAGGAGATGGGAGGTGCCAAAGAGCCTTCTCTTGGAGACTTTCCGGTCTATGAAAAAGAGGAGAAGACGGAAACCTAATGAGATCATATGGGTTAGTAAATAATCAAGGTATAGTTTAATTGGGATAAGCTGTAACTTGAATGGCTTTCTGTGGCAACGGAGAAACACGGAAGAACCAAACAAGAGGGACCCATCATCCTCTTCTTACTTTTCAGGCACTGTGAAGAACAGCGGAATCAGGGTGGGAATGGAGCTGTGAGACGGCTGAAATACTGGAAGTGGTGAAGGTCAGAATGAATGGCCTGCGATAGAAATATCTTGGTCGAGGCAGATAGACAGAACCGGAACTCGGATTGAACGTGTAAGGAGAAGTGCGTCATGGTTCGACTAAGAGGTCAACGGGATGGTAAAAGAAGAGAGATTTGTATATAGGCTTTTTTTCCCTTCGGTGAAAGTACAAGTGACTTCAGAGCAGAAGAGAAGAGAAAACATAGGAACAACCCAAAGACCAGAAGAAAAGGACTTCAGGCGTGACTTGCTGCCCGAGTCGCTGTCGTATTATTTTTTGCACTCCGTAGGAGATTGTTCGTGTTTCTTTTTTCTTTTTTCGCCCCTTTTAAGCTATTGTCATCTAATTTTAATTTTCTTTTTCCTTTTCCCTCCCCTCACTCTCATCATCTCATTCGACAATGATGTTTCCGCATCCTAAGGCACTATTTCCCCCTCCCCCTCATTTTGGCCGCTGCTTTTAACTTGTCTACTCCACCTCTCCCAAAGGAAGATGGAGGTAAAAGCGGCGAGGGAGCACGCGGACTCGCGCCTATGGGGTATGTGACAACTTTAAAAAGTTCTGGTTCTTTCATGCTCATTTCTTTCTATACACCTTCGAGTTCTCAGCACTTCTTTTTTCTAAAATCTAAGATTTGTTAGTGATTTTCATACCTATCATGTTTGTCAGCCAATGATTATCGCTCGTTAATATATTTCACTGCACATAATTTCAACCTATTATAGGCTTTTCCAATACTTTCATCTTGTTATCAGTCAGCCTTATCTTTATTACTTTATCCCCAACAGCGTGAAGAAGGGGAAAGAAAGTCCCACACTTGAAAAACCAATATGAGTGACACGCCACTGGCATCGTTGTCTTTGACACATGTCCATTATGTAAGTTGCTTCTACACCCATGAGATTACGAATGATCGAGGTACTTATTAGGGATACGTATATATGATAGAATCCCAACGATCCGCTCTCCTTTTTATCCGCCTGGCTTGCCCTAGTTCCCCAAGCGCTATGCGTGACATATGTCACCCTAATTTGGGCGACAAGAGAAGCGGAGGTGTTATTGATGTTTGCCGGTCAGATGGGTTGTGAAACACTGAACTTTGTATTGAAGCGAATAATCCAAGAGGAGAGGCCGAAACGTACGTCGATTGATGTGACCAGATATGGATGTGTATGATCACTGACGTGGAACTTGTGACACAGAAATGCTTGGGAAAGGCTACGGCATGCCATCATCCCACGCACAATTCGTCGCTTACTTTGCTGTGTACCTGGGGCTCTTCCTTATCTTTCGACATAACCCTTGGTATCCCGAGTCGTCATTTCATTTGCTTATACGGATAGCACTTGCCGTGGGCTTGTGTGCTGGCGCCAGTGCCGTAGCCATCAGTCGTATTTATTTGAACTATCATACACCAAAACAGGTGCTAGCGGGATGTGGTGCTGGTATTGGATGTGCCTTTGCTTGGTTCCTTGTTACAGCATCCCTCCGGGCACACGGCTGGATTGATTGGGCATTGGATATGGCCATATCAAACCAGTTAAGAATACGAGACTTGGTGGTAAGTGAAGATCTTGCTGAGGCCGGGTGGCAGCAATGGGTAGCAAAGCGGAAGTTGAAGCGTCGAGGACAAACTAGTAATGATCGCCAGTCTCCAAAAACTGATTGAATGAACGATATAGGCCCTGCAGCTACGTACACTTCATTCCTTAGAGTTGAAAGAAAGGCTTACAATTTGATACCCTTGGGATTACTCTTTTCAGCATTTTAGCTTTTTAGTTATCAATATCCGCCCTATGTATGTGACTGGCGATCTAATTTTTCTTTGGAACGCTTTTGATGCTCAGCTATAATAATAATAGGATACTCTGAAAGTTGAATACTCTGTTTTGGGGGATTGAAAGGTATCCATGTGTGTGTGTATGGGGATAACCTGGGCTAACATAATGGAATCTTTTGTATCAAATGGTGGTGCTATATTCCGCAATGTTTTCGGTATGCGCCTGAAGTTCGTAGATTTCATAGATTGATTTTAATAAACCTCTATCGCTGTGCCTCGCACGTGATCGGTCTCGCCCGCAAATGGCCAGCTGTATCCGATTTCCGTCGTGTGGCCCTCCTTTATCAAACATGCTTGCGGAACTGCACTTTGCCAAAGCCGCCAAGAGATACCATCATGTCTCCTTGACTTCACTGATTAATATGTTAGACCCTGCTCACTTCGGCACTCTGGTTCCCTATTAGAACTTATAGCTTGGTTACCACTCTTTTATCTTTATTTTTCGAAGGATAAATACCCTTGATACTCTTAAGCACTTCATACCTGGTTGGTAGAAGAGACGAGGGATTAGCTCGCAGGACCAAAAGATGGACGATACCTCGGAGTCGACCGACACGGCCATGCAAGAACATCACATTGTTAAGGCAGATGAGGTCGACCAAACAGGAACCGATATCTCGCCTGTTCCAGACGATCAGCTGATGGAAGAGGTTGCTGAAAGTCTACGGCAGGAGCGAGCCTCGAAGGGCACGTCTTCTATCCCTAGTGAACTGCCCCCAGAGACTGGAAAACGACGACCAGATTTACGCCGGGATGCCGCAGCCCCACCACCGCCTCTACAGCCTCCGCCTCCGGCTCCGGTGCAGCAGAATCTGGAGAGGCCCCCAGACTCCTTAAGTCTTGCACAGCTCAGGCAACTTGTACAGGAGATGCCTAGGGTTGAGCAGCCTGCTTATGCATTTGAATATGCTGATTCCCAGCCATTTGTGGAAGAAATTGAAGAATGGTTTCAATATAGCGAGTTTGATAGAGCCATGCTAATGGGCATGAAATCATCGTTCGCCAAAAAGTGGGCTTCTTTCACCGAGGGCCAGAATGCTGACGCCTCGCAGACATCATGGATACATACCACTGATGATCGGCGAAAGGCATTCATGAGCCATATTATCAATGGTCTACGAGAGCGTGAACCCTTAGTACGCCTCGAAGCTCTGGAAGTGATTTGTTACATCGTGACAGGAGTATGGGGTATCACTGCTGGACGAGCTGTAGATGACTATCCTGAAGATCCGTCTCCCAAGGAAGCTGCAGAAGCCCCGAAATCTAAGTCATTACAAATCAAATGGATGGAGAACAATGCCACTCTGGTTCTTGAAAGCTCTGGCCTGGGGCCATTGCTCGAGTGCCTATGCCGTGTTTTTGATAGAAACCGCACATCTTCTAGTACCGAGCCTACTAGCGTTTTTACTGAAAACACGAGCCCGGTATCCCTCGCTGTCATGGAGCGCGAGGCAAATCTAGTACTTACGGCTTTCTACGTGATCGTGGAAGTCAGTAGGAAACAGGAGGCCCGCGATCCACAGCACACGCCGTTAAGGGATGCTCTAGTAGAATTGAAGCCAAATTTGCTAGTATTCTTGGTTGAGATTATCGCACGCTTGCGGTGGGATGATTCTGCCAACATTCCGCTTACGAGAATAATCCTTTTGTTTTGGAAGTCTTTACTCCTCTTCTTTGGCGGCAGTGAGGATTTAAAGAGGGCCAAGGAAGAATTGGAACCATCATTCAAGGAGAGAGAGGACGATACTTCTCGGAGGACGCCTTTCTTGACTGCATCCCCCCTCGATTATCACATCTTTCGCCAAGAGATTACTTCTAAATACCCGGCTTATAATCCACCACCACCTGTAGTTCCTCTGGAACTAGAGAACAATTCGATTCTCCCACCTCTTCCCCAACATCCCAGCAGAGCAACTTCGTCTAATGGCCTCTTTTCTGGGGTCGGACCTTCTGTCGCGGGTGGGAACGGCTCGATCCTCCACCAGTCGGTCCATATTGCAACACCAGCACCTTCTCCTCCTCCGTCACCAATCGGACCAGGGGGTAAGGCAGGCAAGAAGCAAAACTATCAGACGAACCAGAACTTCCCCTTTATGTATCCACCTCTAGATGTTTCCAGCAACGATCTCGGTGGGAAGGGAACAACTGAGCTTCAAGACGTTCTTGTAGGAAAGAGGTGGGAAGGAAGTGACGTACCAGCTTCAATCATTGAGGCCGGAAAGCTCTTCTCAACACATGTTAAGATGACGAGAGCGATGAAACAACTTTGGGAAGAGCGAGAACGGTTCATGAAGTATGATCGTGGCTGGTACCTGGATGATAACGGGACCGCATGCGACGAAGATATTCCCAATGAACTAGTAGAAGACTTCCAGGACTTAGGTTTGAAGCAGGGGAAGAAGGGTCCCTCTGAGCGGTCTACCGGGAAGGAAACCGATGACAAAGATATCCAACGACGATTAGATGCCGTTGAATCATTCTACGTGAGTTTTGCCCGTCCTTTACAAACATACGGCATGACTTACGATTTTTGTTAGACACAAACTCTTGTGCATTTGCAGTCTATTACCATTGTATTCTTGAAGATAATCCTGACGAATGTCAGTGCTATGGTGAACCAGGCACAAGGCGGCCAAGGAATGAGGTATGAATACTAGCTATAGTGTCCGTACGGAGCGTTAAGTTAACATGCTCCTAGTGATGGCTATTGCGTGAATGGATCCGGGCCTGGGCATGGGACGGTGTCTGAGGATTTGAACTCTGATGCTGCTATCGAGGAGCTTGACAACATTCGACTTCGAGAAATTACTGGAAAAGCTATTTCAGGGTCTCTGTTACTTCTAGTAAAGTGGTTCAAGAGATCTCGTAAGCTCATGCCTGCGCCGCCGGTTGAATGATATCGTTACTGACGGGACACAGACATATTGAAGTTCGAGTACATGACGCAGCTGTTACTCGATTCGAACTATTTGCCATTGATATTGAAGATGTTCGCCCACCAAGATGTTGATCAAGCAGTGGCACAGAAGTTTGACCGCAAAGAGCTAGGGTACGCACTCTGAACTGTCATTTTGAGAGTATTACTGACAACAATAAGCTTCTTTTGTTTCTGTCGTCTTCAGTCGGATCAGCCGCTAGGACCGTCCCTTTCAGATGATGATTCAAGCGGGGATGAGGCTGTGCCTCCTCCAATTTCTCGGCATCGGCCGGAAATGGCTGTAGGAAACATTTCGGTGCGAAGGCTGTCACCCGAGGACGCCTTTTCCGAATTCCTAGACGAACCAGAGCCCCCTCGTCCTGAGGTGGACGAGCTGGGGTATCCTACAGCACCCCCGCCCAAGGAGCCAATAAAGGTGTTTTCATTCCGCAATTTCTTCTCGGCGATCAATTACTTGCACATCATGCAGAAGATTACCCGTGACAAAGCCCACAGGTGTCTATTACTGGTGCAATACAAATCCAGCACTATCCTTCGAAAAGGTCTCAAAATCCCGGATCCTCATCTACGCTTCTACACCCTCAAGCTTTTCAAATCACAGGTCCCTTACTGTGGCCGTAAATGGCGCCAAAGCAACATGCGTGTGATCACCGCCATTTACCTCTACTGCCGCCCTGAGCTGCGGGATGACTGGCTGGCCGGATCAGACATAGATGCAGAGGTAGAAGAAGCCTTGCCGCTCGAGCAAGCGCTCCGCGGCCTGACACACTGGTGGCACCTGCGGCGTTATAAAGATGTAATGGGCGGCGAGGAAGGTGCGTCCCTTATGGAAGAGGAGCGTGACTTCTTTGTGCGAGAGCTTGAAGCAATGGGCTGGGGATTTGCAGGTGAGGAAATACTCAATGGCTCCGGCGAGGAACCCGAAATGGCCGCTGCTGGTGGCCAATTAGCAGAAGGGACTGAATGGGACGGGGGCCCATTACAGATGGAGGGGTGGTGAGGCCATTTCGCATTGAGAGACTCTGTTTCGTCGCCGTAGAGTATAATGACATTCATGAATGAGAAACATATACCCCAATAGAGGTGATGGTGCTGGCTTTCATTTATTTCGCCTCAAGTACGTTCTACTATTAATTGTAGAAGATTAACTAGTTGGAGCTGTTGTTTTATGATATGAATCTATACGAGACACGTGATCGCTCTAGTGGCTTGGCCGGATCACCAACTCTTCTGCCCCTGAAGGCTTTACCCATTAGGAGAAAAAGGAGAAGAAGCGCTTAAGATAGTTGATATAGTCGTCCATAGAATTGAGATCTATCGGAATGGCATCCGGTCCTCAGTAGGCTACGTACGTGTAGCTGATACAGCATCGTTCTGCCCATCTTTCCCCTGAGATCACAACATTTTACAATCATGAAGGCTAATTGTCGACTCTTATCGATAAGGTTATATCACGTGATCATTACTGCGGCAACTCTTTTTTTTTTTTTTGCGGCAGAATCGTTTATTCTCGTAAGGTCTAGCCGGACAACCAAGTTACTTCTTCTCCCAACCAGGGCAGTTTAAGCCGTTATTGTGGAATTTTTGACCGGCTCCAGCCAAAATGTCGTCGGACGAGATCGTCTGGCAGGTTATTAACCAACAATTTTGCTCCTATAAACTGAAGTAAGTTCCTGATGAAAAATACTTCCGTATCATCCAGCAAGAGAGAAAAAGTATAAACACAAAGCATCAAATGCAAAGGAGGAAAATAAGGACAAGAAATACCTTCGAATAACAGTAATATGACAGTTAACTGACGTTCCAATTTCCCAGAACAACCAAGGGCCAAAATTTCTGCCGAAACGAATACAATGTCAGCGGTCTCTGCAACAGGCAGTCCTGCCCGTTGGCCAATTCCCGCTATGCCACGGTGCGGTCGGACCCCGAAACAGGCGTGATGTATCTCTACATGAAGACCGTGGAACGAGCACATATGCCTAGCAAATGGTGGGAGCGGATAAGGCTGTCGTCAAACTACGCGAAGGCGCTGGAACAACTCGATGAGCGACTGATCTACTGGCCTAAGTTCCTGGTGCACAAGTGCAAGCAGCGTCTCACGAGACTGACGCAGGTCGCTATTCGGATGAAGAAGCTGGCTAAGGAGGAGGAGAGACTGGGTGAAAAGATTGTGCCGAAGTTGGCGCCTAAGATTCGTCGGAGAGAGGAGACCCGTGAGCGCAAGGCCGAGTCGGCGGCAAAGGTTGAGAGGGCAATTGAGAGAGAGCTTATTGAGAGGTTGCGCAGCGGTGCTTATGGCGATCGGCCACTGAATGTGGAGGAGGGTATCTGGAAGAAGGTACTTCGCGGCCTGGAGCGCGCGGGAGAGGGTGAGCGTGACGAGGATCTTGATGATGGGGAGGAGATTGAAGAGGAGGAGGAAGGTGTTGGTGAGGTGGAGTATGTCAGCGATCTTGATGAGGAGGAAGACCTGGAAGATATTGAAGATTGGTTGGGTGCGGAGTCAGGAGACTCAAGCGATGACTATGATGATGATGACGATGAGGACAGTGACGAGGAGAGCGACGAAGAGGATGCCAGCGAGCACAGCGAGGATGAGAAGAAGAAGCCCGCGCCTGGCTTCAAGAGGAAGCGTTCTGCTCCCCAGCCTAAACCCCGGAAGAAGGGCCCTCGCATTGAGATCGAGTACGAAACCGAAGGACCGGGCAAGGAGAGTGTTTTCGCCTAAGGTAACACATTTGTTCAATCTTGGAAACCCCAACTAAAAAGCAAAAAGCATCGTGATTCATTTTATTATGCACGGCGTTGTCTGGTTATCTGATATCTGCTATGATCGGGCGTCATACCCAGTCTCTGCATAGTCTCTTCCTGTCCTGCGGGACTAATATGAAAAATTTTTTTAACTTAATTTTTTCATTGTATTTCCATGTCCCATGTAATGAAAATGTTGGGATTATATCGTACTCTGGAAGATACATAGGCGCGGCTCACGTGCCAAGGTGAAACACGTGGAGCGCCAAGTGTAATGACTTATGAAGCCGAATTAACCTTACACCTTCTGTCTTCTCCCTGCGTGGCTGTTAATCGGGATACCCTGTGATCCTCATTGTTATATAAGCCAAATTCGAATCTTCTCTTTCTTTGGGTGTTTCCGGTGTTGTCGCATTCAGTTCCGTCTACACCGCATTATCTTTGCCGCCATCCCAATCCTCCGCCACTATACCAAGCCTCGACCTGGTTCTGCTGAACATTTGGAGTACAACATAATGTCTTCTTATTTTTCTTCCCTCACGTCCTCTTCGGCGATCTCAAATCTCGGTACCCGTCTCACGTCCCTTCGTCGAGCAATCACTTTAGGCGACGAAGCAGACGACCCGGACCACGAGGACTGCTCTCACATCTCCAACGTTCTGCGCGCGTACTATACCGAGAAAGGTCGTCCGCTTCCCACCTGGCTTCCACCTAACCCCAAAGCTCCAACTCCTTCTCCTGCACGAACTATTGCAACAACTCAAATACAACCTAGTGCCCATGGCTCGGCCCCTGCAACGGCGATGTATGGACGTGGTAGTGGTGGTGGATTGGGTGATCTGTGGGGTGACTCAGGCTCGGCACAACCTCCTGCTTCCCAGACATCTAGCTTGCGGCGAGGACGGGGAACCCCTGGCAGCATGGGTGCGCCGTTGGCCGCCACCAGCAGTGCGCCTCCGGGATCAATAGCAACACCGCCAAGTCACTCCCCTACACCACCATCGCTGCACCCGGGCGGAGGGCGACCACTGCCCAGTCAGCGAGGTGGATCATATCAATCAGTTTCGGGGCCAATGACGGGTTCTCAGCCCCTAGAACGGGCAGCTTCGGCCCAAGAAAGGCTTCGGGCTAGGTTACATGGAGGTCGGTCGCCTAGTCCTGGGCAGAACCTGAATAGTCGGCCAGTTTCACCATACTATGGAGGATCGGATCCTACCGCACGAAAACCCGTTGGGGGAAGAATGCGATGAAAAGGCCCACTAGTGGTCTCTTTCATAGGAAGAGGAAGGAGAGAAAGCCGAGGATCGATCATCCCGCCGAGAAGGAGACAGACACTGCTGGCTAGTGTTTGTGGTCTCACTTGAGGATAGGATACTCTCTCTCTTTTCTCTTTATATTATTTTTCTTTTCTTAACTAATACATATAATTTAGTGCTACTCATCTATGTATAGTACAGAGAATTTTAGTACCTTGCCTGATGTAATTGATATTGTGTAAATATATAGGGCAAATGAATAAAAATATATTGGTACCTATCTACTCTACCCTTTATAAAAAGACACGTATAGAGATCTCAATTTGTAGTAACCCTTACCTAACCAATAGGATTTCAGATATATTACTCTACATATCAAATACTAGGTATCCAGTTAGCCATGTTTAATATCGGTCCAGTAAAACTGCTGACTGTGTTATCCCTCGCTGGCACCCGTGTTCTTACCATCATCTTCCACTGTTACTACATTTTCCGATTGCGTTTTCGCTTTTTCCCCTGGCATCGTAACAACGTCAGCTGGCGACCTCTTTACGGAGAAGACCCGTACAAAATGATGCCACAATCAGTACCCCATGGCCGGAGACGTGATAAGCCCATTTTGAGCTGTTCGTTCCGCTGAGAACGCAAGTGAGTCGGTCTTTTCGGTGGTGATCAACCAGATAAAATAAAGACACAATATGCTAAGACTCTTACAGACTTCGTTTGCGACAGACAATCCCCGTGTAGCTCTTGCTTAAGACATGGCAGAACAAAAGAGTGCAAATACAGCTCCTCAGAGCAAGAATGCAAAGATGCTGTCGACTATAGGCCATATGCCAGAAGCCAACAAGCCCGTTAGAGAGTCTCTCGCCTTGAGAAACTTGTAACCCAGATGAGAGACCAAATGAGAGTTATGGAACAAAACTCCCGCCAGGCGTCGGGTATTCCAGTATCATCGTCATTCGAGCCTTTTCTCGAGTCTGCATCACGGCTTACTCGTCTGGATGGTCATTTAGCGGGATACTGTGGGAAAATTAGCACTCACTGGCGACCATGCCGACTATATTGGCAGCACCATTGGGTCACCATCTTAGAGGATGTGAGTTGTGGTTCCCAGGATCCATAAAACATTATGATTTGTCTGATGAGCTTTCTTTTCTCAGATCCGAATTCTCAAAGATGAATTGTCTGATGGCCACTCAGAAGCCGGCCGAAGTCGAGAGTCAACTATACTCGATGCTGATTTTGAATTGCTAACCCCATAGTTACCAGAATATCACTTCTCTCAGGTCACCCCTCTCTTCCGAAGGAGCAGATACTCGCTATGATACCCCACGCAAGGTAGTTGATAGGCACAATTCTCACTTCTTTAATGCTTTTGATTTTGCCTCTTGTAAGTGCTGGGATGAGCCCTTGAGTGCTCGACGTTCTATTTTTGCTAATACGAGTTAGGAATTCTCCATGGGGCAAGGTTCCTCGCCGAGGTCGGATATCCCTCCAAACATATTTATTGCCTTTTGTTTCTCCTTATTTTCTTTGGCTAATTTACTGTGTGTAGTACTCAAAATTTTGGGTGGACACTACGGCTGCGCCCATCATGTGGGTGGGACTTCTAGTCAGTGTGATGAGTGTTTCCGCATTCCTCCAACAGCAAGATAATGGAGCCTTTAGTCTGTATACTGTGGATATAAAGGACACGATTGAGACCTACGAACTCTTCCATTATTTAGTTGCTGGGGATTATTTGCGACTAAGCTGATATACCATTGAAACACTGGCCTTGCATTTTGCCGTTGGCCAAAACATGAATCTCAACACAGATATTGGCAACTGGATCCTAATCGGTGTAATCGCTCAGCTCGCTTTGTGCATGGGGCTGCCTCATAATCCGTCCCACTGGCCAAATATTCGACCCTTAGAGGCAGAATTCCGACGGCGGCTCTGGATTACACTATATTACATAAATTCCTTCACGAGCACCCAACTTGGCCTTCCACATATCTATCATCAAGGATTCTCAATGTGACGCACGCCCGCCCGCAAATTTGTTCGATAATGACCTGAGCTTCGAGCATGATAGAGTTCCACCCAGGCGCCCATTGACTGACCCTACCTCACTCTCGCACATTATTTAACGATACGTCATTATCGAGACAGCGGCGAAGATATATGACGTGGGTGAAGCAGGGCCACCGTCATTCGCCGTCATTGCCATACTAGATGCTAAACTTGAAAGGGCCATCGATTCCATACCGGGACAGTCAAAGTGTCGGTCGCTTGAGACATCGATTATGGGCAGCCCCGCTACAACCCTGAACCGAATCTTTATAGACATTCTTATGCCTTTTATCTCCTTCGTCGATGGAGCTTTATGAAAGCTCCGTGGAAGGAGGGAGAACGCGAAATCCAGTAAGCTGTGCATCAACGCTGCCTTGGTAATTCTAGAACAGCAGCAAACAATAAGCGAAGAGGCTCAACCGGGGTACATTATATTCGGTATTCGCTGGAGTGTTGCCTCATCACTAAACCATGAGTTTCAACAAGTTACGATGATATTATGTTTTGCTTTGACTCAATTCCACGGGAGCCATCTTGACCCGATTGAGTCTGGTGTTCTCCATCGCCGGGATGAAATCTTAGAGGACTTGGACATTGCAAAATGTCTATGGGAAAATGATGCCGACCGCTCTATAGTGGCACGTAGGGCGGCAACAGCCATCACATCCGCGCTCAAGCAGGATTTCGACAAGTCAAACTCACCAACTTTGATCCCATCAGACGAGGTGGAGGATGCACCATTGCGCGAGCGGTCTGCTACTATTGGTCACCCAACAGGGTTAATGCCGGGGCCGTACAGTGCTACTTTGGTGATCATGATGCCGGGCCGAATATGATGGTGGATCCCCCTTGCTCTGTGGTTGATGCTGACATGGTGGCATTCGGAAGCTCGTGGGACGACTTCATAGCTGAACCTATAGAAGGAGATTGGACGGGGATGAATTAAGTCCATCAGGTACACGAATGTTGTTATATTCAGGCTCTGCGGTTTCCGCAAGTCTATCTCTGATGCACTTTTAGACACCACCTATTGTTCTTCTATTGCCAAAGGATTACATCTGCAACTGATGACTTCTTCTAGGTCCAATATTGGTATTGACGAGCCGGCCTTGCGTGATCATCACACTTGGAGCATAGGCCTACTGGTAGTACTTATTTGCTATCTTGCCTGACACGTAGCAACGTTTCAAAGAAGTGAAATCCGTCCATATACTGCTATGGATCAAGCCCGTGCTTTCCAGCGTACAGGGTGTTTGTTGCGTTCAAAAGCGAGATCGACGGTTCACTCTTGGAAATCCAGGTCTTCACCCGGGTGAGGATCTCCGAAAACGTGTCGGCGAAAGCAGACGCCTTAGGACAATCCATTCTACATGCAAGCTAGGATACTCCTCATTGAACTGCAGATTGATTTCTTTGTTGTGGCTTTATTCCGGCAGATAAGACTTGGGTGGCTCGAGGGCGTTCTGTATAATAGTCGCGGACGGTCGGGCGGTGGAATGGGCGGTCATGGCCGGGAGGATGGCCAAAGATCGGGAGGAGTCATCTTTATGGAAGGGTTATTCTCGAAATGGTTCAATAACGTCCGTCATTGCCAAACCACCCTCCGTCATGGATGGGTCTGAGTGTTGTTCACATATTTGGAGAAATATTAGCACTTATTGCAATAATGCTACTTCCTTCAACATTAGTAAACAAACCATGCCGCCGAAGAAACAGGCTGATAAGGAAGCCCCGAAGATCAATTCACATCAACCAGTTGCACAATGGATACTTCTAGCAATGATAATCCGCAGGGGAAGGAGACGGGGAACCAGAAGCTCTTGATGACCACGAGAACCCTACGGGCCTTAAGCTTGTGCTGCAGATGATTACCCTTCTATATTGCCATGTCTCTAGTCGCCTTGGTACAGCTAAAAACACATGCTTCTTCTCGGCGCAGCTGGCTGACCAGAAGAGTTGTAGGACAAATTAATCATCTCAGCTGCCACACGTCCAACGAGGTTGGCTGGTATGGAACGGCCTACATGGGCACCAATTGCGCCTTTCTGCCCGTTTTTGAGATGCTATACACCTTCTTGAATGTCAAGGTCGTCTTTCCGGCCCGCCGCTGTCGTTCTGTTTGAGGTCGGCTCTGCTGTCTGCGGCGCGGCAGCAAACCCGGTTGCCTTCATCATTGGTCCAGGAACGGCATTGTACGTCAAGCTTCATTTCCCCTTCACTACGCCTTAAGTATAACCTACTCACAACGTGGATTACTTAGCTGATTCTCATTATCTATGCTGTCCCCCTTATAAAACGACACCATTATCAAGCCTTATTCGGCGCTACTTATGGTGTCTCGTCCATTATAGGCCCGCTTATTGGCGGTACCTTTGCCTCAAACGTCTCTCTGGAGATGGTGCTTTTACATCAAACTTCCATTTGGAGGCGTCATCCTGTTTGTCTTTACCTTGCTCCAGCTAAGGATGTCTTGAGGCGGAACCTGCTGCCTCTCATGGTTGCCATGGTTGATTCATCCATTATCAGCGATGTGGGAACGACTCATGTTTGCTATTACATGCCCTTCCTGATCACCAGCACACGCATCATAACAGTTGTGCGGAGCTTCTCACCATGCTCAGAGTCAACACAATCACCGGTCAATGGATCGGCTACCAGATCATATACGGCTTCGGCTTCGGCTGTTGCTTCCCGGAGCCCGACTTGGCAGCGCAGACGGTACTCCCCCACAAAATGTGGCTATCGACGCTTCCCTAATGCTAGACTCTGTTTGGGGCGATATTTGTCTCTGTTGGCCAGGACCTCTTCGAGTGAGATTTGGCTACTTGTCTTGCTCGCATCTCTGGTAGCCGAGTCACTCCTGAGACAATTGTGAGGGCAGGTATCACTGGCCTCTTCAAGATCATTCCCTCCCAGTACCACACTACTGTTCTGAAAGGCTATAATTCCTCGCTCGGGCTAAGCTTTGTGGTTGCTCTCGTCTGTGCTTGTCTTTCTGTCATTGGCAGTCTTGGCATAGAGTAGCGCAATGTCAAAAAGGAAGAGGGGAGGATTTCCAGGAGAAGGGAGAATTCAAAAACATCCTCCCGGCGATAAATGCTTCTGGAGATGGTAAGGGCTTGAGTGGGGCATCAATTGATCCGGAAGAGTAAATATGACTTTAAACGTATATACTGGTGAGAGTAGGGAGACTGAGTAGTATGTATATTCATCTTCTCACCGTCTTTGACATACTTTTATCTTTTCTTACGATCGTTCTTAATTTATTGAGTTAGATCATAACTGTGTACAGATTTCAGGCCCCTTTTCCCCAATACGATGGACATCAGGTGATGATGGTATCAGGCGGGAGAATGAAAAGCCACTACTAACAATCACTAAGAACTTTCCGGTTTCCATTTCCCTTACACTAGTAGTAGGTGTAGAACTTGGAACGATCCATCGGACAACCAAATGTAGGTTCCTCAACATTCAACTTATCCATGTTTTTTAAGGACCCACATTTTCCTGCAATTCGAGCACGAATCAGCAATCTAGGGCGGTTCCGTGGTTCGATGAACTAAGCCTTTCTGGGTGAATCTTAAACTGGGAAGGGGCCAATGAGAGGCTCGGGCGAGCCAGATACTCGTGCTGGATCTCTTTCTTGCTGTGTTTTCTCTCCAAGCACGCTCGGTAAATCCCGCATTGGGCGCCTTTCTATTGGATACGAGTCTGAAGTTTTAGTTAAATAGCCCAGAGACTCGCCGAGATTGTACCGTTGCCGGACTCGGCTTCTCGTGCTTTTTTCCTGAAAATGTTTACTTTGATGCCCTCCACGGGGAACATGCATTTGCCGTGTGGGGATCGGCGCGTTTCTCCTCTTTTTTTTTTGCCTTTTCTTCCCGACGGCTTTCCCCCCACCATGCGGAGTGATTCTGGAGTACGGAGTATAGCAAGTCACATTCCACCCCCCCTTCTCTCCCTCCTTACTACTATGTAGTACTCTTACTCCCTGACGGCGTACATTCCTATTAAAGCCCAATTGATTTTCCCAAAAGACAAAATTGACTCGACCATGACGTCCCCACCTTTCCGAACCCTGTCTTTTCATTTGTCTAATGATGATGAATTTTGAGCACTTTCTTCTTACTTGGCTCCCACACTCATGGGACGATGATGGTTTTCTTTCTTTGTGGAGGAATGGGGTGACTGACATGCCTGATCATGTCCTTCCTTATTAGTCCCGTAGTTTCTCGGCTGCCCGAATTTCACTGTTGGCTTTTCCCTTTTCCTCCTCCACCTTCTTTTTCTTCTATCATTTCCAGTGATCACTGGCCTTCTGTGATAAAAATCGGAAGGTTTTAGCCGGTTTATCGCTTCTTACACCATACACGGTAACTACTGCCCTTGTGTGTGTATCTATGAGTGACCCTATCTAAGTTCACAACCCATTCATTCTAGTATTACCCTGCTATACTCATCAACTTCCATCATGGGATCCCTAAATGATGTTGAGGCATCCCATGATGATCACAAGGATGCCACCGCCCTGGAGATGGATGATGTCCTCCAGGATCCCAAAGGCACTGATGCGTTCAACGAAGCTGCCATGGACGCAGAACTCCAACATCTGGAGGAACAGCTGCGTACCATGAAAAAGTCCCGATTCGAAGTCACGTTATCCAACCCTGCCTTCTTCACCTATGTCCTGGTCGCATTTGCCTCCCTGGGTGGTCTCCTTTCTGGTCTGGACCAGTCCTTGATCAGTGGTGCCAACCTGTACATGCCCGGAGACTTGCATTTATCCGACAACGACGGTAGTTTGGTTAATGCTGGCATGCCGCTAGGCGCTGTTGGGGGTGCTCTAATCCTTTCTCCTGCCAACGAGTGCCTGGGCCGTCGCATGGCGATCATCGTATCTTGCATCCTTTATACCATCGGTGCGGGTTTGGAGGCTGGAGCGATCAACTTTGACATGATGTTTGCTGGTCGGTTCATCTTGGGTATGGGCGTTGGTCTGGAGGGTGGCACTGTTCCAGTCTACGTTGCTGAATGTGGTATGTATCCCTTATCCTCTTTGTCATTGCTACAACCATGTTCCGCGCACTAACGGTTGCAGTCCCCGGCCGGGTCCGTGGTAACCTAGTCTCGCTTTACCAGTTGAACATTGCTCTAGGTGAGGTGCTTGGCTATGCAGTTGCTGCCATATTCATCGACGTCACTGGCAATTGGCGTTATATCCTTGGTTCATCTTTGGTCTTCTCAACCATCCTCTTGGTTGGGATGCTTTTCCTGCCCGAGAGCCCTCGTTTCTTGATGCACAAGAACAGACCGGTCGAAGCGTATGGCGTATGGAAACATATCCGTGGGTTCGGGGATGTAGACGCCAAGAGCGAATTCTTAGGTATGCGACAGGCGGTGGAGTCCGAGAATGAAATGCAGCAGCACACCAAGAAATTCGCGTGGATGGACTTCTTCACCAATCCCCGTGCTCGCCGTGCCATGGTCTACGCAAATATCATGGTCTTCCTCGGCCAGTTTACCGGAGTCAACGCGGTCATGTATTACATGGGTGTGCTAATGGGCGGCATCGGTTTTGACAAGCGCAACAGTGTCTTCATGTCGCTGGTCGGTGGTGGCTCGCTGCTGATCGGCACAATCCCCGCGGTCATGTACATGGAGAAGTTTGGCCGCCGTTACTGGGCCAATGCCATGCTCCCAGGCTTCTTTATCGGCCTCGTCCTGGTTGGGGTCGGTTATCAAATCAATGCAGATAAAAACCCCGTTGCCGCCGAAGGTGTCTACCTCACCGGTATCATCCTGTACATGGGCTTCTTTGGCTCCTACGCTTGTCTGACCTGGGTTATCCCCGCCGAGGTGTTCCCCACCTATCTCCGTAGTTATGGAATGACTACCGCTGACGCCAATCTTTTCCTCTGCTCCTTCATCGTGACCTACAACTTCACCGCCATGATGAAATCCATGACCCGCATCGGTCTTACTCTGGGCTTCTACGGTGGCATCGCCGCGCTCGGCTGGTTCTACCAAATCATTTTCATGCCAGAAACGAAGAACAAGTCTCTAGAAGAGATCGATGATCTGTTCTCCAAGCCTACCTCAGTCATCGTCAAAGAGAACGTCAAGAGTACTGCACAGGTCATCCGTGATCTCTGTCATTTCCGGTTCAAAAAGGTGTTTAGCCCTAGCGCTTAAGTTGACCCTTCTATCTCGATCTATTTTGCTTTTCTGTCATATATGTCATGTCATATACATCCTGTCAGGATATTTCTCCACTTCAACGATTCAAAAGCGAAGGTAATGAGCAATGCGCTGTTATGACCTGTAGTTAAATATGGCTGCCTCGAGCCATTCATTATATTCCATTACCGCTTTCTGCAGAATATTCCAAGGGTGGTGTGATTATAGTGAATATTTCAGACAAAGGGAAATTGAGAAACAAAAAAATCGGTGAATAATCAGCATAGGGTATTTAAGCAGAAATAATCTCTAGATAGTTCAGAGAATTAAGACGACCTTTTTTCTCATATTTGCAAGAGGTTAACAACCTTAGTCTATCCATCCCAATTCAAATATTTATCCCAAACCTATTCATCTTAAGTTACTCTCAATACCTGCTGCACGATATGCTTCATGTCGAGCATCTCCGTCAACTTCTATGGGGGTTGGAGAAATGGATCCAACACTCAGAGACCTCGCTGGCTATAAGATTGACATGCTGATAAGAAAACAAAACTTTGCTAAGTGGGAGCAGGAGCCGAAGATCGCCTCTCAATATCTCAATATTGGGACATTATTCAGGGAAGTAAAATGACAATTGATAGACCCTCCATCAGGAATTTCTATGAGAGTGTTTTCAAGTCTGTTCAGAAAAACACAAAAGAAAAAACCGACAAAAGTGATAGATGAAGAAGGCAATACGGTCACTCAAAAAGTTGCACCAAGGATTCTGAGAGATAATTCTGAGTCCTACAAAGAAATGGTAGCAGCAATTGCAACCCAACAATGCAATGAGGCAATGCGCGAATACCACCAACAAACGAAGGATAGGGCGAAGGCACTAATCATGCTACGTCTTCATGAGTTCGATCCAATACGAACCAAATTGGCCTCTTACAATGATGCAACTGAAGCCTTCAACTGCTTTATCAAACAATACATATTGAGCAATCGTCAGAATGGACAGCAACTTCTCCAAGAGATTGAGCATCTCCATCTGAAGAACTGCAAAAAATCTTGATGATTTCTTCTGCCGACTTGAAGATTGTGTGGAGCATTTGAGAGAAATCGGGTTCCAATACGACGAGAATGCCCTTCAATCCAAAAATTTCCGCTCACTCACTTCGGACTACCGACAAACCATCGATATGACGAACGTGGTCTATAGCAGAAGGGGGCAGGAATTGCCGGACCTGGATGACATCAAACAACAGCCCCAGGAGGTAGAAGTCAGTCTGGGATGAAACAAAGAAGACAAGAAACGAGAGCCGGAGAAGAATAAAGATAGGAGCACAGGAATGAGTGAAATCGAGTGAAATGCCCAGCTGCAGGTTGCAAGGGAAAAAAACCACGACGAAGAGCACTGTTGGACTCTTCATTCAGAACTCAAACCTGACTGGATGAAAGCCAAAGAAGGGAAGAAAAAGGCGGATCAGAAAGGAAACCTCACTGGTCGCTAAACAAAACTCCCAACCCAACGAGACCACAAATGAAGTGTCTTGCTATACACGCCGACAAGGAGATTGAGAAAGCAATCCGAAAAGGACTGAGAAGTAACAAGTGCTTGAATGATCAGGTCAACAAACTGAGCCTGTGAAACGATTCAGTTGTCAAACGAGATAACAGTCAAGATCCAGTTCCAAGATAATAGGTCCAGAGAGTGCCATCTTCCCGACCAGTATGAAATCAAACCTTCCATGTCAAATTCTCGGTACTGACTTTCTGTCTCAGAAAATCACTAGACAGGAAGCAGACGCCGGAGTACAAAGGAAGACTAGAAGTATTCCGCAAGATTGGAGACTACATTGGGATCTATACTCGGCTGACCACTGGTAGAAATAAATTGGCACATGAATGGATACTGAATTCAGGAGCAAATCTCCACATATACAGCGATATGGAACTCTCCGTCGAATGAGCACGTTAGTAAGACCATCAGTGTGGCGAACTCAGAAGCGATTCTCAAAATGAAGGGAGGGGGTATCGTTCTTCTTCACGTCTTGACCTCGATGCGACGGGAGACACAACAAACCTCATTGTCTGAAGTTCGGTATGCACCAAAACTCCTATGCACCTAATTTCAGTCTCAAAATTGACCGAAAGGGGGGTAAAATGCATAGTTGATCACAAGGATTTCATCCTAAGTCTTAAACAATGAAAAATTTACATGCACTTCTCTACGGGAAGGACTGTACTGCTTTAGTCAGTGTGTATATTCGTTGCTCCAGGAAACAGCTCTTCCAGTGCGCGAGAATCCTATCTCAGAAAGCACAACTGAATTGGAAGAGTTTCCTGTACAATAAGAAGTACAAGAGCAGGGATTCTCCGGCGATCCGGTCTGGAAAGTTCACCGTGATTTTGGACATATGAGTGTTGATGCACTGAAGAGATTGATAGATATGTCAACTAGTATTTCTCTTATCAAGAAGCGAATAACGGCACGTGTGGACAAAGATGTTCTATTTGCGAAACACCACAAAGGGATTATCAGAGTTCCTAGAGATCCCGCTAGCAGAAGAGGAATGACTCCAGGAGATCTTATACATGTCGATGTATGGGGTCAGTATAAAGTTACAGGGCTCGATGGAACTTCTGGAATGCTTCTTGCAATCGATGATACCACCAGGTATCAATGGTGCAGACGAATCAAACATAGAGATACTCATCAAGACGCAGAAATCGTTGCTCTGATTGCTGAGTTAGAAACGGCGACAGTTCGGCAAGTACGGTTGGACAATCCACCCAGAAAGAGGAGTTTCGGAAGAGAGAGAACTTGGCTGAGCCTATATCGCCATATAGACATCACCAGAATGGAGCTGTGGGACTTGCTATTCGGACTACGCGTGACGGAATTGCATCAGTCTACAACGACGCAATGATGAGTGATTAAAAGCGAATACTGAAGAGCATTGTTGCAATCCTCGAAGCAAAGACTCAAGAAGCAGTGCGCACCACAAATCTATCACAGCAGCTGCGGCCTTAAGCATGGTCCCCTGCTGTCTACATTAAGAACCGTTCGTCCACTCGAGCGCTGAAGTCAAAAATAACCCCTATTGAGGCACTGTACAAACGAAAGCCGGATCTGTCTAATCTTTGTACGTGCTGTTCAAGGGCTTATGTTACCATACCTCTAGAAGCACGCAGGAACTATCATTCACAAAATGAGCGGATCAGACAGTTGGATCCTCGTGTATGGATGGGATACTTTATGGGCAGCGAATCGGGCTCTATAGTCAGAGTTTGGAATCCTGAAAAGAAGAAAGTGATCCGAACAGACACTGTGAGTATAGCATCCGGTGGGCCAGCTGATGATGTACGATACAGCCAAATCAAATACCATCTTGCGCTCAACATCATACATCTACACCAAATATTATCTCCACAGACCATCCGAAAAATTCATCTTCAGAGTCCGACAATGTCGAAGATTCTCCCTTATGCACTACTGGAGAGCCCTCAAGGTTTTTTATTGCAAAAGAGATCTAATCTAGTCTCAGGAACCTAAAGAGGATAGGTACAAAATGTGTTTGAAGTATCAGAAAGACTGCAATAGAGTCTACCCAGTACATATGCGAAAAAAAACATAAGATGTGTGGATCGTCCCGCTAAGGGACCTGGACTACCCAAGAAGAAGATGTGTATGGAGGGTCGAACACGCAAAAGAATCTGTTCCACCTTTTAATAAGCCCTGCTGGAATTGTGCCAAACGACGTTGCTACCAGCAAGCGGGAGGAAAATAAAAAAAAAAAAAAAAAACCGAGCGTATCTCTAGAGAACGAATGCGCCTCATGTGAAGCTGCCGATTTATTATGTGATGGAAATCAACCCTGCAATAGCTGTGTAAGACTGGAGAAATGTTGTATTCCGCAGAAGCTTAAGAACAATCCGGCTGGCAGATGCAGAGAGTGAATATCTTCGTGAGATCAGGAGAGGCCATGTGGCAACTGCTCTAGCAAAGGAAGACAACCTTCTTCCTCATATTTGCAAGATCTGTACATGATTGCTGCGCATCAGGAGAGTTACCATTCGCAACGGAAAATCATTGTTAATATAAGTAGTGAGTAAATATAATCACTAGTCTACCTCAACGGAACATCATATAAATTCTAAAACACTACAGACGTCCAGAAACAGATACAGTATGTAAACCAGTCAATTCTAAAATATATATATCAACCATGAGAGTAATCGGGAGCTAAATTCGAAAGAAAATTGCTTCAACTGAAAGGATATAAGTGTGTATACAGTATGTAAAGGGAAAGTGCTCGCTCCAAACACCTTTCAACCGATGAATATTCTTAAAAGACATGAAACACAAGAAGAGAAAATGAAGGGAGGATAATATGGTAAATGAAAAGGCAAGAGATTAGCTTAGCCCCTCACTTTCCGGTAACTGGGGGGATGCCAGGATCGTTGGATCAATTTCCCAGCCCAGACGGGGATGACAGCCACTGCACAGACCGCGACGACACGCCAGACCCAGTCCACAGTGATCACAAACTCCAGATCGAAGTATTCGCCGAGGAAGGGCACAGTAGCAGCGTAGAGGAGGGCTGTGCCCAGGAGTGAGAAGATCATTACAGGGTGCCAAGTGGTTATGGCGATGGCAACCATTAGGAGCTCGTTAATCACCAGGGCTGTGAATGATACACTGATAAGTCGGGGTCCAGAGATAGTGTCTAGGAGTATCTGGGATAGGCCTTGAATTACGGCGCCTTGGTATACAGAGATCAGGACCCAGGTGAAGAAGGAGCGGTAGCTTAGGCTGCGGCCGGATTTGAGTTCTTTGTACAATTCAGGGTAGAGGTTCGCGAGGTGCTCGTCAACGTCGCGGTCAAGGACCAGGGAGAAGACGGGGGCATTGGTGTAGACAGTAGCATAGCCGACCATGAGCCAGTTGATAAATAGACCCTTAGGATCAAAATGGCTGGCTATGCTGTACATAGTCTGACAGGCACTAATGATCAGACCGCGATGCATAATAAACTGCGCCAATTTGGCAGACCGCTTGTAGGAATTGCGTCCATGCCAGACCAGGAGTTTGGTGATGTGATGGAACTGTGTGATGCTGAAATCGGCCGCGAGGGAGGCCTGGCGTCCTTCTTTGCCGACAATACCGATCCCCACATCAGCAGACTGAATCATGGACACATCATTTCCACCATCACCGATGCAGCACACTCGCTTTTTAGTATGCTGACGAATCAAGTCCGCAACCTCGGCTTTCTGGGTTGGGGAACATCGACACGCAACAACAGCGGGCAACAAGACGGCAACTGATATGAATGCCGATCGGAATTGACGGAGCATGAGAGCGAGTGATTCGCCATCAATGAGCAGGCAGCAGTCAGTCTTATGGCGTAGAAAGTCCAAAGCTTCCTGGGCAGCTGATTTGTCTTTGACTTTGGCGACTGTATGAATGTGCTGTCCTCTCGCAACTAGTTTTGCAGAGATTGCCACACAGCGTGCTGTCTCCACCTTATCGCCCGTCAACATCCAGATTTTAATACCAGCATTGCGGAGAAGCTCCAACGACGGCTTAACATCTCGTTGTAAGCGGTCTTCGACGCCGGTTACCCCAAGGAGTTCCAGGTCTCGTTCAAGATATTCACTAATCACCTTGGTCATCCCAACGTCTCGGCCTTGGAGAGCGAGCGACGCCTGCTTATACTTCGCATCAAATTCCTGGTACTGTTGCAAGGAGAGCCGTTTCCTTCCCACAACCAGAGTACGCAAGCCCTCCCGAGCCATGTTGGCGGTCTCCTCATCAAGCCAATCGTTTGCTGCAACGATCGAGGACATGACCGTATCAGCTCCTTTTTGATAAAACCAGATTTCTCGTTCTTGTTTGGGAGATTCTAGTATCCCCTCATCCGTTTCAAATTGTACGATAATGCCCATACGCTTGCTATCCGAGGTGAAAGGGAAGATCTCGAGAATGCGGACACGTACAACAACGCTCCGAGTGTGAGTAGATTCGAGAACTATTGTCTGGCGGTCACGGTAGGCTAGCTTGAGCCCAACTTCCTCTGTATACCGGACAATGGCAATCTCATCCGGCGAAGAGGCCTGGTAGTTTGTTACCTTCACACCATCCTCTTCATCCGTTGTCGGCGTGACATTATGACATAGAGCAAGGGCTAGAATAACATCTCTCACGCGCGAACCTATCTCTCTCCGTGTACGGGGAGCGGCCCCAAGTCCCGTTTGAGTTCCGAAAGCGGTTAAAGGGGTAGTCAAGGAACTACCAGAAAAGCTCTGTTTGACATATGAGGCCACCTCCTCCATAGCGTCATTGGCATACGAGACAGTTCCAACATGGATCTTTTTCAACTCCATTTCTACTAAATATTAGCGGACTATCGACTCATCCAGGTGCAGGAAAGAAACTCACCGTTCTGAGTCAGAGTTCCTGTCTTGTCCGACAGAAGATACTCAATCCTACCAAGATCCTCAGGTATGGTACTTGTTCTGACAACAGTGCCAGGTATGTCCTTATCCCGTTCGATGAAACGACCGTACACTGATTTGGCCATATCCAAGTTGACCCGCAAACTCATAGGGATAATGGTCGAGAAGAGGATAAGATAGATCATGATCGCGACATACCACTTTTTATCATTAGTCGGTTGGAACCCTTCCAAAGCAACCAAAATTATCGACAGTGTGAGTGTCAAGACGCATAGAATTTTGGTCAAGTTGTTGATTTCAAATTCTAACAACCCCACTTTCGAGCGAGATGCGGATGTTGAGAGAGCCGCTCGCGTCTGTGAACCGGTATAGACTATGACGGCATATGTTATCGTATTTGATGCAAGCACCGTGTTAGCCCAGGCCGTATTATCAATAGTCAAAGGAGCAGATTTGGCTTGAGCCCCTTCGGTACCAGAATCGTCGCCATTGTTTGTCTTATCGACATGGGGGTCGTAATATCCGGCAGGTGGCCCTAACTCGATGGTACCGACGAAGTCATTGACGCTCTTATCCGGTGCGCTTGCAGTAACTTTCAGCCTGGTGAGGTCCTCGAGCGAAAGGTTCTGGGACAGTACAGATGGTAGACGTAGTTTCCAGTCCGTTTCACCGTCCAGCTGATCTGTGCGAATGAAGGTATCACTAGCCGGTGAGACATTTGTTGCTCCTGCCGCAATGCTTGAGCTAGGCTCCGCTGATTCCTGGTCCGCCTGTATGAGCTCCGCGGGTGCTTCCGTCACTGAATCTTGCCGAGCAGTATCATTCGAGACACTTTTTAAGATGACGACATCGGCAGGAAGACGTTGGTTTTTGCGAATTTTCAAGACGTCACCAACTTTTAACTCACGGGATTTCTTAGTGACTTGCATGGCATTTTCGACCTCAGGACTGACATCGCCAGACGCAGAGACCGGCTGTCTTCCAGAGGGCTTATCGAACGATAGCACGGAAAACTCCTCTGCATTCGCTTCAGCATCCCTTCTCCGGCGACCGATATCATCCAAAGCTTCTTTTCCAAGTGATATGGAAACGACGAATGCTAAGGGTGCAATATAAGAGGACATGTAGCCTATTCGAAGCACAGGAATTATCTGCGAAAGCGCGACAAGGAGGAAATAGATGTTGAAAAAGAACGAAAATTCGTTGTACAATGTACGAGGTAAGAAGCTCCATGGGGTGTATTTCGCATTCGAGACAATATTTGGAGGATACTTGGACCTTTGCAACTGTCCTACAAAGACATCACGTGGGGGCTTTGCTACCACATTCTCATTCCCATTTGACGCCGAAGAGCCAAATAAGAAACTTGCTGCTTTGATACCCGAGAAGCGGAACCGACGACTTTTGTGCGGCACCCGCTCATCATCTGCAAACGAGCGAGTGGAACTACGTCTGCCTCCCTCGAGTAGCGGCGCATCGTCATCGGTATAATTGCGAGAGTTTGCATGAGATCCACGAAGGCCATCATCGTCCCGATCTTCGAGCAGATGGTCCATATCCTCCGATCCTATATGGGTCCCCGAATCGTTTCGCCCCCACATCCGACCCCTAACACCCATGCGCAGATTCCTCAGCGCAATCCCCGGTCCATGATCTTTTTGTTTGGCTGGGTCGTTCCTTGAATGTGGAGAGTTGATAGTTGCTGTACTTGGATCAAGCTCCTCCAAGTCGAGATCGTCGTCCGAATCGGAATCACCAGCAATGCTGGTACGGCCGTGGGGGTTTAGATAATCGGATGATGAAGGCATGGTGGACAGATCACAGACAAATGCGGTGAGAATCCCACATTCAGGGAGCAGTCCTCAAGCTCCTGCACTGACAAATGATATCATGTCACGTTGAGTTGAATCCAAGGCCTTTCCAGAGGATCATTGTTGTTACAGGAGGGAGAGATTCGGGGCTCGGATTGCGCACGGCGCCGACAGTTATTAACAAAGTAGGCGGAAACGTATGGAGAGGTAGCAAGGGGTTATATTGGTATCTTTTATTGCCCAAATAAAGGGCGTTCGTAATCTTGAGTGATGGTGGCCTAGAATATGGAGATTTAATATCTTAGTCAGGAAGGTAAGCCCAATCACATGATTGGATGGCGACAAGAGACTCTGCTGATTGTGGCGCATCAATCAAATGGGTTGTGGTGTGAAACGGCGATGTCATATGCGGAGTACCAGAAAATGAAGGTTAAGATTGTAGGACCACAGTCTTACGTTAATTAAATTGTATGGTATGTACGGAGTATATTTATTTTCAATTTATATAGTTTTTCCCAGGAACACTGTGTGGCTGGTGAGTACACAGCAGATTTTGAACAGGGTTACATACATAATGTAATTAATTTAGTATATTTCTTTCCCTTCATAAAATACAGATAGATGGATCCGTACATCGTCCTGTCCAGCATCAGCTGCCTCAGGATCCACCGTCTTATTGTGGCCGATACACGTGATCAACAAAAGAGATAGGTGGCCCTTCCGCCTGGAACAATGATCTCCCGCCCCGGATGACGGTCGCGTCCCAAAGAGCCCGATAGGTCAATAGAAGTGAACTAGTTGAGGCATCAGAGAGAAACCGGAAGACCGTCCGCGGAATCACTTGTTGGATTCCAAGTAATAATTCTCTAATTCTTCCTGGATATGCAGTCATGAGTCCGTATCACATTTAATTTCTTGCGATGAATTATCTTTTTCAACGCAAGCCTTGTACATTTCTTGCTTCATGTCATACTAATTAAATAATTTTACACCTTTGCCATTTGCCTTGTCGATCGATCCTTTCAGGGTGAGCGTCTTCGGAAACGTGTCATGCGATCTAGTTTAAGCTAACCTTCCACCACTGATTCAGATCTCACAACCAACAAACATGGCATATATTGAAGCATCGGCCGCCTGGCATCCGGCGCTCAGGCCTGAGGATAGTGCATCTTCGAATGCGCCTGTTCCAGATGACTTGGCACAAGACTCGAACGACTCAATAGCAGAACCTGCACTTGAACTGAAGGATTCTCTGGCGACAGACCAAGAGAACCATCCTTATAATACATCCACATCTCCAGAAACTGATGCTTCGGCTGATGAGCAATATACCGCCTCCCCGGCTGTAACGGACTCAGAGGCTCCGCCGCGTGCCGATCAGCTGTCGAATAAAGAGGACGCCCAGGAGAACGCCACGCGCGAAGAAGCTACGGGACTTCACCCTGCATTATATCCAGCGATGACCCGTGATCCCCAGCCTATCCAAGCTCCTGAGAACACGCCTACCGCGGACGAGAACGATGTGAACGGGATTCATGAGACAACCGCAACCAACGAGGATACAGAGGAATCGTTCCCTGCAGAATGGAATAATACAGAATCCGTTGAGAGAAACGGCACTGTTTCGTGGTTCAATGAACATGATAGGGGTGAAAATCTGACTACCAATGGATCCGCGAATGACGATAATCATAACTTTTGGGAAAGCCCTACAAATGGCGATACAGGGGATGACTTTTTTGACCAGCTGAAAACCCAAACTAAGCCAATCTATATCCCACCAGAAGCAGATTCTAGGTATGAGGAGGGAGTCCCGCTATTGGATGATTCTGTTGAATCGCCGGTCCAGCCTTCTGTGGAGGAGAGCAGAATAGACAAAATTTTCGAGAGTGATGGTGACGATGAAGGTGAAGCCTTCTTCAGTGAGGTCCAACGAACCACGTCAACTGAGGAAGCAGATCCACCGCTCCATATCACGCGCAAGAGCACGACCCAAGTAATCGGCTCACTTGACGTTACCCCCGATTCCCCGGCTAGTGATGCGTCCCCAACCGCTCAAGAATTTAACAATATTCTTGCGGAAGCTGTGTCTGAAAAACAGGTCAAAGAAGATCTTTCTGATGACGATCTGGCCGCAAGGTGGCAAGCAGAACTCGCGGGTGATCAACCAGGGAAGGATTCTGAGGATGATCTAGCTGCTATGTGGCAAGCGGCACTTGACGATGATGATGACTTGCTTCTGGACGATGAGGTGGGCGAGAGCTCTAATGTAAATCAGAAGTCCTACACTCAGGATGTGAACAACACTATTCGCAACAATGCCCCAGCCACCCTTAACAGTCCCTTCAGCACTCCGCAAAGTTCCGCACGACTTCCCGCACAGCCTACCACCTATACACCGCATCAGCCTTCCACATCGGACCTACTACAAGGGATACCGGGTATTGCTCCCCAGACGACCACCGTTCCAATACAAGACCATTTTGCACCTCCACCCCAGCCGCGACCTACGGCAAAGAGGGCGGAGAGCTTCGCGGAACGCTCTAAAGAAGGCTACAAGTCGCCTTATGATCTGCCAGATGACCTTACCCGTCCTCGCAGGCCCGTGGGCGCCCACAAGCCTGTTGTTGCACAACCTGGTAGCATGCCACCACCCCCTCGGAGCGGCAGTGTTCCAGGACCTCCCAGCGCGTCAGCGGTACCTACTCCGCCGCCGGTGGCACCTCCAGCTGCAACCGTCGCGGCACCTAAGAATTTCTATGAAGAACTACCTATGCCACCACCTAGGCCAAAATCTCGGCCTGCAAGCTCGGGACGCTATACGCCTAGTGCTAACATAGTGACGTCTCCTCCATCTCATTCTCAGCTCTCACCACCTCCGGCAAACCCATACGCTAGAGTCTCCCCTGCATTGCAAGATAGTAGCGACGCCAGTACTCAGCCTCAGCTACAACAGCCGGAGCGGTTAGATCCTTACGCAAGCTTACTGGGTCACAGTGCCCAAGGTGCCCCAGCAGCACCTACCGCAGCGTCGCGATACTCGCCTCAACCGCCTACTGTACATTCAGGGACCCTACATTCTGGGACCAAGCCTCCATCAGCTCCGAGATACTCCCCTGCTCCGCCTCAGTCCACTGCCCCTCCACCGCCTCGTACCCGGTACGCTTCTCAGCCACCTAGCAACTCTAGTCAAGGGAATATTTTGCCTTTCCAGCCGCGAACTTCAAGTCCGCTAGCTCACCATGAAAAAGTTTCATACCAACCTCCACACGATCTTGCTATCCGACCAGCTAGCTATGCTCCCAATGGCGTACAGCCGCGCGAGAACGAGCAGGAGGCTTGTGACTCTACTGTGGTTCCTGCGGGCACTGTAGATTCAGCTACAGTGAACACGGTTCCTGAAAACGTATCGGCAGCTCTTCAACCAATCTCCCCGCCGAGGAATCCATATGCCCCTTCAGCGTATATCAACGAATTTTCGAAGCGCGTTGCTCCTATGGCTAACCCTCCATCTACTTCCGCGCCACCTCCTGGTGGTGGTCACTTCCTTCCTCATCGCAGGTCACAGACTCAATCTCCTACCCAACAGGCTTCGGCTCCAGGATTATCTGTACCATCGATAGATCCTTTACAACGTCCTGCTTCAGTTCATGCCCCTACTTCTCCAACCAGGTCGGCCAACCCTTACGCGCCGTCTCAGGCCTCTGTTCATAACCGTATCCCCTCTCACCCGCTTGAGTTCATTCCCCCCACCGACGGTCAGGAATTGGATCCCCTTGAGCGATGGAAGGGGGCCCCAATTGTCAAATTCGGATTTGGTGGCTCCATCACGTCCTGTTTCCCTAAGCATGTGCCTCGATATACCGTTGGTCAGGCCGCCCCCAAAATCAAGTCTACCCCAGGAGAAGTGAAAATACTTTCACTCAGTGATTATGTACCTACCACCGAAGGTATTGTTAAGCACCCGGGCCCTCTCAAGAACAAGTCCAAGAAGAAGGAACTACTTGCCTGGCTTTCTAGTAAGATCGTGGCTTTCGAAAATGAGGGAATCTCAGAAGCAGCTCAATTACACCCCAACTCTTCTAAACGACATGACGAGAAAATATTGCTTTGGAAGGTCATTCGAGCGTTAGTTGAACACGATGGTGTTTTGGAAGGCTCGGGCGATGTAGAGAAGTCCTTCCGCTGCATTATATTTCCTCACCTACAAAACTCGGAGTCCGATTCGACCTCCGAGGGCACCCTCCCAGTCTTCAATTCTCTCCAGCCATTAAACGCGCCGTCTCAATCTGATGCTACTGACTCTCAGTCAATGGAAAGCATTCGTAACAGTCTCCTCGTGGGCGACCGAGAAAAAGCAGTATGGAATGCGGTGGATACTCGTCTATGGGGCCATGCTATGATAATAGCATCGACCCTCGATAGGTCTGTTTGGAAGCAGGTCGTCCAAGAATTTGTTAGACGTGAAGTCAAATCCACGACTAGTAACTCGGAACCGCTCGCGGCACTCTATGAAATCTTCGCCGGAAATATTGATGAAAGCATTGACGAGCTTGTGCCCCCATCGGCAAGAGCGGGGTTCCAAATGATCAGTAAGGTTGGTGGGCAAGGGCCATCTAAGAACGCCCTTGGTGGTCTAGACAGCTGGAGGGATACGCTGGGACTAGTGCTGAGCAACCGCAGTCCCGAGGACCATCAAGCACTGTTGGCTCTTGGTCGGCTGCTGTTGTCGTACGGTCGGACGGAAGCCGCCCATATCTGCTTTATATTCTCTCGAGCCGCAGTGTTTGGGGGTGCGGATGACCCACAAACAAGCATAGTGCTTCTTGGGGCCGATCACCAGCACTTGCCTCCGAACGTGTTGCAGGACAATGATGCAATCTTGCTTACTGAAGCATATGAATACGCAGTCTCAGTCTTGGCGGGCTCTCCCACGTCTACATTCCCGCATTTGTTGGCGTTCAAGCTTATTCACGCTTGCTCTCTAGCAGAGCATGGGCGCAAATCGGAAGCTTTGCAGTATGCCGATGTCATTACAGCAGCACTCAAAGCAACCACAAAACCGTCTGGCTATCACAACCAACACCTACTCTTCGGAGTAGACGAACTCTCGGCGCGCTTAAGGCAAACGACCAGTGACAGTGGGTCTTCTTGGATATCTAGACCGAGCATGGAGAAGGTGTCTGGCTCAATGTGGGCCAAGTTTAACAGTTTTGTTGCTGGTGAAGATAGTGATGCCGCCTCAACAGGTTCTGGGAAAGCTAGAGACGAAGATATTGGACCGTTTGCTAAGATTGCTGGGACTCCAACCGTCAGCCGGTCACCATCCGTGTCAGACTTTGGACCCTACTCTATGCCCGCAGCACAGCCGGCTTCAGCTAGTGGTCCTTCACGATATCAACCGAGCAATCAATACGTCCCCAACTCTTCCCCTGAACAATATCGCGGAAGATCGTCCCTCGATTCCCAGAGATCCTCATCGTTTGGGTTCTCGTATGGGCAACGACGAGGCTCCCAAGAACCGTCAACACCTATTGAGAGCAATGTATATCAAGGTGGTCCACTCTATGGGTCTCCATCTGCCGTTGGCTATCAATCTACTCCCCCTCAAACATCGTACATGCCTCTTGCACCTGTTGTGGAGGATTCGGCCCCGCAGTCATACCCTGTCGACTCTGCTCCAATGCAAGGATCTCCTGTAACCATTTCGCCCTATCAACCTCTTACCAATGATTCATTTGGCGAACCTCTGGATCAAAGCTCGGTGACAGTGCCTGACTCTGGCGCAGCCAGCTACATCCCTCCCGGTGCCGGCGGTGGCTATGAACCGCCTTCCGTCGAGATCAGCACAGTTCCTACATTGGATACTACAGAAGATCCTACTAGTCCAAATATCTTGAAAAAGAAGAAATCATTCATGGATGACGATGATGATGACGATGACATAGCAGCCCGTGCAGCTGCTATTCAGAAGGCGGAAAAGGCACGCAAGGATCGCGAAGCTGATGAGGCTTTCAAAAAAGCTGCGGAAGCTGATGGTGAGTATTCCTCCCGAAACCTATAGCTGATCATGTTATTGATTCTTTTACGCAGCCAAGCGGCCTCCAGCTGCAGCGAAAAAATCATGGTTTGGCGGATGGTTCGGAGGTGCAAAGAAGGAGAACGACGCCTCTGGGGGGCCTATCCGTGCCAAACTTGGCGAGGAAAGCTCTTTCTATTATGACAAAGAGTTAAAGAAATGGGTTAACAAGAAAGATCCCAATAGCGCTAGTGTAACACGCGGCACTCCGCCGCCACCAAAGGGTCCCGCTCCCCCTAGCAGAAGTGCCAGTGGCAGCAGTGCGCCGCCTGCTGCAGCAAACCTGGGTCTAACGCCTGATGGCAGACCTTCGTCATCTGCAGGTGCTCCCCCATCGCTATCCACCAGCCCAGCACCACCCTCGCTTGCTGCTCCACCACCTCTGCTAGGCACCGCACCTCGGTCAGTCTCTACCGGTGCAGCTATGCCCACGCCACCATTGGGTTTGTCTGGTCCTCCGCCCCGCCCTGCAACATCGTTGAGCAATGCCAGCTCAATAGATGACCTTCTCGGGGCGCCTGTGGCGCGCAAAGGTGCACCTTCCAAAGGACGGAAGAAGGGCAGATATATCGATGTGATGGCGAAGTAAGCTAACCCGCCTACTAGATGCGGGACCGCTGTTTTTTCTTTTCTTTTCTTTTGTTTGTATAATCATGCCTAACGATTTTCCTGATCCCTGGCTCCTTGTTACTCTTTGCACATCGTGGAGCGTATCTGGCTTGCGTGTGCTATAGAATACTTTCATAAGTTTGCACAAATTCTTGCATAGTGTGTTGCCTCGATGAGAAACACATTTTTCCTTTCAGCCCCCTTTGCATGAACACTGGTTTCCCGTGTACTTTAATGTTTGCATATGCACTACATGTAGTGCTTATTGCTTCCCCTTCTGGTTGCTTTGCTTACGCTTCTGTCCATATGAAATTGCTGGTATTAGCTTTCAGGGATGTGGAAGCCCCGAATGAGAGGCTTCTGCTATTTGGAGTTTTTACGGGACGAACATCTTTTATCTGGACATTCTAATACTATACTATTATAATAAATTTAAACTTCTAACCCTCAAACTCAAATTTTCTTTTTCTACAAGCACATTTGCATTTACCTAGAGATAGTGAGTCCCCATAGCCTGAACTCGGCAATGTTTGTCAAGCCGCGTAAGAATTAATGTAATACTGTCTCCGTTAGTGTGATCTTTCGCCAATACTGTAGAGACCGGAGAGCCAACATACTGTCAAACAGGAATCTTCCCCGTTCCAACTACCTGGTAGGTAAACATAGAGGATCAACGCCGTCTCGTGGACAAAACCTTCATACAAGTCGGCTAGGTCAGCAGTAGACTCCTCGCACGGATTACTGTCTCTCACTTACATGCAACGACCTTGGGACTCATTCTCCCAACACTCAGCACTCTTCCCCAATCCTTCCCGTCAATCCTTACTTTCGCCCAGCCGGCCTCGTCGTCATTGCCTAGCGCTCTCATCCGCTCACTGGGAAGCTGCTCAATTTCCGTTTGGGAGAGCTGTCCGGGGTCCAGCGACGGATTCACCAGATCAGTCCAAACGCTCGAGATGCGCAAGGCATCCGTCGCGATCGCCAGCTTGAGCGATCCATGCATGTTAGCCGACAGTTCCAATTTCGGTGAAACGACAGAGGCAGCGGCTGAGCCCGAAGAGCCCTTGGGGTCCGTCGCCAACTTCGTAAACCGCTCGGAGATACTCTTCAGCTGGAACAAACTCGGTAAGATGATGTGCACATCAGGGTCACGACATCGCGGTTCGTGAAGCCCCTCGATGGCAGACTCATGGAGAACCTTGACCGGGATTTCTTGCGTAATGACCGTCTCGCGTTCCCGGGGCCCAGAAACGGCCGCTGGTCCTGATGCAGTGGTGGCCTGGCCTGCCCCGGCCCCGCCACCCCCATGGTCGGGTTCCGGAATCCCGAGTGCGTTGGAACCGGGGGTCCAGGACGATGCATGGATAGTTAAAGCCAAGAGAGGGACGTTGCCCTTCTTGGTCAGACGTAGTTGGGTTGACGTCGCGGCTACGGCGGAGCGAAGGGCGCGGTGAAGAGCTCCGACGGGCACCTCGAGATTGATTACCCCGGAGTTAGATTCCAAAATATAAGTGGATTCATCGAAGATGGCTTCCTGGCGGGGATTGTTTAGTTCACTTGATAAGGACATCATGAATTAGGAGGACAAATGGGACGTACCACAGGTAACTGCGCCCAGACTTGGGTACCTTGATCGGGGATGATGGTGAATCGAACGACGCCATCTTCCAGGCGCATCCAGCATACCTTACCCAGCGATGAGAGGGATGCCGTCAACTCTATTAAGGGTAAATTTAGTGTCCATTCAGTTGAAGATTCCATTGGGAGATCCCAGAGAGGCGACAAATCCACAGGCAACGAAAGCTACGTTAAAGGGGCACGATTCAGAGAACAAAGAGAGAGAGAACCAACACATACTAGAAAGCGTTGCAGCATTAGATAGTTGGGTGCGAAACCGCATGTTTAATGATCACATAACATAGTAGGGGTGCGAGTTGATTTGAGTTGATCTTATCGTGTGAAGTCAATTTAATCACTTATCGGCGATACATTTGACCCTTGACGGAACACAAAAAACTACGATTTCCTTCTCTTCCAGTCATTATGAAACACACCATTTTTTGTCTGAGATATTATTACGCGATATATAAGTGGAATATTTGAACATATATCGATTCCTGTTATTGCGTCAGTATATATAGATATCTACTGTAATCCCACCATGACTAGTCTACTACAATATATATATATCTATATATTTCCTGCCCCACCGGTTAACACGTTTCCTCTCTTCCCTCGTTCTCAATTGACGTTATGTTAATATTTTTAGGATTATCATTTAATTCCCCTCCTATTCTGAAAAAAAAGAACAGCTCGATTATATCTAAATGATACTTTGGCTGTCTTCTATTGCCATAAGAGCCCCTGCTAGTATGATCGAAACACTAGGTATCGGGAGATCACTTCAGTATTTTTATGTTTAAGGTGGTAGGTACACTTGGGAAGCGGTGTGGGTGCGCTGCTAAGGCACAGATACAGAGCTCCCTAAAGACCGAAATCCTTAGTCTCATACCGGAGTAAGTACCGTGTACCCCTTTCATAAAAGTAAAAATAAAAACAACACTGCTTCTAGACGTTCGATAGGTGGGACTGACAAACACAAGCATTATTGGAGGTGTTTCAGATAAAAAAAAATTGCTAGATACGCAGGGACATCCCCACGTGGCTCGTGACGGATTATCACACGTACTCGACTGTCCATGACAGACTCTTCAGGCCTCAGAGAAGTCGTCAAAGGGAATATACTTCGTGTTATGTTTGGATCGTGATTCTTGTTCCGCCCGCCTCAAGGTTGGAGCTTGGGCTCACCTTGCCCGGCCCCCAGCGGAGGCAAGAAGGTTGATGTCTCCCATATTAGGGGCTAACTAAGCGCGGGCTTCGCTCCTTGCCTGTTCGTCGACTGTCTCTTGTTTCACATCAGTTGCCGAAGGCAGGGCAGTACAGTGGCCAAGTCGCTCCCTTGTTGTACAGATGCCGCCCTTTGTTGCAGACTATGATGTGTTTTAGGCTTCTAGCTCACGCTGGAACTCTAATCGGTTATGTGAATTTCCCGTTCTTCCTCGGGCTCTCACTGGCGCAGGATCCTGGTTATTTTTCAAAGGGATTTAGTCTTGCTATAGCGGTCTTTATTAGGCATCGAGGATGGTCATTGCTCGAGGAGGGTAATCGGACGAAGCGTTCTTGTTTATGGTCAAAAAGATGATTGTGTTGGAATAGTGTCGGTGATCTACTGGGGAGAATATGCAAGGGGTGTGTCGATCACCGATCTACTGACTGTAGTTTGGGGAATTTGATTATCGAGTCTAGTATAGCTTCCTCGCGTGAACGCAAATTCGATGGCGATCTTCAAGTGGCGCGTTTGGAATGGGGAACGATGTTTAAACTTCAGGGAAATTTGATATTATCATGGGTACCTCGGGAGCTTTTCTATGGTTCCAAGTAGGAGACCGAAACTGATCTCCTGCAAAGAAAACGCAAGGGAAAGAAGAGATAGATGAGATAGATGTGTTTATGAGGATTAACGTGGGAAGTCCGGAGTACGGTACAGTCTAGTATATGTACTGTACCTTAGATAATCTCTTGGTTTTCTTTCCTTCCGTGTGTATAATTATATAGATGGTAAGTTTTTATGCACCGAGGGTCTCCACCGAATCAAGATTTTTCTTGTCATGTAGCTCTATACATACATACATATAGATCCGAGCGGTATGTTGCGCATTCTAGGCAATTGAGCAGGGAAAAAAAAAGCAAAGAAAAGTAAAGAAAGTTATTAGGAAATGAACGAAGCTAAAGATTCAGAATAAGACAAGGAAATCAATAGTAAGATCCAAGTGTTCTCCATATTAATAGTAATCACGTACCCCTTTTGGCAGGCGGCGGCTCCACCTTTTCCCAAAGCGCTCCGATTGCTTAACTTCTCCTCATTCCAACTCACACCTGCAGCCGCCGTCTTCGAATCATTGTCATTCCCTTCGAGCAGGTCTCTCTCTCACTATCATCCCACATTCGTTTTACTTTTGGCCTTGTCTCCCAACTGCGCCTCTCCGATCCTTCCCTGCAACACCCTCCCCCCAGCCTTCCGATTGTGATCTATCGATCCCAGTCTGGCCCTGTAAATCCTCCGTCTTTATCTCCCTCGGCCTCCCACGCCTGGTCTTTCTTGCTCTCTCTCTCTCTCTCTCGTCGCATTTGATTCCCTATCTGGATCAACTAGTATTAATTACCTGATCACCAAATTTACACTCATTTTCCAACCCCACAACATCGTCGGTCGCCTATCTTCCCCGGCACTATACCTCCCCTCGGTACCTCCGGAACGCACCCCTTTAACAACCTCACCTCCGCTGTCGCTTCGGAGATCTGCAAGTTCGCGTCTCAGCATGCTTGCTCTTCAGCGGTACACACTCTTTCATATTCCCCGTTCAGCTACTCCGCCACTGTCTCCCAAATCGCGTTTGTGATTCCGTCCTTATCCGACCCGTATCCTCCTGTGAGCTGTCCGGTGGCCGTTCTCTTCCGACATGGCCACCAGTCGCAATAATCCTATACCTCCACCAATCCACCTTCCGGCCACGAACCTCGTGTCTCATGCCGTGTCGCCGATTCCATCGCCAAGTCGACCGACACTTCCAAGCTACCAGTCACTCGATCCATTACTCGGCAACTTATCCCCCGAGTCCACTCTGGAAGCGCTGACCTCGACTGACGCAGTACCGAAGAACGAACCGGCCCATGATATCCTCTCTAAAAGCATATCTCAAGTCTCTCAAGCCGAGCGAGCCCTCGGAATCCGTGCGGCTGTTGCGGCTCAGAACCTAAGTCTATGGTATAAAGAAGTACAGGCATGGGAATGGCCGAAACGCACGGATGCCCAACTGGGCAAAGGATTCCTTCCGCCTCTTACCACGACTTCCAATGCCTCCGATCCAGACTACCTGGGCAGCCTTCCTGCAGAAGTTGTAGCGGAACATGAAAAACGGATCGAGGAAATCCGGGATGGAATGGAGAGTCTAGGGGTCGATGAATTGAAGGAGCACGTTTTGAATGCCCATATCCCTTCGCGGTCTCGGCCATCTTCTTCCACTAGCAATCTTTCTGGGCCCCCTCCCCTCAGCTATGTGCAATTAAGTGACTTCACCGCCGTCATTACTGCCACCATTTTACGCGCTCTCCCACTTCTCTCTCGCCTAAACAGTCTCCTTTCCACGTGGGATGTTCGGCTCTTAGTTCTCCGCCAAGTTCCCGGGCTACTGTGGAGTCTGCGCTTAGCTCAATTGGAATTGGAATCGGCCTTAGCCTTGTTGAAGACCTCCGTTCCCCCTAGCGAGCAGGATGCCTTGTATTCTACATCGAATTATCATGCCAAGCGCGCCGCGCTGGAGTTGACAGTACTTTCGGTGGGACGACGAATGGACCGTATGCTTGACGCGCTTGAGGGCCGGGAGGATTCATTGCCGGAGAACTGGATTGATGAGTTAGAAGCCATCGAATCTGGTTTTGGCAATTGGGTCATGGACGCCGAGAAACGGACGGTTGAAAATGAGTGGCAGCGCATGATGGCCAATAGATTGCAAGCCAAAGACCATCCACCCGCACTAAGTTATTCAATCGCTGTATCAGGTGCACATAGAGATCCCGAGAACTTTGTCGTCCACACCCCGGAATCATTTCCCCAAGCTGCGCGCCCACCTTTGATGGAAACAATTGACGAGGAGCCCGGAAGCCCTACCGAGGCCTCGGCATCCTTTGGAGCTATGCTGGATCAGTCTGTCACTATCTCGCAAAAAATTCAACAAGCTTTCCCCCATGAGTCCGACGCATCATCCTCTCTTGATGGCACAGAAGCGACCAACGACACCTGCGAAGCCAGTGGGCACCCGCAGCAAGCCGATACTGTAATTGAACCCATCGTTGCCCCGGAGAGCAGTGCTCCCGACATTGTCGTACGGAACGAGTCGCCTCTTAGCGAGAAAGGACATGAAAAGGCACACCTCGCCCATGTCGAGCAACCGGCCCCAGATTCTACATGTACTGCCGCAACCGATGACGTGCCTTCCTCCGACCTCTACCGGGAAGTAGTTTTAACTGCATCGTCCGACTTTACCTCGCCGAGAAAACCAGTACCTACGCGTGATCTCTGGAAGCAAACAGCAGATCCTTTCGTCGCTCAAGGCGAGGATATTAGACAGGCAGAACAACCTCCACGGACGAAAGGCTTTGCTAGCCCTGATTCCTCTCCTGGAGCGATCAGTTCCCCAGCCAGCCCAAATTCGCAAACCGAAACTCAAAGTGTTGTGATACGGAGACCGAAAAGTGTAACAGATTCGCCCAATACGGAAGAACCGCTAGAGTCACACGGTAGCGAAACGTCGACGGTCTTTACTAGCGCCGAATCCATCGATGATGACCCTGGCCAGCTACCGTCTACGACAGTTGAAGATGAAGCAACGACTTTGCCTAGCGTCGCTGTTGAACCTGCTCCCATCGATGTTGCAGTCTCGATGGCGGTTAACCGTGATAGTTCACATTCTTCTCAATCCAGTAGCCCCTCGCCGCTGGAGTCTTCTAAGCCTTCCCCCTCGTCAGAAAATGACAAAGAAACGCCAACTCCATCGCCAAGGCAACCGTTGGATAGCCCAATCAAACTTTCCAAAACCAGGAAAGGGCGTTTGGATCTCGCGGAAACCACGATGTCTCGTGGTCGACGAATATCAGGCGCCTCCGCAGATTCTTCCGATTATCCATCACTCGTTTCTAGCCCGGACGTTCGGGGCCTGCATACTATCTCTTCCAATGGAACACCCAAGCTCATTGAAACTCCTCCGTTATTCCAGACAGACTACCAGCACTCTGGCCCCATCCCGACTAACAGTGATCATACATTGCGGGAAGACCGCTTACTGCGCTTAGATAGCGAGAAGTCTCCGCCTACATCCTTAAAACAAAACCGAGCCCTGAGCCTTCCCCTACAGCGGTTTATCAACGAAAGACTGGATTTGGACTATGAGAATGAGTCAAGTACTGATCTGACCATTCCGGCTATCGACAAGCAAGTTGCGGATGCGCCTGTACGTCCAACTTCACACAATGATCACCAGCGTCTACCATCACAAACCAGCAAACAGTGTCAGCCCATTTCGCCCAGCGGTGTTCGACGCGCCGTTGGTAGGCGTGCTGAGGTTCCCTGTGAAGAAAGCAACTTCCCGGGGTCCGATATCGTTACTCGTAGACAGCCTAAAGGTTGGGAGCGCACGAAGAACACACCCACAAGGGATTCAACCCATAACGCTGCACTTTCCGAGCCACCTGTTCTTGCAACTGCTACCCGTGTTCGAAAGCAGCTGACCGCACACCCTAGCCTTGAAAGCATCGGGGCATATAAGTCTACGCCTCGTCTTTCTAGAGATGTCTCAGCGAATGAGAGGACGAGCTCCCGGCCGTCGACCCCAGGCAGCCAGATAAGAAGGCCAAAGGATCATCTGGATGAGAAAATTAGTTCCATTCTTACTACTATTCCGGCTCGCATTCATTTGATGTCGGCTGAAGACCGTGAGCCTGACACGTCTTCTGTGATATCATCTTTGCCCTTAAAAACCAGAGAGCGGTTCCGCTCCATCTCCCCGCAAGGGTCACGTAGTGGTACGCCCACTCCATCCCTTACCCTAACTCCTGCTATTTCCCGTAGGAGGTATTCTCATGCTCCGGAGGAAAGCTCCGTGAAGCTGTATCATCTGCATCAAGGGGGAAAGTCCGCTCCTACCAAGCTTTTCGTCCGTTCGGTGGGAGAACACGGTGAGCGTGTGATGGTACGTGTTGGCGGTGGATGGGCGGATTTGGCTGAGTACTTGAGGGAGTATGCTATCCATCATGGACGACGACACGTTTCGGAGACGCCTCGTGTCGAGGTTCAAGGGTTATCATCTCGCGAATCGACGCCGACCTACACGCCACCTGGGAGCAGGCTGACTCGGCCTGGCAATGGGCGAACTACGCCGTCCCGACCTCAGTCGGTCATCAGTAATCGACCATCGTCCTCACTGGCTGTACACAAAACGAGGCGGGCTTCGAATGTGTCTGACATGACGGATCTCAGAGCAGCAAGTACCAACGAGACATTAAACCTATCATCCTCCCCTATGTCAACCGTCTCTTCGCGGAGACGGCTTTCGACCTCTTCCAACACCTCCTTTGGTGCAGTATCAACCATGAGTGATGCTCGCTATGGCGGAGCTATTCCACTTGGTTTGGCCGGACCGAAGCCACGGTCTAGGTATATCCACATGAGTGCGGAAAGCGAAGCGTGGGTGGAAGATGTCCTTGGCCAGACTCGGAGAAGCTCCTCTCTAAGACCTTTCTCGTATGGTCTATCCCCTCCCGAGCAAGATCATACTACCGATAAAATCCCCACTTTACCGAAGTCCAGAAGCATCAGCGATATTGGTAAAGTCGGTTCCAGCAAGCGAGTTATACTCCGCGGGCTTGGTAATCGTTAAACAGAGACTGTCGATCTATTGCTCTCTTTTGATTATTATCCCACATTTAACACTTCTTTATCGCCTCCCAACATCACCCTTTTTTTATCTACTTTTGCCTACTAGCACTGGCGTTTGCCGTTTGTCTGGGGTTTATTTGGATCGCAGGACGGTATGAAGAAAAGTATCTGGCATTTGCATTGTCGGTGTTTTCTTTTTTCTTATTCTGTTTTGGCATTGTCTAAAGGATTTCTCTTGGATTTGGTTTCTCTTCTTCACCTTTTACCAGCAGACATAGATGAGCGTCACTCATCGAAGATCTTTGGCATATTTGCATTCAAGCAAGCGTTTCGGCTTTCTGTCTGTGTCCTTGTCTGTTGATTGTTTACAATTCTTTTGCACATATTTAGATACCCTCATATACGGTCCCTACCTTCTTCTGTGACCGCTTTATGTTTATATTTTGGAAGAAGAGTACATAGGGAATTCAAGAATTCATGGAACATTCATAGTTTATCGACTATCACTTCAGATTGGGGGTTACTCACCCCTGTGGCTATGATAATAGCCGTAAATAATACGCTAATACGAAGGCCGCCAATACAACCAGCTACAGCTATCTAGCAATAACTCCATATAACCCCAGAAACAAGGAGTAAAAGTGTCAAAAAAGAAAACCACCCGAAGACTTCGAGCAGGAAAGACCATACCGAGACATAATCGTAAGAAAGATAAAATTGAGCTTGTAATCCAACCATACCACCACCCATTAAAAAGTTACATGCGCACAATACAAAAAAGCTACTTCACGATGGATCTTGTATGTGTTCGCGTCGTTCAGATGGCTGTCGCTTCCAGGGGACATCTTTACTGAACAGCTCTCTTAGCTCTGGAGAAATAACTTTGGGGTCGCTGTTATCGCCTTGTGGAGCGCTCGGCCCGGAGCTGGTGCCACTGCTGTACCCGGTGCTTATTGGTCTTTGTGGGGATTTGCCTTTGTTTGCATCGGATGGAGACTGGATGGATTTCCGTTGGTGAGTAGAAGGCGTGGGGAAGTTGTTTTTCTTATCTATTGCTTGAACCGCTCGTTCGAAGCGACGGAATAAGGATTCAGCGCGGGTAAGGATTGGAATGAGTTCCATAGTGTTGGAGAGTTCGTTGACTGTAGATAGTTGTTAAGTACGGCTCATGTTGGTATGAATGGGGGTTGCTCACTGTATTTCAAGACTTCGTCGAAATGCTTCAAGTGATCCATGATGACGTCTCGGTGTTTCTCTAGAATGGCCAACGCGATGAGTAGATGGAAACTGCTGGATAGATAATCGGTCCACAGTGTTTCCCAAAGGCGTAGGACATCCACCCATTCGAATTCGCGCTTGTACCAAACTAGAAGCATGCGGAAGAAGAAGAAAAAGTTCGTACTATCGGCAGACTGGAGGTGAAGATAGAGTTGAGGATCCATGAGTTGCACAAGATGGTCTAACGTTAGAAGTTGGGCACGCATGCCAGACTGGTCGCGAAGGAAGTTGCGTTCCTGTATATCAGACATTAACGGAGAAATCTGATTATCAGCGGAAGTGGACGTTACCATTCGGTCCATAAAGCCAACAAACGCCCAGAATGCAACTGCATCGTCCTGCATGACCGCGTATATTGGAGCTAAAAGGTCACTCATTCCTTGGACATAGCCTAAGCCAGGGTTGTATTCGTTATACGTCAACAGCATGTCTTTCATCTGTTCTAGATGAACGTTCGTCCCCGTCTCTGCAAATGGCGAGTCGGGATCTGGATGGGGGGTATCTTCCCCTGCAAAGAGAGGGATCGTGCGGTCTGTACGGTGAACATCCTTCTCTACAATGGGTTTGGATCGAATTAGCGACGGAGATAGGATAAACAGGGCAGAAATAAGACTTACCGATGCGGTTTTTCTGCTCTTTCCACCACTCATGCTGCTCCTCGGTGGAGTTCCCCTCGACCATTCGTTCCCACCAGGCACCCTTTAACCGAATGTACTCATCCCGCTTGGAATTCATCCAGGCCTGACGTTCGTCACGAGTACTATCCCATGGATACACGCCGAGAAGGAAAAGCCATGCTATCTTTCTGACCCCGTCGTTCGGGTCTAGACCCCCATGGAATATCCTTTCTTTCACCTCTTCAATAGTAACCTGTAATCTTCCCGTTGTTGGGTCAAAGAAACCCTCCCATTCTTTCAAAGTTACTGTCTTGCGACGTTCATGAATGGACATAGTTCCCGTTTCTAGCTCGAGAATCTCAAAATCGCCCACCGAGCTGTTCTCCATCTCAAGGACGTCCCGAGCGGTCCATATCCGTTGGTTTCTCTCGCGTTCGCTCTGTTCAGATATACTCATGGCCCATCGAGCAAGATATAGCCTGGCGCTATCGAACTCCTCCTGCAAAGTTTGGATCTCCGGTGTCTTCATCAGCCGACGGACTTGAGGAGGAATCCGAGGGTTTTCGGCAATCTCATTCGCTGTCCGCCTCGTGAACGTCGTGATCTTGCTTAGCTGTTCAAGAACCTTCCATCTAGTCTCCTTGATCGCTTTCATGAAAGGATCCATTCCTGCGTCCCGCTGTCCGCTGCTACCTTGCAAGGATGGACCGGTGGCTTGATCCTGGGATCTTGCTACTGTTCCATCAGCCGTCAGCGGCCGCCCGAACGATAGGCGATCTTCTTCAGATGGATTGAGCAAATAGACGCTGTTATCAACGGCCGAGCGTTGTACCTCCACATATTTCCGAAGCCACCTTAAAACCTCATCGCCACCCCAAAAAAGGCTACCATCCTCACCAAATGGGTCAAACGTTTCTTGGGTTCTCTTCCTTTTTTGTAGTATGGTTGATTCGCATTCACCGTCATGGAAGAAAAGAGCAGGGAAGCTATCGCCTGCACGTGTGTTGATCACAAGGCTGCCAAACCACCAACCGATGCTCGGAGGTCGTACAAGCAACGAGTATATTTCTGAGAGAGGTACAGCGAAGGCGTATAGTCCTATCGGGTCCTTATAGCTCGTGGCTGTTGGTAGAGGAGGCACCAGATATTTCTGTCGTGGGGGAGAGGAGTCACCCGCGAGATCGACTTTAACATAGGTGCTGTAGGCGTCGCCAAGCGAGGATTCTGGTACCCAAGCCAAGAGATAAGATGAGAGCTCGGCACTCTTTGGGTTGGTCGATGTGATCGGATTGGTCGCGTACGGAGCCGGTTTTTGTTGGATGAGGGCAATAAATCCGGGGATATTGTCCTTGGAGGAAGGGGTAGGGTGAACATAGACCTGGGATGCTCGGTATAGATCGGAACCGTCAGCCATTAATCGAACCGGAATGGAATTTTGGCAGCTAGCTAACCTTGCTTTTTGAAAACAGTAACTTCACGCCTTTCCGAGTTGTCGCATGTGAGATGGTGTTGTAATCGTCCTCCTCATCATCGCTGACGTCGTAGTAAGAAGGCGTCGGCGACGGCGACGGCGATGGCGGAGGCGTATATTTGACTCCCTTGCCCGCCATATTTGTTTGTTTTTGATTTCAAAATGGGCAGGACAATAAATCCTATTGATTATGGTTGGGACAAGAAATAATGTTCATCCTTTTCTAGTTGTTGTTTGAGTATGAAACTCGGATTTAATTCGCAGGTGGAATTGCGGGGGAAGACAAAAGACGCAAACGTCACGGAATTTATTAAGAGGAAAGAAAAACCCACCTGATCAGAGATGCATGTGATCTACACCCTTTCAATCTGATAATGATAACAATAATAATAATGATAGTGATAAAAAAAAGACGATTAAAAAAATTGAAAGTCTCGACTGTGTCTAGATCACCCTTTTCACTTTTGATTTTAAAAGGAATCTAAGAGGAGAGAAAGGCGTGTGGCTCGTTCCGTACTTCTATTTATATGAGTACTTAAAGCGTATCGATAACAACAGTCAGCTTCGCCACAGTCGGAATGACGGTTGCCTGTCACCCAACGCGCCCCCGAGTTCTGGTTGGAGTTTAATATGTCTACGGATTTCTATACTGGGGTCTCTGTAGGATGTACTCCGTAAATGCTGATAATATCGACAAGTGATCGAATTTATCCGATCGTACGTCTCTTGCCAGTGTTTTCTATATCCATCCATCCCGTGACTGTGTTAGGGTTAGATGAGCACCGGTATTCCGGTGTCAACTGGACAATGTTTGATCTACAGTTACACTGCCTCTTAGTTATACGAAGGAGCTCTTACTTACGTCATTAGGTGATACCCTATATAACAATAGCCTAATAGGGTCACCGATTTTTTAAAACGGGATCTCTGAAAAACTCCTGGGTATCCGGCCGAGACCGTTAGACTGCAATATGTCCAAAGTCGAGCTGGATAAACCCTTTTGCCCCACAAATTGAACCAACCCTAATATACCACCAGTAGATCGGGCCGGATGTGATATCGGAACTACAACAGCAATGACTTTCTCAGAAAGATTTACTAAAGGGAGTGAGTGACCACGAGGCAATAAGGCTTTTTTCCAAGACCTAAGCCAGACTATCGCAGTATCACTTTTTCCGGAACTGATTCACTGTATTTAGGTCGTGTCTTTCATACTACATGATTTCACAACAGTCCTTGACCTGCCACTATTCTGAGTTTTAAAATGGGAAACGTAGGTATCTAAGGGCTCTCAAAGCCCGAATGGTAAGTACTTTATAGATTAATACATGTAGGTCATCTGCGCCGATCATCCTTTTCTTAAATAAACAATTAGGTAAGGACTTTCCAACCCCTTTCCCAGATGACCTCGACAGGATATGTATCCATGACACATAGCTTCGTACACATCCCGGATGCTTTGAGTTGGCTTGGGTTCACTGATAGAGTAAGGAGATTGCTAGCATATTATAAGGTTCTAAAAGCGATCTATATCTATATTGCTGTAATTAGTAGAGAGGTCTCATCAACGTTGATTCAAGCGTCTGGCTAGGAGCTTGGCCAGCTGTTATTTTGGAGAGTTATTGATTCCATCATAGCGGCTAATAGGGCAGCGTTTTGAAAGCTGACGTCGTCTATGAATCCAGTAGATCCTCGATTGAATGGTATGCTTGTTCACGTAGGAGTACAGCACAGAACGGAGGGTCAACGCCGCGGGACCGGATCCCATAGCCCTTTCAGGAAACGATACGCCTGTCCAATTGAACGGCACATATCATGTACTTCGGTGCAGATCTATCGGCCACAATCGCATAATGGAAGAATATATAAGGTAATCAGTATTGATGTAGAGACGAAGAATTTCCCGCATTTCCAAGGTGTTCCGAGAATAGCTTTTTTCCCTCGTTATATGCTCCAATTTTGACACAGTTTATGATGGCCGAGCTTGAACGCACATTGCCAGCTTCATGGTATTGCAGCCTTCCGCTCTACCAACTTGAGCGAAGGGCTGTTTTCAAGAAGGCATGCCGGTCGCTCTTGAATGTGACATTTTGCAAGTGGCTAATGCATGTACTTAGTCTTGGTATCTTATTGGACCTGTGACGAAATTTCAGAATCCCGGCGAAAAGGTCGAGTATGAGGTTGCACAGCAGCCAATTCTGGCTTTCCGAACCTCTGGTGATTCCCCCTTGCCCGAGCCAGGCGAATTCCAAGTGATTTGTGCAAAAACAGTACGTTTTGCACCCCTTACCTTGAATGCGTGTCCGATGATTCCCTAGAGAACATGTCGGTCTGATTATAGCTCAGGAAAAGCCGCTGCGCTATCATATTACCTCGACCGGCCTCATATTCACAACCATATCCGACGAAGCACCGAGCTTTCATGAGTATTTCCCAGACCTGGAGCCATTGCTGCAAAGGGTAGATTTCACCAGACTACCCTACAGGCACAGCATCAAATATGAAGGCCGGTTCAACTGGAAGACCATGTAATCTCCATAGTTGTGGATATAGACTGTATCTTTTCTGATTTTCACAACCACAGGGTCGACGGCTATCAAGAATGCCTTCATTGCCAATACACCCATCCATCGTTCTCCATTTATTATCCCCCGACGTTCTATACCGTCCACAACCACCAGAACTTTTCGCAGCATATCGCAGATCCTCAGAAACCAGATGATGGACTGTTCCTCTATTTCTTCCCGAACTGTACACTGAACGTGTACGGTGGAGGGATGTCCTCATTCCGAGTTTGCCCAACCGAGGATCCAAACGTCACTCGAATGGAATTCGACTACTACCATATGGAGTCGGGCGAGAAGTTCGAAGAATACTTCAAGTTCGTCCGTCAGGTAGCGTTGGAGGACTACGAGCTCTGCGAGAAAGCCCAGGGTAACCTTGGAAAAGGCATTTACAGTGAAGGGATCCTGAATCCGGAGAAAGAGAATGGTGTCTCGTGTAAGTACGACTGGCTTCGACGATCGTATTGCCTAGCTAATGGCCCCTTCAAGTCTACCAGGATCGGGTGTTTGAATTAGTGTGTCAGCAGCATGCCGCAGATCAGCTGGCTGAAGAAAGTGCCGCTTCTGTGCTGGAGGAGCAAGACAAGGGACTGGAGGAAGTGTCAGCCGCGGCATGAGAATGAGCAAGTAGATGACAAGAGAGCCCCTTTATGGAAATTCTTTTAGCTTGGGGTTGTCTTTTTGTTCCTAAAGTTAAAGTTCTATAGTATGATCTGTCGACAATATTTATAATTAATTCAAAAATAAAACACCATGCAAACATTCATCTTGGGAAACAGTAAGGCACACATTAATTGGTATCATATGCATGATATTGATTTTATCCAGGTGTCACTGGAAAATCCAGCCTAATATGGTAAACCTACGAGCGGTGCACACTATTTGCTGGTTAACCTCGGAGGATGTGATAACAGATATGCAGGCATGCGGAGGAGAATCCTAAAGCTGGCGGAGTCTTGATTTGTGCTGCTCCCCTTTGTTCTCAAATAAAATCTGTTATAGATACGGTGTCCTGGCTTTTCTGACAAGGCCTTGGGTCAAGGACGTTTACTAAAGCTCACCCGAAACTCATTGATCGATCAAATCGAGCTCGCTATGGAAGCGTTCATATTCCCTGTAGCGCCCATGTTGCTTGCACTGCTAGCTAGTGTAGCGTTTCTATATCGGTTCTGGCCACACTTATTGATCCCAAGCGCTGAGCTACTGTATTCTAAGAAACCTAAAGCCTTTCGATCAGTCTCTGGAGTTGCGGAGGAAGAAAGTTGTGGAGTGTCCAAAGAGTCGGATTTCCCACCAGGTTGGTGGTCGAGCAAAGACGTTTTTGAACTTGAAAAGCGCGCGATCTTTAGCAAGGCATGTTGACTATACGGTCTAATCATCCTATTAGAGTATGGTCCATCTAACCTATACTTAGACGTGGCTTTGCATCTCTCACCGCAGCCGCTTTACGAAGGCTGGTGACTATCAGTCCTACGAGGTGGCTGGGTTTCCTATTTTCCTGATTCTAGGGAAGGATGGGGAAGTTAGAGCTTTCCACAACGTCTGCCGCCATAGAGCGTACACCGTCACAAGAAAGGAACACGGGTCTTCTGCGGTGCTTGGCTGTCGATATCACGGCTGGAGTTATAACACTTATGGCGAGCTTACAAAGGCTCCTCATTTTGATGAAATTCCAGGGTTTGATAGGTCACAGAACAGCTTGTTTGCTATTCATACGGTGACAAATGAAGCTGGACTTGTGTTCGTTAACCTTGAAGCCAGTCCAACGGTTTCGACCACCGACACTAGTCTCTTAGATGCTTTTGCTAGAAAGAATCGGTTAGATCATCAGTCAATATGGGTATCAGGGCAGACAATCGAGGCAGACTTTAACTGGAAAATGGCTCGTGAGTTGAGTTCTTGCTTCGGTTCTTGCTCCGCCTTCTGACTTTGTGGCAGTCAGGTCGAAGCAATTGACCACCATTGTCAGGCTAGAAGATGCGATGGGGAAGAAGAACTCCATACCATTAGTGGCTAGCATCCGAGGCTACTTTCAAGTGAAACTGGAGCGCTTTTCATTCCCTCCTTTCACCTCTTTCCATCTCATTAGGGGCACCGGATGGTGGTGTGCCTTGAGTTTCCTACCAATATCTGAGCAGAAAACCGCAGTCCGATACGACTTGTATTGCTCTAAGAATGAGAATTCCCGATCCCAGGAAGCTGCAGCTAAGTTAGTCGATATATTGAGAGAGAAAATACGGGAGCTAGAAGCAATGTATGCAGAGAATCAAGAGTATGTTCCAGTAGAGTACATTGATAAACACAAACCGACTGACTGCTGGGAATTTAGGAATACTGCATCTGGGCCCTCAAGCCTTCATTCCAATGTGTTGGGTATGTCTTTCATCGTCCTTTTCCCCTTCGTTCGCGGCATCGTGTTCTCCCAATATGTATCCTAAAAAATTTTCGCGGGGATAGATACCCAGAAGAATATCCTCAACCGTCTTGAAGACCATGTCAAACTGGAAAAAGCTCAAGGAACCGAAATCTTCCCAGCTATGAGAAAGCCAAGAGAGAATCCTAAGTTCCAGCAAGCGGAGCAACGTTAGTACCCTCATCTTAGATTCTGTGTGGTCCAGACCTGCTAACGATCCATCCCAGTCTGCAAAGAACTCGACTGTAAGAGTGAGTTGAAACAAAAGGATCTCGCATGGTAAACTTGTAGAACTTGGGACAAGGGCCCCCTACGCCCCCTTCTCTTTTTCTTCTCATCTTTTTTTCCTGTATCCCTTCCCTTACCTCTCCTAGTCATGAAGTTATCTCTTTTTTTTTTTTCTGTTTGCGTTCAGACCCGTCCAGCCCATCAGTTTGGATAGAAGGAACGGAGTATGAATGTGTCGGTGAAATCTTGGCATCCTTGTTGCAATCTGGTCAGTAGATAGCTCATAATTAAAAAATTCTCTGTCCCCTCAGAACAGAACCATCTACTCCTTGCATCTTGTTCTCTTATCGAGTTGGCAGGAAGAAAACTCTCCTCTGGGTGGATCAAACCGGTCGGATTTCCCATCGAATCAAATCACTCGGGCGTGTAAACCTTCCTCTTTCTCATAATCCCATTGTATTGTTGAAAAGATCAACACCACAACTCCACATCCCCTGCGCGCCGGACCGCACAGTGCGGACCCTCGTATTTTTTTTTTAAATACTTTACACTCGTCTCTGCAGAGCTTCCCGTTTGACATTTGAACATTGATCATCGACATTTTTCCCGAGTTTCTGGGACGAACATTCCCAATTACTACCTGGCTATCGTCGAGCCAATCAGACAACTTAACTAGGGTAAGTATTGTTCTGCACCCGTTTCGGTATTTAGTGCCGTGCAAGTGCTTAGAGGGAAACGAGGGATTAACAAACAGTTGATTTTTCGGGTGGAAATAAAAAAAATGAAAATGCTAACTTAAGTATAACGTGGCAGTTCAACTTGCAACTGAAACTTCTATAATGATGGCATTACCTCCTATAGCCAAGGCGACTCTACAAGCTGCGGTGATAAACGCCGGGTCCAATGTCCTGGCACAGAGCATTCAGTCATATAGAGATGAGGTAAGTCGTACTCATGATTTTTTTTATTAATTGAATTTATGTAATATGAGGGCGCGTCAAAGGGGGCCATATGAAGCATCATAATCTTCTTTTTAAGAAAAAAATCCCGGTCAACACGTGCATACTGTTAGTAATAATAGGCTGACGGATTGATCTCGCTGATCGGCGCCCATGGTCGGAGTGATGATATGCTTATTAAAGCATGCATCAAATCAATACTCTACACCATAGGAGAAAGGCGCCGAATAGCTTCGATATCATAGAAACCATTTGAACTGGATCTCCAAACGCTGTTCCAATTCACAACATGCGCCTTTGTGATGTCTCCCATGACCTTTCTGTGGCTAGAGGGTCTGGAACTGGCGCTTCCTGGCTATGACGAGAAACCCGCCACCAAACCCAAGAAGGGAAACGGCCAGAAAGAGAAGAAGTTAAATGTGAAGAACACGGTGGCAAAGATCGTGATCGATCAAATTGTCGGTGGCGCCTGGGCCACGGTCCTTTTCAGCCTGACCATGGGACTGCTGCGCGGTCAGGAGTATGATGCTCTCGTGGAGCAGGTTCGCAATGTACGTTTTCCTTGTAAAAAAATATCCAATATTCTTTCGCAAATTGGGTGATGGGGAGGCTGACTTATGGTTGAATAGGAATTCTGGCCCTTCCTGATAGCAGGGTTCAAGTTATGGCCGTTTGTTTCAGTCCTGAATTTTACTGTCGTGCCGGCAGATAAGCGGTTGTTGGTTGGTAGTATGTTTGGTGTGGTTTGGGGGGTTTACCTGAGCTTGATGTCTGGGTGATAGTCTATCGGGGCGGTTTTTTTTGTTGAGCATTGAGATATTTGGGGTCGCATCCGACCATGTATCTACTGTCAGAGAATGAAAGCATTGGTGGAACCCTTTCAGTCTGATAAGAAGAGATTAAAAAGGAAAGACGCAAGAATCGGAGGGAAAATGTTCTATGATACACCGGACCCAAGCGCTGGAATTGAACTCATCGAAATGAACAGAAGTGACTAGGTTGAGCGAAATACCGTTATTTGCCCCATCCAGAGTGTGCGGGCCAGTAAGATATTGAGCAAAGACTTGTTTCTAGAGAGAGTCCCGTCAAACAAAGTAGAAAAGGCAACACAGCTTGTACTATTCAAGTACCCAAGAATGATCTGACCCTACATGAAATCTAACCACGGGTCCCCCACAAGCAAACTGTTATATCATCACCGCTGCCATACCACACGATATGTGCGTACCTGAACACATGCCGAGGCGAGAGTAACTCCCGAGCCAGCCTGTTCAACAGTTCTCGTGGGGATCATCAGGAAGGATATTTATATACATATACTCACAGAATGGGTGGGAGGGAGGGGGAAGTGTAGCCAACCTGCAAGACAAAGAACGATGGTGGAGCCTGCTCTATAAAACTTATCTACTATAAGATGTTGGGGGGCTTGGGGTTTGCCCACAACTCTAAGTCAATTTAGTGGTGGAGTCGGGCAGATCAGAGAAAGGCTTAGAGTCTGTTTTTCCCGACAGTGGGCCATGTTTGATAACGGCATGGCAGCGTATGTTCCAGGGAATTATTGGACTAGACTTGAATTGTCTCATGCAAGGTAAGCTGCTGTCGAAGATATAACCCGGATTATCGCCATTCCACATGATGCTACGGCAGATAGAGAGGCATGGAGAGGGGCTAAAATGGTGGTGGTGCTTTTGGGGTAATCCCTTTTCCCCGTTCCCTTGCATAAGACTCTAAAATCATTGGCGAGGAACACTGGCTTTACGATACGGTTAGAGACGATCTTCTAAAATTACATACATACACACATACAGACAGACAGGCATACTCGACTAATTAGTGTCAGAAAAATATAAAGCGGAAAAAAGGACTACTAACAGACACAATGTATAATTGACTTGTATTAATATCTTAGTTGATGTGAAGAATACTGGATTTGGATAGGTGTGGCACAGCCCCCAGCGAGGGATCAACAACCTACTTATTGACTAAACTCCGTGTCCTGATTTAGCACACTTGAGAATCTTGATACGAACTGGTATGCGCCGATCAAGCCAGGTTTCTGGACATTAGATGAATTGTGTCTGTATGGGGGAGAAGAAAAGGGCTGGGAAGAACAAGTCAAGCCTCAAGGACTAGAGATAAAAAAGTATCATGATTTCTAAGTATATATCATGGAAACAAAGAGAAAAAAAAAAGAATCTCACCATTCCCACATACTCTCAAACCCTCAAGAGGATACTACCCTTAGTGGTAAGGGTACTGTACCGTAAGCGTGCTTTTTCCCGTGTGTCACTCGTGACCCTACTAAAACTCACTGTGCTTTAGCCCGAGCGTGGCACTAAATTAGTCTCCCCCCTCAATTCACGTTCCCCAACTTGCACATTGGCGTAAGCCCAGTGGCCTAAGTGTTCCTCAAATACCCCCATAATTAGATCACATCATGTCTCTCTCTGCAGCAACACGACCAAACTTCCATTCCAGAGAGAAGCCTGGGCCTATTATAATTGTGGGCCACCGGGCAAAGGTAAAAAAGGAGCCAGACACACGGTGATAAGATTGAAGTAGCATATGTTATAAGATCACATTCCCTCATCGTGTTCAGCTCTCCTGCGTCATTACTCCAACCCGAGCGTAACTCTGTGTCCTTTTTCCCCCGTTAGCTGACTGGTTAGTTTGTTTTACTGAGCAACCGATCCTTCCATGATCTAGATCGTGCTAACATTCCCAGTCGTTAGTCTAAGTTAGCCTTTGTATTCGTCGCTCACTAGGTCCTTCAAGGTCAACTGGTCCTTGGGGTCCTGTCAAAGAACGGGAACGCGCGTGATTAACCTGCATTGCATTATCTCCGTGTAGTTGCTTGCCCATCTCTGACCCTGCATGTTTTGGGGATATCGAATTGCCGGGTTTCATTCGCGGTGATAGGCCCTTGACTAGACGTACCACTTCTGTGACGCGAGGCAAAGTCGGAATTGGGGCAAGTGTGGATAGCAACGAAGACAGCCTCTAAGTGCCAGACGGAGGCGAATGTACTGGATGGGAACAAGCCCAAGACCCTGGTTTGTCTGGTCCCGCCGTCACCACAGCAGCGTTTGACACACCATATCTGTACAGCCTCTATCTGGCTATCACGAACAGTCCAAGATGGGCATACTAAGCTCTCAGGCTGGTCTTTCTTCGTCCGCCCCCGGGTCGTACAAGACCCCGGTAGCAGCAAAGCGGGAGGCTCTGGCGCACGGCTATGCAAGTAACGTATGCTGGTTTGATGCGGAGGAAGATCTTGGTAGTGAGGACGGGTCTATCTCACCTGTATCAGATCAGAGCTCTTTGAAGTCAGGAACCCGCTGGGCTCGCTTTTTCCCTGAACTATCATCTCATTTTTCTCTTGTATTGCCTGTCAGCACCATTACACCGGCGACATCCTTATCTTCCTCCGAAACGCTACCTTTCAACGATCCCCGACGCCACGCTCCGGATGATGTAAGACAGAAAGTTGGTTGTTCCTGGTTGTCGCCAAACGAACTTGATAGCGCCTCTTCGTGCTACAGTCGGAGGTCCTCGGTATCAACCCTACACTCTGATTCACCAGGGCCCGCCTCTAAATCGGCCATTACATTTTCGATATTTTCCCCCGCTGATGCAGGCATCTTTGATGACCCGAGGTCTACACGACGGGCCCGTTCTCGTCCTTTAACAAAAAATCTGTCTGCAGCTGAATTAAGGGATAAACCTCTTCCACGCGAGCCTGCCATTCGAATGACCCCGCTCTCTGTCCGCCAGCCAAAGCGACCTGACCCCCCCGCATCTACATCTGGGGATGGTTCCATTTCTGCTGTGAATTCGCCAGCAGGCGAGCACCAGGTTAACGGCCGGTCAGCCCTCACTGTAGCGACTCAGGACCTTGAGAACAATCTTGCCGGGATTACAGGATATCCGGATTCCCCCACCATCCCTTTACATATACTTAACGAGCCATTGCAGACAAGGGATTCCCCCAACGTCCCTTTACATATAATCAACGAGCCATTGCAAATTAGCAGAGGCAATATGGAGATGGTTCCTTCCCGTCCGGCACCACAACCGCCAGTCGATATGCGACGAAAGCGGAAAGTCGAGGCACGCGACGAAGGAAAGTCTAGAAGAAAGAACAAAAGCCCTTTTTATTTTAATTTGCCCGGGTTCAGTCGAAAATACAGCTATCTGCATTCCCGGTCTTTCAGCAGTCCGATTATGCGAGCAGAGGCGGAGTCTTCAACTGCTCGCGCTCAGGAAGACTCCGACTCAAAGGAGCGAAGGAGAAAGGACGATATGGCGGGTCTGCCTAGGTTTCCGAATCCGAATCAGATCCAGGAGCCTTTATCTAAGTCCATCGAAAGGGAACTGCGCTGGCAATTTCCACGACTGCAGATAAAAGAGACCGAATCTGTTGGCCAGAAAGGTCATAAGAAGGAGGCCACTGCAGAACTCAAACTAATGGAAAGAGCTCAGAATCTCGAGAAGACAACATCTTTGGCAAATGGACAAAACCATGATACGTTGTATGAGAAGATATTCGTGTCCTCTACTAAAATAACTGCTCCTGCTCCTGACGATGTGTCTCACAAAATGCATGGGGCGCAAGCCCCAGAGGCGATTTATGAGCTCGAAGGTGGCGTCCCAGAACCCTCAAGCAAGCCTATGATATCCGATTGCCAGCTTGCCTCACAGATGCTTGCCAACCTGCCTGACAAGGTTGTCCTCTCCTTGTTGCATCAAGTGTGCTCACTCGATGACCTTTTTCGTTTTGCTATCATTACCAAGCAGTTCTATCATGTTTTCAAACAGCATGAATTAGAACTAATCAAAAGCGCTGTATTTACAATGTCCCCTCCGGCGTGGGAGCTACGCGAAATGAGTCCCCCTTGGAGTACGGAATGGCAGATTCTGGTAGATCCTGACACACCAGTTCCCGAATATACTCCTGCCCTTTACCTTCAGCGCTATGCTCAAGATATCTATACCCTTACTCAACTTAAATTGCTCATTTTAACTCGATGCGAGACTTTTCTGCGCCCAGAGACGATCCGCGGCCTTTCAGGCAGAGACGATGCTCGCGCCGGGGATATTGATGAGGCCTTTTGGAGAATCTGGACATTTTGTCGTATCTTCGGATGTGGGAAGAGCAGAGAGGGTGATATTGTTGGCCAAGTGGACTGGTTGAATGGGGGTGTCATGGCTGTTAGCGACGACAAACATGGGTCTGCGGCATCGGTCACTGAGCCATTTGGCATGTATAATGTTTTGTTCGAGCCTCCGTCAGGGTTTGGGCGTGGTAACGGAGGCGGCTTATCAAATGATCAACTGTATAATATGACAGAGATATGGACCTGCTTGGGCGTGCTGCTTCAACCAATTCACGGGAGGTGCAAAGAAGCTCGTGAAGCTGGAATATTTGCCGGTCACCAAGTAGCGGAACACGACAATGCTAGGGCAGAAACTGTGTTAGGTCAATTACACCCTTACCCTTATCTCCGTGTCTCTCTCTTTGCCCAAACTAATACATTGAACAGAGGAATGGACTTACTATATTCTCACACTTGGTCCTTCGGCGGTATTGAATATGGCCTCTATTGGTCCTGGTGGTTGTGCGGCGGCCTTCAGAAGAGCCCAATTGATCGGCCTGACCAAGTGGGAACGTTCCGAGTCTGGCACTAGCCGCTCGTCTTTCCTCAAGGAAGCGGTTTCAAAGGCCTATAAGCCACGGTGTGATAGTCCACAACAAGGATCCTCGCAAATTCCGCAGGGCATTTCCCGATCTTTTGGCCACACCACTTCCCCATCGGCTATTAGTTCTAATGCGGTCCGGCTTCAACTCGAGAATGATCGTCGGAGACAAGCTGTCTACGCCGAGCAGCTGCGAAACCAACGGAAGCAGCCACAGAAAGCGGGCTGTCACTCGTTCGCAGACGAACGCCCGATCTCAAAATATTCTTTCATCATGAGTCGACTCGAAAGTATTCCTTACGAGCAACGTCCCCCACTGCCTTCACCAGCCACGATGGAATCCTATGTTGCTCGTGCTCCAAACGCCCAATGTCCACCCAAGCCACTTCCCATCTATCAACCGCAGGTCCGTGACCCTGTTGACCAGGCTATGGACATGATGGTCCGAGAGCTTGGGTTTAAAGAAGACGACGCCAAATGGGCGTTGAAAATCACAGATACTGGAGAAGGAATCAACGCCAATGCCGCAGTCTCTCTACTTCTCAGAGAACATCAAAACTTCCAACGCAACGACAATGTTGTCTCTATGCGCGCATATCGCAGTAACAGCCTTTTGTCTTCGGTCATAAGCAGCCCAGAATCCATGAATTCTGTCTGGAGATGGGCCTAAAAGCCAACTATACACGACAGAAAAGCATGTAGCTTATGCCCTCGTTCAATCTTTCATCGCTCATCTTCTGGTGTGAAGGCTTTGCATTTCCAATAAACCCCACGATATACATACTTTCGAGAGTATCAGCGCTGTGCACCACTTCAGATCACGAATCATTCCCATACGCGCATGGCTTCAGCTTGAGCCTTTTGACACTATATAACACAGTTTGATACCCACTATGTATGATCCTTTTCCTTTTTGAATTCCCATGATTCTATACAATAGATGCTCCAAGGCAACATTGATAAACTGCTTCTCAATTTTACTCTGATACTTCAATCGCAATTAATAGAGTATTTTCCATGACTACCGTACATTTTGAGGATTTGCCCACCATTAGAGCCATAAATCATTACAGTGATGACCGATCAACTAAAAAACGCCACTTTTGCCCTTGACATAACCCATAATGCGTGCAAACAAATAAGCCGGACGATTAGAACGCAACCGTAGAACTGAGGCCATCCAGCTCACGCTTAAAATTCCGGTGCTGACTGATCTGGTAGAAGAAAGTCCCAATGAAATCCTTAGCATCCTTCACAATCTGCACACCTTCCTTGAAGCTCTCGGGCTTTTGGATCTTCCCCGCGGTGATAACACCATACCACTCAACCGGCTGCGGGTTATCAGACGTCGCAACCTTCACATCAAGCGTAGCGCCCAGCACCTCCTTGATAAGAGCCGCTGCTTCCCCGGTGGCGCCCAAAGCCTTGAGATGACCAAATGTCTCTACAATCCAGTAGCGGATCTGGCCATTGCACTTGAGGCTCTCTACATGCGGACCACCGGGGACGAAGGTCGCGTCGAACATCGTCGAGCGCTGTCCGTCATACTGATGGTCGGGGACGATACCCTTGGAGGACGACTTGGACTCGCCATCAGCATAGATAGGCGACCTCTTCGTGCCAATAACAAACGGCAAGGCGCCAGCCGCCGTGATGGCGCCCTTGAGACCATTGAAAGCGATAGGATCGTATCCATCGCCGATGATGATGGCGATTCGGCGTGAGGCAATAGTTGGTTGTTTCCCGGGGAACTCGGTCTGCGATAGGTGCTTGCTGCGTTTTCCATGGTTGGGCCGGAGCGCCTTATCCGGGATTGGAGCGCCGACGAGCTCGGCGACTTCCTGGGCGAGCTTGAGATCGATCTCGGCTAGACGGTGGCCGGCGAGGCGTTCGTAGACTATGGGGTCATCGCAGTGGTCCAGCTCGAAGCCAAAGGCCTTCTTGACGTGGACCTTCTCGTGCGCTGAAAGGGAGTTGTAGAACAGCTGGGCTTGGTTGTGATGTTCTCGGAACTTGGGGCTGAGAGCGCGCTGCTTCAAACCGCTCAGCTTCGCAGGATAGGACGCAAAACCGCCCTGTTCGACGGGCGCAGGGGGGCCAGCCTCGAAGCGGTTGGGCCAGTAGTTGACGGTGCCTTGGGCGATGCGGTGGCGTTTAGCGCCGTCTCGGTTGTGGTTGAGGACCGGACAGACGGGGCGGTTGATGGGGATCTCTTCCCAGTTGATGCCCAGTCGGCTGATCTGGGTATCGAAGTAGGAGAAATTCCGACCCTGAAGGAGCGGGTCATCGCTGAAATCGATGCCGGGGACGATATGGCTGGTGCAGAATGCCACTTGTTCGGTCTGCGGGAAGAACTCGTCGACGTTGCGGTTCAGTTCCAGTTCGCCGATGACGCGCAGTGGGACTAGTTCTTCTGGCCAGATCTTCGTCGCGTCGAAGATGTCAAACTCGAAATCATCCTGCTTCTCCTCGGGGATGACCTGGATGGCGAAATCCCACTTTGGGTATGCCTTATTGTCAATGGCCTCCATGAGGTCCTTGCGATGGAAGTCTGGGTCCTGGCCCGCAAGCTTCAGGGCTTCGTCCCAGACTAACGAATGCACTCCCAAGTGGGGGATGAAATGGAATTTGACGAAATGGCGCTTTCCTTCCTTGTTGATGAGACTGTAGGTGTTGACGCCAAAGCCTTGCATCATCCGATATGATCGGGGAATAGCCCGGTCGGACATAGCCCACATATACATATGGGTAGCCTCTGGGTGAAGATAGACAAAATCCCAAAAGTTATTATGCGCAGTTTGGCCCTGAGGCACTTCGTTATGTGGCTCTGGCTTGACGGCATGGACTATATTTGTCAGTTCTCTAGGCTAGTTCGTGAGTTGGGGGGCGATGCTTACCAAAGTCTGGGAATTTGATGGCATCCTGAATGAAGAATACTGGGATGTTGTTTCCTACAAGATCCCAGTTTCCTTCATCTGTGTAAAATTTGACCGCAAAGCCACGAACATCACGGACCGTGTCAGCGCTTCCCTTACTGCCCTGGACAGTGGAGAAACGAAGGAAGACCGGAGTATTCCGGGAGGTATCCGTCAGGATACCTGCATGAGATACATCTTCGGCACTTTCGTGAAGTTTGAAGTTTCCAAACGCAGCGGTGCCTCGCGCATGAACGACTCTCTCGGGAATGCGCTCATGATCGAAGCGGTGAATCTAAATTTGGTCAGTCGATCTGATCTAGGTATGGATTAATCCTGAACAAAGTCATCATACCTTTTCTCTTGCGATCTGGTCTTCCAGCATCATTGGTCCCGAATGTTTGTCATCTACGGGCCTCAGCCAATGGTCCGTATCGCTGATGCGCACACCATGGTCGGTGGTCAGCGGCAGCTTGCTGGTTTGTACATTAGTCGTGTCGGGGGCTAGATCTACTAGCTTCTTATCCTTTGACGCAGCGCCCTGCACTGCTTCTTGGACCTTCTGCACGCCCCCTGCCACAATGTTGGCCATGCTTAGTTTTGATATAGATATAGAGTATAGATAAGGGGAAGATAGATTAATTCGAGGGGAAGGATATGTTCATCAGACAGTTCGTTGCATACATTGAAGAGATGAGAAGAGGATGTAGAAGTTATAATGAAGAAGTTATAGATCGAGTACATATTAACTAATGGTTTAATAAATCATGTTTTCTGAATGGTGGAAGGAGAAAAACGTCATTTTGACGTTTGGTGTAGCCCACGTCACGTTGACATTTTAGTTCCTCTTTTTTTCCTCTTTTTTTTGTTCTTTTTTCTCATTTCAAGGTTACAAGCGAAGATGAGTAATTGTTTTGTACCATTCATCCATAGTATGTCATACTACCTGATCTTCCAAAGATCTAGACACTATGATGTTTATTGTTCGTTGTTTGTTTTTTAATCGTCATCGGTTGCCTTATGTATATACACTTATCGCTTATCGCTTATCATGTATTTAAACCACTCTTTTCCTTCTTTCCAGGGGTATATATATCCTGTACAGTATACTATACACTCGGTAATAGTCTTGTAAACTATTAATCCCCGCTATTTTCCTTGCCGATGGATAGATACAAACTTAGACCTCGATAGAAATTCTCCGCGATGTCTAACCACACACCCTTGATTGATGGACTAACTTTCATACCAGATAGTAGGGCTAAAGGTTAAATCCAATCAATTGATTCGAATTGAATTGATTGATGCTAGGGTGAATAATGGCATTCTCTCTGTGAAAGTAGCCAAAAAAAAGGTACATACTCCGTACATACATACCACATACACTTCTAGGACTCTCCATACCTGGTATCATCAATCATCTGTATTGATGCAATTCACGTGTTCTCAATTCTTCTTCATTGCCCATTGAATACAAACTCTCCAAACCAATATCTTCTCTTGACCATCTTCAGCGACATGCCCAACACTTTGCAGAAGTATAGAAACGTCACGCCCCGACCGAAAAGATCAAGATAAATCACCCGGCATAACTATTGCTAGACTAGTACATCAATTATTGGCTCCCTGTCCAACTGGGAGGGTGACCATTTGTGATCTGTCACTTCACTTGATTATCAAAGACTCCTACCCTGCAAATTATGGCAGGTGAGACGCCAATTCTTTTGTTCCGAACTGCAAAGAGGGAAAGATAATAATTAATTACACACAGCGAAAACATAACGTTCAGGGGTAGGAGAAAAAAAAAGTATAGATGTACAATGAACGTATTGAGATCCTGCGGTGAGCATAAACACTGGTGGGCGAATCTCCAATCTCTGGCTAAGTTCGACGCAAGGGGTTCATTGTTTATTGCGCAGGGGAGCGAAACGAGGGCAGAAGAACAAAATCTCCAAGAGAAGCTCTTACTGGTTGATCTCATTGCAGTACTCTTTGGTCGCATCCGCTGATTCGCCTAATGCGATAGAAATGGCCATGGCCAACGATGGCAGCGAGCCCAACAAACCCTTTCATCTCCGTCCAGAATGCGTCAGTCAATCAGTCCACCCGTCGACGATTCAGCTCCCGTTCCTTTAACATGGTCCCCAGAAACCTCTTGTTCCACTAGCATGCGAGGGGTGACGGAAACCGAAACTTTCCCATTTCCCGCCTTGAAACAGGGGAAGTTATGCGGCAAGACCGTTGACTGTTGACATCCCCATGGAGAAGTCGAGAATCCACCAATTGACCCGCATAATGCACTCTTGCAAATCCTACAGTTCCTTGAAAATGACGCCGCACCCGGCCTCTGGAGTTTGACCTCTTTCTTGGGACTGTCAGACAACTCACGACTGTGGACCTCGAGTGTTTTGTTTCTTACACAAGCAGGTTTGCTTTTGGTTTTCTTTTTTTTCTTTTCCTCTGGCCTACCTCCTCCCCTTTTCCCTTTCGTGTAATGACCATGGAGTACGATCGTTACCTTTCACCGACTATAGAACGGTAAGTATTGCAATCCTGTGTACCGATCCATTGCCCGCTGACTGCCTATGCTAGGGATGTCGACGACAAACTGCAGTCGGAGACGAGGCGAGAATTGGAGAAGCACATCGTGTTGAGTGATGCATCCCACACGACGAGGCTAGGAACAAAAACGCGTATCCTACGAGCATCCGATGTTTTGTTATCCTTGGCAGGCAGATCCACGAGCGGTATGCTGCTTCCCGACTACCTACATACTGATGCATAACGGATGCTTGATGGAGAGCTAATCAAGCATGACCTGATGCTGTAGATACGCAGGAACCGTCGGTGGGTGTGGAAAGCTACCAGGAAGCCCTTCGCCTGTTCCCACCGTTTCGCGACGATGATGGGGCTACTCTGGGGACGATCGATCACCGATGCCCGGATTGTGATGCTGTCTTTTCTTCGCCGTGGGTTTACATCGCATGTGGAAAATCGATGGTCGTTGGTTGACCGGCTGGTAGGAACGAATTGAAACAACATTACCTTACCAAGTACTGTCCTGGGGCTGCGATTGCTGTATATGTGATGACACGAGATCGGTAGATCGTTCGCACACTCCTCCTTGCTGCATTTGCTAATTGGTTAACCTTAGGTTGATAACAAAGGGCTATCGTATGGAGAAGCGTCTTGTTCCACTCGAGTCCCGCCCAATTCGTTTCTATTGTGGTAGTTGCGAGAGGCATTTCGCCATTGATGAACATGAACCCCTGGATCGGCAACGGCGTAGGATACATCGACCCCATACCCGAGCGGTGCGACTAACAGCTTACAGATGCGCCGTCATTTGTTCAGTGCAGACATTGTGGGGAGAAGTGTAACATCTCGTCAGTCCCACCTCATCGTGCATGGCAGCCGTGCAAGGGTGAATCCTTTGTCTAATAATTTATAGATATGAGCCAGTACTGAACGACCCCCGGGACGACGTGAGCTTTCGAGATATTCAAAGGGATATTGCAAGTCCCACCGACAGTCGGAGCCCCAGCATCGCTCAGATGGGCTCTCGAGGACCCAAATTCCCGCCAGTGACAAGCCCTAACGATCAGCCCTTCGTAAGAAAGGCCAAGAAGCTACGAGACTCTTTGTCGCTCAGGAGTATGCTCCCTCCCGTAATTGCTGATACTTGTAACTAACTTCAGGGAGAGTTTTCACAAAGTGATGAAGATGAGCTCGTAGCAATCAGCTTCGCAGGGTTATACGATCTGGAAAGAGGTACGCCTTTCAATTGTTTCATGGATATAGAGCCCTGTATTAATGTGCCCTCTAGTGCATGCTCCAAACGGCATCTACCAACCCTTCGAAGGCAACGCAACTGAGCCACATCCAGACCAGTCAGTGACGAGTGTGGCCTCCAGTGGTAAGGCCTTGCAACGACCCATAACTGCCAAAGTCTAAACCACTAACGGGCTAATGGTTAGGAGTCAACGATATACTAGCGTACAGATCTAAGAGATCCGGTTTAGCTCTCTGCGAGGAGAATGAACACCACAATAATGATATGCACGACTCGGATGGCGAATTGCTTGATGACAGTCAAAACCAGACAGTACCCCGCAGACAATCTTTCCTAGAGAAGATCTTTGGCCGGAAGGTCGGCAAGGGTAAGTAATGCAGATTTCACAATGGAACCTAAAAAACTCATTTATTTAGGTCTATCGCGCGCACGTTCAACGTCGGATCGAGGCAAAAGATTAATCAAGAAAGCAAACAACATCCGATTCTCTTTTGTCACCAAGTACTCGAGAAGTGAAAGCAGGGCAGCTACCCTAGAAAGCGTACGGACTTCGGTAGATATGGAAAAGGCAGCAGAAATCAGACAGCAGGCAAACCAAACACCTATTCAGGATGCCGGATACGTTGCCTTATTGCGAGAAACTCAGAACATATTCATTCATGTACAGTATCTCTCTGGGGGAATTGTAGTCCATGATGCATCTGGACGTCAAAGAATACTTGAGATGGATGAGGCAGCACAGCTCTTCTTGCAGCTGAGGGACGAGCTCGCCGCCGCTACTGTCTGGTCACGAGCCCTCACTACACGACACCGAGCAGAGGCAGCTTTGAAGCAAGGAAACTCCCGAGCAGCTGTAGTGGAATATCATGACGCCATGAGGATGCTAGAAACCACCCCGGCACTGGATATTGATAAACTGTCGCGAGCCGCAATGCTACATTCAATGGGACAGGCTTATCGCAACTTGGACATGCCTGCTGAATCAGAAGCCTGTTACCTGGAGGCTTTAGGTCTATATAAGCGGACCCTTGGGCGTGATGACCCTAAGAACTTTTCCGTTTTGCACGACCTTGGAGCTCTGTGCGAGAGAGACGGATACGCCACAGAAGCAGCCGCACTGTACGAGCGCTCATTTGCAGGACGATTGAAGATACTTGGGCATAATGCGCCGGAGACACTGAGTAGTATGCAGGACCTTGCTTCTCTAAAGGTTTTACTTGGCGACCTGGAAGCCGCCTTGCTCCTGCTGGAGAAGGTAGTTCCAGCACTCGAAACGGTCTTTGGTCTGCAACACGCAACAACATTGACTGCAATGAATCAACTGTCCATTTTGTATCAGAAACTTGGTTTGGATAAGGAGTCTCGCACAATAAGTGGCCGGACCATTCCGCATTGCAGAACATTCTTCGGCATCAATAGCCCTATTACCAGAGATGCAGTTGTCCGATATCTCCAGAGCTCTGAGAACTTCGACTTCCCCGCTGATATCAAAGACATCCTTGACCACTACCAACGGTCCCGAGACCCAGACTCCCTGCGTGTGGTCCACCGCTTAGGGAGATCCTACATGGATGCCGGTCTTAATCATGACGCAGCAGAGCTTTTCGAAGCACTCGTTGAGGATTTCATAACAGTTAAAGGTCTCGAAGCCCCCGAGACATTTGATGCGCTCAGTGCGCTATGTGTCTCTCGCGAACATCTCGATTCCGTCGATAAAGCAATTCTTGCATACAAGCAGCTGGTCAATATGGCAAACAGAACACCAGAAGATCACCACTCACGGAAACGAATCGGGTACGCAGAAAAGAGAATCTCAGAGCTCAATCGACGACGAGACATTCTCGCTACCGAACGCAAAGAATGGACCTTACATGAACCAGCTCAATGTGAGAACTGTGCAACTCCGACGACAGTTCTCTGTAATAGTAAGTCCCCTTCTTCTGCCCCAATCATCTTCTACTCACAGCCACACTCACAGCTTGCAAAATCTTCCGCTTCTGCAACGAAAAATGCCACAAGGAAGGCCTCCAGACCCATTTCCCATACTGCATCCCATCCGTTTCTCTCCGAGAATCCAAATCCCTCGCCGTGAAGCCCAAGTGCCCCAGCTCAGCACGCGATCAAGCTATCTCCAAGATCCGACGTGTCGACAACACCAGAACGGTCAATGTAACAGCCAGCTACACCTTCTACCTCGACCCGCGAAACTTCACGACCTTCCGAATGAAGCTCAACTCCGACACAAACACCGTCATACTCTTCTCCCTCGATTCAGACATCCAATACGCCACTATCGATAACCCCCTTTCAGACCCCAACCAAGGAGAATTAAGCAGCCGATCCACTTCCCCATCCTCAACCTCCACCGCCAACCTCAAGGGCGTCCAATGGCTCTCCCCAGATAGACAAGAAGCCATTGTCTACGTGCCCTCCGAAATACCTCAACCTCAGTCCCGCTACGTGCTCGTAACCCCCGGGCGAGAGATGCTCAAATCGGTCATCGAGAAGCGAGTCAGTGTGCGCGGCGGTAATGGCGAGAACGAGCGATTCCGTGCACTGGAATTACCCGACGATGAGCTTATCGAGTATGCGCAGGGTCTGCTGCTTACTGGGTACTTAGGGGAGGCGTTTATGTATGTGATTGAATGGGTGTGGAGATAGACCAGGCTAGTATTTTCTTTTTCTTTTCCTTTTCTTCTATTCTGTATCCATTGCGGTGGATCTAGGTGGGGGAAGTATATATATATATATTTTGTTCCGAAAGGGGGCTTCTCATTTTTTGCGTTAGGGAAATATCTCTCTTCATTCTGTCGTCTTGCGGTCACGATCATGCACTGCTGTGTTTTGTTTAGCATCTATATCACTTTAGGTTGTTTATCATCAACTGGTAGTTGTTTTCTGTCCTAGCAGGGTGTCCTTTTTGGGTTCACCATAACTACGTGGTAAAATATATTGAAATGACGAAAAAGACACCAGAATCTCGCGAAACCAGTAATGTCTATTTCCGAATCTATTTACCATTTGGGTTCACACGGATTCTAACAAAATCGTGTACTGAAACATCCATGAGCCCCAGGCAGTTTGAGAAACCATTTACTCTTCTCCAAACCCAAACGCTCTCCGCTTGTTTAAAATAAGAAAAGGAAAGTAAAAGGTACAAGGGTCATATATCAAATATACAAACACGGTAGGTGCATGTAAAGCGCTGATAAGTTCGTTAATCGTAAATGGAAAGCTTTAGTGCTGAAGAACTGGTCCTTACGAATCGGGCTCGTCGTCGTCGGATTTGTAGTTATCACTGTCACTCTCCCAGTCGTCAGCTTCGAGGGACCGGCCTCGAATGCCGAAACTAAGTAGAAACCCAACGAAGGAAGTGCCGGCGAAAACGCCAAAGGCCAACGCTTCTCCCTTGGGCTCGAGCCTCGATGACAGACTGAACAGACCGCCTGAAACGAACGGACCTACTGCTCGACCAGCCGCCGATAGGGTTTGTGCAAGGCCATTTAGAGCTCCCAAAACTGTGTGATCAGGGGCAGAGTTCGTAATCTATGGTCGGAAGGTTACTAATTGGTTGCTGAACATTAGAGATTGAAAACGAAGCAGACTTACCAATAATAGTGCGCTGGTTAAACCTCCAACAGTAGCGATAGTCTTCACTAGCAGCACTGCGCATAGCTCAAGAGCTAAGAGCGCGGTTTTGCCAGACAATCCTCCAGAGTCATCACCCTTATACCCAATAAAAGGCATCAGAAGAAAAGCGATCACAAAACCAAAGAGACCAGCTCGGTAGGACCATCTATTCCCCATTTTATCCCTCAACTTGCCAAAAATACAAATCTGGAAGATGATTGTGACAAATCCAGAGAACCCTTGCGAAAGTCCAATCTCTGAGGGCGTAAGGCCACGACCGGTAGGAGGGGCAGCCTGAGAGAATATCGGGAAGAGCGCGTTGTAGGCGACGTTGCACAGTGAGAAAATAAGATACGTGAGAAGGAGTAATACAGTGTCCTGATTCAACAGTTCACTTGCCGTCAAACTTGCCTGTTGATGACCACGATAACCAGAAGCCTCTGAAGCCGAGTCAAGGTCGCTGTCATAGCCAGCCGTATCTGCGGAATCCTGGCGAAAAGGGCGATACGGGATAGGGTGAACATATCTTGCCCGTTTCGCAAGGCTCGTAAACTGCCACAGCCAGGAGAAGAAATCGCGGACTCTCTGACGCAATTTAGGCAAACTTTCGGGCTCTTCAAGGCTTTCTTCCAAAAAGAATATTGACACGACAAAATCTACGACCAGAACTGTAGCAGACATTAGATTGGGTGCGAGATACGGATACGGGTTAGGCTTGCTGCTATCCCAAGGGCTGTGATGAAAGACTAGCAAGCCGCCCACTAAAGGACCCGTTATGCCTCCAATACCATAAAGAACTGGGAGGTAGGTGAAAGCCTTTGACTGATTACTTCGGTCAGTGATCTCACCCAGGCAAGTGGACACCAAACCCTGGTTCCCATTGACTGCGCCCATCAAAGCCTGCACGACAATAGCCTGAGCCAGTGTTCTGCAGAAACCAAAAGCGACAAAACATGTTGCTGTCAATATGGTGCCCAGCAAAATAACTGGCCGTCGTCCAATTCTGTCCGACAGCCAGCCCCAAAAGTAGTTCGTTGCAAACTGTGCTATCGCGAACGCAGTGGCAATTGTTCCGACATATACACCAACCATGTTTGGTTCCACCTCGGGAAAGGTTGAGGCCATTTCAGGCAAGTACGGACTGACAGAATTGAAGGCTGTCTGTTCGCACAAAGAGATCATCGCCAAAACAGCCATTTGCTTCACGGGCAATGGAGACTGTCCTTCGGACTCGTGATGGTTCGAGTCATCTTGGTCATTGGCTTCTCCTCCCGATGATGTAGAGTTCGGCCTACCACGCGATTTCGGCGGCGGCGTTTCAAAAGTTTGATAATGTAGTGTGGAGGAACGGCGCCGATTGAGGCCGTCCCGCTCAGACGTCCTCATCGTCGAATCGGGCAGTTACACACGGGGTGAAAGATACCAGAGTGTATTCAACCCATATAGGTTGGCAGCAAAATCAAGGGATTGCTTGAATGGAGCCTCGAAGGCAGTCCTAGTGAGTGTGCTGAGGCTCAATGGCCCCCAGCCTTTCACGATGTGGCGTCGACGCCGCGGCAAAGGAGTAGGAGAGAGAAAGATGGCTGGCTCTCAACCACTATCGGGGCACAAATTGAGATCAAAGCGCCTACACAGGCGCCGAGATCAACAAGCCAAATCGAGAATCCAGAGTCCGGAAAGAGTCAGTGGTAGGCAAGAGGCAACGACAGGCAAACGGCCGAAAAGAGTGTCCGATATGAAGGATGATGTAAGCCAACCAGGTCAAAAATCACAACCGGAGACCATGCTGACTCATCCGCCATCCCGCATTGGGGAATGTCGTTCTTAGTAATCTAGTTTTATTGGGGGATTTCACCTAGTAGGTTGGCAGGTTCTGGTTCGTCGTGTCCCTGATCTGAGACACTATTAAGTAGTGCTACGCAATACGATGGAAATTGTACCAAAACGCTTGGCTCACGTGCTTCGCACGTGCCACTTCGCTTTTCCTGCGTGAATGACATCATATCACAGTGGGAGTACGCCGATAAGTACAATATATACATACCTTGGACTACTACGAGTGTACGATTAGATGAGTTAAAAGGCAAAATCTCAGAAAGGACGGGAGACACGGTTGATCTCAATATAACCCTTATTGTATATATATCCCTTTTCATGCACACGTGCTCTCGTTGATTATTCTCATACACTTTGGCAACTGCCCCACTGTATAAAATGTCTAAAAGCCAGAAAAACCCACATTAGTCTTTGGACTATAGACTATAATTAAGGACAGGCTACTCAACAAGGCCTGCTGGCCCAATGGTAAGGCGCTTGACTACGGATCAAGAGATTGCAGGTTCGAATCCTGCGTAGGTCAGTTCTTTTTGCTTTTTTATCCTTCATCTACATGTATTGTTTTAGTATGAACGATAGTGCTTTTTCCTTTGTGCTTTTTCCTTTTTCTTACTCTGCTTTACTAATCTCTAATTCGTTGCTCTTTCTTCACCCAGTTTTTGGTCATGTTAGTCAATTGTTGTACACCAAGGCGACATGAACTTAGTCAAAACTAATTCCCTAGCCTAATGTTGCGTGGGTAGCAACCAAGGTTGGCGGTCACCGCTAATGTTGATACGGATATATCATCTCAATAGCGACGAAATTAATGCTGATGGGCTAGACAGAAATTACATGACTTGAAAAACAAAGCACAAAAATCAATCATTGCTCATCACTTCATCAACAAGTTCACAGCCCAAGGAACACTCAAACCTCTCAAATCCCCATAATGTTGCCCAACGCCCAAAAACACAATAGGAATACCCGTGGCGTGGACCATGCTAACAAGCGTACCAACCATGTCCCCGACAGTATCACACTTGCTGATGATAAACCCATCCAGGTTTCTACCGGTGCCGAAAGCCTGGTTGAAGTTACGCGCCTGCATCACACTATCAGTGCCAACTAAGGCTTCTCCAACCATGAAGATCTTGTCCGGCTTGGCGAACTTGCCAAATTTCTCGAGGGAAGACATCAGGCGTTGATCGTTATGACGGCGACCAGCAGTATCGATCAAGACGACGTCGAATTTATTGGCAGCTCCATACTCAACCGCATCCTTGGCCACATTTGCTGCATCTTTGCCATATCCCTTCTCATACAGTTCGACCTGGCCAGCATTTTCTCGAGCACTGAGTTCTTTCAAGTTTCGGGCATGGACACGGAGTTGCTCCACCGCGCCGGAGCGAAACGTGTCACATGCTGCAATCAAGACACGATACTTATTCTGCAACAAGAAGTAGCATATCTTGCCCAAGTTGGTAGACTTCCCCACGCCATTAACTCCGACTATAGAGATCACATAAGGGCGGGGTTGTTGTTGTTGTTTGCTTGTGGGAGAGATGACAGCATCGATCTCACGCAGCAGATCCAACGAGGATGTAGGAGTAAGTATCTTTCGCAAAGATGATTCCATAGCCTGGTGCAATGCAGCATCCACACTCTGGAAGTTTCCTGTTTTTTTCCCAACAAGCTCGCGTTGCACACCATCACACAGACGGACTGCTGCCTCACGTGCCACATTCTTCTTCATAAGATGATCCTCCATAGCCTTCAAGGGCTTTTCGAGATCGGATTCAGATAAAACCTTCCCACCCACGATATTGCGGAAAAGGCCACCGATGGCGTTGAATCCCGAACCAACGATTCCCGTGGACACACTCTTCGCTTTTCCACTGTCCGCATTCTCGAGTATAGAGTGGACTTCATCCCCCAAGTCTTTCAGGACAAACTGCCCCTTCCCAGTTCTGTGACCCCAAGAGTCCTGGGCAACAACTTCCACAGCTGGGGCTAAGGTCTCTTCACCATCCGCAGGTGCAGAATAATCCAGAATCACACCGTCATCCTCATCGGCAAGTCCATCAGCATCCCACTTCCGCATCTTCTTTCCTCCCTTAGCTATCTTTCCCTTGCGAATGTTCTCATCCCCCGACGAAACGTTTGCGCTTGCGTTGGCCGCTTTTCGCGCACGGCGAGATACCCGGTTACCAGGTCCTCCTTTAGTGGTCAGGATCTGACTCGTGACTGGCGTTGATGATCGAGAAGTCTCTGGGGTTTGGGGCGGCGTACCCTCATCAGAGGTCACCACGCCCGACGCAGCTTGCCGCTGCGCTTTAAAGGCATTAGCATACCTTCTCTGGCTTAGATGGCTGATAAAAACATACCATGGAGAAGACCGGGCACAGATGGCGGGGGCGGGCCACCATGTTCTGAGGAGACAAGCGGGTCTTTCTTGTGTTCCGCACCTGTCACGGAAGCGTCCGAATTGATTGGCACCCAGTTGTCCTCAAGCTCCCTAACTTGTTGTTCGAAGTATCTCTCGAAAGGATACTCGACCACCCTTGCGCGTGTACTTCGCAGCTGGTCTTTGTAGATATCGACGAATAAAGTCGAGATATTGTCAAGAAGTTTGTCGATCCAACCGAGATGCAGGAGTGATTGATAAACAGCCTGTGGCGAACTCGAGATTAACGACGATAGCAGCATGCTGTAGAATCAGTACATACCACAAATATTAGATCAAACTCCTTCACTCTCTTCCACTTCAATGTGTATTTCTCCTTCTTGTACGCTGGAGAGGTCGCATTCGCCGCTTGAATTTGGACTTTCTCTTCGATAAAGACATCATTGATAAGGCTGTTGACAATGTGGGCGCCTACTGGAGCGTACGATCTCGACCATAACACTACTCCGGAGGTAGTCAAAATCTCGAATGCTTCCAACATCTCGAATACTACTTGGTAGAATAATGGTGTAGTGGCGTGTACGCCGTATGTGAGGGAAGGAAGAAGATCCGCGCTGTGGGGAAAGTATCTGCGGGCGGAAAGGCTGTTTCATTTATTTGAGCTATCAGCGAACTTCACTTTCAAAGTTCAGCCACGTATAGACAAGACACAACTCCCGACCACCCCCATTCACTCTACTCTCGACCCTGCCCAAATTTTTGTTCACTACCCACAAGCTCCTCAATTAAAGCAGGTTTTCAATTCTGCTTGATTCTCCTATCCGTACTTCAAATAGGAAAACATGTACCGCCAGTCCTTCGCTCCACCGCCAGCACAATCACCTCCGCTTCACCATCCCGTCCCTCAACATGTTTCCACCGTTCCCATGATGCGCTCTCCTCCTCCTCCATCATCTCAGCAGTCCCAGGCGGCCGGTTATGGGAACCCATATCAACCTACTCCCCCGCAAGGCGGCAGTGGGACCTATGCTCCTGGATTTGGAGGGTTCATCAACGATCCTACGGCGCAAATGGGAATTCAGGTCGGTAAGACTGCCATGATGGCCGGTCAAGAATACATGGAACAGAATGTAAGCGATTTCCGAGGACCGCTACACTTGGGATTTCTTTTATTAACCCTCTTGTTTCTCGGATTAGTTCAACCGCTACGTCTCCATACCCGCCCTAAAACACTACTTCAATGTCTCCAACTCTTATGTGTTGAGTAAACTCGCACTTGTTCTCTTCCCTTGGCGACACAAACCCTGGTCTCGTCAGCAAAGTCGTGTCACGGCGGCAGCTACAGGCCCTAATGGGCAGATCTCCCATCAGCAATACTCAACCATGTTTCTACCCCCTCGCGATGACCTGAACTCCCCCGATATGTATATTCCGGTCATGGCTTTGGTCACATATATCCTCCTGTCGGCAATGCTGGCAGGATTCAGAGGCAACTTCCACCCCGAACTTCTTGGTTCGATCACGACCACAGCTATTGCAGTCATAGTGTTTGAGATACTTTGTCTAAAGCTGGCCATGTACATCCTCAGCATTAACAATGAATCGCAGCTACTGGACCTTGTGGCATACTCGGGCTATAAATTTGTGGGCATAATCCTCACACTAGTGACGTCGGAGATTGTGACCCCGGGAAAAGGAACTGGCGGTTGGATTGGCTGGGTTGTGTTCATCTACACATTCCTAGCTAATGCGTTCTTCCTGGTAAGTGTATTTGGTCGTGGTCTACTTATCCAACCAATCAACTGATGTGTTGTCCAGCTCCGTTCTTTGAAATATGTCCTCCTTCCGGACTCAATCAGTGATGCGCGCACGGGAGCAATGCACACCGTCGCCCGGTCGCAACGCAACCGTCGCACCCAATTTTTGTTCATCTATGCTTATGTTATCCAGTTTGTCTTCATGTGGGTGTTGAGTCGGGAGGGCCCAACTGCTTCGAACGCAGCTGGCTCAGCGTCGTAATAGAGCTATTGGGCCCCACTGGATTGCAAATAACGAGAGACGGCCTCACGAAGGAAAAAGTATGGCATAAATCAGTGAGAAAAAACCAATTCCAAGTGGGGAAATCTTTTTGCTTATGGGTGCCATGTAAGAAGTCAGATAAATTCAGCTGTGTAATTCCATTGTTTTAGCATAGGACCTGCTTCGGTTGGGCAGGATACTCCCCCTTGGAGACTCCGCATGATTCTAGACCATATATCTTCATACATAATGTTTATTGTTCGACTACGTTTTTTTAATTTTTTCATGTTTTACTTTTTGCGGGTAAAAAGCCCCAAGATTCTCATATATGTAAATATCAAATTCAAGCTACCTATGTATGCTATCAAAGCTCGGTTGAGAAAGCACCTATAACGTCAAACGTTAGACACGCATCCCGAACAGTGAAAGCGGTATCACAATGTGAAGTAAAATGTTCCATCAGAGATCTTGGTGATGAGGGTAATATCATTGCCAGAGGCATCAATTACTATCTAGGCAGTGCATTGTTCTAATCCTCGGAACATAGGGCGAGAGAAAATATGCAAAACGTACCGAACAGAGAACGCCATCAAGACCTTCGTTGGGTAAAGTAGAATAATCTCAAAACCTGCAAGTCTTGAATGAATTAGCGATAATCCGATGGGGCGAATGGAGAGACGACAATGTAATGAGGTTCAAAAGAATATCAGAATATGTAAGAAGAAATGAATATCATACTTCAGTGCTGTATCGAAACTCCGGCGAGAGCTTCACAGACACTGGGTCAATCGCAAATTACCGCATCATTTTAGATTTGGGGTGCTGGGAAACAGGAAAGAAAATTATATACATACCAGTAGAAAATATCAAAGAAGTCATCAAAGACTTGATGAAAAGGTTAATTCAAAAACAGTCGATCGAGTGTCATTCCCAAAAACAGCATCATGTTTTGATTTGGGAACAGAAAACCGAAGCTTTCTCTTGCAGAAACAAGAGGAAAATCCAAAAGGGCCACCAGAAAAATGAGCTTAAATGCGATGCGGTCGGAAGGCGGAAAAAGGTGAAGCTCCGAAGGCGGCGCTAATAGAACGAAGCAGCCCTAGTCCACACCGTAAGTCCCATCGACGGGCTCCGACTGGCTATTAAGCGAGAAACTGTGGGCAACGCCGCAAGACCGAAATTCGCGACTCCAGCAGCCAGAGCGACTTGTGCGTTTCGGACGACCCTTCGACAACCCCGACCACTTCGACAACAAATTCCTAGCCCGACCTCCCGGAGTCTGTCGACCGTGAGTTATTGATGCGCCCATCTACCGTACCGGTGGAATCTGCTTTACTGAGACCGTTGTTTTCGCAATTTTCTAGGAAGCCTTCGCCATGGCCGATATCGATATCAAGATTGCTCAATGGAAGCTCGTTGAGATTGGCCGTGTGGTGCTGATCCGTAGCGGTCCCTATACCGGCAAGTTGGCTGCCATCGTCGAGATTATCGACCACAGACGTGTATGTTTTAATATGATTCGTGCGAGGGTCACGGAGAGCCGCAATTTGGGTGGGAAACGGGTACTCTGAGATGGCCATGATATTGACAAAGTGTCGCAATGAAATAGGTCTTGGTTGACGGTCCTTCCACCGAGGATAACAAGATTGTCCCCCGTCATGTTCTTCCTCTCGCCCACGCCACCCTCACCCACTTCGTCATCCCCCAGCTTCCCCGTGCTGCCGGAACCGGCCCCGTTAAGAAGCTCTGGCAGAAGAACGAGATCGACGGCAAGTGGGCTAAGAGCAGCATCGCCCAGAAGACCGACCGTGCTGAGCGCCGCAAGAACCTTAACGACTTTGAGCGCTTCAAGGTCCTGCGCCTCCGGAAGCAGGTACGTGGACCGCTCTATTGATTTTGTGGATATGACGAGACCGGGGCCGGGAACATACACTGGTCCTTGCGCTGTTATCGAACATATGGAAATAGGATTGATGGCTGACAATTTATGACGTTTATAGGCTCGCTTCGAGGTCCAGAAGGCTCACGCCAAGCTGAGGGCTGCTGCTCCTAAGTCGTAGATGGTTTGCTTCATGAGGCTCGGTGCATAGTGGGAGGGGGTGCCTTTGGGACGGTTTTACATTGCTGAGGGTTTATTTGATTTCAGCACAAAACACGCTGTACGCATTATCATTGGCAGCATAAAATGATTCGAGAACCTTGATATCCTGACAAGAGGTTACACTCGTACGTCACAGAAGATGGCACACCTTTCTACTAGTATTAAGGAGGCTCTGGGTTTACTTATCTTGATATCAGCGGGCCATGCCTTTTTAATGGAAATTGGGGAATGATCCACCAAAAAACCAGAAGGGAAAAAAAAACAAAAACAAACGTAATTTTCATGACCAAGCGCATTTATTTAAATTATGTTGTATGTTGGGGCAAATCTAGAATTTAACTCAGGATCGTGTTTGGTCGGGGATATAAATTATATACGGTAATGTAAAGTTCGAAGTTGGTAGGCCAGTTAGTTCGTAGTCGCTTGTGTGTTCGGCGTCTGGGGGTCGTGAGGGGACCCAATAAGCTCGCTAACGATTTTCGGCAGCCATGACATTCACACAGCTTTGCGCCTTTCCAACTTCAACCAGACCACAAAAACCCCCTCATCCACCACAGTTGTCTTTCCTGTGTCTAGGTACGTCCAAATGTTATGTCTGGCTGTCAGGATGATTTTTACGCTCGAAACTGGTGAATTCCTGCAGTTTTCAGAGGGACCCCCCGGTTTCGTGGGCCACAATTCGAGCCTTTCAGCGTCCGAACCAGTCCCATAGTGCGAATTGCTGACCTTCGATATCATAGCCCTTTTAGGCTCCCCCAATTCACAAAATGGCCGACCCCCGTGTTGAAGAGATCGTCGATGAGACTCCCCAGGCGAACGTTGAAGATGCCGGCAGCAGCTCCGAGTCTGAGGCTGGCGATGAGCCCAACATTCCCGCCGGCGCCGCCGTCACCATCCACTCTCGTAATGAGAAGAAGGCTCGCAAGGCCATTGGCAAGCTCGGCCTGAAGCATGTTCCCGGCATCACTCGTGTCACTCTCCGCAGACCCAAGAACGTATGGAATCGATCTACCCCGCTTCCGTCCGACGCTCAACGGTGCTGGTGTCCCAGAAGACGATGAGCGGCATGGATTCGTGTCAATGCAGAGGCTAACGTGTCTCTTACAGATCCTATTCGTCATCAACCAGCCCGATGTCTACCGTTCCCCCTCCAGCAACACCTGGATGTATGTTCTCTGAATTATAAACACTGGATGTATCCGTTGGCTTACGCGATGAACAGCATCTTCGGTGAGGCTAAGATCGAGGACCTGAACTCCCAGGCTCAGGCTTCCGCTGCTCAGCAGCTCGCCGCCGCCGAGGCTGCCGCCGGTGAACACGCTGGTCACGACCACGACCACGACCACGGCAAGGGCAAGGCCCCCGAGGCCGAGGCCAAGAAGGAGGAGGAAGAGGATGATGGCGAGCCCGTTGATGAGACCGGTCTCGAGGCCAAGGACATTGAGCTTGTCATGGCCCAGGCCAACGTGTCGCGCAAGAAGGCCGTCAAGGCTCTGCGTGAGAATGACAACGATATCGTGAACTCCATCATGGCACTCAGCATATAAGCACTATCCCACTTAATTTCGCGCTATCAGTGGCTGATGTCTCTTAGCCCTGCTGGCAGGATAGCTTTGGGTGAGAGGTCAGGTTGATATCCCCTAGGATGCATGTTCTACCAAGCCCTAGTGTAAATCAAGAGTTCAAAAGAAAAAAAAGCCGAATTGAACAATCCATGCTTCCTCAATGGCCGGTAACTCTCAGATATACCAGTTCCAAATATTGCAAAAAGCAAAAAACAAAACTGTATCAGTAAGAATTTACATAGTATACTCCGTACAAAGGTCGACAATTACACCGTGCTCCTATTTCTTGGCTGTATTCGTTTGTGGTCGGAACACGGGAAAATGGTGATCACGTGATTGACATACCCATTCCAAACCTTTGCCGAGTTGATCCTCACTCCCGGAACCTCAGTCTTTGCACGTTGAACTCCCCTCTCCTACCTATATCCCTCCAATCCACACATCAAAATGGCCGCCGTATGTCAATTACGCTCTGAACATTTGGTTCTGGTTGGTTGCAATGGAATTCAACCCCGCTAACGATTTGTGTACAGCGCAGCGCCGCTCTTAAGATTGACTGGGCCAAGGTGACCGGCTCCCTAGGCCTCCGCGGCCAGACTGCTGCCTCTCTCCAGGCCTTCAAGAAGAGGAACGATGATGCCCGCCGCAAGGTTCAGCTCCTGTCCGAACAGCCCCAGACCGTCGACTTCGCCCAGTACCGCAAGGTCCTGAAGAATCAGGCCATCGTCGACGAGATCGAGAACCACTTTAAGAGCTTCAAGCCCGCCACCTACGATGTTTCCCGTCAGCTGAAGGCTATCGATGCCTTCGAGGCCCAGGCTGTTCAGAGCGCTGAGGAGACCAAGGGCAAGGTTGAATCTGAGCTCCGCAACTTGCAGAAGACCCTCGAGAACATTGAAACCGCTCGTCCATTCGATGAGCTCACCGTGGTATGTTTAGATTCGATGGATTGCATAAGTGATTGCTGGGGTAAAGATCGGCCCACTGACTCGTTCCCTTTTCTACTGTGTAGGATGAGGTTGCCTCCGCTCAGCCCGAGATTGATGAGAAGACCGCCTCTATGGTCAGCAAGGGCAGATGGATGCCGGCTGGTTACAAGGTGAGTCTCTCTGGATATATGGCCTTTTACGGGCTAATTTTTGTTTCAACTTATAGGAGCGCTTTGGCGATATGTCTGTTGTCTAAATTGGCAGAATACTCTGTCATTCACGCTTTTTTTCCTCCTTCGACCAGTGTTCTCACACGACGGAATTTACTTTTGTCAAGCATGTTTGCCAGCTAGGATACCCTTTGCGTCTGGCAGTGTGAACATGGTTGTGGGGTGTGTATAGAAACAATGTTCAATTTAGAAGACGTTTTCTGCATTAACCAACAGCTTTGTTCATTTTCGCTATAGTAAAATGATGTTAAATCCCGTCGATAACCACAGTGATGCTATCCTTTTTTTTCTAGAGCATTACGGGTTCGAAAATCCTATCAACTGCCCTCTTCCATTGGGCAGTTTATGAATATCAAGTAAATGTCAAGTATATTCATTCCCGTGGTGAGTCTCTGTATGTCTTAAAAAAAATCTAGTAGATGATATGTGTATATATATTCTTGCCGCCCTTATCGTAAGTATATTCCCGTCCAATGTTTTTCAAGGGGGATTTTTGCCGACATTGAAACCTGGTGGTACAGTCAGAGCTACTTTGTTTTCCGCCTTTTGAGTTGAAACTCCTCGAATTTCTACGCGTCACGCTCAACCACTTCCTCATCACGCTCTATACCCCAATGCTGCTCCGCGTTATATCCGTGGTAGGATGAGTCACGGCGCTTAATTGCAACACTATAGATTGCACAGCTCATTTCGGGTTCTCCGCAACCAGGGATAAGTAGCCAAACCCCCGCATCTGTTGTGGTCCAGAAACTGGCTGCTGTGACCCTGGCATTTGCCCTGTGATCAGGGTGATAGGTTATTCATCTGATCACACTGCAGCCTTGTGGATCATTTTATATTATTTATAGGGGTATGACTGATCAAACACGAAGATAAGAGATGAGGAAGGGGTCCTTCCCATCTCTCTCTCTCTCTCTCTCGTATTATCGAGACTGCTGAAAGGAATACATAAGCACTGGTTGGATTCGATCAGGGTTCTACTACTCAATCAACTTTGTATACGAGTCTATGAGGCAGATGAGTGAACTATTGCCACCGGGCCAGGACCGGTGTCACTTGGAAAATCTACCTGTGGAGATCCTTCAGGAGATTTTCTTCCGCTGTCTTGAATTCAATCTCCCCCGGGCCTCCTTGTATATCTCGAGGGTCCTTTCTAACTCCACTATCTACACTTGGCTTATTCGACTCGGGTTCAGCAGTGCCAACCTGGGTTCAAAAAATGATTTCTTTACCCCAGACTTTCTACCACCACCTTTGAACTACTTTGCGCTCTCTGAACAGCAGAGAAGGGATCTTCAAAATGACATTCTCGCTTCTCGTTGGTGCACGCTACCTTTGATACGCAAGTGCCAAAGGGAGTACGTGGAACATGCCATTCGTCGGAGATGTGGAAACCTACACTTGGCCCCTGAAGACCAATATGCTCTGGCCAACGTCAAGAATCGCTTCGGGGACCTGGAAGGTTGCGACAAAGGTTGGGGAGGATATCGCAGCAAAGGAGACATGATTCTCAAGGCTCGGGACCGGGACACCGACGAAGACTACAAGGTCGCGATATGGTTTCATTTCGGGGCGTTTCAGGTCCGCAAGCCTAACAAGCTGTTTACCGACTTCGATCTCTTTCGGCTTCCATGCTGCTTGCCGGAGTTGCCGCCTCGTATGCCGGGCAAACTGCTCGGCGCGCCATGGACGGACACGAAACTCGAATTTCTCCAACTACTCTCGATGGAAGCGTACATCGACGAGGACGACTCGTTCGACCGTTCCCGGCGCCTTCTTCGACAAGTCATTCGGGACCGTGATTTTGCGACTTTCCAGCGATTGATCAGCATGCACATCCGCTGCCAGTGCTATAAATACCCGCTGCCCTGGCCCGTTCTCCCCAACCACTTCCAGGTAGCATTAAAGTATGCGGACAAGTATGACGATCCGTTCATAAAACTACTAGTCGAGCAACGTTGGGAGGACATCCCAGCAAATCTCCTACATCTTAAAGACAATCTGATGGCGAAAGCGGGAACGGGCCATATATGTTAGATCTTCTTTAACTTTTTGGGATGAAGCAAGCATCTATTATTATGCCATTACTATAATACAAATTTGGGGAATAGAACTAAGGAGGAAAGAACAAAGGACCCGATCCAAAACAAAAACGAAACGTCATGCGTATCCATCGTAAATCATAGCCCGCTGTTCACTAGAGACTTAGATTCTAGACCGCCGCGTGCGCCTTGTTCCTCCCCTCCTCCGTCCACAGTAGCCGCAGGTAAGGCAGGAGATGATCACGTCGAATAGGGTGACGACACCGTCGATGATGGCTTTGCAGACCGAACCGATGGTGTTGACGATGCCCATGAGGCAAGCGCCAATGGCGTGGAAGACACTTTGGATCTGTTGTCGGCTGTTAGAATATATCTCTGATAAGGGGGCGGGAGTGGTTGAGAGGTAAAGAAGGAAATCATACACAGGATACAACAGCGCCCATCTTGAAGCTTGGACTTTTTTTTAACAGATTCGGTAATGGTTTGAAATCACTTTCCCGTAGAGCCTTGAAAGTATTTATTTTTCTCTTTCGTGGTGGAATAGAAAACTATGGTACATTGAAACTGTTCTGCTCCTCGAACCCAGACATCCACGGGGTATATATATATATATATTTAGTATCCAACCCTATCCTCCATCCCAAGAGTCAATTCACCACGCAACATCAATGATGTATGTCCCTACACCACCAGAGACAAGCTTCACCAAATCCTTAACCTATGAAAACGCCGCCATCTTCGTCATACTGACATCGGAGCCAAAAACGCTTCTTGATTCTCTTCGGCCTAATCAGGCAAGTTCACGAGGATCATTACCAACTGATCGGCAGGTGACTGAATCCGCGTTCGCCACCTGGCAATTAAACTCTTCCTGTTGGAACCTTAATCACCATACTTATACTGGTGGTTCGTGCCTTGAAAAGGACCTGAACTATGAAGGGCCCTGTGTTGGGTCTGACGTCACCCAACCCGTCTATTATTGTCTGAGGCCGAAAATGGGTAGGGTTTGTCAGATGATTCGGCAGCCCTACCTGGTTGAAAGCTTGGACTAATTATGCTTGACATTGCCGCTTTAATGGAGACCATCAACCTCAGGCATCCATAAACTCAACCCATTGACCCACTTGATATCAAAGTTGAACCAGCAATTACTTCCGTCCTCCGTCCATGTCATCACAACAATCCCCAATCGCAGCCGATGGCACACCCCAAAATCTGAGCGACAAACCACTCGCTCCGCGCCACCGGGCATGCTCACGCCGATCCGAGTCCGCGGCCGCAGAAGAAAAAGCCCTGTGAACCCCAACCAGCAAGATGCAGGCCCCAGGCCCAAGCGCTCAAAAGGCGGCCGACCGCTGATGTCACCAACAGAACGATACACCTCCTCCCAAATCAAAACTGTCAAGCGCGCGCGCCTCATGGTCGCGAAACCGCCCAAGCCGCGCAAGAAACAGAGCAGACTGGAAAGTTTACCGGTGGAACTGATCGAGAAGATCTTCTTGTACTCGTTGAACGTCAATCTGCCGCGAGCGTCTTCATCACTGGCAGCCACGGTGTCAAGCGAGAGGATCTACCGTGCGCTGATACTGCTGGCGTTCTGGGATGACGTTCCGTCGGCGGCGGGGGCCTTTGACGCGGAGTCTGCGACGACCATCGCGAGGATCCTGAGACCGTTGGATTACGTGCGGCTTGACTTCGACGAGCGGCGGAAATTACAGAGTGCCATATTACGATGCAAGTGGTGTACGGTGGATCGGGTGTTGAGCCGGGTCCCAGATTTGATGGGTCTTACGATCCAGCGATACTGGTTCCTTGCGGGGATTACAATGTCGGAGGATGAGGAGGAGAAACTGGCTGGGTTTCTTGCGCGTGAAGAGGGGGAAGAAGAGATTCCGAGCTTTGAAGGCACGGATAAAGACAATAACCATTATACTTTATCCGTGTCTCCCTTTGTCTCAATTACTGTCACCTGTCGCGAAACAGAGGCTGCTCAGACGCACCGGGTGCTCGGCATCACTGAGTTCCCTGAAAGACTTCTAAGGGGCGAAGGCGGGTTCGCATCAGATACTATCGTGTACCTTGAGACGCTTCGCATCGCAAGCGGATTCAATAGATCAGAGCTTATGGAAACGCAGATCTCTGTGTCGCGCGACGCGCTGCAAAAGGGTATCCATGTGGCTCTGATAGAACACAACGTTGATGCACTTGCCGTCTTACTCAAGATCGATGAGTATTATTTTCGCTGCAAACATACATCCGTCACAGCGGCAAACAGTGCGCCTTATTTGCTCCCGGCTGAACATTTCCGGACCGCTGTGCGGGTCGCGCGCAATGACCCGGCGTTATTCCAGCTCCTTGTCCGCGCCAGTGCAGAGTCTGTGCCGCCTGATGACTCGGAAATTACACATTGGGCAATGGATCTTGATGATCCGTTTGGCCGGTGGCTTCTTGATCTCATGCTGCAGCTCCCGCAGCAGACTGAGGCGGCGAACGCTAACCCGGCTGAAGGAGCGGTGTTCTACCTGGGGAGAGCGAATGGACAGGTGGAGTTGGCGAGAAGGTATCTGAATGATGTTCTGGGGATTGAGGCTTTGGGGACTTGGGTGGAAGAAAGTAACCATGACTTTGAAAGCCAGTGGAAGACTCTATAAGAGAGTTTTTGCCAGTTACGTTATGCTGTTGTTGTATTATGATACATTGTTTTCATCAAGCGCATCAAGCGCCAGGCGTATTATAGATATTATACATAACAAGGTTTCAATGTCACGGGTGACATTTCTCAACCTTTTATTAATGAAAAATCGTATATCTTGACTTACATATTCCTGAGTAGACGTAGTATGCCAGCGACTCTCCCGGCCAGAGTCAGCTGATACCCCGTTTCAACGACACCCTTACACAGTTCCCATGCGCCTTGCCCATTCTGACGACTGTCATCCCCCTTCCGAATGGGATAATCAACGCGTGGTGGAATGCGGGTAGCCATCAATTTGGGGAACCGGTCAACGCAGATAGCCTTGATGTTGCTCACGCCGCGCAGCCCCTCTTCTCCTGCGAAACGACCATATCCAGATCCCTTGACTCCTCCAAAGGGCAGCTGCACCGCATAGTAGCTTCCGAAGTCGTTAACAGACACCATGCCAGCCTTGATGCTCGAGACGCAGGTTGCAACATCAATACGGTTGTAGCCAAAGACGCTAGCACCGAGGGCATATTCTGTCGAGTTCGCAATGGCAATGGCATGTGCTACTGAGTCGGCGCGCATGAGAAGGAATACCGGAGAGAAAAGTTCGGTTTGAGCTATCTGCATGGAAGGCGTTACGTCTGCAAGGAGAGTGGGCGCGAAGTAATGACCATGGGGATATTTCGGGTGGTTGACACGTTTCCCGCCGCAGATAAGACGTGCGCCTTGTCGGACTGCATCCTCGATCAGAGTCTCCAGGCGGTCGAAGGAGGCCGGGGAGATTAAGGCGCCCATGTCTGGAGCACCGGGCTTCTGCTGAGGGTCTTCGGATCTGGAGTCAAGGAGGACTGAACCAAGACGAAATGCCTTAATGCGCGAAGACACATCATCCAGAAGCCTGTCATACACGCCGGGAAGGGCAATGACACGCTCAACGCCAATGCAGTTCTGTCCAGCAGATTGGAAGACGCCTCGCATGAGAAGTGACGCAATGGACGAGATCTCATTCACTGTTCGGGCATCATCGAGAACAACAGCAGGATCCTTGCCACCCAATTCAACAGTTACTGGGATAAGTGCCTTTGCTGCTGACTCGCATACCTTGTACGCCACGGGTCTCGACCCAATGAAGGTCAACTGAGCGATGTCCGGATGGGAGGTCAAGAAATTCGCAACATTAGGCAAGCATACGACGCTCTGCACAAGATCACGAGAGTGACCACATGCCGACAGAGCACCTCTAACGACTTCCAAAAAGAACGCTGAGGACCATGCAGTTTGCTCCGACGGTTTCACAACTACACCATTTCCTGCAAAGATACCACTTATGACCGGACCAATGAAGTTGTGGAAAGGATAGTTCCAGGAGACGCAAGCTGACACTACCCCAAGGGGCTCATACGTTACCATGTTCTTTTTGTACATCATCAGGAAATTCGTAGGTCTCGATTCGGGTGTTAGGGCCTTCTCTCCATGATCAATTGTCCATTTGAGCTTCTCTGCTGTTACGAGGATTTCGCCGAATGATGCGTCGACTTTAGTCTTCCCAGAATCCAAACAACAGGCGGTGACTAGTTCATCTTGATGATCGAGCACATATCTATCGAATCGGACCTTATTTAGCACTAGGACTTGATCGAGGTCATTGAAGGTGCTGACACAACATACCTCAGCAATGTCCTCAGGACCTTTCTTCTTTCAGCAAAACTAGTCAGAGCCCATTCTGTTTGGGCCTTTTTCGCAGCTTGGATTGCTTGGTCGACGTCTTCAGTTGTTGCGGGTCTGATTCCGTTGCCTAGAATTCTCCCATCCGCAGGGCAATAGCTTAAGATGACCTTGTCGCTCCAAACCTATGTTGAAAAAAAATAAAAATTAAAGAGGTCAGTCGGCTAATGTCATCAAGGAAGGCACATATGGCAAAGCGCAATACATGATGCATGGTAAAGTAGACTTACCCCTCGAAGTTGACCCTCAAGAACCTCTTTCTCTTCTCCTTTAACGTCCTCCCACTTCTTACCATTCCAATTGGCGCGGACCTCGGGCGGAATTGGTACATTGAATGCTATGGCAGCTTCTTTCCTTCCCGAGATGTAGATACACCCCAAGTATATCGCGCCGAGTGTGACGAGCGCGACACTGATCAAGGGAACTTGGTCGTGAAGAATTGCTACGACAGGAAGGAGTGCTGGAGGAAGGTATGGGGTCAGAGCTTCCATTTTGGAATCCAGACGACTGCGATTAAGCTCTAGAGGGTGTCTGTCTGGATTCTGGAAGCGTTCAGGAGGCGGGCAGAGAGGGGAGATGAGGGAAGATCAAGCGGAAGTGGTCCGATTGTTTTATCGCAAACTCCGATAAATAAGGGTGCACGTGCCACCCAATATCTCTATAACTATCGAACGGTATTTCTGCGGAAACTTTGGGACTTCCCCTTGTCCGGAATTGGACGAGACCAAGGCCGCTTTTTTGCTCAACTTAAAATATACATTTCTATTAGTGAGATTCTTGTGATCTAACTAACTAACTATGGGGGTGTACACAGGTCAGCTTACCTTCATCGCGAGGTCAGATGACCCTTATCGCTGAGCACGTGATTGCCAAGACTAATTAATAAGCAGAACGCGTCAGGTCATGTTTATAAATCAATACTTATGTAAATGAATTCTAGTTTCCTTTGTATTTTATTATTTTCCTGAAAGGTTAATCGGTTTGTAACCAGTTCGTTCTTAACTGATTATCACCATGGAGTTCAATACACCGAATATCTCTGATTCAGATAATCAGTTAAGTACAAATCCAGAGGTAAGCATTCGGGCTATTTATAAAGTGCTTAATAACTAACTAGTACTATAGGAACCTCTGATTCCAATTTTTTTAACTCAAGCTAAAACCTCACCCCTTACTACACTTCACCTTGAGTATATTAATGATTTGCCTGAGTATCCAACAAGTCATATTGATGGTCATACATATGTTGTTGCCTTAGAAGGCCGGTCACAGGCTGAAGCTGAGCAATTAGTGCATGGTGTGAGTACTTATAAACCATTCAACAAGTACTTACTAACCACTTCCAGATTCAGTATAATCGACACCTTCTTAAATGTCAAAAACGCCCAGTATATTGCCCATTTCTTGGGTGCCATACTAGAAAATGGACATGGAGATGTTCTGGGATTACTGCATGCGAATATTTAAGCCCAGCACTATTATCTTACCATCATACATCTGTTAATGAAGCTGTTTGGCAACAGATTCAAGACTCTCAAAGAAATGTTGAAGTCTTAGAGAATGATCGAGGAAAGCGCAATGCATACAGGTAAGTACTTTATAATCAGTTCTTAACCGCTTAGTACGTACTTACTATAGTTATATAGTTATTATCGCTCAAAGCTTGCCTTTTTTAGAAAGGGTTATGCATGTATTGATCAACTCCCAACATGCAAACCAGTCTTTAAGCGGCAACCCCGATTGGTATGTATTATATATATTAAATACTTGAAAAGTACTTATTAACTGGTTTAGAATCTTCTGGGAGAAAATGATCCCTATATTGGGTGTATTAATGAAACCTCTGACTTTTTAAATAAACATCATCGGGGAGCTATTCAAGGTCATACAGTGCTTGATCTTACATTTCTAGAGGATCTTTTTAATAAAGACATCCTTCCAGTAACAGAGGAATGTACTAAGTTTGAGCCAATGTCAACAAGACGTAAATTCTGTGGTATGTGGTTTACTAACTGCTTTATAAGCATTTACTAACTGATTTAAAGGCCTAGATCATATACAGGGCCCTGGGCGCCTAGTAAAGGTCCAATGCAATGTTATTTTTAATGCTATGGTTCCTGTGGATATTACCAGATGTCCTTTCCTTTTATTTACATCACACGGTATACATAAGCATCCTCCACCTCCACCAAGCAAGGCACCAGAGAGGATCCTACAGGGGATTAAACAGATTATTCAACAGATAAGAGACCCTGCTCTTACTACAGGTAATTGGTTAATAAATGTTTAAAAACTGATTACTAAGTATTTGAATAGCACAGTTCCTTCGGAATCCACAGCTTGAGGCATTTTGTCAGCAGTATAATGCTTTAACATTATCAGAGATTCATTCAGCTTTCTGTAATAAAGATCGAATTGCGGCAATTATCCAGAAACAACGATTAATATCATATCCTAAGGGACAGGATATTGATGGACTTATCTTTTTACAGAATATTGATCCATCTCTAAAGGTTAGTTATAACTACTTCTGAAGAACTTTATAACTGCTCATCAAATACTTAGGACTATATCCAAGAATACTATCATGATTCCCAAGGGACTATGGTAATATGTGGATATAAAGAGCAGATTCAATTACTCTTTAGTCTATCTTCATTTAAGGTAGATGTGTCCTATAAACGCCTTCGATCTAGAGATATGAATGAAGTTCTATTTACATCCTTTCTACCTGATCAATGCAAAAGTAAGTAAAGTCTAACTACTTCTAAGATACTTACTAAGTAGTTATAGTAATTACTTTACTCCGTATTTTTACTACTGAGGAATCTACTGAGGGATATTACTTGCTTTTTAAGAGAGTCTTTAATCTTATTGAAAGAATTATTCAAAAGCCAGTATATTTTGATCCTATCCATGGTTCTGGTATACATGGGATTATTGTTGATATGGATACTAAGCAATATACTGGTAAGTACTTCCGGAGTGCTTAGAAACCGAGTGCTTAGAAACCGCTTGTTAACTATTTAGGTCTTGGCCAATATCTTGCTGAGATTGATCCTCGCTATCGAGATAGTACATGGCATATTCAACATATAATTATATTTTGCCGTGTACATTTTCAACGTACAATTTTAAAAGCTATTGGTTCAAGACAGCAAGGGTCTGCTTTATGGAGTCGTATGATGAGTTTATTAGAATGCCCATCTGAGGAGGATTATGATACACTGATTGATTTATTGATTAGTAAATGCTCCTGAACTGCTTATAAAGTACTTGCTAACCGCTTAATAGAATATGAAGATGAGAATGTTCAGGAATGGGCAACCCATAAAAGAAGTCCAATTATCAAAGCAGGGCTAGTTAAAGCATGTTCTGGAATTCAGCCCTATTATTTTGATCAATTACGGCACCATACAAATGCTGTTGAGCAGTCTCATCAAAAGTCATACGCTTCAGGCAAATATCTGAGCTTAGTTGATGCAGTAAAAAAGTAAGTACTCATTAACTGCTTTCTAACCAGTTAGGAATCAACTAATATAAATTAGTTCTGCTAAGCTAGATAAAGATGATATTTTACAGTATAATACCTTTCAACAACTTAATGTCCATCATTCATATCGAACTTCTAGTATGGAAGCGAATTATCTACGTCATATGAGCCGAGAAAGTAAGTAACCACTTCTGCAGTACTTAAGTACTTGGATTCTATATATTGATATTATTTTTAGGGGGCCGGAAACGGCAACATTCTGCCTTATCAAGTAATTCTGAAAGTCAGTCAGAACAATCATTTAGTCGACCTACAAGATCTGTCTCACGGTTATCATCCCAAAATAGTGAGGAAAGGTATAAATCTCTAAATAATTAACCACTTGGAAAGTACTTACTAACTATGCAGATCAAATATATCAACTCAGCATCTTCGCCGCACCGCTTCAGACCATATAAGATCAACGGAACAAAAGAAGAGGGAGCTTGAGCTTCGTAAACTAGAGTCAGAGATTGAAAGACAAGAGCTTGAGAATGAAAAGCTAAGGATTGAGCTTATGGAAAGGCGGCGGCGTTTAGAGGAGGGACAAAGTAGTTCCTAACCGGTTCTGAACCAGTTCAGGGGTAGTTAAAACACTGTTTATTACCAGTTATTATATATATCTTTTTATATATCTTAGGTTCTATATATTCAGTGGAACTATTTTATTAATAATCAAAAGTTAAGCAGTTTATAAGCAGTTAACAAATTAGCGGGTAAATATTAATATTATATATATATTATATATTATAGTTCGGTATCTGACGCAATATACTTAAGTACTTCTAAACTGTTCTGATTATAACTGCTTCTTAAGTCCTTAGAAAGTGGTTTACACTAGAGAAGAGATGCCTGTAAATTTATTAAGCCAAATACAAATTGAATGACTGTAGTCATTGAACTGATTCTGAACTGATTCTGCCTTAAGCAGTCTTAAGCACCTTGAAGGGCTTAGACGCCGCCTGCGGGGTCAATGCCCCACAATCGAAAAGCAAGAAATTGTCGCACTTATTTATGTCTTTGCAACAGTCGAACTTGCTCTCGCAGGAACTACAGGGGACACTTCCTCCCAAGCTCTCAGCTCGTCGGCGCATATTCAAAAGATGGGGCTAAGCAGTTTTTAATCAGTTAGTAAGCGGTTAGTGAAGTGATTAGGAACTGCTTACAGTACCGTCCTTCTTCAGGGGGAGGGGAGAACGAGTCTTCGGGGTGACATGGGGGGAAACAAGGGGGGGGAGACGGGGCGAGCCGGCGGGGCCGGGGGAGGGTGATGGCCGGGCGGAGGAGAGATCCATGGTGCTTTCCGCGCCCGCAAACAACCCCTTGTACCAAGCTATTAACTAAGCAGTTAGCAAGCAGCTTATAATCAGTTAAGCCATCACCGACATGATAGTAACTGATTAGGAACTGCTTTGGAAGTACCTACCAACCGCTTCGTCAATTATCTTTTGACTCGCGCGTCCCCCTTTTTCACCGCTTACCACGTCGATACTTATGTGTTTTTCCAAATGAGTTCGCAAGTTATTCGTCGCGGAAAAACGCTTCTAAATCAGTTAAAAATCAGTGAGCATATAGTATTTAAAAGGGTTAAAAATAATCACTTCCCACACACTTAGAAAGTGCTTGGGAAGAAGGGCCATACATTGGCCTTGTCACAATCCTCCACACGACAGAACACCTCGCCGTAATACAAGATGATTTCACCTTTTTCGTTCTAATCAGTTTTAAATCAGTTGGTAAGCAGTTAAGCTCCTTATCTTATGAAGTGCTTGCCAACTGCTTAGGCAGTTGGAGACCGAGGAGATGACTAACCTCATCGTATTCAGGGAGCTCCAACTGACCCGCTTCCACCTCACGTAGATACCATTGATAATAGCGCTGAAATCATCAAAATTTAGAACGTTGCATCAAGCAAGTGGTAAATAAGCAATTAGTGAGCACTTTTACATACGTTTCTAGCCAGTGCAGCCATGGCTGGTGCCGGGGGGAGGGCGGGTAATGGTAAATAAGGTGTAAAGGATATGTAAAAGTCGCTTAGATTGAAATTTTGGTGTTATGGCGTACCACCTGACCTGACGATCACATGACTAAAACCTGATTATTAAGCGCCTCAAGGGCGGTGCCACTGGGACGTACGGTCCAGCTGACCTGCAACCACACTATGGGGGTATGAATTACATAAGGCTAGCTGCCTGAGGTCTACGAACAGGTTATTGTCATGTACAAGTGGATGACTGAGGAATCAGGTGACCAAGAGCACCCGAGAAAATCGAATATGTCACGTGAACATCAAGCATCCTCCACGGTCCCCACAAAACCGCGGTACTACGTCTTGGCAGTATCGTTACCCGTGAGGAGATGAGGGATTTCGTATCTTTATCATCTTACCGGTAGAGTGGCTGTATAAGAGCCTATTATTATTCCAGTATTAGATAAATCTTGTATTAAGGCGAATGTAAGAAGGCTTGTCTCGTATCCATTACCTACTAAAGACGGTTCTCAGCCCCATCCTTTTCAACAAATGGGCCAATCGGATCGGGCCCCATGGTGAGTTCAACATCTACTAGTCTAGCATTCTCCGCGCCAAATTGAACCACACCATGTATCCGTGCCCAGTACTGTAAAGGGAATTAATTTGCGCACAGCGTTCCGTTCCATGTATATGTACAGCGTAGGCAACAGTATAGATATAAGAGCAGCCTACACTGTACATATACAAGTGTGCAGATTACTTCCCAATATAGTATCCCAACTAGGTTATCACGTGCGCGGAAAGCCTAATTTAGTCCAGGTCTATACTCAGCTTGGCTGCCAAATATCTTAACCTTGTATGGGAAATCAAAGATAACACCGTGGCGGCTATCAACTCAAGAGGGTTTCCAACTTACGAGGTTTCATTTCGTGGGGTCTTACAGGTAGTCGCCCCCATGTTACATCGGGAGGTGTGGGGCGTTGGCTACACACGAAGATATATCGAGCAATTTGATTCTTTACAGGAATGCATAATACGATTAGACCTAGCTTAAGCTATAAACATATCATTTCCAGCGCTGCAAGTAAAAGATATAAAAGAGGTCTGAGACACTACTTTTGGAGCAATTAATGTACCAAGGTCCTTCCTATTCGATTTACCAGTAAGTAAAATTCGTAAAAATCTAGAAACGAGATACAGCGGTGTCCAAAATACGAAGATAGAAGTAGGCAGTAGTAGATATTTATAACACTTGCAAGGATTAGATCGTTAGAGACCCATCCTACTTATACCACAACTTTCGTACTCTGTTGGCCAGCTTCCTAGCGGTCGTCCACACGTCCATTCACCCACCGTTGTCCATCTTCAAAAGTGTAACTTGTTCTACTTACGGATCTCAGCATGCCCCCAGATAGTTACCTCTCCATGCGAGCCTCGTGCAATCGCTGCCGATTCCATAAGCTTAAGTGCGTTGTCAACTCGGAGGGAAATTCCGGCAGACATGAGTGTGCTCGATGCATACGGGCCAAGGTCGAGTGTGTGTACAGCCAGAGGGCGCGGGCAAAACGCCAGAAGACGGTAGGATCTGGAGCGACCTCCCGGGCTTCGAGCAAAGAGGACAGTGGCCCTTTCACGCCGTCGACTGGCCCTCCTAGTGCTAGGGAGGAAGACTTCGGCGACGTAGATTCGTCCCGTACGAGCTCTTCAGAGATCCGGGCCATATGGAGCACCCCGGACTCTGGGCCTCGCCCAGACAGGCATGCCCACTCATTATCTACCTTCGGTGGTCTCGCGCAGGATCAGACAGACGTGCCAGCAGTGAGCACCGGTGGGCCGCTTACCTCCTTACCGTTAGACACAGCACCACATCAATCCCTGTCCAGCAGACATATACCGCAGTCTGTCCCTCAGCAGGTCTGCCAAGATCTCGGGTTGGGCTCATCGATTACCCTCCCCCGTTCCATGCGCGAGAGACGGCAGCCACAGGCCTATGGGAACCTTGACAACCACCTCACCTCCCCAGCTTCTCAGCTCTCGAACCTTGTGGCCGATATCCATAAGACACTGGCCTTACTCACAGCCGACTGCCGCGGCAGCAAGTGTCCCAGCTTCAACTTCCGCGAGTACCCCATTGGAACCGTTCTGCACCTAGCCCAGGACCTCATCGACATTGTTTCCAAATTTAAACCCGCCCGTGAGGCACCCACAATACCATGGGAGCCCGTTGCGTCAGATATCTCCACCTCCCACACAACATGGGCACATTACACCACAGCGGCGTCAAGTGGTAGCGACTCGCCCATCTCGTCCCTCCTCAATCAGGACTTCTTCTACCCGGACCTCACAGCTCCTAGCCCACCGCTGTCATCCACACCCCGCGGCCTTGACAACGTCCTGGACACCCCAACCAAGCTCCTGGCTAAGGGCTGCTACTTCTCCCTACGGCGGCTCTACTACCTAGTATTCACGCATTTCGAAGGCTATCTAAGCACGCTGTGGCAGGCGCCGTCCTCCCGTGGACTTCTGGCGCACAATCTAGCCAGGGGGAGAAGACTTCAGGTCGGTGAACTGCTCTCGGCGGATGAGATGTGCAGCGGTATCGACACGGCGGTTAGGCTAATGTTGGAAATCTTGCAGTCTGCAGAGGATGTTCTCAACCACCTTGATGCTGTGGGCGCTGCTCGAGGCATCCGGGAAGCGGATCCATGTAGATTTCCGATGAGCTTTGCGTCGAAGGGACAGGACGAGCCGTCATTGGTGAATGGGGAGCTTGGGAGAGGTTTTGCAGACCAGGCTACTATGCCTGTACATAGTGAATTGGATGGGTTGGGAAGCAAAGTACAGTCTCTTAGGGGGATGTTGAAAGAGAGAATGCGATGGGTTATTGATTGAATGATTTTGGTCGAACGGTGACATGTGGCCAAATACGAGTAAGCAGCAACCTTCTATTTTTAGCGCAATCTTGATCTATTTGTACGATTATTTCTTTCAATCAATAATCTTGATTATTAGCCCCCTTAGTCTTAATACTAATCCGCACGGACATCCGGCGATCCGAGCTTAACTAGTATAGTATGTGTATGGCGCTTGGAGACCAGCAGGGTATATTCTGCCCTGGATTATCTGATGCAAGTATTATAAGCGGCCAATTGTTGAGTACTGCAAGAGACGGTAGATTGAAGGGCTATCTATAGGCTATAGGTAAATCGGGGATTTTAGCGGCAATCCAGTAGCATAGGAGAGAAGAAGAGGACTGAATCGTGGAGGTTCCTGTCTACATACAATGCCACCCGACAGTTTGGTTCGGCGAGTAATTAATTATGAAACGATAGTCGCACTTTTGGCTAACCGCGCGTGGTGCTATTGGTTAACACCCCTTGTCCCTGCTTTTTCTCTTCCTAAACCCCTGTCCGTGGCCTGTTGCTTCGCACGTGGATGGCGTTAAACCTATTCTAGGTCCACTCCTGCAGAGCATTATGGAAAACATTTATTGAGTCGTCGCTGAGATCATTCTTCCCTTGACCTTACTTTCACCACACCCCCCCCTCAACGATCCATTGCACTCTACTTATCATCGCTCTGACTGTCTAACTATTATCATATTGATGAATCTTAATGCTCGGAACTAACTACGGTTGATTCACTTCATGTGGAGATCAACCCTTTGGTGTTTAAGGAGGATATGCTACCTCAACGTTTACTTGTGCTTACCCGCACAGAGAACCAAATGCACATGATCAGAAATTAGACATGTTATATTATATCTCGTTTTAAATATCTATTACCTCACGAATCATGGCGCAGAGCGACGACGCGGCCGGCTCCCTCATCATGGTGAAATGGTTGGCATTCTCTATCGCAAAAGTTCTGATGTTCTCGGCGCCGATGAACTCGTCCCACCCGTTTGGTCCGAAGTCGCTCCTGTTATCCAGAAGCCAGTTCATGCCACGAGGATCGTCAGGCTGTGCCTCGGGGCGTGAGTCGTCGGGGTTCTTGCACACGCCGTCCCTGGCCCAGATTATGGTGGTTCTGGGCGCTGAGCCGCGCTCAAAGGGCTGAGGAATGTACTTGTCTAGGGCCTCGATGAAGACACAGAAGTGCTGGAAGAGCCAGTCCGGCGGGGCATGGGTCTCCGCGCCCATTTCGAAGGCGCCGAAGATGCCCGACTTCTCTAGGAAGTCGTACATGCGCTTTGGAAGCTTGCCGAGGCCAATGGGGTTAGGAGAGTCAATCAGGATGAGACTCTCGACAACCTCACCCTCGGCAACCAGCTGCCGCGCGGCATCAAATGCTGAGACGCCGCCTGCTGACCAGCCAGCGAGGTGGTATGGGCCATGGGGCTGGCGTCGACGGACCTCGGTAAGGTAGGAACCGGTGATGTCCTGGAGAGCGCAGTTGAACTCCCGCGGCTTTGTGAGGTACGGGCTGTTCAACCCAATGACTCGCAAGTTGGGCGAGATAGGCGGCAGGGTGACGTAGGAAGTCGCCGAGCCGGCACCATCGGGGAACAAGAAGATAGTATTGGAACAGTGTTTTGTCCCCTGCAGCAAGGTGGATGTCGAACGAGGAACCTCAACGACAACAGGCTTGATCTCGTCGTGTACAAAAGCGATAGAAGGGCCCTTTCCTAAGTCGCCGGGAATGTCCCCATTGGTACTTGGGGCTGTGGAGGCAGCCCTAGACGTGGTACTCTCCGTCTCCGATGCGGAGCTTGAAAAACTGTCGTCAGTGATACCTGCAAAGACGGTGATAAAGCTCTTGAAATCCTTGACTGTAGAACACTCGTAGAACTGTGCGGCGGGAATATCCAAGTCAAGTTCTTCGCGGAAGTTGCCCAGAATGGTCAACGACATGAGTGAATCCACCCCCAAGTCCGCCAGGAGGACAGAGTCGGTAAGCTGAGCCAGGTCAACCCCAATCTCGTCAGCAATAATCACTAGCGCCTTCTCAACAAGACCGGAGGCGACAGCAACAGGTGGCTCCGCTTGTTTAGATGGTGAAGCAAAGGCAGAACTCTGGTTGGTGGTGGACGGGAGAGTTGGCAGGTTATAGCTAGCAGATTCAGGAGCAGCGCGCTTGGCCCTCTTGGTCTTGGCCGTCGAAGGGCTGGGAAGAAGCATTTCCAAGACTTTACGAGAAACCTTTTTGAAGGTAACACCGCCGCAGACGGCAATGATGTTGCCATCACGAAGAACATGCACATCACCACTATAGGTGGAGTCGTCGGAGCCAACAGCCTGCATCTTAACATGCGTCTGATAATGCACGCCGCACTGGTAGGGCTCGGTCAGATGCAGGTAGCGCCACCCGTGATTGACATAGACGTAGTCGTCAAGGTCTAGGCTGTCGCTGCAATTCATGATAAAGCCCGTGATGTGACCCAGGCTGTCGCAGGAGTATGGATTAAGGGTAAACTGATCCTTTCCGGACGGCAGGAAAACCTTAGCGGTACCCTCGAGACCCGCACTGTCAAACCAGATCTGCTGGATGCCCTGGAAAGTAGGTCCGTACTGCACCGCGGTAGAAAACATCTTGTACAGCATACCGCGGCGCATCATATGGGCGGAACCGTCACCAACCCCTTGAGTGAGTTGCGTGATACTCCTTTCGATGAGATAGAGATGGCTCTGCCAGCTCTCGCGGTAAGTTTGGGGGTCCTCGGCAACGACATCACATACTGCGTGAAGCGTCGTTTGTTTTCCAAGCTCATTCACGCTGTAGATCTGCATTGAGCCGCACATGGTCGTCCAGTTCATCTCCAATGATGCCCTGAACAATTGGGGACTGTTCTCGTTCACAATGAGGGCTTTCTCAACAGCCATGTTATTGATAGCAGGAATGTAAGCGCTCATCTCGGGCCCACGGTGCTCAATGAGGTGTTTAGCCAGGGTGAAGGCTACGTCGGCAAAGAGTGTCTAACAAGCGGAACGTCAGCATTTCGGTTTGTGGAGAGGGGTAAAAAAGGTGCTAGGTTGGACTCACCGAAGGAGCCATAGTCAACCCGTTCACACGATGGTTCTGCGCAATCCTTAAGAGAGCCGGGTCGTGCATGTCGGACTGAATTGTAACGGAGCTTCTCTTGTCTCCAAGAGTCTGCTCAACGACATCGTGGACGGAGTCGCTTAGCCTGATGGCTCTTGACTGCACGGGCATGGCAGCAGCTGAAGGGGCCTCCACTGGGGCGTCACCTTTGGTTAGACACCAGCTATACTTGTACTGCATCCAGTAGTTTGCAAGTTGCCAGCTGTACCTAGGAAGAGAGAGCACCTTGCGAGAAGATGCAAAATCGCGGTGGTATTCATCCCAGTTAACAGACAAGCCGGCCAGGTGAAGAGTGCATAGAGAATCCGCCAAAGTTCTGAAGAAGTTCTCCTTGCGACGGAGAGAAGCGCAGCATCGGAGTTCTTGTCCGATGATAGACTTGACCATTCTTGTAAGGATCGGGTGAGCTCCGATCTCTATGCACATACCAGTCCTGTCCATGATGCCATCAGCTTCGGCCATACGAACGGCGCCAAGTAAATCGACAGTCTCACGACAGTGGCGTCTGATGTACTGTGGCCCGATCATGTCATCAGAGGTGACCATCGCGCCCAGCAAAGTCGAGACCATTGGCAGTTCCTGGTCGCGAAATTCTACGTGCGAGGCTAGCTCTTCGAGCTCGTCGAGAATAGGATCAACCTGAGACGAGTGGAAGGCAAAGGGGATCTCTAGCCTGTGAAGCTTGTAGCCTAGCTGGGTGAGCTTGCCACAGAGGGCATCGATATCGGCATTGGGACCGCTGAGGACAGTATCCTGTATGCCGTTGATGCAAGCAACCTCAACCAGCATGTCAGAAGGAATCTGTTGTCTTAGGTCATCCGCCGCTGCCTTCACAGCGATCATCCCATGCGTGTTGGCTGTGCATTTCCTCTCGAGGAGAGCCGCTCGGTGGCCGCAGAGGTAGATGGCATCATTGACACTGAGAATACCCGACAACTGTAGGGCGGCATACTCGCCTAGGCTGTGGCCAATAACATACTGCGGCTTGATTCCGAGATTCATCCAGAATCGTGCCAGGGAGATTTGGATGATGCAGGTACCGAGCTGGACAACGACGGCAGAGAGTTCCTCAACTGGAATCGTCCCATCAACCAGTGGCAAAATTGACGGCAGGCCCTGGAGCCTCGCGATGGAGTCGAGTTCGTGGATGTCGGACCGGAACGAGGAGAAGTTCTTGTAGTAGCCGTTGGCCATGGCAGTTTCCTGGGCTCCCTGGCCGGTAAAGAGAAAGCCGACTTTTGGGGGTACTGCGGGAATCCCCTTGACTTCAGCAGCGACGGTCGCCGCCGCGGATAGAGACCGCCGCAGGTCTTCCAGGCCGTTGGTGACGAATGCCACGCGACGGCTGTGGTGCACACGACGAGCAGTAGTTGTGTACGAGAGCTGGGAGAGTAACTCACTCTCCGAAGCCCACGAGTTGGCAACGAAAGCTTCTAGAGTCCTCAGGTTTTGCTCCAGTGCCTTAGTAGACCGTGCCGAGACCACCACTACATGGTCCGTTCGCGGGTCTGCAGCCTGGTAGTGTTCGAATCCAGAAGATGCAGGGCCGTCCTCGAGCAACAGCGAAGTGTTTCCACCTGCCGCAGAGAAGTTGTTGATCAGCGCCCTCCTCTTGCCGTTGACAGGACGAGGCCATTCTTCATCGCGTCCCAATGCGATATGCACACCGCGGCGATCGAGATCCGTAGGGAAGCTGTGGTTGATCTTGGTCTTGATGCCACAATGAGGGGGGATCTTGTTCTTCTGCATCATGAGCAGCACCTTGATTACTGCAATGACCCCTGAGGCGGACTCGGCATGTCCAACGTTGGCTTTAACAGCTCCTAGATAGAGGCGCTTATCCCGGGGACGACTGTAGTCGAAAGCAAACGAATTAAGGACTGAGCGCATCTCCACGGCATCCCCAGCTTGAGTTCCCGTTCCGTGCATCTCAACGTAACTGACATCGTGCGGATGGATTCCGGTCTCATTCAGAAGCTTTTTGAACAAGTACTCTTGCGCGTCCGCCAAGGGTCTAGTGATTGAAACCGATTCGGCCGAGTGGTTGGTGTGTGCACCCAAGATGGTGCCAAAGATGGGGTCGTTATCTGCAATAGCATCTGGCAGTCGCTTGAGGATGAGAGTCCCAACGCCATCGGCTCGACAGTAGCCATCAGCACTATCGTCAAATGCCTTGCAGTTACCCGTGCGCGAGAGAAAGTGCCCACGGTCAAGGCCGGCAAAGTTATCGGGGTTAGTGAGAACGTTAGTACCACCAGCAATTGCTGTATCGCAATCGCCATTGACCAGAGCAGTGATAGCAAGGTTGATGGCGGCGAGACTAGAAGAGCAGGCAGTATCTACAGCAATGCTGGGACCTGTAAACTTAAAGAAGTAGTTGACCCTGCCGGGAATGAAGGCACGGTTGGCTCCCGGGATGTAATAGGTGTCGATATCCTGCGAGGAATTTACCTCACCCCAATCATTGCTCGTCGTACCATAGTAGACACCAACGCGGCTCCTCTGGGTCGAAGGGGTCCGATCAGGTACGAGTCCGGCCATCTCGAGCGCTTCGTATGCGGTGAGCAGGGCCAGTCGCTGCGCCGGGTCCGTCTGCATGGCCTCCTTTGGAGACATGTGGAAGAATTGGGTGTCAAAATAGCCTGCCGTCTTGAGCCAGCACCCATACTGGACCTGGCTAGTGTTCTTCCGCTGGCCAGTAGGGTCATAATGGTCGCGGGCAAAGCGCTCCTCGGGCACCGGCTTATGAACATCGAGGCCTTTGGTGAGCAGATCCCAGAACTCGTCGAGGTCATCTGCCTCCGGAAATCGGCCACTGAATCCAATGATGGCAATTCTGTTTGCGTCCCCTGGAGGTACTTGCGAGCATTTTAGGCCCCCAGCCTCCTCCTTGGCTAGGTCCTCCAAGGTACGACCGATGCGTGTGGTAGCACCTCTCTGAGACAAGCAGTCTGCGAGGCTCCATGTGGCCTGAGTGTTGACTGGCGTGATTGTTGTATCGTTGGTCGACGCAATTTTGAACAGGGTCTCAGTGACAAGGTCCATTCGAATCTGTTGTGCAAGGGCGCTTTTGAGGGTGTCCTTTAAAAGAGCCCCAAACGAGGTATGCCCTACAAGAGCCCCAGAAGCGCAAGAAACGAGAGGAACGAGCGTCTTATTGTCCAGAAACTCGATGCCCCTGAGAGTTAAATCTAGGACCTGTTCAAGGTCGCTTTCAGAGTATGCGAGGGGGCAGTGATAAGGACCGTAGATGGGAGCAGGGTGCAGTCTCTTGCCGGAGAATGCATCCAGTGACCTCAATGACTCGAGAACGGCTGGGGGACCACTGACGGTTGTGAAACCTGGACCGACAGCGCTGATATAGGGCTGCAAGGCTGTGGGTAGCTTCTGATAACATAGTTGAGTAGCAAATCCAATATTTATGGTGGGCTCCGTGACTGACCTTGTTCGCTGAGAACGTTGCTAGAACTTCTGACACAACTTCCTCCTGGTTCGAAGAGAGAACCGCAGACCAGCTTGCGGGTGTCGAGTAACCAAGAAGCTCGGCTCTCCTATGGACGTGCATCCCAAGTCGGAAGGCGACAGTAACGGCCTGGACTCCTAGTCTAGAGATTTCGAATACATTTGTGGAACAGCTGATAGCAGCAGCCGCAAGGGCTCCGGTGCAAATACCGAGGAAGTAAGACGGACTAGGTAGGAGATGTTGTTTATCCGTTCGAGCAAGGTAGCTTTAACCTAGTCAGTACAGTACAATCTCAAGTCAAACGCCATAACTCACTCAATGTAGTAGCCTATCTCGTAGACGCATAAGAAGCAACTTTCCAGGGCCGCGTGGGTTGTGTTCCTCCGAACCGCCTCCACGAGCAGACCGAGGCTCTCTGCCTGTGCGATTGACTTTCTGTCGGTAGATGGTAGGGCACGTGTCTCGCGTTGAATCGCCCAGAACGCTTTGCGCAGGAATGATGCCAGGATTGCATTGTCCTTGACCTGCACGAGACGTTGCAACTTATCAAGTACAGAAATGCTTTGGTCACCAAAGACATATACATCTGCCGAAGATGTCATGTTGAAAGATGGCAATGAGATTAGCTGTTGAAAGCAAGTAGAAGGTTTGGCAATGGGCGTTGAACTCGTGGTACTTTATCGCTTCCCCATCTCTCCAGGTCAACGAGACTCGCCAAACTTATAATAACTTCAGATATCGACATGATAAACATGATGAAGCGCCAGATCACAATCCGTGACGAAAACCAGTCCGAAAATTCCCAGTATGCTTCGTGTTCTCTTAGTCTTACGAAAATCTCCGAGGTTCTGCACTGGAAATTATAGTAGTCGTATAAGCCGGATCCACAGGTAAGCATGCAGAACACGACCTCCGAAGCTGTCCGAACCAGACCGAAATGAGCATAGCAGTTCCAGCTCCCAGCCGAGATTGAGCATATCTCAAGCGGACTAAATCGACATTGTAGTAAAACAATTTTTTTTCTCCTATATATATTGATGGAGCTGGTGTAGCTCACGTGTATCGGATGATTGTCTTAAGGTCTAAATCTACTTTACAGAGATTCCTTGGTGTTGTGGTCAGGTCACGTGCTTCATGCCTTAGGCTCCCATAGGCTCTGACATATTTTTGGTGATCTGATTCTTGTATACGTATGTTAAAGTTTTTAAGCGTCTTCTACTCCCCCAATATCAATTATTTTCAAATAAAATTTATATGGAAGATAGGTATTATACTTTATTTTATATATACTTACCACCATATATACTACAATAGATAATACTTAATCATTATATGTCGTGAGATAATTAAGTAAAAGACTTTTAAGATAGGTTTTAAGATCTACAAAGCCGGTAAACGATCTTAGTAAAAATTTAAGTCTAAACAGGATAAACACTATTCTACATGAATGGCAAGGCTCTTTTAAAATGGAGATACTACACTTGTCTGATGTGAATAGAGTTTCAAAGAGAATATATACAAATTGGCAACAAAGAGTTTAACTCAGTATTGACCTTGGTCACAGCCAGTTTAAGACTATCCTAAGAGACTTCCACCAGTTTCTTCGCCGCTTGCACCAGGCTGACAGGGTCCTGAAGTTCGCTTGGCTCGTTAGTCGGCGTATCAACTTTCCTCTTCTGTTCCACTCGTGTCGCTGGGCTAGCTGCATTCCGGCGTCTCTCCGTCTCGTCCTGCGCCGCCTTGACTGCCTTGTTGTAGAGGTGTCCTCGAGCAGTAAGCTCAACATCCTCCAGGACTGGCGCGGTGGACAGGGCCATGAACGCGCGCAAAAGCCAATCTTCATCGCTGAGCTTCAACATGTCCTTGACCATGGCCGCAGCCGGTCCGGGAATGCAAAGCAGTGCGCTGCAGACCATCCGAGACCTCTCCAATGTCATGGCAGCTGACTGCGCTCGCACCTGGGCATAACTAGCAAAGGCAGTCTTGATGGCCTCGCGCGGTAGCTTCTCACCAGGCACGGATGCCTTTCGAGCCTCCATGAGTTTATTGACCAAGACGGCGCACGACTCTATGGCCTGGTTAGCACCTTGGCCACCTGCTGGGGTCGTCTTGCAGGCGGCGTCTCCGACGATGACGGCACGGTCGGTGTGCCATCTTTTTGCCACGCCTTCCTCAACTGCAATCTTAACAGCCATGACTCGGTTCTTGAAGAGGTCTCCGAACTTGAGCCGTGGTGTAACTCGGACGTGGGCAACAGCCTGGCAGAGTGCTTCGGCCTCGGCCTCAGTGTATCGTGGCGCATGGGAGAGCGGGATGTCATTGTTAAGGTTCTCGAAGACGAACCAGAACACGATGCCGTCCTTGCCCGTGAAGCCGATGATGGTCTCCTGCTCTCGATAAACTGCAAACCGCTCGCCAGGGGCAATGCCCTCGGTGGGCGCCGACATTCCATAGACGGTGGAGAAGCCGATGCCGATGTCTAGGGATGAGTCAGTCAATTCTATGGCAATCTGTACGCGAAACTCACAATCATCTGCGGAGCGAATCTTCTTCTGGGGCAAGGAGGAGTCGATATGGTCGCGTACAGCACTGCGTACGCCGTCCGCACCCACAACCATGTCTGCCGTGACGGATAGCCCACTGGACGTTGTGACAACGACATGGTTATCTGTCTCCTCGATCGAGGTAACACGCGCCGACGTCCTGACGCATTCCGTACGCTGTATGCGGCGCACCATGATGGGAAGAAGCTTTGGTCGTTCGATAAAGGCGACAGGGTATCCGATCCTACGTGGTAGTGCGTACAAGTTAGACGAGGACAGTCGAGGCAAAGCGCATCTGTGAAACGAACTTCTCGCGGTACTGTCCCATGGCACTAGAATCAGACATCATGTTCCCCTCACTGTCATAGGAGAACCACTTTCTGAGGGGTATGGTAGCCTGTTCGATGTCCTCCACGAGACCTAGCTGGTCAAGGATACGCAGACCGTTTGGCTGCAGACCAATACCGGCACCTCTGTCTGACTCGAGGGTGTCACGACCCTCAAAGAGAATGTAGCTGATGTTGAGTTTCTCGAGCATCAAAGCAAGAGTAACGCCAGCTATGCCCCCTCCAGCAATGGCGACTTCGTAATGTTGCTTTGGGTTAGCCATGACGTTGGAATTGCTGACAAGCGAACTGTTATTTTGGTGGGGGGAATAATCAAGTCTCATAAAGCAGTCCAGTCACTTTTATGCATTTGCCGATGCCTCGGAGATCCAGCGTAGCCTAGAGGACTAAATATTAGTACTTACATATTCTCTAGAGAGCCACTATAGCCTTAAGTGGACAAGTATCGGCGGTTGGTTCAATGTGGGAACGGCCGAAAATATCCGAATCTAGAAAACACGAACTCGGTCTTCGCATCGCAGCTTAGTTCGTTCACGCACGGAGTGCGGAACATTTCGGTTTTCAAAAGTCAGCCAGCAACCTCTTGCTAGGTACATATAAAAGGATATGTCCATGTAGAGATGATCCACATCACAGACTTTACTGAACAGTAGTACCCCTCTCCAGATTTTCTTTGTTTCTACCTATTCAAGCAACTACGACATTTCAGCTTCATTCTAATATCCAAAAAATCCCTCCCTATCATACGGCCCACATTCAAGATGGCTATGACCGGCGTTACCAATGGTGTGAACGGCGTTGCCAATGGTGCAAACGGCGTTACCAATGGCACCCATGGCCTCGTCACCAACTCGTCACCACTGGAGCTCCTAGTTCGAGACCTCAACAAGCAGAGCAAGACGTTCACAGATTACCTCCGAGCTAATGGGCTTCCCGAGCCAAGTTTCGAGCGTGACGCACCCATCATCAACCTGCCTCCACATGTTCCTGAGGACATACAGGTTGCCAAGGAGAAGCTCCTGGACCACGCACTACAGATCTTCCAGCTCGTCGCCGGGCCTGGAGAGTATTTGCAGAATGTCATCACCGGCGTGAGTGCGTCCCTAAACCGATACTCGATGCGACGCTGACTGACTTGTCGGTAGTACCATTACATGGAAATTCTCCGGTGGATGAGCCACTTCAAGATCTTCGAACTGGTTCCCTTGGATGGCAGTATTTCGTACTCGAAGCTGGCCGCGAAGGCCGGCGTGTCGGAGCTGCGGCTCAAGTCTCTAGCCCGCATGGGCATGACAAACCATCTCTTCGCCGAGCCCGCGCCGGGCTTCATCGCCCACTCGGCTACGTCTGCAGCACTGGTCACGAACACTAAGTTTTCCGACCAGAGGGTGTGGATGACCAGTGTCATTACCCCGGTCATCGCGTCCATGGTCACAGCCCACGAAAGATGGCCCGACAGCACAGCACCAAACAACACCGCTTTTAGCGCTGCCTTCAACACTAACCTTGGTATGTACGAGTACATCGCCAAGCAACCCGAGCTATACAAGTTGTTTGGGCGTGTCATGGATGCTGTCGCCAACAGCCCCAAGAGTGACCTGAAGCACCTTGTCAGCGGCTTCGACTGGGCGAGCCTCGGAAAGGCCAAGGTCGTCGATGCAAGTTCTTCCTCCCTAAATCCATGCTGGGTACATTAGACTGACTGGTTGTATTGGAATAGATCGGCGGTAACATCGGCCACAGCTGCGTGACCCTGGCAAAGGCCTTCCCTGACTTGGAGTTCATCGTCCAAGACATCCCGCATGTCGTCGAAGAGGGTATCAAGGTCATCCGGGAGAACAACGAGGCCAGCATTGCCGATCGCATCAAGTTCCAAGAGTACGACTTCTTTCAGAAGGAGCCCGTGCAGGGAGCCGAAGTCTACCTTTTCCGCCAGATCTTCCACAACTGGGACTTTGAGAACTCAGTCAAGATCCTGAAGAACACGGTCGGGTCCATGAGCGAGGGCTCGCACGTGCTCATCATGGACTTTGTCATTCCCGAGCCTGGAAGTGTTTCCTCCGTAAACGAGCGCGTGCTTCGCTCTCGTGATGTCGGCATGATGCAGCTGTTCAATTCAATGGAGCGCGACCTAGAGGGCTGGAAGGCCATCTTAGAAGCAGTGGACTCGAGACTCAGGATCAATGGTGTGAACACGCCATATGGAAGTTTCATGTCGGTGATTGATGTAATTCTGGAATAGAGGCTTCGAAATATAAATGTTGCAGATAAATAAGTACGTTGTCCGTAAGGTAGTTAAACTATTCTGGGAATAAACCCTTGTGGCTACTAGTAGCTCTGAGGGACTTGATGGATGTCAACTACTGGTGGTTTGGTATACAGTCGATGAGTGGTAGGATGGCTCAATGTATTAGACCTAAGATAGCCCCGGTCTAGGGCCGGTGGTACCGACCAACCATGCAGAAAGCAGGTAACAATGGAGTTTATGCGCCTCTTGTTTTCTTTCTTTTACATGATCACTCAGCAGAGGAAAGTTACTTTAACTATGCCATTCGAAGAGGAATCACTTAGTTATACCTCCACTGTGTAGACTGTGAGGGAAACTGCACCAGCCTACATCTGCGGTGTCCCGTATTCTACCGGCAATGGCCTGTAGAGCGTAGGGACAACCTATATATAGAGCAACTTGCCATATACTTCTACAGTAACTGTTTTTCTCCAAGATGGAAATCCATTCTCATACGGGTGAAGTTGGCGTCTACAAAGTGGTCTCTTACTCCCAGGTGGATATTCGCTCGTCGGACAAGAAACATATCAGTCACAACTAATACACTTACCTCTCCAGCAGTGCGTTCTTATAAAAATGATAAGATCAAAAGTGGAAGGCGAAAGGCAAAAAACGAAGAGAAGGAGGACGAAAACACAACACAAAAAGAGCAAACACAAAGAGGCTCTTTCCGAAGATTTTTGTTGGCAGTAAAAAGTGCTACGGACCCATATTGACAGTAGTTAATATATATGCTACAGGCGGGTAGACGAGAAACTCGTGAATAAAAATAGTACATAATCCCTGAGTAGTAGTACTTAAGGATATATCAATTTTTATATGGATCCCAAGGAGCTTTTCATGTGTGTCCTGGCCATTCAAGTAGAGTTGAATTGAGGATCAGGGGATCTCAATGCAAGCCAATATTGTCTATGTGTGTATATGTGTGAGTGAGTTCATTCTGATCCCTTCCTTTTTAGTTAAGATAACTCTTGAGGTAGGACTGTGATGACATCGAAAATACGATGAAGATCTGGGATCCAACTCCAGGGATATACAGGATCCTACTACCACTATCCACTGTATATGACCTGTTCGCTGGGTGTTTTGTCTACTACGAACCCCTGAGATAAATGAAGGTGGCCTCCTCGCTAAGTGAATATTCAAGACCAAATGCACATGATATAGTGATTAACCGGTATATCAAATATTGCGACACATAAAATATTGATTCTATGCACGGTACTCCACTTGTGAATATAGTACTTTTCCACACACGCGGTATTGAATATTGACAGGTGAGTGGAAAATGTTGTAAATCGAGGCTCAACCAGAGCTTCAGATACGGAATAAATTTAAGACTCGAGCAGCTAAATTATAGCAAGCCATTATATAGCAAGAGTCATCCGATACATTGCGTAAGCTTGCCACGTCCGAAAGCTTACAGAGGACCACTCGGATACAGCCCAGTGACTTTGACTACTGCAAGGTGTAAAGGAGGAAGTCAGATACACTTTTCTTTGTTTCTCTAAGTTGGAAAAGAGAAGGAGATGCATAAGAGTAAGATGATAGGCAGCATTTTTAACGGGCCCGCTTCAGATATGTAGAGCATTGGTAGCAAATATTTTACAAGCGCAAGTATATCGAATGTCAACAGGTCTGCTCCGGCAACTTTTGGAAGGCAATCAGATCCATTACAGGCCGCCAAGTATAGTGTAGTTAATGTATTTCAAGAGAAGATTATTCTTGTTGCATTACTTATGTTTATTTGAAAACTATTTCACACATTTTATCCACAATTGCCTAATTTAGTAGATATAGAGTGTCACTATTATATAGCAGACTGTCATAGACTTGAGCTTACAGAGAAAAACTGGACACGATGACCTCAATAAGACTGGGGTCAATATTTTTGTTGGTATTCAAGGTAGATAAAGATAGATAAAAAAAGAAATAAAAAAAAAATAAAAATACTAAGTGTTTGAGAACGTAGAAGAATGATTAAGTACTACAGTAAAAGAAAGACAACATAAATGACTGCCTTGCTATAACGATTTAGACAATATTCTTTATATTCATTTTAAAGATTATTAAATACTACAGAAATACAGTCTTTGCATTCACATCACAGTATAGGAAAAACCTAACAAAATTAGGGATGGAAAAGCCTATACCAAGACTGAGATTAAAAGACAGAAACTAGAGAGCTATATTAGATAGAAAATAGGTGCATATAACTTATTACCTCGGCCTATAATTCTCGGTAGGATTATATAGGATAGACTTCACGCACAAGTTTACATTTAAAAAGATTGGGAGGGGGATACTGTTTTAGAACCGGATTAGACACTATATCTTAGTAGGTACAGCATGCGACTTACCCCGTGTGCCATGCACTATGAATATGTCAGAGATCTAGATAGATAGTTAATGGATTGGAAGCACTTACCCATCCTGGATTATATTCAGCCTGTCCTCCTCGGCACCGAATTCGTTTACGTTGGCAGGCTGGCTCATTATAGATCTCAAAGTGTGGCAAGGCAGAAACAACCCCACAGAGTGCAATAAAAAAAACAATAGATTGAATCTTCATCATTATTTGATAATGATCTCCTTGGTGTATAGTAAGGATTTAAAGAGGGCTTTGAGATTGATAGGAGTTCCATCTAGTGTCCGGAGCGTGGGGAGAGATCTTTATACACTCGCATCTGCCCACACCTGCTGGTACTGGGCCATACCTAGTAACCACCATGGACTATTACACTCTTCTAGAGCGGTTCCTTCATTGACGATTCATGTCATGAATCATCTAGTGTTATTTATTACATGATTGAAGCAATTGTTGCATCCCAATTTTCCCTCGCAGATGAGATGTATAAACGTCAGCGGAGCCAGACAACAGAGACCTTCAGTAGAAAAGAAGCTCAGCTCATGAGTCGTTGACGTACACTACTAATTCTTCGGTTGGTGACTATTGTAGACTAGCCAGAATAGAGTGGCAGACGGGGAGGGGAGGGGAGGTTAATGGCTCAAGCTTATCATCGCCCTTCTTTGAAAAGGCTCAAATGCGACAAGAGATTTATTCGAGCAGTCGAGTGAATAAATCCGAGAAGGTCGCTCGGCCAGCTGAAATTCGTTCTACAGAGTCGCGTATAAAGTTAACAGATGTTCCTTGGCACAGGCTAGAAATGTCACCCTTCAAGAGACATCAATCATAACCTGGAAATGAACAAATGTTAGGTGACAGAACCTCTTGCTGATTGAGAGAACACACACATGACGGGAGCCCTGAGTGTCATCCAAAATAGGCTAGCGCACCTCAATACCTTTGCGACTACGCGACTATGCGACACTATGCGAGACCGCGAGACCCGCGAGACCCCACTCGCCTGGTCCTCCTTCGCCGAACAATGACTTGAAGCATGCTGCGTTTACATAGCCCCGAGTCGGACATCATCGGACATTTCCAGTCGATGCATCAGTGCCATCAAGGCAGCAATGGATTCAAATAACTGGGCTGAGTACAGATACCCAGGGTAGACACTAGCACAATTACACAAAATATTTCACACGCGTTTCTTTGTCGCCTCGCTATGCCATCCCCACACTTTTCCAGCGTCCTTGTTTTCGGCGCCACTGGCGAAGTCGGCTCCGCCGCTGCCCTCGAGGCCCACGCCCGCGGCGCCCGCGTCACCCTGGCAATGCGAGACGTCGCCAAGCCCAATGAGTGGATCTCCTCCGAGCAGGAGCGTGCTGCTGGCTTACAGCGGATCACCGCCGACCTGACCAACCCCGAGGCCGTGACACGGGCCGTGCATCAGACTGGCGCCCAGGCGGCCTTCATCTATGCCGTACGCTCCAATGACATGATGCGCGGAGCCCTCACCGCGCTCCGGGATGCTGGCATTCAGCACGTTGTGTTCCTGTCAACCGCACAGGTCAAGAACGCGGGCGCCACCAAGGGCGACATCCGCTCCATCCAGCGCGACCACTTTATCCCCTGGCAGCACGCGCAGATTGAGGTAGGGCTGGAGGAGATCGGGATGCCGCACACAGCGCTGCGAGCGGGGTTTTTCGCCAGCAATCCGCTACGGATCTATCTTGATAGGTCTGCGGAGCCGAAACAGGTTAATCTGCTAGCGCCAGAGGTGCTCCATGATCCTATCGACCCGGCGGATATCGGCAGGGTGGCTGGTGCCATACTCGTCAACCCGCAACAGTACGCTAGCGGCCACCAAGTTACGAATGGGTCGACTCCCGGCAAGAATGTCATCTATCTCAACGGGCCGGCGCTACTGTCCCAGGCTGAGCAGTGGGACATCATCAACCGGGAGCTCGCTGCGGCGGGGAAGTCCCCGGTCAAGGTCAACCACATCACTATCGAGCAGTACCTCAAAAACCTGGCTGCGCTGAATGTCCCGGAAGTGGTGGCCAAGTCCCTGGCTAAATCTATGGTAGAGACAAGGGCGCTGTACGCGGCCGAGGACTTCGAGAAGGAGAGGAGCAATGTCGGCCTCCTGACCGGCCGGGAGGCTACGAGCTTTGTGGATTTTGTTAAGAGGGAAATTCCAAAATACTTCTAGGAGTGAGTTCCGGAGAAATCTTAGTCTGGGATGTATTGGAGGGGTCGCATACATTTATTAGCATTCATTCTTATAGAGATACAGCAGCAAGTCCTCATTTCATTTCATTTCATTTTGTTTTATCTAGCTTGTCAAGTAATGATTTTATCTAAGTGTTGCCATCCGATATTCAAGTCCGTTATCCCCGCTCGCCGCCCTGCAAACCACTAGCACTACGTTTGGTCGCTGAGGATCAACGTTCCTTAGATTGACACCGAGTCCATGTACAAGTACAGTAATAAATAATTTCATCTAATATTATATACATAAAGGGATCCGGTTCCTATTTGTGCACCCACCAATATGTCCGGCTCTGCCAAGAAACGTCATGAACCACGTACAACAACACATCAAGATAACCTCGAAGGGAGCCCAAGATCAACGCCAGAAAATGATGACGCGGTATCACCATCATCATCTACCCAGGACCAGTCTGGGAGGAAGTCTATGAAGGGGCTCAGCGTTTCGGTGCCAAGAACTCCCTGGAGAGCACCTGAAGTCTCCTTGCTATACGGAACCGAGGAAAACCCAGACAGTGAGGGCTCAGACGTTGGCATAGTTGTCCGATGTGGCGGTGTAGGCCAAGCACTGGTGTGCGTCGTCTCAGGATAATGCGAGAGAAATCCTGCGGCGGGCGGGCACGGGATAGGGTCATGGCGCTGAGCCCTCCGGTCAGCCTGTACCGGCCATCCCCGATCCGTCCGTTGTATTTCTCTCACATAGCGGACCTTGGCCATGAGCCGCCTGATAGGTCGCCAGAGGGCGAGGCGGCTCTCGTCTTCTTGATCTCCGCTGCCTTTCCACCCGTCGTACACGGTCGTCACGCAGTCCCACGCGCGATCGCACTCGGGAGATTGAGGCCGGGCGCATAATTCAGAAAGTACAAATGCCATCGCACCCCATTGGATGTGTGTCGTTGAGTACCACGTCCATTTCATGATGTCTCTATTTGTTAGAAGCATGCCCGATACTTCTAGTATCTCGATGGAAGTTCGGAAGAGGTCGTCGCGCATGTTGTTCTCTAACTGGCCGGCGCTCGCAGGGGTTCCAGGGAATAAGCGGCTCTTGTTTTTCATGTTTTCTGCTTGATACTCGCGTGACGCCACGGAATATTGTGTTGTGAGCCAGAAACGTGCCAGGATAATGCGGGCTACCGCTGAAGACAGGAGCTGGAATGGCACAGAGGTGTCGCAGATGGGCAGATATTTGCCGCGTAAGCTCGCTTCCAGGTTCTGGATCAAGACCCGACATTTTTTAGCAGGTTCTCCGGAGTCATCTGCTGCTGGAGCATTGCTACTACCCGGCCGTCTAGGCTGCTTCTGCTTTACAAGTCCTAGCTTCCAAGCTGTCTGTATGGCTTCGCACCGAATCAAGGAAAGTGTCATATCTGTTGCATGGTCCCATCGCTCAGCTGGAGGCTCTACCATCTCGGGCGACAAGTCAACGTCGTTAATGTGGAGGGGTGGCTTGGTATCCATGGCAAAGCCCTGCGCGATAGGCTCGTTGCAGTGATACTCGGACGAGCGGCTATCGATGATGCAGATCTGCCACCACAGGCGTCGACGCAACTCCGTCTCGAAGGGTTTGAGCCCGAATACCGTCCCGTCACGGTGCAGACCCATGGTTCGTGCAATGTGGTAGATGAGTGATGTCAGCGACCACGCGGCGCGCGAGTCGTCCTCGTTAGGCAATGCAGATAAGAAGAGCACTGCAGCCTGTAGCACCGTCATGCTCTGGGTGTTGAGCAGGTTGCCACGAGCGAGTGCTTGTTGCACGGCCAACCGGTACCTCTCCAGGGCAGCTTCACGCGTCTCATGGAGAATGCTGAGACACTGTTCCGGGGTAAGACTAACCACAGCCGAGTAGTGAATAGCAAAGATGAGGGTCTCGGTATGCTTATCAAGAGAGTCAAGTGAAGCAATGGCGTCCCAGTAGACGTGTGTCAACGTAGGCATGTGGAAGATGCGGACTAGTGGCGCAACATTCTCCGTGAATGCGGCGAAAAGAGTGACAGCCTGAGGCAATGAAGGGTGGAGATGCTGGAGGGAGGAGGCAATGGCTCGATAGCCAAAGATAGCGGCATTCAGCCCCAGCTGCGAGGAGTGACAGCTGGGGGTAGTAGTGGTGGTGGTGGATGAAGAATGGCCGGAATACGTTGACGGCGCCGGATCGTGAACGCCATCTTCGCTTGCGGGCTCAAATAAGAGGTCACGGAGTTCCTCAACCTAACATCGCCGCGTTAATATATAAGATGCGATTTTCAACGACGGGGAGAAGGCCTTTAAGAGTACCTCATTGGACAATGTGACCCAAAGGGCATTGTTCACGTAGTAGCTTTTCGATTCATCAACTTTGAGACGACTGAAGTCTACATCGAATGGATGGGTCTCGCTCGCTCCCCGAGCGCGAGAGGTTTCTTGAGCCTGGTGATTCTCCTGTGCTGCCGTTTCGTGGTCAGCAGCCGGTTTCCAAGAGCGCGAAGCAATCTTAAATGAAGTGGCTTTTTATATATCTCACCAGCTGCGCCGAATTGGTTGATGATACTCTCGAGGCGACAGAGACGTTCAGAGAGCTGGGGATCTACGCCGTGTCTTGGTCTCTTGGGCGCCCTGCCCCGGCCGGGTGGGTAGACACAGTTGCCTTCGGACCGCAGGCAGTTGGAGCACCGTGGGAGCTGGCGGTCGCACTTGACTCTGCGCTGACGACACAGGTTGCAGGTCCGCACTTGCATCTGTGGTGTTGACAGACCTAATGCAGATGATGTTTCAGGCATTGTGGCCATATCGGTGCGGTTGGTAGCTGTCGGGGCAGAAAGGTATCCGCTAGGCAGAACAGAGCGCTTCTCGTTATCCTGAGATAGATGCTAGACACGCAAGGTAGGGAGGGTGAGCAGGATGTGGAAGGAGAGCTGGAGAAGTGAGGTGCGTGCGGGGAGGCTTGATGTTTGATGTTCCCGAGCGGCGCGGAGCAATTTGGCATCTGGTGGGCCCGCATAGCTTATGCGAGACTATGCGAGCCCGAATGCGTATCTTCAATATCGGTGCTTGCAAGGCAGGAAGAAAAAAAAAAAAAAATTCGAAGTCAAGACCTGTCCTGGGATCTGCAGATAAATTCAACCTCGTAAGCAACATGGGGCGAATATACAAGTGGTTTTCTCCGTCTTGAACACCCAGAGCTGCATTTGTTCATTCATCTATACAGCTGGACGGGCCCTCCAACCACGAGACAGGCTACCTGATACTGAGTATGAGCGAACATCCACCAAACTATTCCGTCCCAGACGGGAATGAGTCCTTGAAAGCTTCCACTATGGGAGATGGGAGTACCGTGGTGGGCTTTGACGGCGATACGGATGGGTTGAATCCCCAGAACTGGCCCACGGGTAAGAAGATCTACACCACGGCGTTATGGGCACTGACGACGTGTTGGATCACCTTCGCGTCCGCTATCTACTCGGCTGGCACGGCACAGATCAGCGAAGAGTTCCACGTTTCGTACGATGTGGCCAACGCGGGCACCAGCCTGCTCATATTCGGCTTTGCTCTCGGCCCCATGTTATGGGCGCCACTGTGCGAGGTGTATGGGAGAAAATGGCCTGCTTTGGCGGTGGGTTCCCCTACCATGCCACCCCCCCAGCTATCGTCTAACCCGGATCTTTTCGCAACAGCCCTACTTTGTGAGCGCCGCCTTCGCCTTCGGCACAGCGACGGCCAAGGATATCCAGACCATCCTCATCACACGCTTCTTCGCCGGTGTATTCGGCAGCTCTCCCATATCCATCACTGGCGGCTCTATCGTTGACATCTGGAACCCCCGACAGCGCGGAACGCCCATGGTGTGCTATGGCATTACCATCGCGGCGGCACCGACCCTTGGGCCCATTATCGGTGGGGCCTTTATAGCCAGTGGGTGTGGGTGGCGCTGGACTGAATACCTTACAGGGATTGTCATGATGGTCCAATTTCTTTTAGACGTCCTTTGGCTGGACGAAAGCCATGCAGACGTGCTCCTGGCTCGGAAGGCACAAGGGCTGCGACGAGCTACGGGGAATTTTGTCTTTCACACCAAGGTTAGTGGGTCGTCGGGTCCTCCCGTTGCCAGCCTAACCAATGATTGCTTACCTTGTCTACTATACCTGCAGTGGGAAGAGACGAGGCCGACCTTTGGAGACCTCCTCAGCATCTATCTCGTCCGCCCTTTTCAGATGCTTCTTGATCCGATTTGCCTGCTGTTGACCATCTACACCTCATTCGTCTATGGTAAGCCTCTCTCCTCCACCTCCCTCCCCCCCTCCTCCCAAAGCAAAAACCAAGCCCTACCCAGATAGTCGCAAAGAGAGAGTTCTGACTCTAGGGGCAGCAATCCTCTACGCCAGCTTAGAAAGCTTCGCCCTCGAATATGGTCAGATGCGGGGCTGGGGTCCTGTCGTCAGCCAGCTGCCGTTCCTGGCCCTCCTACTTGGGTGCCTGGTCGCCGCCGCTGCCAACATCTACAACAACATCTACTACGGGAAGAAGCTGGTCGCGAATAATTTCAAGCCAGTGCCTGAAGCGAGACTGCCGCCTATGATGTATGGTGGATTTGCTTTCTCTGCGGGTCTATTCTTATTCGGATGTGAGTTGCGGCGCCGCTAGAGCCAACCCATTTGTCCTTTGTCCGCTGCGCCGAGATTGACCACTGTATTCTTAGGGACCACCTCCGAACATATTTCAAGCCCCTGGCCATCTATTGTCGGCGTCTTTCTAACCGGCGTTGGCTTCACCACCATCTTCCAGTCCTCCCTCCAATACCTCGTCGACACCTTCACCCGCTACAGCGCCAGCGCCATCGCCGCCAACGCCTTTGTCCGATCTATGGCGGCAGGTGCCTTTCCACTCTTCGTCTGGCCCATGTATAAAAAGGTTGGCATCGACTGGGGCACCACCATCTTCGCATGCATTAGCGTGCTCCTCCTGCCAGCCCCCTTCCTTTTCTTTAGATGGGGCAATCGGATCAGGGCCCATGGCAAGTTCAGTAAGCCCTCTGTATACTAAGAGCATTTTTTTTTTTTCCATTTTCAAAATTTTATGAAACAAAACAAACTGTCTTGAAATGGCTTTTTGTATTAGTAAATATCTTCTATTAGCCTAATAGGGGTCCACTAAAATAATGGATTGGCGCTTTTAAAACCTGAAACCAAAAAATGGGCATGAAATTCAGAATTTCAGAGATTTGCTTTTCTTTCATGAGATCTAACACTCCTACTATATCCTACTAGTAGAACTGACGAAGTACCTCAGACGATACGGATACACATATTCTCCCTAACTTATCATGGGTTAGAACGAGCGTGTAGGCTATATGAATTTGTACCGAATTATTTAATTGCTCCCTCCCTCTAGAAATTATCACGCTCTTTATATGTTAAAATAGACTTGGTTAAGTTATAGCTATCGGTAGATACTAGAATTCATAAGACGTCTCTCTCACGACTTACCATTCCGGCTCGGTCGGCTAGAATTCTTGCGTTTGGTCGGTGGCGAGGTTGCGATTCCTCCCTTTCTTTTCCCGGTCCTGTTCACTAGATGATCGATGACACAGCCTTCGTCCCAACCGGCGGAAGACTGTCCTGTAATTGCTCGGCATCTAGGGCAACTTTTCCCATGACGAATGAAGAGCTGATGAAGGGAGTACTTAAGATGATTCGGGATCCGTACCTCAAGATGGCTGAATGCTGTGATTTCTGTTGCCTTGTCTGGTGGGACCCAGCCGAGCCACTTGCAGATGCGGAAGATGTGGGTATCTACCGCGAAACACGGACGCTGCAGGCAAAAGAGTAGCACACAAGCAGCTGTCTTGGGCCCTATACCCGGATACTTAACTAATTCCTCCATGGCCTGTTCCGTACTTAAGCTATGGAGGTGGTTGAGAGATAAAAAGTGTTGGTCCGCACATGCAATCTCGTACTGTTTGCTGCCTTCAGACTTATCAATGAGATCTGACGGACCGGTGTCCTCGCCTTTCACTAAGATTTCTCGGCGTTCCTGGTTCTCCTTATGCACCATATCTAGAATCGCCTTGAGATTTTTGCTTTTAATATCGGCTAAACCGCCGCTCTTGATAGCTTCAAAGACGTCCTTGAGCGGCGCTTGACGAACAGCATCCCAGTTAACGCTCCCTTTCCCTATCCCCGCGTGGAGAACACCGAACTTCTGTACCAGTCCATTGAAAGCCAACGCCGAATTATTTCCCGAGGTAGCACCACTGAGCAAAGTCCGAATAAGTGCATCAAGAACAGACGGAACCTCTCCACAACCCGTTACTGTTAGAGACGGTTCCGGGATGGTAGTTGGGGGTACGACCTCTCCGTGTACAGTAGTAAGAAGTCTGCTTACTTCTTCACATGCTTCTGGGGTTGGTTGAGGCCAATCCGGGAAAGGCGTGGACCCTGGAGTTAGACGATAAGGGTTCGCCTTCTTGGCTTTTTTCGTGGACTTCAATGCTGGCTCATTGGCAGCATATTGTTGCGCTCGGTTTATTTTCACGTCGATTCCTCCCTCCTTGACCCCCCAATGCATGGCGTTGGTTTTCTGCTTTGAAGTAATGGACGACCCTAAATTATGAGGTAGTTCATCCGAAATGTCGATCTTTGGTGCCGGTCTTTTTATCTTGTGCAGTTTGGAGGTAGATATAGTCTTTAGATTGTTTTCTAGAGACGACTGTGTGTCCGGAGATTCATTCTCAGACGATCGCTTGGGCCACTTGGTGGCGAATTCTTCCTCCGACGCCTTGATTGCGGCTGCGAGGGACGCAGCCTCTTTAGCGGCAACAGAACGGGTTATGCGACGCTCCATAATGTTCCTATGCGACAGAGAACCGATCAGCGCAGAGGAATACAGTACGTTGTGTCAAACAAGCGACGACAGATCCAGGGTCCGCACAGGTATTAAAGATGCCCCTGATACAAGACAGTACGAATAAGGGGCTTTTGATAGGCAGGAAAGAAAGTTGCTGGAGAGAGTCTCAATGATATTGATATTGAGCATCCAGTGGAGGATTAAATTTGTCTGGTGATAAAACATCACCCACACGTGATCGGGATAAACTACTTCCGCCTTATCCGCACTGATTCACTCGCTAGGATTCAAATGCCTAAGCATAACTTGGTTCGTCATAAAAAAGTCTATAGGTCATGTCGTGCATACAGAATGATATCTGGATCCCTTTGTCATTGCGATGCGATAACCATCACCAAGAAAATAGCCTCCCGTTCTCTTTTCACTACCACCTACCAACTCCAGGACTCCAGTTGATAAGAATGTACCGTCCATAAGCTCATCAGTTATCATGGGTGATCACCCATGTTGTGAATGCTAATGTCCATGCGATCCTTGACTTTGGGGGGTTCCTCACTCTGGTCGGCTTTGCGAGTGGGGCAGATGCTAACTTGTGGCACCTCAGACTCCCCGGGAGACGATGCCGGGATGATGTTGCCGCTAGCATCCAATTTAACGCCATTGGCAGCGATCTGGAAATCCTTCTCACTGGCAAAGCCATGAGTGACAGCTTCTTTTGCCCGATCCAATGCTTTAATCTTGCGACCCTCGCCTCTGATCTTTTCCAGATGATCAAAGTAGCCATCTGCAACAGGAGTAACGTAGTTACCACAGAACACACCGACTTCAAAGTCTAGTGGCTCAGTCAATCCATTCTCCCGGGCAATCTCCGCACAAGCGCCTTTCAGGTCCGACAAGGTCTGGAAGATGACACTGTCGGCACCGATGTGCTTGGCGATCTGATCGGCATCACGATTGTGCGCAACAAGTTCGGTAGGGGACGCCAGATCAATACCATAGATATGGGCATGCCTGTGGAGATAGTTAGCGACCTTAGCCGTCGACTAGAGGATGACGAGGACTTCTTACGTGATCTCTGGAGCGCAGCTGGCAAAGTAAACCTTCTTAGCGCCAGCTTCCCTAGCCATGGTCACAATCTCCCGACTGGTGGTGCCTCGCACGATACTGTCGTCAACCAAAAGGACATTTCGGTCCTTGAATTCGGCCTGCATAGCATTTAGCTTGCGACGGACACCTTTTTGCCGGGTCTTCTGTTCAGGCATAATGAACGTCCGGAAAACGTAGCGATTCTTTACGAAACCCTGACAGTATGGAATATCCAGATACCGAGCAACAGCCGCTGCTGATGTTGTGGATGTTTCCGGGATAGGGATAACGACGTCAATGTCTTTGACCACTTCCGGTCCAAGAACATCGAGAATCCTGGAGGCAAGACGATCGCCCATCCGTTGACGGCTACGATAGACGCTAATACCATCGATGACGGAGTCGGGGCGCGCGAAGTAGACATATTCAAAGATATCAGGAGCATAGGCTTTCTTCGGGGCTACCTGACGGAAGACAGGCTCGCCACCCTTTTCAATGATGACTGCTTCACCAGGTTGGATATCACGAATGTTTGTAAACCCGAGCTGGTGCAAAGCAACTGACTCAGAGGCCATCATGTAGTCCGTGCCTTCACCTTCAGCGGAAGGCCGGGAACCAAGAACCAAGGGGCGGATGCCATAGGAGTCACGGAAGCCGAGGAGACCGAAGCCTGCCAGATTAGCATTTCTCGGTTTCAGCATATGAGAGTTGGTAGTTCGCTTACCAGCTAGCATAGCAGTGCATGCCCAGCCGCCTTCACATCTCTCATACATCCGGCTTAGGCTGGCAAAGACATCGTCCCTGTTGACGCGCGCCTTCTTGGTTTCGCTCAACTCATCAGCGAAGACGTTGAGCATCAGCTCGCTGTCACTATCAGTATTGATATGACGGTGAGCCTCAAAATCCAGATATCTCTTGAGCTCGGGAGCGTTGATCAAATTGCCGTTATGAGCCAGACAGATGCCATATGGACTGTTGACATAGAAGGGCTGGGCCTCGGCATTTGCACTGCTCCCGGCTGTGGGATATCTCAAGTGACCGATGCCCATGGGGCCCGGAAGGTCTGCCACCCTAGCACCATCCTGGAAAACCTTGGCCGCCATGCCGTTTGACTTCAGTTGGTAGATACGGCCGCCCGCAGCGCAGGTGGCAATTCCAGCAGCATCTTGACCTCTGTGTTGAAGCAGGTATAGAGCCTCATGTAGGTCAACGGCGGCGGAAGAAGACGGGTTCGCCTGGATTAGAGCAATGATACCACACATCTTGTGAACGTAGTCGGGTTCTAGAGGATGCTTGTGGTTAGCAAAGGCTCTCACAATTGGAGTGAGTAACGAAACAATGTTAATAGCATCGGATACAAGTCAGGTCGGATTTTCTCCGCAAGAATGCTTAGGAAGTCTAACATCTATAATAAAAATACCGAAATTCATCATGAAAACGAGGGGGGAGCATGGATTGCAAACAAGGCCAAAAAAAGACGCCATATACTCACATGCTTCGAGCAGGTATATTATTGTCGCACAAACACGCAATGGTGGAGGGGGGACAGAGATGGAATTTTGCGGGCAAAATGAACTCTATCGAAACATAACAATAGTCATAAAGAAAGAGAGACTGTGATAGTGAATAATAAAAAAGCTGGTAAGTCACACCCACGGAGGGATCAAAGGACCAAGTGGTGACATGGTGAAGAGAAGGTTAAAGGAGAGAGAAAGAAGGTGAGCGAGACGCAAGGGAAAAGAAGCCACCAGTTTTATTTCTCTGGTCCATTCCTTTGCCCATTCCATTTTTTTTTTTTTCTCCACAATGAGGGACAGAAATTTTGCGGGTACCGCTCCGTTAACGGACCGGAAAAATCCCGAATGGGGCTGTTCACGTGACATCTCCGATTCTAGCCATAGTCTTTTGACTAAATATGTAGTCAGCAATAAATATCATCTGTCGGAACCCGGAAATATAGCCCTATCACTGCGCACGGGTCAGATGTACGATGCACCCCTCATGAACCAGTAGTATACTTCCAATAATTTCTACTAATCCTCTTGTGGACCTTTGTAGATTGATCATTATCAAGGCTTCAATGCCTACTCTATACCTTTCAACATGGTCAAACACTATGCCGTCACGGCTGCCATCTGCCGCTCCTTTCACTCTATGTGTTTGTTTGCTTGCTCATCATTCTTTGTCTCTATTCTTATCCTACTGTACTCATTGATCTACAATGGGCCGTGATTAATTATGTTACATGTCAAACACGTCTAGTGTTGTTTCATGACTGACATTCATGAAGGTGAATGGTCATGATGGGGTTCCAGGACCGTGTCTCTCTCACTATGGATTCATACTACTTTCTACTTTAGACGAGCGTGTTATTCCCATCTCCTTACAGGCTCATCTCTCAGTCTCTTCAGGATTTACTGTTATGGAGCAATAGAATATCTTTCCTCCACCGCATTCCAAATCCGCAGACTCAATATTCTGTCTTTTCTTTTTCTTCTTCACATTGCCTTACCCTTACCCAGGCACTGCGATAGACGCTGAAGATGTCTCCCATCCAAGCCCGGGAACCATCTATTCTTGAGATAGCGGACCATAGATCACCAACTCTGACAATCTACGACAGCGACACAGATAGTAGCGCCAACATTGCGGACGACCTAGACGGGTTCCAGGATGCAGATGATGTGGAGATCGTCTCTCACAATCGTCATCGGGATCCAACACCGTTCCTTCTCAACATAAATGCAGCTGCAAGCCGACAGGAGATAGTTGACCTCACTGCTGGAGGGGCCCAGTCTTTTGGCGAAGGTGATTATTTGACTGACGAAGACTTTGAGTTGGTGCTACAAACATGGCTTCTACGGACTCCAAGCCCAACAGCAACTGTATCAGCGGAGGAAGAGCGTGCAGAAACGAGATACCTTGTCCAAGAAGCTTGCATAAACGGAATAGTCTACAAAGAAGGACAGTCACTCGAGCTCCATGATGGATCGTATCTTCGGATATGTACCGTGCTCAAGGATTGCATGGAAGCAGTTTATTTCAGCGGACGTCGCCTTATTAAGGCCCGAAATCACGCCGGGACTTATCTTCCCAAAGAGCGGAATGAGCTTGTCTGGATTGCCAATGAGACCGAAGTAATACCCTTTCTGCTTGCCAAGAGATTTGTTATAATTAACTTCACCAGTTCCTGCCATGTTCATGCGGACCAACAGAAGCTGGCTAAGCCGAATGATCTCTGGTGCCGATTGAAGGAGACTCTGGAAGATGGAGAAGTATCGATAGAGTTTGTATCATTTGCAGAAGCGGATGAAGGGTATAAGATTGAATCGACTGTCTTACGACGCTCGTGGAGAGGAGAGACTCAAGCTTTCGGCGAAGCAGAACACGATAGAGGCCGCTCCCCTGTAATTTTGCTGGACGACGCCGATTCCCTTGTCGACCTCACAGGCTTAGAAAGTATGGAAGAACGAAAGAGACGTCGACAATATACATTTGGAGATGGATTCTGCGGTGCTGGAGGCGTTTCATGTGGTGCTCGCCGAGCAGGCCTCTACAACAAGTGGGCGTTCGACAATTCCGAACACGCGACTTCTACATATCGACTTAACTTCGAGGATACTGATTGCGAGCTGAGCGATATATTCAGCTTCTTGACGAATGATGACGAGTTTTTAAAAGTAGATGTCAGTCACGGCTCGCCGCCGTGCCAGACGTTTTCACCAGCACACACGGTGGAAAGTCGGCACGACGACGCGAATTTCGCGTGTATCTTTTCGTGTTCGAATCTTATCAGACGGGCCAAACCCCGCGTCCACACCATGGAAGAAACAAGCGGGTTGCTCGACCGATACTGTGACACGTTTTACCGTGTCATAAACGATTTTATCGAAATAGGGTACTCTGTCCGCTGGGGTGTCCTGAGGGCTTTTGAGTACGGAGTTCCACAAACGCGAAAGAGGCTCATTGTTATTGCTTCTGGGTAGGACGTTCCTGGCAGTTAGCGGTATTCATTGAGATATACTGACATCGTATGTAGACCCGGAGAAATTCTGCCATCTTTCCCTCGCCCCTCGCATGGCCCAGGCCTGAAGGAGTACCCTACCATCTACCAAGCTATTGCCAACATCCCCGCGAGAGCACTAGACCATGATATAGATGCAGCACTAAGCCGTGGTCTCAGCAAACCTCCTTACGACCCACACCAACTAGCGCGGACCATCACCTGCGGTGGAGGTGATAATAATTATCACCCCTCCGGGGGAAGAAACTACACAAACCGGGAGCTGGCATGTTTACAGACCTTCCCGATGACATTTAAATTCGGCCAATATGAGGTCAAAAAACAGATCGGGAACGCAGTTCCACCCTCACTGGCTGAAGCTCTGTATAAGGAAATTGTTCGATCCCTGCAGAAGACGGATGAGGAAGAGCTTGCGAGGAATATGGGAGGATGAAGGTCTTGGCGAGTTGACCTTGTCTTTCGTTGGTTGATATGATTTTGGTAATGGAGATTTCCCGATTTTTCGAATAGTCAATTGTTGAGAAGGATGAGAAACGTTGATCGGCCACATGCTTACTACTCTTTCTTCCGCTTGATAACCGCGGAACCGTGATGCCGTCAACCGCGGGTATTATTAGTACTTGGGTGATTGAACACATCATTTCAGATTGATTGAGGGAAAGGGAGAAATCTTGCTCCCATGGTCGTAGTTGAAATTGAGGTTAGAATATCTTCCGATCGTAAAAACTGTTGAGTAAGAGCAATTAAAAGGATCCCGAGGATATGATTGATCAATGGACAGAAGGAATGCGCATAACCGGCAATAACCGCGCGTAAACAAAGCCAACCGGCCTCGGCTTAAAGATGTCAACCTTCCGTCAAAAGTTCCTTCTCCGTTTCTCCATTTCCTCCCTCCCAGCTTATTTATTTCTCTCCGCGCATCTTTTACTTAAACCCTTCCCCTTCCTATTCTCCCCGAATTAGTATACGTTGATTTCTCTCTTGTTCCCTTTCTACGATCATATCATGTCTGCTTCGTGCTCGGCATTGAGACGGCTGACCCACCGGTCTCCCCGCACTTTCCAGTCCCGCATCGCCTCCGTCTCCAGAATCTCGTCTTCCACTTCCTCCATCTCCTCCCTCAACGCCTTCCGTACCCTCAACTCGGCCGCTCCTCGAGTTGCTCGCTTCTCAACCATGTCGCCTCTCCAATCTGCTGCCCAGGATGGCGCCGCCCAGAAGCCTTACGATCCAGAAATTCAGGATATGACCAACTATATCCACAACTATGAGGTCAACTCGGACTTGGCTGTATGTCTCCTTTCATTTCAAAAATCCCACACGCCTGGTTTCTATCCCTCCCCACCCCACCACTGGTAAAATCATTATTTGTCTGACCATGAGTCGTGACTTACTGGTTTTCAGTATGATACTGCCCGTCTGGTTTTCCTCGATACCCTAGGATGTGGACTGGAAGCTTTGAAGTTCAAAGAGTGCACCAAGCTTTTGGGTCCCATCGTGGAAGGTACCGTCGTTCCCCACGGAACTCGTGTGCCCGGTACGCCCTACCAGCTCGACCCGGTCAATGGTGCGTTCAACATTGGTGCTATGATCCGCTGGCTGGATTACAACGACTGCTGGCTCGCCGCCGAGTGGGGCCACCCTTCGGACAACTTGGGCGGTATCCTCGCCGTGGCTGACTGGATCTCCCGGACCAACCGCGCTGGCGGCAACATTGCTGGTGGCAAGATCGTGAAAGTCAAGGAAGTCCTGGAGGCTATGATCAAGGCCCATGAGATTCAAGGTGTGCTGGCTCTGGAGAACTCCTTCAATAAGGTTGGATTGGACCACGTTATCCTGGTCAAGGTCGCGACCACCGCTGTGATCTCGAAGATGCTCGGCCTTAATGAGAAGCAGACCGCAGACGCCATCACCCAGGCATTCGTTGATGGCCAGAGCCTTCGAACTTACAGACACTCCCCCAACACCATGTCCAGAAAGTCCTGGGCTGCTGGTGACGCCTGCCAGCGGGCTGTGAACCTTGTGCTCAAGGTGCAGAAGGGTGAGGGTGGTTTGCACACTGGTCTTACCGCCCCTGTCTGGGGTTTCTATGATGTTCTCTTTAAGGGCAATAAGTTTAAGTTCCAGCGGCCTTACGGTAGCTATGTCATGGAGAATGTCCTCTTCAAGGTGTCCTATCCAGGTAGGTAGGCTCGCACACTACACTTCAGACGAAATCTAACCGATCTCATCGCAGCCGAATTCCACTCTCAGACCGCGATTGAAGCGGCTCAGACCATCAACAAGAAGCTCGCCGCCTTGGGCAAGAGCGCCAAGGACATCAAGGAGATTACCAACCGCACCCACGAAGCTTGCATTCGCATCATCGACAAGCAGTTCAAGGCTATGGATAACTTTGCGGACCGTGACCACTGCGTTCAGGTAAGCTCTCGGCTTGGGGAATCCTGAAAGGCTCAGACACTAATCTCGTGCAGTACATGGTTGCCACCATGCTGGCATTCAACCGCCTCACCGCTAATGACTATGCCGATGGCTCAGAGGCAGCCACCTCTCCGCTCGTTGAGGATCTCCGGAAGCGCATCCGCTGCGTTGAAGATACCCAGTTCACCGCGGACTATCATGACCCGTCTAAGCGCACCATTCCGAATGCCCTCACCGTCACTCTGAATGACGGTACTGTGCTTGAGGAGGTCGTTGTCGAGGCTCCTCTGGGCCACCGTTTGCGCCGCGAAGAGGCCAAGCCGGAGATTCTGTCCAAGTACAAGCGTCACTTGCAGGCCCACTTCGACCAGGCCCGCATCAACGAGCTGGTCGATCTGGGCTTGAACAAGTCTGCCCTCGAGGGCTATGATGTGGACAAGTATGTCGACCTGTATGTCAAGGATACGATCGTCGCCCCATCCGCATAAGTGGAGCAGGTCAGGTAGAGTTAAAAAATAATGTGTATCTGTCGGTATGTTATATATGGGAATCATAAGATGTGCTGCCTTCAGTTATGTCGATCGACGGCGTATATAATGGCAAGAGGGTATTTGTTTCAATTAGACAATCTGTTTACTTCTTTGATTTAGACTTGGCCAAGATCCATAGAGTAAGCAAATCACTCGAAAACAAGCGCCATCATTCTCAGCAAAAGCCATTCAACTGCCTACATGTGAGGCAACTGCGTACTAACTACTAAGCAGTAGTAATTAGTTGGGATAACATCATGTAACATCATTTCATACGGCCGTCTGTCAACTGCATTCCAACGCTTTATGAACAACCCCACCACCGGACACAGGATCAGACTTGTTTGTCAACTTCGGCAACTGTTGGAATGCTCATGTATTGACACTTGAGGCGTCTAGTCAGACAAGTTGTCTACCAAGTTTGGGGGCCAGTACTGCGGAGTTCGGTTGCTCGCGCTGACGCCAGACGGACATTACATTAGCCTGCTCAAATTCGAAGATACTGCACCGAGCGAACCTCTAAGATTCTCTCAGAGAGAATTCGAGTTCCCAGCAAGGCCGCCACACAGTACCATTTCCTATGAATGGGGAGGAAATACGGCCGCTGATGGAAATATCACTACCAATGACCGACTCTTTCTCATTCGGGCAAATCTGTACAGCTTTCTGGAAGACTTGTTTGGCAGCGAGCATAAGGAATCCTTGTTCTTTTTTAATGCACTTTATCTCGATCAAGGGAATATCGCTGAGCGTAATGATCAAGTAACCCGGATGGGCGATCTCTACCGACAGGCAAACAAGGTCTGGATCTGGCTTGGTCCTGGGACGGCCGAGAGTGATTTGATATTTGATATGTGTGCCGGGCTTGGCCATATGAACTCGGAAACCCACCATGGATTGTAGCAGGAGAGAAAATTGGAGCCGATCGGCTTTAACGGGCCCGAAGGAGAGGCTTTGGACTCTGTATATCAACGCCCTTACTGGACAAGACCTTGGATCATGTAGGAACTATTTTTTGTTAAATATGTGATCATATTCCGTGGCTCGAAAGTTCACAAACTGGTCCATACTTAGGAGACTACCAAGATGTACCACAGGTGTTTTCGTCCCTGGAGTTTTTACCGGAGTTGGTCTGGCACTTGGAAGTACACCGGCAAGACGGCATGGGAGGGAAATCCTAAAAATTGGACAGCAGAGAGCAAGGAAGGGAAAAGGCGAGCAAAAGCCTTCATGAGCTTGTTCGGAAGTTTGGCCGCACCCAATGCTCTGATATCCGTGACCGTGTTTATGGCTTGCTTGGTCTGGCTAACGTACACGGTGAAAATGATCGGGGCGTTGAGGTCATTGCAGACCACTCAACAACACCCGAGACTGTATTCATTCGTCTGCTCAGTCCTATGCCACGCGCCTTCGTGTTGAAAGATGCATTGGATATTTTTAACATACTGAGGCTGCACCATGCTCAAGACTGTACATTCAAATCCAGTATCCCAGAGACCATCTTTGGTCTTTCGGAGTCAAATACGCTCATTTTGGACACATCAGGCAGGTTAATGATTCTCATTTACCTGACTGCGACTGGTGTGACAATTTTAGAGATAGACATAGTCCATTCAAGATGAGTGAGGATCAGGAACTAGAGCTGCGAGGCAAATCATTCTTTGAACTTATACCTGGCGAAACACAAAGCAGCATTTCCGCTCATGGTGTTGGTTGGGCCTTTGACTGAATTGGGACCATACGATAGCTGTGTGACTACTGCTGAGTCTTCAGGAGGAGACCAGCTTTTCCTCCTGGAAGGGACCAATGTCATCTTGATTAAGAAGCAAGCGGCACTACAGTCTACGACTGCTGAATTTAAGACTTCGTACGTATGAGGGATACTTACAAATACGGAAAGTAACGATAGCAGCCCAAGAGCAGCAGCGTTGCTCGAGGATAGCCTCTCAGCTCTGGCTGCTCCAACAACGGTCCATTTTAATGAGGAAAACTGGGTTGATACCGTTTGCGAGGAGCTTACGTTGCAGAGATCGCTCTGAGTCTTACCCACGCTGGTCAGCACAGTAGCTACTGGGATGAACCGCTGTAACGCGACTTCGTAGAATGAGTCAAAATCCACGATACCTTCTGTTAGAGCGTCGTGAGATGAATCAATGAAAGAAGTAGGCATCTTCAACGACTGACGAAGCGTGTCTAGTTTGAGGTGCTTGATTCCGACTACTCTAGATAGAAATTCTCTCATAGATATAATTTGTGTCGGAGATACCCATTGTATCCAAAGCTCTCCCCCAATGACGAAAGCCCCATATCAAATGGCGACATAACTGACTCATTTGTCTTGAATGATTCTCGGGATCACATCTACTGAATCAGGACTGTCTTTAATCTTCAACTTGAAATTATAAGTAAACCCTACCTAATTATAGAAATACGAACCACCGGAAATAAACCCGCAACGCGGGAAAGGGATTCCGACGGGAATCATGTCCTAATCCAAACCAAGCCCTGATATCAGCTTCCCCTCCCCAACACCTATCTCTACCTCCTGGACACTACACACAACCAATCAAAAACAATACCCAAATCCAAAAGTAAAAGAAGAAGAAGAAGAAGACAAGATGATCACCAGCCTCGCACACATCAACCTCCTCGTCCCCGAGGGTTCTCTCCCCGAGGCCAACGAATTCTACGTCGGAACCCTCGGTCTAGCAGCCGTTCCCGTTCCCCAAGCCCAGATTGAGACGACAGCTTGGTATATTTTACCCCCCTCCCTTTAAACTACATTCAATATACGTGCTATTTTGTCTAATCTTTTTATTTTTGCGAAAACTAACGGAGAGAAAACATAGGTTCAATATCGCAGGAGGTCCCCAGCAAGTCCACATTGCAACTGGTATCAACGAGTCTCTGACTTCTTCACGGCATCCTTGCTTCCGAATTGGCTCGTTGGAGGATTTGCAGAGGTTGCAGCAGCGGATTTGGGATCATCATGTTCGGGGGGGCCGGGCAGCGCCGAGGGAGGCGGATAAGCCTGGTGAGCCGATTTCCGGTGAGTTTTCTTTTCGTTTTCCTTTTCTCTCTTTTGGTTCTTGAAATTGTTTGTTCACGTGAAGTTAGGTGAGATGACGGCAGAGTATCCGACGAGGTTTTTTGCGAGGGATTTTGCGGGGAACCGGTTGGAATTTAGTTTGTGAAGTTTTACGTTTGAGGGGTTTTACTCGGACTCGGTTTATGTTCTGTTCATGACGTGAAGTGCACTCTGTACTAGATCTAGCATGGGTTACGATAAATTATAAATTGGATATGAAGTCAACGAGATAATTTAACAGAGTGCCTCGTCGCCTTTTCCACATGTACAATAACACTGACAATGTACAGTACAAAAATTGGCCGATGAGAACTCCTCACCCTCACACTGTGGACGGGACTGGCGCTCTCATTATGGACATGGCGGCTGCTCTCATGTCCTCGTGTTCTTCATGTCCGTTTGTATCACCAAACACATCGTCGATTTCTTCGAGTGTTTTACCGCTGGTCTCAGCGACAAAAGCGAAGGCCCAGACGCCTGCCAAGACACACCAGACTGCATAGAAGATGTATGTTCGATAACCGATGTTGTCCATCATGGGGGGTGTTGCAATGCCTACAATAAAGTTGGAGAGCCAGTTGGTACTCGTGCTCAGCGCCACACCCTTGGATCGAGTCGCGTTGGGGAAGACTTCGGACGGCAGGGCCCAGCCAAGGGGAGAGTACGTGAGGCCAAAGATAAGGATGAAGAGGAAGGCCATGGCCACAAAGGCCCAGCCTGAATCTGGATGGGCGGTCCAATCGTTGGCATATAGCCCCGAGAGGATGGCGATGATAGTGTATGCGATCCCCGTGGCAAGACCACCGAAGATCGCCAATGGCCGACGTCCGGTTTTGTCAATAATTAAGAAGCAGATGATCACAGTAACTAGCTGTAGAATGTTGAAGACGCCTGACAGTATCAGCGACATCTCATCTGATTACCCAATCGATCGGAAAAGCGTGGGCGCGTAGTAGACGAATACGTTAATATCCATAAATTGTTGAAAAAAGGCAACACCACATCCAACTATTGTTCTCCGCCAGCCAGCTTGGCTAAAGAGGTCTAGCCAAGTGAGAAATTCCAGCTTCATGCCCTGTTTACAAGGATGCCTCTTTTCCTGAATGAGATCTTGAAATTTGACCTCAGTGATAATGCCTTGGAATTTAGCCTGTACTTATTTATCAGTGTTAGGCAGACCTCAGAGCTTCACAAGGCTCGCTAGACAGTCTTGCTGGCGGTTGACAAGGGCAAGCCACTGAGGTGAGTAGGGGAAGAAATAGATCCCAACACTAAGAATTATTGCACACACTATCTGCAACCTAAATAGAATGATGAAACGAGACTCCACTATTAATCAATCTTGTACCAAATGTGATCCAGGATGAAATGATGACACCGGAAACAATAGAGATAAACCCCAGCGCTAGAAGAACTTCTTGTAGGTTAGGTGGGAAAACCTTGGAGATATAAAGCGGCGCATCCTCCACGTTTAGATGAGTGAGACAAGCCACTTTGATATGGATCAATTATAAATATTAAGAGTTATGTACTTACTATTACAAGTACCCCAACTCCAATGCCTCCAATAGCTCTCCCTGCCACCAGGGTAGCATAGTTTTGCGCGCAAGTTTGGATTATTGCCCCAATTTTAAGATCACGACGACTACAGTCAGTGCCCACTTCCGCGAGATTCAATCTGCGAGGTATGGCATGAAGCGACAGCCCACGAAGACTCCGAGCAATAACATCCCTGTCATTAGCCCCTTTCCAAAGGCAGTCTCCGCTTGGGGGAAGCTGCATGAAATTGGTCCTCGACATTTATAATCGAAATAACTCCTTGGTCATATCCGAACGAGAAGCCTCCCAGAGATGCTAGGAAAGCGGCTCCGATGACGTAGCCTGAGCTGATAAGATCTCTAACGCCATGGGGGCCGTACTCAGGAACTTCCTGGAGCTTGAGATCGGGCTTAACAGCAACAGTTTCGTGATGCTCCGATGAGGAAGTCCTTTCTCATATCCGTAGTCATGATCGATGCAAGGGTGGTTCTGCTCCAATTAGATGCCAAAGTGGCACTATGTGGAGAGAGATAAGAAAACAATGAAAATCCAGGGTCATTATATACGCCCATATACCCACCTGCTGCATCGGACTTCCTGATCTACGGCTATTGAGAAATGCGGAAATCGCATTGGCGTTCTAGACGTCATTGAACGGTATCAACATCGAGTATTTCCGTTTTCAGTAATCACCGGCGTGGCATCAGGGCATTTTCCAGAAGTAAACTCATGCTGCAATGCCATTATTGGTTGATCAGCTATTGTTAGTGATCATTATGTGGGGAAATGCGGAGGAAATTTGCGGAGTAAAAATTCCTCACTCTCCAACTATACTCAAATTGGCAAGTGTCGCCGTAAGTACACTCTCAGCATTGTATTGTATCGAACTACATAATGGAGCATGGAGCGATTGCTGTATGAGGGTACTGTCCTAGGGTATATATAGACGTACGATGCCACGGATTGTCTCCCCATGCAACCGTCCTCTGCTAGACAAGTTATGCAACAAAATACATACAACATGTCAGACCAACTCACAATTGCAGTCGCTGGTCTCGGCCGAATGGGAAGCCTGCTAACCACAGCATTTTGGGATCGATTCTAACAGGGGTACACACAGGGTAAACGCCATGTTCATACATTATTATATCGGGTACCTCGTGCACGTGTCGTGGCTGTATGTAGCACAGTGCCTGATGAGGTCGAGTGGGCGAAGGACAACGAGGAGTACAAAGAGTTCAGGATTGCGGTATACAGCAACTACAATGATATGCTGGCTCACCAGGGACTTCAGGCCGTGTGGGTCTCAACCAATACGGATGTGCATGCAAGCCAGACATTGGCCGCCGTAGAAAGGGGCATTCACGTCCTCTGCGAAAAGCCATTGAGCACAGATTTGAATGAGGTATGCAGCCACCTGCTGGAACTAAAGATGCCTACATAAACCAACAACGACCGATGCAGTTTATGGACATCTAGGCCCAATCCGTGGCCGATACCGCCAAGAAAAACCCAGAGCTTAAGGTGATGGCTAGATTCTCACGACGCTTCGATGCCTCATACCGTGATGCCAGTGACAAAATATTCCAAGGAAATGCCACCGGGAGCCCATTCATGGTTCGCTCCAACACCTACGATCTGCGTGATGACACAGGATTCTTTGTGCGCTACGCAAGCCGCAATGGTGGTATCTTTGTGGATTGTGCCATTTATGACATCGATCTATCCCTTTGGTACCTGGGGAACCCCCTACCCAAGGCCTGTTGGGCTGCTGGGACATTGCAGCACCATCCGGAACTGGAAGACCTTTCCGACGTTGACAACGCGGTGGGAATCGTGGAGTTCTGGGGCGGAAAGATTGCATACTTCTACTGCCCGCGAACTCAAACCCTTGGACATGATGCGTGCACGGAGGTCACAGGCACCGATGGGAAAATCATGGTGAATGTCATGCCCCGGCGCAATCAGGTGGTAGTTGCCGACAAGTTAGGCATGCGAAATGAGGTGCCTGCTGTTTACACTGTCGTCCGCGTAGAATAAAATGTTTAAAAGCCAGCAGAAAGAGGTATGTTGCTTATGTTTCCAGTAATCTTCTCGAAACCAGATTAACCATGATGCAGGAATATCAGCAATAAGCAGATGGAGAAAGCAAACCATGAAAATTGAAGCTCAATATACTTGAGTGGTCGGAGCCTTCCATGGACCATCAAGTTCAGTCAATTTATTCTTCTTACCTAGATATATACATGTGCTTCTACATATATATATATATATATATATAACTTTTGTTGCTTTCTTTTTAAAGTGAGAGAAGTTAGAAGAAGCAGATAGCGATATATAGATTTCTCCGATATAAAGAACAATGATTTTATTACGGCTGGGTCCCTAGTTGGCATGCTGCGCAGCCAATGATGAATGAAATTCAACGACTGTTAGGTGATTTGCCATCTCCGAGCATTGCTGATAAAAAAAGAACTGCGGGATAACAATCACTGGAGATATGGAAGTCGAAAATAGTGCTGACAAATCACCTTTTTTCCTTTATGCACTGATCAGGGAGGAAACGGACACATATATTCCCACGTCTCATACACTTGGTACCCAAAGTCCTCCGTCGTTCTTTCATTGTGAGTCGATAAATACATTATCTCAATCACCCGCTGATCAGGCGGTTATGTCAGGCCTTCGTCAACCTTAAGATACCTTTACATGGCTATTTGAGCTAGTGAAGATGTTGGGGCATTGCAATTTCTTGTTGGTTGACCTAGGGGTAACTGCGGTAGGTACACAAGGGTCTGGTTCCTGTCAGCAGAGCTAAGGGAAGTCTGGTGTTTTATGTCTTTGGGAAAAGGCGATTATCGTGATCTTTTTGCATATCCTCCGGAGTGTATAACTTCAACAGTTTCTGTGTATTTTACCTTAAGGGTTATATGGCAGGGGTTCCGTTGCGAAAAGCCAAAGGACGACCACCAAACTCATAGTTATATACCTATACATAGATAATCTATACTTAGGAGGCAGAAGAGCCAACCGTTTGACACCAGGATTTGAGGCTCCTGCATGTACTAGCTTGCCAAAAATACCCAGGTCTTCTCCCTTACTTGCTCTATCCTTGATTCCTTGTGAAATGGACTATTGGGGTAGGCGCATAGTTGTAGTATATACTGCGTAGGTCAGGAGCCTTTACAACAAAATTGATCTATTTTGTGTACTATATATATAGTTTTACAAACTAAAAAAACCATTCCACCATGATATGTATATTTATAGCTGTACTGAGGGTCACTATTAATTTGCTTTAACCTAGGACGTGATTTTCCGAATTTTCATTTGGTGTCCTTTCATGGTTGGGCGGTTTTTGGTGTTCATGCCTTTCCCCGCTCCATTTGGCGTGCTCCAGAGGACGACGCAGTAGGAGCCCGCATTCTCATGGAAGCGAAGTCACTCAACTACTTGATGGCACGATTTTTGATGGATTGCATAACCACAAAGCTGCAGATATCTTAGTTATGAAGTTATGAACTAATGTGATATGGACCGTTTCCCGAAACACCTATTATCTATCGGAGCTAGCTAAATGGCGCACTATGATTTTGAAGGACTCTACCCTAGGTAGGTAAGGACATGCTAATGACCTAATACCTTTGTCGCTCCAGATACTTTCAAAGGCCTGAGGACAATGAAGACCTACATGCTGCTCCCCTAGCGGGCGTATGACCCCAACAGGGCATGTTTGAGGCTAGTGATAACTCCCGATACAAAGAGACAGAAGAACCTTTTCTGTATGTCAAACTACACTCCTTAATCACCGGTACACCATATACACTCACAGGCGGACCGGAGAAAATACCGGCTATAGAAAACAGGCAGCCTTTCATTATGTTCTCACAGTAAGATGTACTTAGGAAGTGTGAGATAACAAACGCACATATTCCCCCGGAAGGGAAGAGATCAATTTGCTACGTAGCATTTGTGGAAAAGAATGTATGTGTGCCATAGCAAGCTATCCAGGCGCCAAGCAATTGCCGTTCCAGAATATGTTGAATACGCCCATGAAAGTACGTTATATCGCAGGCACCTGACATATGGCTGGTGAATTGACCACCTGCGGAAGTATGTGGATTGTTGAATACTATGGTAATCAGGCCACATATAAAAAGGCCTCATGATTCCCACATAGATAGGCCTTTGAGATAATAAAAATAGAGGATCTTAATACGATCGTTTTGATATCAGTTCATACGAATATCTTACCAGGTATTTTACAGAATACATACATGAAGACCACGAACTTTTGACTATTATATATATTTTAGTAGTTGCGAAAAACTATGTAGACTGTTGTCCAGGAACTGTATGCTGGAGAGGTACAGAGGCGAACACAAGTTAGGAATGTAACGGCCAGGATCACATCCAGAAGTCGGCGACTGAAGAGTACGGTGGCATATTTCTACGAATATTATTTGCGACAATGGGCGCCGCGTAAGACAGTAAAAACCTCGAGTAAGGCAGTCGTCGATACCTAGGACTTGTGCTACCAAGAAAGTCAAGTCAGTGAAGGATAACACGGGGCTTGTCCTCGGTTAATATTTACCTCCTCTAGCTAGGTTTCGAATGGCAACATTTGAAAGTCTAGTCTAGAACATCATTCATACAATCATAATATTGGAGACAACACAGTCCTAACATATTTAGAACCTAGCAGATAACAAAACCCCGAGGGAAGCAGAGAATAAAAGAGGAGGAAAGAAAAAAACAGAATAGGATATCTTGAGCTTTCCAAGAAGTACATCAAGATTTCTCCCGCCTGATGCTGAGGAGACCGCTGGGATGCACGAAATTGAACAACAGAAGTAATAAGATATTAATTACTCTTCCTTTGAATTACAACAGACCTTATCATAGAGCCTGACCAGACTAGTTCTCGGTTTCACATTTGACTTCAAATGTCACTTATATTTCACTATTAAGCGATAGTCTATCTCGTTTCCGGAACTTCTAGGCCACTCTTTGTGCATTATGTTCTATAATGTTTGTTCTGATTACACAGGATGCTCTTACCATGATGCACCTGGTAGGCCAGAATAGCAGATATCCACATGTGACCCCGTAATGCGTAGTACCATTCCGCAGATTAAATTAACAAAGTCCATAGTTCCAGTCAAGTGTCAGTGCAGCTATCCAGGGCCAAGGGTTCCACGATGGCCTCGCGGGGTATAGTTGGATCTTCCAAACTGCCACCTGGCAGATTCGACGTTGAGCCTGGCGGCGAAGAGTGGGCTCCACTCGCTGGCTGACTTAGCTGCAACGCTTTGCCCCGTAGTAAACGTAAGATTGTCCATTTGGACCCAAATTCAAGGGGAATATCAGAGCTGTCGACAAGATGAAAAGACTCGTCCACGGCTTTCCATGCCCTTTTGATGCTTGGGCCTTGGGGCAGTGCGCACAGGTGGCGCAATACATAAGTCAACACATTATATTGGGTATACACTTTGGCGTACCAGCGATACCCTTTCATCTGATCATCTGAATAAGTGCTTAAACTTATTTCAAGTATATTGCAGGCTTCATCGAGTAATTCCTCCGTGTACCTCGGTCCGGAGCCACGACAACACGACTGCCGCTTTATGATAAATTGCATCTTAGCAATGATCGTACGAGTTGCTAGTGCTGTCACCCGCTGAACCGGAATATTACCATCGCAGCATAAAACAGCTGATGAAGCGTCTTGACAAAAAAAATCAATAAGTTTCCAGCGCGGGCTTCATTAGGCGCTGAAAATGAGGCACTTAAAGATATATGGCACACAGTTCTATATGATGACCCCAGTATAGCTTGAGCTTGTTTAGGAATAGGCATTGTTTGACCAGCCTTTTGATCATATTTAAAAAGAAATTGACATTGAGCGCGGTCATTGTTGAGCTGCAGCTGGAGGAGAGGGTTACTGTGCACTTAAGAACAAGCTTACATGTGCGGACAATGAACTGGCCGAGACACCGATACCATAAATTACCATGTTTTCCAGGGTTTTACTAAATTCTTATATTTCTTGTCAATACGGCCGCTAGGACTCGGTGTTTCGGCAAGCTCCCCATTTTCTCATGTAAACTTTTTCCAATACTATATAGTACTGTTACGTTGTGGCCTCTCCATGCCCACGGGTCTTTGGTAGTTCCACCTTATCCCATGGTTCCGTTGTGAGTAGTTCAATACACACTTGAGAATAGTTTATGAACGGACAGCGAGCTGGCCGAGACACCCACTTCTATCGGTTGTATGAACAAGAAATATAAAGAATTTAGTAAACCTGGAAAACCTGGAAAATCTGGTAATTATGGTATTGATGTCTCGGCCAGCTCAGCGATAATAACCAAAGTTTTCGGGCCTATACTATCATACGTGGCCAAGCATGCCTAGACTGGGGTTGGGCGTCTCCTCATTGGTACATTTCTGGTGTTCGTGCTTGCTCTCGTTAGCACATTAACATACTAGCAGTGGTGGCTACATGCTGTGATGTGCCTGTAACCATTTCGGAAAGGACAGAGCCCTGAAAGGAATACTGATAATCCTGAATGTTCATGGATATGTAATATGAATAGGGTGAATATTCACCTATTATTATTCAATTCATACGTGCATAATTTGTTGAATGAGGCTGCTGGTATGAGGTACACTTTGTGACTACTACATCAATCGGTATGGAATGCTGGAAGGCTTTCATTGCGGGTCTCTACTCAATTTCTATTGATAGGTAATCGCTATTTTACACAAATGAAACCCAAGCTAGCAATGATTCTACCTACGTAGCCAGACCTTTTCAAGCTATTAGTGCATAGTTACTGTCGAGCGCACCTTTCGGCAGCATAACCCATCGCTCGCTCATTCCAATGCCTCCGGATACTCAATACGTCCCCGTGTTACTAAATTTCCGCTCAATCCCTACCTCTGCAGGTCGGTGCACTGGAAGATAGGCTCAGAACACTTGTACCATGAAAGGATTGTCAAATGCATTTGCTTTCTACCATCTCATCAACCCAACACAAGCCGAAGACAAGGCTGAGGCTTGGACAGCATACAAGATCAAGATAGCTCAAACACAAAAACAAGACAAACCAAAACAGAGAAGGTATAAGATGCAACTCCGGCATTTGTGTGGAAAAATTCTTCAGAAGGATTTCACCGCCGTTCGTGCAAGTAATCAAAGATTGGCAAATATCTGCAGCTAAAGGGCAGTCGTCTGAAGGTTACCACTGCTATCAAATTAACCAGAAAACACCGATGTTGACCTGAGGAATAAGGCACCCTCACTGGGCCAGTTCAGATCCAGAGCTTTGGGAACGATCCCCCACTCTTTGAAACCTGGAGTCACAGGTTGTACGCCAAGGATGCAGCGCCTCAAATTTGCTGTAGGTCTCAATCCCCAGACATGGCACAGCACAACGTTCAAAATATCTTATATATAGCTGGCTTAGAACTAGCATGACTGGGGTGGCCCATGAGCACCGGACGTTATGAAGGAGATATTTCACATTGGCACTGTCGTTCACATGAAAAGCGACCTTTAAATAATATCCAGAAGCGTAAGAGCTGGCTTTACTGAGACGGGCAAATTCAAGGGAACTGCAGAGGCCTTCAATTGGTGGCCCAGGACCGGAGAGCTTGGAGGGTTTATGGTAGTAGCATGGGTCTCAATGTTCATATTTAATAGGCATAGTGGTCTCTTTCAAGGTATTATTGGATTTGTTGCATTCACGCTTGCACAGAGTAGCCCAGCTCTTCAGGCGAACACTCAGTTATGACCTAGAGAGCGCGCACCCGTAGTGCCAACAGTAGAATTAAGCTAATTACACAGAGATTATGCCAGGCGCGACGGATGCCGGCATTTCCTGAACTGAAATTAACTGTGAGACGCTGACTATTAACTTGTGGGCTTGTCTTTATATACACCATGTTCTCCATCTAATAAAGGTCCTTAAAGCTACATTCTACATTCCGTGTATATTATTTCCTCGTCAGCCATGGAATGTCAACATCCAAGCCGGCCGCAACTCTCATGGCGGATACAACGCATCCCTCAAGCAGTACCATTCCGTCCCAGCACCAAGCGCCGGCGAGCCAGACATTTCCAACTCCGTTGTGCCAGATCTTTGCCTTTTCTGGGGACGCAAACTCGAACTTTCCTGAAAATATCTGGTTGACTACCTTCCTGCTCTTCGGCGTTCGTAGAACGCGGGTTAGCCGCACGCGATGGATAACCTTGGCTGGATCTATTGGCGTGATTGGAAAACTCGTTACTAGGACTGAATCGGGATGCTCATGTATCGACTCTGTCGCGAACGAATTGGAGCAGATATGGAGTATTTGAGTTGGGTCAAGAGATTGCTGGGCTTTTGTAGAAAACCTGCTCCTTAGCGACTGACCGTAACGTGGGACAGTGGATCTATCGCGGTGGATAACCGACTCGCCATGAATCACAGGTATCGAACTTAGGACATCCCGTAGAGGCTCGTATATAGCGCTGACCACGTTCGGGGGAACCGCCAATACGACGTGATCGAATAGCCTAGAATGAACCTCCTTGCTTTTCAAGTTGGTCCATGTGACCTGGACTTTGGAGCCAACGCTTTTGGCTCCAGTGACCATTGCACCGAATGTTACAGATTGCTTGCTCGCAATTTTGGTCTGGACATTCTGAACGCCTCCAATAACTGTATAATGTGGCTGACGATAGGTTCTCCTCGCGTAGTCAACAGCATCAATTGCCGGAAACTCAAGAAGCTCATCGTGGGAGCAAGTTGCTACGCTTGACATTAGCGGCAGTAGATAGTTCTTGCTGAAGTAACGGGGCAATCGGATTCGGTCAAGATATTGTCGAAGCGATTCACCCTCATTGGAGACGGTGGCTGGCCTGGGGTTGAGGAAGAAACAGCAGGCCGTGAACCAAAAATAGCACACGGCCAGATACAGCGTCCGTAATATCCATTCCACGTAGCCGCAATCCTCTGGTCGGATAGGCGGTACTTGGTGATTGCTGGATGAGTGTATGAAATGGGGAGACATCTTCTTTCCCTCATTGATGGAAACCGTGGACATTGGATATATGAACTTGGTTGATGTATATTTGATATCAAAATGGTCATACATCCGCTTCAAGTTGATGTGATAGCCATCATCGAATGCGCGCATTGGTATATCAACACGATATGACGATGTAGTGTGATCATTACCAGGTGTTATAGAGTACGAGGCCGAATCTAGAGACAATTGGTCTTGCTGTAGATTATGTTAGTATACGAGGGATGTTTAGCAGTGGCAAGGACGATCAATTTTTTTTATTTACCATTTCAAATATTTCCACCTTATATCTCTGTTTACGGTCGTGCTGAACAATGTACGCCGTCACCAACCCTGCCATTCCGGAGCCGATGACGGCAACGGTTTTTTTAGTCTCTCGAACAGCCATAAGCGAAGTTATTAAGTTGAGATCTGTGTCGCAGGATCGTAACCCAAGCTTCGTCGGTGTTCTTTAATAGATAGGTGTAGGCTAGACATTAGCGCCCTTTAACCGTGGCGCTTGAATTGCGCGGAATTTTCTTTGCCAGAAAACGAAAGGTGGGCGGCGAGGTCCTTTTCGTAGGAATCGCAGAGGCGGCCTGGACCCTCTTTTCCCTCGAAGTCTAATTTTGGGCTGTGCCCAGACCTTGAGGAAGCTAATTGTAAAGAAACAGTGTTTCAGATCTTTCTAGCGAAGGATCCAGCAGAAAGATCCAGCAGAAAGAAATACGCTACCTTCCCAAAATACCCTAATGCAATGCGATGATGCCTTTTTGAGTCCGATTCCTCCGGTAATACCAGCAGGTATCTATGGGATAGTTGTTGAGATGGCTTGTCAATATTTGTCAGATAACATCTAGCTAATCCCATTTTACTTCTAGATCTCACGCCCTCTTTTAAAGAACGTTAAGGAATCTCTGAAAGGCACTCAGTCTCTTCCTTGCACGTTTTCCCTCAATTCTCTATCCATAGCTCCTATATATCGACACTCTAAATGGTTGCCTATCTTATGGCGGCGTATTGTTTTGGGCATTTCAGTATCATATGCTAGTACTCTAGCAGACTGAGATTCTGATCATCCTGCAAAGACACTGCTGGGTATAGGAGGGTAGACAGTGTAGACATAATTAAGGGATGAGGAGAAACGGAAAGCTTAGACATCGTTATGTTTCAATTCTCTAGCCAGTTATCTGTTTTTGTAAAGTGTTGGGCTTCAAGTGGAGAACCACTTATCGTTCCCCGAGTCAAACGCCGAGTCTACAGCTGTAGTTTCTGTGTTTTACCAACCGTATACTACTTCTACTCAGCATAGAATTCCCTCAGAAAGAAAGCACTCCCGGTGAAGTTGGAGAAAATCTTTAGAGGACACTACACGATCTACTTTTATTGGCGTGCTGAGCTCTATAACGATAGGTCCAGCCCTTGTATGTTCATTAGGGCGGACTTAGGCGAACTTAAAATTGCTGTGAGCGAAGACCGAAAGGTAGTTTGAAAAGAAACTTTTGCTAATTTGACCATGCCCTATGCGGTCAATGATCCCACGAATTCTTTGTATTATAACGATGCCTCTGCATATAATTCACCGTAAAGGTCTTGGAGAAAGCAACACTCTTGGGTACATGTGGATCGAAGCTAGGAAAGAGTCTGTAAGACGGGGCTAGGCTTACGACGCGAACATATCCGGCATCATTTGGCCACTGGCATGGGGAAGGAAGAGTGGAACAAAAGAAAAGAAAAAACTCAGGTAATAAACCAAGTGCCTAGTCTGGCTTGCAGTTTCCTCGGACTTATCGGTGCGGAGTTTGATGCTGCGCTCGACAGAAGAATGGCCTGGAGTGGCGATCACATCACGGCTGGCCCAACAATGTTCTTTGGTACTCTCCTTGGGGCTGGCATATACAAAAGAAGTATCGTTGAATGCACATGCCTTCGCTCGGACTCGGGGCCTTAATGCTGGATCGCCGTTCTCCCCTGCCCTGATTGATTCGTCAGGCCACCTCTCTCTTCCCTTTAGCTGATTGCTTGCCCCCCCAACCGTGTCCTCCGGTGGAGCCCTTGAGTGAGTGACTGAGGAAGTTGAATAGCTCCCAACTGTTTTACTACCCAGCCTGATAGTCACAAGTGCTCGCTCTTCGTTGCTCTGCTGTTACAGCTTCCCCACCCGTTGTGTTTTCCTTTTAGTCCGCCCTGGTCTCCATCACAGTCGACAAACAGCGCCCCCTGATAGCTTCATATCGGATACTAGAGAGACTCGCCACAAAACAAACCGACACAATGTCTGCGGAAAGAGCAGAGGTTTCCCAGCCTCGCGCTGGTGATATCAAAAAAGTCCATATCTCCGAGACGGCCCTTACACGGAGTAACTGGCACAAGCATGTCAACTGGCTGAATGTTATTTTTATCATCGGTATCCATCTGTATGGTTGCGTTCAGGCATTCTGGGTTCCATTGCAGACCAAGACAGTCATTTGGACGATCATCTACTACTTCTTCACTGGCCTGGGTATTACAGCAGGTGCGTCTAATCCCAGTTTCTGTCTGGTATCTGTTACGAAGATGTTAATATTCCCTACACAGGATATCATCGGTTGTGGGCTCATCGCTCCTATTCCGCTCGGCTTCCTCTGCGTATCTGGCTCGCCGCCATGGGCGGTGGTTCCGTCCAAGGGTCCATCCGCTGGTGGGCTCGTGACCACCGCGCCCACCACCGTTATACTGACACCGACAAGGATCCATACTCCGTCCGCAAGGGTCTGATTTACTCGCACATCGGCTGGATGGTGATAAAGCAGAACCCCAAGCGTATCGGGCGCGTTGATATCTCCGACCTCAACGAGGACCCTGTTGTGGTGTGGCAACACCGGAACTACCTTAAGGTCGTCCTTTTTATGGGTTTAGCCCTGCCTATGCTCGTGGCTGGATTTGGCTGGGACGACTGGTGGGGTGGCTTTATCTACGCTGGTATTTTACGTATCTTCTTTGTGCAGCAGGCGACTTTCTGCGTGAACTCCATAGCCCACTGGCTCGGTGACCAGCCGTTCGACGACCATAACTCGCCTCGTGACCACGTCATTACTGCCATGGTTACCCTTGGAGAGGGATACCACAATTTCCACCATGAGTTCCCCTCAGACTACCGTAATGCTATTGAGTGGTACCAGTACGATCCAACCAAGTGGTCTATCTGGGTATGGAAGCAGCTGGGCCTGGCCTATGACCTGAAGCAGTTCCGCGCCAATGAAATTGAGAAGGGCCGTATCCAGCAGCTCCAGAAGAAGCTTGACCAGAAGCGCGCCAGGCTAGACTGGGGTGTCCCGCTTGAGCAGCTACCTGTGATGGAATGGGATGACTACATCGAATTAGCCCAGAATGGCCGCGGGCTGGTGGTCATTGCCGGTGTAGTGCACGATGTGACCGAATTCATCAAGGACCACCCGGGTGGCAAGGTTATGATCAGCTCGGGCATTGGCAAGGATGCCACGGCCATGTTCAACGGTGGAGTCTACTGCCACTCGAACGCAGCACATAATCTGCTGTCGACCATGCGGGTGGGCGTGATCCGTGGCGGTAGCGAGGTTGAGATCTGGAAGAGGGCCCAGAAAGAAGGCATCGCCGAGTATGTCCGCGATGGGATGGGTCAGCGCATAATTCGCGCTGGTGAACAGGTGACGAAGCTCCCGAAACCTATTCCAACGGCGGACGCTGCATGAACTTGCTCCCAATTTTCGAGATATATTCTGCGTTGTTCAGGGTGAGCCATGTGGCCCTGACTATTTTCTGGAATTCCATGCATAACTCTGCTAAGTAGGGAAATATATTAACACGAACTATCATATATTTATGTCCATTAACCAGGGGTGAGGGGCGCAGAGCACCACGGTGTATCGTACAGACTAATTATCACCTGCGAAATGGTTGGCATTAAAAGAGTTAAAAAATGACGCTTGGTGAGGAAAGCAGGGCGCAGTGGTGCTGCCGCTTTGGTGGTAGAATACGTGATATGATCGGACGTGGGCGAACCCTTTAAAGTACTATTGTCCTTCGCATCTAATTCGGACATACATACATGGGCATATTTCTTCTGTATAGGGAACACTAGTAGGATACTTAAGTAGTACTCTGCCTTGGCATCGTGCTCGTGCGCGGTTACTAGGTATAATAGGAAAACCTTTTAAATAAGCATAATATGAAGTCCTCCACCCAAGCTCCAAGATCCCAAGTGTAAGGGCTTCCTGGAAGATGTGAGCAATATCACATGTACAAGCATTAGATACAGGTTACTTGGATGCGGCCTGATAGACAGTTAGCTTTGCAGGACACAACGGTGAACCGCAATAGATGCTACACTTTGCAGAACGTGGATTAAGTCGCACTGTTACGGAACGCAGGAAAAGGCTTGAGGCACTTCTGGAGAAAAAAAGACTGGAAGGGAGACAGAAAATCGCGCAGTAGAGCCCGACGGACCTCAGGGGAGACTGGTCCGGTGTTTACCAAGCTAAATATTCCATTATTGAAATCTAGTGTGACAGTATAGCACTTTGTACACCGTTCCGGACACCTGAATTGCATTGTCAAGGGCGGCAGTTTCCAACGCTATTATAGTACTCCTAGTGCCGATCGTTGTACTCGTTGGACCACTCCCTTCCCATCTTCCCGCTCGAGATATTACCAACCACCCTTGGTTAACATACAGCTCTTCTCTCTTCTGATTTACCTCTTCCTATACTTCGCATCCGAGTACCGCTTTGTATCCCGACGACTAGTGCCCATTGTTTAGAAAGCAGGGCGAAACAACTGGTACTGTATGACAGGGCTAAGGTACCTACACGGAGTTACTCACGCAGGACTCGCAGGCGTCCAGTTGGGATATTGACCCCGACAAATATGCAATTTATTAATGCCACAACAAAAGATCCTGGTTTAGCTCTAGAGCTTCCCTCTTCGACTTGCACGAGTTTAGCTATAGGGATATACTATTGTAGTACCCCTGGATGAAAATGCGCACCACTTTACTAGTCATCAGTTCGCGAGCAGCTCAGAGCACGGGGAGGGTGGAAAAGAGGCCATAGAAAGGCGGGTTAGAGTATTGTATCAAGTGAGACAGTTCAACAGTTCACATGTACATCTATAAGCCGGAAATTATGTATAGATGTCCTTCGCCATATTTTTGTTTTATCTTCGTGTACACATGATGAGGCCACCATTCTCCTTGTTTATCTTTACTTTTTTCCCACATCAGTTATATCTGCACTTTTGATAGCGAGAAACCAGACCATGGATTATTTGAGGCTGAGGGGCCTGTCTGATGAAGGATTCCTGAGGAAATACTCCTCGACAGTCACAGGAATGGAATCAGTGCCCGTAGATGAGATCTCCCCTTTGGGCGATAGATTGCTGGCAATTAGCTAGAATAGCCGCCTGTCGACCCACCTCGGCCAAGCTTCCTACGACCTTCTTATTACCGCCCACGAACCCATAGAGTGCATAAGGAATACCGGCCTCTTTGCAGAATTGTAGCACCAGCTTCTGGGTTCTCCGTAAATTGTGCCGCGGGATCCTCGGGAACAAATGGTGAATGGCCTGGAATTGAAGACCACCATGGAAAAAGTCAAGCCACTCAGGACAGTCAACGTCCATGGTAGTGCGCAGCATCTTTTGCGGAAACGACTCGGTGGGGCCAAGATCGGCAGTGGACATGGCGAAGTGGGATAATGTGAACTGCACATGCAGCGGCATAGTAACCATGTGGCTAACCATAACAAAGGCAAATCGGTCCCAGTATGTAGGGATGGATTTGCAGACGACAAGGTACCCGAACCAATACCAGAAAACCAGGTTGCCCGCAATCTCAAACCACCGATGCCACCAGGCAGCGCCCTTCCGTGGACCTTGCCCCTGGATGAGAAAGATCCATGACTGGACATACAGGTTAAAGCGACCGAACATCAAAACTGGGTAGTAGAGGTAGGCTTGATAGGGGACTAAGAATTGGCCCACGGCATCATAAGACATGAAGCGCTCATGGTAGGTTGAAAATAGACTACCAAGGAAGCGGTGATTCACGGCAAAGAATGGCAAGTGCTGGTTATCAGGGTCATGTTCCGGAGCATTGGTGACAATATGGTGGACATTATGGGTACGCTTCCACCAACCAAGTGAAAGACCACCAATTGGGGCAGCGATAATCATGCCAATTATAGTATCAATTGTAAAGCTTTGTGTGATGGCCATATGACCGGCATCGTGGGCAGCGAAAACCAGCTGCGACCAAAACCAGCCGAGCCAGATGGCACTGATGCAGTAATGTCCAGCTTGAAGGAAGAATAGCATAAGTCCAAAAAGTAATAAGCAACGCGCCAACTCCCAGGCATAAGCGGTATAACTGCAGTCGTATAATCCCTCGTCCTGGATTTGGCTGTGGAGATGACGATATTTCTCGGTAATGTCATGCTGAATGTCCTTATCCAGTGCAGGGTACTTGTCGGTCGTAAGCACAATCTCCTCCTTTGACAGGTTATCAAGAAAGGCGAGTCCATCCTGGCTGCCTGAGCCTGCGGTTGCTTGCAAGGTGGGGTACACGTAGCCTCGGTGTTTGGCCTCCTTCTCGGCAAGGATACACAGCGACACAGGGCTCACGGCTGCTTCAGTCTGTTCCTTAGCATCTAATCCCACACGATGTCGAAACTGTCCTCCTTGAATAGGGGGAACGAAGTTCTCCCAGCGTTTATCAATTCTCCCAATTTGAAATCGGGCCATTTGGTTTCGTGTTTCTTTTGAGTGAAATCTGCTCGATTCTGGTTAGCATAGGTTCTGTTAAAGGTGAGCAAGTGATTTGGTTCTTCTGACACGGAGACTTCGTCGGTGGCATCCCTGCCGACCATATGTTGGATTGGCTTATGGCCCCCGGGATGATACTTCATCCACGCATCGAGCTTAAGGACCTTCTGATCCAAGATAACGATTGTGTGTCCATCAGCGATCATTCCCTCCACTTGCTTGACAGACAAGAGTTGGTCAAAAGTGGCGGAGCCTTCATTCACGGATTTCATGGTTGTGGGCATAAGTACCACGGCCGTCCGTAAGTGAAAATAGTATGTAGCATGTAGTACGTATTTACCAGGCCTTGGAGGAAAAGAGCAGACAGGCCTCAAGAGGAAGCAGGGAGGGTAGAAGAAGGTCGTAAAAGTCGGGAACGCGCGGAAAGGTGGATCCCCAGTCGATGGGCTGGAGGGATGGGGCTGGAGGCTGGAGGCTAGTATACTACGCTATTACTATAAGGCAAGGCTAATACTGCATGTATGAGTTGTGTTCCCGCAATTCCTTTCCTGTTTCGCGATAACTACGGGCATTGCCACTTTGTAGGAGCGGCACGTGAATGGTCCCTGGCGCTTCGGACCACTCGCCTACCGACGAATCCAGGACCGCTCCTGGTTACCCAGTGTTGGCCCTCAGACGACAGATATATGGTCCGTAGACTGCATACGAACTAAAGCTTCCAGGTCTATGAGACTCTACTCATCGCTTTCATGAGGGCATCACTGTTGTAATTCTGGGGAAGATTGATTGTTAGGGTTTTCTGTAAACTTAAAGGATTATATACACGTGGAATATCAGATTGATTTTCAATTACTCTGATTCTATAGGAGTTTATTCCGAATGTGAAGCTCTACAGTTTATTGATCGAAGCTCGATTCACTATAATCACAAAGGTTGTGGTCGAAGGGTCTGATCTGGTGAACCTGTATAACGAGCCAACGACTAAATCAAGCAGCGGATTCGGCCAATTATAAGATATAAATGGAGTGGCTTGCCTGTATAGCTTTGCAGCACTTCATCCCTGACCTGTGGTCCTCTACCTAAATCTTAGTTGCTTAGTACGGCCGTACTATCTAACTCAGGGAAGACCTCTCACTGCGATAAGAAACGAACTGCTCAACCCGAACGTTGTCATGAGCGAAAATGTGATGCCAAACCCTGGAGATTATACACGCGGGCAAGCGCAGCCAATTGCGACACATGTATAACTTGAAGACTTTATTCTATGGTTTATCGACCCTACTATGGATGGCAGACTTGATCCTGACAGAGAGCCGACAATTGGTACAGAGTCTCGTTCGCGCCCAAGAGCTTTTCTCTAGTTTTTATCTTGAAACATGTAAAGTCCATCAATGGTCAAGCTTACCCTCATGCCATTAATTCTTCTCGGATTCATGTTACTAAGTCGATGTATATATAGGTAATTACAGGGAGACGGACTTATGACAGTGAGTTCACATATAAAGAAATTTTACTGGATGTGAATGGCTGCTTAGATCAACTAGAGAGTATTGACGAGTATTGACACACTTAACTGACAATACCTCTACATTCTTTGGAGACGTCACTGCGACTATATATCAGTTAAAGTTTCAGCGGTAATTTGATCAACATACAAGGGAAAAGAAAAGAAAAGAAAACAGGAAAATTGTGACCTCAGCCAAGAGCGCTCTGGTACTTCAAGAAGTGCTGGAAAATAAAATGGACCAAACATTGAATATTAGATAGGAATGGTATATTCGGTGAAGAGCTTGGCTTCACTCGTGTAGTTAGGTGATATTCAATTATCAGTGGCGGTTCCGACCACCCACCGGCGGAAGGCGGTGGGTGGTCGGAACCGCCACTGATATTATATAATTTGCTCGAGCGCGGAGACGGTGATCTCGGCGTTTGAGCAGTGTCAAACGCCGAACGCCGGCTCCCGGCAACATCTAGAGCTTCGGTGGTATTTATGGGGCATCCGATAGAGTATATAAATCTCTAATCTTTGGACTGACTATTACTCGTTTCTCTATCTCTATAGTTTTTCACTGCCTCCTTCCCTCATATACTTGTGCGGGCGACCTTTGAAAATGCTTCCTATTGTCCTCTATTCGCACCCCTACGGGCCTAATCCTTGGAAAGTGGCCATTGTCCTGGAGGAGTTAGGCCTTCCCTATGAAACCCGTTTTGTCAATTTCACCGATGTTAAGAAGGAGCCTTATATCAATTTGAATCCAAATGGTCGCCTTCCCGCAATTGAGGATCCAAACATGAGTATTACTCTGTTCGAGTCTGGTGCTATTGTGGAATACCTTGTGGAACACTATGACCCCGAAAACAAGCTCCACTATACGGAAACCGCGGCAAAGTATCAGATCAAGGCATGGCTGCATTTTCAGGCGTCTGGCCAGGGTCCTTATTATGGCCAGGCAAGTTGGTTCACACGATTTCACCCTGAACGCATTCCTTCTGCCATCGAGCGATATGGTAACGAGATTCGCCGTGTGACTGGGGTACTTGAGTCTGTGCTGAAAACTCGGGAATGGTTGGTTGGTGACAAGTGTACGTACGCTGACCTTTGCTTCTTGCCGTGGCAAAGATGGGCTTCGAAATACGCGACCAATCCTGAAACCCTTGACGAGGACTTCCCTCATGTTGCTGCGTGGTACAAGAAATTGACTTCGCGCGTGGCTGTAAGGAAGGTTTTCAAGGACCAGGATCGGGCAATTGAGGAAGCTGAGAGGGAAAAGGCTGGTGTCTGAATGGTTTCAAGTTAGTGATGAGTAAGGAAGGGCTAGGCGCAAATGCAATACTGCTGGGCAGCCTAAAAAGTTCTGGCAATCTAGTTGGACTTGAATATGTGATATAAATGTGTTCATATAAGATTAAGGATACGGTAATACAGAGGAGAAAATGAGATAAAACTGAACTACAGTACTAGTATAGGGCCTGTTGTTCTTACATGCAACTGAGCCTGTCGTGTTTGGGACTATACAAATGGCTCCGTCTAGTGAGCATAGAACGGCGGTAAGGCCGAATACCACTGGGGAGATCCCAAGAATCCCCCTCCTTGGTGACAGAGGGTTACAGATAACTATAGGATGTTATATATTACAAAATCTGCAGTGACTGTTGACCACGCTGTGAACGTTGGTGCTCTAGGCCGTGAGGGGACGATTGCAAAGCTAATGAATGGTTATGAGTTATTCGTGCAACAGGCAGTCGATCTGTTGCTATTTATGTAGACCAAAATCGAAGTGAAAATACTTATATCCGAATCGTCATTAGTGGTCTTCGCCCAGGGTTGGGAGGTCTGGTGTACTAAGCGTACCGGGCCAACAAGACTGCCGAACAGATGAGTCAGACCAAATTTCGGATCGATAGCATGCTCCGGCAACCAGGGATCTGGACCGACCGTTCCAGACTTTTATGAAGCCCTCGACAGATAGACACTAATGCCACGTGTGGACGAGGTCAACTTTGCCGACTAGAATATTTGTTTCGAATAAGACATTCCACTCCGCTACGAATTTACAACAGCCGAAGCTTGAAGCGCTTGATCAGACGGAGTAGCGTGTTATACGGTTCCTACAGGGGAACCATCCAGGGATACGGGAGAAGCTCGATTATGTATGCCTTGGGCCGTCAATCAGTCTACTGGGCAATTCCGTCCGTCGGATTATAGATTGGGTGGCATTACATTTGCTAGCTGATCCCCACCCAAACGTATCTTTCCGCTAGCTAAGCAAGAGACCGCCGGCATAGACGGCATATAAACTAGAGGCCTATAGGCTACGGGCGGGCCAATTCCATGACGAACTAAATCATGCAAATTAGTCCCACTGAGATACTTCCAGTCTTAATGTGGAAAATGAATGGCGCAAATTTCATGGCAACTCGATTTTATGAAATGCATTCGAAATAGCGGAAGACCATTTACCCTTTGCTGCGAGCCTTGAGCCTGTCGGTGGTTAGGCTATCGGTAAATATAGTGATAGTGACTACTCAGTCTTACTGAGAAAGGAAAGGGAGGGTATATGCACCTGATTCAAAGAATCCGGTATCCGAACAGTCATTCTCATGGAGTTCGGCTGCCATGCCCCGTACTTACCATGCGAACACTGGCTCCCACAGAACTCGGTCATCGTTCACTCCGGACTTTCTGACAAAACTTTATAATCCTCCGCTTCTGTACATGGCTGCTGCTTGTCTCGGACACTCCTCGTTTGCCGCCTTCAATCCGGTAGGGGTTCTCCAGCTCCACATGGGCATATAGGTTGGACTAATCCGGATTGACTGAAACTCCGTCTCATTCCGTTCAGTGTGCAGATCACTGAACGAGAAGTACTGCAGGAATTATTGTCTCGGCCATCACGAAGGCATAATCCATATAATAATTCTATCAAACAACGGATAACCGGCCACAGTGTCCTATTAAGAAGCTTTATATATTCCGTAAAGTGGATATATGAATTAGTGACAGAAAGAAAGGCTGTACACGATGTTCTGTTACTGATCGCGGTAATCGTGGAGCAAATAGGCCACTCGGTGTCCGATTACGTTGTAGCCAATGCAACGTTTCACTTTAGTACACAATATTTGTTGCATTATACACATGCTCATCTACCTATGCGCTAAAATAGTGCGCAAATGTAATTCGGACCGACTATTGGCAGTAAATAATTCTGGTTAACAGATAATATCTGATTGGGGTGCCGGGTTCCCCAGATGCTCCAGAGAGTAGACACGGATCAGGGAAGCAAGAACTTCCCGCTTGAGTTCGAATCCCAGTGCTCGGTATATGATTTCTAGTTAAATGCAGTATTTTGGACTTACGCCGGAATTTGATGGGGCACGGCGGAGAATGGGGGTTTCATGGGATAGAGAGAAAGATAGAGAGGGGAGAGAGATAAGGAGAGAGTATAAATTGCAAGTCCACCCTGTGACATTCGATATAGGCATTGAAGTATTTCAATTTTTTATGTCCTAAGCAATATTGCTATTGCTCCGCTGGTCGTCCAAGAACAATGCAAAACGGAGTAGCCGGATGGATAGCAAGTAACGGTGAATCCTGCAGTAGCGGTAACTGTTGGCCTGTATTTCTTTCTGTAATATTAGCAACCCCTTCCACCTGAGACGGCTTCGGAAGTATAACTTTCACCCATTTTTGTCTCCACCAATCTGGAATATTGTGGTTTTAATGTTTCAGCAAGCACTTACAAGCCAAGGCTACTTCAATTATCTATCTGACTGCCCTTTTTCAGGATGAGTTGCCCTGTCAGCCACAGCATTCTGACGCACGAGACCGCTTTCCGGGGCTAGTATTATCTTGTATATACACAAACACAACACAGTAGCTAGTTTTCTTTCTCACGCTTAGTATTCTATGATATTCTACCAATTTGGTTGCAAGATTAATTTGAATGAAATGACAGTATCACAGAGGCCTCTACCCATTGGGTACCCATGCCGAGGTCTGGTTCCGGCTCACGAGCCTGCGAAGGTCGTGACACATCGTTGAGTTTCTCAATAAACGAATTCAATTAAAATAGGCAATATGTGTCAATATCCCTAGCTACCACTTCCCCTTCCATATCTCATGTGAAGAGCTCACGAATATGCTCTTGCACGGATCTAATATCCGCTCCAATAATCCTCCCGGCTTCCTTTCCATCGTCGAAAAAGAGAAACGTAGGCATTGCATTCACGTTGTTCTTTCGGGAGACACTCCCCATCTGGTCAACATTCACCGCAAGAAATTTGACCTCAGGATATTCTTGACTTAACCGAGAGAACTCTGGGCTGACGGCTCGGCATGGGGGACACCAATCTGCGTAGAACTTAACAACACACGGCTCGTTATCGACGATACTCTCAAATTGAGCGGCTCTAGAGGAAGAACGTAAGATTAGGATACAGAGTAAGCCATTGGAGACATATATCCTTACGAGACGACCTCGATAACATTACCATGGGACATCTTCGCTGACTGGGAAAGGTTCGGGAGGCTCATGATGATTATGAGGACAGAAGGTACTATATGATTCGGTGGGCTATGAATATTGTTCTTGAGGATTTAGAAAACAAAGGAGACAAGATGGTTTGGCTGTCTAGAAATATACGGATCTATACGTATATAAATACTGCGGACATCCTCGGTGATTGCCTTCGCGTTCGGTGATTGTAAGGGTTGACTAATTTCTGACTTCAACAGCCTGTAGTTTTGAGGCATACTATTAATAATACATTTTGCTAAGCAGTTGGCCCTTGGGCTAGGTGTATAGTCCATAGCATACGCCTCATGTGGGCGTTGCTGTTGCATTATAGATTGGTGGCCTATACATCCGAGAGGAGACCGAGGGCAATAAAGTTGAAGTTCGCTAAGATGAGTAAGGTGCGGCGTCCAGATTCTCCATTGATGCGTAGATGCGTCAACCGTCGGGTAGATATTTAGTTCTTCAGTGCCCCACAGTGTGGGGGCAGACGACCGAGAGATCAAACACCGAGGCCTAAGGCCGTGAATTTGGATTTTCGGTGTTTTTCTTTTATTTTTTTTTTGGGGGGGTACGTTCCTTCGTACTCTGGGATGGCTCTTTCAAGGACCACCTTTTCGCGGTAGGCTACAGCTGCAAGTCGATCCAGGGTAGGTTGCTAGCCTTGTAATATTCCACCTAAGGTCCTTATTTCACCACGGTCTTCGTTGGATGTATGTGTGGTGCTGTTCGGTACCGGCCGTTGGTTATGTTTTGAACACCTTCACTTTCCAATCCTATTACGCTGTATATGACCCCACCTCATCCCTTGAAGGGGTTGTAAACATTTCCATATCCTCCGCTGAACTCATCTGCGGCACAGCTAAGTCCGTGTCAAATCCGACGGCGATCATGCCCCTAGGCTACATGGTGCAGATTCTGTGAAACGGCAGATGAGGGTGAACAGATTGCCGTGGAATCAAAGAAAGCTATATACGATCTAATGTGCGCAAAATGGTCACAGTCTCAGTCGGTATGGTTTATATCTTCGTTATATTCGACGACCAAAAAGAGTTTGTTTCGGCATCCACGCTCCATCCGGAGAAGTTAAAACGCACGAGGATAACATTGTGGATAGATGGAGAAGACAAGGAGTATAATGTAGGTAGTATAGAGAGCGAGAGCCATCATTTGACTAAATAGGATTCTGCTTTTCCTTAGTGCTTCTGTTGTTGCGGAGATGATTTGCGGGAATCCTTCAAGGAATTCCGAGGATATTTACTAGCAGACTCTCGCTTTGTCTTGTTCTAGCGCGCCGCCTGTGGTCGAAATGAGTTCCCTTTTTCCCAAGCAGTCGGAATATAGCAATTAAGATAGAATGCTATAACCTAGGGCTTTTCGAAGACTTGATTACTATATGGAGAAACATCACGGCTTAAGGTCTATAGATTGATAGCATGTATCGCAGACTTATAAAAACGATAGTTCATATTGAGATGGTAACATTTGACTACCTCATTCAATTGCCAAATATCTTCTACTTAGTCAATTTTAACAACCACTTTACCAATATGCCTCTGGGCCGCCTATGTCACAGTAGATTTAGCATATAACGTTTTACGCGGACACATGATCTTTAAACGACTTACCAAGTATTCAAAGGCTTCTCGACCCTGTTCGAGATTAAAGACCTTTTGGTCAAGGACGGGATGAATATCGTTTGTTTCAAAGGCCTGGACCATGTCTTTCAGCATAGCACGGCTGCCAACGTAGATACCCCGAGCTGTGCAGATATGGCTTAGAGCGTCCAGAAGTCCGGGTTGAGGCCTGTCACTTGCGCCTAGGAAACCAATTAAGTTGATGATTCCCTCCATCTTGATACATTTAAAACTCTGTTCAAGTGTATCAGTGCCTCCGATGTCCATGATGCAGTCAACGCCCATCTGGTTGGGAGTGAGTTCGCGGGCGACTTCACCCCAGTTTGGGGTGGTCCGGTAGTTAATAACATGATCAGCCCCTAGCTCTTTGAGCTTCTTGGCCTTAGTATCTGAAGAGGTTGTGGCGATAACTATGGCACCTGCGGCTTTCGCTAACTGCAATGCGTAGCCAACCTATTAGTCTTTGTACTCTAGAGTAATGGTAGGTGACAGCCTGAGTTAGGATTTGCTTCAGGAGTGCCGAAGCATTGATCTGATGAAAACATACCTGCAGTCCAAACACACTGACGCCCCCAGTTCCCTGGACCAGCACAGATTGCCCTGCTTTGATGGGTTTAAGGCCATATAAAGCGTTCCAGCTTGTGAGCGCTGCGCCTGGCAGGGTACTGCTCTCCAAGGCAGTCAAGTTTTTCGGGGCTTTGACCAGTCCCAACTCATTGTACACTCCATACTGACGAAGGACGCCGTCGATTGTCCCACCAACGCCAGTTGATGCAGCATAAGGGTCGATATCACCATATTGATGTCCTTGGTTAAAGACTGTGATAACTGTATCACCCTTTCTGAATTCCCTGACTTGGGATCCAACTTCAACCACCACACCGGCACCATCGGAAACGGGGACAATTGGATATTTCTTAGCAAATGGGAACGTGCCCTGGGACGGGGGTTAGTGACTGGAGGTGGAAATTGCACCATGGGGTACGTAGGTAGCTACTTCACCTTGGCTATGGCACAGTCACGATAATTGAGGCTTGCTGCTTGGAATTTCACCAGGACTTCGTTGACACCGACCTGAGGAAGAGGGGCTTCGGTCAAAGTCAAGCCACCCATGTTCTTGTCCGGGTGGTCTATAACCCATTGCTTCATGGTAGTAGCGGCCATCGTGGCTAGTTAAACCGGATTTACTAAGGAGGGTTGCTGAGAGTGTGGAATGCGATAAGATTTGCCTTTTTGGTGCACAGAACAAGGCTGGCGGAAGGGTCCTTTGTACCCCTTTTAAACAGATTCGGGCCATGACCCCCACGTGTGTGCTCTGGTTGAATTTGTCAGTTACTACTCGTTCTATGTCGTCACCAAGTATCATCGTATCGGGCTTTGCTATAAGGATCAAACGCCGAATAAGTCCCAATGGTGCCCGTCTGAGGCATTAAACTTAGGGGCCCACCGAGTACATTGGCTTAGATTACGGTATCATAGAAACTTAATACACTGCACACGACGCGGCTGGGCCGAACCTACCTAAGCTTATTCCTTTTTGGACCTCCGAGATCAAACACCGACTACAGCCGTTTGCAACTAGCTAAATAGAGCTCCACAAATTGCTGCTGACCAACGAACGGCCTTCCCGTGTGACCGGAAAAGCTTAATTTATCCTCACTACCTACCGGATCGCCACCCCGAAATCTGCTAATGTCTTTAAGGACCTGGCTTAGAATAGGATGGCAGTTGGCCAATAGCCTTTGATTGAATCTAGGTGTCCAATTAATACATGATAATACAACGAATACTCTCTTCGAAATTGGAGTTCTGCACTCTATCAGACTCCTGATTGGCTGATGAAGCGGGTCATCTAACCCACAATAGAAGCACTTCATATTGCTAAACGTCCCTATAGTTAGAATCGACACCACCTCATACTTTAGAGAAAGGTTAATTTTCTTTGTTACCCCCCGCGGAGAAATTTCCAATCGATCTGACAAATGGAACTTATTCCGTCTATGAAGCTCTGTCGTCTACAGAGAGAAGGTTCTTTATTGTACATACCGTATACGTACCTTCACAGAAAATTTGGATTTACTTAATTGTCTTTAGGAGTCTCTCAGACGATAAAAAGTCCTTTCAGCCGTCAGTTTCTTGGCGTCAGGGTGGCTGATTGCACGACTATAAAACCTACAGTCAGACCTAGATAATCGAAAATCGGCTCTATTGTGAAGCAGGGTCTGTGCTGGGTGGATCAAGGTTGTCAACTATTTTTACTTATCCTGCGTAATTTTTAGTATAGTCGGACAATTAGGATCTCCTTTCCTGTAATAGTCTACTTTACCACAAGCTCATTTTTGTATAAAGGTTCCATTTCCTTTGTGATCTTGACTGGTCAATCTTGCGTAAACACCAAATAATTGTTAAGCAGCCTGACAACACGTTGGGCCACGGTGACACGAAAAGCAAAATAGTTCGGTGTAACAACCATTCAATTCAACTATGTTACTCTTTATGCTCTGATTTTACGCCTGAATCATGCCGTGGACCTGGCTTGCCCCCTCAATCGGCTTGAGATAAGCGACGCGTCTCTGTACAAAGGCCTCGGCGTCAATTTTCTCGCCCTCCAAACTCGCTGCCCCCCCATCAAGTGAGCCAGCTTTGATTGACATCATCTCTGGCAATGAGTCAGGTTGACCGTACAGGGACGATCCACAGTCCCCACAGAAAAACGTATGGTAGGCATATCCTGAGTCCGCCATGTACTGGCTAGATTTCGGGCTACCTATGGTGACGTTAATTCAATTGGCCAAAGCATTGCATTCCCGACGGGCAAGGTCGCTTACCGGACAGAATCTTAAAAGAGGATCGTGGAATGATCAAGTTGGTAGTGAATGCAGATCCACTGAACTGGAGCCGCCGTTAGTATTTCGCTCACAGGAAGAGCAGTTGAACCTCGAGAGTTTACCTTCTGACAGTTGATACAGTGGCAGACCGCCTTAGCTGCAGGTTCAGCTGTAAAAGCAGAAGGCCGTTAGCAGTTTATCGACGGTGTAGTTGGGGCACTGCTTACCATCAGCCTGGTACTTGATTTTACCACACATGCAGCTTCCAGTGAAGATCATTTTGACGGGTAGGCGTGGCAATATATTGAGGTAAAATTACTGGAGAGTATGCAATTAGGTCTTCCTTAAGCATGGGAAAAGCACAATATATATACCTAGTGTGGCGAGGTCAATGAGTTGAGTTTGGAATGGTTGAAGTATGGTCCAGACTGTCGGCGAATGGATAGGGTTCAGACGCCGAGCCCGGCTATATGTCTTGTTCATTTGAATTCGGAGCAAATCTAATGTCTGGGTCTCCCAGATAGCGCGCATATCAGGGTTTGTGGGGATTGTACTAGGCCGCTTTGCACAAAGAACAGAGGCTTACGGTTCATACGTTGCACCAAAGTCCAGACACTGGTGACTGTACTACTATTGTCCCTAGGGAATAGGGAACTATTCTCATATCCACACATTTTCCCACATGGATAACTACACTAAAGCGGTAGGTGTTAAGTATGCTCTGAGCGACTTTCAGGTGGGCTTCGAGCCGGAGACCTTTCTACCTGAATCGGGACAATCAAGTTGCTACAACCTTTTCAGTATGAATGAAGGGTATGGACCCCGTAATCCTTGCTTTTCTCTCCCTCACACTGATTGGGCATTTCTATGGAGTGGCTAAGCAAAGCCCTGAAAATGGAAAGCACATACATGCCCGGAAACTACATAAACCGGCGATTTCTAATCAGACAATCTTGTTAACGTAATCCACGGCCGAGCGACGAATTTTCGACGCGCCTACTACAAACTGACGCTTTTCAACTATAAAAATAGCATTCAACTAACCAAACTAGTAGTGGGACACAAAGCTATTTACCAGGGCAATTCCTTATAGCATTTTCAAAGGACAGTCCGCAAGCTCTAATGACTGGGTATCGGGCCGTGTTTTGGACATGTTTTTAGGATGATGGTAATGGCGTGCGGCATCAATGCTTGGGGGCTGCGGGGGGTCGGGAAAGTGGGAGTAAAACACGACTGAAAGAGGGCATCTATTCCGAGGAAGACCAACTAGCAATGTTGGATTGCACTGAGCGCACCATGCTGTTTTGCCTAAAGATCCAGGACCACTTCTTGCAGACAGTTGGAGTAGTATTGGCTTCCCTTGTTGATAATAGATTCTAGACCTCGGCATGGGAATGACCTCGGCGAGGACAGGGCAGGGGATTCATTGGGCACCGTCAGCGCCTGGCTGGCGATCCCCAGGGATTGCATACATTCGTCAAGGGCGACAAGAAGCGCTCCAGTAGCACGGTATTCTTCGCGGATGCCGTATGTGCGATTGCGGCAGTCGGTCAACGCGACATGGCATCGGTGCTTGGTGTGGCAGTACGCCTGCAGCAGGGCTAATGGAGAGTGGCTGACCGCGCGACCTACATGTTTCCAGGTCCGGACCAGCCCCGGATCAAGGGCCAGGGTTTCAAGGCCTGAGTTACTGAACATAAATTGGCTTCCAGCAGCAATAACAGCCTTTTCTGAATTATAATGCTGGCTGTACAGGTATCCTAATCTTCACAGGCTGGACTTGCGTGAAGGTTCCATCGTGAGGCTCCCCATTACCCAGGTTAATAATATAGGATAGATTTCCTCTCTTTAGCTTCGTTTCCTCTGCGGTGGGGGTTTCCGGCTTATGTGACACTACTGAGTGTTGTCGCATGTGGAATCGCGGTAGGCTGCCGTTCCGGGACGACAAGCCATGATTCTCAGGTGGGATCCTTCGCTCTCTTCATGCCTGTCTCTTGGCCGGGGTGGATCGCTGCGCGTGTCCATGGTGGGATAGGAGAAAGCCAGATGAGCGGATCGTGTCACACGATAGGAAACAGTCTGTGGCTCCGGTAGCTAGTCAATCCGGTCGACAACATCCCAGAGCCAATGGCTGAAGCCCTCCAAACAGCACCGCCGCCAGGTAAGAAATATAGCAGATTCTTCAGGTTCCGTATTGAAATAATAGTTCCACCCAGGTAGACAAATCTCCTTTCCAATATCATAAAAAAGTCCTCTATTAGATAGGCTACATCAACAGTCTCAGATCATATACCAAAGAACTCTGACTGTACTAAGATCCAGGTCTGATTATGGGTCTAATCCTTAAGATTCTTGAATAATAAGAAGTAGCTTTATTTCTCGGAACTCAGTTAGACCCCGCTCCGATACTCAGGCTGTAAGCTATACTGCAGCAACTGTATTCAGGGCTATTTATTATGTTAAGTATTTCTCTTAACAGATATAGCTGTGGCCTTAGCCTGAGTGTCTACAGCACTGGCAGGCAGGTATTATAGGATTGACTCCGGATAGGCTGTGTAAAGGGCCGGTAGGAATACCTTATCCGTTCACAATGTATACTCATCCCGTGTAATTACCAATATTTCCTGTTTCGGGTGGTAAAGATGCGGAAAGAGGACATATACCTCTATTGCCTCCATCCCGTATAGATAGCCCAAGGGTAGGTACGGAATCTGGTGCAGGGATTACTGGGAGTGTCACTATATTTTAGTCTCAGGATGCTCAAATTAAATGGAGACAGAGGTAAGATATAGGGAGCTTGTTAAGTTACTAACGGGTGGCCGGGCTGCAGTCCAGTGAAGCCCCTGCCGTGCAACAGTCAGGCTGGAGGCAAATCATTCAGCACTGCCAAACTGGATCTCAAATGCGTGATCGGGCTGGATATTATCCTTCTCCGGATCACAGACCGGGGGCGGGTGTCGCTCCTCCTGGACCCCCGCAAGTTCACTTGGCTCACCATCTCCCGTGTATGTAGATTCCACGCCACTGAACAGTTTTCGGCGCTCATGGACAGGCAGCCAGCGGTCCCAATCCATGGGATAAAACGTGATTCCATCTTCAGAAAGCATATCCAGGAGTCGGCTGCTAGAGGCACCGCCGGACATGCAACCCATATACGTGTCGGTCTGGGGGCTTCCGTGTCAGTAGCGGCTAGCATTACGGAAGGCGGGAGTACAAAAGCTTCTGTGCTTTTATATCGAGACAAGTTGAAAGGATATTTTGGGAGAGAATGGAGACGGCCATAAACAAGTATTCCCGTCTAAACCCGAGTACATTTTCTATCCAGACTAGCAGGCGCATAATCTGCACTTATTAGCTAGGAAGAGACGTGGTTTACTTCGATTAGCTACCTTAAGACGCCCTTCCTACAGGTAGATCATATTCAAGTTCCTTTTTCCCATCAATGTTTGATACAACGGAAAATACCCCGGGCATTGCACCTCGTAAAGAACCTTCTTTCTATACATGGATGAATTCAGGGAGATTTGCTTCGGTTACGATTGCTTCCATCACTAAAGCGTATGTGCTGCTAAAGCGCTATACAACGTCCTTTCAAAAATCTGTATCATCTTGCCTATCTCCTCACCCCCGGGAGGGAGGACCTGCACCCCAAAGTCACCGCAGAGTCGGGAAACTCGGTCGATAAACTAAAAGTACTAATCAGTGGATCGATACTAGTCGTATACCCTGTGTGCGAGCCTACCCAGAAAAGATCTGGTTTTCCGCTCCAAAGGAGTGTTCCCTTTCGTCTCCCTGACGGCGTATTTTGCGTAGTCAGGATGCCGCCAAGCCCCCAATCGTATTCGAGTTCAGTGTCAAATATGCCGATGAGTGTATTCCAGGGATGGCTTTTGATGTACTCGTTTAGACAATGCTTGCTCGGATGGCTCAGCTGTGGTTTAAACATTTCTGCTGTGGTCTCCCGACTCAGCAGCTTGCCGTCATTAACTAGTAGAGAGAAGAGGATCTTTAAGAAACTCTCCATGTCTCCATAAGCACCTTGGCCGCCAAAACACTCTGTAACCCCCTCAGTTTAAAACTGCCCCTTGAAGTCGATCACGCGCCGTGAGTGAGGATCCCTCTTTGCCATCTGAATCTGGTGGCTGTGTATATCCGGTTTAGTTGCTGGCCAGAAGGTAATTCTCTGTATTCCAAGCGGGGACCAGATGTTATCCTGCATATAACTTTCTAGATCCTGACCAGATACCTTTTCCACTAACTGTCCAGCCCAGTCGATCCCGGTACCATACTCAAAACTCATAAGTCAAAGGAGGCCCAAATCTCTCCTTGACCGTCTCTCCCGAATTAATCTGCCGTGCCCGGAACACTGAAAGCTTGGCTAGCTCTGAATTTGTCATGTCATAGCCAGTGCCGGCACTGTGGGTCAGAAGTTGTCTGAGTGTAATCTGGTTTTTGCGCTCTCTAAGAAGCGGTGTGCCGTCCTCGTTCCAGCCCGTAAGTATCTTTATTTGTGCTAGATCAAGAAGTAGAGGTCCAGCGTCCTCATCCAATCCTATAAGTCCTCGTTCAACTAGTTGTAGTGCTGCGATGGAAGTCATGAGCTTCGTCATAGACGCAAAGGCCATAACAGACGCAGACGACAACGGCACACCTGTTCCATCGCAGGCTGATTTTCCAAATGCCTTGATATATCTCAGCGACCCAGTTTTCTCTGTCGCTGCCACAACCACACCAGGAAATATGCCATCTTCAATGGCCTTTCCGAATGAGGCTTCTAGGCGAGCGAATGAGGCTGTGGAATCGTTTAAATTGGTTTGATCAACCATTATTGATTATAACCCTTGCGAAGGGGATGACAGGTGGGAAAGGCCGCAAAAGACCTACATTATGTATCCCCTACACCTCCCGCGGATGGTTCGCGCAGCGGGTATTGCGGGTAAGTTCCAGTTAATCATTAAGCAGCTCTCACCCCCACCTCCCCTCCTTCCCCAGGAGAAAAGAAAAGAAAAAAAGAGGTAGGAGGTTATCTGAGTGAGTATCAATATGAGTACTAGTGGTGACCAAGAGGAAGGAAGGTCATTGAACTTGGACATGGACATATTGTAGAACCGGCGATGCGGATTTTACGGAGGAAGGATATAGGGCTTGGAAAGCTCAAAAATTTACCATTGGTCTTTGATTGGCAGAAAACGGAAGAAGCAGGTTCGGTCCATATCTCTGTACAGTGTAAGTTACCGTTCTGGTTTCCTGCTAACAAAGGGTCCTCCTACCAAGATTGATATAAGATTACAATAAAATAATCTAATCAAACTACGTTAAGTTATTATACTGAAAAGATAGATATACTTAAAACTATAATAAGATAATAAAACGTTTTTGTTTAGGAAGGCTTGTGGTTTTAAATTCATTCCCAAATATATTGCTAGGGGATTTGAGACAAGGCATACTGCACAAACTATCCAACGGGGTGACATTGCTTTTGGTGCACGCCCTCTGCAGTGTTCCCGGAATAACAAGTTCTTCACCTGATTAGGCAGAGAGGTGTGTCGCCCACTTGCTGTGCCCATTAATAATGCTAACAAAATTCTTGGCATAACTGCGCCATGTTTGCTCACTTGGGTGAAGCTCATCGTACCACATGAACGCGTCCCGGTTGTCATTGTCGTAACGAACACATTCGGTACCATTAAGTGAACGGCGATTGATGTACCCTGTGACATTATAAGAAACTGTGCCATTCAGATTTCGTGAGGGATTTTTATGAATATCTTTCATCTGGGGGGCAACAAGCCAGTAACGAGCCAATATATGTTGGCTGAGAAACTTACAAGGCCTTCAAGATCCACGAGGGCAAACTGTGCTCCCAGATACCTCTTTTAGAATTCCATCTCTAGCGGCAAGCTGGCCTTATATACCGCATTGACAAGGGCCACTTGCTCTAACATTCGTTGTGCAACTCCAGTGATGTTGCTATACTTATCTGGCCAATATTAGGTAAGGTAGCCCTTAGGCCTCCCTCTTTTGGCATTGCATATTGGGGCGTGAGGTACATTGTTCCCAAAGTATGAATGACAAAGTTGCGAGCACCACGCTGAAAAAGGCGATCTATTTGTTGAAAGACGCAGTCTATGTAGTCTGCGATTGTAGTTCCTTTCGTTTGGGAATCGGTCAGATAGCCGTCTGCTCTCACATCATTCCCACCGATCATAATAGCGTAGACGGTCGACTCTGGAGGCACACCCATGAACTTGGTTCCATTGGGATATGTATACTGTCGGTCTGCAAAGAAGGCAGGAACCTGATAACTAGACACGTCGGGGAATAACTCCCCCGTTGCCTGCGCGATACGGGGGGTAAGGCTATTAGAGCATACAGCTCCCGACACGGCGTAGTTGTGGAATCTTGCACCTATATACTGGCCGACATAGGACGGCCAAGGACGTCCACCATCCGCAGCAGGAGTATCCTGAAGCCCTGGGGTCAGAAATGTAAGACTCGGTGAAACTTTCATGATACGGACGAAAACAAACTCCATTATCGATCCAGCCAACTGGAGGTGCACCGCCACTATGAGAGATGAAGTAGTGTAGTCGTCCAGCATCTGACTAACCTAAACACGACAAGATCTGTAACGCTCTGAATGCTTCATGCATACATAGAAGCATTGAGAGCCAAGCTTAGGATGACAAGGAATAATGACATGTTAAGAACTCTACACCCTCACCAGAAGATCCTTGAATGGTATACGTCAAATTATGTTTCTGTTCAAGATATCTCTCTCACAGCCATGGGGGAATGTGTATTTATAACGAAGTAGATATCGAAAGTGTGCTGCTAGTGCGGCCATACCATGCATCCCCTCGGCGCACTGTCGCGAGCGAATATACTCTGCGCATCTAGCATAATTCAAGACATAAGCAACAGTCGGATAGGCTTTCTTTCCGTTCTTCCGTGCGATCAACGAGAGGAAGAAGCGAAATGAGGAAGGTGGTAGCTCGTTTGTCCGAGCTCCCAGCTGTAAAGCGGAGGTAGTGTTTTATTTTGTCTGAGTCTAGAGCCGCATTTGCTCTTTTGATTGCTGCCTTTTAAAACTAAACTACCGGCTGGGAAGGAATCGACTCCCCACTCGACAGTTAGCGTTTAGTAACTTTTGATCCGGCATTTCCGCTAGATCCTGCTGAATCCTTCGTGGTTTGCTACAGCATATAGCGACGCGAAGGGACTTGGGTCGAATGTGTTCCTCTGACAATTATCGGTGAGCGTACTGACAGAGCCAACCCTCCTCTTTCTGTAGCAATTACCTACTGCTGCTTATAATTCAACTGATGAGGGACTTCTCTGAGGGGTCTAAACAAGCATGCTATCTGTTCTTCTTCAGTGCTGGGCCCTCGAAGATCGTCAGCTATGAGTATCGGCATGAACTACTACGCAAGTTGATATTTTGCCGATTGGTGTATCTTAAAAGCCAGACCACAAATCAACGGGAAGTCTTTCTCCTCAATACCCGTGGACTTTTGCGGACTCTAAGCCATCCATAACTAGGCCCTGTCAAGAAGTTTCGCTATACTTTTGATGGATTGTATTATGGCGCCTTTCAAGGAAAGTCCTCACGCTTTCCAAACAATACCACCCAATGTATTTCATATGCTCATTTGTCCGTCTATCCCCTGTCTTGACCTTGTTGTTAGGTTTAATAAATCTCTTCTATTTTACGCGCAAAATGGAAGACAATCTGTCTTTGCGAGGTGCAAAGCTGGTTCCCTGCACCGAAACCGGTATTTCTAGACGTACTAAGCAGTTTATGTCATGCCTCCTCAATCCTTAGCGGAGTCGTGAATATTGGACTCGTTGAGAATGGAAGGCATACGCTATACTGTTTATTTCTACGGACTGCTCCTCTATGGGGTGCCATAGCCTCATTCATTCTTGAGTCGGTATGGCTTCCTTTGGAACGTCGATTAACCTTGTAGTGGTTCTGCTTTTCTTGAGGCGATGTTACTACGTAAAATACTAGTCAACGGACTTGATGGACGTCCATAGAGACCCTCATGAGCTATACGAGCTACAGTAACGCTATGACATATCAGACACCGGCACGATTATCCTACGAGTGGCCCTTCTTAATCATTCAAAGACGACAACCAGGGAGATGTGTTCTTCAGTTCTGGGCCAGTCAATCCATCCATCCATCCACCCCACCAATCAGACCCGCTTCAGCCGTTAAGGCAGCCGAAGGACCTGAAATTACGAGAGGTACCAATTCCACCGAAGGATACGCCCATATCGCGATAATATCCAGTGGCATTAGAGAAGTAATTGTTCTCCTGGAGCCAATGTTACACGCGACACTAGAATGTGCAAACATGGCCCCTGTCTTAACTTCCTAATTTGAGGACGCTAAAGAAAAGGTACAGGAGCGGCTACGCTGTGGGCTTCCTATACTTGAATGAGCCGACTAGGAATCAAATTTAGTTGCTTAGCTATGCAGGGGTTTGATATTACCCTCGTTGAGAGCCTTGTCTGCTGCTTGGCGTCAGATACCAGGGGTAAATCTTTATATGGGAGCAGCAGAGTGCATTAAGACAGGTTTTGGTTGCTATATGTCGAAAGATGAAGGTGCCATATTAGACAGATTTTCCTAGCATGGAATATCGACTCTTGCACACGGCTTATGTATAGCTGTTTTAGTTGATATGTATATATAAGCTCCCTCTGTTTAACCCAGCCCAAGTTTCTCTCGTATTTGTCCAAGCATAATGAGCCACTTGCTCTTTTAACCCATGTCTCTTTTCTCTATTCGATATAGGTGAGCGTGGTCAATGGAGTTAGCGTCTAATATTTCACATGACAAAGGTCAGGTTCAATGGTGACATGAATAAGGAGTAGAATACAAAGAGAATTAGGAAAGGAGGCTCTAAAAGAACGTAACAGATTAGCCTAGATATCGTAACCCTATACAAATTCAAGCCATCCATAACCTTCTATCAAATGCTTTCCTTCCCCAGCTCCCCACCAAAATTCTACTTCTATAAGCTCAGTTCGTTTTCAGAACCTATCCTATAAGGACCTTGAAGAGGCACATAGACGTGGAACTACCAACCCATCTTTAATACGTGAAACGAATCTTCGTTCGTGACCCCGGCTACAGCCGTCTAACTGCGGAATATTTCGTCGCGGTACTAGGGTCGGGGAAAGAACAAGAGCGTAGGAAGTGGTGACACATTTTCCGGAAAATCCGTAACACCCCCCCCCCCCCCCCAACCCCCAAACCCAAAATACGGTATAGTACATCTCAAACGACTTGAAGTAGTCCAAGTTAGTTCTATCTCGATGTTCGACCCTTGTCCGGACAAGTAGGCTGATATGTGCCTCTGTTTTCTCACAGTGGAGACTTTTGTTGCGCTAATCCTAGTATATAGTTATACCTAGTAAGTCGTAAACCGTAAACAGAAATTGTCTTACTACGCGCGCAACGGCTTCAACGTTGCTATCTCGCAAGTTTTGATCCACATCACTATTTTAACCCCGGGCAACCCGCCCAAAATTCAGGTGATAAGAATCACTGCCCTGTATAGTTCATGAATAGTAATTACAGAGAAGAGGCATACTTTTTTATTTTCGATAATATCTTTTTCTGAATCCTATGTCTGATCGAGATGGGACTTCAGCCTCTATTTGTGCACTGGGTTGGTTAGATGGTATCATTTGGTGGGAGACAATCTGCCTATATTTTCGTATTCATAGTGCAAAGGGAACTTGCATGAAGGAACCAAACTGGACGTGACAGACATGCTGAAAACGCAAGAAGGAATCTGCCCTTCTATCACATCTATGGCCTAGCGATTAGATCTGCGGAAAATAGATACACTGCTGAGCTCTTGATGTTAGATTCCATGAACGGCGGAGGGCAAATAGCCAACACTCACCAAGTATTCAACGCTTTTTTTCAATGGTTGCATAAACGTCCCTCGCGTCGAACAACGGATTTTCCGGGGGATTGCACGCATCTGGGACAAATTGCCAGTAGTTCTCTTCGAACCAATCCAATACAGGGAGGAAGGGGTGGTCTAGCGCTTCATCCTCAATATTAGACTTTACAGTATCCAACCACTCGTCGTGGCCTACTGTTCTGATTTTCATGCCAGTCTTCGCACTCAGGATATTACAAAAATAGAAAAAGTGAACCCCATCTCGACAGTCAGTCACTTGCGTAGTGCTATGCTGGCGGCCTAGAATGCTACCAAGGGCCAAGGATGCAGTTTGGTCCGCCCCAGCAACGGGTATATAGGTTTGTGGAAGTTCTTCGCTCACGGTACTTGTCTTTAATATGGTGTATGTTAAGCGCCACAAGGACTCCTCGGTATGGGCTATGCCTTCTTTCTTGGTGCCCGCAATGAACCCTGGTTGAATAGTCTGAGCTCTCGGAACGCTTGGATCTCCAATGCTATCAAGGTGGGCATTGTACTCTTCCGGAACCAATCGGAAATGAAACCCTGTCTGGTCGTATCCATTGGCGACGGACAGCTTATCTGCGATTTCTTCGTTTGTCTTCCTCAAGTGATGGAAGATAAGCTCCCGAAATATAGTACCTTTATATAGTTAGTGCTAAATATAATGTCTACGGAGAGTATTATTACATATTATATTTTCAACTCCCTATACTTGTATAATCTTTCTCTATAGCTCTCTTCAGTCTTTTTTGATACTCTGCCTCTAGTTCGTTATGTTTCAGCCAATAGACACTTGCGTCATATTCCCGCTGTTGACTGAATTTACGGCGAGCTTTTATTTCTTCTCAAGCTGAAGAGTCTCCTACGAGTCACGATGTTGGGTTATATTTGAATACTGTGATTGGGGTCGACTCCAATACAAGCCAAAAAGTCTCAAAGGGAGATACAGCAGATGATATATATAAGATTTTGGGAATGAGAAGCAAAAGTGAAAAGTATCAAGGCGTGTATTGCCATATTCGTATTCCAAAATTGGGGCAAAGAGCCTCTAGAGTAGCCTTATAATAGGGATTGTTTCCCTCTACTTCTTCCTAATCTAGCTGAAAAGCATGTATTGAATAGTCATCGTGTGCAGTAACTAAACTAAATTATTCGGCCCTTGTCTTTGTCACGCCCTCACGAAAGTGATGGAATATTTATAGATCGGCAAGCTTTAGTCTGTACATGCTTTAGAGGCCTTGTTTTAGTTATATGAGGTACAATAGAGCAAGGAGGGACTGCTCCCAGATACTACCGGAGCGGCCGGTGCGTACTCCGTGAGCAATTAGTGAGTGGCTCGGAACGCCTACGGAGCACTCTGAAGCACTCACGTGTTGCCTACATAAAAGCGGCGGCACCCGTATCGGATAACCAGGCGGAACTTGCAAAAAACGGTTTCAGCTATACACTACTAGTATCCCATCAGTATATCCATTCTAGGATATAGCCGCCTTCTGATCCAAGATGCCAGTGCAAAAGATTCGACCAATCCAAGAACCATGCAAGAATTGCCGTGGTACGTCTGTACAGTCTCTCCTATTTAGTCTTTTATACTAACGCACTCAACAGACAGACATCTAAAATGTAAGACTAGAGTAATACTAGTAAAATTGGTGCTTCATTAGCTCTTGACAAACAAGGGGAAGACAATGTGGCATGGAGCCTGACGCTATTGGATGCATGCCAGTCCCTTGCACAAGGACAGATTAGTTTGTCCGGAAGCCGTACTGATCATAGAGTGTTTAACTCATAGGCAACAAACAGACACCAAAGTGCGGACGATGTGATGCGAAAAGTCTAGACTGCTTTGTCGTACCTAAAAGACAGATCTTTCGGCAAGGGTCAACTGCGCATTTTTCAGACGGCCAACCCTGGGTGAGCAGTAAGCCTAAACGAGGTCAGTAATTTGCCAGAAAGATTTGGGAGAGGTGGCGAAGCTTTCGTGACTGATCAGTTATTATAGCCCGGCTTCGTGTACACGATACAGGCAGTTCCGTTGTCAGCAATGTCCAATTTGATCCTTCAAATGAACGGGATCGCGGGGCATCCAACATCTCTGATTCTAGTCCCAGTGCACAAGGCCCATCGAAATCCCTCGATCTCTTGGCTTCTACGGCTTTTCAAGATTGGCGTCTCCATGCTTTAGCCCTCACAGCGTGTGAAGCCAGTCAATTAACTCCAGAGAGTTTGAATCTAGGTTACACCTTATATAGAGAAAACTTGCCGCAAAGTTCGGTACCAAACGGGTGCATCTCGCACCTACCAGAAGTATCTGGTCCCAGATTCCCTGTCCAAGTTCTGTCTGTGATCAGAAGCCCAGAGGAGATTGATTGCCATAATGGTAGCGAGGGGGGTAGTACCTTTAGTGAACCAGGTCGGCCCGAATGCAGCCCTACTTCTACTTACAGTGACGCAACTCTCAAACCATTAGAGAGTGTACAAGAAGCATGCCTTCTGCGGTATTTTATCGAGGAACTCTCCCCCTGGGTATAGTATACACGGTGTTTATGATGATGGTGATGCACGGCTAATATAAGCATAGTTTGATGTCTGTGACGATGGGAGGCATTTCCAAGTAGCCGTTCCGTAACGAGTACGGCATTGCCCACCACTTCGCAATGCTATTTACGCTGTTGCATCACGGCACCTCAGCCGTTTGCCGCAGTACAGGACACCCAGTGGAACGAGCTGTCATAGACAGGTTCTTCCCGATTTGTCGACGTCTACAGCTGTCGAATATATGTTAAAGTGCATACCTGCGCTTATAGACTTTCATAAAATATGTGACCAGGAATATCAAGAGAACATTATGGCAGCCGCCGTCATTTTGCGACAGTACGAAGAGATTGAAGAGGAGGAGGAAGAGGAGGAGTTTGACAGTAGCGCTGGAGTTCGTGGCCAACAGCCTGTTAACTTCCTTGCCATCATACAAGCCATCATAGAGACCACTGTGTCAAGACCCACGCATCATGGCTTTGCCAATGCTGTATTCTGGATAGCCCTTAGGCAAGAAAGCGCTTTCCCCCGGATGTCCCCTGACCAAGATAAACGTCAAGGTGCTTCCGCTGCTAATAAATTGATAATATTTGCTGGAGATGTAACAAAATGGTGGCTAGGAGACAGGTCGCCACTAGACTGGGGTAAGTTCGAGGAAGTTCTATTACGTTAAATATATGCATCTAACCACCGAGGAAACAGCCGAGTTGAAGAGAAACTTGCATTTGATCACCACCGAAATTATGCCTGGGTTTGTTCCAATCCTCGAGAGAATGGCCGACAAGTCCAAGGGAGTGATATTCCCGACGGTATGGTACTGCTCAAATGCACAGGTTTTCGGCGCCCAGCACTATGAGATCTCTCGAATGATCCTGATCGCGGAGAATCCTAATATAAGGTACGCCAATCTTTCATGCATTTCGCTATTTCGCCTTGCCAATTTTTAAATAGTTATTCTACCTTAATGTAGCAACGACCCGTATTGCCGCATTGCGCATCGTAAGGTCGAAGCACAGGTTCGATCGATAGTGCTCAAAATTTGTGGAATCGGGCTAAGTCTCCAAGAGCTCTCGCCTGCATTGGTTAATGCCGTGATTAGCGTCATACTTTATGGCGAGTATTTCACGGACCTAAGGGAACGAGAGGCGTTGGAGGATATAATTGAGAAAACAAAGGCCATCCATGCCTGGCCCATGAGGAAACTACATCAAGCGCTTAAGGCTAAATGGGAGTTGATCGATAGTGAGGACTACTAATGGAAGCTGCGCAAATATAAAACTGATTATTTGGATCCTTGGGCAGATAGCATGGATAGTGATCTATAATATATTAGCAGACCATTGACTAGAAAAGCGAAAGATATAAGAAGTACCATTGATATGACCCAAACGGATAATGAAAACCACCATTGCTCGTCAAAATGGGTCCAGTGTTACCGCAAGGCTGCCCCAACACACCGGACTGCATAAAATATGACCATGAGTCATTCTGGTCTGGTGTCACATCTTCATATAGGTGGTTCGGGCTGTCTACAGATGGGAATATCGGATCTTCATCAAACATCATCCCGGCTAACAGACCCACCCCGTTTGGTACAGGGGTGTTTCCAACCCACATTCCAGTCCCAGCAGTAGTATCTTTGTCCTCCAAGCCTGGAGCCGATCGGGACGGTTGTGTATTCTGGGACATGTGTTGGCGCAGCCGTGTAACCAGCTCTGGGGGCTGTATATTCCTTCCTAGTTGTAGCTCAGCCTCCTCACGGGCGTTCCAAGCCTTTATAAGCATACGGCCAAAGGCAAAATGCATGGGGCTTTGGAGCTTGCGGATGAGGCACCTATGGTTATGGTTATCGAAAATAGCTTTCCACGCGCGTTCACACAGCTCGCCCGTGGTGCGCTGGCGTAGTTCACTCACGAGAAAGACGTAGCCCGGTAGTGGAACTAGCAGCTGAGTATACCAGAGGAAGTTTCGTAGGTTGTCGGTCGTATGAATGATATTATCGTACTCTAGCATCTCTATGGCAGTCATGAAAAGGAAACCACGTTCCTGGTCTGCGAGATTGGTGGCGCAGATGCCCCGACACATAAATTCAACAATACGAAGCCTGCAAAGCGACATGCGTGCCATCATCAGAGCAAAGAACTGCACTGGAATTCGGTGGTCGCAGTTCTTAAGATAAGCAGATTCTATATGTGCGCAGTAGCGGTCGAGACTGTCTGTCCGGGGTCGACTGTTAGTATCAGAAGTGGCATCAGCTGGCGAGGGAGTTGTATTGTCTTGTGCTAGTGGGTTGTTCAAGATCACGTAGTTAGGCCGCATGCCATTAGGAGCAACTGCTATGGTGAGCTCAATCCGTGTGAGATAGAAGAGCATCTCTGTTGCGCCAGCACTGGGTGCTGCGGATTCCTTGGCATATGTATGTAAGTCCGCATCGTTCAGATTGAGGGGGAGCCTGCAGTCAGCCCCAGAGGATGAAAGGGCAGTGATGGATGATCCAGTCATCTCTGCGATTCGTTTGTCAAAAGCGGCAATCTGCCACCAGAGTCTTCTCCGTTGTTCCATTTCAAATGGCGGTAAGCTGAACTGGGAGCCATCTCGATGCAAACCGAGACGTGTGGCTATACGTACTGCAATACCAATCAAGCAGAAAAGAGATCTAGGGTCAATGTATTGCACTACGCTGAACTATGCACCCGAAATAAGTCAACATGTTGCAGTATAAAAGGAGAAAAGGTTGGCATACGAGATATAAAAAGTAAGCTTGTAGCACCACAAGCTCATTTGACCTCATAAAGCCGGCATTTATTAAGGCTTGCTGCGTGCCTCGGTAATATCTGGACAGTAGCACGGCTTTTTCTTCACCAAAGGTGCTCTTAGTCTCCTCATCTGTCAACGAAGTTACGGCGATAAGATAAATACTAAACATCAAAGCCTCAAGCGGCCTAGAAACCTTAGCAGGATCGGCTGCTGCTTCGACAACCTGTGCCTGGAGTGTCGGCACGTGGCTAATCTTCAACAAAGGGTTGACGTTATCGATATAGATCTGCCACAGCTGAAATAGCTTAATTGTAGGCGGATGCGAATCAGTTATCTCGGACGGTGATCCGCAGACATTAAATGGGAAGCCATCAGTATCACCGAACATGGCATCAAAGGATTGATGAATACAGGGCCGCTCAATTTCATCATCGGAAGTATCGCGTAGCATATCATCTGTTCTGCAATACTGGCTGACAGTCAGGCTACTTGTAAACCGGAGGATAGTGTTAAGACACCGATAGAGTAACTTAAAATATTGAAAAGAGACGAATTCAGTGGACGAGCGAACCTCTTGGTAATATGGGAACCACTTCGAGGGTCTGAGAAATGTTAGACTAGCTCTGGGCGTAGAATAAATATATGTTAACAAGCCTGTAGACATCAAATTGAACTTGCCTTTCCTGACGTTCAACCTGAGATTTATGATGATTTTCATTTCCTTTTGTCGCAGGCTCAAGGTTTACGACGTCGTCCCCACCTTCTAGTATTAAGTTGAAGTTGATTCCATGTTGAGACATAAGCGCTTCATACTTCTTAAACCGGTCAACTAAGTCTCTTTCATGCAATTTCTTCTTTCTCCTCCGAGGAGGCTGTGGGGTAATAATCCTGCACTCAACCTGTGCTTTGATACAGTTGGCACAGGGCTTCTGTTGATCACAACGAACTTTGCGCTGTTGGCATAGCGCGCAGGAGTGGCCTCTGCTCAGATTATTCATGATACTGAGACTTATATTAATTGTACTGGACAACCGTAGGCCGAAAGATTGCTCGATATGCGAGAGGGAGACGGGAGGCAAGAGGAAGTCACCGATGAGAACGGTTGCATATCAAAACAGGTCATACAGATTGCCCTTTATTCTCATGATTCGGATATGGGTTAGTTTTAACCACACAAATATCAACCCAAACTTTGTGAAGAGGTGTAAAATGAAATGGAGTGATATCGTTGTATATCAAGTGGCGGACGATGATGAGGCTTCGGTTCCGTTGCATGGGTATCGGTCCCGAAACTACACGATCATGACCGGCGCTAGACCTAATGCGGACTCATCTAGGGCAGCAAGTCAACTTATCAGCGAGAATATTGTAAACTTGCTACCGATATTGCTGGGTTTTCAATGCGCTCCGACTTTTAATCTCAGAATATGCCTGGATTTGCCTCTTGATCGGCGGGCTCGGCATGGGCAGACACCGGTACCCGACTGGGCAAAGTTCTGCTTCTGTTGATGAGTAGTCTATATAGTATGAAGTCGTCCCCTGTTTTGGCAAGGTCTTTAATTTTCCTTGACCACTACCGTTATTTATCTTCAGGTTGCCTCTTGTATTTGCAGTGGGCTGAAGATTGTCGAAGGTAAACATTTCCTGCATCCTTCATGTATATTACTCTATACTTAGCACTTGTATGTCGCAGAACAACACCGGGATCTAACTGTTACCAGACAAGAAGGGTATAAAAGGGAGCGATGAATCGATCAATGGCTTCTAACTTCATTAGGAAAAAAGATCAGGTCGGCAGAGACAAGGAGGTAAGATCAAACGGTGTTCACGACGTTGAGAAACAGGACAGCTTGCCGAAACAGGAAGACCAAATGTCAGGCGTACCCTCTGAGAGCCTCTATCAGCCCAAGACTCTCAAATTCTGGTTAATCATGTCATGCAATTTCCTTTCCCTCTTCACCGTTGCACTTGATCGGACAATTATCACGAGTGCAATCCCTCGCATCACGGACGATTTCAATAGTTTGGGCAATATCGGCCGGTATGGCTCGGCATACTTGCTCACGGGTGCAATTTCCCAGCTTATATATGGCCATATATACAGAGCTTACGATATGAAGCGTGTTTTCTTATTATCTCTCGTTGTTTTTGAGATTGGGTCTGCCATCTGTGGCACAGCCCCCAATTCTGGCGCCTTCATAGCTGGACGTGCCATTGCCGGGCTCGCATCTGCAGGGGTCTTCTCGGGCTGCATGCTTATTATAATACCAATGATACCGCTACACAAGAGACCAATGTTTCAAGGGATGTTCGGGAGCGTCTTTGGGATCGCTAGTGTTACGGGCCCCCTGATCGGTGGAGCTTTCACCACTTCGGCTACTTGGAGGTTTGTTGCCTAAGGTCTAATCTACTAAGTAGCTGCTCTTAACTAACGAGTCGATTAGATGGTGCTTCTATATCAATCTTCCTATCGGGGCTATCACAATGTTGTTCTTGATCTTGATTTGGGACCCACCAAAGTCAAACCACGAACCTGCTTCCATAGGAACGCATCTAAAACGTCTTGACCCTTTGGGAATGTTTTTCTTCATCCCTGCCGTCGCGTCCCTTTTGCTGGCTTTACAGTGGGGAGGGTCGACCTATCCATGGAATAGCAGTCGTATCATCGCCCTATTTATTCTCTTTGGGGTTTTAATCCTATTGTTTGCCACCGTACAGATCCTTAAGCCAGAGACGGCGACGATTCCCGCTAGAGTGGTCACTCAAAGGAGCATGATTTGCGCAGCCTTCTACACCTTCTTTGTGGCGAGCTCTATGATGCTAATGATATACTACCTTCCAGTCTGGTGTAAGTGCAGTCCCCGACCCTCCATAGATCAAGATTCTAGCTAACGACAAAACTAGTCCAAACCGTCAAACTCGTCAGCCCCGTCACTTCGGGCATTTACACATTACCACTCATGCTCAGTATTATTGCCGCAACATTCATAGCAGGGTTCATGACCCAGAAGATCGGATACTATGTTCCGGCCATGTACATATGCCCATGTATCATGTCAGTTGGGCTGGGTTTGATGTCTACTTTTAACCTCAACGCCATCCCATCACATTGGATCGGATACCAGTTTTTGTCCGGATTTGGCCTGGGTTTTGGAATGCAAATCTCTGGCCTGGTCGTGCAGAGAGTTCTTCCACTTGCTGACGACCCAATCGGAATTGCACTCGTATTCTTCCTCCAGCAACTCGGTGGCAGCGTCTTTACTACAGTCGGCCAGTCTATTCTGAGCAACCACCTCATATCTCAGTTATCCGGTATTCCGGGGCTAGATACAAGTGAGATCATTAACAATGGCGCCACTAGTCTGGCCTCCGTTGTTCCGTCCGAGCATATGGGCACGGTGAAACAAGCGTACAATAGGGCTTGTACGAGAATCTTCCTCACAGCAATGGGGGTCTCCCTCGCTGGACTGATTGCATCGCTTGGAATGGAATGGAAGAGCATAAAAAAGGGGAAGAATGGCCAAGATAAACCGGGAGGAGCCGATGAAGTGAGTGGCTCGTCATTCACAAAGTAAAAGCCGGAAGTCGTAACAAAGGATCTTGCGCAGCCCAAGCACGAAGGCTTGCAAAGCGAAATGTAACAGCTGGATGACAAGATTGAAGGGGACAAAAGTGATCAACATATATGTATGGCGAATGCTCAGAATACAATCGAATATCGAAAATACAATTGGGCCGCCAGCTCGGTTCTTTCCAGCTACTAGATGGCGGATAGGGATTCTTGGCAGTAAGTCACAAAGAAAGAGCCAGATCTTTGTAACGCCTGGACTTGGCGAAGAATAAATGATGGTATGGGTTCAACTGGTTATTGTTTCTCGTACTGAAAACATCGACCCAAAACTGTACCGCAGACAACCACTCGAACTAGGTTCTTGTCTCAAAGGCGCCCCCCCCCCAAAAAAAAAGGGTTAGACTTGCCGTTAGGGTGATGGATTTAGTTTGGATCAGTGCTCAATGCTGAGGAAGCGAGATGGGTTACGATTTAGGTTGAACTCGAAGTCGAGAAAGAGACTATTGTGAGGTCAAAGCAATTGTCAGGATTGTCAGGTCATAAAGCAGAAGACACAGGGCGCGTTGCAGTGTGTATTTACACGAAAGAATTTCATGTATATTTTCTATAATGTTGTTCGCATTCTACTGTCCAACAGCCGCTCTACCTAGTCTACGGGTACGTCCACAAATAACAATGTCTGTTGAAAGGTTAGGTCAAGAATCAACTGCTTCGGCAGCTTTCAGTGCAATTGCAAACCGTGACTTTAGATCTTCCGCATCCTCGACACCGACGCTAATGCGAAGCAGATCCGCTGGCACACCGAACCCTGCAGCCCAATCCAACTCCAAATAGTGTGCCAGGACAACATAGGGTGAAGTCAAGGTAAAGTTTGTGCCGAGACTAGGTCCTTTAGCGGTCTCAATACGATCGAAAAATGCAACCGCATGATCCTTCTTGTGGAAAGTAAAAGATAGCAAGCCACCATACCCGCCAGTTGGTGTTCGGCAATCATCATAAAATTGTTTAGTAGGGCTATACTTGGGATAGTATACTTCCTTAACAAGAGGATGTGCTTGAAGTACATTGCAGATGGCTTCGGCATTGTCGTTGATTTTCTTAATTCGGGTCACGAAGTCACGGCTATTGCGCTCCATGAACATAATGTCCTCGGCCCAATAGTTGTCCTCATAATCCGCTTCGAAAGCACTCTTCAAGTGCTGATAGTACCTTCCTTCCGGGTTCAAAATAGCGCTGCCACCCATAACATTACAGTCTCCCGAAAAAATCTTAGTGAGACTGCTTACAACCACGTCTGCATATGGAAGGACATGAACGTTGATGGAATTTCCAATCGTCTCGTCAACAACCACACCGAAGTCATAGGTGTCGGCCAACTTTCTGATTCGTTTCAGATCGGGGCATTTTAACAGAGGGTTTCCGGGGAATTCGCAAAAGAGGGCCAGATATCGTTCGCCAGCCTTCAGGCGGGCTTCCAGGTCATCCAGATCTTCTGATGAACCATTTCCGTAGAAAAGACACCCGGGCCCAAATTTTTGCAGAATTTTAAGTGTGTCGACGTAAGGAAAACCAAAGGATATACTCTTCAGTTGTCCTCTAGACTCTAGCATCAGCCGGTGCGTGTTGAAAATGGAATTCATTCCGCAGGGATAAAGATAAACGTCGTCATCGGAGAGGCCCGTCACTCCGCGCGAGTTTGAGGTCATCTTGCGGCTTGGTTCCACTGAAAGATCCACTTCGCCCACCAAAGAGCCAGCTATGCGCCGACGGAGTGCTAACTTGGCGTTATCGACCAACGATATATCCAAATTTCGACCAAAACGCTCCTCCAGAAACTGCGTGCTTTCCCGGCTCTCTGCTGCATCGTTCCTAAGAGGCAGCTGAGGGTTTTCGTTTGGGGAAGTTTGATCTACAGACCCTCTTTGGTATCTCTTTGGGCCTCTTTTCTGATTTACCATCGGCTGCGGCGGCGTGAAATAAACCAGCTTGCCATCCGAGAAGAGTGAATGACAAAATTCAGCACGTCTGCTTGAGATACCGTCGCCAGAGTGCTGCCAGTATTGCTTCGCTATGGGGAATAGATCTTTGTGGAAGATTACAGCTGATATCGAGGGCGAGACCTTCGCAATGATCTTTGAAGGCTCTTTTCTCTTATCGAGAAACAGATCAATTATCTTGACATCTCCTGCCAAGCTGGGCTCCGCTTTTGCCTTTATGAAGCTGCGACATCTTTGGGCGGTCTTACTGGATGGAAACAACATAGCCTTCCGATCTGGGGTTCCATATTTGGCAACAATGTCATCCGCGAATGCCACAATGGATTTGTGGATGAAGAATCTGGTCACGGGGTCAGTTTAAGACTTATCCAGGGCTGGAATTCTAGGGCAATACCGCGGATAACCAGTCGACAATTTGTCGGTAACCCGCTTGTCTCCCTCCTCGTAACCCACGTTATCAGTCCATGTTGGCAGAGACATACTCACAGCCTATGAAAAGGGTTAGATTTGTTAACTCACACCCTTACGCCCAGAACACGCAAAAGCGTCTAGAAGCACATATATCTTACATGGGGTGTGAAGGGTGGGATTGAGTCTCCAAGCTCTATGATTGACATCTTGAAATAAGTAATGGAAGAAAACTCGATTTTGTTGTAAAAAGAATATTAGTATGAATTCCGTGTTTGGTACACGTCAAGTTTGTTGTCATAGAAAGGAAGGTGAAAGAGGCTTCGATCGTGGAGATGCGCCAAAACACCTCTCTCTCTCTCTCTCTCTATCGCTCCCAAAAAAAGAAGCTAGACCACGGCAATGCGGTGGCTATCCCTGCGACGGTTGATGGAGAAAAGATTGCGTCTTCCTTAGAGGAGAGTACAACAAGAGGTGCGCCCGTTACAACAATGATAGTATTCGGGGGAGACTTTACAAGTCGAGTATGTTCAGGCTTCTGCTGCAGAAGGTAGAAGAAGGTAGTATGGACCCTACCTAGGAGTGATGAGTCATGGCGGAGCGCAAATTTTTTGTGGGCGGGCGAGAGCGGGGTATGCCGGAGCGTAATATTACTTGCTGTACTCTGTACAGTACCATATAGTAGGCTTCGGCCATAGTACTCCCCGAGATACTTGACCTGATTGCCGGTTATAATCTCGGATTAGTAGCTAAGCTGTGCAAGGCAAATTAAAATTTCTTACTATCGCGGCAGCAAATAAGCAACTGTCAGATGTGGGAACGAGGCTAAAAGAGCTCAATGTTGCCAACAGTATTCAGGGGGGCAACCCCGGCAGATTGAGGAAAAATTCAAGAAATGTAAAGCTCTGCCTGCGTGACAGAAACAGCTGAATGAAGTTCTCGCTGGACAATGGTGACTAGATGAACATTGGTATGTCAAGTAGCACACTCCTCGTTGTGGTTCTGCTCACCCCGATGCCAAATACTTGAAAACGTGATATTCAAGTTAACCCCAAGGTAGGTACTACCTTGCTTGATATCTAGAAATTTCAGCTGACTAGCAAGCCCTGGTCAAAGGTATAAGCCATCATAACTACAAGTTATTACTTGGTAATATAATCCTATATCTTATCTCAATCACTTGTGCACGTGCCTGGTATAGAATAAGAAATAAGAAGTCTTAACTATATGCTCCCTATATCTTCTCATAAGATGTAGTACTAATTAGAAATCATCTAACGAAAGAATTGTTTATCTTAGGTATCCCAGAAAATACTTTACAGCCTAGAGAGCACAGGCAACCGTGTGAGAAATAGCTTTTTAATAGCATGAGTTTGACCTATTTCCTATAACTTTCTACCCCCGACGGATTCAGAGAAGGTTAAAATGGAAATTTTGCAATTTTCCTTATCAGAGACGAGCCGTCGTTGTTACTTAAATAAGATAGTAACATTCTAATAGTACTCATAAGAAGCCTTTAGAGGTTTTTGTCCGAATACATGTATACCGATTATTTTCCAAGACAAGCTGTAATATGATTCCTGATTGTATAATTAAAAAAAGGGAGAGCAAGTAATGGTAAACCTGAAGGAGAAAAAATATTATATGGTTACTATATTATAGAAGCCCGCATATAACTAAGAAACCTGTTACTAAGATCTTAAAAGTGGACTATCCCTAAGGAGGCCTCGATTGAGGAGCCATTAGCAGAGCTAGTACCCAAAGCCTAAGAAGATATTGTAGAAGTCCAAAAAGTAACGGGATGGAACTAGCCCTGTGCTTGGTAGAAGCTCTATGGTAAAAGAAAATTGGCTTTATATTTTAATATGCTTATTAGCTTGGGTGGGATTTTACAGTTGATAGTTCCCTATGATATACATGTCATTTATGTCTAGGGTTTAATGACTTCATTATCATTAGCCCTTAAATAACAGGTCTTAGAGCACCCTTTGTTATATAAACGCTTAACGATTTGGAGTATTGGCGAGGTTTCAGCTCTAGAAGTATTAACAGTGCCTTACAATACAATTTTCGCCCAGGATGTTTACGTCAATAGAACAAAGAAAAAACGATAATCTTTAGACATATCTATTAAGTAGTTCTCTATAGCGATTTCGAAATAAGCATCTATGTATACAGTTGTTCGGATGCTCTCCTGGGGGAGGTAATAAGTTAATAAAACGGCAACATACAGTACTGTCAAGCATAAAGTAGACCGCCCCGGTCACCGCCCTCTTGATCATCTCTTTTGACTGTTTCCCTTCTCATTCTTCTATTAGATAACAACGAAGTCAAGTTTAGTTGAATTGACCAATTCCATCGAATGAATCATTACCCTTCATCAGGGAAGGCAACAGGGAGATGTAAGGATGAGAATTGACCGACACCAGAACCAGAGACCTCAGTATCTCGGTCTCCACCTTGTTGGGTAGAGCTGTGGAGAACGAGAGCTCCGAACCAGGGGTCATATTTATGAGCCACCACACTCGTCCCAAAGCAAAGTTGACATTCGAGAGAGCTAATTTATCTGACCAAAGCTTTGGGTTACATCGTAAGTAATAACTTATTTGGGAGTTTCAGGATGTCGATCTTTTCCACTCCAAAGTACAAAAATTTCTCAACACTACAGGTGAGCTGGGGGTGTGGCCATGTTCTCCTCTGCATGAAGGGATGCTTCTTGGTTTCTTTTCTTTTTCTTTCTTATCTTTTTTTGGTTTGCATTTTTCTATTTTCTTTAACGAGTAAAAAAAAGAGGGAAAAAAAATCATACAGAGGGAAGAAACAAACAGAGGGAAAGAAAGAATTTCTATTCGCTAGAAACGCGGACATTTTAGGGAATATATTGATAAAAAAGCGCTTAATAATGTACTAATGACAAAAGAATATCCTGATAAGGTGATTTAGCAGAAGATTCAGGTAGAATACTCGGGAGTCTGCAAGGCTAATGCCATTCCAGTGGGCATCGTAGTGGATAAGGAAGAATCGATAGTCTAGGTAGGGGTTCCATTTTTATACACTCACATCGACCATATCACCAATACAAGATATCTTTCACCGAAGGAATCGACCTTCATGGGGATGGTATACGCCACCTACCAAAAATTTGGATTATTTGGGTCTGGGAATGGTGGGCCAACACATGGGCTCCCATCTATCTAACGTTGGGGTCCCGCTTATGTCTCGGGAGCCCCTTTTCTTGACCTTAGTGATATCTCCATGGGCCAAATACACTCGACATATTACGCTAGAATAACCCTATTTTACGAATAGAAGTCATAGAAACATGCACTAGGATACCGGTGGGACCCGTTAGGCTTCTGGAAATCACTTGCAGGGATCTATCCAGTGCTGCTGTTTGCTCTCCCCGACAATGTATGGTTGACGCCCAAAGCTTGTAAAGCTCCACAACGCCATAAAAATCCCGGCGTCTTTTGTCAATCAAAACGATCAGCGTTATTTTTCTCGTCGGTGTTTGAGTCGCTTGGGCTGAACTGTGGTGGAGTGCTTGAAACTTGAAAATCAATTGGGCATCATTATAACCAGGTACGGGGTTTTCAGCGACTCCTACGAAATAGAGTATCTGGGTCGCACAATATCATAGATATATATTCCCATTCAACCCTGTAATTGTGGCTTTTCCACTCTTTCATCAACAGACAGCTCTTCTAGCAACAGGCCGAGTCTTTCTGTAGAGGGGGGGCAGACACGCACGCACCATCTCGATAATGGTACCTGCATCATCTTCGGCATCGAAAGCCTCGCGAAACGTGGCTTCGAAAGTCCTGTCGTCGGCACCGCAGGGAGCCTTACCAACCGAGACACGTTCGAAATCGGGCGCATCGCCAGCCTTACACGACCAGCATCCATCAGTGTCATCCAAGGGAAATGAAATGTCTGGCAAAGTCGACAGGGTTAAGGAAGCCTTGACGAAGCAGCCAGCGGCACCGATCAAACCCAGACCCCTAAACAGCCAATGTGTTTCTACTAGGCAGGCTTCCAAGGAGAGCAAGCTCAACAGTGTTCAAGAGGTTGCCTCGCAAAGTATTACAATGGCACCTTTAGTGGGTCACTCCCAGGCCCAGGAACCACCGGAAGACGACGCCGACGCCTTGACTGCCTTCCCTCCATTCGCCGCTGGCTCTAAAGATAAAGTGAGAAGATTCTTAGAGTCCCAGGAATTAAGTGAGCCAGATGACACGCCTCAGAAAAACGCTATCAATCATTCCAAGACTCGTCCTCCAACGCCATGGCCGGGCGCTGCGGAGGATCCGGAATTGGTTCAACCTGTTGACAACGCCCGATCTCGAGTCTCATCCAACCAGCCGCCTCATAGATCACCAGCAGAAGACAAACCTTCAAAAGTCCCCTCATTTAAATCCGCTGCAAATACACAACCCGAGGATCTAGGCTTGAAAGGCCTTAGAATTTCCAACCCCAACATGTACTCCCCGTTGCCGGCTATACCTACTTCCCGATTTAATTTCCGGTCTGGCGATGACATCGCATCTATTAGGGATGATACAGGCCTGTTAACACCAATAACCGAGGTACCAAGCGAAATTTCTCGAGCGAGTTCACCCGTTGACTTTACAGCGAAGATAGCCAGTGGCGAGCTTCGCCCTGTCAACGAACAACCTCGTCCTCCCAACAAGCTTCCAGGTCCCAAATCGGTGGAGAAGCCAATCTCTCAACGTAGTGCGCCAGTAGAACGTGAAGTTGCCAAACCAGATCTCCCATCATCGTCGACCATCCTGCCTTCCCTGCCATATAGACCAGGGACGCCACAGGTCCCGGTCGGCCTATCCAAACCTGAGAAAAAACCCATTAGCTCAACCAGTCCTCAAGTCAGACCAGACCTATCGACTGGCAAAAGGCTCGAACAGAGACCAAGCAAACTCAGTATTAGCATCACTAGCAGTACCGTTGAAAAAGACGACCAGCGACGACCTGAGACGATACCAGAAAGCCTCTTCCCCGAACCGAACTTTACCACTCCTCAACCGCGCCTCTCATCCCCCTTCCACACATCACGGGACAACAAACAAGCCTGGGACCTGGAAACAATCGCGAGCGAAGACAGCTGGTTCCAGGAGAATGAGGATAGCGACGGAAGCGCTTCGGGAGATAGCGGGCCTCGACGTACTCCTCCAGGACAGGTGCGGGCGAGATTGACAGTCGAGACGGTCGAGTGTACATTTCGGCCACCAGCTCAGACCCCGGATCTGGAGCAAACACAGCATGATTCCGTGGGCCAGGTAAGGAGTGAATTCTTTCCGCCTTGGGCAGTCGGGAGTGAGGCATTATCTGAGGTAGCAAGGGGTCTGAAGAGGTAAGACATCGGCCATTCCGGAAAAGTTTTGTGGTCTTGGGAGGGCGTGTACGTTACGAATTTCTTTTGTCTATACGGATTTCCTTTGTATAAAAATGATGAGTACGCGTACTATTAGAAACTTCTTAAAACGTCCTTCTTAGACTATTATTCAATTTATTAGCTTTTGTAGTGTCGCATTGACCAAGTTGAGTGCAACGAAGTTCATCTTGCGCCGTGGCATGCCGTTCACTAAATTTATACAATTAAATCAATTATATTCCCAGGAGATCTGACACTGTTTCGAGCCCCTGCATTACGAGTTGGATCGCCGTAGCTTTACTATATTCACATTATTCGGTACATTCCAACTAAACTGTACCAAGCTAGGCATCAACCCTATGATATCATGGCACTTAACAATTATATGAACTTCCTCCTGAGGAAAGATACATTAATTTTATGTCCACTACATAAACCAGTACGTCTATGATCCACTTCATAGTATTCTTACGTAGAAAAAAAAAAAAATTCGACACGAGATCCTTAACCTGTGACGAATCCACCCAGCCAGGTACCCCTGAAGCAAAACGGCGCGGGTCAACCGAACACCCACTCAAATATGGTATCTTGAACGAGGGAAAAATACGTCTTCTACGGAGTAACCAAGACACTGGGCATCAGAATGTATGCCTAACGGGGTTCCAAAGATCGGCGCCGTCGAAATTGCAAGGAAGCGTCCAGACCCTCTTGCCTATGGAGCACATACCCGAAACAGGAAGACCCACACGGATACCTAGTCGCGAAGTAATACAGTGAGATGAGCCTATCAGGCATATCGGTTTCACTTCATCGGATTTAACTTCCGATCTGAGCGAACTGGTCTTGAATGAAGAATGTGTTGAAGGTGCTGAATGGATATTGTTTTTGCTGATAGCTGGATTTCTGTTTGACGATTGGCACATGATATCTGGTACCCTAGTGTTCAACTTGTTAATCTTTGGTCGTTGATTTTACCCTTTCTTTTTTGCTAATTTATTATTTCCCAAAAAAACATTAAAAAAAAATTTCCTTGGGCCTTGGGTAGCATCATATAAGAGGGACCTTTATCCGCCTTGTAGTTGGCGACAAGTCTCATGTGCAATATTGGAGACCTCTGCGTGCAGATATTTATAGTGATCAGCCAAACCAGCTGCCGTAGTTCTCACGGACTCTAGGAAGTTTAAGAAGATAACTGATGGGGACTAGTGAATGTATATTACATATTTCCAGGGATCTTCAGATGATTGATAGATGAATGAAAGGATACAAGAAATTGGACGAGGGATGATCATTACCATAGCAAGGAACAAGGCTAGGAATCCTGCATTCCTTCAACCTTACTTCCCTCTTTCCTTACCTACCCACTGCTATATGAGCGGGACTTCTCTGTACGGAGTAATTGCAATCACCCTCACCGATCAATGTCAGAACCAAGCCCGACTGATTGTATGCTGATCTATGCTACAACTGGTCTGAGGTTATGTAGATATTGAACCAAGCGTGTCCATAGACGTAACGAGGGAGGAAGACACCAAGTATCTCAATGCCTTGGCCACTGATCAGCTCTGGCTAGTATCCTTTAGTCTAAACCAAAGTGCCGCTAGACGATTAAAAATGCTCTTCGACGGCGTTGGTGGATCAATGATGATGTCAAGGTTGCTAACAAGCCACTCGCTGCTACGCGACAGGGTAGATACGGATAGAAGAATGCACAGAACCTTCTGCTATAGGCGGAATTTTCTTCCTAAACTTTCCATTAGAGATAAATGGAGCTATCTGTGTACCTGGATGCGTTTCTAGTGCCGTAAGCCCCGCTTACCTTGGGCGGTACTTTGGAGCAAGTGGGCACCTGATGATAAATCCAACGAGAGCTAATCCCTAAGGCCTTAAAAGAACCTAGAATTCGAGTGTGATGTCATAGAACACAAACTATGCTGTCTCAATATTAAACTTAGTTTTGCATTTGATACTAGATATTTTAGGTCTGTCTTAAAGTGTCATTCGAGGCTAAACCCCCCTATGTCTTTAACTGAATTGTTGCGTGAAAAGAAAACAAATTTAAAACAATAGATCCGTCACTTCGGCTATCCTGATTAGTCTTCAGAGTAGGGTATAGCACAGTGCTATTTACTTTGACGTGTAGGTTTACCATCTTCGGAGCCGGGATGTTTCGCATCGGATAGGTTGCTTCGTTGCTTCCCCCCAAGCCCGATAATCCAAAACACCAAATAAACGCTCACTTATCCAGTCAGTGGTAAGGTACCTAGAAACTACATATTTTCATTGATCCCATTCACCGATATTGGCTAATCATACTCTCGTAACAAAGTTAGCGAGTAGCGGCAAGCACCTACGTTGGTGCTAGGCACAGCATACTAGGGCTGGCCGCTTGCCCCGTACCAATTTTAGGACGAAGATCGTGTAGAGGCATACAGGGGTGATTATTGTATCTATTATGTCCGGCAAGCTCGTCCTCGATGCCGCTGTGTCGCATCTCAATGACGCTCTTGAACAGGAGGGGGACGATATTCATGTCTCCCGAGAAGTCCTTTCTACGATTCTCGTCGCACTGACTCAATCTGTAAAGACCGAAAATACTCTAACGCAAATTAAAAAGGACTTCTGTTTCCTACGATGCGACTTGGAGAGGTACCGGGAAGCCGACAATCTAGTCGCCGAAGGTTTATATGAGGCGAGGAAATCCATAACGGCGATTTCTAGAAACAAATTCTCGGATGTGAGTGTTCAACCCTTAATCGCTCACCACGACTACAGATCTAGGAGTTATAGATCAGTATCCATAGAAAAGGGCGAGGGGGTCAAGTAGATGGGCTAACAGTCAGGCTCAGCCGCTGGTGCAATCTAGGAAGGTGCCAGCTCATGTACAACATGGCAGTCAGACAAGCACTGCAGGTGTTCCAGATGAATGTATTCAGGCCAGGTCATATGAAGAGCTCTATCATTTGTCGAATGGGAATGACGATACAATCGAGGCTTCATACATTTTGGATAGTGAACTCGATGAAGTGACGCAGAATTTGGACGTCTTTGCACCATTTCACAACCAAACAATGGCGAAAGACACACACATCCAACAAGAAAATATAGAACATATCAAAGGGCCCGTGATAAACCCAAGAACTAAAGTCCATCTTGTCTCGGAGTCCAAGGGGACTGCATCATCGGATGGGTTCTACAAGCCTATCGCCATACGCGCATCTGACGAGCTTACCAGGCTTAAAGAAAGTATCGACTTTATAGTACCATTGCTGCAGCAAATTTTTGGACTATGTACGTCTGCTAGAAAAGCTGCCGAGTCGGCTTATCATAGCAGGTCGGAGCTTCTTGCTACTATGAGTCATGAGATTCGCACACCCATTCATGGTATCATTGGTATGGCTCATATAGGACTTGAAGCAGAGGGCCTTCCATTTACTGCTCGCGAGCCCCTGAATATGGTTTATAGTTTGGGAAAAAACCTGTTGACAACTATTAACAATATCCTTGACCTCTCAAGAATAGAGGCGAGTCGTATGGCGGTTGAGAACGTCCCTTTCGATTTGGGCTTAACTGTCTTAAACACGCTAAAGCCATTTGCAGCGGAGGCGAGCAAGAAAAAGACTGATATCACATATAAGGTCGGCAGCTATGTACCCCAGCATGCTATTGGGGACCCAAGCCGCCTTTGTCAGGTTCTCTTTAACCTGGTTGGAAATGCTGTGAAGTTTACCAAGCACGGGGAGATCGAACTATCCATCAGGGCCATCCTCCAACAGACATGCGCTCAAAACGAATGCATTGTGGAATTCTCCATTGCAGATACTGGAATTGGGATTAAAGAAAATCAGCTGGACCTCATCTTCGGAGAATTTCAACAGGGAGATAATTCTGTGGTCAACCAATTTGGCGGCACAGGTCTTGGCCTAGCTATATGCAAGCGCCTCGTTAATTTGATGGGAGGTCATATTTGGGTTAAGTCGGCTGTAGGAATGGGCAGCATATTTTCCTTCACCTGGCCGTTGAAGCTAGACGGCCTGCCTACTTCTGAGTCTAAATGGATGCGTCCTAGTGAAGATCTTACCGTTTATTATATTGCAGCGAGCCGTCCGGAGAACAACACTCTATGTCAGATCTTAACCGAACTGGGTATCCATTTACATGTATTTGATGAACATGATATGAAGAACCAGAATTACCTCCCAGATGTCCTTATCGTGGAAACTTCTGAAACAGCATATGCAGTACGTGCTTGTGACGATTTCGGCTCGACGCCCCTTATCCTGTTCAACCCCATACCGTCAGACTCCTTCAAGATCTCTATACGATCAGTCTTTGATTTGGGTATTGTGTCCTACATCACGTCTCCCTGTTCAGCTTTAGATGTTCAATGTTCCCTATTCAGCGCACTGCAGGATTGCCCCAGACCTTCCAATGCCAAACAAACCACGCCTTTGTCAATTCTCATAGCAGAAGACAATGACATCTGTCAGCAAGTGGCTGTCAAAGCACTCGAGAAGTGCACTAGTGATATTACAGTTGTTACCAATGGCCTTGAAGCATTTCAGGAATATCAAAGGCGACGGTTTGATGTGATCGTGATGGATATCCAGATGCCAGTTATGGACGGCCGTGCAGCAGCCTCAAAGATTCGAGCATACGAGAGAGTCCACAACTCAAAGCACACCCCGATAATCGGGGTGTCAGCCGATGCCATGGCAGTGGATGATCCCCTTGAAGCAGGAATGGATGAGTATGTGTCAAAACCTCTAAAACCAAACCAGCTGCTGGATGTTATCTTTTCGTGCCACCTGCGCGGAGCTCGAACCCAAGCTGCCGGTGACAACGTGGACCGAGACTCCGCTTGTGAGATATAAAGGTTATGATCCTTCTCGTGTGGAAGCAAATTATTGTTGGGTTTACAAGCGGCATCTTTCATATTTAACCTAATAAGAAACTTGGCCGTCGTGGGTTGTGATCTACTCTAGGCGGCATCTGATTTCTGGGGAAGTAATCCAAAAGCTCTGTCCTTTTAGAACGACAGCGCAATCATTCCGTTCTATGTAAGTATAGAGCTGACTATATTGTTGTTTTCATATGAGATACATATTTAATATGGGATAAGTTGTCGGGTTGTGAGATTGTTCAATGCCTGTGTATTCCTACTATTCCCCAAAGCACTTTTCTGGAACGTACTCGCAAACACCTGCTGGCAAGGCCTGTGCACCTTAGAAAGATACTTTGTACGTGCGACTACTATACATTGAATGGCAGGAGTATTTGCACAACTTGAGGGCTGCGTAGCCATAAATTACCCTATTGACATTCTCTGTTCCACCAAACCGGTAACAAAGATATAGTAGGTACAGAGGATGAGGAGAGCATAGATGATATTGGAGTATATGTTCCATAGCCTAACGGGGTGTGAGGCTGACCTTGGCATCTTTTTCCCCTTTCTATATCTTCTTGCGTTGAAGATAAAGAGATTAAAAGAACATAACTTGCACTACCTGACTTTGTTCCACCTTTGTCATGGTTATCATCTCATTGTACCGCTGCTTCGCCGCGGAGAGCAGCACCGAAGGAGTCCTTATGTGTCTAATCGTCTACACGTTTTGCCCCCCCTTCGCTTTCCTCTTTATCTACAGGTCTATGTATACACCGATCGCCTATGCTCTTAATTGTCCCTCGATGTCAGATCACGAGGATCTACTCACTCGAGATTCAATAACTGGGATGGTTCATCCTACTGAGAAAAGCAAGAAGATCACGATGGTGGATGGGCTGCTTGACTTATACGATTCGTGGTGAACGTTATCTTGTTGCATATACCCTTCAGAACGTCGCAAGATGTTATCAAATGCATGAAGTGAAAGGCCTCTCATAGGCTACCATATCTATGTGATTATCCCAAGATATATCCCTTATTCTGATCTATAAGATATTGTACATGATACATATAAGTACATAGGTATACAAAACTCTATCGCAATCATAGATTGTTTGCGCCCCCCCCCCCTCCAACCTCCCACAGCAAGTTGTCCCAATCAGTCTATAAGGCACCACCAACTTTCTCGACGATCCACATAGCCAGACGCACATTCCAGCTAACTCGGCGTTCGGTCCTTCTCAAATCATCCCTTGAGATAGCCTGAGACTCCTTCTGTAACCATTCGGTCTCTGCGCCAAGCCTCCGCTTCAACTCCTGATCGCCAGTGACGACCAGCGCACCAACCTCAAGATCAAGGCTGTAGCTGCGCTTGGTGTAGTTACTACTCCCAACGAAGGTAAGACTGGGATGTTCTTCTTTGGGTAGTGTGATCCATAGACCTTTTGCATGGTAGGTCCAACCGCCTGGTTCTCCGACCGTGCCGCGTCGCCATTCTTTCAGCTGAATGGAATTTGTCCTTTGCGCTTCGGCTACGCGATCGAGGAACCGGGCTGAGAGATGGGTGTATGCTGCAGGGAGCATGCCGGAAATACCGGGAGAGCCGTAGAAACCATTGGCCCAGGGGGAAGCTGTGAGCACGGTGCCACGGGTGGTGGATTCGGTGTGTGAGGTTGACGTGCTTGCGATCAACAGTGAAGAGAGAACAGGATGGATGTTGAAATAGCCGGCGGTGAACAACCAGCGGGCACCTGAAAACGTGGAGGTGCTTGAAAGCATACGGAGGATGGTGGTAACCGCAGGGAACTCCGTAGAGGTATCGGGCTTTAGAAGCGGCGTAAACTGTGCAACGGGGTACACATATGTTTGGTCGGAGGATTTCGGTTCAAGTGCAGATTTTGTGTCGGTCGGTCGAATAAGAGGGGTCAGGACTGTCGAGGCGTAGGAGACGAAGCTCTCGGGATCCTCTAATGGAGATACTGCACCGTTGGCTGTTGGCCAGTCTAAAAGATACCCAGCTGTATTATGAGGGTCTGGTAGAACTAGGTAGCTCAGACTGCACACAGCGTGGTGGATGCGGGCAAAATAATCGGCTAATTCTCTGGAGTTGAAGACATGATATCGATCTACACGGTTCGTAAAGTAGTCGTTCGAGAGGTTCGCTCTGAATTGAGATCGTTAGCCGCCAATGCCTTTGGCTGAATTACACTATGGACACCATACCCAGAGAGGATAATCTCGTCGTCAATGCCATATAACTTCATGTGTTGAAGGCCCCAGCCCTCGTTGATTCTCCTAGGGACCCATCTCTTCTTCAATCCCGTCAGGTTTGGAGTATGAAACATGCGAATTTCCACCCTTTCCGAGCCATGCTCAGCGACCAGCGAAGCCAAAAGCGAAGCGCAGGAGGGATTTGGCGTTTCACGAGTTCCTCGTAAGGCGTCCGTCAGGATAGACACTTTGAGATCGGGATTATCATGTAGAGCCTGGTTCAAGGTCTCGATGAGCTCATGCTCTGATTTTCCTATATACAGAGTAGAGAGATAAACACGCTTCCGGGCCTTTCGGATCTTATTCTACAATTCACTAGATATTAGTCGGGCTACCTCTGTCGGTTATATCAAAACCAGATGGGCTTACCTTGAGCGTGCTATAGAAGGTAGCGGGTGAGTCCAATATTGTGATGCGTGATGCCGGGACCTCAAAGCATGGAGCAATCCGATCAAGCTCCGAAGTGATGCTCCCTAACGGTGATGCTGTAGAAGGTGCATTCGCACTGGGGTTGGCACTGGTTGTATATGCCGAGAATTTACGCTCACAGAGTCTCCTCCGCGCGATCGGGCTGCGCACGACACACCGGAAAGTCTGACCTCCAACACGGCCAAACATCTTTTTACCCCTACCGTGGCCACCTGCGATAAAAGAAGGAAAAGATTAGCGATTCGCAGGCTGGGCCTCAATTGAAGCTGAAAGTCAACTTAACTGTCCGCGGACGTTTATCACGTGCGTTTAGTGCAAACATTGCAAACCCCATACCGCGCTAGACCGTATCGAGCGGGTCCTGGACTCCGGTCGATCAAACGGAACGACCAACCACTTCACTTCCAATTAGCATTGCAGACGGAGGACGACGAGCTCACTGTTGCACTTCGCCCAAGATGTCGACTATTCTTCGGACGCTGCGGAACTTGAGGAGGATCGGGATCAAGGTTCGTAACTAATTGTGGGATTGTTTCCGCGGGGAATCATCAACTAATTTTCATTTCTCCACAGGATTATGGTCACCAGATGCAGGTATGCAACTCCCAAGGCAATGCGGTGGAAATAAGGAGACAGTCGGTTATGTTTGGATGAATGCTTACACAGCAAACGTTCGTGCGCATAGTATATCGGTATGGTTTGCCCGCATTTGACCGTTTCTACTGTTTACTGACGCAATCGCGACTTCAGGTGATACCAAAGCCGGGACTTTGATTGGCACCGACCGCTACGGCAACAAGTTCTTCGAGAATCTTGAGGAGGAGCTCCCTCGTGAGTGATGACATTAGGCGCGTTATTGGGCCGGTATTAACAGGGATGTAGTTCGTACACGATGGGTCGACTACAAGGAGAAAGAATACGACCCCTCACAAATTGAGCCCGGCTGGTAAGGATTTCATTCTGCTACACTTATAGTTGTTTCTAATCTAGAGTTGTTTCTAATCTTCTCGAAACAGGCACGCCTGGATCTCCTACATGGTAGACCAGCCTCCCACCGTAGATAGGATCATGCAGACTGGTGTGCGCACTTGGGAGCTGCCTGAGCATAGACCTACTCTGACTCTCTCCCGTGCTGCTTTCAAGACCTACTCCACGTACGTTGCCTTTCTTCTTTACACCTTTGTTGAGACGAAAACAGCCAATCGCTAACGCCTCTTAGCGTCAAGCCGAAGTATTCCGCTTGGGACCCTGTGGCGGCTCCCCGTAATTAAGTGAGGAGTAATCTAGTTTTAACTTAGCTCGGATTGACCCCAACTGTGTAAGACCATTGTTGGGCGATGTGTAAATAAAGTTTTCCTGTTTTCATCAAAGTTGTTCCACCTGAACTGCCTTGGATTTTACCCGCTGTGTGTTTAAAGTAGTATCTATCCACAATTCTATAACAGGATGGTATCTTTAGTGCTCCTCCAACAAAATTAAGTACATGAGGCAATTCCTGGCTATTTAAAGGACATATACACCAGAACCTATGTTAGACCAGTGACGGATCGGCCGTCGGTCTTCGAGCTCAACACACCACCACAAAACCTCTTTCAATTTCTCAATGTGCCCCTCAGCTTCATACGCTCTAGAGAGTGTATACCAGGCTTCGGAGTTGTCCCAGGAGCTACCGCGTTTCGTCAAGGCTGAAAGCAGACCGTAGGCCCGGTCACGAGCGGCGATGCGATTGAGGAGTTTAGGTTCCTCGTTCTGAATGGCATGAGGCACATGGTTATGTTCGGAGTTCGATGTTTCAGTGATTGACTGCCTATTTCCATGCTTTTCATCATTCTTCTTTCCGGCTGGGTTTTGCTTTTCTGGCGACGCTAGCGTCAGCATTGACATATCAATTTGGATTTCGGGCTCGGGCGGCTCCAGTGGCATCTTTTGATCCCAGATATCAAGGAGGAGGTTTGCCAAGCCAATTGTGGCTTTGGGGTGGTCAGGGTCACGCCTCAGTGCTTGTTCGAAATGATCCATCGCTTTATGAGGACGTGACTGGGCATTTAACAAGAACGCCTGCTCAGCCAAGAGATCAGCCCAAAGTTCGTCAACACTTCTCGGGGCACCCCATCCGCGCTCTCTAAATGACCTAGCAGAAGAGTCTTGCGCGGCGCAAAGGGCCTGGACTCGCGAAACATGCTTTGCAGCTTCATCACACGCTTCAAGCGCGTCATCAAATAACGCTGCCCGTCGATACAGGCCAGCAACGAGAAGCCAGATCTTAACGAGAATACAGAGGGCATGCTTCTGGGCCTGGGCGAGTGGGAACTTGGTCGCCGCTCTGGTCGGAGAGTCAAATCCGTATGATATCGGCAAACGAACATCCTGCTCAGGCGGCTGCTTTGCATGACCCATGGGAGGTGGCTGTCGCGTATGGCTCATATTATGAGCTATAGGTCGCAAGGGCTGTTTCCCACTTTGCTCATTGTTGGCAGAAGACGCTACAACCCTAGCCATGTCTGGGGACGTGGTTTCCCTCCCATTGGGTTGCTCAACGCTTGATCCGCCATCCGCTAGTCCATCACCATTCAATTGACCATGATTTTGAACTGGCGCATTGTCCGTCTTTTTAAGGGTACTACTGCGTTTCCGCAATTTCCGCGAGTCGGACCTTTTAATGGATTGAGGGGTCTCCTGTCCAATGTGTTTATCCTCACCCGTGACCTGAATCACTGGCGCCTGGTCGGTGTCATTCAGAATGGCCGATGGACTGTTTCCATCCGCCTTGAAGTCTGATCCGGATTGTACCCGTCGGTCTGGTGCACGAGGCCCTTTATGCCGTCCAAAAATACTGCCGCGGAGGCTTTTCACCGTATGAGCGGAGCTCGATGGGGGCCTGAGGCTGTCTGACTGGGAGTTCTTCTTATCATCGGCTCCAAGGTCCAGGTCGCCAAATAGGGTTGCAAATAGTCCAAGGAGTTGCTCGCTATGGTTAACAGCAGCCTCCGGGCCTTCTAGAAGCTCAACAAACGCCAGCTGAGTCATCCGCGTCTCGATTATACGTTCCTTCTCACGGGCGCGTAGCTCCTTGATTAATGTACGCTGTAGCCCAGCGCCGTTAGTCTGGTCTTGGGGAGACTGTGGCTGCTTTTGTGGCCTTCTCTCGTGGTGGGCAAGAGATGTAACCGCGGCAGGGAACTGCTCAAATGCGGCCTCGCAAGAGCGTTCGGCAATATCAAAATCATGTTTTGCACTTAACAGAAGGGCAAGCAGATGCCATAGTGGAACGAGGTCTCGCTCCCGTGTGAAATATCCCTGAACAGATCCCGGGTGCGTCTTCGCCGTCAGCGCTGTCTTGACACAGTCAATAGCGCCATCTAGATCTCGATCTTCTGCCAAAAGAAGAGCAAGCGTATATAGAGATGAGTAATTGGTTTCGTCTTCTAGTTCGGGAGCAGTGCTCTTTTCCAGATTATCGATGGCTTCAGCCCGGATATCATCACGTTCTTCATTCACAGGGGTCCAGTTGGCCCAGGACGCAAGGCTTATACCAATCCCTCTATAAGCTGCGGCAATATCAGAAGGAGAGACAGCCTGAGAGCTAGTTGAGCTTGTCTCTGGTAAGATCAGAACTTTTCCTTGTTCCTCATCATCGTCGACTTCTTGGACATGTTTGTTAATGATCTTCCTCATGAGTATAGTCAAGTCTCGAGCTTTCTCGACTTCTTTCGCTGAGCCGAAACAACACAGCATCGTGACTCCTTCGGAAAGAGTTCGTAATAAAGTGCCATCATTCTCCAGTTTTCCATACTGGGCCGACTTCTCTGCCCTTTCTTTTGCACTTACGACAATCTCGATATATGAATCAAGGGCCTTCAGCGCGAGATCAAAATCTGCTAGTGATGAATGAACATGAAATAGGCGCCGAAGTATCAAGTGAGAATGGTATGTTTTGGTAGCGGCGCGGTAGAGCACCTAAGGACAAAACCATGTTAGAAGAATCGACCACTGGGCTTCGCTTAACCACTTACATCAAGGACGTTCCTGCCAACTGCATTCTGACCGCCTTCTCCAAGATCTTCGTCGGTCCATTGAGGCCCGCAGAGTAACTCCCAGTTTTTGATTACTTGTTCAACCCATGCCTCCATTTGTGAGTTTTCGGTATCTGCCGTGGGGAACTTCGTTTCGCGGAGAAGGTTGCTCTCGTAAACCGCTTCCACACGCCGTAGCTCAGTGGCAAGCTGTGGACGTTCAGGCCCGCTTGCTGGTGGTATATAAGCCAGATCGTATTGTAGGATGGCTGACAAGAGATCATGATATGACTTCCACGTCAAATATTTTGGTGTACATTCCTCAAAGCCATCAATATGAGTCAATGTCCCTTGTTTAATGTTGGGGTGGGCGGACCACGCCCTAAGGAGCTTTAGGGCGGTTTTCATGAGGGCCTCGTCGACTATGGGAATGTTCTTAAGAGCTTCCGTGCTAGCGACCAATGCGCTCTCAGATGCGAGTTGCTCAGACCAATGTAAGAATTGGGAGCTATCCGAAGAAAGCTCATTGTGGCTACTCAACCATGAAGTAAGCGAATGAAGTGTGTCCAATGCATCGGCGGACCCGGAGACTCTGTGGTGCGCGGCGCCTATCCCTGCGTTAGAAAAAATGGAAATTCACTCAGCGATGAGGGTATATACCTTTGAGATAGCATGCCTTAGCAAAGCACACTTTTGTCCATGGCGAAAGCTCCTCTCCAGAGCCTAGAATTCTGCGGAGTGTCTCATCAAAGTCGTTCGGTAGACGAACCGCGGCCAACCCCGGTTCGTTGAGCGTCCAATGTACCCATCCAAGGCACACCTGCGCTTGGAAGATGTCTTGTGGTGGTCCATCGGCTTTCTCAACGGTAGACAAAAGGTGGGAAATGAGTTCTGGTAATGCCGAAGACGAGGAAGAGGAGGGTCGAGAGGACGATGGACGTTGAGGGGAGTGTAAGGCAACCTGGTATTCCGCAGATGCTACTTCTAATAGGCCTGTAGTGCCTCGGTCAGCTTCTTTGCACAGGTGTCACTAGCACCTGTTAGAGAGGGAGAGTTACACGTCTTTTGCGGTGCATGCTTGGTGACCTTGCGAATAAGTTCGGGGATCTCATCCCACTTGTTCTGACAGCGTGCGCTGTCCAAGGCAGCAATATAGCGACGGCCCTTGTCAGAATCTCGAGCCTAACCGAAGCATGTGTCAATAGAATTGAAGGTATTGAATTTCTTCTTCTGTGGAGTTAAAGGGGATACCACGTAGCCCAAAGGGGCATAAGTTTAAGGGATAAGTACTCACAGTCATGGTTGAGGGTGGAATGTGAGAAGGAGGTGAATAGTACAATCTAGGGGAGGGCAATCGAAACAGTACCCATAACTAATGCCCACCCCGAGGCTCCGGCACAAGATCTGGTAGGTACAGGTAGGTATGAACTAGTACTCCTCAAAAGGTACAATTCCCGAGGATTTGAGTGATGATCATCATGGTCCAGGGGAGAAGGAACCATCGATAGAGACCCGCTTGGGGTGTATTACTGGTTTACCTTACCGTTATGAAAGGTACGGTAACTCCGAGGCTTCATGTGGTCAAAGCTTTTTCCGTCCGGGAAAAAAAAAAGTAAATCTCCAAATTACCCATACCAATGTCAAATCAATCATCTAGTGAAGGACACAGACACACTTTGCCAAGATGGCTTCCATGTCCATGTCCTTACATGCGGTCAATCACCGGTTAACCAATATCCCCGTCAAACAACTACCGCCTATCGCATCATGCCTTGCGACTTCATTGAGCAATTGCGGGGAGCTTCTTTCTATGCCGCAGAATCAGAAATCCAAATCCGAGTCGGACAATGCCGTTCAAGTCCATAAGCTTATGACTCGCTTGGCAAGTCTACTACAGGATAAGTCTCCAGAAGGCCGATGGACTGCCGTTGTGCTTGTGAAAGCTGTTGTCGAAGCCGGTCAATGGGAGATCCTACGGGGATGCGAACCGCTTGTTCGCGGTCTGATTGCGATTCTTGCTGTCAGTGGTTGGTTCATGAAGCACATTTAGAGCAAAATGCTGATAATACCTCCGAACAGAAACCCGATCCGAATTCCACGAAGAAAATGGCTGTTATCACTTTGACACGCATATTCCACCTTACCTATCAGTATCCCACCCTCGTGCGCGAGATAACAACACCATCTCTACCAAGCTTCATCACTTCGGCTTTAAATCTTATCTCGGTTAAACCTCCATCGGAGTCTATCAGGAAGTTGAAGCCTCACACTCCCTTTTTGGAAACCGTCCTCAATGCACTCGGAGAGTTAATCGCACGCCATCCAACAATCTTCCGTCCGTTTTCGTCGCAGATGCATAGTATTCTCCAGGCAATTATTAGCTCGACGTCGCCTGTATTCCCTCAAACAGTGCTAGCCTCCGCTGAGCGACTATTTATCTCTTTGCATCATTGCGCTCCAAAGAATACATCTGGGGAGGAATGGAAGAATGCTTGCCAGATGACAATTGCTTCTATCCATGGCACTGCAGATTACGTACTCCGAGCAGTTGTAGAACAGTGGGAATCCGTGGATCCAGCTCTCCGACATGCTTCACGACCACAAGATTACAGCAGAGAAGTTGGCGATAATGGTCCAGACACTCTGGGGCTCTCCAGCTGGCAGGGCCTTGACGCCGGAGTGAGCAGGCTTGTCGTGCTCTTGCAAATGCTTTCTACTTGCCTTACGACCGCAACAGCCTCCATGGTCACCATTCCGGTAGGCTCTATACTGGACCTGACATCGCGGCTGACTGCTGTGGTTGTTCCCTCTGATGGACGAAGCATTCAACCCAATCCGCAGATTAGCCGTATAGAGAGGGATCATCTTTTCGCTGAGCTCCCTCGTATTCACGTTGGCTGCATGGAGCTCCTCTTCAACCTCGTGAAGACATTCGAAACAGGCGCTGTCTCTGTTACCCAGACTATCCTAGAGCAGACCCTTTGGGTCTACCGTGCGGAAAAGTTCAGCCGAGAAATTCGCGTTTCTACATATGATCTGGTTAATACTCTGCTCACCCGGATGGGTCCTTCGTTGACAAAGCCAAGCCTTTCTTCTCTTACCGATCCAATACGAGCTTCGTGCCATGATCTTTTGCCTCCTGCACATGACCAGGGCGCCTCAGCGAAGGCAGCGTCTGACCCCAAGGGCAAAACCAAATCGAACCAGGCTACCGCAAATGCAGACTCCTTCCTCAACCCAGGATTAAAGCAAAGCCGTCAGTCTACTGCGTCCTGTTCCTCAGCTCTTAAGAGAGCTGCTTCGGAGCTGCTCGCTGCAGTGCTCATGCATGCCCCAACTGAATACCTATCCCCGTCGCTCCGAGCTGAGATCGATCGGACAATCATTTTAACATCTGATAAGCACACTATGCTTGCCAGTGTGCTCAATCCTGTCCCTGCTGTGAAGGGTCGTGGAGTAAGCGCGAGTATTATACCGTTCTTGGCTCGGAGCTTCCCTACGGATATGGAAGTGGAGGGTCTTATCAGGCCTAGGATGCCTGTTTTGGCGACTACTCCAGGTATTGGCGGATATGTTGATGTGGAAGAAGAGGATGAAGAAGAGGATGAATATGTGTCCGCACCTGTTTCTCGGACAGTCCCAGCGACCACTGGATTTCTGCAGCCATCCTCAACCCCTAATCTACACAACGATTTGATGGATATGGATGTCTCCCACAAGTCTGCTGCAGCTATAAACAAACGCAGCCTCGTGGAGGACAGCAGACCACGGCCTCCAGTCCCTAGTTCAGCAGAGAAGGCAGAACCTAATGTCCAGAGCAAAAGGCCCCGCTTCGAAAACGATCTCACTGCAGTTTCCAGTCAGCCATCATTAAGCAGAGCATCCCCTGCAACATTCACAGGCACCGCTGCTGTCTCTGTTCCTTCGTCTTCAACTACTGCCACTTCGGCTCCACCACCTCGGGTTGCCAGTGTGAATACACCATCTACAACGACTATTGGCGGTCCACTCTCCGGCTCAGCCGTTGCACAGACCACCTCGGCAGATATTGGGGAGGATGACAGCGATGATGATTTACCAGCCTTGAACGTTGATCCGGATACGGAAGATGAGGATGAGGATGAGACCATGGAGGACTAATTTGTATAGTATGTCCATAGCGGGTGAGAAATCTAGACTTTATTCGCATACATATATAAATCTAGCTTCTTCGTATGCTTTATTGGACCTTAAGTCCATATAGTATATATAAGTTTTCGATGCACCAAGACACGGCATACCATTCAAAGGTAGCCTCATGCCCAATGCAAGTATACCATATACCCGAAAAGAAATATATAAACCAGGGTATCTACCACTCACATGACTCTTACCCCCCTCTCCCAATAACTACCCCCATCCCAATACTGAAACCATGTTCCTCGCCAACACCACCATCCCTCCCCTTCAACCCCATATCCGAGTCCCAAACCACGCAGGGGACTCACCGGCAAAGGTTCCGTCAGCCACAAACCACCCTTGGCGAAATCATCCATGATAAATCCCGCGGTCAACCACAGCCACCCAAACACGAAACTTGCATTCGCAGATCGTTTCAGCCAAATTGGAAATTGGGTCGTTCCTTTCTTGCCTGTGAATTTATATAACAAGAATGGGTCTACTACATGGGAGACGAATTCTTGGATTGTGATACCGACAAATTGAAGAATGAAGAATAAGAAGGTCCCCGAAATAGGATTTGTGTGGGACCACTGGGTATAACTTCCGCAGGCGTGGATTAAGCCGCTAAGCGCGAATGCGACGAAAGTCATTATGAGACGTCTGAGGCGCTGGTTCGTCGCTAAGGAACGGGGAAGCAGCGATAAAATCCAGTGGCCAGTGGACGTGAATCCAAATCGAAAGAGCTGGTGCCACCATACACTCCAGGCGCCAGCAAGGCCGTGGTCCAGGATAGGGACAAGAAACGGACCAAACGGGTCCGAATAAAGCCAAGGGGCGTCGAGAGGTGCTGCAGTTATGGTGCGGGAGGCGTTGGGGAATAAAATGGATAGACCGAGAAAAATCAGTGGGTTGAATGATGCCACGAAATTTACGGCAACGTATATACCAAAGCCCGTTATCACGGTGCGGTATAGATGTACCACTCCAGCTGAGAAGACCTGGTTAAACGCGAAAGGAGAAGGAGGCTGTGGGGAGATGATCCCCCAGAAGTATAGGTCGCGCATCATAAGGACCTTTATCACGTCCAGGAGGAGGTAGTACTTAAGACAGTTGAAGGCCACAGTGCGGATGCGGGTTCTTGAGTCTGGGTATGCAGCAACTGCCTTTTTTGCGCCTCGAGAATATCGCGATGGAGATCCTAGCTCGAGCTTAGATTCCACATGGGGAGGCAAAGGGCCCATGCTGGATATCCGCCAATTCCATTCGGGGCCCCTCATGTTGAAGAGAAGGCCCAGGGACCAGTTCAGCCTCTTCAAGAAGGTCTGAGGATACGGTTGCCATACAAGGGATTCCATGTACTGCTGTTCCCTTTGTTTTGCGCCGTTTGATCTACAACTCGAGGGTATAGATCTATTCTCAATTGAGGACTTCAGCGTCGCATCCGATAAACCAGTCGGTCTTCCATGCGCTGGGAGCTTTCGCTCAATCCGCAGAAATTCCCGCTCAGCATCATGAAAAACCAAGAGCGTTGCAGACCATATAAACCACCATGCGGCCACCAACCCTATTATGTATCCATTTGCACCAAGGAGCGCCCGTCGATACCGTAGAGCCCCGAGGGCCAGATTGAAGATAAGGATGAGGACGAGGGGTCGGACATATCGAGTACCTTTCCGGCGTGGAACGAGAAGTGCGGATACTGGAAGAATAGTGAAAAGTGTTAGATGCCATAGAAAGACGGGTTTCAGCTCCCCTTGTTGTATGCGCCTGTCCAATTGATCGCCATTGTCGCGAAGGATGTGGAGGTAGGAAGAGGGAAGAGAACCGGCCATAGGATGATCCGTTTGGATTTCTAGGCAAAGGACCACCCCGGAAATAGAAAAAACTTATCTTTCAAGACGCAAACAACGAAGACTGTATATATATATATGTATGTATGTATGTATATATGTATGTATGTACGGAGACATGTACGTATCAAGTTATCTTCATATCAATGCGTTGCAAATTGCAAGGTTGAAATAAAGCCAGAACCCACAACGGGTTCCCCCAGTAGCTGACGCAAGGGATATCATACGGGATTTATTTGCCTTTTGTTTGGCTATGAAATAACTCGCCACAATAACTTCCAGCATCCCTTAGAATTTTAGCCCTAATATACCAATGTAATAAGAGTTGGGTCGTTTTCCTAGACGCTAACAGGATGGCGAATGATATTTGCATCGCATTCTCAACAACGAAGTTAAGGCTCCTGTAAATCTTTCTTTGAGATATATATAAGCGCAGTGGGATCCTCCCCGAGAGTCACAAACCATCCGACCCCTTCACTTTCTATATTGTATTTAGCTAGCATACAATAAGAGTATACTTATACTAATTGAAGGAAGATATTTTTATATGCCGGACCAGTTAGAAATTCCGCTGCAGTGTAACCACCAAAGCAACTAAACTATACACTAGGGCAATAAGCCTCACCAGGACCTGAAGATCAGGAGAATATTAACTTTCTATGAGCTTGTAGAAAGCTTGTCAACCGTAGTGTTCCCATGTAAGTAAGTAGCAAAATTTGCTCGAAGTCTCGCCATGATTTCATTGTGTAAGTACGGATTCGACTACCCGCAGGTTTAACATAAGTTCATTTCTCTATGGTATATCCACTAGCTTATACCTCTTACTATATAATCCCGAAGGTACTGAATTTCTAATCTTCTAATTTTTTTGCCGAGCTTATTTATTTCTGCCTTGCTACTTTTCAGCACGTTTTTGCTTAAGCAACTTTTACATAAACTAAATTAGGAAAGTAGTATATTAAGCCGAGGATATGTCTTTCGTAAGTTTTCAAATTTTACTAACGCTCGCATGGTGATTAATTGCTTTTTTTGAGCCGATTCGTTAAGGAGCTTAAATATTTAAGGGTGAGTTCATCTTGGAAGTAGGTATCAATAGATGGGGACTCACTGGAGGGTGCAGATATTGATAGATCACTGCAAGTACTAGTACGGATTCGTTTATGCGGGCGCTCACCAAAGCTATCTGGAGAAGATCAGATGCTGCAGGAACCATGGCCAACCAATCCTCTTTAGCTGAGACCCATCGACAACACAGTGATTCTTCTCCTGATAGCTTTGGTGAGCTCGCGAAGACGAGAGTTGTTACCTTTATAGTGCCTTGATCACTTAATTTCCATGTAATCAAACCATATCCCCAAGTGAGATGACTCCCGCATGGACTTCGATTTAGCTGGATCAGCCATGACTCGGGCTCTACGGATGTGTTGTGTGTAGTAATGCTGTCTCGTCTCGATAGGCATCAGACATCTTAAGCCACATTATCCATGAATTGTATACTATAGCGAATGGGCGAAGACCGGCATGATGGCCATCGATGCCAGGTTACCTATTGATGGATCAGATCCCTGCTATCGCACTGGTCATTGAGCGCAAACTGATGTGAGCCGAAGGGAATACATGCATAGGGAGTGTATATGTTAGTACAGTTCATCCACACTAAATAGACTTCGCTATATAATGCATCGCCTACTATTACCACGCTGAGAGTAGGCTTGCCTGCAGAACACTTCCAACTTATAGTTGCAAAGCTATAGAGGTTCAGCCTTCTCCTCACTCTGCTAGGCCCAAAGCAAAAATGGGACTCGTATCATACGGCTGCTTCCGGGTTGCTTTTGCCCCTGAACACGTTATTTTTATCCTAGAGGTATGCTGCTGTAGATGGGAAGCAATTGAAACTTGAAGTGGAAGTCTTGGATAATATACAGTTTCACACAAGACTTATATCTTGTACATAGTATTTGGTAAGGTCACCAAGCATTTGGCGATTATTCTTACTTTTAAATGAGGATGCAAGTGAAACAAGTATGCTATTAATGCTATATGATAACTGTGTCATATAATTACTTGCACTTTGGCTAACATTTAGGGAAGTTATTTATCTCCTAGTAGGTTTAACAAACACTGTTCAGGGTGATGGTAGACCCATAATATTTGCCTTAGGCATGATGAAGTATATCTTGAATTGAAACCTCCAATCAAGATCACAAAAGACAGCTTATTTGTTGTCAGACAAAAGTAATTATATGCCACTAGCCCTGCATGGAGTCAGTTACTCTTAAGAATTTGCCTGATATTGCATTCACACAAAGTCAGTAATATCTTGACTGGTCCTTAAGGATCTCCTTCTATAAAAAGATAAAGAAGTAAATATATCCATCCTAATTGTACGGAACTATCATCTCTTTCACTTTCACATATCAGATCCACTCCGGAATAAGTGGAGGATGTCGGAAATACCTTGACCACCGTAGGTTGTCACAGAATTTTAGAAACGCCGGCAGCTCTGCGTCTTGAAAAGGTACCTTCATCCAGCTGATATCCTCTAATCTATATTCCTCCGGAGGCTCAAACTCTTCAAGTTCAGACGGGTCAGATAATCCACGCACCTCCAATTCATCTTTATCCAGTTCCTCCGGCTTCCAAACCCCATTGACTAGACGTACGAATCCCGTTGTAGAAGGGTAATACGGTTTAGATACACTCAGGACCGACTCTAAAGCTTCCTGGTCCACCATAATGAAGAACCGATACCGACATGAATCTGGGAAGTGAGAGTGGTCAATGCCCTGCTCCTCTTGTGGCACCGTCGCAGCCCATTCTTGGAAATACTTCTGTAGAGAGCGGTGATCGCACCGTCAAAAGCTTAGTCTTCAAAAACTGTAGAGGCGAAGCTGTCCAAGAGATCCAGACCATTATAGTACTTCAAAAATTCAGTAACAGGGTAGAGAAATCGAGTTATAAACTTTTCCCAGTCGGAGTCACTTTAATATGCGCAGCGATAAATCACGAAACCCCAGGTTTTGAATCCATCCTGTTGGAGGAGTCGTTCTAGTCGGTCGGCGCTATTGATAGTGGTTTCCATAGTGGGAATCCGTTTTGATTGCCGTTGGGGCCGGCATTTGTGGGAGATCTTCCTTGTGGTTTGGAACTGGTGTAACTATAGGCGTTCGACGGGAGGTGAAGCGTAAACGATGTAAGTGGAGAAGCGATCGACGCTGCGGAGGCTACGGAAAGTGGGGAGCCCGAGTTGGTTGCCGATAAGGAGATGAATTCTCCTTATGTGCATTTTAATTTGGAATGTTTTTGATTCAGGGTCAGTGGTTGGTTCTGGGGGGAGTAGAAAAGATGGTTTAAGGGTTAAGTGAGCAGACTTGAGCCAACAGCCAACAGTCAAGGAGTTCACCTCTGTTCCGAACTGTGGATATGCTTAAAACTCAGTGGGTCTAACAATAATCAGCACTGCAATTTTCTTTTCTTTCTTTCTTTCTTTTTTTTTCCTAATTCATCCGGGCAAGGATGAGTGAGTGTTCAAGTGTTCAACATTCAACATAATGTATGTATCCCCACAATGAGCGAGTTTTATAATAAACAACGAAATCTACATGCATACCCCAGATGAGATCCTTAGACGTCAGACCCACAAAAAGAAAGTGTGGTATATACAGTTAGACAAATGCCAGCGTGTTAGCCTCTATTTCCACACATCTACGATTCGATCCGAAGATCTGTCCCTTTTAATGAGTGAAAATTCGCCACTGTAATGACCTATCCTGTAGATCTGAATAACTACTACTATTTATTTAACTTAATTTAGGTCTAAGGTTATATTTGGAAGGTGAATTGTATTACTGCTACATACCTTCAAATTGTCTTGTGGGCTATATGAACGCTATCCCGTGAAAGGCCTTGTACAAAATATGTAAAAACACAAGGTAACATAAATGCACTACGTACTACGTACATACTGGATATCCATAATCGAGTTTACTATGGTACCAAAGAGTATACTCTAAGCAATTAAAATTGAACTTATCTCAACTTTTTCGATTTTACAGGTGGAGGAATCTCCTCTTCAGTCGTGGGTCACTTCAGCTTTCAAGAGCCTTAAAACCTCAATACAGTACTAATGTAAGTACCACAACTTAAAGGTTTGCGACCTACCATGCTTAAAGGCCCATTCATGCGCCCGTGTGCCTAGCATGGACAAGAACCTATCAAAACGTGAAGAACATATGCACCAAGGATCTCCGGAACTGGAGGAGTATATGCGAGAAAGACAATATACAAACAGCAGTCATGCAGCAGAACAAGATACTGGTAATATCTCCCTGTAAAAATTAATGCCTGTGTCGCGGGGAAATTGAAAGAGTCTGAACGGTTTAGCTATACGATATTGGATCGTCTTTTTATAGCACCATAAAAGGTGGGAATGACCTTTTTTTCTTAGAGAGACAGTGGTTTGCATATCAGATTGACATACTCTCGGTGTTTTTATGTATAGTATATGGCAAGCAGAAAGCTAATTATTAAACACGATGTGACATGCTATTGGACAATGCGGATCCGCTCTGCCTAATTCATAGTGATATCCCTCTTAATCCAGACGAAACATTGCATCTGTCAATCTGGATGTGCATACATATCACTGTATTCAACCCAGGATCCTCTGTGCCTAAACTACAACTGACTTTTTCAAGAGACATACGTAATATAGAGGCTGAGTGAAGCAATTTTTCTGGACACCCTTGATCTATGAAAGAGTAGAAGTACTTCACTAGTTCCACGATATAGTAGTGTTAATGTAAGTGGTAATATTCGCACCGTTTTCCTTTTGCTAAGCAGTTAGGAGATGGCGATTTGACCAAGTTGCTCAGATATAGGTTGGGGTATTTATTCTGTACACCCCAATGAAGGGCAACGGTTGAACAGTTCTGTAAAGTATGGTAATTCCTGATGCACCCTCAATAACAATAAAGACATTACTGGGGTTTTCACGGTCATGTCTCAGATCACTGGTTGTCGAATTGGCCGCTCACAGTCGTAGCCCTTTGTAGCGTCGACTGCATTCCACTAAGGTAAAATATCATGAGCGCCCTAAACGACAATGGCACAGTAGACCTCAAATAAAGCCAGCGTCACTGACGACCAATGGCCAGCTGCCCCATTAACATCCGTTGTGCTCTCGCGCTCTCAGGATAGGGCGCCGCCAAATCTGCATATCGTTTTCTATTACCCTCTGCGAGAAACGTTTGATTACTCCTTCGAATTAGCTTCAAAGATAGAGAACATCATTCTACCATCCAGTGAAGATATATACGGGTATATCTAGCCTTGTTATCAAGGAGGCCTTGCTTAGCAGTAAGCTTTTTAATTACCACCCAAGAACTTCAGGGCGACCTTGGCGATATAAGCAATATTGAAAGATGTTGACAATTTACCCTATCCAGACACTCTGTTCTTCTAGACACAGAAGAATGGCGATGTAGGAAGTCGTCAATCGTCGGTCACTCCGCGGTGCGGGAATGACAGAGTACTTCACGTCGTTAGCAACTCAGCTACCTCTTAAGGTTTTCGAGGCAGATTCGTCTTCCTCCAAAAGCCCCGTCAGTGACAATGATATTGCCAGTCACACGAATCATGCACTTAATAAAGGCGAGGGATGCATGTTAGATGTAACACGATTGAAGTCTGACCCCTTCTCTCTTCAGTCGGCTGAGCAACAGCCTCTTCAGCCTAGCATCTAGTATTACACCGTGAGGACCTGCCCCAATCCTGCTAGTCAAAAGAGATTGGCAAGCGCTGCTTTGGAAACTGGAACTAAGACAACATACGGTCCCGGCACAAGGGCAAGGGCTAGAGCCGAGGCATTCCTTTCCTTTCCTGTGTCTTACAAGATTTAGCCTTATTCTACAGTCGAAGACGATCACCTGCGGGAATCAGTGAAAGAGGGACTCACGTGGGAGAAGATCTGGATAATGTTCGGTCAGCAATTTGCCGGAAGGACCTTGAGATCACTGCAAGTGCGTTGTTCGAGAAAACTGAGGTATGCGGTATGACCGGTGAATCGTTCCCCACGATGCAGAGGAGCGAATGATAGAGCGGGTTGACGACATATCCTTGCCAAACCTTTCACTTCTTGATTTACTGCCTTTATCGAGTCCCGGACTGCTTTCTCTCCTGGCAGAGAGTAATTTAGGTGTTTTATGTTTTATTGTATGTCTTTGATCTTCGTAGTGCTCGCCTACATACACAAAATATGGTCATTCATTTGTAAATTATACTTTATTCTAGTGTTCTCAATCGGGTCTTCGGTGTATAAGTGCTTAACACATGCTGTTCAATAGGAAAGATAGTGTATAAATGATATGTTTCGCTGCGAGTTGGGTCCTGTTACCCGATTCGGGTGCCGCCGCTTTTGTGGACAGCACGTGAGTGCTCCGTGTGTGTGCTCCGGTCGCTCCCTGATTGCTCAGGCTCACTTAAGTGATCCCAGAGCAATTTTCGCTTACTCTCTGCCGTCACTCACGTGACTACCACCGGTTTTCAATCGTGTACAGATAACGCTGCTCCAGTCTATAATTCAGTCCGTAAGTTCCTGGGGGTATCACGAAGATAAGGGCTAATAATCCTTGTCGGTCACCTTATCTGCCTGTATATAGCATGACCTGTAGTCTGCCTGCGTATTAGCTCTGCTAGCCCGCCTCCCCGAGCTTGCACCTTGACATGTATTTAGCACTAAACTGGAGAAACTTAAAGAGTTTATCTACTAGTAACAAAGACTACCGAATAATTACATGAGACTGTGTTCCTCCGTATATATGAAATAAATCATGACTGCATCACATCAGCACTAAACAATTAGGGTTCAGATAATTTTCGCATTTCTTTTCTTCTAGTCACCTCAGAATCAAGATCCCATGATCTTCAAGACCACGTGAGCAACCTATGCTTGCTTTCCAGGTTCCTCGAGACTACTTCTCCTTTCGGCCTGCCTTAGAATGTTTGCGAATATCGTCATGGATAGTATTATTCGGTCCCTGTGGAAAGAGGCCTACAGGCTTCTAAGCATACTCCGCCCGGGTAAGATAGAACTAATCGATAAATCCTTCTGATGCTCAGTTCTGCCATGACTACTGCTCCCACGCTGAAAGACGACTCTGTCGGATCGATCCGCTTCGATCCTTCGCTCATTTCGAATCCAGACTATGGCGCGGAGGACCACTTCTGATTGGATGCATGACCCATGTTTTGATTTGTTGGATCATCAGGTTAAATTCCCAATTTATCAGCAAGCTTTATGCTATGCTGAAAACGGCTGCATAACGCTCCCACACCAGCATCCATCGAAAGGTGATTTCCGTCGCTCGCTACGAATGACATACAATCTTATGCCGAAGCCTGACATACTGTGATGCCACTATGCCCGCTATTGCCGATAGTCCCGAAGGTGTAGCCAGGTTAGCCCCCAACCGGCTGGGGTACCTATACTTAAGACCTGACATTATGCATGTCGACATGGTTCTGGCTTGTCTACGATTTTTCAGCTTCTAATATATTCTGACCTAGGCCTTCTCTCACTTGATTTTGGTTAAATTTTACCTGATTCCCATCTCAGACGAGCAACGTGGGACTCGATCTGTTTAACTAAACTACCTTTTTACAATTACTTTGATCTTTGGCCTGATTGTGCCTGGCTTGGTCACAATTATTTTGCACGGTTGAACGAAGGGAATTATTATAAACTAAGGAAGAGAAGAAACAGTACCGCTTCCTTGCACCTTAAGTGTGTTTAGGTCTTCAGTTCTCATTCCACGAGCATGGCAGACTCGGGCGAGCCCGTCACGCCTACTCGCATTCCGCACTGGCGCCTCGTTATTGACCAAGGCATCCTGACTGAGGACGTTGTTAGCCACCCTTACGCTGGCTCCGGCACTGAAGATGATCCTTATCTTGTCACCTGGATTCCCAATGATTCTCGAAATCCTATGAACTTCCAGGACAGATGGAAATGGTTTTACACGATAACGGTGGCCTGGGCGACCTTAGCGGTATCGCTAGTGTCTTCTGCGTACACCGGTGGAGTTGACCAGATCATGGAACAATTTCACTGCGGTACAGAAGTAGCAACGCTGGGAGTGTCTTTATTCGTTGTGGGATTCGCCATCGGTCCTTTACTTTGGGCGCCCATGAGTGAGCTATACGGACGACAGTATCTTTTCATCGGCAGCTATTGTGGATTGACTGTGTTCAATGCAGCCTGTGCAGGTTCAAAAAATATTTGGTCTCTTATAATATTCCGCTTCTTCGCTGGTTCTTTCGGATCGTCCCCTCTGACAAACGCCGGTGGAGTGATTGCAGATATGTTCCCGGCTAGTCAGCGTGGTATAGCTATGAGCGTCTTCGCGGCCGCCCCGTTCTTAGGACCGGTGCTAGGGCCTATCATTGGGGGCTTCTTAGGTATGAATGCCGGCTGGAAGTGGGTGATGGGATTCTTGGCCATCTTTTCAGGTGCTCTCTGGATTATTGGGGCAATCTGTGTCCCAGAGACCTACGCCCCTGTCCTTCTGCAACGACGGGCAGCGAAACTATCTAAAGTTACCGGGAAAGTGTACCGAAGTAAAATCGAGGTAGACCAGGGAAAGAAAACGCCCAAAGAAGCTTTCCAAATCGCACTCTCTCGCCCTTGGCTCCTACTTTTCCGCGAACCAATTGTGCTCTTGCTGTCGATTTATATGGCCATCATTTATGGAACCCTATATATGATGTTTGCGGCTTTCCCTATTGTCTACCAAGGACAGCGAGGATGGAACCAAGGTGTTTCTGGATTGGCATTCCTGGGGATCATGGTTGGAATGCTCGTGGCAGTGGCTTACACACTCTGGGATAATAAGCGTTATATTAATACCCAGACACGACATAATGGCTTTGCACCCCCGGAGGCTCGGTTGCCCCCATGCATGATTGCCTCGGTTGCCATTCCAGTTGGCCTTTTCTGGTTTGCCTGGACGAATTACCCATCAATTCATTTTATGGCCAGTATCGCAGCCGGCGCGCCATTCGGATTCGGTATGGTTCTGGTCTTTCTCAGTTTGATGAATTACCTGATTGATGCCTATACAATCTTTGCTGCCTCCGTGTTGGCTGCCAATTCCGTTCTTCGTTCAATTTTTGGGGCTGTTTTCCCGCTCTTCACAACATACATGTATAATGATCTAGGCGTGCACTGGGCGTCTAGTATACCCGCGTTCCTCGCAGTCGCATGTGTCCCGTTTCCTTTCCTGTTCTACAAATACGGCCCAGTGATTAGGACGCGCTGCAAGTATGCAGCGCAATCAGATGCCTTTATGAAGAAGTTAATGGAACAGTCTGTCAATACCCATCAAGTGACAGACGCCGAGAAGAAATCCGTGAATGCTGCTGTGGATGAATCGAAAGACACGGATTACTCTCCATCTGCGCCCACCCCAGTGAGCTCGCAATTGGAAGATCTTCCGTCAGGTGCCAAGTTTGGACGGGTGCACTCTATAGCATCAGAGGCGTCTCGTCGGTCTGAGGGAGTGAATTCTCAAACTGCATATGATGCCAATCCATATGACATTGACCGTGTCAACACCCGTGAGTCATTCAAATAGAGGTTATGATTGTGATCTGTTGATGGATATAGAATTTCTTCTCTGCGGCTATCGTTTCTCCCTTCAAAATAGTATAGATAGTGTTTAGTATTTAGTGTCTATCCTTAGAACTCACTGATAGAGAGCATGACTTCCTCCTTGCTTCCAATCAAATCTTTAATCCTATTAGACATGGCAGCAGCTATTCCTTTTCCAGTGCGTAGATCACGTGGAACCGCATCATAGCGCGTCACGACTAGTCCCAAAGCGGGATAAGGAGGATCTACCCTGTCATACAAACAATAAAATGTTTCCTGCTTTAAACTTCTCCTCAAGAGTACATCATACAGAGCACCATGGGCGCCCGTAATGGAAAACGACGTGCCGAGCACGTCCACCTTACGCAAAGCGACGATGAGGCTCAGCATCCGACTCCCAAGGCACCCCGCTTCAGTCACGGACAGCGCTTTGGGGAGAATACTGTCTTTGTGCCCCTGAGCCAGTCATCGCAGGTATCTGCAGGCGAAGAAGAAGATGACGCGCAGGCTGCGGATCTGGTTCCGGAAAGTCAAGCTGCCGATGATCCCTCGTCCGGTAGCTCGATACTCTACGGACGAATAAACACTAAGATCGTGGGTGTCCGTTACTATCGAGGGCATGCCACCCCTGGAGAGCGTGTGATTTTGAGACGGGAGCCAACTAATCAATATGATCGTAATGCTATTAAAGTTGAGAACGTCATGGGGGCCCAAATTGGTCATATTCCACGACAAATGGCGGCGAAGTTGGCGAGCTACATGGTACGTTCTTTTTGAAACTGACTGTGATCTGTGCTTTGAATTCTGAACATTTACCTCCTAGGATGCGAGGTCTTTGGTTGTTGATGGCATGTTAACTGGGGTAATTGGCTCTTTTGATTGTCCGATTATGCTGAGCTTGTTTGGCACAAGCGACCCCATGAGGAGAGAGGAGTTGAAAAGTCAGATGGAGCAGGATAGGCTGCCCCTAAGTGAACTCAAGCAGAAGATGCGCGAGGAGCTTAGACAGCAAAAAGAGCTCGAAAAGGCTCGGAAGGCGGCCGAAAAAGGAGCTCATGCGCTAGCGCAAGGCAAAGGACAAAAATGGGAGGCGGCGAATAGCATGTATAGCAATCTATCCCTTGGCGAGGGCAACATTGAGGGTGAAGTCAGTTTGGAAGAGATCATTGGCCAAAGCAGCACGTTTAATCCTCGGGATATTCGCCAAGTGGTGGAGGACTTTGGCATGAGTGAAGCAGACCTGTCAAATATGCCTATGGCAGATCGTCCCGCGGCTCTTTCGACCGACTTACTCCCTTATCAACGCCAAGGACTGGCTTGGATGATAGAGAAAGAAACTCCCACGCTCCCTGCTCCTGGGTCTGCCGATGTGGTACAACTCTGGAAGAGAGAAAATATCAGATTCACTAACGTTGCGACGAACTTCTCCACATCGATAGCCCCACCTCTTGCAAGTGGTGGTATTCTGGCCGATGACATGGGCCTCGGAAAGACTATCCAAATCATATCTCTTATCCTGGCAAATTCCGCGCCCAAGTCTCCAAGCTCTTCCAAAACCACTCTGATAGTAGCTCCCGTAGGAGTGATGAGCAATTGGAAGAATCAAATACTAGACCATACACACAGCGAGTCTACTCCACGGGTACATGTCTACCATGGGACCGGAAAGAAAGAGGCTGCTAATCTGAACCAATACGATGTGGTAGTGACTAGCTATGGCGCCCTTGCAAAGGAATACAGCCCAGGTACCAAAGTACCTCCAAATCAAGGAATCTTCTCCGTCCACTGGCGTCGTGTAGTCCTTGATGAAGGGCACACGATCCGAAATCCACGGTCTAAAGGTGCGTTAGCTGCATGCAGCCTGCAGGCGGACTCACGCTGGACCTTGACTGGAACACCAATTGTCAACTCCCTCAAGGATCTTTATTCTCAAGTTCGCTTCCTGAAGCTTTCCGGTGGCCTGGAGGACATGACGGTTTTCAATAGCGTCCTGATCCGACCGCTTCTGTCTGAGGACCCTAATGCTCGTTTGCTTCTTCAGGCACTCATGAGTACCATTTGTTTACGCCGTAGGAAGGATATGGAGTTTGTAAACTTACGCCTGCCACCCCTTACATCTCGCGTTCTACGCATTAAGTTCCACCCCCACGAGCAGGAGAAATATGATATGTTTCAGTATGTATTAACTGAAAACATGTGTCCGTGGCATTCGCTCATAGTCATGACAGGTCCGAAGCAAGAGGCATGCTACTTGATTTTAAGTCTAAAGATAAGTCCAACACCACATACTCAAACCTCCTCGAAGTGATCCTTCGCTTGCGACAAGTCTGTAACCATTGGGCGCTCTGCAAGGACCGCGTGGAAAAACTTGTACAACTGTTGGAGGAGAATAAGATAGTCCCATTGACGCTGGAGAACATCAAGGCTCTACAAGACATGTTACAAATCTGCATCGAGAGCCAAGAGACATGTCCCATCTGTCTAGATAATCTAGAGCAGCCTGTTATCACAGCTTGCGCTCACGCATTTTGCAAGGGTTGCATCGAACAAGTAATCGAGAGACAACACAAGTGTCCAATGTGTCGCGCTGAGATCAAGGATACATCGAACCTAGTCACACCCGCGGTTGAGATGGGCGAAAGCACCGAAACCATCGTCGCTGACCCCGACAACCCAAGCAGCAAGATTGAAGCTCTAATGAAAGTTCTGACAGCTCAAGGACAAGCTCCCGGCACTAAAACAGTTGTGTTTAGCCAATGGACCTCATTCCTTAACTTCGTTGAGCCTCATCTCAACCGCTACGGAATCGGGTTCGCCCGCATCGATGGTAAAATGAGCTCGGGCGCTCGCGACAACTCAACATACAGATTCTCCCACGATCCAAATTGCAAGGTCCTCCTCGCAAGTTTAAGCGTTTGCAGCGTTGGCTTGAACCTAATCGCAGCTAATCAGGCCATTCTTGCCGATAGCTGGTGGGCCCCGGCAATAGAAGACCAAGCCGTCGACCGAGTCTATCGTCTCGGCCAAACCCGTGAAACTACCGTCTGGCGTCTTGTCATGGAAGACAGCATAGAAGATCGTGTCCTAGCCATTCAGGAAACAAAACGCAAGCTGATGTCGGCCGCTTTCCGCGAGACCTCCAAGAAAAAGGTCGATGACAGAGCGACTCGTGTTGCTGATCTCGAGAAGCTCATTACTTGATCGTGTACGAAAAAGTACAACTCTCTATTCAGCTTTTTTCGTTTCTCTAGTGGGCTTATGATTCTCTCTACAGTTCCATAGTCATGGATACTTTCGGGTATATTTATGTGCAAATATGTGTAAGCTGCTACGCGGTCTGAAGAGCCTATGTCTTATTACCTTTGTGTTTCTCTTGTATAAAAAAAGATCCTATCTGTCCGTTTGGTTGGAATACCGGAATCGATTGAATAGATGAGATTTAACCTGTTGGCTAGGTTAAAATGGGAACAAATCTTGTTTAACACTCTAACAACGATTGGTCTAAACGGCTAATACCATGTAAATGAATAAGTGCATCTACATTTCGCATGCTTGAAATAGTTCATTAGCTGTACTTTGCGTTCATGACTCGTTGGCTTATTCAGATCGTAAATAACTGTACAAGGGGTTGCGTAGAGATGTAGGGAAAATTCACCAAAGTGTGGAAGGTGGTATTCACAGAAAAAGAAGGGAATATTGTCTAATAATGAGTAGAGGGTATCGTTTTTGACAAAATTTGCATGTCGCCGAAGAAGGCCGTGAAGATTACAACCAATATGGAGATAAGACGGCTCAAAGCTGATTTTAAAATGGAATATCTAGGCGTTCGCAACATCTCATTGCTGGCTGCATCTGTCTCCAGGATCTTCATCTGATGATGATTGGAACTGCTCGGTATGTGCCTTATCTGCGATTGTCTCTTGGACGTATGTGTTGTCGATGGAACCATCTATTTGTCCAGGTATCTCAGTACCTGGCTGTCCCAAGCATCTGGAAGGCGAGAGTCTGAAAGGCGCGTATGAAGTGGTAGATTCAGTAGGTAGCTCACTTTGCGCAAGGCGAGAAGAGTAAACTTCCGATGTAGCAGTCATCGGCATTGCGAATGCTTCTGGGATGGGTAGCCTGGAAGGCTCTTGGTAAACGCTCATATCTGGTGCTAGAGCGGGAGGCCCGGTATTGTGAGCGTTCGATGGAACTACTGGAGGGGCGAGCAAGTAAGGATGTGGTTGGGGCGGCAAGTGACTTTGTTGCATGTATGTCGGTAAAGTCTGATTCGGAGCTTGCGTAGCAGCTAAAGCCTGTCTTTGCCTTTCGATTATTAATTTCTGGTAGGCCACCGGATCGGTGCGCTTGAGACGCTCGTCGTTTAGCTGCTGTTGGACACCTTCTCTTTCTTCCTCCGTCAACTTGTCATTGTCTTCCTTCTGGAATGTTTCAGTGAGGGCTATGTTTCGGATCGACTTCTCTTCGCCAATATCACTCATGATGATCTTGTCCAAAACCTGCGGATCCCTCCCCAGGTACTCACTGACGTCGTCCTGAGGAACTGACTTAGCTGGGAAAAGATATTCACCCAGTGTTTTCGATGCCCATCGAACCGGATTCTTCTTATCGACAACACGGAAAGCAAGTTGGGTTTTGAAGACTGCCTTGTTATACATAACCTCCTCGAAGGTTCCGCCGGCAATGAAACGATAAACAAATACCGGTTTCTGCTGGCCCAGGCGATAAGCACGCCCGACGGCTTGTTCTTCCCAGACAGGGCTGAATTTGAAATCGAATATGATGACACGATTGGCTCCAGGGATGTTTAAACCAAGTCCTCCTGCGCGAGTTGAGATTAAATACACTTGCTGCTCATAACCACTATTAAACCTCTTCGTCGCATCTTGTCGAGTAATGACGGGAGTTCGTCCATCTAGCCGAGAGTACTTTCGATTGGTCGATTCAAGAATAAACTCGATGTAGTCGAGTGTTGGGATACTGTGCGAGAATACCAAGACCTTGTCACCGGCCTTAATAGACTCGTCAATTATCAGGTTCAAGATCCGCGCTCGATGAGACATTTCCAAGGCTCTAATATCAGGGACAGTAGCAAAAATTTGTTCTTGCTCATAAACAAGCTTTTCTGAATTTGGTAGGCCTGCTTGCATGATAGGCTCATCTCCGGGGATCATGTCCATCTCCTCCAGCTTCTTATTTACTTTCTGTGCATCACTTGCTCGGCTTAATAATTTGTCCCTGAAACACGACGGGTGATTGCAACATAGACTCAGAATCGCAAGCCAGGACCATAATTGTGCAGTTCCGAAAGCTCCTTTATCTTTTAGGATAGTCCCTACATACGAATCATATGCTTGTTTCTGTAGGTTCGTCAAGGGGATCGTTATGACGAACTCAACTTTGGTCGGTAGACTACCAGCAAGCACAGAGATATCGGCGCGATTAATCTTTGGGGCAAGGATCTCTTTGAGGACCTGGAGTTTCACCAAAGACCTTCTCCTCTCTGTGTAAGTACTGTCCACATATAGACCCTCTGTTATAGGCTCTACAAACTTTGCCTTAAACTCCACAAAGTCGCCGAGATAGCCCTCCGCAATCCAGTTGACCATGGCGTAGTAATCAACAAGATTGTTTGCAAGAGGCGACCCAGTTAGGGCAATGCGACTTTTAGAGCGGAACTGCATGGCTGCCTGTGAGATGCCAGTGGATGAGTTTTTCATTTTGTGGGCCTCGTCCGCAATAATGATGTTAGGGCCTTCGAGGAGAGATTGTCTGATGTTCTGATAATCAGTATCATTCAAAGGCTTTCCCCTTTGTTTTGTCTCTTTGTTGAGAATCCACGTTCGGAATAAGTCATAGCTCATGATGAGTACTCCACCTTCGTCATCCCACTCGGACACCTCCCGTAGCCTCTCGAGCATCGTAGCGGAACTTGTGATTTTCCTTAAGGTTCCGATGCCAGATCGCTCTGGAGCCCACATAAGGAACTCTTCATACCAGTTTTCAATCAAGGATGATGGGCAGAGGATCAATGTTTGGGATCTATGGAAAGCTGCGGGGACCTGTTGGCGTACCCTGATTTCATCTGAAGATGCTGCCGCAGATATAGTTGCAAGGAGAGATATAACCTGCATTGTTTTCCCTAGGCCCATTGTGTGAGCGAGTAGGCAACCTTGCTTTTTCTCATCTTCTATCAACTCCCGCCACATAAATTGAATACCATTCAGTTGATGTGGCTTAACGCGCAGGCCAATATGAGGGTCCAGATAAATAACAGGATTTCCGAAGCTAACTGCCTGACGCGTAGGATCGGTATTCATGCTGCCCATTTTCCGTTCAAGTTTCTTTCTCTGCTTCTCCTGGAGCTTGACACGAAGCTGCGCGCTTTGCTGGCTCTTTTTTGCATTCTGACTTTCTTTAACCTCTCTCTTGCGTTTTTTGTGAGGGGTATCCTCAAGGTCTGGAGTCGCTTCTTTTGCACTAGCAAGAAGCTTCTTAGGTCCTCTCTTACGGTGACAATTGAGTTGGGTGCAAAGCTCGTTGTAATACCTCATATAGTTGCTCATTTCGGATTGAGTCTTGAGTGCAAGACTCTTCTGGATCCCTTCCGAGGATAAGTGGGTACAATTTACCCAGGAGATATACATGGAGATAATGCGCATAATCACCTTATTTTCAGCCGCATCGAGATCTGGAAGCATTTCTTGATTATTAAGCAAAAGCTTGAGTCCAGCTTCGGTGAGCTCTTGCAGGTCCGAACTAGAATATCTAGGAATTGTCTTCACTAGATTCTTTCGTTCCTCATTAGAAAGGGATGCAATCAGTTTTGCTAATAGCCCGGAACGGTCCTGTCGCTTTTCAAGCAAACCCCAAGGCACTGACAGGAGGTTGTCAACGCCATGTGCGTCAGGGAGACTTTGCTGCTTTCTAGTTTTGAATAGTCTTGAATGCTTTTCTTTGTCAACTGGAATCTGGACTACCACTCTTGGGCCGAGGTAAGGTTCGGGGGAGATAGAAAGACTCTTCTTGGATTTTATCGGATCGACAAATGGTTGTGTTATCGCACGCGGCACTGGATTCAATGGAGGTGTTTTGATTGCGTACTCCTCGTTATTGATTGCGTACTCCTCGTTATCAGGTGCTGGGGAGTCTCTTGTGAGATCAATGCATTCTGGGGGTGCATCGTTCCTTTTAAGGGGAAGCGGAGAAGGAGAGCTTGATTGCTGAAAAGGAAGTTTCCTCGCCCTTGCCTTTCGCTTCATATTAGAAGGGCTGATAATGCCATCGTCGCTGTCAGACGTCGGCGACGTTCGAGTTGCGGTATCAATATCAAACCCATTAATTTGGTCCTCAATATCAGACCTGTCAATGAAGTCATCCATAGAATCACCAGACATGTCGCCTGGCTCTGAGTACAAGGATTCTTCGTCCCCAGTATCATGTTTCGGTCTTTGTGTGGATGGAGGCTTAGGAGGAGGAGAGGTCTTTGAAGGACATTTTTCTTGCTCCAAGATGGAAATACGCCACCTTTGTTGTTGAATGTCCATCACAGTCTGCTCCATACTTTGACACTGTGTTTCTAACTCTAACCTTGTTGCATATTCACTCTCACAAACTGCCTTTTGTAGTTTTCGAAGACGCTTGTCTAGAGATGTGATTGCTTGGGTGGATTCTTTGATCCCCTGGTTGGTATATTTCCCCTTCTTAGCTCTCAACCAGAGCTTACGTGCCTTATGTTTCTCCTTTGGCAGGCCAACCTCTTGCCATTTGTTCTCATAATGACAGACACAATCTCGAATGATCGATTCTACCTCCGTGGGCGTAAGTTTCGAGGGTTTCTGAGGCAACCCTTGGCGTTCGTTCTCAATTTCTTGCCAGGTCTCTTCGTCAAATTCGCCCTCGGATCCTGAGTCTCCATACAAGGGGAAAGCATCCTGACTTTCATCTTCGACTGGGTACCGTTGGAGAAGGTAAGAGAAAGTGTCGGAAGGTTCTAATATCTTAGAAGTTTTTGCCCCTTCAGAGACAGATTGTATTGGATTTAATTGAGGCCAGTCTTCTATATCTTCGGTGCTAACAGAGACCTTTCCGTTTTTAGCAGTATACAAAGTGAAAAGCTTTTTGCCGCTTTTGACAATGGACATATCATATGGTACTATGGCCGAGCGGGTGTAACCATTGCTAGAGTCCAGCTGTATGGGTCTTTGTTTCTGGAAATAATTGAGGGATCTGTTCACAAATAGGCGCTGCGCAGTGGGTAAGCCGGTTCCGATCATTGCGAAAGACTGATCGTCTTGATCTGGGTCAGGAGTATAGAACACCTGGGAAGGTGTGATCTTCCCCGGACCCATATACCATTCCTTGGCTTGTAACTTTTTCGGCGCACGCTCGCTATCAAGACGGTTTTCAGCCACAGCAGTGAGGTTTAATCTTCGCCGTGTCCTTCCATGTACATCAACGAAAACCTGCTCATGTGAGCGAACATGCTCAACGGAGCCAAGGCCGTCTATCCTTGTTCTGGAATTTTCAGCACGAGGAGTATCTTGGGGAGTACTTGGAGGTGCTATAAGTCTGCTAGATTTAGGGGCGTCAGCTAGAGTTACTATGCTTTTGTTCGCCGCCGTAGAAACACAAGGTGTCATGCTAGTACGCTGCCGGACCGCTTCCAAGGCTATGGAACCGCGGTGAACGGGGGTAGTGACATGTTCAACAGCTTTTGGAGTGATAAGTGCCGAATGAATCGAGGACAGAGAGGCATGATGGTGCTCAGGGGAATTAATGTGGTTGTTAGAGAGCTGATATTTCGTCGAATGGCCTTGAAGATACCGGATTGCCGACAGCATAGAACTTCTATGACCGAGAGCCCTGAGACCTAGGTCGTCCCGTAATGCGCTTTTGTCAACATCACTCAGAAGCACTTCTCCAGTGATCAGGTTGTCGCGAAGTGCAGCCTCAAAGGAGATAGGGTCAGGCCGAGGGGCTCCAGAAACCGATTGAGACCATGGTGTTTGTGGATTATGGCAAAGGAACTCTACTACTTCATCAACGGACCAGTCGATGGGATCTTTTCCATCTGGAGCCATAATGTCTGTCCGGCTCGCACCCTTAGCGCTCAATGCAACAAAATAATTCCGAAGAGTGTAGATCTCACCGCACGGGTGAAGACTCTCAGCCCGCCGCAATGTAGAAAATCCTCAGATCACACCAACGATCTCATATCGTCTGTATCCTAATGCTTCTAGATCGAACAAGTAGCTTTATGCGATATGACACGTGCAACGCGTCGAGTACACGTTGTCCTGGAGAGGATAAAGGGTAAACGATCTACAGTAAAAGGTGTAAGCTCTGCCAGTCAATGAGGCGGTGTATCGAGCGGTGTCTCGGGGCCTCCCACGATAAACTGAATTGATAAGCAAAAGTCGAGCCCCGCACTTTCCATTGATCAAATCCACTCACACTTTCTCTTCAACGTGGGCGGGCTTTAATCTTCTCTAATTCAATTAACCTTGCGACACACCTATTTTTGCAATCTTATGTGTTGTTCGTCAGCTGTTTATTAACCATGGGAGACCAAATTTACACCAATTACCCTCCTCCGTTGAACCCCGCACAGAAGGAATACTTGGTGGCAACCATCAAAGATTGGGCCACGCAGAATGGTCTACTGGTTCGCCCTGCACCTACCTTGGTCCCAAAGGAAATTGATCCCTCTGGAGTCCTCGCGACGAATGCCCCAGTAACTCTCTTTCCCAGCCCTTTTCCGAAAACCTGCTTCGAGGAGGCGAAAGCTTTGCAAACTGTATATAATCGGCTCTATGCTGCGATAACATGTAACGAAGAATGGATTGGCAAGATCATGGAAGAGTAAGACATTTCCTAATCCATAATTGTTGAGCGATCATGTTTACTTGATTGGAATGCCCGTCTATGCACCAAAGAACAACCAAAACTAAATTGTGCATCTGTAGTCTCATTGACGTGGACGACTTCATTTCACACTTGTGGAAAGTTCATCTTTCAGTCAAGAAAGAGGGATATGCCCAAACTTTATCGCTCGGACTCTATCGATCGGATTACATGGTTAATGCGCCGCCTCACTCGACAACTCCGTCCTTGAAGCAGGTGGAATTCAACACCATTTCATCGTCATTCGGAGGCTTGTCATCTCTTGTGACGTCGTTGCACACCGAACTTCTTAATTCCCCCCCCGGTTGTCCGATTGCCTATCCATCTCACCCATTGTTCAATTCGAATGTGCCACCTGAAAATACAGCTGTGGAGACTCTTTCTGCAGGGTTGGCTGCGGCACACAATGCTTATGGGCCATCGAAGGCAACACCAACTCTTCCCACGTGTGTTTTATTCTTGGTTCAAGAGAATGAGAGAAATACATTCGATCAGTTGGCGCTTTTTAGGCAATTGACAAAAGTTCACAAGATACCCGTCTTCCGTCTGATTAGCTCCGAGATCCTGGACCACACATCGATCCCCAACTCTAATCCGTCACGACCTCTTATATACTCGCCGCCTCACTCCCCAGATACGCAATTCGAGGTCACGACAGCTTATCTTCGCTGCTTTTACGCACCGAGCGACTACAAGTCGGAGCGTGATTGGGAAGCACGGACTCACGTCGAGCGTTCTGCGGCGATCAAATGTCCAACCGTCCTGAACCAGCTGTCCGGTTGTAAAGTTGTACAACAGGTTCTGGCTGAAACCACGGGCCCAGATCACCTTGCAAGCTTCTTATCTGACACCGACCCGGCTACTGTTGCACGGATTCGGGCAACCTTTGCACCTCAGTATGATCTATCCTCTAGTGGGCGTGGAAGGGACCTTGCGTTGAATATCGAAACAGCCATGAACCATGTTTTGAAGCCCCAGCGTGAGGGAGGCGGCAACAACATCTACAAGGAAACCATTCCTGATTTCTTGCGCTCTATCCCCGAAAGCGAATGGAAGCGTTGGATTCTTATGGAACTGATTAGACCACCCCCTGAGGCGAAGAATGTAGCCTTGAGAAGCGATGGCGAGGTCCTCAGTGGTAATGTCATCGGAGAACTGGGTGTCTACGGAACTATTCTGTGGGATCAGGCGGGTGGAAAGATTTCTCACAACGAGCAAGGCGGATGGCTGATGAGAACTAAGTCGAACGATGTTAACGAGGGAGGGGTTGCAACTGGATTCTCCAGTTTAGACAGCATTCTTCTATATTAATTTTAGTAAAGTAGACTAGTGTGCGATTTAGAGCTATTATAGTGAATTCTATATTGTCGTTCGCTTACGCGAAATATATCATGAGAGAATACCGTTATCATTCACTGCTAGTTGACAACTAATCATACAACCAGACAACATCTCTTTATCCTATAGTAATCCCTTGTGGCGTAGAAAGTAGACCATACTGCAACAGGTTTTACTCACCCACACCAAAGGTATTTAAAGCCTCCCAAACCCCCTCATAAATAGATCCTCCATCGAGCAGCAGCAGCCTGAGGCAGAATCACCCAATAGCAGAACCACCAATCAAACATACCAACTCCCCGTATCACAACCAACCAACCTCACCGATTAACATTATGCCTGAATGTATCAGGCCATTCCTCCGGCAACTCTTTCCAAGACCCAAGCCCCAACTCATTCGCGCGCTCAGAAAGCCTAAAGAAAATATTCTGAGAGGCCCAGACGCGCTCACTCGGGATTTCCCCTCTGCCCTGCGTGAGGAAAAAGTCCAACGGATAGTTCGTGGGGCTGTGCGAAGCCAGCGCCCGATCAGCAAGGCACAAAGGCGCACCACTCCCACCGTCCGCATACACGATATTCATAGTCGTGTTGAAGCGAGCCTGATCTATCGACCAGTGCTCAACACGCTCGATATCGATTTTGTTAATACGGCCTGGTGTTCCGCGACGATTAGTCCAGCAGGACAAGTGGAGGGGGCGACGACCATCGCGTTCTCGACGCATGTTCAGCGCGTTTTCGGCGGGCTTGAGCCGAACAGGACAGGCCATGCGGGCGCGGATATCGCGGTAGGCCAGGCGATTATCACTACGCATCCAGTACTCGAGGAGCCAGCCGACGGGGCTGCATGTGATGTACCGCGGGAGGAATGGGAAGTCGCGGATCGGTTTGCCTTCGTGATCTAAGGCGACTTCGTCGCTCTCGACCAGGACGGGTACCTCCGGGAGGTCTTGCTCGATGGGTGCGTCCATGCGGAAGAGGAGGGGTGGGAGGTTGACCTCAGAGTATGGTGAGTGGTGTGGGTGAGGGCAAGTGTGGAAGCGGTCCGTGGGGGGTGCGGTATCTGGGAGGTTTGTCAGAAGGGATCAACATGGTGATAGGTTGAGGGCTCACGCTGGCACTGGGTGATACCTGTGGACATCTTGAAGTTCCTGTGATACCTATGAGTTGTTGATTCCTTTGGTAAACCAAGACGATGTTGGTATACGTGGTATGAAACGAAAGAGAAGACTTACGGGTGGAGACCTGCTTTTATAGACATCTTGAGGGAATTTATGGAGCGGTTTAAGTGACTACATGAATAGCAATGCCTTGGGTGAAACTCTTCTAAAGCAAATGTATTGGACAAATGCAATGGTATTCACCGTTCTTGAGACAATTGGCGTTGCAGTATATGGTACGCTAAGCTTAGACTGTCATAGCTGTTCAGAAACAAAGGGAACGCAGCAGTATAGAGCCTGGTCATTGAATTCACAGACATACAATAAGGATAGATTCCCTTCTCATAGGACCAAAGAGTTCAAGTTAACCAGGAAGTCATGATTGTCAGTGACTCCATCTCTTTGAACTTCATCTGCAGATACTCCACTCCTCGGAAGCCCGTCGTGAAAGTAAGCAATATACCCCACGATTACTTCTACGCAAATAACTAACTAGTATTGGCTAGTGCTTGGGATCGAAGAAACAGAGGAGAACAAAAGACATAGAAAATAAAAGGAAACAGCACAGTTGATTCAGATAAAGCAATTCTTGCATACGACCATTCGCCACCATCTCTGAGAGTATCAAACACTGCCTGGCGATTCCTGTATAGCCCTCATACTGGAATTGTATCATTCCACACTTTACTCGCTATTGGGTTCTAGGCCAGTCCATTGCCTGTCAAACTTCTAAATATAAGATGGCTATGGTGGTGTACACAGATAAACCCTACCACCTTAGTCCCAACACTCTCTTGTCATTGAAATTTCTTGCTTGAAATCCCGAAGTTATTTACCAGAGTAAACAGAAGCAATACCCTTTCAACAGTTATTTTGCTCTGTTGTTTACATACAGAGAACGCTATCGACGGAATGCATCTTGGCATGCAACCTTAAATCGACAACAACTCCAACTCCTTCCAACGCCTATTGCAGTACGTACAAAAGCGACAAAGGGAACAAAGATAATGGGGTTCAATAAATAATGCATATAGAAGGGGGAATCAAATCCTGGCATTCAATGTCAGACATCATTAGAAGGCTGAATATCGGGGACAGACGAACAAGTCACGCGATAGGAAAAGCAAAACGACGAAACGAGAAAACAATAAGAAGGAGCAGGGATGTATAGCGGTATAGTAACAGTATAAGAGTGCTAAGGCAAAATGCGAAGTGGGTGGGTGCACAGGTAGTATTGAAGGACGCGATGGAGAACCGGATGCCGTGCCGAGAGAGTCTATCTTAAAAGAAGTCGTCAATATTGATGTCATAAATGTTTCCGATATCCATCATTTCCAAGTCAAGTGTGGTCATAGCTGGGATATCGAAGAGGTATCTGTCCCCGGAGAGGCACTGTTCGAACAGACTGTCAAAAACTTGGTCGCGAACACCGAATGGAAGGTCGGCCTCGGAGTGCGGAGTCAGCACATCGGGATACAGTCCGTGGGAAGGGGGAAGCAATTCGAGTGAATCCTCCGCTTCACCAGACACACGTGTGAGGTTGGCCAAGATGGGGGTTGAAATCTTCCTCATCCGGCAGGCATTGCCGCAAAATCCACCTCGAGCAAGCTTCAGTGGAGAAGGGTGATTGTGCTGAATTCTCTTTGGCGCGATCGATTTCAAAGTCTTCGCTGTGTTGCGCCATGATGTAGGCTTCTCTGTGCCCATGTTAAAGTTGATATTTTCCATCTTAGTGGTCTCTTGCTGTTCGTTGTCCCGAATCAAGCCTGTGATGATTCGCTGAGGGTCATCTGGAAGATCATTGCTTTCCTCAAATGGAACAAATGTCGGCACAGAGTCATAAAGATCCGATACCGTTTCGATGGGGGAGAATTCCTCCAAAGCAAATTCCACTGGGGCGGGTTCCATTGCAGAAGGCTCCATGGTAGTAGACTTGGCTAGAGAGGAAGCCTCCCTAGCGGGTCCCTCCGGTGTGTCCACATCAGAGGCAGCATTGTAGTTAGTGATGGCTTCTTCCTGCATGAGCGTCTTTGATGGCTTTCTGTCTCGAGCCACCCGTTTTTCCTTGTTGTACTGTTTGGGAAGGGGGATCCTGCCACCAGCTTCCCCGAGACTAGGGTCGATCAACCCGGGAGTTATACCGCGAGTCGTGTTCAAAGTAGGATCAATTCCATTTCCCTCCATCTTTTGGAGAACATCTTGCTTGAGATGCTGGCTGCGCTTGTTGCCGGAGTCCCATGCAATCAGCGAGAACTGTTGGCGGAAGCGGACACTACGTTGCTGTAGCGCATTGTCTTGAATTCTGAAGTCCGGGTGCATTCGATCTGTGATATCCTTGAGACGAATACGTCTGTCCAGCCGCATCCAAGCCTCAACACGGAACTCCTCGACTGTCGAAGCGATGTTGTCTGGGAGGATAGGAAGTTCGCGTAAGTGTTGGCCATGAATGAGATAACTCATCCGAGGAGGGTCCGATTTCCGATCTTTTTTATCCTCGGGCTCGAACTGGTAAAGTATGTCGGGAAGATTGGTCCATGTCCAGTCCTCCTGACCCGGTCGGGAAGTAGTGAAGTTGCGAGGGTCCCTAGCCTGAGGGCTATCCTGTCGAGGCACTGACTTCCCTATGCCGGCGTTAATGCTGCATGTCTGTCCTCGGCTGAAAGAGGCATCGACCAACCTTTGTCCTTCTTCCTATTGCCTTTCTTCGCACTGGCCTTGGAGCCCTTGGAGGACTCAATGGCTTTGGAAGACTCGACAGTCATGGAGACACTCGGCTGCTGAGATAGCTCGAGACTTTGCTTTGGGTCAACCATCATGAAGACAGGCTATCGACGAGGTTAGTGGACTATACCAACTGGGCGCCGGACAGTATAAGGATATTAGCAACAGCATACCTGTGGCATATTGTCTTTCTCGTCCTTGAGGCGGACTTTGACAGAGCGGTCTTTCTGCACTTGATGCCGAGCAGTGTGCGAATAAAGCGAGAGTATGAAGCTTGAACAAACACGAATCGCTGATATTGAGGGGAACTTGGACTCTCAGGAGATCTAATGAGAACGAAGAGGTTTGAAGCGGTTGAAGCAAGCTAAGGGTGCTATCCAGAAGACTTGAGAGATAAAGTGGGCGAGCCATATTGTCTGGCAGCTACCTATTCTTCATACCTATTTTCCGAATAATAATGGGGTGGTTGGGAGCATAGATGTCCAAATCGGGATATCAAGAGGGTTTCGGATACTGTCGACAGTATTCACTATTCACTGTAGTTGTGTCTTTAGAGCCTGCTCCAAGCCCCCTCCCCGACAACTTCAACCCTTGCTTCCAGAGGAGCAATGCATTGCTTTTTCGCACGATTGTAATAGTAGAATCTGGGGATTTTTCTGCTCTGAATGAATCCCATATCATTCTAGCGCCTTTTATGCCTGGGTGGTGCGGCTCTTAGTTCGATATAGTTCCGCTGTCAACATGTCGACAAGCCTTCAGTTCCCCAGACGTGTGGGCCCACCCGCTGTCAAGGGCCCATCCCCGGAAACCTGAATAAGAAGCTGAGCGATGATCATGAGTCAGCCTCAATGATGAACAATTGTTTGGTTCTTGGGGGGTGGGAACCGTTCCCTGATTGTAGAATAGCTTTGTTCTGCTTCTCGAGATGCCGGCCGGGAAACAGTGAATAGAAGTATGGATGGTTCTTCCATATTGTAATGGGCGCTCTTCCAATCACAGCCCCCAATCTTCTATTGTAGTCTGGATACAGAACCAGTTCTCAATGAAGCTGGACTATTTGTTTCCGAATAGAATAAAATGAGTACAGTAACTCGAAGTGATGAGCAATCAGTACTACCTTACCCATGTGGATTTCCTGATCATGTTCTGATAACTCTGTAGACACCAGCGCAGCAACGTTCCGGTAAAGCACGATGGAGATGGGTAAACATATGTTTCTTGTAACAAAGTCATACAGCGCATAGTTTTTGGAAGCGCCATAATCCTCACAAAAGCACTTGTCTCTGAAGATGTCTGCCAACATGCAATACAAGGAACAAATTAGAATAGCACCGTGAGAAGGTCCACGGGAGTATACACAATACATATTCCACCATTAAAAGACTAATCTTCACCTCTTATCCATCGGTTATCTTTAGTCCTGAGAGAAACAAAAAGTAACTTGGGTACTGATAGCTTTCAAAATGGTCAACACCAAGACCTCAGCGACCACCTCTTGATATCGCTCAAGCTGTTCTCGCACCGAACATCCAGATGTTCCCAAAATGTAAGCTGACTTCCACGTAGGTAATCGTCCAGGCTCATCGTTATTTCGGCTTCGGTTTCGGGGGGAAATACTTGAACGGGGGGCCCTTTATAAGAAGCCAATTCACGTAGAGTAGCGGGATAGGTGTTGAAATCGAAGACGTTCTGCTGAGTAGATATTTTGTTTCTTCTCTTGCGAGTAGCAGTATAATCGACACTGCATTGACATATCAATATATGGTAGTAATAATAGTGTATATGGAGCTTACTTCATAACATCATGAGAAAGCTGCCTTTTCAGAAGGGGATTTGCAATGTGGAAGTGATCGACATCTGGAGAGAGCTTTGTTGGTAAGTGCTTTGTATTCCAGAGCAGCTGGCGAACGGCACCTGGTGAATGGGTCTTGTGGCTCTTTGCGCATAGGCGACTCCGCGCCATGCTTCCGTCATCTTGAAGGCCAGGCACGATGCGAGTGGAGTCACAGGTTGTTCCTGGAGGCAGTGGAATGCGTCCACCAGCTTCTCCCTTGGAAGGGTCAATCAGACCCGGAGTTAAACCTCTTGTAGTGTTCAACGCTGGGTCTATTCCCTTTGATGCAGCCAGGCGATAAATCTCATTCACAGACTTCTGAGCGCCCCAGCATGCGACATGAAATTTCTCTCGAAAATCTTTCCGGCGCAGTTCGATGTCGAGTGGCGTCAATCTAGGCCTGTAGTTTGGATTCACCCGATCGATAATGTCTTGCACGGTTATCCGACGATCGAGACGCATCCAAGCTTCAAGCCTCCAACCTTCAACTTTGGAAGAGATCTGATCCGGCAGGACCGTGAAAACGTTGATATGCTTCCCGAAAACCTTGTGTGCTGTTGTACGAACAACGTGCCTAGATCTCGCATGCGCAGGTTTCAGGACATACAAGATATCTGGTAGGTTCTCTAGACTCCACTTATCCTGATCAAGATGAGAAGCTGTCATATCTTCTTCTTCAAGAACGCCCCTCAGTCCACCTGTCTGGCTTGCTGGCTTCGCGAAATGACCATTATCAGAGGCAATTTGGACGTGGGGGTTCAATAGAACAGCAGGTCGAGCGGGATGAGTTTGTTGTGCAGAGTACTGGAAAGTGTTCAGTCAGCGCTATCTTGGCCAGTCCTAATAGTGAAGGAAAGAAGTTAACATACAATGGTATTGGAGTTATCCCGGTCCTGATTCTCCATCTGGGGCATGTCAGTGGTGCTTGGGCTAGATTCACTCTCCTGATGAGCTCTCCTCACTCTCAGCCTTCCTAGTACCACTCCACAAGGCCCATAGTAAGCAGGTGTTCTGAGAGAGTCACTTTCACCTTGGACCTCTGACACCTGCATAGTGAATACAGGTTGACTTTTGTGGTGCATAATGGCTCACGGCTCGGGAAGAGATCTGAAACGTCCTGCTGAGAATGAGTGACCGGTTTCTGATAATGTTATTCGAACTAACTCACTCACCTTACTTATGTCAAGCTTACCAGTATTAGACTAAAGACATATAAATACAGGCAAACCTTGTCCAACAGCCCTTGGTAGTAAAACATCTAAGAGGGAATTGTTATTAATTCATATAACTGCAGAACGCTTGAGTCTAGAGTAAGAGACGTGATCCATAGCTGTGGCAAATGAGGAGAATGGTAATCTATGTTGCTGTTTAGTATTGTTTTGTCGACTTTGCACACAACAAACAAGTCTTTTCCTCTTGTTCCCCCCTTAACTTCTACTGTTTACACCTTAACATCCCCCCTCCCCTATACTTAATCGACTTTGTCAAAGTTATTTAAGTAGTATTAGCAGATAGCGAGTTTTTCTCATAGAGTTGAATTTCCAATGGGCTTCATTCATTGTCAATTTGAAAGAGTACCTAGGCTTCAAATAACAGTTCTTCTTTATTCCTAGAAATGGCTTTTCTTATGATGTCCCCTAAAAAGGACAAGGTCAAAGAAAAAAGAACGGGAGGGAAAGGCGAAAAGAGGAACAAAGGCGTGATAAATACTTGGTTCGCAGTTTGATCCACTATCGAACAAACTAAGTTCAACGAAACAAACCGTTGTTTCCCCACATCCAATCTTCTACAATCACTACATAGGGGTCATCAGTTATTAGCAAACAATTCCTGAATCTTGTATAATCGCTCTTTCAGTCCCACCACCAATCTCCTTTCAGTTTCAAACTATATTTTATATTACAATGTCAAATCCTCCTTCTCAACTCTTCCGCCTCATCCAACATACGGCTACGAAACCCCGCAATCCCAAGCAACTTTCCAACAATTATAATCTACAGATCTCCTGCAACGTCAAACCAAATTCCTCCGCAAATCACCAAGGCGTCATAGCTGTTGGTCCCGAAAAAGTGGACGTTTGCGTGGCTGCGGTCCCACGAGACGGTGAAGCCAACGCGGCCGTATCCCGTGTATTTGCTCAGGTACTGCTCTTTGCTACTCTTTGTTTTCCCTTCTAGATTCCTGATAGCATATAACTCAGCGAAGATCGATTTATCAATCTAATTACCAAGAGATAGATCCTGAAAGTCCCCAAATCTACAGTCGAAGTCATTCGAGGTCTAAAGTCGCGTGACAAGACGCTTTGTGTCTCTGATTTAGATATTGGAACGGAAGGTGAAGAAAACTTCATACAACAAGTGCGCCAGAAGCTGGAAGATGCGATAATTAAGAAATGAGAGTATTAACTGAGTCCTACCCCGACCCGACGAGAGGTTACGGCAAGGTAACTGTGCTGTGGGACACCAGCGTGACATCACGGGAATTCTCCACACTTTTTTTTTTTGTTAACGCCGATCTTTATTCGCTTTGATTACCATATATTCGCAATCGCAAAGATCTGTGCTCATGTAAGTCGCTAATTTTTTTTTTTTTTTTTTTCGAAAATGCCCGATAAACAACAAGAAATATAATCGCCACAATGTCTTCCACAAATACAGAAACTATGTCTTCCAAAAGAAAGGCTTTTGATGATCCCGCCGCGGTCAAAACACCGTCATCTCAAGCGATCAAATTCACTTCGCGCAATCCACCATGGACCTATCTTAAGCTTCAGCTGTATGACCCCTTGTGACTGTTCTCGGAAATTCTGCTAATACAGATGGCTTTGTGGTACAGAATCCACCAACCGGGCACATCGACCACCGTCCAATCTCAACCTCTTGACCCGCTCACAGCTCGAACGTACCTCAACTCTGCGCTCTCCCAATTTCTCGGCTTGTCAGGCACAACCATCTCAATTGATATCCTCAAAATATCTCCCGATTCTCCACAACAGAAGCCCGCAGATAAATTGGTCTGGGTGCGTGTCCCGCGCCAAGATGCCCCTGCTGTCGTTGCGGCGGTGAGCTCCTGGATCGGAGGAGGCATCGGCAGTGGCTCGGTGGGTAGTGTCGCATGGAGGGTCTGTGCTAAGGGCAATTACCTGGGAGCTTTGACTCAGGGGTCTGGAGAAGATTTGTTCGTTCCATGATCTGTGACGTTAGGGACCTGTGCGTCTTGTGGTATTTGGGTTATGTCAGAAAAACAAGAATGGTGTGAATTAGACTGGTATTTCAGGATCGGATATCCTCCGCGACGGGATTATACCATCCTTCACAGCAACTACGCGCTTGAGCACGACGATCGGGGCGATGTCTAGTCGATATATAGACTCGCCAGGCAATGCGACGATGTGGAGATTGACACCCCATTCGGGGGATGATTGAGACCCAGATGGCTCAAGGGATGGATGGCTGAGCGTGGAACAATGGTACCAAGCTACAAGAAAAGCGCGGCTTCCAATCGCGTCCTCGGGCGCACTTTGCAATTGATCATGCTGCAAGATCTATCATATGTCTACTACTGTAAAAGGGAAGTAACATTGCCCAAACCCAAATAACTCAAGCATTTCCAATGTAAAACAGTCTAACAAGCATATACCAATCATATACATCCACACACTAAGTAGTGATTTTCCAAGACCAACATATTCACAACGAATGACGTAGTAATATAACAGTAACGAGTGGAGTACACCCTGCCCTCAATCAACAGAAACACCGAAACGCGCATACTCGAAAGGAGACCCAATGCCCGAGCTGATAGTAGTGACTTTTCCGAAAACAGTTTTCTTTTTTTCAACCCTTTTATTTTAAGGGTTTCTCTCTCTCTTTTTTTTCCCGTCGCCTCGCTCCCCCTTTCATCTGTTTAAACGGATTGTTTACTACTCATGCTACCAATAACTGTCGATTCGTCGGACCCCAGCGCAGAAGGAGAGTTAGCAACCACCTTCGTCCTGAGGGCAGCCCTGATCTCCTCTACGCTCCGATCTTTCCACTCATTATAACCGTCCGTGCTCAACGGATACAGCACCATGTTTTCGTCACGGGTGGAGAATTCGTTGACATTGGGCGCCGGGGCCGCGGTAATGATATCCAACTCCAAGGCAATCTGTCGGCAGTACGTGTCGAGAGGGAGATCGTTGACATCTTGACCGAAAGGGTTTTCGATTTCGCTGCCGATAGTGGCGAGACCCAGGATGATGTATGCAGCCACTAGGTTAGTTTGTTAGATTACATACTCTTAAAGGGTCAGAGACAGGGTTCTTACCAATTGAGCCTGGAATTGTCACCCATGTGAGGCTATTGTAGAGTTGGAAGGGAAGAGACATGACATATATCCAGGCGATTTGAGCGATGGCAATGCTATATGCTGTTGGGAGAGGAGTATCGAGGACACGTTCGGTTCCCGTGACGACTTCGTTCAGGGCAGCCAATCCATTAACTAAGGTACAAGTCAGTATTTGTTGTTATTGTAATCTCTCCAATGTGGGTCATACGTACTGGCTTGTGCCTGGTGCAAGCTGACGGTGAGGGTCTCGTTAGCAATACATCTGTCAATATAAGCCGACAAGTGGTTGAGAATCTCAAGAGGGAGATGACCGAGAGGCTTCTTGGATCGCTTGACGAGCTTCCTAGGATTAGATTCAGCAAATGAGACACCCAAGTATTCACCCGTTGCCTTCCACAGAGACTTCCTCGGAGGCTGGAGACGTTGACGGTCATGCGCATCCTTGGCAAAAGTATCAAGGTAGCCGACCAAGCCCGCAAGATCTTCGTAGGCGACATCTGGCTCGAAACGGAGTTTGTGTTTGAGAGCGACAGCGAATGCCAGGATGAGGTTCATCGCAGTTCTGGCATTGTCAGAAGACATGGAATACCTAATAGGTCGTTTGCAAGTGGCGGCCAACATACAGTTTTCCCAGAAGGTCCTCCTTCCCCAGCTCTCCTTCACGTTCACCAGTGTTAACCCAGATTGTGCGGGCAAGGTTTCGAGAGGTCTGAATCAATAGAGACCAGTACTTGCGTCCGTCGGCCCATCTATATAGTTTAGTCAAACCTCCTCCACAGACAGGACGCGGGAGCAACTTGCTTACCTCTCGTAAGCCGTTGAACTACGAAAAGACAGTGCCAAACCGACGACGAAACCCGTGACTGTGAGCAGAATGTTGTTGATTCCCACTTATCAGCCAGTCAGCCGAATGCGTTTCCTCATAACTTCCATATGTATACTCACGATTATGAACGAACTTGGAGATCAACGTAATCAAAGTAGCCCATACTGCTACAAAGCATAGCGGAAGGATCATTTTGGGTAGCACACTACCGTGCATTCGAAGGAAGGTGGGCCATTTCGAATGCTTGTCCAAGTCACGAGGGCCATGCTAGAAATGGCATTTGGTTAGGTCACTGTGGATCGTTCGTGAAGGAAGTCATCAACATACGAAATACCGGTCCAGTTCGCTGGAATTCCGTCGGTCTAGCATAAATTGGGAATCTCGAGTGTTGGCGAGGTTTTCTAGAAAAGTCGGACGTGGTGTTATACGACGATTTGGTGACGGCTCCCGTTCTGGAACAGCTGCTTGGTCATGATGGATCGCATGAGTGCGGGTATCGGCTTGAACTGGAGCAGGGCCCTCTCCAGCTTGTGCTGGCACGTCAGCGGCAGCAGTTGGTGAACTGTGTCCTTCCATCGAGATAATTAATGGAAATGGTGGATTCAAGAGTCGATGCCCAACGACGATATGTAAGCGCTACGCCGACACTGGCAAGCAGGAGAAAGAAACGAATGTATAGGACAATATAAGAGGAATGATCAAACTCTTTTTCAAAGGACAATTAATGAAAGTACAAAACCGAAAGGGGAAAAAAGGAGAAAAACCAAAGAATTAGCGATAGACGAAAAGATGGGGAAGAAACAAGGTCCAACTACTAGTACAGAAGAAATGGGTCCGCCGGGGTTATATCATCTATCTAGTACTGAGGGCTAGTAGGTATTACTCTCATAGTCATTAACCTTAAGAGGGCCAGAATACGGCGGTCCCGATTTTCTAGACCGTGGGAGACAAAGCGAACATTTCTTTTCGATTTGCCTGGCTAAGAATAAAGAAATATGGTAAAATAGGATGAGGGCTAGTCCCAATGTCCGATAGTGTGAGTCTTTGATGGAGAGACGTGTAAGGGTGGATCTTTGACTTGCAGAACTGGGAGATAAAAGACAGGCCTTCCGACCAATGGATGGGAGGGCATTGTTGGGTCCAGGCCTCCTGTTTCACTATGTCTGCAACGGCGAGAACTGCGCCACCCTCCCAAACGTCACACGGGAGTATCCGCTCTCGTCAGGACCGTTCATTCATTCGCTGCGTCCCTTTTCCCTTGGAGTCTTCTGGACCGTCGGAGGCGGCAAGTCAAATTTAAAATCTCCCTCCATTTGGCCTTGACTTGAAACACGGCTCAGCGTCTCAATTCTAGTTTCTTCCCTTCTGCGTAGGATTGTGAACTGCGCATCCTCTCTCTCTTCCCCCCAAAAAAGGATATCCGGAGGAGTAGGTCATACAAACTTCTACTCGGTTATTGTAGTCCGAATCTTTCCTCAAGGGAAAACAAGAGGCACGGCGATGCTCACACACAGTCCATTTTATTGGCATGTCCTAGTCATCCATGTCAGCGGCACTCGATTTCGCATGACATCGGTCGATTGAAGAATCGGATATTGTGTTATATCTCAGGTTGACATATCTCCTCATAATTTCAAATCCCCGTACCCTCTATGCGTTCGCACGGAATATGAATCAGTGTGGGATCTGTGTAATTTCTCCGACCTCCAGGTGGCTCCAGTAGCGTAGCTTGCCGGGTGCGTCGCTCAAAATAGTATACTCTCATTTCAGACTAGTCAGCACTCGGTTCGTCTGAGCCGATCTGAACGTTTCCCTTCTTGGTCGGTCAAAGCATCTCGCAATGAACAAAGATTATTGTATTTGTTAGCTTGGGAACTCATATTTCCAACATTAGACAGATCTCGGATAGAAGTTAAGAAGTCCCCATGGAATTGCATATCTCATCTCTTTGTCAGCAATTCCATATTGGTCTTGCCGCGGCTTACGACAAGCAAAAGGCTATAACGAGGATGCCTGGGAATAGGGGTTATAAACTTCAAAGTCTGGATTTTTCTCAGAGAATTACTTACCATGTTCTGTAAGTTGCTACTATTGTCAATTATACGAAATAAGAAAATTACACTATCTTGTACGTATATATTACATCCAATCGTGACGTTGCTGCTGTAGCCTGCAGTGTACATTCATGAACGTAAGGGAAGAAGTTGATATCCAGCTACTGTGGACCTCAGAAGTGTCAATACCGACTGTGTGGTAGACAATAGTCGCGGTTTAACATCACCGAACACCCACTCAGTTATGGCCCTCCAGCCATGTATAATTGCACCCTTTAAATTTCTCTGTCAGATTTCGAAGGACACTTAGCCTGTGTCGGCAATACCGGACATGATCAAGGATACTCCTTGACATCATTGAACACCCACCTCTGCTACCCTTGCACCTGTGACCCTAGCATTAACTTGTTAAGCTTACTGTCCTGCGGGTTATCATATCTGTTGATAGATACCCATGAAAGCATATACTACAATGTGAAAAGCTATGTAAGTTTATATAAAATAGTTATTGGCCGGTGTCAGGGCCTAGGCCGAACCCTGCCTGAGGCACCAAGTCCGCTCTATTCACCGTCGATCTGATCCCACAACACGAGATCCCACAGTTCTTGTATGATGGAATTCTTTCTTTCTTTTTCCCTTCCTTCTCTATGTTTGCTGTTTCGTTAGATCGCCACGTTAGATATAAATGATATTATTTCCAATGTGTATAGGATCATCACAGCTGGGATCTACGCCCTATAATTAGCGTAGCATAGATATAATGTTAGACATTAATACATTATACTACTACCACTACTATACAAGTACTAATCAATATTTTGTCATCGAATAGATCAGTGAACGTATTTCGAGGAGTCAAAGTACGCACAAGCCCCGCTGATTTGAGCTGTCCCAATATCTACCACTAGAGCAGACGATAAGCAGAAGTGTGCCCTTTGTCTACAACGTACTTTTTCGAAGTATTCTTAAGTATCTAGCAGAAATGTTATTCCATTTATGAATTAGTTTTTGGTTTCGTTTCTGTGTAGATGGATCAGTGTCTCGCGCTGGTAACGGTATGAACCACCTACTACCCGGTACAAGTAGCCATAATAGTTACCTTATACAGCAACGCTTCGTTGTCCCAATATCGGGTATCCCTAAAATGTCTAGAAGAGGGGCGCTGTTAGCACTTATCAGCCGTCAACTTTTTTTTTAAAAAAAAAAATAATAATTTGCACCTTTTGGACTGCTGTTTCTTCCCTATTTTTGACCTGATACCGATACCATTGTTCACTAAAACACCATGGCCGAGGAATTCCAGGTGACTACGGACCCGGAGATAACCAGACATAAGTTAGTTTTTGTCTGCTCTCCCATTATGTTCCTGAAGTTCGATATGCAAGGCTTATTGGGACTAGGATACATATTACCTTGACGGCGATTCTGATTATAATGACCCGTAATACGGATCTACTACAACTTCTAATCCATGTGGGGGTCCATAGACCTCTTCATCTAGGTTTCATCTGATAGCTACCAGACATCGATTGTTTCAAGCGTCTTTAATTACAAGTAGGGTCCCCCATAAACGTGGCTTTATTCATTTATGTATCACTGTCATTCTATCTTTCAATCGAGGCTATATGTTAACATTCTAGATAAACCAGGTACGAGGTAGGCGCTGCCTGAAATGCTTATTCAAATGGCCACAGCATATAATATAAAATCTCGTAGAACGGCCGAAGATATCACGCGTTCCGCGAAGACGAATATACCCTGGTGTGCTCTACTCCCCTACCCTGTTATCTACAATTTCTAGAAGGTCTGATAGACATCAATAGTTAGCCTAATGATGAGGAAAAGTAGGACCTTATGGACTTACCCCACCCTATCTATACACTGGTCCTCGATGGCGAAATCCACATTGCACACATAAACAACCCACAAAGCTTCCTAGTCGACGGGCTCGGAATCGGAGCTGTTGATTTTGCAGGGTATGGCAATGATCGTTTTCTTTTTCTCTCTCTTTTATGCCTCTTCTACCCTGCCAAACGCTAACGGATTTTATCCTAGTTAATACCCATCCTCAGAAGTAATAGGTATGGGATACGAGGTGCAGCGTCTATAGTTTTGTGAGCTTTAGGCTGACAATTCGTGTTCCAGGGAATAATCTCAGTCCTATACAACCAAAGTGGTGGGTCACATCGGTCTCTTTGGATGAAGTATTATCGCTCACTTTCTTGCACGGTTCGAAGGGTCCCGCTAAACTGTCAATTTGAGATTGATGACTTTGAATCGGAAAAGCCTTACACCCACCCGTTTGATTACATCCACGGTCGAGAGCTTTCTGGGTCTATATGCAACCTCTCTCATCTATATAAACAAGCCTTCACCCATTTGCGGCTTAGTGGATTCTTTGAAGTTCAGAGCTTTACTATTGATATCGTTTCCGACGACGGTTCGATCGAAAAGGCACCCTATACAAAACAAGCCCTTACGCTTCTCCAAGAAGCGAGTGCCAAATTTGGCAAACCTATGTACGATTTTTGGGTTCGGTGGGGGTGGGATTGGCCCTTAGCATGAAAGACGCCGGCTTCACGAACGTAGTTTGCAAGATTGTGAAAGCGCCTTCAACTTCATGGGTTAAGGATCCAAAGCAAAAGGAGATCCGGAAGTTTCTTCAGGCTCACCAAATACATAGTGTTCCTGCGTATACCAATGCTTTACTATCCAGGGTTCTAGGATGGGACAAAACAGAGATTGATGTCTTGAATAAGCATGTGCTGAAGGAATTGAAAAACCTAGAAACCTAGAAGTGCATCAGCATGGGAAACCTTGTCTCATATATGGACGGAAACTGTAGTAGTGGTTGTCTGTCTCTCTCTCTGGATTCGTTTGTTTGTTACCTGCCTATGCTTTTTGCCACATTATTGTGTGTTCAGCATCCTGGAAAACTCCCTACACACTCTGCGATGCAAGTGTTAGATATCATACCAAACTTCATTTCGCAACCTGAACCTGCCACGGAGTCAAGGGCAGCTGCTTTCCTTTGCATGCGCGAAATATTCATCAACAAGAAACTTACTACTAATTCTCTCAAGCTAAGACTGAAGAGCCATTAATGTTTTGCCTTGTAGAGCGCTAGCTTTAGAATCATCTCAAAAGCCACATGGGCTCGTCTTCATCAGTAACACCACTGTGTAGCATAAGCCAGCTTGGCTTTTAGAGATTCTAAATAGGCTTTTATTTTTATTGAGATTTGACACCATGACCTGCTTTTATACTACGGTGTATAGACCATTAAGTTCTCTGGTACTCCTACTGAAATCCAATGCTTCAACGGAAATCTCAGTAAAAGCCTGCCAGGACGGATCAACGGAGGCATGCAATTCAGCGGTAACCCAACCCTTTACAATATCACATTTGTATCCGACCCAGTATCCCGTCAAAACCCTTGTCTATTACATATGGCATGGTAATGTAAGGTGATTGGTTAGCAGACTACATTCAGGAATTGTATCCGTTGGAACAAAGCTTGTCTGTAAACCTTAGTGGAGTTAATAGATTCGGCAGTTAACTTCGGAATTTGCAGAATATCTAAACTACAGTCCGTAACTAGACCTTGCATAAAGAGAATCCCATTATTCGGAATATTTAGGCGAGTGGGCGTTTTACCTATAGTACTGTGCTATTTTCATCGGATACCAGATACCAGATCCAAGGAGGAAAAGAGCTGGTCTGCCAGGGATTAGATAGTGCTCTTGTCATCTGTCTTTCTATATAGAGAAGGCTTTCTGATACTTATGAGAGCTGACTTGATACCATTAACACATAAACTCAAGTAGGTCATAATCACAAAGCAGACCAAAAGCACGCTGGTTTCAAAGAAACATGATTGGAAGAATAAGGCCTGCGAAAGCTCGACTGATATTAATATAATAGATCGGGATTTACCCTAATTCAAGTGACATATGATACGTATGGACTACATACGTTTTAAACATAGTCGGCTCTTGCAGCTCTTAAGAACTTATTGTTCAGTTCAGATACCACCTCACATCTAAAAGCCCGAGATAGCTGACCCCAATATAGGAAAATCGGCTTAAATAATTATTTGTAGGGACAAGAAGCAATCCCTAGCTAATTGACTCAGGATGATTGTCGGCAGCGATGAGGGACGTTGTTAGGTCCACTTTGATCTCCCGGCACGTTCCCAGGGCTTTTTGAGGTATGCTATACCCAATTTTGATCCGAACCATGAAAGGCTTCAACCTGACAGGATCTGCATTAGATCGTCTTCCTAAAAAGAAGATGTCGTGATCTTCGGATTAACCCCTCTTCGTGGGCGGCAATGATAATGATGTCACCATAGGCAAGCTCTCCACCATTCAGCAGTCCGACCTTAGCCCAGAGTTTCGGGATCTGAAATATGAGACTTTTCAGACAACTGGTTATCTACCTAAGCTCTAATCCTCGGCTGAACGGAGAGAACTAAAGCTTGTAACCTTAACCTTATCATCTTTGACGATTTGATAGTTGATCGGTGGACCATCAAGTTCAAAGGTATGTGGGTTGGAATAATTAGATTGACAGGTAGGATCAACATCGGTCTCTGACTCTTTTCTTTAAAAAAGAAATAATAACAGAATAAGAAAGAATCCCAGAATTGCGACTGCGCAGGATCTCACGGGCAGATGTTTGCTGCGGATGCTACTAGTACCGCATAGTTATGGTACGCCTCGACTACCCAAGGACAGGGCGATGGGGTCTGTGTATTTATCTAGAACACGGGATATCGATGTACTTTTTCTTAGGCTGGTAGTATTGAACAAAAGCATATAAGGTTGGGTGAGTCATGAATTAAAAGAATACCCGTGGCGAATGGCTAAGGGGCTCCTAGCCAGCCTCGGAAACACATGCAAAACACCTAAAGGTCTGGCAAAAATTCATTTGTTTGCCATGGAGACTTGAGTTCGTGAAACGCTCAAAGTTCTCCGGTGGGGTCAACTGGGTTTCCGACGTTACCGTCGTAAAACCAGCCAAGGCATCAATCACATCGCTAGAGAAAATGAATGGTTTTAGCCTCTTGTCTTGGTTTGTTCCCATTCCTTATATATTGTAGGTTATTTAGCAAGAAAAAGAAAAGAAAAGCTGGAAACTTAAGGCTTGGCCGAGACCATTATCGGGATCAGGTGGTCTGCTACCTAATAGAGGGTTAGGTTAGTAGAGTAGTAGGAGTAGTAGGTGGAGGCAACGTTTTCCACACGGCGTTGAGACCTAGCCTGAAGATACTGAGATGAAAGATGCGCGGGGGTTGGTCCGTCGATAGTACGTAAGGTAAACGAGAAATAATGCCGACTTCGCTACCAAGATCTAACAAGGGCTGTCCAGTGGCTCCACCGTAGGGGAGACGGACTGAAACTATTAGTGGACTAGCTTCTTGATAGAGCAAATGATATTAACAATTGATTATTGAGTAACCGTACTACTATAACAAATATATTATTTATGCATGACAATGGAAATGGCAATGTAACGCGATTGGTAGGCAAAGCAATAAACCACCTCGTGTTTGGAAACCCCCTGCCCTCGGGGCTTGGCAATTTCTTAAGTTAAACTTGCGTCTGCTATGGCCACTAATTGGTTCCTACAGACTTTGTCTTCCGAGGGACGCGTCTGTCGGTTCAATATCCTCGAATCAGCGATGGATCACGGGGAAACCGTCACATATCTCAGGCACTTGAATGATTGAAACTCTTTTTTAACTTTTTGGCCTTCCTGGCCACTCCCAGGGGACCAGACGGACCTGCGACCATTAGTGGTCGACGATCAGATCGTCCACTGACCACAGTGGAGCACAACGTGAACGATGGGTCGCTGATCTGCCTATCATCACCCTTTGTTGAACATGAAACCCCGGTAGTCTTCGGATTTGCTACTGTTTTTGCGATCGCGTAGCGGCGCACTGCGTAGTGGAGGGGAAAGTCGGCATTTGTCAGAATCCCAACTGCGTTCCTGCTTTTGACCCTTGTCATGGCACAATGGCTGCGGTGGCCCGGGGCCTGGTCCGGCCATGGGGAGACAGTATAAAAGGCCCAATTTACTAGTCCACAAATACCACGCACGGTGTCCCCTGGTTCCAAAAGGGACTTTATTGATCTGCAACCCTGGTTGCAAAAAGACCAATGTTGGTCCCCTCACAAATTAGCCTGTCAAGCTCCTAGCCTGAATCTAAGGTGGTTGCCCATCGCCGTAGTTGTGGAAAACTGACCGTGGAGTATATCATCTCGCCAGCCTCTCTCTCCATGTCGACTTTCATTCCGAACTACTCCCACGCTCCTTTGCCACGACGCTAGCACCTGGATGATGGCTTACGTGACTTTTACCACTCGACCGGGGTGCTAATGATTATGATTAGTTTTCAATTGAATTACCAAAAACAAAACCGAATTACTGTACGACAGCAAGGCAGCCAGCCAGCCACCCTCCGCACTCTTACGGCTCCTCCAACTAAACAAGAAACATGAAGCTTCCCCCGGCCAGTGTTGTGGCGACATGGCCAGAGCACAATTATATTGACCCTGTCACTCGCGGGAATTCTGTCCTTATCGTGACCATTGTCTTTTCAACCCTCGCTTTCATTGTGACTTGTCTTCGGCTCTATACCCGCTTCAAGATAACATGCAGCCCCGGTATCGACGATTTTCTTATCGTAGTTGCGCTAGTATGTTATCAAGAAGAGAATTACTCCACTGGCTGGCTCTAACCTGTCTTTAGGCTTTCACGATTGCTATGTGCACTATTATCTGCATAGCCACTGAGAAATATGGATGCAACAGGCATTTATGGGACGTTCCGTTGGAGTGGATCCCAGCTGCCTCCAAATTCAATCTCCTCTTCCAAATCCTCTTTTCCTTGTCTTCTAGCATAACGAAACTCGCTCTCTTATGGTTCTGCAAACGCCTGCTCGGGGCCGGTAGCAAAGGCCTCTATACCAAATATAACATTGTTTTGATCGGGGGCATGGTCTTGGTGGCTCTGCTGTGCATTATTTTCTTGTTTGTTTGCATCTTTCAATGCAGGTATGTTGAGCTTTCCCCGCTGCCCGCATCCTGATTCTTACATAGTGCCAATTTGCTAGCCCGATTCATGCCTACTGGGACTTCCAACCAACATACCCTCATCGCTGCTTGAATGACGGGGCAGTTGTATTCGCCGCTAGCGTCGTCAATATCTTTACTGACTTCTTGTCCACTGTGCTCCCGATGCCATTGATCTGGAACCTTAACCTCCCGGCCCGGCAACGGGTTGCCGTGATATCAATTTTTGGACTAGGGATTGTGGTCAACGTCGCTGGGACCGTCCGAACTGTCTATGTGTATAAGAGTATGATCGGTTCGTACGACATGACATGGTATGGCTGGACCGTCTTCCTCGCCGCATCACTGGAGATTAATCTAGGATTGGTATGTCAAAATCCTGCAAATCTTTTCTAGCAAAATTGTCTAACGCTTATTAGATCTGTGCTTCCGCACCCGCGTTGAGGCCTCTTATTGCATTTTTCCTACCCCGGCTACTCCAGTCCACCCGCCAGTATGCCTCCGGGTATGGCCAAAGTCGTCCCCAGAAACTATGGTCGTCAGCCACTCCATCCCGGCACTCTACCAAGCCCTCTAGGGGGCGATCACAACATTTTACCGACAGCCAGCTGGAACGGTTGGAGGTCTATCGGACAGTTGAAATGGAAAGCTGGACCGAATCAAGGAATCCAAACGATACGATTGACAATGATGTTAACATGCCATCGAATCATGCCCGTGTCACGACGCCGAACCATGACTTTGATCTTAAGTACAACGGTGCGGTCTACACGTCGCCTGGCAGCGAAAAATCTTCCGCATCCCTTAACCGGGTGACTAGTTCACCGTTCAAAGACAAACATTCTATCTAACATTCTTTCAGCCTCTCCTTCCATGAGGTGACTTCTGAGAAGCATTGACTGCTGACTCACGATTCTTCAACCCAAAACAAATGTTCTTTGGGAAACTACACCTTGCATTGACTTCTCTTGTACATTTCAAAATATGTATAGTACATACGATATACTACATTAGTCCCCCTAGACAACTCAAGCCAAAGAAAAAGATAGCACTGAAAATTGTACACTTCAATCAACCATTTCTACGCAGGGGCACCTAATGGAGGAAGACTCCACAAGAAAGCCCTTCAAAATCAATCCCGCCATCCCCACCATCCATCCCCACACGTCCGAAATAAATCCGTCAATGTCAACGCCAATATGGCATGATACCTACTTACCACGTCAGGGTTATTTTAACAGATTAAGGATGAATGCAGGTCCATCCACTAAAGTGTCTAGTACTTTAGTACGTGCATACCTAGTCGTACACATCCTTGTCAGCCCAGAGTCCAGAGTACGGTTTCGGCCGCTCTAAGCAATCATCGTCGGCTAGTCTTTTCGGCCTCCGGCCGGTGATCTCCGGACGTGCGTAGAAGCGGTAGAATACTCTTCGTAGGTTATAATGCTACGTAGGGGTGTATCAGGCTTGCAGGGGTTTTGCGCAGTCCCAATGCCAAGAGGATCCTTAGCCTAGGCAGTATGACAGAAGTAGTCATTGTTAACTAATGGTAATTACGGCGTACCTGCAGTGTTGGCTGATCTTTTCTTCACCTTGGCTATTAAAGGTTAGCTAGTTACTAATTCGCTGTATATGACTGTGGGGACTGTTAACCCTACTAGTACTCCTACCTTACCTGTAGTACTTGAACCCGTCTTGTTGCCTTCGTACTTTTTTTCTCAGTATATCTTGGAGGGAACCTTCTAGAAATGTTTTGGACTTATTCCAACACGCTAATAGACAAGAAGACTGCTGGGTTCACAAAATATCAAAGAATATGACCTGCCTGGAAATAACACACACGACCTCAGCGGGTAATATGCAACGACTATCACTGTGTCTGGTCTAGAATAATTAAAAATGCGTAAGATTAATATTCATTTGCTTGCTCTGCAGCACCGTTCTCTATTAACCATTATCCTAAGCCCCTGTGCCTAAAATACTTGATTCGAACATAGATTATCTCAATTACTGCCACTAACTATCGTCCAGGGCAAACACGCCGGATTTTAGATTGTCTTCCTAAACATAGTAAATAAATCACCATTGAGCATTTGATTTGAACTTTGCTTAAAGGCAAAAGCAGATTTCTGGTTGCCACGATTCAAGCCTTCCCATGATACGACAGGAATCTCACTCTAGTCTTGCAGAGGGGCATCCATAACTTCTTTTGTAACTACTGGGCAACACTTTGCTTGCGTTTGAGAACCCTAGCCTAGCCCAGGCTAATTGATTAGGTCTCATATCTTACCATTAGCTTGTATATCAAATGCTCGTACCCATCAACGTGGTCTCGACCATCACCTGATACGAGCTCGCTATCATGATGGTAGTTGTTTGGCACATATTCTCCCGCCGACCTGATTAGGGATGCCCTGATTGTCCAAAAGTCAGCGGTTGACCAAATCCCTCTCACCCTATAACACCAGGTTAAAGCAGGACTAAACACTATCGTGAGAGTAGGAGCCTGAAATACCTGGTTGATATGAACTGTGCTTCTATAACATCTCATTTTGAGCCATGCCGTGGAGCTCAAGTCACATTAGGAGACGTTACAGGCATCAGGATTGTGAGTTCTCATCACGCTAGAAAGATATGTCATTGTCGCTCATTCTATATGTTATAATGGTAACCTTATCGTCAGCAGTCATCGTTATTACGCTTACCCTTGAGAATATCTTATTGAAGACAAAGCAAGCTATTCTCTTGATATATATAAAGTGTCCTACAACTCCTTGTCCCAACGTGGTACCGACACATCCTAGGCGCTACCATCAAAAGTCCGGTCTAAGAACCAGCCATCAAGGTCACTTGATAATACCCGATACTTACACAGAAGAAGGCATACGCCCCTGGTATCAAAAACTTCCTCCGAACCTAGACCAGCCACAGCTTAGAATCTAGGATTCTTGCTCAGCAGTCCAGCCAAACACCAGCGAACCACATGTATTCAAGCTCGCCATGTCGACCACTAGATACTTTCGATGATCTGTCATTATCTTTATCTCTACATGCCAAACCCAGAAACTTAAAGCCATCACCATACATCCCATCCACAACATCCGTAACAGCTGCACACGGTTATGCAACTCTAACAGCGGGAAGCAGAAGGCCCAAGAACCCTACAGGGATCAATCCAAGGGCCCGAGCAGCGAGCGGCAGACATATCCTTGATTTGTTCAGTGAAATGCACTACGACCAAATATCATACCCTGGCCTCAAACCCATTGAGGACCACAGACACGAATATTTCTGTCTTTAGGAGGTTACACCCGTCGAGATCGTTGGACATTGTAAATGGGAGGATCTCGTTGAGATGGACGATTGGTACGAGGAATCACCCTTCCGGCGTTTCACAGACGTAACCAAAGATTCGTTGTTGGTTCTTTAAATGGAGCATCGGTTGATCGATACGCTTCACGTGGTCCCTTGTCCAGTGCGCCTGAACTGAAGATGCTGAAGATATCATATGACCTCCGGTCATCGGATCAGAAGATAATAGACGTCTTGATCCAGAGATAGTATTTGATAAGTGCTGGGACTCGTCCAGTGAGGAGTATAGAGAATGCTCTGAACATGATGGTCATCAGATTGTTGCTGAGGATGAAGCTTAACGCAATAGCGATACAAGACATGTTGAAGATATATGAGGGGGATTGGTCATAGTTGATGAAGCTGTGGGCAAACGTCTTTCTTTTTGTTACTTTCTTTCTTTCTTTCTTTTTTTTGGTGGTCATCTTCTGATTGTTTGGGGCTCTATTTGAGAAATGATATTATATAAAGTGACTCTTGATGCCTTTGCAATGTGTGAATCTTGCTTCTATGTGCAAAAGGGCCATCTTTTGAGGACAGCTACACAACGCGTGTGTTTATTTCATGACAATTTTCCTGACTGACGACTTGTAATAGGAAAAAAGGTAGATACCGACTCGAGGCAAGCAAAGTACGCTACGGAGGACAAACCATGCCAAGAGATCATCTAAATTAGTGACCATGAGCTTATGATAAAATCTAGATCAGATGATGAATTAGACTTATAGATCGTGAATTAGGTATAGAGTAAGTTATGCACCGGTGCAATCCAATGTCTGATGGATCTTGTTGAACTCTTATCGAATGCCAAGCCTACTGATAACATCTTATCTTATTGGGGATATCACACACTCCAGCATATACATGACAGACTGGTTTCTTGATGACAAAGGAATATATGTTGAGATTCCTTGACTAACATCATTTGCAATATGTTCCGGCGAAGACCTTCTCCATTGGGAGGAAGAATATTAGTAGAGATGATTAGCCAAAGCAATTCCTCACCTCGACTTTTATCGCCGACAGAAGCACCGGGGGCGGGGGCATTACGCGCCATGATTGGTCCAAAACGCCGACGATAGCTCCCTCGCGGAGCAGCTCAATCCAGAGCTCCAAATTGGCCGGCATTCCGGCCAGAAGCTGGTATAATAAGAGAGACAGCGCGCCGCAATTTCCTTGGTTCGTTTGTCTTCTACTCAATTTCCATTCTGTATACCTGGCGGACCCATTAGCCTTCTTCCCCGACCTTGACTGAGCTGCGATTAGAGCAATCGAGCTCTTATCTGCCTTATCACCGCCTCCCCACATCTGCTGCCAGAAGTACATCACTTCTCTCCAATTCACGCAGCGGAAGAATCACCACTCTTGTATATACCCTCATTTCTCATCATATCTCGATCATAATGACTTCCCTTTCTCGCTCCAGCCTCAGATTGCGCTCGGTGATGCGCGTACCGGTTGCCCGCACCATCACCACCACCCCGCACCTTCGCGCGGCGGCGAAGCCCTTCTTTACCGAGGAGCCCGCCGCCCCCAAGCTGGCCACTGCTATCCCTGGTCCCAAGAACAAGGCTGCGACAGCTGAGCTGGACAAGGTTTTTGATGTTCGGAGCATCAACATGCTTACCGATTATTCCAAGTCTATCGGTAACTAGTATGTTACTTGCCTTACGCAGAGCTATTCTTGGCATGACGATGGTTAACAAGGTGCCAGCATTGCTGATTTGGATGGAAATGTCCTGCTGGACGTGTAAGTGCCACTGAAATGGTTTCCTCTGTCTCCTTAACCTTATCACTGATGTCCGTCATCAGCTACGCCCAGATTGCCTCCATCCCTGTTGGCTACAATAACCCCCATCTTACCAACGTTGCCAAATCGCCCGAAATGGTTACCTCTCTGATCAACCGACCAGCCCTCGGTAACTTCCCTTCTGCTGACTGGGCTCAAATCCTGAAGACTGGTATCCTCAAGGTCGCCCCCAAGGGCCTAGACCAAGTGTTCACGGCCATGGCGGGATCTGATGCCAACGAGACTGCCTACAAGGCTGCTTTTATGTACTACCGTCAGCGCCAGCGTGGAGGTCCGGAGAAGGAGTTCACCGAGGAAGAGCTACAGTCTACCATGACCAACCAGTCACCTGGCTCTCCCCAATTGTCCATCATGTCCTTCAAGTCTGCTTTCCACGGCCGTCTCTTTGGCAGTCTGTCCACCACCCGCAGTAAGCCCATTCACAAGCTCGATATCCCAGCCTTCGACTGGCCCCAGGCCCCCTTCCCGTCCCTGAAGTACCCGCTTGAGGAGCATGCCCAGGAGAACGCCCAGGAGGAACAGCGTTGCCTCCAGGAGACGGAGCGGCTGATCAAGGAATGGCACAACCCGGTCGCCGCCGTCGTTGTCGAGCCTATTCAGTCCGAAGGTGGAGACAACCATGCTTCTCCCGCCTTCTTCCGCGGCCTCCGTGAGATCACCAAGCGCCACAACGTTCTCTTTATCGTCGATGAGGTGCAGACCGGTGTTGGCGCCACCGGCAAGTTCTGGGCCCATGACCACTGGAACCTCGAGACCCCTCCTGACATGGTGACTTTCTCGAAGAAGGCCCAGACTGCTGGCTACTACTATGGTAACCCAGCTCTACGCCCCAACAAACCTTACCGTCAATTCAACACCTGGATGGGCGACCCCGCCCGTGCCCTCATCTTCCGTGGTATCATCGAGGAGATCGAGCGCCTGAATCTGGTCGAGCACACCGCGAAGACTGGCGACTACTTGTTTGCTGGCCTCGAGCGCCTTTCTCAGAAGTACCCCGAGCACCTGCAGAACCTCCGTGGCAAGGGCCAGGGAACCTTCATTGCCTGGGATACACCCAAGCGTGACGAGTTCCTCGCCAAGGCCAAGGGCGTTGGTGTCAACATTGGTGGAAGCGGTGTGAGCGCCGTCCGCCTGAGGCCCATGCTGATCTTCCAGCAACACCATGGTAAGCTATACCCACCACCCTAGTTTAGAAAATAGTGAAATGATGCTAAACGTGTTCGCAGCCGATATCCTCCTGGAGAGCATCGAGAAGATCATCAAGCAGCTGTAAGGCGCTTTCGATTTGCATGACCATCATCTCCTTCGATTTTGCATCTCCTTTTGTTTCCCTAAGTTGGCAGTCCGGCGTTTATTGATGGGTTGGGCGGATCTTTCCGTGTCTGATTGGCACGCTATCTATGTGTTACTTTTTTGAAGCTGTTAGCAAGTTATATATCTATAGCAACCGACACTCTGATGCCATCCCAAAGTGCATCGATTTTGCATGGGTATCGAACAAAATTCAACCGTTTATCTTCACAATGATAAGTTCGCGAGTAATCCAAAGTAAGAAAAGAAAGGGACAACTCCAGCGTAGTAACAAAGCAGTCCATACCCAAACACATATATAGAACGTAAACCGAATCCCTAACTCCAAATTTGCGCAACTGGAAGCAACCACCCGCCATGAGTCCCCCGACAACATAACCGACCAGTCCTCAACCCACTCGTTTCACCCACAGAGGCATGTAAAAAAAATGGTCATAGTAACACGCCTCGGACCCCAGAACACATCCATTAATTATCCTCTTCAGGATTACTGCCGTCGCGAGGAATATACTTCACGCCCGAATCTTCCAAGCTCGCGATAATCTCGTCGGGGAGCTGCCAAATGGAAGGAAGAAAGCACCAAGTCAGTCTCCAGTTTTCTCGCGAAAATGTACAAGTGTAAACAAACTGAAAACTTACCGACCCGGTCACCTTGACCGCATATGTTCCCGGCACGTAACTATCAAGCCGCTGCCAGCGAGCCACCCAGCTTGTGTTCGGGTCCCGAAGAGTGACCAATCCTTCAAAAACTTGGGAGGTACATTCTTGGATGGCGTCGTTGTTGCCACGGAGGCCGAGAACGTTGTCGCAGTTGGGGCAGCCTTCGCGCATGAATTTCTAGTGGGAGATAGGCGTTAGTTTACGTTGGGGACTTTTGGTATGCCGGGGGTTGAGTCGGGGTTGAAACGTACGCTGTGCAGTTGGACGAGGGAGCAGACCATGCAGGCGCGAAGCGTGCGCTGCTGGCTGGGAGCGACGTAAAAGGACATGTACTGCGGATATGGGAGGAATATCGGCGGAAGGCTTTATTGAATGTGACTCTCGTTATAGAGTAGGTTTAGGGAGAGGAGAAGAGGGATGGGGACCCAGCGTGGCTTCGAAGAGGAGGAATGAAAAGAATATTGATTGATAGTGATTGGTTTGATGTCGGAAAAGAATGCCAAGACCGGCGACTGGAGGGTCTTCGGGATTCAATTCCAAAGTAATCTCAGAAGGGAAAAGAAATAGATTCAAGGATCGAATTCCTGCAGAAATTCCACATTCCTTTTCCCAGAAACAATAGCACGTTTTTCCCCTTCCTCGGAGCTTCGCTTTTTCGTCTAAGGTTCGCCCTCGGTTGAAGATCCATCCTTCTTTTCTCACCAACGCTCAGCTCTCGTGCCTTCCTTCCCGGAAAACCCTCTCCCCTCGCTCATTTCGCTTTCTCCCTCTTCCCTCCGACGATGGCGTCGTCCGACCTCGAAGCTGCCACTGCGCTTAAGGTGCAGGGTAACAAAGCGTTCGCCCAACATGAGTGGCCCGCTGCCGTGGACTTTTACACACAGGCCATAGCGAAATATGACCGCGAGCCGTCGTTCTTCAGCAATCGCGCTCAGGTAGGTTGCGCTCTTGGCATCTCCTATGGCTTCCTACCTACTCTTTTTTGTTCTCGAAAGCGAAGGGCAAAGGTATGGATATTCTACAGCGTGCTAAATGCCACAGGCGCACATCAAACTTGAAGCTTATGGCTTTGCGATTGCCGATGCCACCAAGGCGCTTGAGCTCGACCCCGCCTACACCAAGGTCAGTGCCATTCTCCAATGATCCATGGTCTTTCTACCAGGGGACGCTTTTAGCTGGAACAATCTACATCCTTTCAAAAATGGAGCGTCTTTGGTCGACTAACTATCTCGGTTTAGGCATACTGGAGGCGAGCCCTGGCCAACGCCGCTATCCTAAACTATAAAGACGCCGCAAAAGACTTCAGAGCCGTTGTGAAAAGGGAACCCAATAACCGCGATGCGAAGGTAAAGCTGGCGGACTGTGAGAAGCTCGTGCGTCGGTTGGAGTTCGAGAAGGCTATTGAAGTGGGCGATCCGCCGTCGGCCTTTGAGGACTTGGACATCGATGCTATAGCGGTTGATGCCAGCTATGACGGCGTACGTTTAGAGAACGAGATGACGCAAGAATTCATCGATGATATGATCGAGAGGTTCAAGAACGGCAAGAAGATCCACCGCAAATATGTCTTCCAGATCATCAAGGCCGTCAAGGATATTGTGTATGCAGAACCAACTATGGTCGAAATTGGGGTGGACCAGGGCACTAAGTTGACGGTGTGCGGTGATACGCATGGTATGTTTTCTGCGTGGTTGGCATTTTTATTGTACTTTCTGCTTTTCTCCTTTCGGCTGTTTACCCTAACGCTGCGACAGGACAATTCTTCGACCTCTTGGAGATCTTCCGGTTGAACGGATACCCGACCGAAAAGCACGCATACCTCTTCAACGGTGACTTTGTGGACCGTGGCTCTTGGTCTACTGAGATTGCCCTGCTCCTCTATGCATACAAGTGGCTGCGACCAAGCGGCATCTTCCTCAACCGTGGAAACCATGAGACGGATGATATGAACAAGGTATACGGATTTGAGGGCGAGTGCAAGGCGAAGTACAACGAGACGGTATTCAAGGTGTTCTCGGAGTCGTTCTCTTCTCTGCCTCTGGCTACTCTGATCGGCAGCAAGTACCTCGTTCTCCATGGAGGCCTCTTCTCCGACGACAATACGTCCTTGGATGACATCCGGAAACTGGACCGCCACAACCAGCGACAGCCTGGACAACAAGGTCTGATGATGGAGATGCTCTGGACTGACCCCCAAACGGAGCCTGGTCGTGGCCCGAGCAAGCGAGGAGTTGGCCTTCAGTTCGGCCCGGATGTTACCAAGCGGTTCTGCGAGAAGAACGGATTGGAAGCCATCATCCGCTCGCACGAAGTTCGTATGGAGGGTTACGAAGTTGAGCACGACGGACGGTGTATCACCGTCTTCTCTGCGCCCAAGTACTGCGATACTACGGAGAATAAGGGAGCGTTCATCAACATTGGTCCAGAACTCAAGCTGGACTTCCAAGTTTTTGAAGCCGTACCTCACCCTGATATCAAGCCTATGGTAAGCTTCCTCCATCTATTTCTATTGGCGTTCTGTTGTTCTTGAAGCGTAATCAAAAAGCTAATGTGCTCTTTTTAGGCTTATGCACAAAACTCGGTTATGTCCATGATGTGAGATGATCAAACTCTGCATGGGACGGCGTTTACGGGTGGAGAGAAGAATGCCTTCTCAACCCGTCATAGAGGTTCAGTTCTGGAATGAGCATTGGGACTCGTTGGCTATACGGCAGACTGAAATAACGACAGATATTTCTCAGATACCAGATGCTGTATCTATTGAATGATGATTTGAACTTCTTGCATAGCGGAACAATGATTTGTGGATCAATACCAACACGGTTGCGCGGGTATGAGGGCGTTGGATAGGGCTGTAAGAAGTTTTGGCTTCTTCTTCTTCCGCAGGTTCACTACCATTTCTATTAATTATAGAATCCTAGCGACTTTATTGTATTGTCCAATGGTATAGCTTAGGCCTGGAGCGTGTCTCTTCTATTCGGAGTTGAAGTTTTAGGAAATCCGACCGCTTTGCTTGCGACCCCCGCGATTTAATTGACTCCAACATTTAATTATTCTTCTGCCTCCCCACCTTTGTCCTTCAGGTCAATCCCACTCTTTCTTCCTTCCCACTGTATTTAGAACAAGTCTCTGTGATAAACCTGCTCAACAGTCAAGAGAAGATGGAGTTTGATTCTAAGACCCGTATGTGTCTCTATTACTGGAAAATATGACATTCCAACAGCCAAAACTAATCCCCACCGTCGATCGTGGCCAACAGCGCAATACCGTACTTCCGACAAATCCAGCTTCGCAGCAACTTCCGCTCGTGAGCGCTGGCCCGTGATTATTGTGAGTGCTTTAGTCCTCTGGCCACTTATCTCTCCGATCTTCGCTAAAGAATTGTGTTTTTATAGACCGGTGCGATCGACGATCTCCACCGCACCGTTGGTGATGTAACCGACGAGGAGAAGCGCAACGAGGGCAAAGCCATCATTGAGAAACTCGCAGCACTGAAATATGAGCTCCAACATAACAGGCAATTGACGTACGCAATATCCATGTTTGAACTTCCAGAAGATATACCAAGGACGCCACTGACTTCTACACCCCCCGCAGCCTCCTCCCCGATGATGGCCAGCCAGATATTATTGAGTATAACGAGGAACTGAAACAACGAGGAAACCCATCATGGCACGATGTTGCATGGCTGTATTCGGAATGCTACCTCTGTGCGTTTCATGTGCTCGGAACAGCATAAACGACGGATAGACCTGCTAACCAGAACAGACAGGCGCATCAGTGCCCTCTTCGCCATGTCCAAACAATGGAAAGGATACGACGTATTTGCCCGCCAAAAGATGTCCACCTTTAAATCATCTCGCCCGGCAGTTCTCGAGTTAGCTGCAAGATACAAGGAAATAGCTCTGGAGGCCGAGAAAGGCCAGGCTGGTGGCAAGACCCCGGAGCAGACCGAACAGACTGAGCGCATACTCTTCTCCGAGATGTGTGAGATCTGCCTGTGGGGGAATGCCACTGACCTGTCCCTCCTGACTACTCTTACCTACGAGGATATCCAGAAATTGCAGGGATCCCAGGCGCGCAAAGCGGCGGAGAAAAACATTCTCGTCAATGATTTGGATGCTGCTTTTGATGTCCTTAACAAGGCCCGCAAGGAGAAAAAAACCGGGGAGCGTCGCGTAGATATCGTCCTCGACAACTCCGGATTCGAACTGTTCGTTGATCTTATCCTTGCCGGATATCTTCTCTCTGCTGGTCTGGCCACGACAGTCGTACTGCACCCTAAGCTGATCCCCTGGTTCGTGTCGGACGTTACGCCTGCGGACTTTAGGGACCTTCTTGGGGCACTCGCCGACCCGCAGTCTTTCTATACAGCCCCTGATGAGTCGGGCAAAGAACACCCTCCTCTCTCCGATAAGGAGCTGTCGGAGGTGAACTTCCTCTTCGAGCAATGGTCCCGACTCCACGCAGATGGAAGGCTGGTCATCCGCCCGCATGCCTTCTGGACCGGCCCAGGAGGATACTGGCGCTTGCCCAATAAAGCAAAGGGTCTCTTCGAGGATCTTCAAGAGAGCGAGCTCGTCCTCTTCAAGGGTGATCTCAACTACCGCAAGCTAACTGATGATGTAAGTTCACTGAGACTCACTCTCTTTTCTGATACCTATCAGCTCTTAACATTTTATGTACCCTCTAGGCTGCTTGGGACCCCACAACTCCCTTCACGACCGCCATCGGCCCAATGGGCCCTAAGTCCGGTGTCCGTGTCCTTGCCTTCCGGACCTGCAAAGCCGACGTCGTTGTTGGATTGCCAGCAGGCGAAGACGAGAGACTCCGCGCGTTGCCTGGCGGTGGCGGTTCTGAGGCCCGGAAATGGGCTTGGAGTGGAAAGTGGGCTGTTGTGTCATTCTCTGATGGAAAGGCTTAATCTGATTACTTGTTTGTGTACATGCGTAGACGGAAATTGGTCTCTCGATGTACACTTCAAAGAGGACGTATAGATGGACATATAAATGCGGAGAGATATACAGATAGACGGTGTCAATAAGATATCCAGTTAGTGTGTATTGAATGACTGTATAGTCACAGATTAGAGTACTTCAACAGGTCTAAAATCCGTGACGAGAGTCAATGAGAAAGACAAAATAGAATAGAATAGGGGTAGCATGTTCATGTAGGGTATATTCCAGGCACAGACAGGTGCGGTGCTAGACTTGAGCGGAAGTACTGGACAACAAAAGGGAAAGCGATTAGACTAAATGAGGGTGAAAACCTCGAAACAGATTCAGAAATGAGAGCGCCTATACCCACAATGCCCCCCTACGCCAAAAGAGAAATGAGTGAATACCCTCCTCAAACCCAAATATTAAGTAAATATGCCAATTCAAACTGGAACAAATGAAGAAGCCCAATCAAGCCCGGATGTTTTCTTTCCCCTCTTTGCTCACCTTGCGACCGTCTTGCTTACGCTTGAGTCGTGCTTGGGCGGCCAGCATTCGATCCACGGGAATGGAATCGCGTTGGATCGAGGCGAGACTTTGTCGCCTTCTGGTTCGATCGGGGAGATGACGGGTTTCCGGAAACCCTGATATGGCGTCTAGGCTATATTTTGAGGGGGAACGGCGAGCTCGCAGACGTTCAGTGCGGACTTGTTTGCTGTCCTCACGAGTCGCGAGATGATGGGCGAGGGATGTTAGGGTTGAATGAGTTGGGACGTACGAGCGGTAGCTTTCTGGGTTGAATCTCTGTCTTGAGGTGCGCCGGGTGGCCGGTTCGAGAGGTGAGTAACCAGGAGGGGGCGAAGGTGGGACACCGTCACCTTCAAGAGGAATCCCTTGTGTTTTATGAGGTGAATCATCCAAGTACGCTAGTTGTTCACTATGATCTTCCGTTTCCAGGCCCAGGGCTTTGGAATCCCGCTTCACGTCTAGCTCGCCTAGTACTGTTCTCGTGGTGTGAGATCGTCGATCCTTTGCATGTGGGCTGGGGCTAGGAGGTTCATCAGTGTCTTGGGTCTCGTCGTTGTGCTCCTTCTGAGGGCTGCCATGTCCAAAATCATACACATGAACCCCAGTGTAGCCCTTGTCCGAGTGGCGGGTCCGCGCTCGGAGTTCAGGAAGGCGCTCGAAAGTGGTTAATTTTAACCGTAGAATGTCGACCTGGTCCTGCATACGACGGCGCTCCTCATTGAACGACTCTCTAAGTCCCTCTTCAAGCTCACGATGTTGCTGGGAAGTGGACTTCAAGCGTTCTCTGTATTCCTGGACCCGCAATTCTAGTTTGGCCTCTCTCTGCTTCAGTTTTGCTTCCTTCTCCTTGCGACGACCTTCATACTTGGTCATTTCTTGCTTTACGCGGGCTAGTGTTTGTTTCAATGTTGCGTTTTCTTTCTCGAGATCCGAGGCCTTCTGCTCCGAACTTTGGGCCAAGTCCTTGAGTTTGGTGAACTCCGATTGCTGATGCTTCATTTCTTCGAGCTTGGCGTTTGCTTCGCCCAGTGCCTGCTGGGCCTTACGAAGCTCTTCGGCTGTCTCCCCAGAAGTGTTATTCGTGGCCTCAGATGGTTCTGAGATATTCTCTACGTCGTCGCTAACGACACCGTGCTGCTCTAGGAGCTTGCGCAACAAGCTAACTCGGTGTTTGTACTGCAATGCTAGCGCTGTTTGCTTGGTGAGATCCTGCACCAATTCTTCCTTGTCCGCTTTGGAGTTCTCTCCGACCATTGTCGAGGCGAGCTGAGTAACGTGGCGCTCCATCTCGGAAACCTTCACTTCTTCCTCCTTGAGTTTTGCGGCTAACCGTAAGGCTTCCTCGTCCTTCTTTCTGGCGTACGCTTTCGCCGCTGAGCGATACTGAATAAGTTTCCTTATTTCCTGTGTAGTTTTGTTCCGATAGCTATCAAACTCAGCTTTCCAGTATTTGCCGGACTGAGAGCGGGGTTCGTTTAGGTTGATAGTGTCGTCACCGGTGTCATCTTCCGTTGACAATGACGCCATCTTCGATTCGCTGGACTGAGCATTTTGCGAAGATTCCGGCTTCTTGGGGGATTTATAGCGTGAGTCCATTAATGCCTGGGTCAACTTGCTCCGTGGTTTGGACTTTCCGTCTGAAGAGTTGATTAACCATTGGCTGCTCAATGGTGTTCGGGATTGTTTGGTAGAGGGATCATCTCGCTTGCGCTCATTATCCACAACACCATCTCCGAATGAAACCGTTTTACGTCGGTTTGACGCAGTACCAGGGGTGACAAGTATACTCTTAGTGGGGGAGGCCATTGCATTCACAGCCATATCGACGTCGGCCTTCGTGGCTTTCGGAACATCGCTCTTGTCCCCAGAAGTGGGCTTCAGCGACAGGTTTGCGCGAGAAGGCTGATTGGCCGTCAGGTCCATCGGATTCAATGCCCGCCCAGTCTGATCCTCGTCATCAGCCCCAGGGGTGCCAAACAAGGCGCTCTTGAAGGCGCGAATGGCGAACACAGGAGCAGGCGTTTCAGGAGGTTCCAAAACCTTTGAGTTGTCTATGGAGATAAACAAGGAATAAACAAGTCAGCGCGACAGCCGTACGATTTTGCGTTGGGGGGATGATCGCGCGCCCGCTATTGGACCGACGATGGGGCGCGTGCCCAAGCTTCATGCGACCAGCGAGACACACACCTGCAAACTGCTCGTTCTGCCCAGTGATCCACTCCAACATCGCGCCTGCAGGACAAGGTGAATCAAATTACCAAAAAGAATGAGGGTCGCATTGCAGGGGCGGACACCATTGGCGTCTTATCAGAGGTCACGACCAAGCCGTGGGATTGACGTGGAACGCTCTGCTTTGTTTACGGCGACGCTAAGGACCCAAGGCGGTCAGCGGAAAAACAACGGGGCGGGCCTTAAGGCAGTTTAGCTCGTCCTATAGTTACCGCTCTTTTACTCCCAATTTCCCGCGCCGTCTCTTTCTTTCCCTCCCCCGCTAGTACTTTTAGTACACTACTTGACTATCTCTCTTCCTTGACACATTGGTACCTGATCGTTCGATTCGAATATGTCCCTTATTGAAGCATAGAGGGCTGCAGCTTCGGCTGCAACTTTGTCACACTTAACCTCGTGACAAAGATACATCTCGACCTGGGTGAAATACTTTCTCTCTCACGCCGCCCAACGCCCCGCTATGCCTCACAAGCAGAAGAAAACTTCCAGCAATGCCCCGAAGAACGGCTCTCCCCGGGCGGAGAAGACGCGACAATTTCCCCCGGACGCCCCTGCGCTGGCCCTTCCAGTAGTGGCCCCGACCGACTACGAGGAGATCCATCGAAATGAGATTGAAGCTCTCCGCTCAATTTATGGCGATGATTTTGAAGAAGTTGAACAACGGCGATCTGCTTGGCAGGTATGTCTGGCATTCCCTTGCCCTTGTTCAAGCCTCATAAATTAATTTATGATACTCCGTCCTAGCAATCGTCAGATGTGGTATTTAAGCTTCACTTGCGCGCTTCATCTAATCCGGAAGTCCGTCTCGATTTGCTGGTAGAACTGCCCACTACCTATCCTAAAACCTATCCAAACCTTTTCTTGGAAAACCTAGACGACCTCCGTCAAGGAGCTCAATCGAGGATTGATGACATCATCCGGAGCAAACCGAAATCTCTCTTGGGATCGGAAATGATCTACGAGATTGCCGTCTCTATCCAAGATGTACTAGAGGATGTGGCAGAAGCCAAAGCCCAAAATAAAGACCTACCCAGCCTAGAAGAGGAGCGCATGGAACAGGAAGCTGCTGCCAATCAGCGTGCTGAACTAGAACGGCAAGAACAGCTTCAGAAACAGGAGGCCGCTACTGCGGAAGAGGAGCGGGCGCTGCAACAACTGTTGGAGGATAGACTTCGTGAACGAACAAAAGCACGACTACTACGACGGAAGAGTCGAACCTCCGGCATGGACACGAATAGCGAAATTGATGCTGGGGAGAGTATTCCAGGCGCAATTTCCTTTGATCCTCCCCTGGTTATGGCCGACAGCGATGAAGGGCCATTAGTCTTCCGGGCTGTTTATGGAAAGACCCTCCTTCGGAGTGTCCAGGGAAAAGACACGTTTACTGTGAGACCAGTGGCTACCGAGAACAGGTGCCATGCTCCTCTTCTGGTCTTAAAGGAAGTTTGCATTGATGAGACAAAGCTGTCTCCACTCGCATTTCGGGAAAAGATGCGCAGCAGTGAGGACAAACTGGAAGCGTTAAAAAGATTACGGCATCCAAATCTACTGGACTTTGTCGGGTTTAAGATTTATAGACCTCTTGAACCTGCTAGCCCGCAGGACAACGCTTGGACAGTGTACCTCCTTCTGGAGCACGCAAACAAGGGGTCACTGTCCGAGTTTCTAGATATAGTAGGGTCTGTCCCTGTGGAAATGCTCCGCAGCTGGACAATCCAGCTCCTTGAAGCTCTCGAATTTTATCACCGAAGCGGCTTTGTCCATGGAGATATTAATTGCGGGCGCATTTTCATACTACGGAACCAGACAGGTGGCACTACTGTGAAGCTGCAGGCGAGCGTTGAAAGCGCTCTTCCTGATTCTGCGGGCAGCAAACAGTCCTTGACAACTTCCAAGTCACCACTTTGGCTACCCCCGGAGTCAACCCAAGGCAATACTTCGCCGACCATGAAGACGGATGTTTGGGATTTGGGTATTGTGTTTCTTCAAATGGGGTTTGGTAAAGATGTGCTGCAGCGCTACACCTCAGCGAACGCGTTAATGGGCACATTGGGCCTTTCTGCTCCACTCCAAGACTTGCTTAATGAGTTCTTCAGAACAGATCCGAAGAAGAGACCCACGGCTTTCCAGCTCCAGCCTTCTGAGTTCTTCCGTGTTGACGCGCCTTTAGTAGCTCGCTCAAGCACCTCAAACTCCATATCCTTGCCGAGGCGCCCTCGGTTCGATTCGTTTGGAGCCTTACCAACATTCTCACGCTATTTTCAAGACTTCGATGAGGCTGGTCGCTTGGGGAAAGGTGGCTTCGGTATGGTGGTCAAAGCAAGAAATAAACTTGATGGGCGTTTGTATGCAGTGAAGAAGATTACTCAAAGATCTGCCGCGGCGCTTAAGGATACATTATCAGAGATTATGCTGCTGTCGCGTCTTAACCATCCTTACGTAGTGCGCTATTATACTGCGTGGATCGAGGAAGATTATGACTTTGTGGATGAGGACGCTGTCTCGTCTACGGAAGGAGACCCTTTTGCGAGCCAAAACTCACATGGATCGCATGGATATGGGTATAGCACAGGAGGGCTTGATTTCATCAGTTCCAGCGGTTATCCCAAGATTGAATTCGGTTCCGACAGCGAAGAAGAGAACGATGGGACTTTATCTAGCCGTGGTAATGGAGAGACACCCGAATCTTACGGCACTGGAAGTGAGACCGGCAAGGAACTCAGTCGAGTGAGATCTGGCTCGCAAGGCAGGCCTGTCTCCACTACGCTGTATATCCAGATGGAATATTGTGAGAAGCATGTAAGTTCACTCTCGTCTCCTTCAGATAGCCGCCCCTGGAAAAGCTGACTGTTCGAAAGACTCTTCGGGATTTGATCAGGAATGGGCTCTACGATGATGTCGACAGATCCTGGCGTTTGTTTAGGCAGATCCTTGACGGTATGAGCCATATTCATGGCCATGGCATTATCCATCGGGATCTTAAACCTGATAACATCTTCATTGATGTTGCCAACAACCCGCGCATTGGAGATTTTGGCCTTGCCACTAGCGGCCATTTCACGACAGCTGTACGGTCTTCGACGGTTGCAGACTTTGAAGGAGACTTTACCCGTAGCCTGGGTACAACTTATTATGTCGCACCGGAAATGAAGTCCGGTTTTACGGGTAACTATAATGAGAAAGTCGATATGTTCTCTCTGGGAGTCATATTCTTTGAAATGTGTTATCCGCTTCCAACCGGCATGGAACGCGACCAGACTCTGCGAGCCATCAGGGAGAAGGACCATACTTTACCATCTGCCTTCCAGTATTCGGAAAAAGCGCTCCAAGGAAGGATCATCGAATCGTTATTGAGCCATGATCCCAGCCAGCGACCCTCAGCTTCAGAACTTCTTCACAGTGGCCAGATTCCTCTCCAGGTCGAAGAGGAAACCTTTCGACGGGCGATTATGCACCTACTGTCCGATCCTAGTTCACCAGACTATAAGAAAATATTATCGGCTATTTTCTCTCAGTCTCCTAAGAAGTTTGAAGACATGGCCTGGGACATGGATTCGCGCGGAACACCAGCGGCTAATGAACTAATAGTTCAAAGCTTAGTCAAAGAAAGATTGACCTCTATATTTCGCAGACACGGGGCCGTGGAAACCACAAGGCAGATGCTGTTTCCAAGATCCCAACATTACAACAACGGAGCTGTGCGGTTACTTGACTCCTCCGGTAACGTGCTTCAGTTGCCTTTCGATTTGACCTTACCTAATGCCCGTGCTATTCCTCGACAAGATCCGTCCCTTGAGAAAACTTTTGCTTTCGGTACTGTCTACCGAGAAACGTCTCATGGTTCCGAGCCCCGGACTCACAAAGAGGTAGACTTCGATATTGTCTCACACAATACGCTGGATCTGGCCTTGAAGGAAGCGGAAGTCATCAAAGTTGTGGATGAGATTATTGAAGAATTCCCACCTTTAAGATCAGCCCCCATGTGCTTTTTGGTAAATCACTCGGATCTCCTTCAACTTATTCTGGAGTTTTGCCGTATTACGCCTGCTCAAATCCCGCTGGTTAAGGAGGTTGTTAGTAAACTGAATGTGGGGAAATGGACGATGCAGAAGATCAGAAGCGAACTTCGGTCGCCGGCAATCGGTGTTGCTTCCACCTCGCTGGATGAGCTTGCAAGGTTTGACTTTCGAGACTCCCCAAAGCAAACGCAGAAGCGATTGCGAGCCATCATGGAGGGCACCGAGTTCGCCGAACGCCTGACCCCCATCTTTGCCCGCATAAATTGGCTGATGGCGTATCTTCAATGCTTTGACGTGAAACGAAAGGTTTATGTCAATCCTCTTGGAAGCTTGAACGACAAGTTTTTCCGAGGTAGCATTCTGTTTCAGTGTGTGTTTGATAGTAAGCGGCGTGATGTTTTTGCGGCTGGTGGTCGGTATGACTCGTTGGTTCAAGAGTTCCTTCCCAAGGTCGTGGCTAGCCGCCCCCAAACCCATGCTGTGGGATTTAACTTGAGTTGGGATCGACTCAGTTCAGCTATGCTCGATTATCTCAAAGGCTCCTCGAAAAGCCATGCAAAACACCATGAAGCTGAGCCGGCTGCTTTCTGGAACACTCGGAGGTGCGATGTACTGGTTGCGAGCTTTGACCCAACAATTCTGCGTACTATGGGTGTCAAAGTTGTTCAGGATTTATGGAGCAATGACATCAGCGCTGAGCTAGCTGTCGATGCCTCCTCTCTTGAGGAACTTCTTACCAAGTACAAAGACCATAACCACAGCTGGGTTGTCATTGTCAAACAAGATAGCCAGGAACGAGGCTTCAAGGTTAGGTGTCTCGTTCCTAAGGAGGAATTTGATATTCGAAGCTCTGAACTTGTACCCTGGCTTCGGAATGAAATCCGGGCGCGGAATCAACGCGAGGGCGCAGGAGACCATAGACAGTCTCGAATGCCCAGCCAACCAGACCCCGGTATCGATAACGAGAGGTCGAGTGATGTGCGGATCCTAGTCCCACGACATAGGAGCAAGAAGTCAAATAGAAGGAATATTGTTGAGAACGGTATGTTTTATGCCCAGTCATAGAACTGATAATTAATTAACGAGAATTAGCTCTTTTCCGTTCTCGTGAAGTAATCGAGGATGCGTTGAATGGGCCTATTGTCGCCATAGACACGCGCGACGATTTACTTGAGGCGATCAGAGACACACGACTATCAGATCCTGATAGTTGGCGCACAGTAATACAGAGTGCGCCACTGACTGAAAGGAAGTATTTCGGCCAGGTTCATGAGCTGCTTGTTGATCTCGCTCATGAAAACCATTCCAATGACGGCGCGGATAATTTCAGCAACGCTTTCATATACAATTATCGCACAGGGTCTTGCGTTTACTATGATCTAGGACGCCGAAATTAACATACAGATGAACAGTCATGTGTTATGTGTTATGCATCTTTCTTTTGTTCATTGTTCTCTTATTTTGATTGTACTCGACTTCAGTTTTGGTTTCTGTTTGGCATATTTGGCATTGGTGTCGGAAATTTTTTCTCCTCTCAGCATTTCATAGCGAACTATACCCGTAAATATACCATCCAATTCAGCGCACAATTAATGAAACGTTTCAAGGTATCTTTGTATTATACATAATGGAAGACGCAAAATACCATAAGCAGAACTAATCACTGTCATCATCACTTCCATAGACGACTAAAGGACCTCCTGAGGCTTGAGGAGCTGCCTGTGTCGTAATGTTTCCACCTGCTAGTCCCCTTAATGCCGCAACAGTAGAGCTTGAAAAAAATCCACTGCTTTCCGATTCTTGCGGAGCCGAAGCAGAAGACCCAGCTTCAAGCATGAGTGGTTGATCCGGAGCTTCGAGCTGACCTTGATCTCCATTTCCTGCAGCCTCTAACTGTTTCGTCCGGCTATACCATACCTCATCAGGAGGCTCATAGCCCTGCAACCCAAAACTGCCCTCGATCTTCTTCCTCTTCCGTGCGTCGGGGTCCTTCCCTTCAAGTTCCGCAACAAACTCCGCTGGCAACGCCCTGCGCACCGCCTCGGCAGCTTGTTCCTCCAATCTTCTTGCCTCACGTTTCTGAGCCAAGGGATTCGGATCCACCGTCGCCCAACGTACGTTAAGAATCTCATTATTATCAAGGGCTTCCAAAAGTATCAGCACACCACAATGCCAAACATCCAAAAACGGACAGACTTACACTGATGCGCCATAGCCTCCTTCGCAAACTCCGCCTGCGAAAGGGTAGTATATGTAACGAACGCAACACCCCTCGAGGTCAAGACACGTATCCTCTCAATCTCCCCCCACTCCGAGAAGTGCCGCGCAACAACCTCCTCAATATCATCCGTGACATGGATCCGTCCCACGTAGAGCGTCCGATTCTGCCGCATAAACGACCCAACACCGCCCATATCATCACGGTAATCGCTGAACTTGTCTCGCCCGAAACAGTCGACATTCGGACTGAATAAGTCATGAATGGTTGGTAGACGGTGCAGATACTGACAATCGGATCCGAGATGGCAGACACCGCGCGCGAAGAAAAGGCAGAAGAACGATCCAGGCACTTTGTCAGCACGCGTGTAGCCGCTATCTTTGGAGATGTTGCACCGGGATGCTGCGTGTTGTTTTGAAAGATAGCTGTCTTCTCGGTCGCCGCCGGACCATTTCTGTATTGTTTGTTAGGGACATGTTTCTTCGTGACGCAAGAGGAACCACAGAAACGTACATTATACCAAATGTTGAAAATCGTGCCGGTTTGCGGGGGCGGTTCAGACTTGATTGTGGCAGGATCAACCTGCGGGCGTGCTGGGCGACGCTTCTTTCTGATTATCTTCTTCTTCTTCGGCGCGCCTTCCGCGACGGCGGACTCAGCGGGCTGGGCGACGGCTAGGGCATTTTCGTCGTTGGCGACTTGTTGGTCTGGGGTATTTGATTCTTCGGGGGATGTTGTGGGCTCCATAGCTTGAGGGGGCGAGGCAACTGCGGTGTCCGCCATGATTGGTATGGTGGGGATAAAATTGGATGTTGGGAGTTCTGACTTAATCTTCATCGGTCTGGGGTGAAGCTTGCGCCTGAAATCTGGCCGGATTAAGGTTGTGCCGTCTGTGGTATAGGGATTGTACGTAGCGATGGTATACTCAGGTCACCATAAAAGTATGGCATCAAGTCTCAATTTTATCAGTAGACTATGATTGAAGAATTTGAATAACCATTTGACAATTTTTAGAGATCCTCATTCATGACGTGGTAATCTCAACATATGCATTCAAAAATCAGATAAACCATCTCAGCGGTCGAAAAAGCGGTCAGGAAGTCCCGGCAGAATCCCCAAAACCGCAGATTATGTAAGGCAGTTATTTTGTGAGATTTTGATATACAGTTGTTCCTCCCCAGACTCCCCACCCTTATCGCAGAAGATCCGCCCAGAGTACTTGTCTTGTGGTATCTTTGATTAATCCATATATCCTAGCCTCTCCCAGGGACCTCGTTTCATGGGCAGCTTGACCGCAGCAGTACTTGTTATCGCTGAATTTTTGAGTCCGCGGGGCTCCCAACCGGCAAGATGGTGAACATCACAGAAAAGATCAAAGAGTATGTCTGGATGGCGGAATCCCTTCGGGAAGCATATTTTAAATGGAACGAAACTCTGATATAACATCACAGAATTGAAGATGAGATGCGCAGGACGCAGAGTAAGCTCCTTTCAACCCCGTACCCTTCCCCGACTTTATGCAGAACCCCGCCGCTAACTCCATAACAGAGAACAAGGCCACAGGTGCGCACGCCATCTATTTCCCATGACGAAAGAAAGGTGTACAGGTCTAACGAATAACCAGAATACCATCTTGGTCTTTTGAAGGGGTATGAGCCCACACAATCTCCCTCAACCATAGCGGGACGACTAGCTAACACCCCCGGACAGAAAGCTTGCTCGTCTAAGAGCTCAGCTCCTAGAGCCTACAGGCGGCTCCGGTGGTGGTGGTGTAGGATTCGATGTGAGCAAGAGCGGTGATGCCCGTGTGGCTCTCGTCGGTTTCCCATCCGTCGGTAAATCGACATTTTTGAGCAAGATCACCAAGACCAAGAGTGAAGCTGCCGCGTACTCTTTCACCACGTTGACTGCCATTCCCGGTGTGCTGGAATATGGGGGTGCGGAGATCCAGATTCTGGATCTTCCCGGTATCATCGAGGGTGCTGCTGAGGGAAAGGGAAGAGGTCGTCAGGTTATTTCTGCTGCGAAGGTTCGTTTCCGGTCTCCTTCGCGCTTTGTTCATCTTCTCCCCTTCTCGCGTATTCGCAGTCGAAATGGTGGAACTGCGGGATTATATGTCTAACCGATTACCAGACAAGTGACTTGATCCTGATGGTTCTCGACGCCACCAAGAAGGCAGAGCAGCGTGCACTCCTAGAAGCGGAATTAGACGCCGTTGGTATTCGACTGAACAAGGAACCACCGTATGCAATCATCCCCAGATTCACGTCAATATTAGACTCTAACAAATCCTAGAAACATCTACCTCAAACAAAAGAAAGCAGGCGGAGTAAAGATCACCTTCCAGACTCCCCCCAAATACCTCGACGAGAAGATCATCTTCAACGTGCTCCGTGATTACAAGATGCTTAATTGTGAAGTGCTGATCCGAGACGAATACGGTATGATTGATTCCAGGCAAATGACACCTTATATCCTAACGTTCCTTTCATCCTAATGCACATCAACCAGCAACAATCGACGACTTCATCGACGTCATTATGAAGGACCACAGAAAATACATCAGATGGTAAGATGAAACCGGTCTGACTCTTAAGAGGGGCCCAAACACATGAATCTGACTTTATTACAGTCTCTACGTATATAACAAAATCGACAGCGTCAGCATCGACTTCCTAGATCAACTCGCCCGTGAACCCCATACCGCCGTCATGAGTTGTGAACTTGATCTCGGCGTGCAGGAGGTAGTTGAGCGGATCTGGAGAGAACTTCGGTTGATCAGAATTTATACTAAACGGTATGTCTGCCCCATCGCCTAGTAGCAGAGTGGTATTTAATGTTGCGCAGGAAGGGAGAAGAGCCTGATTTTAGCGAGGCGTTGATCGTACGGAACAATTCCTCCATCGAGGATGTCTGCGATAACGTTCACAGGACATTGAAGGAGTCTTTTAAGTATGCTTTGGTGTGGGGTGCGAGTGCGCGCCATGTCCCGCAAAGGGTGGGATTGTCACATATTGTGGCGGACGAGGATGTGGTTTCGATAGTTGCTAAGTAAATGGGTTGTTCGGAACGTGGAAGTTTCGTTCAAGAGGTTTAAGGAGACGACTAGCTTAGGATTAAATATGAAACTATAATACGTAGCCTTGTATCGAAATGACACGGGGTTTGAGATACACGTACTACGAGAGCTCAGCGGCGATTGAAGGATACCAAAAATTACTCAAAAGTTGGATAGCAAGTTTTTCAATTGCTGAAGAGACCAATATGAACTGTACAAATTATTGACCCAAATATAGCAGATGATATTCACATAACCCATAAAACCAGACTCCACGCACAAAATACCAAACCCAGATCACATTTTTTTTAAGCAGCGGCAGCCGCCACATTCTGCATACCAATGGTAGGCTGCACGCCAACACGCTCCTTAGCAAGCAGATCAACCAGGAGAGGGCTGGGCCGGCTGTCACGGTTTGGGTGGAAGTCCAGCTGGCTGTTCTTGTACTTGCGAACGCTGTCCAAGTAGATGTCGAACAGGTAAGAAGAGTCCAGCGGGCCTCCCTTAGCCTCGGGGTGGAACTGAGTGCTGAAGATAGGACGAGTCTTGTGGATCATACCCTCATTGCTCGAGTCGTTCAAGTTCACAAAGTAAGGCTTCCAGTCGGAAGGCAAAGTCGAGGCATCAACCGCATAACCATGGTTCTGGCTGGTGATGTGGCAGCGACCAGTGCTCATGTCCAGAGCAGGAATATTGTGGGCACGGTTACCGTACTTCAGCTTGATGGTACGAGCTCCAATGGCAAGGGCCAACAGCTGGTGTCCCAGGCAAATACCGAAGATGGGAACCTGAGAGGTCTCCATCAGGCGACGCAGGTGGTAGGCAGTCTCCTGGCAGTGAGTGGGGTCACCGGGGCCGTTGGAGATGAAGACACCATCGAAGTGGTGGGCAACTTTGTGGATTGGGTAGTCAAAGGGGAACACCGTGACACTGGCGCCACGGCTGACCAGGCTACGGAGAATGTTCTCCTTGACACCGCAATCGATGACGGCAACGTGGCACTGAGGGTCGGCGGCACTCACGTGGAAGGGGGACTTAGTGCTGACCTGGCGAACAAGGTGAATCTGCTCAGGGTCGACGAAGGCCTCATCCTGGTCGGCATCGTACTCCTCACCAACAGTGATACGGGCAAGGGAGGAACCCTGTTCACGGAGATAGGTGACAATGGCACGGGTGTCAACGCCGGAGATGGCAGGAACACCCTCACGAGCACACCATTCACCGAGACTTTGCACGGCAGTCCAATGGCTGTATTGCTCAGCAACATCGGCAACCACCACACCAGCAGCCTGGAGGTGAGGAGACTCGAAGTACTTCAGAAGACCGTGCTGGTCTTTCTCAGTAGATGGGACCCCATAGTTGCCAATCAAGGGCTGGGTGAAGACCAGGATCTGACCACGGTAGGAAGGGTCAGTCAAGGACTCCGGGTATCCAACCAAGGAAGTTGTGAACACGGCCTCGCCGGAGATGTTGGAACGAGCTCCGAACGACTTCCCGTGGAAGATCGGACCATCTCGGATCGTGAAGGTGGCGCGTTCGTGGGCAACACGTCCATTGCGAACAGTTGCCATGAACCGCGACTGGATAGACGCGTTCACGGAAGGGAAGGCAGAGGCCCTGGCGGGCATTGCCTTGAAGAGTCGCGCAGCGAACATAGTATTCCGAAGCTTAAGTGTGGAAGAGTGTACGATGATGTTTGAAGTTTAGTTCAGTAGTTTCCGGAAGCTTTCCAGAGGTGATCCGAGATGTAGTCCTGTAGTAACCTCTTGTCAGCCATAATGGATCTTTAATTGAACACATTCGCATCCTGTCAATATACGAGGGTGGTTATCACGTGGAGGCACGTGGGCGGAGCATACCTGAGAAGTGAAGGTCGAGAAAAAACGCATAAGCGCGACGGTGCTGTTACCAGTCACAAAAATTGGGTTATATGGGTTAAATTTGTTATTTAAACAAACATCGAAGAGATGTATGTGCAGAGTCTTGGGGCTGTTGTGGAAGTGTGGGATGAGTCAATGGGGAAGATGAAGGAAGAAAAAAGAGTGACGAGGGCGACGGAACTTAAAAGAGGACAAAATGATCGCCGGCCCGGTCGGATCCACGTGACTCATTACACCGACATCAGCGGATTCCAGCCAATCAGGGGAGTGGAATTGGCTGCGCTATCGGAATGGCAACTTCTTTCTATCGCCCTGTTCGAATAAACCCCATTATCCAATCGATTCTCCACCGCACTATTATCTACGCCTTACGGACTACACGAACAAGACACGGTGGCTGGTTGAGTGCAGCCTGAATCCATTGAGCAGGGTTTTCCCCCTAAGACTCGACAACGTTAACATTCAGAGGGCGAGATCAAGCTTTGATCAATCGAAGATGGAACGAATCAGGACGGAGCGGAGTACAGAATACAACTATCTACGTGTCAGACTACCACATCGATAGACAAGTCGCCACCATGACTCACGCGTGATTAGTTAGTATTGATTAGTTAACAAGAACTGGTGGACCTCAATTCTCAGGGGAGAGCAGGTCTTGTCTCGCTTATGATGCAAGGTTCTTTTCAATTGCAAATTTTTTTCTTCCGTGGTTCTCGCAAAGGGTTCTGGGCCCGCGGGTTCCCGTACCAAGTAGAATCCGGGGAATTGTCAGGGGTGGGAGGTCTTGGCATTCTCGGATCTTTTTCTCATCAAGAGAATGCTCTCAATGATCTACAAATCGTTAACATCCCTTCCTATCCATACATGATTACGCAAAAGGGTAACACGGCTCTACTTACTTCTAGTACACCGGTCTTGTCGGTAGATTTATCGTTTATGCTGTCGGGGACTTTCGGTGATCTTATTTTGATAGGTTAAAGTAACCCGCAGGTCTTGATATCATATATAGAGTGCACTTGACCTTCACATAGACAGAATATCATAGCCTGGATATCTCAGTTGTTATGTATTTCTAATTTACGTAATTCGATCTCATGATTGTACTCAAAAAAATCCTCCAAGCCCTAGTGGCCACCACCCTACTAACCATCGCCCTGGGACGAGCATCTCTCCAATCCCAGCCGGCACAACAGCCCATCTTACAATCACTAAACCCACGGGAGGACCCGGGCTGTGATGGCTCAGGCATCGACCCAGACGGCCACTGCAGCGGTGACGGGATCATCGACGACCCGCAGAACCCGCGAGACAAGGAGCGCGAGGGGTTCAGATTCGACAACCCCTCAACGAACTGCAAGTACGTCACACAAATGTACGTCTGGGACTCCTTCAAAGACCTCGAGACAGACATGACAAAACTTTTCACCCTGATCCACAAGAATGTCAGCTTCACCGTGGTAGGCCACCACCCGATAGCTGGGCACTACAACGACCTGCTTCATTTCTATGTCAATGCGCTGCGTCGGGTTAGCGTTATGTTCTTCGACTATGCCGATAAGTTTGAGATCCACCCACAGGCTATCCATGGGGGCTGTGATAGTGCTTGGGCTGTGTCGGAGATTCAGTTCAAGGGCATGATGAATTCTGGTACATCTCTTCCTTTGTGACTCGGTTAGAGCTGTGCTGACATAGATGTGGTAATACCAGGGGATCAGTTTGATATAGTCAATGTGTGGGTGACGAAATGGGACGCAAATAAACAGATGGTCGAGATCCGGACATACATAGATGCTCCACGGATCATGGACGCGCTTTCTAAGAACGAACTCTGGTGGAATGGCAGCACGTCGCGCGAGAATGTGCACTATGTGCCGGGGCCCGCGGGCATGCCTGATCTCAAGGAACTGGAAGACCTTATGGGGTACCCTGATGGGCGTAAGTATGAGGATTGAGCGAGTGAGTAGGATTGTCGTGGAGTCCCAAAGGGCGAGGTTATGCATTAGGAGCTAAGGCGAGTCTCATCGGGGTAGCTCTTTTAATACTAAAGTTGTATGAATTTTGAAGCGTATTGGCTTCACTAGCTACGGTCACTCGCATTGGGGAGTATATCTATTGACCAGCTTTGATACTACTTGATAATCCAAGAGCACTATGTCACCTACTGTTCTTGATAAGATAGGCAAGCAACATCACTATGTACTCAGAAATCTTGAATAAGAAGAGGAGCATTATTGGATGGAAGGATAGTGAAGTTTTAAAAACGCGAGGGCTGTGAATGGATATCTACAATTGCGTACTATGAATCTGAGCTCCGGCCCTTCAGGCTATGAATATCATTTAGAGTTTTACAATGATGGATATCAATAAACAGAATTTCAATAGAAAGCCACAAGAAATTCGCATAATTATCGAGATGAGAATCAATCAAACAAGACGAAAGAAAGTGAAAGTCATGCTGAAATAGGTTATGCTACTTACACGAGATATCCTGACGGTTATCCAGCGCTAAGACTGCCTCTCGAAATGTCTGTTGTTAGGTATGTTTATACTATCTCTCAACAATTCGTTTGAAACATGGACATTACCTATTCATCCATGGACTCGGTGGTGCACGACGAAGCGTCGCCAAAATTTCAAATCCCCGTCCAGCGGCGGCACCTCCCATCTTCGCATTTCCTATGACGGTGGATCCGCGCTTAGCTCTACAGAGAACAACGCAGAGCCTATTTTCATCAGAAACGAAATCAAGACCATGCTTGCGACCTAATCGTGTCGTCGAGACTATGTAATGACTCCCTTCTCGTGCCCTTGTGATTGTTCAACGCTGAGAATGTCAAACTGTGTTAGCTTTAGTTTGTCGTATAGAAGCTTTCTGAAGACGTTTCTCTCCTGGAATAATATGAGAGAATCATAACCTCATGCTCTGGGCATCCAGCCTTAGTCAGATCCTTGACCAGCTCAGTAGCCACCACAATGTACTCTGAATTCATGTAGGGCGAGCCACCGTTTTATTTCCATAGAGTGGATTCATTCACGGATAGAAAGTGAGAATGCCCAATGCTGATATCATGCGTCTTTTGCCATGAAAGTGTTCATAGAGGGGTATAAGGAAAGAGTGCAGGCATGGTTTATCAGTAATCCTCTATAGAACTCTTTACTAACGAACTCTGCGATCTCCGGATGCATTCTATATTATATTTTCAACAATATGTGGCTCACCCTTGTATTTAGGAATCGTTAAAAGTTGGATAGACGTTCAGAGTCAAAAGCCTCGCTATGGCATTAGATGTTTCGTTAGTACGGCTTCCTTCAAGAGCATGGCCTAGCGTTACCAGAGCCAGTCATAAAAATACTGTCCATTAGGATCTGTCTGCGTACCGTGAAGTAAAGACACGGGGTACAGAGAGGGGGTGTACTCTCTATTGTATCTCTCACAATAAGCGGCACGTTGATGCTCAGCCTCTCAGGAGGCCAAGAGCCTTGCCGATCTCGTAGTGTCTTTCGTTAATGAATGTGTTTATTGCGGGGCGTAATACCCCAAGTTTTGGCGGAGAAACAAACAAAGGGGCTTGTTCGTCCATCACGTTGCCGATGCCCGACGTGATCACGAATAGCCGCTTCATTCAAGCTGGGTAAAGAATCGATGCGACTGAACGTTCCTCCTGGGACATGTCGACATTCATACAGCGGAAAAGGCCCTGGAGGTGGCTTTGGCATCGCAGCAAAGAACAGCCAATTCTCCAACAAATTACCGCATGCCCTTGTCACCTCCCTGACTTGCATATTACCCGAAAGAAGACGACGGAATTCATCCACAGCAGCCTTTTAAGACACGCTAAACGGTTCCACAGCAGTGCGGGGAAACAGCAAATCCCATAGCATACGGCACTTCAGTTTGAGACCAGGAGATTGTGTAGTTATCGATATGCGGAGTCCCTCTGCATCTCTGTGCAACACTCGCTGCAAGCTTTGTGAAATTCAATTTTACTCTCCGTAGGCTGCTGGAGAAACTGTAGGAAAAGTCTTGCCGGGGATTCTGACCCGGCCAGCTTATAGGGCGATCGGTATCGAACCCTCGATCACCAGACGCGGGCCAGATGATGGTGAGCTCCATTCGCCTGTTCTCAGGCTTTGGTCCTGTAATCTCCAGCGCGGGGCAAAAGTGTGGAAGCTCGGCCCCGCCATGGATGCTGAATTTGAGTCCTGTATTGTCCACGCAAGAAATGCTCCTGAATTTTACCTTCTGTCTCGGATTTCAGGCCCACATAACTGAATATATCACTCTGAAATTCTTGGTATCCGTGTATTGGGGATCGCGATTCTTGATGCCGGCGAAATTTCTCCCGGTCAACATTTCCGACACCCCGAGGAAACCATTATACCACCGGAGGTTGTCTCTTACAACCTGCGTAAAGTCAACAACTATGAGTGCCCTACGATCCGCCGCCATATTAATGAGGTGTATTGAACTGTGCAGTGAGTCCCTTTATCATTTTAGCTTTGAGCAGCTTGGTACAGTTGAAAGAAAAGAATCATGTAGTAGCTGAAGTTAGAAAGAACCCAAAAGGTGATAGGAGGAAATAAAAAGGTCGGAGCCGGGGAGTGAAATACAGTTCCGAAAGTGAATTGTTTGTGTGAAAAGTTCCTGCTTTCAAGGTATGTCACTCTTTTATATAGCCATGGATAATCTACAGCCGCAAAAAGTGCCCGTGAAGTGATAAACTCTCCTTACTGAGGTAGGCAGGTTTCTCAAATCTAACAAAGAGGACTAGCTCTCAGGCAACGAGCCCAAACCCTCTTTACATGCGATTATAAGGGCTTTTTCTCCAAAGCATAGCCGCCATTCATATGTTCCTTCATGGATTGAATGAGAGAGACTATCCTGTCATTGTAAATCCCCGTCAATCAGCGACTAAGCAAGTTTAAGAAAAGCGAGCAGCTGTGGCGTACCTTGAAATGCTTCAATCTTTCTGTGTGGTTGTGTTAGTAACAGGCGCCTGCTTAAATCAACAGAAGTGAATGTCTGCCTTTTGATATCCTACCTGCTTGTGTTCACTCTTCATATCCCACCCTCTGTTGTTGTTGTTGTTGTTTTACTCTCTATCCATTTTCCAGGCGCTTCGCTTGTACTATCTTTGATGAAAGAACGTCTCTATCCTCTCTAGAGCTGGCCCAGTGGGCCGCTGATTATTCCATCCACTACTACCTTTACCTTTACCATCATCACCTCAGTCAAAGTCCGAATTATCGAGGCGCTAGCCGGCCTGTCGCTGCCTGGACTCTCTACTGATGGTCCACTCATGCGGTAAATATACCCCCGGGTCTTTCTTTTGAAGAAACGCAGATCCTCCAGCTCCTCAGCATCGCAAATTCCAGCTTTATCAGGCTTAACCCTAGCACTGCCACCTATATCATGACCTAGATTAAACCCGTGGCCGCAGATGTAGCAGCCCGCACTGTAGCCGTAATGCGTTGCTTCTGGCGCATTCCCCAGTGCAAGCCACTCATCATCCGGGTTATCCGATCTATCGGACATATTCTTGGATGAGAACATTGTTGCTTAATCAAGAAAGGATCATGGTTCCGTCTAGTTCAAAATGATCTGAACTAGACGGTTATTGGGTTCCATGGTGCAGTTGAACCCGACACGTACTGATAGTAATTGAAGTGACTTGTGTTGGGAATCTTATTTGCACCTAATCTAGGTAAGAGTGCGATTTGGACTTCACCGATAGTATATGGAGACCTATGAAAGTGGCGCCGAATAAGACCACCTTTGCGGCTGTTTATGTCCGCATTTCTGCCAGTAACTTACAGCGGCGATATTTCAACTGACGACCAAAGCTACGCCAACAATGAGTATTACGCTGAATATCTATACCTGAGCATTACAATACACTACCACCGTCCCTTTCTTCCACGTACTCTAATATTTATCGATCTAAACCACTCCGCAAGCTGACCGACGAGAGAACGACACAATCAATCAATCCATGTTTGCTTAGTTCGGGGGGAGGCGACACGTAACTAGTACTGATTGAATTGAACTGAGACGGGAGGCAGACCGTCCACGTAGTAAAAGCACTAAGGAAACCACTCAAGCATCTAGCTCCAGCACTTCTCTATGTCTCTCACCCATACATGGAATAAGCAAGAGTTTCTGAAACCCATCCAATTGCCCAGGGACTTGGCCCTCCTGCCAAGCCCTTGCAAAATCACCATAGAGCACGGTGTCCTTTCCCAAGTGATCCGACTCGACCAACCACGAAGCACTGGTACGGACGTCCCAAAGAACAGTTCCAGACGTGAAGGGCAGCATACTCAGCGCTCTGACATTCGAACAAAGTCCGGTTTTCAGCACCGAATATAAGCTCTCCATCATCATGAAAAGGATGACCGTTCTCCGAGCACTCTCGGCAATGATCCAGTCCTGCCATGTGAGTGCGGGGGGCAGATCTCTGGCCTGGGCCTGCAACTGGAGGCTCCAAAGTCGCAATGTATTCATATTCTGTTCTGCGACGGAGCGCTGCCGGACGTCACCGTCAAAGAGCTGGATGATATGGAATAGCATTAGCGCCTGCACTGCTGCGAGGAGCGTTTGCAGAGTGCTTGTTTGATGGTCCTGTTTCACGAGGCTTGCAGCCTTACTTTCCAGAATGCGGAATACCATATCCTCCGTTTCTGGGGTCTTAGCACGGTAGGCTGTTGAGACTGTAAAGGCATCTTGAATAGCATCGGGCAAATATGCATCGTAGAGGCGGTGATGAATGAAGGGGGTCTTTCGAGAGCTAGCAAACATCTGCGGGTAGCCTTTGATGCTCCGCAAAAGCTGAGTGATTGACCACCGGTCTAGGACAGTGGTTTCTGGGAAGAAGCTAGCCGGGGATATTGGTAGAACAGTGGGCAGAGAAGGTCCCACAGTAAACCATGAGGTGGGGAGGCTCGCCCCGTCGGATAGAGAGACATTTAGCGGCCAAAGAGATAGTATGTCATCGAAAACGTGGGACGGTTCAGGCTCCACTCGCGAAAGATCTTTTGGGTGCTTTTGTGGAGTCCGCCGCCTATTGACGTAAACACATTCCAGGCCCTGGGTAAGGCACCGCGAACATTGCGGAGTTTGGCGGCTGCAGCGTCGTTTGCCCTCGACGCATGCATTACACGACTTCTGTCGGGAGCGGGCATAGGGCGATCTGTACGACATGGTCTGTGTGTTGAGTCACGAAGAGAAGAGGAAGTGACGGATCATCTAGGTAAGCTGATGATAAATTTCCGCGAAACTCCGCGAAACTCCGCACCCTTTCCGCAGCCCTTGGTCTATACTACTACACGTATATAATCAATGTATATTGATAGTACTCTAGCAACAATATAAATAGGGATCCATAAACCTCCTAGATTCCTTTACAAAATCAATCCTTACTCTATCAAAGATAAAAAAACCTCTTCCTTTTACAATGGCAGTCATCGAACTTATTTTCCCAAGCATCAAAACCGATCCGGCTTCGCTTGAAGAGATCGAACGAGACTGGCCGGTCATCAGTAAAATATTACTCGACCCTAACCCCGGCTTGCTCCACGCATACCGCGGATGGATTTTGACAGAAGATGGGCAGGATGTGAGAGAAGCCTACAAAGAGTTTCTTCTTTTTGGTAAGCTTACATAACGAATCACTCATGAATACTTCGTCTAATCCAGTATAGAATGGAACAAGGCTGATTCTTTCCATGCTTTTCTTGGTTCTGAGCAATTTGCTGCTTTCGCTGGCTCGATCAGACATTTGGTGACTGGGCCAGCCACGCTGCAACTCTTTGAAACAAATTGCTCCCCGAGAGAAATGGCCTCGGCGCCTGTGGTTGAAATTATCCGGGTGGGCATCTTCAATTCTGAGAATATCGAGGCCTCTCTGCAGACTTGGGGGAAGATATCGCACTCCCTGTCTGGCAAAGCCTCTGTCACGTATGGCAAGTGTTTGAACCTAGAGAGAGATATCGTAATGGGCATTATAGGATGGCCGAGCTTGAAGGTAAGGTCAGAATATCTATCTATTATAGTTGTCATACTAACGTTTGGCAGGACCGCTCTGAACTGTCCCGAGAAGGAGATTTTATGGAAGCTTTGGACTCTTTCAAGTTGCTAGGGAAAGTGTCGCATATCACTGTTGATATTGATCCAATGGAGCTGGGAACGCTGTAGGGCATGTTACTAGTTTGAAATCCAGTTTCCTTGTGATATAGGATATGAATAAATGAGGAGGATTATAGGCCAGTAGTCATATCTTAAATACAATTTAAGTACTTTCGTGGGTGTGCTTATAATTGCCTCTCAGCTGGAAATTTCATATTGTATGAAAGAAAACATCATTATTATAATTTAGCTTTAGTCTTTTCAAGCTATTCAAGGTGCCACGAAAAATCAAATACATTCACATCCAAACGTGGCCCACTTCTCTGCCCCATGATTGCAGTTCGGGTTAATGCACTAAGTAAGACCGAGTCGATGCCTTCCGCTTGAGCATCAAATGAAATGCATAAAAAGTCTATATGAATAAGGGTCTATCTTTCATCTGCTCGAAAGACATTCTCGATATCCCTCTCACAGCACTCAATCAAGCAGGCGCGGCGCCAGACACACTGATTTGCTCTGAAGGGCGCCGATAAAATCACTCCATTCAGTTGATTCGCCGTGTACGAGATTGAAAAGAGTCTGTGCGCCTTATCATATATATCTTTTTTGTACCGTATACAACAATGCTAAGATTCTCGAGGGCAATGCAGAGTTCGCTATCTCGGACTTAGCAGTTGGAGCTCCCCGAATATCTCTTCTGACCATCACCTTTTGATTGGCAATCCGGATTGGTCCAACTTCATGAATAGAGAAACACCGCTGATAAACCACTCAGTGTATTTCTAGGGAGGAGAGACTTTATCCCGCTTATCAGCCACGGCGCGGACACCAACGGAAGAAAGATCAGATACAAGGCTATCAATCTGCGCGTGAACGTTTAGACTTTCTTCTAGCGAGCCAGGCCACTCCGGAGCAACGCAGACTTGGGTCTTTGCGACGCGTGGAGGAAGAATAAGACCACGGTTATCTCCATGATCCGCTATCATCTAACCGATGGCTCGAGCAGAAGGACGATACGTGTTCTGTCACACGTGAAGTAGCGGTGCTGTGTCTGTTGACAAAGTTTCGACTGTAATATCATATTCTTCGTTGATTGTTTGCCTTAATTCTTGAGACATTGCATCCTTCATACACTGATCTATACCAGGAATATATCCTAAAAGTATGCTGGTTTTCGGGGATCGTTAGTATGATCAGTCCCCTTTGTTTCCAATCCCTTTACTACAGGGACAAATAGAAGATCCTGATATAGAGACGAGTAAATATCAAGCATGACTTGGATCTCTTGGCAAGCATTTTGCTCTGTTAGATGAGCAGTGTGAGATTCTTGCCATAGAAAGTTGTCGCATCTAAGAAATGGCTGGATGTTTCTTTCCATTTGCTATCTGTGCCCCAGTGATTCAATTTGACCCTGCAAATCCTGGGGCGTCTAATTCATTTCTTGAAGAAAGTGTGCATGACACAATCGGTAGTCGGCTGGTCTCTGGTGCCCTCGGCGTTCCCTTCAGCTTCAATGTTTTCGAGGGCAGGCGAAGGAAGGTAATAGTTCTGTACTCCAATGACCTCAAGCTGGCAGTTCAACCAGGTTCTTATTTTCTCCCAGATCGAGTGAGAAGCCGGATATTAAAGAAGCCGTTAGACTAGCTGTGGTGGTAAAAGGGCCATGAAAAGAGATACTACCACCAGGAACCCATGATTGATGACAAAGGCCAACATATCTTAAGAACCAAACACTTCGAAATATGATCTTGATCGACCATGTCGCCCTTGCTCAGGATATCCTGATACTATCTTGCGAAATCCTTATCCTTTGCGACTTCAATCCACGGGGGGGTATTTCCGACAACTGTCACTTTGCACTTCGACATGTTGATGATAAATGTTGACCCCTCAATATAAGTATACAAGGATACTTCATAGTCGTTTCATTGTTGATATGGTCAAAGTTCAAATTCTCTCGTTGGCGGTGAGTTCATATGTTTTTTGGTACATCTCACAAGTCAGTGCGCACCTCTATGATGGTTTCAGAGACTACCAAACAGGTATATTCCATAGAATAGTTGACCAGTAATGCAATCGCAAAGCCAATAACTCTTTCTAGAATATAATCTGAAAGTAACTTGTGGCTGAGCATTAGGTAAGTACAATTACCCCTCAGTTGGTAAACTAATGCAATAATGGCCTATACAAGGTCGTTCCATTTGAGAACAGCGAACAGGGTGAACTCCATGGCATACCTAACCTACGGTCAGGTGAATGAAGCACGAGGAAGGCTAGTGCTCCTCGATAGTCTTATGTTTCCCGGGTGTGAGTTGCTTAATCCAAGCGTGATACTTGAGGGTATTCAGGAGACAATAGATGTGTAAACTCAACATCAGCAGTCATCAGCCACCAACCTAGTAGGCGGCTCTTAAGTGAAAGAATTTCCTAATCTACTATGTATTAGGTGAGAACAGTATAAATAAACTTACTGGATGAGAGTGGGGATATAAATTAAATAGAGATAGAGTTAGTTTAAAACTATTCTGCCAACGTATAGCTAGTTAACTAGTAAGGATAGATACTATTTATTACAAGAGTCAAGAGTTCAGAGTAAAAGTTGAGATAATCAAAAGTGATATAGCGATATTCCTGGTAAAGAAGAGAAAGAAGAATAGGGGCCTAGCTATAGATTGATAGGACAGTGGTGGATAAAGAAGTCTAGAATATAGGAGGAATCTTTGGATGATGGGAGGTGGAGATTCCAAGGTGAAAATCGGGGACGCTAAACCGAGGATAGCAAAGCTAACCGGAAAGGGTTGGACCCACCTAGTTGACCTGCATCCACCAAGTACTCATAGCTCGCTTTACAACTCCAAATATGACTCTCAGACCACCTCGCGAGTCCCCGAGTTCAAGCAAACAAACATTCTTAGCAGAGTATGAATGAGACAGTGAGAAAACGCTCCAGGATTGCTTGCGTCTCCTGTCAATCACGCAAGCGTAAATGCTCCGGTGACCAACCGTGCAGTACATGTTCTCAATTTGGTGTCGACTGCCGCTACGACCTGCTGTCGCGTAAGAAAAAGGACGCACGGTCTTTTAGGCCACAGCAATCTATACCTCCAATAACGAACACTACATCCCGCAATGAGTCTGTCCCTAAGAGTCATCGTGAAGAGGTCTCGGGCGACTCCACGGGCATGCCGCTTGGCTCCTTGGAAGCCAATTCGGGAGCAGCATTTGTGCGAAAATTAGGACTCAAGATCGACCCAGCCAATGCTCCGAGGCTAGAATTGTTCGCCTGGAACGTGGGTGCCCGTCAGCCCGCTCCTTCTTCGATACCCCCAGCGTCCGTTACCAGGCCAGTAAGCGTTGCAGACATCGTTTCCCAGGACGAAATGAGGCTGCTAGCCGCCACCTTTTTCGAGAAGGTTGATCCATGCTATGGCTTTATCGACCGTGAGCATCTGTTCCATCAACTGGGCCGGCGATGGCTCCCTTCGTCATCTGAGTCTGCATTGTCTTACGGGCCGTATGACGCTGTGCTCTGCGGTGTTGCGGCTTTCGGGCACCTCTTTTCGCGCAGACAAGCACCCCAAGCCGAGCTTCAATTGGTCGAGGCCGCTCGCCTAATACTTGACCAACATATGCTCTCCGAAACACCTTCTTCGGTAGATATTGTCACTGGCTGGGTGCTTCGAGTTGCATACCTGCGCACGACGGCCTCTCCCAACGCAGCCTGGATGGCTAGTTGTTCACTGATGCATCTCATTGAGGCCACCGGTCTTCATTTAGAGCCCACCTCCGACACAGTCCTGGGGCAACCGGCAGAGCCGTGCGACCCAGAAGTTCGCCGGAGATTATTTGCTATGGCACGCCATCTAAATGTCTGGATATCCTTCGAGTTGGGCCGTTCCCGCGTCATCTTGCACGGGGCAACGTCGCTCCCACCCACCCCAAGAGCAACCGGTGAGATCTTTAATCTCCTTCCAGTGTCAGAAAGTCTGGATCCCAATAAGACGCAAGACTATCCAGACCTTGAATCAGCACTTGCCAATGTTGTGGAGATAGTTCACCCCCATCCCTCACACACCCTGGCGCAATGCAATCTAATGCTATGCATATACAGGCGCTTGCGGGGCCTGGACTCCGTCATATCTGGAGCCCTCTTGGACCGCGTTCTCGAGTTAGCGAAGAAAGGTCTACGTGCCTCTCGTGACATGGTCGCGGCAAACTCTCCCTGGCATCAGATCGCCAACGTGCCCTTCCAGATCGTCTGCACGCTGTTAGCGATTGACAGTCGCGCCTCGTTAGCATTGCTGGGCGATGCCATGCAGGCACTGCGCGATGTGGCCTTGGCGTATGATACGGACGTTATGAGGGAAGCCTATAACACGGCCTACCTGCTGATCCTACTGCACCAGCGACGAAAAGAAGAAGATACGAAGACTCTTCGAGGTGTTCTGCGTGCCAGTTCTGCTGCTTCGGCTCCACAGGTTGAGGTTAGTGAGCCCATAGCAGAGTCGAATCACTCACTCGCGGACTATCCAGGCTTCTCCTGGCTGAGTGATTTGGTGATCGACATGCCGGGTTTGCAGAATTTTGATCTGGAGACTTTTCTGGCAACCGACACCCAATGGCCGCTGCCAGAGATGGGCATGTGATATGTTATATTTCTGATTACAACTAGCGCATGCTCTATCAAAACAGGATACTAGGTGAAGTATCGAGTGATAGTGGAGGATGCAGAAAGAGATGCCGCTCCTATGATTTCCAGCCGTATGGGCGACAAATAGAGGCTTGATCTACGAAGGCCGGGGCCAGATTATTCAGCCTTCCCCTGCTTGTTACTCCTTTTCTGTGACCGTGTCCCAGATGAGCGGGCTACCAAACCCAGTTTCCATAATACCCACAGCAAGCCAAGGCCAATTACAATCACAGTACCCAACTCGATACCTCTACTTTGGAAAAATCCTTTATTGTCCGACCGGAGAACAGGAACTTCCAGCTCCTCAACGAGCCGATCAGAGGAAGGGTGCAGCTGGTAGAACAAGGTCCGAATTCCAAACAGGCCCTCCCATCCGAGGTTGACTCGGTCAAATGGATTCACCCCCATCTTGGTACCGTCTTCAGCGGTGCACGCCCAAAAGACTACCGGCCATGGGACTGGCACAGAGCGGTAACCCGACTCAGAGGGTGGCAGGTACCGCAGATGGAGGGGGATAGTGACACTCCACTCCTCTGGAACTTGATCAATTTCAGCCGGTGTGGCCAATTCGAGCAACCAGTTTGATCCCCAGCGTGGCACAAACCAGTCCGGCGCCTCAAGGTCCGTCTCTCCGGCCACTGCGTGAAGAGCAACCAAGTTGTGAGAGTTCAGAAATAGTGGGTCTGTGGTTGAAAGCTGATACTTATCGCCAAATATCGACGACGGAAGTGTCAAATAGCTGTGAAGCGCGCAGGTCGCATCCGGTGGAGCAGGCGGTGGCTTAAGCGATGATGGTGGCATCGAGATGGTCATGGTAGGATGCAAACCCGTGGGGGAATTAAAAGAAACCGAATACGTTGCGTCCTCCGGCAGGGGATGATGGCGGGACGGGAAAGAGAAGAGCGATGGCTCTGCCCATAGATTATCAGTACTATATCCGTGCGCAAAACCAAACACATTCAGCAATCCGCTGTTAAGCATACTTAACTGATCGTCCTTCCCGACAACTGCCAGTAAACCTCCCATCTTAATATCCTCCGGCTCAGTCGCCTTTTCAGTCCCCAAAAGACCAACTTCGACCTGATCCGTCCCCGCAGCATGCTTCCGTATCTCGCCCGTCCACCCCTTGCCCGGTGATTGTGACCAGTACCCTGAAATAGTGAAGGAATGCGATATACTATCATAATTAATATCGACCGAGTCCGCGGATCGAATAGACGTAGCATGGCGGACACATTCCTCGTCACCGGACGAACAGATTTTGTTCTCAATATACGTAACTAGCTGATCGAGCGAGGGAAGTAAACTGTAGTATTGGAAAGCAGCGGTTGAAGCGAAACGCGTGGACAGAATGGGAGGCGTAATGAAGGATTCCTATTATATCTGCGTCAGCTTCGCTAACCACGAACATGTTCATAATAGAAGTACCAACCTCAGGACTTTTACATTTCAACCCATAATCAAACGCCCTCTTTAACAGCGCACACAACGATGTCCTACAGCAAGCCATCAATGTCAACACAGCACACTTATATCCCGATCTAACAAATACTCACAGCTTATCTTCCTCGGTCAATCCAGCAACGGGCGTAAAAAGGACATGCAACCCAGGCGAAACCCGACTCGAAAACGGTGCAACAGCGTCATACCGCTTTTCAGACGCCCATCGGACATGAAGCTGATGGCATTGTTTCAGAACCTCCCAGAGCTGACAAGTCAATTCAAACCCAAATAATCAGCACCAAATAATCCGATAAATTCAACGTCGGCACGAACGGCAAGAAGATACCTCATCAGGAAGCTCATCAAAGCTAAACGTTGCCCGTTCTTCGCGCACACCGTCTAGGTCATGGATGGAGAGGGCGTCGGGGGTTAGGACTGCTTGATCTAGGGAAAAGGGGGCGTCAGGGCGTTGAATGAAAGTAATTCTGCGACGCATTGTTGGATCGGTTGACTGAGGTCCAGTTGATGTGATGGTTGGGGAAAGTTGTTGGAGCTTCAGGTTGTTTCTCCGCATTTATTGTTTGTCGTCACGGGTGTGCTCGTTGCTTGATTAGGTTAGTGTGGGTGCTTGTACGATAAGATAAGGATTTCCTTTTTCAGGATGGAATCAACCATACCTGTAAGGTGAAGGTACATACATAGTAGAAGTTCCACGTAGCACTTGATCAATAGATTATTCCTTGTGCTGTTCTATATTGCATGATACCTTTATGCAAAGCGTCTGGGTCTTTTTCTTTCAGCCACAGACCAAGATCATTGACACATGAATGATACATCATATTGGCCACCTCCGTGATCAAGACGGAAATTGTATCTTCTAGGTAAGCCTATAGGACAATGAGATCCGCCAAGAAATTTCGGTTGGCAAAGGGCTGGCATATCTACCGTTATTGCGCATGGCCTACCAGCGGTAGTGGAGGACGGGTAAACAATTGGGTAAATATTAGAATGTAGATGTGCTATTAGTCCCGGTGAACAGGGAAGTAGGTGACGATAACTAACAGGGCAGATAGCGTAAGGAGCAGAAGACAGATAGTGTTGGTTAATGTTAGCAGACTTATGTCACCTGGATAACATACTAACTGGATCTACATTTACTATATACAATTCTGGTAGCATGACTTAGGGCAATAGATATCTAGTAAATTTCAGACACCATCACCATCCAGAAAAAGACATCCAACCAATTTACCTGCAGTAACCATGCGCACAGATCCAGTTGCCGTGACCTGCAATATAATCTCATGTCTCCAGTTCAACACGGACCTCCGACACGCACCAAGATCCTCATTATCTGAGGCCTCACAATTTACCACTACCTGTCTTCGGAATATTATGCCAATGTACGTTTTCTTCCAGCCCGAGAGCTTCCTTATCCGTCATATACTAACCCGAACGAAACTAGAACATCGATATCCTTATCGACGACTAAACCGCCGAGGATGTGAAGGCGAAGTTGCTTCAGTCGAAATGTTTCACAGAACAGCGAGGTATCCTCTACTAGTCAACCAGCTGGGTTCGCACACGGGTTAATATCCGAGCGACATTTTCCAGAGAGGTAAAAACCATACACGCAGGTATCTACCTTTAACATATGCTTACATATGCGTCAAGGTGCCTTACTTCCACGAGGAAGCAGTCGCGATCAAAGACGTGGGCCCAGAAAGCCTCTCCTACCTCGAACCAGCAAATCCCATCGCATTCAAGTTGCACGCGTGCGCGAAAAGAAGCCATGATGTGCAGAAGAAGAAAGAGTAAAATATGGTGGACGTACAGAATCTCCTCGAGTGGTTGAGTACCGAGTAGCATCCGATACGTCTCACAGACGAGGCGCAGAACGCAGCTGTTTCGAGTTTGCGGGCGCTTCTGAATTACCCGGATATGCCTGTGAAGTGGTGGGTGAAGGAACTGGAAGTGACGCTCCAGTTCTAGTCTTCGATGGGCTTTTTTTTTGGCAGTCCTGTGGTCTAGATAGAATGTTCGAGCTTAGCTGCTTCTTGTGTTTTGGGATATGGAGTTTTTGAAATTGAGGTTTCTCTTTTGTCTTTCTGTCTCTTTTTCTGGATCTTCAATTTTCCCTTCTTCCCTTGTCCCTTCTCTCTCCCCCAGAACTTCCGCTAATCATAATTAAATGTAGTAAATATCCTCCTTTCCCTCTTCTTCTCTTAACACGACATCACCCAGGACAAATATCTAATCCTCACAAGAGCCCAATAAAACCTACGCCCAAGCCAACCCATCAACGCCCCCACAAAACGAGCAGACCTCGCTCTTGCTGAATCGTCTTAGAGGAGGAACTAAGCCTGTACTGTGCATCAAGGTCCTTGCTTGGTCATAGATGCATATAAGCATCATGAAACCTATGTAAGATGATATCTGTCTTCCGTTACCTCGATCAATAATGCAATGGTTTATAGATTGCCAAATCTGGTATTCCATCGTTACCACGGACTAGGCATGAGTATGTTGTAGTGTCGGCTCGGCCCGCTTTCCCGAGCTTATTGGGAAAACGTATGGGCTCTTGCTTACGAGTCAGATTTGCGTAGGATTAGGGTGATGGGGATGGCTCATGGGGTTGCTTTTGTTGAGATTGTGTTGTACAGATATGTAGGGAATGTGGTGTGATGGTAGAATGGTCCTTCTATAGGAGTAGCTTCATACTCTTGCGCGAAGAGACTTGGATATTGAGATCAAGAAGTGTTTCCGCTTTTATTAACAAAATATCTAAGAAAATACAGTAGTGGAAATCATTAAAAAAAAGCCCATGTCATCACATCATCAAGCGACCCGATTCGCTCGCCCCAACGCCAACAATGCTGGTATTAACCGGAAAAGCACGAATGCAGGAAGACCCTTACGGAAGCACATCTTTAAGGATATCTTTCTGAGCAGCTGACAAACTGGCTGGGAACCGAACTATCACATGAACGATCAGGTCGCCTCGCTCACTCGGCTTCTTTGATATCGTCATGCCTTGGCCTGGGAACCTTTCCTCGTAGCCGGGCTGTGTTGGGCCGGGTTTGGATACACGGATCGATTTCCCATCGATTGTGCGCACGATCCGGTCCCAGCCGGTGAGGGCCTCTTTCAAACTGATTTCGACGGTCGTGATGAGGTTATCACCTTGGCGTCTGAAGTTCGGATGTTCTTTCTGTACGGAAGTTAGTCACTGGTCTCTACCTTTCCACAGACTCGAAGTTTCGAAAGTTGGCACCTACCTCTGTTACAATCAGGTGGACATCCTGTCTGCCGCCCTCTTCTTGATCGCCCACACCTCTGTATTTGATCTTCGAGCCGGTCCGCAGGCCCGGCTTGATGTTCGCTTCGAGTGTCACATCTTGGACGGTGCGCTTTCCGCTCGCGTCGAAAGTCTTGCTCTTTACGGTTACCTTCTTCGTGGTTCCGCGCATCAACTCTTCCAGTGTCAATGGTAACTCCTTTTCGACCACGGTCGGTTCGGGGGTAGGTGCGCGCTGAGATTGCTGGAAGCCACCAGGACCACGGCTTGAGCGGAAGCTACGGCCGCCGCCGCCGCCTCCGAGACCACCGCCCAGAATATCAAACAGATCGTCATTGTCCATTCCACTGCCACCAGCCTTGGCGAAGTTCCGGAAGATATCATCTGCAGAGCTAAACTGGAAGCCGCTGCTTCCGCCAGGGCCGGTTGAGAAACGGAATGTCCGGGCACCGCCTCCTCCAGGCATGCCTCCGAATGAGAATCCACCCGGCATTCCACCGTCGAATGGACTTCCACCGGGACCGCCAGCAGCACCACCACCGGGCGGAGGGGCCGGCCCGCCCCGCATCAGATAGTCGAGGCCGAATTGGTCATAGATCTTGCGCTTTTCGGGATCAGACAGAACTTCGTAGGCCTGTGAGACCTCTATGAAAGTATTAGCTTCTATCTCAAAACAGCGGGGAGCGGTATTTCCATATTGGGGAAGCACGGGGAAAAGAACCACGGTTTAGTCGCTTACCTTTGAATTTCTCCGACGCGGTCTGGTTATCCTTGTTCTTGTCCGGATGGTATTTCAATGCGGCCTTCCGATATGCTTTTTTTATTTCGTCTTGTGATGCATCGGGTTTGATACCCAAGGAATCGTACAGCTTAGTTTCTGCAACCATTGTGGGAACAATCGGCAGTGAGTGGGGTAATTATGCAGTGAGATTGTGAACAAGCAAAAATCAACAAAACCCTAATTTAGGGGTTCCAATGAGAATATAAAAGAAATAGACCGGATAGGAGACCAGCTCGGGGTCAGGCAATGTCGAAAGGTCTTTGCAGATCGACGACAAGGGAGTGGGCTCTCGAATGACGTAGAAGATTCGCAACCAAGGAAATACTGGTCTTAGGTGAATAGACAAGTGAGACGCAAGATGAGGAGTCGAAGGAAGAGGAGAAATAGTTAAGGAGATGCCAAAGGCGAGTAAGTCAGCATTGAGAGAATGGAGACTTGAAGGAAGGCAGAAGGTGGCTTCATGTATCATGCAGCGAGACGGCGGCATTCAGGTGACGACAGACCAGTCCCGATGGAGAAGCGCTGTGACGTGTGACGTTGACCGCATAGGCCCTCCTCCAATCGAAGCTTCGAGAAGCTTCGATCCTCACTGGTCCGTACCTTTTTACTCCGCCTTAGATACAGGAGAAATCATATCGTCTTTATTTGACAGGTCAGCTCAATCGATTTGCCCCGTCCAGTTCGAGCAAGCATGTATGCAGCCCCGGAGGTTCCGTTGCATAGTCCCCTCAGGCCGGAATTCGATGGCAAGTCATCAATCACTGGCTCGGACGGGAACTTTCCAGTTCTGGTCTAGTGTGCTGACGCCCATTCCGGGAAGCCCCACTCTTAGGTTTCCACATGATCCAGCCAGTCTGATGTAATCTTTCGAGATTCACCTTATTTATCATTCTACGTAGTACCTATGTATATGTAAAAATAGCCCACAAAGACACTGCTGCTATACTACTATTTCCACCCTGGAGATCAACTTCCGAAATTTATCACGAATTATCATCAACCACAATATAGTTCTCGATCACGGCAGTTCCGTTCACCACGCTGGCAATCTGGTCTTCCGTGCAACTACTCTGCAACTCGAGGATGTAGCAAGTAGGAGCAGGGCTATCAGGAACGGTGTTGGTGATATTCCAGGTCGAGGACGGCCCGTGAGTGGAGTAGGTACTGTTATTAGCGGTGGAGACCTTGCCTGTTGCAATATCTTGGTTGAACAATGCGCGGTGGAAGATTTCGTATGCCGTTTCCGGCTGATATGCCGGCACCTCATGGCCGGCCTGGAAAACGCGCGTGAATGAGAAGTTTCCGTACTGCCGCACTAAACCCCCAACATACGACGCATTGGTCTGCAGAGGGGCGTAACCAGCAGAGCGGAACTTGGTGGCACCCGAATAGTCCACCTTCAAGCTCACCTCTTCTCCTCCGTTCCACGGACAAGCGTAATCCCTATCACCATATACAAGGGCAACCTTGATGCCCGAATCCAGCACGTATGCGATATCTTCTAGGTAGCCGCGTACATCGGAGCGTGGGTAGTCGCCGGTTGCAGAAAAGCCGTTGTAAACGCTATTGACAGACTCGGTGAAATTGACCGGAACTCCGAGAGCTCCCTGGACCCAGTGCTGGTTCAAGAATCCAAAGTAATATGGAGGGGGGAAAGGATCCGGGTTAAAATGTGAAATGTCGTAGTAGCCTCGTCCCGAGTACAAGTTATAGGGGCCCTCTACTTGATTGCTGCAGTATTTGTTCGCTTCGTCACACACCTTGTTCACGGTTTGGTTGTTGCCGTACATTTCGGGATCCCCCTCTGCGGCTAAGCGACGGCACTCGATGATTTGGTCCTTGCAGCCACCGGGCTTGTCCCAAGCATCCATCGCCGCCTCATAGACAGTTTTGTTGATGGCCTCAATGCCATAGGTATTATTGTATGCCATGTCGGGGTAGGATGGCGCCTGCACAAGGAGGTCGACACAACCATTGATAATTCCCAGGGTATCCAGATGGATATAGTGAGCGTCATCCACCTCGACGGACCCGTTGGCAATCTTCTCATTCTGCTCCTGAAAGAAAGCGGTGAAGGACGGTCCATACCGTCCTCCATAGGACTCAGTCCAGATGCTTATTCGGTCATCGTGCGGTTTATACTCAGGGAATTCCGAGAACCAGGTTTGCGCAAAGTACCACAGAGCGCGGGCGGCGTTTTCGGTGGTATTGGCAGCTGTGGATTGGTTCTGGCTAGAGAAGGTGCCCGCATAATACGTGTTATTCTGCTGTGGGACGCCGTTTGCATAACTTGAGACGTTCCAGTTCTGCGTAAGCTGGTCATATGTACCATTGGTAGGGACATCGTAGCTGAATCCGACCTGATTGGGCTGGTCAATGTAGAGCATGTTCACATAGTTATTCCATGACCAAGGATTGATTTCGGTGGTATTGGAATCGTCGTTAACTCGGCAAGGACCGTTCTCCTGCAGAAGACCGATCATCGAGGAGCTTCCAGGCCCACCATTCATCCAAATGGAAAGTGGCGCGTTTCTAGGGTCATTTCGAGATTCGAAAAACCAAAAGAAGGTGTTGATTGGGTAATCTTGGTCTAGGGACAGATCGTTGAGAGTACCCGGGGGAAGATGCACGTAACCCGAATACGATTTGACTCCTGGAGTGGTTTCGCAAATACCAGGCTGTCGCGGACAGGGTTAGCATTGGATGTGACCTCATGGTGAGAGAAACAAGATCAGTTGATCGTCACATACATCCTTATACGAGATCTTGACACCTTCGTGATTCTTCGAATTGACGATTTTTAGGCCTTCTGGTGACGGCGGGAAATACTGGGCGGCGACGGCACTGGCCAGGCCGGCAGCGCTGATCACCGATACAAGAGACGGCATGGGATGTCGCGGTGATCCAGATGTGCTAGGCGAGGCTGGAGATACTTCGAAACAAGGCGGGCCAGAGAGGACCAGCCCCCAGTTTTATGCTTACTCTAGGCCCTCCGCATCATTAATGAAGAAGCCTACTCCATGTGGCTTGGCGGATGTGAGACCGACGATCAATGTAACAATTATCGGAGTAGATTCTGTGATGCAGCACGTCGATTGGCGGAGGACCTCTGGACTCCACCAGAACCAGCACTGAATCCAGGGACTCGGTGTCTAAAACCCAAACGTAAAGATAAGGCCTGTATTTTCACTGGTGGATAGCTTTGATGCGGAGAATAATAGTATCGGTTATCTATGGAATTAGCTTTAGTGATCTATCCCGATAGAGAACAGGGGAATAGTTAATAGTTAGATTCCTAAGCTGAATAAGCACTATTAAGGTTGTTCTCGGACGGGTATTTAAATCTTTCCCCAGATCGACATTCCAGCGTACCAAATACCAATCAATATTCCCTAGAGTGCAGAATGAAAATGTAGAATCACAAAGTGTATTGACTTTTTGCATGGATAATGAGACAAACTAACGTACACCCGGAACACTGAAAGCAAATAAAAATCACATCATTATTCATATCACATGTGGACATCGCGCCTTATAACCGTTACAGAAATGAGCGTCAGACATTAATCATCACAGAAAAATATAAGGGAATAATAAGTCGAGCAGGTAGGATAAAGGGTTTGAAAAGTATCATGTATCATCGAGAAACGGAGTCTCACTCCTGAGTGGGAGCCGGAATATCACCCAGCGTCTTCACAAGGGCCTTGAGCCCGGGGTTGATCTCTCCCGCGGCGGCTTCGAGCTCGCTCACGGTCTTCATAATATCCCGGCCCAGCTGCCGGACTAGATCATAAGTCGCTTGTAGGGCGCCGCTCTTGTGTAAAAGCTCCAGGATCTGGATCTTGCTTTCAGTGGACAACGAGGCACCCTCGGGCTTTTGTCTGAAAATGCCCAAGATGATGGTCTTGGCGGTAGGGTCGACGTTGCAGCACCTGACGACTGCATACGAGACCTTGCCCTGATCCAAGTCTTCACCAAAGCCTCTTTGGTTGTTGCCCGTAAGCAGTCCCAGATACTCGTTGCGGATCTGGTACCACCGCCCGAACAACTGTGAGAGAAGCTCGAAGTCTAGGGTTGAGCCTTCCATGCTGGCGGACTGCATGAGACGCACCAACATCCGGAAGATAGATCCGCTCTTCTTATCGACCATGTCCAAGTACTCCTGTTCGGTCGGGCACTGCAGAGAGAAGCGCCAGTTCAGATCCCAAGACTGTCCAATAAAATGTGTTTCGAGCTCTTCCAGAAGGCCGTCGAGCATTCCAGGGCAGTTCAACCCATTGACAGTTTTGGCGACGCGGACGAACATGTATGCAGCACTGTTGATGGACTGGGCGGGACCAAAGACCAGGTGGGCTGCCGTCTTTTGGCGCTGGAGAGGGGACTGATCCTGGACGTTGGCTAGGATCTCAGAGCTGTCGTGCAGGTCATTGACGACCTGCTTGATGAAGGTCAATGGCCGATTGGGGACTTGAAGCCAGACATTGAGTGCCGAAACCAGCTCCAATTGAGCCTCGTTAGCAGAGATGGACCCAATGTAGTTTGTTGGTGCCAGCAAGGGTGTGGCATCAAGGTGCACAGCGGGGTGTTCTTCCCCGTTGAGGAGAGGGGTCCACACTGGTACTTCCTTGGGCTCATCGCCACCCTCTACGTAGGCAGTGCCATTCGCATGCACCTCCTCCTCTTCGTCCTCTTCGTCCTCCTCCTCCTCCTCATCATCATTGGAGTCATCCTCGTTGCTTGAACTCTCCTCAGATTCTTCCTCGCTTTCCTCTTCGGGAGTTTCGGGAACCGCATACCGTGGTGCATTAGTACTCCAGTAATGGATACCTCCAAGGGCAGCTTCCAGAACCTCCATCCATTTGCGCAGTTTGGGCGCTAAGTCTGGGTGGGCCTGGTACAGCGCCTCACGTCTCTTGACGAACTCCTTTTCGTTTTCAAGAATGAGCTCCTTGGCCTTCGCACGTGCATCGTCCTCGGACATGTTCTGGTGCTGCATGAGGAACAAGATCACGTTCGCAACCCGTCTCTTCTTGACCTCGCGCTTTTCTTTCGGCCAGCTATAGTAGTCATTGGTGAAGAACATGGTTCGCTCAGCTGCGTCCAGCGCATCTCTCGCGATTGCCTGATCCTCCTTTCCAATCCGGGTACCGTGGGCAAATCCCATCAGGGTCCAGTACACACTGTTGTGCCAGTCAGCGATTGTTTCTCAGCGTATGTAAGACGGGGACACAGGAAGAAACGTACTCAATTCCTGCATTAAGACGGCGACGAGCCACGTAGTCGTCAAGATGGGCGCAGTTCTCTGCTGTGGGGACTTCCGGAGTGACAAGCCAGTTACTGCGGTAGCAGTCGATGATCTCCAGCCCATCCTTATCAGTCAGTTCGCCCGTGACTTTCTCCAAGAGCTTTTTCCTAGCTTCCGCTCGAGGCGACTCAACCAGTTCCTCTGGCTTGTCTGCCGCAGGTGCACTTTCTTTGCTTTCGGCTTGGTCTACAAGGTTGGTCAGCAATCGTCTCACTCCCGACACCCAAGCCAACGTACCATCGTGGAAGTTCCCGAGCTCAGTCAAATAGGCGACAACCTCCAGCCGTTCGGGGATACATTCCGGGTACAAGAAGCTTGCATAGTTTCCCACCGGGGAGGTGAGGTAGCTGGTCTTCGACTTGGCCTCTTCGCTACCGAGGGTGGCAGTCAAGTCTTCCAAGAAGCGATCGCTGCCTCTTTGGGCCACATGATCATATTTGTGGATTCGGGCCGTCAGAGAGGTAAAGCAATCATTCTGTTGTTGTGTCGCAGCATCTAAAGGTTGCGAGTGATTCCATATCTCAATTGGCTCGTTCGCTGTTGGTACGTCTGAGGCCGGTTCCGACGGGGTAGTCAAGACTTGGATAGTACTCTTGCTTCTTCTCCTCTTGTGGGATATGAAGTTGGAGTATTGCCTGAACATTGGTCGATGTAGTATGCGAAAGAGTAAACAAACAAAATACAAGTGAAGGGGAAATTTGCGAGAGGTACGATGCCCAATTGGCGACAACAAGCAAGTGAGGTAGACAAGAAAGGAGGAAGAATGTGCTTCTGGACACCCACGACGAGCTCTTTATAGGCAACGAGGGTCGTCGCAATTGAAGTGGACGATAGAGTAAAGGCGATGATGCATGTAACTGTAAAAATTTTTTTCGCCCATCAACACCGCATGGACCAGGGATTGGCCCATTTCGAAGCTAGGCAGTCAGCTCGAGGACCTACCTGCCGCAGATAAAAGTAAGATATTAGGACTAATATGCAAGCTGCACGCTGATTGGGGACTGCATCGATTGTTTTGCTGGCAGATACTTTTCTCCATAGCTCATGTGGAGCCACGCAACGCTCACCGCTTCATCGGTTCGCAGCTTGGTGGGTTTCGCCCAGCCGCCTCGTAGATGCGAGGCCGTTTGGTTGCTGATTCGCCTTTCCTCGGTCGCCTTACATTGGCTGCCAAGTGGTGACATTACATTGTTTTGTTTTGTTTTTCTTTCCTTTGGGTGGTGCCTTGCACTCACTTGCGGACGAAGAGAGTGATGCCACACCGAATGGAAATCACCAGAACATCCCATTCCCATGAGAGTTCCTTTGACATTCGAACCCCTCCAAGAGAAGCCGAAGATATTCCATATGGCGCTAATCTCGGAGAGTTTGATCACGGTACCGCATGTCATATGAGCAGTTGATATGGTAACAAGCAGAATGGAGCATATTTAGTATCTAAGTCACGGTATGAGAATGTCCCAATGAAGCCTTAGCGTGACCGGGTGGGGCTAAGTCTTCTCTTCCTCTCTCCCAAAAGCGTTACTTCTCTCTCTTTTGCCCTTTGCTAAATCGCTGGGTTTCACGGCTCCTCTTGAATCTCCGATGGCGCTCCTACGTCATACTCATTCCCTCTAACTTTTTTTTTTTTCTGATCACGCTGAATACCCCGGCGGCTGCCTCTACCCTGCAATTTAGAAGACACATTCCAGATCGAAGGGGGGGAGGGGCTGCAGTACTGTGAGCCATCATACAGCAAACCCACCAGGATTCCAGCGCATTGCAGTGCAGTGCAGTGCAGGCTGTACATGATCGACATCCCCCTCATGCGATAAGCCCATAACGGAAGTCCAGCAGAGCTAATGCGGGCGTCAAAGTCAATATTTATTTATTTTTTTTTTCATCCTCTTGAATTGAGCGCTATGACGTAGCAGGTATAGTATAGTAGGAGAGCCAAAATACCTTGAGTACAAAGTTATCCCTCGTCTACTAACTACTACTACAGTTGAGTACCCTGAGGAGATTGAGGCGCGTCTAAATCCACCAACCACGCATGCGGTTAAGGCGGCTCCCAAACTATACAACATCTTCCTCCTTCATGAGGGGCTTGATTAGACGGTGATATGATCCTTTCGAATCCTACTATTCGGCCGAGTCAGGGACCAAACTACTACGTACTCGTAAATGTACTATATCCTCCGTCTTGGAGCATTGGCACTTATCATCAAGATAAAGTGAGGGGGGGGTTATTCTACCTTCCTCAACACAGCCTCCTAGATAGTTGATAAGGGTTTTGAAGAAATTTTTAAATGCCAATTTGGATACTAGTTCAAGACACTTTAATGCGTGGACTCCAACGGGGTCGGCTGATCACCGAACGATCGGCGTTCGGTTGCCGGATATAAAGTTTTCCTAGGTAGTTGACCTTCATGCCCTACTTCTTCCCCCATGAACCACAGGGCACCCGCGAAGAAAGTCTAACCCTCAGTACCAATCTACCTTCAACCCATATTATATCCGAAGTAATGAATTTGCTCTTGCGCAAGCATTCGTACCGTACTAGGACCGCCACAGGTTACACGCACACATTGCGCAATCTGAGACAGGTTATTACGACCTCGGCGTAGCACCTGTACAACATGATTGGGAGCCAAGTTTATAGGAAGCGTCTATGCGCTCGGGTGGCGTTCCGTGTAACCTTGGAGAACGACGTTGTCAATATTAGAAGTCTCTATCCTTTCTAAAGGGATCTTCGTCACTCCGTGCCTACTGCGTTTGCAATATTTTTTGATAGTATACAGGGTAGACTTTCCAGTATATATATTTATTATTATATAAATATATATATATATATGCACCCGCTAACCTCATTTCTTTGTCAAACACACAGTAGATCGCCCTTTACTCAGCAAATTCTAGATGGACATGACTGAATATTTTTATTAAGGAATTTTAAGTTCTCTAGTTCTATGCACCTGAGCTTAAGAATCTTTTCTTATCTGGCATCAGCGGAGCAATACCATGCTACAAAGGAACAACAGCCATTCATCACATCTTATGATGTCCGTAGTTAGATACTATCGATTAATACGGTGCATGAGCTGAGAGGGATAAATTTGCGCTTTTAAAATGCTTGTTGTACATCATTATCTAGTGCTTTACGTTGTTGACCGAAATGCTCGTCGTGTAGCATACTCTTAAGGCTTCATTTTTATTCTAACAACGGGTGTTCTTTTCCGACACAATTCCTAGATTAGATGCCTTGCCTTAGTCATAAATTTCCCTAGTAGATTCGAAACTGAAAGTCTTTCCAGTAGTTCCTCCCTAATATCTTTGATTCCCATCCATAAAAAGCAGGCTACTTACCATTGGTACCTATACATCTCCATTATCAAACTCGTACCTTCCCATTAACGAAAGACCCTTAGACCCTCAAGACCGTGAGAGCTCGCCTTTCTAAAGACTACATACAAACACCCTCCCTTCCGTAGAAACAAGGAAACATAGATCAAAACGCTCATCCCTTCTTCCTCTAGATCCCATCTTCTCCTCTCACTCCTCTTCATACCATCATACCATCACACAGCTAAGAAATTATCCCTTTATCTCAGGCAAGCTCTCATCATTCCATACCGATGCATAGCACCGTGTATGGTTCGTTTTGGACAGTATCGCAATCATCACTGATCGAAAATACCCCCAAGTTCCCTCTCCCCACACCCACGAAACCCCTCTAGAAACAGCCGCAAGTCACCCAAGACCAGACAAATATGTCTCATAGCTTAATAGCAGAAACATATCAGTTGAGGGACATGATCTAAATGGTGTTTTCTGAGCGTATCTCGGGGATGAGCCCATTAGCCAGTTACCTATGATCCCTTGCCATTTAGCACTACCGTGCGCGAAACCAGGAAGCTAATAATAAAAAAAATTGTCTCTAGGGTTTTATAACGACGGGGCACGTGCCTGCAGGCGAAAAGTAGTTCTCTCGAGGTGGCTTCACGATGATGACATGTTGGGGAATATATGCTCAGTCTACCCGTGTATCAATGGTGTATATATATCCTTGGGTGTTCTGGTTTCGGAACTGTCTCATAGATGGCACCAACGTTATTCTATGTAGAGAAATGGGAAGTTGTGTAATAATTCGAGAAACCGAAAGCTTCCGGATTGTAGACGGTATGGATGTGAAACACATGAAAAAATGAGGTTGAAGGGTTTGAAGAGAACCAGAAATTGATCCGAACTTAAGAACCTGAGCTCTGTATTGACTGAATCAAATATATCGTGTAGCTCTGCTTTATCTTCAAACTATACTGGTTGTTGACTGTAAAGAGAGTCGTTTCCAACATGACAGAGTAGTCTTAACTATAGCGCCTTTTTCTTTGATGGCAACTTCATAGTTGGGCTTACCTAGTAGCCAGCTAGTTCGCACTTTTCTTAGCTTAGCGGAACCCACATTGATGTGTACAGATCGTGAAAGGTTTCTACAGGGTAACTCGCGTGTTCAGGTGGGACATACTCTATTAGAACTCTTGACTTCGTTAAGTTAGCTCTGTCTTCCTTTTAATAGTATCTTCCTTCTAATACAACCGCGAAGTATGTTTAATCTATGCGCGGTGCTCATTCCGTCCATAGTGGATAGTTTCCAGTGCATCTCACTACCCTTCCCAAAGCCATCGCCAACATCATTTATGCGATGACCTTCCTCAGGACGCTCTAACACTCACCATCAACACACACATCACAAGACAGCCCTACCATAGAACACGCTTAAGCACCCTCTTCTAATCACCATCCCTCACTCTCCCTTGACCAGCGGCCATAATGACTATACCCCCAACAGACCAAAATGTCCACCCTCCACGCCTCAGTAACAAACCGCACAACCTCCATCGAAAAAAAAAAAAGAAAATAACAAACTATCACCTCACCAACCCGGTAACCCTCCATGAAGCCCTCCGCACCCCCAGCTCAATCCCAATCGCCTACCCCTACCACATCGATGGCCAAAAGGACCTCTCCCAAATCGGCGATGCAGCAATTCGTCTCGTCCTCGTCACAGACGGCTACGATGCCCAAGCCACAAGAGGTATAACATCCACCCTCACCCTCGCCCTCATAAACCACTTATGAGCCTAGCTAGCTAACCGTATTGTGTAGGCCAAATCACCGAAATCCACATCACAACAGCCAACAACAGGTATCTAGCCAGAACGGGGTTCCGGAAGGGGCTCGATGGGTTCCTGTACGGGTCATTCCCGGGCGACATTGTCCCGGATAGGGTTATGGCGACAACGGTGGAGGCGATACTGGGGGCTGTTTATGTGGATAGTGGGGAGAGTATGGGGGCTGGAAGGAGGGTTGGGGTGGCGTGGTTGATTTTATAAAGTTGTTTTTTTTTTTTTGTTTTTTTTTTGTCTTCTTTTGAGGGGGGTTCCTTTTGTTTTGGTGCGTGGAATAGATGGCTGGCCCTTTTCACTAGTGTTGTGTTGTCTGGAGGTTAGTATTTCCGTATGCGTGGATTTGGGGAGGTGGCCACTGTGGTTCTGTTGCTGCTATGCTGGATACGTTTCTCGCGGGCTTGAGGGAAAATATATCGGGTTACACCGAACTCGTTCTTCTGTTACAATTTGTGGGGGGATAGTGGATATTTGGCATACGATTGTTTTTCATTAAAGACCATACAACTAGACTCGGGACTCCGTCATGAGCAAATAACAAAAGGGGATATAAAGTGGCGTCCAAACCCATATAACCAAGATTCCCGCTGCCCTTGACCAAGGGATACATCCAACCCCATTCATCATTCAATAAATATAAGAAACCCATGACTCCCAAGTGTTCCATCCCGAACGTCCAAAGCTACCAACACAGAGCGCACGCTAATAAAAAACAACAGATAGATGCGAATTGCAGAAGAGAGGGCGCCAAAGAAAGAGAAAGAGAAGGGGGAAAAAAAAAAGTACAACGGTCAGTTCGAGGTCTCTCTCGAGCTTCGTACCGAAAATATGTAGTAGGATGCTTGTAACGCTGTCATTTACAATTGGACAACAATCCAAAGGAGATATGCCAGCACGTAATATATACAGCAGGTCGTCGGAGGACGACGAGGAGAGAAAAAGCGTTCAGGTGAGTGAGTGCATTGCAGGCTGGTGGCTATTTTCAGTGATAGTCTTCGATGGCTCCAGTTCGGCTCCAGTTGCCATCGCAACGTCAGATGTGTGGGTGTGTTGAAGCTTGGAAAGGGTGTTGTCGGTTATGTCCTCCAAAGTGTGTTCGATGTTATCGGTCTTGGATGGGCTAGTATCGGTGACCGAAGCATCTTTAGCGCTGAAGCCTCCATCTGATGCATAATCCGATGTGTCGACAGTCGAGATGGAGTGAAGTTCATCCCTGTAGAAAGTGCTCTTATGGGGTGATGGGGAAGGCTCGGCGGACGAGATGCTAGACGTGTCATTTTTCAGGTCCAGCGGCAACTCAGCAAAGCCGTCCATCGCGCCCTTTCCCGAGCTTGATGCCACAGACCGCTTGCTCGGAGACGGAGGAGCAGCAGTGGGCGAGGCCGGAGTCGACATCGAACCGGAACCCCGATAAGGGTTCCGTGGCGGCAGTGCAGGAGGAGGCCTCTTGGGGATTGTCACTAATCGTGCTCGGGTAAAGGTGGGTGACTGGCGCTTGGGGTTCGTCGATGGGGTTAAATCCTCTAGGGAGACTGGTGAACTAGGATAGCTGTCGCATTTTGTGACGGTGGCGCTGCTGACCTCATGAACTTCAACGTCGTCATCGTCCACTAGGTCCTCATTATTACTGTGGTTGACTTTTTGAGGGTGGTCTGCGGGATTCTCAGGGATAACAGTTTCCCAACCCCGTTCGTCATGATCCCACGGATTTCGCTCTGCCCAGTCTCGATTGCTTCGGGAGGAGGCCCGGCTGATGGAAGTCGGAGCCGTCGGTGGCTCATCTGTCTGGGTGCCTCTGTCATTGCTGGCGTAACTCTGTACACTAGCCCGCCAGCTATTACGAGGTGAACTATCAACGCTGCGTCGGAAAGTCGCATAGATAGGACTTGACGGACTAGGTCGGAATTCGAAACTGTCCACATGTGGACGGGTCTTCGTTCCTGCTTCGCGAATGAAGAGGCCCTCAGCCTCCAAGGCCTTCACGCCAAAAGGATCGGGGTCATCTGCGGCAGGAATCCCAAAATGGTGAGGGGAAGTACTACCAGAGGCCGGTTGTAGGTCTACATCCCCGGGCGTTGGCTCTCCCGCTGATGGGACTAGACTTTCATCGACATCTTTGTCACCTTGGGCTGCCTTGATCGTTTGGATAAGAGTCTTAATGGATGCCGGCGGACGTTTCGCTTTGCCAGCTAAGATATCAGTCACCGATATGCGCTCGCCATAGAAGCGTTCGTTCTCGTCAGTGCGCTCGATAATAATTGTCCCATCTACTTGCACACCGGCATAAAGACCCCGACTTTTCATATAGGTCCAAATAGGAGCCTGTCGTTTGTGGACCTCCGATTCGAGCACGCCGCCCATACCAACTGGGCCTGCGGAAGCGCTAACCTCTCCACCCAGTGTACAACGAACCTTTTTGAACGCTTCTAGTGCCTCGAAAGTATTGATCACGACCACGCAGTCATAGATGTCCACACCTGCCAAGAAACCGATGCCCGCTGTGTGAAGCATGATACCGGAGGGAGGACTCCACTCGCCGGTCTCCGGAATCCTAGCGAGAAGGACACCACTTCCACCAGAACCGCTGAGCCAGAGGCCCGTACGCATAGTGGTGAAGATGGCAAGCCCTTTGGCGCGCTGGATGACCTCAGAAGGGATCTTTTTCAGAACCCGTTGCTTGCCCTTCGGGCGATCGATCTTGTCACTTTTTACACTATCTGTCTTTGGTTTCTCGGTCTCTTCGTCGGCGTAAAAGCCATCCTTGCAAAAGCTTCGTAAGATGCGAGCCGCTTTGTCGCTTTCTCTGTCCAGGGTCATCGGCCAGAAGGCCTCGGCCCCGACCCGATTGGACAAGCGGTTCACAGGGTCCCCCAGTTTGTCGAGAGTATGCCATGCTTTATCAAACCCCTTTTTGGAGGTCCCCTTCGTCCTTTCCCAAAATGAGGGGGCCATCGTGACGATTTGCGACTGATCTATACGCCGCACATAAAGAAAGGCTGGAGGTGAGTGGACAAAATCAAAGTCCTGGACAAACCGTCCGGGAGGAGGGCAGCACCTCTATAACTCAAATGCGGATATCGATGCGTCGAATGCAGGCTAATCTGCAACACGATTGGCTGCCCTTGATTTCCTAATGCGACGCGGAAAACGTAAGATGAGACAGCAAACGGAAGCAGAGCGTCGCTGACACAGCCGAGGTATGCGTGGCAGAAAGGCTCCGGAATGCAGGTAGACTGCAAGAACGGAGACGTTGAATATGTGCAAAGAAATTTGCAAGATTTGGAAGGAAGAACTACATTGCGGGCAGAAGAAGGAATAAAAAGTCAGTTTGATGTTCTTGCTCCGCTCGATCCGTGTTCGAGACCAGCCGGTTAATGATGAGGTAGGGTGGCGATGCAGAGTACGCATGAAAGGGAGATAGAACCATGGAACATCCACGCCCAGGCACCATGGGAAAGGGACCAGCTTACCTTGGACAAACTTGTGAACAAGGGGTCCAGTCTTTTTCAATAATATCTAGACGGTTGGAAGGGGGGATCTCTCAGAAGTCGAATCGATATAGTAACCGGAGCAAGGAAGGTATGCGAAAGGGAACCAAGGGACGTTTATTTATTAATATAGCTTCACGGGTAACCGCAGGCAGTTCAGAAACACTGGGAGTGGAGTAAGAGTAGATTCTTCGAGAAGAAAGGGGATCCAGGTAGCTTGTTTGTTAGATAAATAATAAATGGAAGTGGTGGGAGTAGTCGTGATAATTATTATATTTCAAAGAAATGGTTTTTTTTTTTTAAAAAAAAAAAAAAAAAAAAAAAAAAATTCTTTAAAAAGGAGGATTGGGCATTAATTAAATGAATTCAAATAGTAGGAACCTCCCACGATGAATCTGTAACCAAAGCCAGCAAGATAATGCTGGTTCGGAGTGAGCATCGTTCAAATAAGAGTCAATGCGAGTGGCGCCAGTGGCTTGGAGCTGAGAGGGATGAGAAGCGAAGAAATCCGGATGGATGGGAGCGGAATGGATAAGAATGCTTAGTAGATATATTGGACAGAACAAAAGAAAGAATCTTGGAACAGGTCCAGGAACCGGCGTACAGAAACAGTACTAGGGAAATGTCCCTTAAAGCAAAACAAATCAAAATACCCAAAAATGAAGCCGATAGATGGCAGAGCCCAAGGAAGAAAAAGGAAAAGGAAAGAGAGTGGACTGAAGCATGTCATCATCGACTTGACCTCAACCTGCGTAACGTCGTCATCACTTGATAAGCAGAGATCGATCCGATGTGGAGTTAGTTAAATTAGAAAAAATATTAAAGGGAAAAAAAAATTTAACGTAGATTTATTGGCAAAATTACTAGTCCACTTCAAAGTTAACAACATGATTGGATGGAGCCCCGATCGATTAATGGACATTTAGCCCTATAATTTCCGTCGATCAATGCCTTTGTCGTATTGCGATCTTTTCCTGGGCATTTTTCTTTCTATGTTGCTTACATACACACATACATTCATTACCTACATGGACACTAGGTATGTATGAATGGATTAATGTTGGTCTGTCTGTATGTATCTATGGATGTGCTGTACTCTCTGTCTTAATCTCCCCTCTGTAACACGGCCCAGCTCCATCCTCATTAAAGGAACCAAACAATGACGCCAGGCTGCAAATTTCCGTCCCGATTAGTATTGCTAATCGAGGAAGTATAATACCCAAGGCATCCATCCGTCCACTTCCGTACCAATATTCCTACCTGAAATACGACATAATGCACCCAAATTTTTTTTTAAGGCAAACCCTCCGCCCAATTGGTTCTTAACGAGAGCATGGAAATTTTCTAGAAAGAAATAAAACCCTTCAAACCAATGGTGATATCCCTACATTCACATGAGAGACACCCCATGGGAGAAAGAGAGAGACACACACACAAAGATAGCATGAAAGGAGCCGATCGCTCAGGCGATAAATATGACAGCTCCAATTCTTTCTCTTCATCCCTTTCAGCCCCCAGCCACACCCTGAAGTTTTAGATTTGGTCTCCTGTCTTCTCCCTTTCCGCTCGTCAATTCTCCGGGGCTCATGAAGCCCTAGCCAAGGGATTTGCCTTCAAACCTTCCTGATTCCACCACCGTTTCATGACAGGTCTGATTGAAATTCCATGGAAGGGATGCAGTAGTCGTTTCGATAGTTTCGGGGATTTTTTTTTTTTTTCGAAATTCTTTTTTATCAACGATCTTTTTTGTTGTTGTTGTTTTCGTTTTGTTTTGTTTGGAAGGGTCTCTTGTTTTCTTTTTTCCTTCCCAAAACTGGATCAGGGCTAATGGTGCAGTGCGTACAACCCCGTCTACAGCCATGATCTGGGGTCTGAAGCAGGTTATCGGTTGCTAGTGAGGTTATTGCTTTTTTTTTTTCTACTATCAGGGAGATATCCCGGTCTTCCATGAGGGTGATCCATCCACCTGAGCTCGAATCCTTCCGGAAAAGGAAATACTCAGATCGTCGCCAGTGTCCCGGGATCCGACCGACTACCCTAGTATACGCTTGTTGGGAACTTGGGAGACGCATGACTGGTGTTGATTCTCCACATAGCGCCGTCAGAGATTGACATGAATAGTTCTGAGTGACAGCACCTTACTAACTGTTCGTGGTATGGTTAGTGTGTATAGTTGGGGTTAGGTAGTCCCTAGTATGTGTTTGTTATAGTAGTAAGCAGTAGTGCATACTTTCTCTATACATCACTTGGACAGAACCCATACTATCACTTTCCCAGTGTACACCTAATCTGTTTCTTTTCTTTTTTTCTCTTTCCAAGAGTCCCACTTTGCTTCACTCTCTGATCTAGAAATAGAAAAAAATTTGTTACATCCTGATTCAGGGCTGGACATTGTCCGCCTCTTCGTTTGTGAGAATCTATCTGGAGATGACCAGTCATGAACCTCATCCATATCAGAACTTCTCTCTCTGCATCACGTGTAGCAAGAACACATTCACTCCGTCACGAACCTCACAAGACCCACTGAGATTGATGAGGTCCACTGACTTAGCCTCCTGTTCATCGCCCCGCCCTAATTAGACTGTGTATCTGAAAGATCATAGGGACGCTCCACAAGGGCTCATCTCATGTGCCTCGACCGATAAACTTAAGTAATAAGTGTGTAATCTGCCAGGCAACTTAACCAATCTGCTCAGAATACTACCGGACGTGCCGTGCCGTAATCAAGCCTCTGCTATACCCCGGAAAGCATAGATCTCCTGTGTAGTCCAAAGTAGGTAATTGAGTCGACAGCTAGTTTAGCCTTGACTAGCCTAAGGTTCCTCTTTTCTTTTCTTTCCTTTCTTTGCTTTTTCCCCAACTTCCCCCTGATAAATTGAAGATCGTCTGATTAAGTTCATTATTATTTGTTGGCATTTTATCCAGTACCAAATAGACTCGATTAGTCGATTCCAAAATCGTGCACTGTCTTCTTTTATCCACCTCGGTCTATTTCTAGGAGGCAAATGCCAAAAAAAGATTCTTTAGATACGATTGAGTAGCAAATCTGGCCCCCGAAAGTGCCGTGACACTAGTGCTTGCACCCATATGGCACTAAGACCTGTCAGTCACCAACTATCTAAAGATAGAGATTGAATCCCTGGACACTTTCCCATCAACCCACTCAAGATATCGTCACGATACGAAATAGACGATAGAGTTTCGATTATTCTATTCATTGAAATCCCCACGAGACTTTTTATCAACGCCACCCATGCTTGGCTATAAGTTCGCATTACCCGCGATCTGATGTATCATTTCCCAGAATAATCGGGTTCCTTTGGATGTATCGATTCAACGAGACTATACTTGAGTTCATTCCATTCTGTTGAAAAAAACTTAAACTAGTTTGCCGCTAGAAAGGGTCTGGAATTTGTTGGCGAGGTCTATCCTGGGTTTCAGGATTGTCTAGTTATTTGTTGGTGGTGACTAAATCACGAGGCCAACCTATCTAGGATATTTCCCCCCTGAACTGATCAATGCAGTAGTTGATTCCGACACGTCAGGAACTATATTTGAGGGAGAAATGAACAAAGAGGTTATGGGAGTCTACTGGCTAGTAGACCAAGTCTAAGTAATCATAAACATACACTATACGATCTCTCCGGGCTCACAGAGCGCCCAGCTCCTTCAGCTTTCCGATCAGTCCATCGACATCCTCAACCTTACCGCCACCCTGGCGAGCCGGGGGTTCTGCACACAGTTAGAAACACATTCGACCGAACCCAATCAGTAAAAGGAAAAGATATCTTACCAGTAACCTTCAGCGTCTTCAACCGCTTCTTATCCTCGACCCCAAAATCCGCTAATGTCTTCTTCTCCAACGGCTTCTTCTTCGCCTTCATAATGTTCGGCAGAGTAGCATACCTCGGCTCATTGAGCCGCAAATCGGTAGTAATAACTAGAGGCAGCTTAGCCTTCAGAGTCTCAATACCACCATCAACCTCATGCGTGATCTCCACAGTCCCCTGCTCATCCTTAACGTCCACCTTGCTAGCCTGCGTCGCCTGAGGCCAGCCCAACAGCCCAGCGAGCATCTGACCAGTCTGACCCTGGTCGCCATCAATAGCCTGCTTCCCGAGCAGCACCAGGTTAATATTCTCCTTCTTGACCACCTCCTTCAGCATCTTCGCCACGGTAAGAGGCTCCAGGCCCCCATCGTTGGAATCGGGGACGTCGACGTGGAAGGCGCGGTCGGCACCCATGGCCATGGCCGTGCGGAGGGTATCGGCGCACTTAGCTCCGCCGGCGGAGAGAGCGAGGATGTTGTCAACTTTTAGGGGACCCTTGCGCTCGCGCAGACGGACGGCCTCCTCGATGGAGAGTTCATCGAATGGGTTGAGCGAGTGCTTGACACCCGCTGTTTCGACGCCGGTCTGGGCCTTGTTGATACGGGGCTTGATCTAAATTTTTTTTTTCAAATCGCCCGATTAGAATTGAACATGTTGGGGCTCGTTTGCAGCGGCGATGTTGAGCGGGTGCAGGCATGTTCGACGGAAGTGACTCTTTCACCGAAGACGGAGGAAGAACAAAAACTCACCGCGTAGTCGATCACCCGCTTGACGGGTACCAAGATGCGCAAACCACTGGCCATTATGGGCGATACTGTGACGGTTTCTTTCAATCTGTTAAGCCAATGGAGGGCTAGGGGCTTTTTTTGGGAAGTAAAAAGCGAGGTATTTGGGAGAGGGTGTGAGTGAGGACCGATGCGTCGGAGCAAGATCCGGGGCAGTTGCAGGTGACTTTCAAGGCGGAGTGAAGGTAAAGCTGCGGTTGCGCCGATGCGGCCCGAGACTCTCAACCATTTCCGCTTCAACCCCTCCGCTTCCAACCGAGGTTACGGCGACATGCTTTATGGCTGTTTGCTATGTGTAAATGTATATGAGTCAGTGGAGGCGGGGATGATGTTTTGTACTGTAGATTTGCTCAATTTGTTTTATTTTTCGTTATACATGTGTCTATACCGTTCATTTCATCGTGTCCTTGAGGCTTATTCACACACACTCTCTCTCTCTCAGACATTCATGTCCATAGCATGTGATTCTTACCTCTATTACCAGGTCTCCTGCTTGTACCGCCCTGACTTCTCCATACCAAGCAAGTACTCTTCGGCCTCTTCTCTGCTGAAGCGTCCGCCTTCCCTTTCCCCACCATTCTGGAATGCTTCGACCAGGGCCTCCCGGACAGCTTGCGGCATCCGCCCTGACGAACCACATACATACACCGATCCAGACATGTTATGCAAGAGTCTAAAGAAGAACCCAAGGTTGTCTCGGATAACGTCCTGTACATAAACCTTTTGTTTCTGGTCCCTGGAAAACGCCGCTAAGACCTCTAACTTAACCAGCTTACTCAACTGCTGCCATTCCTCGTCAAAGAAGAAATCTGCATCCCGATTGCGGCCCCCAAAGAGAAGAATGGTAGGTCCAATAGAAGGCTCAGCCCCGCCATTTTCTTCCTTATAAGCCTTGACTAAGGCAGCTTTCTCCCAGATCATAGACCGTAACGGTGCGACTCCTGTGCCGGGGCCAACCAGCACCGTTGGCCCAGTCAGTTGACCCAAGGAAGAATTCAGGCCTCCGCGCTGCAGATGTACCTTCAAGGTGCTCCCCGGTTGAAGCACCGAGATGTACTTTGTGCAGACACCCTCTCTGATCCTCTTGATTATTGTTTTATATTTCACGATGGCGATCAATAGTTCGAACTTTGCTCCGCCTTCGGGTGTCCTCTTCAGCTCTCCCCCACTGGCAATGCTGAATTGCCGCCCTCGGAGGATGGGAAAGACCGAAGTCGCATGTTGCCATGGGATCTTTACCGTATCAAACTCATGTAGTACCTCAAGGATGCTACGTCTCGGCCGCGAAGTGTAATCCCAGAGCTCATCCAAGAATTCGGGGTTGGTAAATTCGAGAAGGCGTTCCTTCTGCATCTCATCGTCAGTGTAGTGGGCAATCTCCGAGAAGAACTTTCGCCGAGGGATCGCTCGGATGTCTAGGTAGTCCATAATAAGCGCGCGTAGCGTCAGCTTTGGATATGACTCGAGGCTCAGGATCGGCGGCAACGGTAGGTCTTCAGCGGGGTGCTGAGTATCGGCAGGGACCAACGAGACCAATTGATCGGCCTGGTCTTCCCAGCCCATCATCTGGATCAGGGCATGAACATCTTCGGCGAAGTTCTTGGGCATGATAGAGATCATGTCGCCAGGAACGTAAGCGACGGAATCAGAAACCGTCAAAGATACATGTCGTACATCTTGCCAGTGCTTTGGTGGAGTCACACGCTTATTTTGAGTAAGTGTTGCAGTCAAGGTATCGGGAATTGGTCGGAGATCATGCTCAAGTCGTGACTTCGAATTCTCGACCGAAGTACGCTGTCCCTGCGTCCTAGGTTTAATCTTCGGTGACAGGCTTCCATCCTGTAGTTGTAGAACCCATTTCGGGGGCAGTTGAACATCTTCCGGTATCGGATGCTGGCCTTCAGGAAGAGGGTATGTGTCCAGTAAGTGCTTGCGGAAATCGGTTATCCAAGGAATAAACGTCCCTTCAAGTCTAAAAGATCATCAATAAATATTACGGACAGGACCGTAGGGAAGTAAAAAGGTCACGAACCCTTCGGGATGCTGTTGATCGGCCTCCCCGCTAAGATATGCTTCACTTGCGCCCAACTGAACCAATCTCTTACACAGCTTGCGCGAAGCCCAATTGAATCTTGAGAATAATTAGAACCCCAAAATTAAACCCCAAGCCATGCACAACTCACTTAGGATAAGAACTATCCCCTAGCCCAAACGACGTAAACCTAACCCCCTCCAAAAATGTCGACGAAAGCCTCTTCAAAAGCAAAGATCTCCAGAACGTCCGCGCATTCGCAGGCAGATCCCCCTGCCCCGTCGTCGAGAGAGCAAATATAACAATAGTATACGAGCTCAATGTCTCCTAGGTTAGTACACCACAATTAGCATAGATACTATAGGACCGCCAATGGCTACCGAGCAGGGGACCATACCGGCTTGATATGGTTCATCTCCGAGACCTGAGTCATGAAGTGTAGGCGTTCGGCCAGAGCCCCCAGTTCTTCGGCCACCTCTTGGGCATTGCCGGTTTCCGATCCATATAGGACGAGAGCGGACCTTTTAGGCGGCCTTGGAGACGGACTCTCGCTCATTATGCAGGTGCTTTTACCGCGCTGCTCGTTATATATGGAGGGTTTGATAACCCCTCCATTTTTGCGTTTTCGCCGACGTGGGACGGAATGACGTCAGGCCGAAGTCGCTGCATAATTTACCACTATGTGCGGATTATGTAATAATGCCTCTTAAGTTATTGCATAGTTATGCAATCACTGTCCTGCGTGATGTTACTTACTCTACTCCGTGCCGCCTCTTAGATGGCTCGGTTACTCGCTAACTTCCTTGGCAAGGAGCCCTGTTCATATTGAGATGCACATCATGACTCTAATAAGGCCAATTGCCGTATTCTTCGGTGATTAACCTGGAGGCCTAGGCTACCATAGCACAGCACTGCGACAAAGACTTTCCGCCAGTGACGACGATGTCGTTCTAAGTTCGTTTTGTGCCGAGCTTAGTCTATGTATAAGCGTTATGATTATAATAAAAGAGCTAACACATAGAAGACTAAATTAAATTAACTATCTAAGTCAGAAAGCAGCAAATCATTGATACAACAGAAACTTCGTTTCCAACGAACCAATGATTCAAGGTCAAACTATATTATTCAAGTCAGAGATCTTTATGGAGCCCCATCAGAAATGATGAACAGCTCCATCACCCTCCAAAAGCAAGATCGATATAATAGGGCCATGGTCCATTAAGCCTTGAGCTTATCAACTCCTTGCGCTTGTCCAGATATTCTTGGTACGGAGGTTTGGCGGTCATCTTCTCAGCATCCTCCCATACTTCATATTTCACCTTTTCCCAGATATCCAGTTGTTCCATAAAGGCAACACTCGGCTTGACTTTGCGTTTCTCTTGCACTAGTTTCAAAACGTCATTCAGAGACATCTGATGCTTACGCATAAGGTAAGCAACAACGATAGTTCCAGATCGTGAGATGCCTTTCCCGCAATGCACCAAGATACCACCACGTTGAGTATGTTCAACATTTTCACTCGACTCTGAGGTTGTCGATGACAGGTGTGGCTGTACTGATGCTAGCATTCTATCGATGAAGTCACAGGCATCACTCATATGCTGGAGGAGATCCTGTACCGATGTGTCCACGCACGCAATAAACAAATGTCTCTCTTCTGGGATGATCTCTCTGTACGCTTTTGATGCCCAGTAGCAGGACCGGACGCTTTCGAGAGAGACAATAGCGGAGATGCCGTTGTCGCGAAGTGTTTTTAGATCATGGGAACTTCCTGCGTTCCCAATGAACAGTCCAGGCTCGATCTCTGATATGGATGGGGTTAGCGAGTTTGCGGCCTTTCTCGCCTGCATCTTGTTGGTCTGATAGGAGGAAGTAGAAAGGGCTTCGGTTCGATGAGATTAGTCTGGTGAACAAAGGATGTAGATGCACGCCTTCATCATGGGCACAGACATGTGAGCGTTTCTAAGCAAACAATGAAGAAAGTTGACAGTGATTGCCTTTACTTATAATAACTGACGGGGGCAGTTATATTCCGTTCCGGAGTTCACTATTCACTTTCATTAGAAACCCCGACCTATTCGGACTGCTCCTAACCTAGACACGGCATGAACCGCCAGGCCTGGAACCTGCTGCACTGTAACCTATCCTAAAGGTAGGCAAACTTTACTCTCACAGTGCAACGTACCAATAATTTCGGTTGGAGGTAGACATATGCCAGGCTCTGGCCTGTTGATTATCATCGACATCAATTCAACACGTTAGTGAGACCTATATTTGCCCAGCTCCAGCTCATTATTAAGCAATATTGGCCTCCAAATAAAAACAACTCTCTAGCCAGACTAATATCCAAAGACCTAAAGTTTCCTAGACATCCTCGTGGGCATCTGGGTGCAGTTAATGCTTCAAACCAGTTTACACTGTCGAGCTTGTACACAACAGAATTAAACGCTATGTTGCACGACTGTCGGTGGTGACCACCTACTCGAACTCGAACATGAAAACTCTCCCTTTCCAGAGATCAAAGCACGCGAGATTGTGATTCTCTTTTTCCCTTTGGGCACGTTACTTGATTTCTTCTTCCTAGTCTATCCTTTTTCAAAGGTAGAAAAAGTAAAACCATTTCAAGCTGCAGTCATACAGCCATTACCACTGGTGTGAAGTACGAGTCAGGCTTCGACCCTGTGCAATCAACTCTCCTGCTCGTTCATGAGACTAGTTCTCGGACTTCAATTCAATGGCCCAACCCATTTGGAACCACGAGTTTTAATTTGATACTGTACGGCGAGATCTGCAAACCATATTGAAATTTATTTCGAGGTCTTTGCTATCATTTGGGACGCGAGTTCAGCCGACTCAAGATTCCCACTATGTCGGCCTTGATGGACATACACTGTTCATCCTCACTCAAGTGAGATAGGGGATAATGTCTTATGAGCTATGGACAGAGATTTCCCCAACAATTGTCCTAAATATTGAAGTGTTACATAAAGGGACCTTCTTCAACGTACTTCGCATCAAATACAGTCCTTCACTAGCAGTCAGCAAACCCAGCATGAACAACGCTATCAAAGTATCAGTACATATATGAAGCTATATTGCCGACGGACATGACATCTTCAGGTCTTTAAATGACACAGTAGCCATGTCCATCTGCATGGTACGTGGAGAAAAAGTAAACCTGCAGACCGGACAGCTACAGTAACGACATGAATAGAACATATATTGGCGTTCAGTGGTATAGACGAAGAGACCAGCCATGCCCTATCCCTATCTGTAAGAACCCTATCTACAACCATTCCGTATCAAAACAAACCCGGCCTCAAAAGTATACAAACCCGCTCCACCATGCAAATGCACACGTATAAAAGCACCGCTTATAAAATAAGACACAAATTCAGAAGGAGAAAAAGGGGTATCTCAAAAACCAAGAGCGAGAGCCCGCTTAATACGTATCCTCGTCCCCACCACCACCACCGCCATCCCCAAACCCATCATCTCCATACTCATCATCTCCACCATCAAAGTACTGCTCAGCATTATAATCACCTCCCATCTCATCATCATCATCCTCAAAGTCATCATCAATAATCTCTTCCTCCTCCTGCTCATCCTCAGGCTCCAGCAGATCTTCATTCTCACCGCCTTCCTCCTCCTCATCCCCCGTCTTCCGCCTCTTCCCAATATCTTCCTCCTCATCCTCTTCATCCTCAAACCCCCGCTTAAGCGGCCCGCGCACCATCCGCGCCACATACCCATCAACAGCCGTCCCAGGCTTATAACTAGGCTGAATAACCTCCCAAAGATCATCGCGCGGGAAAAACTTCATAACTATTCAATCTCCATAAGCATCACTCCACTCCCCTTTTCCCCCAAACCCAAACACCACAACCACAGCCACAATCATAACCAACATCCAAGGTAAAAACAAAGAAAAAGAGAAAGAAAAAAAAAACTAAAAATAAATAAATAAACTCACCATAAGGCCTTCCACTCAACTTTGGAATCCCCCTCTTCTTCTTCTGGTACTTCCCTGAGTAAGAAGGCATTCCGTGAAACGGGTCGAAATTCTGCCGAGCAGCGGCCGTACGTTTCAAACCCGAAACGCCCGTATCAAGCACGGAGTAATAGGGACCATCGTGGAATTGTTCGCGGAGGGAACGGTAGAGATCGACTTGGGCTTGTTCGCGCGCGTTTAAGGGTTTTGCGGTGGGGACTGTGTATTTCTGGGAATATGAGAATTGGATGTATGAGTTCATATTCACTTTCACGTTCAAGTGCAAGTTTAAGGGTTTGGGGGGGGGGGGGTTGTTAATTCAGTTGCGCGAGACCAAACGTACAGGGTAGAGGGGGGTGGGTGCTGTGTCTGCTTCGCCGGTTGGGTCATTGTCCCAGGAGAATTCTGCGCCGGGCAGCTTTCTGCCTTTTTTGGCTCCGAAGCGGGACATGGAATGGGTGGATGGGAAAGGGGTGTTTAATTTAGGATGGGCGTGGAATTGGATATAGTGAGTCAAGGAAGGTTGTCTCTACGACGGCAGAAAAAGGTGAGGAGGCATAATATGGGATTTATTGCTTGGAAAAAAAAGTTATAGCGGAGGTTTGGCTCACCGCCTTCGGAGATATGTCGAAAGAGGAAATCAGGGCTCTACGGGTCATAACCCTATTATTGGGGAATAATTAAGGAATAAATCCTGAGAGTAGGGTAGTACAACATGTATTATAATCTTCTCATGGACAAGTTTTGGTGCGGTCACGAGAAAAAGAGAACCTTCCAGCGCGCTGACGTATTGATAACGTTCTGGTATTGTATCGCTCACAAGGACATTGAATTCATGCATTTCATAGACCAACAGTCTCAATGAGGCTTCCGCTCTGCGTTACAGGTCCCCATGGTCCTTCGTTTACCCTTTGCTGTAGGGTACGAAGAATATCCTCAAATCCTTCCATTTGAGCACCCGTGTTCTTGAGGCGAGCGTGCAGGGCCACTAGCACCTCGTACTTCGCTGTCGCGACTTTCCAAACTGCATTCTGTGAATCGCCCGCACCGCCTCCGACAAACTCAGCATATGAGCGAGGTGCTTTAAACAGATAAGGTAGCAGGACCGTCAAAGCCGGTGGAGTAAGGGCAGCCCAGGCACCTGACGAAGGTAGGACTCCTTGAGAGGCTGGGGACAAACTACCCAAACCCTGCTCAGAGGGAAGTTGGTACCGCCTAGTGCCTGGAACAGGAGAATTCAATTCAACCGATACTTTCTCCCAGTTCGCTGTGATGATAGATCTCATGAATGAGATGGCTGCTAGAGAGACATCCTTCATGGCTAAGATGTCAGCTGCGGCGACGACGTCGGTCCAGAAAGTGCTGTGCTGGTTCAAGTACAAAAAGTAAAGTATACGAGCCGCCGCTGCTTCTTTATGCCAGTCCGTAGCTGTCTGGCCAGACGTATTGAGCTCCATCGTATCGGCAAGGTCATGTTTCGGTGGCCCGTGAAGGATCTTGCTCAATGTGTCCAACGCCTCCTTGTTGGGAGGGCTTGTGGGTAGAGAAAGAACAGGATTCAACCCTTGTTTGGTGGCTTCAACAAGTAACACTCGTGGAATAGAGGAAAGCACATTGAGTTGGCCACTTGGGACAGGCCCATGCGCCCACTGCGCAGACGAAATTGTTACCGACGCAGATATCCGCGATAGTATTCGGTCTTGTAGGCTTGGCGGCATCTGTAGAAAATGATTAGGGTACAACTCCGCATACTGTGCAACGTAAGCCATGATAGGACCACAGAGGTAATTCAGATCCACGGGATCTAGCTTCGACTCATCCAGATAGTAACTCAAAAGGCAAGAATGTAGATTGTGCGAAATAAGGAAATCAAGCGCAGGAGAAGAGAAGGTAGACCCCGCCTGCACAAAGGATCGAGCAATGAGTCCTGGGGCTTGAATCGCCAATAGGTCATGGAAGAAGTTCAACAAGGTCATATGCATTAGAACATCATTTTGGTCGACCATTTCGCAGGCTGCGAAATGTAGAAGGCTGCTACTGTTGTATTTAGACTCAATCTCGGGTATTTGTGAGCTTGAGATAATGTCCCAACGCAAATTACCAGCCTTCGTAAGAAAGCTCATCAGCCGGCCTTGCGATACGGTTCTCTCGCGCCTTGGCAAGCTTCCTGGGCTGTTATCGGTAAGACTGCACAAGGAGAACAGGCGTCCGTAAACGTCTTTATCGGTAAAGACTCTCCTCCAGACAAGACCCTGTCCTCCACTGGCCTCATGCCTTTCATTGAGGCCTTCCCCATTCTCTAGTGGGCTTGTTAGGTCAACTTCTAGTAGGGCCCAGATGGCATCAAAAGCAGCCTGGGCAACAGCTGTCGAAGAAGTCGTCAGCCAGAGTTCCACCAATGAAGCAACCAGCCCGGAGTCACCAGCAACTATGGCCGCGTCGCTAGGTGTCTGTCCGGCTTTGCTGAGTAGAGCTAGGGCTAGTAAATTGATGGGTGGCGATGGTGCCTTGAAGCCGGCAATAAAGTCGATAGGAGGGTCGACAGAACGGAGATCAGTGAAGCTAGTGAATGCGGTAGCCTTGATAGCAAGTGTAGTGATAGGAGTGGGATCCTCCTGGAGCACAGGAAACAGCTGTGAGATCATCGGCAAGAGAGTTGCCGGGACACTGCTATCCGTGCTCTCTGTAAGCTGCAGCTTCAGCTTATCAATGAGGGGAATATCTAGGCGGGTGGAGGGGTCGCTTTGGACTTGTTGAAGGTGAAGTACAACCTCATTATACATTGATGGGATTGCCATCTTGTCTGAAATATCTCCCTCAGTAGCCACCTTCTCACAGCTGATGAGTCGACACTAGTAGAAAATGGTTGCTCAAGAGACGATTCATTTACCCTTTGTGATAGTGGGGAAGCGCGATGCAAACACGACAAACAGCCATCATAGCTCCGCACTCTCCATACACTCAAACAAGTCAACACCCAACAGCCTATCTAAACTATCTACAATATCGGTTCCTGAACACCTCCACAGCGATTCCTAAGATGTCGGATCAATTAAGTTCTCTCGTATCCCAAAAGTCGTCTGACTCGGGCCTCCATATCCAACTGCACCCTTTGATCCTCCTCACAATCTCCGACCACATTACCAGGCATGCCGCACGGTCGCAGAGAGGACCCATTCTCGGAGCTCTACTCGGCCAACAGAACGGACGTGAGATAACACTAGAGCATGCATTCGAATGTATTGTGGAAGAAGGACCAAACGGCGACCCTCAACTACCAAACGAATGGTTTAACGAAAGAGTCAAACAATGTAAGAAATCAATCTACGTTACTCTCCATCTTTATTTACTCCAGCTGACAATCATTTGTCGCAGTCAAGGATGTACACAAAGCCCCTGCGCTTGATCTTGTTGGGTGGTGGTCAACGGCTCCCCCATCCGGTCCAAACATAACTCATCTCCCGATTCATCGCCAAATCCTCCAAGACTACAACGAATCCGCAGTGTTTCTCGCATTCCATCCATCTCAGGTGGAGGGCGCGTCGGCAAACGGTGGTAAACTACCACTAACGATCTATGAGAGCGTCTACGAGGGCGATAATGCCGCCGAAAGCGAGAAAACGATGCAGGTGGACGGCGAAGAACAGTCACTGAGCATACGATTCCGGGAGCTGCCATATTTTGTGGAAACCGGGCAGGCCGAAATGATAGGCATCGATACTGTTGCTAGAAGTGCGAGAAACGCGGCTGTTGATGGCCCGACTACACTCTCTTCTGGTCAAAGTGCACTGAATAAGAAAGACAATAGTAAAGAACAGTCGACAGATTCTACCGTGCTGTCACCGGAGGAAGAAGAATGTGAGTCATTCCCATGCTCACTGCCAACGTACAGTCACTAACATCCTTGCAGTAATCGCCAGCCTCAACACCCGACTAAATGCGATCCGGACCCTAGAAACCCGGATCTCGCTGATAAAATCATATGTCGCCAGTATATCCCCAGCATCTGAAGGCAGTAATGAACAGAAGGCAACAACATCAACAGCGACTCTATCTCTTCCGATTCTCCGAAACATCAACTCCCTCCTCTCACACTTATCTCTCCTCAACCCACAAGAGCAAAGCGCCTTCTCAGCCGAAGTTCTCGCCCAGAGCAACGATGTTCACCTAGTCGCGCTCCTCGGCCAACTAAGCAATAGTATCAATACTATGCGGGAACTAGGAAAGAGGACCGCTATTCTCAATAGCATAAGGAGAAGTAACGTCTCTCGAAAGACACAAATGGCCATGCAAAGTCGATTCGAGGAAGAGTTCTTCGCCCGTGATGGTCTTGCGCAGGGGTGAGTGGCTAGTATGGAATTGGTCGAGTTTGTTGGCCTTTTTGGGCCCTATGACGGTTATTTATCTATCCCTGGGTGGTTTATAGTGGCGTTTGGTCATATTAGAGCAGTTAATCATGAGACATGAATACAAAATCTCACGAGCTTTTTTCTTTTTTTGCTCCCCTAGCTATCATCTCAAGATTTAGAGATCTAGCAGTCACTATTACCAATTTCACTAGGCTCCTTCCTTATGTACAGTATAAAAGGGGTTTCTAAGCTATAATCATGTACAATTGAAGCTAGGATCCAAAGAGTATGTAGAAGGGCCATGGCCTCGAAACCTCGTCCCATGGCCATGTAGAAAAGAAGAAGAAAAAGAAGCATAAAACAGGGTATTTGAACATAAAGCAGGTCATGCATGAAATCAACGCCAGCCATGTGACTTCATTACACATGACAAGAGATGAGAACAGAGTGCTCACGCTGGAACTCAGTTCCAGACTGCACTCAGAAGCGTACTGTCGGCTAGACATCACGGGCAGTCCTACTACCTGCATGCTCATTACCATGAGTAGAAGGGTAATATGACTCAGGCATAGGGATCGGCGGTTGTTCTTGTAGGGTATCTAGTGGATATGGGGCGTTGTGATGAGTTGTCGGGCTGGTGTGGTGGTATTCAGAGTCCGAATCGGAATGGGGACGAATGTAAGGGTTGTTGAACGCGTTCTCATATGGCGAGTATGGACGTGGTGAGTGGGTCGCTGGATCCAGTAGGGCCGAGCTGCTCAGTCGATGATGAGACGGATAGTAGCGCCCATTCTCAATATCGTCGTAAGGTGGTGGATTCATTCCCAGATCGTTTTCGGGTCGCGAAGTAGGGTTGGGCTGCGCATTCGAAAGTAGATCCTCCCCTTCGTCGTCAGGGGAATAGCGCCCGGGTCGTCCACCAGTCATCGTCGTACCTGCACCTTGGTAGGCTGTCACGTTGGCGCCATTAGTACCAGCCGCGTTAAGGTCAATGGCCTCATTCGCAGTTCGATAACTGGGATCTAGCATTCGCTTCTTGCGACCAACGAAGAGCCAGCGCACACTACGGCTTACAGCCTTTACGAGGTCCCATGGGTTGAGACAATCGACAATGGCCTTCAAGCCCCAGCGACCGCCTTGATAGGTTGCTTTGCCGTTTCCGTAGAAATCGGTTACCTCAACTGTTGTATTTCCGATCGAATATGGCTTCCAAGGGAACGCCCATAGGTGCAAGACGGCAAAGATGGCCATCTCAATGGTGATAAGCAAGTTGGGGAGTCCGACCTTGAGATCCTGTCTTGCGATCTGTTTTGTGGATTTGATAGCTCCAATGGAGAGTAGAAAATTTATACCTATCTGTGTATAGGATTAAGCATTGTGGATGAGGACCTAGGACAGGGACTGCACTCACGCTTTGCCAAAAACAGAGGAAAATCACAAGCTTAATCGAAAGGATCTTCAAAAAGGGGCTGTACTGGCTAATATCGTCTTTGATTTGGACATAGAATTGCACCAGACAGTACATTGCAATGGTGACGGCGATACACTCAATGGCCACAACCTGTTACCTTCGATTAGCTTGTATGTAGCGGCCCCCTGATTCGCGAATCGTACCCAGATATGAGAAAATGCCGGGTTGTAGGATGCCTCGCAGTAGACGTCGAAGTGCTGCGAAATGACCGCAACGATAGTCATGAGTACACGCAATAGACAGTACTGAAAGACGGAGACCCAGATGATCTAAAAACGACAGTCTGGTTAATATGGATGGCCGTATTTAGAGAAATTAATGTCCATATCAACATAGTCGGCGCCTTACATTAAACCAAGTTAATCCGCTTCGTGGAGTCCTCCAAATCCCGTGTTGTCCTCCGCAGCATCTTGACAACCAGGTCAGTGGCCAGACCCATGGTTTTGGTTCAATTCCGCGAAAATATTCCTTCTGACTTCGCAAGTCCGGCGCAATGTAGTGGCAGAGAAGAGCGAAAAAGGCCGATATTGTGAACGATTCGTAACAATCGCCCATGACGGAGAAGTAAACCGACTTTTGGTAGAAGAAGATGCTGAGCCATGCGACTAGGGAATAAACCGGAACCATGAGGAGGATTCGAATTATGCTGAGACACAGAAGCGACGCTGTTAGTTACCAGATTATATCTACGCGAAAGACAGGGGGAGCTAGGGCGAAGGAGGGGGAAAGCTAGAAAGGGCGCATACTGTCGTTGCTCGATGGGTTTGCTGTAATGCGTGGCATGGCACATAATCAGGTAAAAGGAAACTCCTGCTGCAATGAGCGCAAACACCCCACCGACAATCTCACAGAGATGGTGAAAGGTAATGCCGCCATCCCACAAGTCGATCTCTTCGACTGCGGTCCGAATCCCCGTCAGCAGGTCATTTTTGTAAGGGGGTCGGGAGTTAGAAGCGTACTCTTCTTTTCTTCCAGTGTTGAATTACACACTGGCCAGCCCATATTCGCGCCAAGTATTGAGACCTGTAATAGTCGAACACAGGCCTCTGTCGGGTGGGAAAGTAGAGAATGGTGTGAGAGAAGGATCGGAGTCTAAGAATACTTTTGAGATGTTTATCCGACCAGACGGTCTCTATCTTATCCGCCGTCGGTCTTGTCCCGAAGCGGTCGATCAACCCCTGGGAACCACTGATACTCGTGTTTCACCGCGTCAAAGGGAGTCAACTGGCTGAACCAGGCAATGATTGCGTACGGACGGCGTAGGGGATAATTTGTTTTGAATGTCTGCATCGGAGGTTTGGCAGTGAGTAGAAAGAGCCACTCACGTGTTGAACAAAGGAGAAATTCATTTCATGGCAGGACCGGCAGCGGATATATCATGATGGAGCCAGACATAAAGAGAGAATGGAACTCTCCGCAAGGCTGATAACCTGGGCTCGCCGAAAATAGTGCCCTTTTTTCTGGCTTCAAATATTAAAGGTTGCATTCTATGTCTGTGGAGCCAACATAGTGGCGGTGTCATTTATTTTTATTCCTTCAAGCTTGCGCTGCGCCTCACGCCCAACCGACAACAACCTCCAATCATAAAATATGCACAAGAAACGCTAAGCTTTGCTTAAGCCTTGATGACTAAAGGCCATAAGACTCCCAAATAAGCAAAACCATGAAGATCAAACTTGTCAAATCTATATAAATCTAGATATAGATATAGATTTAGATTTAGATTTAGATTTGTACCGAGAAGGCAAGGCGAAAGGCACTACAATAGACATTCATGATATTCTTTAATATACATACATCCCTAAAGTGCCCCATCCGGCTTTTGTTTTGTCGGCCAAATATACTGTACACATCATAACCCTAGAGAAGATCCCAGGTCAAAAAGAAATGGTACCATAGCGCGATCAAGTAAACCCCAAATATTTAATTATAGCATGCATCACCCTTAAAAACGGCCTTTTCTATCTCCCCTCCATGAATCCCCAAAGCCACCCCGGCCTCGGCCGCGGCCTCCTCGTCGCCGATTCCGACCGGGGAATTCAGGGCCATTATCCACGAATAAGTCTCCGTCCTCGAAGGTAATCCGGCGAGTTTCGTCTCCGCCTGGACGGGGATACGATCCCTTCCGCAAAAGGTCGTCGAAGCGGTCTAGCCGTCGATCCGCCACGTCACGAGGGGCAGGAAGATAGTACAGCTTAGGCTTAGCGGTAGTGGACTTGAATAGTTCATCCAGAGGCTTGAACCCTTGCCCAGGTCGAGGGCTGGGCTCCGGCCAGGAGGCACCACTGGGACGTCGGTCCTGCTTCTCCATGTCCGCTCGTGGACCCAAAGGTGGAGGACGAGAAAAATCACTTGCCGCTGAACCACGGGGTTGACGAGTTCCAGCATTCTTTAAATCAATTTCCTCCAAGACTGCCTCAACCCCATCGTCTGTTCGATCGTACTTCACCTCCCAGCGCACTGGAGGGCCGCCACGTGGGCGGGAATTTTCTTCCATATCAACCCATTCCTGCAGTTTATGCTCAGGGATAAAGTCCACAAACAAAGTTTTGCGGTTGCGTTCGTTAGGCCAAACGGTGTTATGAAGCGCAGCACGGGCACGAGAGGCAGCTGTGATATTTGTGAAACTGACAAAGCAATGCGTCTTAATAGAGTCCAAGTAGAAATTGACAACCACGTCGGGATCGGGCGAAGCTCCAGGAGGGGATGCTATATTGATAAGGTGGTTTTTAAGTGCAGCCGGTTGGAGCGGACGCATGAGGCCGTCCACGTACAGAGCTGTTGTCGCGACATGCAAAGCTGGCTCAACGTTCACATCTTCCGCTACTGTGTCAGCAGGGGGAGACGCAGGGCGGGTCTGTTCGGACTCGCCGCCTGTAAAAAGGCCTTTAAAGCGAACGTCTTGTTTTGGTGCAGCGCTCTTCTTTGGTCGCGAGGTATCGGAACTATCTGGCTGGGGCGAGTCATCACGAGGCATGTCAGCCTTTTCATCGGATTGGTTATCATCAACGTGTTCTTTGAATGCTTCTTGCGGAACTGAGGCAGCTTCGTCGTGTTTCGCGTGCTCGTCAATGTCCATCGCACCTGTGTCCTCAGGCAAGAGAACCTTAGGGGCTTCTTCTGGAAGCTTCGCCTTCTTGTTCGCAATCGCCTCTGCTGTGGGAACAGGACTCTGGCTACGGCGCTTCCGTTTTCGAGAGTCCTCGAAGAGCTCCTCAGGAGGGAGTGGTGTGGATAATCCAGTATTCAATTCCGAGGGGGGAGGAGCAGCTGGTGCTTCCTTTTCAGTATGCTCAGGGTGATCTGTGCCCTCTGCTCTCGCAGGTGTAGGTTGCTGCGCTTCCATATCTCCGGGAGCCAGCTCAACCGGATGTGCAGAAGTCCCAGGTTCAGGCCGAGCTTCTGTTTGTTCTGCCGGCTCCGACGCTGGCGTTTGTTGCTGCTTCTCCTCAGTGGTCGTGTCGCCAATCTGTGTTACATTCAGAGGCTGCTGTCCGGCTTGCGCTTCGCCAATATCGGTGCTCGGGGCTTCTTCATTCTGTTGTTGTTCCTGCACTGGTTTCTTGGTCTTCTGGTCGTGTGACTCTACTTCAGCGTCCGCGATAGGCGACGTAGGTTGCTTCTCCTCGACAGGTTGCGACTCCTCAACAGCATCCTGTGTTACGGTGGGCTCTTCATTCAGCGTTGAATTCTCCTCGGCCCTCGCATCTTCCTCCACGAGTTTGTCAATAAATTGCTGTTTCACTCTGAGGCCGGTTTGCGCGATGCCGCGCCGCTTCAGTTCCGCCTTCAGTTCAGTCACTTTCCATGATAAGTAATCAGTCATGATTACGGGGATCGCGCGCTGTTAGAGAAAAGGGGCGCATGCAAGAAAGCACGTAAGAAATATTCAGGGGGCGGATATGGGGGTCGTCAGGGCCATAGTAGTAGATAAGTAGAAATGCGATGCCCCTGCGGTCGGACTTGAACCCGACTTTCAAAGCTTTGGCGGAATGATGTCGTGCGCTAACCAAATACGGATTAATGCCATCAATGATCATCTGGTTTCGGTCTAGCGTGTTCCGATATCAACTCACCTCAAATGGTAGTACTTTAGCACAGAGTATGTCCATGGGTCACTATGTACATACCAAATGAATTGATTATTTGACTAGGTTTGTTTGTGGATAAAATTCAAGGCAACTAAGCATGAGCAGATCTTTTCTTCAGCTAAGGCCTGTTCGTTGAGTTCTTTTCAGCTTTTTGTTTCTCCAGGCGGATTGGTTTGCCTTTTGTGTCGAATACTAATAAAAATAAATATAAATATATTTCGAGCAGAATCACAGTTCTCCGTATCGCAACGTGCCTGTCTTAGTTAACTTTTCTATCACTTTGAAATCTGTCATTATACTAATAATTCAACATAGTAAGATGTTAGTCAAACATCATAAAAGGCCATGGTTGGATCCTAGTACATACTTCCTCAGGGGGTGCTACTGGTTACTGTATACGAAACCCACTTCACTCTGAGTGGTCAATTTGAGAGCAACAATCCTCGTATAATACTCAACTACTTTGACAATGACTCAACCCATCTATAATAAATCAACATATCCTCTTTTTGCTCTTCTCTACTATCTCCATCAGACAAAATTCCCGAAACCGTCAAATTCATTTTTTTTTATTAGATTACCAGTACTACCTGACCAGCCATGGCAATCAGAACCGCCCAAAACAACCAAGCAATTCACTTCCGCAGCCTCCACACCCCAGGGAAACCAATACTCCTCACCAATGTATACGACGCAGCAACAGCATCTCTGATAGCAAGCCATCCCTCTACAAAAGCAATCGCAACAGCAAGTTACGCCATCGCAGCCTCACAAGGCATCTCCGATGACGCTCTGACACTACCACGGAACCTAGCTGCCGTGCGGTCCATCGCAGCTGTCTTAAAGTCCAGCGATATCTCTGATACCGAAAAATTGGCTGGAACAGTCACTAAATTTCCCCTGACCGTCGACGTGCAAGACGGATATGCAGATGTCGCCGAGACGATCAAGGAAGTCATCAATCTGGGAGCAGTAGGCTGCAATATCGAAGATCTAGATGCCACCGGCCAGCTACGGCCTTTATCGGAGGCTGTGGCACGGATTGAGCTGGCGGTCCGGACGGCGACGGAGCTCGGTGTTCCCGACTTTGTGATCAATGCGAGAACGGATGTCTTGGGTAGTAACCCTGGTGGGAAACCGGGATCTATTGAAGACGCTATTGAGAGGGGCAAGGCTTATCTGAGGGCTGGTGCTTGCACTGTGTTTGTGTGGGGAGGGGCAGGTGGGAGGGGTGTGTCTAGGGAGGAGATTAAAGAATTGGTTGCTGCTTTCCAAGGGAAGCTGAATGTTAAGCTGGTGCTGCGGGATGGGTTTTTGACGGTGCCGGAGGTGAAAGAGCTGGGGGTTGCGAGGATTAGTCTGGGGCCTGAGTTGTATCGAGCTGCGATGAGCGGGTTTAAGGAAAAGGCTGACATGGTGTTGGCGTCTTATAGTTGAAAGTTTGTAGGAAATGTTAGTATTTCCTTCTGCTATTATAAGAATAGGCAACAATTACTCTACTTTAGAAACAGCGTAATAATAAGCAATTAACGCGTCAGCATATGAGACATCCCCGCATTACTAGCACGCTTTATTACTTAGTCGAGCACGCCTTGATTAGATGTTATCGTTATCATCGGGATTCGGAATTCGGATCTCACCCCGGAGTATGGAACGGGGAACTATAAATGGGGCAGCAACTACTACAGAAAGTATTCAGCTTCTCAATGAACAAACAAGAAAATGGGCCCACAACATCCTCTTCCCCCTTATCTTCCAGTTGATAACCCTACTCAGCCATTTTGGCGCACAGAACCACATCCGTTAGATGAATGTCGAAGCACAGAAGCTCTTCCAGAACAGAGCGATATAGTTATTGTAGGAGCAGGGTATTCTGGTGTTAGCATTGCATATCACCTTCTAAAGCATCTGGGCCAACACGATAAGCTTCACCCCGCTATTACGATTCTCGAAGCAAGACAGATTTGCTCGGGTGCAACTGGTCGGAATGGTAAATGGCTCAAATCATGAACCTGGACACAACAATTATTATACTGACTATCGCTCTAGGTGGCCATCTACGACCTGATTTGTATGATCGCATCCCAGCATATATCGAGAGACATGGAGTGGATGCTGCAGCCGAGGTAGCCAACTTTGAACTGAGCCATATAAAAGCATTCAAAGACCTTGCAGAAGAAAATATCGACTGTGATTTCAACATCACTCGTTGTGTGAACGTTTACTTGGATGAAGCGGCGGGAGAGCGGGCAAAGAAGAAATACGAAGCCCTAGTGTCGCGAGGTCTGGCATTTGCTGATGATGTACATTATACATCATCAAAGAACGCTGAAGGGGTACGAGCGGTTCCTGTTCTTACGCAATGAAGGCCACTGACTAACATATCTGTACTACACAGTTCTCTGGCGTCAAGGGTGCTAAGGCGTGCCTCTCGTATACATCGGGTACCTTATGGCCCTATAAGCTTATACTGGGTCTTCTTTCAAAGATCGCGGACTTGCCTGCCGTCAATGTGCAAACATTTACCCCCGTTACCTCCATATCATCTGATGACTCCGGCCATATTGTTAACACTCCGCGGGGATCAATCCGCACATCTAAGGTTGTCTATGCCTCGAATGCGTACACCTCCGCACTGTTACCTGAATATTCGGCCAATATAGTTCCATGTCGTGGAATATGTTGTCATATTGCCCTCCCAGAAGGCAAGACTGCGCCATTCTTGCCATATTCATACGCAATTGGCACGAAGACCGGTAAAAGCGGTGGCAGCTACCTGATCTCGAGGCCCGACGGAAGCATCATCGTCGGAGGTGCCCAGTATACTTTCATAGACCAAAAAGAGCAGTGGTATGGGGTGGTCGACGACAGTACGTTGATCGAGCCAACCAAGGATTATTACAACGACTTTATGCAGCGCACATTCAAAGGCTGGGAAGATAGCGGCGCCTACGTGAGGGAAATATGGACAGGGAGTAAGTGTTTCCAAGATGCGGGGGATTTGTCAGGATGGGCTCAGCACTGACTTCCTTCATCACCGGCAATAGTCATGGGATATTCATATGATACGAGCCCTCATGTGGGGGAAATCCCTGGTAGATCTGGGCAATACATTTGTGCTGGGTTTGACGGACACGGCATGCCTGTGATCTTCTTGGCCGCTAAAGGACTCGCGGATATGATTCATAATGGTAAGAGCTTCGAAGATGTGGGCTTACCTCGACTCTACAAGTCAACAATCGAGAGGATAACGAGTGCACGAGATGGACCAGAAGGAGGTGATATACTCAATTAGAATTGAGGCGAATATTTTGATCAGCCAGCATCAGATAGTGACGGGTTTCACACGTGGAATCTAGTCAGTACCGTGCATTGAAGTCTTCCAAATTCCAATATGAATGATCCTTTCAGTAAATAAATGTTAATGCCACGTCCGAGTGGCCACGGATGAAAGTCGATCGGCACGGAAAAACTGTAGCACCGCCGAGGTCGGGGAGTAAAGGGTTGCTCCCCGCACTCCCATTGGCTTCGAATGACGAAAAACGCACCTCTTGTGGGTCAGGCCGCAAGGAGTCATAGCCTGAGATTGGCAACCCCCTTCGGTTCCTTTTCCTTTCTCCTCTCTTATCTGTTATAAAACTCAAAAGTCCCATTGCTTGCAACTTCTCTTCTGCTTGCCGCTTATTGTGCTTCTTCTTCCTTTTTCCTCACCTAGACTGCTCAAAATGGCCACTGAAACTGGCAGTGCGCCTGCGACACTCCGTCAGTATACACCTATACCCCACATTTTACTTAATGAAATGAACAGCTACTAAATCCCGTAGAGAGAATCGACTCTCAACCTGAGAACCCTTTCTCACAGCTCATCACGGATCAATCGATCGTTTCGATCCCTTCATTTACTTTGGAGTCCGGTGTCACCTTGTATAATGTCCCGGTGGCTTACACTACACGGGGTCAGTTGTCCGAAACCGGAGATAACGCCTTGGTGATCTGTCATGCTCTGAGTGGAAGTGCGGATGTCGCAGATTGGTGGGGTCCACTCCTTGGCGGCTCTGGACAAGCATTCGATACAACTCGATTTTTCGTGGTCTGTTTGAACAGCCTGGGAAGTCCATATGGAAGTGCTAGTGCCGTGACTTACAAGGATGGAAACCCGGAGAAGGGACTATATGGGCCGGAGTTTCCACTTACTACAGTGCGCGATGATGTGAGGTAAGTTATTAGCCATGTGGGGAGATTCAAAGTATGCAAGGCAACTCACGACAAGAATAGGATCCACAAGCTCGTTCTGGATTATCTGGGTATCCGGCAGATTGCTGCCGTTGTGGGCGGTTCCATGGGCGGCATGCTCACCCTAGAATATGCGTTTTTCGGAAAGGACTATGTGCGAGCGATTGTGCCGATCGCCACCTCTCCCCGGCATTCCGCATGGTGTATCAGTTGGGGAGAAGCCCAGCGCCAAAGCATCTACAGCGATCCCAAATATGAAGATGGTTATTATCCTTTCAATGACCCTCCTGCTACTGGTCTTGGTGCAGCTCGTATGTCGGCTCTTCTTACCTACCGGAGCCGCAATTCATTTGAATCTCGGTTTGGGCGGAATGTCCCGGACCCTTCCAAGCAACAGAACATTAAAGGCACTGAGAAGCTGCCCACTCCACCCAACGAGCATTGGGCAATTCACAATGATGGGCATAAAGGCGGCCGATCGACGCCTAGTGGGCCCAACTCCCCCACTCCTTCCACACCGCAACAGACTGAAATTCAGTTCATGGATCCCCAGTTCTCCGGAACAAAAACTTTCAGTAAGACCGTCAATACTGCGCTGAATGATGGCAAGAAGCGCCCACCAACCTACTTTTCCGCCCAGTCGTATCTCCGTTACCAGGGGGAGAAGTTTGTGAAGCGGTTCGATGCTAACTGTTACATTGCTATTACGCGCAAGCTTGACACACATGATGTGTCAAGACAACGGGCTAGTCCCACGTCGAGTGATGCAGTCCGCGAAGCTCTTTCACAAATCCAACAGCCAGCGCTGGTCTTGGGAATCGAATCTGATGGCCTGTTCACTTTCGAGGAGCAGCAAGAGATTGCAGCTGGTATTCCGGACTCACGCCTCAAGCGAATTGAAAGCCCCGAGGGTCACGATGCATTCCTCCTCCAGTTTGAGCAGGTCAACCGCTACATCCTGGAGTTCTTCCGCGAAGTCTTGCCAGACATCATGTCCAAGGCTCCCGCAGATGGGACTGTGGGAGTAGACGGGGTTAATAAGCTAACGAAGAGCAGCACATTTGGAGAGGCGGAGGTGGAAGATATCACCGCCTGGTAAAGCGATACGCGGGGCCTCCATTAATGTGGCGCATGCGTTGCAGCCTTATTCTTATTAATTGATGCTCCAAGGGTAACCAGGGGTCTCCGTACCTTCTTTCTTTTAGAAAAGAGAGAGAGGGCACGCCGCGGGCCCTCATCCCGCTAGCATCCAGTGTCTCGGGGAAGTAGCGGTGCGGTCTTTGTTATTTTCTTCCTTAGCCAGTCAGAGAGATGAGCATCCAACTGCCTCTCGTACCTAACTAACAGGTCAGGCTGTAAAAGAAGCATCCAACTGCTCTCCATCATTAGCCCTTCTGCAAGCGTTCTCCTGGAAAATTTTTCGTTTGGAGTCATTGCAAGGGTGGTGGGCGATCTTTCAACATAATCGATCGATCTTCCAATAGCATAGTAGATAGATGTCAACCATCAATACTAGCGAACTTTAAGAATTGAAACGTTTAGCTTGAGATGCACTGTTATCAATTGGTAGTCTACACTTCTCGTACACGTAACGCAAAATGCCAAGACAAAGGGTAATGTTCGGCCTCAGCTCTCTACAACCTGCCACAACCCGCAGCTCTGGCTGTGTGGCAACGAAAGTGATACGAATTCATAAAAATATAGTGAAGGAATTTAAAAACGGAAAGTATGAGCTCAAACCCTGTGGATGCAAAAAGAAAAGAAAAGATCAAAAGTAAAAGTCATGCATCATCCGTGAATCGAACACGGGCCTCATCGATGGCAACGATGAATTCTACCACTAGACCAATGATGCTTTTCAATATGTGAGGTTTTCACTTTTAACTTTTTAGTACAAAACCTTACAACCCGTGGTATTCTTCCTATGATTGCAGGCAACCATTCGCCATACTCTCACTCAACGTCCTGATTCGGAAACCATCATATAGAACTTGAAAAACCGGAATTCTCTTGTATGGAAGATATCACGCTTGTTTTTCATGTACTATGACGGCGTTCTCCCTCAAGTAATGCGGCTATATACTCGCAACAGACGGATAGGCACATATGATACCACACTTCTGATGGGGTCCTGGAGCTGCCATTCCATGGCAACTGAGCTACGCAATGATGTTAGGAACTCTGACCATCGTGACTAGTCATAAACCCCAACTTTTACTTTTGCGGGGAAAGCCTGTCTTTTAACTCTCTCACCTATAGCTTCCCGCTCGATATCAAGGCGTAGATACATAGAATCGGGCCGGTGATCCCCCCCCCCCCCCCCAGAAAAATAGTCAACTACTATAGAAGACTTCCTCTAAGAAGGCCTGAGCCTAGACCAAAGCGCTCTCTGCGTGACTCCTCGTTAGCGACAAACTAGTTACGTGGAAACCATGGGGATAAAAATGAAGGTTGAAGCTAAGCTAGACTGCGGGGATTTTAGTGGACACTGAAATGGGAAATTGTCGCGGGGACAGAACTGGAGAAAAGAAAGATCTGCGTGACTTTTTGTGTGCCGTAGAGGTCGGACATGTGATACGTATTATAATAACTGGCTTTCCGCTAAGGTTCGTCTGTGTTCTTTTCCTCTCTTTTCCTCTCTTTTCCTTTCTTTTCTCTCTCTTCTCACTTTTTATTTTTATTTTTATTTTTTATTTTCCCCCCTCTCTCTCTTTAACTTTAGGAAGGCTTGTTCCTCCGGCGGCATGGAAACCGGGCTTATTTATTCGGAGTAGCCCGAGCCCTTTCCCGCTTAGCCGTGAATCACTCCTAATGATTATCTTACCTTGGTCGACTCAGAATTGACCCATTTCGACAGTAGATAATACTGTTGCGGTTGAAACCCATGCAGAGCCTTGCTGTATCTTTCTGGATCTTAATATAATTATTGTCTTCTCTGGGGTTGCCGAGGGCTATTGTATCACCCCACGCAGTACGTTCTAGAGTCTGGTCATGACTAATAGGAACCAAAAAAAAAGGCTAACTTTTGTAAATACCACCTTATAAGAACTTAACTTATGCAAGAAAGGGAACCAGAGTTCATAGTCTCCCTGCATATCCAATGGGACGACTGGACCTGTAATTGAGACCAACCGGGCATTGATTTACAAGTGCCTGATTGGGCTGTGTGGATGGGTGATCTCTCCTTTCGGGCCTGCCTTCGCCAACAACCCCTTCATTCGCGCCCCCTGTCCCTCCTCACTTAGAGAACGCCAAAAGAGACTCCTTAGGGCAAGAATCAGTTGTTGACTAGGAAAACCAGGAGAATCGCAATGGTTATTGATGTCCGACTGCTAATGGTGCGATGAATTGGAGGCGTGGTTCAACCTCAGCTATTTACCACCCCAAGAGCCAGTTTATTGATCCAGATGATCTCCCGACCCACCAAATGCATAGTGTGGAGAAAACCGTTCCTTGTTTACCTTTAAAGGATCATTGAACTAATTCCCCAGTTTGGAGTTAATGCACCGTATGAGGGTGGCCCACATGCAGTTCCAGTAGACTACCACTTCTCAGACACGGCAGATGACATCCCTTTGGCGCCACTAGGGGTATAGCTCCTTCCCATCCGAAAGTAAATACATGATATTGTTTCAGACCTCTCTGCCATAAGGTTGTTGCGGCTTGGGATCATGAGTATGGAATGAATTCACCATTTGGGGCATTCCGTCAGGGTTCCATTGTCCCGTGATACTATTGCCCACCCATAATTAACTGTTTTGCTTTCGCATCCTTCCTTCGGTGATATCGCACTTCCCCTGTATTTCAGCCACTCGTTTGGTCATGTCCTCGGGAATCGAAATATCTCTCATGTGTTGATCGAGCTTGTGATTCCATTTCCCTCCACTGGCCCTGCGGTGTCCATCTGCCCTGTCGCATTGCATTGAGACCGGGATTTCCTCATGCATCTCTTGCGACCCGGTACTTTATTGACACCAAATACTCTTCGTGTTACTCTTTAATTTCTTTCGTTATAGGGTATTCTCATATTGATCATCGATCTTGTTCTTAAGTATTTTGCTTTTTTTTTTTTTTTTTTTTTTTTTTTTTTTTCATCACATTCTTTCTATATAAGCCTTTCTAGTTAGGCTTTTTGCACATTCCTGTCTATCGCTCTGGACAACTTTCGACCTTCGTTCTGGAACACTTTCCGTCAACCTATTTCTTTTTCCTTTTTTTATCCCTTCATTCGTGATAGCTCTGGGGTTTCAATTTGCGTTTGTTGGGATTGGATGCCAAACAGTTCGCTCTATTGTGGAATCGACTTGTTAAGGTTTCCTGGTTAGAGACCACGGGCATAGTCGGACCAGTCAATATTAACCGGTGCATAGGGATAACTGTCCTGCTCTAATAGACTGTCGGACGCTTCCAGATTTTCTTTTTTGTCTTTCTTTTGTTAGGGCGAGCGTGCTTCAATTCCCTCGTGCCCTTTATCCCTCAGCCGGGTATCTCCACCAGCCACAATGGGATCGATCCTTAGGAGAAAGGGTACAGCCATGAATAGGCGTGGCTCTATTACCCAATTGTTCAATCTACAAGTGAGTGTGCACTGAACCAACATTTTCGTCAAGAACAAATGCTCATAAACACCATATAGAAACCTTCGTTGTCCATATTCCAGGAACAACCTACTCGTTATTATGATTTCGTGGACACCCCAGTCTATCATGGAACGTCATCCTACTTTATCGATCGTCAAAACATCACCCCAGAGTTGGAGTCAGACATTAGATATGCATGTTCACTGCTTGTGTACCGGATTGAACGAGGTGTGCCGTCACCACCTGCTAACCAGTCATCCAAGCCGTCTTCACAGATAGGATGTGAGAAAGGAAAGCATTCTGAGGCTGCATCGGAAAAGGCAGTGCCACAAATTGATTCAAAATATTTTTCTCCTAAGGTTGGCGCAGAGGTGGCCGCCATGAAAGACAAATATGATTCTGGTGTTGGGTTAACTCAGCAACCCAGTAGGCAGACCATGCGGTTGCTGCAGTCATCTCATTCCGATGAACGCTCAGACTCGGATGGACGCGCACCCGAATCTTTATTCAGTCAGGTTAGGAGCACTACCTCTGGTTCTGATACCAGCTATGCGGAGGATCCAAGCAGTCATTCACCAGGGAAGATTTCCCGACAAGATAGAAAGCAATCGATGATGGGAAGTAGCATGGGAGATGACCATACGAAAGGACAAGATACGATGTCTTTTCTAGCGGGGACCCCCAAGCCTGGCCCAAGTGTCGATGACGCATCGGACGTTGTGGAAGTGTTTCTCAACCCCGATGCCGCATTGGAGCCGAGTGGGATTCCAAGCTTCACTTCACCTTCAACACATCTTAGTACTATTTTGCCCAGCTTCGGGGTTTCTAGCGACTTTCCCCCGAATCGTCAGTCCCAGCTAATGGACCAGTCGAGGTTTCTCGGAGATCGGCCAGCATCGCGTGTCGACTCCTCTCAATCTGACAAGCATGATCACGAACCGGGGATAATCATTGACACCAACGGCGTTGCGCGCGTGCTATCCGCCTCAGAAGAAGTGCAACGTAACATTGATCTGCAGCAAGCTGTCATGGCGAAAATGGGAGCTGGGGCGGTTGGATCCAATACCGATACATCGATGCCATCTCCTACACAAACCTCGCCGCACGAAAATTACCTTACACAACCCCAATCGATGCCTTCCAGACTACAAACGTCCTGGTCATCTAGAAGCAAAACAGCCACGTCGAAGTGGAGGAGCGCCACAGAAGTATCCCCGTCCCTCGACAAACCCAATTTTTTCCAAAAAATCGTTGGCTTTCTCAGAAAGCGAAAGGACCTCGACCAAGGCAAGGAGGCCCTGGCGGGGGAGCCTTTGGGCATCGCCCAGTGATTATGTTTCCCTTCGCATGAAAATCGGAAGTCCGTCAAGTTCCGATACATTTCCGTTCTATATATCTTTCTCATCTTGATAGCCATGTATCCCAAGGTGATTTCATGGAATCTATTAGCGATAGCATCCATACCCACGAGTATCTCTGGGAGTCTTGAATTCTGTTTTTTATTTCTTATACCAATAGCGAAGCATGATGCACCTGATTACGGAATCATGCCCAAAAGATTTCTACAGGCTCCAGATTATATGAATATATTCTCTAGATGTTCTCAACTGCAACTTGTTCGTGAACCTGCTCTATCTAATCCAAAAGGTTGAGAGAGAGAGAAATGTACAAGCTCGATTGTTGTAATATAATAGGGTGATACATACCTGACGTGGCAGGTGTCCCAGTCTCTTGGTAAAAGAGTAAGAGAAGAATGTCCAATAAATCATTTTCTCTGCTGCAAGAGATCCGTGTCTTCCCATTCGTCTTCAGTTCCATGTCTGAAGTGGGGTAGTAGAATCAATGTCCCGCATTCCCAGTGAACCCATGCAAGTGAAATCCAGTAAGAATATGATTAGCCAGTGTCATATACTGTCATGGCCTGCAAGGACGGGTAAGGCATTTGCTGAGCTACTCCCGCTGGTCGACTATCGCGGATGGACTTATTTCGTGATACATTGGCTAACTCTACGACTGGACCATTCGCTTGAATCCTTTTTTTCTTTAACACACTCTATGCGGGATGGTCCGAACAATTTTCGTACGTAGTCTTGGTGTTGCTTGGATGCATATGAGGTTGCCTAGTCATTGGTGGGGTAGCGAAGAGATATATCCTACTTTGACAGTCTTGCAGGGTTAAAGCAGAGGGGAAAGCCCCTCAGTTTGCCAATAATCTCCTTGATTGGCCTTATCAGCATTTCTATCGCCCACTTTTGTATCCTTCTTCTTATTCTCGCCCGACTTGCACCTGCAAAGAATACCATAACTATGGTCACTCCGTCCCATCATTCTACCTTATGGGCGAATACCATGGTTCGTTATGGAGATACTCGCAATTGCTAAGGAATTGATACGTCTCAGTTGATCTTTATGGGCCTCTCATACTCCATATTGCAAGTTATACACCAAAAAAAGGTATGATTTGTCCGTTGGTGGCGCTGGCACCGCATAGAATGACAAATGACATACGGGGCACTCACCTCCAAAGCTAGGCATCAACAGAGAATGGTCACTAGGTATCTAGACATGCAGGCCAGTTCATCTTTGGAGGGGCATGAAAGTGACGTATCTTAACGGTAGTTGCAGGAAACCCGGCCGTCCATTATCAGGATGTGCAGCTAAATGACTCTCGTCGCCGTACGAAGGGCCTTTACTCCTCCACAGCGTTGCTTTTGTTTGGCACATGCATCCTGTTTTGGAAACCGTCAGCTGTCGAGGAAGCTCTTCAGGCATCTCCGCATGCAGGACACATTCTTGACTTCTCGAAATTACCGGGATTATCTCCTGAAATCCCATCGAACAGCTTCGATGTCTAAAGTATTTGCCCTGGTCTACGTGGCTCCACCAGAGTCATGACACAAGCTTGAAGAAGGACATGTTAGCGGAATGATGGAACATATTCTTGATCGACTCCTCGAGCATATAAACCCACGCTTTGCCGGCCCTTGACAACTAACCTTTGCTACTCAAGCTCAAGTTCAAGCTCACGCAGCCGCTCCCAAGCCCCTCAGCTCACTCCAAGGTCTGTTTCTTTTACACAGCTGCTGTCGCAATTACTTACCCCTCACAGCCTACCATCAAATCTCCCGTATCAACCATACACCCGTCTCATCAAGATGCAGCCCACCGAGAACCTCATCCACCCCGAGGGGCCCGTCGTCGTCTCCATCCCAGAAGGTGCGAAAATCCACATTACCGGTATGACGAATGCGGACTTCCACCAGAGGGTCACCGTAAAGGAAATTGGTAAAGAGGAGTATATCTTCGAAGGGCACGGTGAAGCTCAGCCCATGCTCCTCAAGGGAGGAGCCAACAGCGTTGACCTTGAGCCCATCGCTGGCTCTGGGTTCCGCACGTGGACAATCAATTTCCAGAACTCCAGCTCGGGGTCAGATGACTCCTACAGGGTGTCGAAGGTCCTGCGTCCCATCTACAACACCGTTTACGATAACGACTACAATGTCCGAAGCATGCAGTGGGAGATTGCCAGCGAGGACAACGTTGACGATGACTACAATGATGCCATCATCCGTATCGTTGCCGACATCTAAGTGGGTTTAGTATGGACTTAGTGGAGGTGTCGTATCTGTCCATCTGTACCTCGCATTTATTCATTCGGGTAACCCTGCTCGAGAATGAGTTACCTGGATGGAACCGCTTGAAGAAGAATGCGTTTTTGTGCATATGATGACGTGACGATAAATAATTACTCAACTTCTAATAACCTATGCTCCCTCGTGTAGATCCGTAGAAGATGTCTCTGTGGAGTACATTCGCATCCTTTGGAGCTCTCATATAGATCGTAGTCTCTTTATACTTGGTTTGAAGCAAGCAACTATGGAAAGGCCTACCAGCACTTGCTGTCGCCCTACTGTTGATTGCGTAGGCTCTATTGGTTTTTGCATAACTTCTAATATTACCATGAAAGAAAAGCATCTAACAACAGGGATTAACTCATCATTCCTGAACTTATGTTGCAGTAGTGGAGCAAAAGCGAGAAGGTCCTATCATTGGAATTGGATCTATTTGAACATTCGCTCTCCTTCGCATATTACGTATGAACGCTTTTCATTCTGAAGCCTGCTTGATGGCTTTGCGACCATCTTGCAAAAGCCTCTAGCAACATAGTACAAGTAAATGGATACAGACTTTAACAAACAACAAAAGGAAAAAATTTGCTTCCTAGTCACACATCCATGAACAAGACCACGAGAGAGTTAACTGGCGAGGAATTTATAACCCTAGTATAGATAAGATCCAGTTGGCTTGGAAGACCTTTAAATTAACCACGCCCGTTGAGAAAGAATCAGGTACAACTGTATTGCGATGCTACCCTCATTGATAGCCCTGCGCCAAATCAAAGGTACTGGAAATCTGAGCCTTGGTTTACATTTGCTCCAATTGTGTTAACCAGAAAAATCCCCCACTCGGCACTCGAGGATCACTTCATACTCAGCAGAGTAATACGCGCTTAAGTGAAAAATTGTGGATAGGGCTTACCACTTCCTGAATAGCGGGACCTTTGGTTGTGGATCTACCGATAGTCATATACAGACTAGGGCCGTGTCAGTTGATTGTGTCTGCCAGCTTCATCTTGAATTTTCTTCACATTTGACTTGCTGCATTACCTCGTGCTGTGGCTGTAAAGCATTCATCCAAGGAATTCTACCTTCGATTTGGACATCCTAAACCTTCCTCTCCTTTTATATAGACAGAAATCGAGCTAAACTCCAGTGATGTAATACAAGAAGCTTGGCAATGATCCAGAACCCTTCTGATATATTACCCAGAAAGGAAGTCTGCGCCCCAGAACGGCAACTCGGCTCACGCAAAAAAGGGCCGACCAATCATATGCCCAGGCAAAGAACGCTGATCAGAGCTTAGCATATCTTAAGTTCTTCTTGTCGTTTCAAAATGCGGCAATGAAATCCTTTAAGGATGCGTCCATTGAGTAGTCTTTGGTTATACGCCCTAGGAGGTTATAATATGACATTCTTATCATCCGTCTTACTGAAAAAATAAAAAAAGCGGTGTTCTACTACTGGGTCAAGCCATGTAAAAATTTGTGCCAAAGTGGAGATCATGGCTGGCTACTTTTGAAGTGGCGGAGGTCCTTTTAGCGTTCCTAAATGGGGCTATAGCTCGGATGAGAAAAAGAGTCAATCAATATTCGGATAGGCCGGCATTTCCATAAACTCATTCCCCGCCCGGATTTTCAATGAAGCCATTCGTACTCCGGACGTCCCTCATGTCTGCTGCAAAGTGTGTAGCTTTTCAGCTTCTTTTTCTTGACCACCAACCCTGTATACCATAACATACAACACCCCCCAACTCCAAATAAAATGATATAGAAAAGAAAGAAAAATGCGCCGCAAAGCCCAAAAATCCCTCACCCAACTCGCCGTCTTCGGATGTATCCTCTTCCTCATCTTCTTCCTAAACCGCTCCCCATCACCCACACCCACACCCAAGAAGAGAATCCTCAACAAATACCCATGGAGTAAAATCACCTACCAAACCAGCTCCGAAGTGCCCGAATCCCGCGGCATCTGCCGCGGGCTCAAACGCACCTCCAAACCAGCCCTGGTCATATCCCGCGTCGAAGCCGATGGCGATCCCACCTGGCTCAACACCCTAAGCGGCAAATACCACCTCTGCATCTATACCGTGGACGCACCCCCCAACCCCAAATCCAAGTACCTCCAGGTCCCCGCCAACCGCGGCCACGAGGCAATGGCCTACCTCACCTTCCTAATCGACAACTACGACCAAATCCCCTCCGCAGGCGCCGTCTTCGCCCATGGCTCCCGCTTCGCCTGGCACAACGACCACCCAGAATACGACAACGCCGATCTCCTCGCAGCACTCAACATCCCCACCGCCCTCGAACCATGGGGCTACCACAACCTCCGCTGCGACTGGAGCCTAAGCACCTGCCCCTCAACCGTCCCACCCCAAGCCGGCCTCTCAAACACCTTCAAAGCCGTCCTCCAACCCTGGTCTGCGCGCGCAGTCTCCGACATCGCCCTGCCCAAAGCCCTAACCTCTCTCTTCGGGCCGGCCGCTAGACTCCCCCGTAGCCAGACCATCCGCTCGCAGTGCTGCGCACAGTTCGTCGTGTCGCGCGATAACATCCGTCGCCATTCACGGGATGAGTACGTCGCGCTGCGGCAGTGGTTGCTGGACGCGGGACGGCATCGAGATGCGGCGCCGCTCGACGATCGGATCTCCGGGCGGGTGCTGTCCTACGTGTGGCATATCTTGTTTGTGGATCAGAGTCTCCTGGTTGCGGGGGGCGGGGTGGATCTGGATGCGTTGAACCAGCAGGCTTGTCCGTCTGCGGGGGATTGTTATTGTCGATTGTATGGGAGGTGTGGGCTTGAGAGGTGTGTGTCGGGCGGAGGGAGTTGTTTGGGGCAGTATGCGTTACCGAAGAATTTGAGGTTGCCGGATGATTGGGCGGCGACGCATTGAGGGCGTTTTATTGAGTTTTATGAGTAATGTTGGGGATGATGGGATGGATATACGGATGCGTACTACTTAATTGCGGGAGTTAGGGTGTTTTTGGTCGAGTCCTGATTGGGTTTTGTAATATATATATATATATATATGTCTAGACGGATCTGTTAATGATGTCTGATTTTCTGAATCATCGGGTGCTGTAATATATAAACGTAATTTGATCAATGAGTATCTCTAACATAACCCCAGTTACCCTCGTCACTCTGATATAGAAAGAATCATAACCCCCCTTACAATGTGAATAATCAGTACTCAGAACAGTCAGAATTTCACCATGCATTAGCATTAATCGCATTAATCTCTGAATTAGCTGTAGCTGCAATCCCTACTTCTTATAGTTGATTTATGTGGACAAGGGTAGTGGGGGAGATGGTGAATGGAAGACTATTGCGATTAAGATTGTGCCAAAGAAAGTTAGAGAAGATAGGGTTACAGAGGGGGTTTTGGGAGAGAAGAAGATGTAGGGTTACGAGGCTTGTGATCCTATTACTTGAGGGTGGGGCGATAGAGTCAGGGTTGGGGATTTACTTAGGGTATTATGTATAGGTTCGTGTTATTAGACCTAGGAGATTGATTGGCGTGTTGCGGGGCTTTTTCAGGTTATGTACACGTCTCGGATCTTAATTTCTTGTTTCGAGGGCGGGAATTGACGCTGATACGATGCCTTGGAGAAGTTGACGACTGGTTGGTTAGCTTGGTATAAGTTGGGGCTGGAGCTGGATGAGGCAACAGTAGAGGTTATTTGAGTACTTAGTCAATCCATATAGATGGAGAAACCGCATTGGACTAAGGTGACCGGCTGCTTCGGTGACCTCGGCGGTCAGTATGTCCCGGAAGCAATGAAGACCTGCCTTGCTGAGTTAGAGGCAGGGTTTAACTCTGCTGTCAATGACCCTGGATTTTGGAAGGAGTATCACTCCTACGGGTATATACATGGAATCAGCCGTCACGTTTGCATCGTGCCACAAGCCTAAGTGATCATGCCCGTGGCGCCGATATCTGGCTCAAAAGGGAAGATCTGAACCACACTGGATCCTACAAGATTAATAACGCTCTTGGTTAGGTCTTGCTTGCTCGCCGCCTGGGCAAAACCAAGCATCATTGCAGAAACAGGCGCAGGACACCATGGCTATGCTACTGCTAATGTATGTGTCAAGTTTGGTATGAAATGCACTATATTCATGGGCGCCGACAATATCCGGCGCCAGGCATTAAATGTCGCCCGCATCCGTCTGGTTGGTGGCTGTTGTTCCGGTAGAGGTAGGCTCTCACACGCTGCGAGATACCGTTGATGAAGCATTCCGAGTTTAGTTTGTCAATCTTAATACAACACATTTCATTATTGGTTTGGCAGTTGGGCCACACCCGTTCCCTACAACCGTACGGACATTCCAATCTGTCATTGGCGATGAGACAAAATCCCAGATGAAGCAGGAATTAGGAAAGCTTCCGGACGCTGTAGTGGTATGTCTCGGGGGTGGTTCGAATGCAGCCGGCATGTTCTATCCATTCGAGGAGGAGCCAGTTAAGCTAAGTTAATCGGTGTTGAAGCCGGCGGTGACGGGCTAAATACCTCTCGCCATTCAGCGTCATTGTCCAGTGGCTCAGTGGGAGTTTTATATGGTGTCCGGATATATGTCTTGCAGGACCAAAATGGACAGATCTCAGATAGTCATTCAGTATCCGTAGGCCTTAATTATCCGGGCGCTGAGCCCGAGCTTGCGAATTTGAAGTATAATAATCGAGCAACATTCCTTGTTGCAACTGATAACAGGTGTTTGAGAGGGTTTTCGGCTCTTAATCGGCTGTAAGGAACTATCCCAGCTTTGGAGTGCTCACATGCCGTATGGGTAGCAATTGAAACGGCCAAGGAGCTAGGCCCAGGGAAGAACTTGGCTCTTAATGAGTGGACGGGGAGACAAGTCACTTGTCGAGTGCTGCGGAAGAAATGCGAAAGATTCGCCTACAGATGGAATGGGACTTGTGACTTTAAGAGCAATAGACACTGATATTTGCCATGTAGAGCTACCATAAGACAAACTAGACGGACTGTGCACGTTCAGAGCATAGACCAAGCATGAAAGAAACAAAACACATTGAACCATTGTCGCTCAACAACTCACTGAATAGCAATATCCGCGCAGGATAGATAAATCTGCGGTGTCTGGAACGAATTCCACTTAAACGAAATCAAAGTATGATTCGACGTATAATCCGGAAGCTTCACCTTTTTCGTAACCGTATACCCACCCGCGATACTCGTGTAGCACGAATTCAACTCCGCGTTATCAACTCCCTGACACTTAGGTCTCTCAGAAGCCTGGAATCCATTACATGTAAACCAGTCATTCCGCCAACAGGCCTCGCCCTCGGAGCAGTCAGCGTTGTACCCACACTCCTGCCCATTCACATCCTTGCAGGACAGCAGACCCTTGTTGAAACAGTCTTCAGCAGCCTGCTTCTCCTCCTCTGTGGGCAGATGACTGGGGTCAAGCAGCTTGTCGACAATACTCTGGTCCTGACAGATGCGGTACGTGAACATACCCCCATGGTCGCCGTTGTGGTCGACGCACCACTGCACTTCGATTTCTTCGCCTGCCTTGTAGCTTTGTACGACCTTTTCGCCCCAGTTACTGGTTGGCTGGTTGTAGTCGATCCCATCTCGTGCGTTGTACCCGCAGGGTCCGCTGCGGCCGACCTTTGCGGCATAGAGGTCCGGCCAGGCTGTGACGGGCTCCAGAATAGCACATTCAGGACAGGAGTCCTTGCCGGCCTAGGATTATTCGCTTAGATCAGGGTAGACAGGTAGTGATGGGGGGAAATACCTCATGGCCAAGTCGAGTACGACTAGAGGGAATGTACATGTACCCATGACCTGCTACAGAGGTAGCCAGACTAAGGGCAACCAGCTTCGAAAAGGTGTTCATTTTCGTGAGGATAAGCAGAGGCACTCAAGTGCAAACAATAATAAAGGAGGTATCTCAAGAGGTGTCTTCAAGAACAGTTCACAGATACTCAATTGCACTTATCAACCAACCTCACACCCCATCTCCGACGTCCATTATATACACGATTCAGCCTGTGATCGACATCCGCAAAGCACTGACTCGCAAATTGCCTGTACAGGGTTCGGACATTTAATCCCAGTCCGGCCTATCCCGGATGATATTATCGGGCCCGCGAAGAGCTAGAAACTAGGATATTCCGGAACAGATTGCCCGGGATTAACACTCTTCGGGGCTGTCGATGTCGAAGATCATCGCTTGATGTAGATTAGTCCTGCCAAGATTCATCTATGCTCCGTGGTCGATAGAGTAGGCTTGCCGGTGCTTCACGTCTAAGCGATCTTGGCGCGAGCAAGGGTTGGATGAGAAGGTCCGGTAAATTCCCGGTGGTTTTGGATCCTCCGCAGGGAAGGGATAAGTGCCGATGGTAGGGCTGTGAATTGCTGTATAGTGTTGAGGGATGAAGTGGTTTGTGAGCTTATGATGAGGAATGAATGAATCTTACCAAAAGAATACATGGACGTGATATCGACTTCTCTGAGAAGTGCTGCGCGTGAATTTTTATGATTAGTGGATGGTACAGTTCTTGTATCAACCCGGGTGGCTTCCGTGAGTGACTTTCAATTGCGTTCCTGCCTGCAACTATCTACCATCACTAAGTCTATGAATCCCTCATGTTATCCAGGCCCCAAAGACAGGCTACCTTCCGTGTCTAACAGTGTCCACTAACTCATGTGGGGGCAAGGACCTTTCTCCGTCTCCTACCGGTAACCCTTCGGTGCCTTTGCTGAATCCCACAGAATACACAATGTGTCCTTCCACGTCTGCGTCAGCTTGGAGGAGATGTTCAGCTGACAGCCTATAATGTAATTTATTGCATAGAACAACATTTTTAGCATTGAGAAACACCCTATAGCGTCGAGTATCGGATCAATCACTCACAGTTTACCGGGACTACTATCCCGGTGTATATATGCTCGAAATAGGTCTGTGATGGCCATATCCCACACGCGATACACTCCCTAACGTTTCAAGGCTTGGAAGCTGTACGGAGAACTCCAAATCCCAGAAGAGCTTGCTAAGCTGTACACCGGGAACATGTTGAATCAAGAGATACATAATGAAGCCACTTGGAAACTATACCTTCATTACTTTGTTTTGCCTCTCTGTGCTTTAGTAAGATGGTGATGTACAGTGATTGATGGTGAGTATAGCCAATGCCTCGAGTTGTCTGGCTGCTTCCGTGGGTCATATTTCTGTCTTCTTACATCATTCTACTTTCCCTTCAAACTCGGTCACTATAATAGCCACTGAAGTAGAGGTGACTTCTGGCCAATCTCTAAGCATTCCGGCAATTGAGGGCAAGATCTACCCTACACTTTGTACATGCAAAGTACGTACAAGGATCAACACTCCATCATCCAGATATCATATAACCTCGACCACCTGAGGCACCGCTGCAGTCACACGAGCATAATCTGTCTCATAAACCCTCTTCCTAAACCCGCATGTTTAAGACGCAAGGATGCCTTCCCCTCATCATTCGAATGCAAGGGACCAAGGTCTATAAGCGAATCGCGCATCATCCCCATCCGGCTCCCACGTTTGCTCCATGCTACGCAGACCCTCCCACAATCCAGAGAACAGCACCAAACTAAATCTATTCACCCATAAACCCCCTCACACATCAGCCATCTCCACCGATGCAGCTGACAATCCTCCCCACATATCGAAGATACCAAACCCCTAGCAGTAACATCCACCCGGAACCATAATTTCCAATGAAGCACTGGCAAAAGAAGCGCTTACCCAAACTGAAAGAGACCCGACAAGGCCCGACACATCACCGTGGATATCCAATTAACAAATCTCTGTTCCAACGTTAACAAGTAGTCATCATATGAGCTGTCGAGCCATTAAGGCTTCCACATAGTAATGTTTGCATTACATGAAAGTAAAGCTCCAATCGGAATGATGCTTTTGACTACACGTCTTAAAGTACTGGCAATCCTCAGGAGCTCGTGATTGCCACCAGAGTTAACATTTCTGCATAGTGGCTGTAGCCAAGACCAACAGTAGGTACAGCACTTGCAATAAAGTTGGAAGAAGGATCTTCAAGTCCAAAATGGAAATGATCGGATTTTGAAGCATACTATACGTATACTAGTTAGCCGTCTGCATGTCGGACCTTCCTATTGGTCTTGATACTGTTAAAAGAACGCGCAAGCTCGCATGCCAACATCAACTAAAATATGCATACAAACGGCCGTCCTCTGCCTCATCAAGAAATCCTTAAATACCTTGGCGCCAAAAACTGTTAATACAGTGCCAAGAGGCTGTATGAATGCGTTTGACATTCCATATTGCGTACAGTAAAAATCTAGGTCGTTGGATGAACTTATGCAGCCCATAGAGAATTTAGCCCTAAGCCATAGCACCCGGATAGAACCAAGGTACCGTTTTCTATGCCAAGAATGAATGAAATTTAATATTCTTACCACGGCTTTCTATCTGACTAGCAAACGGTTCGTTCGTTGTATGCTCTGTCGCTTGCTTTTAGGTACTGCTGCCACTGGTCTCATCGTCCGCTCCGGCGAGCATCCCAAATTATAATGAGAACTGATCCAAGACGATGACATGAAAGCCAATATGAGCCGGACGGAGATGCCGAAACACTAAATACATTGCATACCAAGAAGCTGAGGCCCCAAGAACAGCTATGCCTTCAATGGCAAGCTGGCGCTCAAATAGATCGGATACCGCAGATGCCGTCGCAGGCTGATCGAGAAATAGATCGACCATTAATGTGCTCGGTAAGCTCATAGACAAAATACTACTCTGTACGCAGTCCCCTAATATTTGCAGGAAAAAGGCTTGAACAAAGGCACGTGGCACTCCAGGGCGCAACCATATGTAACCAGGGATGCAACCAGAAAGGTAGCAGAGAGCCCAGGCTCGTGTGCAGTACGTCGGTAGTGCGTATAAGCTGTCAGCTTTTGTCACGGAAGGATCAATACATCCCTAAACCCCCGAGAGCCTAGCCAACTATCCAGTATACGCAGTGCTTAAGAAAGATATTGTCGTGCATTGTTTTTGAGGGAGGCAATGAATATTAAAAGGACTTCAATTTTCTAATAAATACTTTGTAAGAAGAGCCGTGGATGCTTAGTGCCCTTTCCACCATGGGGGTATTCGAAGCACGCACCGAGTTGATACTGCAGAGTCGTACCCAAGGGCTTGTCATGAAACAATTTCGGTTCCTTCGAGGAAGTAAAAGGCTCGAGGGCTTTTGGCCAAGCCAGTTCGGTTCGTTCACAGAAAGATGCAAATCTGTTTTTCTCCACGATTCATTTTCGAATTGCGGATATCCGCTATTTTTATAGTAATGAGTCGATGTAGGCACGTAGAGTTCATCTGATTCAAGGATACCAACTCCTAGACCTGTAGATCAGCCATAGGTGACCTATCAACGAGTCAGAAAGCCCGCGGCACCAAATCGTACGATCATAGTACCTAGTTTCAATTACTAGCATTGGTACGCAGTACCATTGTGAAGATCAGATATCTTTTATTATTAGGAGCATCTAGAGACATGTAAGGGTTACTTGGGTACTAAAAGGAAAGCAAAATAGAGAACCAGAAGCTCTCCCCGGATAATGTGTAGGGGTATGTGAAAGTTCCTTTCCGATCGAGATCTGATATAGCAGATTATGCAATCTGACTCGGCTAACTGAAAAGAATATTCTAAGTCAGGTAGAAAAGTGGTAGCCTCTTTTACCACAATGCAGTGCCAAGTACAGCTTACATGAATAGTGTCTACTCCAATCTTGGACACGAAGAGGGATGTAATGAATTTAATTCTTCCGAACACTTGAAATTGCCATATACCTTCTGGGATTCAGAACGGAAAATTAATGGAGTGCAGCAGAGCCGACTGCGGGGTGAATGAACCATGGGAGTTTGGAACTGCAATTAAGAATAGACTTAGATCGATGATTGATCCTTAATACCCGATTTGCTATATCTTATGCCATCCCAATCTGGCGATACGAAAGATATAAGATCAACAGATAGAGATATCAGTATAAACCTTGGTCGCGGTGTTACATCGATGTATCAGGTGTAGGCTCCATAAAGACCTAGGATTGGTAGATCTACATGCCATTATGTTTTATGCAAAGGAACATTGTCGTATATTCATTGTTATGTAGTTTGGTATAATATTAGCAAGACTTAATAGGGTTGCGCATGGTAGATCAGATATTTGTTCTAAATTGTAACAGCGCGGGCCCGTTACGGCACGGATCCACGTATTGCCCAACTGCAAGTATATACGGGCAAGTTACCTTGCAAAATGACAGACCGACCGGTCCTAATTGGGCTAGCCAGCATGGGATCCACGGCCCTGTATGCAGAGTAGGTCTACTGTAATGATGGTGACGCGGCTGAATGCTCGCCAAGCGCACGGATATGGTCCACAGCCCAAGGAATGCCAACTTATACGACACATATGTCTCGGACATAGGATCCTGATCCTCGGATTGGCTACAAAGAGATCTTTTTAAGGGTGGTCAACACTCAAAAGCAAGGGAAATGATTGGAATGTCACCCTGTATCTCACATAAGATCCAGGGATACAGTGGTATTCTGATTATAGGATACTGAAAAGGGAACTCTATGACCTATCAAATCACACACAACAGCGCTTTGCCAAGAAGCTCAATCGTCGATTCTGGCCGCCGGCGAGAGCTAGGCGGTCCTACAGACAGTATCAGACTTGGCAACGGGACCCTTCTGCAGCCACTATGCCTAAGCACATAATTCTATCCAGCTGGAATTGAAACACGCAGTCATGGAGATATTCAAAGTGCCGGGAAGACATGATCTGCAGGGGATGTGGGCCTGAAAGGAAACAGAGCGCCACCCGGTCCTTGGACAACGGCAGTGGCGGTGTTCATGGAAGAAGTTTAAACTTTATAGAGACCTCAAAAGAGTAGGGACTGTGACAGATGAGGCATACTGAAATGGAGGACTATCTCGAAGTTTCTTAAGTGAACCTAAAACTACAGATCCTCCTCTCCAGGTTCTAGCCCAGGTCCATCGGGTGGTAGAGCAGCCAAGAAACTTGGTGAATGGAAACTATCCTGTGACCTATCTTATAACGTATCATCTGTGATCTCGGCTCTCGATCGTTTAGTAGGCTGAATGCGAGTCGTATTACTTCTATAGAAAGATAGAGGGTATTGTGATCATGACTGGAACTTTTTAGCTTCACTAGATATCCCTAATTACTATTGTGATGCTCTAAAATGACTTCCAGATTGTGCCACATACAAAAATCATGTACTACATATAATATATATAGACGCAACTACCAAGAAGAGGCGCTCGGAATATCAAAATCAACACCCAACAAAAACACGCCGTTTTAACGCGTCAATCAATAAAAAAAGGCCTCCTAAGACCCCAGGAACCTCTATGGAGGTCCCAAACCCCCCATGGTGGTGGCCTACCGAGCGTGTCGAGGTGGATGCCCCTGAGTGGGATACAACCACCACGACCAACACCGATATATCGAGGGAGCCCTAGAGCCCTGGGGATGCCAGCGGACCTAGAGCAGAACCAAAGTAATAGCGAATCCAGCAGAGTCCCAAGCAGAGCCAATTCTAGAAGCAGCCAGAGCATATAAAGCGACCAAGATATCCGAAAGCAGGGGAAAAGAAACCAGATACATCTAGGTCTGGGCCTAGGTCCTGAAAAAAATGCTATACAAGCAATGCCAAGCTCTATCAGAATCAGTAAAGAATCAGAAGCTTGAATATCAGATAGAGCTAGAGTTCATACAGGCATATATTGATGAAAAAATAGAGACCCAGGCAGCTTAGCAATATACCCGGAAACAATAATATAAGGCCTGAATTAAGGCCCTAGAGAAGAGGATTAATAGCCCTAGCAAGCCTAAATAACCCAGACAGCTTTCTCATAGCTTAAATGCCCCCAGCAGCGCAAAAAGCATCTTAAATAGCACTATCTCAGGGCTCTCAGAGTCCCTGGGACCCCCAAGGCTGACAGATAGAGTTTTTTACACACAGACCACACAGCAGAGCTGCATCTAAGGCTACAAGATCTAGCAAACCTGACAATATATGCAGATATCACAGCTCTGCTAAACATGAATCCTGGAGGGCAGGGATAGCAGACAGTCACTAAAAAATGCTATAAAAAGGCCTCTAGAACCCAAACTGAGGCAATACTACCACAGCTAAGAGCTGTGAAGAAAACCCTACTAGAGGCCCATAGATTAATATCCAGACAAGAGACTAGCCTTGAGACACCTAAGGCAGAATGTGTAGATATTATTCTAGGGCTTAATATTGCCCTTGTAGAGGCAGGATTACCAGACTTTCTACAGGTAGTAGATTTGGGATATACTAGGACGGGAGCCATATCTATTATTCTGCATAAAGGACCCATAAATCACTTGCTATTATCCAGATATACTGATCTAATGATAGCAGCTGCTAGGTGTCAGGGCCTAGGCCGAATCCTGCCTGAGGCACCAACTCTACTTTATTCACTGTTGATCTGATCCTACAACACAAGATCCTACAGTTCTTGTAAGGTGGAATTCTTTCTTTCTTTCTCTATTCCCTCTCTAAGTTTGATATTTCGTTAGGTTGCCACTTTAGATATAATTCATACATATTGTCAAGGTGTATAGGATCATCATATATACCGCTGGGAGGAGTTATTTCTAGCAGACTGCAGAATACAGCTAGTAATCCACCAACAGCCGTGTTCTGTATAGCTGGTAGAATCAGGAATTTCACAGGGCTCACCAGTATTCCCGATCCTTTTTACTATCTACTTAGGGGAGATTTTCAATGTTATCGAGCAAGCAGTTCTTGATATCAGGGTATTATCATATACAGATAATATAAGTCTGCTGAGATCAGCTAGCTCAGTACAATAGGCCTGCCAGGAATTAGAGCTTGCTGACTGTATAGCTATTAAGCAAGGTAAGTAACGGGCAGTCCAGTTTAACACAGGAAAAACAGAAGCAGTTCTGTTTATAAGAAAGAAAGGTAAGGAGCTTAAGGATTAGCAGGCTAAGATTCAGATAGCTGCCGTACAGGCAGCGACTTTATATAGAGCAGAACTCTGATGACAGGGTCAAAAGGATCAAGTTGGGGGTATCAATATATAATCAATAGACAACTATGTCTAATCACAGGCATGCATAAAACTACCCTAATTAGGCCACTTATCAAAGAAGCAGCTCTTTACCCAGCAGAAGTCCTGCTAGATAGACGCCAGAGGCAATATACTCTAAGACTACTAGGGTTGTCTAAAGGTCATCCAGCTCAGGCTATTCTACTAGCTAGCTCCCGCACGGGGGACTGCTACGTACAGCCTGGGGAACAGCCTATAGATAACTGAATATGGGCGGGAGGCCCTAAGGCACAAGGCATATAGAATCTAAGTCAGTATCTAGTAGCTAAGGTAGCTAATATCTTGGAGATAGACCCTCAGCAGGATTTAAAGAGATAGTGGAGGCTCTTTCTAAGGCATTTCCAGGCACTATACTAGTGCCTATAGAGAAAGAAGCACTTAAGCAGGAAACTATTCCCAATAAAGTCCTAACACTATGGTCAGATGGTTCATACCTAGAGAATAGACAGACTAGCGCAGGCATTGCATGGCCAGAGCTCTTGGGCACCTGGAGGACTAAGCATGTATCCCTAGGGCAGGGAAAAGAGATCTTTAATGCTGAGCTAGTAGATATATACAAGATACTTGTAATAGCTGCACAGCTGGAATATAAAAGCTTGATTAGGATTCTATTAGACTCACAAGCAGCTATAGCTCGGTTACAAGTCAATAGAGCTGGCCCAGGGCAAGACTGGGGCAATCAAGGCCCGAGATACAGCTTAAAGTCTTGAGGATCAAGGATATTAAACTACTACTTAATGGGTCCCAGGCCATTGAGATATACTAGGGAATGAAAAGGCAGATAAAGCTGCTAAGGTAGCTATGGAAAAGGCCCCCAGAGATATAGATAGGAGCCCCAGTCTAGCGTATCTACACAGAACATGCACTAAGGCAAACCAAAGCCTAGAGACAACAATGGCCTGTATAGACCCTGGAGAAACACTCCTGCAAGGCTCAACAGCGCTATTAACCCCAGAAAGGATAAAAACTAGATCTGGTAGCAGGAGAAACACCAAAACAGCTCGCTCGTCAATACTATCAGCTAAAAATTGGGCACGCAGCAATACCGACCTACCTGAGTCAAATAGGGGTCCGAGACTCGCCTAGATGATAGAACAGTCAGGCTAACTACTAGTTAAATGTAGGCAATGGCGCCACCAGAGACGGGCCTTGTACAGGGCCATAGTCAAGGCAGGAGTGCCACTACCTGAACAGGGAGAAATAGCCCCAGAATGCCGTTTCTTTGAGGAACAGAGAGCCATGAAGGACCTAATGGCCTTTCTTGCAACGACAAATATCAGTGTAGAAAGGTAATCTAGTCACGCCTAGATAACACCCAGCAGGTAATGAATATCGAGGAGGGCATAGCCTAAAGGCCCTGGCACAGATAGGCGGATCGGGCGAAGAAAAGAATTCGAATGAATATACAAATGATAAAGGAGGGCCCTGGTAGAGCCCTTAGGAACTATTTAGAGGCAGTGGCCCAGGCCACTACCTAGACACATGTGTCTGTCATAGCCAACGGCTCGATATAGACGTTAAACTCGATTAATAATAATAATATAGTATATATGTTAGTGGTTTTTGGCTGCCAAGCGAATTTTTATATGATACATGGAATAAATAGGGGAGCGGGAATCGGGTGGCGTAGCCCCAGCTGTCAGCCAAACACCCTTCTACCAGCCTCGTGTCCACAGAATACGGTCAACGGTATCAGCACTAATATCAACCAAAAATTTGAACTCTATAAGACATATCGCAAAATTAAGATTTACCATGGTTGGTATGTACTGTATAATGCATGTTGGGTTGGTGCGTTCGAGAGTCTCCGTAAATCGTATCTTCTAAAATCTCACCACCCCTTGCTTCGGTATCCCTAGATTTACAATAATGACGAATCCCTCCAGACGGTCTCGTATTGCTCTATTTACTCTACCAGTTCCTCGAAATTTTCTAGAACGTATAAAAAGCTGAGATCCAGCGCCTTGCACTTAGATACGTTGGTAGTTGTCTATAAACTCTGTGATTCGGTTATTTAACCGAATCCCATCCACTTTATCTATTGTTTCATCTTTGAATTTGCAAGACTATTGCATCTTCGACCTTTTCAAGATGCACCCGAACATGGTTGATGTCTCAATTATTGGCAGCGGCACGTCCGCTGTAGCTATTGCCGCCCAGGTAGTCAACAAAAGCATATCAAACGAGAAAGTCAGGTCAATCGTCCTGATTGAGAAGGGTGAACACCCAGGGACGGGACTGGCTTATTCCAAAGCTTGTGAGGGAACATTCGTCAACGGCCACCCATCCACCATGGGGGTGTTCGCCCGTGATCCAGAAGGGTTCTTGAGATGGATGAGTGAGCAAGGGCAAGAATATCGGGGTTCCCCTCCGACCAGAGAACGGTTTGGAGAATACCTGCAGGATCAGCTTGCCCAAACCGTTCATGCTGCTGATAAACTCGGTATCGAGGTCCGTATTATCAAGGACGAGACTGTGGATGTTGTGGACTTGGATGGCAGATATGAGGTGATTTTGAAGGATAGCAGCCCCATTGTCTCCCGTCAGGTTGTGCTTGCAATTGGCGATTTCCCGAAGCAGATTTATTCGAAAATGTCACATTTTCCTGGATATCTTGGGGCCCCTTGGCCATTGCAAAAGCTCAACCGCATTTCCCCCGACGCAACAGTTGCGGTGGTTGGCACAAGTCTTACGGCCGTTGATATCGCTCTCAGGCTCGCAGAGAATGGTCATAGAGGTAAAATTTGTCTCTTTTCTCGCAATGGTCGCCTCCCGAAGGTCAAAGGGCCCTCGCCGGCACTAGCTGTGTTTCGCAACCAACACATCCTGCACAAGTTGGCTAGGGATCTGGAGCAAAACCCACACAATGCATTCGAAACAATTATCACGACGATGGCTGCAGAGCTTGAAAAGATCAACTGGTTACATCGATTCAGCATGAAGCAGCTTAATGGACCTAAATCTGAGCTGGAAGCCGACATCGCCGCTGCTGAAAATGGCCATATGGAGTGGTTGGCTGTACTCCATGCAACGGGTACTGTCCTGGAGCGTTACTGGAATGCACTGTCTCTTGAGGAACGAACGACATTCAACGAGAAATATGCAAGTGTGTGGTATCTATACCGCAACGCCATGCCTTTGCATAACGGCAAGCAACTCCATGCATTGATGCTGGCAGGGCAGCTTCAGGTGCTCTCCAAGCCGACAGTGTCATGGGATGGAGATTACTTTGTGGTTAAGAGTGGGGAAGAAACAATTCAGAGCAGCTTCCTGGTTGAGGCTTGCGGCTTAGAACACAACCCATATGCCATCGAGTCACCATTGCTGCACCGGTTGATGGATTCTAAACTCCTGAGACCGCATGAGGCTGGGGGGGTATCTGTCGACTTCTGGACTTTGGAGGCAACGAAGAACTTCCACGTTATTGGGTCCCTTACCCGGGGTGTCCATTTCTACACCAACTCCGTCCGACGAATTGCTGCACACGCCGAACGAGTAGCCGATACCATCATTGGAAACAGGGTCTGCCGACCCCAGCATGTCGCTTTGTTTATTGGTAGCCTCAATGCCTACTTGAATGTCCTGCCCAAGCTTATACCACGCCTGCTGGACAATAACCATGTCCCTTTTGTGTTCGTGACTGCATCCGTTGTTAAGAGTTTGAGCGCGATTGAGAGGTATCTGAATGGATCTGGGCCCCAGGTTGCTCTCCCAGATCTCCAGAGCCGCTATGGTGTCTTCACAATGGAGATAGACTCAAGCGGTCCTTCTCTTCTCAAGGCACTCAAGTCCAGCCATATTGATGTTGGCCTTGGAGTCGACATAGAGAAGGTGCAGCCCAGCGAGGCATCCCATTACTTCCAATCTCCACGAGAATTTGTTCGATTTTTTGATGTAAGGACCAATATGATACTGGGTTTCAACCTCACAACACGACACGAAACAGCTACTAATATAAATGTACAGCGTCACGCCGAAGCACTCAATGGCAAATGTATGGAGCCTCACTCCGATTCAGCCCGCGTCGTCGAAGACATGGTCAACGCTGTCGACTGCTTGGGGCGCCGAAAACCCATTACGGCTTAATTTTGCATTGACAGACATAAAATTGAAGTTTGGGGTGCCGTCAAGGTTACTCGGTACGACATAGGTCTGCGCCTGTGAGTACATAGGGTATGGCCTAGAAGCCGGAAAGCCACTGTTTTCCTTGTTTATGGGCCTACATAATGTCTAGAAGTACGCTGCAGGCTTGAGTGAACAGCAAAACCTCGTTTCTTAAGCCATTCCAGTCATTTCAGCGGGGGACAAACTTCTAAGGAGCCTAGAATTGATGAAAGGTCAATTCGACTATCTTTGGAAAAGGGGAAAAAGGGAGAAAAAGAATTTTAAAAAAAAAACCGTAGGGCGCCCTGTTGCTGGCCGCCGTTTCAGATAATGCTATTATAGATTCTCAGATACTCCAGAGACTTGGTGGTCTCTTAATTAGTAATTTCAAACGTTCCATCTTGCCCTATGTGCCTTGTAGTTTTATCCGCCCATCCGCACTTGGCAATTTCCTTCAGTGTAACAAGTACAAGTTCCCCGCGTGAAGTAGTGTTGCCCAAGAAGATGTTGGAGAGAACTTTCCCTCCCTTTCTTGGTCACTGATCAAAACCCCAGGGACCAAGGATAGGCGGTTTATTCGCCTAGGACATATCATGGCGTTGTCAATGGTAAGAATGACAGACATTGTATACCGCATGGCAGACAATGCAGACGAAGCAGTCGAAGCACTTTGATTCCGGCCCTTACCATGCGATATTCTTCTGCAATGTTGCGAAATGGAAGAGTAGAATAACGAGAACTGAACGTCATATACATACCTACTGGATTTTCTAGACAACTCGAAGATCTTCCCTTTCATAAAAGCCACAACTATAGTATTTCTTTTCTACAACGTCACTAACAGCGAAAACTTTCTCACCACGAACGGCCTGTTAATTGAGGGCATCTTATGAATTCGTTCAAGATTCGGATGCGAATTATGATCGCAACATTGTGGCATGTAGTGAGTCCATAATAGATTTGTAACCTCACAAGATTTGGTCACTCTGAATTCCCACGGTTACTGCAACCCTAACAACGTCATAGTCATTGTTTTGGACAACTCTTGGATTCTCTATTAGATTCCGATGAGCTGGTTGTATGTTTGATCTCTGGCCTGCTTCAAAGCGGTGCTAGATTATACCTTTGATAGCCATCATTTCGTTTCTTCGTTGTCTCCTCAACGCTCAGAGTAATCTATAGTAAGAGAGATCTTGACTGAGCAAGACCCTAAGTACCCTCACTAGAGCGGCAGCTTCGAAATTAAGAAAGCTACAGCTGTTCTAGTACGTATATGAAGATATATATTTGGAATCATGATTTACATAGAGTTTTTTGTAAAAGACAGAGAAGAAAAAAGATAGGAGAATAATTCCAGGGGCAGAGCTACGGATAAACTCCACAGGACAAAATTTGTATTCTGTGCTTCATCCCGAATAGGCAATATCCCCAACCCTCCAGGATATCAAACCACCCTCGATTGATCGCCGGTGATCCACCGCAGGAGAAGGATAGTGTAGGCACGACGGACCGATACTCCGTGGGTTCCCCCACTGCCAAGCGATCGGTTAATCTTCGGCCATTCCTCCGTTGCCTTTTCATAGTGGCTTTGCAGTACGATTCTTGCTCGCTCGCATGTTATCGTAGCCATGTGTCAGGTATTACGACGCCAGGTCTGAGTTTCACCACGGATTCCTTCGAAATCGCTTTGCTGCACGGGATGCACGGAGATCCACCTATCCACCTTAGATGATGTCGTTGGACCGTGCTCGCGAGATCAAGCGGGGAGCTCGGGACGAACTATCGAGATAACTACTCTTGTCTTTTGCTTTGAATTGTTATTCATCCCTGACCCGTTTGGTGGAGTAGTTGGGGATATAAATTTGTATGCCTTGCAACCCTTCTCGTGAGATCTGTTTCTTTCTCCCTTCTACTTCTCTACACTACTTCTTTCCCGCCCTCACTCCTCCCTCTCCTTCCTATATCCATCCATATCTATCTTTCTCGTATTATCCCACCCATAGTTGCGGAAAAGTTATCCTATCATTGTTCTTCCTCCTTTGAAATCGGTTGTCTCCTCTTAAATAAAATAAAACTAGACATACACACACCCTCACCACCAAAATGCCACGCATAGATGTCGAAAAGACCCTCGAAGAACTCACACTAGGCGAAAAAGTCGCCCTAACAGCCGGTTCACTCTCCCCCGAATAAAACCCATAAAACCAAATCTAAACCGACTAACAAGCCCCAGGAATCGATTTCTGGCACACAGCCTCCATCCCACGCCTTAACATCCCCTCTCTACGCATGTCCGATGGCCCCAACGGCGTCCGCGGCACTCGCTTCTTCAACGGCGTCCCAGCAGCCTGTTTCCCCTGCGCCACCGCCCTCGGCGCAACCTGGGACACCGAGCTGCTCCAAGACGTCGGCCGTCTGATGGGCGAGGAGTCTATCGCCAAGGGCTCGCACATCGTCCTCGGCCCCACGATCAACACGCAGCGGTCTCCGCTCGGTGGTCGGGGCTTTGAATCCTTTGCCGAGGACGGTGTGCTTTCGGGTTTGTTGGCCGGGTTCTTCTCCAAGGGGATTCAGGAGAAGGGGGTTGCGGCTACGCTAAAGCATTTTGTTTGTAATGATCAGGAACATCAGCGGATGGCGGTTGACAGTATTGTTACTGGCAGGGCGATGAGGGAGATTTATTTGTTGCCGTTTCAGGTCGCTATGAGGGTTTGTCGGACGGCTTGTGTTATGACGGCTTATAATAAGGTGAACGGGACGCATGTTAGTGAGAATCGGGGGATTATCACGGATATTCTGAGGGAAGAGTGGGGGTGGGATGGGTTGGTTATGAGTGATTGGTGAGCTTTTTCTTCTTTTTCTTTCGTTAACTTTTTTTTTATATACATATATGTCTGGTTGGATTTGGGATGTGGATGCTGATGGTGTGGGTGGGTAGGTTCGGGACATATAGTACTTCTGATGCAATTAATGCAGGCTTGGATCTGGAAATGCCGGGAAAGTCACGCTGGCGTGGAGTTCCCTTGGCTCATGCCGTTTCCTCGAACAAGGTCGCTGAATTTGTGATAGATGAGCGAGTCCGCAATGTGTTGAACCTGATCAACTTTGTGGAGCCCTTGGGGATTCCCGAGAATGCCCCGGAGAAGGCTCTAAATCGGCCGCAGGACCAGGCTCTTCTTCGCCGGGCCGCGGCGGAGTCGATCGTGCTTATGAAGAACGAGGAGAATATCCTGCCACTCAGCAAAGACAAGCCTATTCTGGTGATTGGTCCAAATGCTAAGCTGGCGGCGTATTGTGGTGGTGGCTCCGCGTCGTTGGATGCGTATTACACCATCACGCCTTTTGAGGGTGTCTCGGTCCAGAGCAAGGGCGAAGTCACCTTTTCCCAGGGTGTCTACTCGTTCAGAGACTTGCCTCTTCTTGGGCCGTTATTGAAGACGGCTGATGGCAAGACTGGTTTCTCTTTCCGTGTCTTCAATGAGCCTCCGTCTGAGTCGAACCGTGAACTTGTCGATGAGCTACACCTGGTATCATCTAGTGGCTTCCTTATGGACTATGTTAATCCTAAGATTAAGTCTTTGACCTATTATGTCGATATGGAGGGTCTCTTCACCCCCGAGGAGGACGGCATCTATGACTTTGGCGTCACTGTCGTTGGCACAGGCAAGCTGTTTATTGACGGCGAAGTCGTCGTGGACAACACCAAGAACCAACGCCAAGGTTCTGCCTTCTTCGGCACCGCCACAGTGGAAGAAAAGGGCTCGAAGGAACTGAAAGCAGGCAAAACCTACAAGATCCTCTTTGAGTTCGGCACAGCACCGACCTCAGACCTGGACACCCGGGGCGTAGTGGCATTTGGACCCGGTGGCTTTCGCTTCGGGGCAAGCCGTCGTGTAGGCCAGGAAGAGCTGATCTCCAAGGCCGTCGAACAAGCCGCTAAGGCAGACCAAGTGGTCATCTTCGCCGGTCTAACCAGCGAGTGGGAGACCGAGGGATACGACCGCGACCACATGGATCTTCCCCCAGGCAGCGATGAACTGATTTCACGCGTACTGGAGGCGAACCCGAATGCTGTAGTGGTGATCCAGAGTGGCACCCCAGTAACAATGCCCTGGGCCAAGCAGACCAAAGCACTCCTGCACGCCTGGTTCGGCGGCAACGAATGTGGCAACGGCATTGCCGACGTACTGTACGGCGACGTCAATCCCTCCGGCAAGCTGCCCATTACCTTCCCCGTCCGTCTGCAGGACAACCCAAGCTTCCTCAATTTCCGCGCGGAACGTGGTCGCGTCCTCTACGGCGAAGACGTCTACGTTGGATACCGCTACTACGAGAAGGCTAACCTGCCTCCATTGTTCGCCTTCGGTCACGGTCTCTCCTACACAAGCTTCGCCCGCTCTGATCTGACTCTCACGACCAGTCCTGAGAAGCCCAAGTACGAGGAAAGTGGTGAACCTATCACCGTAACTGTCACTGTTACCAACACGGGTAAGGTTGCCGGCGCAGAGACGGTTCAGCTCTGGGTTTCCCCACCGCCGACAGAAGTCAACCGCCCCGTCCGCGAACTCAAGGGCTTCGCCAAAGCCTTCTTGAAGCCAGGCGAGCAGAAGAAGGTGGAGATTGTTGTGGAGAAAAAGCTCGCGACGAGCTGGTGGGACGAGCAGCGTGAGAAGTGGGCGTCCGAGAAGGGCGAGTATGAAGTTATTGTGACAGGCACCGGGCAGGACGTGCTCAAAACATCATTCAAGGTCGAGAAGACCCGGTATTGGTTAGGATTGTAGACTATGATTATCATGATTATCTATGAGTCCAGCGATTCTTGAATTTGAGTTCTGGGTATTGTTTTGACTAAACGCAGGCTCTGAAATTGTACGCTTCTCATGACATCTATCGACATCATGTTTACATCCACTTAAGCCCCAGCCCTAGAAGCTAGTAAGCATAGGCCACATTAAGCTTGAACGTGCGATGATCACATCCGAAACGGTAGAATCAGTAGGCCCGTATAGTTAGTTACCAATAACCCAACCTGCCATCAAACTCAGCTCCAGACATCAACGTCAAGGACCCAAGACCAAACTTCCAAGGAAAGTCAACCTCTCCAAAACGCAAGGAAATATCTCAGAGACAAACCCAAAAAAAATCACCCCATGTGCCACTGAAATCCGAACTCTGCCCCAATCTTAATGAACCCTAACCAGCCCCAGAGCACCCCGCTCCATCCGCGGCGCCAACCCATTAAACACGCCCATCTCAAAATCCGAGATATCCGATTTATCAAATTCCATCTTCATATCCATAATCTTAGCTCGGTACCGATTCACTATATCTGGGGAAATACCCAGTTCCGCAGCGAGTGCATCGGTGTCGCCCGGTCGGGTAATGTACACGGTTCTGCTGCAGAAGTCGAAGATCTTAGCGATTTGGTCTTGGGAGAGTTTTTCTGAGGGGACGTCGACTGCGCCTTGGATGACTGGATTTATGTCAGAGTTCAATCTTAGCTTGGGGGGAGGAAGTTGGCGAGTTAAATAGTATGGTAGGGAACTCACCGGGTTGGAAAATTGCAAACGCTCGATCAAAACTATCCTCTTGGAAATCATTTAGGATGGGATTATTTTGATTAGCGATTTGCTTTCTGGTGGCACTGATCACCATTAGGAAGCGGGTGTAGGCATCTGATACCTTCTGGGAGTGCCAGTTTGCCGCGACGGTCTGGGAGCAGTGGTGTCTTTCTGCGGCGCAGATTGTGACGGCGGCGGAGAGACCGCTGTTCAGGGCCAGGTGGACGCCGGAGGAGAAGAATGGGTCGATGAAGCAGCCTGCGTCGCCGGCGAGTCGGAGGTAGGGGCTGGCGTAAGATGAGGCGCGGTAGGACCAGTCGGATGCGGATTTGGGGTCTGAGACTAGTTTGGCGTTTGCGAGGAGGGCCTGGATGCCGGGGGTGTTATTGAGGCTTTCTTTGTAGAGTTCGACACTAGATTGGCTTTTGGATCTTTTCTTGGATGTTGAGAGGTCTTGGCTCATTACTACTCCGACGGAGGTTGTGTTGTTTTGTAGGGGGATGGCCCATGTCCAGCCGCTGCCGTCTGGTGTTGTGAGTATTTCTTTCGTGATGGTTGATAGAGTTATCGAACGTACCACTGATAGCTTCGAAATAAGGGTCATTCTCCCTTGGCGTCCCAGCCCCAGGTACTTCTACATCTTCCCAATACCCCCACGTAGCAACTCCCTTCAGCGCATTGTTCACGACCCGGTTCTTCAAATACTTGGTGCTAACCAGCCCAGCCCGTCCAGTCGCATCAATGAGGTACCTGAACTGAATGATACCGTTGCTCCCATCTTTCCGGGACCATGATGCGGAGACAGGGCGTCCCGGCCCATCGTCAACACTCTCGGAGTCTGGCTCAAAGTTAACAGAAGTGACTTTGACTCCATCGAAGACCTGTGCACCGCTCTCTCCTGCGTGTCGGAACATGAGATCATCTGCCTCGGAGCGAACCACGTTCCACGTGTAGTTTTCCGGTCCGCCTACGGCGAGAAAGTCCGTGTCTGTTCAACTTTTTAGTAATGAAGGACTGAGCCGGATTAGGGGTTCCGTACAGGCGGCAGGCGTGGAGTCATTGAGTTTGAAACTTGCTCCATTCTAGAGTGAAATTATAGCTTTTGGTTGGTAGCTTGATGCGGAGATGGAGGTTACCTTTCTGGTGAATCCTTGGTCTTTGAACTTTGCTTCTAGGTCGATGAATCGGAGAAAGTTGCGGAGTGAAGGGAGCATGCTCTCGCCTATGTGGTATCTGATGTTATGCATGTTAGGTGGGCGGATGGTATAAAGGGCTTATGTGCATATATACCTTGGGAATACCTCTGCCTCCAAGACGGCAGTATCGAGTCCCTCGCGCGCCAGGACAGAAGCAGCGTATGAACCGGCTGGGCCGCCTCCAATGACTAGGATAGTGGTTTGTTCCGGGATAGACATGTTGAAATTGAATGTTTCGTCAAATGGCGGGGAAGGTGGTAGATGTTCTATCGAAGCTACCCAGCAGGGAGAGATACCTCTTACGGAATGATGCAGAGTGCTTTTATATCTCGATCATAATAATCACTTGACCACTTCAGCTCTCAAAACTACACGTCTATCTTCTTCAAGTTTCATATCAGCGCCATTTTCCACCCTCGAAACAAGGAAACACGATCAAAGACGTGTACATATCCTAAAAGAAATAGCGCAACTCTTTCCCTCTACGCCCAACAATCAATCTTCTAGATCTGGTAACACCCCCACCATCAAGTAACAGTCACGAAGAAAAGAGCACAAACCTAATGACCCTACATCTTCCTCACCAGCTTACCGTCTATAACCCCCCATCTTCACCACGCAAGCCAACCAACTCCACGACCCCCTTCCTGGACCTCAATTGCAACAGCCTTCCATTCGCTACAACCAGCAAGGGTCACAACTACATATAATTCGGGGTGACTCCGCGAATTTCTGAGTATTGATGAGCTTGTGTGCTAGAGCCCATCAATACTTAGAACAGCGAACTGATATTCAGACTCTAGGGTGGGCTATCTAGTGCAAGTGGTTATTTCTATATCAAAACTATCAGGGTACCTAGGGTATACAATAAGGGCCAACAGGGCTTCAGTAGAGATGCTCATTAGTGAATACCCTTTTTATATTCTATATATGTAGTTGTAAACTTGGTGATTAAAGAAAATTAATTAAATGACGTGTCAACAGCACCAGATGATACAGAAATCAGATATCAAAATAGTAATTACGTGTAGATGCGGTGATGTTTTCTCGTTTTCTGAGTCGCCATGAGGTATAGCTATTATTATTATTATTACTATTACTACTATTATTATCACTTTTTTAATCAAGTTTAACGTCCGTAGCGAGCCGTTAGCTATGACAGACACATGTGCCTAGGCAGTGGCCTATACCACTGCCTTTAAATAGTCTCTAGCGGCCCTATCAGCTCCCTCTATCGTTTGTGGGATCATTCTGATCCTTTGCCCTGAGGTATACTTTGTATACCCCCAACGACACAATCCGCAGTAAAGATGATATTAGCATTCACTGCGATCTCGCCTAGTGGCATAGCGATGTGGTGAATCCTAATCCAAAATCTACTCCGAACACAAACCCCAGCCTGACTGATCCTCCTCCATTATATCGTCAGGGTGGATAGTGGACTAATGTTCTGTCTATGTCTATATTCTCGCGATTAAGGTCTAACAAAGGCTTTGTGAAACTCTAGAGGAATTTATTCATAAAGTAGGATTTTCAGTTGAAATACATGCTAACTTTAATAGTCCGACTGCTGATTGGATACTGAATAATTATTATTATTGATTTAATGGGACTGGTTTCCGAAATCTCTGCGTCGGGCAGTCATTATTTTACAGGCATTATAATAAATTCAAATAATCTACTCTGATCCTACGGAGAAAATTAGCAAAGAATCATACTGTCCGCATTATATGTTTTCATGCATTTACATTCCATTCCGGATTAAAGTGTATCATTATCCACATACGTTAAGCTGGTATCCGTCCAAGACGCTAAAGAAATGTAGAGAATACACATGGACTCCAACAAGAGCCGAGAAGGTTATCCCAATGCAAGAAAGATTTGAACACCGTCCAACAATGCATAGATGCGTTATGTAAACAGAGATAAGGAAAAGAAATCACCGTGGGAAAAAGAAAGACAAAGGTTAGAACTCAACCGAGAATGCACATGAAATCTAAATTTTCTTCACGCCCCTCGTCGAGGTCGTTTACTCTCACCTCCCATTCTCATGCCCCCACGGCCACCACCGTCGCCGTGTCCACTTTCATCGCCTCCGGGTCGTCCACGCTTCCGATGAGAGCCTCCGCTACCACCATCGCGGTTATAATCTCGATCACGCTGGCGATCCCGATTCCGGTCCCGGTCTCGATCGCGCATTTCCCGACCGCCCCAGCGCCGATCATCTTCGGCGTTTCCTGGGAGAGGTGGCGGAGGGGGCGGAGGTGGCTGTCCACCAAGAGAAGAGGGAGGGCGTAGCCGCCCTTCATGTTCCTGACTCTGGGCGGCGTCGGATGCATCGTCTCGATCCCGTCGACGACGATTGTCAGATCCCGCCCCGCGGCGTGACGCTTCACGGGACTCGTATCGTTCTTCCCGGGTGTTACTTGCACCTGCATCACTCCTACGGCTGCGCTCACGCTCATAATCTCGCGGCCGGTCTCGGTACTCCTCTCGCCGGCTGCTACTCCGCGTTCCCTCTTCCTCGCCTGCCCGACGCTCGCGTTCCCGATCCCTGTCGCGGTCACGGTCCCGTTCTCTGTCGCGTTCTCTTTCCCGGTCGTGGCCTGAGTATCGCATGGATCTCCGCGACTCGGATCCAGACTCCTCAACAGGCTCACCGCGAGCTCCAGCAGGCCGGTTTCGGGATTGTCCATCATCCTCAGGGTAAGAGGTAGAGGGCCGGCCGGCCATGAGGTCAAGCCGATTCTGTGCTGGTGGGCCTAAACGACCGGCTTCCTCAGGAGCCCCAGGGGCTTGAGAAGGGCCGCTTATACCACCAGGCTGCCGGTTGGCACCTCGGCCACGAATCGTTGGGCCAGGGCCTGCACGCTCCCCAGGTCCCCCGGATTGTTGCAGCATGGTGTTGATCCCAGCGAACCGCTTATCCCCACGACCTCGTTCACCGCCAAAACCAGGACCTTGTGGCGGTCCACGATTGAGGGAGGATGGTCCTTGCGGAGGTCCAAGAGCACTACGAGGCCCGGATGGTGGAACAACGGATGCGGGAGAAGAAGGGTGGCTGGAGCGCATGGGCCCTGCAAAGGCGCCATCCGTGGGCTGTGGTTGAAGGTTCTTCAGGCGGTCTGGATGGATACCGCTAGTGTCGAGCTTCTCCGGGCCAGGTGATGATGGGGCCGCGGGTGCAGAGTGGTCAGGACCAGCTCGCATGCCCTGCCGACCTGGCCCAGTGGGCGGTTGACGTTCGTTAGGTGCGTTCGGGCCGTTGGAAGACGCAGGCCCCCCTCGTCCTCCTCTTCCAGGTGCGTTTCGTCCCCGAGGTCCAGATGGAATCTCGGCAGGAGGATCCGGCTGACGCAGGCGTCCATGGCTCAGATCAGCGTCTCTCGAGTCGGAACCGTCCATAGGAGGTCGTCCAAGCCGTTCGCTGCGAGGTCCAGTCGGCAGGTCCTCATGCCGTGCATGTGCTTGTGCGAAGTTACCTGAGCGGCGGTCATCCGGGAACCGTTCCGGGCGGTTTGGAAGTTCCACTCGTGGGGGGGATAATGTTCTCGATGGCAGAGACCTCCGATCGTCCTTCTCTTGTCGCAGAGCCTCCCCACGTCGGTAGCTTTCCCTGTCAGGGTGGTCGTGTATCATCTCGGCGCGATCCGGGTGCGTTGGTGGACCAGAGCGTGCGACAGATGGCGCGTCCCGGGCGTCAGAAGGACGCAAACGCCCAGCGCGATCTGGCCATTCCGGTTCTCTTGGGACACGCCCTTCACGATACGGAGGACCACGGAACGGCTCATCCATAGATGGTCTTAGAGGATACTCGCGATCGAGACGACCATAGCCTCTACCATCACCTATAGGCTGTTCGAATGGTCTATTGTAATCATGCTCGCTGGCGTAGCGGCCGCCTCGAGGATAATCTGGATGTCTATCGCGCCTGTCGTCCAAAAGGTCAGGTCGTGGCGGCAACCTTCCATCGTCTCGGTAAGGACGGTTGGGTGTATGCGTCTGCGAGCGCATATTTTGATTGCCGGGCGGCCCTCGTTCTGTGTCAGGGCGTCGGGGAATATTTGCTTGCCGACTAGGTTCAGGACCCTTCGGGGGGGCATGAGGTGCAGCTGATGTCGAGGGAGCGGCGGCGGCCTGCGCAGTAGTAGGAGGTTCGGTAGCTGGAGTGGCAGGTTTCTCGCCGGTTGCTGTCTCAGTGCTGCTTGTCTGCTGTGTCTGAATAGCAGTCGGTTCCGTTGTGGGAGAGGTCGTAGTATCGGCTTGTTCAGACGGCTTCTGTGCCGTTTTATCTGTGTCCGCCGTGGCCTTCGTGGCGACATCAGTCATCTTTGCATCTTCAATCTCCCCATCTTCGACTTCCGTCTTCGTAATCGGTTCCGACCTGGAAGCAGTCTCGGGTCTGTGGTTGACGGAATCAGCAACTCGGGCCTAGTTGGTGAGATTGACGGGTTAATAAACTTACTCGTTGGTTGGTTTGAACTCGGCCGCAGAAGCATTCAAACCTGGAGTGGAAGATTGAAGCCGTGGCGTTCCGGGCTTTCCACTTGCGGTCTTCTCAGCTGGCTCAGTCTTTGGGGGATTACCCTTTCCTGCCGGTTGGCTAGTTATCATAAAGGCCTGGGGAAGCATCCATTTCTTTTCGCGTCGGTTGAGGTCTCCAATCAGAGAGGCTGCCGGAATCTTTACATCATCTCGTTCATCATTCTGGCTGAGATTGTTCACGCTAGTCAACATGTCGCGGCCGATCCAGTTCACGGCAGGGAAGTTTTGAACAACCGCCTTGAGGACACTAATAGCATTACGGATGTGCATGTATTCGCCGCCGTTCAAGCATGTTTTGAGGGCAGCAGCCAGAAGACGGTGCCATTTGTACAATAGTCGACGGAAATCCTCATACTCTAAGAACGTCGTCGGTTTGCCTTCCGGGTCGACAGTCATAGCAAATCCAGGAAGGTCCTTTTTATTTCCAAACGCTTCCTTCTCGTAGACGGTCTTGTCAGCGTGCCAACGACCAAGGTCGCGAATGATCTCGCTCAAAAAGCGACCAAGGTTATCAGCTTCCCTTGAAGTGCACTGGAAAATCAGAGCAGTAAGTCTCTGTTCTCGGAATAATTGGTCTAGGAGACCGACAGTCCGGAAGTTGGGCGTTCCAGAGGTATGAAGAAATTTCAGGAGCTTGAAACAATAGAATGCGTCAATGGGAGACAACAGCAGGCGGGGCAAAAAACACTGCTCTAGCAAGGCAACGTTCAATGAATCGTGCTTTCCGCGCATCCCAGCGAACCATCGATCTTTTTCCTTCTGCAGCTTTGCTCTTGTCTGGCCATAAGATTTCAAATGGGCCTTGTTCTCCTCCAATATCCGGTCTTGAAGCTGAGTGATCTGCTTCTTTTCCCGTTCCTTTCTCTGACTTCCAGCCAGGCTAATATCAGATCGGTCATGGCCAATGGAGATTACCTTCTTCTTCTGGCGGTCTATTTCGTCTTCATACGCTTTTTGGGGCACATGCACGTCATAAACCGACAGCTGCCAGAAGGTGACATAGAAGTATAGCCCAACGACGCCCCAGGTTTCAGAAGGCAGGGCCGACTTTACTTGATCCTGAAGGTCTTGCATGACAGGATTCAAAGGAGTTTCCGGAGTAGCTGAGGCGGTGGCGATAGCTTGTTCTGTCATCTTATTTACCGCGTCAGTCCCAGTAGGCTGTTCAGACTGGTCTTTATCAACATCCATAGCATTTTCAGCAGACTGCTCGCCGTTCGGGGCTGTTGCTTCTCCTTCATCCGTCTCCATCTTATCGGCTTCGCCTTGAGGTGGAGATTGCTCCTCGCTATCACCACTTTTCGACACCACTGCTTCATCTTCCTGCATTATTCTCTCGCTGTCGGATATCTTCTTGGCCACACTTGGTCGTCGAATCCAAAAAGCTATCTCGGGCTGTACACCGTACTCACTAATCAATGATGCGAGGTCGGGGACAAAGGAATCAAATTCCTCCACCGACATATTACTGCGGAGGAGGTCGAGATACTGAGCAAGGACTCGATGGATCTCGTCAAAAACGTTACCCAGCAGTTTAAGTTCTGAGGAAGCCTCTGATTCCTTGAAAATACACGTCCAACGTTCCTGGGCAATTGCAATTAGCAACTGACCGGCGAGCTTCGAAACGGTCAACGATTTTAGTAGTCGTCTTGATGTGGTTTTGGACTCGTGCCGTCGATCCAATAGCTGTAAGATTGTTTGGGCCTGAAGGACCTCGCCACCTGCCATGGCCTGTATTTGAGAGTCGTTAAAGTTGGTATCGGTAATAATACCTGCCATAGAGCTGATCATTTGCTCTAGGACAATGAGATCAGTAGAGTTATTATGTCGGAGCTGTTCAACAACGTATTGCAGTACTGGAGTAGGGTCCATCACCGAGTACCGCTTGAATGTTCTACCCGCGAAAGTTGCCAGCGCATTTAGCCAACGGCTGGTCAGTAATCCACCCTCCTGGACACGGCTTCTTCCCTTTTGGCCAAGTGAATTGATCAACGCCCATGTCAAGATGTCGTACCCGAGGTTGGTGAAATAACGTGCACACTCCACCACAACTTCGATAAGATTTTCGTAAGATTCGATTTGGCTGATAGCGACGTTGATAACAATTCCCGGGTTCGCGTACGCAATCTTAGCCAATGCACGAGCCATCGGTCGAATATTTGTCTTACTTAACCTCTTGAGGACGTCCTTCGTTTCCGCTCTCGCCTGGTCAAATGCCGACTTGATATCCGGAAGGCGAGAGGTTTGCCCATAATACCACTCTGCGTACATATTGTATCGGGTATCACGGGGGAAGAAGCTGACCAGATCGAATACCTCGTTGACAACACCGGGGTTTGCCTTGGTCAAACTAATTGCGGGGACTAAAAGGCGTTTGCAAAGGTCTTTCCACCGGGCCTTGTTCTCCAGTGAGTCGTCTTTACTAAGACTGTCTTTGCCAATCCTTGCAAGTTTTGTCAATAAACTCGCGTCCTGGCCAATTTTATGCCCGGAAATGTTAAGGAAAGAAGAGCAGAGTGCAAAAACGTCGTCAACATTCTGGCACAGAGGAATGTTATCGGCCCAGTCGTCCCAGTAGAATCTATAATCAGTTCCGTCGTTTGTGTCTTCCTTATCAAGCTGAGCCCACCGAAGCACACGTCTGGGCGGTGCTTGAGTTAACCGAATCTGGCCCTTTGGTACGCCGGACTGGTCTGGACTCAGAATCTGCTTCTGCTCTCTGAGTTCATCTACAGAAGGCAGAGGGCGCAATGAAGCGTAGACCTTGCTTAAACAATGATGGAGAATACGGTGAATATACTCGGGAAGTTCCGGGTAAACGTCCATAAGCCACGGGAATTTGCTGAGTATGAAAAGAGATTCAGGAAGTGCACCAATAACCAGTAAGCTCTTGAGAAGCATAACCTTCTGGTCCGACGGCTCCGGGAGCTCGTCTTCCTCGACCTTCGCTGGTGTCGACTTCTCCGTGTCTTGGTCTTTTCCAGGAGTTGCTGATCGCGTCTCGGATTCCCGAATGCGAGGAGTAGGTAGAGTATCATCCGACAATGCACCAGCCATCATCAACGCATTGACACCTCCGCCAGGGCGCGCCGCTCTCTCCCTTTCTGCTTTTTCTTTTAATTTCTCATCTTTTAGAATATCCATAGAATCATCCGGTCGCCAAAGGTGAGGGTACAAGTCACGTAGGGACATAAACCCTACTTTGATCAACAGAGCTGCCAGATAGATGAGGTTATCCGGAAGGATGTCCGATTTATTCCGAGCCCGAGATGAGTAGAAGCGAAGCTTGAACCCGAGAAGCTGTGCTGCCACTCTATTTCCCTTAGGTGGCAAAGTTCCCGTGGCTTCAATCCATTTACGCGTTTCCGCCTCTTCTTCCGACAGACTATTGCTTTCGGGAATCATCCGTTTCAGGTCTTCTTCAGAGACTGGCTTACGTCCAATCTCGAAGAAAGCCCGAATACCAATCTCTTTGACTCGCTTCCAAAACTCTTTGTCACGGTGTTCGTTCAGGTGTACTAATGCAGCCCGTTCTTCGTCAGTCGTAACCCATCCCGCAGAACCTGGTAGCGCCCAGTTTGGAAGACCGGAATCACGATGATCACCATCAGCTGTATCAAATGTGTCCTCCTTGGGCCACCAAGAACTGGCTCTTAACAGCTTAACAAAGAATCGATATTGCTTCACAAGTACAGCGGCGAAAACATCTAATGTGACGTCAAGAACGCGACCGACATCCATATCAAATGCGCCGATCATTGCCTTGACCCTCTCAAAAGTATCTTCAACAACTTCACTGGATGGAGGTTCATTGTTGCTGGTTGTGAAGAGCTCGGTGAGGAGTTTGGAATATCCCTCGGATTCTTCTCGCAGAAGGTTATAGTTAGATTGTCGGTACAAGAGATTAGTCTGCTTCCGAATGCCCATACGGGCGAATGTATCACGAACTAGACCCAAGGACTGGAGAAGCGGTGTGTCGAGCTGAAGGCGCATGAGTGCCGAGTTGATCCCTGTGGAGAATACCAATGGCCTCAAGGCAGGGTTTGACGTGTCAGAGTCGGCGACTATAGATAACGTGTCCAAGAACAATGAACGGGTATCAAGGATAGTTGTCGCCTGTCCTCCATTATCCATATCGATATCTTCTGCAGCAACATTCTCTCCGATAATATCCTTAATTGCGGCGCCCGCATCCGTTGGAGACAGCCGTCCATAAAAAGCGCTCCGGATCAACTCCTGGTATATCGCGACCAACCTTAAGATATCCTCTTCATTCTTTGCCTGTGTTCCATCCTCGACAACCTTTTGCTTCCCCGTAGAGGACCATGCGTCAATGACACTGTCATTCACGTACTCATAATCATATGGGGGAGGTGGAGCAGCAGGTTTCACGGGAGGAACATGGGATATTTGAAGTTGCGGCGGTGGTGGTGGGTGCGACTGTGGTTGCGAAGGAACAGGTGAAGGGGATGGAGGAGGTGGCGGCTGGTTTATCGCTGGGGATGCGCCGTTGATCGGATTCTGCTCCGAAGTTTCTTTCGCAGGCGTTGTGTTTGGGGGCGACATAGCAGTGTCCTTCCGACCGCCAGCCTGGTTCTGGCTATCGTTGCTAAGCCTTCGGCCAAGGTTATTCCTGCCTCCCCGATTGCCTTGTCGGCGTCCACGTCCGCGAGTGTCGGAGTGATCGCGAGGGGAGTTATGCTGCGACATGCTTAGATTGCTCGGTCGATGAGGAGAAGGCCGCTGGCCGTCGATTCCCGAATCACCAGACCAAGTTCGTTCGTTTCTCTTTCTCTTTCCTCCGCCACCTGGAGCCATGACAGCTTAGCCAAAGCTACCGTGGATTGCTCAGGCAGAGAACCGGAATGTTTCCGACAGGTCGCAAGTCATGGGCGGAACCTTGAGTTGAGCTGGTCAGCACCACAATTAAGAAAAGGATTAAATCAATGTAGCAATTCAATACGGAGGACAAAAAAGGATGGGGAGAACAACCTGCAGTAGAAATGACATGTGACGAGAAGTCGAGGGTCAAACGGCGCTGGTTGAGACAAAAGGATGCCTTTGGTGTGTTATGGACTCGGTGATTGATGGTAATAAAGAGGATTGCATTGCGAGTGTCGCGCTTGTGTCGCTTGCGTTACCCGCGCTCGGCGCTAAGCTTTTTGCGATCTCCGCCGAGTATTCAATCTTTCTGTTCCATTCTGTATTCTAACAAATGCCATGCCCTCAATAATACCATAAATACCTTTGAATATATTATTCAGAGGCGCTATACATAAATACAGGGCTCACCATACAGAGAAACCTCAAACATCATGATTAGAGAAGCATAAGTTTATTCATCCCGTCATTATACCATACAAATTTACGCTATGTTCTACAGCAGACCCAGCGCCTTGGCCTCAATGTCCACGATCTCAGGGATAAGCTCCTTGAGACTGGGCTTATTTGGGGACCAGCCTAACAGCTTCCTAGCACGAAGGGCATGGCCTCTGGAGCTACTTCCCCAAGCGTACAGCCCAAATTGATTCAACTCCGTCACCTGTGCATCCGACAGAGATTCGACATCAGGAGATGAGATGAGCTTCTTCTCGTAGGCGACTCTAGCCACTTCACGCTGGATATCCCCCCAAACGAATTGTCCGTTCTCGGCGAGATAGTAGCCCTTGTCATTCCAGGTGGCGCTTCCGCCACCGACGGCGGCGGCATCTCCCAAAGCACGGTACACGTCACTGAGGTCCTGGACGTGGACCTGATGCCAGATATTCTTGCCTTCGCCGACTAAGAATCCCTTCTTTCTCTTCAGCACGGCGGCGGAAAGCCAGTATGCCTGGACGCTCTTCTGGTTTCCAGGTCCCCGGCCCGGACCGTAGATTGTAGGAGGGCAGACGATAGCCGTCTTGACGCTCTGGGGGTTGCGCTGGCCACTTTCAATGATGATCTTATCTACGTTCCTGTGCAAAGAGTCGTCGGGGAGGTTGAGAAGCTCATCAACGCCATCCCAATCGTTGTGTTCCTTAGAACGGTAGAAGCCCCACGCGTTGGCGCGGAAATCCTCAACGGTCAGGATTCCAGTGCCGGAGGTATGGATCACCCACACTGGTTTCTCGGGAGTGTGATGTGCGGCGCCCTTCGCGATAGCCTCAGCAGAGGCAACATGGTCACAGTCGGCACAGTCTAAGCCACATTATTAGTTACGCAGAGTTGTACAGATCGTTTACGGCACGGAGGTTTCTATTTTTGGATAACTCACGGAATACAATATCTGCATTCTTCACCTCCTCCTCAATAGTTTTGGCCGAATCAAGATCTCCATGAACGATCCTCACGTTGGGGTATTGGCTGGTGACCTGGACTGCCTTGTCCTTGCTCCGAACCAAGGCCGAGTACTGCCAGTCGGGGTGTGCCTGGTGCACGGCATAGAAGGCATCGCCACCAATGTAGCCAGTGACGCCGGTGCTTAGAACAAATTTGTTGGCAATCAATTCTCTACCATAGTTCCTGGAATCAAAAAACACTCACAAGAAAACCTTAGGGGCAGCCATTGTCTCAATGATGCACCTGTAACTCACGACGTTTCACAGGATGTTAAAGGGGATACGGATTGATTCCAGAGAGGGGTAAAAATGAGGGGCATCTTGAACTTATTATAGTTGTCTTGAAAATACGTAACACCGATAGCTTGAGCTTGCTGATGCTTTGAAATCAAAAAAGTGGAATGATGGGTCCAAGACATGCAATCAGAGTTGCGCGTGAGGGTGGGGTTGCCATACTCTGGTTCGGCCATTCATTCGGTACTTCTTTTGGGTATCTTGCCCCTCTTCATGTAGCCTGCTGGGTGCATACATGATGCAGGTAAATCTAGGTTCTCTATCCTTCCTCCAAGCAACTGTCCTTATCTTTCTACTTCAGCAACTGGCGAGTAATCGGAGCCTGATAGCTCAGTGTCCCAATATTCCAGGGCTTGCCGGATCACGCTAGACTAGTGCTACAATTCCTAGTATTATACCCTACGAGGGTTCTAGATTGTCATGTAAGACAGAAAAGAAAAGAAAAGCAAAACTATGATTCCGTCAAACTCTATATTTTCGATAAAAGGTAGCCCGCGATGTCTTCCTGTCTGAGATATATAAACCATGAGAAGAGCAGAGATCTCCAGTACCTATAAAAGAGAATATAAATATCTATCCGACCATGAAGGACAAGACATCTGTCGCTTCCTACTCGAGTATAGAATGGCCCGTTTGTATAGCCTCGACAGTTTGTATCCAAAAGACCACATCCTATATTCCTACACAATCATTTCTAGCATAAAATCAATGAAAATATATCAGGCCATCTTTCGTATGCACGTGTATATTTTCGAAAACGGTCGGGCAGACGATCTACTAGGATTAGATATATATATAAATATCAGGGATCATAGATCCAAGTAACGCATTGTAGCCTTACACTAAAGAGTTACTGTGTTGTTCAATTCATTTACAGGGTATCGTTTCCATCCGCCTTAAGACCTGATATTTCACAACAAAATTGTTCAGAGCAGAGGTGAATACCTCTACGTTCCACAAAGCCTGTCAAGCACTATGATCATTTCCGGTCTCCGTGTGGATGTCAGACTTTATAGCCCTAGGCAAAGATCGTCCATAGTGACAAGCTGTGCTATGCTAAAAGACTTTGATGTTTACCACGCAAGCCTGTCGGACTTACGAAAACAGCTATTCGCAAAGCGTGACATAGAGAGCAGCTGGTAAGTGGAAGATATGCGAGACATAACTAGGTGCGTTGTTAGTCTTCTGTGGCTCTAGAGTGGGCAGTTCGTCTTGTAGACCTATAGGCGCCGTGGTTGACAATGACACATCCTTCTCCGACTACGTGGATATCGTCTCTAGCCACTCACAAGTCAGTCATACAGTATGAGCATACTGTTGTATTGTGTATTCATTGCTTTGATATGTTCTTTCATTACAAAGGACGATACAGGGAAGGACAAAGAAGTCGAGCCTGAAAAGAAGCCGGTTTATAAAGTGTTTCTGAGAACGGAGCAAGGTGACCTTGAAGTTGCAGGGAAAGAGGATATACTCAAAGCTATGTGTATGGTGTGCTTGATCACTGAATATTAACGAGTCGGTCTCGATACATCGAAGCGAATCGCTAAGCCCAGAAAGCTCCATGCACACGAGCTACTTGACAGCGCGGTCAAGGTTGAGGTATGAGTATTAGATATTAGCCGCCATCGGCTGTAAACATTAACGGGGTTGAAAATTAGCAAAAGCTCAGAATCCCGCGCGCTTTGTCGTCGCTAACGACTCATACGTCAACGTGTTCGAGACCATCACAGCAGTATCCACCGCGCTGGCTCGCAGTTCATTTTCCTCCACCGAGGCTCAAAGGCTGTGGATACGTTTAATCCAAGGCCAAGCACAACACCCCATGTCTGACAGATCGCGGCAGGGAGAGGGGACACTACGCCAACAATGAATACAACGTGCAACGTGAGTACCAGTGCTAGATACCTGGATTTCCTACCACAACTCTCATAGTGAATGTCTTTTTCCAAGAGTCATTATTCATCTAGGCCGCAAAGTCTAGTATTATTAGCCGAGTGTGAAAAGGACCTGAGTAGTGTGAATGACCACGATTCCCTTCTAGGTTTCCACCAGACGTATGATACGTTCATTTCTCCCCTACATCTGCGACATCTCCGTCTTTAAACACATTTAGGGCATTTCGTCGCCACCAGAGCCGAACTCAGGGGTAGGCTATTCTTGTCGGAGAGGCTCGAGACTTTGGGAACCAACAGCAAATCGGAGGCAACCCAGGTGTTGAAGATTGCTGCCAGTGCATTATTCCCGTCTAGATCTGCGCAGAGCACGATCTCATGGCAGTCCCAGGAAGGCAATACCCTCCTTTGCTACAGGTAAGCCACAACCATAGGCCAAAAATGGGGTTTGTTCATTGCTCACAGGTTAACTCACAGCTAGCTATGTATAGCCCTACCGAATGGTCTTCTACGATCGGCTCTTTCTACACCTGGAGGGTTATCCAAGGTATTTCGTATCGTTCTATTTCGGAATGTAGTTCAAACAAGAACACCATACAAGATGTCCATCATAGCAAGACGATATCGTCTCTATTGGCGACCTCTCAGCAGGATTCCGGGCTACGAGTTTGTCTTGAAAATGTTTCGAGTGCGCAAACAGAACCTCGAAAAGCGACCTATCAGAGAAGAACTGAACATCCAACCCTCAGGAACACTTCCCGTCTTCTTTGTCTTTCTAAAGGATTCATTCAATACAAAGTTGTGCTCATATCCTATCAGGATCAAATTGCCCCCCCCCTAATCTAGGGATCAAGGCCCATTCTCAACCATCCAACTCTATATAACCAAACCAGTAATTAGTAACCAATAACAACAACAAGAGCATTGAAACAACCCCTCCCCACTTTAATCAAGCCATAAACTTCAACCCATCTCTTAATAATGTCACCAGCCCTCTCCCAACTCACAACAATAGGCTTCTCTAGAAAAAAAAAAAAAAATTCCACCCTGACCGGCACCTGCGCCTGCGCCCACATAACCTACACAGCTAGCACGCCGCCGAAGCTGTGTGCGCATATCTTTGTCCATATCTTTGTCAAGGAGGAGGCGGCGTGGTTTCAGTTACCGAATGATGGGTTTGTGAGGTTCAGTAATGGAGCTAATCGGGGGAAGGAGGTAGTATTAGATTTGGTGGTGGGGGGGGGGGCTTCTTTTGTATATCAAATTTTTCTCGTTTGTTGGTTCCTGGATTAGGGCTTGTTCTTGAGTGTACCTCTAAATATAAATATATACCTATGGACTACAGGTTCATATGGAGATGAATATCCATCTGCTACGCTTGTCCTGTCATGGAGACGGTAGGATCGAGCTCGGTGATCAAATCCGAAGAAACATATCTCGGCGTGCAAATACAATAACGGCGGCATAGCTTGCCAGCCGGGAATAGAGAATGGGAGAAAGCACATCAAACATCATCGAACGCAATTAGAGGCTGAAACAATCTTCGTCCCGGACTCAACAGGTCGGTCATTTGGAAAAAGGCACGGCGGTCACAGGGGAATCTCACAATCATGAATATCCGTAATTTACAGGGAACGTTCAGAAGGTGCTGGTGGCGAGCCGACTCGCCGCGTTGCGGGCATCCAACCGATCGTCATCATCTTCCTCAACAACAGAGCTGACGCCACTAGCAGAGCGCAACCTTCCCTTGCCCTGCCCATTCGCCTCTTCATCGGCATCCGAGGTAGGCGATATCATACTGCCACTCATGCTGCGCCCAAGACCGTCGCTACGACGAGGGACTCCGCTCCATGCGTCGCCCTTGGGTCCCTGGCTTGAACCAAGATTCGGCCGTCGCACAGCTGGGTGAGCTTCACGACCCAATCGGCTCAGTCCACCAGACGCATCGATTGCCCGGATATCTGGTCGGACGCTCTCCAGAGTGGCCAGGGTACGGCGCTCTGCATCAATTTGGCGCAGAGTGTACTCACGCAGACTCGCCAAGAGGTCATCGGTGGTCCGGGCGTACCAGCGGCGCTTCTCCTGAAGGAGGTTCGAAGTTACTCGGTGTGTCCTCTTCGTAAGGTAGTCTTCATGGCTCTGAGCTTCATCTAGGGCATTGATTGCTTCATCGACTTTGTCCGGTCGAACCGAAGAGCTGACTTTCAGGCGGTCTGCAGCCGCCCGCTTGCTGCGCGTGACTTGCTGGGCTTGAATCAAATCCCGAAGCAAGATGTGGCGGTTTGTAAGGGTCTCCTTCACAATGAAAGCGTCGGATGAGTGATAGCTCAGCGGCTCTCCGATAGTAGTGGCCTCTGCAGTTGCCTGAACTGCGTGGTAGTCCCCAACTGTCTGAATAACCTTGCCTAGTTTCCGGTAGGCGTTTGCCAGACCTGGGTGTGTCTCCTGTACATGCATCTGGCCTAGCTTTACGCCGAAGTCTGATTCTGCAAGACCGAGTCCTGAAAGCCATTTTGGTTAGTTGATAGGCGGCATCACGGGGCTTAAGCTAACTCACCCCGGCGGCCCTTGACCACACGATCCACCTTATGACTAGAATCCATGCTTCCTAGGTAAAACATTTTCACAACAGGGCGTGCATTCTGTAGCTCGGGAGTATCATCTGGGGGCGGGGCAAACTGCTTCAGAACCTTTCTCCGCATACCCGTCGCAGGCTGCTTCATCCTAACAACCGGGCTATAGCCGAAGTCGCTCTCAACAAACAGAACGACCTCATCATCCTGCATGAGGATTTCATTATTCAAAACAGTATTCAACCACTTCTGCATGGACGCCTTCACGCGAATCTCATCCTCTTCGGTTCCTGCGCCGGCGGGGGTCAACGGAGGAGGAACAGCCGGGACCATGGCTTCGGGGTTGGCCGACATCAGATGTTCAGCAAGTTTAGTAAACTCGGAATGGGTACGGCGGACATCGCGATATTGAGACGTTCTGAATTTGGGAATGTTGGTCTGCGCATAGGGGGGTTAATCGCTATAATCACAGTGTACATTGTTTGAGAGAAGAGTTCGCTCACGTGAACATCGAAACGTAGAACGGGGTCCTTTTTGCCTGGTCTCTCTAGGCTTGTGATCTTCGCCTGAACTTTATACAGAGGGGGAGGCCTAGCATGCTGTCTGGCCCCGGTTTGGTACCGAGCGGGGAGTTGAGACCGTGGTGGCTGCGCATGCTGTTGCTGTTGCGCAGCGTACGGCGATTGCTCGTTGGCGTAGTCCGGATCGCCTAACTGCGCGCTTTGAAGTCTTTCCGAGAGATCAGGGGAGTCAGTGTGCTCTTCCCCGGTGGGCAGTTGAGAATTCCTGTCGGCATCGTACGGAGGCTGAGAGGGCGCTAACGGGGATGGAGGAATGTCGCCCGTACTTGAGGTCGGGAAAGTCGTTTGGGTAGGTCGAGGTGAAGCCCACGGCGAGGTGCCTGCGGGGTGGTCCGGGTCATGCGATATGGCAGAGTAGTCCATGGCTACCTATCTGGCTGTGTTGGGATTGGGTCGAAGGTAGGCAGAGGGTAGTAGGGTAGTATGGCTCCGACGGACCACGTCTGCACGGCGGGAATGCACATATCAGCAAGGGTCCTTCATAATGTTACTGCGATGGATCAATGGCACCCACCTGTAGCCCCTCCAAAAAGAACTGGGGGACAAGTGAAGGGGTAAATAAGGATGCGGGAGTGGAGTTGTAAAGGTAGAAGGAATGACAAACGCCACTCAACCGAAAAGGTTACGTCGTTGCAGCTGTCGACACCTGACTGGACAGGCACCAACATCCGCGGAACATTTTGGACTTCGTTTCTTTGCTTTAAGGCTAGGTGAACCACGCAAATGTCCTGGAAGGGCCCCACTCCTTAGCTTCTGCCTTGTAAAAATAACAACATATAAGTCATTAGACTGCGTCAATCAGGATTCAAATGATCCAGGGGCCATTGCGATCATGGTCGCGGCTCCTTTTTTGCGCGCTCACCAAGCAGCGCGACACCATCCACTGTCTATCAACCGACTGGGACTGAATCCACGCGTAGTCAAAAGCCCCAGGAAATTGCGCGCCCCTTGGAGTAGTGGCTTCTCAACTTCTGCTTTAAGATGGCAAGCGGATTCCCTTGACCACACCAGAAATATCGGTATTATCGCCCACATCGATGCGGGCAAAACGACCACTACAGAGCGTATGCTCTACTACAGCGGGTTTACCAGGAGGATAGGAGACGTGGATGAAGGATCCACGGTCACTGACTTCCTTCCAGCCGAGCGAGCCCGAGGAATCACGATTCAATCTGCAGCCATTACCTTCCACTGGCCACCTCAATTTGCCGGTGACGGAAATGCAACTCCGCAGCAAGAACCACAAGCTCCAAGGTCTGCGGTATCACATACTGTCAACCTCATTGACACTCCGGGACATGCGGATTTCACTTTTGAAGTTTTACGCTCCTTGCGCATTCTAGATGGTGCAGTATGCATCTTAGACGGTGTTGCGGGTGTCGAGGCCCAAACGGAGCAAGTCTGGCACCAAGCAAGTACTTACAAGATTCCCCGGGTTGTCTATGTCAATAAGCTTGACAGAGATGGGGCAGCATTCGGGCGGACAGTTCGAGAAGTTGCCTCCCGACTTGGCGGGTTGCCTGCCGTCTGCCAGATCCCTTGGTTTGAGGGAGGAAACGGACGGTTTGTTGGCATCGCCGACGTCATCAATCTCCAAGGTCTTCGCTGGGAAGAGGGAGATGGCAAGTCCGTCAAGATGTTCAGCCTTGAACAATTGACTAGCGAAGAAAGTAAGCTGGCACAGGAGCTGAAGCGCGCAAGAATTGCCCTTGTCGAACTGCTGAGTGAGCATGATGAAGTCATGGTGGAGAAGTTTTTCGATCATGGAGAAGACCATTTGGCAGTCCCCGCGAATGATATTCTTGAGAGCCTACGCAGATGCCTACTGGAAGAGCAGGACCGGAAGGTTATCCCCATCTTTGCTGGCGCTAGTTTCCGAAATATTGGCGTTCAGCCTTTACTCGATGCGGTGACGAACTTGCTCCCCAGCCCTCAGGAGACACCTGAACCGGAGGTCAGCATCGGCGGAGTCAAAGGGGGTCTCCGACGTCTGCTATCAGGCGACCTTCTATCTGAGCAAAGCGAGAAGGCAGCGTCTGCCAAGAGTAAGCAAAAGAAGAAGTCGGCTATTCAAGCCGAGTCTCGAAACGCCATCGAAAAGCTCCAGGGCTGCGCCCTGGCCTTCAAGGTCGTTAATGACCCCAAGCGAGGTGTTCTAGTATATGTCCGTGTCTATTCCGGCTCCCTCGACCGAAACAGCGTCCTGTACAATACCAACCTGAATGTCTCGGAGCGAGCACCTCGTCTACTGAAGATGTATGCGAATGACGCCGTAGAAGTCGACTCCATCCCAGAAGGCCAGATCGGAGTTGTGGTTGGCCTCAAACAAACCAGAACCGGAGATACTCTAGTCACCTATTCCGGCAACAAAGCAACACCCCCGGAACCTCTCAATACTCTCCAACTCCGTCCGATCAACGTCCCGCCCCCCGTCTTCTTCGCCAGTGTTGAACCGCACAGCCTAAGCGAGGAGAAACGACTTCAGGAGTCCCTCGCAATGCTCCTCCGTGAAGATCCCAGTCTCCATGTCACCGTCGACGAAGACTCAGGCCAAACCCTACTAAGTGGTATGGGCGAGCTGCATTTAGAAATCGCCCGAGACCGCCTCCTCAACGACCTCAAAGCCAAAGCCTCAATGGGCCGTATCGAAATCGGCTACCGCGAATGCGCACTCGGGCCCTCCGGGCCGGTAACCAAGATCTTTGACAAAGAAATCGCAGGCCGCAAAGGCAAAGCCGGCTGCACCGCAACCGTCGAGCCCTTCCACCCCGCGGACACCTCATCAGACCCAGACCCCTCCAGCGCACTCTCCATCCAAACCAAAGATGGCAACCAAATCATCATCCTCGCCCCAGACCTCCAAGTCGAAACCAACAAAAAGGGCGCCCAAGAAAGCTCCCTCCTTCCCCCAGGCCTCGACGTCGAGACCCTCCGCACAGCCCTCCAAAACGGCTGTCGCGCCGCTCTCGCTCGCGGACCCCAATTCACCTTCCCCATGCACAACACTCGCGTCACCCTCACTCTCAACCCAGCCGAACACCTCTTCGGCAACGATTCCATCCCCTCAGCCCTCTCCGCCGCCGCCCGTCTCGCCACCTCCTCCGCCCTCCAAGACCTCCCCTCCACAGCTGGCACATCCCTCATGGAACCCGTCATGAACGTAACCATCAGCGTCGACGAAGCCAGTCTCGGCGCCGTCGTCCACGATATCTCGTCCTCCCGCGGAGGCCACATCGTCTCCCTAGACGATGAATCAGCACCGGATCTCGCTTCCACAAACGACATCCTGCCCCCCATCGACCCGAACAAGGTCTACGCCCCGCCTGACCCCTTCGAATCGCCCTCCGGGGGAGTCGAGATCCCCACCTCGGCGAACAGACCCCGGACCATCACGGCCAAGGTACCCCTCAAGGAAATGGTGGGGTATCTAAAGCACCTGCGCAGCTTGAGTGCCGGGCGCGGTACGTTTGTCATGAGCGTCGACCGATTCGAGAAGATGAGTTCGCCTAGACAAAAAGCGGTGCTTGCGGAGTTGAGAGGTGATTTTATCTGAGTATCCACGATCTGGGGGTGAAGAACAAAAAAAGAAAAGGCATTACTACTCTACTCTGGGTTGCAGGATTTGTGTATAAGTAGGATATAATGGGATATATGTAATTGTATAGTAGTAGATTATTTGCAGTTTGTCTATTGTGGCAGTAGACTCGGAATTGGAGCATATGTTGAAATGTGCGGGTCCAGCCTGCTGGTGGGTTTATGTTTGTACAATCTAAAACACGGCACATAATAACAACTAGACTGAACCAAACAAAAACAAAATACTACTATGTGCAAATGAATGACAAGCAAACTGTAACAACCACGATCTAGGAAAGCAAGCAAGAGAAGCGGTGATCCAAGACAATATATAAGCATACAGGATCCCATGCATTAACGGCAACAAGAAAGACAAGAAGGAGAGAAAAAGACCAAAACTACGCTCCAAGCATTTAAATTTACAACCCTTATATTAAAATCACCAATCATTGTCCCACTCGTCCTTCTCCTTCGCGGTTGTTGACGAGGTATTATTGCCCGTCGTGCTGGCACCGGAAGGAGCAGCACTAGACGTAGTCGCAAACTGCGCGGAGGTAGAAGAAGGACCCGGCTTCATTGCTGCAGTTCCAATGGCGCTAGATCTGGAGACATTTCTGCGGTGATTCTCCTCTTGGCCGAGGGCAGAGAAGTCGTCCCAGAAATCTTTCCGTTCGGGTTCGACGCGACGCCGAGCGGCGGTATTCTCATCTGGGCCTTCTACGAATCGTTGGAATTGTCCCGCAGCGCCGCGGGCACCGACTTGGATGTTTTGACCGAGTTGAGTGGCATGTTGACGGGCTTGGGCTGCAAAGTCAGACTCCGCTATCTGGTCAAGGAATGTATGTCAGCTCGAGAATGGAAGAAGAGTATGAAGCATAGAAAAAAAAATGTACCGTCTTAGCAGTGGGCTGAATATAGGAATCATTCACGGTCTTCGCACCCTTCCCAACAGCTGTCGTAAACCAGCCAAATCCTTTCGTCAAGGCGGCCATGGGATCTTTCTGGAACTCGTCAAATCCGGGGACGTTCCCTCCGGAGGCATTCCTGGACGGTCCTGACGAAACGGGCATGCCACCACCAAATCCAGTAAACCTGCCACCTTGGGATGGTGGAACAGAGTCCGACCGTGTGGAGTTCTCAGAGCCCAGTTTCGCAAAGTATGCCTCGTTAAGCTCCTTCCTTCCACCGCCCATGCCACTGAATCCATCATGCGATGCGGGCGAGGCCCGGCCCAAGGGCGTGCTTGATCGCGAAGAGGCGGGTTCAACGGCGGGTTTCTTCTTCGGCTGCGCTGGCTTCTGTCCCGGGACATATGGCCGCCCTTCAACTTTGGCGGATAGTCTCTCTTTCCATTCCTCGCCTACTTCGCCCTCGTAGCGCTCTTTGATTGTGGAGTCTTCGAATGTACGGCCTTCGGATTGGGTGACGGGGTGATCATCGAAGAAGGACTTCCAGGGTTCGTTACCGCCGAGCTCCATGCGTTGGATTTCAGCATTCTTGAAGGCGTCCATGGTGATTGATCGGACGAAAGAGATGTGGACGCCCAGACCACGGTGAGTGCCCGCGCAGTTGAGACAGATGAAAGTTCCGAATTTCGGGGAAGCCTAGTGGAGGCAAGGGAAAGAACCGGCACATATTAGTGAATGATATGACCAGAGCTGACCGCGGGGAGAGCAGGTGTAGGCGGGGAGTGTTGCAGGAGACGAACCCATTGAGGCGATGGCGCGCCGCAGTCGCAGCATTTGTCGTTTCCATTGGTCTTGGAGATTTGGAGGAGCTAGGCATATCACAGGTCAGGTTAGCTGTGTCCCTGGCTGGTCACGCAGGATGGAATGATGTGGCATACCTTGGCCTTCGTCTCCGGATCGACCTCCCACATTTTCGACATGATGAGCTACAGAATAGATTGAACTAGTGAATTGTGGAAGAATAAATAGCAGGGGAGCAAGGACAATTGACCTCAGCCCCTCGTGCCTCAGGGATGTTGTGGTGGCGCGAGGGTTCGAAAGTGTGGAGGTGGAATCGGCTGGGTCGGCGACCTTGGGTCTTTCTGTCTCCGCACTAGGGTTCTATCTAGTATGCACTTTGGAGTGTTTTGTGGATTCTCTCAGCCAGGATTCGAGCACAGACACAGTTCAATGCCCTGGGAGCCCAAGTGTTCAGGTAGTGATGTGGTTTTGGTCGTTAATTGAGACGCCAAGAAAGGAAAATCTGGCTTAATTGGGCTCAATTTGGGAGATCACTGCAGAGTTCCACTCTCAGCCCCTGTGGAGTCCAATGAGTAGAGACCAAGGAGGATTCATTGTGCAGCCTCATGCTACTACGCTTAACCTTATTTAAAAAGGTCCTTTCAAGGGAATTTCACGTCTTCTCTTTATATATCACACCTCTCTACAGTAGAGGCACTACCGGTCAGGAAAGGCACCAGGAAACAATCACTACAAGGCCAGCCTTGCGGCTAATCAATCATAAACTAAATGGTTGCTAAGATACAGGATAGCAGAAAGGCAATAGTCGTTAGCAAAGGTCACGTCTCCGTGAATACCACACATTACGGTGTCTCGTCTCGGTCCACTCGCACGAATGCCTTGCGGCGGTTCGTGCGAAAAACATAGGAAATAATCAATACCTCATCTTCATGGCAACCTCTGTCCCCTCAAGACCGCGTCGAACGGGAATAATATTCTCATAACTTTTGCGTTTCATGTTTTGGCCTCGTCTTTTTTAACCTTTTTTTGACTTTTGTAAAACGCTTCTCGACGGCACCGAGTATGAAGTATCATCCGCACGAAGGTCCTTATTCTTCCTCCTTCAGTAATCCCCCCGGAGACACATTAGTGTATCTTGGGGTTTCTAACTCGTTCGGGATGGGAACGACTTGTCTTTTAAGCTGCAGCTGGGGCAGCGTTCTCCTTCTCCTGCACCGGAGCTTCGGCTGCCTGTTCTGTCTTCTCGTCGGCAGTAGCGGGAGCGGCAACCGCATCGTCTTCCTTGCCGGGGCTATCGATGGCAACCTTGACGGCAATCTCACGACCCTCGATCTCCTTGCCATTCATTTCCTTCACAGCCTTCTCCTGCAGCTCCTCGGAGCCCAGGGTGACAAAACCGAAGCCACGGCCCTTGCGGCGCTCGTTGCGAGCCTGGAGCTTCTTGATCATAAAGCGGGGAATGGGGCGCAAAGCAATCTTGGCGGAAACGGGCTGGTAGGCGGCGAAGATCTCCTTGAGCTTTACGGGGATTAGCATTCAAAAATTCGCGCTACCCACAAAAGAGACGGTTACACACCTTGTCCTCACTGAGATCATAAGGGAGGTTGGCCACCATGACCTTGGTCTTCGAAGGGATACCATCCTCAGGGGGGCCACGCTGCTTCTGGGGGCGAGCAGCACGAGCCTTAGCAGCCTGCTTGCCAGATTCAGCGGTAGCGGTCTCATCGTTCTGGTTGGCGACCTCAGTCAGAGGAGCGACCTGACCAGGGACGTTGGTAGGCTCGGCGGGAGCAGCAGCCTGGCCATTCTGGGGCTGGCTCTGCTACGATAGATGTTAGTGCCTATAAAGAATCTAACGTTGAGGCGAAACCAGGCAACTTACCGCACGGCCTCCGCGACCGAAGCGACCTCCACGACCGCGACCGCGGCCACGGCCACGGCCACGACCACCGTTCCTCCTGCGGCCCTCGTTGCCACTGGCTCCCTCACCACCACTTACAGCCCCCTCAGCCTTGGCCTCAGCAGGCTCGGGCTTGCGGGCAAGCTGAACAGAGACCTTGCGCTGGAGAATCTCCTTTCCGGAGAGCTCACCAATAGCAGAGGTAGCCTCGTGAGCAGTAGCAAGATCGACGAAGGCATAGCCAACAGGGCGGTTGGTGCGAGGGTTTACAGGGATGGAGACGCTTTCACTGTTACAAGGTTCTGTTAGCATCTGGCTTATATTATGGTTGTTCATACGAATCTCTCCTGTCAGGAGCTTCTCCCATGACGAGTACGCCATCGAGTGACGATTGTGCATCCATTGAAGAAGCTTCACGTACTCCTGCCGCTGCCAGAAAGTAGGCAAAGGTGACGGAGTTGTTCCCCTGGTCTACAACTCACTGCAGCGGGCCAAGAAACTTTACCACCAAAACAAAGGGAGACCTTGACAACAAACAAGTGATCGACGTGCCAGACTTACATCTTGTAGTTCTTGAAGAACTCCTTGAGCTCCCCCTCAGTGGTCGCGTAAGCGAGATTCCCAATGTACAGCCGACGCCCCTCGTCAGCACTGGCCGCGGCAGCATCGGTGGACTGCGCCGGAGCGGCGGGAGCAGTGCCGTTGGTAGCCTCGGTGGTGGTGGCGGCGGGGGTGGTAGAGGCCTGGTTGTCGGCGTGATTTTCGACGGCAGTAGACATTTTGATGACTGAGGACACAAGGTCGAGAGTTGGACAGACTTGAACGGGAAGGAAATCGCGAAGCAAACTTGACCGGTTGTGTGTTGTCAAGGACTCAGGGTAGCTTAAAGGCTGCCTGTACTTGAAACTCCTTTTGGAAGGATGTTGGAGAGGTTGGTGGGAGTAACTTGAAGGAGGGGGAGGAGGGAAAAGGGTAGCTTGGTGCCCTAGATACAAGTGGTTGACTGGGGAAATCCTTAGTTGAACACGATGGAGATTTGCCTTGAGAGGAAGGATGAAGTCGACGGGGCGGAAAGGAGAAGGAGAGAGAAAAAGGGCAGGCAGCGAGGGTGGCACGCTAAACCGGGACGGGTATGTTGATGGCCTCAGGTGTTGGGTTCAGCGGGTAATCACGACGTGGTCGTTAGTCACTTTCGACACCCAACGGAGTTGGGAAGGCGGGCGGTGAGGTCTGGGCCAGTTCCTTCAGGCACAGTTTAGTGCTCACATCTGACATCACTGCCCACTCTAACAACCTGACTCATCGAATCTCATGACGGACACATGATCTGATGTTTCCCTAAAATATAACAAAACAAAAGAAAATAACTTCCGCTCCAATGCTTTTATCCACCCTCTATATCACTGCCTACAGTTTTCCCTAATTTAATTGTTCCGACTTCCTACCTGACTTTTTACCCCTCTTCCTCGTAAGGGCGAACATTCCAGATCACCTTCCAAAAACCCATCGTGTCTTCCAGCGCCCGATGCTCTCCACTTGCCAACATATATCTGGTCGGATCCTGTCATACTTTCTCCACGCTCCCTCCCATCGGCCACATTTGAGTGGATAAGGGATCTTTTCTCTGACTCCATCGGGGAGTGGAGCACACAACAATCCTGGATTTTGGGAATGTTGTTGTTCAATTTGAGTCAAGAGTTTACTAAAGAAAAACCGTAGTCATGTGAGATCTCCCGTCACGCACTTTAAATGCATACACACATACATACACACCTCATATCAGCAACTCAACGGCGTTAATTTTATTAAGTTAACGGATTGGTCAAAAACCGCTACTATGAGCGTTGGGAATAAAAATAAACGCTAGGACAATACAGAAATATGTAACCCGCATGCCTTAAAATAACCGCTATGTTCCGTAGATCCAACTGGCCCGCAGCTACGTCTGTCCACCCTGAAGCTACTGTGTATGGCGGTGTTTTCACACGTCGATAGAAAACGGCCACAACACAAAGAAAGGAAAAGGAAAAGTAGAAGAAAAGAAAAGAAAAGAAAAGAAATCAATCATAGGACGGACAGAGTACGGGGGTAAGCTAGTCATCGCTACACCGCATATGATAGATCGTCAAATTCTATGAAGATCTGCAAGTCGAGTTCATCGCATCTTAAATACCGGCTGATCCATAAGTCCTTTGCCCTCCTGTAATTGGCGTCGTGTCTCTTCGCGCAATTTTTTTGCGGTCTTCCTCCTTTCTCTCTCTTCTTCGGTCGGGGCGGGGAAAGTTGTCATAGACGACGTCCTTGCAAACATCTGGTCGGCGAACGGGCGATAGGGGAGAGGGACCCACCGCACCTTCTTGGCCGGTTGACTGGCTGCTATCTGCGACTCCCTGCAAATGCAGCTCTTGGGTAATCGCGGTTCCTCTTTGATGGGGCTAACAGGTGCCTCGGCATGAGAGGGGCCAACAACTTCATCTTCTGACGACGCGTCTCCTAAGAGTAGTTCTTTATCAAAACCGTCTGGTAGAACACTTTTATCCACGGAAGAAGTCTCAGTCTCGGAAGAGCTCGTGGAACCTGCTGGGGCAGCGTGAACGATTGACCCTGGTATAGTAGATTGAAGCTTACGCTCGTCATGCGTCTTCCAGATCTTGATCGTGCCCTGCCCATATTCGGTGAAGGACATGCTGCTGTCCTTCCAGATAAAGATTGGATCGGAGAGTGGTGCAACGACCACTGCACTGATCGCTGCGACTCCGCACCAACGGCACATTGGTGGGCTTGGGCAAACTCTTCAATTGTGAAGAACTGTGCAATAGTTTTGGCCACATCCATAAAAGTCCTTGGCGGTATAAAGAGACAATGTTGTCTCTGTGTGGGCCGAAGAGTTGTTGGTATCGTCTGAAGACGATGGAGAGGATGGGGTGGCCGGGACTTCTTCGTCTTGGAGGATCCATTCTTAGTTCCCCTTTAGGCATTTGCCTTTCTTTGCGGGACGGTTCGATTGGACCTCCTCCGAGGCAGGTCGCTTTCTGGTCATTTTGAAGGGGTGTGTGTGTTTATTGTTAATGGTAAAGTCCTACCAAAATCAGGATCACATTTGCAGAAGAAAAGCCTGTTTATCAAATGTGCTCAGATTCTCCCGAGCCGTGTCCTCCAAACCCTGATCGGACACTCACTAGTACAGGTCCTGGCTGGGTGTTGATAGCGTCTTGTTGTACTGTGCTGAAGAGATAGCGAAGGCTTTCTCGTTGAAGGTGAAGACGTGTTATAATGTCAGAAAAGATGTTATTGTAGTGAGGAGAAAAACACCAAAGCTCCCAATTAAGATTGGAGGACTCGACTGAATAGCAGTGGATCTTGACTGTGGATAGCATGGTTAGTGTCCATTAAACAAAGAGATTGGCCAACCTCGGCTCAACTATAAGGGTTGATATGAGTGATTGTCCCTGACGTGTCCGGTTGTGGAGCCCTAAGATGGGAGACGTTGTGTTATATAGTTCTATAGGGTTGAACAGGGCGTTGGCAGACAAAGCAGACACGGTCAGGGAAGCCTAACCCTCGGCCACTTTGTGTTTAGTAGACAATAAGGTAGAGTTTTCATTGGTATCTATATATCTCTATCTATGGGAAGGGGAGTGTTATTACTGTCAGACCACATAGTAGTAAATTAGTAGTTCGAACATTTTGGATTGCTCCACCTTGCCGGAGACTATAATGATATACGATAAGGTCTTTGCTCCCCATCAAAGACTTTTTACTCGGGTTTTGCTTGGCCAGCCAACCAGGTTCGACTTGGACAGATTAAGGTTAGTCTGATCTATGGCTTGGCGCCGCTTACTCAAGGAAAGCGAATAGAGTTCCCAATGAACCCATTCTTTTCCTTCTCCTCATCTTGCCCCCCTTCTCCGTCTTCTACATCATTCACAGAATTCGGTCCGAGGCTGTTGTCTTCCAGCTTAAAGCTGGATTCTTCCTGCAATGGATCCTATAGAGCCCGTTGATGGCTCGGATGGACCGTCTACTGGAGTACCACAGCCATCCACGACGTCATTGCGGCGACGACAGCGTGCGACCTCACTCCGCTCTCGCCGTCCTACCATCCGCCTCCAGCGCTTACCGTCCCTGGAGAACTCCATCCCCCAAATCCAGCCAGCCACCTCTCGTACCAGTCGGAATGCCTCAAGCATCAATGTGGCATCGCCGCCTCCTGCCAAAGCGGCAGACGAAGAGTCATGGCAGGGAAACCGTCGCCGCAGCAATTCTGAGCCCCGGCCGGGGAGGTGGTCTGCCCCCAATCCATCCATTCTCTCCCGGCCCGCACCAGACCAGATGCATCCCCTGGTGGAAGAGCCAGTGAGCCCAATAAATATAGCCCCTTCAGATCGACCGTTTTCCGAGCTGTATACATCCGGGACTCCGCCTCCCCGGCCGCAACGTAGAGGAAGTTTGGGCCTTCTGCGTTGGACCAGTGAAGCCGCGATGAACCGGTTTTCGCGGAATCGTGTCTCGGCAAATGGAACTGCCCCTTCAGAGCCGGAGAGCATGGACAACGAATATCATCCCCACGTGGTGGATGTGTTAGATGTTATTGGTAAGCCTCGACGCAGGCATCTATTGATTGCGATATACCCTAACAGTACCCAGATCCGGAGGTCTCGGCACTAAATACTCTTACGAACGTTCAAAACTCTCTGTTTGTCCCGAACCTGGGCACGTGGGTCAATCGCAACCAGACCTACACGCTTTCCCCACCGAGGGAGTCTTCGGAGTCAACCGGAGACGAGACGACGGAAACAGAAGAAGGCGAGGAGGTATTCGAGAAGCCACCGGACGGCCGTCCATCGCTAGAGCGACCTTTGACCAGTCTATCAGCGGTGCTGGGGAAACAAGACCCACAATTCGCCGTGCTGCCCGAAGGAAGCAATCTGGAGGGCTGGACAGCGAGAGATATAGAAGAATTGAACGATCATGTGAGGCACATGTTGCATTCTCGTCGCTCGAAGTTCAAACGGTCAATGAGGGGTTTCGGGAAATATGTTTCCAAGCGTATGTCCAGAGTAGTTGCAGCTATGGATCATTTTACTGACCGTCAGACTGCAGCACTTGGGTTTCTCATCACCCTATATGCGACCCTCATTACGCTTTTTGGTCTTGCCTGGGTTCTGTTCCTTATTGGTATGATTCTCACTGTTTTTACCGGCTTGCTGTTTCTTCATGCACAGTGCTAATCAAATTGGTAGGGTGGATTAACGTCGGCGGGCGGCAACTGTATATTATCAACGTGATTGACAACGTCCTGGTGGCCTTATTCGCTATTATGGGCGATGGACTGGCACCGTTCCGTGCGATCGACACGTACCACATGTGTTTCATCGCTCACTACACATTCCTGACATGGAAAATTCGTCGGAAACGTAATCTACCCGGCCTCAAGGATAAAAATGATCTACCCTCTCGTCGTGAGATCGATGTTGACGTCGAATTCGGGGATACCCCGAAACACGAGGAGCACGAGTTCACGGTACTGAACCGCCTGCAGCAGCAAAAGCTAGTTCACCACCAAACCAAGATGTCCAAGTCTCATACGTTCTACAAACCCCACGAAACTCTAACCCATCATGCTTTCCCTCTTCGCATGCTCATTGCCATTGTCGTCCTGCTAGACTGCCACTCCTTGCTTCAAATCGCACTCGGTGCCTGTACGTGGAGCATTAGCTACCACCACCGGCCCTTCGCCCTCACCACCGTCATTCTTTGCTGCTCAATTACTTGCAATATCAGCGGCGGCCTCCTCATCATGATCGGGGACCGAAGGACCCGCAAGAAGGAAGTGGTGGAACGGCTCTTCCGGGAGCAACTCACCAAGGAAGCGATGAAGAAGATCTGCAAGAAGAAGAAAAAGAAGCAACGACCACTTGAAGAACAGGACGAATCAAGGGTATCAATGTCCTCAAGACCTCAGCCCTATGACGGAACATAGGGAACATTTTCGCCTTTATTATCTATGGTCATGACTCCCTACAATCCTTTTAACGACCGCACGAGCCATTCTTATAATACACCGCATATACAGCCATGAGTTCAAAATTTTTTTTTTTTTTTTTTTTTTTTTT